ATATTAGCGGCGGACTAGGGGTTTAGTCTTTTCTACGCCTACTCTATCTTAGACCTAAGCTATTTTATACTAAATAACTAGATTAGAATAGCCTATTACGTAGCTAAGTAATACCCTTATCTCTATTACCTCTATAATCTTTTTAATCGGGAGGGGCTCTTTAAACTAATAGGGCAGAGGCCGTATTTCCTTATTTTTTATTATTAGCTAATAATAGCGTGGTTAGTAGAGATATTCCTATTCGCCCTAAGTATTAACTACACGATTATTAAGGCGAATATAAGCCCGATAGACTATATAGCGGCCTTATCGAAATTTATATCTAAGACCGATACCTATATAGCCTTTATAACTATTTATAATATAGGAGTAATAGGCCTTAACTTCCACACGTATTATTCCCGGGTTGTGTTATTTAAGCTATCGCTTAATTTTAATAGTCTTTTCTAGGCGATTAGGCCGGTATACTATCTAGATTAGATAAAGTAGTAGAGGGCGTAGATCCTATTCTAGGACTATATAATCTATCGTTATATTAAGTTTAATAATACTTAAAAGATCCTACCTTAGCTAGTAGCCTAACGCTATAACGTTATTATAATACGTTTAGCCGAGCTTAAGCTCGCGCGAATAGAGGGTAAGAAGGTTCTAGCTACTAGGGACTGTCGAGATAGGGCCTTTAGGACTAATATAGTTAGGGAGGACGATAAAGAGAAAGAAGATCGTGGCTCGGATAGTGAGACGAGTACGGAAGGCGATCGGATAGATATCGACGAGGACGACGCCGCCGAAGAGGAAACCTAGTAGGCTAATGATATTACCGCGCTCTCGGTGGAATTCCTACGGTCTATATTAAGGCTTGGATCTGGTTATACCGACTATAGGATATTTAAGGATATTAAGGATATCGATATCCTTCTTAGCGATTCCCCTAAAAAGACCCTAAATAAATATAGTACGATAAATTGTGTGACTCGGTAGGAGGACGAGGAGGCGGCGGCCGTTGCTATTGCTGCTGTGAAAGAGAAGAGGGAGAGAGCGGAGCGTGGCGATAATAGTAGTAACGATAATAACGATAACGATAATAATAACGATAATAGCGGTACTAACGGGGCTAGGGGGAAATAATGATGTGGTAGTGACTCCTCCTCTAGTGATAGTAGATAGAAGAAAAAACGTGGTAAATATATATATGGCTGATTAGATCCTTGCTTATTGATAACCCTACTAATCGATCACCTATCCTAGAACCGGGGTTTTAAGGTCTGTCTTAGAACCCCAGTTCTAGGATAGGTATCGGTAGGTATTAAGGGGGTAGCTCTGTCTCTATCTTTATCCCCTAATATAGGCTAGATTACTAATTTGGATAGTCTCTAGGTATAATCTTAGAGACTGGAGTTCCGCCCGTTGTGTTGATAGAAAGACCGGTAGCCTATATAGATTATCTAGTAGCTAAGGTACGCCCTTTTTTTCTTTACTAGGCGATCTTCCTAGAGTCGACAGGTTGATCTAACTGTAGGATAAAGATAGTGATGCTATCTCTACGGCCTCGGAGGGTAAGCTTACCGATTACTCGGCCTTTTTCGATAGGGATAATCTAGAGACGGATAGAGTATCGGCCTTTAGTATATCTTAAGCGAGAGACTAATCTAGGTTATCTATTAACTAAGTCTATTATAATAGGGGTTAATATCTAGCGAGGGGGGGTCTTATACTAAGATAGATAGAAGTAATATAGATAGTGATTTGTCGGTCGCTAAGCCTACGTTAATATCTCTAACTTTTATAACTAGGCGTTGGATTGGGGTGCTTCGGTAGCGAAACCGGTAAGCGGTATTAATAGGAGGGCGTGGGAAGAAAGAAAATAAGAAAAAAAAAAAAAAAGGATAGAAATATACTTAATAGGGAGGGCGTTCGGTTAGGGGGGGGTCGAGCGATTCTTATGGGATTTAGTTTTTCGTGATCTTTTTCTTTTTCTTTTTCTTTTTTTTTGTCAGTAATAGTAGTTTAGTAGTAATAGACGCGTTAAGGATCGAAGGCGTACTATTATATATATAAGGAATCTAATACTACTGTTACTAAGGCTATGTATTTCTTACGTAGGATGATAGGGGTATAAGATAATAGGGTGCCCAAAAATATTGGTAATAGGGTATATAGGTTTATATTTTGAAGGGCTTTAGGGTATCTTAACTAGGATTTTTGCCTAGGTGCCTTAGGACGGTATTAGCTGGATAGGCAATACCCAGTACCGCTATATAAGGGTATTAGCTAGATAGGTAATACCCGGTGCTGCTATATAAGGGTATTAGCTAGATAGGCAATACCCGGTGCCGCTATATAGGATATTAGCTAGATAGGTAATACCCGGTGCCGTTTTATATAATAGTATTGCCTAGAAAGGAAAGTTTATAAGGTATTAAGGTGTTTATATCCTATAGTGTGGTTTCCTAAATAAGGACGGAATTATATTACTCCGGTTCGAGGGCGGTATTATTGATTAGATATATGACTCTATTTTATTAAGAAGTTTTTATTATAGTAGATATTATATAGAGGATATAAAGGCCTAATATATTAGAACCGGGGTTTTAAGTACTTATATCTATATTATTAAAACCCCGGTTTTAAGGTAGGGGCTAAAATAAGGCTAGTAATATTAATAATACTAAATACTAGTAATAATAATACTAGTCGGTAATACTAGTAATACTATTAGCGTTATTATTTATGTTGATATTGTAGTCGGAAAAGATACGATTATCTTTAAGCTACTTACCCCGCGAAAATCAGATGCTGCTGGTTAGGCGGGATGCCTTCCTTATCCTGGATCTTGGACTTAACGTTATCGATAGATAATGCTAGACTTAATCTTAGGGGTATAATAGTTTTACTAGTGAGGGTTTTAACGAAGATCTATATACTACTGCGTAGGCGAAGAACTAGGTATAGGGTAGACTCCTTCTGGATATTGTAGTCGGATAGAGTACGGCTATTCTCTAGTTGTTTATCTGCGAAAATTAGGCGTTGCTAGTTAGGTAGGATGTCCTTTTTATCCTAAATCTTTGATTTAACGTTATTAATAGTATCGGAGGACTTTACCTCGAGAGTAATAGTCTTACCGGTGAGAGTCTTGACGACTATAGGAAAAGTTAGTATAAACTAAATAATAGAGGTAGATAGCTGGGAAACGTATAGATCTATATATTACCGCGTAGGCGTAGGACTAGGTATAGGGTAGACTCCTTTTAGATATTGTAGTCGGATAGAGTATAGCTATTCTCTAGCTATTTATCTATGAAAATTAGGCGCTGCTGATTAGGCGGGATGCCCTCTTTATCCTGAATCTTTGACTTAATATTATTAATAGTATCGGAGGACTTTACCTCGAGGGTAATAGTCTTACTAGTAAGAGTCTTAATGACTATAGGAAAAGTTAGTATAAACTAAATAATAGAGGTAGATAGCTGGGAAATATATAGATTTATATACTACTACGTAGGCGTAAGACTAGGTATAGGGTAGACTCCTTCTGGATATTATAGTTAGATAGAGTACGGCTGTCCTCGAGCTATTTACTTTATGAAAATTAGATGCTAGTGATCGGCGATAATATTAGTAGTAGTGATACTACTAATATTAGAACTAGGGTTCTAAGTTTTATAAAGTAGTATCGCTATATATCTTAAAATCCTAGTTTTAAGGTAAGGGCTGAAGTAAGGCCGGTGATGCTAGTGATGGTATTTATGATGCTCGTATTACTATAGATATGACCGTGGGCCTTCTGACCTTTTTTTTTTAATAATAATTGATTAATATTTAATATTACCTAAATAATAATAGTTGTCTCTCTCTGCCTATCTTATTCTTTCTGTTTCTGTTACTTTACTATTTATTATATAATCTCTTTTGTACAGTTGATTTAGTTTAGGGACTATAGCCGTAGGGGTTGAAAAGTTGAAAGGGAGGGGAGAGAGGGAGGGAAATTGTTCTTCCTTATTTTTTGGTATCCCCTATCAAAATCGCGAGTTCGCGATTTTCTATCTCCTACCCTATCTATTATAGCGATACTACTAAGATTCGATATAGAGAGAGTTCTAGATGATTAATATTACTATCTAAAAATCTTTGTGTTCGACCCCCTTTAGATAGCCTGCTAGGAGCGATCCCCCCCCTCTGCCCTACGACGGTATCGGGCGGACCTAATTACCTGCCCGATACCCTCGCGCGCCCCGCCACGGTATCGGTCGGGCCTAATTACCTGCCCGATACCCGGATCCACCTGCCGAAATAGCTGATACCCGCCAAGACCGACCGGCACCCCCCGGACGCTCGGACGAAATCTGGCGGCGTTTTCCGACCGATACCGACGGCATTCCCTGCTAGTTAGGGTATAATAGCAGAGGGGAGGTTGGATATTAGTAATATGAACTGAGCTTGAGGCCTGAAAAGAGGCCAAGGTGGAATATGTGGCTAGAAGATTTAAGAAAGTGTGTCGGCCCCAACGCCAAAACAGACACCCCCTCTTTATTGTGATGCAATTAAGCTACGTAGTCCACGCATCCCTGTCTCTTGCCTAATCTCGATAGTTTGATATAGGGAGTATAAACCATTCCCAAGTCGTAACCGCATACATATATTGCCAGCACTGTTGAGAATTCAGATTAGTACTTAATACGAGGAACTGCAAAGACAACACATATGTCGCCACAATATTTAGTGTTGTTGCACAGAAATCCCCAACAAGTGACTGCATGAATATCCATTCCCCAAGTGGAAGGTGTTCACCCGAATGTCTACAACTGGCTGTATGTTTTGATTCAGGACACCAGTCCACCAAATATCTGGGTAAACACCACTTTCCTTGTCCCGTTTCTAAGATCTCTCTGCATGCATATGTCGTTCTTTCTTACCTGTCCTCCAGCCTAGGTAATTCCTAGGCAAGCAGTCTTCAGTCCTATCTCTCTAGGCCCAGCCAGTTTCAGAACAAGTGAACTACTATGAGATTCCTCTGTCTACACGGAAGGGGTACCAACTCCAAGGTTTGTCTTTTACCACTTTTCCTGAGCCGCAGCTGAGCATTTCTTCTGCCTAGATATTGGAGATCCAAAGTGGTACAGACCTTTCCATCAATGGCCCGCCTCAAAAGAAAAAGGAATTTATTCTGACTTCAAACATAGCCAAGATCCGAGACGAACTGAATGGCCACCAGTTTGTATTTATTGATGGCATGGTCGCTACCGAAGCAAGCGAGGGTTGGTTTCTCTCATCCTGTGGCTGGCCCAAAGCCCGTTGATTAACCCTTAGTAGAGGCTGCTGCCCTAGCTGAAACCTTCTATGGGTATCTCCCCAGCAGGGTCAATGATGTTGGTGAAGTCCAAGATGCCATTAATGCCTTGGTGGATTATGTGACGATGCATGGACCATTTGACGGGGTGCTGGGGTTTTCCGAGGGTGCCATTATGGCAGCTACACTCCTGGTTGAAGATGCTAGGAATCCATTCGCCGATTTCAAATGCGGCATCCTCTTTAGTAGTGGGCTGCCCTTGGATCCGAACTTATTGCGGGGTGGCGCTATGCGCTGCATTGACCCAGATACGGATGGGGTGGTGATCAATGTGCCTACGGCAATCATCGTGGAGGAAGGCCTTGATCGCTTACGAAATCTCTCACCGCTGGCGCCTCTCCTGGCTCAAACGGGTGATTTTCAGCAGGCGTTGGTCCGGATCTGCGACCAGTCGTCATGCGAGGTGGTTTGGCATAACCTGGGGCACAAGATCCCTTGGTCCAAGTCAACGGAGCTCGATGCAACACTGAGATCCATTGAAAGGACAATCAGTAGGGCTCAAGAGCTTGATAGCTAGGTCTACTTGTTTTGCTCTCTAGTTTAGGGGAAGTTTGATAGTAACTGAAACGATGCCGGGGTTCGGTGGTCTGTTGCATATCTGAAAAGAATTCCAAGATCTCTGATAGGCTCAAGATTGTGACTGATACCTAGTGCATCCTGAATTGGGAGTTAGTCACATACTGCTGTTGGTTTTGTGGAACCTGCAGTTTGTTAGGGACTACAAAGATGATACTTGTTTAGATTCCTAGATCACGTCTTTGTATCACCACCCATATCAACTATGCATATTAGTTCATCTGTTGGCGAGCACCGGGATTTGTGATAGGCTAAACTTATGTTACGAAGCAGTCGCAGTCCCAGATAAGAGCTATATACCGCGTGGCAAAAACATGCAGAACAACACAAACGGCAAAACATGATGGCATAGGGTCGACATGAAATGCGGGGTTTGATCCCGAGCTGTACTATGACACCAGAATTGCTTAGGTATAAATTTAATTTCTCCTATACTGCACTATTTTTCTCATTCAACGGCATATTATACTGAATCAAACGCCTACACAGCAATCTCAATCATCCCTAGCGAAAACAATTCACCTGACACAATGTCTGGAGCAAACGGCATCGCAATTATCGGATACTCCTACAGGCTTCCACAAGAGGTTGACAATGATACTTCCCTTTGGGAAGCTCTCGATTCTCAGCGCAATCTAAGGGCTGAATGGCCAGAGTCTCGAATAAACGCTGGCTCATTTGTGAAAGATTCACCCACTAATGTACGTCCCTTGACAAGTAACAGTTACCATATACTTATTCAGATCAGATCCCGGCTCAGGGGGCACATCTTCTCAATGAAGACCTTGGAGCTTTCGATGCACCCTTCTTCTCGGTGACAGCCCAAGAGGTACCGTGACCCAGCTGTCGTATCGAAGGAATACTAATCCCAAGGATCTTAGGCAGCATCAATGGATCCGATGCAAAGATGGACATTGGAAGAGTCATATCGTGCTTTTGAAAAGGGCAAGCCAACTGGCTCTCGCTTTTTCAACCATGATGCTAACCTCACCAATAGCTGGAATCCCCGTGGAAACGCTCAAAGGATCAAAGACCGCGGTTTTCTCAGCCTCCATGCTTGAAGACAAGTCCCGCATGACAGCTATGGATCCTGAGAATGTGGATCGGACTGTGGCCACCGGCAGCACTGTTCCATGCGTCATTCCAAATCGAGTGAGCTGGTACTTCGACCTTCGAGGGCCCAGCATACACGTCAATACAGCGTGTTCTAGCAGTATGTCAGCGATTGACATGGCATGCAAAGTTCTGCACAGTGGGGATGCCTCATGCGTAAGTTTGCATCTCTATTGTGTCTATATCGCAGAGACTAATTATTTCCAGGCGCTTGTCACCGCGTCAAACCTATGTCTCGATCCATCCATCTTTCAGATTTTAACCCGTGGGGGGTTCCTATCCCCGGACGGTCTTAGCTATAGTTTTGACCACCGCGCGAATGGATATGCTCGAGGAGAGGGAATTCTTGCTTTTGTTCTCAAGCCTATCTCAGGTGCCGTGCAAAATGGTGATATGATTCGAGCCATCATTCGTTCGACGGGCTCCAATCAAGATGGCCATAGCCCAGCACTCACCCAGCCAAGCCCTCAGGCACAGGAAGACTTGATTCGCCACGTATACAGACAGGCCAATCTTCCTTTTCATGAGACGCGATATGTTGAGGCTCATGGTAAGTCATCTTATGCATGCACAGGCTCAGGAAGCTTACATATCTTCGTATAGGAACTGGAACCCCCGTTGGTGACCCCATCGAGATCAAGGCAATTGGTCGAGTATTTCGGAAGCTTCGATCATCGAAGTGCCCTCTCTATGTGTAGGTACAACGCCTCGCGGATCAAGCAGGCATACTAATCGGCGATCAGTGGATCTATCAAAGCAAACATTGGGCATCTCGAAGGCGCCAGTGGACTTGCCAGCCTAGTAAAAGCAATTTGTGTGTTTGCATCCCTCGCTTGCCTTCATTCATTCAACACGGGACGCGCTAACTTCATCCAGTGATCCTGGAGAAGGGGATAATACCTCCGAGTGCCCTTCTTGAGGTAGTAAACCCCGCCATCGATGCGGAGTTCTTCAACATTGAGGTCCATAACCCCACAGATATGGTCATGTCAGCGATCTAATGTGAATATCATCCAGATTCCAAACCAGCGCATCACCTGGCCCAGCAGTGGCGTTCGCCGAGTTTCAGTCAACTCATTTGGATTCGGAGGATCGAACACACATGTTATCCTTGACGATGCGCTGAGCTATCTGCAGCAGTATGGCTTGGCTGGTAATCACTGCACCGCCATGCATCCTGGTGGCGCAACCGAGGTGAGACAGACAGCTGAAGTTCAGAACGGCATTACTACTTCCGACATGCATCTGAATGGCAACGAGCAAGTTAATGGCACTGGCAACGGGGATCCTATGCTCCGGCCAGTCGAGATGCCTGCTGTCCAAGCCAGTCAACAACAGCTACTGGTGTGGACGGCGTCTGATAAAAGGGCTGCGGAACGCATGGCAAACAACTACAAAGCCTTTTTCGCGAGCAGTGTACTCGATGACAAGGCTGGGCTTCACCAGCTATCGTTCACGCTTGGCAACCGTCGCAGCCGGATGCTGTGGCGAGGATTCGCTGTGACTCAAGTCACCGAAGACGGGCAACTCGAAAAGACCATTTCACCAATTAAGCCCGTTCGGAGCTCCATTGAAGCTGGATTAGCCTTTGTCTTCACTGGTCAAGGCGCCCAGTACCTTGGAATGGGATTGGAGCTGATCCAATACCCAGTGTTCACTCAGACACTGAGTAAAATAAACCAGCATTTCTCTGATCTGGGATGTGCATGGTCTGTCTTTGGTACGCGGCATAGCGAGAAGCTGTTGTGCCAAGCGCCATTGCTGACTGCTTTATAGATGAGCTCCACAACCCGGATCATATCAATCTACCCGAGTACAGTCAGCCTCTGGCGACAGCCTTGCAGATTGCTTTGGTCGAGCTGTTGAAGTCTTTTGGGATTGTCCCAAAGGCAGTTGTTGGTCACTCATCAGGTGAAATTGCCGCGGCGTACGTATAGGGCACCGGATCCCTCGTGAAGTTGACCCAATTTAACAATCTCATCCTACATCAGGTACTCGATCGGAGCATTATCCCTGTCCTCTGCCTGCAAAGTGGCGTATTTCCGCGGCAAGCTGACTGGGAAACTGCAACAAGCCAGTGCTGAAAGTCCAGGCGCCATGCTCTCGATTAATCTGGCAAAGAAGGACGTGACGAAGTACCTGCAGAAGCTCCAGTCCGAGGCTCTTGAACAAATCACCATCGCCTGCCTCAACAGTCCGGTTAACTGCACTCTTTCTGGGTCTGACCGGGTCATCAACGCCATTAAATTGCAAGCCGATGTAGATGGCATCTTCGCACAGAAGCTCAATACCGGTGTTGCATACCATTCCCCTGCGATGAAGGCTATCTCGGATGAATATCATGCTTGCATCGGGACTCTCGAAAGTGTCGATCTGTGTGAGCGATCCAAATCAATCCTGCCTCCGATGGTTTCATCCGTGAGCGGCCAAGCTGTTCGTCCAGCGGCTCTCGCCATGGCGCAATACTGGGTGGACAACCTGGTCTCTCCGGTTCATTTCACCGATGCAGTCCAGGTCCTTTTGCAAAATTCATCCACGCTCAAAGTCGGGCTTGGGAGCATCACCGATATCGTCGAAATTGGGCCCCACCCAGCGCTCCGACGGCCAGTGAACGACACTATCAACCAGCCTGACAACCAAAAGAAAGGGTTTGGGTATTTCAGTGTTCTTCACCGATCGCAAAAGGCTGTCCAATCAACCCTGGAGCTTGCAGGTCACTTGTTCTGCCTTGGGCATGAAGTGTCTATTGCAGCAATCAACCAGCACTCTGTGGATTCGCAGCCTCCCTTCCTCGTCTCCTGCCCACCCTATCCTTTCGATCGATCAAACCATTATTGGAAGGAGTCTCGTATTAGTCGAGACTTCAGACTTCGAAACGCTGTTGATGGCGAATTGCTGGGAGCCCCTGTCTCTGACTGGAATCCTTTCGAGCCTTGTTGGCGTAATTTCCTAGCCGTGGAATCTACTCCGTGGCTGGGCCAGCACTTGGTGAGATTAGACAAAACCAGTTGGGGTATGATCTTGACAGCGATGCTGATTTCATTTTAGATCACCAACACCGTCCTCTTTCCTGCATCGGGCATACTACTTCTAGCTCTTGAGGCTGCTCGACAGATGGTGCCGTCTAAATACCACATCCGAGGCTACTTCGTGAAAGAGATCGAATTCACGAGCCCGATTATCGTTCCCGAGAGATGGGAGGATCGAACAGAGACTCAGGTCCGCCTGCGCCCTGTAAAGACCGAGAGTCATACCAACCCTGTATTCGACATTGCAGTGTTTTCCTATTATCGTGACCGATGGACCTCGTGCTCCAATGCAATTGTTCAAGTCGAAATTGACGACACGCCACCCAATACCCAAGCCGCGAATCTGCCAGCAGATGACGAGGTGGATACGCTATTCAAAGACAGCCAACAAGCCTGTACTCGGTCGCTCGACTCACAGATCATATATAATAGTGCTGCTGAGAGTGGTCTACGTTATGGCGAGATGTTTCGGCGTCTGCAGGATATGTGGTGGGATGGAAAGAGCAGATTCATGGCACGCATGGATGTTCGGAATGGGACATTCCAGACAAGCAGTCTTGTGCATCCTGCCGTCTTGGACAATGTCTTTCAGGTCCTCGTTCTCAGTGGAGGACATGAAAAAATTGCCCGAGTCCCCGTTCGCCTTACGAACGCGTGGTTTGCCTCCTCAGGGTGGCAGCGTCCCGAAACTACCTTGATTCAATGTCTCGGAAAGTCCCATACTCGTTTGAACAATAGCCCTATCTTGAGCCACCAAGATGAGGCCAGCGCATATGCTGTTACCGACAACGGCCGGGTCCTATGCCATATCAAGAGGGCTACTCTGGCAACTGTAGCCAGAGAGGGCAAAGAGCAGAGGCATTTGATCCACCACGTCGAGTGGAAACCTCAAGTGTGCCTACTCGAGCCAAGCCACCTGAAGTCACTCATTCCTCACGAAGTGTCTATTGACGAATCTTTGCTTGCGAGAAACCTTGCCAAAATGAGGTCTGCGTTGGGCATGGCCACCGTTCATTCCTTGCACCACTGGGAGGAAGCGTCTCTGTCGGACCATCTACGTCTTCACCTCAAATGGCTTGAGAAGCGCGTCCATAAGTTGCAGCCAGCCGAGAGAATGAAATGGCAGGAGATGAGTGAATCTCAAGTGGAAGCTGAGCTGATCGAAGTCGACAATCTTCTCCCAGATTGGAAGGTCTACACAATATGCGCTCGCAAGTTGCCACAAATACTGGAAGGAAAGGAAGATCCTCTGGAGCTCATCTTCAACTCTGATCTTGCTGGTATATTTTACGCATCTCTGTTCAAGACTCTCTGCGCCGATGGACGCCTTTCCAGGCTTCTCGATCTGATGGCCCACGAAAACCCCGCCATGAGAATTCTTGAAGTTGGTGCTGGGACTGGTGGAATGACTGGACATATTCTATCTGCTTTGCGAGAACGAGAGTCTCGAACTGGAAGTCTCAGTTTTTCGGAGTACGCCTACACCGATATGTCTCCCATGTTTTTTGAGGGGCACGCTCGCGCTGGCCTGACCTGGAGGCTGAAGGACGGATTCTGTTCAAAAAGTTCAATATGGACCAATCACTTGAATCCCAGGGCTTTGATCGGCATTCTTATGACTTGATTGTAGCAGGGAGTGTGTTACATGCCACGACAGATCTTGAAGCTGCTATCCGAAATGTTCGGCAAGCGTTGAAACCTGGTGGCCATCTCATATTGCTGGAAACAACAAGTCCTGATGATATTTTGACCAGCTTCTTTGCCGGCCTTCTCCCTGGATGGTGGAGTGATCGTGAGAGTTGGCGATCCGAATGCCCGGCTATCGCAGACACCATGTGGGATCAATGCCTGCGCAACAACGGGTTTTCTGGGAATGATTTGGTCGTGCGAGATCATCTGCATTCAGACTGCCAGTTGATGAGCATTATTCTCACCACCGCTGTGGAAGAGACGTCTTCCGTTGATAAGTCGTTGTCAAGGACTGGCAATGTTTCCCTGCTTGTGGATGACCAGCAGCCTGACCAGCTGGAAATAGCGCAGCAGATTAAACAAAGTCTGAGCGACCATATGGCCTTGAAAGTCGATATTGCTTCGTTCTTTGACGTCGAATCGCACCAAGCATTGGAAAGCTTCAACTCGAACGACATCTATGTTTCTCTCGCCGAGGTCCATCAGCCCTTATTGGCTAGGCTTTCGGAGAGTGGCTTCGACGCTCTACGCCACTTGACAAAGAATGCGGCTAATCTGGTGTGGGTGACTGCGTATCGCCCCGATGACCCGAGAAAGCCCGAATATGATGTGGCCCACGGCTTTTTCCGCACCCTTCGCGGCGAGCAACCCAGTCACCATTTTGTCCACATAAGTATCGAATGTGAAAATGACTTCGGTCGCTCTGTTTCCTGTATGGAAAAAGTGCTTGAGGCCTCTTTCTTCAGATCCCCACCGTCGACGGAGCTGGAGTATGTGATGAGAGATGGTCTTCTTATGACTGGCCGTGCCGTTGAAAACGCAGATGTGAACAACGCTCTCCACCATAGGCTGTCGCCTAATTTGCAGAAAGTTCCTTGGGCTGAAGCTGGGCCAGTCGAGCTATCTGTCACGGGCGCGGAAAGTGATTTTTCCGTACGGTTCGTACAAGATGTCTCACACGAGAGTCCCCTTGAGGAAAACGAGATCGAGATTGAAGCACACTGCTGGGGCTTCAACCGCATTGATACCCGTACCAACATACTTACCGACAGCTGCGCAGGCATAGTCACTCACCTTGGAAGCAGTTGTGATGGATCTATCCGGCTGGGAGACCGCGTTTACATGTTCACGAATGCACCCTTGCGCAAGTATTCAAGAGCAGAGGAAGCTGCAGTTGTCAGAATTCCGGATAGCGTATCATTTGAAACGGCCATATCCACCATATCTCCCATAATAACAGCAAACTACGTGCTTATCGATATTGCTGGAATTGGAGAAGGGGACCGGGTCCTCATTCACTCAGCAGCTAGCGATTTGGGACAGAGTGCAGTTCGCCTGGCGCAGGAACGAGGTGCTCGGGTCTTTGCTACAACTGCATCTGCCGAGCATACAGACTTTCTGATCAAAGATCTGGGCTTGTGTGCAGACAAAATTGTTTCCAACTTGAGTCCGCATTTTGCATCAGAAGTCTTGCGTGTGACTGGTGGATCGGGTGTAGATGTGGTTCTGAGCTCTTTGACGGATCATGATGTACTACAAGCATCTTGTGAATCTCTTGCGCCTGGTGGTCAATTCCTCGAAATCCGCCAGAATTCCAATCCAGATCTAACCCTACCACTTGGAAGGATGGCTAAGAATACGACCTTTTCTGTCGTTGATCTCCAGCACATTCCAAGCGCCTTGAAGCGACTGCTTCGAGAAACTGTCATGTCTCTACTATTCCGTGAGATCCAGCCCCGACAGCCGATGGTGAAATCTAGGCTTTCAAAGCTTGAAGATACTATCAAGCAGTCTCGGGACGCAGGCTTCCCTGGTCGCACTGTGGTGTCGGCAGCCTCTGAAGATATAATTCCGGTAGGTCCTTTCTTACCAGTGGGTCTTTCTCCACGGACGCTTACATTCCATCCTCTTTACTAGCAATTTATCCAAGCCTCCTCGACCTGGAAATTTGACAGCTCAGCATCGTATTTGGTTGCTGGCGGCTTTGGTGGACTCGGTATCGTGGTCATCGAGTGGATGGTTGAACGAGGCGCCCAGTATCTGATCATCCCCTCACGGTCTGGTGCAAAGTCGCAAAAGGCAAAGAACACCGTAGAGCGATTGACCGCTCAGGGTGTGCACATCATCTCCCCAGAATGCGATGCTTCGTCTGAAGCAAGCCTATCCCGCCTTCTGGAGGAGTGTTCCCAGAACATGCCTCCCATCAAGGGATGCATCAACGCGGCCATGGTTTTGCAAGACGGCATATTCCAAGAAAATATGACATTCAACAAATGGGAGTATACCCTCAAATCCAAAGTTGCAACGTCTTGGAATCTTCACCGTCTGCTCCCCAAGGACCTCGACTTCTTCATCCTTCTTTCGTCTCTTGCTGCTCCTGTCGGCATGATAGCAAGTTCCAACTATGCCGGCGGCTGCTCATTCCAGGATTCGCTGGCCCGCTATCGTGTCAACCAATGCCAGCACGCATTGTCTATTGACATTGGCTGGATGCGAAACATTGGTATCATTGCTGAAAATGAGGCCTATCAGCGTCAGCGTCTAGAGGCTGGAGACTTCCTGCCCATTGAGGGGTCTGAGCTGCTTGCGTTGCTTGATATTTACTGTGACCCCAGCAATTTACAGCAATCACCAGCTGAAAGTCAAGTATTGCTGGGTATTTCTAGGCCAAGTGATCATCTTGCAAGGGGGGCTGCTCTTCCTGTACTTCTCGAAGCACCGCTGTTTTTGGCTTACTCCTATGTTCCTAATTCAGCAGTTGGCAACTCCAGTGCCTCTGCTCCGGATCATGGTGTACAGTTTAGACAGGCTACCGATTCCAGTGAGCGTGTTCAAATTGTTCTGGCAGCCATATCTGCAAAACTAGCACGCTCCATGTCTATTACTTCTGAGGATGTGGAACCGAGAAAGCAGCTGTCTAGCTATGGCTTGGACTCACTCATGGCCGTTAACATCCGTAACTGGATTTTGGCAGAGTTTGGGGCTACTCTTTCTGTCTTTGACATCATGGGGGGTGCTTCGATTGCTGCTGTTGCTGATATGGTTGTTGCAAAGAGTACACTTTAACGGTATTGGAATCCTGCCGTTAGTGGTAAAATACCACCCCTCAGTTCGACATATCATTTATGTAACCTATATATAAACTTGGAAAGGTGCATGGAACTAAGGCTCTGGGGATGATACTGGAAGCTGCAGTATGAAGTCTGACTCCAGGTGTTTGGTAGCAGAGGTGCCACCGCATTGTTCATGCTGGAGTATAAGTCCTTCGTAGATCCCTTCGGGTTTACCACAAACGGAGACTTGTATGAACTTAAACTAGGAATTATGCCTATCTCACTTTTGGGGAAATTTGAATTGAGCGATTGTGTCGGTTGTGAGGACCAAACCTCTTCAGACTCGAAAATCACCTCTTTTATATCGCTTTGGACTCAGGTATAAAGTATGTCCATAATCTGTACTTGAAAATGCAGCATTTTCGATTCATGGATACACGCCACCATGAAAAATTCAGTTACCCGCCACATATTCCGGCAGGCAGCAACTGCAGCCCTCCGCGTCTCGACTTTCTTTCGCAAGCCAATCTGTAGGACACGTTCTGCCTCCATCAGCCACATGCTTATCGGATCATGGGGTCTAGTTTCCTTCGAAATCTACACACGCAGCACAACTGGAATGAATATCCGACACCCTTTAGGCTTCAATGCTTCAGGACTTCTTATTTATACACTAGACGGCCACGTCTCCGTCCATCTCATGGCATCCGAAAACCCGCGCTTCAACAGCTTCTATTTTTCGGCATCTGATGCAGAAATCGTCAAATCAGGCAGACATTTTCTGGCTTATGCAGGGACATAGTCCCTAGACGCAGGTGGTAGAAATTTTTGGTTTATCATCGCAATTATATTTCGAATTTTCCGAATTTTCCGTGCGAAACAGTGGTACGGGAGTTGAATGTTAGTGGGGATACTTTGACGCTAACACCTCGGGATGTGGCAGACTGGTCGGTAATATATGACCTTTTCTGATAGACAGATTTTACTAGATCGCTAATAGATCATCAGGGTGAACGGAGCGAAGCTTTGCTCACATAGAGAATGGCAGAGGGCAAAATAATCGTACTACCACAAACTATATGTTCAAGTTTCCAGAATTGCAAGGGCTGAGAAACATCGTAAAGAAATACCTCTCCTCTGAATAAGAATCTTTCAATATTTTGTGCTCCATAGCTCCAGATGTGCAATAACACAGATACTTATGGATTCTCACCAATAAATTGGCATGAGAAATCCATGATATTTCCCAATAGTGACATCGGGACACCTTGGTAGCAATTGGTTTCTTCCAATAGACACTTGTTTTGCAGGTTGAGAAGAGTAGTGAAGCCCAAAACAGAGAGCTCCACGAATATTGACTCCTATTCAGAACTGTTGGTTTTAGCACGGGCCAGTATTAATACCAACCCATCAATCCTAATATACTGAGTGAATTAGGGGACACCATATGAACTAAATGACTTGAGCTCGCAGATATCGCTGGCCCATGGTTCTAGGACAAATTCGGCCCTGTGACTGCACTTGAATATCTCTATGTCATGGGATTGACCCGTGCAAAAATCCATACCCCTTGTATATTACCCATCAACCATCGCGATCAACCTATTCAGGCCGACATTTACCCCGCCGAGCCGGGCCTGCTTTGTCGCTACCGCTAAAATCACACTTAAGCCCTTCGCAGCAGCTGACTTGATCTTGACATGGTTCCAAACCTGCGAGACACAAGGGAACGGTTGTGAGCTATAATTTCTTTGCAACTCTGTGCTAGCCAGCAAAATAGCATGGAGTCTAACTTACCTCGAGCACATTGGTCTGTGGTGTTGTCTCCGAAAAGAGCTGCAGCAGTGCTAAGACTGGCGAGTCCGCTAATCAGGAGGAGATTGATGAATTTCATCGTCCTATAGGGATGGATATACGCAAGAGATAGAGAAAAAAGAAGGTCTGATTGTTTAACGCAGAAGAGTGTCAGAGGAGGGTGACGACAGGGCTATTTAAGCTTGACATGGCCACTAGTCTTACAAAACTAATTTTTCATATTCAGTGATGGTCGGTCTATCTATACACATTCATCCTAGCCCGCTATAGGAGTGCTGTTCAAACGTAAGCTCGCCCCCTAGATAGCTCCCATTTCGCCCCAAAAAGTGGATAGTAGAGAGTGGGGGCGTCCCGCGCTAGCTGGGCGTTTTAGTCGCCCTTCATATATTAGTACGGGTGCCCGAAGCAGAACCCTTGCCTTTTTCTTTTGTGCTGCCCCCGGACTGGACCTATTAATAGATATTGTTGGGCTTTCATCCAATCTTATTGTAGTCGCTTCGCATACCTATACTTTCCCCCTTACTAGTGCATATGGATTGCCGCTTCTGGATTCCTATATTATAGGGTGTGCTATATTATCTGCGATGTTCTCTTAGTCGATATCTAGATGTTTTATGACCTTATTTTAAGCGTTACCGGAACTAGAGCCAGAGTCGTTGTTCTTATTAAGCCTTCTTTTTTGAAATAGCCTGGTCGAATTTATCCTTGTCTTCGTTTGTGGCCTTTGAATTTTACTCTTAAGCATAGCTACACTTGCTATTTATTAGCTTCTATAATAACCGACAGGAGCTGTAATGGAGAGGCATATCCACTTTCACTTTGCCTTCTCCTGTTTCAGACAACATCTACCCTGTCTAGAAGAAAGGGATCACGCTTAGAAGTTGATAAAATGTTCTTCCGTGTTTTTTTGTTGATATTAAATCTACACTTAGTAGGGTATTTGATTAGCGGGGTGTTAACGCGGAAGGTGGCAGAGAGGGGTTAAGCAAATTCGCTTGTCGAGTGTGGCCTTGATGAGTTTTGGGCCCAACACCCATGCCTCGTCAATGAAAACGGCGGCCCTGGGTTTCAAATTGGAAGTATTTTTGATGGTCGATCTTTTTCAAAACACAGCGTTCTTCTAACATCATGCCAGAACGCCCCATCATCGCTATTGCAGGTCTGGCGTGTGAAACCTCGGTTTTTACCCCCGCAAGAACTCTTGCTGCGGCATTTCACCCTCGTCGCGCCACGGAAATCATCGACAAATATGCGTTTCTTCATCCTGGCACATCCCTCGGCGATGCAGCAGACTGGCGAGGAGCACTGGTCGGCCACGCCCTACCCGGTGGAATCGTGACGCGGGCTTCTTTCGAACAATTAGCGAACGAGATGATCTCCCATCTGGCCGAGATGGCGACATCTACAACTATTCACGGTCTATGGTATAATATCCATGGAGCAATGTGCGTTGAAGGAATCGATGATGCTGAGGCAGAGCTTCTTCATCGCATTCGGGCTGTGATCGGTCCCCGGGTGCTCGTGTCGGCATCGCTCGATCTGCATGGGGATGTATCGCGCGCTCTTGCACACCAGACCGATTTGATTACCTGTTACCGCATGGCACCTCACGAAGATGAGAAAGAAACCGAAGAACGCGCCTGCCGTAACCTCGTTACTCTGTTAACTGCTCGGCCACACGACCCAGCCCGGCCATTGAAGGCATGGTCGCCCATCCCGGTCCTCTTACCGGGAGAACAGACATCGACACGCATTGAGCCCGCGAAAAGCCTTTATGCTCTCGTTCCAGAAATCGAATCAACGCAGGGAGTATTAGACGCAGCGATCTGGGTCGGCTACACATGGGCTGATGAACCTCGCAATCATGCGGTAGTGGTTGTCACAGGCTGGGACAAAGATACGGTGACCAAAAGTGCGAAGCGTTTGGCGCAGTACTTCTGGGACGCTCGTGGGGGTTTTCATTTTGTTGCCCCAACAGGATCCTTCACCGAATGTATCGACGCTGGTTTAGTGTCGAAAACTAGGCCTTTTTTTATTTCCGACTCTGGTGACAATCCAACTGCCGGAGGATCCGGCGATGTCACCTGGGGACTTTCGCAACTGTTATCCCGCTCTGACCTTCAAGTGGATAATGGACCGACAGTGATTTATGCTAGTATCCCGGGACCTCAGGCCATTGATCAAATAGTGCAAGCTGGTGTTGGTGCCACCGTGACAGTTACCGCCGGCGCTGAAGTGGACAATCTACATTCAGGGCCCATCACCATGACTGGGCGGGTTCATTCAATTAGGTATGGAGATCTGCACGCGGTCATTGAAGCGGTTCTACACACTGGCAGTGTATTTGCGATTATCACGAAGCTCCGCAAGCCTTACCATCACGAGGACGATTTCACCAAACTCGATCTCCAACCTCGATCCGCAGATATTGTGATTGTCAAGATCGGATACTTGGAACCTGAACTTTTTGCGATGGCGGCAGACTGGATGCTGGCATTAACGCCCGGTGGCGTTGATCAACAGTTAAAGCGCCTTGGACACAAGCGTATTCATCGCCCTATGTGGCCTTTCGACAAAGAATTCCCCAAAAGTCCAGATCTTACTCCTCAGCTTATCCCACTTTCGGACGAGGCTCTGGGATGAGTATGGGTACGGTAGCTTACATATGCCACTCGGTGTTTTGAAGGCATTTCAACTTTCGCCGCACGATATCAATAAATAACACAGTTGGTGCCCTCGAAAGGCTATTTATTACTAGGCAATGAGTCCCCGTTAGAACTGTCATTACCCCCTCATGTTTGCTATGTGCTGGCTTTTCTCCGGACGGACATAGTTCGATTATCGGAAGAGACTCTGCGCCCTTATACCTACTGTAAGCTTTCATTCAGAGAGCCAGTTCTAGGGTTATAGATCAGCAGTAGTACTTTGTAAAAACGGCCCGACTTCGTCGGGGGCAGCAATTTATTACCTAAATCAAATGACTCCCGGGGCGAGTGCGGAGACGTAGTGGAGTCCGCGAGTCAGACTCAATGTATACAGTTCCTCCAGATCAGATCCCTCGTGCATCTTTTGTGATTTGGGGCTCATTCTGGCCCATTGGTCAACCGAATACACAATAGGTGAGGAATGGGTCGCAATTTCGACTTGCACGTTTAGTTGATGATCGGCCTGCGTCATAGTGGCTACCTAATTTGTTACACCATGGCTTATGCCGCAGGCTTCTTATGCTCGTTCTTTTCACGCAATCAAATTGAGTAAATGTTAGAGGGAATTCGTAGCCAGTCAGACGTTGTTTCGCCAAAGGGCATTTAGTAGTGGTCACCAAGTCTGCACTGGGTATATTTACCCCAGCCTGTGCGGCTTGAAGGCATTCATGGTTTTCATCGTCGCCAGTGCACATCAAATGGATTGTTGCTTCTAAGTCCAGTTTCTTATCCACTGCCACGACTATTATTTGAACGAAATCCCTCAATTGAATATTCTCATAACTATCTACCACTCTAATTCAGAGTAGGGACCTTTAACCTCCTCGTTGATTCCTCCCAACCCCTTGTTGGCTGTCATCACTTCAAACAGCTTCGTACCAAAGTTTCGAAACGCCGACGCGATTCCTCCGTGATTAAAGAGCTCTCTCTCCATTTGACTGAGTTGAAATTCAAACTGTTTGCCGCCAACGTCCAGAGTCTTTGACTTGAAATCGATGGAGATGGCAACGCCATCTTGGGCGACCTCAAAAAAGGATTCGTCCTTCATGGTGATCCCAAGCAGCCCGAGATTGGGCATGTTTCGTTGGAAGATGAAGGCAAAAGACTTTGCAATGACAAATCGGACTCCGCATCCTGATTGGACATGGTGAGCTCACAACCTCTTACCTATGGATCATGGGATGATACCTACCCATCAATGCCATAACGGCCTGTTCTCGCGATGATCCACACCCGAACCCGTTGCCGGCGACCACGACATCGAACCCATCCCTGACCCGACTCCGGAATTCCGGATGAGTGAACTCTAGACAATGTTCACCAGCAGCCTGGTTGTTGGGCATACCCACTAAGAAAGCAGCAGGGGCCAGCTTTGCATACAAAGTTAGCCATCTGGCCCATGAGTATATTGTAAGGGACTTGGGACTTACAGCATCTGTGTCAATGAAGTCCTCCAGTCGCTGAACCTTTCCGCTCAGTTGATCTGGGCTGTTCGATGCCTTCTGTTTGGTTAGGCCATTTTCTTGGACTTCTCGCTCATCCTTTATGTTTCTGCTTGGATTAGGATTGAGAGAGGCGGTTGGCTCGACATATGCCAGACCCTTCGCCGCATGTATATGAACCGTTGTTCTATGAGCTCCTCTCAACCCGTCCCAGTAATCTCGATCAATCCCATCAATTAAATTGTGGGGGTCAGTGAGTCTCATTCCAAAGGACGATGCGGCGACCGTGGCCGCCGAGCCGAGATGTCCAATTGACCCTTTGGAAAGTTAGTTCAGCGATCTACATGGTCTGGTGGTGGGTACTCTCACCCTTGCCCATGCGATTTTCGAAATTACGATTCTGGGATGACAGCCACACCTCTCCTGGAGCTGCTTGATCGACTGACATGCCAACGCAATAGCTGCATCCGGGAATCCCGATCTCAAATCCAGCACTCTCATAGATATTGAGCAGTCCCAGTTCCCGCAGCCGGCGCAGGATAGGCATTGATCCAGGAACAACTTTTCGTTTGCCTTTTGTGATAGGTTTGAATCCTTTTTTCATACCCTGTTCCAATACCAATGCACCCAAGATTAAATCTTCTTCTGCCGTAGTACAGGCACCGATGAAACAACCATCCAGTTGCATGCCTTCATGACTAGTGACAGGAACCACATCGTCCGGTTTGGGGTATCGAGCTAAGAAGGAACGGACATTGCCAAGATCGATTTCGTGGGTTGCAGCATACAAAGCATCTCCGTCGGGTCTGAAGTACGTGGTGAGACTCTTGTGGCGAGCAAGACGTCTTTTCTGAACGAAAGAATGTGTGATTTCATCAGGCACGAATACCCCAGTAATCCCACCAAATTCCTAAAGACAGTGTTAGTACGCGGGCGCCATTAGGATGATATTTTCACCTACCGTTGTCATATTGGAAATTGCAAACCGAGCATCGGAGGACAAGTGCCGAATGCCAGGACCAGTAAACTCGACAATTCTGTCGGAAGCTACTGTATTCCGCTTGAGCTGTTGCAGGATATATAGAATGACATCCTTGCCACCGATACCTGGTTTGGGGCTTCCAACAAGGTGGATGTTGACCGACTCCGGGACCTTGAACCAGGTCTCTCCTGTAACCAGCGGCAGTGTCACGTCTGCTGCGCCCAGACCAATAGCCAAACACCCAACCGCCCCAGACGAGCAGGTGTGGGAATCCGAGCCAACAATCAACATGCCTGGTTGTGCACGTTCACGGTAAAACTCCGTGTGTAGGATTGTATACTATGAGTTTGTTTTAGCGGGTGTGATAAGCCTCGGGGTTATAAGTACTTGACATCAGGCTGCACGGACATTCATTCCTTGATAGTCGGTCATCTTGAAGACGCGCTTGGCTCGCTCACTCGCATCGATCAAGCCCTGGACTTTGGGGAGCTTGTTGATCCGGGGGTCAACGACATGATCACCGGCAAGCCAGAAACGATCATTGCGAAAGATTCCCGGTTTCCCTAAATCGTCGTACGTTCGTTCCATGCCCTATGGTTTGAATAGGTTAGATTTCAGCAGCACGCATAGGATCAGAGGAAAGTACACTTACTGACCAAGATGCCTCCGAGGCAATAACCCAGTCCACATGCACCCTAATCAACTCGCCTGGAACGACAGAGCCTTTTTGATCCACATCGTGCATGGCAAAAACTTTTTCGCTGAGTGTCATTCCTCGCCGCCCTTCGGGTCGATGGAATAAAGGGGCGGGTATATTACTGGCACGATCCTCCGAATTGAGAGACTCCAGCCATGCAGACACTAAAAAAAGGATTTCAGACTCTTTTACAGGGGTCAAGAAGTCTGTTTCATGTAACCCTTGGCCACCCAGTTCTTTGGGCTGGCAACATATTTCCAGAACGTCAGCCAGGGCACGGCTCTCTCGATCGTGTTGGCAGTCTTTTAACCGCTCTGAAATACTCCTAATTTGCCCAAGAAAGGTTGCAGATGTGGGACGGATGACTATTTAAAATAATATGTCAGCACTCGAATGCATACAACTAACAGTAGCGCAGAGAGGCGAGAGGAAGGATCACGAAACATTAATACCAATACATATCGATAGAAGAGGTGGATGAATACAATAACAGGGAGATAGAAAGATATCCTGCTCGCGAGTGACACTCACCATCTGCGGCATTCACTTGAATGCTCCGGGTTTGTTTGAGAATTCGAATGAGTTCGTCGAGGCTGGCGGTATTGATATCGGTCATTTTGATCAAACGGCAAGTATATTTTTTTGATAAAATTAGTGTAGGACCATCTGGTTTGATTACACCTGTGAATTTGTGGAATTGGGCCATTAAATATACCTTCGTTCTAACCGAGTTGCACGGCGTTGTATAGTTCCCCGGGCCGCATACGGCCCGGAATCGGTCTCGGGGGCTTTCTCGGCGAGAGCACTGCGAGCTTGAATCATGTCACCAGGTATTAAATATAATAGATTCCTCCCTCTTCTGGGGTTGGAACTCATTCACCCCTGCAGCTTTGTGCTCTTTCTTCCATACACTACTGCGCCATAATGACCGTGTCCCCTGCCGCTGCCAAGCTGCGAGAACTCCTCGCCGATGAAAAAAAAAATCGTTGTTTGTCCAGGAGTATATGACGGCCTCACTGCTCGAATCGCTCTCCAGGCAGGATTTGAGTCTTTGTACATGGTGGGTACCCTTGTCCCCGAGTCCTAGCACGAAGCATTTCTTTTATCAATTCCCTTCTTCCCTAGACCGGCGCAGGCACAACCGCCTCACGACTCGGACAACCCGACCTCGGAGTTATCACACTTAACGAAATGCGTGAAAATGCGGAAATGATTTCGAATCTGGATCGCTCTACACCGTTAATTGCGGACGCCGATACTGGCTTTGGAGGTATACCACCCTCCCTCTCTCTCCCTCTCTCCCTCTCTTGATATACGTTTGGGAACTCACAGAGGCCTAGGCTCTTTGATGGTTCACCGTACGGTCACCGAATACATTCGCGCGGGAGTTGCGGCGCTGCACCTTGAAGACCAGCCTACCACCAAGCGCTGTGGACATCTTCGTAATAAACAACTGGTCACCGAGGAGGAATATCATTCTCGTGTCCGTGCAGCCGTGAATGCTCGCAAGCAATCGGGAGGTGATATTGTGTTAATTGCGCGAACAGATGCTCTGGCAACTTTGGGCTATAATGAAGCTGTCTCGCGGCTAAAGGGTGCAATCAAATTGGGCATGGACGTTGCCTTCCTAGAGGGTGTAACCACCAAAGAGCAAGCAAAACAGGTTTGCGAGGACCTTAAACCCACCCCAGTCCTCTTCAATGCTGTCACTGGAGGGATGTCCCCCGATCTGTCGGTTGCGGAGGCCCAAGAGCTGGGATTCCGGTTGATGGTCTTCCCAGGATTTGCGTTGGGTCCCGTGTATGCCGCCGTTAGTCAGGCAGCAAAGCATCTCAAGGAAACTGGGGCACCGGCAGGATCTGGTGGAGGTAGTCCAAGAGACCTCTTCAATGTCGTCGGGTTGAGAGAGGCCATGACGTTAGATATCGCCTCCGGTGGTGGTCAGTTTGACCAGGGCGTTTAGATAGTGCGAGTAATGGAACAAGATCGGCCTATCAGGCTTCGTCACAATTCCCTTGATGAGACATAGCCTGACAGATGCCAGAGACATCATTGATGCTCGGGCCGCATAGACAAGTAGATCCAGCGAAACGAGGGACTCACTGGTCTCCTGCACGAAGAGTAAACACAAACCCTTTGATTGGCTGGGACGATATCATGTGTTTTATGCAATGTTATGCGCACCTAACATGGACATAACATCACGTGCTTTATGCCCACTCACCCCAAAATGGTTAGCTCCACCGTCATCCCCCCAAGTATCGTACCTCCGCTCAAGCCTTCCAGAGCAATTGTTATTTTCAGCATCCAAGCAAATATGGGGCGACGAAATGAAAGGGATATAAAATCCCAGGCTCCCAAACACCGGGGTCGCCGAATTGCATGCAGGCAATGTAGACAAGCCAAGGTGAGCTCAGCCAACAAGTCTGGCTGCCTGACACAAGACTAACCGCTGCAGATCCGATGTGAATGGTCCACTGGACGTGCAGACCTTTGCTCACGATGTCAGCGATTGGGACAGGATTGTCAAATTGATACCGAGTTCAAAAGGGTCAACAAACGAGCGTGAGTGTCTGTTGGCACTCTGAGAGCCCCAAGACGACTGACGGCGACGGCAGGAAACTAGAAGAACTTGAACAAGAGGTCCGACAACTTCGCTCATCTGTCTCTGGTATACCTCGATCGACTCCACCATTAATACTTGGTGAATCTCCCAGCAATCGGTCCCTTGACCAGGGTTCATCGACCATGTTGACTTCCGAGTTCTCATTACCTGCGCAAACTCCCCTGTCAGGTGAAATGCCCAGACCTGATGGGCGATATCGAAACCACTACCCGACACTGGATTTTTCGTCACCCACGCATCCCAAGACTCTGGATCATCTTACCCTAAGTTCTCAGCAGATCGATTCTCTGTTTCATTTGTATAGGAAACCCATAGACATACCGTCTATCGCAACATGCTAACCTGACCCAGGTATTTTAAGAAGTATCACCCACCTGTCCCGCTGCTGGACCCAACAATCCCTCCTAACAACTACTATGATCGATCTCCTCTGCTCTTTTGGACAGTGGTCTATATCTCGTCACGACAATATGCAGAGGAGCCCGGCCTTTTGGGTATGCTCACATCACCACTGAAGCAGCTTCTGTGGGGTACTATTTCAAACCCTCCCCACACATGGTACCTCGTGCAATCGATGTTGCTCTTTTGCATGTGGCCGTTTCCGACTTCTTCCCTTTGGAATGACACAACTCCGATGCTAGTGAACCTTGCTCAGACCATTGCAATGCAGCTCGGGCTGCATCAGCCGGAAGCGATTCAGGATTTCTCGCGCACCAAGCAGAAACTGACTGCTAGAGAAATATCAGAGGTTGTTAAAACATGGTCGATCTGCTACATTGCGTCTCAAAGGTACAATGATATATCTGTATTCAGCAATGTTCTTTTCACTGATATCATCACAGCATGACCACTATATATGGTCTAGCGTTGCCATCCTCGGATTGGATGATCGATCGCATATGCGACCAAGACAGCACGTACATGGTCCCGGAAAACATGAAACATCAGCTCCTGATTTATCGCTTTTCCGCCCGTGTGAGCAACTATACGTCTAAAGGTTCTTCAGCCCCAAATGGCCTGCCTCGCACGCATGACAGCCTTTCCATTTTAGCTTTGTTGGAACAAGAGTTTTTCGACTTAGCGCGGTCACTGGAAAGAAAAATCACAGGCAAGTCTCCGTTTACCTCAGCACACGGCAGTCCTAACATCCAACTTACGAGAAGCCGACAACGATGTCTTACTGAATGGAACCGGGCTGCAGCTCTATGTCTTTTACCTACTGGATTCCGGAGGCTCAACATCCCGGAAGATAGCTCTTCTGAGAGCATTTGACATCGCGAAGACTCTAATAGCCAATCTCCGACAACTGGATACCACCTCTAACTTCATGAAGCATTGTCCCGCGTCCTACTTTCGAGTGACCTCTTTGGTAGCATTGTTTATTCTCAAGCTCCAGGATTCCAACTATGCAGAGCTGTTGGACGTCGAGAGCGGCAAGCGGGCGTTTAATGCTGCACTCTTTCTTCTTCGTCAGGCATCCTTGGAAGATAGTGATCTACCCGGCAGAACATCTAATATCTTAGCCCAACTCTGGAGTCGACAGGGCCACTCCAAACAGAGTGGAGAGGAGCCCCGATTGAGGCTACGGACGCGGCTTTCCGCTAGTCTTCTGCACGATCAACTCTGGTCTTGGAGAGAGAGCTTCGGCGGTCAAGTCTCTGCCTCTCACACTCCGCCCGCTGGTATGTGGTTCGGTTTTTCTTCTCCTCCATGTGGCTAATCTGAATTTGTGGGCAGATAATATCGGGCCTCAGTCTATGACTACACTTCCTGATGGAGGTTTAATTGTGCCAACGCCGGAGGAGGGACACGTGGATCGGCTCACATTTGAAGAAGTCTTCGATACCGAGATGCTATCCTTGCTTCCCTTTGACCTCGAGGCGGATGCCTCTTTGAACCCATTGACTTCGTTTACCGAGGGAGTCCCTTCCCCATCAAAGGTTCTTTAGTAACCATGAAAATTGATTCCTGTTTTATTGTCAAATGCCTTGAACCCCCAAGGTTAAGTCCTTCATCGGTTCAGTCTCAATATAGCCACAGCGACAGAGTAATCTGAAGGTCCTTTGGGTCTCGCTACCTTAGGTTCGTGTTACCGATCCCACCCACTTGGTACAGCCGTTGCGGTTGTTAGGACTTGGATTTTAATACGGATGCATCTGCTTCCAATTGCTTCGGATGGCTCGCGGGTCTTGACTGATTAGTGCACTACGGAGTATTATCAAGGGATTACCTGGCCTCTATACGGATTTTAAATATGGCCAGAGCACCGTGATTATTACCTTTCGATCACCCCGCCGATGCAGCTAACGGTATCCCGAACGCAACCGATGGACTGTCCTCCTATTCGATTGATATATTCCACTCTTGCTGATTCGATGCACCAATGTATTCCATCCGCATTACACACCCTATTATCGGCATCTTTGCTGATCGAAACCTAGCAGTTTCATTGCGTTTCGGCTTATATAGCTGTCTTGGGTTTGACGCCACGGTCACATCCACCCTGAGCCGGTTAAAAAGACCCTAGTCATGATATACACCCTTTCTTTCATAAAGCCAATCACTTCCTCCTTGGTCTTGATGTATGTGCACATTCCTGACCAAGTTACTGCTTTAAAAGCCTAAGAATGTGCCAGCTCGAACACCGCTGGTACCACCACGGTCGATAACCTGACCACTGGCAGGTCTGTGAATCATGCGTTTAATGGGGGGTGTCAATGTCGATCTGTACGAGTACAACGCTGAATGGATTGTCGAGGACTTTGAGTCAAACAACTTTAGACCTTTTGGAGCAACACTCATGGACATCAAACAAAACAACCAGGTCCTAACCTCGTCTTCGGCTTCTAGTAGCAGCGTCTTTGTCAGTTACATTTAATAACTGGCAACGGCAAAAATGCAGTATCATTAGCAGAGTCAAATTTCTACTACATGGCCTGTCCTATACCCTTTCAAGGCAGTGGTCCTGAGTACCGATTCCACTTTATGCCTGATGTCAGCGTCCATGGATCGGCCTGCACTGAGAGATCCTATAATCAAGTCTGGTTTCCTTTCCAAACAAAGAATTATAAAAACTCTCAAGCTCTTGATTTCTTGGTTGGAAAGGCGGCAGCAGCCATGGACTCACCACCCTAGTCAATACGCAGCCATATGCAGTATGCCCTCACAAAAGAACAGGTGCTCACGGTGCACCTACGTTGCTTAGACCAAGAGACTCGGGAGGTACAAGTCGCCTTGTCATCCAAACAAAAACTCACCATCCCTGTTCTCCCGTCGACATCAATTCAAGAAGCAGCAATCCCGATACCGGCCTGCCAAATGATATGCAGAACCCCAACATAGACACTGTCCCTGTATCTCCAGGACTCTAAGATATTTAGTCCCTCCACGGTATCCTCCCGTGGGGCTTTTGTCACGCTGTTCCCCAGTCACCTTTCATCGCCATGGCACCTTGGGGGCTCCTGGCCTGGGCCACATTCAGTTGTTCTTGGGCTATCTCTTTGGATGAAATCGATTATTCTCCGGAAGATATTATCACTCGGGATGTCGCAATTGTGGGTGGTGGTGCAAGTGGCACCTACGCTGCTGTCCGACTCCAGCAGGACTTGAGGAAGTCTGTCGTGGTAGTAGAACGAAAGAATGTCTTAGGAGGGCACACAGAGACATACCACGATCCTGTCACCGGCTCGATCATTGATATCGGCGTGTTGGCCTTTCATGATCTTCCTATTGTGCATGATTTCTTCGATCGTTTTGATATTCCACTGGACAAACTGACATTCAACTTGGCTGGCCTTGAACGAGTAGACTTTCGAACAGGAAATCCAGTGACTGTCTTTATTGACCCCAATGAGACCCAGTTGGCCTTGTCACGATGGGCTGCTCATCTGGCTCGATTCCCGACATTAAACGACGGGTTCGTGTTTCCATTCCCCGTCCCAGACGACCTACTGCTCTCATTCCGCGAATTCGTGGCAAAATACAACCTCGCCGCCATCGTGTCTTCAATCTGGTCAGTTGCTCAAGGGTATGGAGACATATTGAGTTTGCCCACCCTTTATGTGTTGAAAATCTTTGGCCCGCATATCCTTCACAGCCTGTCCACTGGTTTCTTCAGCACCCGTCGGCAAAATAACCATCAAGTCTACGAGAAGGCTCTGCAATCTCTGGGAGAAGATACCAATGTTTTTCTCAACAGCGTGATTGTTTCCATGGCTCGGGATCTTCCGGGCTCCTTTGCGCGGGCGGTAGTCAGGACACCGTCTGGATACAAGTTGTTGCGTGCAAAACAATTTCTTTTCACCCTTCCCCCAAAGCTCGATCATCTATCCGGGTTTGATCTTGACGGGGAGGAAATCAATCTTTTTTCCCAATTTTCCAGTATCGACTATTACACTGGGCTGCTTCGGGACTGTCCTGTCCCCCCAAACATTTCATTGTCGAACATGGTAGCGGATCCATCTACTTTCTACCTACCACGACTTCCAACCTGCTATACTCTGGGACTTATCCAGAGTTCTTCCAACCTGACCAATGTGAAATTCAGCAGTAACATCACAACAATGGGTGTTGGAGAGGTACGAGCGCAAATCACTGCCGAGGCAAGAACGGTGGTCGCCGGAAGCAGACCATCGTTGGCCGTGTTGTCAAATCATGGGCCATTTGGATTGCAGGTCTCAGCAAATGCGATCCGACATGGTTTCTATCAAAAGCTTAATCGGCTCCAGGGGCGTCGGCGCTCTTTCTGGACCGGTGCCGCTTGGCATGTTCATGATAGCGCACTGTTGTGGAACTTCACGGAGGGCATTCTGACACACATGCAATTATCAGACTGCCCATAGCGATTTCAAACTCTGTTCTTATTCCATTCTTTTTCGAGACGGTAGCCAAAGCCGTTGCCAAGGTGGATGAATTCGGGATTTATAACGCCGATTCTGGGCATGGAACATGATATCTGGGCCGCAGTCTCACTATTTCCTTCCTTGTTTCTTTTACTGTGGCTGGATTGATTTCTGCAGATTTGTGAAGTATGGAGCAGTTTTGGCTAGAGGAGAAACGACAAAAGTCCGTCCGCGTTGGGCAACTATAGAGCATTGTATTGCACTAGTTCACAGAAAAGCCTTCGAAGAGGGATAAGTTGCGGAAAGATAAATACTATTTCGGGACCAAGCATTTATGGCCGCCCTACTTGAGCGTAATACCTATTTTGTTCATTTTCCAAGTGTCCAGAGAAAAGAATCGCGCGGCCTGGGTCGTTGGGCATGTTCAACCCATAGAAGCGCCAGAGAGCATCCTGCACCACATCATAGCACGCCCCATACCGCAAAAGCTGGATATTTTTGAAATCAAACATTGTCGATGAGGGACGTGGGTGGTTAAACTTTGCCTTCCCATAGTCGACAATAATATCTGCCACGTCTCGGATCTCAGGCTCGATGTCCTCCACAAGAGTCTTTGTCCCTCTTCCAGTCAAGTTGGCCGAGGAGCCCATCAGGGGGAGCTCTTCCTCCATGGCCAGTCGGGACAGCTCATCCTGGAATGCACCGCCATTCACTAGCATTGCTAGTGTACCTTCGACGGAGCTTCGGGCCAACGTCTCAGGTGGGAGTTTCTGCATGATCGGATGGTCAAGGCGACAGGGCGCAACTACTCCGAGAGGAAGATCCAAATCCACTGCCAGAAGCCGGACCATGCCAGCCTCCCGCGCAGGGAGAACATGAAGAGCTTGGTGAAGGGCATAGCTCCCGATCATAGCGTGTCTTTTATGTGGTTGACGCTTTTTCGCGACGAATATACGTTGCAGGGCGCCTGTGTCAATAGCAACGACCCCATAGCCAACACTTGCCGGTATTATAGCAATTCCCCCTTTCTTCAAAACCTCAAAGACCCTTCCTGCATCGTCCTGGGGGTGAATCACCTGGGGGGCCATTTATTGTTCCCGTAGATGGAAGAGTATCGTAGGGAAAGGCCTGGATTACACCGAGTCCACAGATCCTATTAAATAGTCCCTGGATTTGACGCTATTATCAACAAAGGAATATCCTCCGGGGCGTTGGGGTCATGGACTATTGAGCAAAAAGTGTATGAATGCACTAGAACCCTGCCCACATTCGCGATTTCAATTAGACCATCTCTTGTACGCTGCGTCGGGCCTCATCCCACAGTCCATAAATAATGCTGGCTTTAATCAAGGCCAGAAGAAGATTCAAGTATTTGGAAATGATGTTCGTTCAGGGCAGCCAGTGAAAAAATGACCCGTTCATTCCATCTTGACTAGAACAGAATTCGACTGAAATGCCCCGCGCTTTGCCCCTCCAAGTTCCTGCCGCTGGGATGCGTTTACATCGGCCAGTGGGCTTTCCCATACAGCATGCCAGGTTCCTTGTGCGCGAACGGAGTATTCATGGCCAGGTTCAAGAGGCAACGGGGGTAGATTGACCACGATATTCAAGGTATGCTGGGCAGGGATCTCCACCAAGTCTTCCACCGAAGCAGGCAGCTTGCGGGATATCTTGATCGTGTCCATTGGTAAATCCTGTCCGTTTGTTGTGTCGCACACCCCGAAAACCCCCAAAACCCCCGCACGAGGGTCTAATGGTGTGCCCCATCGGAGGACAGTGACGGGAGAAGGCGCGGCATTGTGAATGGACACTTGGACCGGTACTGCCAACGGTTGCGATGTCTGCATTATGGAGAGGGAAGCGAGACTGACTTGCAGACCCACGCTCAAGTTCATTCTGATAAACCGACGAGAGAGACGATATGAGGTTTCGGGTGTTGAGAGAACAATCAACACACGGGAAGCAATTCGGAGCAAGGCCATTCATCCGGTGCCGATATATATTCTGGCTACACCAATAAACACTCTGCCTTTTGAGCCAAGCTGGATGGATCAGTCAAATCTTGTCTGGTTCCCCGAGGCGTGTCACCCTGTCCCCGTCAACCCCCTAATCTGCTAATCTCCAACCGCTGCCAAATAAACCTGACTCGTAACAGTAAAAACCAAGCAATTTTATCTGCAGTCAAGACTCGGGCAAGTCTTGGGTTGTAATCTTGGCGCCGGAGTCCGGCCGCCATCCAGGGTCTTAGGGCTTGGCACAATCACTGATATCGCAAGCACATCCATGCCCAGGTGCCACCAAGGCCTCGTGCAATATCAACTACCAGACTTCTTTCGGTGCCTGAGCCACTATATCTTCCGAGGCAATAACCCCGTGAGATCTGGCCTAGAAATGAGGGTCATGTGTTGCTCACGTTTCCCCGGCTTATCTCGCCCTGATCCCGTTACATTGGCTGGTCTTAGTTTTTCTCGAATCTCGATATCAAGCAGGTTGGACAAGCCACATCGTTGGAGATTCGGAAATTCGAACAACCGCCGGCCAGCATTTGCAGACGTTACGGGCTTCCGCCGGGCCAAGGCAATGAATGGTACCGACATGTTCGCGACAGTCTTGAGTATGCCAGGGCCCTCGGAGTATCTGTGGCCAGTTACAAGATACCACCGGGGCTTCATTTCCCCGGGAACGGGTGAGGCATGGATGTGATCACTGTGGCTTCGTGCAGAAAAGATACCACCTTCTCTCTTCAGTCATCCTGATTGACGATCACCGTCGGGGGTGAGGAGTATCAGAGGGACGGGAGATATCACTGAGGGCATCACCATTGACAGCCTGAAGAGGTATAAAGTTGGATTGGTTTCCCCAAGATTCGGAATTTTCCAATCTTTAAAGTCCTCAAGCAGTCCTCAAGCAACCCGGAACTGTGACACATTCCTCAAAAACGATCTACTCAATTGCCAATCGGTCATCATGCGTTTCGCGGCCTTTTCCACGGTGCTCATTGCCCTCGCACAAAACGCGTGCGCCTTGCCGGTTGAGGCTGACAAGGCACCTGGGCTCGATGTTACCCTGAGCCAGGTGAGCGACACGCGGATCAAAGCCGTGGTCAAGAACAACGGCCGCAAGGACGTCACATTTGTGCACCTCAATTTCTTCCGGGATGCCGCTCCCGTCAAGAAGGTCGCCGTTTACAAAGATGGTATGGTGCAAGTCCTCAGCACGTCGTTGTTCACTGCTAACCCGAAGTGCAGAGGAGGAGGTGACGTTCGATGGTATCAAGCGTCGCTTCAAGATGCAGGACCTTACCTCGGAATCCCTTACGTCGCTGGCCGTCGGGGAGACCTTGGAGGATGAGTTCGACATTGCCTCGACGAGCGACCTGTCCAGCGGGGGTCCAGTGATCCTTCGCTCCAACGGTCTGGTGCCCCTGGTCAATGGCAGCGCTGTATCCGGATACTTGCCGTTCCGCTCCAATGAGCTCAAGATCGAAGTGGATGGGATCAAGGCATCCCAGGTCACCAAGGCTATCAAGCCCCTGAGTCGCCGGACGAACGAGGCTTGCAGTAATTCGAGCCGCAAATCGGCTCTGGAGAAGGCCCTGAAGAACACGGTATCGCTGGCAAATGCCGCGGCGGAGGCGGCCCTTTCCGGCTCGTCCTCAAAGTTCAGCGAGTACTTCAAAACCACGTCGAGCTCGACCCGTCAGACGGTGGCCGCTCGATTGAAGGCCGTGGCAAAAGAAGCTGGCTCGACTGGCTCCGGGTCAACCAGCTACTATTGCACTGACACGTACGGGTACTGCGAGTCAAACGTCCTTGCGTACACGCTGCCGGCGCAGAACATCATTGCAAACTGTGACATCTACTACTCCTACTTGCCCGCTCTGGCGAGCTCCTGCCACGACCAGGACCAGGCCACCACGACCCTGCATGAATTCACTCACGCTCCGGGCGTGTACAGCCCTGGAACCGATGACTTGGGATACGGCTACTCGGCTGCCACGGCCCTCAGCAGTAGCCAGGCTGTGTTGAACGCGGACTCGTACGCTCTGTATGCTAACGGTAAGTTTCCCTAGTCCATTCCCGCGAGTATCAACAGTAGACTGATCAACCTGTAGCGATCAACCTTGGCTGCTGAAAGAACAGCGAACCTTCAAAAGCACACCTGTGGAGTACCTTCCAAAGAAATAGCGCGATGGACATGGTAGATCGTGAAACAATCAAGGTTAAATATGACCGGGGTTGCTTATATTTCTGGGTCGAGTAGTCGTAGTAGACCTGATATTGTTTGGCCGTATTTCTGCAAGTGAAGTCCGCTTATTTTCGCTTCATGACGTATATCCAGTGGAACACGTCCGGGGTATGAGTTGTAGAAGCGACGGGACCGGGAGGGGCCTTCAATGGGGTGCGGGAGCATAGTGTCCAGTATTCCATCAGGTAGGGCAAATTATCGAATCGGGTAGCCGAGTACGATAAAGCAATCCATGTGGTTCCCTTGCGGGTTAATGGAACGAGTTGTAAGGCCAACAGTTCTACCGGAGGCAAAGTAGCCGTCGTGGCTTTCGACAAAATTTCACGAACAGTGGGGCTGGTGCTAGAGAGGTCATCGGTAAAGGAAAAGATTTGGTCGCCAGCGGTGGCAATGGCGTCGCTAGTACTTTTGTCCAGAATCACATCAAAGGGTGCAAAGCGGTAGAGGGCAGAAACGTCATGCCACGAACGCAAGTCAATGCGTAGCCACGGCATCGCGTGATTGGGATTTCTCTGACTTTCAAATTCCTGGCCCAGGCGGACGGCCTCGGCGGAGAAGTCGACGTTCTGCAAAAACATAAGCTCGCTGAACCCAGGTGAAGAGATACGAAGCTTACCACGATCCCATTACCCAGCCATTGTCGGTTGACACAAGCGTCGCGCAACCTCCCTCCCAGTTGGGAAATACCCGGACCCAGATGTAACACGCGAGGGGGGTTGCGCGCGACCACCGCTGGGCGGCGCTCCAGCTCATGGAGGACAGCTTCCAGGAGCACTTCGCCAGAATTCAACCATTCACCCACATCCTGGCCGGTGGCAAATCGAACATCCCAGAATTCGGCATTGTCGTAGTCAGGAGCGCCGGTGAATTTAGCGTGTGTTCTGTCCGGTGCCATTCTCGGCGGAGGGAGAAAATGACTGTGCACCCTTGCCGTTGAGCCGCGGGCACCGTTGATGTCACATGACTTGTACTGGTGGAATGACTTGAGTAGAATCTATGTGAATGAAGTCTTTGATTTTATTTTATTATGGCTCATTTTGCATATTTTAAAGACTTTCATTTGTCCAGGTACTTCTGCGCGCTCAAAATAGGTAGGAAGATGTTGAAATATCGAGGAATATATAACGACAGTCTTGAAGTATAAATATATGACTTTTGGTTGCGCTTTGGGTGGATTTCTTGCTAGCGAAATACTTGTCGGATATAAACCAGATGAGAAGACAAGAAAAGAATTTAGAGCTATATCAACAAAATAAGAAACTGGCTAGTTTTACCCCAGCCTAACGTGCCATCCATACATAGTTGGTTGGGTGAACGCTGCCAAAAGTAATGAACAAATTACAAAACAAGACAAAAATATAGAATGACTTTATCAAGGTAGAGGTAATTCGACAATCAATACTCAAGAGGAGTCCTGTGAAGGTACTTGTTCATAGTTGACCTAACCCCCATGAAACTGTTGATCGCTTCCATGCAATCGCAGTAAAGTCATCGCAATTGCTATTGAGATGGTCACACAACACTTGGCTCAGCAGGAATCAACCCAATAAGATCCAGACAAAACGCCCCGAAATTGACCAGGCCATAAAACAGCATGGGCACGATACCAAAGAAAAGATTACCGATGATACCCCGACGAAGGATGGTCTCAGCGAGCTCAGTTCGAGTGATTTCGGGGGCGACAGAGGCCTCAAATGGACCGACCAGCCGATAGAAAGTCACAAATGCTGCGCCAAAACAATAAGTCAAAAGAATGCGCAACCCATGTCGGCGATACAGCTCAACCAACCCCGGGGCCCCGCCAAAGTCCCGGGCAAGGGTACTCATATAAGCGCTATGATCGACGCCATACTGAATACGAGAGCTTTGGGCAGCAAGTAGATGATAATGTGGAGGATCGCGGGGGATGGCCATGCGGCCTGTGATGAGGGCCGTCCACCACATTGCTTGCTGTTCAGCAATCGGAGGAATCGCTCCCACACCTGGCCGAACGAACCCAATAAACGCAATATCCGAGTGAGATGGATGGATGATATTCCGGATCGTGGCGTCGGATGCAGTAGGATATGAGGTATCGAGGTAGGGGAATGTTTGCCGGTAGCTGGTGAGGGTTAGCATGGCAGGGCAAAAAAAGAAAAGAAAAGAAAAGAAATCCTTACCCAGTACAGTAGACAACACAGTTTGGTCGGATGTCTTTGTTTCTCAGTCTTTGCCAATCCTTGCGGCTTGGATTCGGCTGAAAGAGTACTTTTCCCGTGTTGTCGATGGACTGCGGCCAAGTGCATGTATCAACCGCTCGTTCCGAGTTGGCGTCTTCTGGTGGGTCGATATATCGGTTCCCAATCCAGGCAAGGAACGGATTATGCTTTTGGTAGGGGCGGTTGAGATATGGCATTGCTTTGTTGCTCTTGTTGAGGAACACATAGGCTCTTCCCAGCCGCTCCTTGGGCAGCGCCCCGATATGCTGGTTCATCCCGGCCTGGGTTCCTGTCAGAAACCACAGCACCCGTTTAATGACAAAGTCGGAGATAAACCAGCGCAGCCGGCTGTGAGCCACTGCTCGATGCACGTATGCGGTCTCAAATAGATTCGTGATCAGGCCATCGATGGGAAGGCCTCCACTGAAAGTTCTCCCAAGCACCTGGAATCGACTGAGCTGCTTGGGGAAAGAGAGAAAGCCCGTACGAAAACACATGGTGACCGACTCTGCGTTGGCCTTGATGGATTCGTATGCGATGTCTAGAACAGAGGACATCAGCCTCGGATTCCCCGAGGAGTCGGCATCCAAACTCACCCATCGCGGTCTCGCCACACCCTAAGATGAGAACTCGGCGACCGGCCACTTGATCCCGGCCTTTGTAAAGGGCAGAATGGAACACATCTCCTTGGACATTCTCAATTCCTGGAATGGAAGCAATGTTGGGCTGGACATGCAACCCGGTACAAACTGCGATATGCGAACAGTCGAATACATGCTCCTGTTCTTGTTCTTGTCCAGGACGGCTGCGGTCGAGATAACGAACTCGATGCGTCCAGCCGGGGTCACCATGGAGCGGAGAGACGTTGAGTACGGGGCAATGGAGCTTGATGAATGGGCCCAGTTCAAAGCGGGTCACATACGACCGGAGATAATCGACATATTCTGGCAGAGATATATGGTCTGGGGTGTCGAGAGGCAAGCGATGATCCGAGAAAGTGGTGAGCTGCTTGCTACTCACCAAGTCTGCATTTTCATAGGAGCGGTAATGAAATGTGCCCCCGATGCCATCTTCTCTGTGAGCCACTGTGAGTGGATGAGCCGATACTGAATAGAGTAGAGGAGGGGCATACGCTTCAAACAAGCATGCTTCGATTGGATTTGCTGAGGTTGACGCTGCTAATAGCGTCTTCAACGTGGCCAAGCCTCCGGGGCTGCATGGGACGGGGGGATCAGTATCTAGGGTTTCTAGGGTCGCGGGCAGGGTTAGGGCTCACCCAGCACCAATAATGGCCACTTTGATAGTCATGGGGGAGGTGTTCGAGTCAAGAGAAGATCGAATATCATGGATGGAAGAATAGCTGACCTGAACCTCCGGTCCCCGCGGGATGACGCAAGATCTCAAGATCTGCCACAACACGTTTTTTGTTAACCGACGCCATTCTCTGTGAATAAACGGTCTATCTCGAGGATTGATGCTGTCTTCAGAGTCATCAATCGCCGATTAATCTTTGAATTTGTCGAACAAAAAGCAGATGTGTCCACGAAGAGTTTCCCTCTGGTCTATCACTACTGGAACGATTGAATCCATCGCTTCTGTTGAATGCCGAAGGGCCTGGTGGTAACGTGGTGGACAATTCAAGTCATATTTTTATTATTTGTGATGCTTCCTGATGTTCCTGTCGGGGAGACAGCGAGGGAGCTCGTATGGAGCATGGGCCAGGCTATCCAAAGCGTTGACGGGGTATCTGATTCACCAGAAGCCATCGAGTCCCCCATTTGATCGGTTGGGCATGACGGTAACACCATCAAACCCGTACGAATGTCCGATTCCACACGAGACAACTTTGCCAATGAGACGCGCCTTTAAACGGCGAGCAACGCCATAGAGTCGGGGTATTGTGGTGTCGCCCGCTCTAAGATCCACATCGGTCACACCGAGGATAGAATCATGACGAAACACGGTGTCTATTGGCAACGACAGCCGCGTCGACGTGGAGCGGAGTGGATATTCGGGCAGCGTAACTGCAACAATGTTCCCTCGGGCGCAGGCGGCTGAGCGAGGGGTTGAGCGCGATATCCATGGATGCTTTGTACTTTCGTACCGTAGTCGAGTGATTTTGTCTTGTGTCTTCTCCATTGCATCTCGTGCGATGGCTACTTCCACTCCAAACCGATCGGGCTAGTGCAAGCGCCCGGTTCCTACGCTTTGCAGCACCGGACTCCATCGTGCATGAGCACCATGCAATCCGCCGCACTTTCTCCTTGTGATCTGATATATCCAGCAGATGCAGTTGATCGAGGTTCGAAGGTAGGAAGGATTGAGCCCCGCAACATGCCGGATGCCTCGAGCCTGAGTTCCGGTGCAAGCCAGTGGGGCAACGAAACGGTGCGCGCAGTAATCAGAGGCCAGAGAGAGGCATCCATTGGATTAGGTGCGATGGGCGCTGAGCTGGAAGATGGGCCCCCTCTCGTGGGGAGGGGGGTTATACCCACACCCCACTCCAGTGACTCCCGTCAGGCCAGTCATCCCTAACACACTCCCCTCTCTCAGCGTACTTTTGTGGGCGCCAAGGGGGCCCCAAAAGAGCTTCCCGCAACTCGGATCCACCTCGACATGACAGCTATTGGATACGGAAATGCATTTGGGTGGATGATCACCGAATGGTCCCCGATGGATGTTTCCCTTGCGTCTCCATCATTCGAGGGCCCGGTCCTTCGCGGGATGCGGGAATGAGCCCGGTAGCCATGTTGGCCCAATAGAACTGAAGCCTCCACGGTCCATGCGAAGAGAGAAGGGAAATAATCAAGGAAAAGAATAAAAATAAAAATAAAAAACTAGGGGCGGGGCGCGCCGTTCAGAAAGAAAAAAAAAAGCAAAGAGAGGAAAAGAAGGACGCCATCGCGGGCCCAGCGATTATTAAATTCCACCTTAGCTTCGACCTCATTCCTTTCTCCTCCCCCATCCTTTTTCCTCTCTCTCACCACCCAACTCCCTTCCTTCCTTCCCACCATGGCCGACCAGCCTATTGCCGTGGTATGTGCGCTAATATTATCCCTGGATTTCTTTTCTCTAACCTTGGCCTTTGCCAGGATCCGGACTTGTATGCAGCCGACAGCACCTACAATCCCGATGATTGGCAATCGTATGTGACTTGCTCGATATGAAAGTCCCGGGGTCGATTTTAACTCGAGTTTAGGGAAACCACTTCCATCGGGTCCTCGATCTATCGTGGCTTGATGGATAATGGCCGTCGGTAGGACCACCTCTTCGCGACTCCTCCCCGGAAATCATTGCGAATATGACAGCTCATGACGAGACCCACAGCTACCAATCCCTCCGCAACAAAGAATACATGTGAGTCGCGCGCTGGCCACACACCGGATTCACAAGTCTCATTCCCACTGCAGTCTTCCATCGGATGAACAAATGTTCGAGACGTACGAGGCCGGGTAGGTTCCCTGTTTTGTCTCTGGGTCTGGAAGTGCCGCGTTTTCTCATCCGCCCGTCAGTCACCTCGTCGATCTTATCATGGACTCGCACCGAGACAATCCGCTATTTCGTTCGCCAGTTGGGGACGACCCACAACACATTCTGGACATTGGGACGGGCAAGGGCACCTGGGCCATGTACGTGAAGGATGATTTCGGATTGCTTGGGTGGAAACAACTTGGCTAATCTATCCCCTAGCGATGTCGCCGACATGTTCCCCGGTGGTAAGGCCTTTTATTCTTTGATGTTATGTGTACCCTGCACTAACTCCAGCCTGCAGCGACCGTCCGCGGTGTGGACCTCTTCCCGCCTCCCGTCACTTGGATGCCCCCGAACTGTGTGATTGAGGTCGACGATGTGCTTCAGGAGTGGACATGGCGCGAACCGTTTGATCTCATTCATATGCGCAATATGATCGGAGCATTTGATTTCAAAGAGTGGGACCGTCTCTACAGGGAGTGTTACGAGTAAGTGCACGTGTGGTGGTGGCATGGGGATTTGTGTCTGACCCACCTCCCAGCAAACTGCGACCGGGTGGATGGATTGAACAGCTGGAGGTCGGTCCATTTGTTCGGAGTGACGATGGAAGTCTGCCACCCGACTCGGCTCTGGCAAGCTGGGCAACCATCGTGCAGCAATGCGGAGAACGTGCAGGCCGACCCTGCGACATCGTGAATAGCCTGCCGACTAGTATCCGAAAGGCGGGCTTCGTGGATGTGCATGAGAAGACTTACAAGTGGCCGATCGGCCCGTGGCCCAAGGATCAGAAGTACAAGGAGGCCGGCACGGTCAACATTCAACATTGGCTGTCGGGCATGGAAGGATGGTGCATGTGGCTCCTGACCAAATACGGATCTCCAGAGCCGTGGACGAAGGATGAAGTCCATGTGTATGTGGCCAACTTGCGCAAGGATCTCAAGAACCCTCACTACCATCCTTACCACAAGGCGTAAGTTCTGGATTTCTCGAACCCCTCGACATCCGTCGCACTCACTTAACTAACTGCCGCAGCCGACGAGTGTGGGCACGCAAGCCGATGCCTGGTGAAGTGGTTGGTGGCCCATCGCCGTCCTCAATCATCTCCTGATGACTCCGACGTCCTCATTCCTTGGAGAATGGAAAAAAAAAAAATTGACGCCCCCAAGGCCCTCTGTCTTCCTTCCGGCCGATTCTCCCGGCGAGGATGGTCTTTGTATCCATGTACATATCATGCCCGTCACGACTTGCTGCTTCGCCGCGGTGCGTTGTCCTATATGGGGCTTGGAACTGCTCCGCAATTGGTTGTGTGTGGATTGTATACCCCGGGGTTCCATTGAAGCGTATCATCTCACTGTTATTCGATTCCAGCCGAACACGTAAATAACAATAGCTATAATGTCTTGTCTGACACTAATTTATTGGGATTTTGTCGCCTGATGGCCCCAAACTTCCATTTAATCCGTCGATCGCCAAATCCATCTATGCGGCATATTGACGTCGGTGATTGGTTCATCGCTGTAGATGTTGGGCCCTGACATCACGATCGCATTACATCAGGATCTCCCAAGGGATAAAATCGGTAGGAAGGGCATGAAGGACATCCTGGATGCGGTGTTCACTCACATACATTACAATGCCCGAAACACGGAAAAAGAGGGTCGCCGTCATCGGAGCTGGCGCAGCAGGCATGGTAGGAGCTTCTTGGGACGTTCATAAATCCTGATACTGAATCCCACCGCAGTCCTGTGCCTCAACCCTGGCAAACCATCCTCACATGTTTGAAGTGGCATTAATCGACACCGAATCCCATGCCGGTGGCCAGGCTACCTCAATTTCATTAGATGACTCGCAATATGGGGCCAGTTGGCTGAACGACGGCGTGCAAGGCGGCTCCGCAATCTTTCGACACACTTTTCGATTCTTTCGCCAGTATGGCTATGAGCCACAGCCCGTGAAACTCCAGGTTTCTTTCGGCAAAGGCCACGACAGTTTCTGGACCAATGTCTTTCCCAGCCCGTTGGTCGACCAGCTCTCGGGGGAGATCAAGAAACTCGGTCGTGTTCTCAAGTGCATCAAATACCTCATGCCCATCCTCGGCATTCTACCAGTCAAAGTGACCCTACGACTCTTCCGCTTCAGCGACGACTTCAATAAAAAAATGGTTCTACCGCTGTTGGCCTTGTTCTTGGGCACTGGCAACCAGACTCCCAACGTGCCAAGCGTGTTGCTGGAGCGGCTTTTTGACGACCCTCAGATGAGCCTCTGGGAATACGACCCGGATACGCTGCTACCCAACCTCCCAACAATGTTCACATTTCCAAACCTGGGCAGCTTTTATCAAGACTGGGCAGCGGATCTACGCTCCAAAAGGATCGACCTCCGGATGAATTGCACAACCTCTATCCTAGAGCGAGGCAAAAAAGGCGTGGTGTTGCAGACTCAGGCGCATCGCGAAGATGATCTCTCCCAAGAGGAACCATTGACCGAGGTCTTCGACGAACTCGTACTTTGCTGCCCGGCGGATGAGGCCAAGAAGCTCCTTGGTCGGCACGCCACCTGGCGGGAGAAGTATGTTCTAGGGGGCGTCAAATTTTACAACGATATTACCATCACGCACTCCGACTCTGAGTACTTTCAGCGAATCTTTGAAGTGCAATATACCCCACATCTGTGCGCTCAACCGACATCTCAGGACCGAAAGGACCAGATCGCGTTTGCAGAGCAGTCGCCCGAGATTCGAAAGGACGGCTGGCTGGGGTTCCAGCCCATGTACTATACGCACTCATTTCACTCAGACCCGGACAAGATTGAGATGGGGTTTGATTGTACAAACTACCAGCACCAGTTCCGAGAGCGACTGGGCGAGGGAAAACCCGCTTTGCCACAAGACCAGCATGTATTTCAGACTATTTTCCTGAATGATCAGCATCAGGATCTGTGGACTTGGACCGATATTGACTCTACCAAAATCATCGGCCGGAAATGGTGGCACCAATTTGGCCATCGGTGGCAGCACTACCTCCGGGTTGTACCCGGGATGATGCTGATCAATGGCACGAATCACACATTGTATGCAGGAAGCTGGACGATGGTGGTAAGTGAACCTTTTCCCTTTTATCTTTTTTTTTTCTTCCCAGTAGTCATACTTAATGGGCTCGCAGAATATGCACGAAATCGCCTGCATCTCCGGGATTGCAGCAGCATACCAGCTCGGCGCCACATATGAGCCCTTCGATGACTTTGCCGAAGACTTCTTTGCCAAATACCTGCTGATATGCCATGGCACGCGATACAAGAGACAAAAAGAGAAAGATACATAGCCAAGAAATATATTCACGCGATCCCCGTCAAAGTACATATCGGAAGCTTTCTATCTCATGGTCGGTCTTGTTGGATAGCTCGTCTTGTAATTCTTCCGCCTCGGTCAATTGCCTGGGTGATCCATACACTTGGTCTCGTCGATGGTTTTCCCCTGTGTAGAAGATGTAGAGGCAGATCAAGAAAAAAACCCCAAAAACCAAGCCTGACATGGCAGCTTTGATGCCGGTCTGTCGAGTGTCAGTATCAACTCCATTCTCCCAAAGGGAAAAGCAAAAAGAAGAAGGCACCAACCGGATACTCAGGTTCCTCCGATGGTATGAAGAACTGCGGGCCAACAATGTTCCCTATACAGTAGGCGACAAACATGAGTGCACTAACGGTGCTTTTCTTCGTGAAGCCGGCGACGTTTGAGCTGATCAGGCTGAGCGACAGCGGAATATTGACAGCGAAAACTGCTCCCAGACACAGACCTGTCATCTTGCCCGCTCGGTTTCCCTCCCCCAGCCTCCAGATCATAATCATGCCGATCATGGATACAGTCGTGTTCAGGATCATCATGATAATTCGGGTCGAGCGCACGAGAGTAGCGAAACCAGAGGTGAAAACGAGAAAGACAACCTGTGCCACTCCGATAGGCATCTGGATCAAAAGGGCCTTGAGCTTGGGGAACCCAAAGCCACGAATAATGATGGAGGAGAAACTGGTAATACCACCATTGCAGAGGTTCACGCAAAACATGTACAACACAAGGAACCATGTCTGAGGGTCCTTGATTGCCATCAGGACCTGGCTCCATTTGAACTTGCCCGCGTCCATAACGCCGGTCTTATTCTTGAGGGTTCGGCGCAGTGCAATTGCCTTCTCGGCTTTGTTGAAGAAAATCGTCTTGACCGGTGAGTCGGGGAGGAGTGCACCAAGAACAATTCCATAGCCAGCAGTGATCGACCCAAGGATGAGGAACAACAGCTGCCAGCCACTGAGCGCGCTACCATGGATCTCGCCGATTCCATACGCGACCATTCCCCCGACAACACTTGCGATGGAGTTGCCAAAGAACCAGGCTGCTTGTCGCGCAGGCTGCTCTTCTCTTTTGTAGAACATACCTGTGATGATAGCAAATCCAGGAGCGATGGATGCCTCTCCTATCCCCAAGAAAAACCGGGCCACCATAAGCCCACTGAATGAAGTACAGGCGGCATGGCACATAAGAATGCCACCCCATAAGAAGACCGCTAGACTCAGGTACTTGCCCAGGGGAAGTCGAACAATGAGATAAGAGCTGGGCCAGCTCCAAGTAAAATATCCAAAGTAGAATATGGCCGATGCCCAGTTATATTGGTTGTCTTTCAGGCCCTACCAAATCCCATTTTTGGTCAGCATTCGTTGCTCACAGAGAGACGTGTCTGTGGGTGAGGGATTAATACCATCTCTTCTCGAAGATCAAAGAGAGTTGCTTGGCTGAGGGCTAGTTTGTCCATATACTGTAACATGTAGCATATTGCCATGAGAGGGATCAGGCTGGTGCACATGTTAGACATGGGTCTTTTTCACAAAGTTCGGGAGAGCTCACAGCAGGTCGAGCTTCCAAAGAACCCTCTTCTCAACCTTTGGAATGGATTCAACATCCAGTACTTGGCCAACATCCACATCACGAGCGGCGGGGTTGGTGTCGACTTTCAGTTTGTCGAAATCGGGTACATGAGCACCCGGAGGCGGCGGTTTTTCCATCTTCCCAAAAAGAAAAAGGAAAAAAAAAAGGATGGCAATTCAATTGAAACCTTGGATGAAAGTTTGATTTAAAAGGGACGGACGTTTATGTTAAGCGACGATGAATAATTCAGACACTCGTCAACGTCGTTCGGTGCATCCGGGGCTTCCTAAAACGGCCAGATATATGACTTCTGCAACTTTACGGGCCCACATCCCGGACCAAGTGTGGTGGCGATAAGCGGATCCTCAGGGAATTCGATATCAGAATTGACGTCTCGATCATCGCTATCGCCGGGGTTTCTATACGGTAATGGCTGTTCATGCAACACGGCACTGCGGAATTCGTGCGATACCACACGCCAGTAGAGGCCAAAGTGGCTTGCTCGGCAATCAAAATTGCTCTTGAGCTTCTCAGATTGCCGAAACTCACATCCAACATGCGTCCATCACTCGTCGTTAAGGTTGAAGTTCGATATCAATTTTCCTGGGGCCGAAGATTAGGGCTTCGCGTCGGCAGTCCAGCCAATGCGGGCATCGCATCGGCAACCCGCATCCTGTCGGCAATCCATTTGGCTATCAAACGCGCAGCTTGATCACGATTATCAACCCCATGGTGACCATAGGGTGTCTTGTGCATTATACCCCACAGGTTCCGATGGCGCGGAGAGCCCCACTGGTTGCCGATTCATGGGCTCACAAGTCCCGGAATGATAAATCTCGTCATTCCGCTATCAAAGGCCCCCCCCCCTGGTGGACCGTCGGCAATTTTCACGCGAGGCTGATGGACAATGTTTTGCCAATGTAGGATCAAAGCGGGTGCCTCGGATCTGCCCCAGCTTGATAGTCTTGACAATAAATATACTGGGCCATCCACAAAAGACCACTCGTAGTCATACAATAACCTCTTTTTCAAATCATCGCCAGAACACAAATAAACATGACCCTGTCCACGGTGGATATTAGTGACGTGCAAGCGACGATAGATGCTGCGCTGGACTCGCTGAAGCAGACCTTGCGAGAAGTGAACCACAACGTATGAGCCCCGACACTTGACTACTGATCGCAACTCTCTTGGCTGATGCTTTTAAAAACCCCCAGATCTGGTCGAATCCCGAGCTCGCCTATCAGGAGCATCACGCCCATGATACAATTTGCGATTTTCTGGAGAAGCAGGGATTTGAAGTCACCCGCCATGCGTTCGGCATCGCCACATCATTTGAAGCCCGGAGCGGATCGGGCGGGCGGTTGATCAATTTCAACGCGGAATATGATGCTCTGCCTGGTATTGGACATGCTTGTGGGCATAACCTGATCGCCACCAGTAGTATCGCAGCTTTTCTGGGGTTGTCTTATATTTTGAAGAAATATGGCATCCCCGGACGCACGCAGCTACTAGGAACTCCAGCCGAGGAGAATGGAGGAGGCAAGGCCAAGCTTATTGATGCTGGGGCCTACGAGGGTGTCAATATTTCCCTCATGGCGTATGTTCCCGCTGCAGCTGTGTGGACATGAGAGGATCTTCTGACATTGATCAACAGCCATTCCGGACCCAAGAAACTCTTCCCGGGTCAGGAACCATCCGATGGGATTGCGGGGACATTAATGAATGCGCGCAAGAATATCCGCTGCGAGTTCACGGGTAAAAGCGCGCATGCAGGAGGCAATCCTTGGGAAGGCATCAACGCTCTCGACGCCTTGGTCTCGGCATATAACAATGTCGCCGTCCTAAGGCAACAACTGCTGCCAGATCAGCGCATTCACTGCGCCTTCATAGACACCCCGAAAGTCGCCAATGTGATCCCGGCGTATACCAGTGCCTTTTGGCAAGTCCGGAGTCCCACACTCACAGGGCTCAATAGGCTGCTGGCCAAGGTGTGCAATTGTATTGAGGCTGGCGCGCTGGCGACCGGATGCCAGGTGAAAATCGATGAGTATGTAGACCGGATTGGCCCATAGAGGAGAAAGACTGACATAAATTGTTCCGCAGGGAGGAGCTGTACACAGATGTCCGGTTAAACGACACTCTTTGCAAGCGCTACCAAGTGCACATGGGCCGGTATGGGCGGAAAGTCCTTCAACGCCATGAAAAGGTCATGACAGGATCGTCGGACATTGGTAGGTCCTCTCCTCCATAGTGCTAGTCAGGCCTGCATTGACCGAGTCTCCAATGCACAGGAAATGTTAGCTATGTCACCCCCACTCTCCACACTATGTTTGGGATCCCAGCTCCAGAGAACTCATTCCCGCATCACCCTACATTTGCCGCTGCCGCCGGAACAGACGAAGCCCATACCGAGGCACTGATCGTGGGCAAGTCGCTAGCACTGATCGGATGGGACATGGTCACCAACGAGGAGATGTTGAAAACTGCACAGCGGCAATGGAAGGAAGAAATTGCGCGCGAGGATTAGTGTACAATAAAGAGAGAGACAGAGAGAAAAGCAGAAGCAGACGTAGATTCGAATGTGCCCCTCTGCCCCCGGTCCCCGTCATGTAAAACTCTGCCTCAGGCACTGACGATCGTCATGTCATCGGTGCTTCTCCGATTCTTCACTTGGAACTTCATCAGTTTCTTTCTCCCCTGACTTGACCCCCGCTCCCTGCTCCTCCGATGTCTGCAGACTGACCATCCAGTGGTGGGGGATTGAATCTCGATGTCCGGACGGAACGCCCCTCGCTCCAAGAATGGTAGGAGAACTCCCCATGGAGTTGATCTAAACCTTGGAATGCAGGATCCCGGCTGACTCGCAACCAAGGCTGCAGTACCTGTCGCCGACGCAAGGTGAAATGCGGCGAAGAGCGCCCTATCTGCAGCCGCTGCCAGAACCTGCATCTTAGCTGTGAGTGGGGGGTCCCCGTGAAACGTGGTCGGGGGTCGCAGGTCCGACAGCTCCAGCCTGCGCCGATCGCGCCCGACCAGCTGTGGTCGCAGCCGGAAATTGCGGATATCGTGGACCTCCAGCCAGATGCACTACTCATGGGGCTCTCCCCAGGTTCGTGGACAGGCGATGGACTTGTCGCGGAGGCTCCCCTGGTCGCACCCTTCTACCCGGTCGCGACGCCCCTCTACCCACCGCTAAGCGTCCCCGAAATTGCATGCGCAAACTCCCTATCCCTCACCGAAAATGACCAAAACTACTTCCAATATTTTCCGTCGTCGTCGATTGTGTTTTACTACATGAAGGGATGGCAATGGAGCAGTTTCTGCTATCTCTATCAAGGGCCAGCCGCCGCCAACAAAGTGATCATGCGGATGATTCTGGCCCTGTCGGCGACTGACATGTATCGCAATGGGTTGGCGGTACGCTCTCCTGGTCGGCCAACCGCGGAGGATCACGGGCGGTATCACTATAGCCTGGCCGTCAAGGAATTTCGGCAGTTGCTTGAGACACCGCGCCGACATGTTTCGGTAGCTGAGCTCGAGATTATATTTGCCACCATGTTTCTCATGATCACGTATGAATGGCAGTTTGGCCACTCCATACGCCATCTTCAGCTTCATCTACATGGGGTGCGATCGCTGCTGGAATCGCATCCGCAGCTGTTCCGCATTAAAGACGTCAACGATGTGTTTTTGTCCTCGGACGAGACCAGCCCGCCTGAAGAGGATGCGGCTATGTCCAGGGTTTCTTTTATTCCTGAGCAATTTCTTCTCTGGACCTTGTGAGTATCGCCCTCGACTTTCCGATATGTGCCACCCCTCATATGAATCTTTAGGTATATCGATGCGAGCTGTCGCCCGATTGGCCTCACCGAATCCTTGTATGACTATGTCTTGCAATCAGGGAACCCTGCTCTGCATCCGGATCGGCTCCATCAGTGCGCGCGTCTCTGGGGCCGATGCTTTTGGGGCGAACAGTATCCAGACCAGGAGGTGCTAGACGACATCGAGAATTATCGAGCGCTGGAGCTACTTCATGCCGGGTTTTGTCTACGATACCGGACTTGGAAAGCTTTGGTTGACTCTGGAGCCCGTGCCAGAGACACACCAGACTTACTTTTTCGCGAGCTCATGGCTACTCGGGACGTGAGTGTGGTTCATCTGGCCTCGCGGTTCGAACTGATGCTGACTACTTCAGAAATATTCGGATCTCTTTATCACCGCTAAATTCGCGGGTACCGTCTCGGCTCGACGCACACTCCACACCATCTACATGGCCGTCTCCACATTCTACGCGCAGGTTCTCATCCACCGACGCCTGCTCTGCGTTGATACTTTGCGCGGGGCCATTCACCGGCAAGCCACTACGGGTATCATAGACATTGCCCGGAAACAATTTACTTCAGATCCGAGGCTTCTCCGACGACTGCATTGGCCGCTGTTGATGGCCGCCATTGAGACGGACAATGCCGTCCAACGGACATGGTTGCAACAGCGTTTGTTCGATCTGCGCAACTTCCACTCCGAGTATGTGTGGGCAAATGATGTTGCCGACCAAGTCCTGGCCCAGCAGGAGGTGAGTCAACGGCAAGATGCCAATTTGGCTGAGGTGTTGCTTCAGCGGCTCCATGTGCAATAAATCCGCTGTGTATATTACTCTGATGTTTATAGATCCAAATTCATGTGTGATGCCCCCCCCCTCCCCCCAAAACGAACGCTAAGGGTCATTGTTCAAAAAATATGCGTCATAAGCGACTTCTCCTGTGGTTCTGGTCGCCCGACCAACAATTACCCGGTTGTTCATCCACTTGTACTTATCGTGACCTGTCTCGATCTTTACATGGAGATGGAACCAATACTGGCTGGAGTCGACAGGTCCGCCTTCCATCAAGGCCTGCAGCACTTCCGGGGGCCCGCTCGCGTGCCCTCGGTTCTGATGATGCTTCAGTCCTGAATATCACGGCTCAAAAGGTCTCACACTTGTCATACCGGATGTACAGAAAAGCCCCGTCATCACTCTTGATCACGTAGTTTGTATCCACATGGACTGTTTGATTATTCTCCACCAACCTAGCAAACCGTGAGATTTTCTTTTCTTTTCTGGTCTACTGGATCCGTGAAAACCTACATGAAATCAGCACCTCCGGGCATCCCCTCGCCGTTGATATAGTTCCCGCCCACTGAGCCCGACATGATTGGAATACAGCGCCGCCGACCGTAGGGGCCATGGCCGATCTCGATGGGCGGCTCAACCGCACACCGGAGGGTGAAAAGGGGTGTCAAAGTGGGTGGCGGCAGGAGAGTTTCCATGTTGCGTGTCAATCCCCAAGAGAATGGAGTTGCGGACTTCGAAGAACTCACTCCTATAGTCTCCACTCGGGATTCCCCCTCGGTTGTTCATATCCGTTGGTTGCCGACGTGCCTATGGATCGTCTCCACTGTGGATGAATACCTTGACATCATTTCCCCGATCACCTTTTGCAAATCGATCTATTTGCAGTGCGATGTAGTCGTGTTCTTTACTAAGGTAGTTGATTGGGGTTTACGGTGGATTCTACACTGTCGGCCTGTCTCATGAGAATCAAGGGGTAACTAGACAAGTAAATCCAGTTGGAGTTAGGGCCTGGACAGGGGAGTCAACAAGGGTTCCTGGCATCAAATTGCCTTATCTCAAAGATGATATAAAACAGGGTCCAAGATAGATATTGCCGTAGAAAAGACGAAGCAAAATTCGACGATTTGACCAACTAGAATATAGGTAAAGAGTGCGATGGAAGTGACTTTGGATGTATTCTTGTGGACAACAAGTCCTTGTCTACATTCTTTTTGTGCTTATTCTTGTTCTTTTCTCTATATTTAGGCCCCCAATATGCTGCTTCGTAATAGATGTAAGTAACCTGGTTTTTTTCCTCCTACGCCGACTGCTCCGGTACATACGGCGTCACCACCAGCGGTGATGCTGTACGCCTAAACTTCATCACCCAGGCCTCGCAGAAGAACATCGGGTCGCGTCTCTACATGATGGAGTATGAAAGCACTTACCAAATATTTGACCTGCTCAGCCCGGAGTTCACCTTTGGTGTTGATGTCTCCGATCTTCCCTGTGGCCGGAACGGGGCCCTCTATTTGTCGCTATGGACGCAGATGGCGGTATGACTCGGTTCCCCGCCAACAAAGCTAGGGCGAGGTATGGGACTGGCTACTGCGACTCGTAGTGCCCACGGGATCTGAAGTTCATCAATGGCCAAGCCAACGTTGAAGGCTGGGAATCGTCGTCAAACGATGTCAACTCGGGCGTTGGTAATCATGGATCTTGCTGCGCAGAAATGGATATCTGGGAGGCAAATTCGATATCGAACGCCGTGACTCCTCATCCGTGCGATACCCCGACTCAAACCATGTGCGAAGGAGATGCCTGTGGTGGCACGTATAGCACCACTCGCTATGCCGCCACCTGCGATTCTGATGGCTGCGATTTTAACCCATATCGTATGGGTCACCAAATCTTTCTATGGTCCGAACAAGATTGTGGACACCACGTCTCCTTTCACGGCGGTCACCCACTTCATCACCGACGACGGTACCTCCTCCGGCAGTCTGAAGGAAATTAAACGCTTTTATGTGCAGAACGGCAAAGTGATCCCCCATTCGAAATCAACTATTAAGCAGAACTGAATATCTTGAGTTAGATATTTATCGCAAGTGAATTTCATATCCTCTCTATATCCCGACACCCAGTGATTTTTGTCGGTAATTTTGTCATGGATTTCATGAGCAGTCGACCGCATTCTATAGCCCTTGTTGAGCGTCAGCGCTAACACAAGCCATTCCTCCGGGTGACTCTCCCATCGTCAGATGACATATCGCATGATGGGTCATGTTTTATGGCGGAGGTCTGCCATAATTTGTTCATCTTGAGCAAGTATGAACAAGATGTAATGCGGAGAACAGTCCGAATCGACAAGCCACCCCATGTGCGCCTGTTAGCGAAGCCCTTCGGTCGCCTCCATTTTGTCTACTTACTGAGATAGTTCTTCTGTTAAATGACCCCTGGTCATGAGTGTGATAATGCTCCAAGGTAGATATATTGTGTTGGAGCGCAGACATTTTAGGGCATAATTTGGCTCAAATAGGAAAGAGCCGATTATCACCGAGGTAAGTATCTTCTGCAAGTTCTTCCACCTGAAGTCATTGAACAAACATTTTAATCCCGGGCCTTTAATCAAGCCATCGAGAGATTTCATTCCGAGCACTATCTTTATACAACGATGAATGGCACCATGCTGTCATCACGATGACGTCCAACCTCTTCAACAACCAAAAAGGTAATAGTTTCACAACACCCGGAGAATCCATTTACTGAAACCCCATACACAATGCGGCTGCGCAAGAACTGTTGGCCTACGCCGATTAACAACATACGACGACTTACCCAAAGGCGCTTAACTATCCAGGCCCATGGTTTGTCTATCCTGGGGACATTCTATGGCTTTTCTGCTGATCGATAGGCGCAGGCAAAGAAGTCGGACCCGAGGAACTCTTCCGATACAGCTATGGCCGGTTCCTTGTCAATGAAGAGTATGAACTGGCCAAACGCTATTCGACCTTCGACATCAGCGCGCTGTGTCAAATGGTATCGTCACTTCCCGCCGTCCGGTCGCCCATCGTCAAGATTGATAAGAGGGAGGGCGGATATAACAAAGCCTTGTTGATGACGGCAGAGAGCGGGCACACTGTCATCACCAAGCTCCCGTGCCCAAACATTGTGCCGCGGGAGTACGGCACGGCTTCAGAGGTAGCCGTTCTCAAGTTCGGTATCGCCAAGGAAGGTTTCCATGTCAAAACACTAAACTGATGGGCTGGCAGTTAAATCGCGGTCGCGCAGTCCCGTCTCAGATGTTCTGGCATGGAGTGCGGATCCGTCCAACCCCATCGGTTCCGAGTACATTGTCCAGGAAAAGTGCGCTGGGCAGCAGCTAACGGGGGTATGGGATCAAGTCAACGAGTCCGACCGGGTCAAATTGATTCGGGATTTTGCACAATTGGAAAGCAGCCTGGCGAGTATTGAACTCCCCGGATATGGTGCATTGTTCCTGCGGGATCAATTGCCAGCTTCTCTCGAACAACACCCAAGGCCGCTGATCGAGGTCGATGACACTTATTGTCTTGGGCCCATATATCACGGCTCGTGGCCAGGGGGGTTTGCGGCCGACCCGGAAGAATATGCTCAGCATTCTGGTCCATGTAAGCCTGCTCAATGGCTTTTTAATATGGCCGCATGTCTCACTTTTTTTTTTGTCTCTGACAGGGAAGACTTTCCCTGAGCTTGGACGGTCGCTTGCTCAGCAAGGTATCTGGCAAATTCAGCATTACAAGACCTCCTACGCAGGCCGAGGACCACATCATGGCACACCAGAGGAACATATCCGCATGCTTGAGCGAGCCATGGATGTGATGTCGATACTTGCCGAGTCTCACACGTTACAGCGTCACTCGCAGGCCGTTCTGTGCCATCCTGACTTTCATCCAGGAAATATCTTCGTCTCGAATGAAGATCCCACGGTGATCCAAGGAGTGATTGACTGGCAATTTACGAGTGTCATGCCACGGTTCACCCAGGTGCGGTGGCCACTCTTCCTCAATCCACCCGAAGGGTATCAGACAGGAATGAACAACCCCGAGCTACGACCCGTGTATGACCGAAAAAAAGACCAGGAGCAAGCAAAGCGACAAGAGCAGGCGATGCGTACCAAGTGCTACGAGGCAGCCCTGGTGAAGAGTCACCTCGAGTCATATCTCACCCTCACGGAAACCGATGTGTCGATCCGGCAGCTCTTTATCGGATCTCCGTATACATACCGTGATGGCATCATCCCCTTGCGCGAAAGTCTGGTGCGACTGTACCAGACCTGGGATCAACTTGATCTTCACCAACCATGTCCATACCGCTTCACCAACGAGGAGGTCGCGCAACACGATAAGCAGCTCCAAGAGTACCGAGACTGGCTCAAGCTACGGGAGTATACCCATCAGCTTCTGCATTCCAACGACGGAGGATGGGTGCCTCCAAATGTCGACTTTGCGGCCACAAAGGCTAAACATGAGAAACTGTTTCGACATTTCGTGGAGTCAAAGAAGGTCAAGATGTCGGAGGAAGACGCACAGAAGCTGTGGTTCTTTCGAGAGAGGGGCTAGAGCTCTGGGTATTTGTATCCAAGGAAGTAGAGAGTTCGATCACGGCAATGGAAGAACGAGACAAAGCACGAAAGATCATCGTAGCTTCCTGGTGTTTGTGTCACGTGATTAGGCAGGTGCCTCCGTCGCGTGGGCGCTACAGTAGTCGACGGAGACCAAAGACGCTGCCCTCTTGCGGGGAACTCTCATCCGTCTTGCCTTCTCCTTCTGTTCTGCATTCTCTTCGCTCGTCTTTTTTATTTTCCTTGTCCTTATCGGTTCCGCCATGACCGACAGCAAGATTCCTCAGCCAGGCCCGGCCAAACTCAAACGCAATGCCGGCCCCGACGAGTGGCTAGAGGCCGCCAAAGATTGCAAGTATCTGTCCGAACCACACATGAAGCAGCTTTGCGAGATCGTAAAAGAGTATATGATGGAAGGTATGCTCAAATGGATATCAAACTCTGCGATTTCCTGGCTGACATGGCTTGCCAGAGTCGAACATTCAACCAGTGTCCACGCCGGTGACCGTCTGCGGTGATATCCATGGCCAATTCTACGATCTCCTGGAACTCTTTCGAGTCTCCGGTGGTATGCCCGATGGCACGGAACTCGACTCCCCTAAAACCTCGCCCTCGGTGATCACCTCGGCTGATATCGAGCCACCTTTCACAATCACCGACCCTAAGATACGCAAGAAGCTCCGAGGACCCGGTGTGAACTCCAACGATGAAGAGGAAGAGACTGAGTCAAATCCGAACCAGCGAAGTCGATCAACAAGCCAGACCTCTGGGGATCTTCAGATCAACCGGAACTTTGTGTTTCTGGGAGATTATGTCGACCGAGGATATTTCAGTCTGGAAACGTTGACCCTGTTGCTGTGTCTCAAGGCCAAGTAAGTGAATCAATGAATCCGCGGAGCAGCGGCTTTTAGGACTGATGAGGTTTGATCAGGTATCCTGATCGAGTCACACTGGTGCGTGGCAACCACGAGTCGCGACAGATCACACAAGTATACGGGTTTTATGAGGAGTGTTTCCAAAAGTACGGAAGTGCTTCGGTGTGGAAAGCGTGTTGTCAGGTCTTTGACTTTATGACACTCGGGGCTATTATCGACGGCAAGGTCCTATGTGTTCACGGCGGTCTCAGTCCTGAAATTCGTACGCTCGACCAGGTCCGCGTGGTGGCCCGGGCGCAAGAGATTCCCCACGAGGGCGCCTTCTGCGATCTAGTCTGGTCGGATCCCGATGATGTGGAGACATGGGCAGTTAGCCCTCGAGGAGCAGGTAGGACTGATCGAGCCCCTCCCCTCATTGCGTGTCGGCGCTGATCTTCTCCAGGCTGGTTATTCGGCGACCGTGTGGCCGACGAGTTCTGTCATGTCAACGATCTCTCGTTGATTGCCCGTGCCCACCAGCTGGTCAACGAGGGCTACAAATACCATTTCAACAACCAAAATGTCGTCACCGTATGGAGTGCCCCCAACTACTGCTACCGCTGTGGCAACCTGGCCTCCGTCTGTGAGATCGGAGATGACCTCAAACCAACCTTTAAGCTCTTCAGCGCAGTTGGCGACGACCAGCGGCATGTTCCTACCTCCCGCCCAGGCCGCAGCGAGTACTTTTTGTAAGATGGCATGTTGCGACGAGCTCTGCACCGGCGCTGGCGTTCGGATGAGGTTTTCTTTGAAAGGGGGAGCATGACGTGCATTTATATAATGATCCTAGACCAGACTTAATGATGTCGACGCCTTGTGATTTTCCATTTTGCAGTTAGTCCGGTTAGTGATAGAAGACCCGTCATGGGATTCTTGTGTTTTTCCCCCCAGATATATTCCTTCATGCTTCCAGCTTCGCGGGATAAAAGAAGCTCCGCGATAATACTCCAATATGAAGCCCGCCGAACTTCCACGGCTGCCGTGCCGAGGACCAAGTGTGGCGATTCACGCCGTTCGGAACACATCCCGAACTTCGGAGCGCATCCCGCAACAGCCTTAAAAAAGATGGCCCCGCGGGGACTGCATGCCCCGGCTTCCGAGACATGCCATCGTTAGGACCAAAATGGAAAAAGTCGACGTCCTCATCTGCGGCAGCGGATCTGCCGGTCTCTGTGCGGCCACTTGGTTGGCACGCTATGGGGTGCGATGCAAGGTTCTTGAGCGACGCGATGGCCCCATGAAAATGGGTCAAGCCGATGGCGTACAGTGTCGCACAGTCGAAATCTTCGAGAGTTTCGGGGTGGGTGAAGAATTACTGCGCGAGGCGTATCACGTCCTCGAGGTCAACTTCTGGGCAGACGACGGCACCGGCACCATCAAGCGGATGGGGCGTACTGCGGATACCCAGCCAGGCCTATCGCACCAGCCCCATGTTATCTTGAACCAGGCGCGTATCAATGGGCTTCTTCTGGAGCTTATGCGGAAGTTCAATGACCAGAAGATCGATTACGGGTACAATGTCACCCAGGTCGAGGTGGACAGTGCTTTGGCTGCGGATCACGACGCCTATCCGATTACTATCGCTGCTGAGAAGGCCGGAAAACCAGAAAGGTTTGCAGCGAAATATGTGCTGGTAAGCATCAGTGTATCCTGAATATTCACCATTGCTAAAACGATAGATACAGGCTTGCGATGGGGCACACAGCGTCGTGCGCAAGGCCCTGGGGTACACGATGATCGGGGATAGCAGCGATGCGGTTTGGGGTGTGATGGACATGGTCCCCCGGACCAATTTCCCCGACATTCGCAAGAAGACCACGATCCGCTCTCGGGTAGGAAACCTCCTCATCATTCCCCGGGAGGGCGATAGCGACAACCTCACCCGGTTTTATATTGAACTGCCACCGGGCACCAACCCGAAGGAGGTAACGCTGGAGAATCTTCAGCGTCAGACGCAAAGCATCTTCAATCCGTATTCAGTGGATTTTGTTGAGACGGTATGGTGGTCCGCGTACGCAATCGGCCAACGGCATGCCGACTTCTTCCACAAAGACTACCGCATCTTTCTGGCCGGAGATGCTTGCCACACTCACTCGCCCAAGGCCGGACAGGGCATGAATGTCAGCTTGCAGGATGGATACAACATTGGCTGGAAGCTTGGCGAGATCTTGACCGGTCTAGCGAGCCCTTCATTGCTCGAGACATACGTTGTGGAACGTCAGAAAGTTGCCATCGATTTAATTAATTTTGATCGCCGATTCTCCAAGCTCTTCTCGTCTGGAGGTCATGCCACTCCGGCAGAGTTTCAAGAAGGCTTCATCAAGGCTGGAAAATATACCGCTGGTTTGACGGCAAAATACGATGTGTCTTCCATCACGGCCGCAGCGGAATTAACCCGGCTGGCCACCAATGTGGTTGTGGGTATGCGACTGCCGAGCGCGCAAGTCGTTCGCTTCTGCGACTCAAAGCCCATGCAGCTCATGAAAGCTCTTCAATCAGATGGCCGGTGGCGAATTATGATCTTCACGGGGGATCTTACTGCACCAGAGAACCGGACAAATTTGACCGCGGTAGGTTTTCCGTCGGGAGATTCTGGTTGATGATGAGGATTGGGCTAACCAAATCAATGTAGCTTGGGGAATACCTGAACTCGCGCGATGGGCCAATCCACACCTTCACGCCTCTGTCAAAAGACGCCGACAGTGTTATCGAAACAATTGTGGTGGGCCACGGGAAGCGTCACGATGTGGAACTGGAGCAGATCCCCGAGTCTTTCTATCCGGTGGTTGGCAAGAATCAAACTCGCGGTAAGGACTGTTCAGCATCGCAAACCTTTACTCTTCCCGCGACGCTGACCCTCGGCAGATCTGCATAAGATCTACTATGATGATGAGAGCTACAACCAAGGCCACGGGCAGGCATACAAATTCCTAGGCATTGACCCAACGCAGGGTGCCATCATCATCGTCCGTCCTGATCAATGTGAGGAACCCCCCTAACTGGCGAGGGGACTCATCGCTTATATACTGTGAATAACCAGATGTATCCGCCGTGTTGGACATGCACGACTATCCTGCGGTTGGCAAATTCTTTGCAGGGTTTCTGAAACCTCAAAAGTAGGCTGATCACTGCCCATATTGAATTCAATCTACAAGGTTGGCAGGCGACTAAGAGCAGATATACTTCAGGGACTCGGTCAATGAGACTGATGTTGCCGGTCCTTTAGACAGCAGACTCTAAACTCATGGATTTGAGAACCCCTCCGACAAAAGTACAGAAAACTGTCGACGAGGTGCATATACAATTGTTGGAATTGGGATTCTCCGTGACTGGAAGATTTCTGAGATGAAATCATCAATTATCTTCACTCAGGCCCAAGGATTCTGCGACGATATGATCACTGCCGTGTGGGAGAGACTGCTAGAACATCTCGCGTGCATCACCATCAGGGGGATTTCAATTGCTCCCTTTGGAAGTAACAATAACGGTCAGGACCTTCTGGTAAATATAAGTCCAGTATACATCCGCAGTTCCCTCCATCGCACTCTCTGCGTTTATTGTAGGATTGTGAAATGATCCAATTCCTTTCTGTTATATTTGATTGGTATTTTATTTTCTTTCTCGGCGTTTTGTCCCCATATCCACTGATTTATATATGGATGTTTCATAGATGTATGGACAGAGGCCCCGTGTACGACAGGCTTCGAGAAAGGAAACGCGCGGTGGGGACGGTGAAACCAGCAATTCTTTCACTTGCGAAAAGTAGCTCTCGTCCCATATGGCTTCTTACACTGTTGCGCCGCACCTCGAGTACTTCAACACCCCCCTCGCCTCATTCACAGCTGCTCGGCCCGAATTTGAGAGCTTCGGGGTCGGCGCGTACATTTTCTCTCATGATGGGGCATCCCCACTGCGGATCCTACTGCTCCAACGCAGCCTGACCGACTCGATGGGCGGGTTTTGGGAGGGCCCAGGAGGCGCCTACGAGCCCGGAGTAGACGAGACGTTGCTGGATGGAGTGGTCCGTGAAGTCCTCGAGGAGACTGGGCTCCATGTGTCTCGCATTGTGGAACTGGTCGCCGTCGATGGCTGGACGCACCAGCGCCGCAACGGGGCTCACATTTGCATCGCCAAATACTCTTTTATCGTTGAGGTTCACGAGGTCACTCGGTCATCGCCCCAAGGAGAACCACAGTCGGTGACCTGGGGTGATATCCCCGTCCGCCTCGAGGCCAGCGAGCACCAGGCGTTCGAATGGGCGACCGAAGCCGATGTTCGCCATTCAGTGCAGTCGGATCAGGGCCGGTATCAGTTTCCACTCCCCTTCGTGGGCCACCAAGCACCGAATATCCTACGGGCCTTTGAACTGTGGACAGAGCACCAAAATCGAACACCGCAGCATGGCGTCATACATGTATGAGGATAGAATGGGTGTTGAGGGCAGACATATTGAAGTTTAAGTTGAACATCGTAATCAACATCATGAAGTGCTCTTGTGCACTGTAAATCCTCAATCCTCTGCGGGCAGCGTTCCCTCCGCCTGCATTTGCAGCGCAATACGATCGACCTCCTTCCACACCCGTAGCAGATTGCCCCCGGCCACCTTGCCCGCATCCTCGTCACTGACTCCTCGTCGCAGCAGCTCGGCAATCAGCGCGGGGAACTTGGACACGTCTTCCAACCCCCGGGGCACCGTCGGAATGCCGTCAAAGTCACTTCCCAGTCCCACATAGTCGAAGCCCACCAAGTTCCCAATGTACATGATGTGCTCCGCGACTCGTTCAAGGGTTGCATGGGTCGGGTCCTCGTCTGGCAGTCCATTGGCGCGACCGGAAGCGGTGCATGAGATAAAACCGGGTGAGAAGTTGACCATCACCAATGACTTTCGTTGTCGTGCCAATTCCAGTACATCATCAGGCACATTCCGGGGATGCGGGCAGAGCGCATACGCGGAGCTGTGGCTGAAGATCACCGGGGCACGGCTCCCAGTCCACTCGGTTTTACCGGCGCCCAGCACATCACGCATCGTATCCACGCTCACATGGGCCAGGTCGACAATCATCCCCAGTCGATTCATCTCCCCAACCAACTGCTGGCCTGCTTCACTGACACCGTGCCATAGGGGATCCGACTTTCGGGAGCCACCGCTCGGGAGGTCAACAACGGCAGCGTCAGCGTATCGGTTATGGCAATTGTGCGTGAGGGTCGCATAGGACACCCCCAGCTCATAGAAAATCCGCAAATGTGCCAAGGAGTTTCCAATAGAATGCAGTCCCTCGATACCAAGGGGCGAAATGATCTTCCCTTGGTGGAAAGCGTTCAAGGCCGTCGTGCCGTTGGGCGGAGTCGAAAAGACTTCAGGGTAGGCCCGCTGGATGCGCGACATGACATCCACTTGTTGCATCGTCTCTCGCACACCTGTTCGATCCATGTTACTAGACCATAGAAGAAGACTTGAATGGGCATATTTCCATACTTCCCGCATAGTTCTCGTCTGAAAAGTTGGACCCGTCCTTAGGGCAGGGCACAAAGACACTCCAGAAAGTACCGCCAGCCCGGCCCTGCTTCAGTCGAGGGATATCCACATGGTATGGCAAGGTACCATTAACAAAGAGCTTTGTGAAATTCGAGCCGTAGATGTGGTTATGGAACAATTCTCGCAGAAGGATGGGGAGGTCATCATGGCCATCTGCTCGAGTCAGCTCCGATCGAGGACGGCAGCAATGTAACTCTCACCGATCAAGGGAGTCTTAGACAGGATACGCTGCACTCGATCCTCGATGCTAACCGCATGGGAATGGTGACAGTGCGGCGCAAACAACCAGCTCCCGGCCACGAGGGCGACGAGGATCAAACCCCAACGGAGAGGATTGTGGAAGATGATACGTCTGGAGACGGGGCGATTTAACTGTCGCTCTTCGTCGCTGCTTTCCAGCAAAACCGCTTTCTCGGGGATGGCCATGGCTACGGACTCCAGTATGTCCACGGGTGGAGGTTGGAGAAGGGATGTGACTATCGATAAGACGTCGACATCGTACGCGTGTCACACCGATCGATTCAACCCTTGGAAGGCGAATGGGGACTTGAGAATGAATTGTATAGAAAACAGTAGTACAGCAGTCTACTCAAAGCAAAAGTCATAAGACTATCGCATCTCCAATGCGAAAGTAGAAATCCCGTCCGATTGAGTGGTTCATCCGGTGTTGCGGTTCCACTCGCTTTTCTCTCGTCTCTCCCCACTTCGTCTTCCATCTTTCTTGCCTTTGGATATATCTCTCTCGATCTGTCGACAGCGATCTATACCATGGCCAGTGTGCCCCCAATGACGGACGGTACGTCTTAATTCCTCTGTTGATCTCGTGGGGACAAAAGAATTGACCATGCCACAGGTTGGCTGGCCGTGTGGCATGCCTACCGTCTGCCTCTTCTCATCACCTTGCCCACTTTCCTTATTATTGTCCATGTCTATCGCAGATTCCAAGCCCGTTCGAAGACTCCGGCCTCCACCTCGATTCCTTCCTCGCCCCGAAGTATCTCACCGGAGAAATTCGAAAAACTTGAGCCTCCATCTGAGAAGCCCCCCGTGTCGACTACGAAAACCAATGGCAAACCCTCCAAATCCGTGGGCCCCAAGCGTGTTCAAGGCAAGAAGCCTGCAAAAACCATCACTGGTCGCGGTGGATCCGACCAAGATTCCCACCCGGTGTCGTTCATTCAACCCATAATTTTCTTCGCCTCATTGACCGCGACGACCGAGAGATATGCCCATCAACTGCTGGAGGATCTGCGCGCAGCGGCGCAAGACCGAGCAGACTCTCAGAATCGTGAACGCGGTCTTCTCCCCCCACAGATCCATGACCTGTCCTACATCGACTTCGAGGACTACTTTGTCTCTGCCCCGCAGCCACCGGCCACGTCTCCTGGTACCCGCTACGTCTACTGCTTGTTGATCCCCACGTACAATATCGATACAGTCCTCAATGTATTCCTGGGTCATCTGGACGAAACCCACCACGACTTCCGCATCGACACGGCGCCATTGTCAAACCTTGCAGGTTACTCGGTTTTTGGGTTCGGAGATAAGGAAGAATGGCCAACCGAGGAAGAAGGGTTCTGCTCGCAGGCCAAGGAGCTTGATCGTTGGATGGCAAAACTCACGGGCCGCAAGCGTGCTTACCCGTTGGGCATGGGTGATGTCAAGAGTGATGCGGAAGCTTCTATGAAAGAATGGTCCAGTGGGCTCCAGGATATTCTCTACGACATCTTAGAGCACGGCGGGCTCGGCGAGGGAGTTCCGGGGAGCGGCGATGCTCAGGAAAGCGATGAGGAGGATTTGGATGACGGGACCAGCGACACTCAGTCCAAGAAGAAAAACAATGCCCCGACCATGGTGGATCTAGAAGATATCAAGATGAACGGTGATTCCGCCGCCCCGATCCCCGTCGACTTTACAACTGCCGGGAAGTCCGCCAGTCCTGATGCCAGTGCCAAGGAGATGGTTCCGAAGACCTCACCGACCTATGCGGCGTTGACAAAGCAGGGATATTCGATCGTGGGCTCGCACTCTGGTGTCAAGATCTGCCGATGGACCAAGTCAGCGCTGCGTGGTCGTGGATCGTGCTACAAATACTCGTTTTATGGCATTCGATCGCATCTGTGCATGGAAGCAACCCCATCGCTGTCGTGCAGCAACAAGTGCATTTTCTGCTGGCGCCACGGTACGAACCCGGTGGGAACAACGTGGCGCTGGAAGGTGGATTCGCCGGATCTGATCTTCCAGGGTGTTAAGGAAGGCCACTACAAAAAGATCAAGATGATGCGCGCCGTACCCGGTGTCCGCGCAGAGCGGTTCGCTGAGGCTATGCGCATCCGGCACTGCGCGCTCAGTCTCGTCGGGGAACCCATTTTCTATCCCCACATCAACCGCTTTTTGGAACTGCTGCACGGCGAACACATCTCCAGCTTTATGGTGTGCAATGCCCAACATCCGGACCAGCTCGAGGCCTTGCACCGCGTCACGCAGCTATATGTCTCGATCGATGCCAGCAACCGAGAGAGTCTGCGAAAGATTGACCGGCCTCTGCACCGCGACTTTTGGGAGCGGTTCCAGCGCTGTCTCGACATTCTCCGGGAAAAGCGCCATGTCCAGCGGACCGTGTTCCGACTGACCCTCGTCAAGGGATTTAATGTCGATGAGGAAGTGATCGGGTATGCTAATTTGGTCGAAAAGGCTCTGCCGTGCTTCGTGGAGATCAAGGGTGTCACATACTGTGGAACCAGCACGAGCGCCGGAGCCGGGCTTACTATGCAGAACGTGCCTTTCTATGAAGAGATTTCGGCGTTCGTCGTCGCCCTGGACCAGGAACTGCAGCGTCGGGGTCTACAGTACGGTATTGCCGCAGAGCACGCACACAGCTGCTGCGTACTGATTGCCTCGAACCGTTTTCACGTAAATGGGAAATGGCACACTCGGATCAATTACGACCGCTTTTTTGAGCTGCTTGAGAAGGAAAAGGCCGATGGCACCGTCTTTACTCCAGAGGATTACATGCGGGATACCGAAGACTGGGCTCTCTGGGGGCAGGGGGGTTTCGACCCCAACGATGAGCGAGTGTACCGGAAACGCCGCAATAAGAACCCGGCCATCGAGGCTGCACCGACGTCGTGAAATGAGGGTCACTGCGTCCGTGTTCACCTGTCATCCACCCGAGCCATCTCGGACGGCACTTGCCTGTCTCTGGTGATGACCCCTCAAAGTAGAGGTATGGCTTCATGGGTCTGCCATGACATCCAGCGTCTTTCTTTTGGATTACAAGGCCCATCACTCCAAATTCACCTTCCATGGGAAACTTCGTGGTTGTAATGTCTACTCGAATCAGGATCCAACTTGGCGCATCCATCCAGAGCTTGGTATCCTGCCGCACTATATTTTCGAGGTGCTGTTCCCATCGCTGGCCTAGTAGCTAAGCGTTTTGGTTGCAATTGCCCTAGTTCTAGCCCGGCGAAGACTAAAAAAAATTACCGTCTTGAATCTTATGTCTCTCAATACCTTAAGACTCAGTGATCTGACCAAGGATTGTCAATGGAGGTTGGAAAGTTTCAAAAGGCCCGTGAAGAAAGTTGATTGGATGGGGTGAAATTGAACTAGGGCCTCATTTACTTTCTTTTGATCGATGCATATTCCAAGTGCCTCGAAATAGCCCTTTCCAACCAGTATTCCTTTGAAAATAAAAAGAAAGAAAGAAAGAGAGAGTTGGTGACATGGTAACTAAGGCAGGAGTTGAATAAACACACGTGATCATGCATCTCTTCGAATAGCCACGTGATTCGGGTCAATGATTTCCAAGACAAGCTCAACCAGATGCCCAAAGCTGCAGATTGCACGGAGGGAGGGACTAACTAACACACACTCTCTCTCTATCTATCAGAGGTAGCATCAGCTTACAACTCTCTGATTCTTGGTTTACTGCTCCCATTCATCACATTCCGAACCTCTCATATATCCCAAAGCCCCGCCCGTTGAGAGACCGAACAGCCATGACGCAGTCTGGCAAGCCTACCGCAGGCGTGCTTCAGATCCCGGCCGCTGCGACACAGAAGTCAGCCTCGGCAGCTCCAGCAAAAAAGGCATCCAAGCCTCCGGCCCCGCGTCTAAAGCTTTTGGTCCGACGCTTGCCCCCGGGACTGACGCAGACCGAGCTGGAAACTACACTTGGGGACGAATGGAAAGTTGGAGCGGGGAAAGTCGATTGGTTGCAGTACAAGCCGGGCAAGGTATCGAAGGAGTATGAGGCAGCCGCCCTCTTGTGATCGCATTACAAACTGACCGTTTATATAGCCCCGCCAAACCATCTCGGCCGTCCCGGGCATATCTCCGTGTTGTATCTAGCGAACACATTGCACCACTCTCGGACACGGTGCGTCAGGCATCATTTCAGGATGCCGGTCATACTTCCCACGATTCTGTACTCCTGGGACCTCCAACGCTCGAGTTTGCCCCCTACGCCAAAACCCCCGGCAGCCGCTCGCGCAAAGATGCTCGCCAGGGGACAATTGACCAAGACCCGGACTTCATTACCTTCCTCGAGAGCTTGACCCAGCCGATCACCAAACCTGCCCCAATGGATTCTGCGGATGGGGACGAGAAAAAGAAAGAGACGGCGGTGACGACTCCGCTGGTGCAGTTTATTAAAGACAAGAAGGCGAGCAAGGCCAAGGACAGCACAGGCTCCAAGTCCTCCAAGCATAGCCGGTCGGAGAAGGAATCAAAGCAGGAGAAGGTCCAGGCCAAGAAGCTGCTCCAACGGCCAGACAAGGAAGCCACGGCTACAGACAAGAAGGCGAAAAGCGACAAGCCGACCAAGGAGTCGGCGAAGGCAGCCAAGCATGGAGGCACCACCGCCACCAAAACTGGTAAGGCGGGTACTGGCCCAAGTGCAACGAAAGAAACCACCGTCCCGGCGGCCGCAGAGCGGAAGAGAGAGCGAGGAAACGTTGCCGCTGCAACCAAAATTCTCCAACGCGACCTCGGGCTCTCGCCTGCCGGTGGGCGACGTCGCGGCAAGGGTGGTTCGACGGAAATTGGATCTCCAAAGAACGAAAGTTCGCGAGACTCGTCCGTTCCGTCAATCCAAGGAAATAAAAAGGACCAGACGTCCAAGCCAGCCAGGAACACACCCACTACGTCCACTGCAAAATCCAAGGATGGCGAGTTCCCATCCTCTCGAGCATCCGATGCTGCCCCGACTCCTCCGACTACGCATGCACCAGCCAAGGCCCCCAAAGGTAATGCTAAAGCCAAGCCTACACCCAGTCCGACCCCCACGGCGACTCAAGCATTCCTCAAACACGCCAATCCTTCGCAGGGTGTCACTGAGGCGCTCTTGGAGACGGCGTTCAGTCCATTTGGAGCCGTGCTGAAGGTGGAGATCGACAAGAAAAAGGGATTTGGGTACGTGGATTTCGCAGAGCCCCCGGGGCTGCAGCAGGCGATCGCAGCAAGTCCCGTGTCGGTGGCGCAGAGCCAGGTGGTGGTGTTGGAGCGCAAGGCCAACCCAGCGGAGAAATCGCCCAAAGGTCAGAACGACTCGCAGTCGAATGGCAGCAAGCCGAAGACTGAAGGCAGTGGATCGGCGCGAGGATCTCGTGGACGCGGGTCACGGAACAAGGCATCGAAGGGGGAGCACCGGGCGAGGAGAAATCGGAAAATACATCGTAGCCTAAGATTTCAATTCACAACGCCACAATACGCGGAAAATCTGAATGCAAAACCAAATACCACCGATCACACACTATATCAGGAAAATAGGATTGAGGAAAGAAAAATTCATTCAAACAATCAATTTAACTAGCACCAACACATATCACCACAATTTCTCAAGAAAACACCTTTCAGACCTCCTCGACACCCACCAGGACCGACCGACCGAAGTCAAGACGTCGAGACCAGGTTAAGATCATCACCACTCCCTGGACCGAAACGCAGACACTGCAAGCAGCACGCGTGACAGTCGAGGCGGGAGTCCAACGGCTTCACTTCAGGGCATCGAGGACATAGCAGTCATCAGCAAGGGTGGAGATTCTGTGGCTCTTTTAAAGAGCTTAATGGTGGGACGTCTACTCTAAAGTGATTCTTTGAACTGTGGCAGTGGTCAGCATCATGTCGAAAACAGGTATTTTCCCATATTCAGAGGGGGGGGGGGAAGACATACGTAGAGTCGCTTAAGAAAGAAGAAAGGGGACGGGGGAGCTCGGCCTATTTATACCCCCGCGGTGCCCGCTAGTGCTAAGCGAGGTTTCTGGTGCGTTTGTGGTGTTTGCATACGGTGAGGTATGGCCACCAATCGGGAGCTCGGGAGCTGGTGGGACCACGGCAGAAAAATTCTTCTCTGCTGCCGGAGACAGGGGTATCTCTGATTGGTCGGTAGCAAATTCCTATATTTCTCTTCAGTCTCGAAGGATGAGATTATTCGTACACTCCCTCCACTCTGTTTTTTTTTTATTCACACCGCTGCTCCTCCAGGCATGGTCCCAGGTGCCATGGCAACCACTATTGTCATTCGCGGGCTCTGAGGTCGGCTTGCCGATGCCCAAATTGGTCATCCAGGTCATATGTATGTTTCATAGAATGCCAACTTCTCGGTCCTTTTCTTGCAAATAATTGAGATTACCATGGAACTACCTTGGGCTCTATCTAGGTTGGCTGGAAACAAGGCGAGACTCTCTACTCGGAAATATATTTATTGTGTTCTCGACAAGTAGGCACGGTACACACAGTTTGATCTACAAGTGTCTCGGATCACATTCAGCTTAACAGCTCGACACTATTCACTTCCATCGAGAGCGAGGTAGAAGCTTTAGAAAGATAGGCGGGGGGAAAAGAAAGAAAGAAAGAAAGAAAGAAAGAAAGAAAGAAAGAAAGAAAGAAAGAAACCACCACCATCACCACCCTTCAAACGTCCGAGTAGTATGATGCTGATTTTCTCGTAGAGCTCGCTTTCAGATTATGACCTCTTATCAAGTTTTGGCAGCTCCCTAGGCAGTAGATAGGTCTCAGCAGCAGAAAATCATATCCTCAACTTAGATTAAGACCTCTTTCGCTAACTCACCATACCAATTGCTCGAGTGGGTAAGGTGGTCGGGCCGCGCACCGGCTTATCGCTTATCGCTCCACGCGGGGATTCTTGTGAACCCCGGACTCTCTGAGCTTCTTCCCAGTCACTATGCCACGCCCCAAGGTCCATCCTGCCCATCGCCTGCGGGCAAACACTGCTTGTACAGCCTGTCGGGCCTCCAAGAAGCGATGTAGCGGGACCTTTCCCTGCTCCAACTGCCTGAACAAGGGCCGCGGTTGTTCTTGTACGCCGTTCAAGTCTATGGCCGATGCGGACCTCCGCAGCCGCCCCATGCCTGCTTCCCGACCGACAGAGACCACGCAGATCTGGGATAGTCAACAGAGTCCACTTGATCAACACTCCGACTCCAACACTGTAACCCGACTGTCTGAACACTCGTCACCTGAGAACATGCTGGAGGCGGGTTCTCGCTCGCCCGAAGCTACGCATCGGACGCATCCGCGTATGCTTCGGAACCTGCAGGGCGAACGAGGTATGAAATATGACCAGGGGCTGAGTCATGTCATTTCTGATCTTTGTCTGAAGTCTTCGTCGGCAAGGCCGCTTCTCTGTCTTTTTTACAGTTGCTTCGAGATACAGTGACTCAGCACATCGGCCCTTCACAGTTCTCGCATAATGTCAAGAGCGAGGATATGCTGGAGACCGAATCTCACCATGATATACTGAACCCGTCAGAAGACCGCTACAGCATCGAAGACAAGCGTGGGTTTATCCAAAATTACTATGTAGCGGTAGGTTCAGGTTCATTCTCGCCAGATCACTTGGCATTCTCCTCTGATAAGCAAGAATAGACCAGCGGATTTCTATACCTCGGGTGCAGCTCGGATGTCATACCTATACTGTCGGATTCAGCCCGGCCCAAAACAGACCGGGAAAAGACAAGGGCGGCAATTTTGGATCTCATGATGGCTATTGGAGCCCAGTCATGCTCACGCCATTTAGACCATTTACAAGCTGAGCAGTTCTTCTTTGCTCGCGGCCAGAGCAGGACATTCGCCAACTTGTTAGAAGATCCCAGTATGGATCTCGTCCGGGTATTTTTACTCATGGCGTTCTACATGCTTGGATCATGTCGTCGGAATGCTGCTTTTATGTATTTGGGAGTGGCTGCACGCGCGGCTGTGGCATTGGGGCTTCATGCAGATCCCTCTGGACCAGGGAATCGTCATGAGCAGCAAGAACGGTGCGTCTACTGATCAACATATTGGAGAATCCAGCTAATTCCAAGTAGGTCGCGACTATGGATGAGTCTCTGTGTTATTGATATGCTGGTCAGTTCCATCTTGGGACGGCCTTCGGCCACCGCGTCTCTGCTCCCGGAGAATCGAGAAGGTCCAGGTCGGATGGCCATCGAACCTCCTGATGTGGGCTTAGTCGCATCGTATCATCTCTCATTGATCCTAGATGAGATCATATGCCGCTTGTATAGTGAGAAAGCAGCTTCTCCTGAGATGGCTGATTTCCTCCTCTCGAGACTAAATCGCTGGAGCGAACGCCTACCAGACACGCTGCGGTCATCATCTCTTGAAACAGAGAACCGAGCTGTCGTCCAAGAGCATACTATTGGGAACATGCACGTTGCATGTTCCTACCATTTTGCAGTGATTCTCGTCACTCGCCCGTTTCTCATCTCGACGTTGAGTGTCCGCCTAGCCCAGCTACATCAGACCTTGGCAGCGAGCGAACCCAGCGAAGCACCCAAGGAGGATCCAGCACACTCGCGACTGGCAGCTGCATGCATCGATTCGGCAGTTTACATGTTGCAGACGTGTTTAGAAGTTCACCAGTCGGGACTACTTTTACAAAATATGTGTATCCTCAAGTTGGTCATCTTCCTAAGATCCGTTGCAATCTTCTGATTTTCAATCACCAGAGCCTTTGTGTTTGCTGCAGCTCTTGTACTCGGGTTCTCAATGTTCTCCCACCGCGATGTTGACGCCGAAATCGACGGCGCATTTCAAGGTGCACTTACCATACTACGCATGCTCGCTTCCCAGTCTGCACAGGCCGCCCACTACTTGGAGATCCTGTCTTTGCTCGAATCCGCCGTCAAACAGCAGCGCCAGCGCCTGACCGCGCACTCTCGCCAGCGACGCAGCCAATACGTTAGACGGATTTTCCGCTTAACCGACCCTACGACGACTACTCGAACGCAGGGCGGGAATCGTGGTCGACCAGAGAATAGTACTCTGCTGGCTACGCCTGGAGGCTCACTCTATCCGTGGGTGCCGTCAGACGACACCTCGTGTACCGTGACACCGCCAGTCGATGGGACATTTTTGGATGGGGAGGGCATGGAGTTGCCGCTGTGGGATAGCTTTCCGTTTCTCACGGAGCCATCGACGATATTGATATGATAGTTGTAATGGGAAGTATGAACAGAATGAACATGGCCTTCTAATTCCAAACATCAAGTTCTCATAAGGCTCTCGTAATTCCTGAAACCCCCCAAGTATGCGAAGTAGCAGCTCCACCGTGCGCCATCCGACGATAAGCGGTGCGCGGCCCGATCGGCTGCGACCCGCGTGCGCGATCCGCCAGCGGACGAGAGGTGCGGTATAACAAGATGACAAGATGATCAGAGATAAATACGAAAGAAGATCACAGCGAGATCACTTTTATTCTCACCGTCATTTGGATTGTCAAGTCACGCGTCACATACTGGGTACTCTCTATCATTCAAGAGTGAGCCTCAAACTATTGAATCCTCCAGTCACATCAACATGTCAGGCTGGCGCCGTTTGAACATTGGTATCGTCGGTGGCGGCATCGGTGGTATGTCTGTGGCTATTGCGTTGCGGCGTGCTGGCCACATCGTGACGATCTATGAAAGATCGGATTTTGCGGGCGAAGTTGGTGCATCAGTTTCATGCGCCGCCAATGGCACTCGCTGGCTGCACGAATGGGGCGTGGATGTTGCGAAGGGTGACCCGGTTGTTCTCAGGAAACTCATCAACCGTGACTGGAAAACGGGGGAGCCCGTGAGTGTGTATGACTTGGGCGACTACGAGGAGCGCTGGGGGTACGTATACAACATGTTTCACCGGCAGTATATGCATGCCATGTTGAACGACTCGGCTCTGGGCGAAGGAGAGGGCCATCCTGCGACGCTGAAAGTAGACCACCGGGTAAGTTTGAGCTCTGTGACTAACACAATTCCTTTATTCTCCGCCACTCATGAGATTGGCTTTTGCAGTGCCGAGACATCGACCTGATCACGAATACAATCACTTTCGAGAACGGTGTACTCGCACAACATGACCTGATCGTTGGCGCCGATGGCATTGGATCAGCAGTGCGAGGCATTCTGGGGATAAAGCCAGAGAAAAAACCAGCGGACTCCAGCTGCCTACACACGAACATTAGCACCGAGGAAGCTGTTCGGTTGGGCCTGGTCGACTACTCCCAGGATAACGCCCTGGAGTACTGGGGTGGACAAGAGGGCAAATGGGATAAGATTGTGTTGTCACCCTGCAACGGCGGTAAGCTTCTCTCATACTACTGCTTTTTCCCGCGAGAACAGGGCGACTATTCGACTCAGTCATGGGGTGCGGATGAGCGCCCTGTGGAGGAGCTCTTGCAGCCCTACCCGGCGCTGGACCGGCAGGTTTTTGATCACCTTGCCATCGGCAAGGAGATCAAGCCGTGGCGGCTCTGGGTGCACAATCCCTACCCATACATCCATCGAGGCAGAGTTTGCCTCCTCGGTGACGCGGGCCATCCTATGATGCCGCACCAGAGCCAGGGTGCCTGCATGGCCATTGAGGATGCGGCGGCCCTAGGGATTTTGTTGAGCCCGCGATACTTTGACGGGGATGTCTCCCAGGCCCTGGCTGTCTATGAGGAGGTGCGGTTGCCGCGTGCCACCCGGGTCCAGGCTGCCGCGGCTAAGGCAGCATATAATATCAATGAACGAATTGGTCAGTGGACAGAACAGAGACTTGGGGCCCTGGCAAAGGATGCTAACATGCACACAAGGCTTCTCCTTCAACAAAGATATCCCCACCTATAAGGTCGAGGACCCGAAGAAAGTGCTGACCATTGAAGAAATGAACGCGTATGGCTTTCTTGATCATCATTGTGTGTTGTCTTCGCTAGTACTGACTGTTTGGTAGTTATGACATGTATCAGGATGTTGAAGAGAAACTCGCCGCTAAACGCCACGCCGCTTACACGGATAAGTTTATCTGCGGGCTACCGGTTGGACTGGAGTTGCCCAATGGAATCACCATCGGGGACTAAGTTGGCTTTCATGATGACCGTGGGATTGGGAATTGGGTTTCTTCGGTTTGGCACTCAACTTGACTTGGATCTTGATCTAGCTATGTTACATACTTCTTGTACATCATATCAAACTACTCTTTTGCACCGGCGCTATCCCAACTGGCTGATTTAGTGAATCATCGTGGGAATTAGGGATTAGGGTTGTCGTAGCCGGGGGGGGGGGGAGAGGTTTTCTTCCCCGAGATTCGGTGTCGGATGACCCGAACGGGTGCCATTATCCCGAGCTGCGTGTCTGAGGCATAGCAGATGGCAGAGTATACGCGAATGAGCTGCTAGTCTGCTAGTTGAGGGGCTTCTATAGCGGACTTTCTCTGTCAGCTCTTACCTAGATTCGTGAACTTGGTTTCAGCTCCCCCAAGGGAGAAGAAACTTAACCCTAAGCTAGTTGATCACGTACCACGTACCAAGCTAGTAAATGGTCTAAGTCTCAAGCCCCATTATTCAATAGCTGCCTAATTGCTCGCGATCCACGTTATTTGTATGTTTCTCGCTGGCTAAGGAGGTGACTGGAAATCAGAGGCCGGTTCACCGATACGCCTTCACCACACCTTCGTTTGCCACACCATAATTCTCATTGGCGAGGAGAGACGCTACACAGGCCCCATGACCGGACAAACTTTATCATGTACCAATAGTGAGAGGCAGGTAGTTGTATTTCCTCGGCATTGACCTCTCTGCCTCGGGTATCTGCGGCGCGCTATTGCACCCCGCAAGAAGACATCTATTATGAGGACTAGGGGTTGAGGAAGAATACAAAACTGATCACGCGGGAATTTGTGTTATTTACAGACCAAGTACCATTTCATTCATCGTCATTGAAATAGGACAAATTTTATATAGACGCGATAGATTTACGAGAACGGTGCATCACTCAGGCGGTGGTGGACCGTCTTGATCTGGGTGTAGTTCTCCAGGGCGTAGGATCCCAGCTCGCGGCCAATGCCAGACTCCTTGAAACCACCAAACGGAGCCTGGTAGTTGATCAAGTTGTAGTTGTTAACCCACACGGTACTGGAAGAAGTTAGCTCAGGGAAATCTGCCATAAAAATGGGACAAAAACCTACCCAGCTCGGAGAGCGTTGGATACCCGAATTGCGGTGTTCAGGTCCTTGGTGTGCACGCCAGCGGCCAGACCTGGAAGATGAATCAGTATGAAAACAAACGAGTGTCAAGTCTTAGCAAGTACATACCGTAGGTGGAGTCGTTGCCGATCTTGATGGCCTCGGCCTCATCCTTGAACTTTTGAACGACGATGACGGGGCCGAAAATCTCCTCCTGGGCGATCTTCATGTCCGGCTTGACATCGGTGAAGATGGTGGGCTTGATGAAGTAGCCCTCCTTGCCGTGACGGTCACCACCCAGGGCGACGGTGGCGCCCTCCTTCTTGCCGTGCTCGATGTACTCCATAATACGCTCAAACTGGAGCTGCGAGACCTGGGGACCCTGGAAGGTCTCCTGCTCGAAGGGGTTGCCGAGTTTGTTCTGGGCCGCACGCTCCTTGAAGCGAGCCACGAACTTGTCGTAGATGCCCTCCTGGACCAGCAGGCGGGAACCAGCACAGCAGCACTGACCGTGGTTGTAGAAGATACCAAAGTTGGACCAGGTGATAGCGTTGTCGATGTCCGCATCGTTGAAGACAATGTTGGGCGACTTGCCGCCCAGCTCGAGCGTCACCTTCTTCAGGTTGCTCTTGGCGGCGGCCTGCAGGATCATACGACCGACCAGGGTGGAGCCGGTGAAGGCAACCTTGTCGATATCCATATGGCTCGAGATGGCGGCACCGGCAGTGCGACCGAGACCCGAGATGATGTTAATCACACCAGGAGGGAAGCCAGCCTCCTGAATGAGCTTGGCCGCGTACAAACCCGACAGAGGCGTTTGTTCAGCGGTCTTGAGGACGACGGTGTTGCCGGCGGCAATGGCGGGACCAATCTTCCAGGACCACATCAAAATGGGGAAGTTCCAGGGAATGATCTGGCCGCAAACACCAATGGGCTCGTGGCGGGTGTAGGAGAAAGTCTCGGTGTTGGTGTCAATCGTCTGGCCAACGATCTTGTCGGCCCAGCCACCGTAGTAGCGCAAGCAGCCGGCGGCGTTGCCGACATCGAGCTTGGCCATGGTGATGGCCTTGCCATTGTCCAGGGCTTCGATGGAGGCCAGAATTTCCATGTCACGCTCGAAGAGGTCGGCCAGCTTGGTGAGCATACGGCCGCGGTTCGAGGGGGTCACGGTGCGCCATACGCCCTCAAAGGCCTCGCGGGCCGCACTCACGGCGACATCGACATCTTTCTCGGTAGCCTCGTGGACCGCGACAATGGGCTTCTCGGTGGTAGGGTTGACAGTCTCGAAAGTCTTACCCTCGACGCCCTTGACAAATTCGTTGTTGATGAACCTGTGGGGTAGTTAGCAGGCACACACACACACACACACACACAGTCTATGAAGTCATCGCCAAGGATGGGGGAGACGGACAAGCCCAAGGGCTGCTCATAAGTGACGTTGGGGGTCTGAATGCTCGTGGACAGCGACATGGTTACGGGGGGGGGGGGGGGGTATCACAGAAGATGCAGAAGAGAGAGGATCAAGAAAGCAAAGAAGCTCTGAGGAAAGGGGAGGTTCTTATATATGACAAATGGGTCTGCGGGGTCGCCACTCTGCCACCGGATCGCTTGAGCAGAGTATGGAATAGAACCTGATTGGAGCTGGATCCTCGAGTATGTAATGGCTCGAATTTTTCGGGTGTAAAGGTCCCTGGTCTGCGGGGCATTTCCCTTGGCTCATTTGATACCTCTAGAGTATACGTTCATGGGTGTACTGGGGTGAAGTTGTATATACTTGGATACTTGAGTTGAGGGAATACATTGTACACCTTGACGAGAATACAAAAATACATCCACGAAGACAACTATTGTAGCTGGGTATTGCACTCCAAAAGCCAAAACATGAAAATGGATCAACACCGGGCTAAGGGAGGTGGGCCAAATGTGATCATCGTGATGTTACGCGGGCCAAAGTCGCCCCGATGGAGTGGGGCCCTCGATTCTGCACATCGGCCGAGAGAATGTTCTTTTTCTGATGGACCCGGCTGGTATGATTCGATTATTTGGTCAATCTGGGAATTCAGCTACAGCTTGCCCCGGTTTAAAAACCGCTCGGGAATATCACCGTACCGCGACCGCAGGTACTCGGCCACGTTCTTGCCGAGGAAGTCTACTGTGGTCGTGACCCCGACGCCACGGTCGAGCAAGTTCCGGAACAGAAAATGCACCGCGTGCAGGCCTGGGAGCTCGAATCGCTCGATCGCGATGGGGTCTACGCGTCCGGTGTCCCCCAACAACATACGTGCCGTGTCCACAGACAGCAATGATCGCAACCACAGATACTCGTCGTGGTGACGGACCCAGAAGCCGCAGTTGGCGTCAGACCCCTTGTCGCCAGAGCGCGCGTGGACGATCCATCCCAATGGACCTCGGGTCGTTGGGCCAAAGTCGCGTTGGAGATCAACCATGATGTCGGTGTGCGTGGTGGGTTGGGATGGCTGCCGCGATGGGTAGATCTGGGTGCGCGGCGGTGGTGGAATGTCGACTATCTGCGTGGACGCGGTGGGCTTCCAGGGGAGATGCACCCGATGCTGCACGGCAGATTGCGGTAGCAGACTGACATAGTACTCGAAGATGGCGCGGGGGAAACCCTGCCGCAGGTCCAGGTGGAATGTGGCCCCCGGGTAGCCCTGCATGATGTTGTCGGTGATGGGTTTCAGAAACCGCGTGGGTGCCAGATCCTCTGCTCGGCGTGCTTGCACCACAATTCGAAGGGGCACTGTGGCACGGTTTTGATCTGGCGGATTCGGTACGCAGGCTCCGAGTAAATCAAACTTCAGCGCTGTGAATCGGTCCGCGTATGGGGTCAGCAGCCGGCGCACTTGCGCCTCGAGCATGCGGGCTTTGGCTTCAATGTCGAGTCCAGTCAAAAACCACCACAGCTCGGCCTGGAACCCTCCGCGGGCAGTGATACCGACTTTGGTGGTCGGGGGAGGTGGGCTTGATCGAACCCCGTGGATGGCCACCCGGTTGAGACTGCGCTGCTCAAAGTGGATGCCGTCGAGGACCGCCGTGACGTCCGAGTTGTAGTACCATGGACCCTGAATCTCATACAGCAGCTGTGAGGTGCAGGTGTCGACGGTGACAGCACCCCCGGTGGTATGCGCTTGCTTGGTGATCACCACGTCGCCCGCGGCAGAGATCTCTGCGATCGGGTACCCGATATTGGCCCAGCCGTCGCCGCCGTGCTCTAGGGACTTGAAACCGGTGAAGTTGCCTCCGCAGACGTAGTTGCTACATTCGATCAGATGGCCCGCCACGAAAGCATTGGCCAGCTTATCCAGCTCGTCGCGTCGCCAGCCGTGGTACCAGTAGGCGGCTCCGATGACGGGCGACGCGTCGGACACCCGTCCGCATAGCACAATATCGGCGCCATCAGCGAGGGCTCCCGCAATTCCCAGGCCACCGAGATAGCATTGCGCGTAGATGGGCTCGAACGACCAGTCTGCCAATCGCTCGCCCGTGTAGACATTCCGGAACTCCGACTGCCCGGTCGCCAGTGCCTTTTGGACAGTGGGGAGTACTTCATCCCCGGCCACCCACGCCACCTGTAGCCGTTCTCGGCTCAGTCAAAGTTCATTCATGTTCAGGAAAGGAAAAGAAACTCGCCTGACCTTCAAATCCAGTCCCTTGGCCTGCACCATCCGCCTCACCACCTCGTAGAGACCCTTGGTGTCTGCGACCCCGGCATTGACGGCTAATTTAATGCCGTGCGTAGCCAAATCCCCCAGAGCCGGTTCTAACGCTTCGAGGAAAGACAGATTATAGGCGGCCCCGGCGGGGGCAGTGGCTTGGTCCACACGCCGGCCCGCGGCTGTGGCCATGTTGAACTCACTCATGAAGTCGGCGATGATCACGTCGACTGGATCGGTAGCACAATGGCGTGCAAAGTCGGCAATGGCATGGCGGCGGTCAGAGGCAGAGCCCGACGCGCCTGGAGGGTCAGCGACGGCATGCTCGGAGTTGGAATTGAGTTGAAAGCGTACCTGCAATTCGAATTGGACTCTTGTCGGTCATGGTGTCTTATTCCTGGACGTTTTGGGGATCAATGCAGCCTTTCAACGAGCAGAGACAGGGCAACATGGTCAATGATATTCCCGAGTGGCCGAGGTGAAGTTGGTCCTCGGCTGAGAAAAATGCGGGGGATAACCTGATTGATAACCACTTGTGATGCGATGACTTATCCAAGCAATGTATCAAGGCAACAATTCATGTACTTTGTGTCCGCCTTTGATGTATGCCATGCCCCACAGCCTCTTGTTGCTAGGGCCCAACACTTGGCCACTCGCCTCTGACTCGTCCGGCTTTTCATGATCGGCCTCATTGCCCTGTGGGGATTGCAAGGAATTATTGTGTAAATCGAGTTGCTTTCGCTCTAGAGAAAGCTCGTCCCAGGATATTCATTGCTGGTTGGCGAGGCAGTGCCTTGTCGGAATTTCCACGCAGGGATGTTTGTAGGGTTGACCTCTAGATCTATATGTATATCCGCGTAAACACGCAGTGACCGCAGCATCGGTTATTTAAGATGGACATAACCAGCATTGAGGGATCACGTCCTGTGGCAGTCTTTGATTTATCCTCACTCTGACTATGCTCAAATGATTCCTGCTTCTGACCCTTTCGGGGTTGTTGGCCACTGCATCGGCCAACAAACCGGTCCCCGGTCGTCAAATCTCCCAGATCGTGGAGAAGTCGGCCAAGACCAAGTGTAATAGAAATATCCATCGCTTAGCGTAGCTGTCACTAAGGGTCAATGGCCTTTCTAGGGTCTGTACAACCCTTTTGCCGGTCGAACTGCCGTATGAATGCCTCCAGTCGATGCCATTCGACAGTCAGAAGGGATCGGCATTAATCAAGGAAATGCGAAAATATATGGAATGGCACACTATGGTTGATGTGCTCAAAGGTGAGGACCAGCGATTTCTTTTAGAATGTAAGAAGCTCACACTGTCCAACTGCGATGGTAGATCCGCCGCCGGGGTACGCCTCTCCACCCACCGATCTATTCAAAGGTCTTGATGAAATCCATGTCAACGCCACCCAATCGAAATATCAGAGCCAGTTGGAATTTGATGCCAAGCTCCTAGCCAGCGACTCCCATCGTGTCTCACCGGTGACATCGATCAACGGCCACAAAGTGGAGTTACATCTGAATCAGCTTGCCTTGGCCCAGCATGAGCAAGATCCCGATGCAAGGTAGATGGCCCTCCAAGAGGTCATTGCAAGCAAGTACTGATTCGTTCCAAAGATACAACACTCTTTTCAGGTATCCTCGGCTCGGAAGCCAGTCGCCTCACGTCAGTTCAAACGCAGGGGTTTGGGAGTTCAATGAAGGCCTTTGGCCCGGAGAGAAAGAGTTCAAAATTGGGTTTGGCAACAAGACAGACATGCGTGTCAAGACCACTGCTATTCCGGGGCAAGACATCTTGCTGTTCGCCTACCCCGACGGGCACTCCCTTTTCCAGGCTGTCTGCGTGCCCCCGAGGGAGGGCTCTAGAGAGATGCAGAAATTAGATGCTATGGAATCTAAAATTTCGGCGTGGACAGCCTCGGCCACCTCGACAAAAACGGCCCAGGCCTCCAGTCGAGTGCCCCATCCTCTGCTTCGGCGACTTCGATTCCATTTGGCACTTCAGTAACCAACCCCGTGGCGTAGTAGCCATCTTCAATTACACGCTCCAGTCTACCCGATCAAAGTCCATTCATGGCTATGGGCCCGCGAAGCCGAATATAACGAAGCCTCCCTTTGAGAGCCAGGATATTCTATTGATGTTTGGTATATCTTTCTCTTGTGCCCCCGCCAATCATTCCTCATCCGGCTTATATGCAACTAGGTTACCAATGGTGCTTGTTCAGCCGCCTGTACAGTCTTTTCGGAAATGATGAAGAATCTCGCAGGGGTGAGAAGTCTGGCCTTTGGCGGACGGCCTCGTAAAGCGCCGATGCAAGCCCTCGGAGGCGTCATAGGCCAGTTGCTGGCGGGAAGTGGCCTGCTCACAATATCTATAAGACAGCCAACGAGATGGCTGCGAATGCAACGAAGAATAGCCACCCGACCCTCAGTCAAGCGCAGAGAAAACGCCTGGAGGATATTACCCCGATTGCAGCCGAGAATGCCACTTTGAAGGGATTGGAGAAATTCAACGTGAAATTTCTTCAATGGCTACCGACCAGGCCAAGATCATATGCCTCTGCAATTTGTCTACGAAGCAGCCGACTGTCGCCTCTTCTACACCTACGACAACATCGTTCATCCAGCCACGGGATGGAATGCTGCGGCCCGTGCGATCTGGGGCAATGGTCACTGCGTGAAGGGCTCAAAGTCCAATGTCACCGATGGAGCATACCACCGGCGTAATGCCTAAACTCCAACCTATTCATGGATACACACTGGAGATCTTCGACCTGCCTCAAGGTCTTCCATGTACAGTCATTCATTTATTGAACCCATTAGATAAATGCGCCCGAACTCCAGTTTTATACATCGACAATCGACCTTAGGCGTGTTTTGGTGGAATATCAGTATGATGCAAGCACGGCTCAAATGTTTCGAAATTTGATCATCACCAACGCCAGCTATGAATGCATAAAAGAAATCGCGTAGCCTAGTCACGGTCACCTCCGTCGTCTGGCATTGGAACTCGGCATCGGCTCAAAGGCATCATCTTCATCGCCGTCAATATCGTCGCTGATGACGCTGACGTTGCGGGTCGCACGACTTGGCCGCGAGGAGCGAGGCGCACTAGCCTGTGAGGCGGAGAAATCAAGAGTTGTCTGCGTCGGCCTGGCGGTCCGAGCAGCTGTCCGACGGGTTCCAGTCCCGCCCACAGTGGTTGACGACGGGGCTGGTGAGGCCGCAGTCCGGCCTCCACGGCGTTGGGTAGCTGATGCCGCTGCAGGGGCAGCTTTCCGCGTACTTGAGGCCGCGGCTGAGCGAGGTTGCTTGACGAACAAAGCCCGAGAATCATCATCGTCATCAGAAACGACGTTTGCACCATTGTCATCTTCATCTTCATCCAGCATGATTACATCGTCATCTGCAGGCTCATCGTCTGATTCTACCCTTTTCTTGCGTCCTTTGCTGGCAGTCGGCGCTGCCTTCGTTGTGGTGCTTCGAGCGCTAGCTGCCGCACCCCGACCTCCTCGACCCCTGCCACGACCGCGAGTTGAGGCAACTGCGGTACGCGCTGGCGCTGTTCCATCTTCGCCGGCTTCCTCCTCAGCGGGATCGCCACCCTCATTATCCGAATGGATGAGGGCGCCTGGCTGGTCTTCCCACATGCCGTCAAACTCGGTATCCCAACCGTCCGGCTTGGGCTTGAACCGCTTCTTGCCGCGGGTCGTCCGTTTCTTGACGCCCTTGGAGAACATGTCTTCCATTTGGGAGCGGTACTTCTCCATGGCAGTCACCAGCGAACTCTGTTCTCTTTCCTCAACATCCATTTCGTCCCCATCACGATCTAACGCCATCAGATGCTTGACTTGGCCTTCGAGAGATTCGTTGACGAACATTTCCATGGCGTGCTTGTCGTCCTTATCGATGAACTGTGCTACGGCATCCCCAAAAGAATTCTGTGGCAGGATACTGAGCGATTGAGCCGAGAGGAACTCGCGCACCAGCTGCTCTACTTTCACCGTGTCCAGAGTTGCCAAATGAGAGACGGCAGCTTCATCGACAGTGGCGTCAACCTTCCGTGAAGATGCGTTCCTCTTTTTGCGATGAAACTGTACCACATCATTCACATTGGCAACCTTTCCCACAAAGCGATTGGAAAATCGCTGAGGGTTCTCACAATCATAGCTCCCGCCCTCTGGCGTGGATATTTCGACGCGGAGGCGCACGAGAGGAAGCGGGATTTCGCGGGGCTCTTCATCGTCTTCATCATCGCCATCATCGTGCATGTCTCGCCATTCTGCGTTGGCTTCCTCGATCAGTTCCTCGACGATTGACATCAGAAACCGCGTAACTTCGGTCCGGTTGTTTTCCTTTCGAGCCAGTTTCTGAGCTCCCTTCTCCTCGGAAAGTACAATCTCGCGCATCACGAAGGGGCGCACGCTTTTCAACCGGATAGGTTCGCACTTAAATTCTCGGCCTGTCACGTTAAGAATTGCAACCTCTTTTGGTACAGCCTCACCGGGTACTAGTGAAGTCGCGACAGACGACCCCGGTTGCATAACGTGGAATTTGGTCTCAGGATTCAACCGTGGGTTAATCAAACACTCATGCTCGTGGCCCCAAATCACTAGATCGAGAAACTCCGGGAGGAAATTCTCTGGCAGATAGCCAGTCTCCGTATAGGCATGATGATTCTGATGCACCGACATCAGATTGAACCAATCACTCTTTTGAACGGATGGTTGGAAGAATTTGACCTTGCCATCGCGAAAGGTGCGGAATAGCCGCTCATCGCGCACATTGCTCATCCCGTATAGCGCGAGCTTGGTGCGCCCTTTCTGTAACAGAACCGGCTTGATCTCGATGTTATCGGACTCGGGAGTTCGCCCGTAGTAGTTGAGGAGCCCCGAGACTTGCAGCAAATCCAGTGCAGCCAGATGACCTTCACCGGAGGGATCATCGTGGTTGCCATGAATCGAGAAAATCGGAATAGCCACATTCATATCTAGGTCCTCATAGTTGACGTGGTTGAAAGCGCCCTGAAAGCTCTCACTGGCATCGCTGAGCATCTCCAGCTCACAGGGCTTGTCCCCGAAACAGTTCATGCGAATTGATCGCATCACCTGGTACAATGATTTGCGCGACGGCTTATTCTCATGGAACAGGTCCCCCGCCAGCAGCACCATGTCGACATCCCGTTCTTTCGCCAGACACATGACCTCATGGAAACTCTTCCAACTATCATCCCCACGGATAGGGTCTCGCTCGTTATACCCGACATGGTTGTCTGTCGAGATAAGAATGCGAATGGTTTCCGCGTCTGAGGTCGGGTTAGTCACCCCGCTACAGCGTCACGAAGGCAGAGAGAGTCCTTACCACTTGCTGACATCGTGTTGGAATGTCTTCCCAGGTCCAGTCTGTTGGAGCGAGGGTGGTCCAGAATCTTCAGGGACCATGAGTGAAAATTCGATACCACTAACGATAACTGGCGATCATCTCGGGCTCATGTCAATTCTGATGCGATGCTTGTAGATGACAACGACAAGCGGGCTCTCGCGGGCGCCTGTCGCGCTGTCATGTGACCCGGGACGCGTTCCTGCAGCGCAGTCATGCGGCAAATATTCGGTGCAGAAATCCCTATTGTATAGAACATAGAGAGGAGTAGAGTGAAAAATAGACTCGAAAATCGATTGTGCTCGAGTCTGGCATCCTTTGCCCTTCTAGTCAGTTTCATGTCAGATCACCCCAAATCTGCGGGATGGCCGCTGCGCTTCGCCGCTTTTCGTCTCGCCCGCCTTTCTCTCTTTTCTCCATCACTCACGCTGCCTCGCTCCCATCCTCCCCAACTTGCATTCTTCTTCTCGACTGATCCAGATCTGTGTCCTGGCTCAGTCGCACTTCTTGTCCGGTTTTCCCTCAAGGTCTTTTTATGCAACCAGAGCCTACTGCCGTATCTCAACATACACCTCCCGTTGACTCATCCCAAGCCAACCCCCGTGCCATCCAGCATGGACATGACTTTGATGATATTCAAGTCCCCAGTCTTCTCGCAAGAGAAGGTACTGGAGGCTCTGCAAATGCCCTGGATCAAACCCAGGGTGAGTACTCGCTGCTGAACGAGGTGACTCACAATTCCTTGGTTCCGTCTCCTTCGGACCATCGCATCAGCCAGCATGAGAATGGTGGCACTCCCACTAACAAAAGGAAAGGTGCTGGTCTCGAATTTCGAGTAGCAGTCTTCACTAGCCAGTCCCAGGCCTCTTTGGAGGCATTCCCAAATGGTACGTTACAGTCAACCCCGCAGAGTGATTCCTCCGTATTAACGGTTCGATCACAGAGGTTCTTACGCATATATTATCCCACTTGCCTCCGCAATCCTTGTCGGTCATTACTTTGGTGTCCCGCCGATTTCACACGCTGGTGACGACTCCACACGCCTGGAGAATCGCCTTTTCACGTTTCTTCCCGGGTCCACACACTGTGGAAAGTGCAAATCGCCCAGAAGCAGACCTCACGTCGGATAGGCGATTTTTTACGAGGTTGACTGCGCTGGCTTCCTGGCGCAGTGAATATATCCTGCGTACCCGTTTGATTCGGTCATTATCTCGAGGCAAACCAGCAGACTTCCAACCTTCTAAGAAGCATGGTACGGTGCGCTCAACCAATTCTCGCAATGGCAGTGCAGTATCCACATACACTTCGCAACTTTTGTACCCAGTCAGTCATATTCACGGTTCGTTCGGCACAGGATCTGAGAAAGAGCCGCTTTTCATCCATGGGGCTTCGGAACAAGGTATCTCCTCTGCCAGCGTTCCCTCAGCTGTCAAAGTCGGCACCTGGGGGCTGTCCGACCACCAGATGTTTCGACACTTTGCAGACCTCTTTCCGGGGGATTCACCCTTTGGCCTTGGACCCGGTAATATAGTCGGTGTGCCCAACTCGATGGACGTCAGCCAGCCCTATGGCATGATTTACGGCGAGGGTTGTCCACAAGGGCGCAGCTATTTCATCTCAACGACAGAGCAGCGAGGGCGCTTCCTGGGAGGCTCTGATCTGGGCTCACATCCGCACTTAGGTATTCCTGCACTGAACATGATCACACACTCGATTTGCTCGGTTTGGATTGCCAAGTCGTTCCCTATCCTTCAAATGACCGGCGGGCTCATGGGCATGCTGTCTGGGTCGTCTTCGGGTGTTCTCACCGCGTATGCCTTGGGTCCTCATCCGACGTACGAGAAACGCTACGAGCGAGGCCAGGTCACCGCTAGATGGGTTCTGAGCCCCGGTGTTCCTATTATCGGGATTTGTGTCGACGACAACTACTCGCCGAAGCGTCAGGGGCAGGGGCGAATCTGGGCTGTGGCCCTCAATGCTCTGGGTGAGGTATTCTATCTCACCGGCCTTCCACGCCAACCTGATGTCGCGTGCACAGCCAAGCTCAACGCCGAACAGCTCGATGAGTTGGCTTGGAAGACTGGCAGAAGTGTTCGCTGGGAACTGGCCGAAATGAGTAGGCGTGAGGCACGCCCAGATCCGTTCAGTCGGGATCCTGTTGATGGCAGCTACAGTCCTCGGTCCTCCTCCGACTCCATGGGACTTGACCAACATCAAGTTACCGCAGAGACCAAGGAAATAGAGAGGTTTCTCTCGTTCAAGCCCAAACACTTTCGCAAGGTCTGCGAAGGTTGGGATATGCGGCGCGATCTTCAAGCTGATTTCGCCAGTGATGATGGGCAAGGAGCCGGTGAATCAGTCATCATAGTCGCTCGTGGTGCGAATGAAGATACAAAGCCGTCTGTTCGACGATTTGTGCGTATCGCCTGCAAGTCGGATCTGTCTTCTCCGGGCATGCCAGAGCTTTGTCCTCGCTCTGTGAACGAGAAAATTCCAACGTCCATCTTCGGCGGCCCAATGAGCCCGTCGAGCCCGGCGGGGAGTAACAGCCCTCCACCGTCTCGGTCTTCGAGTCGGTTGATCGATCCTGTTTCGCCCTCCAATACGGAATGGCGCATCTCCGAATTCGTCTTCGGAGATCGGAAGCCCGGGGAAATCACCACTAGCGGTCTCGATGTTTCCACCTTGGCACTTCTGACAGCCGAGGAAGATCCTCTTCTGGCTATGTCTGCGAGCTCGTTCTCCTCAGCCGGTTCATCGCCGATGATGCCTCATATGGAACAGCCACGATCGAACTTCGAAATCCCCGGGCAACGTGCTCGATACTTAGCTGTTGGAACCATCACTGGAATGATTTTCATCTGGGATATTCGGGCCCCCGCGGCGCAGACTACCGATGTGATTAATTCTGTCCCCCCGCTGCGCGTTATCCAAACGGACTCGCCCCAGGTGTCTTGTGTGGCACTGACTTCGCTGTACCTGGTGCATGGGGGTAACGATGGCCTTGTCCAGGCTTGGGATCCATTGGCATCATCTACACGACCGATTCGGACCATTAACTCTCGCTTCTCTTCTCGGGCTCGCCGTCGGCTTGTGCAGGCGGAAGCCTCGATGCTCGGCGTGGGGAATAACTACTATGCCACCGGAGCCATCTGCCTCGACCCGGACTCTACTGTTCTGCGTGGGATGGTATCACTTGGTACGCATCTCCGCTACTGGTCATACAGTTCATCGTCCGCGGATCAGTACAAGAGCGGCAAACGTCGACTCCGCCGTTTGCAACGGGGTAGTAATGGCGCATCCGAGGGACAGCGCTTCAATACCAGTGGCCGGGGAGCAATTCAGGACTACATTGAAGATGAACGTGTGGAGATGGAGCGGCAGAAAATTGCCGACGAGAAAGATCGAGCGCACCTCAATGCACGGTTCGGAGTTGATCTCCTGGGCCCGGATATCGACGAGGACCAGCTTCTGGCGTACGCCCAACTCTTGAGCGAAGAGTCCTATACCGGCGACGCGAGCAAGCGTGGAGACTCGGCAGCAACTGCCAGCTCTGTTGCCAGCACCTCTCCTAGCGACATAGCCGGACCCAGCTCGTATGGTGTGGGTGAGGGCTCTTCCTCTTGCTCTCCCTATCTAGATCCTGCGGATGAAAATACCGACGACGATATGGCTGAGGCAATTCGACTCAGTCTGCTAGATGACAAGCCTGCTGCGCCACCAATTGACCGGACGCCATCCATCCCTATCAAATACGCCAAAGGGTTGCAGCCGCCCAGTACATCATCGCCTGCAGCGGGGGGTGCTGAGAGTAGCAGACAAACGGAAATGGATGACTTGGAATTCGCCATTCAGCTGAGCCTGGCGGAGAATCAGGGTCACGATAATATCTCTCAGCAAGAATGGGAAGAGTTTCCTGTGGTCGCACCGGGGCCCTTGTCCTCTCAGTCTTCGGGGAAGGGCAAGGGTAAAGCGAGAGCTGTCTAGAGTAGAGGGCTTGCGGGTAGTTGGTTTTACATTTTGTTGACTGATTGAAATATTTTGGTTTATATATGCGTTACCCTTATGGGCTTTAATCCTGGTTTTCCTGTTTATTTGGTTGTCTATCACATTGAATTCATCTACCATCGGCTGTTTGGGGCTTCCCTTTCCAAGGTTCCGTTTGAGTGTAGCAGAATAAGCACTACATTTTCTATCTCAGAGCACATGTAATGGAAGATCTGCTAAAACTCCGTATCGATACTATGCTTTTAGGTCTTCACTAGTCGTATAACCCCCTCCCTTTAATCGTATACCTAAATACTTCTACTCGCACACCCTGTTACTATATTAGGAAGGCAATAAGACTATCAATTAATACCTAATTTACAAGGTAAATATTAAGAAATATTTTTTTCTAGTGCATTATGATTTTGTATAGTGAGTAGTTATATATCTATATATAATTTTACTAAGTTAAAATATTTTATTATATAGTAGTATGATACATGATTCTCTGCCCCAATAGAAAGTCGACTTTGCAGCATCATTTTTTATATTATTATATACCACACCATACAAACTTACAAATCAGTATTAATTGACTCTCTCTCTCTCTACCTCTCATTTCCTAACATAGTAATAGGCCGTGTGAGTTGAAGGATTTAGATATGTCATTAAATAGAAGGTCGACTAGAAGGAGCTTTGTTATATAGTCGTACATGAGCGTCGAAACCTTATTAGATATAGTGGTATTTTAGTATTTTAATAAGATCCCTGTTACAGTAAATATAATAAATCTCTGCCGAAATTAATTAAACTTATTATTAAAAAATAATCTCTGCTTTCTAATTAGAACAGGGCGCTACCTGACCCATTCTACATGGCTGAAGAAATATTTCTACCTCAAAATGCCTCATAGTAAAAGGTATATTGGTTGCCGAGGATCACTTCAAGGTTGTTGGGATAGGGCGCTGCTTGACCCATTCTATATTGTCAAAGATAGACATATAAATTCACCTAGAATCATTACTACATAACTATCAAGGTATTTCTCTTAGCGGTTCTGTGCACTTATTCTCCTACTTGTCTTTCTTTTTGGACTCGCCAATCTCTATCAACATGTTTAAGCTTAAATATTTTATCCTTTTCTTCTATCCCTTTGTCCTCCTGGCTCTTGCAGCACCTTTACCTAAAATATCATCGGACATTCATAGATATTTGAGCTGGTTCTTCACCCGATATAATACCCTTGAGAAACCCATGGAGCTTCCAATTACACAAATTCCCTACCTGGATGGGCCCACCGTCGAGGAAATGTCTACAATTACGCCTATTGTCAAATTTAATGATATCTCTCAGTCTAAAGTTTCGACAAAGCGTGTCCAATTGGAAAAAAAAAAGCCTGCTGTGATATTTCAATTGCCATCCAAATTTTCCGGGAGCGATAACTCGCCCTCTAATGCTGGAGAAATCACATTGGTGGCAGATGAATTCATCTTCTCTGCCTATATCCCAAAGCACGTCTCGTCTACTGTTAATGACAAATCAACGAAAAACGATTTTGATGGTGCATACCAGACGCAAATAAAGGGGACCCTGGATGATGCTCTCAATGAATGTATTGAAACAACCAGAGGGGGCAAAGAAACAGTTCCAAGGCTTTACAAGATCGACATTGTTTGGCCACAAACAGCCGCAAGAGAAATAAAATATGAGAAAGTCTTTGCCAAGCTCAAGAGTGAAATTAGGAATCTTCAATGCCGCGAAGATATCAACAGTGACAAGCTCGAAATTGTGGAAAAATATTACAACTCCTCACTCGATGCCAGCCTTGACAAGAACGCGCACCTTTATTATGAATCCGCCTTAGAGGTCGTACAACCTCCTACAGAAAGGCTTGGGAAAATTCACCTGAGCAAAACTAGACGCGGGATAGTGTTTCATGGATTTGAAACAACCATGGAAAGGAGGCCTCCTATCGGTTCCACCTGACAGGTTGAAAGAGTTCTTTGGCATGGAGGGTTATATGAGGCCAGATCTAGATGCTTTAGGGGTCTAGTTTCTTGGATTTCACATGTCATTTTTAGTGAGAGTATTTAGGTTATATAAAAGTGCTTTTTCCCCCTTATTTATCCTAGTACTTATAGGCAAATTAATACGATATAGCATGTGTAATATATACCAGAAAACTTTCTTAGGACTCTGAGTCAAATATTATTTAGAGAACTAAAAAGATTATAATCAAGTCAAAGGAAGGCTTTTCGAATATAAATCTTTCTTTTTCCAGTGGCTGAGGGCAGGTCAGTCCCTATGACCCAAGGCAAGAATTTTGATCTATATTACCAATACTTATTTTAAGGAAAAATTCGTTAGTGTTTAAAAGTAACAATGGTACTAAGGGCGCGTTGAGAATTAGCCATGTATAATATATGGCTTAAGTACGGCTAAGTAGAAATGAAGCACTGTTCTCCAGACTTTCTAGCTATATATACTTATTATTTGAGGAACCAAATTAGATGATGCAGTGCCATCGATAGAAGTCTATCGCTCATAGATGCCGTTCATGAAACAACAGATAGCGGTGAAGGCAAACAGAGCCAAGCCACGAGAGGTCCTCCTAGCTCTTAGTGGGCAATATCAGACATCCAGCAGCTATAGCTAATAGTGCACCCTGAATAAGTACCTACATAGCGCATGCTTTTGGAGCTTTGCGCTAATTTGCGCCCTGTCTGTGGTTTATTTTGTGGAAAAACCAAACCAAACCGCCCGGTTTCATTAATACGGACTCAAGAGCCAACTGTTTCTCAACGTGTTAATGCCGAGTCAAGGCCCGTAACATCCAGATACATGTAAATTAATCACCATATGGTTCATTCAATCGACGCGTTGGGAGAAGACCCAAGAGGTCATATTTCATCCCTCCTTTCGTGGCTTGATTCTCCCAAGCTCCTATCGGCGTTACTGAAGGCAGTTCAAAAGACGAACTGGGCGGGGCTACGAGAACCAGATTCAACATAAACAAGACATCCATTGGTCTAGCAACCGGCAAAACGAAGCATGTGCACGGAATCGAATAATTCACAAGAAAACCAACAGGTCAAGTAAACGATGTTCAGGCAAAAGACCGAAAGAATCTTATAATCCTACCATCCACTTTACCTCCCTACACTTCGCTTCAAAAAATTGACAACACCAATCAACGGGGTGTTTACAGGAGGGAAGCAAGGAGCATGAACAGACCACCGACACCGCCAAGAGCGAGGGAAGGAGGACCGTTGGGAACAGCAGCATTCGAGGAGGACTCGGAGCTGCTGCTGGAAGTGCCAGACCGGGTGCTGGGAGAGTTGGAGGTGTCGGTGCTCAGGATCTCGAACTTGACATCGGAGATGGTCTTGCCATCCTTGTCGATGACCTTGTTGGGGATGGTGGTGGCCTCAACCTTGACCCACTTGCCAGAGGGAGCATCGGACAGACCCTTGTTGATCATGTCCGAAACCTTGGAGGGAGCCTCAGGCAGATCCCAGGCGTTGTAGAACTTCTTGTCGACAATGATGTCCGGGCTGCAAGTCTTGGGCTTGACGCTGGTCTGGGTGCCGTTGCTAGCCATAACCTGCTTCATGTCAAGCTTGTTGAGCTCGCTGCGGAAGTTGTCATAGTCAACCAGAGTCTTGACACTGCCGTCCTTCTCGGCCTTGATGATACCGTACTTGTTGTCCTCCTCAGTCCACTCGTAGACGAGTCCACCGGAGAAAGCCTGGGTCATCTCCTTGCCGTAGAGAGCCTGCACCTCAGTGAACTTGCGAGGCTTAACCTTGTTGCAGCCGTACTCGGAGAAGAAGATGGGCAGGGTAGCGTTGGAGAAGTCCTCGGTAAGGGTGTCGTAACCACTCTTCTCGAAGTTGGAGTCACCGCACCACGAGTAGGAGTTCAGGCCGAAGAAGTCAGCGCGAGAGCTGGTGGAGTTCTTGAGTTCACACTCGAAGTAGTTGGCGGTGTCCATCAGAATGTCGCGGACATCGGCAGCCGAGTAACCAACGGGGATATCACGGTCAGCGTGCTTGGAGATGTACTCCTTCATATCACGAACGACGGCCTGGGGAGCCATTAGTTATTGAACCATAACTTGGGATGGGCAAGTAGCACATACGCGAACGTATTTGGGGGTGGAGTAAGTCGCATCCTCGTTGATGACCTCGTTACCGGCGAAGAAACCCAGAACGTTGTTGAACGTCTTGAAGGCCTCGATCACACCGAAGACCTGCTCGTAGTACTTGTCATTGTAGCTGGTCCAGGGTTTGCCACGGTTCAGGGCGCCGTTGGATAGGGGCGAGTTGACATCCAGGATCATGTAGATGCCGGCCGCGTTGAAGATCGAGGCGCACTTGTCGTGGTTGAGGTTGGGGTCCAGGTTGTACACACGGATAGTGTTGAGCTGTCATCTAGAGTCAGCCGCCGTACACCAAATAATCGACCTAGGAAAACTTACACCCAGACGCTGCATGAGCGCGGCATCACGCAGGCAAATGTCGCCATTGCTCAGGGGGTCATTCTTGGAGCTGAAACCAGACTCACCACCGGGCTGGTAGCTGTTTCATGTGTCAGTCTTGAGTGTGGGGGTGGGGCAAGCGTGCATTCTTCTTACTCGACACCGATGATCTGGAAACGATCATTGGTCTTGGAGTTGACGAAGTCCTTGCCCTTGACCTCGAGAGGAGCCACGGCGGCGGCAGTGCTGGCGAGAGCACAGACGGCCGTAAGAAGACGACCGTACGACTAAACCCCAGCTTCATTAGAATTATGGCCTAGTATGGAGTTGGGGATGTATACATACCGCAATCATGGTGAAAAAAAAATCGAGACGATCGAAATATGTAAACTGAGCGAAAAGGGGTAGATGTGGAAATTGAGGGAGTGACAGCGCAAGGCGCGGAAAGAACGAATGTCAAGGTGTCAAAACACCAAAAGAGAGGCAACGAGAGAAAAAAAAAACGAGCAAGGGAAAGAGTAGATCAGAAGTGAAGAAAGGAAAAAGGGGACGGCGCTGGTTTTGAGGGAAAAAAAAGGAGGTCGATCCGAGTGGAGCCTTGTTTTAGGGGCGTTTAGGGGCCTGGGTTCTTCTGGTACTCGGCGGGTACTTCGGCCGTGCGCGGGTCTCATGGGGTGGCGCAGGTAGCCCCTATGTAGTGGACCCATGGATGTGTCTCACCATCTTACAATAGGAGTTATCTCACCTACAATCCATGGATTCAGTCTAGAATACAGTAATACAGTCTGTATATCCCCGTCTTTTCCCTTGTGCTTAATCCCACCCCCAACCACACCCCAAATGCAAAAGAAAAACAATGGAAACAAAAGAAAAAGAGAGAGAAAAAAAAGGGGGAAAGTTCAAAGTCATGGCGCCGAGAAATACCAGGTCCCCCCGGACACAGCCAAGACCCAATCAGTACATATACAGTGTGCAGAGGAAATGGGAGATAGTGGAGAGTAGAAGGTGGCGGAGAGGGAGGGAAACAGGAGAAGGGAGAAGCCAGGAGAAAGGAGAAAGGAGTTTCCGCCAAGGGAGGGTTCCAGGACCAGTTCCGTCGAGACGTCCTTAACAAAGCCAATGGAGAGACGTTTATTCAACGCCGTGGCTGTCAGTCCCCTCACCAGTAAACGAGCCCAGCTTCAGTCCAGCGTCCATGGCGACCATCTCCGCCAAGATCTCCAGCACTTCCTTGGGGACCGTCTTGTCGTATATCGAGATCAGGTCCTTGGGCTGGGGGTACACCTTCAGGGCCTTGTAGAAGGCCAAAGCAGCCTCAATCTGGTTGGAGCCTAGAAAGAAGAAGAAGAAGAAGAAGAAAAAGTCAATCACTCTGTCCGATCAGTCCCCTTGAAAAAGACTCAAGGACCTACCCTCGGCGCAGAGCCCTTCACCCGTGGCGACTTGGTTCATGAAGTAAGACTCCTTCTCCTCCAGGTCGGCTGGGAATCCATCATCCTTGGCCTTTTGCACGGCCAATTTGATCGCTTCGCGCTGCGCAGCACCCTCAGCCTCGGCTTCCTCCTTGACGGCTCGGGCGAGGCGGCGGTTGTTGCGGCGCAACGATTTGCGGAAGTCAGGGTCAGTCTGTCGCTTGTGATCAAAGTACGCGGCGTAGGCTGTATCAAACAGAGACATATCATGATTAGCGATGGATACAGGGAACCTAGAGGGGCGATGAGCGGTTACCGAGCAGCCCGGTCAGAACCGTGCCGGCCGAGACGGCCACCAAAACAGACGTCCGCATGGCGAAGAGGGAGAGATGTGAGAATGAAAATCGGGCAAGAATTAACACCGAAGACCAATACCACACGATGGGAGAACACTTGAGAAGGAACAGGCGAAGCCAGTTGAGGTTGTTTGGAGGATAATTTTGACAGGGGATTTATGTTCTTCCGTCGGTGGTTGTCTCCCGGAGCTCTCCCCATGTCATCCTCCCCTTCAACTTCCTCCCCCACTCACAGTCGTCATGGAAGGCCGAGGGTTGACGCTGAGGAGCAAGTCTCGTCGCCAGCGCCCGCAGATTAGTGCTCCTAAGCCTATATCAGGACCCTTACCCGCCAACCACCGAGCCCCCGATGCCGGTCGGGCAGTCCCCTCCGGTCGAGAGCGAGCCCCCCCAAACGATGCCACGTCAGATCTAGTGAAACGGCGATACTCGACTCGATTTAACCAGGCCCCTGAATTTGATGCCAACGCCCCTCCAGTTCCAGCGCTTCCACCTCCAGGGCGTGGGGGTTATGGCGGGCTGGCCCCGGCTGCGATCCCGAGGCAACCATCACCCGCGGATGGGTCATCGCACGCACCCCGGGTAGACCTGAATGCACTCCGAGATCCCAGTTTGCCTGTGGACCGATGTAAGTGTACGGCGGTCGATCCAGAAATTGCTGATGCTGACCACTATATCTCCCAATCGCAGACGTGGCTAACCTCCTTGCCAACGCATCCGAGGAAGAGATCCAGAAATACCAGGAAAACCTCCGCAAGGTGAAGAATCGCACATCGACGGACTTGCAGCAGAACGTGTACCAGAACCGGACTCAGTTCATCAAGATTAGTAAAGAGGCAGAGAAGCTCAAGGATGAGATGCGTACTCTGCGCGCCCTCATGGCGGACCTCACCACAGCGCTTGGGCAGACGTCCGTAGGAAATGCTCCGAACCCCATGTCCCCCGTTGACGACCACTTCCCCAAGCGCAATGCAAACCGCAGCTCTGTCGCCAACTTGGAAAGCATGTGGAACGTACAGCTACAGACGCTGTGGAAGACAGTCGAAGGATCACAAAAATTCCTGCCAGCTGTGCCAGGGCGGCACATTGTGCTGGAGACCAGCAACTGGGCTGAGCTGGACTCGGCCACCTGGAAGCCCCGGCGGCCCGTTCACATCATCCTGTTGAACGATCATTTGTTGGTGGCCGCGAAAAAACGCAAGCGGGTAGACCAGAGTCATCCCAACCATCAAGGCCCAGTTCCCACGAAGCTAGTGGCAGAGGAATGTTGGCCTTTGCAAGACATCGATATGATCGACCTAGCCGCAAACCTGGGAACGGGCGAGGCTCGTGAAGAGGCGCTGGACCGCGGGATTGCGAATTCCCTAAGCATCCGTGTAGGGTCCAAGCCGTTCACGTACCGCCAGGACAAGCGCGACACGACCACCAAGAATGAGCTGCTGGCTACATTTCGCAAAACGGTTGAGGACCTGCGACGAACCTTGCGCTCTGAGACCGAGGCGGCCAGCAAACCCCTGGAGGCGTACGGATATTTGTCGGGGCGGCTTTCCTATTCGCATCCCTCGGAGCCTCTCGATCTCGCCGAGGTTCCCCGCGACCAGTCAGACCTGCGGATTGATGTGGACGGCAAACAGCAGAACCTCCGCTGGGTGGAGGCACAGGTAGATGAACTCGATATCGATATCGCGTTGCAGCGGTTTGAGGCGGCGGTGTCTACCATTGAGCGGCTGCGGAAGCTGGCCAAAGGACTCAAGGGAAATGCCATCGCGCAGGAGGTGATCAGTGCCAAGGTTGACAGCCGAGCGACACGGCTGGCCGGCATGCTATTGCGGGCGTTGGTCGACACGCACTCGTTTTTGATGGCAACCAAAACCAACGTCACCTGGTTGGCCCGCCTCGGGTTTGAAGACCAGGGACGCGAGACTTACCTGAAGGCACGATCTGATGTGATTGCCAAACGCATTCGGTATGATTTTGTCTAGGGACAACCGAAGGTTTATGGGATTTTCAACTAACCAATGTCTCACAATCTCAGGGCTTGTGTGTTTGAAGGCGATCTGCCTCTCTACATCTTCCAAATTTCTTTTGTGTACTTCACCCTTATTAAAAACACCATCAACATCTATCAGCAATGCTTCGCGAACGTGATGACCAGCTCCTGCATCCGCTGGGCCCGACAGCATCTTGACGGGTTCAATGCACTTCTCGGCCGTCAGCTCAGCAGTGTACAACGCGGCACCTCGGTTTGGCAGAAGTGTTTGGATATTGTCCGCGCTCATGCCGACCTCCTGGCCGAGGTGGGCGTCGATTTTACAGATCTGGTAGCTCGCGGATTGGACGAGCAGGGCGAGCCGGCACTTTCAGGCGACGGGCCTCGCACCGTCCAGCCAGGTGAGCTGGCGCCTGCTCCGACCGCGGCGAACATGATTTAGATGGGAGGATGAGAGGTATGGCGATACCGGGATATCTGATATTTGTTGGGGGGTCTTTAGCCCATCATACAACAACACAATGCCAAAGTGTCTACATATTGTTTCTCTTCATCTTTTAGATCAACATCCACCATTGCCAGTGTGACAATAGACACTGACCGTCCCCGCCCAGATCGTCGCTACTGGCGCCGAATCCATCAGACGATACAGTGGGGACGCCAGACTTAGGGCTTCCCTCGGTCATAACAAGAGCGATGTCAGCTATGATTCTTCTCTCCCGTCTCTCCCTCCTATTTCTCCTATTTCTTCAATTCCTCTCATTTCTCCTATTCCCCTTTAATTGAATTCCTCTCCGCCCACCATGACCCGCGACATCTATCCCAAGGAAATGGAAGCCGACCACAAGGCTTTCCTCCAAAGCTTCTTCGCGGCTGTCGACGACGCAGCCGACGAGGACCTGGTCAACTACTTCACCGACGACGCAACATTCATCCTCGGCAAGCAGCAGGCGACCGGACGACAGGGTAAGCAGACCTTGCTACCCACCTTCTCGGGGAGAGCCTTGCCACTGTAGTCCATGTTGAAATTAACTGTCCCGACAGAGTTGCTCGCGCTCTTCGCCTCGCTCCGGGCCTGGGCAAGCACGCGCGGCCACGAGCTGGATCAAGTTTTCATGGCGCCGGGCACTGACTCGGCCATGATGAAGGGCACCGTCGAGTATGGGCTTGTTACCGGCGGGACGGTCGCGACCCAGTGGGCCGGGTGGGCTCACCTGGTGCGGGGGGACTCGGTGCGCATTGATCGCTACCAAATCTTCTTCGCCAGCGATGCGGCCTTCTGAGGGGTTCTTGGAGGGGAAGGGATCATCGTGATCGTAGCAGGCTTTGGGTCTCTTGGCTCAGAGGATTGACGATGATCGGGGGGCCAAAAAAAAGAAAAGAAAAGAAAAAGAAAGAAACTTGGAAAAAAAAAACAATAGTCTCTGAGAGAGAAGACTCCTTAGAAAGACATTCTTGCACATTTTTTGACACGACTCAGCATAGACCGACTTCTTTGTCCTGTTGCATCAAGTGTATATCTCCCCGAATGAAGGTCATTCTCGCCGGCTCCACGGGCTTCATCGGCGGCCAAGTGCTGGACGTGTGTCTCCAGAGCCCCGCCATCACGTCGCTGGTGGCGCTAACGCGACGCGAGCTGCCCGCCCATCAGAAGTTGCAGTCGGTGATCGTCGAGGATTTTCGGCAGTACCCGGACTCGGTACGAGAGGCCATCCATGGTGCGGACGCGTGTATCTGGTAGGAAATGTCATGTCTCTGCATAATCAAGCGCAATTAATTCTGACCCACTTCATGGTAGGACGCTGGGCAAGGCACGCATGCCCGACGATGAGACCGCGCGGCGGGTGAGTGTGGAATACACGCTGGCAGCGGCGCGAGCGCTGCAGGAGACGGCGCAGAAAAAGATTCGGTTCGTCTACTGCAGTGGTGGCGGTGCAGAGAAGGATCAGAATAAGCCGCTGTGGTTCATGCAGGAGTACCGGCGTATCCGAGTACGTGGATCACCCCCTGCATAGATTGATTTGGGGGGGGTTGTTTTGACGGCTGGAGTGACGCTGATGGGAAGTTCTCACCAACAGGGCCAAGTGGAGAATGACCTGCTGGCATTCGCCCACGATCACGCCAGCTTCGAGCCATACATCCTGCGACCTGGCATGGTGCTGTCGCGCGAGGTCAATCTGCGTAGTCTGGTGTTTAGTCTGGGGCCATCGGTCAAGGTCGATACTCTGGCCGCGGTCATGGTGGATCTGGCGTTGAAGGGGGCCGAGAGGACCATGTGGGAGAATGCCGACATCAATCAAGCATGGAGCTAACAAGAGAGAAAATGGTCTTCTTTTTTTTTTTCTTTCTTCTTCCACAGGAACTAAATGTACATGGGAGGCCTCTATATGCAAATCTTGGGTCTATGAATCTTCACACCGAGTACCACTCGTAGACATTCATGTCGTCGGTTGTGATGGACTCCGGATTGCGTCGGAACGTACGACGGTTTTGCCGCAGGAACTGCGAGGGGGGAGACCACACCGATTCCCAAGTTGCGGGATGGCTTAGCATGCTGGTGTTCTTAAGTGGGCCCATCCGGAAATCCAGGGGCTCGGAGCCGTCACCAGGGTCTGATGGCAGCCGCATATAGAAGCGAACGCCGTCGGGGATCTCCTCCTTGACATGACTGATCATGATCAGTGCTTGGTCTTTGGAAAGACCTGGATAAAGTTGCTTTCGGCGGGGGAGCTTCTCGCCGAGCTCGAGGAAAGATAGACACTTGTCTCGTTGGGACGCCGAGAGCCCGGATAAAGCCTCGTCGAGGATGACGATGTCCGGCCGGTGGACGAGAGCACGCAGGAACAGTACAATGCGCTGCTGCGCAACGCTGAGCTCCCCGAATCGTAGGTGGTCGGCATAGTCGACATCATAGTCGGTCGGCACGAAAGATGGAATAGGAGATACCGTTCCAACCTTCGGGAAGAGCTTGGGGTCCACAGTGACCTGTTGCGGTTCTTGCGGGGTCGCAGGCGCATTCGGGTCAAGCTCGGCCCTGAATTCACGCAGTATCGCAGACACGTATATATCCCGCTCGTAGTCCAACTTCGGCTTAGACAGGAAAGTTTCTGCAAAGGCTGACTCGAGCGACTGGCGTACCGTCAGTTGGCGGGGGAAGAATGCATGGATCTCCGGTGATGAGTGACCGAGGCGGGACTGCAGTTCAAAGATTGAAATTCCAGGCTTGCCAACCTCGGGCAGACGAGAGTGCCCGAACAGTTTGATAGGTTGCGAATAAGCCTGCGGGTGGTCCGAGGTGATTAGAGACAGCAAGGTCGTCTTGCCCGACCCATTAGCACCGAGGATGGCCCAGCGCTGACCCCGACGCACTTTCCAGTGTAAACCATCCACTTCCTCGCCATTGATCTTCTGCTTCCAATCACCTAGGACTGCCTTGTCGCCATACTGGACACAAACTCCATCCATCTCAATAACTGGTTCTCCGCCGAGGTAAGCGTCGATTTCCTTCACTTGTTTCCGGGTTTGCATGTGTGTGATATCCAGGAGCAGCTTCTGGTCCAGGATTCCAGTTTCCAAATGAGTTTGACCTTGGTGGAAGACACTTTGTTCCGCAGGAGTTAAGGAATCCACGGGTTTCTGGTCGACGAGATGCTGCCAGACCTGGAGGTTTTGCTCTACCTCCGGCTTGGAGCCTTGTAGAACGACCCGATGGGAATTTCCCAAAATCATTAAATGTGTTATCCAGTCCGGTACCTTGTCCTGGGGGCGAAGGGCCAAAATAAGCCGTGGGGCACATTTCTCTGCGAGACGATGAAGCAATCCAGAAATGCTTCGAACCGTCGCCGGGTCCAATCCCACTGAACAAAAGTCAGCTCGACTGTGGCATATCAAGCGAAAGAGGTCTCACACACTGAAGGGTTCATCCAAAAGTAACAGCGCCGGCTTCTTCAGCAATGCCTTGGCGATCCGCGCCCGGCGGGTCTGGCCGTTGCTGAGATTCGCGACCGGCATATCCAACAACTGGCCCAGGCGCAAATCCGAGATGACTTGCTCAAACAGCTCCTCATCATGAACAGTCCCTTTTTCTTCCCCCTCCGCCGGATTCAAGGAGGTCTGGCCTCGCAGGAACTGCTGCACGGTCCAGTCTGTTTCTTCACGGTGACTCTCATACCGAGCGCTTAGGTATGCGCCCCGGGTGCCTCCAATGTTCCCTGACCCTTCACCACTAAACCCAATGTACTGGACCGCATTGCCCACAAAGCGCAAGCGAGGATCTTTGGCGGCGATTTCATCGGTGAGAAGGTAAGGATACGAGCGCGCGGTGGGCGGGATGCTAATGTGCTGGCCGCGCAGGATATCAAGGAGGTCGGTACGGCCAGAGGTACCAATTATGGCCCAGTGATCTAATGCCGATGGCTTGTCTGGCTCGGAGAAGCTGTATGAAGGAAGGGTGAAGGAAAAGTTCGGGTAAAGAGGCAGGTTGGAAGTGTCATCGGCGGTCGGATACTGCTTGTAAAAAGTGCCGTCCTGGATATGGATGAGTGGGGCCGTCGAGACTGGCCGTATAAAGCGGGAAAATGCCAGCTGCAAGGCTCTGGGCCGCAATGAGGTCCGGGGCAGCATCGTCGCTGGTGCGAGGAGGCGCGGGCGGAGATTCGGCGTGAACAATAGGGCTGGGTCACGTGTTGGCTACAGTGACATTGCGAAGAATTCGACCATTCAATCCGCATGAATTATATCGAGGATGGATTAAATCTGTAGAATTGGGCGTGCACCGTCCTGTTGGTCCATCGTGAACAGCCTATGGTGGATATTGAGGCGTCGTGGGGAGAGACTAGAAACAAGCACCCGAGGATATAAAATACCAACACAGAGAATAGATGATCACTGCGCAATCCTTCACGGAGAAATTTGAAATTGCAATTAAGCTTATTATATAAGACTAGATATAAGCATCGGATCCATGCATCCATCCAAGTTTCTTTATCCCAACTGCGGGACTGTAGGCGACTCCACCGTTCTCCGCATCCATCGCTGCGCTTCGGGGGAACTCCGTTGGGCTCTCCTTCTCCCTGCATCTGTGCCCTGGTCGCGTATTCTGTCCAACCTCACCCTTCAAGAGTGCATTGATTCCCAATCCGCGCCTCATGTCCATTCCCACTCTGCCCCTCTTTGCTGCGGCGCAGCAGCATGCGCGCGATCCTCAGAAGATCGCGGTTCTGGACACGACTAAGCAACAATCATTCACTTTTGTCCAACTACTCGCTGATGCAGCGGCATTCAAGGAGTGCATAGTTGGAGCATTGCAATTGACCGATGATCTGGACGAGCGGCGCATTGCGTTCCTTGTCCCCAATGGATATGACTATGTAGTCACGCAGTGGGCTGTGTGGGCAGCGGGCGGCGTATGCGTCCCCCTGTGTAGGTTATTCCTGGCTCTCGAAGCTATTAGAATCTTATAGCTGACTGTCATGTATCATCAGGCACATCCCATCCCGTTGCCGAACTGCTGTATACTATCGACGATTCAGACCCCTCATTGATCATTGTCCACCCCGCGTTTGAGAAGATCTCCTCGGCCTTGTGCGAGGCATGTCCGAACATCCCGTTCATGGCGCTAGAGCCATTCACGCGCGCCAATGCGCCGTGTCTGCCTGCGTTTGTCCCATCATTTCCACTCACTCGCCGGGCCTTGATGATCTATACCTCGGGCACCACATCGAACCCGAAGGGCTGCGCCACAACGCACGAGAATATCACGTTTCAAGCAAGCTGCCTGGTCAAGGCATGGGAGTACTCCCCATCCGACCATCTGATCCATGTATTGCCGCTCCACCACGTGCATGGCATTATCAACGGATTGACGGCGAGTTTTCTGAGCGGCACGACGGTGGAGATGCACCCGAAATTCGATCCCAAGGCCATCTGGGAGCGGTGGCAGGACCACGGATCCTCGACTATGTTTATGGCCGTGCCGACCATCTACTCCCGACTCAACGACTATTTCGACACCCACATCCGTGATACAGATAAGGAAGCGGGCGCGCGAGCCGGGGCGCAAGCCCTTCGGCTGGTGGTCAGTGGATCGGCAGCACTCCCGACTCCCATTAAAGCCAAATTTGCCGAGATCACCAGACAGACGCTGTTGGAGCGATACGGCATGACGGAAATTGGCATGGCACTCAGCTGCGGACTGGCAGAAAACCAGCGGATCGATGGCAGTGTGGGCTGGCCATTACCTGGGGTACATGTACGCCTGACAGACAAGGAAACGGGGCGGGTCATCGAGGACGCCGATGAAGATGGCATGATCGAGATCCAGGGAGGCAATGTCTTCCGCGAGTACTGGCGCAAACCCGAGGCCACCGCGTCTGAATTCACCGCGGATGGGTGGTTCAAGACTGGCGATGTGGCCAAGCGCGATGCAGCCGGGGCATACTTTATCCAAGGTCGAGCCTCAGTGGACCTAATCAAATCCGGCGGGTATAAGATCTCTGCTCTGGAAGTGGAGCGCAAGATGCTGGCACTGGATGGGATCCAAGAAGTGGCAGTGGTCGGGCTGGCGGACGAAGAATGGGGTCAGCGGGTCGCCGCCGTGGTCAAAGTGCGCGAGGGGGTAAGTGTCCATGTATGAACTGTCGAGTGAGGATAATGCTGATATGGCTCCAGGCGGCGTTGGAGCTCCCAGCTCTCCGTGCAGAGCTCAAGAACAAAATGGCTCCATACAAAACCCCCACCGTTCTCAAGATTGTGGATGGGATTGAGCGCAACGCCATGGGCAAGGTCAACAAGAAAACAATTGTACAGAAATACTGGCCGGACAAGGCCTGATCAGGGAGCACGAGAAATGGTTGATACGTACATGTTTAGAGATGTAGCGATATCCATAGAAATACATGAATACATATAGATTCAATCAAGATGATTGTGTATAGTTGAAACAAAGTCTGATGAGGAGTGTAGTATAAACCATCGCCCCCCAGTGGAGGGCAACTAAGTAGCAATCCATGGAGGACACAGTCTCCACTTATTACTCTCCTCAATCATGTCTATCATCTCTCCAGAACCAGATTGCACCCTCGCCATACAACTGTACGATACCCTCATGTCTGGAACACCCATCGCGGATCCTGGTCACCCAGAAAGTCGCCCTCGGCATCACCAATATCGCCCATCAGAGGCGACAGTCCCTGGGCTTCCCGCAACTGCTCTTTCTCTGCATTCTCCTTTCGGAGAACATGCCATAGCACTCCAACCACCAGAATATTGGCCACCAAGTACCCCAGCGCAAAGCCATGTCCCAGAAAGTACCGCGGGCTAGTTTCAGTACGATACAGCTGAGTGCCCAATACTGCACCCAAGTTGCCAATGGAGATCTGCATGGCGTTGGCGATGCAGCGCTTCGTCTGGCCGGAGACGTTGTTTGCGGGCCATGATAAGACAATGGCCACGGCTGGATAAATGCCCGCCGCAGCAAAGATCGTTCCGAGGTACGATACGCCAGCCCGATGCTGCGCGATCAAAATAATGTACCCGATACAGGCCAGAGCGGATGAGCCCATGATGAAGGGCGCGCGAAGCCGGGTGCGCTCGGAGAACACCGCCACGCCAATAGTCAGGATAAAGGCCACGGCGTATGGCGGCACTGAGAGCAGCTGCGCCTGCGCGGCTGAGTATCCGAGTTCTTTGATGATAGTTGGCTAAACCAGGTCAGCAATATATTCGAGACTATATCTTTGGAATTATGAAGAAAACCCACCAAGAACAGCGACAGTGTATACAGTGGCAAAGACATCGTGTGGAATCCCAGTCCATACAACCAGACCTTGGGGTCCTTGAATGCGTCCAGCACAGCTGACCACGAGAATTTCTCGTCGCGAGTGGCATCGTTGTCATTTTTCAGGCGGAACTGAATGAACTCCCTCTCCTCCTTGGACAGAAACTCCGCAGTGGACGGGTAGTTGTATACCCAGAAATAGGCGATGACCGACACGACGATGGTCAACAACCCTTCCAGGATGAATATCCATCGCCAGCCATTGTACCCACCCACGCCTTTCATATGCGCAATGCCCTGAGACAATGTTAACATACCTCTCCATCTTCTTCTCGGAAGGAGTCTGGCACCATACCCATGCAAGGATCCCCCCAAAGGCACCCGCCAGAGACGCAGCACTGAAGAACAGCGCGACGCGATAGTGTTGCTCGTTGCGTTTATACCACATCGAAAGATAGAATACCACCCCGGGGAAGAGCCCGCTCTCCGCCACACCCAGGAAGAAACGCGACGCCAGGTAACCGGGGTAGTTCTGCACAACTCCCAGCAGTGTCGCAACCACACCCCAGACCAGGGTAAGCGTGGGCAGCCAAATCCGTGGAGTGGTCTTCTTCAGGATGACATTGCAGGGGATTTCGAAGAGGACGTAGCCGATGAAGTAGAGGGTCAGGCCGGTGAGGTATTGATTTCCGGCTACATGATTTCTTCCCATGAGCGCTGAAATATCGGATGAAATAACAAGTACAAAGAAGAATCACATACACATTTTGATGTCGGTGGCCATGCCTTCGAGACGCGCATTTCCCACTACATTCTAGTCAATAACCATTACTTTTTGTATATTTTGATATTCAACGCATCGCACCATTGCTTCGGTCCAGAAAAGAGAGCAAATACAGCAGAGTCAACGGAGGGAGCAGCAAATAGTCCAATTTGCGCAGCAAGGACTTCTCGTTGATGCCCGTGTCACCGATGCTACTCGACGAAGGCGAGGAGGTCCCTTCTTTGGCGCCGAGGTTGGCGTCAGTGGGCACATCAGCCTGCTTTTCGACAGCAGCCATGGCCTAGGAATTGGCAGAAGAAAGCTGAATTCAAAATTAACAGACGGGAATCAAAAATAAGTAAAAAAGAAGCTCATCGTGTCAATATATCTTGATCTGGTATAGAGCACACCATCCAATAACTGCTTCACGCGATGCCGCCTGAAGGCCACGCGACGGTCCACCAGTTGAAGTTTGCATGAAGTCAGCTCTCCCGGCCGAGAAAACCAGGAGAAGCATTAAAACAACAAATCAGAATGGAACCAGGGGGGTCGGGGGAAGGTAGGCAGGATGAGCAATTCAGGTGCCCCGATGACGAGCTCAAGTGGAGATAATCTCCTCTAGGGTCAGTGCAGAATTGTGGACCATCCAGAACTCTGGTTTATCTTGGTTGAAACCATCAACATCATAGAGCAGAGAGAAAGAGAAAGAGAGAAAGAGCAAAATGCTATGAAAGAATAATCAAGGTTGAATGGAGCCTCTGGTCCAAGTTAGGGCATGCTCCCAAGCCATACACAACCCTATCGAGACCACAAGTTAAGAACCAAAATATAACAAATGATTTCATGAGATGACTCCAAATGCCAATGCAGACCCAAATAAATGCCAAATAGAGAAGGTAAAAAGAAAAAGAAAACAACGCCAAAAAGAGACACGCCACGCAAAACACAAAACACACACACAACACGGAAAACACCACATAATATACATCACACATACATGGCACGGAGTCATCAAATTCATGAAACGGAGATTCGTCTAATCTATACAGCTTGCGTTCTATCACGCATACTGCACTTACGGAATATTGAGACAAGCTGGCATAACTTTTGAACCGACAGAACAGAAACCAAAGGCAACAGAAAAGGAAAAGAAGAGAATAAGAACGACATGTCTTGCGTGAGGATGTCTGTCCATGACGCTTTTTCAAGTGTCCTTTTCCCAGATGCATTATATAAAGCAGAGAGGAGAAAGGTCGATTTACGCCAGGACCAGGGCGAGCAGAGCCATACGGCAGTACAAGCCATAGCGCATCTGTAGAGACTGAGTTAGCATGGTACTAGATGGGAGATAAAGCAGAAAACGTACCTGGCGGAAGTAAGCTGCCCGCTGATCGAAGTCGACCTCCTCGGCAATCTCAGCGTTCCGGGGCAGTGGGTGCATGACTACCATGTGGCTCTTGGCGTGTTTCAGCAGCGCGTTGTCGATGACGAAGCTGTTCTTGAGACTCTCGTACTGGGCGAGGTCCGCGAACCGCTCCTTCTGCACCCGAGTCGAGTACAGAACGTCGGAGCAAGCGACGATCTCCGGGGTCAACTCCTCAGACTCCACCACCAGCTGGCCCGAGGCAACGATCTGCTGGCGGACCTCGTCCGGCAGGGCCAGGGCCTTGGGGGCGACCAGCTGAACCCGCACGTCGTAGAACTGGAGCAGCTTGATCAGGGAGTGCACGGGGCGGCCGTGCTTCAGATCACCGGTGAAAGTGATGGTCAGACCGGTCACCGTGCCCAGCTCCTCTCGGATGGTGAAGAGGTCCAAGAACGCCTGGGTGGGGTGTTCGATGGAGCCGTTACCACCGTTGATAATCGGGACGGGGGAGAACTTGGCCGCGATCTCGGTGCTGTTGGCATCGGGGTGGCGCAGCACAAGGGCGTCACCGTAGCAGCCGAGCGTGCGAATGGTGTCCTGAAGGGTCTCGCCCTTCTGGGTCGAGGAGTGCTCCGTCGAGATAGGGATAGTTCGACCGCCCAGGCGCTGCATGGCAGCGTCGAACGAGGCCGAGGTACGGGTCGAAGGCTCGTAGAAGAGCGTGCTCAAGACCCGACCCTTCAGGATGTCGAGAACACCCTGGCGCTGGACGCCAAGGCGCATCTCCTGGGCCACAGTGAACAGCAAGTGGAGGTCCGCACGAGTGAATTGATTGACGGACAGGACGTGCTTTTGACGGAACGGAGACCGCGAGAGCATCTCGTACAACGACGACGAAACCTGCGACGACGGGCCGTACAGCGGAGGTCCCAGTTCACCAACCGAGGGGGCCGTAGTTTCCAAGGTCTTGGTACGGCGGCTGGGGGTGCCGGAGACAGACAACTGTCGGTCAAGGGAACTCTCGGGACGGGGGTGCACCATGGGGGTCGTGGGCTTCTGCACAGGAGAAGATGGGATAATCCGGTGGGAGGACATGTCTGCACCCTTATTGGCATCCCGGGCAATTTCGCCATCGAGGCAAGAGGTCTTGCCCTGGAAGATGACGCGTTGCACCGAGCCGCGCATCACCTTGCCGTTGAACGGGGACCCAGCCTCGGCGCTCTGGAACAGGTATGGGCGGTCCACTTCGATCTCAAGCGAGGTTTCGGCCTGATCATGCAGCTCAAAGATCTTCTTGGGATTCTCATACAGACGAGCCACAATGTCCTCCACGGTGAGGCGGCCTTCGGAGACGGCAGTGAAAAGCAGCGGAAGCGACTCGGCAATGCCAGACACAGCCGATGCATCCTTGTCAGCAAGCTGGAACGGAATGCTGCCAATCGAGAAGACATCGATCGTGCTCAGGTGGTCCCACAATGCCTTCTGGTCCTCGGCCGAAGGTAGGAAGCCGCAGGCCGGGAATTCGTCCCGGGAGAGGAAGAGGCAGAAGATGGAAACATCACAAGTCACCTTGAGACCCTTCTCCTTGCTCAGAGCAATGAGGTTGATGTCCTCCTTGGAAGTGACGCTCATGACGTGGATGTTGCGGCTGTGGAGACTGGCCAGCAACAAGATCGAGGCGAGGTCAGTACCCTTGGCGTCAGTAAGCAGGGGCTTGCTCGAAGGCCAGGCACCAAAGTGGTTGGTAACGGTGGCCACCTTGTTGATGTTGCCCGACAGGTGGTTGAAAGGAATGAAAAGCGAGCCAACCTCTCCAGCCATCTGAATGATCTGGTCTGAATTGGTGGCAGTGGCTGAGACCGAGATGTTGAAATCGCAGTACGAGTTGTTCTGCGCATTCTGCTGGACGACCTTAAGGTCGCGGGATTCGGTAACCGAGCTCTCAACGCCCACGGGCATCACACGAATCATGCTGAAGCCAGCCGCGATAGAGGCCTTGGTCACAAGTTCGAAGTCCTTGGAACCGGGGGTGACAAGACCCGGAACGAAGGCAGCGATGTTGATAAGGCCGGGGAGGACCACGGTACGGTGACTCGTCTGGAAGTCAGTGGTTTGGATGTTGAGAGGGTAGTGACGGGCAATGGCTTCAATCAAGATCTTGGCGTTCTTGACGTTGGTGACCAGAGGAGTCTGGTAGTCGACGGCCATACGACGAGTGCGGTAACCCTTAGACATGTAGTTGGCGGGGCGTCTGAAGCGGTTGTTGGACGGCAAGTTGACGTAAAGATCGATGAGGTTGTTGGCCAAGTGCTGAGTGAGAGAGTACTCTGACTTGATGTCCTCCTCCTGACCGGGAAGGATTTCCAGGTACTTGACAGGGACACCGTTCTCCTTCAAGAAATCCGCAGTTCCAGCAGTGGCAAACAGATTGTAGCCGATCTGGTGAAGTTTCTGGATCGTAGGCAACATCTCAAGTTTGTCCTTGTATGCACCTATGGAGAACAGAATGTTGCGCTTGGGAAGGCGGAAGCCGGTGGACAGGAGTGCTTTCAGGTAAGCTTCGTACTTGTCACGACCGAACGAGGCGACTTCACCAGTCGAAGCCATCTCAACACCCAGAACGGGATCAGCACCGGAAAGACGCGAGAACGAGAACTGCGGAACCTTGACACCAACATAGTCCTTGGGCACGTTCACGGGCGGGTATTCAGCGAAGGGAATGCCGATCATGGCCTTGGTGGCCATCTCGATCAGGTCAACACCCATGACCTTGGACACGAACGGAAATGACCGCGAGGCACGGACATTGCACTCGATGACCTTAATGTCGTTGTCCTTGGCGATGAACTGGATGTTGTAAGGGCCAGTGACGTTCAGGGCGTTACCGATCTTCCGGGTAGCCTCCTCGATGCGGCGCACGGTCTCCGAGCTTAGATCCTGCGGAGGCAGAATGAGAGTCGCATCACCCGAGTGAACACCAGCGTTCTCAACGTGTTCGGAGATGAAGTGGCCAACCATAACACCGTTGCGGGCGACAGCATCCATCTCGATTTCCTTGGCGTTCTCGATGTACTTGGTGATGACGACGGGGTGCTCACGCGAAACATCGGCAGCCTGGTTAAGGTAGCTGGCCAAGTCGTGTTCCGAGTAGACAGTGTTCATAGCAGCGCCAGAAAGCACGTACGAAGGTCGAACCAACACAGGGTAACCGACCTTGTCGCAGAATCCCCTCGCTTCGTCAATGCTGGTCAACTCCTTCCAAGCAGGCTGGTCAACCTCGATGCGGTCCAACATACGAGAGAACTTATAACGGTTCTCAGCGCCGTCAATCATCTCAGGCGAGGTACCCAGGATGTTAACATTAAGACGGTGAAGGGGCAAAGCGATGTTGTTCGGGGTTTGGCCACCCATAGACATAATCACACCGGCAGAAGACTCCAGCTGGTAGATATCAAGAACAGTCTCCAGGTTAATGTTCTCAAAGTAAAGGCGATCCGCCTCATCGTAGTCGGTACTGACAGTCTCCGGGTTATAGTTGACCATGATAGTTTTGTGTCCCTGCTCGCGGAGTGTACGGATAGTGCGCACTGAACACCAATCGAACTCGACGGACGAACCGATACGGTAGACACCAGATCCGAGAACCATAATACCGTGGTCATCAAACGACAGGTCGTGCTCAGAGGCATTGTAGGTAAGATACAGATAGTTTGTGACTGCCGGGAACTCGGCCGCAACGGTATCTATCTGCTTGACAATAGGGAAGATGCCCGCCTCCACACGCATGCGGCGCACCGCAAGCTCGTTGGAGCTCAAGAACTTGGCGAGCTGACGATCCGAGAAACCCAGTTGCTTGGCCTGGCGGATCATCGGCAAAGGCACAGAGGTGGCGTTGAACGTCGTCATGGTTTTGCCGAAGTCACTCAGTCCCTTAAGTCGGGTCAAGAACCACTTGTCGATGTTGGTCAACTGCCAAATGTCATCCACGCTGTAGCCGGCCGCCATAGCGTTGGCAATGGCGAACAAGCGCTGGTCTGAAGGAGTCTGGAGTTCGCCCTTGATAGACATGAGAGCATTGGTCTCGTTGAATCCGAAGTTATGGAAATCAACGGATCGGATGGCCTTTTGAATGGCTTCCTCGAAAGTTCGACCAATGCTCATAACTTCACCCACACTCTTCATGGACGAGCCGAGCTGAGTGGACACACGAGTGAACTTCTTCAGATCCCAGCGAGGGATTTTGACCACACAGTAGTCAAGCGACGGCTCAAAGCAGGCGCAAGTGCTCTTGGTAACTGAGTTCTTGATCTCGTTTAGCGGAATGTTGAGACCCAGCTTAGCGGCGATGAAGGCCAATGGGTACCCAGTAGCCTTTGAGGCAAGGGCCGAGGATCGGGAGAGACGAGCATTAACCTCAATAATGCAGTACTCCTTCGAGAATGGGTTCAGAGCATATTGGATGTTACATTCACCAACAACACCGAGGTGACGAATGACATTGACAGCGGTGGTTCGCAACATGTTATAGTCCTCGTCTGAGAGGGTTTGGGAAGGCGCAACGACGATGGAATCACCGGTGTGGATACCGAGAGGATCGAAGTTTTCCATGTTGCAAACCGTGATGCAGTTATCTTGGGCGTCTCGCACAACCTCGTATTCGATTTCCTTCCAGCCCTTCATACTCCGCTCAATCAGCACCTGCGGACTGACGGCCAAAGCCTTGGTGCAAAGTTCCTTCAGCTGGTCCATGTCCTCAGCGAAACCACTACCTAGGCCACCCAGCGCGTAGGCCGCACGCACGATGACGGGGAAACCAATGTTCTCCACGACCTCGAGGGACTCCTCCAGAGTCGAGGCGGATGCAGACTTGGCACATTTTTCATTGATGGAATCCATGCTGCGAGCGAACAGCTCACGGTCCTCAGTCGTGATGATGGTGTCAATCGGCGTACCGAGGACCTTGACACCAAGGGACTCAAACTCGTCTTTGAGTTGAATACCGACCTGGAGAGCCGTCTGACCACCAAAGGTACAGTAGATAGCATCGGGGCGCTCGTGCTTGATAACCTTGCGGACAAAGTCGGCGTTAACAGGAAGGAAATAGACCTTGTCTGCCAAGCCCTTGGAGGTCTGAATGGTGGCGATGTTGGGGTTGATGAGAACCGTGTATATGCCCTCTTCCTTCAAGGCCTTGATGGCCTGACTGCCCGAGTAATCGAACTCACCGGCCTGGCCAATGCTCAGACCGCCACTACCCAGAACCAGGACCTTCTTGACCGACACTCTCGGGGCAGCCTTGATGTTATCAGCCTTGGCGCCACCCGGGAAGGCGACGGGCTTGTTCAGCGCCTCGGGGGAGGCAATGGTGCTCTGGATGGTGTTGATGAAAACGTCGAACAGATATTCGGTGTCCCGGGGTCCCGGGGTGCTCTCGGGGTGGAACTGAACACTGAAGAAGGGGCGGCTGGTGTGACGGATACCCTCGTTGCTCCCATCGTTGGCGTTGACGAACAGCTCCTCCCAGCCGTCCGAAAGGCTGGTGGCATCCACCGCATAACCGTGGTTCTGGGAAGTGATGTGGCATTTGCCGGAGACCATGCTTGTGCAGGGGATGTTGTGGCCACGGTTACCAAACTTCATCTTGGTGGTCTGGGCACCGACGGAGCGGGCAATCAGCTGGTGACCCAAACAGATACCGAAAACGGGCGTGCGGGCCTCCTTCAGGGTCTTTGACAAGTTGTTAATGGTGGTCGACAGCGTCGCAGGGTCACCGGGGCCGTTCGAGACGAACAACCCGTCATAGTCCTTCCCAGCGAGGTTGGGAAAATCGTAGTCCCAAGGGACAACCAGGACCTCCACGCCACGGGCAAGCAAGCAGCGCAGCTGGTTGCATTTCAAACCAACATCCAAGCAAAGAACCCGAACGGGGCGGCCCGAGGGGTGTTTCAGCGCAACGTTGTCCGGCGGCGAATAGAGATGGGGTTCGCGGGTGGAGACTGCGCGGAGAAGTTTTGGTCAGAACCCAGGCACAAAATAATAATAATAATAATAATAAGATAAAAAACCTCCCAGAATCTCCACTGGATAGAACACTCACCCTCGTTAACAAGGTTCTTTGTGTTGGGGTCCACCCAGTCGACTTGCTCAAAGTGCGATTTCCAGGTTGCCGTATTGAGGCCTTCGGGCACGTCACCGGCCCCGGACTTTTGCAGAAGCATACGGCCCAGCATGCTACCTTTTTGACGGATACGCTTTGTCAGCGCGCGGGTGTCAATGCCGTGAATAGCAGGGACACCCTGCTCCTGGAGCCACTGGCCCAGTGAGGACTGCGCCAAGAAGTGCGAGAAATCCTCGCCGGCGTAGGTTGCCACCACCAGCGCCGACACGTGGATTTGACTCGACTCAAAGTGTTTGGGCAGCGTTTTGAGAAGCTCGTCCATCTCGTCCCGCGCGGGGACACCGTAGTTGCCAATGAGTGGGAAGGTAATGACCAGGATCTGGCCGCGGTAGGAGGGGTCGGTGATGGACTCGGGGTAGCCGACCATGCCAGTCTGGAAGACCAGTTCACCTGCCACACTTTTTTCAGCACCAAAGTGGTAGCCCTGGTAGACGGTGCCATCCTCGAGCTCCAGTGCCGATAACCGGCCGCTCCCACCCCGGACGGGGATGGAGGCAGGCCGGATCACAGCACCATTGGCGGAGTTCATGGGGGGCAGCTGGTCCTGGTAGGCCACAGCACCACCTGACAAGGGGCTTGTGGGCAAAGTCGATTCCTCGAGGGAATTGGCCGGTTGGGGCATCGCAATTGGGAGGGAGGGGACAAGTCCTCTCGAGGACGAAATGAGCGAATTCAAGTCACTCTAGCACAGCATCCGCCTATATGATGTTGGGGTTGATGTAGAGAAAAGAAGAAAATGACAATGGAGAAAATGAAAGCAAAACACAAATTGGGGGGGGGGGGGGGGGGGGGGGTACTTTTTGCAGCTGCAACCAGCTGAGGTATAGAAGAAGAGAAGAAACCGCCGGCGGCAGAATAAAATTTTCGCGGGGGTCCACCGGTTGCGTTCACCGCCGCAGAGTTTTCGCCGATCGGTTGAAAGATTGGATCACTCCAAAATAATTATGAAATATTCAATTTTTTAAAACAAGGTCCTGATAATTATATTCTACATAATATCTATACTATTTCTACTCCTTATTCGATCTCTCGACTCTACGTGCATTATGCTCTCTGCAGCCAAGCGTGCTGTTGCAGGCGGTGTGGCGATCTATACTCCTGCTTGTGGAGGTATAGATGGAAGGTCCTGAGGGCCTAAATATTCCACTCATTGTTTAAAGAGCTGAATCAACCTGGTATATAATAGCAGAGATATTTTATTTGTTTTATCACCGGTTTGGGGATAGAAATACATTCAGAGGCATCAAAGTCGGTGGTTCCATGGATATCCCAAGGTACCGCACTTTCGTGTACCTATCAATATATGTCTGTACCTGGAAGAGGGCAAATGACGGAATGAGATTGTCTTCAATTTGTGTTGTTTTCATGATTTATGTTCATATTATTATTATTATCATCATTTCACATGAGGATCCCTAAGGTGTCGATCTGAGGAGACACAGCCGTCGCATGCGCAATGACGTGGGGAGCTCCGATCCCCTCCACATCCATAGCACCAGCAGACTTGGAACCTCCCGTTAATCACATTAATCGCGCTCTCTTTTGGTACTGTGATGTCGCTGTGCATGACTTATTTTTATTCTCCCTCTTCTTTTTGCTCTCCATTATCCCCTACCCCGACTCCCTTTACACGATGCTGTGAATCCCCTCGTCTTGATATTCCTCCGAACCTCGGCCATGCAAGGTTGAGGTCCACGTGAAATCTTCGACATGCTGGGTTCTCTGCTTCGTCCGAAACACCGTCGCCGCCATACTGAGCAATCGCCTCTCTCGTCTCAGTTCGCCACCCGAGACAACTCTCCATGGGTTCGAGCTGCTGCCACGCGAGGCGCGTCGAGACGCGCCCACATAATCGACAGCGAGGATGATGTGCCGGAAACCGAGGCGATGGGTGAACAATGGGATGGAGAAGAAGAAGGCGAAGAAGATGGACCGGTCGAGTCAACACCATTATTGCCCATTTTCTCTGCCTCGTATTTGGGTACGAAGGCTTCCCGACCAAGATGAACAGCTAGAACAGTTGGGATTAACCCCAATTGATATCCAGATGTCCTCCCCGTCTACGACATTACCCATGCCATCCGTCCCCTGATCGCCGACCGCTGTGAGACAACCTTGACCTGGGACCAGTTGCGCTCGCCGCAGGTGTCGCAGTTTTTGATCAAGCCCATCCAACAGAAGATCATGTCCGCGCATTTTTCGCGAGCCACGCTCTATGCGTTAATGGCCAACTGCCTACAATTCGAGAAGGAGATCCATATCAACCCAGGAAACAGTGGGACTAGCCAGACGCGGGCGATGGTGAGCGAGTTGCTTGCCATCAAGTTGTTGAAGGAATACACCACCCGTGAATTGATTGATACCCTATCCTACGAGTTCAATCCCCTGCAGGGCCAGGATTCATCGGCGGCATGGAATCTTGGTCCACAAGGCAAGCGGCTGGTGGGTTCAGCTCGCGTGTCGTGCCTAGAGGTGGCCATCCGCGCGCAGGCGAAGCGATTTTTGGCCCACCCGGTCGTGGTACAACAATTGGAGGCCATCTGGGCCGGCACTATTGTTTTCCACTCCGCTGCCGATAATCTACACCGTCGGCTGAATCGACGCCCAACAGCTCGGGGGTTGGACTATGGAACATCACCAAGCCCCAACGCTGACTTGATGACCGATCCCGGAACTGGGGCTCTACGGAGATCGGTGACCTTGTACAACCCGCGCGACGCATCGCTTTTCAAACTATCCCGACTGCGGGTGCCACGCTACCGTCAATTCCTATCCACTCTCTCGTTTGCGGTTCTCTTAGGGTTGTTTCTTGCTGTTCTGACAGAGCGCAGCCGGAGAATCACGTCGCTCGAGATTGTATTTTGGTTTTGGAGCGCCGGGTTCATGCTGGATGAGATTGTTGGATTCAACGAGCAGGGCTTTAGCCTTTATCTCATGAGCTTTTGGAATGTCTTCGATCTGGGGATTCTCCTTCTGCTTTTCTGCTACTACTGCCTGCGGATCTATGGCACCATGCTGACCCACCCTCGAAACGACCAAGTTGCAGGCCAAGCATATGACGTCCTCGCGGCGAACGCAGTGCTTTTGTTCCCTCGCCTGTTCTCGATTTTGGATCACTATCGCTATTTCTCGCAACTGCTGATTGCGTTCCGGATCATGGCCTCGGATTTGATCGCAGTCTTTGTCCTGATCGTTATTGCATGCAGCGGCTTTTTCGTTGCTTTCTTATCCTTCGGGGATAATCATTCACCAAATGCCGTGGCTTACGGCCTGTTCCAAATGCTGATGGGATTCACGCCTACTGCTTGGTCCATGTGGGACGAGTACAACGTCTTGGGCAAAACGATCCTGACCCTCTTCCTCTTTATTTGTCACTTTGTCGTGGTGACCATTCTAATCACGGTCCTCACCAACTCTTTCATGAGAATCGTCCAAAATGCGAACCAAGAACACCAGTTTCTGTTTGCTGTCAATGCCATCTCGATGGTCAAGTCTGATGCACTATTTTCCTACGTGGCGCCGACAAATGTTCTTGCCTGGATCGTCACGCCGTTCCGATATGTGATGCCGTTTGGCCAATTCATCCGACTCAATCGCACCATCATCAAAATAACCCATCTCCCCATTTTGTTCACTATCTGCTTGTACGAGAAGACGATTCTGAGTGCCCGGGTTGTCGAGCCGATGGATCTCGTCGACGCTGCGTCGCATAAAAACACCCCTACCCGCGCTCAAAAGTGGCGGCCTAGCCGATTCCGCGCCTTCAGCACCAAGGTGCCACGTTTGGTGCGCGAGCCTTCCGTGGCGACATATCGGAAGGATCAAGCCTTGGAGGAAGTATTTCGACGCACATTCGCCGATGAACGTATGCGAGGGCCAACGAGCAGTATCCGGGAGCATCAGAACCACAGTGTCATCAAGGACTGGATGCAGGAGGTTGGTTCCGGGCCTACCCACGCCCCGGATGAGCAAGACTCGGTGGAAGTGGATCATCTTGAGATGCGCCCTCGACGAGTTCAATTCCCCTTCCGCAAGGCATTGGCTTCTCGCCCGCGCAATTTCACTGAGACGACCCGCTCCGTTGCATCCAATCCTGAGGAACGAACTAGTCATCTTGTCGGCCCAGCATCCGGAACACGCCGCACTGGAAATTCGGAATCACCGGTGCGAGCCCGGCAGCTTTCACAGCATACCGACATGGAAGGCGATGATGAGCTGACCAGCGAGGATGAAGGCTCCAACGATGACAACAAGTCGAGCAAAAATCCCGGAAGCGATGATTCCATGCCCATAGGAAGTTCCGAGAAAACAACACCCAAGTTCTATACCTCTCGTCCATCAACGGCGAGGCTTGTCTCGCGCCGAAATAGTCCAACGCGCCGTCCTAAATACACACGCACGACCTCTGGGATAACCATGCTGTACAACCCCGTCGGTTCTCCGAATGAAGGAACCGAGGGCAGGTCAACCCCGCCGCGACCAGCCAGCGACACTTCTGACGATGATCGACGTCCGTTTGTCTCCACTTCCGCGGATCAAGGCACCGTGAAGAGAAGCCCCGGGGTGGCTCGCACACGAACCACCCCTCTTGGGGTGAATCCGATGTCTGTGCCCGAGCTCGATGGTCTTTATTTGTCCAATCGACCCACAGCTCGACCTCGACCGTCCCTCCTGTTTGATCTGGGGTCGGATCTCGGGGACAATAAAGCAGTGGCTGGTGGCTTCGGCGCCATCCCCTCCAGCTTCAATACTCAGATGGCGTTTGCCACGGGTGGGCTCCGACGTGACGCTCCAAACCAAACCCAGGACATGCTCAGCAAGCTGGTTCTGGCCCGCATGAACAACATCGAAGAAGGGTTCCGCGAGATTATCAAAGAGGTCAAGGACCTCCGGCGCGACGGGTCCAGTCGTAGCCAAAGCCGGGCCGACGAACTTCGTGCCGTTGGACGTGAGAAGAAGAAGCGCGGGGAGAAAAAGGATCCCAAGAAACGGCGGACCGACTCCCAGGAAAGCCGTGGCAGCAATGAGGCGGAATATCCCACCAAGTCTGATTAGCGGGTTGTTGAATTGTTTGTGATTTGCCCAGATAACCTCGCATCGAGTCTTGTACATGTGGCTCGCGGTGGGACAGAGGCTACCCAAAGGTGTTCGATCCCCATGTGTACGTCAAGATAGGCGAGCAGAAGAATTGAACACTTGTAGATAGTCTATGAGGGTTTTTTTTTGTTCGAGTCTTTCTGTTGCGGATACCATATTGTGCATCTGTGGATAGCACATACATTGCCTTGTTCTTTTATTGATCCGAATTTCATGTATGGGGAGACTGTGGTCCAACCTCCATATACATTCCCCTTTGTATACACACGGCACTCCCGGCATACTCCTTCTGCAGTGGTCCTGTCACTTCTATACCGACCCCCGTGGCACCGAATATCCTTTCCGCGGTGGTCGGGCAGTCTTGTTCCCCCACATTCGTCTGTAACTTGTCACCTCCCCGGAATGCCTCCATCTCTTCATTGGACGCGACAAATGTACCTCTCTGGGGAGCCATGAGACGAAAGAGTAGCCACGCTCCCGCAATGACACCGGCGACACTGAGCATAGCAATGTTGCGGGATCTGCGCAGAAAATGGGCGTCAGGGTCCACGGGGGTATAGGAGTCGGGGCCCAGGAAACTGACTTACTTCATGGGTTTCCGGCCCGAGGGCACTGAGGATCCTCTGGTTACCACAGCCATGCTTAACTGGTATTCAGAAGAAGACTGAGCTCTTGGGCAAGGGGGATGGAGTCAATTTCCAGAGTCTAGGATCTCGGGCCATAAGTATGCGATGACCCGGACTACAGACCCGATTGGATGCAGTAGAACACTTAGGGCTGGGTCTGCATACGATGACGTCGCAAACTGGACATCGTCATGGGTAGCCACAGGAAATAAATCAATCACTCTTAAAGAAACAGAATAAATTCTTTAATAAGCTGAGTCCCTCTAACTATAGAACCAATATCGACCACTGCTCTCACTTTTCTCCGAATGACATTCGACCTTGTCTGACCACAACAGTATGCAGGTGATATCCACTATATTACGCAGTCTTTCTCTATGTGCCCAAGTATTGGTCCATGCTTGGCCCACATCCTACATCCTTATTCCAGGCATCAAGATCATCTCTGGCAGCTGAAGAGTAACACCAGCGCAATGGAAGATACTACCTCCCAGTAACTTACCTACCAGGTATTGTTTTTCGTACGGCTTGAATTTGGCGTTTCCACACTCCAAAGTCAGCCTTATAATCTAAATATTTTCTAGCAGTGATTGCCCTGGTTCATTCAAGCAGGACCCACTGGGGGGACCGCAGTGGGGTATCTGGTACCTGTGCCACCCTATTCTCATAGCTTCTTAGAGCAGGAGTCTTGGGTATCTGACAGGTTCCACTTGGAAACTGTGCCATCTACGCACTGTGCTCCGGCCATGTTGGATGTTGGAACCCACCCCCAATCACACCCCTCTGTCCAATTGATAATCACTGAGGCCATGGCAAATGGCCGTAAATTCCTCTCGACCCTGGGGGATCAAGCCGCAGCCAAGCCGCGCGCCGAACCTCGTTTGTCCAGGCATCCGCTTGAGCCGCATACACATGCGCGACTCAGCATGATTCCCATGCCTCGTTTTGATTATTTTCCCCTTCTTCATCAACCGCTCCATCTGAACCGGCATCAAGATGGATTTGAATCCTCCGAGCTCGGAGCCTCTGGATGAGCCACGGGCTCCAGTCAAGGACATGTCTTCCAGCCCCAAGACTACCCTCCTCCCCCTCCTTCTGTTGATGGATGGTGCGGACACGCTGGTGTACATCGATCCGGCTCCCACGACCTCTGGCGGCTCCAACTACCTTGGCCTGGGGAGAATCATTCCTCATCGGGTCCACAGTGAGAAGTTGCTGGCGACGGGCTCGGCCTCCTTCCAGCGGCTCTTCCTGCCGCGATACCAGACCCGGGTGCAAAAGCAGCGTGGCTGGGCTGAGAAGCTTCCGGATGGCATCAAATATGTCCTTGATCTGACTCCCCCACGCTGGATGAAGATGCGATCATCTTCTTGACCGAAGTGTCGTGTCCACTGCCCATTCGCACATGGGCGCTGCAGCAAAGCAAGTGGGAACTGCCGGAGTCATGTGTTGGAGGAGAGGACGAGTTGGAGGAAATGGAAAGCACGTCGATCTCCCCCGCGTCGTTCATTCTCCCGGACAACGAGGGTGGTCCCGAGGATGAAGCGCCTGAGGGTCAAGGAGAGAAATTTCACCAAGTCAAGTGGTCCGGCTTGCCGGTGGAATACTCCGCGTCTCGTCATCGCGAAGGCATCGAGCACATTCTTCATGTCCTGGAGGGGCTCAATCCCAAACTCGACACCCCGTGCAAGCTGTGGACATTCTTTGCGGTCGCAAAGATCCTCGATGTGGCTACGGTTCCAGCTGTCAGCGACCATATCCTTTCGTGGTTCTATGAGTCACACAACGCGCGGTTTATCGAAATCCATCCCGAAGTGGCCTATCGGGTGGCCTGTGGGATCAAAGCCAGCGCCTTATGTCGGGACGCCTTCGTGGGACTGGTTGGAGATGAAGCTCTTCTCTATCTTATCCGTACTGCGAATCTCACCACAGTCATTCCACGGGCAGAAGCCACTTGGAGTCGGATCCAGGACTTTCTGGATGATACCGAAGTGCAGCGAATCGAATACGCCAGCAAAAGCTTTGCCGACTACGTGGTCAGCCGCTTCTTGAATTTAGCTGGAGCAGAGATGGCCTGGCTTGCGCAAATCCCTGAGTTTGGGAAGCTCACTCAACACCTGCACGATTACCCTGAGGATAATGATATGGTGCTCCGGCTGATCAATACCCTAAAAGACCGCATCCGCCAGCGGATTTATGCAGCCTTGAATGATGTGAGAGACACCTGGCGAACCGAAAATGCCATTCAATCCAGCGGTAACGCGTGCGATCCGCACTACAGCAATCTCAAGCCCATGTTTGATAATCGGGATATCCTGCAACGGGTCATCGGAAGGAGGTTCTGGTTTCGAATGACAACTTCTAACTTAGACGCGAAGATATTTACTTTGGTGGACCCCAACCACAATTCGCTGGCGGAGGTCGGCAGTCCCCTTCTTGCCTTTAGGGGCCAGGAGAATGCAAAGATCCGACGTAATGTCCCATGTTCAGAAATCGACCGCCGAGTCCACGATTTCAACGCCTATGCCATCCTGAGAGCAAACTCGAACTCCAACATGCGCGATGCGCATCTTACCAGTGAAAATCGCCTTTGGAACCTGACCATCAATCCCCGCCGGCCGCCACCAACATCCGAAGTCAACCGTCAGGCCTTGGGCAGTGAGTCTATGGAAAATCGCAATGTTGGTGCATCTCCTTCATTCGGTGCTTCACCGCTGGAGACCTTCCCATCAAACCAGACGACCTCGTCGACTTCCCCTACTCCGTCGAACATTCCAGAAGTCACATTTAACCTGACGGCATTTTACATCGATGCGTCCTGGTATATCAATCGCCAAGCAAGGAAGATGGTGTTCCCGCGTGAACGTCACTCAATTCACCTGGACATCACGGATACTCTCACTGGTCTCACAGAGAATGAGTACCGCTTCCTGCCTCTGTGGGCCGGTGGCAATGACGACGGAACCGGGGGCGTCTTTACTGACCACAACATCCCGGCCATGGAGACCGATGGATTCTCGGCACCAGGTCCCTCCTTTCACACTGGCAGCGCTGCTTCCAACGACGACTCGTTCAGTGACATTAACCCGAGTGACTCCCAGAGCACCGTGCAGCGCGCATCCCACCACGCTACCTTGAGTCATGCCTCCGATGTTGTGTCCGTGGACTCAATGGACCTTAATTCAGATACCAGCCATGACCACCCGCATTATCAAAACACCTTTGAACACCCACGGGGTACCGATGTTGTCTCGATGTCCTCCGGTCTGTCCATCGATGAGAATGAAGAGATCGACGAGCAAAGCGACAGCGCCAGTACGGCGGTCATAGACTCGCCGACTGAGCTCACAGATATTCTGGATGAGGTCGACATGGAAAGCATGGATGACGATTTCGAGGAGCTTTGATGAAGATGTTGGGTTTGAGCTTGTCAATAAGCATCACTAAGGTTCTTGCACTCTTTTCTTCGGGAAAAATTGACTGCATCTACGGCTGTTTTGTGATTTAAAATGAGAAACGAAAATTAAAACAAGGAGATCATGATACAATGAGTTTCAGAAGCTTCCAGACAGTTGATTTTCTATCAAGGAGTTTGAAACCACATTTATCTTCCTCTTTCCACACCCAACAGCTTAGACCCATTACCAATACCCTACTATACAAGGTGCATAGTTTTTGATGTCTTAATGAATGCTAAATTTCGAAAATCCTGGTGAGAGCCCCAGTTTCTGGTTCAGAGCCATCGAGTAGATCGGCTACGTATAGATCCGCAGAGCAGAACACGTGATGCTAGATCCACCATGTCGCGAGGTTCAACCTTGGAACCTTCGCCAACCTGTCTCGCACTCAACATCTTGTATCGATTCGACAGGACTAGCTGAAGAGTCAGATCTTTCTGTTAGGTCTGATTTAAGTCTTCGTACCTTCCTTGCTCTTGCCACTCTTTGACCTGGCGACTTCAGCAAAGGTCGCTGACATCATATCACCATGGCCTCTTCCTCGAAGCCGCCGAGCTCCCTGCTCTAGTAAGAAATGCCCCAGATCGAGTCAATACCAGCTCTCTAACCTCAAATAACCAGCTCCTGCATTGCTCACCGCACCACCATCCTCGCCGAACACTCCTCTCCCGGCTCCTCGTCGACCTCGGCGTCATCGCTAGCCTCTATCATCCTCCCCAAGATCACACACGACAAATCTCAGAAGCTCACCTTCACACATGACCGGCTGTTTGTCCACTATATTGCAGACTCGCCTGCCGACGAAAATGGCAGTCGCACGGAGCCCAGCTCCCACGCACCCCTCAGCTTCGTCGTGGTCGCGACAGCCGAGCAGGGCCGCCGCATCCCGTTCGCCTATCTCCTTGAAATGAAACGAAACTTCCTCTCCTCCTATCCGCCCTCCAGCACCGAGTTTGCTTCACTCCCCGCCTATGGCTGCGCCGCCTTCAACGCTGAGCTGCGCTCCCTCCTGCAAACCTACAACACCGCTCCGCCTGCTGACTCGCTTGCCTCGGCACGACGTGAGATCGACAGCGTGCGCGATATCATGACCGAGAATATTGAGCGTGTCTTGGAGCGTGGCGAGCGTATCGATCTTCTGGTGGATAAGACCGACCGACTCGGCGGCAGTGCACACGACTTCCGTATTCGCAGTCGCGGCCTGCGTCGACGGATGTGGTGGAAGAATATTAAGCTGGTTGTTCTCTTGGTGGTTGTGGTGATCTTCCTCCTTTATCTGTTTATCGGCATGGGATGTGGTCTGCCCGCCTGGTCCCAGTGCGTCGGCCACAAGAGCCAGGCATAAGCCTCTTCCCCTGTCCCTCATAATGCCAATTGAACATTTCAGCGAGCGTCAATTTGACTTTTTTTTTTGCCCCTCTCTTTTGGGAGGACTTTATGGTTCTTGATTATGAGGCACGATGCGATAGGGCTTTTTGCTTTTTTTTGGTGCTTAATTTGCTGTTTCCTGGACTATTGTCCCTCGGCTGTACATTACGTCCAACCAATTTGCATGTTATCATATCCTCGATATCTCTAATGCGTCGAGCCATTCTACTATTCCATGGTCCTCAAATTCTTCGACGCCAGGCATTGTGTGCAACTTTGGAACATGTCCGCTTTCATGTGATGTCATTGCATGCGGGCAAGTATTAGACGTGTAAGAAATTCAATTCCTTGTTTTTTTTTTTTTTTTTTTTTTTTCTCGAGGTCGATGTGACTTGCTCCAGTGTCGAGGTAATCCATGGCATGGTGGGAAGCAAGCTAGTTTTCAAGTCTAGTCAGAACTATATATATCCATGACCAAACCCTACGTGCTTGGGTTGATTTGATGGCCCGCAATAGTTACAGCTTCTTTGGCTAGGAAACTTCTGAAATGTTGCTATCTCGGCAGAGCAGTGGTGAGTGTTGAGGCTGATATGATACAGAGCAGACAAGCATCACGTACGCTAAAATATAGATGAAAATTGGATATATTGCTAGCTTCAAGCGAGTAAAACACCATCCAACAGAGTCAAGTTACGCTCTACACTTTTTGTACAAGATATGTCCCTCACTATCAAACCCACATCCTCCGAGCCACAAGGCATCAGTGCAGGTCTGCAAGTGAGACAGAACCACCGCTGGTCGGTGACCAGTGCAAGGCAGAATCTGCAATTTCTTCTACGCCAGTCGTTTACCTCTTCAACCATGAAATCCGTCTTCAAAAGAGCGGGATTGACGAGGAGATAATGTGGCGAAACTCTCGAGGAGTCCAGTAGGAACTGCGGTGTCCAAGTCATGAGACACCGGGGAAGGGATCCCAAGATCGACACAGCCGATATTAAGCGGAACAGTTGTAAAAAGGTCTGTGTAGCGGAATTGCCGAGGAATGGCCTATATGTGCGGGTGAGGAAAGAGTCGGCACTACCAGTCCGCCTGGTCAAGCAAACCCTCAGGGGAACAGGGCAAGCTCGTCGCAATGAAGGTCCAGAAAAGGCCTCATTGTAGCGGACTGGAGCTGGTGGTTTTGGGAGCCGTCGAATACTCCAGCGAGGTCATTGCAACATGAACCCAACTTCAAAGAAACCCTTTTTAGTCGACATGGTCTTGCCGGGTCACGGTTCTTGGTAATCTGCTCAAGGATCTCGTCAGGTTAGTCGAGATTCAAAGTGTATTCCATGTCAGACATCTTGACAGGACATCCTTGGGGAGATCAAGGACATGGCCGTGTAGTTGAAGAAGAAAAACGCGAGAGATTCGTCTTTTCCTTTGGACCTTGGTGCGTCATGTGATTACCAACCATTGGGCTTTCTGATTGGCGGACGCGGGACTCTTCGCCTGGTCCCGACGCGTGAGGCGCAAAGAGCTGCGGCATGAATGTTAACGCTGCTTCTTCTTTCAAGGCTTGTCTCGCTGGCTCTCTCTATGGGCCCTGGCCTGCCTTTGGGGCTCCCTCCAATTCCTTGTCATGATCTAGCAATCATGACAAACCCTGACGTCGATAATCTGGATTGGTTGCAAGCATATCTGCCGAACCGAACCAGTAATGCTGCTCCTAGCTACAATGCCATGGAAAGCCGTGGGCCTCAGCCGCATCCAGCATTCAATGATGCAACACAGATTGCTCATGGTGCGCTGATGCGGTCTCAACAGAGTCATTATCCATACAACACGCCCTCATATCCTTCGGCCGAGACGAATCGTGGTTTGACCTCATCTCAATTTGGTCACAATTCACAAGGACAACATGATGGGCCCCAATACAGAGACAGCCAGAGACAGCAATATGTCAGACCGGCTGATATCAACCCTCCCACCTTTTATCAGCCTGATGTCTCCGGCCGGTCGTCTGCTTCCAGCTCGCCCTCAATTTCGACGCGACCATCTCAGCAGACCCCGCAGCCACAGACCCAAAGGTCCTATCACCCGGCAACTCAGCAAGTGGCATCACGCAGTTCGTACCAGAACCAGGCTCCTGTATCCCAGCCTGAATCTCGGCAAGCACAAACACCCCAACAATCAACAACCTGTCGACAACCGATCTCGCTGAGCACCTACCCGAGTCAGTACCAAAATCAGTCTCCTGCAGCCTCCTCCGAATCTCGCCAAGCGCAAAACCACCATCAGCTAGCAGGCAATCGGCAGGAGACCTCGCGCAGTCCATATCAGAGCCCGTACCAGAATCAGTCACCCGCACCCTCGGAGACCCCTCGAAGGTCTTCTACATCTCCTGCAGGTCATTCGAACAGAGGCAGCCCCTTTATAGCGCCGGGAAATACAAGACCGGTGACATCAGGCCAAAAATCCCACACGCCGGTCACCAACCCAGTGCCGTTGAAGAGCCCGCAGCAGAACCCGGCCAGTGCATCTACCCAACCTGCGCCTAAATTGGCAACGTCCACTTCGGTGTCAGACCAGCCAAGCTCATTTATGAGCTCGGAGACTTTTAATCCCATGGTCTCTCCTAGAGGTTTCAATACCTCTGCGAGCCGCAGTACCTTGGAACCCCGTTCACTCGTTGGAAAGGGGTCCGCAACTCCGGCCTCCGCACCTCTCGCCTCCAAAGTCTCGCAGGCTTCTCCTCAAGGCTCTTCTGCAACTACGAAACCCGCAATTGTTGCTGCAGCCACGCCCCCTACTTCGACGCAGGAACTGAACACCACCATGCCATCTACAGCTCCGGCATCGACTTCGGTTACAGTCCATTGCCATCAGGCCCCGTCGGGAATAACGCCCGTTTCTGCCACAACCACAAGCCCGTATTTCCCTGGGAAACCTCATTCACGGCCCGTGTCTACCGGCAAGCGCGGGCGGCCTCGAATATACCCGTCTCCGGAGCCTCGTGCGAAGCCACCGGGGCCTTCAAAAGCAACAACGTCATCCATCTCTACTGCTGCTTCCCAGCCGCCAACCGTTAGCTCGTCTCCTGCCTCTAATTCAGAACAACTGCGAAAATTGCCACCACCGGAAGGTTCGAATCTTGCTGGGTCTCGACTACCAGCCGCCCCTACCCCTCCCAGGACGATGAATGCAAGGCCTCAACACGTTTTGCACTCGTCTCAAGCCATGCCTCCGATTGGAACATCCGGGGCTGCGTCAGTCATTCAGAAGACGGGAACTCCCAGCTCCCAACCCGGCTCCATTCAACCTAATACCCATCCGAAGTTACCGCCTACATTCCCAGTCACGCAGCCTTCTTCTAAGCCGAGTCATGGGCAACCGCCTAACAAGGTCCGCCGCATACTCTCTCCCGGTGGCCCCACTACGCCTTTGTCTGAGCCTCCGAGCAAGATCGATCTGTCGCGATATCCAAACCCTGCTTCAAGCAGCCATGTCAAACTTCGGACCGATCTTTGTCAGATTCTAGACAAAAACGATGCAGCTCGGAAGGAAGAATATGACGCGACGACGATCGCTCGGGATGTGTTGATCAACGCGAATAGACACCCGACTGAGAAGCATCTGAATCATCATCTGGAGAAAGTGCGCAACAGCTTCTCGCTTGACTTGCGAGTGGACCTAGCCACTTTCCGTTGGGATCTAGTTGATGCCCCTAGGGATCGGGTTCATGTCCCTGCCAAGCCGGTAGGGTCACATGATCATGGAATGCGACCTGAGGCCGCTCAGTATTATAGCCCACTGGCCGCGTTGCCGTTCAAACCCCATTCATATCATTCTCGTCCAATTTCACCTTCGCCACTTCCACCCGTTCGATCCACCCCTGTTCCCTCTTCGAAGCCTCCTCAACCTCCTACCCAACCTCCTGCTCAACCACCTAAGTCGCATCCTCCCCCGCCTTCACCCAAGACCACACCGACACGGAAGCGACCGTTGCCTACTGAGGCAAGGCCAACGTCGGCCCAGGTTTCCCAGTCTCCTAGGACTCATGAGCTTTCTCAGCCACAGGTTGTGATTCCTCCGTCGCCAAACCCCATGCCTCCTAAGAAGAAGCCTGGTCGACCTCCTGGTCGGCCCGCCGGTCGCACTCCTGGTCGACCTAAGAAGGTTGAGGTTGCTATCACGAAGCAACCGCCTAAGCCTGCTAAGGAAGTTCCAAAATACCAGGTCTTCTCATGTCTCTGGGGTGGCTGTGCAGCAGAATTACACAACCTAGCGGCACTCCAAGGTCATATTTTGAAGGTTCATGTCCCTCATAACATGTATTGCGAGTGGAAAGAATGTGAACGTCCAGGCCCTATGACCGCTTCAAACCTGTGGGAGCATGTCCACAAGACACACATGGAGCCGGTGGCGTGGGAACTGGGGGATGGACCAGTGGTGCCTGGAATCGGTGAGCATACATGAATGACTAGCAGCTGGCAGTCATGCATTAAGGGTGATTTTTGTTTTCTGGATTATGCAGGTATCTAATGGGATCAATCCTCTAGCGGACAAGAAACTCCAGGGCCCGCCCTTCAGCCCGTCCTTCAGCCCTCTGACCAGTCACATTTCACGCAAGCCCGCTATGATTTTGCCAGCTGACCCCAGCATGATCAATGCATTCAGCCGGGTGCATGGTACTACTGTGATGGTCCACAAGGCTAAAGCTTTTGTCAATGGTGGATCACACTGGAAACAACAGACTGGGCCTGAGGTGGATCAGAGTGACCGGAAGTTGTCTACCCCATCTCGACAGTACAAGGCCGATGACAAAGATGTGGCATGTCTTACAGTCTATTGATGCATTTCTTGTCTTTTTGATACCCTTTGCTTTTCTGATTGTTATTCTTCAACCGAGAAATTGGCGTTCTGATCGGATTCGAGCATGGTGCATTATGACAGGAGCGAGTCCTCATTTTTCACCCTTTGCATTTGAGGGTCTACTGATTAATTTGATTGAGGCAATATGCAACCAACGCCTACCATTTATGTGTAAGGATAGCAGAAGAGAAAACCAGTTAAATTTCCCTTGGCATGGCCATGGCACCTTGTTCTTGCTGCATATTGATCTTTTCCTTGTAAACTGGTATTATACATTGCCCATCCAATAGCACCCGACTGTGGTATCATGTATTCTGTCGTGTCCTTCTGTCCTCCAAAGCTATTCTCCCTCGGCAACTCCCACGGAGCAGGTAATCTACCTCCCCTTTCCAGCAGCCGCGGCATGTTCCGTGGGTGCCGGAGAAGACCCAGCGACATTCTTGGAGGGTTTGACACCATCTGTAGATTCTGTCTCGTCATCACGGGCATTGACATCGAGGAAGTGGTAGAGGACGATCATCATCATGGCACAGGTGCCCAGGAAGATGGCGAGGCGGTAGAGGTCATTGTCGGAGATCATGGTGGAATGATGAAGAGAATCGGCTGAAGAGAAAGAAAGTGGACGCAGAGAATGGCGACAGAGACAAAGGCCGTGGATTCACAAGGCGATTATGTCGGTCGGAAGAGGCGCGCAGATGGCGTTGCGACGCTTTAGCGGATTGGAGAAGACACGTCGGTCAATGCTTCTCGAGTTTACACAATGGAGACGTGTGTGATTTGGTGTGAAATGTGCCAGGAAACGAGATTCCAGCTCCTTTTCTGGTTAAGATGTAGTTTGTAGAGAAGAGAGAGAGAGAAAGGTAGAGAGAGAAGTGATGGATGGAGTGAGGTGGCCGATCTGAGCGTCCACTGGTCCACCTGGCCCCTGCTCCCTATAAATGTATTTCCACATCGACACTCTCTTGCTATTTCAGCCATTTATACTATTAACTGGAGTCAATGACGGTCAATCCTGCCAAAAAAAAATGTAGCTTATGGCTTATAGCTATCAGCCCTCGATCACTGGCTCCTTCGTCTGATGTCGCAGACCAAGTCCCCCTGTTGCACGAACCACACATTCTTCGTCTCCCAATCCCTCTCGGGGTGGTGCAGCTCAATATCAAATTCGCGCAGCAGTTGTTGGACAACATTCTGCATCTCCATGAGCGAAATGTTCTTTCCGATACAAGTCCGCGATCCAGCCCCAAAGGCGAAGAAGCTTTTGCTCCATTTCCTTCAGCTCTTCCGGGGAGCTCTGAAGCCAGCGCTCAGGCACAAACGCGTCTGACTCAGGGAAAACTTGTGGGTCTCGATGGAGAACCCACGCATTGATGCAGACTACTGTCCCGGCGGGGATTTCTTTCCCACAGATGGACGCCCCGTCCGAGGGCACTTCGCGCTCGAGGATCAGTTCCACAGAAGGACGGAGTCGCATATCCGTTCGAAAGCAGGAGGAGCACGAGTGCTGTTGATAGGATATAGACCGCAGACATTGCGAGGGAGCCATGGAAGAGTATTTCATGCATCTTGAATCTGAGAAAAAGCACGGAAAGACTGTTGTTGGACAACATGGGTACCACTGGTATTTCGACTCGACTTATATACTCGCAGTTGACATTGATCGGTCCGATTGCTTCTCTGCCCAAACCACATCGGATCTCACTAGGGGAGTATCTAACAGCAATCAAATACAACTATCCCATAAGACAAAGGGGCCTCCAACATACACAGACTGCGGGGCTCTACCGTGCGGGATGACGAGTTGGCAAGGCCTCAATGGTCAGCAAGTTGATGCTAGATGCATCGGAATCCCTCGTTCTTCGGATCGGATCTCTCGCCCGGAAGCTGATGGCAAGAAAGTCTAGACTCAATGTGATAGTGATAGGGCTTGGAGGTTCGTGAGCCTTGAATCCGGTATTTTCCTTGGGAAGTGAGTTGCTCTCTTCTGCGCCCAAGTTCAAAAGTACAGTCTCAAATCATCGTCGGCTTTTATATTTATGTCAATTCCATAGTGGTGGTAGATCTAGCCCTAGAAGGAGGTATTTCAGGTATTTTGGTATTTCTTGGAGATGGGACGAACCCTCTCAAGGACGGCGGAGAATCTTGGAATGCCAAAGAATGATTATGAATCATGTCCGACGTATTTATGCGAATTCTTGTGACGATCCCCTTTGCATCGGCATATGAACCATTCTATTTTATGTGTAGCAAAGTCTCCAGTTCTTTGAGTGATGTCGATCTAATACTCCTGGTATATCAGTCCGGTTCGCACCCAATCCCAAATCAATATGCTGAATGTCCCCTCAGTCAGAAATAAACCATCCATGGACAATCGCAAGGTACTTTTGCTCCGACTCGAGTATCTTCCAGGGGCAACCCAGCCGTGTTCCCCTCAACGGTGCCACAATGGACTGGTACGACGTAATACCTGCTCCTCCAGCCATTTGACCGCGGCAGCACAAGTACTCCACAGTACTCGGTCATCGAATTACCGGATCTTCAACGGCCATCCGCAACGGCCTTTTCATCCTTCACCCACTCTTCCCCAACTGTTTCCCGTCTGTCACCTCCTCGCGCTCTCCCCGTCCATGCGCTTGGAGCCATCGCCATGACCGAACCGCAGGTCCCGACCGATGCTGCGGGCACCAAACCCGCAGGTCCCTCACTTTTGGCCTGCCTCTTGTGTCGTCACAAGCATCTGAAATGCGATGGCCAAACGCCCACGTGCGGCCGCTGCGCCCTGACCAACTCCGATTGCCAGTACACCAAGTCACGGCGAGGCTACAAGGGCCCGTCGAAGAAGCGCCGCGCCAATCCCGATTCCCCAGACCTGCAGCCGGTCGACCCCGCCGCCATGCTCGATGTCCCCGTGGATTGGAGTCTACAGCCCGGATTCGCCTATGTACCGACAATACCACTGCTCTCTTCTGGGAGTGGTAGCCCCGCGATGACCGATATGCCTGCGACAATGGTGCCCTCGGTGCGCCAAGTCAATGGACCTCCGACCCCCGACTCCTCATCCTCCCTCGGCAGCGACAACTACCTTCTTGATATCTATTACACTTATTTCCACTCGGCCCATCCCATTCTGCCACCCATCCGGTTTCTCTATCGCACCCCTTTCCCGGCCTACCTCGAGCAAGTCATGAAATTTGTCGGCTCCCATTTCACGCCGGCCGCCTCGAGTGAAGTATACCGTCCTACGGTGGTCGCGCTGGTCCAAAGCCAAGAACCCACAGTTGAAAAAGTCCAGGCACTGCTTCTGTTAGCGATTGTACTCCACTCGCGCAATGAGCGCGCCGAGGCGGGCGAGTGTCTGGCTGCTGGCGTGGACCTGGCATTCGAGCTCGGTTTGCACCAGGTCAGCTACGCCGAAATCGCCAGCGGCGGCGATCCGATCCGTGCAGAGTGTCTGCGGCGCACGTGGTGGGAGCTGTTCATCGTTGAAGGCATGCTGACGGCCCTCGGCGTTCAGCGCGTATACCGCACCAATCTGCTCCCACACGAGGTCCCGCTTCCCTGCGAGGAACGCATTTACCAGGATGGGCTGGCTCCACCGCCACCGCCGACCATTCTCCAGTTCGATGAGCGCGTCTTCGCAGATGAAGAACGCGACTTTTCTTCGTACTGCTATCGGATTGAGGCCGTGCGGATCCTGGCTCGCGTGGTGGCATTGCAGGACATGGTCGAAGGCCAGCAGGACCAGGTCGAATCCATTGATGCACGCATTGCCAGTTGGTTCCACCACCTACCCGAGTCCAAGGCAGAGCTCCTGCGCCCGGACGGTTCCGTAGACGAGATCATGTTCCAGGCGACCATGATTGTGAATGGCGCCGCCATCTACCTGAACTTTCCGCGCTCCGATCTCCTTTCGTCCCCGGCGGTTGCCTCGGAGGTTATCTGTGGTCACCACGGCCCTATCAGTGTGCCGGCTTTCTCCCATCACGCCCACGCCATGAAGGCGGTTAAAGCGGCCAGCGAACTGTCATCACTCGCTGCCATGCGCCTGCCTGTCGTGAAGCACACACCCTTCTTCATCTGTGCGCTGACGCTCAGCTCGATCGTGCAGCTGGCTGCATGCTCCGTTAAGGCGGGCCAAATGCCCGACCCGAGCCGTGACCGTCTCACACTAACCATCGGTGTCTTTCGGTCACTGGCCCGTACATGGGCCATCTCGCAGTCGATCATGCGGCAGATCAAAGCGGTTGCGCGCGATGTCATGGATCTCGGGCTGCGGCCGACTATGGATTCGCTTGCTTTTACGACGGTTCTTGATAACAACCGATTCTGGGTGCAGGAAGGACCCGGATAAGGGGCTAAGGAATATGGTGAAACCTTATCTAATCGAACCTTTCCGGCTACATGGTTTGCAGTATACTCTATGCGTGAGATCAGCACTCACCCCCTATCGTGTCTGGGGCGCCGAGGACCGGTTGTCGATACTCCGCTCCAGGTCACCGCGATCTTCTGCTACCATCAGATACCCTATGGGTGAATTTGTGACAAGACCATGGCCTCGTCCCCCTGGGTGCAGCTTCCCGCCTTTTGCCGTGAGGTTTATCGCTCCGCACTGTGGCTCCCCCATCAATAAAGGGCGGCTAAAGGGCCTCGAGCTCCAAGGTGCATTTTTCTGGACAGATAGAACGGGGAATAGAATGGCAGTCTCAATCGACATCAACCAGAGCACTGTAGACCTAACAGTCGTGTGGGGTCTTTATTTATTTTATTTTCTTTTTCAAGTCGATCAGGCAGGGGTTTAGCAAGTATGAATAGCGAAGGCATCGAATGAAAACAAAGGGATGTATTGATAACCCTGCGGAGCACAAGTCAGGATTTAGAAGTAGATACAGATAATTCGATAGATCATCTCGTGTGCTTTTCCTCACGCATAATCCGGCGAGTAGATGCGCGCCTTGTAGAATTCGGCATCATCCCAGCCGAGGCTGTCCTTGGGCTTGTCTGCACGCGCATTCTCACTGAACGAGACATAGTGGCCCATGTCGGAGCCCTTGGAGGACTGCACCCAGACATACTCGCCAGAAGAATGACGCACGAGCGACTTGAGCTTGCCCTTATCCGTGAGCTCCTTGAACTTGCGGGTCGAGGTGTTGAACTCATAGGCGGCACTGGTATGGGTCAGCAGCAGCACGCCAGGCTGGTGGTAGTCGGGCTGGAGGTCATGGCCGTTGCGGGTGCCCTTGTACGGGGGCAGCGAGATGGGATCACGGACGCGGACGAGTCTCGTGTCCTGGCCACGGCCCTTAACCCGGAACTGGTGCAGATAGTCACGGCCAAGCGCCCAGAGAAAACCCTTGTCGGGGTCGTTGTTGCCCTGCGGATCCCAGAGGACAGCGTGCGCAAAGTCGACGTCGTAGGATTCGACGGTGCGATAGTTCTTAAAGTCGTCGATGCTGGAGGCCAGCGGCGGCGCGTACAGAGTCAGCTTGCCGGGAGTAGAGCTGGCCGAGACGAGCGCGCCGACATAGGGGATGCGCTCGAGGGCATGCGGGTTGTCGCCGGGGGTAGCCTGCCAGATCAGATCGTGCAGCCCCGTACGGCGCTTGGAGGAGATGTCCACGATGCCGACTTTGCCGCCGGACGCGGCGACCAGCGCGATTAGGCCGCGCTGGGCTGTCTTGCGGATTCGCACGTCCGACAGGTCATTCCACGGCTTTTTCACCCACGGGAAGGTGGCGTCGGCCGTGAACTGCCATGTCACAGCGTCCGAGTCCCATTTCTGTGCATTGCGCGGGAACACGCGCACCGTTCGGGAGTGCTGGTCAGTCACGACGACGTGGTAGCCATCAGCCCGGGATTCGAGTGCTTCCACAGCATTAGGCACAGAATTGGGGAGGGCATTAGCTCCCCAGAAGGCGAGAGATGCCGTCAGGAGATATGCAAGCTTGGAGATCATGGCGGAAAAGAGGATGGATTGTTAGAAGCCGGAGCGATTGGAGTTATGGGGTTTTGTCTGGCCATGGCTCCTTTTATATCCGCGCAGGTTGCATCCATCTCAGTGAACACGGGCAGTGCTGCTGCCAAGCAGCGAATACGATGAAGGCGTCGTGAAGTGGGCACTGCGCACGCGACATGTAGCCCTTGTGGGGAAGGACAGAAGACTAGCGGAGGGGCCGCAGGCGATGATCTTGTCATTTGCGGGTTGATGGCCCGCAGTTCGTATTGAGCAAAAGCCATGGGGAAAAGATACATCGAGGGGACACAGCAACTTCAGCCTGCTATCACTGGGTCCGCTTTTTCAGGGCCGGCAGATAGATACTCGCAAATCCCGCATCAGAGAATCAGCAGTAGCAGAATTGGCGTTTCTCCCCCAAACATCAGTTCTGACCTGTTCAAGGTTGATCACCATTGGCTGACAGAACAAGCGTCGGGGATGTGTCGTGCATTGTTTCGCCGTAAAATGTGGAAGAGCGGTTCCTTGAAGTGGCTTCGAGAGCTTGTATGCCTTTATGTCGTTGAACTCGTCTTTCCACCTAACCTTTTGCTTCTTCAGCATGACTATCGGTGGTAGAAACCACTCTGGCCATTCCATTTTGACCCAAGGACAAAGAGCAATAACTGGTCGGATAAGCGTAAGAAATCGGGGTTCTTCGAGATATAAGCGATACACCGTGCGTAGTGAAGCCATGCTAAAAATCTTACTAGGGGATACTCAGTGTTATCTAGGAGATCCTGATCAGAATCATCCATCGTTAAGGGTGTGAACCACCGAGGTATTAATACGCAGAAATATCCAACCTGTAGTTTTCAGTGCCATTTAGGGTTAACTCCAAGACTTACATAGCCGCCGATTTATAGGTTATATACTATATGCGGAGATCTCGGCACGTATACGAGGCAAAATGCCAGATACTCCAGACAGCAGCATGTGTCGGCATAAATTTTTCTAGAGGAAATTACCAGTACAAGATCCTTCTGGAAGCTTGTAAGGTGTAACATGAGCCGATTCAGATTGGGGCTCGACTGTGCATCGAGTGGAGCTGAAGGCATCCGTTGTAAATTCTACCAAGCATGATGCTAACATATATCAGCCCGAGGACTAGCGTAAAGGATCCGATTTATTCTGCCAGTTGTGAACCAACTAACATATCAATTGAAATAATAAAAGACGTTGGGTAAATAGGGAAGAGAGAAAAATATTACACTCGGATGCTGCCGTGCAGCGATATGGAGCTATCTCGGCCATCTCGCCGAACCCTGACTCGCACACCACAGGGCATCTCCCCTCATAAATGTAGATTGTAGACGAATGTATAGGACCAAGGAATAGTTGCAGACAATTAGCAGACAGAATGAATACCTGTATCTTCGCCCATCAAACATGGAACACGTACTCGCGTGCCTCGATGTCCATCGGAGGCTCCGTATACTTCGGTGGAGCAAACGTCCAACGAACTATCGCCGATTAGCCATCTTTTTCTTTTTTTTTTTTTTTCTTTCTCTCTTCCCTCTTATCTGAATTCACATCCAGGGGAATCCAATTCAAACAATGCCCCCACATCCAGCTCTAGTACCGTGGAAGCGTCGACAGGAGTCCTCACGATCAAAAATAACGGCGCAACCAACAACATCCACCCACTCCCAGATGGAGTCTCAACGCCCAGCGGGACTCAATTCCCACCAAACCTCAACCTAGTCACCTGGGACAGTCATACTGACCCAGAGAACCTGCAGAACTGGCCGCGACGCAAGAAGCTGACCCGGTCCGCGGCGCCGCTGGCCGTGATTTTCAGCATCTCCTTCGCATCCAGCATCCTCGGCACCTCGTCGAGCGTCACAGCACACGAGTACGGGGTATCTGCGGAGGTAATGAGTCTTGGAGTGGCACTATTCGTAGCCGGGTTCCCGGTAGGCCCGCTGGCGCTGGCGCACGTGGCGACGATCTTAGTATGTCGATTCCTGGCAGACATGCTGGGCAGCGGCGGGCTGGCGGTGGAATCGGGGATTCTAGCCGACATCTTTGTCCCGATCACGCGCGGCGTCGCCGTCGGCATGTCGGCCACCATCATGAACTTCGGCAGCATCATCGGCCCCATCGCTGGCGCGTACCTCGTTGCCCGCTACGGCTGGAGTTGGACCGCGTGGGTAACGTTGATTCTGTGTGGTGCTGTCGGCCTGCTCTGCGTCGCACTCCTGCGCGAGTCTTCACATAACCGGATCCTGATGCGCCGCGCGGCACGCCTCCGCCGCGAGACGGGCAATCCGGCGCTGCGGGCTCGCGCCGAGATGGGCTTCGCTGGACCCGCGCGTTTTGCTGCGCAAGTACTGCACCAAGCCCGTGCGCATGTTCTGTCAAGAGCCGATCCTGATCGTCATGATCCTGGTCTACGGCTAGCTGTACCTGTCGTACCAATTGTTCCCGCGGGCGTTCCAGAACCGCGGCTGAAGTAAGCCTACGGCGATACTGCCGTTCATTGCCGTTGGACTGGGCGTGCTCACGGCGCTGGGCCTATTCTCGCTCTTCACGATGACTTGGTACAAGCGGCGGTGGATGGCAGCGCAGAAAGCCAGCGAGGGCGAGTCGACGGCGGCGCGCATCGCCCCAGAAGATCGACTGCCGCCGATGATGCTAGGTGCAGTGCTGCTTCCGCCGGCGCTGCTATGGTTCGGATGGGCGGGCCACGCGCACTGGGCGGCGCAGGTGGTCGCATGTTATGTGATCGGGCTGGTGCTGCAGATCATCTTCATCAGCGGCATCGTGTACATTGTCGATGTGTACCTGCTCAACACGATGTCAGCTATCTCGATCCATGTGATGGTGAGAAGTGTGGTCTCCGCGACTTTCCCGCTGTTCGAGGATCCCATGTACCAGACGCTGCATATCAACTGGTCTGCCACGCTGCTGGCTCTTTTGTCGGCGGCGATCGTGATATCGCCCGTCTTGTTGAGAATCTACGGGTCTCGCATTCGGAGCTGGAGTCGGTTTTTCGTCGGTGGCATATAGAAACAGAGTCATAGATGAAAAGAAAGAACATAGATCGCATTCAAGAAACGCCCCCAACGACAGAAGTTGTATCTAATATCGATGCCACTCAATCGCAAGAAGCGAGGGGTATCTCAAGGGCGGGAGTGCAAGTGTATAAGATGGACTGAGTGTCAATATCGGACGCCGCAGGGGATATCCACAAAAGAAACGGAACCAGAAACTCCTTGCCCAATGCTCGTGTCATGTCGGTATCGTGTTGAGATCGATTTGTGAATAAAGAGTGAGGGCGCCTGCAAAAAAAAAAAAAAAAAAAAAAAAGAAACTAGCTTCTGCTGCCGCTCAAGTCGCGCATTTTCTGCACGGCGGCGGCTCGGCGAGAAACAACATCCCCCCGGCGCACCACATTGCGCAGCGCCTCGCTGGCTTGAATCAGACCATCGATGCTAATAGCATGGTTGGTCATTTGGTGGTTGATATACGTGTAAAGTGCTGCCGGGGTGTCGCATGTCGTGAGCAGCTGCTGCTCGTTGAGTTTGAGAAGTGCCAAAGCCACTTGAAAAAGGAACGTGCTGCCCCCTCCACCACCAGAGGTGAGATCCTCAGTTTGAGAGGGTTTGTCACTCCCATCCTTGGTACTGGAGGCAGAAGAAGCAGTTGCTCCGGACCCGGCAGTCACTGCGCTGGTGACATTGAGACACAGCACCACATCCCATACGCGATACAGGGCCTCAGCAGAGAGACAATCGGTAAACACAGAGAGGAACCATTGGAAAGTAAGGGCCTCCAGCTCAATACCCAAGTCCTCCAGATGAGCTGAGAGTTTGGGAAGAAGCTCCGAGATGTATTGTCGCAACACTACCTGGTCAGCGCGGGACGCCAGCAGGCCATGGTCATAGTAATGCTCAGGCAAAATGATTTCAATCATCGAAGTCAAAATCCAGAATGCATCCTCGGCAGTCGGCATGATCAAGAGGAGAGACGCTGCAATCAAATTCATGCCCTGGCAGTAGCCCACCTCGGAATTGCGGCGCGAGTATGCGAGGAGCACTTCTCGGAGCTTGGCCACACCGGGCCCCTTGCGGAAGAAGACATTGTCAGTGAGGGTGCGACGAATATCCATGTCGATTTGCGCAATGACCGAGTCGTCGGGTTCTGGCCCGCCGACGCCACGCACAAGGTCATCGTAATAACCAGGAATTCGCATCGCAGATGCGCCGCTACATTCCGACCAGACCTTGGCGCGGAGAGCAACAGGGATGCCACCGAGGACGAGCGTCCGGAATTCCCGCCATTTGGCACGGCCAACCTTGCCTTTATTTCCCAGGCCGGCTATTCCAACGACCTCGCCGTCAGTCAGAGATGCCTCGGGTGTATCCACAGTGGTCAAGGTCCTATCAGAGGACGCCGCAGCCGCCGCTTCGCCTTCCTTTCGGCGCTCAGCTCGCACCTTGCGAAGGAATTCGTTCCATCTCACAGTGCGATCGCGCTGCAGCACATCATGGAGCTCAGTGAGTTGCTCCAGTAGCAATTTAACTGGCTCCGTCTCGGCGACGGTGACCCGAGCGGCTGTGGCAGCAAGTTCATCTGATGTTACGCTCGCGAACTCGGGGCGGTCAGCGGTAATTGCGGACGTGGACGCCGAAGGTTGCGCGCTAGAAGTGATAGACACCGGCCCGCCTTTATCGCCAGAGACAGATGAGCTCTGCGGCCGACTATCTCCAGCAGTTGTCAAAGAGACGATCGGCCCCGCCGAAGGCGTATGAGACAGCAGCTCAGTCGGACGGGATGGCATCCGTAGGTAGTCCTGCCAGCGACGTAGTCCAATAGCCCCGCTGTCAGGATCCTCGGGGGAGCCGGGAGGGGAGCGTTGGGTCCCAGGAGTTTGCACAGGCGTAGAGGCTTCATGATAATCTTCGGCGTCGGAGGCGTCGCTGCGAAGACTGCCAAGAGTCTCGGCGATGTTTAAACGGTTGTTGGTACCTTTCAGGGAATTGGCTTCCCTCTGTCGCTTCTTGCGGCGTTGGTCGTAGATAAATCCAAACCGGTCGGTGAGTAATTCACCCGGCTGGGAGTTGTTATAGGTATGCGTGAGAGTTGGAGGCCTGGACTCCATAGGCAAAATAGCATCCATCTCCACAGGTCCAAGATTTGTCGTGTTCCGATCTGCATTTTCTGATGATCCACCCTGGGAAACACTGGCAGCCGGGTTCCTCCTCGCGCTCGGAGTGTTGGTCTTGACTGTGCCACTGGATCCACTGGTGGAACGTCCGGGAGGTGCAGGAGTACTGGTATTGTTGTTGATTCGCTTCAGGGCGGCTACCGCAGACATCCCACCCTTGGGAACGCTGGGCAGATTAGATGTGGCGCTCTTATCCTTATCCTTATTTGGGGTCTCAGAGGGTGTTGCGTTGCGACTGGTCTCGGAATCGCTGCCATCTTTAGATGCTTGAGAGCTGCCCGCGAATAGCTTAACGGTCCAGGAGCCGAGGGAGCGGGAGGATTTACGGGAATGAACGCTTGCGTCGTCCCCGTTTGTGGATGAGCTAACGAGCCGTTTTCCTGTGCCATCGCCCCCCGTAGGACCACCGGGAGGCTGGAACAACTGCTCATCGAGAGCCTTGCGCCGCGTAGAGGGGTTGCTGGGCGCTCGAACGCGCTCGGTTCCTTCCTCCTCAATCTCCCCCATATCACTTATAACACTGCTGGCACGACTGGTTTTTAGACTTGCATTGGTCGAACCAAAAATGTATTCTTGCCAGCCACGTATGGAGCTTTGTCGTTTGCGATTGTTGCTGGACTCAGTGTTGGGCTGGGCACGAATCGTAGCCTGGAAATCCGTCGAGGTCTCAGGATCCTGGGACCCCACCACGTCCGTCATAGCTTGGGACATCAGTCCATTCAGACCTGAAGTTTGGCCAGCTGGATCACCGCTGTGGCTACTCTCTGCATCGGAGTTGCGGTCTTCCGGTGGGTTTTCAAGTTGATACAGCCGGCGCTCAATGTCTTGGCTGGATACAGACACTTCCCGAAGCATCCTTTTCAGTTCTCGTTCCCTCGCATCGGCACGCTGTCGCAGAGCCGAAAACTCCGAATCTCGTTGCGCCAGGTCATGCGCAAATTGCCGCACCATCTTCGTAGCCCCCGTGGTAGTAATCAGTCGCTCGATATGTGCGTCATCGGCCAAATGCAGGGCACCGGGGATATCGTGCGTTGGAACCGAATCATCGAAAAGGGCTGCCCGGCCAGAGTTATGTGACACTCCAGTTGTCAGCCTGGCCAAGGTGGCTTTTTGCCCACGACCAAGATCATTCGAGCCCGGCCCCTCCCCTTCCCCGCTCGTCGTCAGCACATTTGTCATGCCACGAGTCAGAGTGGACGAGCGATCGGGCGGCGAAAGGGATGGAAACGAGGTCAAATCCGTGGTGTTGTTGGACGAAGAGGAGTGACGTTTCTGGGGTTTGGCACGGACAATCCTACCCTTGTGGCTCCTGCTCGATGCCGACGATGCTTGGGACGAGGATCGTCGCTGGGGGTGCGAGTCGGACTCCGCCATGGCTCAGCGACTGGTAAATGGCGTAGACTTCGGAACGAGGGGCTATGGACTTCATGAATGCTTGCTGCACAGGCGTTGGGAGGATCGAACGGTGATTGTTTTCCTGTCAAGCTCGGAGCTCTATCCGTCGCGGGTCCTTGGCGATACTAGTCGATCCGCAGGGATGATCGGTGGATCTGAGGAATGAAGGGGAGATCGCGATTTCCGCGCCGGGATTGATCCTCTCTCTCCCGATCGCGATCTCTGGGCTTGCGAGGAGCCAAGACCGATAGCAGCGTACAACGCGAGTTGCAGCGTGGAATTGGCCCGGTCGCACATGACGTGAGAAAGTCACGTGACCTAATGTGTCAGCTATATTTGCACGTGATCTGGGCCTCGGCTCTCTGCATTAGCCGACGCAGTGGGGAAGCTGCGGTATATAGTCAATTGCTCCAATGCTCTGTTTCTGACCTCGACGATTTGGAACCATCTCGAGGTGGACGCTTTAATTGGGATAGCTATATACCATCATGTCTGCAGCAGCAAAACAACGTTTGCAAGCACTCAGCCAGCAGCTGGTTGAGGGCATCCCCGACGAGGGCACATTTGAGGACATCCCGAAGATTCGCCATATTGCCTCGGATTCGACAGGGCCGTAAGTGAGCCATTAGCAAAAGTCCATGTTGCTCTTAACTGAATTTTTGTTGGACATTAATGTCAAAATTTCAGAGTCCACAACTAACCACTGCAATCCCAGCCGGATCAAGGATAAGGTGGTTATCGTGACCGGTATATCTCTCGGCATGTCATTTTGCTCTATTGGAACAATCAAGTTAATAAAAGTCCAGGTGCCAACTCGCCCAACGGGATCGGTCGTGCCAGCGCCCACCAATTCGCTCACAATGGCGCCAAGGCGGTCTACATCTGCGATTACAGCGACTCCCACCTTGCCACGCACAAGCGTGAGATCGAGTCACTCTACCCAGGCGTGGATGTGCATGTCCGACAGTTTGACGTGGCCGACGAGAAGGCTGTGACAGAGGTTATCGACGACGCACTGGCCAAGTATGGCCGCCTCGACATCTTCTTTGCCAACGCCGGCATTGTGGGCCAACCCAAGATGTTTACGGACATTGACGGCGATGGATTCATGAAGACGATGCGAACAAATGCCCTCGGGTGAGTAGTCAGTTTTGAATATAAAATCCACACAAGAACACGCGGAACAGAAGAGTGGAACACTAGTCTGATGACTTTATCCAACAGAGTCTTCCTGGCAGCCAAGCACGCCGCACCAGCCATGAAAGTGACCTCCGCCTCGAAACCATACCCAAGCGGCTCAATCATCTGCACCGCCTCCGTCGCCGGGCTCCGCTCCAACGCCGGCTCAACCGACTATTCGGCGTCCAAGGCGGCAGTGGTCTCCATCGCACAGACATGTTCATTCCAGCTCGTCGGCACCGGCATCCGCATCAACGCCATCTGCCCGGGCCTGATCGAGACCGGCATGACCCAGACGGTCTTCGATCGAGCCCGGGCGCACGGCACGCAGCGGAAGATCGGGCAGCTTAACCCGCTGCAGCGCGGAGCCGTTGCCGACGAGGTGGCGCGCGTGGCGTTGTTCCTGGGGAGCGACGAGAGTAGTTATGTCAATGGCCAGGCGTGGGCTGTTTGTGGTGGGTTGAGTGCGGGCCACCCCGTTGTGCCGGGGAAGCTGGCGTGATTCTTGTCTCTGGTTGTGATCTTATTCTGCATTATAGCATGTGCATAGTCCTTGGTCAGGCATATAGCTATTGAACATTCTCGGCCATTGTAAGATGCTATGGTATGCCTTCTTCTGAAGCGCCTACGTCACTCAGCCCTACGAAGTCATGAGATGGTTCAAGTGCACGCAGATATCATTTTTGAATGTAAGTGATTGAGCTCCAAGTAGTTCCTGGATCGATCCGAACCAAGGACTGTAGATAAATAGTAAATGCACAATTTTGGTGCAGACGGTAAATTCAAGTAGAGCTCTCGTCCCCATGCCTCCAAGTCTCGAGGCATGAGAGCAAACCAAATCTCTACCATCCCAGACACAGCAAAAGAATTTTCAGAACAAGGTCAAATGAAAGAAGACAGAAAGATGGTCAGATGGATATAAGGGAGCATCAAAGTAATCGACACGAATCGAAGAACGACTACGCCAGACAACCAAAACGTGTGCGCGTCAGGCCACAGCACCAGTCAAGAAGCAAAGAAGAAAAAGAGAAAGGACCACGCCCGGCAATTAAAAAGAAAAATGAAACAATGAAAGGACAGGATAACAAGTATGTATATATAAGAGAGAACAAAAAAAAAATGGCAAACAAGATCGTCTTAGTCAAGCGTTGCATCATCTAAATCGATGGAGCAAACTACGAGATCACAAGCGCGGTAGTGGGCCGCATGAGATCCTCGCTGGCCTGCTTGGACAGAGTGCCCGTCTCAGTCCGCTGGTCGTCCAGACCCTCGGTCTCGTGGGAGTGCTCGTCGTCGTGCTCCACGATGCGGGTCGGGATTTCGCTGGGGGCGTACTGCTGGCTCGTCCGCTCCGGGAAGGTCGAGTTGCTGACCATGGACATAGATGTGCTGGAGCGGTTGTGCACCAGATCCGGTGTAGGCGGGAGGCTCGAGCCCCGGTTGTCCGGGTGCAGCGAGTTGTTGTCGGACTCGCTCATCTCGCTAGTGGCGCGGGTCGAGCGGCCCTCCGGGCCCTCATAGTCCGAGCCGAGACGGTCGCCGTCGGCACGAGACTTGGACGAGGCCTCAGACTCCTCGTCCTCGGCGTCTTGGGCCAGGTGGAGGCCCTCGACGGCAGCAGCGCACTGCTCGCTGATGCTGCGGATGATGTCCGCGATAGCATCGGTCTTGTCCTGCAGATAGCGGTCCGCAACATCGGTGATGCTCAGACGAGCAAGGTTCTTGCGATCCTTGCCGAGGTTCAGCAAATGCTGCTCCAGCTCGGGGTTCATGTCATTTACCAAAGACTTGCTGGAACTGGTCTCCTTGCTCAACTCCTTCGAAGCTTCCACACCAGTCTCGCGAGACTCCTCGGGGACATTCTCGTAGCCCTGTTCAACGATTTCAGCAATCTCCGACGAGCTACCGATGGAGCGAACAATGTGCTCCATGTGGTGACTTTGGCCATTGATGAGGCTCCGCAGGTGCAACACCACACGCTGGGTCTCATCTCGCTGGCCAGCAAGCGTCGCGTTAGTGTGCTGGAGGGCAGAAATCTCCTTCTGGTTGCGCTTGCGCTCCCGCTCCAGCTCCTCTGCGATCTCCTGCTGCAGGACGAGAGCCTCGAGGGCATCGTCGCGCTGCTTCTCAGTGCCAGACAGGCGCAGAGTAAGACGGGCCACGTCGTCCTTCTGCTGGTCGATGAGACCGGTGAGACGGCGGTTCTCCCGCTTGTGGTTCTCAATCTTGACCTTGAGCTCCGAAGTTTCCTTGGTGAGTTGCTCAGCAAACGCCTGGAACTTGAGAAACTGCTGCTTCCAGGTCTCGAGCTCCTCGACCAGGAAGTTGTTGCGCTTGGTGACCTTGCTGAGCTCGGTGTCCATGCGGCCCTTGAGGTTGATAAAGTCCTGCCAGGCCTCCATGGCATCGCGCGAGTATTGATTGCGCTCGCGGACGATCTCGTTGAGATGACGCATCGAGACCTTGGTCATCAATGGCTTTTTGACGGAACCACCGAAGATGGCCTTAACACCGGTGTTGCGGCCCTATAGACGGGGTACGTTAGCTGCTGTGCGTAAGGCTCAAACATGTTGGAACAAACTTACCAGCTTTTCGCACACATGGTCCATGACACCCATCACCGAGTCCTGGTTCCACCACGTAGGGTGCTGGATACTCTCCACCTCACCTCGCATGACAATGATCTGGCCAGCCGGGATCAGCTTGCCGCCAGCGTAAGCCGAGCGAAGGTGCGTGGGCACACCCGAGGGCGAGACATCGCCATTCAAGGACTGGGTCAAACGGTTAATGAACTTGGTGCGTTGACCCTGGGACAGAACGTTGGGCGGGCTCGAGGTCAAAACGAAGTTGCGGTCCAGATCCACCACCAGTGCATCGGTGGGGGCGTTGAACAGGGTCCGGCACTCGGCCGTCACACCCAGGATGTAAGGGCCGGGTTCCTGCACAAGCTCCTTGACGTGTCGGGCGTGCACAACAGGCACATACAGACCACTCCATTCGTAGACGCGAACGCAGTAGCGGATCGTTTCGGCGGCCACGGTCAGCATGGCCGGGTAGTGGCTGACGAAAATGATACGGCGAGTTGGCGACACAGCCGCCTCAACCACGCCCACAATATTTGGGATCGACAAGCAAGTGAACAATGGCCACATGGAGAAATTCTGGAAGCCGGTCGGCGATGAGGGGAATTGGTAGCAGAGGGCGTAGTCCTTCATGTCGATGCGGACCAAGTCATTGAGACGCGGTGCCGGGAAGCTCAGAATCCGCGAAACTTCCTCTGCGTGGAACAGGTTGGTGGCCTTGTTCCAGTGGATCCACATGCCACGGAGATAGTCACCCAGTAGGTCGTAGAGGGGGTACCGGGAAAGGAAACTGAGGCAGTAGGGGATCCAGTAGGTCTCATCGGGGTTGTCGTAGAAGTCCGGCTCCGTCTTCTTGCGCAGCTCGCGGATGGTCTCCGCACGCTTCTCGTCGGCACGGGACCAAACGCGCAGCGCGATTCCGTACAAGGTGTGAGAAGAGTCCTGCTGCAACACGAATGCGTGGTGTGCACAGTGAGGCTGGCTCTTGCCAGTGCAAATCTCCACGTCGTGGGGGAAGCATGCCTAGATGGGAGTCAGTGATCTCTTCCTCGCTGAAGGTAATTCAAGTTGACGTTTAAATTTTTTTTCTTTCTTCGTTCTCTCTTTTCAACTTACTCTCATGGCTGAGTGCAGGGCTCGGGCAATCTCGTTGTCCTGCTCTAACCGAGGGCTGCTTCCCAGTATCTCGGGCAGCCAGAATTGGCCGACCGCACCCTTCATATGGCCAATCTTGCCCTGGGCCGGGGGCGGAGCCTTGACCCATTGTGAAGGCTCTCGCCCAACACCACAGACCATGTAAGCATGGGTGAGAGTTTTCGGGGTCCGCTGAGCGGGCTTGAGATTGAGGGTGGACGGGATGGGTTGGGTGATGCGGGAGTGCAGCGACGACGTGCGACTGGGGACGACCAGCGAATTTTCCCCCTCGCCGCGAGTCGTGGGCCGATCCCGGGTGGATGGCCGGACAAAAGAAGCGTGATCACGAAGAGATGGACCCATGGTGGTTGAGACCGAGTCGGGGTCGATAATCGATCACGGGTCCTCAATTGGCGACTTCGACACAAGAGGCACTGCCTTGAGTGCAGGAAAAGGAAAGTATATACCCTCTCAAGGAAAGACAGGACAATGGATGGGCAAAGAGAGTGAGGGCCGGGCGAGACTCCAATTTTACTCAGAAGACTCGGTGAGCAGACACCGGGCCATGCATATATGCAGGGAAGATCAAGGTGAAAAATAGAAAAAATACGAAAAACATAAAAATAAAAGAAACCAGTCAGGATACAGTCCACTTCTCAAGAAGGAGGACCCAAAGGAAAGATGAAGAGAGAGAGAGGATGGAAGAAGAGAAGAAAAGAATAGGAGAAAGCGAAGCTTGCCGGAAGCTAAGGCTCAAAGGGGGCCCGGTTTGGGGGGAACCACAGTGATGCTCCACTCTCATTTTACTGTAAAAGGAGAATTTCGGAGAATTGGAAATATTACACATCCGTTGACTTCAGGGGATGTGTTTTTTTGGTTTCATGTTGGATCGTCAATTCGAGGGAATTCTGATTCGATTTCATTCTCTTTTGCATCTACTGGACTTGTGGCTATTCCATACATCCCATCCATGGACATCTATGGAATACAGTATGGGATACGGTATGGACAAACCCTGACCCATCTGCATGTCAATACATGAACCTTATACTCTGTGATTGATTCGACTCGACACATCGCCGTTTCAGAATTTCTGACCGATACGGCTTGTGCAACTGTCTTGGTTGTGCTATGTGCATATCCATGGACGTGCATTACATACTTCGACAGTATCCAGCATGTACGTGAGGGACAATGGACATTGTGACAAATTCTCGGTAGCCCTAAGAGCCAACATTATCAATCACACTTTTTCGTTCTCTCTCTCTCTCTCTCTCTTTTTTTTCTTTTCTTTTTCTTGAGAGAGATAATAAAAATAAAAGAAAAAGAATGGGGCTGTCCATAGTCACCTCCACGCCGATCTGGTGACTGGGATCCCTTGACCAGCAATGCCGATCTCTGTGGCCATTCGATGAATAGAAATATTTCTGATTTCAGATATTTACTGGGCAGTACGGATAAATATTATGGATATTCTATGTATATGATAGGAATATGATATTATATCCACGGATTATCTGCACAGAATGACGCCTCACAGAACCATGGCCCCTTCCCGCCCCCCCCCCAATCTCACGAACATCTTGAGTGGTGGAGACCCCTGGCGTCCGAACAAAAGACCCACAACTTGTGCTCGCGTCGAAGATTTGGGTTCGAGCAGCTTCGATTGAGTCTTTTTCTTGTTTCTGGTGTGTCTGAACCCCTGAACGCTCAACATATAAAGGGACCTGGGCTGATTTTCTTGTTCTATGTATACTATATTCCTGGCATCTTATAGTTATACTAGTAAGGTGGAGATATGGCCGTAGAAATCATGACTCCCCCCCATTTTCACGCAATTCCATGGGTCTTAGAAAGGAATGCATCGACGGAGATCGGATTCCTGCCGGACCAACCACCGCATTAGTGTTGGCGTCGCCAACCTTGTCTCCAATGGGTTCTGTCATTCGCGCGTGGTTGAGAAATGAGGGTCCTTCCCCCCCCCCCTACGCCAAATAGCTTGAAAGGAGGTTTTTGACGGCCCCGGGCGAGAGAAAATACAAAAACATAAATAGCGGATCTGGCATCCGGGCCAGGGATCGTGGGAGACAAAAAAAGAGATTGAATATCCACCGCGGCACATGGGATATCCGCATGGACACCGGAGTCCTCCGAACAGGTGCAAAATACTGTACTTCCTGTACAGTATATATGTAGGTGTAGGTGCACATACTGTAGCAGTGCATGTAACCGATTCAATAGATCCAAAGACCCAAAGATGCAAATATGCAGGGCCACCGGAATGCCCATCTCGAGCTCGAACCTGTCCTACATGAGAACACAGACAACAGACGCATGGGATCAGAGCACAACTTACAGCTTGTAACCGTCAGAAAAAAAAAAAAAAAAAACGGGTTCCTGGAACTAATCTGCTTCCGGCCCTACACTGTGTCGATCGCATTTCCCCATCCGCCCAGTGTTTCGCCTGGGTGGACGCGACCCACTGTCCAGCTCTCTCTTTTTCTCTCTCCTCGGCCGGGTACGCACAAGGCTGGTCCCTCGGTACCTGATAGTTTGGTGGCAATTCCCCTCTGATGGGCAATACTCTGTACTTGCTGATCATGTATCAACCCACCCAGTGCCCTTGCAAGGTTCTGGGGCCTCGGACCCAGCTCCGGGCCCGATCGGATCTGGCGGTTCCTGCTCGATCTCGGTTGTTCTCTTGTATATGAGAGATATAATGTTGGATCGAGTATGAGTAGATCGAAGTGTAGAAAGAAATGTGATTTAGCTCTGTTGATTGAGTTGGGAGGGAAGAGGGAAAAAGCAGAAGTGGGTTGGAACCGAAACACCCAATGCGTAATTATATATCTCTCTCACTCCATCCATATACTACGGTGGATTTTCGATCAAACAACCTTGGAAGACCGCGACATGACTCTTGATATTTCGAATTCTGGGTATCAATTGTCTCCATACGAAAAAAAAAGGCGATTAGAGACCAAATTCTACTGAAAAACATACACCATCCCCGCCCGATCCACGCTGACAACCATTCCATACGGGACGCGCAACACAGCCACGTCTTGAATAATATCCAGGTGGCTCTTGAGCAGCATCTGCTGCTGGAGACTAATCACCGTGCTGCGCGGGGGCCGGGGGCTCGCACCCCTTCGGGAGCTGGGGCCCCCGGCGCTGCTTGCACCGGATGCACTCGGGAGGTGTTCGGTGGTCACCAAGAGATTGGGACCGGGCTGGGAGAGATCGTAGCGGGGCTTGCTGGTGGCACTTCCATCAGACACGGCATCTAAACCACTGACAATTGACGACAGCTCTGGGCGTGCCAGATCCCAAAATCGAATCTTTCGGTCGCATCCCGCCGACATGATGAACCCACACTTGGTGCTGGTGTCCTTGTCATCGTTCGGGGGATTCAATCCGACCGCGAACGCCCAGATGCCAAGCCGATCCCCGGCAGGGTTATTCGAGGGCGAGCCGGTGGCCCCGGCTTCCATGCCCCCGGATGCCGGACTCCCTGTGGCAAAGCGGCTCAACATCCCTTCTGGTCGGTCCCCGTCAACGTGCCATGCTTCGTAGTCCCGCAAACTGGGGTGGCTTGGATACGAATTCGGGGCTCGGGAAGAGGGTTGACCTCCATTTGGAGGGTTGGTACCAACTCCCGGAGGTGTTGCTCGGTAGACTTCACGGCAGCGGAACTTCTCGATATCCCACACAGTAATCTCATTGCCATGACTGCCACTGCAGGACACACAAACCCAACGGCCCCGGGCCTTGGTTGGGTGTACCTGGATACGGTGAATAGCGCCCCAGCCCGGAAGACCCCAGGCCTTCAACCGGATTCGAAATCGAAGGTCCCACAGATCGAGAATGCCGTGAGTCGTGCCGACCAGCAGCCAGTTGTGCCTGCGATCACAGCAGAACGTAGTGGGAGTACCATGATGGACGGGGTTGTCGAGCGAATAGATCGGGAGCATGGTCTTCATATCCAGTGCAAGAATACGGCAGGTGTTGGTCGCAATCAGTAACGTCGACTGCCCTTCATCACGGAAATGTTCCATCCAAATCGCATGTTCCGCTGACCCATCCTCGGCGATCGGTAGTTGATATTCACGCACGAGCTGAAGTTTGCCATAACGCACGTAGCCATTCACGTTCTGGTAGTCGACTCGAACTGCGTGGATACTACCATCGGTAGCACCGCTGATGAACGTGTAGGTATTTTCAACAAACGTCAGCGCTTTCACGCGGGCACCAAACGCTTGACGATGGGTCTGGCGGGACCGAGGTGTCAGGTTGCGTTCAAGGCGAGCCGTATCCCAGATCTTAACCGTGCTATCATCGGAGGCCGTGACAAAGAATGCGTGGTCTGGTGCAATCGCGATGCGATTCACTGGCCCGCTGTGTTCACCAAAGGTTGCCACTAGATTCCCTTCGGGCTTCCAGATTTTGTTGGAATCTTGGGGATTCGCTCGACGGATTGGCTGTCGCGAGTCCAGCTCTTTGACAAATGGCCCCAGGTCAAATAAATCTGTTGGGTAATTCTCCGCAAACACGTTGTCCAGCAGTCGCAGAACCACCGGGTCATCGCCCCCGTACGAATGGTTGGCTCTGTATTTTTGCGATGCCGGTTGAGCTGGCTTGCGCTCAGATGTATGCGAGAGGAATGATGGTTGGGGCGAGGCGCCTCTTTGAACGGGAGCGTCAACCTTTCCAAATGCATTTGCCGAGCTTGTGCTTGTTTCTGCGTATGCCTTGGCGGTCTCCTTGCGATTCAGCAGATTTATCGCGCTGGGCTTTCTTTGAACTCTGTCAGACAAACTCCTCAATGCAGGATTCTCTGCATTGATCGGTGTTGATGATCTCGAATGGCGGCTCGACATCTTTCCATCAGCGTCCGAGCCTGGAGGTGATAACGGACGGGAATCTGTGCCTGGAGCGGGCGATGATGCCAAAGGGGAAGATGAAGGGGAAGAATCATTTCCAATATTATCACGAGCATTCAGACGAGGGCCCCCAGAAACCGAGCCCGTGTCTCTTTGGGCTTGGCTCCTCGACCTTGAATGTCCGCGATGAGTACTAGGCGCTCGCTCAATTGTGGTGGAGGCGTCAAGAAGCGCATCGGCGATGGTTTTTGGTTTCGAGTCATCGGGTGCATGACTCTCAGTCTTATCCAAGAGAGCCCTCTGCGGTTGCTCCTGAGGGTTCTTGTCAAAGAAAACTGTCTGAGGCGTGACTCCATGCTGTGTCAAACTAATGATCTCGTTAAATGACGGAAGCGACTCGGCGTCAAGATCCCTCGACTGCCGGGTTGACACTCTCCAGATATAGTCCTTGAGTGCAATGAGTTTGAACTCATCTTCGGAGCCCATCCCCAGATTTCTCAATCGAGTCAGCCATTGTTCATCCTCTTCGTTTCTCGACTGTGCATTCAAGCTGAACGAAGAGTTTCTTTGCCCCACGCGAGAGTTGTAAGATCCGGGTTCGGCCAGGCTGAACATGCCATCACGACTCGTGGATTTCCAGAACACACCCTTGTCAACCTTCGAAGCCCAAAGAAAAGCTATTTCATAGACATTTCTGGACATGGGTCGTTTAAGCGCATCGAGAATCTCCGTTTCAGAAAATCCAACTATCTTGACTTTCAGAAAAGGTCGGATAAGTGGCGTCAGGATAGAGTAAATGTCCGCCACTGAGAGAAATTTGGTGGACTTGACCACAAAATTCACTGCTGCCTCTCGAATCCAAATGTTTGGATGGACCAAGAATCCAATGATAATGTGAAGAAGATCCCATGTCGTGGACCGCTGAAACAACCCCAGATCCGCCATGGCCGCGAGTGAGCGCATCACCCTTTCCACGACAAATTCCTCGGGCTCCGTCATCGATTGAACCATCAATGGCAGAATGTATTGCTCTAGGCTGGTGCTCCCCACATAGGCCGCGACACCAACCACGGCCTCAAAGAAGGCGCATTTCAGAATCCAATCTCGATCGTTCAGGTACGTGTTCAAATGACTGAGAATGACCTCGTTTGCTTTCAAATTCCCGAAGAACACACAGAGACTAGACACAGATCCCAGGAAAGCGCGACGGACGGACGCGTCCGTATCAGTTAAGAGAGCTTTTGTGTGCAACTCAAAGTATTCCAACAGGTCGATTCTCGCCACATCATACAAATTATGATATGTGGCATCTTCCGTCCAACGGGGCTCAAACCCGACTGGAATGAGTGCTGCTAAACGGGTATCTGAACGCAATGCTTGGATCATGTCCAAGAATCTCAAAGAGGATTGAGCCAAAGACGCGATGCATGAAGCATACGCAGCACGGACCATGGCGCTGGGGTTGTTTTTGGAAGTGCCGACGAAAGGCTGGAGCCTTGGAAAAATGTATTCAGAGAACAAGTAGGCGTTGACTGGGGAGACTACCTGGACCATCTCCAGCAACCGGGTCAAAGTGCGAATTGCAGCAACTTTGACGGCATCTGTGCGATCAGTCAAGAGGATCATGATATACGGCAGAACGCGATCAAGTTTAGCTTCATCAGAAAGCCTCTCTGCAAAGGCCAAAAGAATGTCGCATGCTTTGATTCGAGCCGAGGCCTTGGCAGTGTTGCGCAGGTTGGTGACCACAAGTGTTAAGAAAATGAGAACTCCCTCATCAGTCGATGGAGACCATGATTGTTGCTGCCCATCGTTTGGTAGGTCCAGCTTTACGGGCAATGTGTTTCCAGTCAAGGTCGAGACGGCCGGACTGGTCATCTTGCGAGTGTCACGGGAGATGGGACCGAGGAAATAGGATATCTTGTCAAAGTCAAGAGAAACCCGCTCTATCCTTTCATCCGACTCCCCGCGGTTGGCCGATTCCGCATCCACATTTGTTCTTCCAGAGGATGGATCGGTCATGAGAGACATGTACTGGTGAAGAAAGCTGTAGAAATATTCCGGAAACGCCTTATTTTTCCAGAAGCTGAGATATTCATCGGCAGAATATCGAGATTCGGGTTCCAGTTGTATCATGTGTAGAATGAGCGACCTAATCTCCGGGTCTTCGATCTTCGCTAGCTGACTGTGCTCCGGGCTGTATTCACCTTTGCGATATTTATACATTTGACTCAGCGTGAAGATGGGCGATTCCAGAAATAATTCAGCAATGACACAGCCGGCGCTGAATATGTCCATTGCCCAATTGACCTCATGGCTGGTCGGTTCTTCGCCAGCCACTGAGAACCGCTCGGGCGCTAAGTAGCAGGTTCGTCTCCCTGAGATATCGAAAAAGAAGGAGAAATCAGCCGGATTATCTTCTGGCAGAAAAGTCGGCTTGAAGGAGGAGGAAAAGTCTGAAAGATACAGCCAATTCCAGGAGGTCACCAAAACGTTTTCAGTTTTGATATCGCCGTGGAAAATGTCCAGCGAATGACAGTCTCGCAGTGCACACAAGAGCTGGAAAGCGATCCATTTCTTTTCAATGTCTTCCAAAAATGGACGTGTGCTATTTCAAGGTTAAACAAGCTCTTCGTAATCAACCGCAGCAGACATACCTCATTCGGTCGTACAGAGAGCTGTGGATGTACTGGCGCACAAGATACCCGCTGGTTCCGGTCTCCAAGATGCGATTATAGCTCAACGCATTAGGCACATCCGACAAAAGCTTGCGTTCGCCTACACTGCACGATTAGCAATGAACTGTTCTCCCGGACCTCGCGACCTAAACATACGGGCGATGGCTCTGACATATGGCTCGAGCTCCATGGTCGGGAACGGTTTCATAATGACCTTGACAAAAGCCAGGCCATTCTGCTGCCTGGCACGAATGCTTTTCATGAACCTCCCTCCGCCCATGGACTTCTCATACACCAGGTCCGATAGTTCAGGTACATCGATCCCCGCCGACCCCGCGGACAGGGTTGTGAGGGAGTAGCCTTGTCCCATGATTTTGGATGGACCTCATCTCCCGATCAAGGGATTGATGAAGCAACAGGCACCGAACAGACCAGCGATCGAAAAAAACAGGACGAAGTCGTGTCGAAGCTGGCGATAACAGAGAAGCAGATGAAGTCACTTGACGCGTCGACACGTGATGGGAAGGCGGTCAGCCGCGATGAGCTGATTGTTGTGATGGTCGATGATCGATGGCTCTCTCCCCCTCTCTCTCTCTCTTTCTCGTGCGAGTGGATATGAAATGGATTGTTACAGTTGACCATTGAGAGCAGATCAAAGACGTGGTCAGCGATTCAGTGTTTGTGGCTTCGATGAGGTGGGCCGCTTGTCGGAGTTAGCTCGGCTTTGATCCTGGGTACTCGCCCCAATCCAAGGGGGAAAGATATCAAACAGAGCAGAAGGGTGAAGGCACTCCCTCTCGGACAACTGATCTCGCTTTGTTTGGTTAAACCGTCAAAGCGCGGATTTGGTGTCGCTTTTGTTTGCTAACTTCAAAGGTGCCCTCCACGCATATTACTCCCGGATTTTACCAATTTCACCATGGACCCAGATACTATGGACTACGTCGAGATTCCAGTCATCGACACAGAAGAGTCGCTGTCTAATGTGATACAAAAACTGTCTAGGTAAAGTTCTAACTGAAATTTGTTCCTTGGACGTGGCTCTTACCAAAACATAATGTTTAGCTTTATTAGCATGGCCGTGGGCGACATGGCATATTCTTTCGAGCAAATGCGATACGGATCTCGAGGACATCGTCTCCGACAGCTGGTTCATGCTCTTGCTGAAGATAGCCATAACCAATTCATCATCGTGGCCTTGATGTAAGCTTCATTCCAGGATTGGATGTCACTGAAGATGATTCTAAATGACAGAGCCCAGGATTCTAAAATGGGAATTTACCAATGCCGCGGATGACGATTGGGGGCTTAATGAAAGCCGAGGTTCTGCCTGCGAATTTGTTGCCTGGCAGTTTTTGTGCCATCTAAATCAGCATGAGACCATTGAGTTTCTGCTGGAAGAGCTTCCCATTCCACGGCGCAATTCCACAAACCTCGTGGAAGCGGAGATGGGCACCTCGAGCTTTGCATCCACTCGAGGAGACCCGCAATATAGGGAGGGCGAAAGAACTCCTCTTTTATTGGGCTCATCTTTTTATCCCCTCTTTGGCGGGAAATACGATCTTCAGTCTGCTCGTGACTACGGCGGCACACCAGCTTCGTACCAGGAAGCCCTGACCACGCAGAAGTTCTCTCAATTCTTCGGATTGAATGCGCTGGAGATTGCAGCTATTGCTCATGCGAAGCGCTTTCTGGGCCAGCGGGTGGTTCAGCGAGTGGTTGATGATATCTGGAATGGAGAAATAGTCTTTTGGGACTCACTAACTGTTCATTCCACGAAGAAACCACAAATGTTCAACCCACGGTGAGACGGGATCTCTCTGAAAGGATCTTTCAAGCCGGCATACTGAGCCTTGCCTTATCTAGAACGTCAGATCCTTATTCGCGCTTAAGGGTGCCAGTCTACCGCAAAGTGTTTGAAGCGGCATTCTTTGTTTCGTTTTTGTTCCTGTACTATGCGGTCCTGGTGGAGAGAAAGCAAACCTCCATTGGGATGTTCGAGGCGATGATGGATGTTTGGATTCTCGCCTTTGCATACGACGAACTGAGTGGCATTTTTGATGCCGGGGTGCTTTTCTACCAAATGGATTTCTGGAGCCTCTGGAACTGGGGCATCATCGGCGCAGGACTTGCCTTTGTCATCACCAGTGAGTCATGCAATCGTTCAACCTGTCTTATTAGTCTTGAAGAGTTCGGTGGGCTCTTTGAACTGACGGAGGCGTTGTAGGGATTATCGGGTTAACCAAGGAAAATCATTCCATCATCGAAATCTCATTCGACATTCTTTCCTTGGAGGCTTTGTTCCTCGTTCCAAGGCACGGGCACTCGCATTCCTGAACGATGGATTGACCATCAGGGCTGACGCAAGAGGCCAACAGGATCTGCTCGCTTGTGAGCCTGAATCCATACTTTGGCAGCTTAGTAGGCGGAGCACCCCCCGAACCATGCTCTGAAAAACTGGCTGACCGTGGCTGTGAATAGATACCTGTTTTGAAAGAGATGGTATCGTTTTTCACCAGGTCCGTCCGAGGGGCACCATACTGATTGAGCCCGCGTTCCAGACGAAGGCCTTCTTCAGGTTCTTACCGGTGGTTGCGGTCTCATACATTGGTAGGAGTGGCTCAGCGACACAGCCTTGTAAACTGAAGCATAGCTGACCGCGTGGGATTGCTACAGGGTTCCTGACCACGTTTACCATGCTGGCGCGCGACCGCCTCTCCCCAAGGGAAATGTCATGGATGTTGATCAATGTGCTCTTTGGGTATAGCGGTGAACCATTCTCGACCGCTCTTTACTTGAACTAATCGTGTGACGCAGATCGAGCCAACTGGGATTTGTGGGTGGTTTCAGCATCATCGACCCTTTTTGAGGTTTAGTACTGACGGTGGCTGAATCGATTGGATATTAGGACAGCGCGTCTGAAGTAAGTGTGTTGCACTAAGCGGCTGTTCTGCAGCCCGAACTGCAAGATCCCTGCGCATTGGCAAAATGGTTGGCTATCGCGTTTAGTTGACTGACGCGCTAATGCTTAGATCTCCCCGATCTTCGGCTACGGCTTGATGTGAGTATTCTTTGATCTGATTGCGCCACATGTGAACGTCCCTTCGAGTCGCATACGTTTTTAATCACGTTGTATGCGAATGGCGTTCAATCGCCATGAGAGTGCGCGGTTTTTGAAAAATTGGCGTCGGCACACGACCCTCGCGCAACTTCCACGTCGCGCTTCGATCTACATGCAACACATCCGCATAGGGCTAACGGATCACTGTAGGCTGATTTTTGTCTCAATGACCAATATTTTACTGCTGTCTTCGGTGATTAGTTTGATGAGTATGAGCCTCGAAGGAGTATGTGAGTCTGCCGCGCAGGTACAGGGTTGTTGATGTTGACGCGATGTTTTCTAGGTGATGCTTCATGCCCGAGAAGAGTATCGATTCCAGTCAGTGTTCCTTCTCCAAAATACGGCACTGGCACCGCCACAATGAAGACAAAACTTTGCCAATTCTGATTATTGCCCAGGCTGTCGATCTATGTGCTGGAGAGCAGCAATTCCCGACGGCTGACATACTTCATGCCACCCCTGGTAAGTTAGCGTCCGTGCCATGAATTGGTGTGTTCTTTGCGAGTTCTGGAACACTGCTGAGGCTCTACGCGCCAGAATCTTATCCCGCTTCTCTGTATTCGCCCCATGCGACTTTTCCTATCAGCGGGAACTACTCGCCGTGTGCGCATCGTCTTGCTCCGAGCAACTCATCTGCCATTTGTTAGTCTGATCTGGATCTATGAGGCTTGTCGACACTTTTTGCACCGACAGAACAGTCGATTCAACCCACGGTCTATGGCTCACAATCGTAATTCTTCGAGGGAGCCGAGTGCCTCCAGGTGCCAGGACCCACACCACCCTTCCGTGGGCGAAGCGCATCGTCTAGGCCCAGGAAAGGACCGACTTAATACGGATCAGCATACCGCGCGTGAATCCATAGAACAAGCTGGCCGAGTACAGCTTGAGGATATGGTTGCCGCAGTGGAACGGCTGCGAGCCCAAGTGGAGCGGATGGAAACGACAATCGCGGTACAGCAACGAGACTGAATTTTGTGCAATGATACAGCCCTCCGCACTTGAGTTTCGGGGGGAATCTGGAGTAGACAGTGCAGATCAACCACCGCTCTGACGCTTAGGGCCACGCACGCCCCTGCAGGGGCCGGCTCGCATTAGCGTGCGGTCGGCGTGGATTAGCGGCAGCCACCCTGACACTCTTCGAAGACCGTTCGCGATGCTTGCGAACAACCATATCAATGTCAGCCTATCATGGGCTTGGCAGGCTTAGGGATATTTTTTTGGGGGGGGGGGAATTGGCTTTTTTATTTCTTTGTTGATGGCGTTTGGTTCGAACATCGGGCGACATCAATCTTCAGTCCCCGCAAGGCAACATGGGATGTCGAATACAATATACACTGTCATTTTCTTACAGCGATGGGCATACGACAGAGTCAGAGCTCTCACCTTTCACCGGGGCCGGTTTGCCCTGTGGGGTTGATGTGGAGTACGCGCAGTATGGTATACATGAGGTCGAAGGATCGCGCGGTTCGGAAACGGGCCCGCATACCGTTGAGGTCACGATGGCACTACAGCCTGCCTTTTTGGGCTGTGGTGATCGTCGGCTACATCACCATACCCTGTACTCTTCACCCTATGTGCCCGAACCCTCCCCCCCTTTCCTTTCCAAGGCCGCGGCTGTGTCTACCAGTGGCCCCAAACCGGTGATACTAATGCACTTCGCCAAGTCAAGAGCCGAAGAATCGGGGTTCTTTGGCGTCTCTGTATGGCCGCACTGCCTGCATGGGACCCGACGCTGTTGGGCAGACCACTCCAGTGGGGACCAAAGGAGATGTTTGACCTGTCCCAACCCTAGCAGCCGCCGTGGTGCGTCTATTGCAGGGCATGGACTACACACTATACCCTGCAACCCCAGTCTTTTCGTCTCCCCCCTGTGCCATGTTTTGTTTTTATTGATTTTTATATTACACTCGAGTGTTATGGGAGATTACTGCCCTGATACCCGAGTGAGGCTAAGCGGCAGCAGACAAGACCCGCCCGGACATTACAGTGACATACTAGTCCCTGATCATGATGAACCAGGTACTTCGATCGCTCCCCTCCGGCGCTAAGCTCTGGTACATTGGTTCATACTTGGAGAGTTGGGCTGCTATCGATCTGGTCCGGAATGCCCCCCCCCCCCCCTCTGCTTCCACCGCATTTACAGCACCCTTTCTCTTGCAAACCGCCTTGCCGACTGGGGCGTTAAGTCATTGATTCTTCACCTCTTGTCGGTGTCGATGCGGCGAAGCTTCTTCTCCAATGATTCTGGGCCCCGTTCACCTCCCTCTCCTCAGCCACCTTCCATGTATGCGCCGACTACTCACCAACAGCGCCGCTGTTGACTTCTCATTTTTTTTATATATACCTCGCCGTTGCTACCTCGTCCATGCTGGTTCTGACAGAGACCCGCTTTGGTTGGTGAAGCTTAAATATTTTCTATCTTTCTGTCATCCTTGCTTTGCAGTTTCCAGCACAAACATCATGGACCGAACACCAGACTCAGTGTACCGCTCCTCTTCGACGGTTCCGTCGCTGCCGGAAGATGCAAAATCCCTCAAGACAACATCGGCATACTCCTCACCAGCTTCTACCGTCGCATCCAACGGAACAGGACCTTCGACAGGAATCGGACTCGGAATCTCCAACTGCGGCATAGAGACCACACTTGACCATCTGAGGGTATGCGCGAGCTCGGCGCCTCTTTCATACCATTCGAATATTCCTAGTCCACTGGGACCAGCTGGCACATTTTACAACTGTCCTGTGAACGCCGGAGACTTCTCGAACAGACATTGCTATGGGATGTGCCATTCATGTTCGCATGCTGCAGACTGCCCCCTTGGTTTCTATGACTCCCGTTCCATGAGCCTATCTCCCAGTTACAACTCTGTTTACGAGTTTGACGTCAACCAAGACGTCTATTCAAGTCAAATGCCTGGTCTTTGGGCCCCGACGCCCTGTGCAGGGCCGACAACATCATCAGATGCGATTATCCTGACTGCGGGCAGCGAGGAGAGAAGATATTGGGACCAGGGTATGGCTTACAATGCGTGCGATTCTGCCAGCATGTCAACGCCACCAACTGTGCCTTACACTCCTGCAACCCTGGCGGAGGACACCAGCAACAAAGGGTCTTCCGGAAAGCATTCGAAAGCCGAACAAGCCGTGGCTCACCGGCACAAGTTCACGACCAATGAGTCTTCGAAAGACCCCTCGAATATGACAAAAAAGCCCCAGATCGCCTCTGCAAGCGGCCTTGAATGTCCTTTTTGCGGCCTCACGTTTACTCGGCGCTCCAACTGCAAGGAACACCAAAAGAAACACGACCCCGACTTCAAGAAGTCTTTTCCTTGTGAGGAATGCCCTAGAGTTTTTGCCAGGGGTACGGATTTGAGACGGCATACAGAGACAGTGAGTTGATTGAACAATATGAAAAAAGCAGAAGCAGATGCTGACCCTACCAGGTTCATCTCGGCATTCGCAAGCATGCCTGTTACTGGTGCGACCGTCGGTTTACTCGCCAGGATAGTTTGACAAAGTAAGTGCTGTCTGCATGGACTTGCTTCTGTTGTTTATACTAAGTGCTTCGATTACTATTAGGCACCTGCCCGACTGCGAGGACAGGCCCGCTCAGAACAAATCTGCACAGTCGACTGGCTTCCCTTCCAGGAACTCGTTGCTGGCAGCTCCGAATCTGCAGAAGCGACCGTCGAAGCGCCGACGCTCGGTGCTCAAGCACTAAAGGGGAATGATACCCATGTCTCTTTTTGATTTGCATTGTTTTGCTGTCCTGCGTTGTACTGGATCTGCTGGACAGAGCCCATTTTTCTCTTCTCTTCTCTTTTCTTTGATATCCCTGTTTTTGTTGACTGGGCCCTAGCATGAGATGTAATCCATTTCTAGGATGCATCATATTTAGCATAGCATTTGGGCTTGTCCAATGTCGTGGCGTTGCAGTCCCGCTTTTCGATATTGGACCAGGATGCATTAGGGCTGGATCCCAGGGGCGGTATTTTGTGATTTTGTTTGTTATGACCAATATCTCCGTGTTATTGCAGCTTGACTCTTGATGTTTTCTGTTATTGTAGTTGGAATGTCATGTTGGTTATTATTTTTCTTTTCCAGGTGTGATATCGCTGCAGTTCGACTCGAGTGCACTGGCGCGCGGGTAAAATCGACTCTTGCTGATCTTCCACCTCCCCGATCTCCAACACAGAGAGGAGAGGCTATCTTTGGCTCTTCAGGTATTAATGCCACAAGAAATTTCCACGACATTCCCGATCGACACGGAGCTCTGTTCTCCAGCGAGTCGACGGGGAGAATCGTGGAAATTGCGGATCCTTGCCATGGGGTTTCTCCGTGCCCTCTGAAATCCTCCGATTTTCCTCTCTCATCTTTCGCATCTTCTTCCCCTTGGCCCGCGGATCGAGACTCTTGCCGCGATCCACCCGGCAAAGCCGAATCACACGCTAAGACCAGAGGGATCCTCGACAGATACCGGTCTATGATCGACGTGGGAGTGCAAATTTGAAAGCTCTTCTTTTGAATTTCTCATTTTGCTCGCTCAGGGGTGCTTACGGCTGGGGCCCGCCCCCCAAGCTGTTTTGATTTTTGATAATGAGCTCGCCTCGCGGGATAAATACCCCGTACTTACCATGCGACCAAGGAATGGACCCTGGACTCATCGAGGGGGGCACTCAACGTTCGTGCAGCTAGTGATGTCTTACGCCTCCACTCCCATTTCAAAATTATTAATTCTGATTTATATCAGACCGGGACACACGAGGGGATCCGCATCCATTAACCCCCCCCTTGTTCGGGGTAATTATTGCCCCTACGGAGTGCATAGTACGCGCACGCTATATATTATTTTGACGCCAAAAGTGCCCAAAGCTCCTTGAGTCTCCACTCTCTCCACTGGGTCAGATCCCGTTCAAGGAGAGTCCACATTCGAATGAGAGTCGGAGGATCAACTCTTTCAAAGCAGCCGCGCAGTAGATAACCGCGTCTGTTCGTGTGTCGATCTCCGGCCCCGAATGGATCCGACGATGGTCCTGCCTTGATTTCTTGATTTCATGCTACTAGTGATCAGGGTTTGGGCCTCGAAAAATCTTCACGATACGCCAGACAAAGACTCGGAGTGGCCGGTCTGGTTCTGGTTCTGTTCACTACCCCCTGAACCTCAATAGCCCGATATGTGGGCCCCCAGAAAAGGGAGAATGCTCATAGGGTGATCTGGGATGACCGGAATTACCATAGTTGACGCCTGATTGACGCTCTGGTACACATGGGATCTTGCTTTGTTTCTTATCGAGCAACCATTATGCCACTATGCGTCCGGCGCATGGTGGCGGCATTTGCCATGTGGCCCCCTAGCGATCTTCAGATGCGCCAGCCTTCGATTGTCCCTTTGAGCGATAAAGCTATGGTCTATGCTAGCCAAAGGATGTGGCTCTAAGCCGAAAAGACCGATAGCGTCTCTGTCACAGCGAGGCTCGCATTGGTTGTCCGAGAACAAAGGAAGAAAAATCAGCAGCAACGATCTACGCAGAAATCCACATCTGCCCTAGTGAAAAAGCCACTTAGGGGGTAGAAAAGACACAGACAGCCAACGAAAAGATACTATGACCAACATACCCCTGTCCTGGCCATGGTCCCCTGTCTGCTATTGTCTCATTTTTGGCTTGCCCCAATGATGACTCCAAGGATCCATCACACGCTACGCTGAGTCCGTGACGGAATCGGGAAACAAAATGCGACCATTACTCGCATCTGGTGCCGCTCAGGGCTGTCGGGCTAGTGGAAGAACATGATCCCTCCTCTCAATCCACCAAGCCTGTGCCTGAATTCAATTTCCTGGTTTCCAATTTATACCCCTGTCCCCCTGAGCTTGGGCCTCTGGAATTCCCCCGAGGGCTCTCCGAGGGGTTTTCAGGGACAGTTCATGAACACACAGACTGAGCCAGCGACTATTTACTGTAGGGCGGTCCCACGAGAAAAATAGCGTGACGAGGGCGATCAAATTGATATGAGCTAGGATCGGGAGTTGGGATCTATACTCTGAAGATTTCAAGAATCGGTTCAATTCAGGTTCTTGTGCTGACGCACTTCAATCAAGGTACACAATGGACATTGGTTTGTGTTGCTGGTATTTCCTTTCCACCGAATAGTCCGTTATCCATGGATCAATTGCAGAGGTGATTAATCAATTAGTCGCTTCCAAGATTGAATGCTCTGTGGAAAGTTGTAGATTTAATTTCTCAGGCTATGCTTTAATGTAGAGACTAAGTTGACGTGCAGAATGCATGGCCTAAGCATAGATGTAGAAGCTTGGAGGACCCTAATTGCTTTAGCTTCAGCATTTCAGCTAAAAAGAAAGCCAGGGAGAATCGACCTAAACAGCTCTTTCAAGATCCCAGGTTCGGTCAATTAGATAGCTCTATTCCTCATTGCACAGCAGCTCTCTAGAGTTAGCCTCTATAAATACTGCCAATTTCACCATCAGCTAAGCCCTTATGCAGATACTATTGATTTCAAGAATCACAATTCTTTAAGCACATTATACTTGGATTATCTACATCGAATAGTTCTCAAGTTTTTCGTCAGACTGTGACTAGAGCCACGGCATTCTCAAGAAATCGACTCATTATAAATGTCTAAGACTACTCTATCGAAGCACCTTTTCTGCAATATATCTACCTAGGTACATTGAAATTGCCCAACCCCTTAGTGAATTAAGTCTTGGGGACTTTAGTATCTACCGGGGTGATGGCCGGCGATTCCGAGAAATCCTCCGTCTCTTCAGTCTCTTGGGTACGATTTCTGGCGTTGCATGCGAGTCAGACATAGTTCAGGCAAAAGGAAGAGATCAAAAAGGGGAGGGTTAACCTACTCCTTCTGTTTCTTTTCCTTGTGATGAAGATCCCGAACCACAAAAGTGGTGATGAACATAATCACAGACATAACAGTGACAGTGATGAAACCCTTTCGATACTCTGGTGCCTCGACTTGTTGCCAGACAATGAGAGGCAGCCAGGCCTGGAAAACGTAGGCGAGCTCATTCATGCTCCCGATAACCAGGGATCGCTCTTCGTTGTCTTCGGAGCAGATCTCATGGGTCCAACTGGGCAAAAGAGTTAATCTTTGTGTTGAGATACCCGGGGCAGGGCTAGGGATGGGGATGACTTACGCCATCAAAAGCCCGCTGATTCCAAATCCAGCTCCACAGATAATGTAGCAGGTCCATTTCCAGCCCATGGGGATATCCCATACTGCCAAAGAGACGTAGCTTATGATGTTGACGATCTGAATGATATATCAGTGCTTTGTGTCCATGGCATCCATTGCCGCATGCCGATGTACTTACAGCGCCGAAGATAATTGGCGGCCAGCGCCTGCCTCCTAGGATTGAATCCGATGTCCCTCGAAGAATGTTAGATATTTAAAATCCAATTTGATTTTAGGTAACTCACAAGCATAAGTGAGGGTGGTCACAACCTGAACCGCATACGTCGCTGTTGGATATGCGTTGATTTGACCCACCGAGTATTTGGGGTCCTTGGAGTGTTTGAGAAACCTGCATCAGAGGTTAAAATGGACTCATCGGACATATTTCTGGGATAGAACTCACTGCTGAAAGACGGGCTGGCTACCAATGGCGCCGTTATTGAAGACTCTGTTGGGTGTTAGCGTTAGGCTCATTGAACAAAGCTTCGAAATATTTTTACTCACATGTATAGCAGGGTCAGCAAATATATGTGCCACGAAGAGAAGATTTTCTTCAGCTTCGCTCGAGTAAAAGGCTCCCGATTCTGCCTGCCTTCCAAGTGCATCCGTTTCTGTGAAAGAGCCACCTCCTGTTTCCTAGCGTTAGCAGGGAAACAGCATCAAATTGTGATATCAAGAAAGCGCCTTTACCTCTTTGCTCAAGTACCACGGACTCGAGATTTCGGGCACATCAGGAAGCACCACAAACCCACTCAAAGCCACGGGCAAGGAGATAACCCCATCAACTATAAACAACCTGTCACGCAGTTAGAATCAGATCACGATTTTGGACCTTGCACATTTTCTTTTCACCATTGCCACCCCTTGAAGCCTCCCCGTCCCCCGAGCCGATAGACGGCATCCATCAGATATCCCGAGAACATGCTGGCAATACCGCTGCTCGTGTGGAAGATACAGGACCGTTTGGCAAGCTCATCTTTCCGGTACCACGAGCCGATGATATACTGCATCCCGGGATAAAATGTGCTCTCCGCGAGCCCTGTTACCAGCGTGAGTTAATCTTGCCTATCAGGGTTATAGTATGGGCTTTGGATTCCACACCAATAAAAAATCGCAACACATAAAACTGCGTTGCCGTGTTGCATCGCGACAGTGAAAATGTGAGAACCGTCCAGAGAAGCTGCGAGGATGTCAGCGTGGGAAACCTCATCCACATACAATCACACAATTCTCACCTCCATGGCTGGAATCCAGTATCTCGGTCGAATGCGCGTCAAAAGTAGGTTACTAGGAATTTCGCCAATCACATAACCAACGGTCCAGCAGGTCTGCATATAATTGAGCTGGTTGCCATATAGACCCAGGTCTTCTTTCCTGTGAAGGGTTATTACGAAATTTCTATAAAAAAAAAAAAACCATGGGTGAAAGTGGCCATACATCCCAGACACAAAAGCATTGTTGATGTTGACCTGGTCCAGATATTTGATGAAATATCCTATCGACAATGAGCCCTCACATCAACACATACCACTTTCATTAATGGAACTCACCCAGAGATGCAAAGGTCAAAATAGCCGAATCCAATTTGAAGAGTAGCCGGCGCTCTTCGGGTGACTTGTCGAATGTGTCCCAGATGTAGCTCACCCATTTGCGCTTGACATTCTTCTGAACGGGCGTCGCAGGATCGACGGCCGCTTCATTGGCGTGGGTGGGCGACATAATGACCTGAGTGCTTCCAACAATAATTTCTTTTGGGTCTCAAAGGATCTCAATGATTCAGTGGCATTCTTTATATGTTAGAAACAAGTTTAGTCGTGGAATGTCGGGAGTTCCGAAGAATGCGCTATCTAGCGACGTGCGTCTCTGGGGACATTAAATCAGCCCAGTAAGCACTCAAGCACTCTGAAAGAGAGATTTGGGAGACACTAACAGGCGGGGAAATGCTTCAGGTTGACGTTGCTTGGAATCTCGCCATGGGCTCCATCAAGAGGGAGCAGTCGAATTATCGACAGCCTGGTTCACGCAATTCCTGCGCGGACGCTCAACATCCATTAAATTGGGCCTTATCTGTTCTCCAAAGCGGAGATTCGCCGAATCTCTAGGAGCTGGCTCCTTGTTTTGGGGGGGGATTGTCGGGGGCATCCCGTAGGCAAATCATCCGTGGTGTCCCCAGGGAGCTCGTCATACAATTCGGCGATGGTGTGCCAGCACTCCCCTCTTGCATCTTCCAAGTGGGAATCCCGAGGTTTTGCCAGGTTTGATAGAGTAGTGAAGTATTGCTGACTATTTCCGTTGCTGAATATTTGCAGTGATTGTTCTGAGAGGAAATGAAGTGTTGAAAAACAATATATACTTCTATATCTCCCAAGGATCAAGTTGATCCATAATATCGAGACATCCCTCTAGAAATTGCAACTAATTCCACTTTAAACAGCAACATCCACTTCGATCGGCCCCTCAACACGAGTCTCAGGAGTCTCGGTCTGTGTATTGCCGCTGAGAACCTGATTGAGTCTCTCCAAATGGGCCTCCTTTTCTTGTATCCAAGTCGGAGTATGACCCTCAACCAACGAAAGGCCACGGGCCACTCTCGCAGCATTAACCCAATCCACTAGACCCTTCACGTAGGGCCGCTCTTCCTCTCTCAAGGAATGGAACTTCCGCCCATATCCCTTAGCCTTGACTCGATCTGTATATTCGTCCCTCATGGCTTTTGTCGACGGCAATTGCGCGACTCCAGAAACAAATGCAGCCACGGCAATAGCCTGGAACTCAAAAAGAGTAAACGTAGCTGTATAGAACGGAATCCCCACAAACGACAGCGTTGGATCCGGAATATAAAAGATGTCGCGGTGCAGGTTATGCACCTGGGTACCATCCGTGACAAGAACAGACTCGTTGGCCTCGGTCACGGGCAGATCATGATTGTTATATTCGGCCAGAAACGGGAGCACCATTTGATAGCCTGTGCAGAGAATGATCTGGTCGATATCAGGCAGTGTTTCGCCTGACTTGAGGTGAATAGTCAATGCCAAATGCTCGTTTTCTTGGACCGTTTCAGATGAAATCAGTTCCAATGCCGCAATCTCGCTGATTCTCGTGGCATTTGCGGGTAGTGCGCTGGACGGGAAATCAAAGGCACCGCCACGGGTACTCTGGTGGATTTGATGCACGAAGGGGCTTATTTCTCGAGCAATATCCAAGGAAGACACGCCGCCTCCAACCAACAGGATATTCTAGTGGAAGTCAGTACCGCTGCCAGCTCACCATTGAATATATATATTTTGCTTACCTTTCCTTTGAACCCTTCAGACCTTCGAAAGGACTTGGAATGAAAGATCCTCGAGGGCCATTTGGCTTTGGCATCTGGTAGGCCTGGGATATCGGGAATAAGAGGTGTGTGGTAGTGGCCCGACGCAATGACAACGGAATCGAATGTCTGCAAAGAAGTAAGTATTGATTAATCTAGATTCTTAACCAAAAGCACTTACAGATGCTTCTTGCTTTTCCGCTAAACTAGCCGTCTGGGTGTTGTTGTGCAATGAAGACCAACGGACTTGCCACGTCGATCCGTCTTTGTAGACTTTCGTTACTCGAGTCCCATAGAGTGTCACTGCATCAACGCCAGCCTTCTTGGACGTGTCTTGAATATATTCTCTGAGGACATTATGCTTGACAAATGGCGCGGTGCCTTCAGGCCACGCATTGAGCTTGGTGCGCAGCAATGGCGTCGGCACATTATTTGTGAGACTCTCGTAGCACGGTCTAGTATTTTCGCATCAGAAATGTTGTATCAAAAATGGAAAGACTCCAACTTACCCTGGTGGTGCATGTAACAGAAACTGCCTCTCTATCTTGTCTCGGCCATCCTCCACATGCTGCTCTGCATCCGACGGCCTGGCAGCCGGGTATTGTACCTCGATCGGTGTCCGCTTGTCGTAGAGCCTGCATTGGCGGTTTGTATATATTGGAACTAACCGGATGATGATAATGTGCTTACCAGACTCCACCGGCGGCGTGGTTTCTTTCAAAAACCGTCACTTCAATACCCGCTTCCAGAAGATGGCCGGCCGTCACCACGCCACTGATTCCAGCGCCGATGACTGCTACACGAGGGGAATGTCCACTCATGATGATTGGAATGAGTTTGCTTCCGAATCTCTCGGGAGATGTATAGATAAAAGAGATTTCCTATAGTGCCGGTATAAAACCCCATGGCTCCGCCATTCCCATGAAAACATCTGAACCCGGACATTCGCAATCTTGTCTGCACTAAAAGATCAATTGCATTTCATTGCTTATCGGAACAGACGGCACGACATTTGGCGGATTAGAAATCCCGCGATCAGCGTGATTTGGGTGGTAAATTGTGAGATCGCAGCCCCGCTCGTGGGTACGGGCAAGACTGCGAGAGATTGGTCGAGCATCGAATTGCTCTGAAGAAGGAAGAGACGAAGGGTACATTTGAGTGACCGTTGAATGAGCAGGCTGCGTGGCCCGCAGAAGGCGTAATAGCGCGCGGCGATGAGGTGCTCAAACCCCAGATATCAACCAGGCAGATCGCAGATTGATTATGCCAGCGTTAAATATGGCACATGTCGTCGATATGCTCGAGATAATCATACAGTCTTCAACAAATATCTCATATTCTTTTTACTATGGCTCCCGCTCCCATTGACTCGCGCATTGTTGACGTTGCGCCGCCCCGGAAGGATACTCTGGGCCTCCCCGGGTCTGCGCGAGAGCGTCTGGAGAAGGCGGGCATCGATCTAAGTGCAGGATACCCCTATCGGCCCTCGCGTCCGCTCTATTCGGACGATGTGTATAATGTGCGGGACTATGATCGCCCTCACGTAGAGCCCGGCAGCCGAGCCGACCCCGAAAAGAAAGCCCTTCTGTCCGCTGCCAAAGAAGTCATCCCGTTGACCAGGCACATTGGAACTGAGATCGTCGGCCTTCAGCTGAAGGATCTGACCGATCAGCAGAAGGACGAGCTGGGCTTGCTGATTGCCGAACGAAGTGTGGTCTTTTTCCGCGATCAGGATATCACGCCTCAGCAGCAGAAAGAACTGGGAGAGTGGTTTGGCGAGATCGAGGTTCATGTATGATTCATCTCTTGGTCTAATGCTCATCCAGATCACTGATAATTTCGCTTTCAGCCACAAGTGCCCCAGGTGCCTGGTGTCGCAGGAGTGACTGTGATCTGGCCTGCATTACAAGCAACCGAGACGCCAGCCAGCTTCCGTCGACCGGGAGGTTCGTCCCGATGGCACACTGACCTCGTTCACGAGCGACAGCCCGCCGGAGTGACACACTTGCATAACGACACGGTGCCAACTGTGGGTGGAGATACTCTCTGGGCCAGCGGATATTCAGCATATGAGAAGTTGTCGCCGCTGTTCCGCAAGTTTATCGACGGCAAGACGGCTATTTACCGATCCGCTCATCCCTACCTGGACCGCAAGAACCCCGAGGCTGGGCCCAAGTTTGTGGAGCGTGAGCACCCGATCGTCCGCGTCCACCCTGCCACCGGATGGAAGGCACTTTGGGTCAACCGCGCCATGACGGACCGCATCGTGGGACTCGATAAGGCAGAAAGTGACGTGATCTTGGGATATCTGTTTGATGTGTATGAGAAGAACCCCGACATCCAGGTTCGCTTCAAGTGGAGTCCCCGGACGAGCGCACTATGGGACAACCGGTTAGTTGCACTTCCCAGAAGCTTGATATGGCCACATGCTGACACCTCGACAGAATCACAATCCACAATGCAAGCTGGGACTACGAGGGGTCACAGCCGAGACATGGGACCCGGGTAACCGCGCTTGCAGAAAAGCCGATTTTCGACCCGAAAGCACCCACGAGACGGGAGAAGTTGGGGCTGCTGGGACCCGAAGAGATTGAAGAATTGCAGAAGCTGAGCAGCCTGGGGCTGGAGTGATTAGCGCCTTTGAGGAGCTTTAGTTCATTTATATTCCATGAACCAGAATGCATCTGGCAATATCCACACTTGGTATCAAAGGAACTGTACCGGGGGATATTCCTTTGAAGATAGACGACTCAGGTCTGGTTTGGACCTGAATGGACAAATCAAAGTAGCTGAGAGATGAGATGAGACTTGAAGTTGTCTCCATCGACTTGGGAGATAAACAAAGCAAAAAGAAAAACATCGTGGGGTACCCGTCGATCTCTACCGCCTTTAGAGACCCCCCATCACCGCCCGCATTTTTTTGGTCTCTTCACTTGAATTTCTTCTTGTTTTTCCTCCTCAATAACCCACCTTGCCGTCATTATGAGCGCGACCATGACTATAACTAGTCCGCCGGAGATCACGGCGGACAACGTCGCAACGCTCTTCCCCGAAGTCGATACCTCGCTGGCTCGCGAAGTCCTCCCCACCAACAGCAACCAAACTGCCCGCGAAACCAGCGATCTCGAGGGATACGACGAGGAGCAGGTGCGACTGATGGATGAAGTGTGCATTGTGCTGGACAACAACGACCGACCTATTGGAAGTGCCAGCAAGAAGACCTGTAGGTTCTCCGCGCCGCGAGCGCAATACTGCCCAACGAAAAGAGGGGCCGTATGTTGGAGGGGGGAACGAACCCCGATTGCAAGACACGGATACTGATAATGTGGGTATGGGACAGGCCACATAATGACAAATATCGACAAGGGTCTTCTTCACCGCGCCTTCTCTGTCTTCCTGTTCGACTCCAATAAGCGTCTCCTACTGCAGCAGCGCGCCGCCGAGAAGATCACCTTCCCTGACATGTGGACCAACACCTGCTGCTCACATCCGCTTGGCATTCCCGGGGAGACGGGCGCAGAACTGGATGCTGCCGTGCTGGGCGTGAAGCGGGCCGCGCAGCGGAAACTGAACCACGAACTGGGTATTAAGCCGGAGCAGGTGCCGCTGGACCAGTTCGAGTTCTTTACGAGAATCCACTACAAAGCCCCAAGTGACGGCAAGTGGGGAGAACACGAAGGTATGGATTTGTAACCGGAGACGGACGGTTGTTTTTCGATAGCCATTAACGACCTCCCGCAGTGGACTATATTCTTTTCATCCAGGCCGATGTCGACCTGGAGCCCAACCTGAACGAGGTGCGCGACACCACGTACGTCTCGGCCGACGAACTCAAGGCTATGTTTGAGCAGCCCGGGCTGAAATTCACGCCGTGGTTCAAGCTCATCTGCAACTCGATGTTGTTCGAGTGGTGGAGCCACCTGGGCACTCCGGCCCTTGACAAGTACAAGGGCGAGAAGGAGATCCGCCGGATGTGAGGGTGATCGCAGATTTATTTCGGTATTTACATTTATATTTCCTTTTTCTTGCATTTCTGAAACACTATGCAACTTATGGAATTGATACCTTAGCCTCGTTTTCTGCACATTGCCAATTTATCCAACACGAACATGAAGAATGACTTTTTCTTTTTATTGCATATCCTGGATCTGCATATAGTAAATCCTTCTCATTAATGAGCAAGAAAGACGGACTCGCAATGTCCTATCGTGCTAGGATGTGAGAAAGAAAAACCTCTGTAGAGCAATATACATGCAATCAAATCATATTCACTCTAGATGCACTCTAATATATCAACGCAAATGCACATGATCATCGAACTTTTCGTTATAGACATGAACAGCAACCACATAGAACGGTTGCCTTCCAACGACTCTCATCGAATCAAGTCAGTTCATTCCTCTGCAGAGCCTCCTCAACGGAGCGATCCCAGTTGGCCCGGCTGATGAAAAGGCCCTCGATGAGAGAAACCAGTCCCAGCGCTATGGCGACACCGACCCACAACCCCATGACCCCCCAACCCAAGCTGAACGTGGTGCCCATGCTGATGGGCATAGCAACGACATAGTAGCAGAACAGTTGGATATAACCGCCGACTTCCTGGCGACCCAGCCCGCGCAGAATGCCATTGCAGTTCGCGGCCAGGGCGTCGAACAGTTGGAACGCGGCGCAAAGGGGAAGTACCTGGGCGACGATATCGATGACTTCGGGGTCGGAGCTGAATAGCATTGGGATGTATGACCGCAATGTCGACAGCAGGAGCATGTTGAGCAAGCCGACAATCACCGCCCCACAGAAGCTCACCTTGGCCGAAGTCTTCGCGGCGCCAACCAGCGTCGCCCCAATCAAATTCGCAACCCGAGTACTGCCGGCAATGGAGAGCGGGAATGGGATTTGCCATGTAATGCTGGAAATTGTTGCCAGAATAGACTGGGCGGCGAGTTCGGATGTGCCGAGGTAACTCGATGCAAGCGTCAACACCTCAAATGCGAGACACTCGGCCTCGACCATGATCAGACCTGGGAGCGCGAGACGAATCATGGGGCCCCAATTTTGGAACGCTCGCTTGGTAAAGCCACACCAGCACTCGGAGCCCACGGCAAAATAGACGTAGACGAACAAACAGAGCGGGAGAAGATTTTCGGTGATTGCCACCGCGATAGGAGCACCAATAAATCCCCATTGTAATTTCTGAGGGCAGGTTAGTATAGAAGTCAAGAAAGTCTGCTTCGAAGGCTGGCTTACCCAAACAAAAAACCAATTCAGAAACGCGTTAAGCGGCGCGCATACAATAAGCACATATAGAGAGGCCGAAAATACACCCTGGGCCTGCAGGTATCGCTTGCCACTCTCGAAGCAGGCATACCCAGGAGCGCCTAGCAAGGCGATCTTCAAGTACAGGCCCGCCATAGCGGCCACCTCTGTTTCCGGCACAATCTTGGTGAGGATATGCTCCGAGAAGTACCAAAGCACCGCGATTGGGATGGTTACGAGCCAAAGGAACCAGACCATCCGCAGCATCTGCAGACCCACCAGTTTCCTCTTCCCTGAGCCATATGCCTGGGCGCACAGAGTATCTAAGCTCGTGGCCAAGCCCGAATAAACCGCATTTCCCGTGATGCTGACCGTCATACTGGCCAGACTGACTGCACCAAGCTCTTCCTTGCCCAGATGCCCAATAGTGAAGATACTGGCCACGGTCAAGGAATACTGCAGCAGGAAAGTGACCATCAACGGAAGCGAGTATTTCCCAATGACCTTGGCCTCTCGTTTCCACGTCGTGTGGATGAGGCCAGCAGTAACAGCCTCTTCCCATTTTCGGTCAATCTCGTCTAGGCTCATTTCACGGTTACCGGACGGCCCCAGTAGAGCTGTAGTCTCCGTTGCGGAGTCGGCCTCTGCATCCCTACCCCCAGAGACTGGAGGAGAGCCAGGTTGATTTGAAGGACTCTGCTTAGACGAGGCCGGGAGAATCCCGCTCAGCTTATGCTGCAAACCGTGAGGTTTTGCATGGGCGTGTTCGGCGGAGATAACACGATTATCACTGAGCAGATACCGTTCCTCTTCGATGGCTTGCTCGCGCTCACCCTGCGTAATTGGCTGCGGTTCGCCAGTTGCTGGGACCACAGTCGCATGGCTGACCGTGGTGAAATACCCCGGGCGACGATAAGAGCCTGCCAGTGAATGGGGGTTGCTCGCATAACTGCTGGCCAGGCGAACTGTTGAGGACTCGGAGCCTCCATCCGTGGGATTCGGGTCTTCGTCAGCAAAGTCGGCGAGGTCTCGAGCGATCGCCGACGCGGCGATGGGCGAGCTGGATGTGAATGACCGGCTGAACGAGCTTTGATGCTCTGCGGACTCCACCGAGCGGACATTGTGGGGAGGCATATTGACGAGAAAGAATGCGGGCAGGTTTTACAGTATCGCCCGCATCATCTACCACAGAAAATTCCCTGTTATACAAGACAGAGCGTGAATAGAGGGAAGAGAAAAGAGCTTCGGCCGCAAAGGGAAAAAGAGAAAAGGCGGAAGATGGGACCGATGGAACCTCAGAAGTGGAGACGCCCGTGGACACAATGGAAGTATGGGTCCGCCTAAGCATATCCATTACCCCAGTATCAAGTCTGACTTAATGAGATCCTGTTAATTGCCAGATCGGTGGTCCACATGGCCTGGTTCTCGGAATGCCTGATTTAAAGGCAAGGGACACCAGGGATGACTCAAACGTTCGTATGATGGGTGATTGACTCAAGCGCGTGCTGAGAAGCCCCGCAGGGTTGACCCACCAGAGAGCTCCGTGTGGCCAGTGGAGGCAGGATGTGGAAGCGACTGCAGCTGGGCTGATCCTGGTCATTCTGTAGCCACAACACGCTGCAAAAGAGAGTCGATCGTGGGGGGTGACATCCAATATCGTAAGCGGCGTCGTCACATGACCGCGCAGCTTCTCCAGCTTTTTTGGGGTTCTTTCTTCTTCAGCTCTCAATGCACTCGGTCAAGGATGGCCTTGGTTGCATTCACTGGCAAACATGTCTCAAACTCAACTGAGCAACTCATGCTCTCGACGCTACAACCCTCTGATCAACCCGGCGCATTCCAAGCCGGTCCTGGTGGACGAGTAAGTCGACCCGATAAGGCCTCGTCGATCATGAAGTCATTGCTCTTCAAGTCTCCAAGTTTCCAGAAACTCCATACTGTGACTTTTTCAGTCCATATGACCATGGATGGTGCTCCTGGTATCTTGGGGATGTATACTAGGGTGTGTTTTGGTCTGACCTTTGATTTTAGACACCTCGAAGAACAGCGACACATTCTTCTCTCGACCCCCATTTTTGGCGAGCTCCTCTTCGAAAACAGCACGTCCGATGCTCGCGATCACTGTGCCAATGAGCGCACCTTTCTCTCTTGGCTCCGTCTGTCTATGTACCTCGCTATTGTATCCCTGGCTATTATCATCTCCTTCCACTTCCGCGAGCAACCCACCGTTCTTGAGCGGCGTATGGCTTTGCCCCTTGGCATTATCTTCTGGGTCCTCAGTCTGATGTGTTTGGTTAATGGGTTCGCTAACTATGCCCGGACCGTCATGAAGTATAGTCGCAAGGCGGCGCTGGTGCAAAGTGGCTGGAAAACGCAGGTTGTTTTCACCGTGGTGGGGACTGTGATCTTGGGGAGTTGTATTTTGTTTCTGTCGACTGACCCGCAATAATAATCTCGCGTGTGGAGAGCTTTGGGCTATTTGGTTTCTTCAGCGTGGGCGTTACAGCATTGCATATATCCACAGGGATGTCGAGGTATATTTCGGATGTTGGTTGCATTCTCGGCTACTTTTTCTGCTATTGTATCTATTGCTATGCAAGTGGATCAATCATGATATCATTTGAGTGTCTGCACGGAAATTCGATCTTGGAAAAGAAAAGCCTCCAAGAGAATCGAAAGGCTAGCCGTCGAGAATTGCCCAGGTCTGCTCATCCATTGTTGAGAAAATCACACCAGCGCTAAGCAGCTCTTCTCCTGCTCTGGCGACATCGGTTGGTGGCAGGTTCAGTTTAGATGCAATGTCCTGCATCTGGAGGCCAATATCATCTTGAGGCTCAGTCTTTAACAGGGAGTAGACCCTCCTGGCAAGAGGAGACATGGACGCAAGCGCCCGGTTCTGGCCCGCAGTGTAGTCATCGGCCCCGCCCATCATCGCATCGCCGCCGCCAGCTCCAGCAGCATTCGCACCCGCACCCGCTGGAGCACCACCAGGCGGCCCGCGGGTAAAGAAGAGGTGCACAGCAGTGGCCTCGAGCATATGGCAATGCAGCTCGTTGATGTTGGTCAGAGGCCGCACGCTGTGGGCACCGATATAACGCTTGTTCCCGAAAGACTTGATGGCGCCAAATACCCGGGCGTACCCGTTCAGCTGCACCTCAGTCTTCCCGACCCCGGCCACTTTGCCGTCGTCCGTGTCCATGTTGTCGGCGGTACTGGAGTCAATCCATTTCTTGACCTCTATCTCGCTCGTACCGTCGTCGATCTTGTAGGTGACATTGGTACTTTGCAAGCTGATGTTGCGCACCTGGCCCACGAAGAGTACATTGGCCACGTCCGCGCCGTCGACCTGGTACGGGGCTTCGGGGTACGGCTGCGTGGCGTCGGCTACCTGCTTGACCGTCACGGGGCGTAGGGTCTTGTTATCGCGGTCGCCGCTCTAAAGACGCGTCAGTTTTTGACTGGTTCGATTCAACCACGAAACTCGAGACTGTACCTTTCCTCCTGCGGGACTGTTCATCTCGCCGGGCATGTATCCTCCTCCTCCACCTTGGCCGGCGAAGGAGTTATAACTGTAGCCACCATCTGTGACAAACTAGCTGTTAGTTTGACCCTAAAGGATTTTGCGTGGCCACCTACCCATAATGCTTGTGTGTGAGGGTCTGATAAATAGAAGACCATTTTACTCGATTGGGGAGCGTGTCGGACGCGTCGTGGGGCTGTTTGGCTGGTTTGCATGTCAGGGATATAGTTGATCCGGGGCTCACCGCCCTGGCAATTTTTGGATTTTTTTTGCGGAGCAGAAAGTCGCAGTGCGACAGAGGGAAATCCACTTGCTTGGACATTTCAGTTTGATCGAAAATTCTGGTTATCAGGCTGCTTCATCGATGGGCCGAGCAGCTTAGCAGATTATCTTCGCCATTCCCTTTTAGCCGGCGTCTTCCAGCCGCAACAATGCCTCGCCGTGCAGCATCTCCAGCTGCGTCGGAGAATGAATTCGACATTACAAATGCTTTGTTCCAACATGACAGTGATTCCGACGATGCTACCACTTCTCAACCTCGGCAACAAAAGCCGGCACCTGCAAAAGATCTCGATTTCCTAGGAGCAGACGATGATGACGATGAGGCTTTCATTGCGAACCAGCAGGCATCTGCCAACCGGAAGGGCTCAAATCTCAAAGGTCGTACAGTCAAGAAGGGTGGTGGATTTCAGGCCATGGGATTAAATGCGGGTCTACTAAAGGCCATCACTCGCAAAGGATTTTCCGTCCCGACTCCAATCCAGCGCAAGACTATCCCCGTGATCATGGATGACCAAGATGTCGTGGGTATGGCGCGAACCGGTTCCGGAAAGACAGCGGCGTTCGTCATCCCCATGATCGAGAAGTTGAAGAGTCACAGCAGCACGGTGGGCGCGCGGGGATTGATCATGTCTCCATCGCGTGAACTGGCTTTGCAAACCCTCAAGGTGGTCAAGGAGATGGGCCGAGGAACTGATTTGAGAGCAGTTCTCTTGGTCGGTGGAGACAGTCTAGAGGACCAGTTTGGGATGATGGCGGGCAATCCCGACATCGTGATTGCGACCCCGGGTCGGTTCCTGCACCTGAAGGTGGAGATGGGGCTGGATCTGTCCAGTATTCGATACGTTGTCTTTGACGAGGCGGATCGATTGTTCGAAATGGGTTTCGCCGCACAATTGACCGAGATTCTGCATGGATTGCCTGCAACCCGGCAAACGCTCCTCTTCTCCGCGACACTGCCCAAGTCACTCGTTGAGTTTGCTCGGGCAGGTCTCCAGGAACCAAGTCTTGTGCGTCTGGATACCGAGAGCAAAATCTCGCCTGATCTCCAAAACGCCTTCTTTGCGGTCAAGTCTTCCGATAAGGAGGGTGCTCTCCTCCACATCCTCCACGAGGTCATCAAAATGCCCACCGGCCCCACCGAAGTCTCGCAAAAACGCAAGGAAGAGGGACCAAAGGGCCCCAAGAAGCGCAAGAGATCGGAAGGAGATAAGCCTGGCAACTTCAAGGAGTCTCCTACGAAGCATTCGACTATTGTGTTCGCCGCGACGAAGCACCACGTCGACTATCTCTATGCTCTACTATTAGAGGCGGGATTTGCTACGTCTTACGCCTACGGTTCCCTGGATCAAACCGCCCGTAAAATTCAAGTTCAAAACTTTCGCAACGGCATCTCCAACATTTTGGTGGTGACGGATGTTGCTGCTCGAGGTATCGATATCCCAGTCCTTGCCAACGTCATCAACTACGACTTCCCATCACAGCCCAAGATCTTCATCCATCGTGTCGGTCGTACCGCACGTGCCGGCCAAAAGGGATGGAGTTATAGTCTTGTCCGCGACTCAGATGCGCCATATCTGCTTGACCTCCAGCTTTTTTTGGGACGGAAGCTGGTGCTGGGTCGTCAGGCAGGTAACAACGTCAATTTCGCCGAAGACATCGCCGTGGGGACGATTCCTCGCGACGGCTTGTCCCACAGCTGCGAGTGGGTTAATCGGACGCTGGAAGAAAACACCGATATCATTTCACAGCGACAGGTAGCGCAAAAGGGAGAAAAACTCTACATGCGCACACGGAACGCGGCATCATTGGAAAGTGCCAAGCGTGCGAAGCAGGTCGTGAGCTCGGAAGAGTGGTCCACCATCCACGCCTTGTTCAACGACGAAAGTAGCCAGATGGAGGCGGAGCGCGATAAGATGCTGACCCGGATTGGAGGGTACCGGCCACAGGAGACAATTTTTGAGACGAACAACCGACGTGGTGGCAAGCCAGATGGAGACGAGGCCACGGACACGATTAAGCGCATGCGCACATCAATTGATACCAAAAAGAAGCGCGCACAAGCCCAAGAGCAGTCTGACTTTGCCGAGTCGGGCGGTAGCAATGCAAACCAAGAGGGCGTGGAAGATGATGACGTGCCGTCAGAGGCTGGCGACAACATGTCCATCGCATCCGACTCCGATCTCGAGGTCACATTCTCCGCCTATTCTCAGAACAACAACAACAACAATCAAACTGGCCAAAAGAGCGAGGTCTCTGCGACATCCTTCCAGAATCCCGACTACTTCATGGGCTACAAACCGACCGACACCTCCCTGACGGAGGACCGGGCGTACGGAGTGCACTCGGGAACAAACTCGAATTTTACCCAAGCGTCACGCAGCGCGACAATGGATCTGACCGGTGACGAAGGCGCACGCGGATTTGCCGAGCCGCGGTCCATCATGCGCTGGGACAAACGACACAAGAAGTACGTGGCGCGCCAGAACGACGAAGACGGATCCAAGGGCGACCGACTAGTCCGCGGCGAGAGCGGAGCCAAGATCGCAGCCAGTTTCCGCAGCGGCCGGTTCCAGGCCTGGAAGAAGGGCAAGCGACTCGAGGCCATGCCGCGCGTTGGCGAGGCCGAGACGCCCGGGCTGGCTGGGGGACTGAACTCAGGCCGGGGTGGCGGCCGGTTTGGCGGCCGGTTCCGGCATCACAAGGAGCAGGCACCCAAGCGGGCGGACCCCCTGCGGGGCGACTACGACAAGATGAAGAAGAAGAACGCGGCGGCGCGGGACCGGCAGCAGAGCAAGATGGGTGGAGCAGCGGCTGGAGGGAAGAGCGAGATCCGGTCGACGGACGATATCCGCAAAGCGCGCAAGCAGAAGCAGCAGCGGCGCGAGAAAAATGCCCGGCCGTCCAAGAAACGGTAATGAGGCCTCTGGGACTATAGACGGGGAGATTATAATCATGTATGCATTGCTAGCGATTTGCAGTCGAGTCAATACCCATGCGCATGCCACGGTGAAAGTATCCCTGGCTTATTTGCGGAATGACCTCATCACATCAAAAGAATATGCTCGTATAGACCCAGGAGAGGGGTTTGACGTGGGGACCGAGTATCGGCCAGTTGCGAACCCAGCCGAGTGACTATCTGTACAGCTGGAGCGAACCGCACTAGTGTCAATAATGAAATTGATATCCCAACGCCGGCGATTATGTAGAGTGATTGGTCAATGTACCATATTTCTTCCCAGCTACAGAGTGGGTCAATGAGTTTGTGTGAAGGAGCGCTAGTAAACGTTGGCTTGGGTGGGGAGAGTGGTCTATTGGGCCTTGTTAGGGTTATCCGACGATAGTTCCAAGTTCGCGATAATCCATGAACCCATGGGCTGGCAAAGAAAATAAACAAATCGGCGAATTTTTCGACCCAGACTCTTTTTTTTTTTTTGGCTCCACCGTGACAAATTGTGACAGCCCACAGTTCAAAAAAAAAATGTGAGAGACAGAGAGAGAGAGAGAGAGGAAAGGGATCGGCCCCAGGGGAGGCGCACTATCACCGCGACTATTGACTCGTGCATGAACCGGGTGACAAGACCCCTTGCTGCTCCGCGTGCCGCATGTTCCACAATTGTTTTTCTTTCCGTTTTCTTTTTCTTTTTCTTTCTTTTTTATGATTATGATTCTTGTCCTCGGCAGTATCCGAGTGCTTTTATTCTTTCCCTTTACTTTTTTGACTGGCGGTTATGACGTTGAGCACGTCAACTTGCCCATTCTGCACCCAGCTAGGGATGCGCGATCAGCATGGTCCAAAGGCTGAAATGATAATGTGATCCCCAGCAGAGGGCTGCATGATCCGTCGGGAGCCCCGGAATATAACGTCGAGACAGAGAAAGAAAGGAGTAATGTTGTCAAACGGAGAAGGGAAGCCCTAAGGGAATCTTCCCCCTGTCCGATCCCTCGTTTTTCTCTCTCTCGAGTTACTCAACAGGCACGAACTAATAATTCTCTGTCCAAAGGATTATTATCGGTTCTCAAGGTATCACAAGAACCAGAACCATCAGAACCGCACAAGCCGAAAAGCCCGAGGATGGACGGTAGGTATGACTGGCAATTATTTCCCGACTAATCCAGTGGGAATCGACTGCAGCTGGCCGGATCATCTGAAATTGATGCCGTGAGACCGTCCACATTGCAACCGTAACCCCCTAGCGGACGGAGCATAAACGGAGGATCGACAAATGATTGCCCGGGTGGGTCAAGGGGATCTCCACTGCGGAGAATAAGATGGAGGAGTTCGTGAGTTGGGTCGAGTCAGAAAAAAGGGTGATAACCATGGGAATAATGATGATGATGATCATAAGCTAATAAGATAGAGTGATATAACGGGCATATGGGGATCAGTGAATAGAAGATGCTCATCCCAGTCCCTATGCCTTGCAGGGCAGTAGATGAGAAATAAGAATAAGACAGGAAGAATAAATCCAGTCAATAATCACTAATATAATCTTCATAACATGCAGAGTGTCAAACGGAATGCGCATTTTCCATGCCGAGGGGAACTATTGGCAATGGCTGCGGGCACCGACGTCGATCGCCTTGCATCGTGCGCTGATTGACAGCGGTGCGTCTTTTTGCTGAAATATCCCTTTCTCTCTTTGTTGAATTCTTGAATGCTCTCTCGAGTTTCTCTCGTGTGACTATTATAGCCCGAAAACCCTAGCCCTTGGGGGGGACCCTAGCCCTTGGGGCGAAGGATTCGGGAGTCGTGGGGTTGGATATATCCTTGGGATGAATGGATGAACCCAACTATTGAGAAAAAGACCAAATGAAAAAGAAAGGGAAAAAGGGAAAAAAACGGGGGCTCCACCCCCCTTCTCTGTATTGAACCCCTCCATAATTCCCACGATCTACCGGAACGGCGATCAAGTCTATCAGCTACTAGTGCAGCCTGCACTGACCACTACCTTCCCTGCGTTCCCACCTTTGTTTCTCTCTTGTTAAACCTCCGGTTTCTCTATAAGCTTGCCTTGCCGATGCTCTGAGTGAAATTCCCCTTCTTTTGATTCACAATATCTGAATATCTGAATATCCCAAAGATTTGACGTGAACTACGACCCTGCAAGACGTGCATTTCTGGTATGCTTCCCCTCGTTTTTCTGTCTCTCTTGTTCTCCCCTTCTCTCCTCCCCTGCTCGCTTAGGGTTGGTCCATCCCGCACGGAACGTGGGCCATGATCGAGACAGAGAGGCAAGGCGTGGGGCTGGGATGCGATTACTGCGTCCTAGCTTGATGATCGACCTGCACGTCCTGGGATGGGAAGACATGCGCTATGAGCAACCCTGCTGTCATGATCTGGAAATCTCCCGCTGATCGATGCAGTCTATTTTCTGACTCCTCCAATAGCGGATCACCCTGGCTCTGATTATAAGCTCGGCTGGGTCCTGGCGAGCCTCGATGACGACCGCAGATTGACATCTTCCCCCCTACACCGCTGCTGACGTCTCTTCCTCTTTCTTTCTTCCTTTCTCCCCATACCAAGACCCCAGGGGAAAATCCATTTTCCAGATATGCTGCCCCCAAGTGCAGACGCGAGAGCCTGTGGTCCCCTGTTGTGAACGAATCTCCGAGGGGGGAAACGAACAGGGAAGGGGGAAAGAAAAAGAAAAAAAAAAAAAAAAAAGTGCTTGCCCTGTGGGCCACCCCATTTCTTTTCCTGCCTGACGCCCGATGCAATCACTCGTGCTTCATCCACCGAGCCTTTCCTCCCCGTTTGGACAACCCCGGTTCAACTCGGGCCCAGAGCGGCTGCCGTTGAATCGTCCTCGGTCTACCAATGCTCGAGGGTATAGTCCCCGGGCTGCTCTTCCCCATCAATCGATGTCTAGGTCTCCTCTTGCAGAGGAGCCCTCGGAGACATCCGCAGAGTCCAAGCCACGGGGATATCCACTGTCGTCCGTAGTCACGACAGCCGAGGAGGTCACGGCCACCGTCCCGGAGCTACCACCGCTGCCGCCTCCAGTCAGCGAGCCTATACCAGCGCGGTTACCACCGGGGTATAGTGAGCAGGCCACTCCAGTCTTTCCCGGGTCTCCAAGACTACCACCGGGGGCGCCGCCATATCCGTTGCCGGCGTTGGAAGGCTCGGCATCAGGGCCTGCCCACCGGTCATTCGCTCACAAATCAACACGGCGCACAAAGGCCCATGTGGCCTCGGCTTGTGTGAATTGCAAAAAGAAGCACCTGGGATGCGACCCAGCACGCCCATGCCGACGATGCGTGCTCTCGGGCAAAGCTGTAAGTGTTCGTTGTCCCGAGTCCTAGATGTGAAACTGACGATGATGAAACCACAGTCCTCATGTGTGGACGTCACGCACAAGAAACGAGGGCGACCACCGCTTAAAGCCGAGGACTCGTCACTGCGGTCTTACACGACGCATCTCGACCATCCAGCGGTGCCGGCCGAGGCCCAACCACCCGTGCTCACGCGGCCCTCCACGATGCACCGGGCCACGTCTTCACGCGAGCTGCGGCCCATGACGGATCTCCAGAGATTGGGAGATGCAGGCCAAGCAGCAGCCGGAATGCCAATGCAGCATAGGCTGTCAGCATCAGTCTTTCCTCTGACTCGACCAATGGACGCCTCGCCCTCCATCCCGGGACCCGTTGGTCGAAGGTCATTCTCATCAAGTGGCCCACCCTATTCAGCGCCAGCAGGCCCGCCTCCTGCTTTTGTCCCCATGCCGGTGGCGTTCAATCCCGTCCTCAAAGCGGGTAGCATGCCGTCTAGCATGGAGAGGCGGTTTTCAGCATATGCTGCGCCCTCTCTTCCACCACCAACCTCCCCCCCTCAGCACCACCCCGTAAACGTGCCTTTCCTACCATATACGGAACCACCAGGCAGCATTATTCGGCCTCCACTCAGCGACCCGCGATTGCCAGCAGGGCCTCCTGAGCCTTACCGTGAATCTCCCGTGCGGCTGCCGCCTATTCACCAAGCCACTGCGAGCCCGGGGCCGCCTCATCTTGCACATCGCCTGAGTGATCCCTACCCGGCCACATGGTCGTTCCCGACACGAGAAGAAGGCCCGCCTGATCCACGGCGCCCGGCCGCACTACATCGACCAGTGGGCCCGATATTCTCTCCTTCCTTCTCTCATCAACGCTCCTCTTCCGCCGTAGGCCCGGTCGATCCCAAGCCCCGACACCTCGGTCCTATCGATCTCTTCCCCCCTCTTGCCCCGGCAAATTTGTCTCCGAGAGAAGCACGAGCAGAGCAGCCGACCAGCGAGGCTGAACCCCAAGAGCCACGGCCTGTCAAACGACGCAAAATGGCGCTGGACGACATGGTCAACGGCTGAGAGTATTGACTGGAGGCTGGGTCTTTCTTCCTGAACCCGCTGCTTTATTCTATAATCGGGGTATCTGGAGGCTGGAGCCCTCCATGTATTGTATAATTGACCGCCACAAGTCCCAGTAGCTGGGTCTACATGGGCGTTGATACCCCTACCAGCGAGGCGCATTTTGGTGCGAGCACCAGATAAATCTCTGAATTTCCAAATTTTTGAAGCCGCGTTTTGCACGGTATCAAATGTCTGTTTATTCCCAGTTCAGCAAGGATAGCCATCGCATCCGCATTGTGCTTGTCTGTTTCGTTTTGTCTGCTGCATCGTCCGTTCCAGGTTTCATGCTATAGAATTTCGGTGTCTGCGGAAGATTGGCAGGATTACGGCCGGTGTCGGGGCACTTTTTTTGGTGTTTTTTTTTTTTTTTCGTTTTTCGTTTTTCATTTGTCATTTCATTTGTTCTTGCGGATGGTATTGATCTCCCTTCTCTTTTCTGTTTGGGCTGGGTGTTATTTCCCTTTGTATGTGTGGCTTCGTTTCTTCGCGAGTACCCCCTATAGTTATGCGCGCGGTTTTGTCTTTTGTCGCAAGGTTGAAAGAGACATGGCATGGCGTTTGGTGGCGAGGTTTTGGAGAAAATGGACTCGCTCTTGGCTTTGGTCTGGTTCGGGGAGGGGGAGAAGCTGCAGAGGTATATATCTGTATATCAGCCTGTACATCTACCCTGTTGCGAGTAATGATCAAAGGGTTGTGTGCGGGGGGATACTACTGTCTCACGAGTACGAATTCAAGAGATGAAGATCCGATACATGAATCTGGGAATAGAGGTAATATGTACGGAGCAGCAACCCCCTTGTATCTACTATATAGCGAGGTATCACAATCAGAAAAACAACCACTGCCCAACCCGCTGCGCCTTCGCCCAAACCCCCTTCCTCTTGTCCTCATCCTCCCCAACAGGCCGAGCAGAATCCTCCGATTCGGCAGTAGCATCATAGCGATCCGTCATGAGATCCATTTCCCACGTGCGCACAAAATGGGTCCGCTTGACCAGCTTCCAAGCAAAGATCATGACAATCAGCACGGGGATCTCGATATAGTACGAGACAAAGTCGACGCGCTGGAAATGCGGACTAAAGCATTTCCAGCCCTGCACCAGCACCAGGACGATGTTGAGGCCGACGGCAAAAACGGGGCCGTAGGGGTAGGTCCAGTTCTTGAAGGGGAGGAGGTCTTCGAGGCCCTGGGCGCGGATGGCGGCGCGGAAGCGGAGGGAGGCGAGGCCGATGCAGATCCAGGAGAGTTGGTTGGAGACGCCGACGATACTGGGGTTGCTATTAGTATCGGGGTTCTATGCATCTGGGTGATTCATATTTTTTAATGTCTTCGGTGGTACTTACTTCTGTAGCCACGACCACAGTTGCCCTGCTCCAATATAACTCGCACCGAAACACAGCCCGCTAATGACCGAGGTGGCCAGCACGGCAATCCACGGAACATAAAAGCGATTCAGATGGCCAAAGAAGCGCGGCGCATAGCCATCGACAGCGAGAGTGTATAGCAGACGCGAGCCGGCAAAGAGGGCATGGTTCGCAGCAGAAATCACCGACGTCATAATCACGGCGTTGATAAAGCTGCCCGCGACGGCACTGCCGGCCTGTTGAAAGACAATAGTAAACGGACTTGTGCGGCTATCACCGTCCGAAAGGCCCGGGTAGTTGTAGGGCACGTTGAGGCCGACGAGCAGGATCGACAACAAATAAAAGAGAACGATGCGCCAGAAGACGTTGCGCACGACTTTGGGCATGTTTTTGGCGGGGTCGATGGTTTCGCCGGCTGTGATGGCGATGGACTCAGTGCCGCCGCTGTATATAAAAGGTTAGAATAGGTCTCATACACAACACAGAAAATATATGTTGGTAGGGAACGCACTATGCGAATGACGCTGTCACAAACACCGAGGCAAAGCCGCCGATGCCGTCGTGAAAGGGTGCGTCGCCGATATGCCAGTTTCGGCCACCGATGTATTCGTGCTTTGTGTTGCCGCCGCAGTTGACGGCGATCCCAAGGATGATGAATATCTAAAAGAGAATGAGCCAGGTGCTGAGAGATATAGCAAGATGAAGGACATAGGCTAAAGACTTACCACGATGGTGACGACTTTGAGTAAACTTAGCCAGTATTCTACTTCACCATATACCCGCACAGACAAGATATTCAGTCCAATGACGACAATCAGAAAGATCAAGCTGATTGCCCACCCGGGGAAATTATCTGTCCAAAACTTTAGGAGAAGCTGCAGGGCAATGATGTCCGACGCGGTAGAAACCGCGTCATTGAACCAGTAGTTCCAAGTGAGAGCGAAACCCAGGGCATCATCAACGAATCGACTGAATACAGTAAGTCAGCACGAATATTCAGATCCAATACCCGAAAGACTTCAACCCACACAGGATAAACCGAGATAATACTCACCCAGCATAAGTACAGAACGACCCAGCCACCGGGACAAAAGTCGCCATTTCACCCAGACACAGCATCGTGATAAACACAATACCGCCGCAGATGGCATAGGCGATCAGCGTAGAGGCAGGCCCACCCTTCGCGAGCGACTCGCCAGTCCCGAGGAACAAACCAGTGCCGATGGTACCGCCGATAGCGATCATCTGCACCTGGCGGGCAGACAAGCGGCGAGCCAACCGGTCCGCGTTAACAAACGGACTGGAAATGGCATCGGCCGCGGAGTCCGGGCCCTTAGCGTGCTCCTCAGCGGGCGGGGGCTGTTTCTCAATATCGTGAACTGCCATAGTATCGAGTAGGTGACCACACAAATTAGGTGAAGTTAAGTGGTAGCACAAACGGGCGTGCAGAAATATCTCTTAATTTCTTTTATTTGCCCCTGAATTGAATTCTCAAATGTCCTGTCACAGCGTTAGCGTCGTGCAACCATTCAAGCCCACGACCACCCACCAGCCCTAATGTCGCGTGACCCGCACGTGGCTTCAAGCCCTCCGCGATCAGCTTGGAAGTATGAGATCGAAAGAAAGAGAATAAAGAAACCATGTTCTGCTGCTTTTGACGATTTCTGCGATGGCGTGATAGCGCGATACGATGGTTGGATGGGGCGCAAGGCGAATGTGTCGGGGGAAAAAGCCCGCAGGCTCCACTTGCGTTGACATGGCGGGGGACGCTCGATCTCTGCTTAATGCGACCGGTGTCTTATTGGGCAGATAATAGTATGTCGAAAAAGCAGTCTATTTCAACTTTGCCGGGTTGTAGTAGAGTTGTAGCTTAACACAATGGAATTATGCCGAATATTGTGTCCACGGGTATTGTTTCTCTTCGGATTTCTCCGACTCGGCTCTCGTTCAAGGTTAAAAGCTCCACTTCGATGTAACAGCTGCAGAATCCTACGATCTTCAAGATATAGAACGCTATCGAGATAATGGGAACTGAACACCACACTTTGGTAAACAAGTATCCTAGTGATATACAGAAGTCTACCGAATCTTTAACTAGGTTCTGTTGTATTGTTCATCGGTAATTTCCAAGGGCACAAAAATCACATGACACTACGAGGCATAATGACACAATTTTCGAGACCTCATCTTCCTGCTTATATTGCTCTCATGAAGCAAAATCTCACCATTTCACCATATCTGCTGATTCAACTAGCTACAGAAGCTAGAAAGCGAAGCGTAGTCGTAGGTCTTGTACCGTAACATGCCCTAAGCAGTAAGCCCAGGTCTACGTGACATGGGTCCCATGGGATGAAATTTGAAGTCAATCGGTCAATATATACTGATGCATACACAAACAATGCTTTTGAGAGCTCGCTAGGAAAGAAAAGAGAAAGAAATGTACGCCAAAGCACATCTCATCCATACAATGTCGAAACTCAACCCAACAGTCCACTGGCCAGCGCTTCCAGATCGCCCAAGGTGTCGATCCGAGGCTCGGCAGGGACAGCAGACTTGGACTTCTTGCTCTTGCGGGGCCGTGGCTTGTCGTTGTCGCCATCTGATTCGGACTCGACAAAGCGGGCCTTCTTGCTAGGACGGGGCTCTTCGGGTTCGGACGCAGATCCAAGATCGATGTCGTCGACCGGCGCCAACTGCACGCCACGCTCCTCGGCGGCCTCTTCGTCGGCGAGGGCACGGTCGCGGGCGCGACGCTTTTCCTTTTTCTCGCGGCGCTTTTCGCGCACAACTTCCTTGTCCTCGACGTCGGCACGGCGCGTGCGCTCCGCCTCCTCGGCCACGAACCGCTCGCGCTGGGCGTCGGCGTCGCCGCGAGCTTTGAACTGCTCCTCGTCTTCCATCTCGTACAGCTCGTGTGCATTGCCGTTCTCGTCGTAGACGAGCTTTGTACCCTTGCCCTTGAACTTGAGAAGCTTCTTTTTCGACTTGAGAAGCTTCTCGCGTCGCTTCGAGTCGATAACCAGCGGGTCCTTGCCGTCGATTTGCACCGTCTTGGCTTCCTTTCCGGCGCCCGAGGGCTCGGACTCGGACTCGTCTTGGCCCAATTCTGCGTCGCCAGCGGCAAACCGGCGTTTAACAGACAGAAAGTCGTCGTCCTCGTCGGCATCCTCGATAGCACCCTTGGAGGCATTAGGTGCCACCATCGTGCCATCGTCGTTGATTAGTTTCGAGTAGTGGCCCGCCAGCACATCCTGGTTCCGCCGCTCGAACATCCGGTCGAATTTGGTCCGTACTTGGTTCTCGTCCTTCTTGGTCTTCTGAGGTTTGTCCTCTCCATCTGAATCATCGTCTGAATCATCACTGGAAAGCTGATTCATCCTCCATGATGCATTCTTCCGCTCCTTGGTGTCGTCACCCTTGATAAATTTAATACGCGGTGCACCAGGGAGACCCAAACTGGCTGCGAAATCTTCCAATGGAAGCTGTTTGATCTTGAATGTCTCCTTGTCCTTTTGCACGTGAACAGACTTGACGTAGGAGATAAAAGCCTTCTGGCCCAGATACTTTAATTCTGGGTCCTTGAAGCACATGTTCTGCAGCTGATTCCGGATACTTTGCTGCTTGTTTGCTTTAATATTAATGCGCTCAATGGGCACTTTCTTGTGTTCAAGTCGGTTCAACATGCCCTTCTCCTCGCTGGGGTCAAGGAATAGCACGCCGCGACCAACTCGCTCGTACCGAGCGGTACGTCCCACACGATGGATGTAGGTATCAGCGTCCTCGGGGCAATCCATTTGGATGACCCAATCGACGGCTGGGAAATCCAGACCACGAGCAGCAACATCGGTAGCAAAGAGAACGGAATGTTGGGACTGGGAGAACTTAGTCGTAATGTCCAGGCGGCCACCTTGTTTCTGTCGGCCGTGCAGATGCATCAACGGGATACCGGGCTGGAGATGGCGGAAAGACTCGTAGACGAATCGGACCTGTTTGCCCGAGGACAAAAAGACCACCGTTTTGGACTTGAGATTGCTGCGGATAAAGCTCCACAGAGTATCAAGCTTTTGGGGCAATGGCGTGACGACGTAGTGTTGCTGCAGCGTAGACGGGGTGGCTGCCGCGGCTGCTTCATGGACAGCGACATACTCAGGATCCTGCAAACTCAGACGAGCCAGATCCGACACTTTCTTTGTCTGAGTAGCACTGAACAACAATGTCTGTCTCTCCTTCGGAAGGTGGTCGACGATCGCATCCACCGTCCGCTGGAAGCCCATGTCCATGATTCGGTCGGCCTCATCCATGACCAGCATCTGTAAATTGTGGGTTTCGAACATGGCCGTCTGGTCGAGGTGCTGGAGCATACGCCCCGGCGTGCACACCAAGATATTCATCCGTCCCAGTCGTTCTTGTTCCTCGCGCAAACTCTTCCCGCCGATGATCAAGCCGGCAGAAAAGGCATGGTGTCGGCCCACCTTGCGCAAAACCTCGAAGATTTGAATGGCCAACTCGCGGGTAGGCGACAAAATCAGCGCGCCGAGGCCATCGTATTCGGTCCACTGCTTGCGGTACAGGTTCTCGAGGATGGGGACCAAGAAAGCCAAGGTCTTACCGCTGCCGGTTTTGGCGGCGCCCAGGATGTCGCGGCCTTTGAGAGCATGGCTGATCGCGCGCGACTGGATGTCGGTGAGGGTCTTGTAGTGAGAGGCTGAGAGACCAGAGGCCGTGGGTTCGGAGAGTGGGAGCTCGGAGAAGGATTTGATGGAGGTCTTGAGGTCGAGATCTTCGACCCGCTGTACGAGCGAGGACAGTTCTTCCTGTCCGCGCTTGCGTTTCAGGGTACGTCCAGAGTCATTCTGAGGCTTCGCAGCCTTTTTATGAGACGCCCGTGCCGGAGCCATGGTGCTGTGGTGTGATGGTTGAGGCATCAAAGCGGGCGGTGAAAAACTGCTTTTTTTCTTCGCGATGCTGACTCATTCACTGATAAGCCGCTTATCTCGCCAGCTGCATCAGTCTCTCGCAGACAACCGCGCCATGTCCGACGACGATCAGGATATCTTTGACTCCTTGGAGCGTGAAGCTTCAGATTTTACCAAGGTATGAATCACTCACTTCTCTCCCAAATGCTTGTTGCCTCCAGGTGAAACTGACCCGCGACAGGATGCCGAAATCGACCGTATCCGGAAGGCTTTCAGTCTCGATGCGTAAGTCTACCAGCTCTACCTGCCCACAGGATGGTTCTATTTCAATTCCTTCTCCCTACAGCGTTACAGAATACAGTTATAAACCATGACACTGACAATCCATCAGCTACGCCGTCCTAGACCTCCAACCTGGTGTCCCCGACAAGGACATTAAGATCCAGTACCGCAAGAAGTCGCTTCTGATTCACCCGGATAAGACCAAAAACCCAGCAGCACCGGATGCCTTCGACCGACTCAACAAGGCACAGACAGCGCTACTAGACGAAAAGCAGCGCGCCTACCTGGACGAATGCATCTCAGATGCGCGGCGACTACTGATCCGCGAGCACAAATACACACTGGACTCACCCGAGCTCAAGACGGACGAATTCCGGGTCGAGTGGCGGGCAAAGACAGTACACGTCTTGCTTGAAGAGGAAGCGCGCCGACGCCGACAGGCCAAGGCGCGCATGCAGGAAGAAGGACGGGAGAAGCGCAAGGAGGACGAGGAGATCGAGGCACGGAAACGGAAGCGCGATCAAGACAAGGCGTGGGAGGATAGTCGGGAGGAGCGCATTGGGAGTTGGCGCGATTGGCAAAAGGGGCGGAAGATGGACGACAAAAAGAAGAAGAAAAAGATGAAAGTGCTGGGATGAATTAGCTTAGAGTAATATTCTTTCGAGTTGAGCGACTCGAGGCGTTAGGGATAATTGCAGAATATGCCAACATGCCAACGGGTTCTCCGGTTGTCCACGGTGTTCCACAGATAAGCTGCGGGGGACGCGGGGCGAAAGATTTCACATCCTCCAAGGCATCTCCTCTGGATAATCCTCTGCTACTCGCCTGCCACTGACACCTTTCGGTCCCTTGCAATCGATGTCGGATTAGACAATTTCGCTTTTGGATGCCGAGAAACCTCCTTTCCCTCTCTCTCCGTCCGTCGAGCAATTGAGTCAATCCAAAATGGCTGAGCCCGGTGTGAGGACTACGCATGTCCCGGTCTCTGCAGACACACTGCGCTCACCGCGCCCGCAAGACCATCTGCGACCCTTCAGACCGGTGCCGGCATCGGCATCGGCGACATCGACATCGACAACATACTCCACAACTGAGCCATTGACGACCGTATATACCACACAACCAAATGGAACAACACGCACATCCACAATAGACGAAGCCGACGATGACGATGACCTCCCTGACCTCCCGACATTAGTCGCGCGCATTTATGCCCGAGTACAAGCCTTCCTGTCCGAGACACACCCGCCCGAGTCGCTCCTCGCATCGGTCCAGCGACAAACACAAATCTCACTAGAGGTGGTATGGAGCGCGCTATCGCAGTACAAACTCTCCGAACTATCGGTCTCGTACAACGGCGGCAAAGACTGTCTGGTACTCTTGATCCTGTTTCTGGCGGGACTCCACCCATACCCGCGCCACACGCCGAATGAGTTGGACGCCGGCACAGCAGCAGCGGCGCAAGCGGTCGCAGCAACCGTCATCCCCGCCATCTACGCCCTCCCCCCAGACCCCTTCCCCGCCGTCGAGGACTTCGTCGTCACCTCCGCCCAGGCCTACCACCTCTCGATCACCAAGTACACTACCGCGCCGCCGCAGACCACGCTGCGCTCCAGCTTCGAGGACTATCTGAACCGACACCCGGGTATCCGGGCGATCTTCGTGGGAACACGACGCACCGATCCGCACGGCGCGCGGCTGACGCATTTTGATCGGACGGATCGCGGCTGGCCCGATTTCGTGCGTATCCATCCAGTAATTGACTGGCACTACGCCGAGATTTGGGCGTTCATTCGGCACCTGGGTTTGCGGTACTGTTCGCTTTATGATGAGGGATATACGAGCTTGGGTGGCACATCGGATACACATCCCAACCCGAGGCTGCAAGTTGGTGCAGACGGTCCCTCCCCGGACCGGCAATATCTGCCAGCGTATGCACTAACTGAGGATGTGGAAGAGAGGCTTGGGCGGAATTGAATAGAGATGGCGATGGAAATTTATTATTTACATAGATCAAGATTCCCTGTTTGGCCGCTCCTTCATAGATGGTGGGCTGCGGATGCGGAGGTTGCTCATGCACCGAGAATGAGGCAGTTGTTGGGCTTTTCTTTTGGATGCAAAGACATATTTCATTAGACTACGAATCCATCGAAGCGCAAAGTCGAAACAGAACCGCAAGAAAACATGCATCCTGACCAGATAGAAAAAGAAACATGCCCCCTTTTTTATAACTGAAATCATCCTCGCCGCTCCACCAACCCCTATAAAAATATGCAAACCGAAGAAATAAGGAAACGCAAAGCCATTGGCAATAGAAAGACAATCGAAGAACAGATCATCTCGCAAACACAAGGCGTAGAAAGAAAACATACTTCAGCGTACATTCTGCGATTGGTAACACATGCCACGAATGAGGAGTGAGGAATAGTCGATCAGAGGCATTTAGCATTGGCCTCAACCGAGACCGTGCATGTAATGCACGTATAAAAAAGCATCTGGGGAGAGTTCCGAACATCTCAAGTGCACGAACGGGGCGTGGAAATGATAATCTCCATGCGAGAGGACACAGGGGACACGGATCCTGCCTTGTGGTTCTCCTTTCGTGGACTTGACATGTAGGAGCGAGGCTCGAGGGTGGGAGATTCCGGCATCGCCGTCTTAGACGATGCACCAGAGATATCGGTCATAGAGCGACGATTCATGGAGAAGGGTCGGGCACGGTAGACAGGAGTGTGCTCGAGAGCATTGAGACTGCGAGAAGACAGGGAGCTTTGTCGCGCACTGCTTGTTGCCTTCTTCGCGAGAGGGTAACTGTGGCCTTGGTCAGCAGGGCAAGAGAGCTGACATCACAAATCGGATTTGGTACATACGTGGGAGAAATCGAAGTGGCCGGAGTCCAGTTGGAGCCCGCTCCAACTGGGGATGTGTAGCTAACCTGAGAGTTGGGTGTGATTTGAGAGTTGTTTTGTGGGAAGCGTTGCAGAGACGGCGACGGAGTCGATCCCTGCACAACTTCCACGGAGTAGTTGTATTCTCCAGCGCGATAGGCACGGCGCTCGTTGCTCTGTTGCTTTAGCATCTTCTGGGCCTTGGTATCTGCAAACCGCAAGAGCAACTTCACGCCATCCTCCTTCGTGATATTATGGAACTCGCCCAAGACCGTCTCGGCGATGTCGCGGGTTTCAAAGCTGAGACATGGTTTAGGACCTGTGCAGCGAGATAATGAATTTTCAAATATCACATACCGTGCAAATCCCACTTCCTTGCTCACTCCCGTTTTTTCGTCACGGCTGATCTTCTCGGACACCACACGATACGGCTCGAAATGGCGGCGCAGGTCCTGTCAAACAGATCAGCAAAAGTTCACGGTAGAATTGACGAGTACAGTCATGTTTTTTCCTTACTGCTTCAGTCCAGTCGATTGGGATATTGGTGCAGTAGATGTTGGTGGAAGACCTGTCCTCCAAGTCCTTGAGACGCGAGTTGCGAGACTTTTGGGCAAAGCTGGCCTGGTAGCCAAGGTAGAAAAACCCGCGAATGCAATTCTCACAAGACTCAAAGTTGTAGTATTGAACAAATCCGAACCTAGGGATTGGTCAGTACGAAATACGCAGCGCGGCTTCGTAGACTGGGGTACCCTTTGCAGAGGCCCGTGTCCAGATCAACAATCGCCTTGCAGCGCTCGATCTTGCCGAAGCGAGCTGCATATGCATTCAGCATTTCATCGGAAGTTTCTGGAAGAAATCCTCGGATGTAAACATTGGTGATCCCTTCACGGTTCTCCAGACACTTTGCGAGGGTCAGCTCGGATGGGTTCGTCCACATGGCTGGCACTGCACGTGGAATGGGAGGATCTTGCTGGGTCAGTGCCTCCAAATCCTGAACAACATAGCCATTGGTAGTCTTCATCATTTGAAAGGGAAGGGAAAGCGATCCAAGCTGGGGGAAGACACTGCCGTAGGGGTAAGTTGACATAGCAGAACCATCCAAGCTAGGAATAAAAGTGGTTGGGAGGTACTGAATGTTTCCAGTGTTTTCCGATTGAGGTCCCTTCTGCCCATCAGCGGTATTCCATCCATTTTGCTTGTTCACGTCCTGCAAATCGTAGTTCACGATATACGGCCAGGAAGGGTACGTCGTGGGAACCACGGGATTGATGTTCGGGTAAACACCCGTTGAGAGGTAGGGAAACTGGCCCAATTGGTCTGTGTGGCCTGGCACCGAGTTTGGAGCGAAGGAAGAAACCTGGGGGAGACCGTTGAAAAGAGTGGAATTGGGAACCAGGATGAAAGGGCTGTTATACGAGGTACGGTTGTTCGCCGACCAGTCGAGGTTTGTGTTCATCGCAACTGGCGCAGTCCCTTTGGGAGCACCGAGCTTTGGACGAGAATTCTGAAGATTCAGGCCCCCGAAAAGATGCGACAAGGCCGGGCCATTGGCCTCGCGACCACAAGCATTATCGCGAGTGGAGACGTTCGTGGCTTGGGAATAGCCAGACCCATAGGGCGTACGAGGGTCTTGCGGATGGAATTGGCCCGACTGATAATTTGATGCCTGGCCAGATCCGGTGGAGCTGGTCTTCTGGGAGGTTTGAGGATGCATCATGTGGTGCCCTAAAGCGACACCATGAGCTAATGTCAGTGATATTCCACAAAGAAACGTGATAGAAGGCCTGATGGCATTGAGGTCCCGAGTGGCCCATTCATCGTTCCATGATATGGCCGGAGACATGGACTTGTGAATGAATGACTGAAAAATCGCACCTCGCGTTCTTGAAGAGACATATATAACTCGATTGCCAGGGGAGACCGAGAACTGCATGGCCACATCATTGTCAGTCCAACTCATCCACGGTGCATCCTGTTTTGGTGAAAATACAGAAAGGACCCGAAAACTTACCCACGCCCAATGATAGGAGCAAGTGATCCTTTCTCAATTCGAGACAGAAATATGACAATATGGCAGTGGGATTCAACCCACGGCGTGCTCAGACAGTGGGAAACGAAGGGGCAGGACAATGGAATTCAGCACGGGTTCGGCCAGCACCGAGTCAATGGAGATGGCAATGGAGATGATGATGGGACTGGGGATGGCGATGGATGGGGATAGTTGATGAGGAGAGAAAGAAGACAAGCGAGCGATGGGCAATTGAGGGTGCTGGGAGGGAAGGAGCCCAGGAAGACCTCACCTGGGAAAGAATGAGGGACACGCCATGGTCGATGAAGAAGGAAAGAAGATGAAAGTCACCTGGCAGAAACTGCTCACATTTAGACACCACAGGCATCCCAGACTATATCACCTCATAATATTCATCTTACTCTAATGCCAGACTGAAATATAAACTCGCCATAGCTTTGTATCTCCAAAACCCGCTTTATAACTAAAGTGAGAATATAGGAGTCTATATGTCTGTGGGGGGTTCTGCGATATATCACCATACGATAAACCCTCATGCGGTGGGTATTATCGAAGATAACTGGACCATAGACGAGTGTTGAGGCGCTTGCAGAGTCATAGGAGGGACAAAGGAAATGAAAGACTCATCGTCTTATATAGTTTCGAGATTGTAATAAGGAGAAGATGCGACTTAACGATAGAATAGTTCATGATACTCAAACTGTATAGATACACTTCCGTATAAACAAAATCGACGATTTTGCTTCTATAAGTAACCTCGAGAACACCTCTGGGTTGTGAGCCATTGGGACACGTGCAATACGAGTTTGACTGGAGATTAATAAAAAAAAATTATTTCCAGGATTTTGAAGATCAGCATGACGCAGACCGGTACACCCTGCCCCAATGGTGATGGCGCCATGTGGTGGCATGTAGTTTCGATGCTCGAGGACACATCCACAATTGATCCACCAGAGGAAGAACCTTGCCCCGTCACCGTCTCATCAAATTGACAAACGTCTTAGAAATCCAAAGCCGGACGGGCCAGGACTTGGCTATCACGCTTAGGGCTAGCATGCATTGGCGCGACTTATTCTCGGCCAGCTGCCTATGAACAGAGTCCTCCCGGCAGAAGACAATAGTGTGGACAGAGAGCGCAGCAAACGGCGCAGGGGCACTAACCCGAGATTAGAAACATATGAGAGAGACATGGACGAGTTTGGGCATACAGATGAATGAGGCCGGAGTGGATGATCCCTGCAGTTAAAAAGTCTTCTGCAAGACGAGTAATCGAACCTGCAGCCATTCGTGCCTGTAGATCTCTTGCGGCCTCTACGGGTGAGAGATTGTCAACCACCTTGGGGCGGAAGAGAAGTATGATGCAGTTCCTGTGTTGCGTTCCACCTTCGGGTCGGTAAACTAACTCGATGAAGTAGGACAAAGTAGACGATTCCTCGGGTTGGTTGGCATGAAGATTCGATTGCGTCTGATTATTCGAGGGCCATTGTACAGAATCACGGCCATTTGCGTCAGTGGGAAGTGATTGAATGCCCTAGGCTGAATTGTTTTGCTCTTGGAGGGGGAAACTATGTGAGCCATCTCCTTGGACAGAAGCGACAGAGCTGTAAATAAAGCCAGGAGAAATTTCTCGGCGAGGTGTCTGACCGTCAGGTATTCCTCTAGCTCTCAGGGATTGTCGAACACCGCGTTGGTTCCGAGATGAGCCATGACTCTTCCGAACATACCTGCGGCGGGGTGTTCAGCTTCGGCTCGGCTCGCGGAAATTGTTTTACAGAAGGTAATCACATACTTGCCTCGTTTAGACTCGATCAGTTCGCAGTTGATTCGCCATGTCCGACAATGCCAACATGGCTGCCCTTCGTCCACATCACATTTCACCGTCTGGCGTTGCACGCCTTACAGGCGACTCGGGCTCGACCAAGAGGAGTATTAAGGGTGCTTGAAGGCAAGATAATAGTGGGGTTCTCTGCTGATTCCATTATCAAACACTCTTTCTGCAGGGTGAATGCTGACGCTGTGACATAGACAAGTCGGCGAGGTTAACAGAAGCAAAGAAGCCGTCGGCTACTTCCGAAGTAGAGATTCGAGAGGCCGCGGCGACTCACTGCATGACTCATCTCGCACATACCCGGCCTGCCCAACTGTGTATACTCGGGCACCCAGCTAAGGGGGGCCCAAAAATGCCAAGCGGGGCCCAAAATTTGACCTAGTTTTTGGGCCCCCGTCGACTCGCTTAATCGACCGGGGCCCAAAGAATTTCTTCTTATGTAAGCTAATTTTATACACAAATCTTTTTTTCTATCTTTTTTATTCTATATCTGTGGTGGTGAGGATGGATGAAGATATATCTTCGTTTCTTTGTTTACATTTTTGTATACCCCTCTTATTTTCTTTGTTTGTATCGTTGCTAGGTTTTGCATATGCTTTGGAATATGGATTTTTTGTATATATTTAATAAAAAATCACTATAAATATTATAAATATAGAGATATGAGGTTATATAGAGTTGATCTATGGATAAAGAAAGTATTATTAGTAAGAAATTTCATTATGCATAAAATATTTTGGGCCCCGGTCGACTTAGTGAGCTGGGGGGGGCCCAAAAATTTCGGCGTAATATTATCCCGTCTGTTGGACCCCTCTTGGCATTTTTTGGGCCCCCCTGGCTGTAACCCGGTGTATACTCCAAGGTTCCCGGCGTATTTAGTCTATTTAGTCTAGACTCGATGGTCCTTGGAATGCGGGGGCTGGTTTAAATAAGCACAATGAATACAAGAGTAAAGCTTTTCATAAGTCTTTCTCATAGCGGAATCTCCGACCAGAAATTCAATACTTTAGAAACGGCCAAAAAAGAATCACTTATTGCAACTAATGCCAAGCACAGTGATATGCAACCATAGTGCACAGGAGCCAATAAAACAGGTCCGGGTTACAGCCAGGGGGGGGCCAAAAAATATGCCAAGAGGGGTCCAACAGTCGGCCCCCCAGCTTACTGAGTCGACCGGGGCCCAAAATATTTTATGCATAATAAAATTTCTTACTAATAATACTTTCTTTATCCATAGATCAACTCTATATAATATATTCAAAGATTAATAAACTCATATCAGATATACTATAAAGAAGATGATCTAACGCATAAATAATACGTTGACTGGAAGATAACTCAGACCCTGGCTCAATCGGGGTAGTTTCTCGTAGTGGTCGGAATCGGGGTCCAAATAAAGGATTATAGAAATACTGTGAAGGTGCTATGATATAGTAGATATAGAATAAAAGAGTTGTGTATATAAAAGTAGCTTAGATAATAAGGAATTCTTTGGGCCCCCAAAAACTAGGTCAGATTTTGGGCCCCGCTTGGCATTTTTTGGGCCCCCCTTAGCTGGGTGCCCAGGCTCGCTTTTGTAGTAGGGGGCTTCCTAGGCAATTTAATAATATTAGAAGATGTGAAGTGGGTCGTTGAAAAGTGGGTCTTCCGTGATCCCCCTCTAACCCCCCTCTATACGCGCTATATTTGTAAATCTTTGTTTACGGCCTACGTGTCTGCTTTATACGCCCGTTTTTTCGCCTATCCTCTATTACCTAACCTATTCTAGTACCGAATCTCGTTTTCTGACTCTATATGTATAGCCCTTTTATATCTACCTGCCTATCTCTGCGGCCGTTTATAGTCTCCGACCTTAATAACGATCGTAAACGCCTATCCTTTAATACTAATATCTCTATATTAGGTCCCGCTAGAGAAGTTGTCGCGTTTATCCGGTAACTATCGCTCCTTCGGATACGCTATAGTTATAATAATAATTTCTTGGCCTAATCCTATTTAGCCGTCCCCTCGAGTCGGACCCACAGCATTTTCAACGGTTGGTCCTCCACACCGATACGCAAATATTTCTCTTTATTTCTCTTCTTTATTATATACTTAGTATATCAAAATCCAACGAAAATGTCGAAACTCGCCTTAATTAGGCCTATAAAGCAGTATAACGCGATTAAAAACCAAAAATCGCGTCGTTAGCGCGCGAATTCGACGTTCCTTATTATCGACTTCGCGCTAGAATTTATGGTCGTCTACTAAGAATAGCTAGAGGACGAACAGCTGAAGATGCTGTAGGTCCAACTCGAGGGGACGGCTAATCTTCCATCGCCAAGATCGGCCCCTATTTTAGAGTCGAATCGGGCGGCGTAAAACGGTCTAAATATAAAATTGCCCCTCCCGGGGTGTCGTAGGGCACAGGGGGCTGAGACGGATGTCTTTAGTATAAAGAGAGAGTAGGATACCCCCTTCATTCAGGAGCGATCATTCACCTACAATCCATTAAAAGCCCCGCCCATCCCATCATGCAAGTCAAGCTCCTTTTCGCTGCAGCCGCTTTCTCGGCCCTCGCCAACGCCTCGCCAACATCATCACCTAGCCCGACACCGACACCGGCTTCTAACGAAGGGGCCTTGAGGAAACCCCCAAGGTTGCCGACGACGCGACGGTTGAGCTCAGGAACGACGATGGCATTTGTAACGTGTACTTGCACAATGTGCTGGGATGCACATCTGGTACCTCGTTAGAGAAGGGCATGGGCAAATACAACTCGGATACAGGATTATGTGAACAGAATAGCTGTATGTGCCGCAAGACTATTGTCCTTGTTGCCCTTTTCTTTTCTCCGTTTTTGGCTGGGAAAATAAATACTAAACCCTAACTAGGGGGAACGACAACAAAGGGCAAGGAGCGAGGCCCTTCCGACGAGGATGCCTGGCCGTTCCAGCGCGAAGGTCCCAATTTCTGTGGCGGCGGAGACGTGTCACTGTATTACAAGGGATCGGAGAATACTGTCTTCTTGAAGAAGGGTAGTGTTTATTTCAGCAACGGCCAAGGCAATTATATCATCCAGGTTGGTCTCAAGCCAACCAAGGTCAAGGTTGCCGGGAATATCAAGTCAATTGAGCAGGGCTGGGCCTAGGTAGGCTCAGTGAATGGGGCCCTGGATCTCTTGACGGGGTAACTAGATGAGGGTTCAATCCCTAGGAGACTAGCCATAGGTCTGACGGTCTTTGTCTCCGACAATGAGCTCTATCGAGATGGAACCTCACTAGGAGGTGGTTATTTTTGACAGTGAAGAGGTGATAGGGTCAAACAGAATGATTCTCAGTTATACACCATCGAGTCTTCACTTACCGTACTTTGGTCTGCTTCTGCATAGCTGATTAGCGATTACTTTCAGCGTGGATATGTTGCATTTATGACTAGTAGACACTACATTTTCCCCTCTGCCACATCTACTCAAACACCTAGTGAGACTAGAATTAACAATACGTGCTCAATATAATTTATTAGCATATTATAACAAGCCAATGCCGGCCCCTATATCGATTTTCTTTCCCCGATAATACCCCAGCTATCAATATCGACCGGAATATCCGGGATGTTATTGATATCCTCCTCGCACCAAGCCTTAACCTTCAAAGTCCCACCATCTTCCGGCAATAGCCCCGGCGGCAGCAAGAGCAGATTTTGCGGCGAATTCTTGCGCAATATCGCCAGACGCACCGTCTTACTGGGGTCGAACTCGTGCGCGCCCGGCGGCAGTTTATCACGGTGTTGCTCGACGTACTCTGCACTTCTTTTGCGGATATAATCATCAATCACCTCGTTTCCCGCGTCCCAGAGCTTGTTGTTGCAGCCGTCGGTCTCAGGGAGCCAGATCTTGGGTACCTTCATCCACCATGCCAGCCATTCTTTTTTGTCTGCGGTAATATGGCAGGTCCTGTTGTGTTTAAAACAAGGATTGGTTAGTCTATTTTATTATCTATCCTCGGATGTCAGGGGTGGGGGGAAGTGTGTCAACAAACCAATCGCCCTTTTGCATCCAGTCTCCTCGCCCCGGTGTTGTGTAAACTCCATTACCGGCTCGCGCGCGTTTTGGCGAACGGTCATACATCAGATATTGACGTTGATTGTAGAGCTTCCCTTGTTCCTGGATAGAATACAGTAAGTAAACAAGAAGAGAAGGGGGGGGGGGGGGGGGGGGGAGTCGGAAGCATTGAACATACAGGGTGGACGGTTCTATAGGCAATGGTAAGACGTCCTGGTTCGTCTATTGGTGCAGCCACGCAAAGGCCGGCTAGGGTGACCAAGAAGAATAACAGCCTCAGCAGGCTGGCCGTGGTCTCTACCATTTTCTGTGGATCCGGCCTGGTGCAGCAGGGGAAGAAGTAGACCTGTCAGGGGTCGATCTAGAAATAAATCATACCCAGGAACAAAAGCAAGAGAGAGAGAAAGAAGAAGAATCCATCAAATGAGGCTTATGCTGTGGTTTAAAATAGCAGTATCACTGAAAAAGACAATTCAAAAATATTCGGCCCCCGTTTCAGGATCAGGCTGTGCAGATTGACACCAACACCTGCCATTTCAGGAAAATAATAATTAGGATTCCTAAACACCCAAAGGATTCCATGTCCGAGCGAAATCAGAGAGAGAGAGATATGTTATATCCGTGGACCCGACTACAACCTCCTTCCAGGCTCTTTCCTGACTGTGACCGGGCACAAGGTGCGCCGAAAGTATCTACATGCCACCTTTCGTCCATGCCTAAAAGCAAGATTCAAAGTATGCACGAATGGACTTGCCAACTGGTATTGATAGCGAGTGCAAAACGCCCGAGACGTAAACATCTACCAACTTCCATGCGATAAATTTAGTATACAGATATCCGGCGCTCAGCGCGACACATTGCAAAGCTGATAAGACAGACCGAGGGTATGTGATCGAATCCAAACGCCTGTGGAAAAAACACGGCAAGAAATAACAAAAGAGAACAAACAAATGATATGCAGAAGTCACACGGGGAGAAACTACCGCGGTGATGTCGGGTGGCTGGTCGGGCCGCCGGACAGGTACTCCTCCGGCACTTTGGGCACACGCGGCGAGTTAGCCGTCTGGACTATGGCACGGTGCTGAGCGCGGAGCAGGTCGCGTTGACGCTCTTTGTCCCGGTTGTTGGCTGCGCCGCCCGTCAGACGACGCATGCCGCTCCGGATCATCGACTCTAAGGAGTGCGAGCCGTCCGTGGCGCTGCGGACCATTGACGGCGGGGGAGGGCCGGGTTTCTGGGTTGTTGGGCGTTCGTCCAAGTCAGAGTGCACTTCTTCCACCTCCTCGTCGGATGCGAATGCCGAATCATGGGATCCGACAGGTGGGGTGGCATTGGGTGCCTGAGGTGTAGTGTGGACAAAGAGGTTGTTGGCGGGCGAGGTAACAGAGCGGGTGTGCGATACAGGTCGCAGCGTCTGTGTCGAGCTATGTGGTGTCATATTCGGGGAAGAATACACACCCGAGCTGTCGAAACGGAGCATCGGCGGCCGAGATTCAGCGAGGCCGTTGTGGAACGACGACGTGGAGCCAGTCCGAGCAAGAGACTTGCGCAAGATCGGTGCTGTTTGCTGATCGTAGAGATGGGCATTGGTGTCCACGTAGCTACCGGTAAACCCCCGCAACATCGGAGGAGCCACTGGGTTAAGGGTTGGAGTGGTGCTCTCGGTTTCCTCGAAGAAGTCATCCAAGCTATCTAGCTTCTGGACAATGTCCCCAATGTTGCCGTCCGTCTGCGTGTCAATCGATTTCATGGTATCGGCCCTCATGGGGAAGAACGGTTCGCCGTATTCCTCCGCATGGAACTCCACGTCAGGATTCATCGTCTCTGGCGCAGTCATGTCATCGGCTTCGGCACAGGTGTAGAAGGCGGCGTGAACATTATTTCGAGTGACGCTTGACTGGGTTGCTGGCATGGGAACTGACCACCCCGATGGCTCTGGAATACCGTACAGACTTTGGATACGCTCGTATTCTTTGCGTATGGCGCGCGACGAGGAGGCCGAAGCCATACTCATTCGAAGATGGTGCCGCTCCATTGGGTTGCCAGAGACAGTCATGATATTGTCTAAAACTTCCAGAGCCTGGGGGCAGAGATCGGTTTGTAGAAGCCGCAGTAACGGGGAAATCAGATCTGGGCCATGGCAAGTCACCTCGTTCCGACGCATATCGACCTCGGGGATCAAGACGCAGAGAATCTTCATGGTTTTGATCCGGAACCAGTCCGTCGTGTTGGTCAGAAGACCCATGAGGAAGATCAAGCACTGGAAATCCAGATGTGGGAAATAGTACGACTTGATTTCGGTGATGATGTGATCCAGGAACACATTCTCCGTCTTGTACTGTTGGTTCGCAAAACCAAACAAGGACGCCGCTAGTCGAGGGCACCGCTCATTCTCTGCTACACGAGCAAGCAGACTCGCACGCATAATTGGCTTAGGATCATCAAAGTCCTGCTCAAAGCATTGCAGAAAATGAGGCAAGTTGGCCAGGACAGCAAACAGCTGCCGAGTTCCATCTCCAAGAAGCTCATTGTTCGGGAGGCCACTCAGGCGATGGAGAAGGTCTAGCGTGCGATGGAACGACTCAGATGATTTCAGCCCTTTGAAAACAAGGTCCTGAAGTCCATCGAATCCACCCTCCCACTTTGGCGGCTGGCCCTCGACTAATTTAGTGACCGCGACGGGGTCACTCAGATCGACCCGGTCAAGGAACTTCTCTAGCATGCCGATGGTCTCGATGAACTCAGTTTCGTGAATCGTATTGAGACAAGCGCAGGTCGTCCAGAACAGCTGGGGATAGTGCAACAGATCCGATGGGGCTAGTGAGCTGATGATAATCTTTAACGTAGTCAGGATCTCCATGGAGAATGTCTGATAGTCCGTTTCCTCATCCGCAATCGTGTTTGAGAGCCGGGCAAGCATGTCCGCAAGCATCCGCGAATCCAACGAGGTTGAGATGCAACGGAAGATTTGGAATGACCTGCATGCCAGATGTCGGACGGGGCATGAGGTTGCCCAATTCAATGCCTCTTTGGCCCACAAGTCACCAATGCCTTCATAAGCAAAGCCGAAAAATTTGATAACGTCACGGGTCACAGTGGCCATAGATGTCGGCACACAACGTTCATCGGCCTCTTCTTCTTTGCCATGGTTCTCCTCATATTCCCATACAACTGCAGGGTCACTCTTGCGAATCGACTCAACAAAATCTTCGACAGACTGCCGAGCTCCCGCCGGGTCATCGTCCTCCAGCTTGGCAGCCACGAGCTCATGGATAAGGTGAACGAGCATCTCGCGAGCCGATTCTTGTACGGTCATAGTATAATGATCCCAGAGAATCAGAACCACGTGAAGTATCTTGATAACGTCATCCTGGGCTAGCGTAACGGGAGCAACCATCAAATCCACAAGGAAGATGAGCGCAACCTGGCCGAGAGAGAAGCCAGCTTGTTTGTTCCCCACAGGCAGTACCGTACCGAGGTCTGCAACATATGGGAGGCTTTTGATGTCAGGGGGAGCAGGAGTGAGGTCCTTCCGTTCCTGTACCATGTTTTTCGGCACAACTTGCAAGAGGAAGAACTCGATGACCTTGGATCCTGCGGGGGTTCCTGACAAGAAGACGACGACCTGCTTGGCATATTCCACAAAGTTCTGCTCTTTGCGCTCCAGGCACAGGCTGATGATGAAATCCAAGACCAGCTGCACATTGCCCCCATGGGGGCCTGTCGCGAGTGCTTGCCACAATGCTTGCACCTGATTAGGAAGTATGCTGCTGCAGCGAATGGTGATCTCGAAGAGATTTGCGAGGAGCATGTAGGATCTGGCAGTTGGGCCGCCATTTGGATCAACTTGGAGCTCCATCGTTTGAACCCAAGGAAGGATGGCCGCAACTATATTCCGCTGACTGTCCGGGCGAAGAGTGCGGAAGTGCAATGAAAACTCCGAAAACAGAGTAAATGCCAGGTCAGAGTGTTGCGTTGCCAGACGCTTCGAAGTTTCAAACTGTGCGAGTTTATACACCGCCGGTGTTTTGTCTGAGATACTGATGTCAAAGTCCTGCAGCCTGGAGCTCTTCTGCTGCCGTTCCTCGAGTCTTCGAAGAAGCTTAGCAGACTTCATCCGGATCTCGCGCTTTTCGCTGCCCAGAGTCACCAAGACCGCGCCTAGGATTCTCCAGAATCTCAGTGGATAGTCCGATTGTTCTATAAGCACCTCCGAGACTACCTCGAAGTAGCTTTCAAGAGATTTGGGTCGCTCTGTCACGTAGCACATCTCGATTGACCGCTCCATCAGATACGAGTGCTCCTTATTGTGGATGATCAGGTTTTTAAGAGCTCGGCGCCCGATTGCATGCCACTTGTCACTGATGGTATTGAAGATGATATCAATCCAGGAGAGCATCCGAACCACATCGAATTGGAGAACAGAGCCACTCTCGGTAGTGATGCTGATTGGACCAGCCTGTAAAAGTTAGCAGAAAATTCATAAGACATATGAGTCCGAACGTACACAAAGAGAGGCCATGGCACTAAGGGCTGAAGCCCGTAGGTTCTTCTTCTGAATCTCCATGGCAGCAGCTGTGTTTCGCATTTCACCAGTCTCGTGTGGCTGGGCCATTGCAAACTTGCGCATGTTGTCTTCTCTTTCGGAGATCTGAGCTTGATTAGGTGAATAGCCGCACCAGTCTTCCATGAGAGAGAATGCGGATTTCCTCGACTCAAAGGGCATCCAGCGCGAAGGGTCTTTGGTGCGGTTGATCCCCTCGAAAAGTTCCTCCATCAATCCGCAGTAATGGAATCGCAGGCGCTGGAACTCCCAATCATTCTGCACCTCGGCGTCACTCAAGAAGATTCGGATGTCTCTTGCGTAGGTGATCAGGTTATTCACGATCCAGTCGTCGTTGTAAACCTCTGGTTCTTGGAGAAAGTGAGATGTGAGTTTGTACACATGAGTGACTTCGGTGCGCAGCCGATCAGTTTTCCTGTTTCGACGGGGGCTGCTGGGAGTGCGATAGTGAGAGCCAATCCGGATCTTGGCTTCCTCGTTGCAAGTTGTGACTGCATATTGCAACGACTCGAGAAGGGTACGGTAAAGGTTTTTGTGGATAGACCCAAGGGCCACGACGATTGCGCTTCGAATGGAATCCCTTTCTGCAGAGAGGAGGGGAATCACAAATGCAAATAGGCTTCGAGCCGAGCTGATCTTGTCCTGGGACTGATGGGCTCCCTTGGAAGCCTTGCGGGCATGTTGAGCATTGGCCAGTTGGCTTTGGGATTGGGCACCGACGTTCGTGACGGTGGTGCAGGCCATGACCAGATAAAGCTTCCATTGCTCGATCAAAATCTCTGCCGTCATGTTGCTCCTCGCCAGGGGTCGGGTCTGGTAGCCATCGACTGGACTATACTGGGGGACTCTGGCACTCTCGGCAAGAGATGTGATCATTTTGTGCATCTGGACGAGACGCGCGCACACAATTTCCCGGCCCAAGGTTACGGCAAATGGGCAGGTCTCAAAGCTCACGCGAATGATGTTGGGGAAGACTTTTGCCCATAGTGTCGAGTCGTAAGAGACCTCGCTGCTACACAATTCGATGAGAGTGTTTTGCGATGCGCTCCTTCTTTTTCCCTTCTGGATCCGGCTTCTCTCCGCGACTGTGAGCTGCTCGTCATTCAGATCCATTATTTGCTGAGAGTCAGCTTCAAGGATCCGGATAATTCTTGTGTTTTCTTTTCCAAGGGCGCTGTCAAATTCAGTGATCAAGCGCAAAACATTGATGGCGAAGGCTCTGACTCTTCTCGATTGCGAGCAAAGAAAGAAGAGACCATGAGACTCGATCTCCTCCACATGAGCGAGAACACTCGACAAATCAAGGTGGAGAGCCCGGCTTCCAGTGGCAGATTTCTCAAGCTGGTCCATGGCTGCTCCTTTGGTCTTTTGTTTGATCTCGTCGATCCAGATACGAAGGAGCTCGACGTAGAGTCTCAGTGTAGACTCGATATGGCCTGGCCCGAGCATACCTTCGTCCGACATGGTCGAATAACGTGCATCGAAGTTGAAAATAAATCGTGCAAAGCCGATTGTGACTTGCTGGGCATGAGCCTGTCGCGCAATAGCCTTGAGCGATTCCGCGGAGGAAGTTGCGATATTCCACTGAACATGAGCGGTTCCCGTGCATAGGAGGTTGATGAGCGAATTGAAAGGAATATGATCCGAGAGGCACCGAGGCAGAGCCTGAACGGCCACATGAAGCAAATCGTAAAACCCTTGCTTTTGGTCCACAGCCGTGATGTGATCATCGCGGCGGCCAAAACCGAAAGCTTCGGAAATGGGGGTTTTGGGAGTAACCCCGCCGAATTTCTCGTCCAGGACCGCTTGTCCCCCAAACGTGTTGTCACAGAGGAGAGTGATTTTTCCCAAAACCTCGCAAAAGCGGAGGTGGTATTCTCGGACATTGTCACTCAACCTTGCCGTATTGACAGGGTGCCATGACGAAAAATCGGTCTTTTCCGAACCACTCGCCGCCTTGAGCTCGGCGACCAGATGCGGCCGGTGGAAATAGATAGGGGTTGAAGCGTCCGTAAATGGATTTGGCAGCGAGCCCGTTGGAAATGGGGGGCAGAGTTGATCGCTTGTCTCGAGGTCGGACATGGTCGCAAGAAAGGCGCGAATACCAATAACCATCTTTTCCGGTTCCATTTGCTCGATCTTCAATTCTCGGCCAGACAAGAACAAATCAGAGTTGATCAAGGGAAAGATGATGTGTCTGAAACAAACATCGGGGTGTTTGAATCCGATCATTCGAACCAGCTGGATCAACGGGTCTGCGAAAGGGGGTTCAGCGCTCAGGTATGTCCTCCTTCCTGTAGGTAACGCAATCTTCGTCACTTCTTCGACTTTACGCAAAGTAGTGGTCGGGGAATCGGAGTAGCGGAAAAAGTAGGTCCACACCAGACGACAGATGGCTTGCAGCGCTGGTGCACGTGTAGGTCGATCCTTGAGCCGCGCAGGTAAGCTCGATACCATCGAAAGCCACTGGGAAGAGAAGGTCTCCTTGTTCGAAATGCAAAGCAAGAGCACATTCAGGGAGAAAGACGCTGCCCAGTGGCGAGGCTTGGTGAGCAGCTGTGCCAGGCGCGGTTGGACCAGATCCAAGAATTCCTTCCACCGAGGTAGCGAAAGATCACAGGTCGGGTTAGCCGCCACGGGAAGAAGAAGCTTTTCGATCACGTAGCAGTAGGCCTGTTTGATCCGTTGTCCATGGGCATAAACGAACAGGCGCGCCAGTGACCGCATGAAATCGCAAGCCTTGGGCCATCCTTCAGAAGTTATAGGCAGGCGAAGGTATCTCATGCCCAGAATCAGGAGCTCTGCTTTGGCATCTCCGTCTCGTGACGGTGTCACTCGCGCTTCGTCCTTTTGAGATCGGTCAAGCTCGGTTAAAAACCGATTGGCGACGCTGGTAAAGTTCGATTCACTCATGATACCCAGCAATTGGCCATAGATCCTCCAGTTCGCCATTCGGAGGGGGATGCCGAGATCTGATCTGGATCAACAGTTTTGATCTGGCCAAACACAATATCTTCGAGGCGGTCTGCCATGTCAAGGGTGATCGAAGCCAAACTGCTCTGATTGAATATTTCGATCAAGACTCTGCAGACCAAATAAACAGAGACTGTCGCGCGTCGCTCAACCATTGCGATGTCATCCTGGCGACCAAGTATAGCCGTCGACTGCTGCGGCCGCTCTACAGAGGCCGCTTGGTCAGCATGCATTTGGGTTGGCTCTGTATTTCGGCGCATCAAAAGGCCATTTTCTGTGGCAGCTGATTTTGACTAAACCCGGCCCATCTAGTCAGTGGTTCGTTCATCTCCAATGTACCGATTCAAGGGAATAACATACTTGGTCGTTGGTCATCTGCCTCGCGGTGATAGCAGCATCTCCCTTGGCCTTCCGCCAGAACATAATGGTGTCGATCAAAGGCTTCGGTTTCTGCCGGGCGATATGTCCCAAGGCAGATATTAACTGGTCAAAGGTTGGATCGGCTCCAGGGCCGCAAACCTCTTCGACGGGAGTATCCGATTCTCCCAGCCTCATAATTGCCTGGTTGATCTTACTGTCGGCTTGGCCAACAAACTGGAGTTCCCGTCAGCAATCCTTCGTTCATCACCCCACAGCATGCCACGTACAGAGTTGAACAAATGATGTAACGCGTATTCCCCAACCGTCTTGGATTCGGAGTGATGTTTTGAGTGCGAGCGACTATGCGACCGCTCCCGCCTTGACTTGCCCCCCGAGTTCATTCGCTTGTGGGCCATATTCACGGGAAGACCGTCCATTGCTCCGATTGAATCAGTGTCCTGTATCGTGCTTAATGCCCCCTGTAATCCATGGGCCGCCGCTATTGCATTCGGAGTCGGGTAGTTCGCAGTGCCGTCGAGCTGATCCATCCTCCCCGGTACCGCGGTGTCATCAAATCCACCGCGACCCAGCGACGCAATCAGCTCCGGGCTCAAGGGACTTGTAGAGGCGGTAGAGCCAGCCATGCTCGGGTTTCGCGAGTGTTGCATGCCATGAACAATCGAGGTTTGGCGATGGTGACCGTACGAGTTAGACGGGCGGCGTTCCAATCCCGGCTCATATCCAGGAGATCGGGCGTTTGACACGTCGGGGCTTTTGGAACTGGAGTGACCGCGTCGGACTTGTAAGGTCGGAGCGAGCACAGAGGGATCAGCGGCTCTCCCTCGGACGGCAGAGGATTCGCGACTGTGCATTGGCGTCGACTGGGCAGTCCTCGTCCCTCGACGGTCCGCCGGGGATGCCAGATTGTGGAGCGACGCGACTTTTGGGTCGTCAGGGATGAGGGGCAGCGTCGGTTGCTGGCCGGGGCCAGCAGCTTTGGCAGGGTGAGATGCCACTAAGCCAGTGAGATCACACGTCAGAAAGGCACTTGATGTGACGGCATCGCATTAAGGCGAGGGGGGGGGGGTAGACGGGGGGATCTACTTACTGGCCAAGATCACAGATTCATTGCTCGGAGCACCTCATGCAGGTAGCCGTGTCGAGTGTGTCAGTGAGCAGTACGCTGCCCATGGTGGCTTTGTTTCGGCAAAGGGGGTGGATGAGAGACGGGCAGAAGCTGTTGGCTTTGACACGGAACCACTTTTTTTTTATCAATAACTTGCCTTATTCTGTTTGGACATTGTCATTCCTCTGTGCCAATTAATTCATCTACAATATTGTACAATGTTATACATTATACATCTCTATATGTTTCTTCTTCTATTCTCGATCTCCTTTTATTCTTGTTGATGTGGACATCGTCGGGCATCGCTCGTCTTGGCTCTTGAGTCTTGAGTTTCGGGTATGTGACAGGTTTTGCTTCTTTATTTTCATCTTTTCATCTCTTTATTTTTATTTTTTATTTTTTTATTTTTTTTTTTTTTTTGAAGGCTAAGATAGCTGGATGGCGATCTTTCATGGTTCACACCGTCATATCCCTGATCCCTCTCTCCCAACCCTTCATCCTCTGACATTCCAGCAGGCCAACAATCAGCGAACAGCGGGGTGAAGGAACCTGAAACAAGTAGATCTGCGGTCTCTCTCACATGGGGAACCCGTGGAGTCGCGTGCAGGGTTACTCCGAGGGGAATCTATTCGGTATCTGTTCCCTGGTGGCCTTGGATGTCAGGCATTAAATATAGAAGTGAAGATATACACACACCCCCACCGGGGGTCAACCCCGGAGATGATATTTCCCCACGGGACACAAGAATCAAATATCAAAATATCGATTAGCAGTATTTATAGAGATTGCGTATAGAGAAACAATCCTCACAATAATAGGAATCATAGCTGGAAAGACCGCGGAATCCATCCGCCCTGCATGAGACGGAACTGCGAATTCCAACATACTCGACAGAACCGGGACTGTTGCCACACGGCATTCTCTGGGCTCCAGTTCCATGGAAAAGAAGAGAAACAGAAAAATCGAAAGAAAAAAGAAACCGCCAATCTCCCGACCAACCTGCCGAGTGGCTAGCCGAGTTCCGCCTTCACAAGCATGATAGAAATTGGGTTAAGGCAGAGCCGATTCTTTGCTCCGGGGGACTTGACTTGCCCTCGGTCTCTATCTATACATCTATACCCATACTATCCATAGTTATGGATCTCCCCACATCCCCAGAGTGTATATAAGGCTCATATACGAAATCAATCCATTTTTGCATTTCTTCTACCTTTTTACTCTTTCAATCTATATACCCGTGGACCTTGACACATCCTGCACATGTACGCAGCGGTGAAGATCGCTCCACTCCGACCGGACCGAGCCAACACCCCCGATCGGACCACTCTGTCTCTTCCCTCTTCTTCCTCTCCGTGTGATTTAGGGGTCCCTGGACGTCCGGGACAGTGCTATTTTAATTGTCTTTCATATTAGTCCATCTTTTGGTTCTTTTTCACATTCTCTTCTTTTTTTTTTTTTTTGGTCTTTTCCCTCTCTCCCGGGCCAAACGCCCCTCCTCTCCGCCTCCTGAGAAATTCCGCCACTGCGAGAACCCCCCCTCCCGTACGATGGCGCAACTCGATACGCTCGACCTGGTGGTCCTGGTGGCCCTCTTAGTGGGTAGCGTCGCATACTTCACCAAGGGCACCTACTGGGCCGTCCCCAAAGATCCCTATGCCTCGTCCGGGGCCGCGCTGAATGGCGCCGCGAAGAGCGGCAAGACGCGCGACATTATTGAGAAGATGGACGAGACTGGCAAGAACTGTGTGATTTTCTATGGCTCCCAGACCGGTACCGCCGAGGACTACGCCTCGCGGCTGGCCAAAGAGGGCTCGCAGCGTTTCGGCCTGAAGACCATGGTGGCCGACATTGAGGATTACGACTACGACACCCTGGACAAGTTCCCCGACGACAAGATTGCCTTTTTCGTTTTAGCAACCTATGGCGAGGGTGAGCCGACCGACAACGCAGTGGACTTCTACCAATTCTTCACCGGTGACGACGTGGCCTTTGAGAGCGGCGCCGCCGCCGACGACCAGCCTCTGGCGTCTCTGAAGTACGTGGCTTTCGGTCTGGGCAACAACACCTACGAACACTACAACTCCATGGTCCGCCAAATCGATGCCGCGCTGATTAAGCTGGGTGCGAAGCGCATTGGTACTGCGGGTGAAGGTGACGACGGCGCTGGCACCATGGAAGAGGATTTCCTCGCCTGGAAGGAGCCCATGTGGGCGGCTCTCTCGGACGCTATGGGTCTGCAGGAGCGTGAGGCTTCCTATGAACCGGTGTTTTCTGTTACGGAGGACGAGGAGAAATCCGCTGAGGACGAGTCTGTCTACCTGGGTGAGCCGACGGCGGCCCACCGCGAGGGTCAGGCCAAGGGTCCGTACTCGGCGCACAACCCATTCATTGCCCCGATTGTTGAATCCCGCGAGCTGTTCACCGTCAAGGACCGTAACTGTCTGCACATGGAAATTAGCGTTGCCGGTAGCAACCTCAGTTACCAAACCGGTGACCACATTGCTATCTGGCCTACCAACGCGGGCTCCGAAGTCGACCGGTTTCTCCAGGTGTTTGGACTCGACGACAAGCGTGACTCGGTGATTGGTATCAAGGGCATTGATGTCACGGCCAAAGTTCCCATTCCGACTCCGACTACCTACGATGCTGCTGTTCGCTACTACATGGAAGTGTGCGCCCCAGTCTCCCGCCAGTTCATCTCCACCCTGGCCGCTTTCGCTCCGGACGACGTCAGCAAGGCCGAGATTGTTCGCCTGGGTAACGACAAGGATTACTTCCACGAGAAGATCACCGACAAGTGCTTCAACATCGCCCAGGCGCTTGAAAGCATCACCTCCAAGCCGTTCACTGCCGTTCCTTTCTCGCTGCTCATCGAAGGTCTCAACAAAATCCAGCCCCGGTACTACTCCATTTCGTCATCATCTCTGGTGCAGAAGGACAAGATCAGCATCACCGCAGTCGTCGAATCTGTTCGCCTGCCGGGTGCCTCGCATGTCGTCAAGGGTGTGACCACCAACTACCTTATGGCCTTGAAGCAGAAGCAGAACGGCGATCCGTCCCCCGACCCGCATGGTCTGACTTACTCGATCAACGGTCCCCGCAACAAGTACGATGGTATCCACGTTCCGGTTCATGTGCGCCACTCCAACTTCAAGTTGCCGTCTGATCCGTCCAAGCCGATCATCATGGTTGGCCCCGGTACCGGTGTGGCACCGTTCCGTGGTTTCATCCAGGAACGGGCCGCTCTGGCCGCCAAGGGCGAGAAGGTCGGCACCACGCTTTTGTTCTTCGGATGTCGCAAGAGCAGCGAAGATTTCCTGTACCAGGATGAGTGGAAGGTATGATTTCTCTTGATTTCTCTCCATTTTCTTTTCAATGTCCATTTTTGCTGACCTTCTTTCCTCAGACCTACCAGGACCAGTTGGGTGACTCCCTGAAAATCATCACTGCTTTCTCCCGAGAAGGCGCCGAGAAGGTGTACGTCCAGCACCGCCTGCGTGAGAACGCCGAGCTCGTCAGCGACCTTCTCAAGCAAAAGGCCAACTTCTACGTCTGCGGTGATGCCGCCAACATGGCCCGCGAGGTCAACCTGGTGCTCGGCCACATCATCGCGCAGCAACGAGGCATGCCGCCCGAGAAGGGTGAGGAAATGGTCAAGCACATGCGCAGTAGCGGCAGCTACCAGGAGGATGTGTGGTCATGAGTGATGATGTCTCTCTCATATTTCTCTTCCGCTCTTCTTTGATCCGTCTTTTCTCGTCATATCTTCTCATGTCTAGATGACCGAGCATATATACACTTTTCTGTTCTGTTGAATAGCCTTTTTTTTCTCGGCGGTTCATGTATTGAATTCAATCAATTCACTTCCATACATGGATCTATCAGCTAAGCTGTGTGCGGATGATTCCTATGGACCGCTGTATGTAGTTGTTCCGGGGTCAATTGGCATAGTTCTTTCCCTGGTCTCCCTAAGTCTCAGCGAAGGTATGGTCTTTGAACTATGCGATGTTTTTCTGGTTGCATATAAGAATATTATCAGGTTTTCCTTTCGTTCAGCGTCCTCGGCGGATATCAGCGAGCACCCTTTTCACACCCCCCGTAGCTGCCGGGGACCACTGGTGGGACCACTGGTTCAACAAACGACAAGGATGGGCGACAGACGTTGCCTGCACCGCCGGAGGAGTCGGAGGCTGCATCTTCCCTCTGATCATCCTCTTTGCAGCTCCCAAAATCGGGTTCTCGTGGTGGATCCGAATCATCGCTCTGCTCTGTGCAATAGCATTGCTCTTCGAGCGCGTTGACTGGAGTGAGGTATATTCCCAAAATATCCAAGAAATGCGCAATTGTAGGTAGGGAGGAGCGGTCTTATCATATAAAAAGGTTTTCGAGACCTCTTTTCTTGTATATTATGTGAAGTTAGCGTCCGCTGCCGTCATTTTCATTCTGTTATTACCCATCGGGATAACTTCCCAGCGTAGTCCTGGCCCTGGGATGTAAAGTGATTATTGATATATAGTTGAGTTCAATCAACCAAGTTTAGAGAAGTCTTCCCAGCGCAACATATCTACAACCCCAAGCCTAACAGAAATTGAAACACAAATAGGAGGAGTGATCTTTAGCTTAATTTGTTTGCTATTGGATAGTCAAGCCATATTCCAGGCCATTAGATCAAATCTCGTCATGCGCAATTTATACAAGATGCTCTAATCTATTGTACAGTAGCAGCGAAACTATGCGCTGTCCTCGGTATAGTTCACCTTCTTTGTACGACGACTCCGCCGAGCAGAAGATGTCTTGTCATCCGCAGCTGGCTCATCCACCTCGTCCGGCTCCGGGGTCGACCCGACCTCTGAAGCCTTGCGTTTCCTGCGGCTGGCTGAAGCCGGCGTGTGCCGAGCACCCTTGACCGGCTTCTTGGCCGGTGTGGCTGGCACACCATTCTCCTCATCCGGCTCTGCTTTGATAGTCTTGGATGCGCCACTCTTGCGGGGACTTGGGCCCGTTTTGGAGCGCACCACCTTCTTCGCGGGCCGGAGCCATTCCTCCATGCCCGGAGGCCAATAAACCCGTCTTTCTGGACCGCCCATCCCGACTTCTTCGTCTGGAGTAGTGCGAGGTGGAGGGATGGAGCCCTCCAGGTCGACGAAACCGCCGTTCTTTTTGATTTTCCGGGGTGGCTTGAATGCCTTGTTCTCGTCCGTGCGAGTATAGGGAATGAGGTCGTTAAAAAGCTCGTATCCGGGGAGCTTGAAAGTTCTCATCAGTTCGAAAACAGCCTGTTCTTTATCCTTGGCTTCGATCATCAGGTCCATGGTAGGAATACAAGGAGGGAGAGTGGCCACGCGGTCGCTATGTTTGCGACGCTGGCGAGGAGTGATGGCCGAGGAAACCGGCTCAGAGTAATGCATTTTCTGGGTGATATTCTTGCGCGACCACGTCGCAGCAATACGGTCGTAGAGAGCCATGATGTCCTGAGTGCCCTCGCGGAGCTCGTTTGCGTCGAAAAGAATATTGTGGTGGTGGTAGTCGAGGACCAGGGGGATGTTGAGCTCCTCGCAAATGGGCAATAAATCGTGCACAGTCCAACTGACATCGTCGTTCTCCAAAACTAGCCGGTTCTTGATGTCCTGAGATAAAGGCGCGTAGTTCTCTCGGAATCGATCGAGTGTTGCCGCCTTGTCGCCAAACACTCCGCCCATGTGAAGAATCATGACGGCATCGCGGTCTTGTTGTGGTGGTAGCTTGAGCAGCTGCAACATCTCCGAATGATACTCAAGATCTCGATAAGAGCTGTCTACGACTCCGTGGTTGGGCGATCCCAACTGAGTGAACTGGCCAGGATGTACCGATACTCGATGGCCAAGTTCCGCAACGACCTGTCCCACCTGTGCCAGCACATCCGAGGCGAATGGCGCTAATTTGTAGCCGTATTCCTTGTGACTGGCAAAGGGGAACATCTCACTGCTGAGGCGCATGAACTTAATACCATACTTGTCGTTCCAGCGCAGCAGCTTGGTCAGGTCGCGCGCATTCGTTAGCCCCAGTGACTCGACAAAAGCCTGCCCACGGGCAATGTCGGCCGGTTGGTTACGGTCTGGGCGGTTCTTAGTTGGATGAGCTGGTTGATCAGGGTCCTGGAGCGGATGCCGGTTTTCCAGAATGGATGCGATGCGACAGGTCCGGGAACAGAAGACTGGAGGGGTCGAGTATCGCAAATAGGTGTTCAAGCAGGCCTTCACTTGTAAGCATAAGAAATACATCAGGTGGGTTCTCATCCGCGACTCACATATCCTAGTCGCCCTTTCCAGGGCAGTGGGAGATAGCTGCTATTTACCGGGGGTGGCCGTCCAAGAGCCTCTTGAAGCTCCTCCGCTTCCATCGGCACGTCTTCGTCTGATTCCGGGTCCAAGGAAGCCTCTTCCCGTCCAGCGGGCATCTTCTCAGTCCCATTGAGAGCATCCTCGGGCTTTGGGCCCCGTACTTGTGTCCCGTGTGCCATGATCAGGCCGGCGGAATCCGGCAGATTACCCTTGTCGCCAGCAAGGTCGCTCGAGGAGTATGTACGACAAGAGGATGCGATCGGCTTGCGCGAGTGTGCGGGCGAAAAAATTGGACCGAATCTGCCGAAGCGCAAAGCAGGGAACGTCCCATGGTGAAGAGTGGGCGATCTGGCGTTCGCCACGGCAATCGATCGATCGGAGATCCTCGGTGACGAGAGGTGGCGACCCCGGCCAGATCCCAAGGGACCGGCATGCTGGACCGACAGCGCATGGAACAGAGCCAAACACCGCCGAAACATCCAGCGAGCTCCCGGGGGGATTGAGGTGGTGAGGTTGAAGGTTTGGGGACTTGACGCGCTAATCGGACGCGCGGGGAGTCGCAGGCTCGCCTTTCCACGTTACTCATCGACTGGGAGCCACACCTCCCGGAGAGCCAGCTACATCCTTCATTGTGGATCTGTGGATCGAGGGAGAAGTATTACTTCTTACAATTGCCTACATTCTATCCATGCAGGGACACAACCTTGGAAGCCCATGAACACGCGAAGTTGATCTCATCGAGATATCAAGACACCACACTACTATACAAGACACTATGCCAATGGCCATCAAGGAGTGGCAAGTCTTATCTTCATGTGCTCAACAAATTATGAGATGAGATTGGACTTTCTCCTGGGGTCATGCAAGGGACACCAGGGGCAAGTCCCATGCTGAGCTGCCAGGGCACACATACTCGGCCCAAGCAAGACTGCGACGTGAAGGGATACAGTCGCTGAATGTCCCGCCATGTTTTTCTGCAATAGCCGATGGGACGCGTCCTTTTTTGCAGGCGCATTGACATCATGGCAGGATTCCGCACGCCACTTGGCTTGCGGAGAATAATAGTTTTGAGACGGAATGGAGGTCGAGTCATGGAGGCTTTGCCATGTCTGGTACTCCATCTACCCCTGCGGCCAGGCCTTGAGAGCATGAGGGCTCCCCTCCCTACTGAGTAGAGGGTTGAGCAATGCACCACGCGATCACAACAACACGCACCACTGCACAGTATAGAGAGCCACATGGAACAGCCAATGTCTGGATATGGAGGTTCTAAGGATTCTAGCGACCATCCAGGGCTGCGCAACCAGAAAACAGTGCAGCATTATTGGGATGCAGCCGGTGTTGTGAACCAGACCCCGGATGGCCAGCATTCCTCTTGTTGCGATGCCATTGCTCGACCACTACCTGGGCTTGGACCGCAAGATGATGGCATCCGCCATTCCTCCGGAAGATGCTGAAGAATGTCATGGCTGCTAGGTATTTATTGATACGGTGTCTTGTCCAGCGCTCTTGCCCTGTTGTTGGTCGCTCCATCCCTATTCCTACAAGACAAGAAAAGACCCCGTTGGTTGAGAAGCTTGGCTTGCACACTCTTTCCACATCTTGTGTTTGGCATATTACATCTAAACATTTTTGTAAGTTCTACGCTCATGGACCTGATATCATTTGAGGTTGTTGGGAAGATGAGGCCAGAGCCACTGACAGCAGACCAGAGCCAAACACACAAAAACCACCAGAATGAAGGGCCTTGTTTTCCTCTGCAGCATGCTGGCCACCACGGCCACGGCGCACATGCAAATGAGCAAGCCGTACCCCATCCGCAGTCCGCTGAACAAGGATGCCAAGGGCAAGAAGGACTACTCATACACCAACCCGCTCCAGCCCTCGGGCAAGGATTACCCGTGCAAAGGGTACGCGAAGGACGACTTCGACTCGCAGGCCACCTACTCGCCTGGTCAGTCGTACGAGATGGAGCTTGCCGGCAGTGCCACGCACGACGGCGGTTCCTGCCAGATTTCTCTGACCTACGATAAAGGCGAGACCTTCCATGTCATCGAGTCGATGCTGGGCGACTGCCCCAAGGCCAAGAAGTACAAGTTCCAGGTCCCTCAAGACGCGCCCTCGGGCGAGGCCCTCCTGGCCTGGACTTGGTTCAACAAGGTTGGCAACCGCGAGATGTACATGAACTGCGCCATGGTCACTATCGGTGGCGGCTCTGACCGCACCGACACCAACTCGACCGAGACCATCAACAAACCCAGCAAGGAGAACCACGCCCAAGGCAAGGACCGCGAGATGAAACCTGCCGACAAGAAGGCCGATGGCTTCAAGAGCCTGCCCGAGCTGTTCGTCGCCAACGTTGACCAGAAGGGCAAATGTGTCACCATTGAAGGCGAGGCTGTCAACTTCCCGGAGCCCGGCCCCAACGTCATCGGAAAGGCCGACGGCAAGGGCTACAAGTGTGATAGCAACGCTCCCTTCCTGGGCAGCGGCTCTTCTAAGAATGCCAGCAACACCGACAAGCACATGTCCAAGATCGCGCAGAGCTTCGGCACTGCCACGTCCGAGTCTCGCACTCAGTCCAAGGAGGCCTCCACCAACAACGAGTTCAGCAGCTACGTTGACGGCTGGTACTGCCAGTCGGGCGAGATCCTCTGCGCTCCCGATGGCTGGACCTGGGCTATGTGCTCTAACGGTCGCCCTGTCTTCATGGGCTCCGTTGCTGCTGGCACCACGTGCCGTCTCGGCCAGATTGTGCGCGCGTATTACTAGTAAAAAAAGCTTCCTTTCTGCAGTTCAAACGAGTATGTCTTTGGGGAGCCTGAGACCTTGACGAGTGGACCACGACTGTCGATGAAGTTCTCTTGTCTCTTACCCCGGACTTTGATTTGTTACTTCCTATCAATTTATTTTTCCATGATCAGCCACGACATGAACCTGTTGATGGCCACGTGTTGACTCCCTTAATGACCTTGTACGGGTTGCTAATGTTTGGTTTACTCGAGATGCGTTGCTCTACTTTTGACGTTGCGGAAATTCTCTCTGTGCCAATTTGTTGCTCAGGAACTCTATTCACTTGATCCGCTTGTCTTGATCAGTAGAAGAGTAAACTATTCCTAGCGATGCTTGTAGTATATAGCAATTGCATTGATTATCATTATGTGTCCGCTACCTATTGTATTTGAATATCTCATTTGAGACGCTCGTGCGATTTCCACGAGATTGTATCTGGGTCGCTGTGTATCCCATGATTTCCTCCGATATAGTACACTTTTCAACCCAATCCCAAAAACAAATGGTATCTCGGCTCTCGAAAAACCTCACACAAAGAAAAAGATTCATATAATCATCGACCGATGCCAGGCATTACCAATCCACCCAGAGATGAAACACTTCTCGAGGGAATTCTCGTGCTTGCAATCTGCAACCTGCAACTTGCGGATAGTATCAACGCACCATTCCCGCTGCTTATTTCCCCAACACCTTCAAGATTTAGTAGTTGCCCGTGTAGGCCGAGCTACCATAGCCATACCCATTCTCAGCGGGAGCGCCGTGAGTGGGGGCAGGGGTGTTCTTGTTGCGGCCCCACGAGCCAAGCCACGACTTCTCGTTCTTGGTGTCACCGCCCAGCTCGACGTCGTTGGGGGTCGGGTGGCCCGGCAGGGCATCGGCGCCGGCACCGGCGTCGGGGTTGTTCTTGTTGCGGCGCCAGAAGAAGCGCTTGCGGCTGCCGTAGGTGTAGCCGTTGGTCGGGGAGGGACCGAAGCGCTTCTCGCGCTTGTGGTGGCGGGCCAGCAAGATCTGGAAGAGAATGCTGATTAAGAAGAGGAAACTGTGGAAGTCAGTACAATGCAATACGATATATATATATATACTCGGGTAAGGGTATATACTCACATTCCAATGATCGCCACGGCAAATGTCACTTTCTCCAGTCGGCAGGCCAGTCCAAAGGTCACCTTGGCGGCGACGGTGTCGTCGCCGTCCTTGCCAGTGCCCAGCGGCGTGTCCAGGGTGCCTCGGCAGCTGCTGGTGCCGTCGCGGGTCAGCACAGCGATGGCGACCATGGCACCCGTGAAGCACACATCCAAGGCAACGCCCAGGAAGGCGAAGAAGGCCACGCCGCCGAGACAGCAGACGAAAACGATGCCCAGGAGGCCGTAGAGGGTGGCGGCACCCGCGATACCCTCGACGGCCCTCATCCACGTGGGGATGGCCTGGCCATGCTGGGCGAGCACGGCGAGGAAGTATGAGAAGATGCCGAGGATGACGGCGCCATCGAGGAACTGGAGGATGCGAATGGCAAGGTTAAAAAACCGTAGAATCACCCCGCCGACTCCCATGGCTGGATATGTCTGGGAGATACAGAGGGTGTGGTTCAGAAGTTCAGGATTGAAGAACAGTGGGTGTTTTGTATATGGTTGGAGATGGGAAGGAACCCAATATAAGTTGTGCTGGGGGATGGGGAGGGGGGGGGGGCTGGAGAGATGAAGAGTCTGAAAGGCAGCAGGATTCGGGGGTAACAGGAGAAGACCCTGGGACCCTACGCAATAGCGGGCAGATCAGTGGATGCGCTGCATGGCGATCGAATGCAGGCCCCCGCGTGAATGGCCGCCTTTCCCTGCGCCACACCCGCCTGATGCAGATGGAGGGGACACTAGTCTATATATGGGTTAGAGCTATTGGCTTGGCAGGATATGATTTGTCCGTGGGCCATTGCCACCGCATGTGGAAAAAAAAAAAAAGAAAAGAAAAGACAATCGGGTTGTGCTCAGCCACACCCAGCCACAGGCCCCCCTTACCATCTTCACTGTTCATCTACACCGCACGAGGATCATGTGATGATATGATGGAATAGCCAGCCATCCATATTCCACAGGACAGTGCAATACTGGTCTTGATGACTGGTCCTGGTGCCCTGGAAGAGTGTTGAAGCCCATATTCATTACTTTTCCGGGCTCATCGGTATAGTGATTCTTTCCTCGAATACCGGCTGCGAGCTATGAATCCATGGATCAAGACTTGGTGGGTAATCTAATAGGTTCAATAGAGCAGATAATTTGCAAATTATTCAACATAAAGGGGAGGCTATACCATGTCTTCAACCCGAATCACTTCCACATACTTCTGGACAATTGCACCTAGATACCGCCTTTCCTTGCACATCAACTGGTGCACCAAGCTCACTGGACATTTTCCCTCGGTAATATTCATAACCATCCCCTACACCCGAGAAGCCAGGATCATGTCAAAGATGACGTCGAGCGCCGATCCCTCCGTTGGCCGGTGGACCATCTGGGCCACGTCCACCTGTGGATCAGAATAATAATTACTATCTTGAGGGTACTCATCGGCCCGGCCATGATGATATTTTGACGCCTTGCAGCCCCAGCCCCTTTGCACAATTCTGTCGAAGATCGTCGGTAACACTGGTGTCATGTCACCCACCGCATTGATCACACTGAACTCGTGGCCTGGCGAGAGTATGTGCCTTCTTGTCGTTGGAGTCGCACATTCTTGTTGATACAAGATATCGGTAAGCTTTATCATGGATGCGCTTGATACCACAAGAAGCATATAGTAGGAGACTGGAGATAAGGAAATGACCAAGTCTCATTAAGATTACTTCCAACGCCATATTGTCGACTAGCCTTTGGGTTTTCTAGAATAATGACTCTCGACGCCCTCCACTGTAATTTATCATAGCTTGGCAGAACGGCGCTAAGATACAAAAACAAGACCCCAAGCTGAACACGGTTCAGAGGTTGAGGCCAGAGCAGGGATGACTGTGCTGCCCTGTCGCCAATCTGCTGAGCTCAAGATACAACTGCTGACACGGTACCCCGAGGAATTCCAAGATCTCGGACTGATGATCCAACAAAGCACGCCTCGGCCATCCACAGGCTGTGATAAACTGATGCAAACAGCATTTTGCCATCTAGTCGGGTGTCCACTGAAGGACAGGCTTGTCGTATTGAAAGTCATCAAGGGGCATATCTCTGCTCCTCAAGAGCTGGAGTTTGAGGAAGTAAGTCCCCCGGCTATCTGCAAGGGAAGGATATGGTGGCGTTCTGGTGAATGGTCAGAACCACGATCAAAAATCAAACCAGCTGACATCGATTGATATGCTGTGCGGTATAACTTAGGCTTGGGTCGTCATACATCATGGTATCATGCAGAACTGGCTGTTGATAGGCGGGATGAATTCGACATCCTCGCAATAAGTGGCCACCCTGCCGCCACTCAGGCTTCTGGACGCTGCTGCTCAACAAAGGCGCGGAGGATCGAGTCCAGGCCCTCATTGCGGCGGGCAAGCAACATCACATCGGAAGTGTTAACAGTCGAGCGTCCCGCATGTCTGATACAAGTAAGCTCAGCCCGAGATTAAGGAAAGCATCCCTGCTGTCCCTGCTGGCATGCTAAGCAACTTACTTGGCAAATGACTCCAAGTCCTGGCTGACTGTTTCTGCTAGTCGTTAGTATCAAGGGACAAGCGAGCTATGGGCAATGTTGGACGCGCTGCTATTCTAGGAATCGACAAATGTAGAAACCCAGCAAGTGACAGATATGTCAAATGAGGACAAATCATACCAATCTGTGCCCAAACCATCTCTGTCAGAGCTCCAATAAACTGCGGTGTTGCATTGACACCTAATTTGATGGTCTCCTCATCCACAATCTTGCCAATGGATAACCAGAGGGCAGATTTGAGGCGCTAACCAGTCATAATTAGTCAGTGTCATGGATTTGATACACAAAAGAGCATCACAAAACCAACCTCCTCCAGACTAGCCTCTTCATTTTGCTCCATGGTGAAGATACAGGTGAAGGCGAGGGGGGATGCAGAAGTGATGCGCAAGGCGCGTCTCTCATACAAAAGAGAACCGGGCGCTGATTGGCAGGCAACGCGTGTCCGGAGGAACAAAACTCCGCCCGGGCGTTTTCCAATTTGGAAATTTGGCAGATGCCCGCCGCTTCTCGATTACTTCCTCGACAAGCTGCTTTTCGTCGTTTCTCTCGAGGATTGCTTCTTCTGAAGCATCTCCTTCATCTGATTGTCTGGGCAGCCAGTATCCAATTGGCCCACCGCATCAATTCAACCAGAACCCGCCACCTGAAACCAAAATCCAAACCTCCGAAAAAAAACACCATGGCGAACCCCCAGACAACAGATTTCAGCGAGGCCATTGGTGACGCCGCCACCGACTTTTTCTTCCAGCTCTGGAGCTTTGTCGAAATTACCTTCCGCCGCTTCTTCGGAAACCTCTACACCTCCTTCGTGGACGTCAGCGCACGCCGCTGGACCAAGGTCGCTGTCGTCGTCCTCGTCTACGTGGTATTGCGGCCGTACCTCGAAAAGTTCTTCAAGTGGCTGCACGACCGCGACCGCCGCAAGGAAAAAGAAAAGAAGGAGGCGGATAAGGCCGCCCGCACCGGCGCCGGCACGAAGAAGCCCAAGATGTCGGCGAATGCGCTGCGCGGCGGGTCCGGATCCGGCGGCAAGGTGCTGGGCGAGGTTGACAACACCGATGACGAGCTGGAGGACGAGGACGAGGATAACCTGGCCAAGGCGAGCGGTGTCCCCGAGTGGAATAATATGGCGCGCAAGCGGCAGAAGAAGTACCTCAAGAATTTGCAGAAGGAGGCGGGCAAGCGCGCGGATGATTTGTCTGAGGAGCAGATTATGGAGTTGTTGGACTGGAGTGAGTCTGAGGGCGAGAAGAAATAGGTCGGATGCGCTGCCGTCTCTTGTGCCAATCTCTGTGTGCCATGGCCATGGCTCTGTCTTTGACAGTTCACTTCTTGTACTGTACTGAATATCACCCGATTTAATCTATGAACCCGTTGATCTGGCTATGAATACTGTCGGGCTTATGAACCCTAGTGACTGTATGTTGGATCATATAAAGCCATCATGGACATCGTAAAGTGCATGCCTTGATTGGTATGGCACCACATGGTCTCGAAGACCCCCATAGAACGAAAAAGAAAAAACAGAACGTTGCCCGCTCGATCCGTCATGAGCATAATCAGTTCGTAACATGACATCTATCCCATGGATATCGCAGTCCTCAGAATCAATGGAGCCTCCGCAAAGCCTCGATCATCCGCTTTACCTCCTCTAAATCCAACGAGCCCATCTCCCCCAGAATCTCCTCTTGCAAGCTCAAGTCGCATTTGAGGAACTGCTCGATGAGTTCGCCATCTACAAAGCGGTAGGGCGCGTCGGCGGAGCGCACGAGTGTACGGAACGCGCGGTACTTGTCGAAGGGTAGCTGGCCCAGAGAGTCGACTTTGGACGCGAGGACTGTTTGGAGAGTCATGAGGAAGTCCTGGTGTTCGGGGTTGATTAGAGCGAAGAGGTAGATGGAGCCCTCGACCTGGTAGAATGCATGTCAGCTTCGTGTTTGGGGGGAGGGAATCGTGAGGTAGAGAGAGAAGATGTGATGAAGGACATACCGTTGCCATGAACGCCCGCGGGTTCACAATCATATTCGAGAGCTGCGGGAAATTTACCGGCCGAATCCGGTTCACCATCTCCCCCAGAGAGAACTCGCTCGTCGCGGTCAGTCGGCGTTGGTCCTGTTCAGTGAGGCCGCTCATGTTTCGGGATAACACGATCAAATTCCCTTCGGCATCGCTTTGAAGGAATGTGTCTTTGCCGACATGGGCCAGAGCCGTGCTCCAGACCGTTTGATAGTGGCGGCCAACCTCGGTCAACTGGTCTGCTTCACCATTTTTCCCTGGGCTGTACTTCACGAGACAGGCGCTCTTCATCATGTCGCCCACAAGGATCAAGTCATCGACGATGCTGATGTCGATGGGTGCGGTCGAGGTCCGATACGCAGCGAGTTTCTCGAGCTTCATCGAGCTAAAGTGGTTGTTGATGACCTTGTAAACGACGACCTAAAACTATTGGTTAGGAAGGGCTGAGAAAAAAAAAAGGAAGCATTCACAACACATACTGTCCTCACAAGCGCCGCCACGACGAGGTCACCCATCATGGCCAATGCACGACATGCACCCTTGAGTGGCAGCTCGGCGACCTGCGTCAATTTGCGCCCATGATCGACCTCCAGCACCAGAATGCGTCCGCGGATTGAGTTCTGCCCCTCATCCAAATGGGCCGTGCCGACAATAAACCGGTCCTGAACCGTGTCCCGTCCGTTCTCATCTTTCTCACCGGGAAACTCGGCACGGATCACGCTTTCCACCAGCTCCTCTGGCTGAAGTTCCAACGCATCTAGGTGCTGGAACATGATCTCGTCGGCGAGTACAAGCCGACTCTTCACTATCTCCGCGCCGTCCTCGAGTTTGCGGTCGATCGCGCCCATCACAAATGCTCTCTCCGACGGTGAATAGGCCACACGGCGCACGCTAGCTCCCATCGGTAGCGTTTGAATCTGGGTCGTGCGCTCTTTGTCCACGAGTGCGATTTTCAGTTCCCGTGTCGTGGCCACGGCAATGGCTTCAGGGAATGCCTCTGCATTGAGATGGCATATGCGGGCTGCACCTTCGGAGTTAACAGCAGAGTAGATGATTCGGCCCTCGGAGCCATAGATCAGACTGGGGTTTTCGCAAGTCGCAAACACATTGTAAAGACCGTCGCCCCTCGGGAGCTTTTTGAACGCGGGCTGTTCGGAACCGAGCGTCAAAGTATTCATATCCGTGAGCGCATAATCCTGGGGATTCAGGGAGAATGTAATGACGCTGCCATTGGCCATCGACACGAAGAGTGTTGGCGGGCTGTCCGCAAGCACGTCGGCCACAAGCACAGACCGAGGAAATGCTTCTCCACGAGGCCCCAAGGCCTGTGTTTGAAGTTCTGCAAAGTCTTGGATACCCAGGATAGAAACCGTGGCTGACTGGGGAAATCCTGCGATGCAAATCCCTGCTGGCGTGGATGGGACTGTCACGCCGGAGATTTGTCGATCAACCCCCAGTTCCTTTTGCGTGATAATCTGGACATGGTTTTGGATATCGAACGACACTATGACCTGGCCACCGAGGACGAGAACTAGATGGCTATCATTAGCTGAGGCAGCAGTGATGATTTTGCGCGTGGGAGGTGTCCACTCGAAGGTCAGCATCCCACTCTCTCGGTCCGCCACGAGAACCCTTTGCTCGGTGATTTGAAGTATACGGCCACCAGGCAAGTTCGCAGCCACCAGTGTACTTTCGGACAAAGAGAGCCCCAGGAAGCTGTCCAGCTCCTCGACTTCGCCGTCGGGACTAAAGCGAAACACTCGCGTTTCATCGACAAAGGTGACAAGCAGAGTATCCAGAGTATCGCCGGTGCTCTGAGTTTGCAATCCCCACATGTCGGTAATGTGGTCCATTTCACCAAGCACACCCAGCTCCTCCATGCCGACGCCGCTTCGCACGCTTCGCAAGGATCCGTCATCAAAAGCTCCGGATCCAGTGACGATCCTCGCCTGACCAGACGAGAACTCGTGGGTTTGGCTCTCACTAGTACGGTTCCCCAAGTCCATCACAGTAAAGTCCAAGATGGGTGCAATATTGGACAGCGTCTGGATGGCCTCGAACGAGCCGTTGCCAATGCGAAGGACTTGTGAATCGCCTTGGTGTGAACCCAAAAGAGAATTCCGCCGCCCAGGTAAACTAGGACCGACGCGCGAGATGTGTTGCCCAGATGATCCAGCTTCCAATCTTCGACGTTGCCTTGGCTGTTCAGGACGAACATCAAGAAGAACAACCGTCCGTAGTCGTCGGCTAACAACCATCGTTGACTGTCGACCTTCTCCCAGGCCACAAAAACGGTTGCTTGGTCAAGGTTGCGCGAGATCATGTCATTTGCGTTTTCGTCAATGTACTTGATCGACGTCTCTCCAAGGACAATTAGCCCACCTGAAAGCAAGGTCAGCATGGGAACAATGGGTACTTTCATGATACGGAGACAAACCCAGAGGGGCTGGAATGGGAATGAGATGCGTGGACCCGAAGTCAAGCTCATGTGCAAACACCCCTCCCTCCAGCTTCTTATCCTGGACCTCCCTGAAAGTCGCATCGGCACTGGCACTTGGCGTAGCTGGGCTGTAATCCAACTCGCGAATCCTTAGGCGCACCCTCCTTTGATTATCCTCATACAACAGCGCCAGCCATGGGTTGATTTCCGAATGCAAGAAAGCAGACGACCTGACGAATAGCTCATCGATACGCGAGGTGGTCGGGTCGCCCAATTCTCCAACCTGCGGTACATCTGCCACAGATACCGCCTGGGAGTTCCTGCCTCGTTTCTTGGATGGCTGCACAATGGGAACAACCACAATCACGCCCTCGTAGATTTCCAATGTCATGAACCGCCCGCTTGGGTCGATCAGACACCGCGGCGCCGTTTGTGCGTGCCGCGACGACACGTCGGCAATGTCGACATAGCTGCGAGTGGTCCGAATCCGATTGTTCTCGGCATCCCAGGCAAGTGTAAAGTAGTTGTTTTGGTTGGTGCCGACGAAGAGGTGGTCGGTCGGTGAGTTTGCCGGGGCCGGGAGGCGGGCGAGCATCGTCACCCGCGCGAACAGGGCACGCGACGCGGCGAGGACCAGCCCATCGGGGGTCAGAGTGTAAAATTCAAGGCGACTGGCCTTTCTGTATATCACTCGAGCATTAGCCAGGACACCTCATAGGACCGAACAATCGCCCAGCTGGGCCCCGCAGGACGTGGACTAGGTGACGGAACATACGCAGCGACCAGGCAATCCTCCTCTGGTTTCATGAAATTCAGTTTCACCGCATGGCGAATGCTGCTCGCCCGGTGAATGGGCACCACATAGGCCATGGTGACGGGACAAGCAGTCGAGTCTCAGGGTTCGAGGGTCCAGCTAGAGCTTCACTGTCGCGGACCAATGCGGGTATCAAGCCGCAAGGCCGAGGATAGGGCGACTGATCGAATCAAGATTGGGATAAAGCTTCGAGGATATCAAAAATCACGAATTGCACATTGCGACCAGAAACCGACTCGAGGAGTGAGGTGTGGAGAGCCAAAGTTGCGTTCCCGTGATGACGTTAAAGTCCGTTTACCACCGAAAACAGGAACACCCTCATACTTGGTGTCTGGGAATATCGACGATTTATAATAAGAATACATAGTGGCCTCTACACTAGATAGTCACCTAATGGCTGAATGTAGAAACAGAGAAAATAGAGAAACAGATTATTAAAGAGGAAAAAGAGTACTAGAGGGTAAGAATCAAATATTAATAGTAGTAGTAACTATAGCTATATTCAACGATATATTGGATAGATAGGACAGTCTTTTGAAGAGAGCAAAAGCTAGGCTATAAGGCGATAGAAGTCTCGTTTTTACACTCTCTTATACCTCCTGCAGCCGCCTGAGAGAAGCGAGGGTTAGAGACTTCTCTTATATTATATTGCGCGTGATGAGACTTGAGTTCATAGCTGGTAATATGGCTTTGTTGTCTAATTTCGACCAAATCAACCCCCCCCCAAAAAAAATCATTGCTTCGAGTCATGTTTCAATATGGTGTTGGGCTTTGCAGTGGGGTTATGGTGTGGTTCGAGGTCAAACTATATATACGTTGCTGGAAATCAGATATTTGTGAATTTAAATGAACTCGGCCATCCCACGACCAATTATTATTATTGGTATTATTGTTAATTATTGCTCTAAATATTAAGAACTCTTCGTGACGTGCAGAAATCCACCCGCTAAACATGCCGTCCTGTAAGGATAGAACCGAAGCCACCTGCTGATCTGCCTCCATACGTCACACTGGACACTTCCACCCTGCATCTATTCTTACCACCTACACCCGACTTGAATTTGTTCTGTTTCCAGACTACTCGATACCCTGGCTCCCAAACCGCGTTTCCGCTGGCCAATTACCCGGCCACGATCCCTGTCTTTCAGGCGCCCGCCCACCAGCCGGCTATTCCCCTGGAGTCCTTTTCCCTCTCGTGACACCAGACCTGGCAGACTCTCGCTCCTCCTCCGCGCCCTCGTCGGCCCACACGCAACCCGCCGTGCCCAGTCCCGGCTCTGGGGCCTCCGCTACGAGACCCTCCCCGCGCTTCGGCACCAGGCCCAGTCGCGGCTCTACCGAGCGATCGTCCAGCGGCAGGCGCGACTCGCAGCGCGCCATCCCAGACTTGGTGGAGGCTTCGTTGCCCGCTTTCTTGGGCCGCGGCGACGGTCGCGAGGGTGGTTACTTGGCAGGGGTGCCGGGGAGAGCTTGGCTGCGAGACGAGGACCCCGCGACGGGCCAAACCATTCTCTGAGATACCCCATGGCGCAATCAGGGTTTTCGTCGACATGGGGACCCGGGGGCGGGGATGGCGTCTCCGGAAGCCGTCGCAAGAGGGTTTTCGAGTATCTCAAGGCGGCAAATGAGTTGCGCCAGACGTACACATCCCAATGGTCTACGCAGCGGAACGATCCCAACGAGGACTACTATAATACACCTGGCGCGTTTCCGGATGTTGAAATAGCACGGGCGGGTGACGAGGAGATGGTGCTCTTCCCGAGCTATGCCAGACGATTGACGGAAAAAAGGAAGGCCGAGGTCTACGCCCAGCAGCGGCAGCGGCAAGAATCGTGGCCCGAGATGATCGATGAATACTGTGGGGAGTCCGATGTTGGGGATTTCTATGGCGCTGGCTGGAAAGACTCAGATCTTGAGGATGCGGTGGTGGATGTCGATGTGCGTGGCTGGATCTACGCACCGAGTCGAGGACCCATGAGCCGGAAGCATCGTCTGATGATTGCGCTGGCCAGGAAGCTGAGCGGGATCCCAGCTCCCACGGCAACTACGAATGACGATAGCACCGACAAGACGACCGGCAAGGGTGAGGATGAATACGTGGATAAACAGATGCAATCTCTGGTCGACACCGCTGAGAAAGACGCCGACCCGGCATGGAAGAGCAGCTCGACAGGGGATCGAGGGCGTGGGGCTGCCAGTCAGCCTGATCCATTGAGCAAGGACGAACTGTCCATGGCCAATGCGCATCTGATGGAGCGACTTCGCCCGTTCCTGACGAATCCTGTCGCGGGCATGCCGGTGACGGTTTTCTTTTTCAACGACACAGAGAGCAAATCGCGGAATCTCATGACAGACGAGTCGGGGCACTTCAGTCTCCGTGCTGCATTGCCGTTTGCGCCAACTCACATCCGTGTGTTGGCCTCGGAGGATCTGTCCGCCGCTCGGCCGCTCGAGATCATCGAGCCGGTGGGTATTAGTTTGATCAGCGACATCGATGATACAGTGAAGCACTCTGCCATCGCCGGCGGGGCGAAGGAGATGTTCCGGAACACGTTTGTGCGTGAGTTGTCCGAACTGACTGTAGATGGAGTCAGTGAGTGGTATACTCAGCTGGCCAAACAGGGCGTGGAAATCCACTATGTGTCCAATGCACCTTGGCAGTTATACCCCCTGCTGGAAAGGTATTTCAAGATGGTGGGCTTGCCACCGGGCTCGTTCCATCTCAAACAATACACGGGCATGCTACAAGGGATCTTCGAGCCTACTGCCGAGCGAAAGCGAGGATCATTGGAACAGATCCTCCGGGATTTCCCTGAACGCAAGTTCATTTTGGTCGGTGACAGCGGCGAGGCTGACCTGGAGGTCTACACGGACATTGTCCTGGCAAACCCAGGCCGCATTTTGGGCATTTTCATCCGTGATGTGACCACTCCGGACAACAAGCAGTTCTTCGAGAAATCCGTGAGCCATCTCGAACCAACCAACATGCGCAGCCGCAGTACTCCGCAACTGGTGGATCATACCGACTCATCGGCTGATCGACCGGCACTACCACCTCGTCGGCCTCGGGAGCCGTCGCCGCTGCCGGGGGATGATGACGCGAAGAGCATTGAAAATGGGGATTTGATTGATCTGCGAGACGAGATCGATGAGAGCCCGGCGTCTGTGAACCCTCGCGCAGCTCCCGCTAAGCCCTCCAAGCCGTCCTCTCTGCGCGCAGTCGCAGCACCACCTGGTGAATCCGAGAGTAATGCACAAGCACCACCGGACGCAATCCGGCGCAAACCGGTTCCTCCAGTACCACCTCGGCGCTCCGCCACGACCAAGACTGACTCATTGAATGATCTGGATACCCCATCATCAACTCGTTCAAACCATGAAGCTAGTGGCACACAGGCTCCACCACCACCTCTTCATTCCAAGCCTAAACCCTCACCACCCGTCCCACCTCCCAGGCGTACCAACACGGCGTCCCCCACAGTTACCTCCAACTCGAGCGTATCGACCACGCCTCGACCCGCAACTGCAACTGCAGCTGCAGCTGTTAAAGCGTCGTACCCCGCGGTAGCCGCCCAAGCCGCGTTACAATATGCAACCGAGCGCCTCAACTTGTCGCAATCGCCCTCTCTCGGGCTGCGCCAGTCGCCCTCTAACCAGTCTTTGGGACGGACAGCCTCAAACGGCTATAGCAGTGGCGGCGAGCCTGGCACGCCAGCAGCACCGCTCCCTAATCGGCGTGAAGAGCTCTGGCGACGTCGCTGGGAACGAGCGAGCCAGGTTCTCGATGACCACGGGGTTGTCTTGGGCAGCTGGCGTGTTGGAAGCGATGCACAGCCTGTTTGTTTTTGGCTAGTCGATGGGGTTCTGAAGGAGATGCAGGGGAAAGCCAAGTCCAGTGGTCGATCCTAGAAAATGGCATCTGCATCGAGTGTACATATTGTTATTGGCGACTCTTATCGGTTCTTGCCAGAGATAGAGCGTTGCATCCAACTAACAATTGATTCATGAGTTCCTCGGCCTTGTTGGGTCGTACGCTCTGTTATTTTCTCTTTTCTTCTTTTCTTCTCTGCTCTACATTCTTCAACGCATGCTCAATCTCAACCCGCAACGGAATACCAAACTGAAGAGGGCGCGTTGCCGCTGCCTTCTGGATCTTGGGTATGGACGTCGCTAGTCAGCTGGTTAGTGCGTTGGACATGGGCCGGAAAAGGACGCAGTAGATCTTGCGAGGAGTAGACTTGAATATACTAGTAGTCAGCGTGCCCCGGACCCCCAGCTGTAGCTGGCCGGTGGAACGCTGAAGAGATGCGGAGCGTAGCCTTAATCCTATTGCTACGCGTACCTAACTGGTCACTGTGAGTTGGTCCTCAAAGGTGATACTTCTCTTAGTAACTGCGAGCCTCAAGCCTATCCTTAATTGTATTAATGCCACGCTTGGCCTTATATAGATAGATCCTGTTTAGACATGGACAGACCCGTCCCATGGGTCAAAGATCTTGACCCATGACCCAAACCCACGACCCATAGGTCGGGTCAATAAAATCCTGACCCGCCTATAGGTTAACCCGTGGGTTAACGGGTCAATCTATTTTTGACCTATTTTAGCATAAATTTCTTAATTAGGATAGATAATTTGCTTATCTTTTTTAATAATACACTATTATTAAATACTATTTTTATTCTAATATAACTTATAATTCTAACTCTTTATAAAAAGAATATTATATAGTAATAATATATTTAGAATATATAATATATTAATTTATTAATTTAATACTTTAAGGTAAGAATTATATTTTATAATAGATAGATATAGGTGAAAGAAGATATTAGTTAACTATTTCTTATACTAAACCTAAAAATATATATTTAAAGTCTATAGTAGTACTTCTACTTTTTATATAAATAAACTATATATATTAGAAACAATAAAATAGATATAAATCTAATATCTAATATTTCTTTATTAATATATAAGTATATTATAGTCTTATTTATATAAAAGAATTATTTTAAATATTTTTTCTAAATTTATATAAAATAATAATATTAGCTAGTTAGGTTAAAATTTTTTAGGGATAAAAAGAAAAATCTTAGGGTATTACTCTTATCTAATTATTTAGATTAATAGATTAGTCTATAGATTAACCTATTAATCTATTTCTTATTATCTAATAAACTTTATATATATTAGTAGAGCCTATTCTAATTAATTATAAAATTTAGTACTAGGATAGTACTAAATTCTACTTACTAATAAAAAATAAATATTAGACCTATATATTCCCCTAAATCTACGATAATTTACCTTAGATTATTTTTCTATATCTCGAGTCTCTCGCTATAAAAGGGTTATATAGTCCCCCTTTTACTAGATATAATAAAATATATATCTTTTTATAGTAGTCTTTCTATCTCTATTAGAACTAGGGTTTTAATCTATCTACGCGATTACTTAAAACCCTGGTTTTAATCTATCTACGTATTTATTTATAGCCCTGGTTCTAATATACCTACGTAAAAAGATTAGCTAGTTAGATTAAAATTTTTAGGGGATAAAAATAAAAGTCTTAAGATATTACTCTTACCTAATTATTTAGATTAATAGGTTAACCTATAGATTAATCTATTAATCTATTTCTTACTATCTAATAAGCTTTATATATATTAGTAGAGTATCTTCTAATTAGTTATAAAATTTAGTACTAGGATAGTACTAAATCCTATTTATTAATAAGAAATAAATATTAGACCTATATATTCCCCTAAATCTATAATAATTTATCTTAGATTATTTTTCTATATCTTAAGTCTTTTATTTTAATATATTATTACTATATCTCTTCTATATCTTAGTTATCTACCTTATATTCTCTCTCTTTTATTAAGAGTAAAGGGTTTAAGTTATCTATTTTCTATTCTAATTAATTTCTTAATATACTTTTAAAATTACTAGAAAACTAATAAACTAAGTAAAGCCTCCCTCTTATTATATTATTAATACTAAAATAATCCGATAATTGGAAAAAGACCTAGGTAATTTTTAATAATATAAATAAAATAGAGTTTTTAAACTAATAGTTTAATATCTAAATTAGTGGTTTTTATAATACTACACATAAGGTTGAGACGGTGAATGGAAGGCCAGAAACGGCTGCTTTTGACGCCGTTTTAGGCCTCTCGCTCACCACGGGCGGTCTTGGCGTCACGTGTACCAATGCCCACGGCCGATCCGATTTACTGCCACCAGTGCCTCGCGTTGGCTGTGCCTGGTGCCTGGGTCCATCATTTCAGCCCGAGTCCGTTCGTGCAGTAGCCGCCGCAGGTTCCCTCACTCGTCATCACCCCCTCCCTCCTGGTGGAGTGAGGGAGCCAAAAATGGCTCCCCGGTTTCAAAGCCGTGCTTCTCTGGTTTTCCATAAGTATCGACTGCTTTGCCCCCCGATCGAACTGTCTTCTCTCTGCAGCAGTCTTCCCACCAGTCTCGAGTCGGTCGGCCTAAGGTCCGATCACTCTAGAGCAAAGATAATTAGTGCAGTACATACACCCTGCCTTCGACTCATCTTTGTTTGTATCTTCTTTGTCTCCGCAGCGCTCGGTAGCCATGCGTTATCCACGTCCTGTTTTGTCCGACGATGAGAGCGACGCTAGCTCGGGCTTGCCTGCGATATTCTCGAACAACGCTTCCGGCACCGACTTTTCCGCCACACCTAGCGACTCCGATTCCAGCAACGAATTCGAGTCCGACTCTGAGGAGTCCGAGGATGAACTGGCCTCCGATGACGAAGAGGAACAACTCTCACCCGAGTACTTCCTCCAGGAAGCCGAGTCTCTCGACGTGTCTCAACTTCGGCAGAAGCGCTACAGTCCAAACACGCAAGAGAGATTGGATGAGGCGCAAGATCTCTGGGAGAGGTGAGACATGACTCGAGCCTTCTGCTAACGCCACCCAGACTGATTGTTTTAGATTCTGCAAAGGCGCAAAGTGTGATCCAGTCGAATGTTTATCCCAACTCTCTGATACAGAAACGACGGTGCGCTTTCTCAAGGCCTTCTTCTCATGGCGCTGCAGGCAGCGACGTGGGAAAAATGGCCGTCGCAATCCAGGATTGAAGCACAAATCCTCCCTCGACTCGTTATGGAAATGGTGGCATCTGATATATAAGGCCGAGGTTGGACATGAACTGAGCAAAGACATCCAGGTGAAAATCCGCGATGTGAGACCTCTTCTTTGTACAGGAACAGCGAAATCCAGACCGGACTGACCATCTATAGGTGCTCGCGATAGTAGCGAAGGAAGAAAAACTTTCCCTCCAACCTCGACCGAAAGCGACCATGTATATCGAAGATGTGGCCGAGTTTGCGCGAGTGATCCTATCCACGACAGAGATGACATTTCCTTGTGGCTGGTACCGGATACAGCTCCTCTTCTTCTGCCAGCTGGCGGCGATCACTGGTAGCCGGCCCAGGGCGCTATTGGAACTACGCTTTCGGGACCTGATGCTGACGCTGATTCGGGATCCAAATGGAAGACGCCCTCGACTGTTTATCTATCTCAGACCTGAATTCACAAAAACATTCCTCGGCGAAAAAGAGTCGTAAGAACCCCGCTCTTCCACCTTCCCTTCACACAGTTTCCTATGCTCGCTCCCTTTGCCCTTGCAATGTTGCCTAGGAAGTTCTTGAAGCCCGGCCTGAAGCACCTCTGCTAATCATCCTTGAATAGGAACACATTCCCCATCCCGGAAATTATTTTTGATCCCACCTTGGCCCTCAGCCCCCATGTGTTTCTGTTGACCATGCTATTACGGATCCGTGCATTCAAGAACATGTCTCAGGATGGCCCTATTTTGGACGGTCCCGAAAAACTGTACAGTCTTCGGGTCTTAGATGGGCTAGGCCAGCAGGAACTAAAGTTGAAAGACGACATTCTCGATGATTATGTCTTTTGTCAAGCATTACGGGAGCCCGATGGATTTCGTATCGCATTAGACCAGAAGCTCACGGACGGTTGGCTGCGCTATCGAATGAAACGAGCTGGTTTAATCACGGGGTTTGCAGAAGTCGCGAGACCATACTGCCTCCGATACGGCGCAGCGAAAGCGTTCAACGACAGTCGTGAGTGACCTTTGAACTAATAGATGCATCGGCTAATGCGTTTTCCAATCAGCGGATGTATCGAATGAATTGCAGAACGTAATGTTGCAGCATGCTAGCATAAACACATTTGTTCGGCATTACAGCGTGGGCATCCATGTTGATGCCCAGGCAATTGTACGGGGCATGCCGGCTCAGAAGGAGCTTATGCGGTTTGCTAGCTCAATGAGTCGGTCTATTGATCCCCGCAGACCCTGGCGGCTAGATGATTCGAGCTGTATCAACGATGTTCCTAGCGTACGTACTCTGGAAGACAAAAAGCAGGCTAGGAAGCAGATTCGAGACGATAGAAAACGCACTTATGAAGAGGCTCGGGAAGTATTGGAGCGGAGGTTCGGTGATGGTCCACCACAGAATGGTCCTCGCTTCCGAACGATCCGTAAGCAGCGGAAGGCTCAGGAGAGGAGTTTGAAGAAGCTTCAAACGAAACACGAACACGCCGAGGAGAGGTTTGAGCTCTCAGTGAAGCAATTACGCAACGAAAAAGGTCGACAACGGCACCTCCTGATTCGTGGGAACCTGGAACGTTATAAGAATGAACAGCCAGTGATTGACAGCGAACGGCAGCTATCCGGGAAGATAGTCGACGAAGAAGTCAAGGTTGCGCTGGAAAGTACCGGCTATATGACACCACAACATATGACGCTTATCGACACTGTCTTGACCATGCCCGGTGCAACGATTGAGAAAGAGTACGAGCGAAGAATTGCTGCGATTAATGCGGCGATGGCCGTTTGTGATGCAGAAGAGGGTGCACCTTCGCGGCCTCGCACGACAAAGAAACGCTCCGTTGATGCTATCGACATATCGCTGGCTAATTCCGTCCCCAAAAGACAGAGGCCGACTGCTCCAGATGCAAAGGACAATGCCTTTTCTCAAGCCATCGCTTCGGTTTGCATCGAGTCTCCAGAAGAAAGACCGACGATTTGCTTCATCTGCCTTGGGAATCAAATGTTGCCAGAAAGTGAACGACTACGGAAGTTCAAGAATCCTGGGTCCCTCAGCCGACACTTCGTGAACAAACATATCAAGCCATTCCCGAATGGTATGCAATGCGAGTGCACGATTTGTGGAAAGCAATTAGAATCAAAATCGGCTCTCTTGAACCATGCGCAAGGTGTGCATGGAATCGTATCTTGCCTACCTCTACCAGTTCTTGGCCTACCCTTGCCATGAGTACCAAGCTTGTGTTGCTTTCCTACCAGAACTAGCTAGGTCTCTAAACGCTTTTTGTACGCGCAGTATATATTTGTTCTAATAGGAGTTGATAGCTTTTACTTTATATTGATTTACTCCCTCTTGATGCTCCCATCCATAGCAATTATCTGTCAAAGAAGAGTACCAAGTATAGAGCGTTCAATCAGGGTTACCTTTGTGGTGGGGCTCAACGAGCAAAGGCCATTATATAGGATAGAACCCTACATATAAGATTTCCCGCATCCTGGTTATTTTTGGTGCATGCGCAGGCCTCTGCTATAGCGCGCTCTGGTATTTTCCAGTTCTTATGGTTGCGGGTGGTGTTGCTACGGCACTGTGGCATGGTTGGGTATATCAACAGATTCTCAGGGCAAAGATGGCGTGGAGAAATAGAAATCGGCAGCCCAAACCGGAGGGTGACGCCTCTGGATCGACAGGCCACGAGCGTTCGTCAATGCCGAACTCAGCACAGGGTGCTGGAACAGAGAGATTCTGCGGATGAGGAAGTCAGGCGCAGAGGCGTTCCCGCCGAACTCAGCCGATATCCGGGCCCCGGAGGAAGTGGAAACTCCCGCACAGGAGCATATCATTCGGATCCATGTGGGGGTTGCAATCCTTATCTTCTTCTTTGGTAAGGTTCTGTGTGAAAGTTTGCAATATCACTGGAGAGAGGCTGACACCGAAACCATAGCGTCCTTCATCTCCATTCTTGTCGCAAGAGCCAAACTCTTCGCACCGCCTCGATCTCTGGACCTCTTCGCGAATATGTATCTGTCCGGCACTCTGATCTTCGGCGGCGGCCCCGTTGTCATCCCCTTGCTCCTGTCATACGTCGTGGACCCGGGTTGGGTTTCCAGTCGAGACTTCCTGATCGGCCTCGCAATCATTCAGGCCTTCCCCGGTCCAAATTTCAACTTTGCAGTCTTTCTCGGTGCTCTTGCTGTCCGAACCACATCCTACCCGACAGTCTTCGGTGCCTTCCTCAGTGGACCAGGGATATTCTTCCCTGGAATCACCCTCGCCGTCGCAATGCAGTCTTTCTGGCGTGTTCTGCGGAAACAGAAGTATATTATTGACTTCCTCCGAGGCGTGAATGCATCAGCTGTAGGATTAGTGTTTACAGCTGTTTACCGGCTTTGGGAAATTGGATATCTAACTCCGCGGGATCGTGATGGGCTGAGTCTGGCGAGGGAGCCCTGGTGGGTTGTTATTGCCGCTGTTACATATGCCCAGAGTGCATGGTTCAAGGTCCCGCCTGCGGTTGCAATTGTGCTAGGTGCTGTGCTTGGGTTGTGTTGGTATGGAGTCGTTGGTCCTGCCTGGTGACGGAGTCTAGGGATCGTGGGTACGCGAAAAGACTGGTTGGCAGCCAAGCAACTTTTTAATTCGCAAAGTAATATTTAATTCATCCATGGCAAAGTTGCGGAAGGTCAAATACAAACACAGATAAAGCTTGTCTGCTGCGGACCATGGTAACCCTTTTCTCGAGGGATGAGGGTTCATCGATTGTGTCTTCTGCGCTAAACGAAGACTCAGCTTTTTTTTTTTTGTTATTTGTGCGTAATGACACTCGTATTGTCGTATTTTCACTCCGCTAATGGCGAAAGATTCTTGGTGTGAGATACAATAAGAACCAAGTTATATATTAGGTATATCTGAAGGGATCGGAGTTCTTCGCATGTTTGTATTCTAAAGTCTATGACCTTACCATATTGGGATGAACCCTAACTTCACACCTAGGAAATTGTTCAGTAATATTAGTAATTTCCTCATCGGGATGGCATTTATGACAGATGCCAATGATGCCATATGACTAAAACCCTTAACTCTTAGATGGCAGTTGGAACGTCTTGATAAGTTGTAAATATTCTTGGGAAGAGGGGAAGAGAAATGAAACTAGTCTTCGTCCTCGGGAACGAACAGACGGTACTGTACCCACCCGCCACGGAACCATCTACTTTCTACATTTAAGCGTGTTCTAATCAACCATAACGCATTCCAGTTAATTAAACTATCTAACTGGACATGCATTTGCCTTATGTCCCACCTCTCTGCATTTTCCACAAATTGGTAGCCTGCGATTGCGTGGCTCAGTAGCAGTTTGGACTGACTGAACTGACCGCTGTAGGACTGGTAGAGCAGGTAAAACTGGTTGAAGTAGCTGCTTAGTAGGCTGAACTTTATTGAAGTAATCCCATGGAGATTTCTTGACAAACATTTTTCTCTTAAGACATTTCGCGTTATGTGCTCGCTAGGACCAATTGGTGGCTTGCTTTCCAGTTCCATTTTATGCTGGGTAGGTGGCAAAGCATTCGTAAAGGTCATTCATAGACGTCTCCCAAAGAGCTCGAAGTCGGATAATTTTTGACTCTGTGGCGGAAGAAGACTCGCTTAGCCCATTTCCAGGCTTCAACGCCGACAAAGAACAGGACAGCCTCAACCGCCACAATGCCCCATTCCCAGGTGATAGGCTTGTGTTTGAAGACGACGTCGTTCAGCACCGGGATATAGAGGATAGGAAACATGGTAATCCATCCGGCCATGATGGACCAAAAAAGAAACTTGTTCCGCCAGACATCGAACATCCACTGGGTAAAGTATCTTTTGGATTTTGGCTGCATGCGGAAGAACGACCGGCGCATGTTGACCATCTCCCAAGCCAGGAAGAGCGCAAACCATGTCAGACAAACAAATGTAGTTGCACGTGCTCGGAAGACCAATTCGCAGTCCTTGATCTCCTCCGACCACTCCTTATTGCACCCACGAGCCAGGTTACCGTCGCCGAATCCCCACATGCGGATAGAAAATGCCGCTAGGCAAAGTGCCGCGGTCCAGACGCCATAGACCAGAATATCGATGATCACTTCCCAGGTGAATATGCCTTGCTTACTCTGGGGAGGACGATTCATGATATCAGGGGCAGCGACTTCCATTCCAAGGCCCATATCGGGCATGCCCGATGTAATCATGATAATCCATAGGATTTCCACTGGCGACAAAGGGAAGACGGACTGACTGTCAGCATCTTTGAAAGCCAACCCGATGAGCAAGGTGCAAGCCTGAGCAATATTTTCGGACAGCAGATGAAGAACAAATTTCTGAATGTTATCAAAGATCCGACGACCTTCCTCGACGGCGTTGAGGATCGAGGCAAAATTGTCGTCCGTGAGGATGATATCAGACGCGTCCTTGGCGACATCTGACCCTGCCTGTCCCATCGCAATACCTACATCGGCGTGCTTGAGAGAAGGAGAATCATTCACCCCGTCTCCAGTCATCGCCGCAAAGCGACCTCGGCGATGGAGAGCGTCGATCATACGCACTTTGGTCTGTGGAGCGCAGCGCGCAATAACCAATGGTAGCGTTGGGAGTGCATCAACTTGCTCGTCTGTGAGTTTGTCAAATTGACTAGCAGTCATTACCATTGCGTCCGCGACATCAGCCGCCACAGTACCGAAGTCGGCAGGAAGTATTCCCACTTGTTGTGCAATCGCTTTGGCAGTTCCATGATGATCACCAGTGACCATATGGACAACTATGCCAGCTCGGTAACAGGCCTGGATCGATCCTGCTGTCTCCGGGCGTGGGGGATCATATAAGCCGATCAACCCCAGGAAGCATAGATCCTTCTCGACGTCGTCACGTTCCAGATTGGAGCCTTCGAGTAGTTGCGACTGCTCGGTATAGGGTCGATTGGCTAATGCCAAAACCCGAAGTCCAAGTTTCGCGAGCTCTTCCATGTTCTGGAAAATCTTGTCACGATGCTCGTTAGTCATTGGCACGGGTATAGATGAACCTTGGTCCCAAGCCACAGAGGTACATGAATCGACAACGCGCTCGACCGCGCCCTTGGTAAATACCATTGTGCGATCTTCCTGCGCAGTAATCTTGTTGAAGATCACCGACATTTTCTTGACCGAGGAGTCGAAAGGAAATTCAGCCTTCTGGTGCCACGCTGAACTATGGCCCTTCGTCCAACGGTCACGATTCCAGTTGAACCTGGATGCAAAGACTTGAATTGCGATTTCGGTGGGTTCGCCACGGGCGTTCCATTCACCATCTTCATTCCTATAAACGTGCGAAAGGTTGGCCATAGATGCGACGTCCAAAAAGTCTTCGAGATGGCGGTTTTCCCAAACCAGGTCTTCCGCATTTTCTGCAGGGGACGCTTCCTCCCCATCATCGAAATTCAAAGGAGGCACAGGTGTGAACGTGACATCCCCAACAGTCGGATTGAAAGGCTCGTTCGAAGTGCCGACAGAGTAGGTCCCTCGAGATGGAATCCATGCCTTTTTGACAACCATTTTGCCCTGCGTCAATGTGCCAGTCTTATCGGAGCAGATATCCGTGACCGCGCCGAGAGCTTCTAGTGAGTCAAGCTTGCGAACAATCACATGTCGCTGGACCATACGCTTGGTTCCCACGGCCATGGTGATAGTGAGTACAACCACCAGACATGCCGGGATCATACTGATACCAGTTGCAACAGCATACATGATGACCTCGGTGTTGCTGCTGAAAAGGTTTGCAGCCATACAAACAATGGCAAATATAACTGCAACCACAAAGAGCAAACAGGCTAGCTTGGAGAGTTTCCTTTGCAAGGGCGTGCCGATATTGACACCAAGGAATCGACCGACAGCATCCGTTCCAGTAAGAGTCCAAGCCTGCACGTACCACCGCTTCTTGGCCTCGCCGTTGGAATCACGCTTGACGGGTCGACGCTTGGTGTCACTGGCCCGCAAAGCGAGCGCGATAGAACCGATTTCGGTGAACATTCCGGTACAAACAACAACGCCACGGCCCCGACCACGAGTGACGGTACTAGAGCTATAGGCAATATTAAGACGGTCCCCAGGACCGGTGTCCTCTTTGAAGACCGAATCACATTCTTTCTGGACGGGAAGAGATTCGCCCGTCAAAAGTGCTTCGTCCGTCTCGAAATTGACTGCTTCAACCAGGCTACTATAATTAGTAAATTGTACCCCACTAGCTCGAACATCATGATAAAAGACTCACCGAATATCCGCCGGAACGGTATCTCCTGTTCTCAGTTCGACCATATCACCGGGCACGATCTCTGACGAGGGAACCGAGAACGTCTGTCCACCCCTCGAGACAGTTCCCGTCGGCGACGATAGTGAATGCAGTGACTCCATAGTCTTCTCTGCGGCGTACTCTTGGAAAAACCCTACAACAATGTTCAAGAGAATGACCGCGCAGATCACTCCACCCTCAATCCACGACTGTATCCCGAAACTGACCGCCATGGCTAGAATCAGCACCTATTGAAAAAAAAGATTGAATCAGTCTGACAGAATTCTCATAAAGTCTAGGGCATCGTTATTAGGAAAGAGTCTCATACTAGCATCATTGCGTTGGCCACTTGGCGCACGAGAATCTTGACCACCGACAACCCTTCGCCTTCATCCAATTTATTGGGACCATATTTTTGCAGACGATGACTAGCTTCGTCAAGGGCCAAGCCCTCGTCCAGCCTGGTGTTGAGTGCCTTGATCACGGCTTCATACGTGAGCGAGTGAGCCGGCTGGCTTAGCGGACTGCCCCCCGACCTGGCGTCGGGATCGGTATCATGTTTTTCCGACATTGGAAGTTATGCTCAAGTGGATGTTTAGCTGGAGTTTAGAAAGTAATGAATAGAAGAAGTCGTAGGCAATGAAATTTTTTGTGCGTTCGTCCGTTTAGATGCAGTCATCACTTGCCAGGGAGTTGAACGGAATGGAGCTCTTGTGCAGGGGGGTCAGAGGGACCTTCAGTCGCAAGCTTAACTTTCGGGGTAGAAGTCGGTGTGCGTGCTCCGCATTTAGGACTTGACCAACCATGGACCGTTTGCAGATGACCAACAGTAAGTAGCCTTGGCTTTGGGACCTTGGCCAAAACTGATGATTGTTCCACCCAGAGTCATGTCGCAACAACCAACACATCCGGCAGTCGCTGATCACACTTAAGCCAGCTGGTATGTATATGACGTCTCAAACATACGGTCTTCGCTTATTTCGAGGCTTCCGAGATCAACACTTTGGACTCTGTGGTTTTGAGGCCTACCAGAGAAAGCCACCGGGTTGTGTGGCAAATCCCGGCCGAGCCCTGTTGAGGCTTGGCGACACCTTGGTGCCAAGCCATGGCATTATGAAAAGAGGTATCCGTGCGCAGGAAGTCGGACACTCGCACGCATTTGTGGATAATAGACTCGATGTATCCGAACGTTGATTAGACCGAAATGAACCGCCAAACATTCAATAGTGCGCATAAATGACACATTTCTGGCCATCCGAGTTCCGACTGTTTCCCTTCCCCGGACATAATCCGGTCTCATCGCCACCCCAAAACTGCACTTGTTCGGCAACTGATGTGGTGGCGAACCCAGGACCAAATGGGTTTGGAAACAGCGTTCCCACCCTCGGAAATAGCAAATTAGATTTCACGTGAAGCCTGCCAAGCCTATTCCTCGTAACACCTTGAATGCCAAGGCGCTTACGAACGGAAAATGCCAAGGCTTGGACACTGGAGCTTTGACTGCCAAGTGGTTACATCAGCGCACCCAAGACTCGCACTTGACTTTCTGCGTCGCTCGTTGCCTGTTAAAATCAAATGGAGTGAGCAGCACAACGCAGCTCTTTATTATAATCTCTACACTGCTCTTGATATCGTGACAAGATGGTTTTCGAATAACAAAACTTCGCCCTCCAACTCATGGGCGATGCAAGAAATGGCCGACCATTTTCATAAGTTGAGGGATTCGTTACTAAATTCTCTTGGTTTCTTCACCGTCGCAAGACATCGCATTTCCTTGAGAGATAACAGTCCCACCAATGCGCTCATATGTCAAACCCTGACCCATTCCGAGGTGGAAGTTGGGGGTATGATTTTGCCCTCAAAGAACGCAACCCGAAAGCGCGGCTCTGGAGACGGAGAAGTTAAATTCGATAATGGGAAGCACTGCCACTTCCAGAGTCCGCGAACAGGAAAGGGGGTATTTGGAAAGAGGAGTGCAAACAATGCGATGTGCAAATGCTTTGGAAGATATATTGCAAGCTTTGGAAGAGCTTGCTCGCCATTTTCGGTGGAGCTGGAAAGAAAGCGGTCGATCAGAAGTCCTTCGCAAAGTGGAATCACGACGGACGAAAACATGGCGGTTGTGTCTCAGAAGTATGGTGAAGTTCGCGATATTATCGGCCGCGGTTCCTCTGCAGACATATTCTTATCGCACAAAGTCCACCAGTGGAACCCGAACATTGATTGCTTTTATGCAATCAAGATTTTCCGCCGCTCACCACGAACAAGTGAAACGATTTTCCGGAGACGTATTGATGCCGAATATTCCATTTCTTCTTCATTGCGACATCAAAACGTTGTTCGGACGTTCGATCTACTCCAAATCACAAGTGACTGCCTTTGCGAGTGCTTGGAGTATTGCTCAGGTGGAGATTTATACTCAATGATTGTTGCGTCAGGCCAGCTAGGACAGGCTGAGAGCAATTGCTTCTTTAAACAGCTCATGCGCGGTACCGAGTACCTCCATGAAATGGGCATCGCCCATCGTGACCTGAAACCAGAGAATCTTCTTATAACATCGAAGGGTTGTCTCAAAATTTCGGATTTCGGGTCTGCTGAATGTTTTCGCCTCGCTTGGGAAGACGATATACATATGACAAGAACACGCCATGGTTCACGACCTTACGTGTCACCGGAACAGTATCTCAACAAGGTGTTCGACCCCAGGTTGGTCGACATCTGGGCTGCTGCTATGGTCTACGTTGCGATGAGAACGGGTAGAATCCCGTGGAAGATTGCGACTGAAGACGACGAGAATTTCAGAGATTACATTGAAGATCGTAAAATCGGACGAGGCTACTTCATTATTGATGAAATATGCCATGTAAGTATCCCGGATCCTGAATATATGGTTGGTGTACTAAATACCTACAACAATAGGTCGAAAGCCGTCGGGTCATATATTCAATGCTAGAAATTGACTACACCAGTCGGCCTAAGTCAAGCGAAGTTCTTCACTCTCGATGGCTACATGAGGTTGATATATGTGTAGATGCGGACACCGCGTCACTCCAGGGAGATTAGTTCTCTATCTTCCAATTGGGATTCCCACCATGGGGCTTTTTTTTTCTTTCTTTTTTTGGAAATATCCTACAAAGAGGCGCTGTGTGAAGTTTCTAAATTGATTTTCAATCGCACTTTGTTGGGTTCATCTCACGGATGAGCATAGCCTAGTTTAAGAGATGTGATCTAGTAAACTCCAATATGTATTATATACTGCAGTAGATATGTCTAGGACATAGCGGCAGCAAGTAGAACGACAGCTATAGGTTGGAAATTCACTAAAGTATAATTCTGGAGCAATTTCATGAGTTACGTGAAAGGCACCAGTTGAAAGGTCTCACTACGGTCATATAAAAACAGATTCAATTCTTTCGAAAAGGGGTGTCTACTTCTAACCTAACTTTTGGATTAGTGTTAGCGTTCGATAGACAATCCCTGAGAGTGCGTGGTATAATAGAATTTTAATTATCGCTGAATGCTTAAAAAGTTTGAATGTCCAAAGGTTGCTTCCAATATGATTTGTCGTTGGCGAAGTGCCGACGGAACTTCGCTTTCGCTTTGGTTTACATTTGAAACACCACTGTAGGTAATTATACATAAATTTGCAGTTCTGGTACGGCATTAAATTGTTTTCGTTGGAACTAGTGAATTCCATGAGTAAATGCCGTGTAATGCAAGGTGAGAGGCTAAGTGGATTGTCGAACTTTCGTTCCGGTAATCCATTGGCTTCTTCGATCCACTCTTGCCTACGCTAGTGTTAGTCACAAGATTGTGAGTGAACACTCTTAGTTCAGGGCTCGCAATTCTCCATTCTCCATTCTTCTACACCTTGTTCGATCTTGTTCAGTCCTAGTTACAAGGGTAAAGTCGAAACTCGAGCATGGCCGGTGGTTTCCTTCCATACCACGAACCTGGAAGTATGTACGCAAGCATGTGCCCATCGATCTCTGCTCATTTCCCCCTGATAAATTCCTGCAGCTATCGACATCCTCATTGTTGTTTCGTTCTTCTTTTTCCTTTCCCTTGCAAGATGGGTCTCCGCGACGGCAATCCAGGCCGGAATTATAGGTCAGATCGCCGTCGGCATCATCTACGGAGTACCCTTGGCCAATATCCTTGAACATCACTGGCAAGAGACTTTTGTTACTCTTGGATATGTCGGTCTGATTTTGATCATTTTCGAAGGTATGTGAAAATTTTCATCCTCCCTGGCTTCTTGGCTTCTTGGCTTCTTGGACACTGATGTCATCCCTTCTAGGCGGTCTTGGCGCTCGTGTGGACTTGCTCAAGCAGAACTTCACTTTGAGTATGGTCGGCGCTGCAACTGGAGTTTTATTTCCTATTAGCCTTTCATACCTTTTGCTCTACCTTGGTTTCCGATATGGTTGGTTTTATTTGCCCCAATCCCTACAGTCAATGGCTAACATGGACCAGGTGCAGTTGAGACATTCATCATCGGCGCGTCTCTTTCCGCCACCTCACTCGGTAAACTATCTTTCTTCGGAATTGATGTGATTATGTTTCAATTGCTAATAAATTTTTTAGGAACCACCTTTGCTGTGATCAGCTCTACGTCAGACTCGGTCAACCTTGCCGAGACTCGAGTAGGGTCAGTCCTGGTGAGCGCGGCTGTTATTGACGATGTTATAGGCCTTGTTATGTTAAGGTGTGTTACTTATGTGGACTGGGATAAGGTGTGGTCTATATCCAAAGCTAACTACCTACACAGTGTGATTGGCGATTTGGGCAAACTTTCAGGAGGCGGCGATAGTGCCAACCTGGGCTGGCTCATTGGCCGTCCCATAGTGGCATCGATAGCCATGGCTGTCGTAACGCCCATCATCACGAAATGGGCCTTTGCGCCATTTTTCCGAAAATTCGTTGAACACCGCTTTGCACGCTTCGACCATATCTCCAACATCATCCTCATGACTCTTGTGCTTTCGGCTTTTATTGCCATCGCTGGCTTTACTGGTACATCCGTCTTATTTGGTGCCTTCCTGGCGGGTGTATTTCTTACATACATACCGAGCAAGCACCCCGAGGGACCATTTGTTGTCCTGAGCCGCGAGGAAGGCGAGCGCGAGGCAGATAAAAGCCCCACTTTTATTCATACCTTTGAGAAGTACCTATTAGGGCCCCAGCAGTATTTGATGGAACCTTTGTTCTTCTCAAGTATCGGATTTGCGATTCCGTTCTTGGAGCTATGGACCGGGGAACGCATTTGGAAAGGAATCGTTTACACCCTCTTGATGACGTTTGCAAAGGTATGCAGACACCCTCAAAAATCGCTTCTCAGCCATTGAGCTAAAAAGGATACCTAGTATGTGGTCGGAATTTGGGTCCCCGTATGGCAACTCGCTTTGGGGGGTAAATCTCACAAAGACAAGCTACACGAAGAGCAGAAAACACAGGGTCAACCAAAAATTGGGGACAGCAATCCAAGCTATGAAGAACAAAGCAGCCAGGAGAAGGGAAAGACGTGGAAACGGGCCTGGCTGGCCGCAACGCTTTTAGGATCTGCCATGGTAGCACGCGGTGAAATTGGCCTTCTGATAATCGAAATCGGACACAACGAAACTCCGTATGTGAGTGATGAAGGTTTCTACACTGGCGTCTGGGCGATTCTTTTGAATACCATCATTGGTCCAGTTAGCGTTGGTCTCCTAGTTAGATTCTACGCGCATGAGCTGAAAGGAGGGGATTGGGGAGTGCAGCGTACTCCACTGCCTATCTCAGGTCATGACATTAGTGGGCGCGGTGCGGTATAGACGCTTTGTGCAAAGATTAAATATGGGCTGGAAGGATATGGCTGTACTTAACATGTGGATGCGCCATGGGAAAGCGATATGGCAATTAGTTTTTGATATATCTGACTGATATACCCCGGAGATCTCTTCAGGTTAAATGTTCAACATCGCTGCAAGTGTTTCCCCCTAGTCAAAGAGTATGAGTGTCCCTATATACCTAGGTTCTCAGATCACTCGATCTTGTCTGTACAGATCGCAGATCTGTTATTATCATGTAGCATCTTGTTATGGTCGTTTTAGTCACGTGACTCACATGCTTTCCTCGTTCTGGGCTGTACTTTCGGTGGGAAAACGTTCATTCAGCGCCATTGATAGTGTGGGCTGAGGATACAAATCAAGAATTTGGATATTTTCGTTAAATACTATTTGAGGAGGTCGGGACAAGGGGACAAGTACAACGGATCATTTCCATAACGCAGGTAATGCTGGAAATATATAGTGGGAAAACTCACATGTGATCAAAAAGGTAGTTTGGGGCATGTCCCTCAACGGTAGGGGAAAAAATGGGACTTATTCACGTAGGTAGGGAAGACCAGAGTTTTCTATTAATGTTTTTCAACACAACTCCTAGGTTTTCAGACAGGGTGCCTTGCATACTGGGCAGAATGACCGGCGCCAGAGTAGCCATCTGTCCACGCAATCAATATGGAAAACATGACCTCAGCGAAGATCGCGCACTTGGACTCTACCTTCGATAATACTTAAGCATATAGCACGAGCTTAGTTCAAAAACATTATATCTGAGGTAAATCAATTTGTCTTTTGCCGCGCAGCTGAGAGAGGTGCTTCAATGCCTTCAGGCGGTTGGGACGACCTGAGGCGCGAGTCCTTTTCTGAGGATTCGTTGGAAACTGACGTTCGGGTTTCAGTAAGAGCACCTTTCAATGGCGATAAGTGCACCGGATCTTCAGCTGAAGAGATTGGGCCAGGGGTAGAGATATCAAGACGGGAGACGATAATCAGAACATTCTGAGTCGCAGGTTTGATTGAGCTTGCCCTTTCCCAGTCATTAGCAAAGACCTATAACTGCAGGATGACTTGATGTTGAAGCAGTACCTTGCACGTAGTTGGTGGCCCTTCCATGTTTTGAAGTCCGTTATCGGTAGACATTTGTTGAGATTATCCTCGGTCGGCAGCGGCTGAGGCGGCTTTCGAACCTCACTTGTCTGCGGCTGAATGAACCTGGATATTGGTAACACGGGATGTTCTCGAGCGAATGGTCCTGATTGTCTTCTATGACGATCGAACCATTGAGCAAAGCTCGCGATTCTATTTCCGAGAGAGCTGCGGAGCCGGTAGAAGGTCTTGGCAAATACTTACAACAACCCGACAACGCAGCTGATAGCTTTGAGGCATCTGGCATCTCCTGTTGTCAATTATGTGAAAACAAGGAACCACCCTCGTGTTTTCGGAAAACAAAACGTTAATATACCAGTCACTGCTGTAGCGATACAGTATGCGGGATTTTTCTGCGCCATAACGGTCCTCGGAACGGGAAGTTCGTGCTTGCAATCTACGGATCAAGCCTAGCGTTAAATAGTCACAATAAACAGAAAATTCATCCGCAAGCGGGTTGTGCCGGTATCAGTGAAAAAAATTACTTGTATAATCGCACGCGTGAATATTTGCAATAAAAAGCCTATGCGACAAAGCCACTTGCCCAGTATTACGACAAATAGTATCAGCGCGATGGCCACAATGCATAGTCTTGGCAGCTTGTCTGGAGCGGTTTGTCACCTGAGCTTAGATTTCGTCGTACGAATACAAGTCGAGCGCAGGCTGCAAAAGGATTGCTGGAGCATAATTGGAAGGTGGCACTGACAGTCGTGGAGATGACCTCCAGCCGCAGGCAGTGGCGTTCAATCCCCGATATGATTTGCCCGATTAATTCGCTCGCACTAACATTTTCGTAGCCCCGCAGGATGTTATTCGCGGAAATTATTTTGACATCCGAATAGCCCTAAGCTATATATTTATTTCCGTAGGTCTCCTTGAATACTTTTCCTCCTTGATAAAAGAGCCTAATTTCCATCACCATGTGGAAGCTACCGATAAACTTTCTCTCCTTGCATTGTACGTGCATAGCATGTGCGACACTCCTCACGCTAGTTAACAGGTTCTGGTAGACGCGTGGATTGTCACTCTCAGCATTCTGAGCCTGGTTATCATCTACCCTTATGGCAACCTCAAGGCCACCGATGCTTATTTTTTCGGCGCCAGCGTGTCAACGGAGTCAGGCCTGAATACGTGCGTGCTCTCACCTTTGCTTACCTCTAGTCTCTTCTAGTCTGCTAAATAGCATTCTATTAAGAATTGACATCAAAGAGTTGAAGACTTACCAACAAGTTTACATCTACATCATTCCAATTCTGGGGAATCTGGGCTTCATCAACATAATTGTCCTCGTCTTTCGGGTCAGATGGTTTGAAAAGCATCTTAAAGCGATAGGTTAGGAGGGCCTATATTCTAGTCCTCTACTCGATGGCTAACATTACAAACACAGCACCGCATCTGTTGAGGCCGGAGCCCCTTCGAGGCCAGGATCCAGAGGCACTACCCGAAGATATTTCGGAGCTGAACACTTCCGGTCTTGAGGTTGCAGCGGATAGATCTACAGACCAGGTGATGGACAATATGGCCGAGGCCAATAGTCATGCTGAGACAGGAAAATCATCGTCGAGGTTGATTTTGACACCACAAAGCAGAATAACATAGCAAGTTAGATACTGACACTTACACCAGGGTCTCTCAAGAGTCAAGGAACTCAACAGTTCATGATGATGCTCTGAGCCCAGAACAAATTGCGGGAAAGCAATCTATCCGATCCACGGAACCCGGTCGGCCCGTTCCTGGCAATGACAACGCTCTGTATATCCCACCTCCTTGGAGACGGGATGAAGGTATATTCTATCAATTTATGGCTTCTTTTTGCGCTTAATAGTGAATAGTCCCTAGGCGCCTCTTTCTCAGAAATCAATGATGGAATTGACAATGAAGAGGAAGGTGAGTCCTCCGCTTGTGCCAAACATCTCTGGATTTCAGATAGCCGCTGAATGGTGCAATAAAAGGACAATCCGAAAAGAATCTACGCCATCGACAATCTACCCGAAGCCTGCGTTCACGTACTCGCACCCTCGAAAGGGCATTAACCTCCGTTTTTGTTCTAGGAAACTCTGCTGGCTATAATGGAAAGGGCCATGAAGCGACACAGAACAACATGAAGCAGCTTGATCTGCCCAAAATCTCCACGCTGGTTACGATCGGCCGGAACTCTCAGTTTCATAATCTCTCCACTGAAGACCGGGAAAGACTAGGAGGCATTGAATACCGGAGCTTGAAGCTTTTGCTAAAGATTGTCACCGGATATTTCTTCGGTCTTCATCTTTTCGGTGCGATCTCTCTCGTGGGATGGATTCTACATACCGATCCAAAATATCGTGCCTATCTTGCTCAATGTGGCCAGGGCAGCGTTTGGTGGTAAGTAGACCTTGTATTAGTGTTGATAACAGAACAGTTAATTCTCTTCATGTGACAGGGGGTTCTACTCTTCTCAAACTATGATCGACAACCTTGGTTTTACCCTGACACCGGATTCGATGATCTCCTTCCAGGATGCGACCTTTCCAATGCTCCTCATGAGTTTCCTTGCATTTGCCGGCAACACCTGCTATCCATGCTTGCTCCGACTGATAATATGGATCATATACAAGGTTTGTTCAGAGGAATCATCACTCAAAGATCCACTTAGCTTTCTACTCGATCACCCTCGACGATGCTACACCCTATTATTTCCGAGCAAGCCAACATGGATACTATTTAGTATCCTGTTCATTATGAATTCCGTTGATGTTCTTCTCATCATCGTGCTGGACCTGAATAACCCGGCTGTGAATCATCTAGCACCCGGCCCGCGAGTCCTTGATGCCATTTTCCAAGCCGCATCAGCACGCCATACGGGAACATCGACTTTTAACTTAGCTGATGTTAACCCGGCTGTGCAGTTTAGCTTGGTCGTAATGATGTATATCGCGATTTTTCCGATCGCAATTAGCATCAGAGCTTCCAATGTCTATGAAGAAAGGACGCTGGGCATTTACAGTTCACAGAGGAGCATGGACGAAAGTGATGGTCGGTCGTACATCCTCAACCACATTCAGAACCAATTGAGCTTTGACTTGTGGTACATGTTCCTCGGATGCTTTTGCATCTGTATTGCTGAGTCCGGCAAGATTACGGATACATCGAATCCGGTAAGTGGGCGATGACAAATTGGGTGATAGCAGAACTAACAATTCTAGGCCTTTTCCGTGTTCTCCGTGTTATTTGAAGTTGTTTCAGCATAGTGAGTATTAAACTCAATTAACGACTTCTCACCTCAACTAACTTTTCTGTAGCGGCAATGTGGGACTCAGTCTAGGCTACCCGACCGTCTCAACATCTCTTTCTGGAAAGTTCACAGTTTTCAGCAAGCTCGTCATCTGTGTGATGATGATAAGAGGTCGTCATCGTGGATTGCCCTACAGGCTTGATCGTGCTATTGTTCTTCCGAGCGAGCGCTCAGAATATGAGGGGTATGGGGATGAGCTTCAAGCACGGCCGAGCGAGCAATGATATCGCAAAAATTATCAACAGGAAACAAGCGTTCCCACGATCTGGTGTGTCGTGAGATCTTAGGGTATTGGAGGTCAAGGGAAACCATAGCCCGTCCTGCGATAGTGCATGTCCTACGATCAAGCCTGTCTTATGATCTAGTATATCGTAGGATAGTAAGAAATGCAAGGAAACCATGGCCTGTCCTGCGGTCAGGCTTGTCTTACGATCTGACGTTCGGTCTTTCGCCGTCGCGTAGTGTGCTTTTCTATCTAAGAAATAAAACATAAGCTTATCCAAACATTTCCTCGAAAGCAAAAGCCAGTTTTTAACGCCAGATTTGAGTACAATCTTTATCATGCAAAGTTGTTTTTCCCCCAGGGACATTTGCTCACGGGGAGATTTACCCTCAGGGACGTTTATTCCAAAGGAAATTTGCCCCAGACGCAGTGGGAAGGTTATAATTAATTACATATTAGGTGATGACCCTCGTAGCTCCCAAGAACCACTTTCATGGTCCTGGGGACGATTTCGGTAGCTCCTAGAAGGTATAACGATGGCTCCCGGGAGCTACAACAGCAGTCCTAGGAGATATGTAGCCCCCAGGAATGGTAACGTTGGTCCTGGAGACGAGGACAAATTTCATGGGAGCGAGCCTTAGTAATAGCTGTACTGGGGCGGATTTTATTATAGGGCCATCTTGATTTTACAGGTGGCTCAGAGTCCACGGCGGATCCTTCTAAGATCCAGTCGTTGTTTCCAGGCGTGAGCCAGATCCCAATCGCGAGGGTCAACCCCACTGAGCAAGACTTTCGGACTTGGTCAATTATCGGAAAACACCTCACTCGGGTAAGGGGACTCAGCATACAATGATTTTATGCTCGGAGTCACGTGCCCCACCTAATCGTCCTCAATCGTCCCCAAATCGTCCCCAAATCGTCCCCGCCAGAAACCATCAACTACCCCGCTACTGATCACCTTCCGATGACGTACAGCATCCGCTTTGTTGGCTCGGATGAAAAGCTATACGTAGTTAACCATCCAATCAGACAACGATAACAGTGCGCGGATCGCTGACAGAAGATTGTTGTCACCTTTTTGTTACAGTAGAATTCGAAAACAGATTACCCCTCGGACACACTGGCTCTCTTTCCCAGCGCCCCACCCAGATCGCGCTAAACTGAATTCGGCCATTCAAAGTCCCCACCATCTTTCCTTGATGTATTTCTGGTAGATCACCAGAATTACCGTAATTACAGGTTCCGGCATTAAGCAGACTATGCTTGCCGAAACGCCTCGTGGCCATACACCAGAATCCGAAAACAGATTACCCCTCAGACAAAACACGCTTTGTTTCTCGGCCCGTACTCTCTAACGACGCTTATCTGTAGTAAGGTAAGGCGTAAATAAATCTTTCCCAATAATAGACCCTCTTTTGATTCCTGAACGGCCTTTTTACTTGTAATACCGTATGTTACACGAAACTCCTATACGGTCCTACCTCACTGCCCCTCCATACCCCGACATCCATCCTTCACAACACCACTATCTGAGATCTGCCAGAATTCCCGCGCAATATGGCACCGAGAATATCCCCGTCAAAGCTACGTCTCATCAATGATATGATACAAAGCCAGTCGTTAACCCGTTCTCAAATGGCCAAGGCAGCAGAATGCAGCGAACAGACAATCAAAAATATCCGCAGAAACTTGCGACTGTTTGGACACGTCCATGCTCCCCCAACCCGTGTCGGTCGGAGACGAAGCCTAACACCACCGATGCTAGAAGCGCTCTGTGACCACTTGCTGGAAAAGCCAGGTCTGTACCTTGAGGAGATGGCTATCTTTCTGTGGGATGAATTCCAGATGCTAGCAACCACATCGAGCATTAGGAGGGCCCTAGTGTCCTAAGGCTGGTCGAAAAAGACCGCCCGACAGAGTGCTAAAGAGCAGAGTGCCGAATTACGAGAAATTTATCTTCATAACCTCTCCGAGTTTGCATCGTACCACCTTTTATATGTTGATGAATCTGGATGTGATAAACGAATTGGGTTCCGACGGACAGGCTGGTCACCACTTGGTGTAGCACCACGACAGGTGTCACAATTCCACCGTGACGAACGATATCAAATTCTGCCTGCGTATGCTCAGGACGGTATCTTACTCTCTCGCGTCTTTCGCGGCTCAACGGATGCCACTGTGTTCGAAGATTTCATCGGTCAGCTCCTTCGGCACTGTGGAAGATGGCCGGAGCCAAAGTCTGTTCTGGTCATGGATAATGCATCGTTTCACCACTCCGAGCGGATTGTACAGATGTGTGCTGATGCGGGAGTCAAACTGGTTTATTTGCCGCCGTACTCGCCCGATCTGAATCCAATTGAAGAATTTTTTGCCGAGCTCAAAGGCTTCATAAGACGCAGTTGGAGCTACTACGCAGAAGACCCCGACTGAGAATTCGACTCCTTTCTCGAACGTTGTATTAATCAAGTTGGGACAAGAGAAGCGAATGCTAGAGGCCATTTTCGGCACGCAGGCTTGACTATTGAAGAGTTCGATAATTGAAATTATGCTTCTAGCGGCATCATTCATTACAGAAAATGAGGCACCTTGCATTGAGTCTGAAAAACTGCTACCTATGTGTCCCGTGGTTACATCTTTCTACACTGCAGACAAAATTCCCAGTCAAACTAAACCACCACCAGGAGATCCAGCAGCAAACACAGCCTCATCTAGGATCACCCCCGTGACTCTCACGGGGGCCTGCAGTACCACGAGGGGGGGCATTTCCGTGAGGGTGGCCAGTCTCACGAGAAGAAACGCCTGTACCCGTAGCACGGCTTTGAGTACTCTCATTTCCACGATTTTCTCTACTGCTCCTTTCTCTTTCCTGTCTCCGCTGCTTCTTCTCATTTCTCCTCATCTGCCTTCGCCTGTTTGAATCTTCATTATCTGGTCGCGGAAGGAAGACTGAGCCGCCGCCAACCCGCCAATGAAGGATGTACCAGGTCTTTTGGCTGCGTAAAGACGGATTCGACAAGCGAACAGTGACATGTGGAACTGGGTTGGGGTCATGGGTACTTGTAGTGGGATGAAGGCCGTTGCTAAACTGATTTAGTAAATATAAACTTTTCACTACACACACACACACACAATTCATTAACGCCCGGCGGCTGAGCCGAAAGGGCAACTATCACTGATCTAAATTTACATGCCTTAGCTAATGCTGTGCCTCCTTGGAGCCCATACAAAATTCCTTCCAGTGTATGTCATCTCAGAACTTTTCACTACAGTCATATTCGAAATCAGTTTTAGCTACACACTCTTGTGACTTGATTCCCCAACCCTAGCTCGAGACAACACTAATCTGCATTCGGTATAGCAGCCGATCACGATTTCCAATAATAGACCTTGTATTTTATATGACGCAAGTGGGACCCCGCTCTATGTATTTTACACGAAAATGCCATACACATTGTAATTCTGTGCCATCCTGTCCGACGCAAGCAGGAGGTCTTCTTCACTTATGCATCTCTCTCGAATTTCACGTTAGACCTCACAAGATAGCTCCGAGACCTCCCCCATCAAAGCTGCATCTCGTCCGTGATATGATAGAGAGCTAGTCACTTACCACTTCTCAGATGGCCGAGGAAGCTGAATGTGCCAGGCTACGATTATAAATATTCGTATAAACCTGCGGCAATTTGGAGTGTCCACGCACCCCCAACTCGAATAAGACGGAAACGGACCGTGACACCACTGATGATCGAAGCGCTCTGCGATCACCTATCTAAAAAACCCGGTCTATACCTCGATGAAATGGCTATTTTCCTCTGGGATGAATTCCGCACCCTAGTCACAACCTCTAGCATCAGAAGAGCCCTTGTCGCCAAAGATTGGTCCAAAAGAGCACTCAGCAGCAAGCCAGGGAGCAAAATGCCGATCTGCGAGAATGGAATCAACATAATTTATCGGACTTCTAGTCGTATTAGCTAGTTTACGTTGATAATCCGGATATGATAAAAGGGTTGGGTTCAGGCGGATAGGCTGGTCACCACTTAGTGTGTTCCCTATGCAAGTATCACAATTTCACCGCGACCAGCGATATCAGATGCTGCCTACGTATGCTTAGGATGGAATTGTTTTCTCACGTGTCTTCTGCGGTTCTATAGATGCCACGGTGCTCGAGGATTTTATAGCGCAGCTTCTTCAGCACTGCGGAAGATGGCCTGAACCTAAATCTGTTCTGGTTATAGACAATGCGTCGTTTCATCATTCAGAGCGTATGACGCAGATGTGTGTGGACGTAGGGGTTAAATTGGTCCATCCGCCACCCTACTCGCCGGACTTGAATCCGATTGAAGAGTTTTTCGCTGGGCTCAAAGCGTTCATTAAACGTAACTAGAGTTATTATGGAGTATATCCCGATCAAGGCTTTGATGCCTTTCTTAGATGGTATATTGATGTGGTGGGTCAAAAGAAGAGAGTGCTAGAGGCCATTTTCAGCTCGCCGGCTTGAAGATCGAAGAAGTCTCAGGAAGTTGCTAGGTACAATCTCGAATGGGAACAAAATTCTCCACGCGCGCGCGTCACGGCTTAAAGGCTGTTTGTCGTAGGATCACTCATTAGACAAAGGATCATGTATACTTTGTCTCGCTGAGGCTTTTGGAGACCGGACGGCTCAAACTCCAGTAACCTTTAAATCATACAGTTATACTTCAAATCTGATGAATATACCCCCGTAATTCCTTGAATTTCCCGAGCCCTGATCTAAAAAGCATCAGTCTAATCTCAGTGTTCTCCCCGGCAGTTCCTGCTGAATTGTATCTTAACGGCTGAAAAGCATATATTGGTCATCGTATAATATCGACTTGTGCTGCAAATATGCTAAGTAATATTGAAGCTTGACGATCCATCTCTCGCTTCTTCTGGTGCGCGGCCTTTGTCTTTGCCGATCTCGCTGTAAAATAGAAATACATGAAGGTGTCCAATATCCCTTATTGGGGAATATGGATTTAGTGCTAATGAGAGGTAAGTGGAATGAAGACGCTATAAGGCGACGTCCTATTACTGGACAGAGATGCAAGAGTATTTGAGCAGAAAGGCTCGGAAACCTGGAATTGTTTGTAATGTCGCACCGCTTTCTGCTCGTTCTGCCGTTAGTCGGCGTGCGTCGGATTGGGACTCCTATGGAGAAAACTTTGATCTCGCTCGGTGACCGGAGAGTTTGCCAGAACCTCCGCGGTGTCTCAACGATGAATACTGCCAGCTCTTTGTCTACTGACTCCCCTCCTCTGCTCCGAGTACCGGCGCTCAATTCCGTAATTCTGAGGATGCTTTTCTCCAGGGAACCGGGGTGGTCCACCAAGACTAGCCAGAACGGCTTTATTGTCGGCTGTCATATCATCCAGTACACCGATCTCGTCTTGCGAAAACCATTTAGGAATGACCCAGACTCGAAATGGAATTAGAGCGATGATCAACACAGGAAAGCCTGGCAAAGGTGGAAATCTATTAGTCGCTTTGGAGAGGCGCAAGGGGAGGAAGGATCACACCTATAGCAGCGATTGTCTCGGAGATGGCGACGCAGGAAGCGATTCCAGTGAGCTGACACACAATCCACAGAAGAATCTTGCGGTTCCGCACCTTCAGAAGAGGTTCGTCACGCTGTATGAAACGATTCTCTAGCATTAAGTGAATCGCTTTTTGCATGATGCCGCTGGATCCAACGGAACCCCATCCGACAATAACGAAAACGCCTGCGAAGACCGCAGCAGGCATAGTGTGGAGGACTATCAGGATGGGGCCCGTCATAGTACCAATAATTGCTAGCCCCATGACAAAATGCGACACACGCTGTTCTACCACCGCAGTGGCCTTGACTATCGAGCGGCGAATTTCGGAACCTTCTCCTTCCTCGGTTGGCACAATGCAAAGATCTGTCTCATAAACTGTCAAGGAATCTGTGTGCACAGGTGCCTGGCTCAGTATATTAGCACTAAGTGAATAGGTTTGAAAGCTGGAGGGGTTGCTTTCATACCTGTGGAACCAATCCATTAGGGAACGGAATACCAATGATGCCCGAAATAAATGTCGTGCACCCAAGGAGGAAGAAGTCCCAATGGAACCCCGCGGGCTTCTTTAGTGGAAAGTGCCGCGCCTGTGCCGTCAGACTGCTGACGTTCTAGCTATAAGTTAGCGCTGTCGGCAGGAGCAGCTTCGTTTAAGGGAACGGGATCCATACATGATCATAGTAGAAGAGCAACATGAGAAGGAAGCCAAACGGCAGCGCTGCAAAAACCCATTTCGCGTCCAGTTCCCAAAACTGAATTAGCCAGCCCCGTGCCTGCGTTGGATAAAATGCCTTGCTGATGGGAACACGGGATATATTCGCCGATTTCAGCGGACCGGGGATGTGTGAAAATCCCACCCAGAAAATTGTGCCGATCTAGAAGGAACAAAAGACGATGAGTGTACGTGATTCCGGGTGGTGGTCAGGCGTGCTTGAAGCAAACATACCACATATGCATAATCCGCCAGCAATCCCCGAAAAGCAGGCTTCCAGACATTACTTGATCCAATGGTCTCCAGGCTGTAAATAGTAAGGAAATAGAGGATTGCGATCATACAACTCATAAAACCAGCGACAGGTCCTTTGCTTGTGAACTCATTGATAAGCTCCTCCACGCCCTTGCCTAGCTTCCGGGTTAGTTATAGTTCTTCCTGGCATTCAAAAGGAGGGAGACAGGCATGACAGACTGATGTAAATGGTTCCGACATAAAAGCCGAATGTCTCGCTCGAGAAATCCGTCACATAGCGCATATAATCACACATGTTGCATAATGCAACGATCCAGTGGAAGATTGCGCCCCAGATGCCAACCCAACACATAAATTCGGGGTAAATTGAGGGCTCATAGATCTGTACGATGTCATATACGGTGTAGTTGAACAAAGAGATCAACCCCGTAATGCCGACGATGGTCAAGGGCTGCGCTGCAAGGATACTGAACACCATCGCCGCCAGGGCGGAAGAGAAAAGCGCTTCGTTGATACCGTAGAACTGTCCAGTTCTCCGGTGCATATCCAGCGTGTACGCTATGGCCGGGAGTATGCTAGAGAACAGGTGTTAGCCTTTTGAGTTTGGCCGAGAGCTTGGGCAAACTCACTTCACGAAGTACATGCGAATGATGCTCGCGACGGTTCTGTACGTCCACGCATCTCGGATATCGCTCCAGTAATAAGGAAGGCGTCTCCGAACATCATGATAAATTCCCCTCCCAATTCGAAGGATGCGCACGCTCTTCCACCCGGTTAGGTTGTCGTAAGAATATGAAACAGCTGACTTCTCCCTTGTCAGAGACGGAGAAGGCCCGGGGTTGTCTGTCGCTGATGACATATCGGACAGCTGTCCTTTAAGGGGGCCTGTCTTATCGATAAGGCAGATAGGAAAGGAGGACGTGGAAGAGAAAGAAAGTAAAAACAAAAGAAAAAGAGCAGTGCGGTGAGCGGAGAGAGAACGAAATTTATTTGAATTGGAACCGGATTCCACTAGGGTGGCTCGCGCATTAGTCGCTAGACGGGTGGCCCAAAGAATGTTCTAAGCGAGTCCACCCAGATCTGAGGTTCTATAAGGGTGCGAGATTCGTTCTCATTTGCAGGCGACTCTAAAAGCCTGACATTTTCGGCCCCTATAATCCGTTGTTTTACGTCGTCCACAATCTTCGTTACTGCTCATCACGAAGCCCAGCCGGCCTCGCTAGCCGATGTTGTGTAGATGACATGTTCCTCCTACAACATAGTACTTTCCCTCGTGGTTTCAGTGTTGGATGGCAAAACCCGACCAACGAAGCACCCGGCCCCAATATCCATCGCGTCATCGGAAGCCCGTGCCAAGCCCCTAGTGGGCCCATTTGGCCTATTCGCTGAGTCAGCGATTCTGCCCGGGCAGAACGTGTCGGGGTGAAGACGCAGCAATTCACCCTCCTCCCCCCATCGTGCAACACAAACCTTGCTGAGAATGCATCCGATCGTGCGACACCCGGTCGTCACGAAGTTAGCAGAGCTATTTGAGAATGCTGATTTTTCTACTCAACTCGGCTCCGCATTGGCTTCTTTCGGCCAACACGATGGAGTCTACGTGCGTATTGACGCAGTAATATGCGCTTCAAATAGTATCACGTCAAATGCCACCGAGGATGGTGACAAGTCGCTCCCCCTGGTATGAAGTAATTGGGAGGCCCTATGTAAGGAATCTCCGGCTAACGATAACGTCATTCCCCTTTAGGGATGGTTGAGCATGGAAAAGAATCGCTCCTTGACCATAACGCCGAGTCAGGCTGCTTGCCCCAAGCCCGCAGCACCGGTGAGTGTTCCAGCAAGAGGCAGGTGAAAACCGAACACTGATATTCTTCTGTAGACTAGCTCCGATTCGCAATCCAGTCATTGTGCCGGCCCAGTGACGCTCCGGTCCACATCCAGGAACGACCTCGACAAGCCCAGACACAAGACCGTCAGTGGGCTGCGACCATCAAAGTCATCTGCCATAGCAGTGGTGACACAGGATTCGGGTTCCGATAGTGATGCAGATGCTGCGGGTTGTCTGCGAGCATCTAATGTTAGAATCGAGCCGTCAGTCCGGCAATTTCACAGCGATACCCGCTTTCCTCAGCGCAAGAAGCCCATGAAAAGCACGACTCCGCCCACTTTACAGCCTTCGACCATAGATAAGCTCATTTCAGGAATCTGGCGACAGGTGCACTCTCCAATCACCCTGAGCGTTTCGTTTCCGGTGCATTTCCCCATGACTATTGGTCGTTATGATCTACCATCGCTGACTGAAGTACAGGATCGCAGGCCCGAGTTCAATCTCCGAACTGGTGTTAGTCAATCAGTACGTGCATCATGTGGGGAAGTGATCTTGCGCTCTCCTAATCACAGCGCTTATAGGTTTTCCAAGCAATCAATGGTCTATGCAAAATGTACTATGACCAGAGCCGGTCATCGCGGGCTTTGGAACTGGTAGTGCAGGCTTACTGGGTGGAGTGTTTCGAAGCACGAATTGCATCCATTCGTCTCGATAACCCGAGCTATACGAACCTCGAAGCTCGAATGGCAGCCCTGAAAGAAGCTTGCAACACACTAGGCTGGCAGGAAAAAGATCTCAGAAACAAGATGTATGCCCCTTTGCGCTTCCCATCTCAACTGCCCCTTCCCATACAGTGGCAGAACTCAAGTGTTAATTGTTGCCCAGGGCTGTTTGGCGTGGCTACAAAGAAATAAAAGATGCTGGGGGCTGGGCTAGCTTGATCTTTGCCGGGTCCGGGGTTTATCGCTTCTGCAAATATAGGATCGGCTTTGACAACGGCCTTACTACTCGGTTGCGCCACATCGCTTTTAGTCTTGAAGTTGCGGCCGATACTCTCCATCCTGGTTGGCGAGACCTTCTCCGTGTCATTAGCCTAAATGAGCCATGTCGATATTCCGGCCACCCTCATGAATGGGTCACAGTTGATACTGGGCCAGCACTGCCACTCAAAAGCACATACTCTCACATGGTATTACCCTATGGCTTCAATTACGAATTCGTGGATGACTGTGTGGTCGACCGAGATGTGTTTGGGGAAGATGACCCTAGACGAGGGCTAGGCATAGGCCCTGATATTTGCCAAACGTGTAAGGAACGGCAGTCTGATGATGTGATCCGCAACCACTGTTCTTGTTTCCCGTCTTTGTTTGGTGGTGTTCGTCATCCTCCTCCCGTCCAATTATATCACACTGCTAGTGGGAAGAACAATGGGGTGATCGCCCGCTGCGTACGTTGCAAGAAACCCTTCTCGTCTTTTTATAGTCTCGACTTTGGTAAAATCTTCACTAACTTTAAGAAGCCGTTCGAACGAGGCACGGCTATTGCCGAATTTGTCGGTCTCGTCACTTACGGAATTGACGGTCTAGACGTGATGATGGGCGGAACCCAAGAAAGACCGTATCAGATCTTCCAAGGCCAAAAGGGCAATTTCACTCGTTTTATCAACCACTCGTGTCGCCCCAATAGCCAATTCCAGAAGTTCTATTGGTGCGGGATAGAACGCATACTTGTGGTCTCTCGCGGAGTGCCCGCTGGCAGTGAAATAACAGTCGATTATTCGGATTTCTACTGGGGGAAGCTTCAGAAGAACTGTTTATGTGGGGAGTCCGGCTGCCGTTTTGCTCATCGGGTTGAGACTGAGGCGACGAGCTTGCCCTCTCTGCAAGAGGCATGATGTTGCATGTATATTTTCAGGGTGTCCAAATGTCAGTGGTCTTATTGACTGCCCACAACTAACTCCAGTTGAACGTTTTGACTATGTTACCCCAGGCCATTATATGGTCGTAAGCCTGTTGTTTCCAGCTTCTTCAGCCACTTAAGACGTCGGGAAGAACGGGCTCTATATCGTACATCATAAATGAGATACAGATTGGAGAGGGCTGGGGAGCGGATTATCGGAACCATATCGGACGATTCGGCGCTGTATAGCAGTCAATTATTGCCCAAGAAAGAAGAAAACAGGGAAGGGCATGCATGTAGCAGGTGTACTGTATAGCAGTTTCGTGTGGAGTACATGCTTCGCAGCCCTACCAACGTCATGGTAGAGTACGGGATCCACCTTAAGAAGCGAGAATCTACGCCCATGCTACCTTTAGATCACTGATTCAGATTGAGTTCAGATAGTTCACCATACATTCCCCTGCACTACTGGGGCCAGCGACTGTCAAGAGGACTAATGAGCTCTAAATCGCGCCAACAGTAAAGAGCTTGTTCGACATTAGCTGGCTAGCACTCGAATATTCCTGCTTTGCCGAACGCACACCAATGCCATCTCCACAAGTGCTACGAAGACGATAATCTGCTCAAAATTTCGATGGGTATTCCCCTCAATATGACGGCAACGTAGCCCCACAGTAAGATAAGCGCCTTTCTGCTGCGCGGGAAGGAGTTCAAATTTCAACTGGAGCATTTGGCCAGCAACCAACAATCTGGTTACACAAATCAACACACGAAAAATGCACGAAAAATGGAGTATTGCAGTACTATAGCGGCGCCAAAATGGTCCGAGAAAAATCCAGAACGCTTAAATGCTCCAACGCCAAAACAGCTTATTGCTAGATAAATAAGAATTGATTTCTTCACATTCTGGACCCAGCGCCGAATGTCCTCTACGAAACGTCGAGCAATACCCATCTTTATGCCCTTGCCGATAAAGAACTCCGGGTCTTGATCCTTGTAAACTTACTCAAGGTCAAGACCATTCTCGAGCATCACGTCACAGATTTCCCGAAATGCAGCCTTCAGGGTGTCATCAGTGACATTTGACACCTACCATTCACCATGTTCCTTAACCAGTTCGTCCTTAGGGCCAGGGATCTCGAGCAGGCTTAGCGACTGCAAGGACTGCAAGTTAACAGAAGCCTGTGCAGCCGAAATATCTAACACAGATGCGGAAGACTACGAGGACAGGACATTGATATTAATAGGAGGATACGGTGCTGCTCCATTTCCAGTGATAAGTCCTCCTTTCCGATTATTCTTCCATATGTAACTCTTCGCATACCCGTTTCTGGCACATCCTTACGGCCGTTTAACACCCCACCTTTTTCGGCGTGGGTGACGAGACGCTTCAGATAATGAGTGTTCAGTTAGTAATGCTTTTTCCCATTGGTTCTACCCAGCAATATAGGCCCAACGGGCAAGTCGAGGAAGCGCATCGTATCAGACTGTAGACGCTGTGCCAGATCGGTTTTTCCCCAGAAGCATCCTGTTCGGCATCAAGCTGGGCGTCTTTTCATCGAGCATTCTCTTCGTGACAGAGGATTTCCCTCTTTTCACTCCTTTTCGACCAGTAGCTGGAGGAGAGTGACGATCGTCTACGTAATTGATACTAATCTTCAGCGTGAGCTCTTTACCCCGGGAGAATAGACCTAACCACATCAGAAGTAGCTTCTCGATGGCGGTCTAAATAGTGTCGGTATCATCAAATCGTTTAGTCAAATTGCGCTGCGGTCGGTCGTTCACTAAAACGACAATAGCAGTGTTATCAGCTCTCACCCGACGATGACGGGCAATTTTCCGTCGAAGAACTTTCTCTAGTTTTTTCTCCAGGCAAGAGAGAAAGAAAAAAGAACCTTGCCAGATTGTAAGGATTCTCCATTTGTTCGGTCTGTTTGCAAGAAGGATTCCATCGGTTTCTTCAAGAAATTACAGTATTATAACAATGACTCATTTGTAGTTACCAGTGGATACAATACAGCCCTACAGGGATTACTAGGGGAAGTGCTAAATTTAGATTAGCGTGTCTCGAGTTAGGGTTCGGGAATTAAGTCGCAAGAGTGTGAAGTTAAAACTGATTTCGAATATGACTGTATGGCAGCCGACCAATTTCGGACGTACTGTATCATTTTACGATACCTATTATTAAGTCCACTGGCTATTGAGGAATCCCCCCTGGAATTGAACGGTCGTATCGTGAGCGACGCGAGGAAACAAAATGGCGGGACGGGCCGAGACGCGAACCCCTGAGCCGCCCGACCGCGACGAACACGAAGATTCACCTCCACGATTGGCGAGGCCGAGACGCACCACACGGCCACCGAATAACTATGCTCGAGAGCAAGAGATCGACAACGACCAGAGAACGACACGCTCTCAGCTGAGGAAGAAAACGCAAGACAAGCGAGCAACTCCACACGATGCGGCGACTTCGGACGACTCTGCGACGGAGAGCGAGGACCTCAACACCGCCTCCCTCGTCAAAGAGCTGATCAAACTCAGGCGAGAAATCAGACGACGTGATGAATCGCACAAGGAGGAACTTCAGAAAGTGAAAGAAGAATTTAGCGCCGCCCTCGCCGAGGTCCGACACGAGCTACAGACCCTGACAGAAAGACCTCAGACGCCGCAATCCCACACCGACGCATGCGCTCAGAACAGCCACGATGAGATTCTCCGCGAGATTCAATCTCTGCGCGAGACCATCAGTCCTTTCGTTCCCACTGGATCCCCGTCCTATGCAGACGTTGCCCGTACTCCTCCACTTAGTCACCCGAGCAACATTCGCACCCTCTCCTCGAATACGACCCCAACCACGTTGACCGACACGTTATATTGCACGGTAGACACGTCAAAGATGGCAGAAAAAGCAAACGAGAAGACATCCGCAGGCTCAATTCGGGCGGCGGTCGAGACAGAGATTCGAACCATGGACGGCCACACGCACTGGCGCTGTCGCGCTGTCACCGTGGACCCGAAGAACACCAACCGAATCAGAATAGCGTGCCGTGATGCAGACGAGCACCAGATGGTCAAGAAAGTGGCAGAAGCCAAGATCGGCGCGGGAGCCCGGGTGCTCCGGGACGAGCTCTACCCGATCAAAGTCGACAACGTAAACAGGACCGCCGTGCTGAATGAGAAGGACGAGATTCGAGCCGGAGCCGCAGCAGCCTTCAGCGAAGAGAATGAAGCCACCGTGGCCAAGATTGCATGGCTTAGCAAAAAGGATAATGCGAAGGCATATGGATCCATGGTTGTGTATCTGACGAAGGGCGCCGACGCACGGAGGCTCCTGGCTGACGGATTCTTTCACGTTGGAGGGGAATCTGGTGTGACCAGTCCCTTCGAATACCGACCTCGACCGATGCAATGCTACAACTGCCAAGACGTGGGCCACAAGGCATTCCAGTGCAAGGGCGTCCAGAGATGTGCAAAGTGCGCCGCGGAGGGCCACCGCCATAGTAGCTGCGACCAGACAGTTCCGAAGTGCGTTCCATGTGGAGGCCCGCATGAATCGTTCAGCAGGAATTGCCGGAAGCTCTATCCATCCCCGCATGAATAAAAGCGTCCGAATCATTCAACTGAATGTGAGGAAACAGGGAGCAGTGCATGACAGTTTGATGAACGATGAAACGATACAGGACGCAGTGGCACTAGCGATTCAAGAGCCCCAAGCGAGGAGAATCCAAGGCCGACTCTTGACAACCCCGATGGGACATCATAAATGGACGAAACTGGTTCCCTCTACCTGGAGGGAAGGCCGATGGGCAATCCGAAGTATGCTCTGGATCAATAGAGAGGTGGAAGCTGAGCAAGTGTCGATTGAGTCGCCGGATCTGACCGCGGCGGTCATCCGCCTCCCGGAGCGCCTGGTATTTATGGCATCAGTCTACGTGGAGGGAGGAGATGCCGCGGCATTGATCGAGACATGCGATCACCTACGAAAAGCGATCGCAGGGGTACGGCGGGACACAGGCACAGCGTTGGAGATCATCATTGTGGGAGATTTTAACCGTCATGATCAACTCTGGGGAGGAGACGACGTGTCTTTGGCAAGACAAGGTGAAGCGGACCCAATCATCGACTTCATGAATGAATTTGCACTTAGCAGTCTACTGAAACGAGGTACAAAAACATGGCATGGCGCAGGACAGAGTGGGGACTGCGAGTCCACGATCGACCTCGTCCTGGCCTCGGAAAACCTAACAAACTCCATGGTTAAGTGTGCCATACTTGGGACAGAGCATGGGTCGGATCACTGCACCATTGAGACCGTATTCGATGCCTCATGGTCGCCCCCAAAGCATCCGGAACGACTCCTGCTGAAAAACGCTCCATGGAAAGAGATCAATGTTAGGATTGCGAACACCCTGGCCGCCACTCCGTTGGAGGGCACCGTGCAGCAGAAAACCGATCGACTCATGTCCGCGGTCTGGGACGCGGTGCATGCCTTGACCCCAAAGGCCAGACCGTCACCACACGCAAAGCGATGGTGGACAGATGACTTGACACAGCTCCGTCAAATATACACATACTGGAGAAATCACGCCCGCTCGGAGCGACGGGCGGGACGAAGGGTACCCCATCTAGAAGAGATGGCCCAAGGCGCAGCGAAGCAATACCACGATGCCATCCGGCAACAAAAGAAAAAGCACTGGAATGAATTCCTCGCGGACAACGATAACATCTGGAAAGCCGCTAAATACCTAAACTCGGGAGATGACGCAGCGTTTGGGAAGGTCCCGCAGCTCCTGAGAGCAGACGGAACGACCACCACGGATCACAAGGGGCAAGCAAAAGAATTGCTGACCGCATTCTTCCCGCCTCTGCCGGAGATTATTGACGATGAAGGGACGAGGCCAGAAAGAGCACCGGTAGAAATGCCAGCTATCACAATGGAGGTGGAGCGGCAACTGTTGGCGGCGAAGTCTTGGAAAGCGCCTGGCGAAGACGGCCGGTGATAGTCTGGAAGATGACATGGCCCACGGTCAAAAACAGGGTTCTTGATCTATTCCAAGCATCGCTGGAAGGAGGCACGTTGCCACGGCAGTGGAGACACGCGAAAATCGTACCGCTCAAAAAGCCGAATAAAGAAAATTATAGCATTGCCAAAGCATGGAGACCAATTTCACTCCTCGCGACGCTGGGCAAGATACTAGAATCAGTGATTGCGGAAAGGATCTCGCACGCGGTGGAGACTCACGGTCTGCTTCCAACCAGCCACTTCGGAGCCCGAAAGCAGCGGTCGGCGGAGCAAGCACTCGTGTTTTTGCAAGAGCAAATCTACACAGCGTGGCGCGGCCGACGGGTACTGAGCTTGATCAGCTTTGATGTCAAAGGAGCCTACAACGGAGTGTGCAAAGAACGACTGCTCCAGAGGATGAAAGCGCGAGGTATACCGGAGGGTCTGCTTCGGTGGGTGGAAGCGTTCTGCTCGGAACGAACAGCGACCATTCAAATCAACGGGCAATTGTCTGAGGTCCAGAGCCTGCCACAGGCTGGGCTGCCGCAGGGCTCGCCGCTGTCGCCGATCCTGTTCCTCTTCTTTAACGCAGACCTCGTACAACGACAGATCGACAGCCGGGGAGGAGCAATCGCGTTCGTGGATGATTTCACCGCATGGGTGACCGGACCAACTGCGCAGAGTAATCGGGAGGGCATTGAAGCAATTATTGCTGAAGCGCTCGATTGGGAGAAAAGGAGCGGAGCCACTTTTGAGGCAGACAAAACAGCCATCATACACTTCGCTCCTAAGGTTCACAAAACGGACCAGGAGCCTTTCACTATCAAGGGACAGACCGTGGTGCCTAGAGACCATGTCAAGATCTTGGGCGTTCTCATGGACACGAGGCTCAAGTACAAGGAACATATCGCGAGGGCAGCGTCCAAAGGCTTGGAGGCAGCGATGGAGCTTCGGCGACTTCGCGGTCTAACCCCAGCAACTGCACGCCAGCTATTCACATCGACGGTGGCCCCGGTGGTAGACTACGCTTCTACCGTCTGGATGCATACGTGCAAAGACAAGGTCATCGGACCGATCAACCGAGTCCAAAGGGTGGGAGCGCAAGCAATTGTGGGGACATTTCTCACAGTTGCGACCAGCGTAGCGGAGGCAGAGGCTCACATTGCTACGGCACAACGCCGTTTCTGGAGGCGGGCCGTGAAAATGTGGACGGACATTCACACCCTTCCAGAAACCCACCCGCTCCGCAGGAGTACAGCCTGCATGAAGAAGTTCAGGAGATACCACCGTTCGCCGCTGTACCAGGTAGCGGACGCGCTGAAAAACATTGAGATGGAAACTCTGAAAATCATCAATCCGTTCGTGTTAGCACCATGGGAGACTCGCATACAGAGCGATGTTGAAGCAATGCCGGACTCGCACACCGTACCGGGCGGATCATTGCAAGTTACAGTCAGCAGTTCAGCACGAAATAGCCTCGTGGGATTTGGCGTGGCGATCGAGAAACAGCCACCTCGATATCGGAAGCTGAAACTAAAGACCTTTTCCACGACACTAGGCCCAAGATTAGAGCAAAGCCCATTCTCCGCGGAGCTAGCAGCACTGGCACACACATTGAACATGCTAGTGGGACTGAAAGACTACAGGATCACGCTGCTCACGAGCAACAAAGCAGCGGCCCTCACGATGAGGAATCCTCGGCAGCAGTCGGGCCAGGAGTTCGTCTGCCAATCGTATAAGTTGAAGAGGCTGCGGAGAAACGGAAATCACATCAATATCTTCTGGGTCCCTACTAGCGCGGACAATAAACTGCTAGGTCTGGCCAAAGAGCAGGCCAGGAGTGCGACCCAGAAAGATGCCGTCCCCCAAGAATCGGTCCCTAGGATGAAGTCGACAACACTGAAGATCGCTCGGTCTCAAGCAGCTCCCAACAATGACTTACCGGAGAACGTAGGAAGACACGTGAAACGAGTCGATGCAGCACTGCCAGGCAAACACACTCAACAGCTGTATGATCGATTATCGTGGAAGGAAGCGAGCGCGCTGGCCCAACTCCGGACTGGCATGGCCAGACTCAATAGCTATCTCTACCGCATCAGCGTTGCAGACACGGACCAGTGTGCATGTGGACAAGCAAGAGAGACGGTGGAACACTTCCTCTTTCGATGTCGGAAGTGGACCACACAACGAACAGCACTCCTGCAATGTAGCCAAAATCACCGGGGCAATCTCTCCTTCTGTCTGGGAGGGAAATCGCCCTCTGATAGTCCGCAATGGACGCCAAACTTGGAAGCCGTGCGAGCCTCAATACGATTCGCGATCTCCACGGGCCGACTCGACGCCACTTAACCACGCCGACCAACACATTGACACCCTCCCCCTCGCCAACCTACTCCTACCACCTTGTGCCAAAGATGGTGGACGCGCTTCAACTGCCGAAGATAGGATGTTGAACACTTGAAGAAGCGCCTTCAAGCCAGTCTACTAACCAACTTACTAACCCACAAGGATCCCTATGATATTGACAGCTGAGAGGATATATACTGCAAGGATCGATGTATGGGCTCGAAGGAGACACAGCAGATGCATATTAGGACGTGTATCGATAGACTAGCTTTAGTTGCCCTTTCGGCTCAGCCGCCGGGCGTTAATGAATTGTGTGTGTGTGTGTGTGTGTGTATCATTTTACGCCTGCCTTGTATCGCCGCTTCCATATGTGACTTGCACTTGTACGGGTCCTGGTCAAAGCTTATGCATGACCGATCACATCCTAACCATCAGCTGCCGACACGTGTACCTGCGAGGGCGCCTAAGAAACTGGTCACTTGCAAGGCAGCTTCAACGCATGTGGAACAAATTCCTGTGAACTTATGGGATGGATTTATACCCCGTCTTCTAAGTCCTTGGCCCCTCGGGTTGTTTGTCTCGGTGGTCTATCGTTGGTTCAACACCCATCAATTAACGTAGGTGGAAAGCGAGTGGGCCACCTACGTTAGGTGGCTGTTGTAGGGGTCGTAACAGAACGGTGTTTGAACCATCAGTTTTTCACCGTTTTTGCGCCCTCTGTCTTAAACACTCGAATTTGAAAATTTAATTGCTGTTTCACCGTCCGCCACTCTGTCCTGTTGACCTTCGCGTTGAACTTACAATTAAAGAACTCTTTATGTCTCTAGGTCAGTTGCATTTAATTCGATTAACCAGCGCAATGATAAAGATCGTTGTCAATCGATGAGTATCAACGGTATCAATGACGGAAATCGATCAATGGGGACGGCTCCCTCGATCAGTATATTAGTATATTGCATGGTTGATCGGAAAAGCAGCTAGCTAGGTTCAGAACAAAACAAGACAGGTAAATCCAATTATGTGCGGCGGCGTTGAAAAATTGAGGGGCCGCCAATTTTTGATGGCGTTGGAATCCGATCCATTGTAGATGCCGAGTAAGGAAACACGAGCCCCTCAAGGCATAGTGTTATGAAAATCGAGTTGGTTAGATTATCCTAGTATATGTTGATCATTGTATATGTGATTAACGTTGAGTAAGAATCAACAGATGTTGACCGATCGTGTTGGTGATATTGCCTTATTGCTTTTATTTATTGCACTGCCGTTGGGCAAAACTAGCTAGCTGTTGGTCACCACTTCAGCAGCGGATAGCGTTGATCAACTCCCATTGGCTCCATGGTCTCTACACGTATTGATGTCCGTGCATTCCCTAATACCCTACCACCCCCTTAAAGTCTATCGATAATTTTTTTTTTCCACCTTGCTCAAATGGTAAAATTGTAAGATGCCACTTTTGAGGACCCTATCAGCGGGGAAAGATCACATCTAAACTCAGATGTATTTGACTGGTGAGCCGGTTCCATGAATGAAAGCTTTCCTCGTCGAGGCGTTTGTGTATACAAGACAAGTATGTAAACCATGGCCAGAGAGAGGAGAGGCTAGCTGGCGATCTTGCCAGATCGCCTAATCTACGAAACAACTCGATAGGGTTCTATAGCACTACGGTAATATAACGGTAAACTATTGATAATAAAAACAACCAATACGATGACCGTTCTGCCAGAATCATTCGGCGTCATTAAGGCGGGGCACATCACATGATCGTATCGGATAATCGATACGGTCACATGTTTTCTATTTTTATCGTTGAGGCCGTTCCATTTCTGATTGCTAGGTCCAGTGATCGCAACTGAATCTGAATGTCGGAGAACCAATACTGTCGACTGCTGACCAAAAAAGATAAGGGCCCCTCAACTATTACTCTACAGGATTTGACAATCACATTGCTCACCAATTGCGAGATCCTCTAGGAGTGATCGGACCCTCCTGATCAGAACAAGTGGGGTGAACAAAAAAGGTGTTGCAGGCTGATCGTCTCGGCCTCAGTGAATCAGTCATTGTAAAGTGGTCTTCGAAATCTTAAATGTGTACCGTTTAAGGATCCCTACACATGCTGAAACGGCACGATATTGTCTTCGCCACGGTTTTCCTTCTATCAGGAAAAGAAAATCATGGTCTTTTATATGTTCGGAGCTTATAAATTTCCTTCCATACATCTCTAGGACTTTTTTATATTCAGCTCTTTTCTATGAACGGGCCTCTATAATTACGCTCATTCCCTACGCTTTCTGCCTCCAGGCGCGTTCTTTTGTAATACCTTCCTAGAGCAAAGCAACTGCTCGCAATGGCTGTGTTGAACTCAATGCGTGGATTTTCGAAGAGGAAAATGAAGCGCCAAAAGCAGTATCGTCGCAGGACAAGCCTGATGAAAAAGGCCTACGAATATAGCAAGATGTGTGACGCAGATGTATGCGTAGGTATGCGCCTCCGGGAAACGGGCCAAGTCTATATTCTGTCCTCTGATACCACTGGATTCTGGGCATTTGTCAGATCTCAATTAGTATGTTGTCTAATCTCGACCATTTTGAATATGACTGACTATCCAGAGCTCTCATTACCCAGCTCCGAAGTTGATTACGGATCGGGACCTAGAGGAGGCTAGGGATGACGCAAATATTACTATCGGACAATGAGTGGTTCACATTCTCTTTGATTCTTTATCAACGGAAACCGCGGTTCTATGTCTAGTTTAAGATAATGTCATTAAGGTCCCATGGAGAAGCCTTCATCCAAATCACTTAAGCGCCTTTCGGTGAAGCACAAAGGTGGTCAGTCGTAGATCTAATAAGCCAATGATGCTTCTCCTCAGGCTGCGGTGGTACGAGGTGCGACACCCAAGGCCTCCGTGGTGCCGCTTGGTAGGGGCTGATAATAATAAGTTGCCTTAGGGATAGTGGTCTCAAATTCTGATCACTCTTTCATGTAGATTGCTGTTTTCTCGAGCTCTTGTGGGAGAGTCCGCAAGAAACGCACGGTTAATCCGGCTCTAATCATGGGACATTGGGAGGTTGCGCTGCTGAAGGTAACTCTTTCATCCGTCAAACCATGCGGAAGCGCTGAAGCTCACTAGTGCCAATCTAACCGAAAAAGGCTTAGCCATCATCCGCCGAGAGATCTCCGTAGGCTTTCCACCATCCGTGCTGCGGCGACCACGTACCTCTCGCATCCTGACATGTATCCAATCTCAGAATAGGTTCTTCATCAATAGGAATTAAAGGTCAGCACGTCGTAGTCTATTAGCACTTGACCTTCATGGGAATCTAGAGACACAACCTACCTTAGTACTTACCTAGAGACTCTTGGGTCTTATGATTTGATTGACCGGCAGGGCAGCTTGTTCCTCTTGTTTCAGAGAACTTCAGCGCCGAGGACGTTGTTCTCAGCCTCCTGTGGTATAAAAAGGTCTACTCTTAATAACATGCCTACCCTATCCTCCAGCCTTTTCTCCGCTACACACATTGTCTATCCTTCATAGTAGGATGGACATTGTAACCATCTATGCGATTGCCGCTGGCGGCATTTTTGTCGCATTCTTCTTTATCCAGACTTTGTCTAGCGTGACAATCTGGGCAGATTTCTTTCGTGTCTTTGTGTCACGACACCTGATGCTCCCTTTTGTCATTCGAAGGCATCGTCTCTGGGGCCCATGGAATAGAGCTGGCATGCTACTGCATCTGACATATGTCGCAGTCAATCTCTTGCTTATTTTCTTCAAAATAAAGTCTTTGGTTGGGGCTGGCCGCCGGGCTGGAGAGTTGGCTCTCGTCAACTTGGTGTTCCCTTTGTCTGCCATCCATCTAAGCTACCTGGCTGATATTCTAGGTATCACATGGAAGACTTGTCGCAAGATACATCGCGCTACCGGTTGGATGGCTGTTTTTCTGCTATCGTTTCATATAATAGTGGCGTTTCAGACACAGGCCTTTACATTCCCTCTTCGGGAAGTACGAAACCTCTTTACCCTACTTGTACGTATAGCCTCCGATATTCAATACTACACCTCGGCTGAACTGACGTGCAATAGGCTGCAATTTCACTAGGCCTGCTTGTCCTGCTTTCTCTCCCATCGGTTCGACGGTTGTCTTACGAAATCTTCCTCCGAGCACATCAGGTGCTCGCTGGGCTCTTTGTCTACGGCATTTGGCAACACCGCCCCTCCCACAGCCATTCCTCAGAAATATATCTCTTGGTTGCTTTAGGTGTCTTTGGACTGTCTCTACTCTCACAGAGTATGGTCCTCCTCTATCGAAACGGCCTGCTCTCGGGCCGCGGCACTCCCAGGGCCATCGTCTCATTTAGCATGAGCGATGCTGAGGAAGGTACTGTGGTGAACGCTGTACATATCCGGGTACTCTTACCTCGACCTATGAGAGTGGAAGCTGGTCAATATATCAATCTCTGGATGCCGTCGGTCAGTCTATGTTCGTGGATGCAAACACATCCATTCACCATCATGTCGTGGTCCAAAGGTAAGCAGAACACCCTGGAGTTGCTGGTAAAGCCACGTAGTGGCTTAACTGCGAACCTTGCCCGTTATGCACGCATTGACGGGGGGAGCTCCATTTCTTTCCTGGCTTTGTTCACTGGCCCTCATGGGGTTGGTGAAGAAGTTGGGCACTGCGAAACTATACTATTGCTTGCCAGCGGATCTGGTATCGCCGGGGCCATACCACACTTGAAGAAAACGATCTACGGCTACAACACTTGCACCTCCCAGATCCGTCGGCTACATTTGGTGTGGCAGGTAGAATCAATTGGCGAGATGAGCGCAGCTCTGATTCTGCTGAACAACCTCTTGAAGGATGATATCATGGATAGCGGCTATGTGGGTACTGGGTCAACGCGAGAGATTCTGTTCGAGGCTGATGATATCCATTCTAGATACTGCATATCTCCATTTATGTCAGAAACGGCCTTGGCCATAAAAGGCTGCCTTTTGGTCAGCACGAACGAGTCTACCTATACCAGGGGGTACCGGATTACCAGAGCATAATCTCACTCGAAGCCAGCGGTACCCAGATCGAAAGACTGCCGAACATGTGGGACGAGCAAGGCCGGATGCTGATCCTAGGTAAGCTGTCCAGATTGTACATGTGGAGTACGGCTAACTTTCCTGGCAAGTCTCGGCAAAGGACGAGCTTCGGGATCGCATACGGGAAGTAGTACGAGAATACCTCCATAATGGGGTAAAACTTTCCGAGTTGGAGTACCAGCCCAGTGATTGAGAAGTTAAGTCGTTGATAACGCGGGAAATCATGGTTGGAGAGCTAGCGAATTGAAATTAAGGCCACGGAATTATCGAGACGTTGGTCAGAAGTAAAGAGAATGTCATGGAAACGTGAAACTGGACTGTAATTTTTGACATCCTATACGTATTCTGGAAGCATCGCTGTATTGTTGTGTCCCCTCTGATCTGCAAGGAACCGTTAGGGGTGCGTGGAGCTGGTGGGGTTGTCGTAATCTATTTTAGATTTCCGGCTCAGGACCACGATTTCAAACCATGGCCATCGATTCTTGTCGTAGGACGCTCTTTTCTTTGATCATTTTGACCATCTTCACAGGACCACTTTCTGGCGGCCGATTTTGGCTCCCCTTTCCTATAAATAAATGCTTCCGCCCCTTCTCTCTTCCGCGATGTTTTCATTCTTACTCCCAATTTCACTTCCCCCTCCCTTCTAACCTCTTTGCCGACCGGACAACCTCACACGCGACCATTTTACCTCGCTAGCCTAGGCCTCTTCATTTTTCATCACATTCATTTTTTCCCTGCGGCTGGTCCGCTATAATGCACTATCTCTTGCTCGGCCTTCCTGTAAGTGCTCCCCTATCCCGTCCATGGGCATGGACCAAACTGCTCACCTTTTTGATTGGAGATTCATCGTACACAAGTGCTTTATCTTAACGAAGACGCACGCGCCGATGTGTGTAAACAGTGTTCGAACTCTGATAAGACGCTCACATTTCTCTAGTTGGTCAACCGGTACGGCGGGAGGCTTCGACTGTTACTTTTACTTCCTCCGCTGCAAAGCTCCGACGTGCTGGGAGGTTGCAAAAAAGGTGGACATATTCGATGGCATCACCTGGCGACAGAGAAAGAGGTGCTCTCGTCGGACTTCCGAGATGGGTGTTTGAATACCCACGTAGTCTCGGTCGGCATTGAGGTAATCTCCAGGGTCTTTGCACTTTCCCCACCGCTCATCGTCGCTTGTAGGAACCTGGTGCAGGCGTTGTTGCCATGAGCGCAACGGATCTCCGAAAGGTTAGTCAGTTCCGACAATTCCCCCAGAGTATTCTCACATCTCGCCAGTTTACGCATGACTTCGGTGTTGATTTGGATGAGATCCGGAAACTGGGGAAAGAAGAAATGGAATGCCTCTTCGAATGGCTCCGCGATGCCGGCATGGTCGAGTGTTTTGACGTGCTGCAGAACCAAGTGCCTGCCAATATTAACTCGCCTGAACCACTGGGTGTGTATTTCCTCCCATATCACCCGCCTTCCATTGTTCTTCCCTCTGACCTTGGGTTCGGCACACCCGATAGGAGACTACAACTTAAACACCATTTGTTACGCGAACGCTGGTGACGAATTCGATCGCTTGTTGGAACAGTTCGACCCCTTCCTGGAGCAATACGACCCTTCCGCCGAACGGCCACATACTGTTTCTTCTTGGCAGGAACCAGTCACACCTCCCCAACCCAGTGCAGAAGCGTCCTCGTACCCGACACCTCATTCCTCTGTCAACTCACCCCCGAGTGGTCAACCACTTCCCCCGGACCCCGGACACGGCCAAGTACGGTACCAATCCGTTCATTCTCCGCCATCTACTGACAGATCTTTTACTCCTTCATCTTATCCGACACCCTCCACATCATATATAAACTCACCTCCCGGAGACGAGCCACTGGCCCCGCTGGAATCTAGTGTTTCAAACATGACGAAGCTACAACTGTTGCATTCGTGCAGGTTTGGTAACGACGGCAATAGATCCCTGGGGGACATCCAAATCACATCAGCCCTTCGAGCTGAAGCTGGACTTCTCTCAGATGACTATGATAGGCTACTGAAGCCCCTCTTGGATTACAGAGAAGACGATCCGCCGGCCTTAGAAGCCCTTGGCCTTCCCCTTCAATGGAGAGGTTTCGAGGGTGCTGTGATTTACTATCGCATGCTCGAGGGCACGAAGAAGAAGTCAACCCTCAGTCTTCTCGCCAAACGAATTGCACAGATACTGTTTTACCTCAACTACAGGTGGCTGGAAAAACATATAAAAGGGCCTAGTAAATCCGTCGCCACACTCATCCTCAACGCGTGCCCCGAGGAGCCAAAAGACCCGAAGCTCATGAAGCCCCGTCGAGATAATATCACTGGCTATCACAAGCGCCGAGGAGAGCGGTGGTGGCTACATGCGGCGTGTTTAGGGTCTCGTATCTTAACGCACGCTAGCGGTATCATAGAGACTGAGTACGCTCTTCCCGAAAGGTTCACTGCGCTTCGACTAATTCACATTCATAGAATCATAACTAGCACTAGAAAAGAGAAACTCCAGGTTTTTATATCGCTGATCTTGCGCATTCGACCAGGCAGTGTCAACTTTTTTGGCCGCTGGGAACCAGTTTTCAAGGCAATAGCTTTTGGAGTGGCTACATCCGAGCTTCGCCAGACTCTTCAAGCCAGCAATGCTGACACTGTCAGACAAGCTGAACTAGCGTGCGCCTATGCATCGGATCAGGAAGCCTTGTCCCACCAACAAATTGGAGAGACTTGGATGGCGATAGATGTCGAATCTATTGCAGAGGAGAAGATAGCTGAGTTTCTCCCAGATTATTGACCACCTGGCGACTATCACTGCCACACTCTTTTGTGGTTGCCGGTTCTGGATCTAGTGCGGTGATTTCTACTTTGGTCCGCCTTGTACTACTAGATTTTTTAGTTGGTAGACTTATTGGTTCGGTCATTCATGGCCATGCGTTCTTAGATAGAATCAGGAAGTGCAAGCTAACAATATAATTGACAAGGTACCCGGCCCTCTTAAGTCACGTAATCCCAGGCTGTTTCGGTTATTTGGTTCCCTGAGGCCATGGTTTCAGTATGAAAGTACGCGTAGTAATGAGACAGAGACGGGCAAGCCCGACCAATGCTCCTGCAGCGCAGCGATTCTTGGTGATAAGGGAGTGCTATTTGCCCGTGAGTCTTTACTCAAGAGCTCTGATCTCAGTAGGGTAACGGACCTTTCTCAATTCTTGGATTGTCGCGACGGACGCAGTAGCGGACAGAAATCCTAGCGGGTCTGACTGCCATCGTGTACTGTCGATCCCAATCACACCATCCGGCTTCAAATACTTCTGCATGAGAAGCGTGGTGATGTTGGTCAAAGCGCGGAGAAGCTTTGCTTGGGATTGATTCGGCTGGCGTTCAAAGCAGTGCTCCAACGCCGCTGTCGGGGATCGTGAGCAAGATATATCCAAATGATTAGCGCACATACCAATTTGAATGATCCCGTCTTGCCCTAGGAGAATATTGGAACACGTCAAGGATTCATGTTCAAACCCGCTCTCCAGTAAATGTGATAATCCATCAAGAACCTTCCCGGGATAGTGTTAGTATCGACTATGATTTAGCTTGTGTTCCCATACCTGTACGAGGATAGAAGCCAGCTGAAGCTCAGACGGGAAAATATCACAGGCGACTACATGCTTCAAAGTCAGAGGGAGGTCATCGACAATGAAGTAGGTCATCCCATGATCTTTGAAAATCTCCCTTGCAGAGGTGACATTGGGATGTTTGGTCTTCCGGAGGACTTGCAGCCATGTGTCTGCTTTGTCCCTGGAGAAAGAACGGACAGCGATCACCTTGCGAGGGACCTCTTTGTGGACGGCAAGAGATACGGGGCCTGCAAGATCGCAGGTAAATAGATCTTTCAATGTGTCCCAAGGACAGCCTCTCTGGATGGCCGCGGAATGCCCCACCAGAACCTCACCTCGGCGGTTGTCTCGCCCATGGTCGCCCAGGACATTCTTGGACAGGTCTTGGTCCGATCGTCGTTTCACCCCCTTCTTTAGATTATGGGTGCCTAAAGCCTGAGACTCCGTCTGCCTAGGCACTGGTGCGGGTGGCGAAAGCCCAGGCCCTCCAATCTCCTCGGTGGATATCTGTGTGACGGGCCTAGCCATGATGTAGGATGTCTAGTGACGGGAGGTCAGATGAGACATCCATGGGAGGAGATTGGAGAATGTCGCTTTTATGAAAATGAGGATTCGAGGGTACTGGGTAGAGCGCTGAAGGGCTGAAGTTGTTCTAAATTCGTGGCAGTTCAGCGCTGAACTTTATCCACCGCAATCAGTTTAAATACCCCCATTTCCACAAAGATTTCCGACCGGGAGAATCAAAGCCACTTCTCTCCTCAGATATGGAGTTTATGTTGACGGATGCCGAACACCGACTAACCACAGAGCGGCAGCTTAAATACCAAGGTACTGCCAAAGTCAATCTCGACCAGATATCTCTCCAGCCTCTGAGTAGCCGGGAGATCGACCACAAAAATGTGGAGCGATTACACGAGATCTTTGCCAAGGATGGGTGTAACCGCCTAGACCTACGAAACCACGTGACTGCTGTGGTGTCCAAGCAACACCTGCAGAGAACCTGCCACGCCAGGGGACTGACTCTGGAGGAACTGAAATCTCGCCAACAACAGTATCCACGCCTTGGCTTTCGTGGCCGACAGGTAAAATGCCTCCATGGACAGCATAGACTCAAAGCTGCCGAGGATTTCTTGTCCCCCTCCGACCGGTGGTGGACGGTCGACCTATACCTGGATGGTTTGGATCTCCATGGTGCTGTGTTCCCATTTCTTCTGACCCTGGCCTGCAGATATTAGCCCCGAGCTACGGAATGCTCTCGTCGATGAATATGCGAATGAGAAGCCCCCAACCGATGGGGAGGTCTACCGGAAGATCCGTCAATACCAACACGAAAGCAACGCGCTCTTTCAAAGTCGCTGGTGGTCCCGGCTATCGCCGAACAAAGCCAAGCGATTACGGCGGCTCACATCCCCGGACAATACCTACCTCTGCGCCGCGTTTGATGCGTTGCTTGCGATCCCAGGGCTTTGGAATGGGATGAGCCTGGGATCCTTAAACACCGTGATGGCGCTGAAGTGTGACGAAGTTAGTCCGACTTCCAGTCGCCGTCGTCTGATCTCTGACATTGGTAGGAGGTGATTCATTACTTGAAGCATGTGAATAATTTCTGGGCGACACTGGTCAACCATGACCGTGCTCAGATGGCCCGAATCGACCTACACACAGTGGACACACTGCAACTGTACGCTCCTCGGGCGTCTATAGTCGATCGGAAGATCGTGAAAGGCAAAATCCTGGGCGGCGAAGTGTTTTCCAACTTCAGCCGCTCGGAACGTGTCGCGATCTGGGAGAGCCTACGGTCGCATGAGACATGCGACGGCATCATCCCGTCACTCCATACCTTTTTCCGCGACGTTTTGTACCTGGAGGTCTGTGCCAATGCCCTCAAACGGCTGGTTACTTTGAACAAGCAGCACCCCACCATTCGGCGCGCACTAGTGCACAGCTTTCGACCCGGTCCCGCTGACACGGATTGTCTGATTCAGGCGTCTGAATCTACGTTCCGCCGACAGCCGGGGTCTAACGACGAACGACTGTCGTTGGCATACCGCCAGATCTGGATGTATGCTATGCGACATTACCCGGACATGGCCAAGAATATCCGGGACGGCCAGGCAGCCAACCCCGCCCGGGCAAAGGCGCGAGCGAAGGCGGACGAGAGCGTGATTCACGATATGGCTACTCTTGCTCGGAAGCTGGGCTTTCGGACCACCCAGATTAACGCAATCCTCCAGCAATCCCCGGACCGGCAGATCGCTCGGGCGGCGCTGCTCAAAGCCCGAAAGCCTGATCACTACCACTACGACAGTGAAACCTTCGAGTCTCTGATCGAGCAGATTGCTGGTTGTTTTGCTCGCGCTATTCCGAACGAAGGCCTGCCAATGACACTTACCGCTGGCCGGGCGATGAAATTGAAAGACCGATATGGAATTCCTCCTGGATATGCTCAGCCGCTGGACCGGCCGCATATCTTCCTGGACCGGCTGCATTCAGCAACGACGATGCAAAGGAATTTGTCGTCCTTGGAAGTGAGACGGAGCGTATACTATGCCTTTTTCGGCAAGCCATCTTCTCAAACATTCATGCCTTACACTCCGCCAGCATGGCCATCGGCCAGCGAGCCTTCTTCGCCCTTGTTTGTTCCACGTGACAATACACACGCAAACGAACCGTTCGCTGAGGATATGTCGATAAGCGGTCTGAGTGAAGGGTTATCAAATAGCCGTCAGGGACTGCCGGAAACTCGCGAAGACCAACCGGAAGAGCGGCGGCAAGGTCAACAGCCTTCGCGGCCGCCAACAGTAATGCACAGTTCGTCTCAGGCTAGAGTACCTTCTCCAGCAAGCTCTGTAGGAAGCGGATCTTCTCTCCCGGGGAGTGTGACTACCGACAACTTGGATAGCTCCGGCGCGGAAGACCAGTCGGGCACCAGTGAAAGACAAGGGGGCCAGGCGGGAGAGGATGTCTGTACAGAAATAGACGAAAACGAGCTTTTGGAGCGAATGGAGGGGGAGGATTCTAGGGCAAGGGACCTCACTAATGTTGACAATTCGATTCCTGGAACACCAATCGAAAGAGATATGTCGGAAAGATTGGAAGAGAGGGCAGTCGCGGATAAACAGCCGAGTGGACCAGTGCAGACCTCTTCGCCATTACGATCATCTCACACACCAAGAACCCAGTCAGCAATACGCAGGAACCGGAATAGAGACGCAATCTGGCAGCCCTATAATACTTCACAGAGAGGCAATCGTCGTGCGGCCAGGACCGTCTCCCCAGGTGAAGAGCGAACTACCGATGGTAACTCCACAGGCCTGGACCCAATTGCAGAGTACCGGGCCCGCCCAGAACCATTGCAAACAATCGGGGAACACACGGAGCTCGAACAGCCGGCTGAAGAACCACACACCCTTAACGAAGCCTCTCAAAAAGCTTCGTCAGCGGCCGAAAGTCCAGACATAGTTACCCAAGTCTGGCCTTATCTTGTGGTTGGACAGGCAGGCACATCCCCCGGCACATCAAGGGGTGCGCCCCAGTACGAAGCTGCTGGAAATGACGAAAAATACCTTGCCCGAGCGGAGCAGTCAGAGCACCGAAACCGCGAAGGCGAGGAACCCATCTTCTCACCAATGCCACCGACGGATCCTGGAGAGGGAATAACCGGGCAGCTGGTGGCACTTGACAAAGAGTCAATCGCTGACCAAGTTGAAGAACTTATTCAGGAAGAAAGACTCTCCCTAGAGCGAGCAGATACTCCGTCTCAGCTAGAAGCGTCTCGAGTCGTCCAAGCCCATACCGTTGCCCGCCGTGTGACCGAGATTCCAGCGGATTTGCCAAGTCTGATCTTACGATTGCGCGAAGAAGGTGCCGAGCGTGATGGGTGTGTACCTACGGTCGATGACCCGCCGGCGGCGCATCCGGAAGGCGGAGCCGCCGTCCATCCCTTGCGCACTGAGCCCATCGTGCAGGACACGGAAGAGAGACGGCATGGAGACCATTTGGGCCCTGTGAACCTACCAAGATCTCCCGCACGGCATACGAGGATCAGTCCGCAGCCACACAAACCAGAACGAGCGGTCCGTAAATTGAGGAAAAATCAGGCAACACGTCGAGAGCTTAACCGGGCGGGTACTCGAGATGCTGCCATCGCTGATGAGTTGTGGGGTAGCGACGAGGAAGGGTACGGGGCTGGGGGCATTATGGCAGGGACTCCTGGGCTTCCTCAACAGGATGTTGAGCGATATCCCGCCGTCCTTCTCGATCCGGAGCAGGCCCAACGGGAAGCCATTGCAAGACAGGAGGGTGAAAATCTCCTGTTTGATACACCGCCTATGATGCAAGAGACAGAGGACACGGAAATGGAAGATCTTGAAGACCGTACTCCTGCAGTTGCTGCCCGGTCCAACCGGAAGGTCACGAAACCGTCCAAGGTAGCCAAACCAAAGCAGGCTCAGCCGGGAGGATCGTCCAAGGCGTCACGAGCCGGGTTGTCCTCCCTGCGACGGGCGGTCGATGTCGAGGCTCGAGTACAGGGAGAAGACACACAGCTCGATGCCACTCAACCGGACATAACAAAGCCCGCCAGCACAGGTGTGAGTGGTGTGGTGCACGACGAAGCCAATGATCCGACTCCCCTCGCGGTGGATAGTATCAATAGAGGTCCTTCTGGCAATTCGTCGCCAGAGGGGCGAGTGACGATCACCTTTCGCGCTTACCAGCGAGGAGAATGGATAGTGACGGACGCGGTCACTGTGGAGTCCGCAAATCCAGCGGAGGCGCAGGCGACCGCCGAGCACTATGCCCGAGACCCGGAGCAGGAGGCCCATTTCTATGATTGTTCACTACGGAAAGTTGCTGTGGACCAGTGTGTCCGCGCGGCGATCGACGACGGAAGTTTCACGGTCCTCATGGGTTTGGGAAGAGGCCTCGCTGTGACGCGGAACCTGGTGGCCTCGGTGACACAAGTGCTCGAGAATGTTGGAACCGCCGGGGCAGTCATAGAGGAAGAGGAGTTGTAGCGCGTCCGGGATAGTCTGGGCGGTCCGGCCGACCAATGGGGCCGCAAGCATGTAGATAGATGACCGCTGGGGACTCACATCTGATGCGGTCGCCAGTTGGCGGTCCTACGGTCGAGCTGGTCGTACGACCAGCGTCTGATGATCGCGTCGGTCGGGTGCACCCGGTCTGGTAATACCTAGTCTGATGGCCCAGGGCTGTTGTATCCGACCTCACAACGCTGACCATCAGTACCTGGGCACACCGCCCCGGCCCTCTGCTCTCAGGCCTCCGACCTCGTAGGTGTTCAGACCACATGCCTAGGCCCGCCAGGGACTTACACCCCCAGGTATATCTCCAGGGCGGGCTTCCGTCGCTAAGGTCTTGCGGGAGACTTTAATCTCGCGGGAGTCCCTAGTCTTGCCGGAGTTCCTGGTCTCGCGTGTGACTTGACGGGTCCCAGGTCGGTCATCTCCTGGAAATAACAATTCCGGGAGCAGACAAATCCTGTGATAGAATTGACCATGGGATGGTCAAATTCAGGTAAGGACGTCCCCAGGATAAGGAGGATTCCAGGATGGGGAATCTTGGGATTGCAAATCTTGGGGTTTATTCTGTTCCGGAACAATCTCTCCTGTGCTTGCTGTATCGACGAATTCTTGTAGCTTGGATGCACTTCTGCTTGCGGCACCGACATGAGTTGAAAAGTTATGTATTTTGGTTCAGACATAGCTATAGGACAGTTAAAACCGTGGCACACCCCTGTTTCCCAGGATTTGTCAATGGTAAGAGCAAGGGGGTCCACGAGTGAGTGTTGACGGATTAATACTTCCACCGAAATGCCGCTCAGCTGACAATGACAAGGGACGTTCTGACCACCAACATTGCCCTGGAGTTTCCCATCTTTTCCATCCCTTATTCGCGGTAGCGATGAGTGGAAGCAGCTCTCCGGACTACAAGGCGCTTTTCCTCAAGGCAGAGGAGGAAAGGAAGCGGGAGGCCGAGCTGAGACGGCAGGCAGAGGAAGAAAAGAAGCAGGCAGAGGAACAGGCAAGGCAAGAGAGAGAGCGCAACCGACCTACGACTTTTCCAGAGTTCATCCGACATTGCCACGATCTCCTTTGGAGGCCACTCCGAGCGCAAACACCGTCTCGCTCCACCACAGGCAAAATTCCCGCTCCTATCGGAAAACACTGTCCCCTACGACTGCGCCCGTGGACGGACTGTGGGGATAAACAGCGGGAAATTTACGAATCTGTCTGCCGCTACCTGCAACCGATCGAAGGGGATGCACGAGAGTTATTTACATCACTGGTTGCCTTGGAAGACCACGGCCGACGATTTACACGCCGCCCGATTAGCAGCGAACAGGACCTCGAGACCTACGAACGACTCGCCGTTGAAGACCACGTGCACGATATCGTCGCGGAGTTGTGCAAAATACCAGAGGCTCGCGACGAGTTCAGGTTAGGCAATGGGTTATGGTTCGATAATCACCCCAACGCTCTGGACGAAGATGAAGAAGTCGATGCTAGCCAGCCATCGACCACAAGGCCTTCGAGGCCGGATCAATTTTGCATCTATCATGTGGACGGTAACCGGCGTACCTTGCTCACCACGGTCGAGTACAAACCGCCCCACAAGCTCTCGGCTGCGAACCTGCGGTTAGGACTCCGACCGATGGATTTTTGGCGAGAAGTGGTCCAACCTGATCGTGTCCCGACGGAAGAGCCAGAGAAATCAAGATATCACGCCGAGCGGCTGGTCGGATCAGCCATCGTACAAGAATTTCACGTGATGATTCAAGAGGGTCTGGAGTATTCATATTTGACGAACGGTCTGATGGACGTGCAGCTCTGGGTACCCTACGACGACCCGACGACCCTTTATTACCACCTAGGTGATCCCGGTATATACGGGACGGCGGGTGTTGCAGGGTCTGGAATTCCCAGGACTCGAATTGAGAGGACCCTGTGCCTCTGTTTGATGGGGTTTCGTGCTTCTCTTCGTGATCAGGCGTGGCGGAATGCGGCCAAAAATGGGCTCCCGAAATGGCATACGAATTTTGATAGCGATCGCGCTCAGATCGTAGTAGTGGAATTACCACGGGACCTGGACGTGGACGATGCTAACTTCGAATCCGCTAGTCCTGAGCAGTCAACCTCTGAGTACCTCACATCTTCGTCTCCCATCACCGGCGGCCCTCGAGTGACCACCCGAGCCGCCGCTAGTTGCGCGCCACTATCCGGTCCGTATCACCACGAGAGTTCTTCGGATTCTGAGGCCGACCCTACCGCATCTGCAGGACGGAAGCGGGGGTTCAGCCGGATCACATCGTCCCCTCCAACCCAAAGGTCCGCCCCGCGAGCATATCGCCAAGGGAACCAAAGCGGGCAATCTCGCCCCCACGATGCGCCATATTGCACACAAAAGTGTCTTCTCGGGCTACAGCAAGGCGGCACGCTCGACCTTGAGTGCCCCAACACGGAGCTGCATACGCTCGGTAGAAGCGTGGACCGCCATCCGATCGGTGTAGCTGACTTGGTGAAAAAGCTCAAGGTGCAGCTGGATCTGGATCTGGATCATAACTGCACTCCCATCGGCCCTTGTGGGTCCTCCGGCGCACCATTCAAGATTACGTGTGCCACCTTCGGATATACCGTTATCGGGAAGGGGACGACGTCGAGACTCTGGGGGGAGGTCTCACGTGAAGCAGACGTCTACCGGGTCCTCCAGCGTGCCCAAGGATCGGCTGTTCCGGTCTTTCTCGGGGCGATCAATTTGGCCCAAACCTACTTCCTCCATGGCGCGGGAAGGATCCGTCATATGCTTCTAATGGGTTGGGGTGGTGAGAGCGTGGGCCATGATCCTCTGGACAAGGCCATCCAACGGGCGATTTATCGGTCGGTGAAGGAGATTCGCTCTTTCGGCGTTGTTCATCAGGATCTTCGTCCGGACAACATCCTGTGGAACGCTGAGCTCGAGCGAGCCCTCATCATTGACTTCCATCTGTGCACCTTGGACCGTCGACCGCTGCACAAACGGCCAGGTGCTCTTAAACGATTATGGTATGGTCCTGATGAACATCACTCAAAGCGGGTACGTGCGGTATAAGAAAAGGCCACTGGAGATGGGCCTAAAGCACTAGAGCGACGCGGAAAGTCAACCTGCTCTACGTATAGCCTACTGTATATAAGCTAGCTAATTATCTACCAAGTGCTCTCTCACAGTGAGTATATCGGTTATGGGGCTCAATGACACAGCACTTGTATGTCTGAAGCGCTGAAGTGGGTACCAAAGTAGGCTGTAAGCCAATAATTACTATTGAAACCTAGCCAAGGCTTGCGCTGAAAGCGCTAGTCGCTTCAGCGGCTTCACAAATGTGAGCGGGGTTGGAAACAATGAGCCAAAGAACGCCAAGGTCACACCATCCCTCCTTGAAAATATCATGAAAGAGCGAGCAACGATCACTCATCAGCGCTGAATCAACGTACAGAGTCCTTACTACATTTGCCTTATCTTCGTTTTATGTTTATGACCAAGATGTATTTTCGGCCGTGCATTCGATTGACGAAGATAGTCTATTGTTGCCTCTTTTGACTTTCTAATTTGATCAGCGGGAAAAATTTTGACTACCTCATTCTGTGCCGGCGACAGCGGTTACAAGCCCTTATCCGACAATTTTTGCACATAAAGATATACTCGGGCAGTACATGGTTGCAAAATTCGCACTGCAAGCTGCCATGATTGCGCCAAGCCCACTGAGAGTTCCTGTGGTGCTCACAACCGACCTCTTCATGCCGTCGGAGACCTTCCGACCACTTGATCAAAAGCGTTCTGACGTTGTCCAGCATTGGCATCCGGAGGCAACTCCTCGTTGATGGCTTGATTTGCCATATTGGTGAGTCTTTCCTCGTGCCAAAGAGGACAATCGCATGTCTTCCATACTCGACCACAGATATAGCAGAACTCACGTCCGCATCTGTCAAAATTGAGTATTAATCTTAAATATCAGGACATGCCCTAGGTCAGACTGGATGCTTACTAACCGGCAAGTGATATGGTTACAACCATGTTGAAGCTCTACCATAGTTCGACAATGAAAGCACCGTTTCCAATTCTCGTCTTCCGCTATTTGCAAAATATCATGGAGTGCGTTGTCCATCGGACAGTCAACTCCAGGGTGGGCAAAAGAACGGCAAGTCAGATGGGTGCTTTGGCCACAACTTGGGCAAATGCCTATCTCATCCTTGATCGCAAAGGGGGGAATGAATTTCGAGCAAGTCGCCTCCGCGCAGTACAATCGGTCTTTGGCAGTCCATTCGATCGCCCTTTCACTGAAAGCACTGAGCTCTCTATATTGCAGGACCCTTAAGGCAATTCCAGGAGGGATGACCTCTCCGCAGCAACGAGGAGGATACAGTTCTTCGTCTTTGATCGCTCCAAGGAACATTTGCCTGACACAGTCAAGACAAAACTCATGCCCGCAAGAACTTGCGAACATGGAATCGTGAAATTCTTCCAGACATGAGACACATTTCTTCGTCCTATTGGGCGTTTGAGTGGGGTGCGATGAACGAGATGAGCCTTCACCAATAGGTGTATCTTCGCTAATCGCTATTCGACTCATTAGATCGCTCATGACAACAGAGACAGTGTCTTCATTGTGATCTAATAATGTCGATTCAGGCGACACTGATTTTTCATATCCATCAATTTCTCCGTTGCTTAATGCAAGAGCATACCGGTGATCTTGTTCCGCAAGGGTTTCGTCTTCCCTGATTGAAGCGAGCACATTTTGATCTGTAGCAACAGCAATATTTGTGCTCAAAGCTAGAATTGCATCTTGAAAAGAAGTTTGGGCGACAGAGATGTCTTCTTTCATGAGTTGGATGGCAACTTCCAAGTCCGTATGTTTCCCGGCAATCTGCTTCCCCTTCTGCTGATCTTCAAGTTGGTCCAAATCATCAAGAAGAAGCTGCAGGGAAAGGAGACCGATTTTTTCGTCGACCATTCTTCGTTCTGTTGAGTTCTCGTGTTTCGAATTCGTGTATACCAGGACCAAAGATTTGGAAACGAAACTGCGGCAGGCACGTCCTAGATAAGGCATTTTCTTGAGTGCCTAAGCGTACCACGATGTGCCACTTGATTTGCAGCTATACCTCTACTACTGTTACACGACAGACGGACTCAGTTGTCCCAAATCGTTATAATTGGCTAACCCGTGAGATCTTCTGCGCCCAAAACGAGGGTCCGTGTATCTCGTTCAGTTTTGCCCCCTGGGTTTCTTCCAAAAATCACTTCAGCCTACCACCTGCAACGGGGATATCAGGTTCGCAGGTGGCGCAGGGATTAGCTAAGAAGTGGGTCAAGCGCTACGGAAGAGGGTTTTGCAGCACCTAGTATTTTTTTAACATTGGGGCACAAAATGCCTTTTAATTGAAGGATCGCGCTAATGCATTAACGGTCACATCCATGCCCCCGCTCATGCACGTACAGCGCTAACCTGCATGTTCGTGGAAAGAAGTGCTATAGTATTGGCTTGTAAGTCCCCACCTTCCTGGTTAGTGCATTCCCAAAAGCTCAGACTAGGAAACGCCTCTAGAACCTGAGCAAAACACCAGAACAACATGACGGTCTACCCCAATGAGAATCTGTAATCACGAGTAGCTCCTAATACACCTCCTAGTCTGCTGCTAGGAAATTTTTCACCTATTAGTAAAATGCTTGCGATAGAATTACGAGATACCCGTGCGTCCCATAATTAGTAGCTAATAATTGGCTATTGGATTTGCTTTGATGAAACGTTAGTCTCTCGGCGTATCTTACTTCATGTCTTGGAGTGACTTGCCCGTGCTGAAACCGAACTAGCGAATCAGTACGCGCACTTTTGAAAATGAGAGACAAGATGAGCATGGAGCAGTGCTCGGCACAAATAACGAATATTCGTTATCCGGCTTCGTTTTCACAGACATTTTGCACAACCAATTTGAATGCGAATATTTTTTTTCCATTTCGATCACACGACGAATCTGCGGGTTAAGTTGGCTGAATGCTGGACTGCGGCTCTGAATAAGTTTAGCTGCTCGTACTTCAAAACGTTGAGACGCCTTCTGCGCAAACATCTTAGCAATAGGATCAAATTAATGCAGTAGTAGACACGTCCCTCTCTGAGAGCTTGCTACCTGCAGCCACATCTATAATTAGGTCCATGAGGGATTTTTTGAAGAGCGCCCAATCCCCAAAGGCGCTTCTAGCGGCCACCTGGCAGCAGACGGGTCCCTGGTTCATGTGGAGTTAACTAATTTGGCTCTGCGCTTAAAATCTCGATCAAACTCATTGATTGGCCGCCTCGCCGATGAATCCTTCGTAGGTTAGTAAATTATCTTCATTGTGAAACCATTCTAGGTCTAGCCGCTAGAATTTGACATGGCGAGACGCCCGCCCACCCTATTACGTCACGGGCAAGAACCTCCACTTGGAATCATACATCCCTGCTAACTGCTGAATATATAAGTGCATAAGTGAGGTGACAGACAACACTGAGCAATACTATCTGGCAAACTCGCGACTCAGAGCCTTCTCCCCCCTCAATTTGAATCACCCGAATTTCTTATTATCCCAGAATCTCATCATGTCTGTCAACGTCTACACGGTCGAATATGCTGGCGTGCCAAACCATGAAGCCATTTACATCGAGACCAATCCTACAGCCCCTCGCATGACCGAAGGGGGTCGCCTTTATCACGTCACTGGAAATTTGCTTCAAGGCATGAAGTATGACCCAAGAGGCTCAATGGACCCGGAATTCTCGGCTTCGCATGTGCCCGGTACGAAGAAAAAGATTGGCACGATTACGAAAGAAAAACTGGCCAGATTCGAATCCGAGTGTTGCCAGGCAGTTCCAGCGCCCCGAGCCCAATTGACACTCGGTGGCAAGCAATTGTACCCTGGCACGCCGCTCTATCGCTGCGGGGACTGGCTCCGCGATGTCCAAAAGCTGGCATTCGAAAAGGGAATTTTCAAGCCTTAAATTTGGGTAAGTCCAAGGCTAAACGAGGCATTATCGTTACCTGACAGGTAATTAGGCATGAATCCCAGGTTGACAGGTCCCAGACTCCCTCAAATAACACATGGACTTGGAAAGCTGGGAGTGGGATTCGTTTTACCTTTTGAATTCAATTTCTGTTATACATTGAAATCTGCTTGAATGAATCCAGTTATAGGGTGATTTTGAATTGTTAACAGACTATTGTCCTAATAAAAAACAGATGCATAGACAACTTGCATCATGAGGTATTCCAGCGGGTACTGGTCGAAGATGTCCGGGACGAGCTCAAGCCAAGCAGGTTTGAATTGACAATAAAGCGTCGAGTTGCAGAAATCCCAAAATTCAGGGTACCAGCCAGATAGATTCCAATCAACCAGGGTTATGTGAAAGTCGCTGCTTCCATCCTCACAAAATCCCTCCCGCTCAACCATTATGTTTTTTGGTTGAAGATCTCCATGGGTGAACACAATTTTGTGGTCTCTGAGGGTTCGGTCGACCATCCCTTGCAACAGATGAATGTAGTGCGGTGACTCCTTCTGGCCCAATTTCATCAATATTCCATCATTCATTTGCTCTTGACTCTCGAACGGTCCAGATACCATTGGATTGTTATCTGGCGTGGACAGAACGCCGTCGGTATATGGCAAGTGTGTCAAGTTTCCGAAGTAGCCTTGTGCTGGGATACGCCGTAGTTCATCAATTGCGTTTCTTATACGCTTGCAGACGGCCTTCTTTTCAGACGATGTGAGAGACGGTAGCAATTTTTCGAGGTCGGTACCAGGGACGTAATCCATGATGATATATCTCTTTTGGGTTTCTGGATCGACAAAGTGGTCATGAACTTTCGGCACAGCGACCTTGCTGTTCGCTGCGACGAATTTCATATTCTCTGCCTCTAGTGGCGGGATTGCAAATCCAACCTTGACCGCAAATTTCTCCTTGACTCGAACAACCTTGATAGCGTTTGTTCGCACGCTCAGGACATTCGTTGACGCTTCAATCTCAGCAACAGTCGGTAAATCGACTTTTTCGCTCGTGTCATTAGCCATGCTGCGACTGCGACGAATCGAAAGTGGGTTAAATGATAAGAGCAAGGACAAAAGTATTGCGGAAGTGGAATTGCGGGGTGGGGGGGGCTTCCGGCTTATTTGTAATGTTTCCATAGGCTCTTGGATACAAACAATGCAAACTGCACATGCTGTCTCCCCAAGATTGCGGCCTGGTTGCCTCACGTAACCAAAAAGTGATACCCCAAAACACCTTGGTTAAGGTGATATTTCCATCTTGGTCAGCCAAGTGTCAATAACGCAAATTCTCGCCCGACGGAGGTATCCCTTCTAGCTTGAGGCGATCGGAGCATTGGATCAAGAGGGCGAGAAGCTGTTGATCACAGAGTTTGGGCCTGGATGGTTTTTGTTCCCAGGATTTCGATGATTTAGGAAGAGGGCTCGATGTTGGGTGCAGTGTATTTTATTTTATTTTATTTTATGGTTTTTTTGGTTTTTTTGGTTTTTTTTTGAGCTTCGAAATTTAATTTAATTTTGGATATTGTTGATGATGATTTATGATGATTCTATTCGCCGGGTAGAGCTAGTTCTATATACAAACTACTATGCGCGGCGCCAAAAAGGTGGTTTCCAGCGGCGTTTCTGCAGTTCCCAATTAGGGCTAGGGGTTCTGCGGAAGAATGCAAACATGAAAAAAAGAAACCCCAAAATTGAAAAGCCTCCCTGGCCCTACACCATGCGATCTAAGTCTACAAAGCAAGAGCTATCTCCGGTTATTGACAGGAAGTTTAACCATATCAATTTGGGACCTTCTCAGTCGCCCAAAAATGGCAAGGATAACATCCCTCTTGTTTTCAAGGATAACAAGGCCGCTTTGAGTATTTGCTGCATTGTATGGAAGAGAATTCCGGATTTGTGCCTCTGTAGCCCAGCAGAAATCCATATGTTCGCCCGGAATTAGCTTGATACCGCTGTCTTTCGGGCCGATCGCACGCTGCTGTTCATCGCACCATCTTCGCTGGGGTCGTAACTCTTCATGGACGTCCGTGTGGAAGGTGCATCTGGCCATTGGAACGTTTTTGTGGTTGAAGAGGGTCAAATACACATGGCTAGAGACATGTGACACATGTAGTCCGGTCTCCTCTTCAGTCTCGCGAAACGCAGTATCTGGTAACTCCTCGCCAAGTTCGCGACTTCCTCCAGGTGTCTCCCAAGTTCCACCCCACGAGTTGTCCTTTCCCAATGCATCGTCCCGATATGCGCGCTGGCATAGGAGAACATAGAGGTTGGAGGTGTCACATGGGTCACAACAGAATATAGTCGCGCTGGCGGAAAATGACTTGATGTCGAGCTGTTTCGCTTGAAGGTTGGTTTGAAGGTAGGTTTGAAGGTTGGCTTGAAAATTGGAAAAGGGGACATTGACCACCTCGAATGGAACAATTAAGGAGTCCATGATCAAGGAGAGTAGAGGGAAAAGTTCTTGGAAAATAAGGAGGAGAAAACATTCCAAGGTTGAGGAGGAAACTTGGGGTGGAAAGGGTATTTATCTCAAATACAAGGGCCTAGACCAATCTAGAAATGGACTGCCCTTCCACAGCCCACAGGTGCATAAGCCCTTCTAAGGTTGTGTAAGCTGACCGTGCTTCCAAGGTCCATCCAATTCGGATCACTACCATTGCCATGACTTATGACATGCAGTCACCACTATTTGTTTTTTATTCTTTTAGTAGCTCAATTGATAAAAAAATCGTTTCTGTCTTAGAACTGTCATTTATCTATTGGCTCAAAAGTGCAGGATAATATTAGGTACAACATTTAGTCTGCTCGCTATCCTTGTCTCGAATAGTCTTCTCCAGAGCTTCTCATATTTTTCGGCGACAAAAATATCACTATCCCACAGCTGATACTTAATTTCTATATAGAACATCTTACCCACGCGATACGCAACACCTCTTCCTTTTTTATACTATACTTGTCCCTTAAATACATCCAATTCATGAGTTCCTTAGCCTGAGACAATTTCAACTGAAGACGAAATAGTTCTGGGAAACATTCTGGCCTACCGTAAACCCAATGTCGACAATAGACTACCATCTAGTCCCGTTGAGGAACTCAGCCTGAAAAAGCACAACCGAGGTACCTGCTTTCACCGTGGCAAACTCCGTGAAGGATCGTATCTTGGCGAGTATATGGACGTCTAGCTAGGTTGACCGAGAAACAGATTATTAGATTAAAAGTTTAGATTATAAATATTCACTAACAGGATAGGGTGTTATCTTTCTGACAAGGAAAGGGCCTTGAGAAATTGACTAAGGGCAGCTGTGGCAACCCAGGATTATTCGAGATGTGAACCGCCGCTTTTTGAGGAATCTGGACGTCGGGGAGTATAACGCTCTGGAAAGACTGTACGGATTCTGCACGGGAAAAGGTCTGGTAAATTCGATGTTTAGAAAAAGAAAAAGAAAAAGAGAATATTCCTGCAGAGAGATACTTACCAAGGCTTGCTTTGACTGACTGAGACTGGCAATCCCTTTCTATGTTGACTGCTTGAGGAGGGGATTCTAGAGATCTTATAGCCCTTGGTTCATACGCAGTATCACCAGCTCGCATATTTGATGGCGGCTCCTGGTCATCCCAGAAGTCGTCAGGGTCTGAAGGAAAAAAGATTGATTGAAGCCACTGCCACGCAGATCACGGTACTGGAAGACAAGCCATCATGCGCGTTCAGCAAGCGGATTCCTTTTGTTAAGATGGTATATAGAAACGATAAAAGGAACAAGAGACTCCTCAATATAAAAGGCCTCGACCTAGCTCCATGGTACAGGGTAACATTCCATGAATTCTGTTTTTAATAAAACAATCAAATTATAGAATGGTGAGTGAGAAGCCTTGCAAATGACTGTTGATTCTCACATGAGAGTAGGCTCTACCGATCCCATTTCTTCCCGACCCGGCTGAATCAGCCTTGAAGACACTGTTGAAGGTGCGGATTGATGCTCCGCCTTATTGGAGAGGAATTTCTAGGGAGATTCTAAGCGGCGATGCTGTGCTGGTTCTATCAGCCTATGAGGCTCTACAGAACAGTGAAACCATCATAGATGACGGGATCATATGTGCCTCGGCGAAGACACTCGTCGACTCTCTCGTCGAATCTCGAAGTTGGAATGCGCTTTTGAAATTATCAGTGATGACATGGAATTTCGATGCATCGGGTGTGCCATCTGAGGAGCTTGCTCGTTTTCTCAGACAGCCCAACAACCAGTATGATTGGGAATCAATCCATGCGCAATACCAGAGGCTCACGGGAAATGAATTGTCCTTGACTGGCTTCAAAGCCTCGTGCGATTTCCTATTATGGCCTGCTCTGGGTTCAATCTTCAACGGGGTTTCATAAAGGATTCTTGAATTTTGTCGACGCGTTGATATGATATTTTTATAAACCCCTCATGGGTTTTCGCCAAATACATCCCTCGACCGCTTAGCGACTACGCTGTTGGATATCGCGTATACCTTTGTTAACAAATCGCATGATACTTAGAAATTCCAGATGCGTTATTTCTGTATCGAACAAATTCAAGAAGTTGTAGCTTGACTTTTGTAGATCTAGTTGCTAATTTCTTTCACTTAGGGCGCCTAATTCTAACTTTCCCAAAAAAAAGAATAGTTTTGATTTGATTGAAAATACGGCATCAGTATTTTGGCCAATGCCTTATATATTGGAATTTTGGTGATGCATCGTCACCACCGCCTGCTCGACGTCCTGCGAGACACTTCTAGTCTCTGACTTGTGCTTTCCGCATGGCTTTCTAAGCTCTTGAACCCTATGGGGATCTTTCTTTCTTTTCTCGTAGCCGCAATTATATGCGCAAATGTATCCTCCGCCCGTCTTGCATCCACAAGAGTGAAGGTATGATTGATGCCAGCACATTTCGAAAAGAGCTTGTGTATTATCTCCAAATTCTAGGTTCCTCGATGTGTCGTACGGCTGAAATAGTTTCTATTTTATAATGTGGAATTAGTAGCGACTTTGTTGTTCTCTTTTCGTGACTTACAAGTCGTATGAATAAATGATAGACAATGATCTTTGAAGCCAAATCGCGGTCAAGAACTAGTGCTGCCGAGGAAGCGTAGCCTATAAGGAAAGCCGGGTGCGAACGTTTTCAAACAAAAACCGTGGTGCCTGGCGGAAGCATGAAGCGCATATGCTTTCTATATACCAGAGCTGAGATTATTAATCCTTAAAACATCAGTCTAGATTTATACAACGGCTTAGCTCCAAAACTCTGTCTCTTTCAACACCGTACTTTTGCCTCAACCGGCTCCATTCCTCATCACAAAGCAGAGATTTTGCAGCTACCAGCTTGCACCTAAGACGCAATAGCTGAACCTCGGATAATGCTTTCCCGGAGATAGAAGGTCCGCCATAAACATAGCCATCCGACCCGTCATTGTACTTAACGTAGAATATGATACGAGTAGTTCGTAGGTCCCACATTGAACATTCGTATCTTTCAAAGCTTATAATAGCACTAAGACGGTCCACGGTCAGACGTGGTGTAGAGCCTAAAGCCATATTTTATCTATCTTCGTCAGAAATATAGCATAGAAAATATTATGTTCACTTACAATTTCGTGGCGATCGCCAATCCTGTGATTCTTCAAGAGGCGCTGTGGGGGTGAAAGAGACTGTCTCTAGTGATAGGCGCCGGACAGGTATATATAATTCACTTGTGCGTGATCTTGCCACTTTTTGAGGAATTTGTAATTCGATTGGGGTGGAAGGGTTCGGAAGGATGATAGTATGACCGCTGACAGAAGATCGAGCCGAATGGATAGAGGGGGGGGCGATTGGTATTATCTGTAAAAACGGCTTAGTATATAAGTAGTTGGTTGCATAATGATCTGATATGGATACTACCCTCGAATACCGGGGCTCGGAATGACTGGTGAGTGTTTGTCTCTATGCCTGATTTATGACTAGCTGATAGAGTTGGAGGTTTATCCCAAAAGCCATCTTGCTGATGGGTGGACAGTCTTGAGGAGTTGAGTGAAGTTGGCTGTCGAATACTGAAGGAGCGTCTCGCTACTTTTTGAGGATGCTGGATGTCGGGAAGTGTACCATTATCTCGGGGTTGGAAAGACTGCTTTAGCTCTGCTTGCAAAATCAATTCTAGAGCATTCAATATTTCCTTGGGGATATACTTACCAGGGTTGCCTTGGACTAACTGAGGGCGAGGATCCCTTTTAGACCTGACTTGAAGAGCAGAAGTGTGAGGCGTTACTGTATTTTCAGTTACCATACCAGGTGGCGCTTCCTGGTTGCCCCCATAGTCCCAGCCGTCATTGTCTAGCGAAATGACCGGTTGAAGGCACTGCGGAAGCCACGAAAGTAGCGGTACTGGCAAACAAACCATTACGAGCGTTTCGTAAGCGGATTGCTTTTGGCAAGATGATATGAAGAATATATGAGGGAAACAAGATATTCCTTTATAGGATTTGACCTAGTTTCAGGGTATAGCATTATATTCAACGATCTATTCTACAAACAATCAAATTATAGCATGGTGAGTGAGAAGCCTTGCAAATGACTATTGATTCTCACACGAGTAGGATCTACCAATCCCATTTCTTCCTAGCCCGGCCAAGTCAGCCTTGAAGACACTGCTGAAGATACGGATTGATGTTTCGCCTTATTGGAAAGGATGTTGTAGGGAGGTTCTAAGCGATGATGTCGTGCTGGTTTTATTAGTCTATGAGGATCTAAAAGGTCTCTAATATGCGGACGAAACCATCATAGAGGATGCGACAAAGACACTAGTTGATTCTCCATCGAGCATTTCCAGATTAACACAATCTACACAAATAGGTTCGCTACTGAAGATCTCGGATTCCGAAGAGAAAATAAGTACATGTGAAACAAAAAACGCCATTACTCCCTTGCGCCTTGGCCTTTATCCCCTGTTCGTTTACTCCGTGGATGATTCGCGCCCGGTCCCTTTACACTTGCCCCGCGCAACGTGGGAGTTTCGTGCTGTCATCCGTGTGAAAAAGGCTCCGCAGATCGGGCACTCAGCCTTGGCAAATCTTCCTGACTTCTCGCGCTGGTGTCGAAGAAGGTTGCTAAATGTGGAAAATTTTCGGCCGTTGCAGCCGTGGTCCCAGCATTGGGGCCGCGGGCGCGAACTGATAACCGAGACTTGATGCTCGTTGTCTGGCGTGTGTACGGAGTCGGATGGGGAGAACACGGGCTCGGTGATCAATGACGAGGCTTGAGAGCTCATGGAAGATAGGTGGGAGGATCTAAATTGACTCAGTGTGTAGGTTCGAAAGAAAAAGAGAGATCTCCTGGCTGGAACCGCTTACAGAATAGGCGGTGTTTCAAAGAGATAGTAGGTAGGTTGGCTCGTAATATAAGGGGGAGAGCTAAAAGGGCACCGTCAGCAACTTCTTTTCTTTTCTTTTCCAATTTCGATCGTATTGGGAGGACGGGAGGAAAATTCACGAGATCAAGAGAGGCTGTTCAGAGAGACCGACGGAGTGAGGAGGGAAAGGACGAGCAATTGGAGGGCTAGACGACGAGTCAGCTTCCCACTCTGGTGATATTATCCAACTTCAAAAGGATGACCAACCTGGGAAAATAACTTTGGCGGCCAGCGCTACTCGGTGCTGCGGAGAAATATGGAGGTGGTGTGCGATGTTCTTGGTAATAACTGTGCATCGACCCGCTTGGATGGCCATTATATCCAACCGAGTAGCCCAAGCCGGGGTATGAATGCGGCGGAGGGAATTTCTGGCTCAGAGGCCCCGTTGGGGATTGCAGCGGTTGAAAGGGACGATTGGCCCAAACATAATCTGTGAATTTGGTTAGAATACACATTTTTTGGTTTTATTTCTCAGAAGGATAAGGAAAAAATCCATACGATGAGAGTTTGGCTCCATCTATGTACTTGGGGTGACGGGATGCCTGGCGTTTCTCAAGAATATCCTTCACCGCGCGAAATTTCGAGTATTCGGGTTCGTTGTTAGGTGACTCGAGCTGTTGGTTACACGGATATCAGCAGAAAGCTTACATGAAGGAATTGGCTTCAGTGAGAAAAGAAGATAGCCATACTGTGCGTCCCTACTCCGAATATAAGCTGCCGGCGGATGGCCTCGAATTCTGCGATTTTTCCAAAAAAGGGCTCATTTCCAGACTATATATTTGTTGAAAGATCTCAAGAGAGATTTGACGGTTGGCAAGGAGATAAACTTGGAGAAATTAGAATGACACCCCAGCAAAGAAAGAGGAAGGATCCCATTTAATAAGCTATATTTGGCCGGTATCAGAATAAGATGATCCGAGATGAACAGTGAATTCACAGAACCTATATATGCTTTCTAGTCGCCGATGCAGGATGCCAATATTCAGACCAAAATTTTATCGTACAATGAATAAAAAGAAGTGTATAAAAGTAAAGGACTTTATTTCAACCAAGGGGGTCTCGGTTGCTGCCGCAGATAATCATTCAATATCTACTACAATAGCCACTAATTTAGCAGCTTGTGCCACTTCAACATCACACTTCTGAGAAACTTGATAAAAGTGATCCATATCAAGAACCACTCCATCTATAGATGTTTCACCTTCCATAAACAACGGTATAACCAACGTCAAGTTTCGTCCGACATACGATTTTCCGGGAAAAAACACAAATCCTCCAGTCTTATACTTTGGATCGGTACGCTACATCAAAATGTTTTAGTCGAAAAGCTAGTATATCCTAAGCGGTGATAGATCTCACCTTTAGCTCTGACACAGCAGCATTTATAGGCGCCGCGCAATCATCGGTCGGAAAAAAGGGAGCAAGTGCCGAAATTTTGGGCTTCGGTAGTGCATCGGCAATACGCTGCACTTGTGGCCAAGCTCGAGTTGCGGAAATCTTAACGTTGTCCGATGATAGCGAAATACAGGTAGGGTTAACCTGTGACATTGGGAATCCGGCGATTGCTGGAGCTAAAGCGAAGATCGCAGATCCAGAAGGCGAGTTTTCGGTAAAAAAGAGAGTGCCTTCGAAAATATTGTAGTCGCGGGCGCGTTGGGTTGAACGAAAGGGAAATTTTGATGAGGGGTCGATCGCGGGGCTCTAAGCTCGAAGTAGTCTCGTGACTTTCCGTCCGGTTCAGGCTTGTACCCGGTAATTGACAAGCCAAAAACTAGTGCCTAAGGCAGTAAGAAGATATCTTTGCATCCCGTATGATAATCTCCTGTAAATTAAGGGCCTGCCATCAGACAGCTAACCGAGTAATGATGTAGGCTACCTTGTTGTTGGTTTTGGAAATTCGATTAAACTTGAATTAAAGCTAATTGTTCTGATCTAAATCCGAAAAAAAAAAAAAAAAGCTAGCATGCGGTGATTCCACTTCTCGGTGTAGATTGAAGAGGGCTATCACCAAAAAATTGATTCATGCTGAGGTGTTCCGATCTTTTGCTCTGCATATACCTGGTAGCCCGAATGTGCCTTTTATACTCCTCTAAATCAGGGGAACATGAGAGATCAATACCTGGTGGAGGACCGGCATACTTATCTCTTTCAAAATTTACCGCAAAGTTTAATTGGTGAGATTCATGGCCAGTGTTACCCGGAGCTGCTCCCAAAGATGTAGCACGGAGATCATCGTTGCAAGATGTGTCTTGATTTTGATGGTCCTGCTTGGGACCTGGGAGATGAGGCTCTTCAAAGAGCTGATGAAGCAGATTGAGATCACCTAGACTTGCACTGCACTCGGCAGAAGGGGCCCAAGTAAATGCCTCGGCATAGGCCTGAATGAAGGGTAAATCAGGTTCCGTAAGAGGCCGATCGAGGTCGCTGATGTTGTTTGAACCCAGATATGACAGGCCATAAAAGTCTTGATTCAATCCTTGAGCGAATCCCGGATTGAACGGCAGCGAAGCCTCAGTGATGGACAAGGGAAAGGAGCTCTGCTCAACCAAGCTTTGGGTGGAAGGTATAGGCAGCTCAGTAAGTCGTTGATCGAATTCGACGATACTTGAACTCGGATCAGAAGGGCCATTGAAATCTCGATCCAATTCCTGAGCGAAGTCCGGACTGAGCGGCAGCTGAGGCTCGGCGGTAGACGCAGGCGAATAATCTGAAGGTTGATAGGTACAATCATTCAGATTACGAATAGGCGGCGGGGAAATATTCTCAGACCCTGCCAAGTCTAAAGCAGCCGAAGTGTTGTCCGTTTGGAGCGCTATATCCAAAGAGTAATCCGTGGGCTGCATAGGAAACAAATGGTCTCGCTCTGTGGGTATACATAGTGTATCCTGGCGGAGGGAGGTCGTGTTGCTAGCTGATTCATGGAGCGATGTCTGCGCTTCTTCGAATCCTCCCTCACTTGCACTATGTCTTTCAGATATGGGAGTATCCGGTGTACTTCCACGACGTGATGTTGGCGACTGGCAGCGCGATGAGCCAGCCCTTGATGTTCGTTGGTGTTTTGCTCTGCCACATGTAGCTTGCCGGTTAGGAAGTTGCGACCAGGCCGGTAGTATGACTCCCAGTTTACCTGGTATGTGGATCAGACAGAATACCGCCTTTGGTGTAAGTGGACGTACGCTCGTAACACTTTTGCCACTCTCCCAGGCAAGACGATTTTCCAATTGCAAATTCCTTCCAATCTGTAAGGCTTTCCTTTAATTGGAAAAACTCTTCATATTTCACGTCGCGAAATCGACTGTACACAAGCATCAAAACGAGGGACACCCCTTCATATCCGTAGATGGATTCGAAGACAAGCCATTTAATTCCATGGCGGATTCCCATGCTTGCATTTTCTGCTTCCTTGTCTTTGAACTCTTTTGCTTGGATGAACTTGTCAAGATGGCCGGTTCGTTTGGCTGATAACTCCAGATTTCGCGAGATCTCGTTTACCCTTGACATATCGAAGGTTGCTTTTTCCCATTGATCGAATTCAATAGCCAATGATCTTTGGCTTAGTCCCCTTCGCAAACCAGTTTCGTGGGTGTTCCCCGGGCTAGAACAAATAGAAATATCGGTGACACGAGGGTCGCCGCTTTTCCAAGTGCACATCCCGTCGAAGTCAGGAGTAGAACACAGATAATTCTGTATAGCGGCGGATCTTTTCTTGTCATTCAAGTACAAACATAGTTCGGAAACTTTGGACGACCGAGGCTTTGTCTTGTCGTCAGAAGAGGGATCGGTTTCAATACCATCAGTGCCATGGTTAATCGGTCGATCATCCGAGTCAGAAGGCGAAGTAGGACTCCCGTTGTGAGTGCTCTCATATCCATCTATTTCAGCGGGCTGTGGCGAGGAAGCTGGACTGGAAAAGGAAGGACTAGGAGATGCACTGGCAGTACCATCAGACCTTGCGGGTCCGATTCGGACGGCTCGAACTGCCTCAACAGTTCTCTGGAGGGCCTGTAAGGCATCCGTAAGTTTCCCTTCGTACTGAAGCAACACCCAACTGTCTGCAACGGATAGAGTAGTCAGAATGTCCGTTGCTTTCAAGATGGCATCCAGATCAAGCATTCTGAACCGTAAAAGCTGGGAATGTGCAAAGGGCCTATAGGGGGAGATATGAGGACGGTGTCGAGACTTGTACCAGAACCTTGGAAGGATGGTTGATTTCAGTGGTGTTGGGGCTCAGACAACCAGGTGCATAAGACCCTTGTCAGTCTAGGCTTTTAGTTGGGCTCTGAGCCCCTGTGATTCCTTAACTCCGGTTCCCAGGAACCGGAGTTAAGGAATCACAGGGGTCGGAACGCCAATCACAGTGGTCATATGCGCCTCGTGTTACATTCAGACCACATATTGAGCGGCAACCTCGGAACAATCCATGGCCCAAACGTAATAACTGCGCAGCCCCTTCCCACCAATATCGGATGATAGCCTATGATTAAGCGCCCTACGTAATGACAACTAGACGGGACAGAATAAATTTTTACCAATAATGGTGTCGATCACCTCGGGATTCCTCTTTTGGGTACTCGATGCCGGGGTGATGTAAAGGGTGAGAATGTCAGACTGCCAACATTCATCCCCGCATGGGATGAAACAGTGAATAGCTCCACCTACCCCGGGTTTACCCGCCCCATGAATCATGAATCACCCTTGGATATTTGAACCATCATACCTGCAAAGCGCATGCCAGGGAATATTCTGGATAAAAAAACCACGTAGGCGGCTCACCTAGTGGTAGGGTCTTTTAACTTCTGAACAAACACCATCTTTCCAAGGTTTCCGGCGAGACGATGAAGGGCGATTGGGTGTTGACACGTGATCCCGAGGAGAAGATTAATCAATAAACCTGAAGGAAAAAGAAGGCGCTTTATCCTCTGATATATGGCGGATTGGGTAAATTCCGGCAATATCGTAAAAACTGGATTGGAATTCGCGGCTCAGTTGATTTTCCTTGCAGCCCTCCAAAGCTGTTCCAACTTCGGCGGTTTTCCAGTTTAGACACGATCTGGGTGATACCACTAGAAGAAAGGGCCGCGGTCGAGGATCATATCGACAAATGGCTCCCGCTGAGGCTGACGATGGTTGGCTGGAGTGGGATGATAACGGGCACAATGAGATCGGGTCGTCTCGAATCAACCTCCGGACGCCATCCACGAGTACAGGTGACACATCGGATGAGAATTTCATCGAAGACTCACCAACACAGGGAATGCATTACCAGTCAGGCCCTGACTTCGATAGTGTTTGTCCACACTGGCAACAACATCTCGCGCACGAGAATCTGTGGAGTCATTGCCCGAGGTGCAAACGCTATATTTTAAAAATGTCTGCTAGGCGGGTGACTAGCTGGTTGTCGCTGAAGTTAAATTAATTGCTTTGGTACTAAGACCTTGGTTTTCTAGTCAAACGCAGCATCGTGTTTCTGATATAGTTCCATAAGCCAGCAAGCCGACGTCGATGGGCACCATCAAAGTCCATTCCAATAAATCTTCAACTAGCTTTCCATGTTTCTAATTCTAAGGGCATACTAGTGGATCGCTCCAGGTTATTCTGCTCTAATATCTTTTATTAGCGTTCTTTTCTTCTCGGATGAGACGACTGGTTAAAATCAAGTTACACACGCAGGACGCCTTGAATTTTGAACTTCACTAGCAAAATAAAGGCACTTTGCTATAAAGTCGGCAATATAGCCACTATTTCATCAGCATCGCGCTCCAATACACCTCTGTAAACTCCTGGTTCAGTCCCGAAACCCTCGTAGAAGAGAATCCTTGGTGAAACAGAGACGCAGTTAGGTACAGCAAGACTACCTGATTCAACTAGAACAAAGTCTGCAGACCATCGGCGACTGCCACGGTATGTATAGAAAACTAACGTCAGGGAAAATGGATGTGTATCAGAAAACCGATGAAATTCCCTCCATGACTTTCTCGTTCAAGATGGTTGCCGTTTCCTGAGCGTTGTGCTCCAGTGAACCTGTATGGAGCCTTGCTTCCTTCCAGGGAACTCCTGGCTGAATCGCTTGATCACTTCCGACCAAGAAAGATTTTCTTCTTGCCTAAGTTTCACCAGAAGCTGATCTTCTTCTATGGACCATGGTAATCCTTTTCTTGAGCGATAGGTATGTTTTGTATCGACCACTTGCGTGCCGGCATTTGATTGTTCCGGTAGTGTAGTGGGAGCTTCCTCTCTTCTGGGAATACAGCTCGACGCTGATGCGTCTTTCGTGAAAGAAGGCGAATGGAAGCATTGAGATAGGGCACCCTCGAACAACCAGGACAAGAACTGCAGCCGCTCTTCAACGGGCAACGTAGAGAACTGATCACGTAAGGTAGAAAATGAGAGTTTCTTGCGATGATTTACTCGAGTAAAATTTCCGGTCCGGTTCGTTGGGCGATTGTCAACGATGACAGCAAGTCTGTCCTTTTTGGACCGCTGCTGCCCTGGTGTGTCTGTCTTTCGCGAAATTTGTCGCCTGCAGCGAGGGGCAATTCCATCCGCCGAGCAGGGAGAAGGGGTCCCAATAGTGGGGAATACCTCTGTTGCTGTTGCTGGTGTCTGCTCAATATGTCGAAGTTGGTGATCGTCGAGGATTGCTGGATCAATCGTCGCGTCAGAATGCCCCCCTGTCAGAAAAGGGCTTCCAGCACTGCCAACTTGCGAATGCCAACCAAGAGTGGGAGTGAGCCCCAGATCATCCGAATCGAAACCGAGTGGGCGCTGAGACCCTAGGCCCACATTGTCACAAATCATGGAATGGACTTCATCTTCAGAAATTGGTAAATCTTGCAACTGCAGGATATCCTCGAAGCCAAAATTCTCAGTTTCAGGATCAACGCATAATGTATAGTCCTCTACTGCGGGCTGGTGCGGAGGAGTGCTGGCCTCCTGAGGTCGCCTACCATCAAGGCAAACCTCCACCGGCGGTCGGGCAGGAAGAGGGTGCCGCTCAGATTTGTGCGGATGGGCTTCCTTATGCTTCGAAGCCAGGTCGCTAGAATTGGATGAAGGCGAGATGGTAGTGATGGAGACAGGACTTGGGTAGCGATGGATACTGAGGGAATCCCGGAAATGGGATTTGTCCTGGAAAGGATTCCACGTCCGGAAAGGTTCCTGGCGGAAACTCGCGCTTGACATTGGGAGAAAAAGGCAGCGGGACAGGTTCACAAGGGATGATGATTGGGGTGACTCTCGAAAAGGGAAACTGGCAACGAATTGAGCGTAGGGGGGAAGGGTCAGGGAACACGGGGAGTAGGATTTCGGATCATGAGGCGTTGGTTTCCATTTTGCCATTTGGGCGGATTTGCAGTCTCCTTTATAGACCGTGAGGCCGAGCTTGCTTTCCACACAGCACGGAAGACATCGACCCGCTCTGGCCGCCTATACTATCTCGTCCAAATCACCAAGACGCCGCCAGTACCGCGAATGCGGACTGTAGGTCACCATCAACATCTCCGCCTCATTCGCCGGCGGTGCCTCTCCAACCCCTCAAAACAACGAAGTGTGCCTCCGATGATCATGGGTCGTATCTTCATTCGCTGAAAGGTATCATCGCGGGGTTCGGCCGCAGCCTGGACCTCGCGATGTAGCATCGACTGATACTAAGCGAGTGTGCGGTGATTTCGCTATTGGCTAGCATCGCCGTGACGCGCTGTCGAGAATCACCGATTGGATGTGAATGCACCGGAGAGACCGACGATGACGACAACCGGGGTATCAGTGCATCTACGCACAAGCGGTCGAGAGCAGATCTGCGACGCCAGGGGCCATGCGATGTAACATCAGCATGGAGGATGAAGAGCTTGCAGAGTCGAGAAAGGCAGTCGGCGATCTTGTAGCGCCGAAGGTTAGCGGAATAACAGAGACGCTCAACGGGCAGGCCTTCTAGGCAGAAAGCGATCTACAAACTTTCGTAGCAGTACCCACGGTCACCTCGTCAGGGAAACGAGCATCGACACAACCACACGATGCGGCGGCGGCCTAGATCAGCTCAACGTCGTCTTTGCTCCTGGACGCAGCTGAAGGACCCTGTTGCCCATCTTTGCCAGCACGCGCGTGGCGTGGGATGGAGCGGCATTTTCACGGGAAATGAAAGGGGCGGTGCATCGGTCCGTGAGCCAATGCGCAGTATGTGGTGGGGGGAGGCAGGAGCGGCGTCGAGGGTGAAAGAGAGAAGAAAGTGCGTCGATGAGAGTCGAGGCGGGCGAGCGGTGTTTTTATAGATGGAGGGCCGGGGACGGGGCGGTAAAAGCGGCCAGGGAGGGCGCTAAGCCCGACGGGGCATAGGAACTACGGAGACGGGCAGGCGGTCGGGAGCAGCAAGGGGGCGGTACAATAGGAGCCATTTCCGGCGCCCCGCTCACCGTGTCAACTAATACTATAAAAAAGATAAACTAAAAGAGTCTATAATAGACTAATATATAGTTATATTTTAATTAAATTATATATTTAGTAATAGAAGAGCTAAAGCTCTTATATAAATAATATAGTAAGGTTATAGACTATCTAGTCTATATTAAAAATAGGATAATAAGTCTCTAATATTACTAGAATTAGAGTATATACTAAAAAAGCTAAAATACTACTAAATATTTAATAATCTAATATCTTATAGAATATATAGTATATTATATAGCTATTATTTAATTTATAGACTAATCTTTCTTAGGCTAAGAACTCCCTTTAAATAGCCTAGCTAGTTATCTAAGAGCTATAAAAATAATAGTTAATTATTATAATAATTATTTTATAGCTTTTTTTTTAAATTATTAAATATCCTAAATTCTAAGCTTTTTTTTAAATAATCTAATTATTATTATTTATCCCTAGTTTTCCTTTTTATTAAATTATATAATATTGAATCTAAGGAATAATCTAAGATTAATAGAAAGATTTATTTTAGAAGCTTTTATCTAAAGCTAAACTCTCTATTAGTCTTAACTATTAGATATCGCTATTTTAATAAGTATTTATAGCTATTTTTAGTTATTTTATTAATATAGACTAGAATTATTAAAAGGTTTTATTTAGCTTCGAATCTATTTCTAGTATATATTTTAGATAGAATCTTAGTATAATCCTTTTTAATATCCTCTAGAAATATTAGATTAAAGACTAAGTATTTATAGTAATAACTAATAATATATTAAATAACTCTACTCTTATTTTAAGTATCTAAGATTCTATTTAATTATTAGATATTAACTCTAAGATAATAATTATTTAGGTTCTATATATTATATATATAATTTAGTTAAATTTAAAGTAACTATTTAATTAGATAAAAGCGAATCTTTAGAACGAGATAACTAAGACTATTTAGTCTAAAGAATATATCTAATATATCTATTAAAAAATATAAAAATAAGATATTATAATAACTCTTATAAAGATATATATCTATACTCTTTATTTATTAATTAAAATACTAACCTATTTTATATTTTAGATTAGAAATCTTATAATCTTTATTAATATAAGCCTTTAATATCGGGAGTCCTTTTTTAGTCTCTAATCTAACTACCCTTGATTAGTTCTAATTTAAGATATCTAAACTAGATAGAATTTAATCTTTTTAATACTCTAATATATAAAATAGTTATAATTAGTCTTTAATTAATTTTACTCTAAATATAATTATCCTTATCTTAAAATTAATATAGATAAATAGTATTAGATTAACTATCTTCTTAATATTATCTAGCTATTTTTCTAATTTATTATAGTCCTTTTAAAAATAAAAGATATTACTATTTATACTATCTTTATTATCTATAATAAGTTATTTAATTATTTTAAAAGATTAATTAGATAGTTTAGTAAAAAAAAGATTAGATAGAAGTAATAGATATATTAAGCCCTTAAATTAGCTAAAAGTAAACTCTATAAATATTACTTTATAATAAATAATAAAGAGCTTAGTAATATCTATATAATTAATACTATCTTAGTTTTTTAGTATAAGATTAAATTTTTTTAAACTAAAGACTAAGATTACCCTTAGATAGATTATAGTATCTAATACTAATAAAATCTTAAAAGTTAGCTTCTAAGTTACTAAACTAATAATATTCTAAACTTTTAATTATTATCTAAAATAAAATAGTCTTATTAAATTAATAAGCTTAATATATTTTTAATAGCTAATTCTTCTATCTTAAGCTCCTAGTCTAAAATAATATAATATATTAAAAAAGGTAAATTTCTATATATATCTCTATTAAAACTAGGGTTCTAAGTAATCGCTTAAAACCCTAATTCTAATTTATTAAGTTTCTATCTTTCTATCTCTATTAGAACTAAGGTTTTAAGGCCTATCTTAGAACCCTAGTTTTAATAGAGGTATTAGTTCTAATCTATCTAAATATTATACTAATTATTATAATCTATCTTCTATCTAGATACTATTCTAATCTTATCTTATTAGTTTTAGAAGGATTATTAGTATAAATTTCCTATATTTATAAGCTTTATCTATAATCTCCTTTTAATCTTAGCTATTAATATTAATATTAAATAATTATTTAATTCTATATATAATATTTATTATTATTAATAAAAGATATTAAATATATCTATTATATAAGATCTAATAATATTTATATATATTACTAAATTTGAAGTTAAAAAGAAATAGCTTATATTTATTTAAGAGCTTTAGGAGTAGGATAAGTTAGAAATTATATAGAAAAAAAAAGACTTAAAAAACTTATAAAGAGATTATATTAATTAGTAATAATAAAGAGAAGGATATTATAGATCTAATAATTATAATTAATATATTTTATTAATTATAGTAAAAAAAGTTAAGAAGTAATTATAAAGATAATTATAGCCTCCCGCGGATTTCTAATAAGGTTTATAAATATCTACGAATATTTAATAATTATAAGCTTTAAAATTAAAATTAATTAATATTTAAAATAATATTCTTTAGAATTATTTTTTAAGAATTATTCTTCTAATTACTATAAAAAATTATTTAACTAAAATAAATATAATATCTAAAAATATAGCTAAGAATAATATAATTTATAAAAGTTATATAGTTAATAAAGTATCTATCTAAATAGGTTAAATAAGTTAACCTATTAACCCGCGGGATAGGTCAAAAAATCTTGACCCGCCCACGGGTTAAGAGGTCTGACCCACGACCCGCCCATAGGCTGACCCATAGGTCGACCCATATAGGTTATCCGCGGGTCTGTCCAGGTCTAGTAGAGGCGACGCGTAACACATTGCCTATATAGTAGTCTCTACATAGGGTGCTCTCCTAAATAATAGTCTCTATATAGGACTATTACCTATATAATAGTCTTTAGAATGGCCACCCTTGGCCTCTTGAGCCATTATGATTGCAGCGATATGTTGTAGAAGGCTGTGCTTCGAGAAACGGTCCTGAAGCAGTGAATCAGATATTGTTCTCCGTTTTAGAATCGGCTTTCGACCCAGACACAATTTTTGCCTTTTGCATTTAGATTGTTGAGCTGTATCCGATACATCCTTTGCCATGGTCGACCGCATATTCAAGCCTCGGTCCATTATTGTGCGAGTGCTTCCACGCCGCTGAATAGCGCCAAGAGGCCCAGACTGCCTCTTCCGTCCAGTTGTGAGAGAAATAATCCACTTGCTCGAATGGTCCAGTTTCCATTGACAGGTCGTCAGATGCCAAGGTACGAAGGGACCACACTGTGGCAGTCGAAACATCTTCGGCGTCGGGAAGCCAGGAGTCTTCAGAGTCTAACCAACACGATGGATACATAATGGTTTTTCTTCCTCCAAAATATGGCTGTTTAGTCCTAGAAGCTAAAATGCGAGGCGGTTAAGTAGAAAAGGTGAATACAATTGGGCTGGGTCACCTCGCAGCCCACGCAATGCCCCATCGCCCTCTCCCACCACACACGGCGGGGTTCTGCAAGCTGAGTAGCATAAGATGCAAGAATAAAAAAAAAAAAGGGAATAATGTCCATGCGCTAAGTCCTGAGAAGAGGAAGGATCGTCTTTGTCGGGAAATCTAGGATAATTTCATTAGATCATTGGATTGAGATGAGGATGATATCGCGGAAAATCCTGATTAGGTTCTTTTCATATATGGCACCAAGTCGTTAACTGGAGGTCGGTTACATCATGCATCCTTACCTTATATTCAGTTCCATGCCAAATGTAAATCTAATGACAGTAAATACAAAAGGAACAGAGCACTTTCACGACTGGAACCGCTTAGGGCTTGCATCCCGGACCACTTAGCATTAGGATTTGCTGTTTTTCGCAGCATACTGCGAATACCGCGCCCCCTTATGTGCGATAAGACTTGAACTCACAACAAATGGTTAGACCCGTTGTTATCAATCACTTATGTTTCTATGTGTCGTTCAAAAACCATTGGATTTGAGGGGATCCTCCGTAAAATATATGCTAGTCAAAAGCGTCACAGTCTCTGCATCTGCACCTCTGGAATACCTCTACCTCTCATGTCTTTGTAGACCGCTTCTTCAACGCCAACCAGCAGATTGGCAGCTTCATTGAGACCAGCAGGGATCATCTGCATGTAGAGAACACCGCAGATTTTGTTCTTCGGGTCAAACCACTGTAACACATATCAGGCAATACCCCTTTGATGGTGATGGATTACATACCCAGTACTCATTAGGATACCCCAGCCAGCTCACAGAGCCCTTTGGTCGACGTCCTGGAAGATCTCTTGTTGTGATGCAAGCCCCAAGACCAAAATCCAGTGGAAAATGTTCAGGGAAAGTACTAGTAAGTATGCCACCATTGGAGCCATGCATGCTCTCTGTGACCAACTTGGTGTCTGATACCTGTGGCTCAAGAATGCGATTTAAATTTTCAGGTGTCACCAAACCATTTGGCTTTATAAAAAGGTGCCAGAGAAAGAGGTTAAAATCTCGAGGCGTTGTCCAAAGCCCAATTCCTCCAAGGTCGTGGGATGGTTCAAGCGGATATGGGTTCAAGTTCATACTAACACCATTGTTCCGAGTTGGGCGAGTGATTTCCAAGCGACGAGCCAGTAGATCAGGCCTGGATTTGGGGCGAAAAGTGCAATCATGTGCCCCAATCTGATCCCAGATATATCGCTTGCAAAATTCCTCAAATGAGCACTGGGATACCACCTCAATCTAGATGATCCATGTATTAGATGTCTGCAACAAAGGCAAAATTGCAGTCAAAACCCACAATCCGACCAGCCCAGTCAAAACCAGGACCATAGGCCCAGCCTTGGCCAGGCTCAAATAGAAGTGGGTGATGGCAGTCTTCCTGTATTTGCGTTTTTCATGAGCCGACTTACTATGCTTATGTTTGATGGATAGTGAGTACTCACCAGAGAGCTGGACAATTCATCGGATCTTCGATTGTTGTAAGTCGCCCATTTCTTAAGGTCCTTGGTGAGGAACAGATACGCTAGCCCACTGGTGTGGGTCAGGAGCTGGTGAATTGTGATGGGATTTTTTGCTCTTTTCGTAATTGGGATACCTAGTACTATTAGTGTCCAGAATATTAGGGGGGGGGGGGGGGGGGGGTAAGGACTAATGCATACTTCCACCAGTTAAGCACGCCTCAAAGCCAATGAGAATTTCCATCTCAGCTAGTTCTGGGAGATAGGTGTCGGCAGTGTCTTGAAGACTCAGGAGTCCCATTTGACTTGCGATCAAGACAGCAGTAGTGGTGACAAGCTTGGTTGCAGAGGCAAGCCAGATAAAGCTATCATCGCGGAACTGCTCAGTTCTTCCAAAGCCAAGGCTGCCCTTAAAGCTCTGTATGAACTGAGGGTCATCTGGATAGTTTAGAATAATCTATCACTGTGGTGCATTTTATGAATGGCCTTACCCTCTGCCCTGATCAGAGAGAAACCAACTGCACTTGCATGACGCTGAGGGTGGGCCATGTAGTCATTCAGGACCTTCTCCATTGTTGTAGGTATGAGGGTCTGGTGAACAGAATAGCAAGAGTGATCAGCAAGATGATAGTCAAGACTTGAAGTGGGAAGGAATACTTCCACAGAATGACTACATAGAAACAATATCTCTTTATAAGTAATACATATGAATTAGATATTACAATACCTGCCTCGGCAGAGAGCATTTTGACATTCTTTTCTGCTGCCATCCAAGCCCCCAACCTAGTGGTGGTGGGCTATACGTGTCAACATTTATGCCGGCACCTTCTTTTGACACTGCCTCCCATAAAACTAAACATCCGACCAACCAATAAGACCAATGCATACCGCAAGAGACAAATAACTTCAGTGATGAATAACTAGCTCTAGATAACTAACCAATTAGCTCATTTCCCCCTCCACCACTATCCGTGGTAGATGTCCCTATCAACCTACTCTTTGCACATCAATGCCCGAGGACATCCCAAAACTCCCAAGAAAAACACCAACACTCTCATGTCTTCACATGCTAGTGTTGTATGAATAAGCCTTTGGCGTAGTACAGCTTATCGTGTTTGTTGGGCCGGCATATCAGAGCGGGGGATGGATTCACGCAATTGCCTCCGATTCCTACCACGCATCACGAGTAGTTCGGCCGGATGATGAGTCCATGGTATTTAATAATAATGAGGTCTAAGAATGATACAGACCGCAAACTTCAATTGTGCCTTTGCTCCGTTCCAAACAATTCCAGACCCCTTCCCTTCTACCACACCAAATGACTATGTTGCTAGATACTTTCTGGCTTGAGCTTGACAATTTCGCCAAACTCTGGCAATATGTCTGTACCACATACCCATATGGCCTTGTTGAATCGATAGTAGGGACAGTGGTCCTCACTATCGGTTTCGTGGTCCCAGCCACTATGTATCTGGTGATGGATCAATTTCCAAGCTTTGCCAAAGCACGCAAGATTCAGCCATGGGAGAAACAGCCGACGCCAGAAAAGACTCGCCAGGCCATTATCTACTCGCTTTTGAACTACTTCTACACCTGTGCCACCGTGTTCGGCTACCACTGGCTACTTGGCTGGCGCACCTCGACCTACCGGTTCGAACCCGAGCTACCCACTCCCCTCGGCTTTGTCACCGAATTTGCATGCGGAATAGCTCTTCGAGAAGTCATCTTCTACTATATCCATCGCTTGCTTCACCACAAGTGGTTTTTCTGGATTCACCAGAAACACCATGAGTTCAACACGCCTATCGGGTTTGCAGCGATATACTGCCACCCGATTGAAATGCTGGTTCAGAATGGCCTTCCCATCGCTCTACCTCTAGCGATATGTCGTGGTCATTTCATCACACAGATGCTTTTTGCTACCTATGCTGTATGGGACGCTACGGCGGCGCACAGTGGTTACACCTTTGGTCGGCTTCCTACGCCAGAGCTTCATGACTTGCATCATGAGAAACCCCTTCAACACTATGGCGTGGTTGGCTTCATGGACACGCTGCATGGTACTGACCGGTCACCAATGAGGCCGTCTCGATTGAAGTGATTTTCAACCTCAAAGCCTGCAGGGGGTACGACAAGGGCCACGCGTATTAGTATGGTACATACTTTCTGGTTCTTTGGATTCAGAGAGGGAGAGGGAGTAAGAGAGACAAAAGAGACAGATGTTTGAGATTGGTCAAGTTTCTCTTTTGTTGAGTACCCACTAGGATGACAGATAGAAACCACCCCTTAGGAATTCAACATTATGTTTCTATATACTTCCACCGTCGTGGCGACAACAGGTTCCCAGCCGCTGATGACGAAACCTTTCCCAACAGATTGAATAACGTCTTCACCTTCGGGAAAAAAAAAACACGGCTTGAACGTTTCGGGTATACCAAACCTTTCTGCATGAAAACTGCGCTATGTTGTACTATATGCAGGATGCCAGAAATGAGTGCCGTTGTGGATGATCATTTACGTTCTGGGACGAGGCATATCGAACCATAGCGATACTCCATCCCAACTCCACGGCACTATGAGATCCGAGCACTCTCAGGCAACCAATTCCATTATATAGATGGCCACGAAGTCACATCCCTATCAAATATCAGTTCAGATATACTCAACTCATTGCCTTCCAAATGAATCTATTGAAATACCTATACCTCAAAATTGTCGCACTTTTCCTCAGAGCGCTGGTTCGACTTCACGGATACAGTCTTGCCTGTCCTGACGCTGTCTACTTCATCCCCTCCCGAGACGACAAACGACCGATCAAAACGTTTGTTTACGAACCACGCCAGAAAGATGCGAATACTGCCACCCCTGTTCTAATCAACTTCCACGGTGGTGGATATATGGTGTCTGCACACGGCAGCGACGACGAGTTTTGTAAGCAGATGAGTGGGAAAGCAGGACATACAGTACTGGATGTCCAGTACCGAGTGACACCCGAAAATCCGTTTCCTGCGTCATTGCAAGATGGCGAGGATGTTTTGAATTGGGTCTTGGGGAAGCCAGATTGCTTTGATTCATCGATGGTCTCTCTGTCCGGATTCAGCTCTGGCGGAAACCTTGCACTGGCACTGGCCACTTCTTCGAATTTTCCACCAAAGATTATTCATACTGTCCTGGCTTTCTATCCTGCCGTTGACTGCGTCCCAGACCCAAGTACCAAGAAGGCCCCTGTTGATGGGGGATTCCCACTGCCACCCTTCCTACTGCGTCTCTTCAGGAGTGCTTTCATTCCATCGTTCGAGCTTGCCAGTGATCCTCGAGTGTCGCCGATTTATGCAGACCCAGAGCGGTTCCCCCTGAAGACGCTGTTTGTCACTGCATCGTATGACAACCTGGCGGAAGAAACTGAGCGCCTTGCTTCTCGGATCGCACAGCTACCTGGTCGGCATGTTGTTTGTCATCGCGCCGAGAACTGCAACCATGCATGGGACAAGTTTCCTTGTTTAGGGGTTGAGGAGGTAAAGGCCAAGATGAAGGTATATTCTCTTGCTGAGGACTTGCTGCAGTCTGGGTTGTACTATGTGGCTCCTGCTGCTTGAATGTTTTTGGCAAGGGTTTGTTGATCCTCGGAAGTTGTGTTTGCCTGTTCTTTCAGTTGCCAACACTTTTTGGGACCTTTCTCAGACACGTTGTAGCAGTCATATTTACTGATGAATACAATCAGAGATGGGGGATTCTGTCAAGCATCTACAAATAGCCCACATGGTATTCAGCATTGGTGGGACTCCAGAACGGGATATAAACGCACCGTTGCAAACAGCTGCCCAGGAAAGAACGGCAGGACGTATCACTTGAAGTCATTTCCTCGAAGCTCAGCATCATCCTTTGTCCGGAAGGAATAACGAACAGATCTCAGAGCCCATGGTTATTCAATCTCGGCCGACTCAGTGTCCTTCTCGCGAAAGCCGGAAATTATATTAGGAAGGCCAAGAAGCCCCGGCGATGTTTTCAATATTATGGTGACGCTGGACTTCCCATTCATCGCCGAACACAGAAATATAGCGAGTATAAGTCCACCCTGCGACACTTTCGAGAGAAACACTTCCAGGATCGAAGGTGTCATATGTGACGACGATCTGCTCCATGAGATGCATCTTCGCAGGCATGCAGAAGAAATTCATCGTCTCAGCACTCAACGGAATTACTCTCAAAGAAGATATGGGATCAGACATTGACACTGATTAATTGGGAAGCCTGTAGGGTTTATGCTAAATTGAAGAAATCTGATTTATTTTGCTTGGGAATAATCAACCTTTTGATGTTTATTATATTTTCTGTGACAGTGCTCTAGTTTCTACAGTTATTAACTATTAAGTTACTGAATCTATCAATATCACACCTCGCTGAGAAAAACGTAGCCATGGAACATGCCGTGCGCGTTAACAACATGCTCGTGGTGGCTCGCCCACGAAACCCCACAACCCTTTGTCCCAAAGATCTCTAAATCCCCCCTAGGAAATTTGAGGACTTCGACTTCTGGGTGTTAGGTAAGCCAATGTGAGGGTCTCACGTATGCGAAGAGGCGAATCACGTCTCGAGATCATCGGAGAACATACAGACGATATTGACGTCGAGACATATATGGACATGTGTGCCTTGCGATAATCTTTCCATGCATACTATTACCTATCGGTGCCGAGAGAGCATGCTGGCGATACAACGGAACGGACCGGCAACCCAAGTGACGACAACAGATTGCACCTAACATCACTCTGCCAGGTTTTGGCCTTCACCCTCCAAGCTCTGCAAACACTGCTGCAAGATATTCAGTGGCGAAACTGGGTGGTGAGGAGACTAGTGACATGGGAAATAATCGGCGACGAATGACTGCGTGTTTGTGCACTCCACCTGGCACTTTTAGCCCCGAACCACGACGTGCTTGGTATAACAAAGCTCTTGATCTGGGTGTGGCATGGGAATGGGACAGTCTGGACAAAGATGGCAATCCACAATACCCAGGTCTCTGTGACCATCCATTCTACAAAATGGCTTGACATACAACACCGATGTGATTGTCATCTGCCAGGCAGTGTGGGATGACTTCCCAGAGACTTTATCCGAGGTGAGAGGAGACCAAGGAGGCTATCCCAAGTCTACACTACTACAAGACCATCTTATTCCCGGCGGTACCCTCCATGAATATCTCCATTATATTGGACACCCACATGGTAAGTTTCATCGAGTGTGGTGAGAAGTATTGGTGTGGCCTTGCTAATGTAACTTCAGTTATTGACAAAGAGTATATCGATGGCTCGGGTCAGAAGGTATTTGGCTATGATTGGGAGAAATGTGTGGATCTTGCATCGCTGTTTGAGGCCGTGGAAAATGCAGATAACTATATGTTTTTCGGTATGGCCATGGCCTTGAAGCCAGTAGAGTGGCATCGTGGGAAAAAGATGGTTACCTAGGAGTCCTATCTCGTTCTTGTTTTGTGTTGTTTCTCATGTCGTTTTCGTGGCCCTAATTGCTGTACCTTCTCTACATCTTTCCCTTGTAGAAAACATTTATTTTAATACCCTTTTTAATACCCTTTTTAATACCCTTTTTACTCAGCCTCCTTTTCTTTCTCTTTATTTTCTGCGGAATATTTCCGTCTCTACCTAGAGTTATCAGAAGACAGCTACAAATCCTTATACTCGAGGAAATCTCATACTCCCCCTGATTATCACACCTAACCACTATCTCTACCACATCCCATTAATCCTCTGCACCCCCTCCTGCCCCAGTGCATCCGTCCAGCGATCCTTACGCTGGTGATAGATCTCCATGCTCAACTTCCCACAATTGGCCCGACTCTCGTCATCTAACGTGCCGGACTTGACCACAATCATTCTGTCCTCGCCGCTGGGCTGCGACGTGAGCGGCGAGCCGCAATTCGCACAGAACGTGCGCCGCACCTGGCCGCCGCGGTCGTTGCGATCTAGGTAGAGTTTCGGGGTGCCCTCGGTGAAATTGAGACTGGTCTGTGGGACGATGATGTTGGCGGAGAAGCCGGAGCCGGTGTAGTGTTTGCAATTGGTGCAGTGGCAGAGGACGATCTTGGAGATTGGAGATTGAGGTTGGAATTAGCATATTGAGTGTGTGTATGGAAGTATGCTCGTTTAAGTGCAAGGCATGCATACCTCGGGAACAGGCTCGGAGGCGGGTAGGTCGATGCGGTAGGTGATGTTCTTGCACAGGCAAGACCCGGTGAAGGATTGGGACATCCTGGGTAATCGGAAATTGAAAATAGAGAAACCGACTGTGTTTTGTTCCCATAGAAACAGATCTAAAGTAGAAGAGGTAAAATGGTTGGCATGAAACTATTTACTCCCGATGACGTGTGGCTGGCGTCAGCACACGTTGTATGACATTGCTCACCTCATAGATTGATTAAAATACCACAAAATAAACAGCAGCTAGGAATATGAATCGACATTATGTGTAGCTCGTCAATGGAAATTAGAATGTAATGGACTTTCAACCGCTCGCTTTATAAACCATCCACGGACCAATTTAGTCTCCTCTGCCATACTCTTATAGAGATCCCCATCCCATGCAAAGCACAGAAGCAGCGAGCAGCATGGTAGAGGCTTTCCTCACGCTGAGTCTGTCTCCACTCGATGTGCTGGTCGGAGTAGGCGTTGTCGACGTCGACGTAGTTGCTGCCGTAGGACTGTCGTTCGACGACGGAGGCGAGCTGATGGACGAGGAAGCCGATGCTGAAGCTGAAGTGGTCCCCGCGGAACCTGTCGTAGCAGCCAGAGTCGATGGGCTCTCCAGACTGGTCTTGGTGTCAAATGTGTCCCCTCGAGGGAAGCCGTGATCATCGAGATCGTAGGTCTTGGTCATCCAGCTGCCCGTCGGGGTATGGCTAAAGGACGTGGGAGCAGGCTTCCCCTTCACCGTGACGGTGTCGCAGACAACCTCAAAGTTTGAAGATTCCGTGTCATTACCCATCATGCACATGAACTGGTCGCTCCAATGGTACGGGTATTTATCGTTGAACCGGTGAAAGGCCGGGTCGACCTGGCAGAGCGTGGCACAACTGACAGGGTACGCTGGATGATCAGGGCTCGTCGGCGCAGTGACATTGTAGACAGGACCGGAGCAGCACTGCGCAAAGCGGGCAGCACTGTTGGAGCCGATCGGCGGCGTCTTGCAGATGAGGCCGGGCAGATTCTCGGGCCATTCCGAGAAGGCTCCGCCGTAGACCTCGTTGAATGTAGGGTTACCGGTACAGTGGTTGGAAGGCATTGTGGAGAGCGATTGGCACAAGGAAAAGAGAAAAGATAAAAAAAAAAAGGGAAAGAAAGAAAGAAAATCAGGAGGCTCTGTTGGGCATTGCCAAGCGTCTTGGATATATTCCCTGCTAACTCGACTTGATACTAGCGGGCTCGATAAGCGAAGCAACCCCAATGTTCAGGACTGCAAGGATTGCAAGGATTCAGCTACCAGCCCTACATGTAATGTGGACAGTGTTGGTTGTGATGTGCATAAGCTATTATCTTTATCACTGACCAGTGTATATAGTACAAGCAAGTACTATCCAAGGACTATCCAAGGACTATCCAAGGACTATCCAGGCCCCAATCCATGCCAGATTGACTCTCGATCTCTCCCAACCTTCTCTTCTGACTCCGCTCGGCGGGGATTTCCGATAAAGGCGCTAGCACATCCCCACATGGCCCCAAGCGAGAAATATCAGCAAGGAGAATGCTCCGAGCATCGCAACGTGAGGCTTCAACCACGAGGTGTCTGAGTCATTTCAGATCAAGTCAAAAGTCCCCGATATCGATCCATGGATGCTCCTTCACTTGTCTCTTCTGACCACAAGCCGGGATTTGCAATTCTGCAAGATGATCGCGGTGGGTCTGGAGACTTAGACGCTGAGCCGAGTCCCTGGGGGCCATTTTATTAATAGCGAAACCCGGCCGATCGTGATTTTAAACTCCTTCTGCTGGACTTCTTCCTTGCCATCTTCCGCGCATCCTTGAAGACCGTGAGATTCGCACGGCATTCTTCTATCGCAGAATGTCCATCACGAGCGAGCCCTATTTCCAGGGGTGGTTCGTGGAGCCCAGCACCACCCGTGCGTTTTCTCCCCCTTGAGCACATCTCCTGAAAACAGTTCAGGAGCGCGACACCGAAGCCCCAGGTTCTCACCCGCTAACCATCTCGTCCCAGGGGCAATCATCTGCCCAACGACCCAGGTCTTCTCGATTTCCGATGGCATCGGCGATTGTTTAGAGAAAGATGCCACGGCAGTTGCGACCGGATGTGCAGCCCCGCATGATGGCGCGACTCTATTCTATGGCAATGGCGGCTCTCACAAATGGTGAGCATATTCGGCTGCTGTGTTCCCGGCCTGTATACTCACACAGAATCGCACAGTGCATCTGACCGGACCTGTCGGACTATGATAATCCCCCACACGTCGCCCCATGGATCGCCTGTTTTCACGCATTACATGTGTGTGACCTCGGGCTGGTCGTATAGCACACTCTACCGAGTACACCCCACGGAAAGCGGATCCAACTCGGGTGAGTTCTCGCCATTCCCTCGAAGATATTCATCCATCGTACTGATCATATTCGTTCTGTGCCAGGCACCACCGAAACTGTCACCAGCCCACCCAGCACGTCGGCCAGTTCCACCACAGATTCATCATCCAGCTCGAGTGCGACTGGCACTGGTTCTGGGGGTGGTGGCAGCAGCGGAGGCGGCTCCTCGCTGTCTGGTGGCGCCATTGCAGGAATTGTCATTGGGTGTGTTGCGGCCGTTGTGATCGTGGTCCTGCTTCTGTTCCGCAAGAAGATCATTGCGTGTTTGGGAGGAGGACGAAAGCCCCAGCCGGTGGACGCGCCCACGGAACTACCCAGCCATACGGCGCCAGTGCACGAGATTGGAACGTCTGGATCTGTTGTTCATGAGATTGGATCATCGCAGGTGGGCGCAAGTCCTGTGACCAAACCAGAGTCACCGCGGCGATGATACCCTTGCAACTCGAATTATAAGATACCCAGCCGGAGAGATGTAATTTTAATTGTGTTATTGATGTCCCTTGATCCTAGTAAAGTGGAGGTGGAAGTAGAAGTATAAGCTTGCGCATATACTATGTACTGGTCATATGATATCCGGGGGTAAAACACAAATATAAACTATGCTATGAAGTAGTGCGACAGGGGTAAGTGCAGATTGTCGATCAAAGATGGGTCGTGGACTGTCCATGTGAAGTCGATTACTGTTCACGATTTATTATTCGCGACTGCATTTTCGAACTTCTCTAGAAGGATAATTGTACTAGTATCATGTTGAAATTATCATAAGCATTATTCCAAGGTGATCTTATTCTTTCATATCCTTTCATATAATCCGCATCTAGGGAGAAGTCGTTACATCATCCTCCTCGGCCCTCGGCCCAACACTGTGACCATCGCCAGCGCCGTGATTGGCAGGCCACAATCCGGGGTATTTACATACCAACGCACCCATGACCTTCCCTCTCAACCACTAACTCCTCTACACCCAAAATGCCATCCCAAACACTGACTCGTGCCGAGGTCGCCAAACACACCACCGAGGATTCTCTCTGGTGCATCATCGACCACCGGGTGTACGACCTAACCGATTTCGTCGATGCCCACCCCGGCGGCAGCGTCGTGCTCGCCCAAGTGGCCGGCCAGGACGCGACTACCGACTTCTACAACCTGCACCGCCAGGAGGTGCTAGAGAAGTACCGCGAAGACCTCTGCATCGGGACACTCGAGGGCGAAAAGCCCGAGGTCATCGAGCCTACGCCTGGCGCGCTGAGTCCGGTCCCCTATGCGGAACCGCTGTGGCTGCGCCCGCAGTTCAAGAGCCCTTACTACAAGGAGAGCCACCGCCGCCTCCAGCGTGCGATCCGCGAGTTCACCGACAAGCACGTCACGCCCGAGGCGCAGGAAAAGGAGAAGGATGGCACGTATATCAGCCAGGGGCTCATCGATCGCATGGCCGAAACTAATATCTTGGCTATGCGGCTCGGCCCTGGGAAACATCTTCACGGTCGCTCGTTGCTCGGCGGTGTGGTCGATGGGAAGGAATTTGATTATCTGCACGATATGATCATCGCGCAGGAAATGGTGCGCGCCAATGCTCGAGGTGGGTGGTTCACTATGTAGGACCGCGAAACTATAGCTAACTGCTCTTCCCTTTGAATAGGCTTCCAGGATGGAAACATGGCCGGGATGGCCATCAGTCTGACTGCCGTGCAGCAATGGCTGTGGGATCCTGCTCTCAAGGAGCGCATTAATGGAGAGGTGTTATCTGGCCAGAAGAAGATGTGCCTGGCTATTACTGAGGCCTTTGCGGGCAGTGATGTCGCTGGACTGAAGACCACTGCTGAAAAGACCCCGGATGGCAAACACTACATTGTCAATGGCACCAAGTATGCGAATGATACCGGCCCTGCGTTAAGGTACAAAAGCTGACTGTCTACAGAAAATGGATCACCAACGGCATGTTTGCCGACTATTTTGTGACCGGCTGTCGAACCGAGAAGGGATTTTCCGTGCTTTTGATCCCGCGCGGTGAGGGTGTCGAGACCAAACAGATCAAGACCTCATACTCGACTGCGGCGGCGACCGCCTACGTGCAGTTTGAGAACGTCAAAGTGCCGGTGCAAAACCTTCTCGGTGAGGAGCACAAGGGGTTCATCGTGATCATGAGCAACTTCAACCACGAACGCTTTATGATGGTGGCCGCAGTGGTGCGCATGTCGATGACGATCGTAGAGGAGTGTCTGAAATGGTGCAACCAGCGCATTGTCTTCAACAAGAAGCTGGTGGAACAGCCGGCAATTCGCCAAAAGTGAGTTTTGCTACATGTGCTCAATTGTTTTACCCTGATTCCTAACCCTGTCTTCTGCAGACTCGCTCGCATGATTTCTCTCTCTGAGTCTAACCAGGCCTGGCTCGAGTCTATTGCCTACCAGATGTGCAACATGACCTACGCCGAGCAAGCGGCGCACTTGGGCGGGCCGATCGGACTGCTCAAGTCGCATGCCACGCGGGCGGCGCAGGAGATCGCTGACCATGCCACCAACATCTTTGGTGGACGTGGACTGACCCAGACAGGCATGGGCAAGGTTGTGGAGATGTTCCACCGCACGTACAAGTTCGACGCCATTCTGGGTGGGACCGAGGAGATTCTGGCGGATCTGGGGGTGCGGCAGGCCATGAAGAAGTTTCCCAAGGCCATGCTGTAACTCTCTTAGTCGATTTTTAGTCAATGTGGCTGTATATAGTGTGTGTGCATTGAACATGACACATGAATTTTGGGCTCCAGGGTATAATCCATGAATACCCAATCTTCCAAATTGGACATCACCGAGCCTCAAGGCACCAAGGCATCAAGGCACCAAATAAACTCGAGCGTGGGGCAGCCGGAATATTGTCCCTCCGACGCCACAGCTCTGACGTGAGGGAGCTTTGGTCCCGCTTCGTCTTCTATTCCAATGTTGCCTAGCACCTCTCAAGTTCTCACAACTTCCAAAGACACCATATCGAAATGGCAGGTCCAGATGTACTGCGGCAGGATAACATCCTGGACATTGCAGCCAAAGCAATCCAGCCCCAAGGCGATGGTCAGCCGAGTCTCAAAACATCCTATGAAGCCGTGGCTCTGATCGGCCATGCTTGTATGGCGGCGGTGGACTTCAGGCTGGTGGGACTCGGGGAAGACCACACTATAGGTATGTGATTCCAGAGCTATTTGACCCTGGTTCTATCTGACACTTACTGACTTCCCCAAGATACATCCACAGAGAGTCCTACCCTCCCCGCAGAATGGAACGCTAACTCTACATGTGCCTTTCGGTATGCACACGCGCAGTCGTCGATGCAGTTCCTGCTCAAAGTCAGTCGGCTCGGGAACAACGCTGTGATATTTGCATTGGCCCTGGGCGACGACCGCACCAGCTCATTTGACCTCGCCGTCAAGGACTACACGTCCGAGTCCGCCCTCCCCCTATCCTCCTCAGACAATCTCACAGGTGCTCTGCGCGACGTGTTTATCTCACCTGCCCGCCTAAACGATTTAATCGGATTATTCAAAATCAACGTCATCCAGAAGCTCGCACCCGGGCTGTACAAGGAAGGGTATGAGGATACGAGTCAAGTCTCTCGAGAGCGACCCGACGAGCAAAGGCCACGAGACCCCCTCCGAGACGACTCGCTCCCTCAGCCTGCCCGTCCCTACCCATTCGATGATCCCCTGGCGGCAGCGCCTCGCCGGCCCAACCCTCCGGGAGACTTTGCCCCGCCAGGGTTTGAGGATGAGTTCGAGATCTACCGCCCCCCGCACGGCTATCCGCCAGGGATGGGTAGGAGAAATCCATACAATATTGGAGAGCGTGACCTGTATCCTCCGGGACTTGGTCCTAATGATCCTCTTCGGGGCACCATGGGTCCCGGCTTCGGGCCCCGCGGCGGTGGCATGCATCCCACGTTCGACGACCCGCTCTTTGGGGGATCGGGCGGATCAGGGAATGGAGAATATGACCCTCGCGCACCACCGGGAGCACGATATGACCCTGTAGGTCCGGGCGAGCCTCCCATGGGACGCAATCGCGGACCATTTGGTCGAGGATTCGGCGGAGGTTCTGGCGGATTCGGCGGGTTTGGGGGAGATATTATCTAGGTGCTACTAGTAATTGATGATCAAATGGAAACCATGAATTTAATATCATTTGAAGAATTTCCATGCTTATCGTAGAAATCATGTTTATTTGGCGCCATACTTGCACCGACGTAGGTGGAGAGAGCGGTGTGGCTGGAGCGTGGCGCAACCCACCCAAACCTGCCCTCCCCAACTCTCATCTCTTCTCCCTTTCCTACGTCGCCCCCAAGTCCTTCTCTCATCCCTTGAATCGATCTAGGGAAATTGTCTTGCTGCTGAATTGATATCTTTTTCTTACTCCTGCGTTCCTTGTTTCCTTGTTTCTTGGATTTTGCTGCCTGACTCCCCCGAATTCCTGTGTGCTTTTCTCACGAGACCGCCCCTCCACCAGCTGGCCCCTCCTCCTTTTCAGCCCGGTGTGCACCCCGACACCATGGATAACAACATGGAAATTGATACGGCGCGGTCGCCCGAACCCCACCGCCTCTCGCCCACAAGCGACCCCGGATCCATACCGACACTGGACGGGTGGATTGAGAGTTTGATGACCTGCAAACAATTAGCGGAGGAGGATGTGCGGCGGCTGTGCGATCGGGTGGGTGTCTTGTCTCGTGGATGATGGCAAGAGATCTCGAATTGATGATGTGCGTGTGTATAGGCAAGAGAGGTGTTGCAGGAGGAGTCGAACGTGCAGCCAGTGGTATGTTGTCTCCGGTCGGGTGGCAGCCCACGCAGCCCACTGACAATCGATAGAAATGCCCGGTGACGGTGTGCGGTGATATACACGGCCAGTTCCACGACCTAATGGAGCTGTTCCGCATCGGCGGTCCCAACCCGGATACAAACTACCTCTTCATGGGTGAGTGGTGTCGGTCGGAGTGAGAGTGGGAGTGGATGTGGAGAAGCTCAATTCTAATTTTGTCCTCTGTGTGTCTTTGCAGGCGACTACGTCGACCGCGGCTATTACTCTGTTGAGACCGTCACGCTCCTGGTCTGCCTCAAGATCCGGTACCCGCAGCGCATTACCATCCTCCGTGGAAACCACGAGTCCCGACAGATCACCCAGGTGTACGGGTTCTATGACGAGTGCCTCCGCAAATACGGCAACGCCAACGTGTGGAAATACTTCACCGACCTCTTCGACTACCTCCCCCTCACTGCTCTCATTGAAAACCAGATTTTCTGTCTGCACGGTGGGCTGAGCCCGTCCATTGACACCCTCGACAACATCCGGTCACTGGACCGCATCCAAGAAGTCCCGCACGAGGGTCCCATGTGTGACCTGCTGTGGAGTGACCCAGATGACCGATGCGGCTGGGGAATTTCTCCTCGAGGTGCGGGGTACACGTTCGGGCAGGACATTTCGGAGGCGTTCAATCACAACAACGGCTTGACTCTGGTGGCACGCGCGCATCAATTGGTGATGGAGGGATATAACTGGTCGCAGGATCGGAATGTGGTGACCATTTTTTCAGGTATGCATCGTGGAGTTTTCGGTCTGAGGGGCATGTCGCTGATGAGGTGCAGCTCCGAATTACTGTTACCGCTGCGGCAACCAGGCCGCGATTATGGAGATCGACGAGCATTTGAAGTACACATTGTGAGTAACACCCTTGAAAACAGAGCTACGTGCAGCCCTGACTCCAGCGCAGCCTACAATTCGACCCTTGCCCCCGAGCAGGAGAGCCTATGGTATCGAGACGCACACCCGACTATTTCCTGTGATAGATTTCATTTCCTGTCCTTCAGAAGGCTACTGGACGAGCGACGGAAGGGGACTGCATGCGAACAAGGCTTTTGCCGACTTAATTCTGTATGGTTCGCCTGGCCGTCTGTTGATACCAATGATGAAAATAAAAGACCCATTGAGATGCGAAATATTTTTGTCATACTGTATACTTGCATTTTCTTACACGGCCCCGGGGGATCTCAAGAGTAGACCTGTGCTGGTTAGATGGCAAGTCAAGGGGAAGTCATGGGATAAGCATAACGCACCTCCGTCAAGGCTGATGATCTGCCCATTGACATAGGACCCGGCCCGACTGCAGAGATACAGCACTACGGCGCCGATATCCTCAGCACGGCCAATGCGACCTGCGCCAGAGTTGGGTTAGAGCCCCCCCTGAAAACAAAATAGAAGAGAAGAGAAAAACACACCAGCAGGAAATCTTTCTCCCGCACCCTCCAACCGCGACAACCGAGCCCGATCCGCCGCCCTCTCCGTAACAGTATCCGACGGAAACAGACCCGGCGCAAGCCCATTAACACGCACGCCCAGCGGCATAAACGCATGCGCCCACTCGCGCGTCAGATGAATGAGCGCAGCCTTGCTCGAGCTATACGCAAACTGGCCCTGCGAATGCGTCTTAGTGACACCCGCCAGACTAGCGACATTCAACACCACGCTGGTCTGCACGCTGTTGCTGTTGCTGTTGTTGTTACTGCTACCACCGCCGCCATTGAGAGCCTGCTGGCCCTTGTCAAGTAAGGGCAGTAAAGCCGCAGTGAGGAAGTGGTGCGCGGCGACGTTGCCTGCGTACGAGGAGCGCCAGGCCTCGGGCCCGTCGCGGGTCATCCAGGCGCCGACGGCGGCGGCGTCGGTGAAGTCGATGGAGGCGGATTCGGCTTTGGCGTGCGGTTCGGAGGACACACCTGTTGTGTTGATGAGGATGTTGATGCCGCTTTCTTCGCGGTTGCGGAGCTCCGAGGCGATGTCGGGGATTGCGTCTGTTCGAGAGATGTCGCCTGGGAGGCTATTTTGTTTCTCAGTATCAGTATACTCATGTCTATTCAGTATGTTGTTGCGTGGACTATATTGGGGGTGGGGAGGTGTATTGATGGGTGTATAGATATCAGTACTGACGGAATAATCTGCCCGTGCGACGAGTACTTCTCAGCCACCGTCTCCAGTACCTCTGGTTTTCTTCCGATGATGTACACGCGTGCGCCGTTGGCTGCCAGCGTCTGCGCGGCCATTAACCCGATGCCGCTGCTTGCGCCGGTGACTACGGCGACGTAGCCCTTGACCTCGAAGAGGCTGGGCGATTCGAGCTTGGAGGTGCTCATGCTGGCTTGGGCTGACTGTTGTTCCTGTTAGTGTAAAAGACTGTTTGTAGTATCCCTCAGTATACTATGGTTTACTATGGTTGTGAGGCCAGAGTGAGAGATGTTAGTTAGGGCTGGTGATGGCATGTTGACATCGTGCTGAAGTCATGTGTGGCTGGCCAATCTTCTTCATTTCATTTTTTTTTAAAATACGATTTGTGAATTATCTAGTAGGAAGGCATACACAAGCTAGATAATTGATCAGAGATTCCAAAATTATTGTTACAGTGAAAGTAAACTCGACCTTTGGTGGGACCACTCGATAGCCCTAACCTGATCGCCTTGACTGAATCTCTCTTCCACTACCAGTTCAGCACAAACAACTTTTTAAAAGTTTTATGTATTAATTTATATACCTATGCGCCACAATGAAAGCCAGATATCAAGCTCATGCACTCGTGAAACAACCACAACCACCGCTCCTCTATAATACAGAAAGAGAGCCCCGAGGGACATCGCCACCCTCAAGATCACGACCAGCCCGAATCTCACTGCTCTTCGGACTCGGAGTAGCACCACAAGCACCCTTGTCCTCACTGATCGTACTAATCACACCGCCATAATGGTGCACCTTGGAGCTCCCATCAGGAATATAGAACAGGCGATCAACACGAGCCACAAAGAAGATAGCCGCGACAGAAAGATCAATCCCAAAGTCAAAAACATAGAAACAGGCCTTGTGGTGGTACCAAGCCGGGTTGGAGAGTGGTCGCGGCGTCATCCAGCTCGTGCCAGCGCGAAACGAGGCACCGAGACACAGCAGCACGGCGACGACAATGATAATGGACGCTTTTGCATACCACGACCCCGTACCAAAGGGATCGACTGGTTTCTTTCCATGCGAGAAGAGTAGAACACCGAGGACAATGGGCAACGGGAGGAACGAGACGATGGCGAAATACGTCGAGCCGTATAGCTGGACAGCGCGGTCGATGCGGTGGGTATTGCTGTTGAGAGTATAGACCGACTGGATGGTAACAGTGATGACCATGATGATAGACAAGACGACAACGAAGTAGAGAGCCTTGAAGGCAAGGGACACGGGCTGCGACCAGCCCAGGCGCGGAAACGCAGCGCGCAGTATGCGTTGTGCATACAACAGGTTCAGGATAAACAGTATGACGACGCCGGCGGCGACAAAGATTTGTGCAGCGATGGCGAGGCGCACGTTGGTCGGGTGACAGGCCCAGGCGATGCGAATGGCGTTGGCGATGAGCCGCGACATGCACAAGCCGAAGGTTGCAGCTGAGGGGATAAACTTGTGGTTCCGTTTGAGGTTGCGCTGGAACAGGGTCATGTGTGCGATGGCGGCGACGAGGAATAGGACCAGGAAGACGGAGCATACGGGCACGTCGACGGGGATGGTGGGTAGGCCGCCGACTTGGGCGGTTTGAGAAGCGTAGGGTCCACCCATTGTTGGAGAGAGCCTGAGGTGTGTTCAACAAGAGATGGTTATATGTATAGAGTATAGATTAAAGCGTATAGAGTGCAGAGGCACGAACAAGGTGGTACAATAATAAGAGCTTATTGTCAGGTACTGTCCCTAACCCTATATACTTAAAGACTCTATCCAGGGTCCGACACAAACACCGAGCCCATAAGTAGACAAATTAGCGTGGCATTTGACACGTCCGAAAACCGAAGATCACTCTACATTGAGGATAGGGGTGCCAACCTGTAATAAGACCCTGGTGGTTCCAACGGGGGCTGCGTGTAAACACAATTCTCGCGGTTATATCAATAGCAGGCGGGAAAATGTCGGTGGTCGGGCAGTCTGGGGCCGCTCGCGGATTCCGAAGCCCCGAAGGCCGACATCAACAGACACGCTGGTGGTCAATCAGCTTGGTGGCAGAAAGAGGATCTTACCTGTTTAATATTTTTCGCTCTTTGCCTTCCATCCTTTCTTCGTTTCATTAGCCTGGCATGTTTGGATCTACGGAATCCCGGGAAACCTACAGGAGAAAGGGCCGAACTCCAGGGTAAAATACAGTCAGCCATGGGGCCGATGATCCTATGGGGCGTGAGTGACGAGTCCTTAGCCCAAGGTAGTTATGGATGGGCATATATACAGTCCTTATCTGTAGAATAAGCATGATCTTTGAGTATAGCTGCAACGAGGGTTTAAAATATGCTAGAAGTCAGTATGGAAAGATCAAGGAATCATGTTCAGTACATCCAAATCAAGTGCATAACCCGTTCTATCTACCAATATATCCACGCTAGATGTGTGTACAGCTTATCGAATGGCAAGACCCTTGGCCTTCTTCGCCAGAATCTCCTCGACCTCCTTGGCATGCTCGGAGAAGTGGTCGACGAGGTTATCCCACATCTTGGGCTCATGCTCGTGCTTATGTTCGCTGTTCCACGCAAAGTCAGTGATGGTGAACGGGCGGCTAGACTCGAACATGAACGCAATGGATCCGTGCGAGATTTGCGCTGCAGGGGGCGGGTTCTCGGACGCGGCCTTGAATTCCTCGTAGGCGACGCCGTGCGGGACCACTGGGGCGTAAAATTAGTATCTGCCAAATCAGAGATACAAGAAGTCAAAGATTAATCACATACTTCCGCATTCAAAGGACACACTGCCTGGTTTGAAGGCATCGGAACGTCCGCCGTACTCGCCGTAGATCAGGCCCATCAGTTCGGATGCGGCGTTACGGTGGTAGTACGGTGGGCGATAGGTGTCTGGGTTGTTGTCAGCGTTGCTCAGTATCAATGCATCAAAGAAGAGACTAAGTCATACGAGATGCAACATCCCATCTCGGGGAGAAGATGAGGAAGTCGGCCAGGGGCGCCGCAGGATCACGAGATTTGGCCGTCAGCACACAGAAGATCGAGGGATCGATATGGTCGACGGAGATGGAGCCGACGTTGACAAACTTGGTGAGATCGTATTTGTAGGGGATCTGAACAGAAGTTAGGAAGCGAAGGCAGGGACAAGAAAAGAAAGGAGCATACGTAGTTCCCATGCCAGGCCACAACATCGAATGGGCTGTGGTTCTGCGTGCTCTTGAAGAATTTGCCCCCAAGCTTGTAGACAATCTCCCACGGACTCGGGTCGATCTCGTAATGAGCAACAGGAGTCAAAAAGTCCCGCGCATTAGCCAGACCATTGGCACCCAGCGGCCCCAGATCCGGGAGTTCGAAAGAACTTCCCCAGACCTCAAGCATGTATCCTCGGGACGGACCGTCGGGCAGTTCAACGCGGAAGCGAAGACCGCGCTGGATGACAACGATCTCGCCGGGCTGGACGAACAGCCGACCGAATTCAGTCTGGATATCCAGGGCACCCTGCTGCGGCATGATCAAGAACTCTCCGTCGGAATTGACAAAGGCCTTTTGCTTCATGCTGGCATTGGCGACGTAAACATGGGTCGCCAGGCCCTCGCGCAGCGTGGGATCGCCCGATCCAGCAAGGGTCTTCAGACCGGCCACGAAGTCGACTTCCTCGCTGGGGATGTTGAGCGGATGCCATGCCAGCTGCGTCGGCGAGACATGGATGCGCGGGTTCAGGGGCAGGAAGTTCGACTCGGTATCTTTGTTATCCGGTAGTTCTGTCTGCGCAATCAACGTCAGCATATCTATGCGCCGACCGATATCTGTGTTACATACGAAGCCCTGGTGAGCGACAGCGGGCCGAACTCGGTATAGCCAAGTCCGCTTGTTGCAGTGTCGAGGGGCCACAAACGCCGAGGCCGTGATCTGCTCGGCGTACAAGCCGAACCGAACCTTGCGGGGGCTGTTTTGGCCCTGGGGGATGGTGCCTGGGACTGCCTCGGAGACGAAGCTAACCCAGAGATCCTCCATTAGCTGATTGAATAGCAAGAGAGTCCGGTCAACACCTACGCATTTCCAAAGCCCGGTTGGTACTACAAGAAACAGTAAGCAACAGCGCAACCAGAGATAAGCAGGAAGTGTACCTCGTATGGATCATTCCGCCTGGTGTTGAAGGAGGGAACAGTCCCATCCTTCTGGGTCTGCGCCCAGTGGAAGATCTTCTGATACTCGAGGGGGTCCGACAGCGAGGTGGAAGCCATGGTGGTTGACAAGTTGACGGAGGCAAGTGTCTGGCGAAGAGAAGGAGGGGTTGAAGCCGCCCCGCCCCAACGCTAGTTGGCGCCAGGCAGTGACTATTGATTGCTGTTCAATGCAACGATCTGCATCATCTCCTGAGCCTTACCCCATACCTGCGAGACTCCATACTTCGTGTTCGAACCTGTGGGTCTTAGCCCACAACTCCATGATCTCCGTCTCAGCAGCTCACCCCCGATGGCGATGGATATTTACCAGCGTGGGGGCGAACTCTCGTGCGGTTCGGCATGCCGAAGGGAACGTCACTTTGTCATTGTTGATCATGGACCGTCTGCCCGATCGGTAGTATGGACTTACAATGGCCCTTGAAAGTCTTTGGATATTTCCAGGGTGAGACGAATAAAGCTTTTGTGAACCTTCATTATTCATGAGCTGAGATCTATTTCGGAGATGAGAAGAGACACCATTATATACAAACAACGACCCACGCTGGAAGTTCTATCCGCAGTCGATGCAAAGATACCTCAATCTCCAGTCTGAGTGTCGTCAGTTGAAGCCTCTGGCGCTGGCTTTTTCAGAATCCACCCTCCCAGAAACAAAATGGTCGGAAGCGCAGATACCCCCGAAATCAAGCCCATGGCCCACCCCATAGTCCCCCAACCAGCCTGCTGGCGAATAAAACCTGCAAAGAACGGGCCAATCAGGCTACCCGCCGCAAATCCCATGTTTGACAGGCCAAAAGCGAGAGCCATGGCTCCGCCGCGACCGAAGATATCAGGCGAGCAATGTTCTTTTTCTTTGACGGCGTGGAAAACCTCGGCCACCAGAGGCGGCATGGCAACGGCGAAGCACAAGCCGAGGAGAGCAAGCAGCACACACAGCAGGATTTTGTGATGTGTTGAGTTACCGGTGACGAGTCGGAGGAGGACTGCGACAGGAACAGCGCAGAGGAAGGCCCCGGCGGTAAGATAGCGAGGGGACCGTGGAAACCGGTCAATAATGAACCCGGTGACTGGGTCAAATATGTGCGGCACCATGAGTGGGATAAAGACCAGACCCTGGCCGGTCTGCTGCCATCCAAAGGTCTCCTGCACGAAGAGAGGGAGCACGCTGTCGAAAGAAGTCAAGACTAGGGATACGACGAAGTACCCCCACAGAGAAACCACGAGGCGAGGCGAGCTGAGTAGCACCAGGACGCTGCCGAATACATTTGGTGAATGGGTCGGAGAGGGTGGAAGCTGGCTCTCATAGCCAGTGTGGGTGTCAGGCGCAGAAGTAGCGGTGTTACGGGTGTCTGTCCTTTCCCTTGACGATTGGTCCACGGCAAGTGGTTTCATCTCCGGTGCTAGCCAGGGAAGGGCATGTTTCTTCTCAATCAACACAAGCCGGAAGAAGATATCAAGCCCAATCAACCCAAAGGCGAGACCGAAAACCGCATAATACCCGCCATCTTCATACAAGACACCCCCGAGAAGCGGCCCAGCTAACGTGCCGACACTAAGCGACATGGAGACATACCCAATGGCCTGGCCGAGGCCATCTTTGCCTACCGTGTCGACCATCAGAGCCACACCAACTGTCCAAACCACCGCCGCAGCGGCGCCTTGAGCTAAGCGACCGACGATCCACAAGGCAATGTGGGTTCCAACGCACAGCAAGGCAGTTGCAGCACCCAGCGCAACCAACCCCATCAAGAGAGGCCAGCGCCGGGACTCCGACCGGTCAGCGATGTACCCGACGATGGGCGAGCAGGCCAGCAACGCGGCCGAGTACAAGGCCAAGAGAATAGAAGTCCATGTTTGTACATGGTCTTTGGGCAGTCCGACCCTCTTCTGCAAAGCCGTGGGCGTGACAGGTACGATCAGGCCATACATGAAAACATCCTGTGGCCATAAAGTTAGTTTGATTACCGAGTTGAGATCTGATTTTCAGCTCTCGGATTCATACCGTGCAGGCCGCAAATGAGACCACAAACATAATAAACCATTTCGCCGATCTTAGCTCCACGAGCTTCGGTCGCGTTGGTTTGTGCTGCTCATCGTTGGGCCTGAAGCAACTCAAGAACCCCATAACAGCGGTAGTCAGAGAAAGTGCAAGCCAGGCTGACTGACGTTACTCACAGCCAAGCAGGTCTGGCACACGAGGGGTTTAAAATAAAATAATACCGCGGAGCCAAGGAAGGGAAAAACTACAAAAAAGGGGAGACAATGTTCTAATGTGTCAGGAATGTGAAGAAACTTGTGAAGTTGTGACAGAACTAAATTCGAGTCCGATCGGCACCCTCGGGACCCGCGGGGCCCGATGAGACGGGAGGATTCTTACTGCCATCACTTTTGCACCCGAAACAACCCCCCCCCCCCCCCCCCCCGAAGAAAAGACCATGCGCGAATCATCGCGATCAATCCAGGTGCTCGGCCAACAGGGCCTGCCATTCCAGCACTTCGGGCGAGATTTCTTCGAGCTCACCCCAGCGATCCCGCAGTCGCTGCAGCGTATCGGGAGGAACTTGGCCGTGCAGCGTGAGTTTGTGCAGGAGTTGGTTCAGCGCTCGATAGGCGCTTTTGAGGGCTCCAGACACCCACGCGTGGTTTGCACTGCACGCCTCGCCGACCAGGAACAGATGGCCGTCTGATGCAGGCCGTACGAGCGCGGGATAGAAATTATGGAACTCGCCTGGCCCGAAGAACGCGAATGCGCCCGAGGTCCCGGGGTTATTATACCAGTCATAGCCGTGGTGACAATCGTATTCTTGCTGGATGATCGAGCGCATTCGGTCGTAGCCAAATGGTGTTCCGGAATCGTCGGGGTATTCCTGGTGGAGGAGAGCCAGATTGTGGACGAGGAGCTGCTCTAACTCTGCTCTTGATTGCTTGGAGTCTTGGTTCACCAGCGATGCCATTTGCTGGGCATCCTGTGCCCAGGTATATGAGCATAGCAGCACGGCCGGCTCAGTGTCTGCGCTGGTTAGATTGGGGTAGACGCAAGTGCGGATGGGGAGATCGGTCGATGCTTGTCCCCCGTTGATCTTGCAGAATATTCTCCACCAAGGTGTTCGGAATCGGACTGCGACTTTGGTCGAGGCATCGTAGTGGACGCTTTGCACGGCGGCTCGCTGATCCGGCCGGAGTTTCGCCCTGGTCAGGTCCATGCGGCGCATACACGCGAGACTGGCTGTGTTGAAGACGGCCGAGTATTCCCTGGGACTGGACTCGCCATCCACCTGCACAGCCATAGGATATGTGGTGTGTTTGGCGTAGGAAATCGACTTGACGCGCGCCCCAAGAACAGGCTGAGGAGAGATCCTGCTCTCCATGCTTTTAATCACTTCTGATGTCCCGCCCGCCACCGAGTACCATTCAATAGAGCCGCCCGGCCCAGTTGGGTAGCTGAAATCCACGGCGTCCAAGATGGCCTCTGTGAATGACTGGTTGAAATTTCCAGATGCACTGCCAATCGAGTGAGCGATTGTCAAGATCTCGGACGTGGATTGACTCACCTGCTCATTGTCTCCATGTACCAAACCGAATAGAAATCAAAGCCCCTATATGAGACTCGTCAGCTCAACAGGAGTTCAGTGTTGGTTGGAGCTGACTTCGTACAACTCTCGCCGTAAATATTCTCCCGTGCTAAGATGATCGAATTTCATCAGATACTCAAGTCCGTCATAAAAGTCCGTCACAAGTCGGCTGATGAATGGTTCAAATGCTCGCTCAAGAATTCGCTCTGCTCCTTCGATGATTGTCCTGTTGACACAACAACTCTTAGTGGCATGGTCCGTTAGAGACGCAGGTTTAGATACTGACTCGTCTGGGACAAGACCGCCACTGGAAATGCTCAATTGAAATGGATCATGGTCCGCTGCGTTCGGGCCTTTGGGAAGATGTACAAAGGTGTTGAACACCTGCGGACAATTCTCTCCTTCATATACATATGGTCGTAGCTCCACGCCACATTGCCTGAATAATTGTGTTGTTCTTTTTGATAAAGGGATCTGGATAACAATGTCAGAATCATCTCCAAACAGTCGCCCGAAATTATACTAAACGAACCTTTGGAAACCGCATTGCACCAATATCATAGTAATCACTGGCCCCGGGCCCAAATCGATGTGTAAATACTCGACCACCGACTCTGTCGCTCGATTCCAGAATTTCATACGTGACCTCGGGCAGTCCCAGCTCTTCCAGGAGCATAGCCAAATATAGTCCCGAGATCCCAGCCCCAATAATACATAACCGAATCGGCGCCGTGCCATTGCCATTCGCGCGGTCTCGACACATAGAACGGAGGGTGTGCGACGGTCGTGGGAGATAAGGAAGCGTAGGATATCGACTCGACGTGGGCGTGTTTCCGGGAAGGTGCCAATCAATACCTCCGAGTTGTAGGCCTTTGCCCTTGATTTCACTTAGAATGCCGCGCTGTACTATATGCCGTGCCCACAAGTCTCGAAACGAGATCTCTTGCTTCACGAACTTGGTGGGATGGACCCGACGCGCAGGCTGTGCGATTGCGTGCGCTCCATTTTTGAATTTGGACTCGGAGGCATCGCGTGTCTTGATATCTACCGCGGGGCTGCCAGGTCCATCGTCGACATCTATGGAAGACCGGAGAACGCCGGGCATCTTCAGATGCCTGTGTTGATCGGGTTTAAGGCAAGGAGAGGGGGGAGCTGTCAGGGCTTATCGTCCGATCCCATGAAGCGGATTGGCGGGGGAGGGATCAGGGGAAAAGTAAGTGTAAAAGACAAGGCTCAATTGGCAGCTTTATGACAGGCTGCACATCCAGTGTTCAATTCTACTTAGCCTTGTAAGCTCACTCACGTTGAGGTGTTGGTGAAGATCGTGTCAGAAAATGATGCACGTACTGTACAATAGAGGGGCATATTTTCCTTTCTTTTTCTTTTTCTTTTTCTTTTTCTTTTTGTTTTGTTTTGTTTTGTTTTGTTTTTTTTTTTTTCCCCCTCGTTGTACCACGACTTGATCCAATTTTGTTTTCATTTTCAATAATTATTATAGCAAGTGGCTTCAGCTCTCATTTTTCTTTTGTTTCCCCTCATGCCTCAGCATTCTCACAACCATTGGATCCAACAGCAGTGTGGACTTGTATGGAGAACGTCACATAATACCAGGTGGGTCTGCACCAATCGCCCAGTTCCATGGGGGACATGGACATGCACAGGGGCACTGATGGGGCGCGGGGCTGGCTGAAATGAAATACAATAGGCAAGGGGAGTGTTTATTTCATTTTGATTTTTATTGTTTTTCTCGCCCGATCCTGACATTGATCTTCATGAGGCAAGAGCATCGGCAGATATCATCAGAATCATTGGCCTAGTAGCTTCCCCCCCACCCCGGAACATGCAGATTCAGTACTGCACACATGCGGCGTGGCTCTCCAGCTATTGGATGTGGGCCTGGCACAATGGTTTATGATACGTCGACTGCATCAGTAGTCGTGCTCCACCCCGTCTCTCAGCTCTATGTAGGTAGCGCCACCTTTGTGCCAGATGCCAACCAAGAGGCGCTAATAAGGTTCAGCTATGCAAGACCTGATCGAGATTGTGGTCCTTTTTTTTTTTCGGAGTTCACTAGCCACTCCACATGTTCTCGAGGTGGACTCGAGAAATGGTAGTAAAGTGTACGCCCGAATCACTCTGCAAGCCAACGGTCTTTAATATAGTTAGTTCACCAACGCCCAATAGATACATACATATCTTATTCCTAAACAGGATATCCACGGATCAGCCATTGTGGGGTTTATGGCGCATATTTCCAAGGGCAGTAGAGTACCTTAGCGGCAAGTGTATTGTGTACAGTATAGGGGCGGGCCGCGCCTGGTAGAATCCTTCCGGGCAATGTAGTTGGATTAATGGCAAAGAGTGCTTGGAAGCTCTGGATCAGGACCTTGGAACCTTGGAATTATTCCCGGATCCACCCGCGGCAACATGTGGGTCTGCTGTACCGAGAAGTGTAGATCGCATCATGTTGGCACTACGGCTCGGCGGGATTTACCATCACGCCATGTTACCGGGCTTTCTTGTAATTTCTCATGGATGAAATTCGTTTCGGTTCCTGTTGGATGTTAGGGTTACGTGGTCTGTCTCGTAAGCATGTAAGCATAGGACACAGAACAGAATACAAATCGAGACGCACCAGGTCTGTGTCTTTAGTCTTGCTAGGCACGATCTACAATCCCCGTGGAAATCACCTCGGACAACAAGTCGGGGTTACAACACGTTTCAAAGGACTTGCGAGTAGAACATTAAAGGAAGATTTCTCAGAAAAATATTCTCAATGAAATTTACAAAGAAATCCAAATGGCAGTTTCAACATTTCTTACAGGATAATATCTTAGCTTTCGGGGAAATAGGTATGCATGAGGAACTGTTCGTCGGGTGTCATGGAGATGTCAATCCCTCGAAATATGTACCGATCCTTACATACCCCCAAGATGGGGTTAGCTGAAGGACGGGCAATATGGACGATCAGTGGATCCTACCACAATTCCAGCGGGGCGCATCCCCCAGTCATGCTTCTCGATGGCTGTACGGTGCATGTGGCTGCGTCCAAGGTAAGTGAACCTACATACATAGCGGCCCGCTAGCACAGTGGATTCGTATTTTGCTTTGGACTATCATTTCACTCCATGGGGTGTAGGTCAAGAGGTGCTACAAAATTCAATTCCCATGACATAAAAATTAATTGGTAAAATCGTCGATACTGAGAAGCTGGATCTGCCGGATTACTGTTGGAACCGCGTCTCAAGTCCTAATGTTCTATCCGTACAATGGATTTGCTTGACCCATGAGGATCAGCAACAGAACACATTTCGAAAGTAAAACAATGCATTTTGGCGGGGAAGTCAAAAATCATTCAAGTTATTATGTTGGTGTTTCTTTCTCAAGCAACTCGCCTTTTACAAACAGTCAAAGAAATACAAATACAAATGAGTGGATGGGACTCCATCATGAAGGCTAGCGACATGATCCATTTCTTGACACAGATCCACAAAAGCACCACGCTGTCTCGAAAAGGGAAGCGATAAACTCGAAGAAGATTCTTCAGTGAAGATCTCCTGCACAGCAAAATCCAATTCAATGGTGCAATGTATTTAAATCTCCCAGTTCTCAATATATTCTATAACCAAATCGCTTTTGGAATCCCGAGAACCAATCTTCGACCAACACTAGTTTAGCTGTCCCATTCTCCAAAGGTCGACACCGTCATGTTCTGGATTCTCCAGCCAGCCTTGGTCAAGACGTGGTCGGTGATATAACTAAAATCACACTCGAGTCAACTCGTGGCTCACAATTCGTAAGGTGATAGATCACATACCTGCCATATTCCACCTCCTCTGGCCGGGCCTTACTAGTGTTGAAGCTGTCAAAGACGGTGGCTATCACCAGGGTCGTGGCGTGAGCGGTAGTCATCGAATCATCGAGATCGACAACTGGAGGCGACGTGACGTGCTGGAAGTTGTAATTGGCGTATTTGGGGAAGTTTTTGATGAACTGGTCCACGCCGTGAAGGTTTTGAAATCCCTTGTCAGGAAGGTTGATGAAACAGTTCGGCGTGAAGACCTGGTCCATCTCCTTGACGCGGTGCGTGTCGCAGAGATAAGAGAATCGCACCATGTTTTGGCCGATGGCCACGGTATGCGCCGAGCGTTCGATGAGATTCTGTAGGACCTGCTGGTTGTTGGTGCTGCTCGAAGCCTCGCAGCCTACGAGCCACAGGCAGGAGACAAGGAAAGCGAAAAGGCGCATGATGTGGTTTCCAAATGTGCCGGGGCTTTGGAGGGGTTTGCGGACAATCAAGTGGAGAGATGGCGTGGGCAAAAAGGAGCTTGACCTATACAAGTCGGTGCTCGGGTTTCGCATATTTAAGGCGAATGTGAACAACGCCCGTTCATTAGCAGAAATGGAGATCTGCAGCTCCTGTGCGCTGTTCCTCGGGCTGAATCCTGTGTGGATGCCCCGTGGCCCACTGACTATTGTCCCAACGCGGATCATCGGCCCGCCAGCGATCGACGCGAGCTCCATTACAAGTGCCTTGCATGTATTGCTGTGTACCATATGTATTGCTTTCAGCTGCCAATGGATCCACTCTATTGGATCTGGGTTCTCATCCCTTGATTGACCCGCGCCTTGTCTTGAGCATGCGATGATCACTCGTCTTATACTCCAACTATGGCAAGGAATGTATAAGAGGGCTGACACGATCAGCTCCACAGTTCCCAAGCGATCTGACTCCGAGAGCCTTGTTTTTCATTTTACCTTTCTTGAGCAGTTTTCCCTTCTATTCTTGCCAGAACAAGAAGCACTGGAGTTGAATTGCGTTCTTTGGGATCGTCTTAAGGCTTCGCCCAACCTCACCCCGCAATGGCTGCTCTGACCGTCCGTTCAACAGGCGTCCTTAAACTCCCCGAATACAAGGCAGAGCCAAGCACCGCCTCCACCCCCCCGGAAGAGAAGACAAATGATCTTGAGCTTGTCTGGCGCTGGAACGCCACGGTGCCAGAAGCGGTCAACAGCTGTGTTCACGACCTCATTCACGATCGCGCCGAGGCCAACCCCGATGCACCCGCAGTACATGCCTGGGACGGACAATGGTCGTATCGTCAGCTTGATTACTATGCCTCTCTGCTCGCCCAGAAACTGCTGGTCACCCACCAGCTACGACCAGGCGATGTGGTTCTCCTGGCTTTTGACCGCAGTCGTTGGGTCCCTGTTACCATGCTAGCCACCATGAAGGCGGGCGCCACTTTTGTCGCGTTAGATATGGCTTTGCCGACGGGTCGCCTACAACAAATGGCGGAACAAGTGTCGGCCAAAATGGTTCTGACCTTGGAGGAAACCTTGGTGGCATATGAACTGGGCGTCGAAGTGGTGCCCGTCCACGAAGATATTGCTCCGACATCACCTCAAGAACAATCCGCATCAGCACCTATTGCACCGTCATCCACATTATATATCGTCTTTACATCCGGCAGCACAGGCAAACCCAAAGCCGTGGCGGTATCCCATTCAAATTTCGCCTCGGGAGTGCGACACCATGCAATCCCATACCGACTCAATGACCAGTCGCGATCTCTCCACTTCGCCTCATATAGTTTCGACTCGGCTGTTCACGAAATCCTCGCTACGCTCATTCAGGGCGGATGCATCTGTATCCCGAGTGACGCAGACCGCAACCAAAGGCTGACGGCCGTCATGGAGGAGATGAAGATCAATTGGGCCGCAATGACACCCACCACATCGCAACTAATCCAATCATCCAAGGTGCCATCATTACAGACCTTGGTTCTCGCAGGCGAGGCCTGCACGCGAAATCTGGTTGAGCGGTGGAGCCCCTACGTGCGGCTGTTGAACGCATATGGCCCTGCAGAGTGCGCTGTGTGCAGTTTGGTCAATGTGGTCTCGCCAACCCACGAAGGTCACAATATCCCCATCGGTCTGGGCCAAGGGTGTTTGCCGTGGGTGGTGGACTCAAATGACTCGGAACATCTCCTTCCTGCTGGCGAAGTAGGAGAACTCCTCATCGAAGGCCCGATCGTGGGAAAGGGATACTTGGGTGATGCGGAAAAAACAGCCGCAGCATTTGTTGAAGACCCGACATGGCTCACAGCCGGCTGCTCGAATGCAGGTATACCAGGTCGCCGGGGCCGGCTATACAGAACAGGTGACTTGGTTCAACGTCTTGAAAACGGAGAAGTGTTGTTCGTCGGCCGCAAAGACACGCAAGTCAAGCTGCGTGGGCAGCGAATCGAGCTGGAAGGCGTCGAGTCCCAGATCAGCCACATTCTGCCTGATATCAAATGCATCGTCGATGTGGTTACCCCGAGCCTGGGGAATCATGCTCAGCAGCTAGTGGCCTTCCTTGAGATCGGCAGCGGGTCTCGCGAGCAGGATGCATTTTTCTGCCTTGTTGACGACAGCTTCGTGAAAGTCGAACAGGAGCTACGCTCGCACCTTTCTCAAACACTTCCCGCCTACATGATCCCCACCATGTTCCTCCCTGTCTTCCAAGTCCCTCAAACCCCATCGGGGAAAACAGATCGCAGACGACTCCGGGATGAAGGGAGTCGCATGTACGAAAAACTGCGAGGCAAGCTTGCAACATCAAGTGATGAAGGTATTTCGTGGACGTCTCAGGAGACAACCCTCCGAGGGATGTGGGCCACAAACCTCGGAATTCCAACGAAAGAGATTCGTCGAGAGGACAATTTCTTCCAGCTCGGCGGCGACTCAATTGCAGCCATGAAGCTGAGTGGTGCGGCACGTACCCAGGGATTGTCGCTTTCCGTTCCTCAAATCATGGGAAACCCCATTCTGCATGTCATGGCCACTGTGATGAAGAATGAAAAGACGGAACCGGCTGAGAAGATCGTTCGCCCCTTTTCTTTGATCCAAGACGACCGCCTGCGAGAGACCATGGACGAGGCAGCTGCTGGCTGCTGTATCCCCCAGGACCTGATCGAGGATATCTATCCCTGCACCCCGCTGCAAGAAGGATTGATGGCCCTTTCAGAAAAGCGAGGCAAGGGTGCCTACGTCACTCGCGGAGTATTGCAGGTCCACCCCAAGGCCGACATGACTCGACTGACTGCTGCGTGGGCAACGGTGTTTTACCTGAACCCAGCCATGCGGACAAGACTGGTTGAAACAAACTCATCTGGGCTGGTTCAAGTGTCCGTACGACACGACCTGGATTTTGCCAGTCGCGATAATGTCGAGGATTGCAATTCTTTGGACGAAGATATCGAGTTCGGGCTCGGGTCTCCTCTCACAAGACTGCGAATGATCAACAGTCCGAACCACAAAGAGCGCGCCTTTGTTCTCATTGCTCATCACTCCATCTTGGACGGATGGCAGGCACGTCTGATCATGGAGCAAGTCGACCACGTGTACAGGGGGCAAAGTCACCAGATCAAATGCGCAAACAGCTTCAACTCGTTTGTCAAATACCTGACCGAGGTCGAGGAAACCGAAGAAGTGCCATACTGGCAGAAATGTCTGGCTGAAGAGGACACTGCAGTGTTTCCGACTGTTCCTCCCGGCCTCAAATCCACATGGAGCAACAAGTCCAAGCAACGTGATATCCTGTTTGGCGCCCAGATTCGCGAGAAAAATACAGAATTCACGATTCCTACATATATCCGTCAAGCCTGGGCACTTATCTGTGCGGCCTACACTGGATCTAACGATGTGGTCTTCGGTGCCACAGTTAGCGGACGAAATGCTCCTGTTCCGGGCATCGAGCAAATTGTCGGACCGACTATCGCCACGGTCCCTTTGCGGGTGCAGCTGAATCGGGGTGCCAGTACCCAGGAAGCCTTGCAATCCATCCACGAGCAGAGCGTTAGCATGGCGCCATTCGAGCAGACCGGTCTGCAACGCATCAGAAAGATAGGGCCCGGTCCAGCGGCGGCATGCAACTTTCAGTCTCTACTCGTCGTTCAACCGCCACCGGAATCACAAGCTACACAAGCAGAACGGACTTTGATTCGTGCAGACGATGGTGAAGAGTTTCTGCTCGCTTTCAGCAATTACCCGCTTGTTGTCGAATGCACCGTCCTACCAGATCGAGCGGGTGTTGCAGTCCGGCTAGCATATAACGACCAGGTTCTCGCTACAGAACAGATGGATCGCATTCTTGAGCAATTGGAACATGTCCTGCTCCAGATGTTTGCAAAGGAAAAGCTGGGAGACATCGAAGTCATCAGCCCTCGCGAGATCGAACTGCTACGCAGCTGGAATAGCCCTGTCCCGCCGCCGGTCGATTGTTGCATCCACGACCTCATCCAAGGGAAATTAACCGCCAGCCCGAATGCTGAGGCCGTCTACGCCTGGGATCGATCTCTGACTGCGCATGAGCTGAATGATCTCTCATCTCGGTTGGCCGGGTATCTACGCAGCCTCGAGATTGGACCCGAGGTGGTGGTGCCTTTGTTTTTCGAGAAGTCATCTCTGACAATTGTGACGATTCTCGCGGTCTTGAAAAGTGGCAACGCTTGTGTCACGCTTGATAAAAAACAGCCAGCGCAACGATTGATGAAAATCGTTCAGCAGACTGGTGCCAAACTCATGCTGTTATCAGAAAACCATCAGGGACTGCTCCCCATGGACGTGACCCAAGTTGTTGTCACCTACGACACTCTGGCACAGATGCCTCACCCTGGTCAGATTCTGACTGGAGTCAGCTCGCGCAGTCCGGCATTTTTGATCTTTACATCTGGAAGCACTGGCGAGCCCAAAGGGATCGTTCACGAACATCGCAGTATGTCAAGTACCGCAATTGCTCACGCCTCGGGAATGAATATTGTCGAGGGTGCGCGAGTGCTTCAATTCGCGTCGCCGTCATTTGATGTCAGTATCTACGAAATCTTGATGAGCATGGTAATGGGCGCCTGTATCTGCGTTCCGTCTGATGAACAGCGGATGAACACTCCTGGCGAATTTGCCCGCGAGGCTAAGGCTGAGGTTGGCATTATTTCCCCGACTGCTATCCAGTCCATGTCCCCCGAGGACGTGCCATCTCTCAAGACGGTGGTCCTGGTTGGAGAGGCTATTCCGCGTGATGTGGTCGAGGTATGGAATCGCTCGGCAGTCGTCATGAACGGATATGGACCTGGAGAGTGTGCATTCTGCTCTACTATCGATATCAGTGAGCAACGGCCTATCGCTACTGTCGGTAAAGCTAGAGGTTGCGTCTTCTGGATTACTGATCCCGGTGATCCTGAACGACTGGCGCCCGTTGGTGCAGTGGGAGAGATTGTGATCGAAGGTCCTGTCATGGCCCGTGGATATCTCAATAATCCGGAGAAAACACAAGAGTCCTTCTTGACCGGTGCGCCCTGGCTGGAATCTTTCCGTCCAGGTGGGAAAGGTCGTCTCTATCGGTCTGGGGACCTTGGGATGTACAATTCAGATGGCACGGTGGTGTATATGGGGCGAAGAGATATGCAGGTCAAACTGCGAGGACAGCGCATCGAGCTGGGAGAGGTGGAGTCTCACCTCCGGCAACTCTCATCCACGGCAGATGCAGAAGTCGCTGTGGACGTCGTGCGCTACGGGCAAAACGACCAGCTCACTGCTTTCGTGGTGCAGGCGAACGAAGACAAGTCTTCTCCGGTTTTACTTCCGAGCAGCCACCGGATCAGCGATTCCAACCAGCTTTCATCCGAGTTGGCTAAAGCGCTGCCTCCGTATATGATCCCGTCCGTCTACTTGCCTGTCTCGCGGATCCCTACCACGTCATCCTCCAAAACAGATCGTAAACTACTTCGCCAAATCGCTTCTGCGCTGACACAAGAGGATGTTGCAACCTATCACTCCGCCGAACCCATGACTGAGCCGACGACCGCCGCAGAACTTGAGCTACGTGGGGTCTGGGTAGGCTTGTTGCGTGTCAATGCTGAGGCCATCAAAGCCGAGAGCAACTTCTTCCACGTGGGAGGTGACTCTGTCCAAGCGATGAAGCTAGTGAGCACAGCACGGCGCCAGGGTCGACATCTCAACCTTGCTACTGTATACCAGAGCCCGCGACTTTGTGACATGGCTGTCAACTGGGCGTCTTCTAAGGAGACCAAAGACGCGGCGCTCGAGAAACAGTGGCCACCCTTCTCTCTAATGAAAGGGTTCGATGTCGAAGACTATCTCTCTGGTGTCTGTGAACACTACCCAGTCTCCCGGAACGACATCAAGGATGCGTACCCAGCACACGACAGTCAGAACATCGCATTCACAACAAACCAGTGTCTGTATGCACGCTTCCAGATTGATGCTTCGTTGGATCTCGACCGCGTCATCGATAGCTGGATGCAGGTCGTCCGCCAGCACGATATCCTGCGCACGGTTTTTGTTCCCTACAACAACGACTACTTGGCCGGTATAGTGGTCAAGTCTCTCGTTTGGGAGATTGAGCAATACTCCACATCTGGCGAAGAAGGCATCAGGGAGATCCTGGCGAGCGACGGCAAGGTTAAGCCACCGCACGGGGCTCCTCTTGGTAAGGTCATGGTAATCCAGGATGCCCAGCAGCCTGATACCACCCTAGTCGCGCTGAGGATGTGTCACGCCATCTACGATGGCTACTCCCTTGCGCTGTACTGGAAAGACTGGAAGTCGGCATACGAGACCGGCAACGTGGCCCCGCGCCTCCAACTCCAAGATGTTCTGTGCTCTCGACAGTTCATCGAGGGCCGAGATCAGTCGGTGCAGTACTGGGACGACTTCCTACGAGGCTCGAATATGATTGATTTACCCAAGACTGTGTCGCCGGAATCCAACCCAGAGCAATTCACAGTTGAGAGGACGCTCGACGACATTGTCGCCCCGGCCGGGCTTTTTCTCGACTCCTTGCTGAAGGCAGCATGGGCAGTCACCCTAGCCATCGTGGCTGGTCAGTCCGATGCAATCTTCTTCCAGGTATCGAACGGGCGACGTCTAGGCGGGGCCGGCATCGAAAACGCCGTGGGTCCGCTAATCGGAATCTTCCCCGTGCGCGTGCAACTGGATGCAAGTTGGCCCGCCGATAAGCTCTGCCATATACTGCAAGAGCAGGACATGGCAACGATTCAGCACGAAACGGTCGATGTCGAGGAGATGTGGGATCTCGCAGGGTGGGATTACGAGGTGCCGTTCTCTGTGTTCGATCACATCAAAAGCGATATCGAATCGCAAATGACACTAGACGGGGTGTCTCGTGGCCCCAAGACTTTTTATACCGGTGAGAACGAGCCGGAGACTGTCTGTCTGGCGAGGACTTGGGGTCGCCAGGCTCGTATTACTATCATGCCGGGACAGGGCGTCGCGCGAGACGTGGCGGAGCGCACCCTTGATATCTTTTGCTCTAAGCTGCGGGCTTTCTCGCAGGACCCGGGGGTGTCGATTTACTAGCATGTTTGAAGCGTTTTCTTTGATTCTGGTTTTTAAATTCTGGGGCTATTCGGTTGTTGGGTGTAATGAAATGGATTTTTCCGGGAATTTGGCGGGAGGCTACATACTCTACGTAGCGTGGCACCATGCAACAATATTTCTGGAAATAGAGAGTGGAAAGAAATGATAGAAATATGTCTACCACCGGCTGGCCTTTATTTCGTCTCTGCTTCACACTGAAGGTACTATCCATCGATACATTTCGCCTTGTTCAAGGCCATATAGAGGATTTTCGCTAAACCCGCCAAGTTGAAAAGGATCGATTTCTTCCAAAGACTTGACTCGTTATCCACCACTATAGCCTAGTCAAACCTTCGAGTTATTGAAGCCACCTTCTCATACAAGCCTCATCATGAACATTCCTTGGTGTTTAAATGGTCAGATTTCATTCGACACCTTAGCCTGTGAACAGTGAGGTACCACTCAGCTAACAAATGATATGGACGCGTGCAAAGATTTGAAAAACCGAGAGTACATAGCTTCACTGAGGCCTGCATCTAAGGCTACGTCCAAGTTGATTTGGGGAAAGAGACACCCGCTCTTTTTAGGCTTCAATCGAGGCGAATTCGATTCACGCATGTTTATCTCTCACTTGAGTGGCCTCTTTCCTTTTGCAACACCCCTCCTCGCTCGCTCGAAACGTGCTTTCTGCACAGAAAACATCCTTTTCACTTGCTTTGCATTATCCTTAATTGTACTGATACTACGCTAGGCCTTATATAGATGGATCTTGTTAGATATTTATAAAGGTATACTAGTTAAATATACACCGAGATATATATTTTCTAAAATAAGGTACCTTTTTTATTTTATAAGAAGTTATTATTAATTATTATATTAATAGTTATTTATAATTACTTCAATCTTATATTTAATCTTAGTTTCTTCTTCGATTTCTATATTAGTAATAAGTTCGGTATTTTTTAGTATAGGTTTAAGTAATAAGATATAAAATACTAAATAGATTTATTCTATATTTTTAGGTAATTTTAGTTAGTAATTAATTAGTCCTTTTTTTATTGATAATAAATAGTCCTAGTTTCTTATAATTAAGTTTATTATTTAGTTATTTTATCTTAATATTATATTATAAAAGATAGATCTTCTCTCCCTTTTTTAGGTTAGGGCTAGTTTAGTAATGCTGATTATAATATATTTTTATATATAAATTAAGGAATTCGATATCTCTTATTATTTATAATTAGAGTTACTTAACTCCTATAGCTAGTAATTATACCGATTCTACTATATTATATTTATTCTAAGGTTCTCCGATTAATTTAGAGTTATATCTATAATTAATATAGAATAGTATTTCTTTCGTAGTTACGTATACTACGTTATTATATACGAACTATATAATTAGTAATAGTCTTATCTAGTTATTCTACTAGTAATTTATATAGTATCTTAGATACTACTCTAGTATCTAATTAACTCGTTCGGTTTATCTATTTATTTATAGGTAATATATAATAAAGAGTCTATACTTAATACCTATTTAGTCTATAAATAATTACTATATATTAGATATAAATAACTTATCTCGATCTAAGGTAATTTTATTAAATATTCTATAGTTAGTAAAGATATAGCGAAGTAGTATATTCGCTATACAATTCGTATCGATATTTTCTATGGTTATAACTATATATATACTTTATAAGTCGGTTGATAATAATTATAATTGTATCGTATCTTTCCGATTTAGGTAATTTTATAATAAAGTCTAGTTATCTATTCCTATAATTATATTAGTATATCTAAGATTTATATTTTCCTATAAAGAAGCTATCTTAATATTTTATCTTATTAATATATATCGTAATAAAGAATACTAAATTATAACAGTCTATCTTAATCGTTATAGTATATTTAGCTTTTTCTAAATATACCCTCTAAACTTAGAATATTAATATAATAGCTAATAGTTCCTTATTATAGATATTGTAGTTAAGTTCTACTACACATAACGATGAGACGGTGAATGGGAGGCCAGAAATGGCTGCTTTTGACGCCATTTTAGGCCGCTCGCTCACTGTGGGCGGTCTTGACATCATATATACTAAGCCCACGGCCGACATGATTTACTGCCACCCCTTCTTGAAGCAGCTGGCCTTGCGCTTAGTGTTGATTAAGCGATGCACTGAATCCATAGTTAGTTACTATCTCAACGGACATATCATGCAATACCAGTTAGTGTTAGCGGCACTAAATAGTAGATGCTCACTTCATCTATATGGCCAAGGACTAATGGCTAGTTGTACTAGATGATTAGAAACTGTGTAAGTATAGATGACTTGCTAGCCTGTGTTGATCTACCTCTTCACCTTTAGTTATAAAATAAAATGGTGTTTCCCTATCAACACCTAGTTCGAGCAGGTGTTACGAACTGCTATCCAAACACGGTGAGTAACTTCCGCAAAGGTGATGCTTCTCTGAGAACGTTGCTCCTATGGGCCCCAAGCCTGTCCTCACCCGTACCAACGCCACGCTGGGCCTTCTATAGACCCCGGTTCTATTGGTGCTTACAAGGTGCGTTGAATAGAGCGCTGAGCAGGTCGGTCGCTAAGGAGCTCCCCTACTCGTTATATGTTTTCTCGCACTGTCGAACTGTGACGGTAACCAAAAGATGGTATCCTAGTAGGAGCAGGAAAATCCTTCGATTATCGAACTTTGAAAAAAAAGAATAAAAAATAAAAAATAAAAAATAAAAATAAAGAAGGGGGCGGTTCTTATTATCGAGTTTCTACTGAAAAAGGAGGTAAAATGAGTGCAGTCTGTGATACGAGGCCAAGTTCAAAAGAAAGGTGGAACTGTCCATTGATAACGAACATTCAGACGAGGAGATAAAGGAAGGATAAGAAGGAAGGAAGCTCCCTATTATTGCGATATATACCATGTCTTTTCTCCAAGAATTGTTACACAGTCTAGTCTAAAATTCTGCTGAATTACGAGCTAAATAGACAACATATTTGGCTACATTGTAGAAGCACTAAGTCAGCCTCTGATTGGTGGGGATCTCGCCGATCGCAGTATCTTAGTCGATAGTAGTGGGCGGTCAGGTCGGCCTAGACATCTATACCAACTCTCACCTTGCACCCTTCTACGTGACCTATATTCCGAGAGGCGGTATATCTATGCTGCTAGGTAGTAGCAGTACTTCCAAATACTCTACTTCCCTTACTCTCTGCCTTTCTGAAGGGTCCCTCTTCTCTTGTTTCTGTGTTTCCTCCCTGCTGGGTCATAGTTATTCCGGCCCGATATGTCCCCCGCTCACATGTCCTTTAGCGCGTTTCTCTCGACTTTAACTTAAACCACAGAATCTTAATACCGAAATCCACGGCGGACAACATAACTCCCTTACATCACGACAGAAATGAAATCGCTGGAGGTACAGCCACCGGGCCTTGCCTGGGTTCAAAGAACCTTTAATCTTGAACCTCAGTGGACGGTGGAGCCCGATCCTCAGGTCATCGAGCAGACAATACAGTCGCTACTACCATCGCGCACGATCCAGGTGACCTTCCTCGCCGAGGGCGCCTTGAACAAACTCTATGACGTGAAAATAGATAATGAGGTCTTTGTTATGCGAGTCTCGTTGCCTGTTGATCCGTACTATAAAACTATGAGTGAAGTCTCAACAGTGGACTGGGTATCCCGTACCGCAAATATCCCTATTCCTCGAGTCATCACTTATCAATCTTCACGAGAAAATCCTATCGGATTTGAATGGATCATCATGACCAGAATGCCTGGAAGACCCTTGAAAGAGCTGTGGCGCTCTCTATCATTTTCTGCAAAAAAAAGTCTGGTTGAAGAGTTTGCGGCCTACTCTAGCTGTCTTTTTCAGAACCAACTCCAGGGAATTGGAAATCTCTATAGGACAGCATCTACTCTCAATGGTTCCGGACTGTCTGAAGCGACCTGGCCTGCTGGAAACCCAGCATGTTCTAATAAATCACCTGTATCTGAAAAGGAACATATGCCTGCAGGATTACCAGATGTGGGCAGAATTGTTTCTATGCACTTCTTTTGGGGGTCGCACATCCTTCAGGATGTTCATCGAGGGCCATTTACGTCTAGTAGCGACTGGATTACATCACGTCTTTCTTTTAGCGAGAAAGACTGTCAGTCGGTACTAGACAATTTACCATCTAGCGATCTTGAGAGCGATGATGAAGATGATGCAGATGATGCAAGAAGAACATTGGAAATCATTGGAAAACTGAAAACCCTGCTTCCATCTTTCTTTCCACCAAATGGAGACAATCCGGAGCCTTCAATCCTGGTTCATGACGACCTCTCTAGCCGAAATATTCTCGTTCATGATAACGGAGAGCTAGCAGCTATTTTAGACTGGGAATGTGTTTCAGCACTCCCTTTATGGAATGCCTGCTATTACCCTGCATTCTTGAAAGGGCCACCGCGAAGCCTCAAGCCTGATCTACGACGATATGAACTCGAAGCGAGCGGAGAAGCCTCCGATCTCTACTGGGAACACCTATGGGAGTATGAGGTTACTCTCCTTCGTGATGTGTTTATTGATAGAATGAAAAGCCTGGAACCGGGATGGGTGGAGGTTTTCCACAAGAGCCAACGTCAAAGAGATTTCGACATTGCAGTGCAAAATTGCGATAATGAGTTTGTTGCCCGGCATATACGTGCATGGATTAATGACCTTACTGCTGGGGTGGACAATCATCGGAGCCTGCGCGATAGAATTGATGAGGATTAAACTTTTCAAAGCAGCCTAATGGGAGTAAGAACTATATGTGCTAAATAAAGAAATGCCTGCTCTGTTCGAGAAACGCACTTACACTCTTCAACTTGACTCCAATTTCAATACTTGGTAGACCTGATTGATGCTAGACTATACTTTTACAGGCCGATAGTGTCGATTGGACAAACGTATAGCTGATTACTACCTTTCGGACTAGGTCAAGACCATTCGTGAAAACTCCTATCTGGGCCGGGGGCGGAGTGAAGGATCCAATTCTCTGTCTCTGAAAAAAAGCAAACTTTACAGTCGCAGTAAAAATGCGATATTAACTTTAAAGAAGCGCGTATGCCATTCTAGTTGTTCAGACCTCATCGCCGAGCGACCTGGATGTAATGTTGTGACAGGTTTCAGAACATTGAAACTTGCGTATATACATAAAGTATATAACAATTCTCTGTCAGGTAAAGGAGTGTCCTTCACTTCTATTTCTTTATTCCTAATATCTCTCTTCTCTCTATCTCGCCGCTTTCCAATCCACTGGAAACACCCCAAAAGTAAGCCGCATGTATCCCTTCGATGTCCGCCCTCTTCCGGCCAAGCCATGTATACTTGGCCTAGGATTCCCGTTATCAAATCTTCATATTGGCCCGAAGCGCCAGCCGGATTTGCTCGGGGGTCCATGACCCATCGGTGGGGACTAGCGTGTTTGCGATGGTCGCCCCCTTCTCTCGCTGCAACGTGGAAATGGTTGTCTGGTTGTTGATTTGAACATGCAGGTTGTAGTATTGAGGATCACCGGTGGTGAGCTAGAGACAGAACAAAATTAGCTGGTCTAAACTTAGACAAGGGAAAAATAAGCACATCAAACTAGGCTTCACTAGGATAGGAGAGGAAAAGTTTGTATTCTATGGTTGTACCCTTGATTATCCAATCGAAAATCGGTATCGCTATACAATGTATGCTCACCACTAGTAAATCCGGATAGTTTACTATCCGGTGTACCGACGATGAAGGCCTTGAGGGCTTTTTGCTAGCCTTTCCCATAACGCTGAGAGGGTTCGAGGAGGTTGTATATGCCTATAAGAATATAAAAGCTGGATAGTAATTTACAAACACAAATGCGATATATCGGGCCTCTTATAATACTACGTGGAGCCTAAGTTCGCTACCCCTCACATTCCATTTCGACGGCAATTAGGATTTCGCATTAATTTATCCCTGCTTACTCTGAGGCACTGTTAGCGCGCGGCAAGAACTGTTTATTCCTTGTCCGGTCATTATATCTGGAACTCGGAACAAACATGCCAAAGAATTTTGCAGAATATCTATCCACCTGTTGAAATTTGAAGCCATAAGTGTTTTTACTAGTATATAGAACACCAAAACATGCTATATGTACTTCATCCTCACTCTTGAATTGGTGACCCTCCTCCGGCAGGAAATCAGGCGATTTGGACTATATATTATACTGATCAGGGGAGTCAATGAGACCATATACGGCGAAACTTGTGCGGGGTTGGAGCGTTTCATCTATTTTAAGAGGCTCCAGATCTATTACTTGATTGGCTTACTTCGAATGAATTTCCAAGAATAAAGTGGCCATCAAAAAATTACACGTAGGAAAATCTGGAATCGAATCTGGACTCGACATACGTACCACCTACTAGCTAATGTTATCTGGTTAGACGAGGCGCCGTTTTACAAACGATGAGACAGTTCAATCATTACTTCATTAAGAAAGTGGGCGGCTAAGTGCATTTAAAGTGGTTATTCTCACAGTTTGACCTTACTGGGATATCCTTATGTTACCTCACTATGACCTCTTGTTTTGATCTTCTATCGGGGCCCCATTATGCGGATCTACCACCTATCTTTTTCCAATAACCAATTGTGAGGACTTTGTAACCGCTTACGTTCGGCGCGAAGGGTTTTTTTGACTTCGACGAATAGAATTAACCGTGCCCTTCGCCGCCCCACGCCTGGCTGTACAGGTGCTCCCTACACCAGCGTATTTTCCCACACGAACGTACATATACTACTAAAAATCTCTATTTTCCACCCAATAGGGCTGATACACAAATAGATGAAAAGAGCCGTATTCCAAAAATGTGAAGCCGCCAAGCAGCAGAAGAAGCCCAATATAGCTACTTTGGCGCGGGAATAGGGCGTTTTCCCCCCTGGCTACGCGCCCGCATAGCGGGCCGTCCATCTCGATTCGCCAACCACAACGGTCACAAAGCGTTGAATGATGTAGAAGAGAAGGGATTGATTCAGCGAATCCGACGCATTGATTCCATGGGTATATTACCCACATAAGATGATTGAACAGTCTGCGAATTAGATATTGGGGCAAAGCGCGGTATCCAAAATGCGAACCGAAACGGCCTCCAAAACAACACCGAAGAGGCCAGCCACAACCACTGCAGAACTACGATATCAAACGCCGCCAAAGATGCCGGCAAAATCACCAAATCAGGCGTCAATTCAACCCCTGATATCTTTCTAGACTAAAATGTAACTAGTTATAGTATATTCTTTTCGTTAGATTAGAGTAACTATACTCCTAATATATAATCTAATATATTAGTTTCTAGAATATATAGTTATTTATAATTAAAGACTTTTATAATCCTATCTTTAGTATATAGATTCTTAAGATCTTAGAATATTTTCTCTATTATATTATTCTATTTAATATTTCTCTCTTTTTAGTAAATCGATAGAGTCCTACTATATATTTTAAGTATTATAGTACGAGTTTCCGGTAGTAATTATATAATCCAAGGAAGCTCTAGATACTTGGTGGCCGTTTCCTACACCTTATTCCACGTGACTGTTCGCTTGGTTGGCTCTCGGTGGCCCACCGGTAACTAAGTCCCTTATTTAACTAGCGACTGCAGGGGTCGTAACATCCAGCTCTCTACTATATCGTGTTGTATACTAATAATATTTTTCCCTAAAAAGCTATAGTATATCCTGTTATAGAGCTATCTCGCTTGTCTTCTATTATTAAGGGTATCTTAAAGGTTATTAATTTCCCGTTTATTTCTTTTATCACGAAGTCCCCTTAGTTGCCTTCTTTCAGACTCGATACTCCGCTTTATCGCCCTATCTAACGCCCTTATCGAGGTTATATTATATAGCCCTTAGCGTCGTAGATTTAACAAACTAAAACTTGTACTAATCTAAGATGTCAAGACTCGCTAGAATTCAATATACCTAATGCTTCGACGTGCAAAGCGCCTCCAATCAACAATTGATGCGTTCTGTTTATAGTACCATCAAGATCATTTTGTACTAAACAAAGAGTGGCGACAAATTGAATATCTTCTCTATATTACCTAACCCTTCTTCAAATTCACGACTCTTCTATCTCAGACCAAAGACGTCAGCATTCATCTGGTCTCTAGTATCTATAATAAGCTCTTTGATTATCTTGAAAAATCAATTCGATAGCTTAAACGAAAGAAGGTTCTATAGAAGTAGAGAATGCTAACTGCTCTTCGGGTAGCGAAGGCGAAGCTTTCACAATATTATAGTATAATTGATGATATTTATAGCGATCCCTACGCTCTTGGCACAATCATTTCGCTATAGCAAAAGCTTCAATTCTTCTTAACAAAGGACTGGGATAATGACTAGCGCGAGAGATACCGTAAGAGTCTTAAGGATTATCTCTAGCCCTATCAACAACGGTATTCGGATAAGCCAGATTCGAAGGCTTATTCAGTGGCATAGTGGGTGACTGAAGAGAGAGGGTACGCGTCGGGAACGCGATTTCTGGCGGGGTGGCCGCTCGCTTACGGGTTACGTTAATGGGTAGCCACTTTACCAGCTTCTAATGACAAGTCGTCTGTAAGCGCTCGGTTTATGCGACCGTCGACCGTAATAAAGTTTATGGATGAGCGGGCGGTAATGTCACCTGCATCCCAGATCATTGTGCTTGCTTCAGTGGGCGCCAGCACTCGTGCATCAGCCAATTTTTCGGCCCGAAATTGGCGCATAATTTTCAGTACAAGCATTCTCCAACAGAAACGTAAAAATCTCATTCCTAAAAACAAATGTATCCTATATGTACTTTGCACCATAACGGAAAAGGGAATGTCACAGTTACTCCTCCGAGAGCTTGGTCTTCAATGCCTCGATAGACGGGGTGAAGAAATATTCACCGCCTCGCTGATCAGTCCATGACGCAAACTGGAATTGGAGCTTGTAGGGATCTGGATCGTCAGGCTTCTGGTAGATACTGAAATAACCCTCCGAACGGTCGGGTCGATTTCTATCGCTAATGATCGGATCAATACCAGGGCCTCCCTTGATACCCGTGTTGGGAGCAAAGGTTTTGTTGCTTGCCCAGCCTGAAAGGAAGGGGAAGAGAAACATTATTAGTTGACCTTGTCTGGCTGGGAGGTTGTGAACTGGGGAAGGAAAGACTTACGGGTCACCAGCTGGTTGAATCCATTGCGAAAGTTACTCTGGTAGCAGAGGAAGTAGATGCCGCGCTTCTTTTTCGTCTCTTGCGCTTCTTCCACTTCATCGACTTCTGGTCCAAACGTGATACTACGGCGAAGTATGACGTTGGAGTTTGTCTCCGCGTGGTTAACAGCAACTTCGGCAGGATCCGCGTCATCCGTGTTCTTGTTTCCTACATAGAGGTCTGAACGAGGACGCATCTTGCGAATGTGAGCTGCGAAGGGACACTTTGTGTTCTTCCACAGGGTATGTCCTTTCTTGTAATCGAAGTTGTTTGCGAAGACGTATTCCGGCTTAGTGCCATCAGGGTCAAGCTCAATCGGGGAGCCTACGAATGATCAGGCCTGTTAGTCCCCTGCAGCCAATACATAAACCCCCATAGATGGAGGAATATAAGTCACATACCATTTTTCCATCTTCCCATCAAATAGGCTGCAAGCTTCTCACCCGTACCATCGTCAAAGGATGGTATTTTCTGCGAACTCTCTCGCACGAACCTGGACAGATATATAAGCCCTGTGGTTTTAGCTCATCGAGACGAATGGGATGATATCGTACTTGTGGAACTCGGGAACCTTTTCCTCGATCTCACGGAAAGCCAGAAAACTGCCTTCCGTGGCCCAGCGTGGTTGTTTCGCATGATCACCATCCAGACCAGTGAAGATCCAACTTCAAACCCCATCAGCAAATACCGTTGTCCAAAGACAGTTGATTCTTTCTTACCCTGGGGGAATAATCCTCTGTTCACCTTTTTTGGGCGTGGGGTCGAGGCCTCTGATCTGAGGCTGAGATATTTCATCCTCGAATCCAAAGCTGAGCGAGTGGTCAAATGTTAGATGCGAGGCGTACTTCAATCCCTTCAGGAAAAATGGATGAAAATAAAGAAAAAAATGAAAATACTGGATATTACTGACTGTTCTTTGCCATGCAGACTGACCGTGCCACCCTGGGCTTTCTCGGCTTTCCCATCTGCATTTCGGAGATTCCCCTCCTTCCGAAAAGCAATCCCGACGCTGGCGGACGCAGTGTCGACATTGAAGGCGGTTTCAACTTCCTTTATCTTTTCTTCCAGTTTGTCTTTGGTCTGAGCGGTGACAATAAGCAGCCCATCGACTCTCCAGTCATCATTATCGTCACGGTGGCCTTCGGGAGGTTTGTACTCAGGAGCCAAAAGCTCGGAAATATCGGGACCTTCACCGGTCCTGTCCTTATACATGCCCCGCATGTGCAGTTCATCGATAAGCTTATCATCCCGGCGTTGCATAACGAGCTGTAAGTTTCGACGTTAGTATTACCGTGGGTGGGGAGAAAGGCATTACGTCGGTTTTGATTGGAGCTGATTTCTCACCTTTTCGATCCCCTTGTAGCTGAAGGAAATGTTCACAGCTTCGAATGGTTTGCGCTGTTCTGGAGGCGTGTCCTTCCGTGGCTTGCCCGGTGTGGCTTGAGGGAGGTCGTCCGTCTCCACAAAGTATGCCTTGCATTGCGCACCGGTGGTGACCTTGTCAGCAAAGCTTCTGAGGTGTGTTTTGAATGTGTCTTCGTCCTTAATCTTAAAAAACAAGAACGTTTCATAGTACTTTGGCAGACGGGGCCTGAGTGCACCTATTGTCAGCATTGACATCTAGGGTTCGAAGGTATTATTCCGATATCTACTTACCAAATGCTGCCCTGAATATTTTGAATGTTAACCTCCTTTTTCTTATCCATTCTCATGATGAAGCTCAGTGTGGAAAAAGAGAAAAATTTTTCACTTCAACTGGCAAACTTAAGTTGTCCACGCAGTTTCAATATCTGAAAAGGATGGGGGGCTTCTTATAGAAATCCCACCCGCCATGCTGTGATTAACAACCAACTTCACCACCAATCAGGTACCTTTGTTTCAAATAGTTGAAAATTGCAGAATACAAAGAAGCGGAAGTCACGAAATGACATCGTACGACATCATCATGCATGGCGTGATTTGTCCAAACGGAACGATCAGAGGCGAGTTTGAAGCTTTGTTATCACGAGTTGTTATTGGAAGTGATGATCTCTATCAAAAGGTCCTGATTTCCGAATAACATACGTAGTTAATTGGTTCTCCGAAGTAGTCAGCAAGTCAATCCCTCGCCCCAGCTCTCCCGTGTCATCCACTTTTCCCTCGCCGATGCAGACTATATACAGTAGTTTGTGCAGGAAACCTTCCCAGCTGGAGTGGTAGTGGAGACCGTCAGTGAAGCAGGCTCCACATGGGCCCCGGCAAAGATCTTGGGACATCGCCGGCCCCTGCACTCAGATTCATCCCGATTGCTCGAAACAGATGTCATCATCCGCACAATGGGAGTACGGAATCACGCTGCTCCCGCCATCGTCGATGTACAGAGTCGATGTTGATGCTGCAAATGTCAGCCGACGTACCATGGTTCTGGCGGCTGCGGGCCGAGACATCCCGGCCCACGGAGGGGCCACGTCGACGACAGTGCTGACCGTGATCGGCAAATGGGTTCGTTGGGAACGGGCGGCGAGTCTCTGATCGGCTCCGCGAACCAAAATATATGGAGATAGATGGAGACTGAAGCTTATGTGATTGATCACGGGCCCACAGCTACGCCCGCGGTGACAATCTATGTGGTTCAAGATAGTGGCCAGGAGTGGACGTCGTTGGCCCAGTTCACCCGCGAAGTGGCACCGATCAACAGGTGGCTGGCTGGATGCGAGTTTCAGCTCGGATAGAGCCCTGTCCTGTGCAATCGCCTAGTTTCGTCACGATGCCGATTGTCCGTGCCAGGAAATCACCCAATCCGGCTCTGATATTTCCTCTCCAGGCCACCCCGGGAATCTTTTCTTTCTGACTATCTTCTCTGGACACCAGAACGCCTCAAATAGCCAACTGTCTTCAACGATGAAGCTCCAATGGGCCTCCGGACTCCTTCTCGGGGCTGCCGTCAACTACGTTGATGCCTCCGCCTCTTCCCATATTCCGTCGAATTTTGCAACGGATTCGAAGGATGTCGTTGTTCCCACGTACGGTGCCATTGACCCCGAGAAATACTGCTGGCAAGCAAAGCCTCGGGGTGGCAGGCGCCTCGACCAGACCAACTTCGTCGTGGAGTGCTCTAGTCAGAAAAGTTATGACAATCAGTGCAAGAATGTGTTGGACGGCCAGGTCCACACGTACTGGCGCAGCGAATCCAGCTCCGGCGCCGAACCGCAGAATAACTCGATCATCATCGATCTTGGCTCGGAGCAGAAAGTGAACGGTCTCAGCATGCTGCCTCTCATGGACAAGGATGCCCGTGGACAGGTTGCCAAGCACGACGTTTATCTTAGCAAGGATAAACGCGATTGGAAAAGAGTCGCCTACGGGCTCTGGGGCTGGAAGAAGAGCGTGAAGCTCGCTGTCTTCGAACCGGAAGTTGCCAAATACGTGAAGCTCGTTGCGAAGAGTGAATCGCCTCTCGGCAAATCTACCGATACCAAGTACTCGGAAACGTGGACCAGCATTGTCGACATCGCCATCTATGCCGTCGACTTCATTATCCCCCGGGACCCATCCAAAGGTACCTGGGGCCCAACTCTCGACTTGCCCATTGTCCCTGTAGCAGGGGCCCACACTGCAGTTAACCGTGTGAAAAACGGCGATATCATCCTCTGGTCCGCTTGGGCTGACAATCAATTCTTTGATTCCCCTGGTGGCGAAACCTTCACAACTTCCTGGGATCCTATTGATGAGGAAATTTTCCAGGCCAGTGTTGCCAACAACGAGCACGATATGTTCTGTCCTGGAATCTCCATGGACTTTGACGGACGAATTGTCGTGTCTGGTGGCGCCGACTCGGACAAAACCAGCATCTTCAACGGCACTGGCTGGGAGAGCGGTGAGAGCATGGTTCTCCACCGTGGATACCATTCCACTACTACCCTCTCCGATGGGCGGATCTTTGCCATTGGTGGTTCGTGGAGCGGAGGGCCGTATAACTCCAAGGACGGAGAGCTCTACGATCCCTGGAAGCGCACCTGGAATAGGCTCTACAACCTTCCGCGTGAGATCATCGAAACTGACGATAACCCGCTCCGGGCCGATAATCACGCATGGCTGTTCGGCTGGAAGAACGGCAGTGTCTTCCATGCCGGTCCCAGCGAGGAGATGCACTGGTTCAACACCCGCACAAAGGGAGGCAGCTATGTATCTGCCGGTCCTCGCCTTGAAGACCAAGACTCAATGTCTGGGAATAACGTCATGTTCGATGCTGTTCGGGGTAAAATCCTCACCTTTGGAGGCCAGGCGCGCTACGACGGTTCTTTCGGTACCCGAAATGCCCACATCATCAGTATCGGCGAGCCCTACAAGAAGCCTAAGGTGCACGTGGCCGGTTTGAACGGAAGTAAGAGCGAGAACAAACCTGGCGGCATGTATTATCAGCGTGTCTTCCACACCTCTGTTGTTCTTCCTGATGGATCTGTCTTCATCGCTGGCGGCGAGATCTGGGGCCAACCCTTTAACGAGGCCGAAAGGGATATCCAATTGACCCCGGAAATTTACTATCCGGACCAAGACGTTTTCGTTCCCCTACAGAGGAACAACGTCGCTCGTGTCTACCACAGTCTGTCTATTCTCCTCCCTGACGCTACCGTGCTCAACGGAGGTGGCGGCCTTTGTGGTAACTGCACCGTCAACCACTACGACGCTCAGATCTTCCGGCCCCCCTACCTATACAACAAAGACGGAACGCCAGCAACCCAGCCGAAGACCCCCACCGTGGATAACAGAAGCGACAAGGTCACTGTAGGCAAAACTCTTCGTTTCTTCGCAGACGCTGATATCCGGAACGCATCTCTGGTCCGTCTCGGCACTGTCTCGCATACTGTCAACACCGACCAGAGACGGGTGCCGCTTGATGATTACACGTGCGATGATACTGAGGACGGTGACAAATACTGCAAAGTCAAGATCTACCCGGACCCCGGTGTTGTTCTCCCCGGATACTACATGCTTTTTGTCATGAACTCCGCTGGCGTTCCTAGCAAGGCTGCGACTGTTAAGGTCGAACTGGACTTCACCTTGGGCCATTTCACCGAAGATGATTACCAGATTGATGAGGAGGATAAGGAAGTGGAACACAAGAAAGACTGCGATATGGACGTTGATGGTGGTAAGCAAGTCCAAGGAATGGTTGATTACATCTTTGCGGTTGCTCGCAAATTCTGGAACCCACTGCAGTCAACTCTCATGATTCAGGGTTAAGAACTTTCTGATATCTTGGGTTGAACATGCTGTATGTGTGGTGCTTGCTTCGCGTCCCCGGATCCCATAATATCCAATTTATACTAAACACGCATGTTTTGGGTACTATGAATGCGTCAACCACCAGTCATTTCAGAATGAATAGAGGAACAACCAAGACAATGACCTATGATGATGTAGGTATTTGGGAGCATCTACATTTAATTGCTGACGACGCTTCTCACTGTGCTCAGCAATGCAAGAAGCGTACGGGAGGCTTGGTTTAGGGTGCTTTTGGTAGAAGATTGTGTAGAGATGGTGTTTGGCGTTTTCGTATTAGCGGACTCCCCTGTAAATCTCGATGTCCGTTGGTGTCTTCCTATTTGAATATTCTCTCGAGATAAAACATTGCAATTATTTCTTTCCAATACCAACAGGGTCCACAGGGTAAGATTAGGATTAGAAAAGGGAGATATGTATACAACGCTCAATACGGACACTCCTTCAGAGGCAACTACAGGCCTCGCCTCTCCATCAAACTTTAACCAAGTATTTGTGATGCCACCGCCGAGTCCCTTATTATTGCTTTTCCGGATATCAATTCACCAGCTCGTAAATGGCCCCACGAGAGCATACCCGTCGATTTCCTGTTTCTCCTCAATAGTGCCACCCGAGTCGCCAATATCAAATTTCTTGGTGTGATAGCTAAACGCGACGATCTGCTTCGGATGCGAGAATTTATATAGAATTCCGCTCTCGTTGGATATCATTTCAGCGATATCATGAGTTAGAGTAATATTGAGTATGTTGGAATCTGTCGAGGGGCCTTCAACGAAGTAGCCCACTTTGGTAAGTCGTACATCTGCCTTTCCTTCGAATAGACCACCAATCTTGCGGTCGATATGTACTAGGAGCTTGATATTGCCGGTCGGGTTAGGCTCATGACCAGTAATATTAATCTCATCCAGTTAGTATTTGATCTTGGTAAAGGACTATCGGGGTCTGTGTTTATTCTTAAGCTTAAGATATTCCTTAGATAATTCTTCTTTGGCTGCACCTAGCAAGTCTGTACTAGGATGCGAGGGTGCAGAGTAGGATAATTTTTCAAAGGCATTGAAATCCGTGAGAAATTCGAAATTGAGTGCCTTTTGGGCGTTATTCAGTGGGAGCTATGTATCGGTGAGTGCGTCGGTATAGAATCTCTTCATAAACAGAGCCAGATAGGGGTCCTCGCGATTTCCAACAAAGGAGAGGGGATATGAATCACATTTACTGTAGTTATGAACTCTCGAATTGCGCGCCGGAGTGTTCAGGGGGGGGGGGAACTGTTCCCTTCACGCTGTGAAAACTTCGACAAAACTTCAATTTATGAAGGTTTGCCTAGGTATGAGCAAAATAAGCTAGACAGAAGTGCTGTTACGGAATTGTCGCTAAGAAAAAGAAAGAAAGCATGATAATAAGAGCAATATATTCACTTCACATCTTAAGAAAGTCCGATGTGACAACTCCATAGAAGAAACTTGAACATGAATATGCATCTATTTCTTCAACACGTCCCAGTCCTTACCATTCCAGACAGCTTTAGAACCAATTTCAAGTCCGATGGGAATAGTGTCGTTACCGATAAGAACCTCTCCCGCATGATTGCTGCTGCCCGCGACATGTCTGAAAACGTACGAGCCCAAAGACGGATCATACAAATCGCAGTAGTCGAGGGGGAAGAAGACGGCGGCATCCCCATTTTTGGCTGTTGAAGGGTCAGTAGATATGATCGGGGCGCAAGTCCGGGCCGCTGGTTGCTCACAAACGCATTTGCCGTCTTTTGACGTTACCGATGGGCTTGTGGTCGATGTCTTTGGTCACTCCGCCGGTGCACTCGACTTGGGGCACGTCCTTAAAGCGAAAGGTACGTTTGTTGTCCTTCGCTTTCAGCTCCACGCATGTGTTTCTAATCGCCACCAGCTGCCAGCACTGCCATCCGTGCGAATTCAGCTGGGAGACACGATATCATCGACGTCTCCGTCCGTGATGGACCATCACGGCCCAGGCCAATCAGCGCCATGCGTTGCGATATTGCTAATAACTGAAACTCGCATAGGAGGATGCATGTCCGAGTGGATGTAACACAGGAGGCGATATGATTTCTGCAGCCGACTTTGGCAGATCGCGGTGCAATGGCCCCCAGTCCCCGCATTATTGGCTTTGCAGTGGTTCATCTGAGGAAGCGTGGCTCCGCAGATAGGCGCCTGGTTGCCTGCTAGTCCCAGCACAGTGGAGTCGTCGCCATGCAGGAATCTCGATCGAGCATTCAAACTCCTCTCAGGGCAGGAGAAAGGGTCCACTGTGAGATCATCGTCAGATGAAAGGAGCTGAGAGCCCGGAGCAAGAACCCAGACTGGAGCGTGATGAGGAGTCCTGCAGCGCTTTTCAACTCTGCCCCTGGAGTCGAGAGGAGTGCACGGCCGGAAGATGTCGGAGATGGCTCATATTCCGATAATCGACGTCCGACCGGCGAGCATGTGTCTGACCCCGGGGGCCCACATGGGAACTCCTGGACCTGGACTTACTGACGATGTCGGCCGTCGCGTTGCTGGTAAGACTACACACCTCCGCGAATATTTTCCTCTCGGTATGAGTCGCTCACATGGTGTGTCAGTTTTCATCCTCTGCATGGATATCCCGCATGCATGTCCCGTCTGCATGGCGGTTCTTTTCGATGGATGCGGGACGTCCCACGTCGGGACGTCCCACGTCGGGGAACGGCCCTCCCGGTGCCGCGTCAGATCCCCCGCTAAAACCGCGGGTCTGCAATGTGAACCATGATCGGGGAGATAATAATGCCTTTGGGCTGGTTGGTTCCTAGGGGATCCCAGTGGGCCCTGCGCAAAGACGCTGCGCAGATCGCAATCTTGGATGGCTGGCGGAGGACATCGTCAGCGCCCAACAATGGGACCGATGGAACCACTTCAGCTAAACCACCTACGTCACGATCTCTGCTGAAGGGATTCAAAATCTTCTGCATCATGTCCTGGCCTGTGCGAGCGTTGTTCGTGTGGTGCTGGGGGTGGCCACGCTGAGACCCCCGCCTGGTGTTTCTACCCTGGCCGGCCCACCGGCGCTGCCTCCCTCCAGACAGCTCTATCTTTATTTCATGCTTCTGTTGATAATGAAGCTCCGTTGGGTCTCGGGGCTCTTCCTGGGGCTGATTGCCCGCTCTGTGGACGCCAACGCGGCGTCCCACAGCGCGGAGTCTCACATCCAATTTGCCATCGATTCGAGTCACATCGAGCCGGAGACCGAAGGGCCTCTCGACCCTGAGGCCTATCTCTGGCAAGCCCGGCCTCATGGCGGCAAGCTCCTCCTCTCGGAATCAGTTCACGATGCACTGCTCCAGCACGGCCGCGGACAGCAAGTGCGAGTATGCCAACGACGGTCGAGCGGAAACCCACTCGGCCAGCGAGTCCCGCTCTGCTGGTCATGGGAACGATGTACACACCCTGGACCTGCATCACGTGCGCAACGTGAACGGCATTTCCATGCGCCCTCTCCTGGGGGAGAACGACCGTGGCCAGGTCGCCAGGCACCTGGTTGATGTCTGTAAAGCTCATAAAGTCAATCAAACTTGATCCAGACTGCTCCCTCCTTCTCACTGCCTACAATGTCCATGTCGGGACCTGAAAACCCCATCTCAATCTGAACCGCAAGAGGTAAGCTCGAAGGTCGATGAACTAAGACCCTGACTCGATTGTAAAGGGCATTTCTGAGTGGGGTGCTGCTGTTTCGAAAGCTGTCTGAAACAGTACAGTCGGAGTCGAAAACAGTTTAAATTACTATTAATATAAATTAGTATATTATTCAGATAAACTAAATAAAAGTTATTAAGGAATTCGCGGAGTATATTATTAATATATTTCTAGAAGATACTTAATATATTTATAAGACTAAATAATATAATAAGCTATTTGTAGAGACTATATCTTATATGAAAAACTATTTTTTATTCTTCTCTTTCCGCGATCTAAATCTTATAGAAGATTATAGATATATTAAATTTTATAAACTATCTTATTTTTCTAATTTAGTTTAATATTTTATAGATTAAAAATAAAAGATATTAATCCTTCTTTATAATTATATTAGATATATAATAATTAATATAGAATTAAAGGCCTTCTTCTAGTTTTTATATAAATAGTATTAATATTATTACTAATAAATAGTTTATTTAGATAAAATTCTTATCTAAAAGCTTAATAAAGGTTTTTTATAGTATTAATAGTTCTTTATTTAATATATTATAAAAACGACCCTAAAATATTAAAGATTCCTTTTTTTTATTATATAAGTTTAATTTAGTAGTCGATTCTAGCTTTTTAATAAAATAGGAGTTTATTTATTTTTTTAGGGTCGAAAAGAGAGAAAAACTCCATATACTATAAAAATAGTATTATATAATAGTTAATCCTCTTTTTTATTTTTAAAGTTTTTTCGATATCTACTATTAATATTATAAATAGCTTAATAATCTTATTTTATATATATATTCCTAAAGATTAAAGATAGAGATATCCTTAATAAGGTTCTAATTATATATTATTCTAAATAAACTATAGTAATCTAAAAATAAGATTATATCTAAGGTTATTAAGAATAATATAAAGAAAGATAAATTATTTAAAATACTCTCTAATCTTTAATAAAGATTATATAATTTAAGAAATTAGTCTTTTTCTTTTTATTTTTTTTAGGACTCTAGAAAGGATATTAAAAATAAAAAAATCTTATTCTTAAATAAATCTTTAGCTAATTATACTATATAAAAAATAGCTATAATTAACTAAGGTTTAGACTATAGTATATTACTCTAGGATTATAGAGATAATAGAAAAAAAAGAGTCTATATATAATATTTTAAATCTTTTCTAATCTTAATCTAATTTATTTAAAGTTCCTTTACTTTTTTATATATATTTTTATATAAAGGTTACTCTTTTCTCTAACTTTATTTTATTTTTTTTAGGATTTATATCCTTTTCTAGAGTTACCGCGGCGATCTAGGCTAAATAGATAACTAATTTTAATATATAAGAAATAATCTAATATCTTTTCTCTCTATATTATAAATAAACTTTTATTATATAATATCTCTATAACTCTTATTTATTAACCTATTTCACTTTCTCCTAATTTTAATTAGGGTTTATATAGAAAAAGGCGATCTATATTTTAAATAACACAATTCTAATAGAGATAGACTCTTAGTCTATTTATTTATTAAATAATTAGTAGCATAAGATCTAAAGAGATATTAAATAGTTCCTCTTTTTTAATAATCTATTAATTTATTAGAGATTATTATTAATATAGAATTAGACATGGACAGACCCGTCCCATGGGTCAAAGATCTTGACCCATGACCCAAACCCACGATCTATAGATCGGGTCAATAAAATCCTGATCTGCCTATAGGTTAATCTATGGGTTAATAGGTTAACCTATTTTTGACCTATTTTAGTATAAATTTCTTAATTAGGATAGATAATTTATTTACCTTTTTTAATAATATACTATTATTAAATACTATTTTTATTCTAATATAACTTATAATTCTAACTCTTTATAAAAAGAATATTATATAGTAATAATATATTTAGAATATATAATATATTAATTTATTAATTTAATACTTTAAGGTAAGAATTATATTTTATAATAGATAGATATAGGCGAAAGAAGATATTAGTTAACTATTTCTTATACTAAACCTAAAAATATATATTTAAAGTCTATAGTAGTACTTCTATTTTTTATATAAATAAACTATATATATTAGAAATAATAAAATAGATATAAATCTAATATCTAATATTTCTTTATTAATATATAAGTATATTATAGTCTTATTTATATAAAAGAATTATTTTAAATATTTTTTCTGAATTTATATAAAATAATAATATTAGCTAGTTAAGTTGAAATTTTTTAGGGATAAAAAGAAAAATCTTAGGGTATTACTCTTATCTAATTATTTAGGTTAACGGGTTAGTCTATAGGTTAATCTGTTAATCTATTTCTTACTATCTAATAAACTTTATATATATTAGTAGAGCCTATTCTAATTAGTTATAAAATTTAGTACTAGAATAGTGCTAAATCCTATCTACTAATAAAAAATAAGTATTAGACCTATATATTCCCTTAAATCTATAATAATTTACTTTAGATTATTTTTCTATATCTTAAGTCTCTTGCTATAAAAGGGTTATATAATCCCCTTTTTACTAGATATAATAAAATATATACCTTTTTATAGTAGTCTTTCTATCTCTATTAGAACTAGGGTTTTAATCTATCTACGCGATTACTTAAAACCCTGGTTTTAATCTATCTACGCGTTTATTTATAGCCCTGGTTCTAATATACCTACGTAAAAAGATTAGCTAGTTAAGTTAAAATTTTTAGGGGATAAAAATAAAAGTCTTAGGGTATTACTCTTATTTAATTATTTAGATTAATAGGTTAGTCTATAGGTTAACCTATTAATCTATTTCTTACTATCTAATAAGCTTTATATATATTAGTAGAGTATCTTCTGATTAGTTATAAAATTTAGTACTAGGATAGTGCTAAATCCTATCTACTAATAAAAAATAAGTATTAGATCTATATATTCCCCTAAATCTATAATAATTTATTTTAGATTATTTTTCTATATCTTAAGTCTTTTATTTTAATATACTATTACTATATCTCTTCTATATCTTAATTATCTACTTTATACCCTCCCTCTCTTATTAAGAGTAAGAGGTTTAAGTTATCTATTTTCTATTCTAATTAACTTCTCGATATCCTCTTAGAACCACTAAAAAGCTAGTAAACTAAGTAAAGCCTTCTTTTTATTATACTACTAATATTAAAACGATCTAATAATCGGAAAAAGATCTAGGTAATTTTTAATAGTATAAATAAAGTAGAGTTTTTAAACTAGTGGCTTAATACCTAAATTAGTGGTTTTTATAATATTATAAAAAAGATAAACTAGAAGGGTCTATAATAGATTAATATATAGTCGTATTTTGATTAAGTTATATATTTAGTAATAGAAGAGCCAAAACTCTTATATAAGTAATATAGTAAGATTATAGACTATCTAGTCTATACTAAGAATAGGATAATAAGTCTCTAATACTACTAGAATCGGAGTATATATTAGAAAGACTAAAATATTACTAAATATTTAATAATCTAATATCTTATAGAATATATAGTATATTATATAACTATTATTTAATTTATAGGCTAATCTTTCTTAGGCTAAGAACTCTCTTTAAATAGCCTAGCTAGTTATTTAAGAGTTATAGAAATAATAATTAATTACTATAATAACTATCTTATAGCTTCTTTTTTAAACTATTGAGTATCCTAAATTCTAAGCCTTTTTTTAAATAATCTAATTATTATTATTTATCCCTAATTTCCTTTCCTATTAAATTATATAGTATTAAATCTAGGAAATAATCTAAGATTAATAAAAAGATTTACTTTAGAAGTTTTTATCTAAGGCTAAACTCTTTATTAATTTTAACTATTAGATATCGTTATTTTAATAAATATTTATAGCTATCTTTAGCTATTTTATTAATATAGACTAGAATTATCGAGAGGTTTTATTTAGCTTCGAACTTATTTCTAGTATATACTCTAGATAGAATCTTAGTATAACCCTCTTTAATATCCTCTAGAAATATTAGATCGAAGACTAAGTATTTATAGTAATAATTAATAATATATTAAATAACTCTATCTTTATTTTAAGTATCTAAGATTCTATTTAATTATTAGATATTAACTCTAAGATAATAATTATTCGGGTTCTATATATTATATATATAATTTAGTTAAGTTTAAAGTAACTACTTAGCTAGATAAAAACGAATCTTTAGAATAAGGTAACTAAGACTATTTAGTCCGAGGAATATATCTAATATATCTATCGAAAAGTATAAAAATAAGATATTACGATAACTCTTATAAAGATATATATCTATACTCCTTATTTATTAATTAAAATACTAATCTATTTTATATTTTAGATTAAAAACCTTACAATCTTTATTAATATAAGCCTTTAATATTAAGAGTCCTTTTTTAGTCTTTAGCCTGATTACCCTCGATTAGTTCTAATTTAAGATATCCGAACTAGATAGAATTTAATCTTTTTAATACTCTAATATATAAAGTAATTATAACTAGTCTTTAATCGATTTTACTCTAAATATAATTATCCTTATCTTAAAATTAATATAGATAAATAGCGTTAGATCGACTATCTATTTAATATTATCTAGCTATTTTTCTAATTTACTATAATCCTCTTAAAAATAAAGGATATTACTATTTATACTATCTTTGCTATCTATAATAAACTATTTAATTATTTTAAGAGATTAATTAAATAGCTTAGTAAAAAGAAGATTAGATAGAAATAATAAATATATTAAGCCCTTAAATTAGCTAAAAGTAAACTCTATAAGTATTACTCTATAATAGATAATAAAGAGCTTAATAATATCTATATAATTAGTACTATCTTAATCTTTTAGTATAAGATTAAATTTTTTTAAACTAAAGACTAAGACTATCTTTAGATAGATTATAACACTTAATATTAGCGAAGTCTTAAAGGTCGGTTTCTAAGTTACTAAACTAGTAATATTCTAAGCTCTTAATTACTATCTAAAATAAAATAGTCTTATTAAATTAATAAGTTTAATATATTTTTAATAACCGATTCTTCTACCTTAAACTCCTAGTCTAAGGTAATATAGTATATTAAAAGAGGTAAATTTCTATATATATCTTTATTAAAACTAGGGTTCTAAGTAATCGCTTAAAACCCTAGTTCTAATCTATTAAGTTTCTATCTTTCTACCCCTATTAAAACTAGGGTTTTAAGGCCTATCTTAGAATCCTAGTTTTAATAAAGATATTAGTTCTAATCTATCTAAATATTATATTAATTATTATAATCCGTTTTTTATCTAGGTATTATCTTAATCCTATTTTATTAGTTCTAGAAGGATTATTAGTATAAATTTCCTATATTTATAAGCCTCGCCTATAATCTCTTTTTAATTCTAGCTACTAGTATTAATATTAAATAATTATTTAATTCTATATATAATATTTATTATTATTAATAAGGGACGCTAAATATATCTATTATATAGGATCTAATAATATTTATATATATTACTAAATTTGAAATTAAGGAGAAGTAGCTTATATTTATTTAAGAGCTTCGGGAGTAGGATAAGTTAGAAATTATATAAAAAAAAAGAGATCTAAAAGATTTATAAAGAGATTATACTAATTAGTAATAATAAAAAGAAGGATACTATAGATCTAATAATTATAGTTAATATATCTTACTAATTATAGTAAGAAAAATCAAGAAATAATTATAAAGATAATTATAGCCTCCTATAGATTTCTAGTAAGGTTTATAAATACCTATAAATACTTAATAATTATAAGCTTTAAAATTAAAATTAATTAATATTTAAAATAATATTCTTTAGAATTACTTTTTAAGAATTATTCTCCTAATTACTATAAAAAATTATTTAACTAAAATAAATATAATACCTAAAAATATAGCTAAAAATAATATAATTTATAAAAGTTATATAATTAATAAAGTATCTATCTAAATAGATTAAATAGGTTAACCTATTAACCTATAGGATAGATCAAAAAAATCTTGACCCGCCCACAGGTCAAGAGGTCTGACCCACGACCCGCCTATAGACTAACCCACAGATCGACCTATATAGGTTATCCGCGGGTCTGTCTAGGTCTATATAGAATAGATTATTTTAGTATTCTTTATATAAGCTCGCGAATAGCCTTATTATCCCTTTAAATAGATTAATATTAATAGCTATCTCTAAAAGAGCTTATTTCTAGGAGTTATCTTAGTTTAGACCTTCTATAGCTATAAAGTTTTATTTAAATTCGCTAAGAAACTTATAGAGTTCCTTTTTTCTTTATTTTATTATATTAATTTATATAAAAGCCCTCTATTTCTATTCTAGATCTATAAATTATTAGTCTATCTTAAGTTTAATTCTAAGGTTTGTATAAAATACTAATAAAAAGAACTAGATATATAAAGAATAGCCTCTATTATATATATATCTAGTTCTTCGTGATTAATTATATATTATTACTTAGATACTATCTTTAGTCTTATTCATAGTTTACTTTTATAATAACTATCCTATAAATAGAGGAGCTACTTTAGTACTAATCTATTTAGTATATATCTAATTAGTAGAACCGCTAGGAGAGCGGAGATACACCGCTCGGACACGTGACGACTTATTAGTGATAAGCCAGGACTCACTAGTGATAAGACCGCAGACGGTAGCTCGGACCACCATTACTCGAAACCTCCGACCACCATAAAGGTCACGTGTAGTCACGTGTTGGTCACGTGTTGGGAGGTCAGACCACCATTAGATTCTAATAGTTAACCGAGCTCTATCGTTATCTTGTCACACAAACTAAAATCTGTTTACACCCTACTAAAACTAGTTACTAGCTCGTTACTAACTAGTTTTCAACAATAGACGCCTAGACTAATCCCGACTAATGGCTCGCGTATAAGTATAATACTATCTACTCCCTTCTTTATCGGGACTAGGATAATAGAGAAGAAATAGAAGAATAAGTTCAGAACTAGTTAACTTATATTTTTCTTAACTTTCGCTATCTTACTACCGCTTATTAATCGAGGATTCGGGGGAAAGGGAACTAGATACTTCCTAGTTAAGAAGGAGGTTTAGAGAGGTAAAAAAATAGGTAAAAACACTATATTCGTGGACTTAGAAATATAGGGGGAGGTAGTAAGGTAAGGTAAGCTAAGTGGAGAATCTGAGAGGTGGGACCCTTATTAGAACTAGTCCCAAAACAGTTACGGGCCTACACGTGACCTTAATGGTGGTCTGAGGTTTCGAGTAATGGTGGTCCCAGCTGTAGTCACTAAGACCGGAAGATATTAGCGATAAGTTCCGGACTTATCGAGTGATAAGAAGGACTAGGTATATAAGGACACTCGTTCACTATCATATATCTAGTTCTTCGTGATCAATCGCACCATTGTTACTTAAGTACCGATTCACAGTTCAACTATAAAGCTAAATACCTTAACGATCTTAGGAGCTTACTTAGAGATCTCTGATCCCTAAGTGACTGACTTAATCGGCGCCCTAGCTGTTACACCTTATAAGTACCCTAAAGACCCGAGTCCATCTAAGGCCCTGCGCGGCGTTGGTATGGTTGCGGACTATACTTGAGGCTCGCAGTATTCCAAGAGAAGTATCACCCTTTAAGGACCTTACTCACCGTAACCAGTTAGCGGTTCGTAACAGTAGCATTAGTACGATTAAGGATAGGCTTAAGGCTCGCAGTTACCAAGAGAAGTATCACCTTTAAGGACTAACTCACAGTGACCAGTTAGGTACGCGTAACACTTTAGTGCACTGACCGGTCCTCTTTTATCCGTATAGATACTTCGTGGTGAAGTTCCTTTAATAAAATAACAGGTGTTTCCCCAAGAAACAGAAGTATGAAATCGGCTTAGTTCTGGGAATACGACAGACCATTCCTGCCTAATATCCATTTTAATATTGCATGACGCCATTTTTCGGGCGCAGCCCTTACCCCGACATATTTTGGGATAGATAACGAGGAAGATCTGCGGCAATAACCTTAAAAAAAAGATTTATTGCCTATAAGATGAACGATCCTGGCTATCGGCCTGTGGATCTCCTCGAAACGCATCGAAGGAGTATGTATACTTTGGTGCGTCCCAACCTGGCGTCTTCACGATTTTGAATTGCGAGCCTATCTTCGAATTGGTGGTGCATAGGACAGGGTGTATCTAGAACGATGCTCTGAAATTAGGAACAGATCCCAGCCCCTGCATTAAAGACCAACCCTTATTTTGTGAGGTGGACATAGACATGGATTATATTGGTAGCCTGTTTTGTCCGTTCTCGGCCACTATAGTATAAGCAGACCACACAATTACACTCAAATTCATATTTACATATGGCTGTGTATCCATTCGTCCTCCGCTAGCTCCTTAGCGGAACTACGCTTGCCGGGCTCCCACTGTAGCATTTTGCGCATGAAATTTAAGAACGCCTCTCTTTCCACTTTCCCCTTGAGACTAGTTTCCCTATTCTCAAGCTGAACCCGATGTGTCAATAATTCTGGAGTGAGGAAAGCACCTAGAGTCATGTAGTTAGTGGACTTGGACGCCAAAATTCACTGGATATCATATTTGCCTTCGCTTGAAAAGAATTTATCTCGTAGCTCCCCTTGGGTAAGAAGGCTGGGAGGCGGGGGACCAAGAAGATTGATCATCTCAGCAAGGTGTGCTCGACTGCGGTACGTCTCAAATGTAGGGTCTTGGCCCGTAAATAAGGAACCACCTTCGTATATATCCCAAATCTATAACTCAACTATTAGCAATTTTTGCATCAAAATCAGGATCTTTGTCTTACCATGCATCCCACATTCCATATATCAGCGCTATACGTCCATGGTACTCCTAGAATCACCTCCGGTGCTCGATAGATCTTAGGTTGAATGAATATCGTGTGGTATTGATTACCGAACACGGCCGAACCAAAATCGCAAAGGACTGGGGCACCAACTTGTTTTGGTACTTTGAGTTCCTGGGACATATAGATGGTTCTCCCGTCTGTGTCAACCTCTTTCCTCGGAACAGGTCGCTGAAGTTCGTTCTCCTCGAAGTCAGTGAAGACTGATTCATCATTGATACCGAACATAATATTATCGGCCTTGATATCTAATGGGGAAGTGTAAGAATTAGAAGTAGTAGGAGGGGGGCAATATTAGGTTACATACCAGTGTGTGCGATCATGCACTCTGTATGAAGATAATCCAATGCCAGAAACAGGCGATGAAGAACGACTGCAATGACTGCTGAGGGTAGCCTCTCAACTGGGTTGCGGCGTAAAAAAGCCAAAACACTCTCCCATAATGGGGGATGCACGAGGCATCGATGCTTGTCTTTAGGTCCGTCGACGTAAAATGTATCAAGTAGCGTTCTTATGACATCGCGACCGGGATGGGCGGTTGGGGATTGCTCCATATGTCTATATATGTTGAGCTCGTTATCGAGCTGCTGGCCCATAGACGAAGCCTGGATAAAGATTTTGAGCATAACATAACGACGGTTGCTATAATGACAGTATATAAGTATCTCAGATTAGCCATAATTATAAAAAAACCATGAGGGTTCTTACTCCATGTCCCGTGCAAGCCACGCAGTTGAAGTAGAGCCAAATCCCAATTTGCCGATGACTTGATACTGGTCCTTGATGATTTCTCCTATTCGAGTTGGATAATACTGTGAGGCATTATAGTCTGGGAGAGTCTCTTCCTCAATTTTGTGCCATTCGGGTATCCGAACGAAGTTAGTGTTGGAGAAATTCAGAGGTTTCCATCTCCGCCCGAGCTGGGGTAAAGATCGCAGAAGTGATGAGAACATGGTCTGAGGGAAGGAGAATAGCTTTGTCGTGTAGCAATTTGTAGAGCGAAGAGGTAGCGGAATAATCTGATGTAGACTTGAGAGTGCTTTAGTAAATATGTGCTGGTCGTTAAACAGACACGCCGGGGTGAGGATCCCCAAGTCAGGTGATCTCGCCACCAAAAAGATCCACCGCAAAGCGCGTACGTGTGCTTGGTTTCATCTTAGCGCCTGAAATGCCTCAGTAAATGATCAGCACTTCCATTTTGGTCTTCATTTGACCAATCTGAATCATTGTCCTCCCCCCCCCACTCAATTGAAGGCGTAACGGCCATGATAGTTAGGCGCCGAATTTTCGAGCTAGAATGTTGCCTACTACCAGTGATCAACATATGGCATCCCAGTCAACAGGCGCTCTCAGGATCGACATCGCTAGACATTTTGGTTTGATGTGATCACGAATAGGCTCGCCTGGCCCAATCATTCTTGCCTTCGCCAGCATCCTGGATCAATGCCGAAGTGGATAGAACCCCTTGACGAACGAGAATGATTGGCAGAATCGGATTATATGGGCGACAACTGATACATGCGGACAGCGCCTCGAACAAAATGCACAGCCGTGTGTTTCTACAAAGCATGTCCCTCGGATATAAAAAGCCACGGATCCTTACCTACATTGAAAATATAATTCGAATTGATCGTCTTTCATCTACTCACTCCTGGTAACAGAGTACCAGAGACGCCACCATGTCTATTAAAAGATCTTTCCACTCTGCCAGTCAAGCCCTCGTGCGATTTTTTGGGATACCCTGCCAACAAACTTGATGACCCTTTCAAAGATGCCTTTTTCACTTATATCAGTAATGGCGCCGTCAAGGTATTAATGTCTCCGAATAATCTTCAATTATTAGAGATTTATACTAACAATCTCCTAGAAAGTCGGCGAAATTGAATCCGTCGAAATCTTGTAAATGCTTGCGCACCTTCGTTCCATGATGTTGTTCATTACTGACGACAGATTATGTAGGCACCGCAACGATGGCAGTAACCCTATTCACAAATCTCACTTCAACCGCACGGATCCGGCAAATATTATCAGCGCCAGGGTCAAGCCGAAGAATGGCTCAGCCAGGACACACCACATATATGAGAACGGTACTGGGACCATGCGTGTGCATGACAAAAAGGAGTATTCGACATCTGCCAGGCAAAATACCTGACGAAGTTTATTTCTTGGAGGAGTTTGGTACAGACGCCAAGCTTTGTCGGGAACACATGTATTAAGAGTTGAGAAATCTGTTGGGAATTGAGAGAGCTGGTTACAGCAACTCGGGCTGGCTAAGGTTGATTTGAGACCTTTGCTTCAGACCTTTTATTATTCTTAACGCAAATCTATTACCATCATCGGGAATCCACACGGACTCAATACTATCAAAGATGAGGTGCCCTAAGTGCAATCGAAACAACATGACCAGGAGAATTGAATACGAGTTGACGCAAAATCTATCCGTTGCGACGAAGGATCCTTTTGGTCACGGGTTCAAACCAAGTTTAGTAGTTCCAGGAAGCGGCCTGCGAAGAAAGTAAGGCTTGAAGGCCGAAACTACTGTTCATCCTGTAATTGTACGAGATAACTAATTGCCTCTTAATCTATCGAAAAACTTTAAATCTTCCACACTAGCTGCAATAGATTGTTAGTTGTTCTATAGCGAATCTAATTAACTAATCTATAGAGAGTAGCTTAGGAGTTTAAAAGCCTAGCTAGATAAGTTTTTCGTCTTCGATCACGATTCGGCTTGTATATATATAGACATGGACAGACCCGTCCCATGGGTCAAAGATCTTGACCCATGACCCAAACCCACGACCTATAGGTCGGGTCAATAAAATCCTGACCCGCCTATGGGTTGACCCGCGGGTTAACGGTCAACCTATTTTTGACCTATTTTAGTATAAATTTCTTAATTAGGATAGATAATTTGCTTATCTTTTTTAATAATATACTATTATTAAATACTGTTTTTGTTCTAATATAACTTATAATTATAACTCTTTATGAAAAGAATATTATATAGTAATAATATATTTAGAATATATAATATATTAATTTATTAATTTAATACTTTAAGGTAAGAATTATATTTTATAATAGGTAGATATAGATAAAAGATATTAATTAACCCTTTCTTATACTAAACCTAAAAATATATATTTAAAGTCTATAGTAATACTACTACTTTTTATATAAGTAAACTATATATATTAGAAATAATAAAATAGGTATAAATCTAATATCTAATATTTCTTTATTAATATATAAGTATATTATAGTCTTAATTATATAAAAGAATTATTTTAAATATTTTTTCTAGATTTATATAAAATAATAATATTAGCTAGTTAGGTTAAAATTTTTTAGGAATAAAAAGAAAAATCTTAGGGTATTACTCTTATTTAATTATTTAGATTAATAGGTTAGTCTATAGATTAATCTATTAACCTATTTTTTACTATCTAATAAACTTTATATATATTAGTAGAGCCTATTCTAATTAGTTATAAAATTTAGTACTAGGATAGTACTAAATTCTATCTACTAATAAAAAATAAGTATTAGATCTATATATTCCTCTAAATCTATAATAATTTACCTTAGATTATTTTTCTATATCTCGAGTCTCTTATTATAAAAAGGTTATATAGTCCCTTTTTTACTAGATATAATAAAATATATACTTTTTTATAGTAGTTTTTCTACTAATTATTATAATATATTCTTTATCTAGATACTATTCTAACCTTACTCTATTAGTTCTAGAAGGATTATTAATATAAATTTCCTATATTTATAAACTTTATTTATAATCTTCTCTTAATTCTAGCTATTAATACTAATATTAAATGATTATTTAATTCTATATATAATATTTATTATTAATAATAAAAGACACTAAATATATTTATTATATAGGATCTAATAATATTTATATATATTACTAAATTCGAAGTTAAAGAGAAATAGCTTATATTTATTTAAGAGCTTTAGGAGTAAGATAAATTAGAAATTATATATAAAAAAAAGACCTAAAAGATTTATAAAAAGATTATATTAATTAATAATAATAAGAAAAAGAATACTATAAATCTAATAATTATTATCGATATATCTTATTAATTATAATAAGAAAAGTTAAAAAGTAATTATAAAGATAATTATAGCCTTCTATAGATTTCTAGTAAGGTTTATAAATACTTATAAATATTTAATAATTATAAGTTTTAAAATTAAAATTAATTAATATTTAAAATAATATTCTCTAGAATTACTTTTTAAGAATTATTCTCCTAATTATTATAAAAAATTATTTAACTAAAATAAATATAATACCTAAAAATATAGCTAAAAATAATATAATTTATAAAAGTTATATAGTTAACAAAGTATCTACCTAAATAGATTAAATAGATTAACCTATTAACCCGCGGGACGGGTTAAAAAAATCTTGACTTGTCTATAGATTAAGAGGTCTAACCTACGACCCGTCTATAGGCTGACCCACGGGTCGACCTATATGGGTTATCCGTGGGTCTGTCCAGGTCTACGTGGAGCTATAAAGATATTATACGATAAATTGATACTCTCGTATCTAGCTAGCAAGACAAGATTTAGTCTTGACAGCAATAAAGATATACTGTTTTCTTTTACTCCTCCTCCTTGTTTTCTTTGCCTGATCGACAGGTCTTATACCCTGCCAAGTATATTCTTTACACCTAGATAGGTATAGAGAGTGTATAGATCAACGCGTCGCCTTTATTTTAGTCTAGATATATATAAATATAAATATAAATATTGGCGGCGCCATCGTCGAGACACTTTCGAAAGTAAAAGAGGCGAGGCGTCGATATAGGAGAGAGAGTTGCACCACAGCTGAAAATACTGTGGGTCCGACTCGAGGGGTCATTTTGACCTGGCAGTGGGGCCGACCATTATCATCCTCTTTTGCCCTCCTTATCATCAGAATTGACCTACTTGTTCTGTTCTTTCATCGTATTTCGGCAGTTCTGTCATTGTACTGTCATCAGAATGCTCTGTCGGCATTATTACGTCTCGCACTACTCGCCCAGATATTGAACCATAAACTATTTTCTCTGGTTGGCCACCGATTTTGGTCGAGGTATATATGTGTAGGTGTCAAGGTGACGAGACCCACTGCATTAAGACATGTTGGATTAAACAATGTCTCTCTTCTAAAAACCACAACCACATATTCCACTAAATGTGCCCTTGTGATATTTGCTGGATTGAAGTCGGCGAAGGCTGCGAATGGACTTTACGGGTTCGCATGCGTGAGTGTCTTTTGGGCAGCTAGATTGCCATCTATTGACAATGTACAGTTTACCCGGTTGAAGGAATTTACCAACTTTCAGGGGTTGGAATCTATCACTTCGATATGTGGGATGCCAGCCATTACCTTGTCAAAGTTCCGACTAAAGGGGACAGCGACTGTGCTGAGCTGCTGACATTTGATATCTCGAAATTCAACTCCACGCGGCTGAGCAGGGATACTTTTATATTTCATGATGCATGCTGGAGGATTATCCAGACTTGCTTTGAGGATGTCTCGATACCTCTAGCACAGCTGGCGGTGGTTCTTTCATTGGTGCCCAAATTTGAAAAGGTAGATGAGGACTGTGTCTACGGCGCAGAGGACCCGACCAAGCATGTTGATGCCGAGGAGATTGTCCGTTTGGCAAAGAGACAACCAAAAAGTATCTCTGCAGCTCCAAGGTCCAAGATGATTCTCCATCATCCAACACGCGATACCTTTGCCATTCTCCCTCCAGAAATTACCTTTGAAATCGCACGACACCTTGAAATCATCGATTTCTATAACGTGCGACTTGTCTCGCGATGGATGGGGCGGCTTTTTGATGAACCAGCATTTTGGGCAACCAGGTTTGAGGTGAACAGAGAGCGTGGTTTTCTCTCCTGCTTATGGGCGAAGAGACCAAAAGAATATGCAAGAAATGACTGGCGAAGTCTCTACACTTGCAGCTCACTGCCAAACCTCTGCGCGTCTCTCCAACGAAGAAATCGCATTTGGCGGAGAGGCCAGTGGATCAAAGATGTCATCACCATGAGAATGCAGTCGGACCAAACCGAGGCCACCAGAGAAAGTGACAGTAACTTGGACTGGAGAGAGATTCAAGCCCATCTACGCTGCGACTCGGATCTGCCTCTTCATGAATTTCCTTGCTATGTAAGAGCTGTTCAAACCCAGAGCGCTCGCATTCCACGGAATCTTACCGCTATTGTTGTTTCTTTCATCAGAGAGGGCAGTATGACATATGTCACCGGGCTGCAGCTGCTATCAGAGCACGAAGTGATTAGTCTGGGATACATCAGGTTGGGAAGTCCTATAGTCCCTGTGTCCTCGGACTTTAGCGGGTTTGTGGTGGCTGTGGACAAAAGGGGCATTCATGCACTCCAAGCCATCGCCAATGGTGTCGCCTCGTCGTGGATTGGGGATATGGAAGGACGATGTGTAACCAGACGGCTTGCTCTACAGGAACCAATCCAGGGGATTGAAGTTTGCTGCGATGTGAGTGCAAATCCGGTCACTCCTCTTGGAGAATGCTATATTAACATGGAAGGGGCGGAGGAATATAAAATAGTTCGCCTAGCGGTAGCCCAACAGACCCCAGAGAAAAAGAGGCAATTGCGGGGGACGGTGAGGGACTCGATGTTTCAAAATGCATTATGGTTACCACTTCATCCGCCGCAAGATGTCTTCTTCAATCCGGGGTCGTTCCTAGGCGGCGATCTGCAAGTTCCAGGGTTCCGGCCACTCGCATGGGCCATGTTTGGCGGCAGAGATGGGAGTGACCTATGCTCCTTGACAGACATCTCTATAGGCACCACTCAAGACCGACTGAAACAAATTCAATTCTGGCACGAGAACGTGTGCCCAGGTCGAGAGAGCATATCTCTCGAACTTGGCAAGTTTCCAGAGAGATGGTCGGACAGGTGTTGGGCGCAGCCCAACATCTATAAAATCGATGGGCCAGGAGGGGAGAGAATCAGCGAAATAGCCGCGGTAATTGACAAGAGAGCCCACGACATCAAATCTCGCTATTTCCCCGACGGAGTTCCGTTGTATTATCGGGCATGTTTCCCCAACTTCCCCTCTGATCTCTCCACCGTCATGAACTAATCACATTAATCTTGGTCCATATATAGATTTCCACCAACCGTGGAAATCACATTTGAACGGTTCGTCGTAGAAACCCGTTACCGCTGCCCAAGCACTGCGTGCTGCAAACTATCAAAATCGCACCAGGAACGGTCCCTGTTGGAATCTATGCTTTCAAGGTAGGGAATATCCCTCTCCAATACAAATTCTTTCTGATATATACTCACAAGCAGGTATTAGCAATTTGAGTTGGGCAGGGTTGGTCTCGGGGTCATATCGGCCAGAGTATAGCTTAGATAGAAGAGATGAATTACATGTTGTTTTAGCAATATAACTTGAACTCTCATTCAGAGCTACTCTTAATCGATTCCATTCATCACTATCCAACACAGCATTGGGATGAACGAGAACTAAGAAATCAATTGAGCATTATTGTTTATTCTATGCATTATTCCTGTCCAGTAACTATAAAACGACTAGACTATAACCTCGACAACGGACCGTCAGCGCGAACAACGGCCAAACTAGCCAGGCTGATTTCTGATATCGACTTGCACCCGGCCAGCTGCATGCATCGCTTGAACTCCTTGTACATAATCTCTAGCATCAATTGCACACCTTGTTCACCATTGTACTATTCCACAAAAACACAAGTTAGCCAGATCTCATGGTGAGTCAGCGCAATAGAAAGAGAAGTAGATATGCATACCGCTAGTCCCCACAGCATCGGACGTCCAACCCAGCAACATTCAGCGCCCAGCGCCAGAGCCTTGAAGATATCACTACCAGACCGGATGCCGCCGTCAACGTGGATGCGAATCCGACCTCGGGCAGCCTGTGCACAGGCAGGGAGGGCATCAATAGTGGCGGGTGTTTCGTCCAGCTGGCGGCCGCCGTGGTTGCTAATAAGCACACCGTCACATCCATACCGGATCGCAATCTCCACATCTTCGGGAGAGAGAATTCCCTTGATCCAGATCTCCATGTTAGTGATGGAGCGCAGCCACGGGATTTCCTTCTCCCAGGAATGCGAGTCCGAGTTGAACGAGGTAAAGCCGTCGTCATGCGATTGCTTCTGGATATCCTCCGAGGACTTCTCCAGCATGGGATAGGCGAGACCAGGCGAGGGCTGGAAGCCATTCCGCCACTCGTTATATCGTACCCCAAGCACTGGGCTGTCGGCAGTAAGGAAAATGGCTTTGCAGCCTGCAGCCTCGGCTCGACGGACGATCCGTGCTTCTTTTTTGCGGTCATTCATTGAGTATAGTTGCATTGCATGGTCTATAGGCCCTACTTCCCTGCCTGCAGCGGTGATTTGCTCCACGGAATTGTTCGCAAAGGATGAGATGCCCATGCTGACACCCATCCTGGCGCAGGCCTTGCTCGTGGCTAGTTCGCCGTCTGGGTGGGCCATGGCTTGGATTCCAGCTGGAGAGACACAGAGAGGGAATGTAATGTCTCGGTCGAAGACACGAGTAGTGGTATTGACCTGGGAGACATCTCGAAGCACTCGCGGTAGTAGACGATACTTCTGGAATGCCGAGATGTTTTCTCGGACAGTCACTTGGTTGGTTGCTCCCGAGTTGTAGAATTCTGGCAGGATGTATTAGAGGGTATTTTTGGGCACGAGTATTCAAGAAACATACCTCTGGTTCCGACCGGGAGGGTTCGAAATGCTGATTTCTCGAGATCGGAGATAGAGAGGATCTTGTTAGAGGGAGATGCCATCGCGATAATCAACACACTACTCTCAAGAAGGAATTAACGCGATTAATTGATGAAGCTTTGTTGTTTCGCTGGGCTGCCCCTCGACTGTGGATGATCAGTTTGTTTTCGGTGGATTCTCCGAGAGGGGAGCATCGGCAACAAGTCCGTGAAGTCCAGTATAGCCACTCCTGGCCTGAGGGCAACGCTGTGAGGCACTTCACAGCCAATATCTACTGATAGGGGACCAGGTCACTTCGTGATTTATTCTTTTCTCTCTCTCTCTCTCTCTCTCTCTAAATGACTCCCTGCAAATGGAATTATGCATCTCCAGTAAATGACAAACTGTCGAGACAGAAGTGGAATGTCAGTGGTACAATCACTGTTATATATCTCGTTTAGGGCCACCGCTCGTGAGTCAAAATCATTGGATGGGATGCCGGACCTGAAGCCCATGGTCTATGCGATGAATGAAATCAAAACGCCCTATTCTAAATATGCTTGTATGTTTGTCCAGAGGCAGTGAATCACGATTGGAAATTCATCGAGTAACCGCCGGTCTTCGGATCCTGCACGAAGTTGAAGTTGTCTGTCGACAGACCAAATGGGTTCAGAATGCCATTGCCGAGCTACACCAGCGAAGTGTTAGCAGGGAAATACCGAGGACAATAAAATGCAATGCTGAGTCACTCACATCTTTCAACTTTGACATCATCTCGCCCATCTCCTTCTCCCGAGCTTGATTGATTTTCCCTGGGAGTTCCCGGAGAGCCCGCTGCACGACCAGCCTATCGTCCGAGGACAGATTTCCCATAGCCGCGAGAGTCTGGTAGTCTTCTGAAGCACCTTGCAAGTTCCCCCAGCCACCCAACTGAGTCTTCGCTTTGGCGCGTCGCATGAGGGTCTTGGCGCGGAGGCGCATGACATTTGTCCGCGTCTCGTCATTCTCTTTCAGGCGTTGCAATTCTTTTTGTTCTGCTTCTTCGTTGTCTCCGGATATTTCGACCACGGCGTCCGAGTCCTTTGGGTCATTCTGTTGGCCGTTGGGGTCCTTCCCATCGCTTTGGCTCTTGTCTGTTGAGGCGGGAGGGATGATCTTATCCAGACGGTCGATAGAGGCAGTTGCAGATTCCACCGCAGCCTTCCAATCCTCCAGTTTCAGATAACAAGCAGCAATATTACTACGAAGCACAGCGACATCGTAATCCAAGTAAATTGGGCACGCGGCGAGAGCTCGGTCGTAGCAGGAGATGGCCTGGTCGTAGCTCGCCGCGCCGAAATGCTGGTTCGCCTCGGATTTGATTTCTTGGGCCTCTTTCACTAATTTCTGCTTCGGCATCACCGGCAAGGTTAGCAGGCGGGCATGACTCGTTTTATCGAGCAAAAAACACCAGGACGATCGATACTCACGGCCTCTTCCTCTGCGGGGAACCGCGCATCGTGAAATTCGTCATCATCACCACTGTCTGCACTAGCGGCAGCATCAGCAGCCTGGCTCTCGGGCTTTGGCACGTTCGAGGGATCGTGGTCGGACATTCTGGCGGGGCGTTGGAAAAGCGAAGTTGGGCCCCAATCACGGGATCCTGTGATAAGCCGCGGGTTCCCCGCGTCGCCAGGGCCCTTATCGCCGCAGATCTCTTTTCTTCCTCTTTTTGCTGTTGGCCAACGTGGCCCTCTTCTGTACAGAAATATAGACGATTTGAAAGTCATGGCTGCTAACAATGGGTATGTGGGAAACCATATACAACAATTAAAATCTACAATTGAGCCTCTGCTGACTCGATACCAGACTTCCCCGCATCCGGGCCTGTCTCTTCGACATGGACGGCTTGTTGATCGATTCGGAAGACAAGTACACGATGATCACCAACGAAGTGCTACAGATGTACGACAAGCCCAATCTGCCGTGGTCAGTCAAGGCCCAGCTGCAGGGACGCCCACAGCCAGAGGTGTGTTTTCCAAGATTTTGGCCCTTATCATTACGAAAAAGAAAACTCCTTACCTCTCGACAATGCTGACACCACCCCCTCCAGGCAAGCAAGATCTTCCACGACTGGGCGCAACTGCCTATCACACCCGAAGAAACCGCCACCAAGCAGGCCTCGCTGCAAGCCAAGTACTTCCCGCAGTCGCAGCCACTACCAGGCGTGCAGACACTGCTGTCGACGCTGGTCTCCACGCAGACCACAGACCAGCCAGTGCACCTGGCGCTGGCGACATCCTCGCACAGCAAAAACTTCAAGCTCAAGACCGACCATTTGACGGAGCTGTTCGCGGCATTCCCGCAAGTCCACCGCGTGCTGGGCGACGACCCGCGTATCGGAAAGGGGCGTGGCAAGCCGCTGCCGGACATATACCTGCTGGCATTGGAGACCATCAACGCCGACCTGCGCAGCAAGGGCGAGGCGGAAATCTCGCCGGCCGAGTGTCTGGTCTTCGAGGATGCCGTGCCCGGAGTCGAGGCTGGTCGTCGCGCTGGAATGCAGGTTGTTTGGTGTCCGCACCCTGGTCTGCTCGGTGCCTACAAGGACCGCGAGGAGGAGGTGCTTGCTGGGTTGACGGGTGAGCATAAGGAGGAGGAGAAGACTGCTCCTGAGAAGGAGGCTGAGGAGCTCCAGGCTGTGCGTGTACGGGATGCTGGCAAGCCTGGGGTCAAGGGAGATGGATGGGGTGTACTACTTCCCACGCTGGAGGATTTTCCTTACATCAAATATGGGATTCGTGTACTATAAGCTATTCTAGCATTTCCAATAGATTCCATCATCTCCTAACTGAAGGGTTGGAAAGAGAATTAGAAAGAGGGCCAAAAAGAGAGGAAATACATACTTTCTATGATGAATATTCAGTTAAAAAAAGGTTATTTCGTTTATTTCATCTCACCACATTGGAGAGAAGCATTGTTAAATGGATAAACACAAAAGAGCCAGAAACGTTGCTAGCATGGGTGGGTAATTTCAGGACTACCGTGGGTATCTCCGATGTATATTGAACAAATCAAAAGGATAAAAGCCAGATATTCATCCCAGTGGCAGTACATCAAAATGAAGGCCCAGATGAGAGAGAGAATGGCCATTGCCACCTTAGTTTCAGTGGCGAGCGCACTTGGGCGTAGAATTGGGGGTGGGCATCGCGTCATCCTCCTGAGCGTTCTCAACGTGGTCCACCGACTTGCGCTTCTTGTTGCGAGGAGGAACGGGGGAATCGGCAGCCTCATCTTTCATGGCCTTTGCCAGTCGCTTCCCCTTCACGTCGTTGACGCGCTTGTTGGATTCCACCCGCTTGATGGCAGCCAGTGGGTCGTCAATGAGGGTGTGCATGTAGATGGGGTCCAGCACATGCTTACAGATTGACTTGGAGAACTGGAAACTCAACAATTAGGAATGAAGCATACCAATAAAACTTCAAATAATATACACATACCACCAGGCTCTCAACCAGGTAGTTCAAACGATCAACAAAAGAGGGGAAATTGCTGGAGTTCTTGTCGACGAAGTTGTGGGTCAAGGCAGCGCCGTCAGTGTGGCGGCGAATCATGGCCTCCTATTCATATAGTTCAGTTGTAAGCAAGAGACAGAAAGAATTCGAAAGGAGAGACGAAGGAGAAAGCATACCAGCATCTCCCAGCAAGCCAGCTCCACCCGATCATCGGGGTAACGGCCGTTTCGAAATACCGAGATGACCTTATCGGAATCCTGCGCCTGCTGGACATTCTTGATGGCCTCTCGGAGGAGAACGACCACAGTACGCTTCTCCGAGGGAGTGACCGGGATGCTTGGGTCATCGGGCGTCTGGACAACTCGGCGCTGGCTGGCGCGAGCTTCGTCCAAAGACGAGAAGAGGCTCTTCTGGCCGTACTCAGATTGGTTCAGGTCGTCGAGGGTTTCGAGTAAGATACTCTTTTCAGGAGTCTTGGAGGTACCCTCGGGTCCAAAGTATTCGAGTCCAGGCGCGGCTGCCATTTCAGCGAGAGCGAGGTCAAAGTTGAAGCCGGGCTGGCTGGTAGGCCAGTTGGAAGGGGCAGTGTCAGTGAATTCCATGGTGTTTAAGTGAAGGACTTGAAGTGCTGTAAGGTGGAAATGACGAGGAGATAACGTGGGAGTAACGAGGAAGCGAGGTGAATCCTGTAAGAGGACTCGGAGATATAGGCATTTTGCGTGAATAGAGGCATCGAACCCTGTTATCCTCAATAAGAACAATAGCAATTGACCTTGAATAGCATAAAATGCAGCGGGCTGGGGTTTGCTATCAATGACGCGCGTGTCATTGATTTTGTTTGTCGTGGAGCAGTTGGGGCTGTGAGGTCATAGGGCTGAGCAATTGTATTGGACTCCAGCACTTTCAGGACCTGGGTTCATTGTTAGAGGCGTGTTTGATAGGAGCCCTGGACAGGCTTAGCAAAGCTTGGTCTCATTAAACAACATGGATAACATACAAAGCCTTTGTTTACCCGAGACCCTCGATCACCAAGTGCAACAGTGTGATACACAGCCTCGACAACGCCAATGTCAGTCTTCGTGTTCCGAGCTGGGAGGGTCGAGGGTCGAGTTCAGAAATGGCATTGACCACACTTTCAGTGTGTTATCTGCCTTCCCGGCGCCAGAATGCACGTCGAGGTCGTCTGGCGTGTCGTCATTGGCAAAGTGACGCTGCCCAGAGCATGTTGCAACAACACTTCCCATTGGGTGGAAGACTGCACTCGTCACAGCATCTAATGCCAGTCAGAAAAGACAACACATTGAGGGCGCTATTGGAAAGACAAACCATCATGCGCTTTGAACTCCCAGTCCGGATCCTGCCCGCCGGCAGCATACATGGGATCCTTCCAAACCCTGATGTACCCATCTGTGCCTCCCGCCCACACTTCATGAGATCCATCGGGCCCAGCAGGGACAACATCCACCTTGAGCCGTTGGTTTGTCATCGCCTTCCGGCCACGCAGATGCCCGAGCATTTGGCCTGTCACGCGGATGTCATAAGCCAGCACGCCATCACTTTTCCGTTCGGCGATATACAGATATCGACCACATGGACTCCAGAGAAGTTGAGTGACCCCACGTCCCCCGATGTCACGGTTCGCCTCGGTCTTTGCGATGCTGAATGTGCCCAGGAGCTCGCCAGACCCGTTCGAGTTATACAATCCAACCTGTCTGGTGAAGGTGCCTGCAGCAAGAATCCCATCCCCTGTTGGGCTGACGGCCATGGCAGAGACAATTCCTTTCATACCGATACCCCCGCCGACGATCTGCTTGCGCTTGCTGGGAATGGTGGGCATCCACGACACCGGGCCTTGCGTTCCTGGTCTGGAGACATCGAAAAGACAAATGAGGCTGTCCGATCCCGTGAGAAACTGAGTTCCGCCGAGTGTTGATGGATATATCATCGAATGGGGAGTGATGAATGCTTCGGTCGTTGGGTGGACCAGGGAATAACTCGCCACCGAGGTGGGAGCCAGTGCTGATGCCAGCCGAATCGGATGATCGCGCACAGCAGAGAGAAACAGCGTAGTGGATGGATCTTGGAGAGCATAGAATGGGTACACTGCAGTGGCATATGTCGGTTCAGCTGAGGGAAGAGTCGAATATGGGGACAGTTGATGAGCTGACTCCTTCTCCAGCAGGTCCGGGGGGCTTTTTCTATGAGCACTCATCATGCAACTCCAGACAGATAATACAACGACTCACAGGATAAAGGTTCGGATGCGATGGTCTGCTGAGTCTGTCAAGAGCGTAGTTCCATCTGGGGTCCTGGTGATGCCGAGTCAGGCGATATCCGATGCCAACATATTCCACAACCAACGAAACTTACCACTCTGCCCCTCTGAAAAAGGGGAGATGCGAATTTGAGTCCCCAGGGGACTTGAGGTTATTGTCTGCTTCGACATCATCTGGATGCCCCGCCAGAGAACCACCAGGACTGGATTCCGTCGAAGCCACACATATTGGATTCCAGTCGCTGATATTGCCGGCCATCTTGAGAAGTCACCAATCCACTGGTGGACAGTTCGACCAGTTTGATCACTTGCCAAAGGAACTCTCACTCTACCAGGGCGATGAGAGGCTTATATTTGCCAGGATCAAACCTTCATCATCAGACCGGGAGTCACCTCAGAATTTTTTTTCCAGTGAGATTCACAGCATGCTGATGGTCAATGGATGACGGTCTTTCAGTCCCCTAGACATGAGAGGTTAGTGAATGGCAAGAAAAACCGCGCGACTCTGGGAGTTTGCATGGCATTGCTGGACCCTCGCAGGAAAAAAAAATCACTTTTAAGAAAAACCCACCAGCGCAGATATTTTGGTCGAATATAATTGATCAGATATTTGATTAATTAAATATCCAAATATTCAAGTATTCAACTGGCAATAAATCAGACGTAGTCTTGTAGACTGTTGACGTCGGCTCGGCGAAACCATCCGCCGGGCGCATTCCGTCGCAATTTGATCGCGTCAAGCTCCAGCACTTTTCTGGCTGTCAAACTACTCGGCGTTCTGATTTATCATGTTTGCACCCAAGTCATCTGCTCCCTCTGCGGGTGGCCTGTCGATCAATACCAATTCAGCCAATTCTTTGTTGTCAGTATTCGCCCGTTCTTTGACTTGCTACCAGGCATGGAAACCACCCCTAGATCCACCAATCCCTTGCTCTGGTCCCATACGGTCGATCGCCATTCCAGCTGTCTCCTAGACTAGGCGTCCGTCGCAACTTGGAGAAGACCCCAGGCTAACCAACCTTCTCATCCATCAGTGGGAACAACACGCAGACCACCTCGACCTCGACACCGGGGGCAACAAACACCTCTGGGAGTCTTTTCGGAAACACCAGCTCAGCCACACAATCCAAGCCCGCTGGTGGCTTGTTCGGAGGTCTGGGAGGCAACACACAGTCGCAAAACACCGGGTCCAACATGTTTTCGGGGCTGGGTGGCCAGCAGCAGGGCGGCGCCACGGGGGGAGGTGTGTTCGGAAGCTCGACAACGACCACACAACCCCAGTCGAGCAGTTTGTTCGGCGGTACAGCAGGGGCGGGCACCGGCACTGGCGCGACTCAGAGTGGGACGACAGGCGGTCTCTTCGGTGGTGGACTAGGAGCAAGCACGACACAGGCCCAACCCAAGCCTACCCTTGGCCTGGGTGGCTCGACGACTGGAGCTGGAGGAAGCTTGTTGTGAGTGAACTCGACCCGGTTTATTTTGGCCAGATGGCTCATCTCTTTTCTACAATCTACAGTGGCGGCGGAGCCCAAAATACCCAACAGCAACAGCAGCCTCAGGGACCTTCACTGTCTCTCTTCGGACAGCAAGGCGCAACCCAGGGCGCACAGCAACCTCTCCAGCAAAGTACCACCACTGGGACGGTCGTTCCCGGCGTCAAGGTGGATGTCAGCAACCTGCTCCCAACCACGAAATTTGAGAGCTGCGCCGATGAGATCCGAAATCACATCGAAATCATCGATAACTACATTCTTAACCAAATGAAGGTGTGCCACGAGGTGGCGGACATGCTTCCTACGATCGAAAAGCAAGGTGCCACGATTCCCAACGATGTCGACTTCGTGCAGGGCAAACTGGAGACAATGCAGCATGCACTTGAGAACGATGCCGGCAACATCGATCAGCTACGCGGCCTGGTCACCCGCGATGCGGCCGAGGCGCAGGTCGCATTCCGTGCTATTGACACCCTGAAGCTGCCCCTGCAGTACCAGTCGGCCGGTGGTGGATGGTGGTCACAGGACCAGCAGGTGCCGGATCGATCATCGATACGCTCGACACGCAAAAACACTCTCGCCCTTCCCGACGACGTGGAAGGTGACCCGTCCACTGCTACCGCTGTCAACGGTGTGCCCGTCAACCTGGTCGACTATTTCTCCCAACGCTCGGACGAAATGGGGACGGTGCTGGATCGCTACAAGGGGAATATGAAGGAGATCGAAGACCATCTTCACGGTGTTGAAGTCACACTGAATCGCCAGATCCACGATTTCGTGAGCTCCAAGTCCCGAGATGGAGCGGGAGCTGGGGCGCCCAAGTCCACAGTGAATGAGCTGGCAGCTGTCCTTGGAGATGTGGAGTCGGGCATTATGGGTGTTGCTGCTCGGCTGGGAGGAGTGTCGGAACAGGTGCAGGAGGTGGCCCTGGGACCTCCTGGTCTGGGCGATGGTCGACTCAACCTGTAGAGAGATCTGTACACTACTTCCAGGATTGCCTGCCAAATAATGTACTGATTGATAAGACTGAAAAACAAATAGAACAAACTAAAAATGAAGACATCACAAGGAACTAAAAAAAGCAATACAACCCACGATGGGGTCCCTCTTGCGTGATCGCCGCCTAGCGCAATCTTGGGTACTGCTAATTCCAACAACATCCTCGCCAAGATATGGCTACCACCTCAACCCTGCCCTCCCCTGGCTCATTTACAGACCGCATGGACATGTCTGCTTTCTGAAAACAGCGGTGAGGTTATACACACTGAAAGAAACCAGCAGGGAGCAGTGAAGTGGCAACGCGGCCGAATGTTGCCATCAACGTCAGCAAAATGGCGTGATCCGAGGGATTCTGGGGAAGAAAAGGGCTGTTTCCACCAAGTGGAGAGAGAAAAGAACCGGACGCAAGTTCCCTCGATTTCGTCAGCGATCAATGCCCCCCTTTTTCCAGCCTGTGCCGTTCGCAGCGAGCCCTCTCATTTGCCCTTGCCGCTACTTGGGTGATCGACTCTGAAGATGGCGCGATTTCCGTCTCCTCCGGGGCCCTGGCGGATCCGTAATCAGGCCAGATCTTTTGCCCCGGCATGTTGGGGGCGTCCATCTTTGAGTCATTTTGGCTGGGACGTTGCGGTCTGTCAATATTTATAGACCGTGTCTCTATAAAACCCGGCCCCGTCTGTGTCTCTACGCCACGCTTGCCTCATATACCCATCACTTTTTGGTTGCTCGAATTGATCCACTTGATCCATTCATACTCGTTATACTTTCCTGCTTATTCCTTTTTGGTCTTATCTGGCTTCCACATTGAACCACCTTGAATAGCATGGCTCCGTCGCTGGAAGAGCCCGTGGCCCCAACCCTGGGACACTTCACCGTTCCGAGGAAGGAGACGGTGGGTGACAACAAGTTTGGCTATGTTCCCGGCCGCACAGCCGTGGCTCAGCATGTCGACTACCCGCACGAGGACCTCCTTCCTTCTTTCCCCGATATTCATTGGGCGCCTTTAGAGTACACCCCTTACCAGGATCGGGGTCTTCGAGGTGACCCCAAGTTCCGTAACCTCCTTCAAGACGCTACCGCTGTCTTTGACTACAACCCTAAAATCGGGACGGAGATCCAGGGCGTTGACCTGGCTAAGCTCAATGACGCCCAGCGGGATGACCTGGCCCGTCTGATTGCCTATCGAGGTGTCGTCTTCTTCCGCGCGCAACAGAACTTTGATATCGAGGCACAGCGGGAGCTAGGGAAGTACTTTGGGAAGCTCCACAAGGTATGAACGTTATATTTGTGGAAGCCTACTTATATTCTAACTCTGAGCAGCATGCAACAACATCCGTCCCCCGGAAGCAAGGTCTTGAAGACGTCCACGTTGTATACACTGGCGACAACTCCGGTGACAACCGTGCCTTATTTACTCCCAGTTTCCTCTGGCACTCTGATGTATGTGAAGCATTTACAGCACGAGATATTTCTGTTCTATCTTACTGACAGCCATAACCAGGTCACTTATGAACTGCAACCTCCTTCTTATACTTCATTGAAGCTTCTCACTGGCCCACCCCGGGGAGGAGGCGGCGACACGCTCTGGTCGTCGCAGTACGCCGCATACGATGTGCTCTCCTCGCACATGCAAACCTATCTCAAGGGCCTGACAGCTCGGCACTCCGCAGACATGCAAGCGAACGACTCGCGAGCCCTTGGGCGACCCGTCCGCCGGGACCCCGTCACGACAGAACATCCTCTGATCCGAACGAACCCTGTCACAGGCTGGAACGCGCTGTTCTTCAACCCGGGCTTTGTCACTACCATCATCGGAATCCCCCAGGCCGAAAGCGACGCCATAATCCGGTATCTCACCGACGTCGTTGCCACGACGCAAGAGATGCATGCGCGGTTCTCCTGGGGCAAGGATGATGTTGCCCTTTGGGATAACCGAACTACGGTATGTACCCTTCTTTATCTGGGTTTATTGCAACAGCAAGTACTAATTCTTTTGGTGTAGACACATACCGCTTCGCATGGTTTTACGCCGCACCGTCGTCATGCAGTGCGAGTCGCTGTCCACGCTGAGCGTCCGGTGCTGGAGGAATCGGGCAAGTCGCAAGAGGAAGACCTTAATGCTTTGTATGGACTGCCGGCAGTCAACAAGGATGGGGCCCGACAGTCGAACTACAATGACTGAAGACAAAGACCGGCATGATGTCGCATATCTGGATCTGGAGTCTCTTCTTTATTTCTTTCTGATTTTCTTTGTTGCAACTTGATAGCCACAGCCAGCCAAATACCAGCGTTTTATTTTTTATCCCTCATGGGACTTCCCATGGTAAAACCTGCTTTCGTTTGTTCATGTTTCAGCGTCGCTGTATTTCCTACTTCACCCTTCTTGTCATCATCCTTATCCCCATTTCCCATCTCTACAACCCACATCAACCTCCATCCACCACTATCCAAACCAAAATGACATTTTCCCAGGATCCCTCAATCTTGCAATACGCCGAATTCCACAACATCGCGGAAGACACAACCCTCCTCAACCCCCTCTCATTCATCGACGACGCCTACGCCGACGTCGCAGCCCAGCATGAACCAGACCCCGTGCGAGCAAAATTCGAGAAACGGCACGACCAGTTCGAGCGAGACATCGAAACAGCCAAGCTTGACATCAATTACACCGAAGCTCGCTTGCTGTCTGATGCCTTGCACTTGGATGAAACGTCGGACTGGTCCATCAATTGGGATCGACTTCTCCTGCCTTCTGGGCGCGCTGATCCCTTAAAAGATACTTCCTTTCTTCTGACTGCTGAGGAGGACCCGTTGGCTTTTTCATCGGTTCGGGGGGATGTCGATGGGGATGTTGCCATGTCGGGGACAGTTCAGGCAGATGATACTGCTGGTCTGGAGCGTACTTCGCAGACTCTGCTTGATGGCGGTGGAGGTGCACTTGAATCTGATCGACAGGTTCCGTGTCCATCGTTGAATGCAGGCGATCAACACTTAAAGCAAAGCCACAGTGAGCACCACTCATATGCGAGATTCACACCAAGAGGACTAGGCTCGTTGTCGGCATTTATGGAAACCAGAGGCCTGAGTACAACCGACGATTCTCTGAAAAGCCCACAGTTTCCAAGTTCCGAGTCGAAAGACACTCCCCAACAAGAGCAGTCTGAACCAAACCCAGCCATGTCAACAATCAGCTCCTCTGAGCTCCCATCTCCTTCACATGTCCTCCATCCACCACCACCACCACCACAGACTCCAGATTCTCCCAAGAAGGACACAGAGCCATCGCTCCTCTTCCTCTCAACAACTCTTCTCAAGACTCACGTACGAGTCATCCAATGCCTCGAGAACAAAACCATCACCCCGAGACTCATCTACCGGGACTACGACCAGCCTCTCACCCGTCTCTTGCCAGAGTCAGAAAGAGAAAAAGCCGGAGTACACCCCCAACAAGACGAGGAACTCACCAACGAAGCGGACGTGATCATCTCCCCCTCAACCGGGATCATCCTAACAACATCGCAAGCAGCGACACAGAAGTACCTCCCAGGACACAAACCCAGCGATGACGACCTGTACATCCAGTCGCAGCCCGAGATAGACTCGCCGCTACGAGAACGCATCTACCGCCTTGCACTCCGCTACGAGTATCTATATGTCTTGCTCTGCCATCCAAGCTTTCCAGTCAAGGAGTCCGGCCCGTCGAACATGGACGCACGCACCCGCAATTCCATTGGCAACCTGAGAGCCTTCTGTATCTCGCTCGGGCGCAAAGCCACGGTGAGGCTGCTCGTTACCGCCGCGGATCCCGTAAGCGTGAGCCGGTGGATTAGGACAGTTGCATACAAGCATGAGGGTCTGTTGCGGCGCATCAACACTCGTCTACGGTCGAGATCAGAGTCCGCTGAAGGCACTGCCAGATTGAGTGTGCAGCAGATGATCAAGGAGGAGGAAACCATTGGCGAGGTCCATTATCGTCTGATGGGATTGAATCCCTTCGCGGCGCGCGTTTTCCTGGACGTGCCCGGAATCCTTGGGCCTTCTGCGCCAAATAGAGACGGCGAAGACACCAGTATTGGTGAACATAACGAACCTGGGCAGCCGTGTCGGTTTTCTGTTTTTGCTGGATTGTCTCCTGAGGAACAATGCGACGAATTTGAAGAGTTGTTTGGCGAGCGGGTGTTGAAACGGTTTGCTTCATGATGCGATTGACGAAACTCTCAAAATATGTGCTTGGGATGGGTATGTTTTCAAGTCGGCAAAGTAATCATGATCTCCTCCATTACCACGAAATTGAAGATGTTTTTGTGTCCAACAGATACCAGGTCTCAAGTCAAGAATCTTTGACCAAAGAACTTGACAGTACAGCCTTGGAATGGACTTATCTATGATCAGTAGCCGAGTGTAAACAGGTCTTAAGGTGGACATATTTCAAATACAATAGAGCACTACCCAGTCGCCAAGTATTATCCAAGTAGAGAGGAGATGATCATGTCTGCAATTACTCGACTGCCTATTGTCTGGACGAGGGCAAGTCGCGATTGGGGTAAAAGTACATTGGATAAAGACATGCAAGACTCAAGGCCAATCCAGCGCTTCAAAATTCAAGTATGCAAAGGGAAACCAGAGCTAGTCAACATAGCAATCACCATATTGTTTAACATCCAGCTTCCACAAGTATAGATTTTTCGACTTTTTTTTAAGGTTGGAAATTCGTGGAGATGATTTGAGCTCATCACTTCGCATCGGTATAGTACAAGTCGTAGGTCTGCTTCTAGCTGCCCTGCAATTTCACAGCGGGAGAGCTATCAGGAGACAGAAAACGACTGGAGATCGGAGCGAGACAAGACACGAGGTGACGCCGGTGGTCATTTAATTTACTCGTTGATCTTGGCCAGGATTCTGCAGATCTGTAAGTGAGGTGTCCCAATTCGCAAAATTGCGAGTCATCCAGGGGAATGAACTTACTCGGAGTCACGGAAGAGGCTGTACTCCTCCTCGCCGACCTTGACAGCGCTGCCACCGAACTATCAAACAAATCGCGTCAGAATTAGACCCAAAATATATAGCTCACCCAGGTGCTTGCGCGCAGTTGAGGCCGATGAAACTATCTGCTAGCGCGGAAGTACCCGGAAGATCACGCACCTGGGGGATCAGAACACGGTCACCGGCATTGACACCCATGGGGGAGGCGCTTGCCCTCGGTGTTCAGGAGACCGGGGCCGACGGCGAGGACCTTGGCCTCGTTCTGCTCCTTGACGCTGCTCTCGGGGAGGAAGATGCCGGAGGCGGTCTTGGCCTCGGGCTTGATGCGCTGGACCAGGACGCGGTCCAGGAGGGGGGCGAGGCTCTTGATGTTGCGGAGGGCAGACTATGAATATAGAAGTCAGTACGCGACAGAGCAGAAGATATGGGCAATGTCAATCGGCATCGATTCGATGACAAAAAGAATGGAAAGGGAAAAAGTGAGGACGGAGAAGAAACGAGCTCCCCGGTTCGGAGGATGCTCATCCGACTCTTTTTCTGCTTCGATGATCACCAGATGCGTACCATTGTGAGGAGATTAGATGAGATGCTGAGAGCAAAAGTTGGGGAATGTGCTGGGGAGGATGGAGAAGGGAAGAGGGAAGTTGGGGGAAAGACTTGGGCTTTGGAGAAATTTCCAGAATGCCAAGCCCGTGAGCTTCTCCCGAGGCCCAAACAAATCCACGGCGCGATTCATATAGTCAAGATATTGTATTTAATTAAATTACTAGATATTGTAGGAATACAATTGAAGTATTTTTATATCTACTCAAGTCCAATTTCGCACTGCGCGCAGGAATGTATCGAGCTCCTCCGGGTCCCCGAGATATTCGTTGTAAGCTGGAACAGTGCACGACATAGAAGCCAACAAGAACTGGGCCTACTAGTAGCACGAAAGAAGATCATGAGACACATCATAAAAATGCGAAAAACATATATATATAGGGGAGGGGGAAACTATCAGAAACACTTTCGGAAAAGCCTAGTAGGAAGCACAGGGGAAACAAGTATAAGAATATATATCTATCATGGATGCGCTATTTTTGCGTCTACTGTTAGCAAGCACTGGTATTGCTTTACTCTATACCAGAGAAGACGATAGAGGTGACTGCGATGTGCTTGTGAATAGTAGCTATATCATTCCATATGTGTATGCATAAAACGCCGCAGAATCCCATTCCTCGTAAAGAGACAAATTCAACCACGAAAACACACCTCGACCGCCAGAACTACCATCGTCGCCCGCGTCCTCGACCACCATAGTTGCCACGCTGGTCATATCCTCCATACCCCATATGACCTTGACCACCTTGGCCAAACCCTTGGCCTTGTGGCGGACCTCCAAAGCCCGGCTGGCCTTGCTGGCCACCCGACTGGCCACCCATCATGGCCTGGGCGTGCTGCATGAACGTCATGGGATCCATGGAGGACGGATCCAAGCCCTGGGCCATCATCGTCGCCATCATGCCTTGCATCATGTCAGGCGACAATTCCGGCATACCTGGAACGCCGGGCATCGAAGGCGGGCCACTCCCCGGCGCGCCTGGGCCAGCTGGGGCACCGGGCATCGGGGGCATGCCCATGCCCAGGAAAGCTTGCATGTCGTCCAGCTGTTTCTTCTGGTCCCCGACCTCTTTCCGGACTTCCTGCTGCTTGAGACAATAACCAGCCCAGGTGAACTCGTCGAACCCGTAGTTGAAGTAGTCCGAGACATCGGCCCCGGGTCGCCGCCAGGGCTTGTCGTCAGATGGGAAGTCGGCATCCATGTCGCTCGCCATGATCGGTTTCCCTGTCGCCGGGTGCACGGGGTTGACATTGACGTCGATTGTGGAGCTGTGAATGGCAGGATACGCTGACCCTGGCTTCTGGGGTGTGGTGGGTTTCGCGCTGGTTGCGGTTGTGGTTGCGACTGCAGGTACTGGCGTCGGGGCATCGAGTCGAGGTGTCGCGGATGGTGTTACCGAATTTGAGACTCCCAAATTATCTGCTGATACGGGTCGTGGTGGCTCTTGTCGAAGGCTCGCGTGGCGCGGATGAGAGCTTCGAAGCGGGTCAGTTAGAAAGATAGTCAAAAACGCGTGCCATCCATGAACTCACGCCTCCGTTTGGGCCGCATCCGCCGGCGCTTCTGTGATAATGTTGAAATCATCCTGTCTCAGAGTCAGTTTAGCTCAAACAGCAGGCAGGTGTGGAACGAACGTCGTCTTCTTCCTCGACCTCTACCTCTTCCATATCATTGCTATCCTGTGGAGCTGCATTGTGGGCATGGTTCTGGGGTTGCGCTGGTGGAACAGTATCGACAGGGTCGTAAAAGTCATCGTCTTCTTCCTCCATGATTTCTGGTTTCCAATTTCTTGGGAATCAGCACAGAGAGTTGTGTCGACAGGAATTCAATCGGCCGCAACGCAACACAGACAAAGGGTGTTTGCTCTGTTTGCACCATCCAAAGCTGCCGATGCTGAGCCTTGAAACAGCTTCGGTGTGTTATTGATCATATTCACTGAATTTTCGATATGAGTTGCTAGTTCTACAACTCTAGACGGCAATATATATCCACTTCCTCCTTTTCTAATCCAAGAGTGCTTAACCTCATCAGCAATAAGTCACGTGTCTTACTTGCCAAAGACGTCAGTGATTTCGAACGCCATTTTGACGAGCTCAACTCTCGATCCTTTTCGCTGTTTCTTCTTCCGGTCTTAAGCTGCAAATATGGCACAAGAGGAAGAGAGCCGGACCTCCACCCCTCGGTCCTTTACGGGCCAAAGCGCATCCGCGGAGGAAATGCTCAAGTCGCAAACCGTCGGTCTCGTACATCTCTCAGATTTTCGCAAGCGCCGTGCCGAGGTGCTGGAGCAAAAGGAGCGCGAGGCGCATGATAAGTCGCTGGGGCGACTGGCATCCGGTAATTCAAGGAGCGCAACTCCCTCCACGGGCGACGTGACTGACGGGTAAGTCAAGGGCCGCATGTTGGGGATTCTCGCGCATCCGAGCTGATTGCAGCGTCATAGATCGACGACACCACGAAGTGATGGTCCGCCCAGGAAGAAGAAAAAGAAGCCCCTTGCCAAAAGTAAGCTTTCTTTTGGCGACGATAATGATGATACTGGGGAAGACTCAGCAGCAACCCCGCGCGAGTCGAGTATATCGCGGTCGAATTCGAAAACCCCAGTCGATGACGGTGCTCGCCGCATGAAGGCCAACCCAAATGCACCGCCCCCTCCGAAGGCCATGACCAAGGCGACTGTGGAGGCTGAGGCACAAGCTCGCGACACACTCCGCAAGGAATTCTTGACGATGCAGGAAGCGGTCAAGAATACCGAGATCTTGATCCCATTTGTTTTCTATGATGGGACAAATATCCCGGCGGGAAATGTCAAGGTTAAGAAAGGCGACCCCGTTTGGCTGTTCTTGGACCGGTGTCGCAAGGTCGGTGCTGAGTTGGGGGTACGCGGCGCCCATGGGGCCAGAGGCAAGAGAGACCACCGACGAGAATGGGCCCGTGTCAGTGTTGATGACTTGATGCTGGTAAAGGGCGATGTCATTGTGCCCCATGTAAGTCTCCTTTTCCTATTTCCATGGCTCCCATCTGACTCAAGCCAGCATTACGAGTTCTATTACTTCATTGCCAACCGCATTCCCAGCTTCAGCCGCGCAGGCGGCTTGCTGTTTGACTACTCCGACAAGCCTCAAGCCGATTCGACCGATGATGCGTTATCGCGTCCTAATAATGATCAATTAGAAGGCGCAAACAAGGAGCCCACAGTAACCAAAGTGGTAGATCGACGGTGGTATGAAAAGAACAAGCATATTTACCCGGCCAGTCTCTGGCACGAGTACGAGCCTGGGAAGGAGTTTGAAGAGGAAATGACTTCGACGAGGCGTGATGCATCTGGAAATACGTTTTTCTTTTAGCGGGTGTTTATGGTACGTTCGCCATTTGCTGTAATATAGCTCCTCCAATAGACCAACATTGAAGTCTTCCCGTGCTTCGGATTTGGCTGTTTCGGGTGGGTGGAAGTCCTGCTCCGGTGGCCGACACTCTCTCCAATCTTCATCATCGAACCAACACACCCCATGGATTTCTATCTGAGATGCAACTCGCTCAAATGCCGGGTGCAGCTCAATGAGAGAGCGGTAGTGACTACTTGCTCGTGAGTGGCGATGCACTTCGTCAACTGAACGACGCTGACAGCACCAGACATGTCTTCTGTCTGAAATGCGCCGCCAGTCTCGGCCTTTCGCATCCAACTTCAGACGACCGTCGCTGTCCTGCGTGCCAGAGTATTCTCCCCAATCCTGATGATGCGGCCTCGACTATCCTCAACCCCACCGAAGACTACAAGACCAGCGTGTTGAGCGGCTTGGACCCGACTACAATCATGGAGTGTGCTGGCCGCGCATTGGGGTTTTGGACATACCAGAGTACACAGGAGATGTACGTTGGCTGTTCCGAGGGCATTATGGCATGGCTCTGCTGGAGACACAACGTGAACTGACCACCAGGATTCACCCAGTTTCTACCAAGAGTTCTTGGGCAAGACCCTCACAGAGAAGTACACGAATCTGAGCACACAGATGGACAAGGTCATCCACAATGCCAATACCGAGATTATGTCTCTACAAAGCAAGGTTTCTGGTCGGTTGGGTCGAGTACTCCCGGTTGCCTTGACTTGTAATGCTAACACTCGACCGCCAGATATGCAAGCGGCCCAGGGCCAACTCCAGAGAAAGAACCAAGAGCTTGCCGATCTCTGTCGTGAGAAATCACAGAAGCTATCGCAGATGACCAATCTCTATAACCTCCTCAAAGCCCGGGCCATGCGGACCCGGATGCAGACCGCAGCGTCAGACACCGTCTCACAGACCCTAAACTCGCTCTCGTCACGGGCTGCTCCCCATACCCCAGCAATGCCGTCCGGTCCTCCAGCAGCGTTGATGGCGCAGCAACCACGGCTTCCCCAGTCCCCTTCATACCATGTCAACGCAGATGGAGTTGAGCAGCTGCATCGATACCAACGAAGCGGGACCGGCAGCTCCAAGAGGGCGAGGAAGAAGACAATAGAGGCGTCAGCGATGCCACCGCCAGGTCGGCCCATGTGGAATGGGCGAAGCCGTGCTTTATTTACCGGCGAACGAGAAGGGAGCATGAATCATGATGGCCTGGCTCAAGCGCACACTGCCACTCCGCAGCATCGTACTCGACTACCACGCCCATCTCGACCGCCGACGGCATTATCTCAATTTCCGCCTGAGGATGCATTGCTCGAGCGATTCGGAGGTTAGGCTAGGAGGAGCTGTTTACCCAACTTCTCAAAGGCAAGGATTCTAATTTGATATTGATTTATAGGGACCCCTGTCTACACGCTTTTGCTATTTTGTTCCCTAGTTGTAGGTGATGGGGACGGGATTCTTTCAGTTTCGATATACATTAAAGGCCTTGATTGGTACTATATCAGCTACTCAAAGAAAGAGCCAAGTAGATACAAGTATTTAGCAAGTCCAGTGCGGCGTGAATCTCAGTCACACAATATCACCAGAAACCATTCATTCTGAGCATACCAGCTGAAGTAAAAACTGGGTAAATTGATCCTCAAATATGTAAATCCACACTTAGAACAAAAGTGGGATGTCACTATTCAAGTCGTCATACTGAAGCGATCCGCAATGTCACCAGCGGGCGTTGATTGGCCCCGCGCAGATAGTACAAGTCACCACGAACACGAAATCAACGAGCTTGATATCTTCTCCCTTTCTCCCCTATCCAATCAACCATGGCCTATAACCACCAGTCAGAAATAGCTTCTTCCTCGACCGAGTCGCCATGGCATGCCAAATACCCCGCGCCCCGCACCGTCGCAGCGTCCATCTCGCGCCAGGAACTCCTACAATGGTTCCAGGAGGGGAAGGAGGCCGGGAAGGATTTCGTGCTGGTGGACCTGCGACGCACGGATTTCGATGTATATCAGACTCTCTAACTTCTATATATGCCTATCCACTGCTAACAACCTCGGGCGTAAACTTGCAGGGGGGCACTATCCGCGGATCTTTGAATCTCCCCGCCCAGAGCCTCTACCCAACCCTTCCAACTTTTTATTCTCTTCTGCAGAATAGCAGAGTCAAGCATGTTGTGTGGTATTGCGGTTCGTTTGTCTGAACCTGCGTGCGAGTACATATCTCGACTCCCGCCGATGCTGATACATTCTTGGTCGATAGGGTCATCTCGAGGTCGCGGGACGCGTGCAGCAGGCTGGTTTGCGGATCTGATCGAGGACAACCGAGATACAGCCCTGACAAGTGTGGTTCTGGAAGGAGGGATTAAAGGGTGGGCTGGTGCTGGTATGGAGTATACAAGTTTCATGGACGAGTATGATGCGTCGGCGTGGACCACATAAGATGATAAAGTGAAGGCTGAATTCACTGTTTCAAGTGATTGAACGCAAAATTTCCCTGTCAACTCTCAATCCACGCCCCAAACGGGTATGGCTATATGGGTCTCCGTTTGTCCGGCGTCGTGATGGACCCTCTCTCGGACCAGCGGAAACCCACTCACTATTTCACCCTCTAGCTCTCGCTGCAGCTCCAGCACCGTCCCTTCTTCTGCGGGACTGTTCCTGAAGATCCTCGATGTTAATCCGGGGTGCAGATGCCCCATCTTGGAGAGCTCTTGTGGAGTCAGTGGGTGGGTAGCCGTTTAAGCTTATCTTCACCTCATCTACATACTATCCCACCCAACCCTTGGATGTACCTACACTTCACACAAGACTCAATTTACTGTCCTACTGGATTGACTGTTGTATCATCACTTGAATTATCCGACGGAACTCAGGAAATCCCGGGTAACAAAAAATCTAACAATCATATACGTCGGCATCAAGAACCGGGTCTTTTCGTCCGGGCGGGAAGAAACGCCATACCCTCGACCAGCAAAACAGGACAGACGCCGGGAGTATCAGCAGAAATTCAACAACTTCTGGCAGTCGAACCCTCCCCCAGGGTCCCGTAAATCATATGCCATGCATTATACCACAAACCCATGCAACGGACAGACGCTGCAGAAACAATAAGAGAACAATTAATAACATTTTATGCGCCGAATTCCTTGATGTCGGTCTGCTTGCCCTGCAGCGCCAGCGGCACGATACCGCTGACGTGCATCTCGGGGCCGTACACGTGCATGTCCAGACCCAGCTCGACACCAACCGACTTGATGTTCTTCAGACCCTCCTGGTAGTTGGGGCCGGCACGGCGGACCCAAATCTGGACCTTGTGCTCGTTGAGGACCGGGGCCACCTCGCGCAGGGCACGGATAACACCCTTGAAGGTGCTGGCCACGTTGGTGAAGTTGGCAATACCACCACCAATGAACAGAACCTTGCCATCAGGGTGAGTGGGGGCACGCAGCATCAGGTCCAGGACCGTGCGGGCGTAGTTGTAGGTCTGGGTCTCGGTGGGGGCACCCGAGTACTCGCCGTAGTTGGCCAGCTCGCTGACGAACCCGGCCGAGGCAATGGCGTCGGCGTAGACGACTGAGGCACCACCACCAGCAACAAGAGTCCACACGCGACCGCTGGCGTTGAGCACAGTCAGCTTGAGCGAAGCACCAGTCTTAGCATCCATGTCGGAGATAAACTTCTCCTCCTTGCTCAGTTCACGGCCGAAGGGAGCGGGGAAGTCCATTGGCGGGCCAGCGTCGATGTTAACCTTGCCGTCAGCCGAGGCCACGGCGGTCAGGCCCAGAGCGGCGGGGCTACGGGCAACGGCCCACTTGGTGCCGCACTCAAACTCGGCGGTTTGGTCAAGCTTGGCCGCCAGGTCGAGGAAGTGCACGTCGGCGGAAGTGGCATCGGCGTTGGGGATGACCACCAGAGGGTTGATCTCCAGGTAGGTGAACTGGCTGTCGACGTAGACGGCGTACAGGCGGGAGATGAAGTCCACCAGGACATTGTGAACACCCTTGGGCACCTTGCTGAGCAGGGCCGCAGCGATCTCCTCGTTCGAGGGGTAGTTCTTGAGGTTGACGGGGATCAGCAGCTTCTCGGCCTTGGCGTCAACATCGCCAACATCGACACCACCCTCGTGAGTGAAGAGGATCCAGTCACCCTGTAGATGTTCAATTAGTGGTTGCACTGCTGTACAGGTATTGTGTTTTTCCTTACCTCACGAACGGAGTGGATGTTGATGTAGTATTCGGTCTCCTGGGGGTGAGGCACGAAGGGCTCGACAAGGAACTGACGGAGGACACCAGTGACGGTCTCAACCTGAACGTCCTTGGCAGCACGAGCCTGAATCCACTCACGGGCCTCAGCCCAGGTCTTGTTCAGGGCCAGCAGGCCACTCTTGCCTCGACGCTTGATCAATTGGTCGGGCTTCGCGACGAACTTGGCATTGGGGGACAACAGCCACGGGTAGGTGACCTCGGCCTGGTCAAGGACATCCTTAACGGCCTTGTCTTCGGGGAAGTGAAGGGAGGCGAGACGAGCGGGGGGTTGTGTGTGGAGGAGGGCGGGAGAGGGGTCGGCTTGATCACCGGGGCACGAGTGAGGTGGTAGTTGAGAATGGCCTTGCCGTCGGCCTCGAGGATAGATTTGGCGGACATGATGAGGTGTGTGTGTGGATGGAATGGACAAGGGTAAGATGGAGAGAGAAAGAAAGAGTAGAAGAGAGAGAGAGAGAGACTTAGGGGAAGAAAAGAAGCATGCACAAGTGGACCAGAGCCTACAGCGTAGAACTGGAAAAAAAGTTGTGCTGGAGAGTACAGCGTACACTTCGGCAGCGACCCACCTTGTTGAGGGCAAAAAATGCGACCGAAGGTGGGGGGGCGTTGGGAAGAGGGTTGCACCGAGACCGCCATTTTGTTGGGCGTGAATGTACGTGTCATGATAGTCTTTACACAGATAGAGTATTTAGTGTAGCCAGTGAATATCGATCTATAAAGATAGACATAGAAATCTTATATATATTCTATCCACATGCTCAATTGATTGATTATTAGAATGAGAAATCTCAAGTAAATCCAGGACCTATACCTCCAAGTACAAGTGTTGAGTTGCCCCGCTACGTGGGTACCAGATACTCGGCGGTCTGGGAGGAGCTGTACGGTGTACCTGCGAGTACTTCGACCCCCGCGGATTTTTCTGAGAGACTTCTTTTTCGGTCCCCTTCCCCATCTCCTTTTTTCTTTCCTTTTCACTATTCACATTGAGCGGGTATTTCCACACAGTCGTGAGTTTCTCTCTTTTCTTCTTTTCTTTTACCTTCCGTCTCTAATCACTCCCTCAGATCATCATGCCCTCCACTTCCCTGTCGACCGCCGACAACGGCGTCCAGAACGCCAACGACAACATTGCCCGGTTCAATCCTCCTAGCCGGGCCCTCTCTCCCCCTCACCCACGCCCTCTTCCACAACAAGACACGATGCTTTGTATAGTAAGTTGGCTCGGCAAAAATGTAGACGACTCAGCACTAACAGCTTCCAGCGGTATGCAACCCCGAGCCGTGCAGGGCATGCTCGACTTCGACTTCATCTGCAAGCGGGCCACCCCCTCAGTGGCTGGCATCATCTACACCTTCGGCGGCCAATTCGTCAGCAAGATGTACTGGGGTACCAGCGAAACCCTCCTCCCCGTCTACCAGGATGTTGAGAAGGCCATGGCCAAGCACCCCGACGTGGACACTGTTGTCAACTTTGCCTCGTCCCGTTCCGTCTACAGCTCCACTATGGAGTTGATGAACTGCCCCCAGATCCGCTCCATTGCCATCATTGCCGAGGGTGTCCCCGAGCGCGTAAGTTGATATGCCCCGCAAGATATGAGAGGGTGGGGAATGCTAACTCCCATTAGCGTGCTCGTGAGATCCTGGTCGCTGCCAAGGAGAAGGGCATCACCATCATTGGCCCTGCCACCGTCGGTGGTATCAAGCCCGGTGCCTATAAGATCGGTAACACTGGTGGTATGATGGACAACATTGTCGCCTCCAAGCTGTACCGCAAGGGCTCCGTCGGCTACGTCTCCAAGTCCGGCGGTATGTCCAACGAATTGAACAACATCATCTCTCAGTCCACCGACGGTGTGTACGAGGGTATTGCCATTGGTGGTGACCGCTACCCCGGTACCACCTTCATCGACCACCTACTGCGCTACCAGGCTGAGCCCGAGTGCAAGATCCTGGTGCTGCTCGGTGAGGTCGGTGGTGTTGAGGAGTACCGTGTGATCGAGGCCGTCAAGAACGGCACCATCACCAAGCCCATCGTTGCGTGGGCCATCGGAACTTGCGCCAGCATGTTCAAGACTGAGGTGCAGTTCGGTCACGCCGGTGCCTCGGCCAACTCCCAGCTGGAGACCGCCGTGTACAAGAACAAGGCCATGCGCGAGGCCGGCATCCACGTTCCCGAGACCTTTGAGGATCTGCCCCAGGTCCTGAAGGAGGTTTACGAGGCCGAGGTGCAGAAGGGCTCCATCAAGCCCGCCGCTGAGCCTCAGGTTCCCAAGATCCCCATCGACTACTCGTGGGCTCAGGAGCTGGGTCTCGTCCGTAAGCCCGCTGCTTTCATCTCCACCATCTCCGACGACCGTGGCCAGGAGCTGCTGTACGCCGGTATGCCCATCTCCGACGTCTTCAAGGAGGACATTGGCATTGGTGGTGTGATGTCGCTGCTGTGGTTCCGCCGCCGCCTGCCCCGCTACGCCAGCAAGTTCCTGGAGATGGTTCTGATGCTGACGGCCGACCACGGTCCTGCCGTGTCCGGTGCCATGAACACCATCATCACTACTCGTGCTGGCAAGGACCTGATCAGCGCTCTGGTCTCGGGTCTGCTGACCATTGGTTCGCGCTTCGGTGGTGCGCTGGACGGCGCCGCTGAGGAGTTCACCAAGGCCTTCGACAAGGGCATGAGCCCCCGTGACTTTGTCGACACCATGCGCAAGGAGAACAAGCTGAGTAAGTTCTGATTGAAGTATTTACACAAATCATCAACTAATCCCTTTTAGTCCCTGGTATCGGCCACCGTGTCAAGTCCCGCAACAACCCCGATCTCCGTGTCGAGCTCGTCAAGGAGTTCGTCAAGAAGCACTTCCCCAGTACCAAGCTGCTCGACTACGCCATCGCTGTCGAGACGGTGACCACTTCCAAGAAGGACAACCTGATCCTCAACGTTGACGGCTGTGTGGCGGTCTGCTTCGTGGACCTGCTCCGCAACTGCGGTGCGTTCACCGCCGAGGAGGTCGAGGACTACATGCGCATGGGCGTCCTCAACGGTCTGTTCGTGCTGGGCCGCAGCATCGGTCTGATTGCCCACTACCTCGACCAGAAGCGCCTGCGCACTGGTCTTTACCGACACCCGTGGGACGACATCACGTACCTGCTGCCCACCCTGCAGAAGGGCGGTGCCGAGGGCCGTGTGGAGGTCAACCTGTGATTTTCTTCCGTGTTTTGCAGCGCGCTGTCTGCTGGTGGCATATAGACCGTCCGACCCGGACGGTGGAGTTTGGATGATTGTTTTTGTTTCTCAGCAGTTTTGTATCCATGTACTGCGTCTGTGGCATAACGTGGACGGGGTGCATGCCCGGATGGAAAAAGGTGCTACGCCCGACTACGGATCTGATTTAATTCGTTTAGACGACTCGACCTCTCGGGGACTTAATGAACTGCCATTCATGACACTTGAGGATTTGTAGCACAGTAGAATCAGTAGAATTAGTAGAATCAGTAGCAATGCTCTCGAACTTGTAGAACTCACGGTGATCAACGGTGGAGACGAAGTTGCTCTTATCGCTTATCGACTTTTTCTCCCTTCAGCATTTTCCTGCCTTTCTCTCTCCAATTTCTCCCACCACAAAAGAAATCACATCCCACCATGGTCCGTCTCAAAAACCGCTATCTGCTAGTGGATATTCTCTACCCAGATCCATCGACATGGCCCGGGATAACCCCCAAATCAGCGTCGAAGCTGGACTCGTCCAGCGCCCAGCTGGCCATCCACGCCCCGACCTCGGACGCGTTGACGCCGGGACTGCTGGCCCGGATGGTGCGCGAGGAGGTAGGGGAGCTGTATGGGGACTGGGGCGTAGGGAAGCTGGGAGGGGCGTCAGCTGGAGGAATCAATGGTGAGTTGTCTTTGCTTTGCTTTCTCTCTCTACCTACTCCGTCCTTTTTTCTCCGTTCTATATTCGCATATTTCCTATGCCCCATGCCTCAAGAATCCCCCCCTCTAACACCTGTTAAAAGTGAAATACCTCTCTCCGGCAACCTCCACCGCAATCATCCGCTGTCCCCGCGCCTCGTTCCGCCTCGTCTGGTCCGCCCTCACCTACATGTCGCACGTCCCCGACAACTCCGACCGCGGGCCATCCGGCGGTAGCAGCGCACAGAAGCGCGCGGGCCGGCCCTGCGTCTTTCGCGTAGTCCGCGTGTCTGGCACAATGCGCAAGGCCGAAGAGGAGGCGATTCGGCGGGCGAGGAGCGAGATTGTGCGAGTGCGAGGCGCGCAGGAGAAAGGCGTTCTTGGCGATCTGGTTGGTGACCCGTTGGGTTTGGGTGGGAGTAGTGTTGAGGCAAGGGCCCCGGTGCCGGCTATGAATCCTGTTGTGGATGAGAGTAGTGAGGATGAGGGCATGGCAGTGGATTGATTGCTGTTTGGGAACGAAGAAGTTGATCAAGGCGGAAGTGGAAACCAGTCGGGATGCTTTTTTTGTATATTATTGAGATACCCCGGCGTTTATTGTACATTGATGTTTTTGTGATATCACCGAGTCTCTGTCATGCCTTTCGGTGCACTTTCACCCCGCTATCCGGTAGCGGCCCATTCTTCCAGTTGGCCAACTCCTGATCATCATCATCGGCATCCTCGCCCTCGGCTTGGTACTTGCCTTCTGCTGCATTTGCCGCGGCCGTGCGCAGACGGGCTTCTTCCTCAAGTTCCTGTTCCTCCAACGCATCATACTCCTCCTTCGCATCGAGCCACCGCTCCTGCACATCCCTCACATCCATGCCACCCATGCCCTCACGCACGGCAACCTGCCAGACCGTATCATTCGCACCCTCAGCCGAGCCAAACGCATACCCAGAGGCGCGGTCAATCGCCCGCAGCAGACTCATCATGCTCTTCTTATCCTCAACGGCCAGCGTCTCGAACGCGACAAGCCCAAACTCCTCGACCAGATCAATAATCGCCGTGTTGAGGGCGCCGAATTTCTGATGCGAAAGCCGTGATGATTCAGCTTCGAGGTGTGGTAGCAAATAGGACAGGTCTTGGACCTCGGTGTAGAACTCAAGGTTGAAGGGGAGCGGGGCGTAGTTGGATAGGTTGTCGATTTTGGTGAGGACGTTCAGGTGTGGCAGGTCGAGTTGGAGCATGGCGCGGAGGGAGAGGAGGAGTGCTGAGATGTACATCGAGGGGAGGGTTAGTGTGTACGAGTCGACCAGGTGGATAACTATCATCTGTATTTTTTGGTGTGTATTAGCAATTGCTCCTGTACTGTTTGACTTGAATGTTTTCCTCCAGGGTAGACGAACCCGATAGCCCAGTTTCTGGATCCTGAAAAAGATATTCCGTAGGGACGAATGGTGCGTAAAGAGCTCGACCTGCCCCGGGCAGTCGAAAAGAATATAATCCTCTGCAGTTCGCCTGGTCAGCCCAGTCGTCCTATCCACTTCACAAGGGACGTAAACACACCTCCGAGCTCCTTCAACCCGTCCTCTAGCCAGCCAAAATTCTCTTCGAGCTCTTCAAGGGCGTATAGTGTGGCTCCATTCGGACCAAGTCGGTCCTCCTCCATGATCTCCTCCAGGGTCACCAAATCGCGCACGTCCAGCGCACACGGATATGACGTTTTGTCGTTGGCGGGGTCGAGGTTGACGACGGAGCATTTCCGGCCGATGGCGCCCAGGAACTGGTGCATACCATTGCAATAGGTAGACTTGCCCGCGCCCGGGGGGCCAATGACCAATTGTGCGAAAGGCATCAGACACAAAAAACAAGAATCAGACGAGATGTCAAGACTGGAAGAAGGTCGCCTTTTTTTCTTATCGACACGCGGGGAAGCAAAGTGGCGGTGAGTCGCGGCAAAAAAGGCCCTTGACAACCGGAGCTGGCGAACAAGCTGATCTTCGCCAACTACGCTGCTCCAACCATGTCGTCCAGTATGTGTTCCCACGGCCCCTGAGAACTTGCATCGTCTTGCATTCTAACCGCATTTAGATCAATTCACTGTGGCGTCACCGCCCGCAGACGCCATCTCCGCTTTGAAGTTTTCGCCTGACCCCAATTCCGCGCGGATCGCCGTGTCGTCATGGGACAAGAATGTGTATCTGTACGACCTGCGCGATGAGAACGGCATAGTGGGAGAAGGGAAGCTTTTGCAGAAGTTCGAGCACCGGGCGCCTGTGCTGGATGTCTGTTTCGGGAAGACCGAGAATGAGATCTATACGGCGGGTTTGGATTGGGATGTGCGGAAGTGAGTGCTGGCTCTCAATTGCGGAACAGTGTTGAACTGGAAAGTTTCAATCGCTAACTTTTCTAGAATTGATGTGAATACTTCCACGCAAACTGTCCTCAGCAGCCACGAAGCCGGCGTGCGCAATGTCGTGTACAGCCTCGAACACAACCTTATCATCTCGGGCTCGTGGGACTCGACACTCCATGTGCACCGGCCGGACGCCGGCGCCAACCCTGATTCCTTGCCCACCATCGTTCCGCTCCCTTCGAAACCCTTCTCGTTGTCGCTGACCGCCACGAAACTGGTTGTGGCCATGGCGTCGCGCGCACTGCACATCTACGACCTGAAGGCGCTGGCTCTGCTGTCGGCGCAAGCAGATGAGACGGCCGCGGGTGGCAACCGCGTTGAAGTCGAGCCGTGGCAGCGGCGCGAAAGCAGCCTGAAGTTTATGACACGGTCTGTTGCCTGCATGCCCGACGATGCCGGGTACGCTTCGTCCAGTATCGAGGGGCGCGTGGCTGTCGAGTGGTTCGACCCCTCGCCCGAATCCCAGGCGCGCAAGTACGCTTTCAAGTGCCATCGTCAGACCTCAGAGGATAATGTCGATGTGGTGTACCCGGTAAACGCGCTGGCCTTCCACCCCGTGCACGGGACCTTTGCATCAGGCGGCGGCGATGGCGTCGTGGCTCTCTGGGATGGCATTACGAAGCGCCGCATTCGCCAGTACCAGAAGTATCCATCCAGCATTGCGGCAGTTGCCTTTAGTGGCACTGGTAGGCACCTGGCCATTGCGATCAGCCCTGGGTTCGAAGACGGCAAGGACGATGTGCCGGAGGGCATAGTGAAGATCTTTGTGCGAGAGCTGGGCGAGACCGAGGCCAAGGGGAAGGGGGCAAAATAAGCACAGGCAATTGGGGGTTTTGCTTGAGAAGCCTTGATACCAGTCGAATCTAATGACGATGCATGTTCAGAGAATCTCGTAAATGCGATATCACAACCATAAATAGCTTCATTTGAAGCCCCAGACCGAGGTTGAAGGGGAAATGTGTTTGGTATCATCTAGTGTATAATTCACATCGTCTCATATGCCGCATCCAAATAGTCTTCAATTAATCCTCCCCAAGCCCAAGGGGCTGACTCAAGCAGCCGCCTTCCGCACCGACACCGACCCATCCGGCATCCCAAAGTACGCCGCAACAGGCCTCTGTCCACCGACACCACCAGCAGAGCGCGCCTGCGGGCCCGTCATGCCAGAGAAAAGACCGACCTCGAGCACACCGGCAATCTGCTTGATGTGGCGAGCCAGGGCATCGACCTGCCAGGCGCCGGAACCGGTCTTACCGGCCGCGATGTCGGCTGTGTTGAGGAGTGGCGGGAAGGGGGCGTCGATGATGAAGAAGCCCTGGTCGGTTTTGAGGGGACCCTCTTTGGGGGTGAGGCTGGTGCGGATGGCGGGCTTGACGCTGCCGAGTTCTTCGAGCTTGCGCAGGACGCGGTAGGCGGCAATCGGGGCGACTTCGATGGGAACGTATTTCCAGTTGGAGAGGAGGTTGGATTGGAGTTTGCGCGAGTCTGTATGTGTAAGCTTTTTCCTTTGCCTCTTTTTTTTTTTCATTGCCATTTTCCATCCTTGGGTTTAAACACTCACCTGCAACGCAAATAAACTCCTTGGACTGCATGGCGACAATCTTTTCCTGGAACAGGCACGCGCCGCCGCCCTTGATGCAGTTCAGGTCGTCGTCGACCTCGTCGGCGCCGTCAAAGGCCACATCCAGGACTGTGCCGGGCGGAATGGCATCGAACTCGACGGCCATCAGGCCCGCATTGAGGATCAGCTGGCGCGACTGGTAGCCGGTGGGCACGTAGTGGGTGAGGGAGGTGTCGACGCCGAGAGCCTTGATGGCCTCGACGACGTACACAATGGTGGTGCCACTGCCAATGCCGACCCATCGGGCATCTTTAGGGTAGTGGTTTGTGACGGCGACCTTAGCGGCAGCGCGCTTGGCGTCTTCGACGTTGGACATGGTGGAATGGCGGCGAGTGAGGAAAACCGAGAGAGGGAGGCGAGAGGGAAAAGCTGTGAGGGGAGGCGATGGGAGGCGGAGAACGCTGGGACGGCACAGGGACGACCACGGCCGGACCATCGATGCGTTATTTATCTGTGATGAAAAACCAGAGAGAGATCCCCGGTGTACCTGAGGAGGTAACTCGAGTCGGCGCAACTCAAAAACACCCGGGCGATTCTCTACTTGGTCGAAGCTGCACTATAGCGTCATGCCAATGTGGGGGATTTTCGGCGGTTGACCCGACTACGTGATATCAGGACATGATATCCCTCGAATTCATCGTGAATACGTGCAACACATTGAGCTACTTGAATGCTCTACTGCTTCGGTACTTCAATACTTCCCTCAACTATCCCAGACGCCCATGTCATCCTGCGCCCCTCCGGGCTGGTGGGCTCCGACGCAGCCAACCGGACTACGGACGGTGGAGAAATACAATGCCAATGCCGTTGACTGAAAAAGGGAAGCCGAAGCGCAAGACTGGGGTGTGAACAAAGATGGTAGCCATTCCCATTCCTATGATCATCATTGAGGGCCTGGTTCAATGCTATGAAATCATATCCCCACCGCTCCGATGCTGGTCAAGGAACCCAATGACAGTGATGACAGTGATGACAGAATGTCAGACATCAGAATGGCAATCATTTCTAGGCTATCTTATTTTAAAGCAGTTGTGAAGTATGCGCCCCAGAACGTCGCTTCGTGCAACTATATTATAAAGATCGAGGCTATGGGTCTTCTTATATAGTCTTCCAGCGACACTTGCGACATATAAACCGTTGCTCTTTAAGCTCCATTTTCTCACGATCAATTATCATTCACACTACACTTCTTGTTGTGTTTTGTTAGAGAGCTCGTCGGCTACTACAAGTAACCCGACTGATTCTATATCCTTGTGTTTTCGGTTTCCACAAAATGATATCAACCATCAGTACCTACTGAGCTAACAATAATCTAGTAAGCTGCCCCTGACTTCATAGATATGGAAATTGAAGCATATAGTAAAAGTTGTCACCATCAACAAAGCTGTCGACTGTGGATGCCCATGTTGTGAGGCACCGACCATCCCCGCTTAGCTAAGGCGCTGCCTCAGCGCATCCTCGTATTGCGAGATCCTCAACATCAGACAATAAAAGAGAGATCCGTGGGACAAAACCCAAGAACAGACCAGAGAGGCATAAAGACCCTCCCAGCCTTGCCATGGTTTGAATCCTCCCAACCACAACCCCTCCAAGCTCCCCGCACCGATATCAGCCTTATCAAAATCACTACCAACCATGGCCGACACATTCACCGCCATCACGGGGCCGTCCTCTAAGGAGCGCAAGTATGACCGCCAGCTGCGGCTGTGGGCTGCCAGTGGCCAGCAGGCCCTGGAGGACTCGCGTGTGCTGCTGATCAACTCAGATGGCCCGCTTGGCCGGGACAGCACCGGCGTCACTGGTGTTGTCGGTGTCGAGGCGCTCAAGAACCTTGTTCTGCCGGGGATCGGCGGCTTTACTATTGTTGATCCTGCGATGGTCACCGAGGCTGACCTCGGGGTGAACTTCTTCCTGGAGGAGGAGTCGCTCGGCAAGTCGCGTGCTGCTGAGACGTGTCGGTTGCTGCGAGAGCTGAATCCTGATGTACAGGGGTATTCTTCGGCAAAGGTATGATGATCATGGCAATGGCTTTGTTCCATTTGTAATTATTGCTATTCTGCGCTAATACCTTGCTTCGAACACCCTCACATGGATCATGTTGTTAACTTTGCATCAGCCCATTGCGGATCTCCTCCAAGATCCCGAATTCCTGCCCCGGCATAAGCTTGTGATTATCTCGGGACCAACAAAAAGCTCTTCTCTGCAGCCACTCTGCCAAGCAGCAACAGAGCTCGGCATCCCCGTGCTGTACACACACTCGGTTGGATTCATCGCGACATTCTCCTTGCAGCTTGCGGCAGAGTTCCCCATTGTCGAGACGCACCCAGACCCAGAATCAACCCAAGACCTGCGTCTGCTGAACGCCTGGCCCGAGCTCGCCGCAGCCGGCGCCGCGCTGGCCGACCTTGGCAGCATGGACGACCACCAGCACGGGCATGTCCCGTACATCCTGCTCCTGCTGCGCTTCCTGGAGGAGTGGAAACAGTCGCATGACGGCAATGTGCCTAGCAATTACCGAGAGAAAACTGACTTCCGGGAATTTGTACGGAGCAACGCGCGGACTAGCAACGCCGAAGGCGGCGAAGAGAATTTCGACGAGGCCGCGGCCGCCGTGCTGAAGACTATCTCACCATTTAGTCTACGCAGCACAATCCGCGATATCTTCGAGATGAGTGAATGCCAACTGCCGACGGCAGAGTCACCCGATTTTTGGATCATTGCCTCGGCAGTGCGCTCCTTCTATTCTGTCCACAATGTGCTCCCACTGCCGGGCTCGCTGCCCGACATGAAAGCCCAATCGGCAGACTACGTCTCGCTCCAGAATATCTACAAAGCCAAGGCGCGCAAAGACGTCGACGAGGTCACCGCGACAGTGCGCCAGCTCGAATTTCAGCTGGGCCGAACCACTCCCGCAATCCCGGAGCGCGAGATCGAAGTCTTCTGCAAGAACGCAGCCCACATCAAGGTCGTGCGCGGACGAGGCATCCCACAGATCACCGGTGCCAGCAACGCAGCCACCATCAAAACCATCCGCAACCAGCTCGGCAACCCCGACTCGTTGATCCCCCTCTGGATCGCATGTCAGATCCTTGACGCCGTCGTGGACGATATACAAACCAGCGGACAGGAACTGCAGCGCTCCGTCGATGACGAGGAGTTGTGGCAGACCCACACCGACCGCATCGTGAACTTGATCTTCACCGACGACCCTGCGGCACTGTCTCATGAGGCGCGCGAGCACATCGACGAAGCGATCCTAGAACTGCGCCGCACTGAGGGCGGCGAGCTGCACAATATTGCCTCGTTGGCTGGTGGACTCGTCGCTCAGGAGGCGCTCAAGGTGCTTACGAGGCAGTATGGGCCACTGGACAATACGTGTGTGTTTGATGGGGCGCGGAGCCGGAGCGAGATGTACAGGTTGTGAAAATAACAAAAAGTTTTGCCATTTTTATGGATGTGTGCGGTCGATGCTTGGATGCCGTTTTCTACAATACTTATGAGCTGTCCCGAGGAAAGTGAGGATTCAAGTTATCTGTCACGGCCGAGTCATGACTTGATGATCTATTCGCTGTAGAATCGAATATTGCACAGTGATTATCTCTAATCCTGTAGAGATTGGAATAACCGGGTAGAGGACTCAGACCACTTTTTTCTGATGTAGGTGTCGACCGATAGAGATTACACCTCCAGTAGAGGCTGTGAAGCCCTCCGATCTCCGCATTGACTTCGTTCAGTCCCGTCTGTTCTTACAGACGCGGTGCAACGAACAGGGTTGGATTAGTCGACAACCCAACATGACCAGAACAACAACCAGGAATATGTCCATCATGACCCAGTTTATTAAATAGACCCGCTCTCGTAAATGCGAAAAGGAAAGGAATAATACAATGGATACCAAACTCCATCACCTTCTTTTTGATCCATGCGAGAATCGATTCCGCTTAGTCCCCGACGGCCCATTTTTAGCCTCATAGAGCTTCTCCTTCCCAAACGCCGAGTCAGCAACGCGCAGATAACTCACAACACCCTGGTCGACAACCGCCAGAATGACGTGGCGGTATCCGTGGCGCAGCCGCATGTACAGCAAGCGGTCCATTTTGTCGCCGCGTGGCGGATCGAGGGGTGTGCTCTCGAGCAAGGCGCCGAGCTGGGAGAGTGTGGGAAAACTGGTCTGGTCGCGTGTGCTGAGGACGGCGATGCGGAAGTCTGGGGGTGGGGGAGCGGTTTTTTTGAAGGTCGTGGAGGGTTTGTATACATGGAAGACGATGCGGAAGGGCGGTGTTGTGTCGTCGAGATGGGGTTCTGGCGCGGTGACGGGGTCGTACCAGGGTATGAGGGCAAGTTTGCGGTATACATCGGCTTGAGTTGAGATTAGATCGGAAGAAAAAAGAACGCAAGGCCCGTACAAGAGGTCGAAGATGTAACTCACCATAGTTTCGATGGATGCCGAGGCCGGCGACGGGTCCTGCCGTCGTCGAGGCTGTCGACATGGGATCGTGAATCCACTGGAAAACACGCCCAAAGATCCCAGCGAGACCAGGACCACGCTGCGCAGATGGAGGCTGTGTGGCAGTCTTTTGGGTACCCGACGTGGCCGGAGCTGTCTCACTCTGTTCAATTGAGTCATGCCACCCGGGCGCCCGGATCAGCATGTAACCCAGCCGTCTCAATCCAGTGTAGACAGAAAACCGTTCGAGCGTCAAGCCAGCCCGGCCAATGAAGCATGCATAGGCAGCCTGCAGACTCATGGGAATTGAAGGCTCATCGGTTGAAACACCAGATTCACTGTTAGAATCCGACCCAATTAACGAGCTTGGCCATCGGATATCGAGACTGCCTCTCTCCAGCAAATACAATGCTTCCTCCGGCAACAGCCAAACCCGGTTCCAGCGATCGGCCTGGCCCATAGTCTTGAAGTATTGGCCCTTCGGGGTGGGCACATAGACACACGTTTCTGGAGAGACGCCAACTCCTTTACCGTCCGGTTTAATAGACTCTGGCTTGGACTGAGCAGGGGGAGCAGACTCGGTGCTCTTTTGTTGCTCGTCGACGGTCTTCAATGATTCACCAATCACCTGGGGCGGTGGTGTCGGTCCTTCGGGGGCGTATATCCCCACGATCTGGTTCTTGGGGTTGTGAATGCGCGGATACGCGAGCGCATTGTGCATAGCCTGTCGCGAAGCAGAGAGGACATCGGCCTGGAATTCAGTTGGGTTGGGTTCGAAGTCTTTCTCGCCGCGGCGGGGGAGACTGCCCGAGGAGGGGTCGGAGAGGCTGAAACGTAGAATGAGTTAGTATGCATAACCATAGAACCGCGCGAAGCAATATCCTGCGTCTATCCAGACATGTCATCCCACGTACAAATTGAGATGGCTCAGCAAGCGAAAGTCCTGAGTTTCGTCGGACAGGTCAGTCTCGATCTGCGCCGGGTTGTTCGAGGGCGCGCGAATGGCATCTTCGTCGGCGTCGGCCATTTTGGGCAAGGCGTATTCCAGCCAGAATTGAATCCAAAGTGAGGTGTGCACAGGCGTTGTGGAAAAAAAGGTTGAAGTCGCAAAACTCGCCTTATCGATAAGGCGATATCCACAGGGCCCACCTGCCCACAACAGACATTCGTCTTGACTATACCTCGCCTTTCTACACCTTCACATTTTACTATTCACTTCGACAATTCACTTCTCTCCAATTTCACATTTCTACAAATTCACCTATCTCTATCTCCGCCGACAAATATTTTCCAACCTCTCTTCCGAAAATTCTCTCTGAACCTCTGGCAATGGAGTCCAAGTCCGAAGTCGTGGACTACACCGAGACTCTGCGCCAAGTATGTTTTCTCGCAAATATGAGTATGCTCGAATCTATCTAACACATCTTCAGGTATCCAACAGTTTGGAGAATGCGCTCCGGACGTTTGGTGCGGATTCGCACCAGTACAAGTCCATCCTCTCCATTCTTGAGGACTGCCTGCGGGGGATTGAAATCGCCTCGCAGATGCAAGACCAGCCGGCCGCTGATGCGGACGTGCTCAGTGCAGCAATGGGATTCCTGATTATTAGCGAGTGAGGGAATGGCTCGCGATTTTTGAGGCACTTTGTCGCATATGCATTACGATACCCAGGAGCTGTTTTGATTTCTCTAAATTTGTTGGTTTCATTTGTCTATCTCTGTGATGTTTGTATCTAGTCTTTCCTGGCGAGGAATACCCTCAGGCTGATATAATTCACAATTAATCAAGATCCTTGCATTTACACTGAGATGATCGACTATACGAATGTTGCACGCCAAGCATGGAAGAACAATTAGCAAAGTCAAGAGTCGGCAGGAAAGTGGTCCCTGTGAAAGCAAGGGACAAAGACAACGAGCACCGAGACGGGGAGGAACCATCACGGGAACAAAACCTGGAAGTCTCCTCTAGGCTGAGGTAGCCTCGCAACGCCCGACCAGACTTAAATCAGCCCCCAACACCCCATTACCAAGTCCAAAGAATAAACAGCCGACTTCCGTGAATGCCACGCCACCAACTCCTGGATCGATGCAATCATAAGGCGTGGCAGGGTATAGCGTCCTGGGGAGAATCTAATCTTGTAGCCCTCCGGGGAGGCATCGTATATGACCATCACAATGGAGCCCGCGCCTGAGGTAAGCTGCCTTCGAGAGGCCGTCATCCAACCGCTGCAGGTCTCCCATCAAGTCAAAACAGGGAAAGATAGGGTATCAATCGAATCTTCACTTCGAATTCCTCAAGAGCCGTCTCAGTTAATTAAAGCTTTCTTCTGGTTGCCAACCACAGCGACGCCCAAGTGGCTCAGGGCATTGTGATCGTTGGGACGCACGATCGAGGGAAGTGGTAACATCGGGTTGTCGGGATTCACATGGGCTGCGTCTCGGGCGGCCTGTTCGATGGCCTCCATCTCTTCTTTACACCCAGCATGGTCGAGCGGGCAAACCACGATCGGTTGGCGGATAGTGATGTCTCTTGCGGACGTCAAATGGGCCTGTGGTATGTGTTGTGAGCCTCGGTGAACCCCACATCATCCAGATTGGGAAACTCACTCGCACGGTTAGATAATACTCAATTTTATAAAGACTGGCTGTTGTGGTAAACCCAGTCACACCGTATGTGGGGAATGCCGTTCGACTGCGAGGCAAGACCCCCTCTGAGTCTCGCAGATCTTTGGCAGGGAAGACCAGGCCCAGATTCGTCAGAAAGCCTGACTGAGGCAGCTTGACGCCAATGGGCTCAGTCTTCTTGGTCAAGTTCTTCACTTTGCGCTGGGGCTCATCGCCCTCGTGGTTGTAAATAATTTCTTCGTCGATGCCGATGGTGATCTTGTTGATCGTCACTCTGCGAGCCTTGCCCATCCAGACCTGGTTGGGGGACAATTTGACATAGACGCTGACCGGGTCGAGAGGACCATACGACCATCGCGGCAGAGAGATAGCGAGCGTGACCAAATGATCGGATACGCGCTCTGCTGACTCGGGACGATTATACATACCAAAGGTAGAGAGGGTGTCGTAGCGTGCAATGGGCACGGGGAAGGTGTATTTGCGCTGTTCCGACTGTCCCTGCTGGACCATCACTACCATTTCATAATACGTCTCGGCAGTGCGACTGGGCAGCTGGAGACTGGCTGGAGGTACACGTCGTGAAGCATCGCGGCCGCCCCGGCCAAATGGGATGAACAGGACAAACGGCAAATCCATCGAGATGACCTCCTCATATTCTCGACCGGCGGGACATCGAAACAACAGCATTTCTTTGCCCACAATATCAGCGACTTCTTTGCGCGGGGGGGCCAGGTGCTTTTTGGTGACGGAGTCGGCCGAGGGATGTATTGACTCTCGACGCAGGAGGGAGATGGTAACTAGGGATACATTGACGGGGGCTGTGATTCCAACAATAGGCCGAATCTCAACCTTACCCTCGATCCGGGGCTGTGAACATACGTCAATAATCGCAGATTTGGCTAGGAGGGGGGTTGTGGAGGCCTCCACCACTCCCTCTCCCCTCGAGGTTCCGGGGTTCATTCGTCAGGGTAGGCGCTTACCATGGTCGCAGAGATGCCCGGATAACCGATTAGAAAATTGCCATTTGCCGGACCCGAAACGCGCACGAAGGCGGCCATGTCGATAAAGTGGGCTCCGCACCACCATGGGCGTGCGCAGCGTGAAGAAGTTGTGGGGAATATGCGACCTCGACCACCCTTTGACTCGGTTCATAGAGGGCGCGATGGTGCCCGCAAGATGCGCCCAAGATGACGCAGTCAATTTCGAAGCACACCAGAACAGACGTGTGCGGGTTTGGACGTTGGTAGAGAGGGGCGAGAGAGAGCTAGGAGAAGCTCAGGATGCACATGTGGGGGGGGGGGGAGAAAGGGAGCCGAGATGCCCCCATCGGAACAACTCAACTTGAGCCTCAGATCCTCCCCATGGGAGAACCCTGGACGAAATGCTACGTTTTTGTATCTATGGAATAGCTTGTTCCCAGTGAAGCGTAGTCCACGAGCTCCAGTAGGCTACTGATCCTCGACTCGTCTTGGCCCGGTTGCCAATGTCATCATCGCGGCGCTCATGTCTGTACGCCACGAGATCTGATGTAGATAAAAAAAAATCAGAATAAATTCCAAGCGTGCTATTCAAAATATATCAATGCATTATAGCCAGTCTATTATCTGAGGTTCACCCCAGAATCTCCCAAGTCCCATGGAAACCAACTGCCGAGAGCCGGCAAAGTTTTGGTTGCCCAGTGCAACCCCAACGCCATCTTCCCCACCCTCTTCTGCTTCTGCCCTCATCGTGGATCTACTCTACTCACTGCCAACATTACTCTGAATTCCAGCGTCATTCTTCATCATGCCTCCCCGTCGTCGTGGAGGTAATACTGCCTCTTCTCGCGCCGCTCAGTCAACGCTCTCGTTCGGCGCCCGGGTCACCAAGCCCGCCACTCCCTCCGCGAACCTGAAAGCAAAGAACCTCGATTCACCCGTCTCCCTCCCTACGGACAAATCCGCCTCTGCTACTCCCGAGCCACAACAGGTGCCAGTGACTCCTGTGGAGCCGTCACAACCCCATGTCGCCGAACTGGTGGTGCGGCAGCAGGCCGCCGCCGAAATCCAAGCGCCGCTGTCTATGGAAGATAAACGGGCGATGAATCTCAGTCGACAGGATCTGCAGCGGTATTGGGAAAAGGAAGAACAAAGTCGGAAGGCACCGCGAGGTGAGTAGACCTCCAATATCGGAGAAATCTACACCATCATCCATCGACTCATGCCTCTCTCCAGTCCACCAGCAGAGTCTTGATCTCGAAGAGAAGATCCTACGACACTTTGATCTGTCCAGTCAATATGGGGTATGTCCTCCACTTTTTCTTTTGGGAGAGTCCACAAGTCCACCAGGATGCTGACGGTCGGCCTCGATAGCCCTGCATCGGCATCGCCCGACTCAAGCGCTGGCGGCGTGCGAATATGCTGAATCTCAACCCACCCATCGAAGTGCTAGCCGTTCTTTTAACAGAAAAGGATGTGAAGCAGCGGGCAAACATGGATGACCTATTGTCGTGAGAATGTATATGGCGGCCCATTCATTTTCAAGTGCCGGACGGACTAGCGTCGGCGGTTTTGCATGACATCAGGCGTTGGGAACTGTATGAATATCAATGAGATACGAATCACTTCAATCAACCTTCACACTTAACCTATTCCATGCGGGGCCTTGCGTGTCGAGCCTCGGCATGGCAGACTCCCTGTACCTATTGTCTTGTGAGTCCAGCAAGTATACCCCGTGTTTGCTGCTTGTGCCTGTCGTTAATCATGACAACCCGTCCCAATTTCCGAGGATGGAACGCCCGGTGATCATTTAATCTGGAAATACTTTCTGAAATGATTGCTTTAACACTCATCGGGTCGACAGGCTAATTAATCGTCTCTCGTTGTGGAGATCGACATCTTGTCAGTGCAGGGTGTTGTCAGGTGGAGTGGACTCCCCAGATTCCCCGCAATGTACATCGTTCACCTTCCATCATCCTCGAGCTCAGCCCGGGGTCTTCTGTCCATCGACGCCTCATCACAATCTGTTGGATCCATCCCCTCGCGGCCCTCGTCCCCATGCAGTGAAGTCTGCGCAATTTGTTCCCCTGCTCGACTATCGCAGATGGCGTCCGCCACAAACCAGTAGTCAGTGATGGTGTCTCTGTTGCACCCATTCACACCCTGGTGAACCCCACAGCTAGTGGCCGCTTAGCGCCCTTGGCGTTGAATAAGAGGCTTCCAGCCCTGCTCATCTCAACTGGATCAACCCCGCAGAAATGTCTCACTTTGTATGCGAGACCCTCGGCCGTGGACACCCGGTGTTGTCCCACGCCTGGATGCTGGTTCCTGGCTACGTGGGACACAATACCCTCGGGCAGCAGTCGAATATGGCTGTCTACTCACTACGCCCACCAACCAGGTAGATCAAGGACATGCAGGTACAGATTTCCACGTCGACGGGTACCAACAAATATAATCATCGATTGAGTTCACTGATGTCTCGGGCGATAAATTGAGACATCGGCCTAACCACTCCAAAAAAAAATCCGGATCATTTTCAAGACTTATTTGCACGGAGGGCGAGGGATTTCACTGGCCAAAAATAGGATCCTCTGTCTTTCTACTAACGCAGTGCCCTTTTCCCCCAGATCCTTTACGGGGAGATAGACGAGTCCTCAGATTCGAGATTCGCCAAATCACTTGAGGTGACTGGCGCTGACGGGCTGGCAAACTGGTGGACCAGGGCCCACTAGGGGATGGCCTGATGCTACGCCGGCTCAAGTGGCGGCCTTCCCCGGATTTCCTGTGCTACGCAATACTGCAGTTTGGTACTGGCTGAGACCGAGTCCACGGTCCACAGGCTTTTTCTCTGAAGTTCTATTCTGTGTTCCCGGTACTGTTGTTATTTGGTCAATGGCCGACTTCGCTGTCAATTGCTTCCGTGTTTCTGGCTGGCTCTAGGTGCAGCCGGGCATCTGCCGCATTTTGGCTGTCTACCGCTGGCTGCATCCTCTTATGCGCCTTTCTGCAGCCGGAATTCTGCACTGCATATGCTGCATCCACTTTCCCTCTCGACTCTCGTCGGCTCCAGGGTCTCGCTAAACCCTGATCCTCACACAGTGGAGATTAGTCTTCAAGTGTCTCTTCATTTACCCGTGTGACTAGCAGTGACTGGGAAGTACACCCCGGTCTAGCAATTGCCACTCGACCAGCCACCTCTTGTTGGCCTAGTCCTGACTTGGCGACGCCGTGTCCACCCCGTCCAGACATCAACATGGTAAAGCCTTCATATGCTTTTTCCATTCAATCGGCTACAAAATCCAGGACCCGATGCCAGCCATCGAGGCTTGGCCCTGCAATAAGCGTCCAGGGATCTCAGCCCTCAACAATAGTTTGGCTGAGTCAACCGCGGTCTTTTGGCGTTTTTGAGAGCACCAGGCTTGCTGACGGGGAAAATACAAGACATGTGATGGGAGGCACTTGTCCGCATCTTGGTGCGACCCTGGAAGGGGAGTATACGACCATGCCAAAGCTTATAAAAGGACATTACCCCCCAGGCCCACTGCTAGTCCTTTTTCTTCGTGACCAACCCGCACTCGTTACAGTCCTGACTGTCGTTTCCGGCACGCTGCCTCTATTTGCTGTTTAGTACTCGGTTCCTTGTGACCTCTTGTGATCACCATGCACTTCTCCCACGCGCTGGTTGCCCTCGTTGCTGCCGGCCTAGCCAACGCCCAGCTTCCCGACGTCCCCGAGTGCTCGGTAAGACCATTGGTCTCAAGTTCAGAGTGGGTGAGCATATCCACTGACAGATTACTTAGCTCAACTGCTTCGTCGAGGCCCTGACCGGCGATGGCTGCTCGAAGCTGACCGACTTCTCCTGTCACTGCCAGAAGACGGAGCTGGTCAGCACCGTGACGCCCTGCGTCAAGAAGGCGTGCGAGGTTGCCGACCAGATCGGTATGTGTCTCAATCATCTCTTGGCTTTTTGTCTCTAGCAACCCCGCTAACACACCTCCCCATCCAGCCGTCTCCAAGGCAGTGGTTTCCCAATGCTCGTCTGCCGGCCACCCCATCGTGGTGCCCCCGGTTGAGACCGGCTCTGCCTCCTCCGACAGCAGCTCCACGACTGGGTCGAATAGCACGCCTGCAGAGACCACCGCCACGGCTACTACCCTGCCCGGCGGCTCCGTCACCGTCCCGCACCCAACTGTCCCTTCGCCTACGGGACACACCTCGCACTCGGGCAGCTCGACCCCACTGAAGCCCACCAAGACCGGTGGTTCAGGCTCTGGTGGCTCGGGCTCTGGTTCTGGTTCTGGCTCCGGCACCGAGTCCAGCCCTGGTGCCAGCACCTCGGCCTACAACGGCGCTTCCTCCAACAAGGGCAACCTGGCTGGAGTGGCCGCCGTTGCCGCTGCTGCTGCTTACCTGCTGTAAATACATCTATGCCTAATCTTACCCGTTCTTCCCTTTGTGTCGGATGGGGCATTCTTTTGGGCCTGCAAAAATCGGCTCTCAACTGATGTTGCCGTCTTTTTTCGCGTCTTGCTAATGCTAGCAAAGTTTGGGTCATTTACTATGACTCGTCACGGGGGCTATAATACGTGATTTTTTGTATAGTTGAGATTCTTAATACAGTATGTGCTTCTCTCATCTAAATGGAATGATCTATGGTTCTTTTTACTTCCTCTGCGTTGCAGTGGGTGCTGTCTTTCTCTTTGCATTTCAGGTGCGTAACCATTATACAAAGGCCAGAAACTGACTGATTTTCTTTATGCTTAAACTTAAACGCCTTTCACCTCATCGTGTGGTCGGTATCCGTATACTAAGGTTGGGGTCAATTACTGATGGTCAACCACAGATACTGCTCCGACGTGCCATTTGGTCAAATAGATCCACAGTATGAATTGTTTACTTTATCAAGCTTTATTTGGCTTCTAGAAAGAAGTGTCGTTAAAAAGAGTTACAGAATAAAGCATAGGTTGAACTCATGATAAATGACCCTGCAACGGTCCTTCGAGAGAGATATAAACACTGCCAAAATGAAATGACCACATGTATGTGCTCTCATAAGAAGATCCGCTGTTAGTAATCCCCCTAAATAATTTACTCTTATTCATTCATTTATTTATTTTGCAGTCATCATGAAATCGTGGGTTGACTTGGATAACTCGCGTCCAGTTCAAGGCAAAAGCCACCTGCCAAACCCTATCTACCCAGCTGTCCGATTTAGGGTCAACACGAGAACTACGAGAACTGTCAAGTTCACTGTCACCAGTAACTTGACAGGAAATATGATCCATCGATCAAAGTAGTCGGCTGAGCAACCGATTTTTGCAACTTGACAGACTCCGCCATGGCCAAGCCGAGATGATCGGCAGGCGCTACGCCTCCTTCACCTCCCTTAACACCCTCAAGCTACGGGCAACACACTAAAAATAGCCCCCACTCCCCTGCGCCATCAGCGCTGAGTGGCTCTCGACAGCCTCCATTCTGCAGGAACACGAGCCGTACGAAATGCGCCATCCCACAACGAGCATCAACTCGCGGGCAAAGATGGTGGCTCTGTCATCGCCCACTTCACCCTGTCCAGATTTGGTCCCAAACGACGAGCTATAGCCTCTTTGTGGGATCATTGTTTACGTGAAGAATACGAGAACCGACGATCGCATCCACAGTTGGAATACGAGACCCTCACCTGGGTACGGGGTGAGTCGATAGAGTTGTCGACAGAAAAGTTATAAAGATGTCATTGTCTCCTTCGAGTGGCACCGTTCTCATCAACAATCAAACAATCACTCGGATTAAAAGCATCCACGTCAAAGCATTAAGCAACAGCGACTCTTCTTGATATCCCATTTTCAAAACACTTTCTTCATCATGCACTACATCTCCCTCGTTGCTGTCACACTGGCTGCCGCTCTCCCTGCGGTTAGTGCCTACCCCATCGAAGCCGACAGTGTCCACTGCCGCTCGGGTCCCGGCACCAACCACGAGGTTGTCAAGTCCTACAAGAAGGGCGAAGACATCAAGGTGACCTGCCAGACGGCGGGCGAGGACATCAACGGCGACAAGCTGTGGGACAAGACGTCGGACAACTGCTATGTGGCCGACTACTACGTGAAGACAGGAACCAGCCAGTACGTCGTGGACAAGTGCCCTAGCCAGGGCGGCAATGACGACAACAACGGCGGAGGCAACAGCGGTGGCAGCGGGTCAGGCAAGGGCATCGTCGACGCCGCCGAAAAAGAAAAGGGCCTGCCATACGTCTGGGGCGGCGGCAACTGCCACGGACCCACGCAGGGCGGCTTTGACTGCTCAGGTCTCACGCAGTACGCTGTCTGTCAGGCGCTGAAGAAGGAGATCCCCCGCACCGCGCAGACGCAGTACCAGTCGAAGCTGGGCAAGCATATCCCGCGTGCGCAGGCCGAGGAGGGCGACTTGATCTTCTGGGGCAAGAACGGGGATTGTACCAACGGCGTTGTGCACGTCGGTATCTTCATTCGCGATGGGCTGATGATCAATGCTGCGCACACCGGTACCCCTGTGCGCGAGCAGAAGATCTGGACCTCGTCTGGTGGCGAGGAGATCTGCCCCGATGCCGTGCGGTATGTTTGATTGACTGGTTTTTTATTTCCTGGGTGGATACCGAGCTAATTCATATCCACAGATTCACCTAAGCAAACACAGGGCATAGCTATTGTCTCTGCTCTTCTTTGACGTTCCTTCGCTTCGATTATGTATTGATTTTGTGAAATATGTCAGATTCTGTTCTACTTAGATTGACTTGGAAGTGACTTGATATTCATTGTGTCGCGCTATACATCCTCTTCTACAATCTCAAATGATATGAGGAAATGCTTACGCACATCTTCACGTATCACCTGCAGAAAGTGCTATGCCTCCATGCCCAGCCAATCTGACCGTCTGCAGGGTCTATGAGAACGGCATGCCTCCATGCAGTATCTCCGCAGGAAGTAAGAATGGGGCCATAAATCTAGCATACAACCTCGGAAGCGCAATGCCAAGGACCAGGTGCCCAGCGCCAAGTGCCAAGCAGAACAACATGACATCAAAGGCAGAGTTCATGAGTGAAATCCCGGAGATTTCTCTGCGATCAGATTGCCCCGATTGCCCAGGAAGAGTGAGATTCCTCCCCGCATTGAGTGGGGGCGACTGAGATATCTGGGGTATAAATAGAGGGTCCTTTTGGCTTGAAGAACAGCAGAATCAAGATTCCTCTCTACGAGAACTTGAGAATCCAATCTACCTATCTTGTCCTTATATCAATTGAGTATCTACATCATGAAGGTCTTCGCTCTGATGTTGCTTAGCGCTCTCGCGGCTTTCGCGAGTGCAGCTGCTGTCCCAGAAGCCGACGCGGACCTGACACTTGAGAAGCGGTGCAGAAAGAGTTAGCGGACACTTTTCTTTCCCTGTTCTTCTTTTCGATTCTCTCCGGCTTTTGTGTGCTAATCAAAATATAATATAGGCGGCGACAACTGCATCGATGACAACCAGTGTTGCAGCGGAGACTGTATCTGGCCTGGCGCTACCGGACCCGCTGCCAAGTGCGCATGTAAGATCAGTCTAGCACATACATTAATTTCACTGGTGATTGAAACTAATATTTGTGATACAGAAACTGCTGCTGTTTAGTATCTTCTACCAAGGTGATCAAAAGGAGACAAAATCTAGGGACCTTGGTGGATTACCGGTGGATGCTACCCACTTCGATTGTGCGCATATATAATTTCATTGCTCCTGACTCGAGTATATATGAGCTAAACAGGCTTCTTTCGTTTATTTTTAGGGTTGTTATATGTGTGCTGTAACCATCAATCAACTTATTGGTCGACTTCTAGATCCTAGTATTTTGAGGCTTCTCTGGAGAATCGCCTCTAAGTATTGTCAGTGAGATCGAGAATCATATACTGGTTTATTATGTTACCCAAGATAGGTGTGTTTACTAGGCTATTGGGCTGAAGGTCGAGGCCGGGGTATACCAAGGTAGACTCTTGCGGAGTATAGGGCGCATTAGGCAGCTTGAAATTATTTTTCTCTATGTAGAAGTCTTCAATGGCTCTTTTAAGCTTAGTTCTTTTATTCTCTGTTCTTCTACTTCTGTCCTTTCTCTATCTTTCAGAAAAACGCCGTCGTTCTCGTCTGGCCATATTTTAGTTGGACACGGTTGTCATCTTAAATTTCTGGAAAGTCTCTCGAAGGGTGGATGATCAAATAGAAGAAATATATAGGAGGCCCCCTTATTTGAACGGCCAGAGGAGCGAGAAAACAAAAGGTCGAATGTAATGAAGTAGATTCGATATAATCCAGACAGAATGGGAAAACAAGAGGGGAGGAGGGTGTGTATTAACAAAGCCGAGTGGGAATCAAGACAGAGCAATTAGAAATTAGAGATTGTTTACAAGCTCCACAAAAAGATCCATTGAAAATCTCAGGGCTTATAAGGCTTGAATGTTTTAGTGCCAACGCAATCCAACATAGACGTTAGGGGCCAAACGAGGCCACCATTACTACTTCCCCACAGGTGGCCAACTGACTCCTTCATAGGGTCATCACCTATACCGGATCTGGTAATTGTGACCGCAGAGTCGCGCGCCCTGGAATTGTGGAACTTGCGTTGAAACTGGCACCAACACTTAAAATGGACCCTGGTTGTTGGTTGTTGGACCCAGACTTCTCGATGGAAGCAATATGGAACCGAGCATCCCATTCTCACTGTGGCAGGAGAGGATAACCTACGAGATTTTGCAAAGCAATGCATACTCCTGAGAATAGCTCCGACACAATGATTTCCCCCCCCGCTTGTGCTAGACCTATGACTTCAGATTGGTATATCTGCAATGTCTGCATGACTCGCAGTAGATATGTCAACAATGGGGTGCCAAGACAAGCTATGAAATGACTGAGTGACATAAGGATTTGTTTAATGCTCAGGGACCTCCAACTGCTGGGATCGTAGGGTTGGTTACTGTTTCAGGACTATGCTAAGGGAAATCATTGGGGCTAGTCTCGTGGCCATGAAAGCAGAGTATGTAAAAAGGCTCTGTCCTGCTTTTAATGCCCACCAGACCTCATTTCTGAGAATGAGAATTCTCTGGTCTGTTCACCCCCTCCTACTATCTTGATTGTATTGTCTCCCACATTCCCTCCTTCGACCATGAAGCCCTCCAGGGTATGGCTGCTGTTTGCAGTCTACTTCCTCTTCACCGGCTCGACCATCGCAATGGACCCCGAAGATCGCGACCCAAAAGACATCAAAGCGAGCGAGGTCTTCGAAATGATTCCTGCCGGCAAACCAGGCTCGTGTGCAAACCAGCCCATTGACCAGATCGTCCAGGAAGCAGCCCTCCTCGCGCAAAATGCTGTCAGGGCACTTGAAAAACTTGTTTACTCTTCTAGCGTCCCGGCCAACGACGAAAACGAGAAGATATTGAACATGGCCTATGTTTCATTCGGAGCGCGATATGATATAGACATGAGCTGTGAAGGAGATACTGATGAGAATGACGACGAGTTGGCACCTTTAAAAATCAAGAATAGGAAAAGCAGGTTGATAACAGCTCTCTGTGAGCCCCCCCCCCCCCCCCCCCCCCAACTTTTAGATGCCATATTGAAGAGATAGACAGTTCTGACCTTATCACCGTGCGTTAGACACCTTTCAGCTGGCCGAAGGTAGCCTGAAGATGGGCGAGAAGCTCTCAAAACTGGAATGTGGCGATGGAGACCTGAGAAAGGTGACCACCCTGGGAGATCTGGGGCTGAAGCCCAAAGACAAAACAATCAAGCAGTGGAGGGAGGAAAAGGACCCACAACGAAAGAACAGCGAGAAAGATGTGGACGGATACTACCTCCATAAATACTTCTCTCCACTGATCAAGCGAGGGATGTATAATATAAGAGAGGCCGTGTTGAGCTTCACCAACAAGCCGGGAGAATTTGCAAAGCGCAGCCCATGCGAAAGCCTTGGAGGCTATTATTCTGGCAACGCCAATCTTATCTTGTTGTGTGATGAGGTCTTCCAGCTGAAAACTCTTGAACAAGCAATCAAGGATCAAAACCATGTTAAAGAGGAACCGGATATGGATCATCAACTAGATGCCCAGGACACATCTAGTGCCGTGTTATTACATGAGGTGATACACAAGGTGAATAGGCGAGGTAAGTAGCGAACCCAGGTCGAGTCACAGACATCCACTAATTTATCCTAGTGATCGATATATCCTTTCGTCCCAAGGGGTTTAGGAAGGATGTGACTGCCTATCACTCTTATCTTTCTCGGATGCTAGCCTTCGACAAGAAGCGTGCAGAGGATACAGTGATTAATGCAGATAACTACAAGATGTTTGCAAAAGGAATTACCTTAAGCAAGATTAACTGGTATCCGAAAGGGTATGATGATAATGTTGGACTCTAACATAGCGATGAAATATACGGATAAATTAATTCAAAAGTTCACTTCTATCTAGTTAGTTCTGAGCTAATCCCCCTTAAAAAAACAAATGATTCTTGAATATACCTAGAAATGATCCCCGAGATTATTCTTATTGTAGGAACGGTATTTCTTTTAATCAATTCGAGGTTATTTCGTTCTTAGTATCAGAGCAGCTCCTCTACAAGACTAGGGTATAGACTCATTCTTGATCATAGATAGTAAATTCAAAGCCATGAAACACCGAAACTGATATTTAGAGAGTGTCAATTTTCTACCTATGTTTTATCGATCTGATCAGACCCCTGGTCCTCTGATTGCGGGTTCCGTTACGTCATAGCGAGAGAGGCAAGATGGAATAAACTTGGGCACCGAAGTGGGTGTGAATCCAAGGTTCCTAAGGACCTTTAAATTGAAAGAGAAAGAAGAAGAAAAAGACAACAAATGAATAAAGTAGAGTCCATTTTGTGGTTGTAGTGATGTAGTAGCTTGGTGCACATGTTCTACCGTGATACATGTCCCATCCGGACGAGTCCTCGATTCAACGTCACATCCTCATCTCTTGAAACCAACTCCTTCAGCTTGCTTAGAGAAAGCCATTTACCACGGTATTTGATCTACTTATCTGTCTTCGCAATGTCAACATCAATGGACCGCTCCAAGTTTCAACATCTCCCTCGCGCAACGTCGCGACCAGTGAAATGCCCGTACGAGGTGGGTTCACGGTGTCTTGAGTCTTTGTGAACGGATTTTAATCTCGGAAATATAGGGTACAACACTCCTCCACATCTCCCAATTTAACAAGGGATCAGGATTTCCCATCGAAGAGCGCACAACATTTAATCTTCATGGTCTGCTTCCTCCCAACATCCAGACGTTGGATGAGCAGGTCCAGCGTGCATACCAGCAATACAGCAGTCGGACCGATGATCTTGCAAAGAATACCTTTATGGCAAGCATGAAGGCTCAGAACGCGGTCTTGTACTACAAGGTGTGTCAGTCCCATTAGAATAGATCCAAGGTTCCTTTTTTCTAACCAGCATGCTTAGCTCTTGCAAACTCATCTCAAAGAGATGTTCAGTGTGATCTACACTCCTACTGAAGGAGACGCCATTCAAAATTATTCCCGGCTATTTCGAAAGCCCGAGGGGTGTTTCTTGGATATCAACAACCAGGACCGTATTGAGGAATCCCTGTCCAATTTCGGCAATGCGGATGACATCGATTACATTGTCGTCAGTGACGGGGAGGAGGTAAGCCCTTGATGTTATATCTTATTAGAGCATTGATATGCTAATCTCTAATCAATAGATCCTTGGTATCGGCGATCAAGGCGTCGGCGCTATTCTAATCTCGGTGGCCAAACTTGTCATCACCACCCTGTGTGCCGGGATCCACCCTTCACGCCAGCTTCCAGTAGTACTGGATTGCGGGACAGATGTACGGTGTCCTTGCAGCCAGTGGATACGCATTGTGGCTAATGATGCATATAGAACGAAAATCTGCTGACGGATGGTCTCTATCTGGGACTTCGACAACACCGGGTTAGAGGCCAGGAGTACGATGATTTCGTGGAGAAATTCGTCAATGCCGCCCGACAACGGTTCCCAAGAGCTTATATCCATTTGTAGGTGACCCATCCCGATGTTCTCTGTGCCATATCTGACAATGTCAGTGAGGACTTTGGTCTCCACAATGCACGAAGACTGCTGGACAAGTACCAATCACAAATTCCCTGTTTCAATGACGATATCCAGGGCACCGGGTGCGTCACACTGGCAGCCATGTTGGCGGCACTGCATGTCAACCAAGTCAAACTGGAAGACGTGCGGGTAGTCATCTTCGGCTCAGGGACTGCCGGAACAGGCATTGCAGACCAAATCGCCGACACGATTGCCACGGAGACTCAAAAGTCAAAAACCGATTCATCCAAGCAGATATGGTGCGTGACAACCGAACAAGTGCCATCTCATTGATCCTAAACCCTCAATCTAGGTGTCTGGATAAAATTGGGCTTCTTGTAAAGTCGCTCGCAAAGCAATTGACCTCGGCCCAAGCCCCGTTCGCGCGAGAAGACCAAGAATGGCGAAAAGAGGAAAGAAAAGATCTGCTCTCGGTTATCCATCACGTCGAGCCACACGTGCTCATTGGGACATCTACAAAGCCCGGGGCATTTACAGAGGAGATAGTTCGAGAAATGGCAAAGCATGTGGAACGACCGATCATATTCCCATTGAGCAATCCAACTCGGCTGCACGAGGCACAGCCCCAAGATCTCTACGATTGGACCGAGGGACGGGCCTTGGTTGCTACAGGCAGTCCATTTGCGCCAGTTGAATACTGCGGCAGGTCATATGATATCGGTAAGCAATAAAGCAAGACCATGCTTCCGGAAGAGCCTCTAATTAACTTGGTATTCTTTGGCCTGGCAGCGGAGTGCAACAACTCGACGTGTTTTCCTGGGGTCGGTCTGGGAGCAGTTCTCTCGCAGAGCCGCTTAGTATCCAAGGAGATGCTAGTCGCTGCTGTCAAGGCGCTCAAGGCGCGGTCGCCGGCACTGAATGATTCGAGTCGTCCTCTGCTACCGGATGTCGAGGACGTGCGCGAGATCAGCGTGGATATCGCTGCAGCTGTGATCCAATGTGCCGTGCAGGAGGGACTGGCGCAGGAGAAAGGAATTCCTATAGACGACGGAGAGCTGAAGGAGTGGATTCGGGCACAAATGTGGGAGGCGACGTATCGGCCCTTGGTCAGAGCGGAGCATATGCACAGTGCAAGATGGTGATCGGCATGGAAGGCAGTAGAGATGACGGAGTAGCTGGTCTCGGTTTGAGAATGCAGCACCGACGAGATCGAAGCCGGTTTACCTTTGACAGCGATATATGTGGTGAATGTGAAAGAAGCCCTCAGGGATTGGGAACGGAAGAACCAGATGCAGTACGTTGGCCTCTGCAACTAAGCCTAATGAGACCATCGAACATCACACTTGAGACAAAAGAGCAGAAGACTCGTTCGAGGAAGGTTTTTATCATTATTTGATGTGCTCATGACATACTGGGCCAGTGAATATATACTACAATTGAAAACTACAGATTGTCTGATGTTAGTTGTTTCTCTCAACCCATGAATTGTACTACGCAGTAGACGAGGGAAAGATGAATTGAACCTTGAAAGTCCCCGGCAGAATTGGTGTTAATTGCCCGCGACGTGATACCATCACCGCACATGTAGCAACAATATATTGGCATGAAAGTCGCTATCTCATAGTGAAAGTCCGAAAAAAAAGTGAAAGCTCCAACTCCAACGTGAAAATGCAATATGATACACTCTGTCCAATATCAACACCAGTTAAATAAAGCAAGTTCCCAAAGCAAGGCAAGTCAGGCAGTAGAGTACCAAGCAAGCAGAAATCTCACGGAACCCATAGCCGCATAAACCCATCCACCTCCTGGCGACAGGTCACACAGGTCCCGAAGTTGTTCATGGCCAAGCTGACACGGCAATCCTCACAGATACAAAGACAGCGGCACGGCCAGGTAATGATCGCCCGCGGACTCGTCTGGCAGACAACACAGGGCGGGCCGTTCGGACCAAGACCCGTGGCACCAGATTCCCAGGAGTGTGGATCCGAGTTAGAGGGAGGCTCCGAACGACGGGAGAGGATCAGCCGTTCGAGGATTTCAGATTCTTCCTCCGCAGTAGGTTTACGATTGTCCGGACCGGGTTGCATGCCCGCTGATCGGTGGAGACGCGACGACAGAAGAATCCGAGACCGCTCCACTTCGACGTGCTTCTGGTAGCGACTGCGGGTCATGATGGGGGGTCTTCTTGTCTGGTGCGGAGATGTGCTGCGAGAATTCGGGCCTCTTCTCTGCTTTCGCCGTCACGGGGGTCGAGCAACCGGGCAAAGGTGCTCATGTCTATGAGAGGATCTTGAAGCGGCGTGCTTTCCCGAGAGAACTCGGCCGGGAAGGGGTTGGACTGGGTGGGCGTGCGACGACCGTCTGAGGGATAATCTTCCCATTCTGACTCTGAGGCGTTGGTGGACATTGAAACAACGCTTGTAGTATCATCGTCATCGACAGGCGGGTTGTAATCAGCCGTGTAGTCTTGGTTGCCCCATGAACCACCGGCCTTCCACCAGTCATACAGCTTCTCATCAAGCCGGCGTTCGTCAGGTTCCTCCCAGCGCTGCCGGTTCGAGTGCTCTCGTTTTCGCATTTCCAGCTCAACGTCAAACTCGTGATTGTCCGGCAGCTCAAGTTCACCATCCTCGGTTAGGATCCAAAAGTCCAGAGATTCCGAATGGGATATTTTCCCGCTACTCGGCTTCTTCTGATGGGGCCCGGTCAAACGTTTCAACCACTGAGGTCGAGCACTAATTCCCAGCCGATCAAGAACTTTGCTGAATGCATAGGCCCACCAACGAAGAAGCAAAAAGAAAATGGCACGAAAAAAGAAATACCGTGCCACAACCGAACTGATGCCCGCATGGCACCAATTCCGCCGAGTTCTGTTTGGGATCGCATCGGCCGAGCCCCATTCTTTGGCTTTTCGACCTTCCTTTCTCGCTTGTAGCCAGTCTCCCATACAGAAGGGTCCTCCGGTGCGTCGAAATTTGCAAGGCCCATGGCTTCGAACGGAGACTCGCTGGAAGGATCTGACCAGTGCCCATAAGATGCAGCTTTGTTCCGCGTAGTCTCAATCTCAGTAAGCCGGTCCTCTTCCAGCCATGTCATTCGACGAGCGACAACGCCCTTGCCTTCGTTCAAGAAAACCGCCTCGCTCGCGGCGGTCAGAGCAACATAGCCTATCCGGAGCAAAGTCGTGTAGAAGTCTTCGTGTCGATTGATACGAATGCTGCGAATCTGGTTGGATCCTTGCATGTTGTCGTGAGCCAATGCGAGTCTCTCCCTGAACGAAATAGATTGAGCATCTTCCAGGGGCAGAGAAAAGGCTGTGATGAGCAATGCTAGAGCATAGATCGCAAAGCAGATTCCGATGCCAGCCAGAACGAGAAGATGAGGGATAAAGCCGACAATACACACTGTGGGGAACTTGAGAACTCCCGTCTCGTTGCTCACTGGTGGACCGCTTTGCAGCCCCCACAGCATGGCGGCCATGAAGCAACAGCCCCAGAAAGCCGTGTTGAAAAGCCGGTATTTGCTCTGCTTCCCGAAAACCTCAAGTACGTGCGATGAAAGACTGTTGCAGCACGATATCAAGGCAATCAGTAGCAACTCGGGCGTGGCATTCATTCGCTCCAAGACCTGGGACTTTGTAAGAAGTTGAAGAGGCGATGCGGACTCATCACCGGATGCGCCTTCGTTGAGAGGGCTCTGCTTTGGAAGACCAAGCATCCCAAGTCCAACGGAATTGCTAATCATGGACTCGGCTTCTGCAAATGCAAGGGAGTGTTCAAAGATAGACATCCCAGTCTCCGTCATGACCGGTCGACCTTGGAGTGCGCAAGACAGTGTCTCGACAAAGTGGCTGAAGCACAGCAACAAAAACATTGGCCACAGGAAGGAGAAGGAGCCAAATGGGGCGGGCGAGGCGTTGGTTGCGCGACTCATTTGCACAGCACTGCAGGACAGCTGGTCGGATTCCCACGCTAACAAGCTCGAGCTCAGGGAGTGTAGAACACCTCCTCCACTCGCATAATCAAAGACCAACTTCTTTCCTGGTTTTCCATATCGCATGACTGAGTAACTTGGGCACGTCTGGCATCGAATGGCGCGAAGCAGGCCCACAATTTGAGAGACAAACAGCAGGATCGGTATGATGCGTAGAGCTAGCCGCCTCTCCCAGCCCAGGCGTAGATGTCGCCGAGTCGATGCATAGATAGTAATGCGGTTCAAGACAAGACCCTAGCGCCATTAGTGCTGGACGTGTAAACGCGGAGAGCAGTGTCTCACCTCCACCATACACGCGAAAAACCATATGCTTGTCAAATACCCGAAAAAACCGCCGACCTTCCGCATAGCCTGGAGAAATTCATTGACGTAGAGCCCACCCGCTTGGCTTGCGGCATCGGCGACGCCAGCTCCAGCGCCTTGTGTTCCCGCTGCCGCAGCGTCGCCCGCGAGCCCGGCCCCTCTAGCCGTTGAAGCAGCTCCGCCCCAAAAGTTCCGACTTGTGTTTTGGATCCCGGTCACAATGTGTCGAGGAACGGTACTGAAGACAAAGTTCTCGGCGCGGTAGAGGGCGCGAAGGGGGAAGAGCAGGACTTTGAGTGGCGACAGTGACGACGTTTCGGGGATTGCGGAAGCTGAAGTGTTCAACTTTTGCATCAGGGGAACACCGGACGTGCTCGACACGGTGGACGGGCCTGCAACAACAGACATGATGGACCGGCGTCAGTTGCTCCGCTATCAGGAATCCGGGGAAGATGCAATGGGGGAAGCCCCCACGCTGCACTCGGGATCGGCGAACACAGACAGGGCTGTTTCACAGAGTGCAATATAGGTGGAAATCACACTGGGAGCCACAACCAGCACAGCCCTGAGTCCAGCATCTCACAGATGCCGAGGGGAAAGCGGGCAGACGGCGAGCAGCGGCGTCTTTCCTCCGTGCTGAGTCAGCGGCCGAGGTTCAGGTGAGTCTCAAGTTGCGCTGAGATGGCGATACGGAGATCAAGGTTACAAGCACTTTAGAGATGATTATCAGTTTGTTATATATTATAAAAGTAATGCTAATCTGACATTCTCTTTGCATTCATACGCTCCTCTTTCATGGCACATTGTCAAGGCTGCTTATTGGTGCCAGAAATATCAAGTCTCATGTTTCCCTGGAAATCAAAGTTCTGACACTGTAGTTCACGGAGTGAGAGGACAATGAAGTGGAGATCTGATTTACCACCTGTTTTAGGGCATTCGTCCACATCGGTAGGTCGAATGTTTATGCTCAGATGGGCTGGTTCGACATGAGTCGGGGAAGGGGCGAGAGAAACAAACCGGAAAATAAAACAAAGCAGTGGACAGACATATACACAGTCAAGATCTACTATGTTCATATAGTACATCCTGGGGTAGAACCCCCGATCTCAAATGCGTCCAAGTGTGTCCTGAACTCCTCATGATCTATCTCATCGCGACAAGTGAAAAATGTACACCTCCGTATCATAGCGCCGTGAATCGTTACAGGGGTAGTTCGAGTCGAATCCAAGTCACTGGGAAGGTTAGTTAAAGAGACCGCGAAGTAGGGAAAGCACACATACACCGTGGTCATGTATCCAAATAATCCGCAGCCATCAAGAGCTCGAGGCAAAGCTCCGCCGGTACATCCATGTCGGGTACATTGGCCTGGTCCTTATGTTTCTCGTTGTAGCAGAAATACTCGCAGACTTTCTCGAGGACGACGGCACTGAAGAACGCAAATGATCCCACGTCAGTAAATCTTGTGACCAGGACGCCAGAACGCGTCGTTCGAATCCACTCTCGATCGATAACGCACGTCATATCATTCAACACGCAGCGACCAGTAACCGCTTCAGAAAAATTGCCTGGAAAGAAACGCGAAAAATCAGCAAAGAACATTGATCAAGCGGATTCATATCCAACGTACTCGAAGGGTCCAGCATGCGCCGGATGGTGCCAGAGATGCAGGCAGCGCTGCGCGGGATGATGAACTCAAAGCCATCGCATGACACGAGTGTCACATACTCAGATTGTGTGGACTGAGCCATGGCGGCGAGAGAAGTGGATGGTGTTGACGCGAAAGGAAGAGTGGGATGGGTCGAAGTGAAGAGCCGACGGGTGGGTCCGTGCCGGAGCTCATCTTTTGATACAACGTCATCTTCATCCGAACACTTCAATCATCCATGCCAGGCCGACTCTTATTATGGTCCTGGCAATGGGCGCCGAGGCGGGTGTCGCCGATACACCGCAGTCCTGCATTCAGCGTGCGTCCAAGGACCGGCCTTGATACATTGCCTTCGAGCAGGCGCTTTCTATCGTCGGCCCATACTCCCCCTGAGAACGCGGCAGTCGCTTTTCAGTCAGCGGATCGGCTCTCGGGACGGACATGCATGATCACTGGCGGGACTTCAGGCATTGGGTTTGCCATCGCAGAAAGATTCCTGCAAGAGGGTGCCTCTAGTGTCATCCTCGTCGGCCGCTCACAGAAGCGCCTACAGGATGCAGCAGGCAGACTGGGTGTCTTGACCGGAGCATTACCCAATAGTGACAACAATAATTTCGGTCAAGTTGCGGCTCGCGCCCCCGAAGACGACACACAAAATCTCAACAAGATCCGTTTACTCTTGGGCGATGTCTCCGACGCCGGATCATGGATGCGCGAACTCGAAAAGGAAATGGTGCGCGATCATCCCAAGCTACCTAGTAAACCTTGACACCAGTAATAACCTCTTTACAGTCCTCTGTCGATGTGCTGGTCAACGCAGCAGGCGTCTCCATCTCCAACATCCTCCCGCGCTCCGACCCAGAACACATCTCACAGATCCTCCGCACTAACCTCGAGGGCGCAATGCTAACGTCGCGAGCACTGATGCGCGCTTCGATCCGCAGCAGAGCCCGTAACCGTACGGACGCAGCAGGAGAGGGGAAACCCTCCTCGAAATGTATCATCAACGTGTCCTCGCTCCTCGCGCTCAAAGGTGGGACCGGCGCCGTGCCATACGCGGCATCCAAGGCGGGACTACTCGGAATGACGCGATCACTCGCTGTTGAAGCGGCCGCGTCATTGAAAGATATTGTGATTCGGTCAAATGCCATTGTGCCGGGGTATATTGAGACGCCCATGATTGCAGGTACGTTGCCTATATGGAATTTTATATGTTGGGCCATTTCCATTAATCAGACCTAGACTTCACTCCCGGGGAAACTGGCAGGCTGAAGGATCTGATTCCTCTGCATCGATTTGGAGACCCACGCGAGGTTGCTGATGCCGCTGTGTTCTTGGCGCAGAATGAATATGCGAACAACTGTGTGCTCAATCTCGACGGAGGACTGAGTGCTGTGTAAGATATTGCTACGTCGATTTGAATCTATCGCACTTGGCCGAACAATAGCGTTTTTGGACATGTAACAAGACTTAAGTGAACCTCTTGGTTCTATGTCAGACTGCTGATATTTCTCCGACCTGGAAACCTCTAATGAATCGAAAATCGCCTTAATACCCATATGATACAGAGAAGAGAAAGAAAAGCATGAAAGTCGGCGGAAATAGTGGCCAGATTGGACATGTTGATATCAAAGACGAAATGGCTCAGGTGTCAATCAATCAAAATGGCGCCCCCATCGGCGTCATCGAGAACGATAGGATCGGACCCATCGCCCTCGGCCACCGGCCCACCAGCGATACGCTTGGGGGCGTGGTCATTCGCCATATCTATCTCGTCAGCCTCCCGCTTGCGTTTGCCGATAGCAAGAGTGCCATTGGTTGGCGCAACTTCGGGAGTTGACTCTTGAAGGGCTCTGGGCTTTCGAGGGAGTTCAAACACCTGCTCCAGAGATACTGCGTCTTCGCGTGCGGTTCCGGTTCTAGGAAGGATCAGTCAGCATATAGACTACGTGGATCAAGTGCTTCATAGGGCACTTACATTTCAACGACAAGCAGCTCCAAGTTCACGCGGGGATCCTCGTCCTGCTCATCGATAATTGTAAGAAAGGAGTCGTTTCTAATCTCCAGCTCTGACAATTTCTTGGGCAGGTTGTCCAGCATGTCCTCGTCGTACAAGAGGCCGAGCGATGAAGTGACCGCGAAGTTATCTTTGCTATATCCTAATTTCATCCGATTAACGGCTTGAACGAGGTCTTCAAGCGTGGCACGGTCTGAGTCGACGATCACCCTCCCCTGGGCAACAGAGCAAACTGGGCATTCAGGGTTTGGACGGTTCAAGGAATCGGAATTAATAGCTCGGGCGCCGGATCTCTCGAGGAAGACCTTGGAACGTTAATAATTGAGTGAAAGTCCAGGTAATCTCGGGGATATCTCACCATTTTGGCATGCGCCAGGTCATCCTGGAGCACCTTGAATGCCTGGAGGACGCAAAGGCCAGCGGTCATTGCGTTTGTGGTTGCAATGGCAGGAATGATATTGCCCGCCATCTCTAGGGAAAAAATTATCAGAAAACCGTTGTCGAAGCATATTGACAAGGGATGAATTGAACTCACGCTTGGTATCAAATTTGGACTTGAGAGGAATATCGAACACAACCGCCCGAAGATTAGCTGTTGCTGTAACGAAATCAAGGGTATCCTCATCGTCCTTGTCAAACGTCAAGATCACGGGTTGATCGTCAGTTGAAGTTTTTTGGAGCTCATTTAAACGTTGGGTCAAGCGACTCAAACTACACAATGGTCAGTATGATTGCCCGGGAGAGCAAGACGAGGCCAGTGCCTACCTATCCTTGAACACTGCAAAGTTCTCGTTCAACGACCACACCTTTTGGTCATTGCTCGAGATTGTGGGTGGGATAGATTCGGATTCTGCTTGGGCTGCGTCGAAATCCAGGGCCTCTGGCGGTTTGCGCTGCGTCCACATATCGTGCATTCCTCGTAGACGTTCAATGTCGTCCTTGAAGACCTTCTCGAACACCTTCTGGGGAAATTCGGCAGAGCCCATTGATTGTCGAATGTCTTGGAGAATCCGAGCCTCCTTCCGTAGCTCTTCAATTTCCGTCGCTGCTCCAAGTTAGATTGTCTGCAAAATAGTAGGTCCAGGAAACTCAACCCACCATTCTCTGCATTTTCTGAGGTGTCTAGCTCCTCGGCCTCGTATTCACTTTTCCCAAACAACTCCCTAAAACGAAGTAAGTATCCATTTTTGAAAAGCCGGTCGCTAATCTTACGGTAGCAAGTAGCTCTTCGCCCAGACAATGCAATGAATCGGCTGGGAGGGGGTGCTGCGGATAGTGCACACAGGAAATGACTTGGGCACTTCTTTTGGGGTGCAATCATAGCACTCCGTGTTGCCCTGTAACGGTTAGCATAAGTGTAGGCTATCAGAATATCAGTCATGCGAACCTTTTTGATGGCCTGGACTTGACCATTAAACCCCGTGGTGCCACTTTCGATGAGAGGCACCTCGGCAGAAAGACACATTCGGTTCACATAGCGCCTGGCGTCCAGATTATCCAACGCATTGAAGACAATATTGAATGACTTGAACCAATCCACGTTGAATTGGGGATCCTTTATGTTCGCATGGTATGCTTCGAGCTTCGCGCTGGGTCGGAATTTCTGCGCGACATCTCTCGCAACCTAAAAATCAAAGCCATAATGTTAAATGAACATGTCCATATTTGCCAACTTCCACAAAGCAAGTCTAGGGTATGCGATTGGAGTGGAACGGGTTTCGCAAGGGGCGATAAAGGGACGCGGGGAGCGCTGAGTGATCGCAGACGTACCAGGGCCTTCGATTTCTTTATGTGCTCGTGTCGGAACAGGAATTGCCGATTGAGGTTGCTCAAGTCGATAGTGTCTAAGTCGATGATGTGTACTTCGCCGAAGCCAGAAAGGACGAGGTTTTTGAGCAGTTCGCAGCCGATGCCACCAGCGCCTACCAGTAGCACACGCGACTACAGAACGAAAGAGCATCAGCATCAGATCTATGGATCGCATAGAGCTATTGAGAATCCGAAAATTGACCATACCTGCTGGATTGTGGTAGAGAGTTCGACCCCAACAGCGCGCTTGAACGAGCTACCACCTCGCATGACGGACGCAGGGCGGCGGTTGCGATCGATAAGAGATAAAGTAACGTGTAGGGGAGACAACAATGATGAAGCCGACGAGAGGGAAAAAGGAATAGAAAAAGTGAGAGAAAGAGAGAGAGATGGCGGAGGGGCAGGAAAGCAAAGGAATGTCGAGCGCAAACCGGAAACAGCGGCCGAGGTGAGGTCAAATATGAACGGCACGGAGACCCTCTGGTTTCCCCGATCCGCCGTGCTTTTGCTGCCTTGCAATGTTATTTCTTGAAGAATTGGTTAGGTTGCCTTCTTTTTTTGAGTCTCCTATTTCTATTTCTATTTTTATTTTATCTATTTTTTACGAAATTAAGTGATTGTCTCTGCATGATATGTAGGCACTCGGCCGCATCATGGACCTTGCATACTATCGGTTTGCATAGAAATATAGAAGATCCGAGCAAGCACAGATCAAAACGCTTCTAGGATAGAATAAATAGACAAAGCACAATTAGGACTAGGAATGTCTTTTTATTTTTCAATCCAAGCCTATGCTAATTAGGTAGTATATCAGGGCGCATTATAAGTGACGTGAGATCGCATTGCTCACTGGCCAAATCAAACTAAAAGTCTATTGAAATATATATCTTGATCATGGAAATGATTTCTTCGATATTCTAGTTATCGTCACTATCAATTTATCTCGCACTCGCCGTGTCCAACCTGGGAAGTACAGGGCTCCGGCCTTCAATGATGCTGACATAATCATATCCAAAATCCACGATTTTTCTTGTGGCGATTGGACTGGAGATCGTGTCTTTCTCTACTTGAAATTGCCTGGGCACTGACTCCGTCCCTGTGTATTGTTGCCTGGCCAGCAATTTCTTCAGGGCAGATTGCAGGCGACTACGTGAGCGAGTCCGCAAATTCCCCCCGGTGTGGAGTGCTGGTGCCATCTACGGCCACCATCCGCGCAAGAAAAAGATAAAGGGGTAAATAACGCCCACCGCCATTCTGCCGAGGGGGTTATTCTTTTCTCAATTCTTGACACAAGCCAAGGGCAAGAAAATAATTTAAAAGAAACATGCCGTCGCTGGAATCGACTCGGAGAAATGAACCGGTCGACGAAGGGTCTGACGACGAGGCAGACCCGGAGCTGCTGGAGCTCCTGCGACAGTCTCTCGGACTGGGCGGTGGGCCGGCCAAGGCGCTGCCACCCGAGACAAAAGTGCTCGAGGGTGCTCAGTACATCTTTGACAATGCCATTGACGTGGCGCTGAGCCCGGCGTCGACCAAAGGAGCCGCCGAGTCAATATGGCGTCTGATGCAGAAGAAGGCGTATTCCACGCAGATGTGGTCGGAGCATGAGCTGCACCCAAAAACAAAAGATGAAAGTACCGTTGACTTCATTTTCATCATGGACCTGCTGAACTTCAGCTTCTGGTCTGAGAATGATGAGGCACATCGCTTTGCCGTGGAATATCGAGGAAAGAGGTGGACCGGGTATTGGAGCCTGGTCGCAGCTCTGCAGAGAGCTCTAGATGAAGGTAAGTTCTTTGTTTTGCATGAGTGTTATATAATTCTGAACTCAAAGAACATGGATTAAGCTGAGACTCGCAGAGATCCCAATCACCGACCCGGACTTCTGGGTGAATGAGACCGACTGTACAGAAGAATTGCTAAGACATGTGTTCCGGTCTGCGACCGATGAAGAGATTCCTTTATTCGAGGAACGAGTGCAGTGTCTGCGCGAAGCTGGGGAAGTTCTCTGCACGGTATTTACCTCGTTCCCTTGAACCTCCTGGCAACCTCCCTCCGATGCTGATTATGACTCAACCAGGAATTCGGTGGTAGCTTCGCCAACTGCATTGACAGTGTTGACAAATCCGCCGCAGGACTCGTGAACCTGCTTGCAGAGAACTTCGCCTGTTTCCGAGACGAGACGGTCTTCCATGGCCGAAGGGTGCGACTGTACAAGCGGGCTCAGATTCTGGTTGCTGACCTGTGGGCCTGCTTCGACGGCGAAGACTTTGGGCAATTCCATGACATTGACAAAATCACCATGTTTGCAGGTAAACATTGCTTTTTCCCCAGTCTCCCGTGGTACCAATCTCTCAACTAACAAAATTGATTAGACTATCGCATCCCACAGATGCTATATCAGCTCGGATGTCTCCGCCTGTCGCCCCCGCTTGATAGCCACATCCGACAACTGAAGCCTCTTCCCCCAGGGTCTACATGGGAGATTGAACTCCGCGGCACGAGTATTTGGTGTGTGGAGTTGATCAAGCGCGAGATGGAGAAGCGGCATCCCGAAGTGAAGATGGGGGCCAAGAAGCCTGCCGATCAACAGAAGGACTCCGAAAGTACAGAACTCACCTTCAACGCGAACAATCACTCCAAGGATGCGGAGGAGCACACCGAAGACAGCGAACAACCCGAACAACCCACCAAGACGTACGGGATCAATGCGATCCTAATTGACTTCTTTTTGTACGACACGATGAAGACGCTGGAGGAAGAGCACAACGAGACTATCCCTCACCACCGGACCCGGAGTATTTGGTATTGAGATGATGTTCTTTAGCGCCGGGGATGGGAGTTTCTTTGCGACTGGACATTTTGTTTCGCCCCTCTATAGTGCTCTGGAAGCATTACATATAGGGCCGTGGGCTTTGTGCCAAGGCAGGGCGTGAATCCCGCAGAATATAGAGCAGACTGAACGGACATAGAAGATCTTGATACTATTTAACAAATTACACATGGACGAGGACTCGTAGAATCGATGTCGGAACTGCTTTATTTCTTCTACATGTAACGTCCAACGACTAATAACACCAGTTTAGAAATACTGTAGCTTTGTAGATACACATTAACCTCTCCATCTGTTATCCTACAACAACGTTTTTTTGTTGAGCTATATCGTGACTCTACATATGACCGTCGTAAAATACAGCAAAACCTCCACATTTCAACTTCCTCTTGCTCACCTCTCTTCCACTACCACGGCGATCATGGACCGGTCAACATCCACATCAAGGTGAGTGTTGTTTCGTTAGCCAGAAAAAAAAAAAAGCAAAATTAATACCGCAATAGTCCATTACCAAAAGTCCCAGGATTTTTGGTCACAAATCCTGGACCAACTTGGGCCTTCGGACACTGCATCTGCAATGGCCACCTCTCGGGGCCTCCAGACCTCCTCGACAGAATCACTAAATCACCACGTCGATATCGACTAGACCAGACCTCCTCTGAAGCGAGTGCTATCATTATTTCGCACCATCCACCAATATCCAGGTCTAGCTTCGCACATTCGCCATGTGAGCATGATCTCACGCAAACTGGAGTATCCGGGCAAGAATCATGATTGGGAATGGAAATGGGAGCCTCCTTTGATCGACGGGAACTGGGAACAGCTCTCGCCGCTCTTCCAGGATGAGACCAGCGCCAGTTCCCGTCGTCAGCGAGATGAGGAAACGCGCTGGAACGCGGTAACCCATACGCTTTCGTGGCTGTTCTTCTTTCCCAGCTGCACAATTTACGGTCTCTGCGGCTGGGTTACACCTTTGTGTGGCTGTCAGGGTTTCTGGGGCTGATGATGAGACATGCACTTCTCTCAGCGCCTCCGAATACACTGTCTCGCTTTTCCAAGCTCTTTCTCTCGTCGAATATGGGCTAAATGTTCCATGCTCTAGACTGGACAATAACGAACAATACCAATTAATTGCCGATGCGTTTCCGTTTTGCAATCATGCGCAATTTGCGGGCTGGTTTCATCTGTCTTCTCTGCAATCCCTAGAAATCTGGCCGCAGAGCTTGGAAGGGGTCCAGCCAAGCAAGCTGGCCCGTCTGGCCAATCTCGAGAGACTTGTGCTCACAGAATCTTAAGTTGATGAAGATGAGGTTAGAGATCTCTTGTCATGTCTGTCTTCGTGAAGATTGTTCACCCAGGCCTTGTTTATCCTTTCCAGGATGAAGAAAACGGAAATCCCTTCGCCTCTCCTCAACCTCCTCTGAGAAAGCAAAAGCGAAATATGCTTCTCGAGGAACTGATGAACATCAAGGACACAGTCGAACACCTGTCGATCGGCTTTGATCTCTGTCCACTTCGTTACGGCACTTTTTGGGACGAGTACGGAGACATCGAACCAGCGTTGATGCCATTCCGGGGCTTCTTAAAGGAATTCCCCCGTCTTCGAATGGCAGAGGTGCCAGCGGTCATGCTTTTTGGCTGGGTTTATAGCAATGCACCGAACATAGCCGAGCTGTTACCCACGACGCTCCAGCGGCTCAGTCTTCGGGAAAATATGTCTTTAGTGGATGGTTACCAGTGGGAGTTGGGTAATATCGCGAGGGCCATTCAGCTATTTCTTCTCCGTGCGAACACCGCAACTCCCCTCCTGAAGACAATTACGATGCGAGCCTCTGGTGTAGGTGAGAAAGATAACTATGGGCAGGAACAAGCTGCGGCTGCTTGATCAACGTGCCAGGAACTAGGAATGGACATGGGCATCACCCTCATCGCTGAAGGTCTCTCTCCGGGACTTGGACGACGAGCAGGAATCTTGAATATATAGCGCAGACCAAGCTTACGATATAAGGGAATCAATCGCCAGCAGAGGCACTCAAGACAACGATGCACTTCTTCATGTATAGAATTGGGTATCAAAATATCACCAGCGCCGTGCTCCATGGCCCAGGCCACTTTGAAAATATTGGCCGATCAAGCAGCCGCATTAACCCGAGCCAGAATATCCGCCTTCCACTCTACGTAGTCTTCTCTGCGGTCTTCACTTAGCCAATCGACACGGTCCTGCATCATGGTTCCCAGGCCTGGTAAAAGACCACCTCGGGATGGAGCCGATTTTGAAGAACGGCCACCGGCCGCACCGTGATGGCGCTTGGGCAGTTTCATGGCTCTCAGCACAGCATCTTCTTCGTCCAGGTTCTGATACGAGTGGCCGTCCTCGTCTTCGCCGTACAGTTCCCCGGCCAGAGGGATGTTATCAAACCACTCGCGGCCATTGGCCCATCCTTCCTCCATGATCAAAGCGATCCACTGGTCTACATCATCGCGATGTCGTCGATCCGTCTGCAGACCCAAGCTGGTGAGAGCCGTCTGGCGCATTTCGGTGAATGTTTTCTTGTCCATCTTCTGGGCTTCGGTACTTGCTTCGTCTTGGTCCTCTGATGGGCCAGGGTTGCGCCGGCGTGCGAGGACAATAAAGTACACCGCAACAATCATAGCATAAACCAGTTCCTTGAAATCATGATCATTGTTGGGGTCCCGAATGGAGACGATTGGCTCCAAAAACTCCAGGGTTTCCTCATCATATCCTTCCTCGTCGTTGGACATACTCGATGTGAGGTAGAGGATGGATGACACGCCGGCAAATATATGTGGCGGCAAATGCCTTGAAATAGGAGGCCGCGACCAGGAATTCGTCCGCGGCGCTGGAGTCGAGAGCGTCTTGCACACTGTCCGGATGGCGGTCATCACCCAGGCTGGAGCGTCGGGGATGATGGTCGAGCCCGAGATGCCCTTAGGACGGGCGGGAGTGGATTTTCGAGAGGGCGTGCCCAGCTTGTTCGCCGCACTGACACTTCTCTTCAGGGGAGTAGATTTGGAAGGCGTATTTTGGAGCCCACGCGGTGTTGGTGCTGGCTTCGAAGGGGTATTTCCAGTTCCTGATGCCTTGGTGGGAGTCGTCTGGGCAGAGGCAGCACGAGATGGTGTCCCAGAAACTGAGCCGCTCGCCGAGCGTTTAATACCGGCCGAACTTGCCGAGAGAGATCGGTCCAGGTACGAATAGAGCTTCTTGTATACGCGAGGAGGACATGGTGGATGACCGAGTAATGGAGGGAGTTTGAGAGCCCGGCTCAGCCTAAAAAGTCATCAGGTATAATTAGCACTGTTTCAAGCTAGTGACGGGCCAACTAAGGCATAAGTCTCGACATACCTCTTGCAAGCGATCTCCGCGCAGGCATAGGGCCGAGCGATCTCTTCTTCGGGCTTGAGACTGGTGGAAAAGCTTCGGGACTGTGCAACGAGGGAAAGCGCCAAGCTTAGAAGCTCCTGCGGTATGTCGGTTGCATGGGTGGGCACAAGAGTGCCCAGTGCCTGCTCGACTGGCCGGTTATTCATTGTCTGATGATCGAGGGTCCGGTTGGCATAATCTGGAAGGTGGGTGCTTCGGATGTGTCGGATTGTGGGGCTTGAACAGCGATTAATGAGACCGAGTTCGTTTTTCTAGCCACCAGAACTAGCGAGAATGAGTGGCACACAACAAGCATTCAAGTAGAAGCTCTCAAGGGTTACAGGTTCCCGTTGAGCGTGTCTTGGAGGTCACGTGAAGTCCTAGTTTATCCCTTAGAATAAAGGCATCAATGTTTTTAATTTTGTCAACTTTATTTTTGAGCCTCGAGAAGTTCAAGACCGGGATGGTAAAACATCTGTCAATGGTTGGCCCCTCGGCGTCAAGGAGAACTTTACCATATTTGAAAATTAATCTGCATAAAGTCTAGCAACAATAGAGCGTTCTTCATTTCGTTCTCCTTCCAACTCGAGTATTTGGCCGGATTATCCGGAAACTATAAAATGCGTATGACCAGTATAAGCACATGCATACACGTAGAAACAATCAAGTATTTCTTCGCATCACGGCCCAATCGTTTGCAGCAGGGTCACTATATCTTTTCCCAGCAAATTCAACACCACATTTCCACAGCTCAAAAAGTAGACTCGATGCGCTCAGTTTAGGCCTTGGCGGTATCGCAGCAGCACCGCTCGGCAAGCATGTGGCAGCCGTCACTGCTCAGGTGGGAGAACTTGTATGGCGCGCAGTACTGCTCGCAATTGCCTGCCCAGAACTTGCTGCAGGAACTGGGCTTGTGGCAGGTGCCGCCATGGCTTTGGTCAAGGTGCTTGGTGATTCTTTGAGAGGAGCTTGAACTGATCGTACGACAGGAAAGGAGAGAGAATTTATACCCAAATTGAATGGTATTTGACTATCTCAATTTCGAGAGATATTCTTCCTTGTTAGGTACTATTCTGCGAAGTTTTCAGATCTTCACTTGGCTTCGTATGGAGTATAGAATCCCATCCCCACAGGGACACGCATAGCTCTGTTAGCCTAGATTCCTTTTATCTAATGAGGTACACCGACTCTATACAAGCGAAGGCATAGTCCCTCGTGATAGTGGAGGCGAGAGCCGAAGCGACCCGCAATGTGTCAATCATTTCGTGTTTGCGGAGAAGGTACGGGCCAGTTAAGACCTAAGCTCCAATTAAAATTCTCGGGTAACGCTCTCAGATGATATATAGATTTAACGAGAGGTTAGTAAACGTGAGGCTCGAGTGATTAGCGATATTAGCCGCTGATGCGTGATCTGCTAGAGAAGGGTATTTCAATAATTTATAAATGGGATAGTAGCGATGGCCGCTGATCTTTCTCTCTCTCTCAAGTATGATAATAATAGGCATGGATAGAGTATTACAGCGTTAATTGTTTTGAGATAGGGAGGGAGAGGAAAGCATCAAGGCAGTGACGTGACGCATAAATTGAATTAATGGAATTAAGACAAAATAATCCTTAAATGGTAATTTACTTTATATCTCCCACGATTGCAACCACTTAACATTAAAAAAGCAATAGAACTGGCTAGCTAGTATGGCGGTATACAGATCCAAGCCACAAGAATGTTGTATTATTTTCAGCAGAGAACATGGCCAGTTTCCTAAACACACCCTTAGCCGCGATAGATGCATCAAAGTTTTAAAAACATTAAAAGCACGCGTGTAATAAGAAATCGGCGAGCATGTGTTCTAGAACTTATCGAGCAGTTCTAGCAGTTATGGTAGCCGGGTTGCTTCCGCTGTGAGCGTTGAATCCCTCTTGAGTAGGCTTAAGTCTATTTAAAGCCTAGAGAATTACTGAAGTATTAAACAGAAAAAAAAAAGTTGAACTTGGAGCGGAATATTGCCAAAAAGCCAAGCTTCTGCTTTCCTTTCTTCGCTTCACATAAACATGTTCCACGTTGCTGGGTTTCCCCAGCCTAATTCTTTACATATAAACCCGCCTACGTCGGTTTTATGTTCCTGCCTAAGTTTGGTGGCTTCGATCTATTTTTTTTCCTCTGATTTGTACTCCCTTCTTTCCGAACAATCCCAGTAACTGTCAGCTTCGGGCTCCACCATAGAAAACGCAGTCGAGGAGCCGATTAGCAATAGAACATGTATCTCAGTGGTACAAGAATCCCATTAAATACAATAAAGAATATCTCTTAAAGCTGGGAGGCAATATCAAGGACAATCTCAGTTGCAACGTAAGTATTAATGGCACGATAGAAACTAAAGACAGCACGACAGATAGAGCAAAAAACAGCAATCCAAGAGCAAAATACCGAAACCTAGAACACAAAAATCATTCAGTTTGATGAAGAAAGCACATTCACAAAGACACAACAGCAGAACTCTCAACAGAAAAGAAACCTAGGTAGACACAACAGCCTCCAAATATCGAGAAGGGCAAATGTAAGAAGCCCTGTTCCCTACCTAGGTAAGAGATGAAAACCGACCGCGAAGCTGGTTTTAGCCAACGAGAGAATTCCCGGTATCCATAGATACCACGCTCATTGGTAATAGGCCCCCTGGTCAAGAGGGAGTGGAGTCTGATCGGGCCACAATTTCAGAATCGCGGCCTTTGCCGTAGTGACCTGTGATCCATTGGTAACAAGCTGAACTTGATAAAAAAGGTCGATCTGACCCGAAGTCCAGCACCTGCACCCGACCCCATTTGCATCGAATTCGTACTTGTGACGCCCATGCCGGGTGATTTGGTCATAAAAGTCACCAACTGACAGCCCTGGTGTGACATCAAGAGCAAAGCGAGCCTGAGCATCGTGGGAAACATCATACGGCAATTCCGAAATGATCAGGTTCGCTTTGGAGCCTCCCCGAAGGACAGAACTCGGCAAAGAGTAGCTTGGTTGACAATCAATGCGAACAGAGCTTGTCGGGGAGGTGGAAAGGTAGAAACACCAGTGGTTTGTACCCCCCTGCTTTCGATGCGGTACAGCGATGATGTTTCTTACTGGCATAGCAAGGATTTGGGCTTGCCGATTTGCGGGCACAAAATGTACCGGACGAAAGTTTGGCATGATCAAGACGAATCTGTAAGCGTGGGTCAAGAACGTTCATAACCTATAATAACCTCTACATGAAAAGGTAAAACTGACTGACCGGAAATTGATGGCCAGCAAAAATGGTTTTGAATTGCAGAGATGGTTTCAACTCAACTCGTTGGTGCAGGCCCAGAAACTCTGGACAAGGGCCTATTCTTATAGTCAAGAGAGGTGAGAGGAGCCCCATCGTGCTCCAGTAAATTATTTCTACGATGAAACACATACTCCTTCAGGAGCCGCCGGAGACTGTACAAAGGTTGTTGCGAATGGATCACTACTGTTCTAGGTGGAATTCATGACCTCGGCGGTTAGAAGTGTTTGGGGAGGCAGGAACTCCAGAGAACACAAGGCCCAATAATCAATAATCATAGAAGCGCCCGCTTTTCTTCTCCTTTATCTCCCTCGTTTCCTAGAGAAGTAAAGAAGTAATTAGTAGTGGTAAGAGTTTTAGATTTAGGCTGGCTAACTGTAGGGGGTAGTATATATACAAATCTACTGATATCAAACGCATATCTCCTCAGCCTATGCCTGTGAGGGGACGGGGCGTGAAAGGGAAAAAAAAAGAAAAAACAAGATCTTACACAGAATTCCAGTATAAGCTTCGGGGTTGAGGCTTATAGAACAATGCAATACATAATAGAAAATACAATACTGTAGTACAGTAGTACTGAAGAGAGCAGATTTAAAATTATGAGTTGTTCAAAGGAATAAAACTCACTTCGGCCAGGTCATCCCTGGAAAAGTGTTACTATCCCCACTGTATAATAAATAAACGTCGAACAACAAAGAACTTTGATGTTTTTTTAATAGTCGTAGGGGTTTTCAATGAAGCAATCTGTCGTTGTGACGATGCCTTTCGGCACATAGCACAGCTTCAAGTTGGCGCTAAAAGCGACCCCTCTTTTTCAAGATAATATGTAAGGTTCTCCAGCTCGTCAAGACAGAACGATCACGGTGGAAAGTTGTGAAAAGACATAAACCAGATAGAAAAGAACAGAATGGTCAAATGACAACCAAATATCGGTACAGATGATGGCGAAGACCTTGTATAGTAGTCTTGGCCAGGAGAAGGAAGGGGATGAAGGGAGAATGACCGAACCAGGCTATTGGCTCTTGGCCTCTAAATCACCTGACTACTTCGTGTCACGTGGGTCAATCTTGGATGAGACCAACCTCTCATTTCCCCTTCAACCAAGAGGCATTTTGTAACTGCTGCTACACACCCCATCTTGTCATCTTGTCTGTGGAGATGGAGCCAATTATCTGTCCACTTTTCAATGTATGTGATGCTTACTTGCCCAAGTACTCCTTACTGACTGTCTCATGTACAGCCCCATAGCCGTGATCTAGAGGGAGTTTTCCCACTAGATGGAAAAGACCTTGACTCCATCCCAGACGAGACTTTGGCTATCCTTCTCGAATCTGCTCCCGTCCTCCACAAACTTGGTAGCACGACAGTTGTACGGTTGTCCCAACATTTGATAATGAAAGGTGGCGGCAGTGTTCTCCCTTGCGAATCAGAGTCACTCAATCTCATTGCCTCCAAAACTGGCATCCGAGCTCCACGAGTCCATCGCTCATTTCAAGTCCAAGATGAGACACAGTATTTTGGCACAAGGGGATATATTGTGATGGATTTTATTGAAGGTCAGCCCCTCGATGAGTGTTGGGGCAGCCTGTCCTATGACAATCAAAGGCACGTCGCCACACAGATCGCGGATATAATTGAAGAAATGCAGTCTATTGTGATTTCGCAGCCTGGTCCTCTTGGTGGTGGGCCGTGTCGTGGCCGATTCTTCACGGATTATAGTGCTGGTCCGTTCGAGGATACTGCTGCACTTGAAGGCTGGTTCAATCATAAGCTTGAAATATGTAAGCTTGTGAACCAAGCTCCAAAAGATATTCCGTCATTTCGCTTCACAACCTTTGTCCTTACTCATCAAGACATAAGTCCTCGAAACCTGATCCTGGACCGGAATGGAAAAGTGTGGTTGATTGATTGGGCACATTCTGGTGCATATCCTCCTGTTTTCGAAAGCGCTGCATTGTCGGCTCAGCAGTTTTTCACTGATTTTAATGAAGCAGTCTTGTGCTTGGTTCCACGGTACCCCGAGGAAGAACTGCAACTTCAGTCTATTACATATGGGTTGATAACTGCGGCATTAGCCTGATAAGGCCTAGAATGACAGCAAGTCACGTTATCTGACATTACTATTTGAAGTATCTTCTAAAAAGTGGCGTGGTTATGAAAATTTATTTCTATGCCTACTATCAATATTCTTTTTCTCTATCTCTTTATTGAGGCCACGGGTCCAATTTAGGCCTAGTTATCGATAGTAGTGCCGTGCTGGCTATTTTGTCCGTTGTTTTCAAGTTTTCTTTTCTCTTCTCTTCTCTCTTTTTTTTTCAAGTCAGAAAGACGGGGGGATCAAATATCTAGTTGGTAAATCAAGGAAGTCGGTATCTGTAGTTTTTGAGGTGGAAAAACATATGTCCGATCCAGTCGACAATTTAGACTTGAAATCACTCACCGACGAAGTCGGTGTGGCTCAAGAGCTTTCAAAGCTAAAGTGACCCCAGAATGTCTGTCACGGTAAGCTCATAACTCTCTCAAAACTCATGTTTCTCCTCCTCTTCTGACATGGTGCTGACAATGGCTCCATGTAGCTCCACACCACTCAAGGCGACCTCAAGGTCGAGCTCTTCTGCGAAGCCGTCCCACAAACCGCTGAGAACTTCCTCGCTCTCTGCGCATGCGGCGCATACAACAACACCCCATTCCACCGTCTGATCCGCGGATTCATGATTCAAGGTGGCGATATCTCCCTCGGCCCCGCCGCGCAGCCCTCAGAATCCAACAAACCGATGCTTTCCTTCGAGATCCCCAAAGGCGGCACGTCGATCTACCACCCGTCTGCGCTGAACCAAGAAATCCACCTCCCATCCCTCCGCCACAACGCGCGCGGAATTCTATCCATGGCCTCGCGCCCGGTCAAGGACCGGACGGCGCCGGGGTCTCAGAATGCCACCGGTGCAGCGATTAACGGGAGCCAGTTCTTTATCACTTTTGCGCCGGCGCCGCATCTGGATGGGGCGAGCACTGTGTTTGGGAAAGTATTGAACTTGAGCGCGCAAGATGAAGGCGGCGATGTGCTTGCGCAACTGGAGAAGGCCAATTCTAAAATCGATAAGAAGGGCAAGGTTTCCCAGCCTAAAGAGGGTGATGATTTTGAGGCTCTCCGCATCAACCGCGTCACGATCCACGCCAATCCATTCGCGAAGTGAAGTTTTCGGCCTTCGGCCTGCGAGTACTGTGATACGGAATTTCCTATATCGCAATGTGAAGCCCTCAGGGAGCCGCGACGGGAATATGCACCAATCCTCGGCTTCAGACTGAAAGCGCGCTTGCACTCATATCTTCGAATTACAGGCAGCGCAATCTCCAAGGAGCCACTCGAGTTTGTCTCCGTCCTGGCGTTTCTGTACTGCTTGTCTAAGACGACCTCGCCAAGATCACGATGAGGCACCACGAGCCATTGCGCGCTCTCCTGCTTCAGCCACCAGCTCAGGTAAATGGTTAAAGCTCATTGGCAGCTCTTGTCTGGAGAGGTTTTTTCCCTGGCAATGGCTGCCGAGGATCCAGAGTAGCCATTAGATCTACCAGTGAAACCTCAAGGCCGGGGATATTCAGAGAGTGGGAAGCACAAAATAATGTACAGTATATAGAGAGGACCCAATGAAGCGCAAGCGCAGATTTGCTTAAGTCACAAATTTTTCTATGTTTGTTTCTATTATCGAAATTCGCTCCAGTAAACGCAGTTTCTCCTAGAAGCCCCAACCGGGCAGAAGCTGCAAGTGGAGGTGGATCGAGCCTCCTGTACGATATCGGTTTTTGAGAATATGTAGCCTGCCTCGAAGCATGCACGATGCTGGAGATCTTAGTTCTAGCACCTTTGGATTAGGATATTGGTGTGGTTGTTTCCTCGCATTATCTGATGAACACTATGAGAAATGATACTAGAAATATATTTGGAATATCCATGGATTTTTTTCTCGATGACAGAACCCACAAGAAACATCGCATCTCCCACCCAGAACTGAGATAATTGGCCGACTCGACTCATGAGTATATCGATAGAGAGAAAATAAGATGAAGCAGACCAAAACTTTTCTTTAACCCACTCCTCAACCCACCCACCTCATCACCGGATATCTATGAAGAAAAGCTAAGACAAACCCGCAACAGCGTCATGCAAAACAGGGAAACAACAAGGAAACAACAAGGAAAACAGGCGTCTCATGCATCATGAAATAAACATAGTAAGTCGTGACCAAAAATGGAATAACACAGGAAAGTCGTCAGCAAAAAGGACGCCAAATTATGAAGTCTGCTTTTCTTCGTCTTGCTTGGCATCTTCTTCGTATCCCTCGGTCTTCATATCCTTCAGACCGAGGTCATCCTCCTCTTCCTCTGTGCGGGTGTACTCATCGATGGTGATCTGGGGGTCATTGGCAGGCGCACACAAGCCCTGGACGTAGCTGTTGGCCAGGGGATCCTCCAGCGTGATGACAAACTTCAACTTGGACTCGAGAGCCTGGTCCAGGCGGCTGAAGAAACGCTCCCACTTCTCCTTCTCCGAGGTAGCCATGCTGTCACCACCGCTGTTGGTGCTGTCATCGATATCGAAGATCTGGCCGCGCAGCTGGTCCCGCATCTCAGTCAACAGACCCTCGACCGTCGTAAAGCGGCCACCGAGAGTACCTGGTTGCACAGAGAGCTCCAGTTCCTCACTGTGCAGGGCACAGGTGTCGGACTTCAAGATGTCACGCGACAGATCGACCTCGTTCTGCACCTGAAGTGTGATCCGCTTGCCCTTTTCTGGAACCTCGCCACCGGTCTTGACCTCGCTCGTGCGGTAGCCGCAGTGTTCGCAGACGGTACTCCAGATGAAAACCTCTTTGAAGTACGGGATGCTGACTTTCTGCATGTTGACGGTGCAGGGCTTGGAGCAGCCAGGGCATTCCGCAGGGAGCTCGTAGACCTTGCCGTCGACGATATCCAAGTCTTCTGGCTCGCCGGAAGTCCCGGTCGTCGTGGCACCTTCGTGCTTGGTGGCATTGGGGTCGGAAGCAATCCCCAGCTCCTGGTTCTGCTCGTGTGTGCGCGCGTATTCGCGGCGCCGGTACTTGTTGCCCTTGTCATTGGTGGTGGGAGCAATCCATGAGTTGCCCGTCGGGTCATCCAGGGAGATTGTGAAGGGGAAACCATTGCGGTCGAGAATGTTCTTTAGCTTCTCAATCAGCGGCTCCAGAGCCTCGTAAAGCTCAGGCGCCTGGATTTTACGGAGCGGCTGCTCGCTCGACAGTGATTCATGGATGCGCTGGATAACACCCTCGACGGTAGTGAGCTGGCTCTCGCCTTTGGGCATCTCAATTCCCAGCGACTCCACCTTGAAGATCGAAATGTCGCTGCGAATCACCTGGCGCTGGAGATCTTCCTCGTTTTCCGCATCGAGTGTGTATCTGGCCCCATGCTCCTGGATCTGGCCAGCTGATTTAACCGAGTTGTCTTTGAAGTGGCAGTGAGAGCATTCGAAAGACTCGAGGATGATGTCGCGAAAGAAGGGCACACGGAGGAGTAGGAGGCGGGTGGTTCCCTGTTCATGTTTAGTTTAGAATATTGATTTGAGCTTTCTGGAACATACAGTCTCATGACAGTTCATGCAGAGACTCTCAACCTGCATGACACCTGTGTCATCCTCCCTCTCCACCAGATCGCCAACTTTTTGGAATTGCGACGTGGGCGCATTCTTATCAGCGTCTGACGACATTGCGAATGGAAGGTCAAAAAGGTGTCAAGAGGACTGCTTATAATATCTGGCACAGGAAATTTCAAAACTTTCAAACAAAATTCCCAAAAAAGAAAAAGAAAGAAAAAGGCGAGTGCCGAGAGGTGACCAAATTCTTATCAAAAAAATCGCAGCAGCGGGAAGATTCCTTTTTGTTCGGCGGGGCGTTATGCAGGCGGGGCAGACATAGCTGAGTCAGCGTGCATAATGAAGTAAGCTATGCAACTTCAACTATTAAGCGGGTATTTATCAATCTTGGTCATTTCAGTGGTCGTTTTGACAAGAAAAAACCCTTGGATTTGATTGAAGAGATCAAAAAAACCAAAGAATAAAAAGAGACAATCTGCGAGAAATAAATAAACAAGACATAGAATAAAGAAGAGACCTTTGTTAGATGTTAGAAGATGCACTGCTGCATTCAAACAGACTCCTGCATGCATAGTTAGCCGCAGCTTAAAAAGCCAAGGGGAAGGGGGCACTTATAAGAAAAAAAGTGGCCGTCCCCACCCGCCGAAGCAGGGGAAACGGCAGTCCATCAGTCACCCTCACCAAGTTCGTTCCGCTCCATCTCCTCCAGGCCGGAATCCGACATCCACACTAGCCCATCTCCCGAAGACCCGACAGCCGTTCCTTGATGACAGAGACCGCAGGCAATATCTCGCTTGTCGCTTTCAATCCACCCCAGCCAGACACGACCAGCGAACCTCTACCAGAAACACGCTGCGACAGAGACGTGGCATAGACAAGCCAAAGCTTTGATCCTCACTCGAGAGAGGTCCCACACCATTCCCCGTATAGAGCAGACATGCCGAAACCAGCAGAGGATCTCGCTAGCCGAATCGACTAGATGATGAGAAAGTTGTAAAGCAATCAAGGCCAGAGAGTAGCCCGCTGATTCCGTCAGAACAACTGCGTTCGTTCAAGACGGCGAAAGACACGTATGGAATGCGGAGACGCAGAGAATCGGAGTTGAGGAACGCTTGGTCGAAGAGCATAAACTGGATGAACGCAGCCCCCAGAACCCACGAATGACCCACCAACAGGGTCGCAGAAGACTGTGGAACTAGAGCCGTGACCGAATATGCCCAGCCAAATCTCGCCGAAGGACCTTGATCTCCCCAAACCTCGCTCAGCTTGCCGTCTGGAGTACCAGCCTCCTCGCATGACCTTGAAACCCGATCTCCTGTGCGTGGTACAGTACCCTCTGGGACAAGTTTTTGTTTCCTCTCCAGACGGACCAGTGGTCCCAGGAGGGCATAGAATGAAGCGGACAAAGAACATCCAGAAAAACCGCTTCCTTCTCCCCGAGGGGAGGAGCGACGAATAAACGTCGCTGAGGTCGGCGCCCATCAATCGATCTGCACACTACTTTGCAAAGAGATGGCTAACACGGTCGGTCAGGATCTGAAGTCGAATCGATGGCGGGTGCCGTGACTCGAGGCGCCTAGCCGCCTGGAAGGCAGAACTGCAGGAATCAAAGAGGTGGAAAGCAGGGCGAGATACCCAGGGATCTCGGGGTAGGGAACATGCACGGGACAGCAGAACAGCTAATGCAAACAGACTCGATAACGTGAGATCAGACGAACCAGACCGAAAAACAACAATTCGATTTGGACAGACACATTGCCAGCCGGAACATGACAACAGCCCAAGCCTTTGATGTAGCCTTTACAGACAGACATCGAAGATCCATGGCATCGAGCAAAACAAAGGACCTCGCTACAACCCAATCTTTGAAAAAGCCTGGGAGAATTTTCAGGAAGAAAGAGGTTGATTCCGACGAGTGGATCCCGTTGAAATGTAGACACCATGGCGTGTGTGAGGGTATCTATTGTGTTCTAGGCGCCGAGTCTGAGAACCAAAGTCGACGATGCCCCATGGTATTCGATACCGGAACATCGCACCCAGCTACCATCTGCTGCGCTGCTATGGTATTGCTCCCAAAGACAACCTCTGTTACCGAGGCGTCCGACATGTTCCACCTGCGTTCTCTCTTGGATATTCCAAATGTCGAGGCATAGGACGACCATCCAACTGTAACCAGCATGCAGCGCCCAGCATTGGAAAACCGACGCGTGGCCCATATGGACGCTTAGAACGCATAGTAAACCGTCTTTGATGCCCGCGGGGGCTCTGGACAATTCGAACACCTTTCGCTTCTGCAGACCATCACAGTCCGCATCCACTAGTCGTAGTATCCGGCACGCCTTTCCGTGAAGCTTCTGTCCCGAAGGACATTGAACCGAGGAGGGCTTAGGGTTTAATTCTGATTTCTTCTGCGCTGACGTGACTAGACTCGTACGACCGACAAGATATAATCACGACAGGTTGCCATTGAAGGCAGCAGGCGAGAACCAGAATTCAAAAGAAGGCATTGCTGTACATGTGCCTCGAAGAGGTAAGAGATCTTGGGGGCTCCACGATCACGAAAGGGGACTGGCGCAACTCGGGCAAACCTGAACAGAGGCTGGGTCCGATGAAGGCCAGAATAACAGATAGATTCGCAACGACTGATCAAATTGGCACGGCGGTTCCAGCAGATTTCCCGCGGTGCTGGCTGGGTTGTGGATTCAGAGAGCGCAGAGGAAGGAAGATCGTTGGGGCAGGCACGCGCGATGTTAACACGCGCAGGCGCGGCGGAGTCACGTGACTGACACGTTATCACGTGGACCATTGTTCCGTAAAGCATCGGACGGCGGATGCCAAGACCTTCGCCTCTGACTTGAACACCGTTGAGATGAACAGAAGCTCTGGTAGCTTCATCCATGATGAGATATAAGCCAATTATTTTTCTCCGCTCATGATGGGAAGTTTGACAAAAGCCCAGGAGGCTTTTGACGCCGCTCATGAATTTTTAAATCCAATTTTGAACCGAGGCATGCATTTTGTCAGCGCCCACTATGTTTTAACGGGCAACGCTAACTAGCCCCAAGAGGAAATCCAAAAGCATCAAGCCCAGTCTTTGCTAGAAATATTGAGCCGAACCGCAGATGGTCCAAGCGTCCGCGATGGCGATGCCAGGACGACTGTCATCGGCAAGGCCCTGGATATCATGACCCGGATTCATGCTGCCTTTGTGACACCGGATGACCAGGATGAGTCGCAGCAAGCCGAGACAGGGAGCCAAGACACGGCCATGGAAGATGCTAAGCGCCGACGCATGCTGCATGCATTGCTCGACCTGATTTCCTTGGAAGGCATCTACCCGTCGCTTTCGTCTGGTGTCGGGATTCCTCTTCAGCAGAGGATGATCTCGGTCTTACCGGCCGGTGTCATTGCCAAGAAGGCCCCAGTACCGGCGAGCAGCGTGTCTCATGACGAGTCCTTACTACGCCGTATTATGGATGTCCTAGTCGGCATTCTCTCCGATGCGAGACAGAGCATACAACCAGTGATCCTTGGCCGGATCCTCAGCGACATAATCAGCGGCACAGCTGATCTTGCATTCAACCCGACAATTGCGTCTTCTGCGAATCAGAGCAATTATAAGAAAGCGTTTGTCAGGGTCATTGACGAGTATGGACCAGCGTCCTTCTTCCCATGAAGCTGACAACTGACACACATCAGCACCCCAAGCGCTACTCTCCTGCCAACATTATCTAGTTTCCTCCAAGCGGACACTGTGCCATGGTTCAAGTCCACTGTGTCCAGCCAAATTTCTCGAGTCCCACTTCGGCCTGGAGGAGTCTTGCAAACTATTCTGTTCATTGCCTCTCAATTCGCCCCGTCGCTGGGCCAAGAAGCCCAATCGCAAGCCTCGAATGGACCCCATCTCACGGTGCAGGCTATTATGCAGATCTCGAAATTGCTCTCTTCCGTGCCACACGAAATTGACCCGGCTGTCTACTTCATGACTATTGCACCTCAATTACTGGAGCTTATTGACGGCGATGATCTGGACCTAAATAAAACCGCCGCATATGTTGTTGGGAATGGGATCTTGGGTAAACGCGCTTATGGGGCCCCTGGAACCATTGGACACTCGATCTTTGTCGAGCCACTGTTTAGGACGCTTACAGCAGAGCTTGACACGGCATCAAAAAGATGGGTGACCCGGTTTGCTGACACCGACGGATCTTCACATGACACAAATAAACGTGCTGCCGCAGGCATAATGGTGGATGGAATAACAGTTGACCTAGCCGTAAACCGGCTGAGGGCCCTGGCGCTTCAGCATCCGAACCCGGGTCTGGTGAAGAGAATTGTTTATCCCATTCTCGTTCCCTTATGGGGTTTGGCTTGCCATACTCAAGAACAGGAACTCAATGCCCTCCATGAGAAGGTAATGGCCCTCTTACAAACATATTTCGGCATTTCAGTGGGAGTCCAGCCCTTGAAAAAGCTGGTGGATAACCTGCTCTGGAATGGCGGCTTGACTTGGACATATCAGGAAGATTCCGATGGCAAGGTTTTTCTGAAAAAACGCCATGGCCAGAAAGACGAACACTCGAACCTGATCAAGTTGATTGATTCCCTCCAAAGCCGAGTGGAGCTCTTTGTGAGCCTCCTAGGATCCGACCCCAGCAGCGAAGAAAGAACGGGAGATATCTTTTTGTATGTGAGTGAGGCCTGGCTGGTGCATCCTCACAGATCAAAGGTACTCGGCGACCCAATGACACAAGAAGTTGGCGAGGGTGACAGCATCATCCAGAGTCTCGTGAGCGCCAAGGTTGCCGAGAAGTTGCTCGAGAACTTCAAGGATACGCTTTCTCGACGGCCTTTGCGCGTTTTGGATCTGATCAAGCAAGTGATTGAAGGAGAGCTGCATAGACTAGATGCCAGTGGAACGGCCAAGCGAGGACAGAAGGCCGGGAACGTCTCACTGTCATCGTTGGCCAACATCGTGCCCAAGGAAGAGAAGGACCACGAAGAGCCATCCGCGAAGGACTCATTCGAGTCGCTGTCGACAGCGTTCAGTCTGCTCTCTACCGTCCTCGCATCTGCCGAGTTCTCCGTTTCGCAAGAAACCCAGCCACTTCTAGAGTCAATCAAGACCCAGGTGGACCGACTCTTACCTCTCCTCCCACCAGCTCTCTCAAAGCCAGGAACAACATCGTCTATGCTCTTAGAGATCCAGCTTACCTCTCCCGAGCACGACGAAACCAAACCACCACCACCTCACATCTCCGATCTGGAAGTGCATCGCCAAGCGCTGGCGAATCTCAATTCAGAGCTCCCGCCTGTGCAAGCGGAGGGATTCTCGCTGCTTTCAAAGCTGATCGCGGATTCGTCCCCTGTTCTCGACATTCCCTCAACCTTGACGCTCCTTCTCTCAATCATCACCGACACGTCCGAGTCTTCGGCCAACGAAGAGTTCATCTACCTCAATGCCATCAAGAGCATCGGTACCCTGGCATCGCGCCATCCACGCACAGTGGTCAAGGCACTGGTAGATAACTACGCCGACAAGGGCGAGCAAAGAAGCCTCGACCAGCGGCTGAAGATCGGCGAGTCACTTTTGCGAACAGTGCAAGACCTAGGCGAGGCGCTTCATGGCGAGACAGCGAAAATTCTCGGCGAAGGCATGGTCGCCGTAGCCGGAAGACGGGGCCACAAGCCGCAGGCGCAGCAGAGTCGGAAACGCACAATTGAAAAAGAGCGACGGCAAAGAGAGAAGGAGGCGCGCAAACAAAAAGAACCGGCAATGCCTGCTGGCTGGTCGATATCGTCTGGTGCAGCCTCATCGTCCACGACGCCCGCAGAAGAAGAGGACCGCCTTGACGACGATTCCGAGCCCGAATCCGCCGAGCAAACTGCCTACGCAGCCAACATCGTTGCAGCCTGGGCGGCCGGCACATCTCTCGACGAGGAACCGGACGATCTGCGTGCGCGGGCCTCCGCGCTGTCCGTGCTCGCATCCGCCGTGCAAACCAACATCATCGGCCTGGGCCCTGCGATCGTCGCGTCAGCCGTGGATCTCGCTCTCGCCACACTCACCTTAGAACCGGCCCCCGAGAGTGCGATCCTCCGTCGCGCAAGTGTAGTGCTCATTCTCGACATCTTGAAAACGCTCGACACCGCGCGCGAGACACGCGGCGGCAAGGATATTGAGTTCGGGTTCTCGCTTGTGGATGACGAGTCGATGCGTGATGCTGCCTCACGCGGACCATCTACCATTGGTAATATCCCCTCGATGCTGCGCACGCTCGCCTTTGTTGAGAGTCGCGAAGAAGACACTATTGTGCGTGGGCATCTGCGTGCTCTGATTGAGAGCCTCGAGGCTTGGTTGGAGAAGTCGCTGCTGTGGGGGATTGGGGTGCGGGATGGGCATGGCGATGGGAATGAGCCGCGCTTGGAGCTTGGTGAGAGGATTGCTGGGTTGGATGTGGATCCCATGGCTGGCAGGGATGGGTCAGGGCGACCGCGCATCGAGGAGATAGAATAAATGCCCGGCTGAGTGGGAATTCAATTAGGTCTTGGGTTACCTTGGACTTTCAGTCGAGTTCTTGGAGGCTCCATCACCTGTGTAGTACGACTTCACGAATAGTTGAAAGAATGGAAACACGAAAAGATTTCTCAAAACGAGATCAGATTTTCTTAGATCAATTTTTCGTCCAGACCATTGTTCATGCCTTCATTTCACCACCACTCGGTGTATGCCCTTTCCACTCCGAAGAGTAGACCAGCACACCGTGTGTCCCGGTAAAACTGAAGACTGGGTCCAAGGCAGAGACACAACTAACCACACCACGAAGAAAAAACCACAAAATGGCATGAGGGAACAAATCCCTTCTCGAACTCAGAGAGACCAGACAACCATGGGGGTATTCGGAACGGAAGAGAGATTCCCAAGCACGAGAGACACAGAACGCCGAGGAAAGAGGGAAGGAAGATGTAGACACTGGAAGTGCCCGGCACAGAGTCACGAACGCCATCCCAGAAAAATTGCGTATCTCAATGAAAGGCCATGAGGTCAGCGTTCACAGCCACTGGTTGGTAGACGGACCGTTGCGGCCCCGACCACGACCCCGACCACCTCGGCGAGCACCACGACGAGCACCACCACCATCGCGGGTGTCAGGACGAGGGCCAGCGGCCATGCGGGCCTGACTTTCTTCCTCGGTCAGATGGAACTTGTTGGGAATTCCGACCAGCTCGCAGAACTCGGCAGTCTGGATGTTGTTGTACTCAGGGGGCATCTGAGCAGTCGAAATGGGAACAGTCGGGTCGTACTTGGGGGCAGTGCGCGTGAAATTGGCAGGGATGTTGAGGCGGCCAGGCTTGACGATATGCTCATCAACCCAGTTTTCTTCCTCGATGATCCGATTCTGGTAGAATTGGTGGCCCGCATATGGGGGGACGGGAGCGTTGGGATTTCCAAGCTCAAGATCCGTGGCGAAGACGCGGGTGATAGCCAACCACTCAGGGTCATACTGGAGGCGGAAGGGCCGCTCTTCGTGAACATTTTCTTGGTCGGAGATGGCCGTAATCTCCAAAGCCTGCACAAATGGATCGTGGTTGTTGGGCTTGTCCAAAGCCAAGAACTTGGTGAACCCATTCTTGATAGCCTCTGGGACGACCGTCTTGATATGTGGTGGGCGAGAGGGAGGTGCCTGGGCGAGGCTTGCTGGGAGTTTGTTGCGGAGTTCGCTGGCGACAGCCTCATGCACAGTGGCCGTCGGATTAGTCTTCGTCTCCGCGGCGGCATCCGCGGCGGTTTCAGCGGCGTCGGTGCTCATCATGGTGGTTTCGGCGGACTTCGCAGGGGTGGGACCAGGGGATGGCGAGCCATGGCTCGAGCCGCTGCTCGAATCAAGTGCGATTTCATCGGAGTTCTGAGCAGACCCATCTTCCATCTTCTGCTTCTTGTTCGTATGAACGACATGCTCCCGGCCAACGACTTGTCGCTCGCCGTTCTCGCCCAAGCGAACCTTTGTCCAAGTGACATTGTGAGTGTAGGGAACAGGAGACGGCGGATTCTCCCTCAACTTCTGTGCCTGGGCAAGAAATGCCGCAGCTTGTTCTCTCTCAGACTGCTGAGCAACCGACGTGAAGTTGTTCCAGGCTTCAAGACGCGAGTTCAGGTCGCCCGTCGCAAGAGCAATTCTCTGTGACACGGGGACGTTCGTCGGAGCAGGGGTCGGAGCAGCGGCAGAGACCGGAGCGCCAGGGCCGGCAGGAGTCGATTTCTCGTCGGTGGCGTTGTTGTTGGCACTCTTATCAGAGACCACTACAGCCCAGGCGGCGGGTTCACCGGAAGACTTGCAGGCAGTATCAGCCTCATTCTTGATGAGGGCACGCCCGTCGAACGGCATAGCAGCTGCAAACTTGACGTGCAGGTGAGCGGAGAACCAAAACGCGGGGCGCAAGCGCTCGAGAACGTCACGGGCAGCGATGCTACCCAGCTTTCCCTTGCTGGAATCCTCACGGAAGCCCCGCTTTCTGCGGAACAGATCTTCAAAGTCACCGAAAAATTCAACCCCACGAGGCCAGTCATGCGAGAGACCAATATCCACCTGAGTGCGGATCTGGAGCAGCTTGCGGACGTCCATTTCTCGGACGTGGTAGGCACTGGAAATATCCTCATTGTTGTAGGGAAGCCGCTCGAAGTGCGGCTTGCGGTAGTCGTAGGCTTTCCAGATACCAGACATGCCGCAGATGCGCAAGGGGCCAACACGAATGACATTGGCAGCGCCCATGTAGTAGATGTTGTGGGCAACCCAACCACCGTAGTACAGCTCGAACAGGTGGTTGCTGGCTTCGTGGTTGCCACCAATGAAAATGGTCAAGTAGGGCGCGATCCGCTGCCCGCTGTAGTATTCATGGAAGTCGCCCATCTGGCGATACTTCCGGGGGACCGACACGCAAGCAGCGTCGTCCACATTGCGCAGAGCCTGTAAGAGTGTGAGTGACATGATGAGTAGATCAGAGTCCATATTAGAATAGAACTTACCTGGAAATCTCCGCCGATAATGACGAGGTCAATGTCGTCCCAGCCACGACGGACAGACTCGACCTTGGCCCGGTCGTAAATCTCGTTGAGGGTGCCGTGGCCCTGAACCCAAGAGCCAAATCAGTACCGAGGCCTCAAAACGTAGAAGTGAGAGAAGAAGTTCTTACGCAGCCCTCAACAACAACTCGGAGCGTCTTTTCCATGAAGACTGGACCGAGTAAGGAAGAACAAAGAAAGGGAAGAGATGAGAAGAACCAAAAGAAACGAAGAAATACGCCGGAGAAGTAGTTTCGAGAGTCAAAAGAAAGAGGGAACCAGGCGACAAGATAGCGCAGGATCAAGGCGCGACGAAGAGAAAACAGGAGGATCCGACCGCAAAATGAAAGAACAGAAACGAGAGAGCAGTCAAAGTCAGGATTGAAGAAACAGAGAAAAAGGAAGTTGAGAGGGCGAGAAGAGAAGATGTCAAGGGAAGAAGTGAGAGAAGAAGTAGTCGAGAGTGGAGCCCGCGTGAATGGCGGGCCGTGAATGAGCGTCTTTCTACTGCGGCTGTTGTGCTCCTCTCCCTATTGACGCCTCATGACTCTATTGTCTCAATAATTCCCCCAGCCTCCTGAATTAATCTGAATAGACAATGGCCCCAGTTGTTCCCCCACAAATGCGCTTTCTGAATGATGCTGCACAATCGCTTTCTCTCAGCCCGTCGACGTCAGCGCATCTGCTGGCGACGCACACTCTGTTGCTCCACCAGGATTCAAAGGCATTGACTGTGCGGCAGCAGAAGGATTACTGTGGTGCATGTGGTAGTATTAGAGATCCTCAGTCGACCAAGGTCACTCAAATTCGACGCGGTAAATCTCTGCCATCACAGTCATCTCGGCCAGGCCCCGGCGCTACAGTCTACAAGTGCCTTCGCTGCCATCGACGAGCTGTTACTCCCCGCAAACAACGACTATCCAAAACGACATCTCGCATTACCTCTCACGCTGCCACAGCAAAGCCATCTCCGACTCCGATTTCGCAACAGTCCACTCCTTCAGAAGTCGCAAAGTCAACCACAGACGCCCCCACCCCAAAAGAACCACCCAGCAAAACGGCAGAGAACGCAAGCAGCAAGAAGCGAGCCAAGACACGAAAACAAGGAGGATTGCAAGCTCTGTTGGCGTCCAAGCAACGCTCGTCTCCGTCCCTCGACCTGCTCGACTTCCTGCAGTAGCCCGGAGAATCGTAGTTCCGGACTAGCGCGGGGTGCTCTGGCTTTCCTCGTTTCTGCCATCTTTTGGTGTTTTGCATCTTACGGCTGAGCTCCACGTCCAATCTTGAGCTCGGGTGAATCAAATTCAATTCAATGTCTGTCTACTCACACGACGAGGAGCATGACCCTCAGGCGGACGAGCTCCGAGAGACGGCGCTCGTCACGCTGGAGGCGTTGATCAGCTCCTGCAACCAGCAAATGCAGCCTTACCTGTCCAACACCACTAGTGCCGCCCTACGATTCCTCAAATATGACCCCAATGTGGCCGATACAGAAGATGATGAGGAGATGGGGGGCACACAAGATGATGGCAGCGAGGACGATGCTACGGAAGATCCCGACCTGGACGACGAGTTCGAAGATTTCGAAGAAGAGGGTGGCTACAGTGATGTCGATGATATGAGCTGGAAGGCCCGACGCTGTGCGGCCAAGCTCCTATACACCGTCATCTCGAGCTACAGCCGAAACCAGGCACTGGACGACTCCTCCTTGTACCAACAAATCGCCCCGGCGTTGATCTCACGGATGGGAAAAGAGCGGGAGGAAAGTGTCAAGCTGGAGATCGTCTCCACGTTGACCGCATTGGTCAGGAAAACGAGCGAAGGATCGATGATCGTTACGTCGAATGGTTTCCATGAAGCTGTGGGAGGGTCGAAGAACTCGCGCAAACGCAGACGCCAGGACAGCGATGCGAGTATGATAGACTTCGAGCCGGGCGCGGGAGCCTCTTCGGCCATTAATTCACCTGTTGTCCCATCCTCTCCCAAGAGTGGCCCCCAGGCCGACTTGGCCCGTTCCGTCCCCTTGATTGTGCAGAGTCTTGTCAAGGTGTGGAAGCAGGCATCGGTGCCCCTTCGACAGGCCGTCATTGTTTTGCTGAAGAGTCTTGCACTGGTTCGCTACGGAGGGTTGGCAAATCACCTCCAGCAGATCGAAGACCCCATCGCGGACGCTCTCAAAACCTCTTCTCTCGCAGGTAGCTCGACGGCCCATTCAGGAGCCGCCGTGAGCGCCGGCACTCTCCAAATTGAGACGCTGGGTCTCATTGCAGCCATTGCGGAAACCCACTTGTCGGATGCACTGCTCCCATTCCTTATCGCCCTCGTCCCGGGAGTTGTGGGGGCCGTGAACGACCGCAACTACAAGGTCAGCAGCGAGGCACTTGGAGCTGTGGAGCAGATAGTCAAAGCTCTTACCCCGCCGCGTGTATCTGCCAACGTCTCCGACATTGCTAGACAACTGGAAAATCTTTACGATGTTGTCTATGCTCGCATCACCGACACCAGTGCTGATCTCGAGGTCCGCCAGCGGGCCATCCATGTCTTCGGTGTGATACTGGCACGAACATCGGGAGAACGAGGCACTCAGTTTCTTTCCTCGGACAGGAGATCCAAGGGTCTTACGATTCTGGTGGACCGTATCAAGAATGAAACAACTCGTCTCTCTGCTGTCCGCGCCATTGACGATGTCGTTGTTCTTTCCAGCCGCACACAAGATGTGACCAAGGACTGGGTCAATGAAGTGGCTCTGGAGCTTGGATCCAATCTGCGCAAGTCGGATCGCGCCTTGAGAAGCTCTTGCTTGGAAGCTCTCCGTAGCCTGGCCATGAACATCCACACCAAGTCTCAGCTCAACCCAGACACGATCTCCTCCATGGAAAACGCCCTTTTGCCTCTTATCTCCGCTCCCGACTTCCACCTCCTTACCCCAACGCTGATCATCATTGCTAAGCTCATTCCTGGCAACGCAGAATTGCTTGTAAATGAGTCGTTGATTTCGTCCATCTGCTCTATCGTGACCAAGTCCCTCACTGGCACTGTTCTCAAAGCCCTGTTACTGCTCGTCAAGGTCATTGGCGAAGAGGGTGCCGGAGCCAAGCTGATGCAAAGCTTGCTGCGGGACGTTGGTATCACCGGTGACCCCTCCGTTGTCGGAAGGGCTGTTGGCACGCTCCTGGTCCATGGCGGGCCGAATCTTGGCGTGACCATGGATGACTTCTCCACAGAGCTCCAGACGGCGCAAGATGATAGTCGAAAGTGCCTTGCGCTTGCGATTCTGGGAGAGATTGGGTTGCGTATGGGCTCTGCGTGCTCACTCACCCCTGATGTTTTCATTGCGCACTTTAGCTCCGCCTCAGACCATGTCCGATTGGCGGCTGCGACGGCTCTCGGCAACGCGGGTGCAGGAAATGTCAAGGCTTACCTGCCTGTCGTTTTAAAGGGGCTGGACAAGTCGAATTCTCAAAGCTATTTGCTTCTTCACTCGGTGCGCGAGTTACTCCAGCACCCCGAGGTGGTGCGTCTTGACCTTGCACCATCCGCCCTCAAGTTGTGGCAAGCGCTTCTGATCGTTTCCGAGGAGGAGGACAACCGTGCCGTGGGTGCTGAATGTGTTGGCCGCTTGGCCCTGATTGACCCTGTTGCCTACATTCCCCATTTCCAGGTAAGCCACATCTGTATCCTCTTGCAAGGATTTGAGACATACTGACTTTTCTGGTTAGAAGTATCTCTCGAACTCCGACCCGGCTGTCCGTGGCATTGTCATCTCAGCCTTCCGCTATACGCTTGCTGATTCTAGCGATGCCTACAACGATGTTCTGCGACCGTTGATGGTGCCTCTCTTGAACAGCATGCTTGATGACGAAGACCTCGTTAACCACCGGCTTGCCTTGACAACGCTCAACTCGGCGATTCACAACAAGATGAACCTTCTCCTCCCCCATCTGGGCCAGTTGCTTCCCTTGGTGTTGGGTGATACCAAGATCAAGCCGGAGCTCATCCGAGAGGTGCAAATGGGGCCGTTCAAACACAAGGTGGATGATGGGCTTGACTTGCGAAAGGTAACTATCTTCGTACCCTTATATACCCTGATTTTCTCTTTTTCTCTTTTCTCCATTTTTTCTGTATTGCCTTGTCTAATGCTTTTTTACAGAGCGCCTATGAAACACTCTATGCGTCGCTTGACACTTCATTCTTCCGCACCCATCTCGCCGATCTGTTTGACCGTGTGATTGCCGGTATTGAGGACGAACAAGATATTCGAGCCATCAGCAACCTCATGACGTCGAAGCTCATTGTTACTGTTCCCGAGGAAACCGAGCGACGGCTGGATGCCTTGTCGGAGCGATACACTAGCGTGCTCTCGTTCAAGCCAAAGGACAACGCAGTTAAGCAGGAGCTAGAGAAGGCACAGGAGGCGTCCCTGGGGATTCTCAAGATCACCAAGGAACTGAGCAAAGCTTTCCCGGGCGCCGAGACTTCCAGTGACCTGCACAGGTGGAAGGGATACATGGAATGGGTGCGAAAGACCTTTGGGGCGCAGTTTACGAACCTCGACTCAGAGATCTAAAGTGGACTTGTGTTAAAACAGTTACCTGATGGAGGGGCTTTCTGAATGAAAATAGCTTATGATCAATGAAACAAAATGAAATTCATGATTCTTTGTCTCCTTCATTTATTTTGCTTGCTCTGCAGACGAGATCCCAAATCCCTACCTCCGGGAATATATTCCATCGAGACAACCGCCTACCCTATGTAACACTCGACGGGCATTGCTCTCGGATCACACCTTCTCCAGTTATTCTCCCAAAAGAACGACCAGTTGTACGCCCATTTTTACCACGGACAACCCTCGCCTATGTTTCCACAAGGCGGGAGGAACGAGGCTATCTACGGCCCCCACGCGGACTCGGCTGTCGGGCAACGAGTGGCCTGAATAATGCAATTTCCATGCTCCACATGGTGATCCTGCTCCAGTCGGGCTGTTTTGCGTCCACCAATGGGTCGGGTTTGCTGGAGACTTCAAGCGGGCCGCAGTCTGCCTTGCGGTGATCGTGGCCAACGTGTATGTATGCTGGTTTTTACACCGGACCAAGCGGATCGTACTGGCTGGTATAGAGGGCAAGATCTTTTTGACTGTTCAGCCAGAGATGAAGCGGAGTCCAGGGTGACTCTCGTAAGAAGCAAGATTCTGTGGCAAACCATCTTGAAAGATAAACTGATCTTAGTTTCGGGCCATCCCAGCCCGGTTGTCAAGGCTAAATGGGTGTCGGCTCCAGTACAATCCACTGAGCGAAGGCACCGCACTCGCTGCCTTTCTTTTGGTACCGATCAGCCATCCATTTCTCACACCCCCGGCCTGTTTTGACATGGTGATCATCGGGATTTTCTAGTCGATCCACTAGCAATCCATCGAATTCCTCCAAGTTTGTAGGGCTGAGGTGTCAGACGATTCTCTTGCGGGGATAGATATTTACCAGATAAGTTGAAAGAAGAATGACACGCTACGCCAGCCACGCGGCTTGACTTGCTCATGGTTCAAATTACCCTTTGTTCATCCCTGTACATTCAGGCATCGTCCCGAGGCGCCTGACCTCTTCTGAGTCAGCGAGCGATATTTCGCCAAGCAATTCCTGAATTCCACGGCGCGCAGGTGTGCAACCCCGGGGTGCGTCGGACAAACTATGGAACTTATTTCCGCATGTGGAAGTAATTATGCGTCGTCCTGTTCTGACACAGACTGGCGTAATCAACAGGAAAATTCGATTTTCTTTCCTCTCTCCTGCCAAGCCTGAGGCGTCCCACATTTATGAGGCAAGTTGGCCGGGATTGGCGTGATCTGGCGGCCCCTGTCAGATCCGACAAGCAATGCGTGGCCTTGTGGCCAGGGCTGAAATAGCGAGATTGTTCGGATCTAGACGGTAGTTCCAATTGTATACTCGGAGGTTTTTGCATTCATCAAATGGCCCATACTATTTATTACACCTGCCCAGTGGACAGGATAGATGATTCATCCAGGCGATTCATAATTATGAATCAAGGATAACCATAATTATCCACCGTCTCACACGACTCGTATAATTCGCATAAAATTATTCCGCTCGTATGATTGGCCCCGCCCCCAGCGGGGCCTGCCCAGAAAGGGCAATCTGCCATGTGGACAGGCCCTTCTGCGTGAACGTTGGGTCCTCCTTTCTCACACCCTTCGCTTCTCGTCTCTCTCTGCCCGGCTCTCCTTGAGTGTTTCGTCTCTCCCTCTCTCGAGTCTTTTGTTTCACCTCGGAATGGAGGTTATTCTCTCGTTTGCTCAATACTCATCATGAACCTTTGCGGGTCGCACCGCTGGCAGGACGTCGTCCGCCTCGTCCTCTCCCCCAGTTTCTGGTTCGATCGCTGTTGGCCAGGACTGCGCAAATATTGTTTTTCTCTGGCTTTGATATCTGCAATTTCGGCGAAATGTCTTCATATTTATTCCCATATTACATCCCTCTATCCGTCTGAGCTTTTTCTCTGGGGCCCGACATTCTTTGTGCAGGATATTATCTGCATTCTCCTCGTGCACACCTTGTGTCGCAATTGGCAGCGAAGATGGGTCCGTGCTGTGTCGTCCCTACCGGCCATTTTCTTGAGGTACGTCGATCACCTTGGTACTCACACCGTGACAATACCCTGTTTCAATCGACTCACCAATTGATTTTGCTCTCCAGTGTCACTATCTCCGGGCTGGCCGCAGCGAACATTTACTTTTACGTCGAGACGGGCGCTGAAATTCACTGGCGACAAGCACGCGGCTTCCATGGCGATGTCGCCTCGGTCAAGACGCTTTTGACCGGCATGCTCGGTGTTGGCATCGTCGAAGTGGTCTTCTTCGCGACCTCGTATTTTGCCACTCCGCACCTATACAACGGGGTCGAAATCTTGGTCGACACAATCGTGTCCTATGCGGCAATGCGGAACTGCTGGCGCCGAAAACAAACTACCGAGGATGCGAAATCCTACGAGCAAGTAGCCCTTCAGGACTCTGATGATGAGGACAGCGACCCAGTGTCACTGAATATGGAGGATCCCATGGAAGCCCCGGAGCCCCGAAGTCGGCTTTCTCGGGTGCTGGGTCTCCTCGCTGTCGGCTGCACGGTATTTCTATTCCTCCTGCGCTGTGCTCGCCCGTCAGATCCCACGTATATGTTCCTCTCCCAGACCGTGATTGTCGGCCCCCTCGACAAGGGCAAGTCTTCCAGCGAGCAATCTGTCCAGCTTCCTAAGCTGGAAGGGGACTACAGTTGGCTTGGTAACCACACTGCGCTGGCCCCACCGCCAAAGCTGGACTGGCTCCCGGCCAAAGAGTTGGAGGGATTCCGAGACTGGTACCAGAGCGCAGACAACAAAAAGGCGCCCGTTCATTACGATCCAAAGAAAGACCCTCTGCATATCTCCAACCTCGACAGTCAAGTCATTGAACCGCTTCGGGAGGCTCTTAAAAGTGGCAATGTCAACATCAAGCATATCTTGCTGTTCAAGCTGGAAAGTACTCGGGAAGATGTCTTCCCGCTTCGCAAGGAATCCGATTTGTTCAAAATTATCAGTGAGACATACGGTGGGAATCAGGTTCCCCCGGAGGTGGAGGCACGGCTGGCCAACTTGACCCGCACCGCGGAGAAATTGACTGGCACCCGGTCCGGCTTCAACGATGACGAAAAGACATTCAAGCCATATGGAGGCCTCCACGCCAAAAATGCTTACACCGCCGCTACTTTTACCCTCAAGAGTATCACTGCGAGTGTGTGTGGTCTTTTGCCGCTCGTCATGGACTTCAGCCGCGAATACAACTACCATATTTACCAGCCCTGCATGCCGCATATTCTCGGGGCCTTGAACACTCAATTGAATAACACGCCCACCACAGACAACTATACCTCTTGGCCCTGGCGGTCGAAGTTCATGCAGAGCATTACGGATCACTACGACAACCAAGATCTTCTGCTCCCTGCCCTGGGTTTCAATGACACAATCGCCGAAGATCAGATCAACGAGGACCTCCAAAAGAAAGGCAAGCCTCTACCAGAGAAGATGAATTTCTGGGGGTACCCTGAATCACGAATTCGGGACTACTTCCTCAATGCATTCAAGGAGGCCGAGGAGAAGCATGAACGGCTTTTTATCGGGCATCTGACTGGAATCACCCATCACCCTTGGGACACACCAAGCCACGAGTATAACGAATTGATCGGGTCGCCATTGCTGAAAAATACCGAAAACGTCAATCGCTATCTCAACACGGTTGGATTGGGTGACCAATGGATTCAAGATGTACTGAACATCCTAGAGGAAGCTGGAGTTGCCAACGAGACTCTGTTCGTGATGGCTGGTGACCAGTAAGTTATTATTCAGGTATTCTAGTAGTTGTACCTTGGCTAACCTCGCAATAGCGGCATTGCTCTTCCGGAGAATAACGGTCTGACGCCCTACGACAACCCGCATGTGGCCAACTTCCATGTCCCCTTGGTCCTCGCCCACCCGCAACTTCCCCAGGTTGATATTGACCCTCGTGTGACCTCCATGCAGATCGTGCCGACGGTTCTGGATTTGTTGGTGGAGTCGTCGTCTTTGGATGAACAGTCTGCGCATGCCATCAAAGACCTGCTCCCGATGTACGAAGGTCAATCGATGATTCGGCCCCTCATTCCTGAGAAGGATGGAGTCGAAGACTGGCAGTTCAGTGTCATGAACACGGGCGCAACGTGGCTGGCTCTGCGGTCTGCGACCAAGCCGTACCGTCTGATTGTCCCGCTTGTGGCCGACGTCGAGTGGCGATTCTCTGACATTGAAGTTGACCCGCACGAGCTGGACTATCTCATGTCGTTTGACCTCTTGGCCCTGATGAAACAGGTCAAGAGGCGCCATGGCGAGGATGCCATGAAGTGGATCAACGATGCGGCTCATGTTGCGGAATGGTGGGTGAAGGATAACTGGCGCCGCTACGAATATGTGCCATCCTAATCTGTACGACCATCTGAGTTTCCGGCCTCTTCATTGTGGGCCATGTTATGTGTGGATTCGGCTGTTTTGGCTGGTACAAAACAGCCTTCTTGTTCCGATGATATGATTTTTGGCCAGCATTATACACACTCTTGCGTGTTCGGGCGATGGCGCTGCACTTGTGGTTCAGCTCGAAAGATACCACATTTAGCAGGACGCCAATGAGAACTGCAGCGTTGTACTTCTTGGCTTGCTATTTTGCTTGCCTGCGGTTAAGAGCCCGGGCATCATTGCTCATGGCGTGACACTATAGACGGCCACCACGGGGATTATGTGATCGAGAGAGCCAGGACTCACTCGACTTTCGATATTATATTATTGTGAATAGTCTTGATGTATTTGATTTGATCTTGCTACAACTATCCTGTTTGCCGAATTGCCGTCTTTCTTCATAGATACTAGCTGTCTCGATGAAGCCAGTTGGTATCAAGACTGGACTCTATTGACACCATTCTTTCCAACACGGTCTGATTTATCGATCTTCAATTCTGTCGACTAGCCAGACCTCGTGCAACCGAGAGTTATATTGCAATATTCAAGATTTTCCACAAACTAATATTGTCACTGGGATGACTCGGGGCATCCCCACTATTCACCTCGGCATGGCAACCGAAACCCTGATCTACGGGTGTGGGTAGAGAATGAACTAAAGATATGACGGCGTATAGACTAGCAAACACAATCAGATCCGCGTCGAACCCTACCCCGACACCAGATTTCTCTCGCTTTCGCGAGCAACTCCGTATACCCTCTGGCTCCACGTCTCCTGAACCGGACACCGAGCTAGCCCAATCGCCACAGCCTAGCATGTTATCGACCCTACTAATCAGGCAGAAGCGGACAAAGATGCCAGCCAGGACGCCGAGTATGACCTCATGGAGAGGAGCACTGACAGCGGCTCCAGCACCGACAGGGATCCCGGCAGAACTGAGCATGACGCAGACGCCAGCTCTGCAGGGGAGGTTAATCCGGACGGCGAAGCACCCCACAGAGCCGACTTCGACACCGACCTTGAGGCCTTCCAAACCTGCCTTTGAAGACGATGCCCCCTTACCCCTTAGAGGACACAGGATATGGGTAGCGAGAGTATAGGGTAGGGAATGCCCGTGTGCTACATTTGCTTTTCTTTCACTTGGTGTCGCCACTAGATAGTTACCGCACGCAGTTACAAATGGATTATCTTACATTCTCCCAGCCTACATGAACATTCGATGTAAATCAGACGCCTGTTGACCAGACTGATTAGACTTTGAGGTCACCTCGAGTGGACTTTGACCAGAGGTTGACCAAACCTCAAGTAGATATTGGAGATTGGAGATGTTGTGCGATTAGCATGTAACACTCATGCTCGAAACCACTGCGCCATAAAATGCTTTCTTGATTGATACTTTTACCAGACCGATGACACAGATCCATCGGTGAGTTTGGAAAGTCTGTCAGTGCTGAACTGGAAACATTCCGGCAGGCCCGTGTCGCTCCAACTACCCCCAAGGACAAGCCTGACGACACCCGGGGCACAAGTAAAGATCCGCGCCATGCCTGATATTGTCAGTATAAATGCCTCGCTCCCCAATATCCAATTCAAAGTAATAGGGTAGTTCGGCCGCAACGTACCATGCCCATTGAACCCCGCACAGATATACTGCCCAGGCAAAGAGTCAATTGCACCCACAAACGGCACAGAGTCGGTGGTCATTGCAATAATCCCCGTCCAGGCATGCTCCAAGCCCTCGCCATGCATAGCGTCCTCGGCCTTGTAATCGGGGAAGATCTGCCCAAAATTGCGTAGAGCATCCTGCGCAATCTCGTCATTGTAGTGTGTGTCGTCTGTACTAAATCGACCGGCTAGTGTCTCGGCACTGAGCGTCGGATTCGATCGCGACACTCCCAGCACAAGGGTTCCATCACCGCCCCGCTGGATCAGGGAGTAGAAGTGGTGCAGACTGTAGCGCAGCGAGAAGGTGTTGGTTAATGCATTTTCCGCGGCGAAGGCGGGCGTGGGGATGAGCGTGTGTGCTTGCGCACGATTGGGTTGGATATATGATTCGAGCCTGGGGAGTAGCAGAGCGGCATGGGCATTGGTGCAGTGTATAATCTTCTCTGTGGTCATAACTCCCCTCGGTGTATGTATGTCCCACAACTCTCCTGCCTCATTCTTCTTGATCTTGGTGGCTGGGCAAAATGTGAACAGCTTCGCGCCCTTGTCTATCGCAGCTTTAAGGAGGAATTGTGCCAACTTTGCAGGGTGGCTGGACCCCGCGGGCCACTCGTATGCGGCGACTGCTCCCGGGACTCGGGTCTTTGCTTGGGCCTCTTCTCCTTGGTGACACTTGACATGAGAGGTGTCGCCGCCGGCTTTTTTATATGCGTCGAGGCTCTCAGCTGCGTACGCAGCAAATTCAGGAGTCATGCACACATCAAAAGTGGTTGTCAAGCTGAAATCACAGGGCACGTTGTGTTTGCGGGTAAACTCGTCCACCTTCTCGAGGACTAGACGTTCATTGGCAATGATCTTAAGTGCTTGCTCCTCGCCGTGGACTTTGGCGTAGGCTGTGAAACCTCGGAAGGCATCTAAGAAGAACTTTGTTAGTACATTTTTGTCCTCTTCTCTCTCTCTCTCTCTCTCTCTCTCTCTCTGAGGGTATACCTGGTCGGACATGTCCTGCATTGCGAGAGCTAGCACCACTGGCTGCTTCTCGAGCCTCTAAAATGATAACATCTTCCCCATAAACTCCAGCTTCGAGGAGTTCAAAAGCCGTCAAAGCGCCGGAGATCCCCGAGCCAATAACCACATATTTGGCCACGCGCGGAACTGCAACATGGCGATTAGCGAGGAGAGACGGAAATGCCCGTGTCGTACGCTGCCAGTAACTCAACCCCGGCGATGTGTTGGGGAGACTTCTGCTGGAGCCGGGATGATTAGCCATGACTATACACGAGAGAAAAATCCACAAAGATTACCCGCAGGATGCAAGTGATAATCGCCCGAAAATCTGCGAGATAAATAGTGTCCACAATCTTCGTGCTATCGGCTCTTCCGTGCGGGGAAACTTCTTATCGCAATGAACGCCCCGAACTAGCGCCAGCGTTAGGTTGATTTGGGTTAAATCAAGCAATTGTCTGCTTGGCAATCGCCTATCTCTCTCTTTTTCTTTCTTATTGTTCGCTCCGGCATCCTTCCGTAGGAATGTAGTCCCGCTTCTTATCACGCGCGATCTGAGCGAGGGGTTGAGATGTATATCATGGCCCTTGCTCCCGTCCCTTTTTTGTTCTTTCTCCCCTCCCTACCTTCGTGATGGTCTCCTGGAACGTGTTTCGTCGCAATGCAGTCGTCGAAGATGGGCGATCGCCAGAGGAGAAGGCTCTTGTGCGACGGCTGGATATCTTCTTGTTGACTTTTGGTTGTATTTCTCAGGGTAGGGCGAGCACTTTTTGTTGATTCTACAAAAAACACCCACTGACCACGCTACAGTTATTAAATACCTCGACCAGCAAAATATCAACAATGCCTATGTCTCGGGCATGATGGAAGACCTGCATCTCTACGGCAATGAACTGAATTTGTGAGCGAAAAAAAAATCACACCAGCCACCCTCGAAGATCGCTGACCGCCACAAGATTTACCACGTATTTCAATGTCGCATACTGCATCATGTTGATCCCTTCTCAGATAATCTTGACCTATGTGCGCCCTAGTTTCTGGCTGCCCGGCCTGGAGATCGTTTGGGGGGTCCTCACGGGGCTGGTCGCCATGACCAGGAGTGCCAAGCAGATCTATATACTTCGGGTGTTTCTCGGGTTATGTGAGAGCAGTGCGTGGCCGGGCATGATTACATTGTTTAGTATGTCAACCATGATCGAACTCCTCACTGAGCACGATGATGGTACATCTCAACATGGTCTGTAAACTAACTCTTCTCAGTGTATTGGTATACGCCGACCGAACTCGCCAAACGCATGGGCTTCTACCACTCGTGCCAGGCAGTGGGCCAGATGATGTCCGGAGCCTTACAGGCTGCCATTTCTGACACGCTGGATGGACACGGCGGGCTGGCCGGATGGCGGTGGCTATTCGTGATCAACGCGATCATCACAGTGGTCTGGGGATTCGCCGGGTTCTTCATGATCCCCGACCTGCCCAACCGGCCCAACCCCCGGTCATTCTGGTTCACGAAAGCCCACGCGGAGCTATCAATGGAACGACTGGCACGCACCGGCCGAGCCGAGCCCAAGAAAATGAGCTGGGCAGGCGTCCGGCGCACATTCAGTGGCTGGACAGTATATTTTATCTCGGTGCTGTACATCGCCACGGTGCTGGGCACGTACGGCTACGTGTACTTCTCGTTGTTCCTCAAGGCGCTGAAGAACCCAAACGGCAGCGCGCGCTGGAGCGTGACGCAGGTGAACGCGATCCCGATCGGCGGGTCGGCCATCAACGTGGTGTTTGTGTGGATCTGGGCCCTGCTGTCCGATATCTTGAAGACGCGCTGGACGCTCATCGTGCTGCAATGCATCATTGGGATTATCCCGTGCATTATCATGAGTGTGTGGACCGCGCACCCGACCACGGTCAATCTCTCCGCTGCCTACGTATCATACTTTATCTCGTTTATTTGCCTCGGTACCGCACCTCTTATCTTCGCCTGGCTGGCTGATCTCATCCCGCAAGATCCCGAGGTCCGCACGCTCATCGTCGGCGTGGCGGTCGCTGGGTACTATGCCATCTCGGCATGGTCGCAGGTCCTCGTCTGGCCTGCGTCCCAGGCTCCGTATTATAAGTATGGGTGGCAGTCGGCTTTGGCTCTGCTGGTTCTGGTGGTTATCATGACGTGCCTGCTGCGCTTTATTGATGTGCGCTATCTCTTGCCCAAACGTACCGCTTTCCAGGCCGTTTTGGATGCTGAGGCTGTTGGGGGGAAGGATAGTGTGTCGGCGGGGGCTAAGGATGACTTGGCTCAAGGGAAGGATGCGACGCAAAAGGTGACTACTGTGGATTCCGTTTGAATTATGACTGTTTCGGTAGTGGAAGTACCAGTCCAATGAAAAGATCACAGAAATGGTATATATTAGGCAGTGGAGAAATGCTACCACTAAATACATGGCCATGAAGCCCACGTCAAGAGTTTGGAAGATACAAATTAGTCTTAACCGCCTCAAGTATAATATCTGTCTCCGCCGATGACCTCCCCTTTCAGAAGAGCTAGACGCCATCTAACGATGTCTAGTAGTAGATCGGGTGCTCCGGGTCTGTGAGGTCAAAGACAACACTAGAGTGAGGCTTGCCACCACCACGGTTCGCAAACTCCTTATTGAAGTCGATAGTGCGGTTGAAATGCAAGCTGCCATCCTTGTTGATATCAATGTACAGCGCCTTGAAGTCAGCGGGTGTGTTGATCAACCCGATCTGGCCGGTCTGCACAAAGTAGTCGGTGACGACCAGGTGCTTCTGGTCGGGCGTGACCTTGATGTAATGCGGGCCAACGGTGGGTTGGTCCTCGTCGGGATCGTCGAGACGCTTGACATTGTCCAGGTCGCTGATATCCAGGGCTGCGATGTGGTTGGCGGTCGTTAGGGTGAGGTAGATGAAGCGGCCGTCCTGACTGATGTCGGTACTATTTGTAGAAAGGTTGAGGTTAGCTTTACCTCTCTCACTGCGGCAAAAAAACTTCGGGTTTGTTGAAAGATTACTCACTAGATGGCAGTGGTGTCACGGGCTTTCGGCCCCAGGTCGTACAGCTCCTTGATCACACCCTGCTTGCCGTTGCCGTCCTTGCGCAGCGGGTAAATCACCCACACCTGACCGAGATGCACGGCAGTGGCAAGGGCAGCCGACTCGGGGTGCCCGGGAATGAACTTGACGTCTTGGATACCGCCACCCTAGCGAGAACTTTTAGTAAATCTCACTTTGGATTTCTTAGGAGGGTTCAAACTCACATCGGGGATGGTCAGCGTGCTAAGAATCTTCCTCGAATCAAGATCCCACAGACGCAGGGTATTAGCCCTCCGGATGCCCGTGCTGGGCTTCAGGATAGAGATGGGCTCCACAAAGTCAGAAGTCAGGATGAGCTTCTTCTCCCAGTCGATGCTGAGACCATGGGGCGAGAACTGCTCGCCGAGAATGTTGAGCGTGCCTTCGACGTCTTCAGGCCACTCGTGGATGATGTCAAAGTTCTTGTCCGTCTCGATGAGACGGCCCGGTGCGGTGCCCACTGCAGAGCCCATATATGTGATGAAGAAGCCTCCATCCGGCTTGGCCCGGACCTCATCTGCAATCGAGCCGAGAATAGCCCGGTTGCTTTTGAGGAACTTGGGGCGGTACGGGTCACTGGTGTCGAAGTAGAATCCGGTGTCCTGGGGATGGGTCAGACGTGTGGGCCCAGATTCAAGGGATGCAAGAGCAAACTTACCTGAGTCTTCAAGAGAGACAGAAGCCCTCCACCCCACAGGGTCTTGCCATCAAGAGACGGGCCAAGGTGGTGGGGGTCGTTGCCACTGCTGGGCACGTCGGTGACCCACAGAAGGGTGCCGAAGGTGTCCTGTCATTTGGTCAATACATCACTCGTACACTAAGGGCCAAGGGTAACCACATACATCATCAAGACTGTATGTAGCAAGGAAGTCTACCAGCTTTTGTTAGTAAACGTCTCAAAGACACGCTATTCATTGACATACCCTTGTGGTTTTTGTCACCAGACCCGGTCCAGAAGTATCCAATCTTCTTGGGCTTGATGTTGCTGCCCTCAAAGGGAGGACTCTTGAGGGGTGGAGTGGGCACCTGAAGGATGGGCAACGGAGGGGCATTGGTCGTCAGAGGGTCCGTCACCCCAGGAATACTGGGGATGAGCGGCGGCAGCGAAAGACAATCCGCAACGGAGAGCAAAGACGCAATGGAAACGAGAGAAGGCTTCATCTTGTTAGATCCAATTATATTGAAAAGGGGACTTGAGAAGAATTGCGATGTTTGAGCACATTTGAGAGGAATACCTCATCATTTATATACCCGAGCCGGCTTTCTAACATCTTCAATCTCTTGTTTCCTTCTTCGTCTCCCTGTCACCTCCCCTCTCGCCATCGACATCGTCCAACCTAAGCACGCAAGAGGGTCAAATCCCGGCTGTTGATGGCTTTTCAGTAGTCCATGGCTATTGTGATCTGTGGAAGGGCAAATCCCGGTATCGCAAGGTCGACGCTGTCCGCAAACACGACGACTTCGAGTCATCTCGAGGAGCCGATCACGGCCGTGGTGTTCCCAAAACCTGGTTTCCTGCAGAGCCAAGTGCTCCTCAAGTTGATCGGATGTCGTGATCCAGCCTGATCGTGGCTTCTGAATGGAAAACTATAGCTCACGGACAGGGATTCAAGGACAGTGGAGATCAATAGTCGGAACCCAAAAATGCGCCGTCAGCAATGCGAGATAGAAGGTCACAGTGCCCTCCTCCCCGTGGTGAACTTGCGGGATTCTCGTCTGCAGTCTGTGGCGAAATGACCACGAACTAGGGCAAGGTCAATGACTTACCCGATTGGGAAGAGCCACCGCCAACCTGGCAGGAGAGAGTATACTTCTCCACTTCTCGATGGCATCAGCAGACTCCTGTTTGCTGGAAGATGGACCCTGCGGGGGTCAAAGCGAAGCTTAGCTCCATTCTCGGGGGAACTGTCCACCACCGAGCCCGCCAAGAAAGCCAAGGCTGGCCGGGGGACCAGTCAGTCAAGCAGCGGATGAGGTGATTCTCAATAGACCGAACCTCTCTCTCTTTCTCATTTCCCGCCAGATGAGCCACTTCCCCAAATAATGAATCATGGACCTGGTAGATCGCTTGTCAGGTCCCTGGATCGGCGGTCACAATTTCTCCATGCGGATCGTCTTCACCCGCAAAACCATGAGGGATGTCGCCAACATGCCAAGGAATGTTGTTATACTTGCAGTCAAACCTTGCACAGGGTCTGTGGTTAGTCTAATTTCGACCATTAACACCTGCCCGGCCTTTTGCCTGGCTATCGCGCGGGATTTGAAATTATGACCGGCCTCTTTGTTGCATCACGAGTTCCCGACCAGTCAATCTCTCGGCGCATAAGGAAGAGACTTTCAAAATCAACATTCACCATGATAAACATGCGAATATCGCGATATCGGAAGATGATGTGGTGATTGACTTTTCCCGCGCTCTGGTCGCTTCTACTGATCAAAGAGGGGAAACAAGACCAGGAAACGTATATATAGAGGCGTGGGATACAGGGCTTCGAAGCCAAGCCAGACCAGGCCACATCCCATTGGTTTTCCCCTATATATTCATTTCTCACTTGATCTTTTCTGTCCCTCCAAGATGAAATCCGAAAGCCTTGCTCTTCTCGGGTTCTTCTTCTCCTCGGCCCTCGCCATCCCGAAGCTCGAGACGCGACATGAGTCGCCCAATGAGCAACCCATCCATGGTGGCAAGGGTGCCCCTATCCTCGGTTAGTAGGGACATGCCTTGCCCGTCATGCTAGTTTATACTAACTGTTCCTGGTCGCAGGCGGTACCAACAAGCCTATCGATAAACAAAACCCGGACCACCTCCGTACCCCCAGCACTGACAACGGGTTCGTGCCTAATGTCAAGTGGAGCTTCTCTGAGTCGCAGACCAAGCTGTTCCCTGGTGGTTGGTCTCGCGAGCAGGTCATCCAGGATCTCCCGCAGAGTCATGATATCGCCGGTGCTCAGCAGCACTTGAAGAAGGGCGCCATCCGCGAGTTGCACTGGCACCGAGTGGTAAGTGTTCTCAGATCTTTGTCTTCACCCCAATAGGTGCTAACTTCACTGAGCAGGCCGAATGGGGTTTTGTCTACAATGGTTCTCTACTTTTGACCGGAGTTGACGAGAACGGCGGCTTCACCACGGAGAAACTGGAGACAGGCGATATCTGGTACTTCCCCAAGGGTGTGGCACACAATGTCCAGGGTCTGGACGAGGAGAACGAGTACCTTCTCGCCTTTGACGACGGTGACTTTGAGAAGATTGGGTAAGTCGGCTTTTCTCAATACACGAGACCCATCAATACGATCAACCATGCTAAATCTAATAGAACTACCTTCATGGTCGACGACTGGATCGCCCATACTCCCCCTGAGATCCTGGCCAAGAACTTCGGCGTGAGTTCCGACGTCTTCAAGACCGTGCCTAAGAAGTTCCCGTACATTCTGAACGGCACGGTCAGTGAGGATTCCAAGAAAGCACCCGAGGGCACTCTAAAGGGCGACAGTTCGTACGTCTACCACACGTACGAGCACAAGTCGGAGCCCGTCCCCGGTCACGGTGGAACTTTTCGCAAGATTGACTCAACCAACTTCCCCATCTCCAAGACCATTGCTGCCGCGATTGTCGAACTGGAGCCTAAGGGTCTGCGTGAGCTGCACTGGCACCCCAACGTGAGTGTAGTTTATTACCAACTGCATTGGAGCAATGCTAAATATAATATTCCTTAGGCGGAGGAGTGGCTTTACTTCCACCAGGGCACTGCTCGTGCGACGATTTTCCTTGGTGACTCCAAGGCGCGCACATTCGACTTCACGGCTGGCGACACAGCCGCATTCCCGGACAACAGTGGTATGTAGCTTTCCACTAAACCGTGGGTATAGAAAATACTGACCTTTAAACGCAGGCCATTACATTGAAAACACCTCGGAGACTGAGAGGCTGGTCTGGATTGAACTCTACAAGAGCGACCGCGTGGCAGACATTTCTCTCTCCCAGTGGCTCGCCCTGACCCCAGCTGACACCGTCGCTAACACTCTGAAGATTGACATTGACGTAGTCAAGAGGATCAAGAAGGAGAAGCAGCTCCTGCTTCAAGGCAAAAAATAGATGCTTCTCCTCGCAGCTGGGAGTGGTTGCTCCAAATTTTCTATACTGGACTCTTAAGTTATTACTATCAATCATTATCTTAGTTTAATTTTATCACTTTTTTCTCTTTTACCTCCTCCCAGCCGAGTTCCTAGTATTGGGAAATCCCTAGTCTAGGACTGACTGATGCTTTCATCCCCAATCCACAAATCAATGCAGCTCAAATCAATCAGTCACCCATCTGCTTTCAAAAAAACCCACACCAAGGCGACTGCTCCAGCTGCGACGCCAGACCGTCAGTACGATCCGGCAAGAGACTGTAGCGAAAACGTTGGACAGGATTCAGTCGTGGGTCAGGGCACTGATCTACCGAATCCAGAGAAAATTCACTTGTATGATCAAGGGTGCCGCCTCGAGGAAATTGAGCAATTCGAAGAATGGCTTGACCGGGTTACTAGAGTCCTCAGAGAATTTGGGCTCAACTTGTTGACCCGGATTTCCCACGGCCCAAAACAAGCGACCCGAATGAAAAGATGTGGAAGGGACTGTCCCGCAGAGACCAGATCTGGTTGGTATGGAACATGGAGCCAAAGTTCGTCAACTGGATTACGCCCCGTGGATTCAATATCGATTTTGCCAATTATTTCATCCGAGAAGCCAAGGAGGCGCTTGGCAATGGGGGAATATATGCGGTGGGCAATGCAGTTCACTCCTGCCTTGACCCCAGATGTGCAGACTTCCCGACTCCCGAGGGCTACATCTAGGCCATTCAGGCCAACTTTGCCCGATGTCGCACTTTGGGAATCCCGCTTTAGCCCTACCTGGTAATTATCCATATGCTCCGACAACCCAGGCCAGTGATGGAAAGCTACATCAAATCCAAATACATTGTCTTGAACTCTAGGGACAATCCTGTTGAATCCTTCTCGGAGTCAGACTTCAGCACGATGTGTATGAGTCTGATCGGCTATTGCCATGTCTGCCAACCTAAATAGGCTTGTTTTGCTTACAATCAGGCTGGAAGGTCAAAACACAAGAGCACCGATTGTCGGGAAAAGAAATCACAAAATTGGTCTTTCTGCGATGAATGGTCCATGACAAAAGCTTAACAGCCTTTTATGTTCAATCACTCCTTTTCCGCACAGCAGAAGACCCAGGCAGCTACGAAAATAGCCTGCTTTCATCCAAGTCCAATGGCCCAGCGATTCGATCGGTGAATAGAGAACAGTGACTGGTTGATGTGTGATCACGTGAGACGATGAGGACTTTTCAGGAGTCGATGCTAAAATAGAGCGATTGGTACCCAAGGCCAATATGCTAGCACTGTGTGGATATTTGTCTTCCATAGCTATCTTCACTAAATTCACTTGTCCATCCATTCTCTCTTTATGTGCATCATCATCATTGTTTGCCTCGAGCCAAGGTCGCTGCTTATTCAAAGTTGACAGATATAGTACGGGAGTACTCATAAAGCCATTAACTGACACAGGTCAAGTAAAAAGATCCGTGAAATCAACTTTCCCGTGCCGCATGGCTGTTGTGGTTCTTTTGTGTCACACTAAAGTTGAGACTTTTTGCGGGAGGATCCAGTTAACACGTGGACCTGCGGCCCGGCCCGCAACCATCCCAAGAAAACGTTGTTTTTACATGTTCGTGAAACCGCGTGCGGTTGAAAACAAAATCACCATCGGAAAGCATAGTCATTAGTGGTTGGCCACGCAGAATGTATCACATGCATCACACATATGTTGCAGTAGTATAACATGATTTTCCTGCTAGACGGATTGTTATTCTAACCTCGGCGTTTATTATGCGCGACATCCATCAGGATTCTCTGAACCCTAAATTAGGTCCACGCCATGTGGGGGATCACGAGGGGTTGTTCTTTGGCCGTGGAATATACTGTCGAAATTCGTAATATAAAGGTGTTCTGTAAGAAAGCGCAATGCGATTGTCACTGTATGATTGTACATAAATAAATCAGTAATTGAGCAAAGCCAGTGGTATAGGAAAAAAGACTGACTGATATATGATGGTCCAACTTGTTTCAATGCATGCTTTTGCTTTTATTATTCACCAGAGTAGATAAAGAAGAAGAATTAATATAGAAAAGAGCATAATAAAAATCTGTCAGTAGATACGCAGAAGAATAAGGGGAAAGGGGGGCAGAGAAAGGCTAGGCAGATCAAGATATGAGGGAATCTGAAGGAAACACAGGGAATTTGGTAGAATCCATCCGAAGAAGGGTCAGGAGACAAAATAGGCGAAATGAGGAGCCGCAGGAAAGGGGGGAGGCTAGGTAAATGAGCAGTGAAAAACTAAAACGACGGCGGAAATTAATGGTGGAAACGACAGCAGCAACGAGGCCGCGCTAATGTATGCATGCTCCTCTCACTTTGCTGCCCCTGTTCTCTGCCAAAGTTTGACGAGGGAAAATAATTCAAGGAATTTGAATGAATTAATAAAAGCCCCTTCGATAAAATTCTGATTTTGTGATAGCCTCTCACAGCTTGTCGATACTTAGCAGGGATCCGCTCTGCACAAAGCGATCAGGGGCCCAATTCCCCACCAAACTATATCTGCCTTGATTCGGAAGGTGATTCCCCAACGCCCCCGTATACCGATTTTTATGTTTTATTTATTATTTATTATTTATTATCTTCTGTTTGTGTTCCAGCCTTGAAAGACACCCCCGGAGCCATCTCGCCCCGGGCATGCCTGTCCCTAAGTCCAAGATAGGAAAATTTTTGTATTGGTGAATCTGCGACATGTTCATTCTGCGCCGCCCAGAATAAGGCTAGACACAAATCAGACCGGGTCGTCGGCAGTAAACAGCAGCTTCAATATGTCTCTATACTCGTTTCTTGCTACTGCAAGTAGAGGTGTTTGAAGCGTAAACGTAGGTTGAGCGTATGCCCTTGCTGCCAGGGATTTCTGAACAGACTCCAATCGGCCATTTTCTGCAGCTTAACTCGATACCGAACTGCTCTATAGGCGTATCCCGCAACGATAAAGATAGGGACTGAGAAGCATGTAAAGGTGACGGTTTGTTTGGACAAGTAGGTATATGTATTTTGGAAACTACAGGTGCTCTGCAATCAACAACCACAATTCATTTGATAAATAAAGCTACATATTGAAGAGATTGGCCTGATTGCTTTGCAATCTACTCCGTATGCGTATTCAGGATGATGGTTGTAGTAGGTAGGAACCCTCCGGTCGCAGGAGCCGTAAGAAGTAGCCCAAGAAGAATAGGGGTCAGTAGTTCTAGATCTCAGGGGCTTGATATTGCAAGTTCCTATACATACAATATACACTAAGTCCACGTATCATTATATATATATTATGGGTTGTATGTACAGTGACGGTCCATAAGTTTCGACAACACGCCCGCCCCACATATCTACACCGCCTATACCGCCTACCAAATATATCAACCCCCGAATAATTTTTCTTCTACTATAGATATCTCGGTCGGAATTGACGCTACGATCGTATTTTTTTGATATATTTTTCTATATATTTTTATTAGCAGTATATTATATAATATATGTATATGGGTCATTATTGTCGAAATTTATGGACCGTCACTGTACGCACTGATCAGCACCATGGACTTCGTTATATGATATTTCCATAGGGCATGTCACAATGCCTGGTGGGGCTGTCCACTCTCACTAATGAACGTACTGTATCTCCTGAGAAAAAATGGTCCAAGTCATATATAGCGTATTCACTTGAATACACTACAATACATAGGCACAATATTTACCTTCCGCTAGTCAGATCGCAGAGCGGCAGCGGTAATACTGACAAGAGCAAGAACCAGCACCTTTACTGAAGTATACTGTTCTCCCTACACGTGGGCCTAACTACCTGCTTCTTTTTTTTTAGATATTCTTTCCTTCCATAAATCACGAGCAACTCATTAGTGAAATCGAGCTAAAATCAATCTCACGATACTCAGTATTCTTTATCTTTCGAGGCTACAGCTATAGATTAATCACCTAGCCAACCCGATTCACAGATATATAGCAAAAGACAGACAAATATTTTGTGGCACCGCTTTCTGTACCCCATTATCACAACCTTCCATTCCTGGCAGCACTGTCGGAACCCTGAGTAGTTCCGACAGATATACAGAGGCTATGTTCTTTACCGCAGGTTTACTACGACCACAGAACACAGTGTCAAAAGCTCTCCCCTCAATTTTGAATAGACACAGAGCTGGAAGCTCACATATTTTCCCCTGCCCTTCTTAGAAGTGTCCAGAAATTTGATCATATAGGTCCACATACATTGATAGGGTTGACGACGTCGCAGACCTTCAGGACGGGGGGTTCTTCTTTCGGGTGAATAATATATATATCCTGATGGGGGTTTGTGTGATTAGCAGCAGTAACAAAGGTAATGAATCCTGGCTTAAGGTAACCCACCAGATTAATTTCGTCAATTCGTGGATAAGGCCAGATTATTTCCCGAGCTTTCTCGACAACCCAACAAAGATAATGCACAATAGGGTTTAGGATAGTCGCCGTAGCCATGATTGTTGGTTCCAAACCCAAGGTCAAAGAAAATTGAACAAAGACAAACCATGATTTGGGGTTTCCTTTCCTTATATGCAGAGCTGCCGCCTGTGCAGACCTGTCCAGGTGTCCATTCATCTCTTGCTCACGTTGGGGCAAAAATATAATTTAAAAAAAAGAAAAGAAAAAACAAAAACAAAAAAAAAGTCCAAAAAAATTATACCTTGCTCTCGTGGCCGTGCCAGCCCCAATCAACCCACAAGATGGTAGCGTCAACCCGGTGGAGCCACTGCTCCCCTTTCCTCGGGACCATGTATATTGATGGGACCGAACCGGAGTGTTGGTAGAAGTGATGGTAGATTGCATAGACAAAATTCATGATGACCTAGTGCTTCTTCTTGCTCAATCTTTGTCTCATTGCTCGTAATGACAGTCACAGCAACATATACACAATGTACCCTAAAATAGACGCCTCACAGGGAGTTCGTAAAGAATTTGTATCCACAAATTTCTCGATGAACAGTGACTCCTAGAAGATAGGGAATAGTGGACTTCTTATGATAGATGTGATTCTTTGGATTATATTTTGTATTTTTCTGACTAGGTTGTTGAATCTCTGGGGATCTTGGGTGAAGTTCACTGGTATCGCAAACAATTAGACACAATCAGGTCTGCAGCTTCTTTTTGGTTGCAGGGGTCTAGGGGACTACTATTATTTTGTTCGCGTTTGAATCTGCGTCCGCTTCGCCACTAGATAGCCAACTTGGCCCCTATCCCGAATAGCTCTGATCCTGCTGAACGTAAGTCTTGCTTGGCGATACAACGAGGGCCTATTTGGGATGAGAAGAAAAACCCCGAATATCTTGGATGATCACTATGGTAATCATCTAATGATGTGGGTGGCTAGCGTCGATCCACCTGTTTTCCTGGGCTAACTAAAAAAGCCAAAACCCAATGGGTGTTGCCATTTTTGGTTAGTATAGCTTTTGGGGCCAAGAAGGCAAGATATTATATTTTCAACAATTGAAGGGCCCCAGATAATTCAGAGGGTTGGTAAAGGGCCAGGCAGAGAGAATCAGGGAGCAAAATAAAAAGGCAGACATAATTAAGAGAGTTCAAGGGAAGCTGTCAAGTCGTCATCGAGAGGAAGAATCTCTCTTCCTGCTTACCTGGTCTCTCTGCTCTATAGGTGATCTGGGAAGTGGTGGAAGACTTCTGATTATATGTTGATAGCCCAAAGAAATATATCAGAGGATAGTTCCCTGAGTTTACTTTTTCAAAGGTTATTGGCTTGAGGTTGGCAAGTCCTGTCAGGGGAAGAGAAAAGGCGAAGGAAGACAGAGAATGGGAAAACTGGGACGTATTACCATGTCCAACAGTTAATTAAGCGCAAGCTGTATGCCTATTTCTGCTAGGGTTAGGGATCATTATTCAATCTCCTCAGTGCTTTCTCGAGGTTGCTAGGGTGTACTATTTCGCCAGTGAAATAGTGTTTGAAAATAGAGAATGATCAACGTATATACAGCCCCTATCCAGGGCTTACTAGGGTGCATAGCCTCATGTGTGAATCATTGCCTTACATTGTATAGAATAACTTTTTTTTTTAAAAAAAAAAAAGAAAATAGTAATAAAAAAAATAAACAAAGGGAAACAAAGGGAAATAAAGGGAAACAAGAAATAACCTTAAAAAATATAAAAAAAACTAAGGGACAAGAAAAGGAACAAGGCCTCCCTAAGGATCTGGAAGAAAAACTGACAAAATTGTCACTTAATTGTCGCTGAATTCTTGATGAGCAGTTGTTTCTCGTGGATCCGACCCTGTGGAGCTTCTTGTCAAGATGTTCGAGAACCTAACGCACGCCGAGTCTGACCACACGTAAGAAAACGAGGCTGGGTGGGATATACCCTGCATTGTACTTTTAATCACCCGGGTGGTGTCCGGTATTTTTCTTTTTCGCACTCTTTCCTTTTTTTTGCCCCCACCCTTGCAAGATGAGCTGCCTTTCTCGATAGGCGGCAACTTGGCCATCAAATCCTGCGGATCGATGATCTCTGTTTCTTCAAAAGCAGAATCAAAGAATAAAATTAAAATGACCTACAGGCAGGATTGCACCCCCGGGTCCAGCCTCCACGCCCCTGGTGGGCCGTTTTCTGCTTTCTCCCCGGGAACTATATGCTTCTGCTCCCGGCTCTTTTTTATCCCCGACCTCCCCTTTCCCCTTCCATACTTGATTAATTGAGTTATTTATTTATGCACCTATTTATATATTTCATTTTTAGCCCGATAAGAGTTTTCAACGGCCACGGAATTTCCTATATTGGCATTCCGACTTCCCAACCCGACCACCTACCACTTGAGGGGGGGATGAAGCCAGAACACTGGAATTCGAAAACCATGTTACCTTCAGTAAACGGCGTTGGTTAAAGAGCGCCTGGAGCAAAAGGAATGCGTGAACCAAGGGCCGGAGAGTCATGTTCCATAGTGAGTGTTGTTTAAGAAACTCAAACCGAATGCTGAACGCCATTTTTCATTTTAAGGCTTCTACTATTCTTGCCCAAGACTTACGGTCCAATTTTCCATGAACCCAATGCCCCATACAACCTCGATCCTCGTTCTCCTTCCATAAGACCAGCAAGTTATCGAGAGCGATTCCCAGACTTGAGATCAGTCCACAAATCCACACTCGCATGTACCAGCAATGGCTTTTTGCCTTGTACCACAGATCAAAGACAGGCTGTCTGGCCCAAGATGTGACGATCACCTGGGGTTCTTTCGCGCCGAAGGATCGCGGTATTATAGGTCGATTCTTCATGCAGGAATTTTGCTCGATGATCTGTCCTACGCACTGCGGTCCTCTCGCGGCAATGATTGTTCGACGGATTTGAATGGCGCCATCGACCAAAGATGCCAGTTGATCTTGCCCGGAAGACCAGCACGAGGAATCGGTCGACAGGGGAACTACTCCCCATGGATTTCCAAAGGTTGCTTCATGCTCGAGCTGGCGCTGGATGTTCATAATGATGCCGAAGTCTTGCTTGCAGCATGGATCTCGCTTGGCTTGCTGGTAAAGAAATGCGATGACAAGGTCGTGCTCAGTGTCTTGAGCTCCGCGGTTATGGGCCTTATTTACCCACTTGTCAACGTGGGCTTGGGGGATTAAAAGCGTCTTGCTGGCTCATCTTGAGGAGGGGCGTGTTATATTTCTGACAATCTGCCTGCGGGAGCCGTTCAAGGAAACCACCCAGCTTGCACGGAGGGTCTCCTTATAGCGCGCTGCGATCTTGTGGCTATTACCCCTACAGTGACTGCACTCGGCCGGTATTATTTCTCGCAGCTCCTGCTTCAACTTTACCGGTGGCCGAGTACAGAAGTTCCACTGATCAACTTTCCATCAAGAATCGCACAATAGGTTTGGGCGATTTGAAGCATCGCTGATAAACTGTCAGGCGTCATGGACAACATGGATCATACTTTTTATTTTGGGTGGAATACCATGGGAGTCTTCAAATGGATGCTGAATCTTGAATCTCAGAATACATCCACCCAGCAACATCACGGTTTGAATTATCAGCACGTTGTCCTGCAATATTCCAGGAAAGCTTGCCTTGCCGAAGATAAGCTCGAGATTTACGGGTTTAAGGATCTGCACGACTTGCTCCGGTGATGGAAGGTTCACTGCTGCTTCTACCCGTTTATTGAGCTTTATGCCTTGCCATATTTCTGGTGTGCGAGAATGCTGCCGTCGGAGCTTGAGCGACGTGCGCTGTTATTAGCAGTGTGAGTTTTAATTCCTGGTCTTCATCAATTGAGCTGGCAGTTCTTACCCAAAAATTGAGTCTTGTATCCAAAACAGGCCAGTGGACGAGTAAGGCCTGTGCCGTCGAGCGAAATTCCTCAAGTTCACGCTTCCCATGGAAGACCAGAGTGAGACTATGCTCCAGAGATCGAGACAGCCCTCTGTCGAGCACATTTAATTTGAGGTCCATATTTTCCATATAAACAGAAAGCCGAACTTATGTTATATCGGAGGTCATCGACGGTTGCTGCCCGATTAGCACTGAATCAACCCTCCTCTCTCCCTAATAGGTTGGAAGACCCACCGACAATCAGCTCGTTATCTCAGGTGGTCTTACTGCCCCTAGAAGGATTCGTCGAACGTGGAGACTCGAAATTGAGAAAGAGGGGTTGTTGAAACGGAGTTGTTTTCTTTGCCAATATTATTTGAGTCAAGTATATGGCAGGGTAAAAATACAGCCCGTGAATCAGCTTGCTTCTTTTATGATGTCGTCTTACCGGTGTATACACCTCATAGTACGATGATATCTTGTTTTTCCTTCTCTTACTTTTTCGAGTTTGCCTCCAAAGTCTTGACATTTTTCTATCTTGCCAGATGTCTGTTTTTAGGCCGCACTGCGTGCCTCGGATGGCTTGGCATTTACGGGTAAACAAGGCTGGTAATGGGAGTGGGAGGCGGCCCATAAGTGGATGCAAGTGGATCCGATGTTAATTTTAACCTTATTTCAAGGTTGCTTGTGTTGGACATGCTCACTCGTGGGCAGACTGACACTCAATTGATGCCCACGAGACAATAATTCGCATCACTCCGTGTTCTCAATGGGTCGAAATGCCTATACCGATGATCGCCCCAGAGACTGGGTTCCTTCCAAGCGCTTGGACCTCTCAGGAAGCTGTTCATTCTTGTATTGAAATATTCTATCCCTTCTAGTTGTGTCATAAATATGACTACTGCGGAGCTATGCTAATCAAAGATCAACTCACCCTTGCGTTGATCTTTTATCCCTGCGTTTTATACAGACTCGGGCCATCGCCAGGCCTTGTGGAATGCCCGTATTCCTAATTGGGCTCATGTTTGGGGTACAAGGCATGTATATCTCTTCAGGCACGGGATGTCTCAGAATCACAGTGAGAATTAGAAATTGCTGGAAACATACTCAACTCGAGATTCCGGCCAGCCCATGCAAAACAAAGCACGGTCGTATATCTTATTTTTTGCTTTTCCAGTCATAAACATTGAGAAATGAGGAAATGGCCCAGGCATTTCCCCTACCGTCACATCAAGCTACATGGAAACTTCGAGGTGCTTCGGGGGCAGCAACCCAATCCCCCTGGCGGATTCGGACATATGCAACCCAGGATTTTACTGTATGTCATCCACTTGAAATGGTTACGAGGTGCTGACACTCTTAGGTCCAAACAGCACTGCAGAAAATCCCCCAGAGTACTGTCAGCCCACAATTGAGTGCTTAACTATTCGGCTTGGGCAGTTCACAAACACATGTCCTGAGCCACAGGGCATCTATGAACCAGTAGTATGCCCGCCTGGGTTTTACTGTCCGCCTGGTGGTCGAAGCCGGATCCAATGTCCGCCGGAACACTTCTGTCCACTAGGTACAGCCGAGCCCTTTCGCTGCATGAGACTTTCCATCTGTCCCGAGGGTAGCACTAGAGAGTTTCACCTGGTTGGCTTTCTTGCTATCATTCTAGCAGACATTTTACTTTTAGCTGCGTATTGGTTTTCGACTTCTTCTAGCCAACGCATTTGGCGATTTCTTTGTGGGCGCTTAAGATTGCCTTCGTTTTGTCAAGGGATACAGTCACAGCTTCATTGGCTTAGGCAAGGTGAAAAGCAAGCTTACAGTGAAGATTACCAGCATTGCGAGTCAGAAACGTCTCCTTCAGGATGGGAGCTCACCGAAGCCCTCATGCAAAGTCTGGCCCTGAAGGACACTGGGATAGAGATCGGGTTCCGTGACCTAGAATTTCGCCCAGACAAAAAGAATCCACCAATTATCCAAGGCCTGTCGGGGAATATTCCAAGAGGTGCTTTTCTTGGGATTATGGGACCATCAGGTGCCGGAAAGAGTAGGTGGACAATTTTTGGGGGCCTTTTGGATCAAAGAACTAAACTTCGAAAACAGCAACCTTGATGAACATTTTGGCGGGCAAGACCTGTCAAACAGCCGGGATTACAACATTGAACGGAGCCGAGGAGGATCTTTCTCGGTTCAAGCAGCTCGTCGGCTTTGTTCCCCAAGTCGACGCCGCGTTGGCCGAACTTACTGTCCGCGAGAATGTGTTACTTTCGGCTCGCATTCAGCTGGGTGGCGTCAAAGAAGATGCGTTTATCAAACAACATGTGGAATCAATTATGTCCTGCATGGGGCTCGAGCATATTCAGAACAATATCGTGGGAGATCCGACAACAGGCAAGAGGATTTCGGGTGGGGAGCGCCGGCGGGTGAGTATCGCCTTGAGACTTGTGGCTATGCCATTGGCATTGCTCTTGGATGAGCCAACCTCTGGGTTAGATGCCAGCACGGCATTGTCGATTATGAGGCTCCTTGAGTCGATTTCCCGAATGGGCGTGACGGTGGTATGTGTCATTCACCAGCCGCGGGCCGAGATATTCAAATTGTTTCACCATCTTCTGCTTTTGGACCACACAAACCAAGTTTACATGGGGAATGCGGATGATATGAAAGCTCATTTTGAAGCCCGAGGTTACAATATCTCAGATCGCGTCAATCCAGCCGATGCGATTATGGATATCCTGTCTTCGGATACGGAACTCTTGCCTTTCACTGAAGACATCCAAGGCATGGATCCTGTTGAGACTTGCTGCTCCCACGCCAGGACAGAAACCCTCAATGCCCTATCCGAGATGGTTGCTTCGCGAAAGGCTCGCTGGTATCGACAATGCTCGCTGCATCTTGTTCGTGGGTTGAGACAACAAATTCGGCAAACCACCACCTCGGTAGTTGGTTTAATTGTGGGCGCAATCTCAGGACTCGTCATGGGGCTTGCTGTATACAAATTTGACGGCAACCTATTCCATGGCATTTTCAGACATCCTTTTGAGCCCCTGTCCAGTGCAGTGGAATATACACTCGTTCCACAACTGGCTCTTCTTTCTTGTCTTGCCATCAGTAAGATCATTATCACTGGAAAGTGACGACACAAAAATTGATTATGTTCCAGGCCTTGCCGCTGCTCCCGCGGGGGTGGAGACATTTGGAGGAGAAAGTAAGTCCCAACCTGCTACAAAAGCGGTCGAGCGACACTCTTATATCTCCAATACAGAAAACAACTTCTATCGAGAAGTCGATGCCGGGGATTCTCGCAGCGCATATTTTGTGGGCAAAGAGCTGTCGACCATCCCGCGTATCGTTCTGTCCGCGCTGCACTTCACCACTTTCTACATCATCCTGGCTACGCCTGCAATTTCCTTTGGGATGCTGCTTGTGCTAAATATGTTATTCTTTTACTGTGAGTTCCTGACCATGGAGTCAGACCAAAAAAAAAATTAACGTGGATCTCCGCAGGCGTCTACGGTCTTTCCTCGGCTGTCGCCGCCTTGGTACAGCGCGAAAACGCATTGTTCCTCTCACTCTTGCTGTGCCTCATCGTGGGGATTTGCAATGGCTACGGTCCTCTTCTATCTTCTATCAAGTCCTGGAATGTTGAATGGTTCTGGTATCTTTGTCCTGGGGTAGGTTTCACGAATATCAAACCTGGTCGGCCTTTTTCTTCCTTTGACGACCCTCTTCTGACCGGTCCCAGACCTGGTTTGCAGAGGCCTATTTCACGGAGCACGTCGAGCGTTTTGCATATTTGTACGATACTGAATCCGCCGCGAAGTTTACCGGCTACGTCGCGGGCAGAACAGGATTTGATGGAGGGTGATCTCTTCCCTTATCTTGACGTGCGAGAAAGGTCAACTGACGAGTCACGGAAATTTTTAGGATCCTTTTGCTGATAGGAACCGTTTACCGAGTGTTTGCCTATATTTTATTAAGTCTTCCAACCACGCAAGGCTATCGATGGGTTGCTGGGCGCTTTGCGTTTTGAGGGTCTCGCAAAGTAACCGCATGTCTCAATCGAATCTGGACTCGCACGCCTATCCGCCTTTCTCTTTTTCTTTTCTTATATTTTGCATGACACTTCTATTATCTTTCGTCTTCTTCTTCTTTTAGTCAAATATATCCATAGTGGAACACCTGTCCCGGAACATGATCCCCATAAATGTAAAGATTGGATGATCAAATTATATTATAGAATGTGATCCTCTAAGTCGGGATCGAAGTATGACATGCCTAAGAGCCAGTAATTTCGCATTCCATAGCGATCGCCTTCCCCGTACTGTCAATCTTGCCCCAGATAAACATATCTTGGTAAAGGGAAATTTCAGTTCGTCCCCGACATCTTCCTTACAAGTAACCTGGAATGGAAAGAAGAAAAACACGCGTCTTCTGACACAGTTTTTGATTTATGGAATGCGCCCAACCGTACAAACCCTGTAAGGAATCCCTGACAAAGTCAAGAATGTAACTCCATATTTGATTCCGACTGGCATTGAAGAAAGCGAAAAGTACAGCTTACACGTAAGGCGCTAGATTGAAGGTTCTTTATTCCTAGTTTAGACAACATTGACCTTTCAATTTGATTCATATTCAACTTGTCTCAGTTCAAGATATCTTCAATTTCCGTCTCGGCCCATTCTTGCTGGCTTGCTCACCATGTGGGAGTACTATCGAGGGAAAACAATCTTCATTACTGGGGCTACAGGGTCTCTCGGGACAGCAGTCCTATGTAGACTCCTGAGCCAGACTTCGCCCCACCGAATCTATTTACTTTGTCGTGGAGGCCATGTGTAAGCTATTTCAACGCCTAAAAAAGACTTACGGAAGGATTGGCTGGTTGACGAATATTATCTTAGAAACGCACGCACAAAATGGAGCGATATTCTCTCTACCTCGATGACAACGGCACTGTTGAACGACCCTCGAATCACTATCATAACTGGGGATATCATGAAAGATAATTTGGGCCTGTCCGATCTAGACTGGCAGGTACTACAAGGCTCGGTGAATATCATTATCCATGCCGCATCGTCGATCAATTTGCAGAGCTCGTTGAAACGGCTGTCGTCGTCGATCATTGCGCCCAGCGTATCACTCGCCGAGAGAGCACATGAATTCAAGAAATTGGAGCGCTTTGTGTTTGTCTCTACCGCATACGCCAACACGCATCTATGGCCACTCAGCCAAGAGCCAGATGTGGCAGTCAAGGAACACATCTACCCTCTCTGTGATCGTGCGAGCTTTGATCCCGCAGACCCAGAGAGCTGGACATATCTCAGCACACAGACACAGGAAGAATGGAATAGTGTACAACAAAGCGGTTCGAGCAGGGAATACGAGTCGTATGATTTTCCATGGGCATACGGATATGCCAAACACCTCGCCGAGCGACTTCTGCTGCAAAGATTTGCTCAGCACCAGGCCATCGACAAGCTCCTAATCATCAGACCGTCCGTGTTTGCTCCGGCGATTAGCCACCCCCATCCTGGATTTTCTAGTCCGTTCTCTACACCACTTGCAGGACTCTCTGCTGCCATCAACCTTTGTTTCGGGCGCCACGCAACACTCGCCGCGCGGAGTCAAGACCCATTGACCGAAGCCACTCTGGATGAAGTGCCAGTCGACGTGGTGGTGGACCGACTACTCACGCATCTAGCCTGTGGAACGATTGGGTGCGTCCACGCGGTCAGTGGACGGAAGAGCCGACAGACGGTGGGGGAGTGGTATCGCATGTTTATGGAAGAGCGCCGGCTGCCGTGGGCTATTAAGCCGGTGTGGACGTCTCTCAGCTGGCACTCGCCACAGCTTCATCCGGTCGAAAGATTTTATAAAATCATTGGGACTTCGTTTGATTTCCATGAGGATCGTACTGTGGATGTTCTCTGGGGATTGAGTGCCCATGAGGCCTTGCACTTGAGATTGTTTACGGACGGAAAGGTTAATTCGTTGCGGCCTAGGAGAAATAAGACTCGGCAGCTGGGAATATGCATTGGAAAGAAACAACGTCTCCCTCTTTGCCTCGTCAAGCTCTTGTGTCGTTCGGGCAAAAAGAACTGTGCGGAGTCTCGAGTCCTATGTCAGGACAATGGTTTGAATCAAGAGAAATCTCAAGTGGTGTGGTGAAATATATACACGCAGTGTTCCTTTTCAAACATATCACTGTAAGATGCTACAGTACATCAAACATAACGAGCTATGCATTACCAAAACATATCGACACAAGATCCCACCACGAGCAAATTCAATCATCTTGATCTGGTGCTATCAGTAACATCCGACCAAGCCTAATAGCTGCGGGCTTTTTCACTCACATAAAAAACGCTTACGCCTGCGTAGTCCTTTGGGCAGTGAGGTATCTTTGACATGGCCGACTCTCTGCATAGTAGCCTAGTTAGACATATCCAAAATCAGAAACTTCCATATAGGTCAAAATATCTAATCAATGGAAAGAGCACAGAACCCACAGAGTTATCCTCATTCTCTTGGATTCGGTTTTGGGCTCCAAGCCACAATGCGACTATGACTAGGGCCAGGAAAATGGTATCCAAGATTACTTGAGCACCGATACCCATTTTGGTATCAAAGTAACTCGCTTAATAGATAGTCTCGTTTCTGTGCCAGTAAAGCTCTCAGGGCTTTGAGGGGAATTCCTAAGGAATGAAATAGGAGAATCAGTCCCCTTATAGCTATGGACAATAGACGATCGCTACGTAGCACGCCAGCAGATGAACAGGGGGTCTAGCACTAAATATGACAGATTTACTATCATTAATCCTTCATGCAGCTTTGAAACGCATGTTCCTCAAGTCCTATCGGAATTTTGCAAAATGGTTGCCTTGATGCGTGAAGAGTATTACTAGGGTAATAGACTTATGCAGCAGTCGACCAGGGTCGTGGTTAGACGTTATCATGAACAAATAGGAATCGAGACAGCACGATTTCTCTTAGTACAGATAACCGAAGGAGAATCTACCGATAATTTGTGGTGTGCACGCTGTGGATTCAGGGATTTCGCATGACTTTCCCATTAAGACCCATACCACACCAGCGGGACACTGGACCCAGCACCCAGAGAGCTGGGTCACTGGCCCGTCCCCACTACCAGGTTTCTGGGGCCTCCTCTTCCAGGGGACGGGCCAATAAAATAACAGCGGGGAAATGGAGAGGGTGCCCCGAGACGCAGAAACAGGGAGGTGCTCGGGGAGAAAAATATAGTGGATGTGGTAGGGGGTGTCAGTGGAGCATCACCCCTCTTTAGCTGAGGATCCGCTGCATGGCCCAAGCAGTATGGCTCTGTGACTAGGGCGGTTGGAAGTGGATTGTTGATAATGTGTGGGAGTAGGAGCGGTCAAGGACATGAACTGACGCTATCCTACTTAAGGAGGCTCTCGTGTAGATTAGAGATAATGAGGCTCATTTGTAGCTGAGGGGGAGTGGTTGTAGCGCAGAATAAATATGTCAATTGTATAGACAGTCAAACTTTGACAGTCAACCTTCCTAGTTCTACAGTCAAGGCCTCAATACTACATTCAATCAACGCCAGCCATGCGGTTATGCTGAGTCTTCAAACACCAAACACCAAGCATGGCCAAGTCCAGCCCGGGCACCTTGGGAACAAAGGACAAAACTCCATGCATGCAGTCGCACAATCCTGTGAAATCCAGGAAGACTTCGCCCGCGGAATCAACAAAAGATGATAAACAAGACCCTAGTTTGTAATCGCTTTCCTCCGGAGTACGCCAAGCTGTTCCAGCTTCGCCCAAGCCTGTCCCATATCCGAATACTGCCCGCCTAAAGACGGCTTCAGCTCCAAGCCATCGAGGGTGTGTAGTGAGCCACTGGTGCCGGCATAAAGCAGAAGCTCCAGTACTCTCCGACGTAATCGAGTCGCCTGATCCAGGCGGCTCAGGTATTTATCGTCCGCCTGCGGATCGGCAAGCGGAAGGGTGAATGGATCATTGACTTCAACATCATGGTCGGTCTTCATGCCATCCTCCCAAGCAACGGGGCGAGATAGCTGATCATCGCGCCCAATATCGGCCAGGGCATCCGACAGATCCCGGCCGCTCCCTTGTTGAACGACCGCGCGTTCTTGAGATTTGAGCTTCTTGCGGTCGACATGCGTTCCGCTTCCAGTCACAGGCGGAGGATAGAAACCGACTGTCAAAGGATTGCCACGAAGATCAAGCTTTCGTAGAGAGCATGCGTTTCCCTTGTTAGTGCGCCCCAGCCGGCTCAAAATTTGACATACTCTTCTCATTCGAGCAAGGCGGTTGCCAGCAACCATCAGCCGGGTGAGACAAGCCATTCCGACCAGGGGCTCGATCTCGGCCACGGAATTGAAGTTCAAGTTCAAGACCTTCAGGTTGGGGAAGCTCGAAGAAAAGTCATTGGGAAGAGATTGCAAAGTGCATGCTGCGATGTCAAGCAGTTGCAATCGCAGAAGTGGGGTGGATGGCGACAGGCTCCGAAGTGAAAGCTTGTTGGACGACAAGAACACTTTACGAATGTCCTTCACATGTCCCAGGTCAATATCCAGCACGAAGCTACCGTTGCCTTGCGAAAGTGACTTCTGTTCTCGTAAAGAGAGTACTTCAAGATTTTGACAATATTCCAGGCCGGCAATCGCCGAAAGCGAGTTTTGGTCCAGGTAGAGAAGGCTGGTCGATGGAAACGCTCTGACATCCAGCGTGTCAAGCCGGTTGCTAGACAATTTCAAGGCGCGCAAGCTGATAAGCGATCCCGAAGCATCAAGGCGACTGATCTGGTTGGCGCTGAGATCAAGGGTGGCCAGAGACGGGAGCCATTCAATATTCCGAACAGACGTCAAACAATTGTGACTCAAATCAAGATCCCGAAGGCGTGTCCTGAAACAAGTTAGATTTGGTAGTTCAAGGAAAGCAAGCAAGGCAAAATCAGGAAGAACTCACAGCTCCGACCCTTCGAAATCCACCGCCGTCACAGAATTGTTGCTCAACTTCAAGCTCAACAAGCCATTCAGATCCAGAATCCCGTCAATGTTACGAATCTGGTTGTCATTTGCCTTCAACTCTCGGAGGTGGATCAGGCTAGAAAAGCCATCCAGTGTCTCGATATCATTCCCTGACACATCCAGGTACTGTAGGTTGGTCAAGTGACCCCAGGGAGTGAGGTTGGAGAGACAATTCCTAGGAATCTTGAGAGTTCTCAAGCTTGAAGGAACGCCGCTTAGTTGACCGATGTCGTTCTCAGAAACATCCAACTCCTCAAGGCGAGGACAGAAATCGCTCAGTTTGTGTAAAGTGATCAGACCTTTCTGCGGCAAAGCCAACCGGCGCACATGCTCCCAGTAAGGTTCATAGGGTTCAACGTCCGTGATGTGCTTGATCAGATCCTCCGTTGCGAGAGCAAATGTTCCGTGTACCTGACGCAAGGATGAGGGATGCGTGCGCTGGGCCACATAGCTCATTTCAAGATTCAAGGGGTGATCGGGTTGATTGACTGAAAAGTCAGGAAGTGGACTGAGTTGGAAGCTGTAGCTGGTGTCCGGGTCACCATCTTGATGGGGAACCAGGGAATGTTGTACTGCATCCCTGGCAGGTGTGTTTTGAACGGCCAATGAATCGTTTCTGCGGACAATACTGAGATCATCAACACCATCCTCATTCCTCTCCTCAATTCTAGAGATTGGTCGTCGGATAAATGGCTGACCACCAACAGAGGTACGACGGCCAGTAACGGGGGCAGATGTCCGAGCTGGATTGGTTTGTTGGTCTCCATGAGCCGAGGCGTTGCCCGCTGTGGTTTCTTGATCAGTAAGATTCCCTGGAGCGGGGTTGGACTCTGGAGCATCAGGGTCCTCTCCATAGACCACATGTGAGACGAGAGGAGACGAGAAGCTGATGGTAGGGACACGAGTCTGTTTCCCCTGGGCTTGAGGACGCTTTGAGGGCCCGGTTTCATGGGGCCGAGTTTCATGATTGACGGACCCGGAAGGCTTTCGGTCCGGGATATCATTGGTTTCCCACGATGTAGCTCGTGTGCCGGTATTGGGAACACTGGATGTGAACCGGGTCAATCGAGACTGAACCGAGCTTGCATTGATAGAAGGCTCTCCGTCTCTTGTGTGAGGCCTTGTCTCAGGCTTCTTGGGCGAGTCGCCAGCAACCGGCGGGCTGCGCGCACCATGGGATTCTTGAACCGAATCATTCTTCTTGGCGGGTGAATCAAGACTATGGGTCCTCATCATTTCCTGCAGCTCATCCACACTCAGATCCGGAATATCCCTGAAAGGATCGTCGTCGCTTCCATGGCCCTGAGACATCCGCGCCGGGGGTCGTTCGCCTTCTTTCACCCAAAGGTTCTTTGATCGATCATACATGAAGCCATTGACATGCTCTGGGATCAAATGCGACACCAAATCAGAGGAGAGCATACCCTTGGCTTGCGAGTTTTGTGAGGACCCCGTCGGAACAGAGTGGACACTGAAGCCCGACATTTGCGTGTTAATCGTCATCAAATCCTGGGCAATACTCTCCGCCTGGTCCTCAGCAGAGCCGCTTGGCTTCCGCTTCCTCTGCTGGTTTAATGGATCGCGAATTCGGAACTCTTCGGGACTAGGCTCCTTGGTGTTTGCGTGTCCATTTTCTGAATCGGCATGCATTCGTAGAGATGTCATTAACTCGCCGACACCATAATCCAAGTCTTCTTTCTCCTGATATTTCTTCAGGTGATTGAGGATTTGGGGATTCAGCTCCTTGGGCTCCCGTTGCTTGCGCAGGTCCGTTCCATCGCGGCTCGGTGGACGAGAAAATGCTTCGCGGGTGGACTCGTCGTCATAACTTATATCGTCCTCATCGCTGTCCAAGTGTGATTCTTGCACACTACTCAATCCGGTAGCTGGTCGACCTTTGGCTCTGATTATATCCATAATCTTTGTGGCTTCGTTCAAATAATCCTGGGTCGTGATAGATCCCTTCCGGGAACTGTCACTGGTCCCAGTCACTTTGACCAGAGGAACATCACCATCCATCGAGAACGAGTCTGAATAATCACGCTCATCAAAGTTGGATTCGGAGAAGTTCCTGGTCGCCGCAGCGGTCGCCTCTTGGGCGGACCGTATTTGACTGGGAGTCGGAGTCCTCGGCCGCTGCATAGACTGGGAAAGGCCAGGTGGTGCGAGGAAGTCACCATTTTCGACTTGCACGCCATGCTGCAGCAAGCTTCTCTGCAGGAGGGACATGCTGTCGCCAAATTTGGGAGGTGAATCACCGTTTGCATATTGGGGGCTGGGCTCGGCGCTGTCATCTCTCAAGATTGTTCGACGGCGTTTTGGAGTTGGGTCCATGGCCGGTGCTTTTGGGACTCTTTTGGTCTCTGGGAACCCCATATTTTCCTTGTTGTTCGGGCGAGAATACGTGGCATCACGCAAGTCATCAAAGAAGTCCTGCCGGGCCCATGCGGACGGTTTTCGAGTGAAGCCAGAGCTGATGGATCTGGTATGATGATGTATGTCGGGCTGTGAGCCACGGCGAAGATGCTGTCGTCGAACTGATGACCGTCGGCGTGAAGATGGACGGGACCCAAGCCCTCGAGCTTCGTCATATACGTATATGTTCTCGTAGGGACTGGCGTCCGAGAAATCGAATTTGTCCAATTCGCCGTCACCGAAGCGACTAAGCCGAGAATTGGCCCCATGTCGGGATTCCAAACGCTCGTTCCGTCTAGGTGAAATCTCACTCAATGGTTGGTGTCTCGCGCTCAAAAAGCTTCGATTCTCGCCCTTCCTCCGCGCTTCTTCTGAAGGTGAAGGTGGCTCTTCGCCATCCGACATGTCATCAAAGGTTTCCTCGAATTGACTCATGCGCCGTAGGAGCTTGTTGTTGGTGAATGTGTCATGGTCACCGAACAGCTTCAACGGGCTACCTGAGGACGGCATCGTTTCCTCCTTTGCTGTCCCTTCTGCTGTCGATGGTCGAACGTGAGATGAAGACGGCCGCGGCAACGCAGGGGATCCAGTATGTTGGGAAGGATTGAAGAGCGGAGAACTGCGGATTTTGGAGTTGGCGAGAGTTGCGGGTGTCAGGCGGTGCGAGGGAAAGGGCGATGGAGAGAATCGGTTACGATTTAATCCTCGTCGGCTGAAGTCCATCGTCCCCATGGACAGGTCTTGTGGCAGAGAGTGGCTTGTTGCATCCAGCAGGCTATCTTCTCGAGGCGAACCATCGGGCTGCGGTTCGCTCTGGTTGTAAAACAGGAAACTGTCGCTCACTGGAGAATCAGGGCGACTTCCAGTATCCACAGACAAGCTCTCCAGCTTATTAGTCACTTGCTTCAAGGCCGACTTGATCACCTCAGAAGTCCCGTTGCCGTCAACCGTGTTGTTACGAGTAAACGTAATCGGGGTAATTCCCTCATTGCGTAGATCCTCGAGTCCGCTGGCTGTGCGGAGTTGTGTGTCTCCAATCTGCGAGGAGCCCTCCGGTTGAGGATTCTTGTCATGCCGTTTGCTTGCCCACGGTGCCCGGTTCACTGTTCCCAAGGGGGACTCTGTGCCATTTCCCGCTTCCTCTGCACCGTCGACGCCTTCGGATCCGCGATCGTGCGTCTCGTAATCGTCCTTCTGCGCCGTACTCTCCCGTCGAGACGTTGCTTCGGTGAAATCCCACAGCGGATCTTCCTGCTTCGTAAACGGGATCGTATCCTGGTGCGCAGTCGCCGAGCCAGGTGTCGGGGGCTTAAACACGCTTTCGAGTCCCATCGGCGCAAAAAGATCCAGTTGTTCACCCGCGGGAATTTCCCCGCGCACCAGTCGTCTCCGCCATTCGGGGGTGCCTTCTCCCTCGTCTCTCCTCTCGTCGCCTTTCTTTGGCTTAATCTGAACGGTGTCCGCACTGTGGTTGTCAGACTGGGAGGAGAGATTCGACACGGATCTCAAGGGAGACCGAGTATCCATTGCCGGCGGTTGTTGTTTGCGCGCCGCGGGGGTCGGCTTCGGACTCGGCTTAGGACTAGTCGGTTTGGACTTGTCTGGCACTGGCGACCGCAATTTTGACGGGGTCTTGGGGGTGCGAGGCGTCTTGGGGGTCGGGGGTTCTCGTTTAACGAAGTGGCATGGTCGGGTCACCTTTTTCTTGTCGGCCGGGGATTGTTGTTCCGCAGGTCGGCGTGCAGGTACTGGAATGCGACTAGGGGAATTCTGGACACTGTGTCGAGGAGAGGACTGAAGAAGAGACCGAGACGGCGCCGGGCTGGTGGGTGAAGCAGGTGTTGACGGCCAGTCGTCGGAGAGACTGTCGAGCCATGGTTGATTGCCCATTTTTTCGGGCCTTTGTTTATGGGCCAACGGAGGCGCGCGTCAACTCAGCTCCAACCACAAAAACAAACCTTTCAATGCGACATATAGATTCTTATAAGAGCCATGCTAAGTTATTCAAAGAAGAAAAAGAGTGCGGAGATGCGTTGGTCTGGGCGATGCTCCACTGGAGCTCCTTGTTTATCGCCCTGTTTACGTTGTTTACGTTTTGCCCCGGGCGCTTGGCAGCCTCCATTCTATACATTTGCTATTTTCTTTTATTTCTCTTTTATTCTTCTTTTCTCTACAAAATTGATCTATCATTTGTATCCACTTATTTGCCCTTTTGTTTGCTTTTAACCAATATACACCTCTACCCCATCCGAGGGCAAACTATTGAGACCTTGGTAGCCTGGTGCGTTGGCTAGTCCCACTTAGTCTCGTTCAACGATGTGCCAACTTTTCTTGACCGATATTTCTCGGCCAGCGCCAATTAGAATAGTTGAATATTAGGAAAAGTAGTCTATCTAATTCGAAGGCTCTAACTTCATCTTATTAACGAGCCTTGAATTGCCTGGGCTGAGGTATCCCAGTCATATTTGTTCTCTATAGAATATGGAGATCGAAGCCCTAATGAAAATATATTTCTGTGGCAGCCCTACTTAACGACCACAAATACCTTATTTCTACATAACCCGCAATAGACTTATTTTTGAATATAACAAGGCCTATACATTAATCATGAATTTTGAACTCCTATTGTGGTCCTTGAGAATGATGGTTACAATATAAACAGGAGAAGAGAACAGGACCAAGTCCCATTCTTAAACGAGAAGTCTCTCGAACGAGTACTTGCCCACCGCTTTGCGGCGCAGGTACCCAATCTCACGGCTAGTCCTATTCTTAGTCTCACCAGTGGACTTCTTCAGCTTGGTATGTTCAACATCCGCAGAGCCGGGCTTGAGCGACAGTGGCAGCAACTTGCCACCGGCGTCACCATCGTAGCCATCTTCACCCTCGCCGGGGCGGGTAAAGACCATCAGGTCCGCACCGTTAAGTTTCTCGTACCGGACCAGGTGCGATGGACCCGGGGTCGCGGTTTCGGTTTCAATCTTGGCCAGGGCATCCGCAGACGTGGTCGCTGAAGTGGCCACTTGGTCAGCGAAACGGAGATACTCGTGCAGGATACCTTTCAAGTATGTCGCTTCTTCCACGCCTGCAAGCGCAGCGGAGACTTCGGACTTCATGTCGGCAATCAGCTCCGTCTCACGACTAGCGAATTCAGAGCCATTTTCGAGATCATTCACAGCGGGGAGGGCCGAAATCCAGCCTGATGGACCGACAGCATCCACTGAAGCAGTAATGAGGTCGATGATGGTGTTGAGGGAAAGTGTTGGGGTGATTTGATCGATAGTAATTGGCGTAGGGGGGTTTTCGGTGAAGCGAGAGGTGTAACCGCCAAAGGCAAGAGAAAGACGGAGGTGGTGAACCATGGAAATGAGATCCGTTCGAGACAGACTAGAGCGCAGAGACTGAACCAGCGTTGGTAGTGGCTGCGAGTGAATCTTCTGCAGAGAAGTGTTCAAGCCCTTCAAGACATCCTTCAGCGATGCCGTCTCGCCCCCGAGATGACGTGAGAGTTCCTGTGTAGGGGTAGAAACATCGCCGTTTGTGACGGCTCGCGCGGTTTCCTCGAGGGCACCTGAGCGCGATCGTGCTTGATCCAGGAAGATTCTAAGCGCATAAGCCAGCTCGTCCGAGGAGATCAGGGCCGGGCCCTCGAGGACTTGATTAACGTGCGTCAGAGACGGATCAGAATCAACCAAGGCCTGGACGAAAGATCCCGTCGGAAGCGACTGGAGAATGCGTGGCTTGCAAGCTCGTCGCAGCGCAATCTCCACATTGTCAAGGGACAGGTGCCCCAGGCGAATAAGCCAATCGCATGTAATGGGAGGCCACATTACAACGCGGAGCTGAGATGATGAAGAGGCTGATACTTTGTCTGTGAGTGTCGACTCCTGAACGGCAAAGATCTTGGACAGTAAGAAGAGGGTTGCCTCGGGATTCACATATTGTCCACGTTCTGGCAATGAGGTGGAAGCGTCAGAGCGGAAGTATGCCGACACCGCTTGGTCAAACAAGGTTGGGTTTTTGGACTTTGTGGCGTCTTCAACAGCTTGAGTAAGCTTCTTCCACTTCTTCATTTGCTCAGGGGAGGTGAGCCCCAGGGAAGCCATGTTCTCGAAACGGTGTTTTTTGGATCCCATATCCCATTGAGAAGCAGAAGAGCCGATGCCGCGCCCGATAGCATCAATTAGGAGACCATCCCTCGATCGCTTGAGTGAGGAGCTTGGTGCATGATGCAGCGAGCTTAAGTCGAATGCAATCAAAGTATTTCCTTTCGTCGCAACTGCAATCCCCAGCTTGGCGAAGTAGCTGATGAAGACCGTAGGGCCTTCTGCGGTCGATCCGGCGCCCGATACAATGTCCCCAACGGCAATACTGCGCTGCACAGATTGATATTGAGTGTCGTATACTGCAACAAGAGATTGACTGGCACCGATCACAGACTGCGGAGAAATGCGCATGATGGAAGAGAAGCGTTCATCATCGAGGACGAACTGCGACGTCAGTGTGGGCGAATATTGCGAGAGATCGACATTGAGGAAGCCATTCTCAAAAGAGAGATTCAGCCCTGCCGACCCTGAATGGAAGTTCCAATGCATGGAGCTGCTACTGATCCCCTTCAACTCACTAAGATCAGGAATGTGGATGGTTTGCAAATGCCGCAACCGCTGACTTTCATCCAGTGCAATGGATTGCGGTTGTGCATCCGCGGGAACCGAAAACATTTGCACACTGACGTCCTTCAATTCAATCTCATCGTTGCCCGCGGGGTGAGAGACTAGCAATAGTATGGATGGCTCGGCTCCCGAAGTCGTTAGATCCCCGAGCGCCAGTGCGGCTAAATCTTGTCTTCTTTTGAAAAGTGCCTTCTTGGCATCATCAAATTCGACCAGAAAGCATGAATGAATCCTGTGGGTTGAGCAGAGTTTAGCAACTTCGCTATGCTTAAGGCTCCATCGTTCGGATTTTAAATCCGATGACATCCTACGCACGAGGCCATCCTGGTGGACTGCTAGAATGTCGAACGGGTCTGTGCTCTCCCCATCGTCAGTCCCAGAAGGGACAATGCCGACAAAAGTGGTAGGACTGCTCGAATCTGCGACAGTGGCAGTGGAGGAGGAAATGGCGGGAGCATTCGAGCCAGTGCTGCTGATTTCCTCTACAAAGCACTTAATTTGGTGCTCGGGCTTGTTCACAGCGGCATATGTTTGTCGTTTGACTGTCGAATCTTTCGACAACTTTCTGCGAACCGAGCACGGTCGACAAGAGAAGGTAGATTGCGGCGGGACAGCGTACGAGGTCACGAGCTTGGGAGTTTGCACCTAAAGTAAGGAAGAATGTTAGCATCAACCAAGAAGATACTTGTATAGGTCCACTCGTACGTTGTAAATGTTGACAGCCTCTCCATCAATTGCGACAGCGACTTCATAGCGCTTGCGCTTTTTCGCATCGGCGAGACTGAAGACATCGCCGATGCGAGTTTTGCCGGTAGAAGCGTGAAGAGGGCGAGGCAATTGCGCCAGAACAGACGGAGTTTGTAAATCCATGACGGGCAGCGTCAAAGGAATCCACGGATAGTAGTTTGTATCTCCCTCCGGGGCGTTGTCTGCGCAAGCTGCAAAACCATCCAAATGGGAAATCTGAAAAATTTTCGGGTTTACATCGGCCCGGATACCTCAGGCCTAGTCCATATCGGGGCTAGTGCAAGTACCTTTCACTTACGTAACCACTGACATAATCAATTTACACGCGCCTTTCGCGTCGGACGTGTCGGCCTCGATAAGTGATAGTGTCGACGTTTGATGCGGTTGGCGTGAATCACCTCGCTGATTCGTGTCAGCTGTCTGTCACCTTATACTAAGTTTTTGCAATCTGTTCGCTCTCAGATGATATCCCTTTATACTCGAGTTATCCCTGGTCACTTCATGACCATCTAAGTGTTCATCTGCGATGGCCATGGGACCAGGCGAGCAGCAGGCTATACACCCATTCTTCCGACAAGGTCAGCATTCGAATATTGGAAAATTTTGAAGGGGGCTAATTGGATTTAGAATGTGGCATCCCGGCGAAACCTACCCCACCAGTGCCGGAGGTCCTTCTGGAGGACGATCCCAACGCAGGCCGACGAAAGCGACGAAAGACCGACAAGCCCAAGCACAATGGGGAAGACAAAGAGCAAAACCTAGGGCTTTCAGTATGGCTCGGGCATGATAGTCCCGTCATTGTGTCTCCTGCTGAAAATCATCTCAACCACGGAGCTACCCATGCTGCAGATGAACCGCAACCTTTGCTGTCCGACATCCAAGTCACCACTAGTACCGATCAGCCTGTCCCTCCATCGCTTGCGACGGATAATAATGCGTTGGGAGCCGAGACTGGAACAACCACCGAGAAAAGACGAACCCTCAAATTGAATTCCAATGGGAGATTGCTCAGCTCACCACCACTCAATCCACCTAAAGATACGACCCAGAAGACCAAAGGAGGCAAACGCGGGAGGCCCCAGAAGAAAGAGAGCAAAGTGGTGACAGTCAAGTACAGCGTGGAGGAGGGCAAGAATCTCGGCGGCTTGATAGATGAAATATTGAGCGGACAGAGGGCCCACCGTTCCTCGACCGAGCGTCCAGCGGTTCGAAAACCAAAGAGCGAAAATGACCCCTCTCGACCAACTCATCCATTCTTCCTCAAAAAGCCATCCCAGAAGCCGGAAACTTCCGAGGCCCCAACCTCCGACTCCCAGAAACCTTGCAGCCCAAGTCCAGCCGGCACCCAGGAAAAGAAGCCGCAGACAGGGACATCCTCCAACCCATTTTCGTCATTTCGACGCCGCATTTCCAAATTTGCAGAACTTATTGATCCGCTATGGCCACCGCGAGACCTTGTGCACGTCCGAGGCATTGATCCGTCTAGAACAGCTAAAAATATCGGGTTCAAACCTCTGGGTGACGACCAAAAGAAATCCAAGGTCGCAGCTATTTGCATCAATGACTCGGAGAATGTGCTGTTAAACAGCACACATGAGGCTAGAAAGGCTGGCAAATTTCTGGCCAGCCAGAACAAAAACAGCCCAGACGTTCTACGGCATCCTGGGCGGCATCTCGCCAGCGGCACAGTGGTCCAAAAAGCAATGGAGAGCCAAATGTCCTGGGCTTTGTCAAACTATCGTGTCGGATTGAACCCCTCTATTCCGCCCGTCGCGAAACTTCGCACATCTCTTCTTTCCTCCGTGACCGCTTTTGACCGTGGACAATATGAGCCTCAGCTTTGGGCTCACAAATACGCCCCCAAATTGGCCGAAGACGTCCTTCAAATGGGACGCGAGGCGCATGTTCTGCGAGACTGGCTACGGCACCTCAAGATTACAGCGGTTGATACGGGTAAACCATCGAAAGAAAGTTCCAAATCGAAGAAGCACGACAAGAAGCGAAAAAAGCGGCGCAAGCAGGCCGAGAAGCTTGACGGATTTATTGTTTCAAGTGGAGAGGAAGCATCCGAGATGGACAATCTTTCAGGCTCTGATGATGAATTGGCCGGCGACGTGACTGTCTCGGCGCAGAAAACAGTCGTTCGATCGGGCGATCTTGCATTTGGATCAGTGCATGGGAGCGAAAAAGGTCGGATAACCAACGCAATCCTTCTCAGCGGTCCGTCTGGCTGCGGCAAAACAGCTTCTGTGTACGCAGTGGCCAACGAGTTGGACTTTGAAGTGTTTGAGATCAACCCTGGGAGCCGTCGCAGTGGAAGGGATATGCTTGAACGTGTCGGAGACATGACGCAAAACCACCTCGTTCATCTCCTCAATGAATCCGACGAACCTTCCGGTAGAGATGAAACCATGCAAAACAAGTTGAGGAATTTTTTCAAGGCTCCACCTTTGAAGACTGCAGAGTCACACAATCAATTTGGTCGACAAAGCCCACAATCGGACGGAGAGACCAAGCGGGCTCGAGAACAGAAGCAGTCTTTGATTCTACTTGAAGAGGCCGATATTCTATTTGACGAAGATCGACAGTTCTGGACAGGAGTCTTGACGCTCATCAGCCAGTCGAGACGCCCGATTATCATCACATGCAACGATGAAAGTCTAGTGCCTACTCAAGACATGTCGTTACATGCCATATTGCGCTACCAGAAACCCCCTCATGACCTCATAGTCGACTACTTGCTTTTAGTCGCCGCCAACGAAGGCCATCTGTTGAAACGGGAGGCCGCCAGCAAGCTTTACCAGGGCTCTGGGTTAGATCTGCGGCGCGCATTGATGGATCTGAATTTCTGGTGTCAGATGGGCGTCGGCAGCGAGAAGGCTGGGCTCGATTGGATCCTTCCTCGATGGCCTCCCGGGTCAAATGTGGACCCGAACGGAGACAGAATGCGGGTACTGAGTCTTAACACCTACGAGCCCTTAATGGGCTGGTTCAACCGAGATATGATTCTCAGCCCGAAATCGGTGGATAATGAGGCAGAGGCTTTACGGAACAGTCTTCATTGGTGGGATTTGGGTATCCAAGACTCGGACGACGTGGCTGGCCGAAGCGAAGTTGAGCTCCTGCCCTCTGGTCAATTCCAAACGGCTTCAAACCCAGCGAAGCTCGAGTTGCTTCAGCGCGAATCGGATTACCTCGAAATGAGAAGCTCCCTTGACCTTCTTAGCTCTCGCTGTCCTCTGGCAATGAAGATGGTAAGTGCATTCTGTTACTTTATGAGCAACTGCCACTAACGTTCTAACAGGATGCCGTTGATATCTCTGCTCCATCGCCCCCGGAGGGCTACCGATCCAATTACACTGAGAGCCATCCCCTTCTTCACACTGATTTGCAGCCTGAGCATTCATCATTGAGTGAAGCTGTTGGTACTACCTTTGGTGCCATATTAAGTCAAGCTTTCCGTCCAAAGACCGGCGGAGACATTGAATCGATACATGCCAGCCGGGTATTAAGTCCGCTGAACAACTCTACCATTCGCCAGCCTGCTCCCGCATCTTCTGTACCAGAATTTCGAAAGGCCTTCGAGCCCATCATCCGAGCCAATTATACGATGCCTCTTCCAACTGGTCGCCTGGCCCCATCCTGGGAGAACGGGCTTTCAGTGATCACCGAGGATCTCGCCCCGTACATTCGTGGAATAATGGTGTTCGACGGGCGCTTGAAGGAGTACCGAGACGGTCTCAATGCGCTATTGTGGCAGGAGCAGCGTGCACATGGCCAGAAGCGAATACGCACCACTCGGGCTAGCCGAGCAGCCCTTGAAGGGGGTGACAAATCCTCGACACGAAAGGAGAGATGGTTCCCTGATGACACCAACTATTTCGCAGTGCAGCGAACCGGAAAACCCGAGTGGCAAGAGGCTCTCTTCCGCATGGGGCATTTCCATGTTCAACCTACCCCGGATTTGGTTGGAGAGAGTAGCGACCATGCGTCGGATGGGTAGTGAGGTGGGCCATTGCTTTGATCTATCGCATGCATTATATTAGGAAGCAAATGCCAACAACATCATGAATATTTTACGCTTGATTTAGCGATGGTCGAATCACCTGAAAACTATCACAGGATCTTCAGGTATGAAGTGCTTGGTGGCATGCTAGTAAACAATACCCAGACCCCCGAGCCTTAATTGAACGTGATATCACAATAGAAGGGGAAGCGAGGGTTTTGGATGCACAAGACCATGCATGAGTCGGGAGGCATCCGACAGTCGGTACCACTCGTCGATATCTTGCGAACTAAAGACGTTCCAGTGACATCTCAAGTCTCTGCCCACCATGATGTTTCGCCAAAGTGTTCGAAGCGCTCTCGGATTTGGACGTCTTGCGCGCTTGGTGGGTGTTGGGATTGTTCCCGGTAAAGTCCAGCGCCGGCAACCTGACAAGACGCCGAACCAAGAAGCCGAGCGTTGAATGGATCGGCCAAATGAAAAGAGAAATGTCAGTAGATTGCAATTGAAATTTCGCAGGGGTTCCATTTCACTCCCCTTTTCATTTCACCTGACCTCTACCCCATTTTCCGGCGCTGTGGCAATGCGTTGTTCGAGTGCTTTGCGCATCACCCGACTGTGGGCGTCGCAATGGCGATCCTTGGGGCACACACAACCAGCTCGATCACAATTCTCCTGGAATCCACCTAAACCGACAGAGAATTGCACCAATTATCTGGCAATTCCAATTCGAACCTTCAGTATTTCCTTCTGTCGATATGATGCCAACACCGTCGTGCGCGTGCCCACAATGGCAGAGTCGATCACCGAGGGAACCCTCAACCAATTTAGCAAACAGGTCGGCGACTTTATCGAGCTGGACGAGGAGCTTGCAACCATAGAAACGGACAAGATTGATGTATCTGTGAACGCACCCCAAGCAGGGGTGATTCAGCAGTTGCTTGTCGGCGAAAGAGATACAGTCACAGTCGACCAGGCCATTGCAGAGATCCAGCCAGGAGAACAGCCAGCTAAGAATGAGAGCAAAAGTAGCACCGAGGAAGAGCCAAACCCTAAGCCAGAAGCACCGCAGCCTGCAAAGGGAGAATCCGTTGAGCCTTCCAGCTCGCCTCCACAGCCCCCGCCGCCAGTGAACTCGACTCCAGAGCACAAAGAGGTCTCCCAGCCTGCACCAGCTACTACATCGACTACACAACAGCCTCTTTCTTGGGGCTTCAGACCGAGTCGCGTGGAAGAAAGGGTATGCTTCTATGAGCAACACAATATCTCATCTACGAAATGCTAACGCATGAATTTCAATTGTTCAGGTCAAAATGATTCGAATCCGACAACGTACAGCCCAGAAATTGAAAGAATCGCAAAACACAGCTGCATTCCTGACCACGTTCAACGAAGTCGACATGACGCGCATCATTGAATGCCGCAAGAAAAACCAGGATGCGGTTCTGGAAAAACGCGGGGTGAAGCTAGGGTTCATGGGCTCCATGGCTCGCGCCTCCTCTTTGGCACTCAAAGAAATACCATCGGTCAATGCCTCGATCAAGAACAATGATACTATCGTGTATCGCGACTATGTGGATCTCAGTGTTGCTGCAGCCATTCCCAAGGGCCTTGTCACCCCTGTTCTTCGGAATATCGAGTCGATGAGCATTATGCAGATTGAGAAGGGTATTGGGGAGTTGGTCAAAAAGGTTTATCCAAAATCATCGATGGCCTTCCCGGTCAAGATACTAATGAATGTATCTGGCAGGCCCGCGATGGCAAACTCACCATGAATGATCTGACCGGGGGTAGTTTCACGATCAGTAACAGCGGTATCTGGGGCTCCTTATTCGGAACTCCGATTCTCAACACGCCTCAGACTGCTGTGCTGGGAACATATGGGATCCAGGATCGGCCAGTAGCAGTGGATGGCCGGGTGGAGATTCGCCCAGTACGTTTTTCTCAAAAGCCCGTCTATCATCCATAGATACTAATGAAGTACCTTTACAGATGATGTATATTGCTTTGACGTATGATCATCGCATCGTTGATGGCCGGGAAGCAGTGAGATTTTTGAATCTGGTCAAGAAGTATCTACAGGATCCAGAGACTATGCTTCTTGAGTGATAGACCAGTGGATAGAGGAATTGAGGATTAAATTGTAGATCGAATATAGCTTCCAAATGTATATTGTATTCCATGTAGTTTGTAGTCGGATTAGACCAAGGGTAGTATCTAACCTCAATTCTTTTCCCCGGCGGTTAAAGTTGCGTCAATTATCTCGATTCCACATTCAAAACTGTCTTCTAGTCATCATCTTAACCGTAGAAAGATTTTTTCTCTTTGATAAATGACTTAAGTGATCGGAACGACACCCCCCGATGTTGGAGTCGGCTATTTGGCGGTTATTTGGGACAAGTTCGTTTCACCAACGCTGAGAGATGATCCCTCGCACAAATGGGATGCCAACACAGCTTTTAAACGGTGGATAATATTTGATTTGTGTGGATCTGGGAGCCTCCGCAGCGGGGGTTTCTTATGGAACAATTTCCAAGTCTCTCGATGCATTGACATGGTTTCAACGGCACTATGCTCGGCCGACACAGCACGAATCTGTAAGAATGTTCCCATGTCAATGACCAAGCAAGAATTCAACGTCTAATACTTTTCAGCTTGGATAGAGTAGAGAATTGTCTACGTGGGGGATATCACCGCAGAAAAATTGAAGATGAACCGTCTGCCCGCCTCCATTATATTCAGAGTGCCCTCTTTCAGCAAAATGCACCAGGAAGCTATGGATTGTAGATCGCGCGGTGGGCCAGCACAGCTGTTGTACCTGGTACCGTGGGTCCCGCAGCTTTCAAGGACGCTGACCAAGTACCAATAACATGGATGGATCTGACCCGTTATCTCGCCCCAATCCTCGACTCCTCACGCATCATCCTACCCTCTCATTGAAGTCATTCTTCCATGATCCGATCGGAGGGAGCTCGGTGTGGTATTATTCCCTGTGAGAGAGACTGTCTGGCATCGTGACTGTTGTTCGTGCGACCGTCTCCGACCGAGCTCCGCCTGATCGTCAATACCATTCGTCATCGTCGCTAGCAATCACCTCCACACCTGGCATCTCCCACCGGCTCTCCCGCGCAACCAACTCTCCCCGGTAATCGCTGATGTCCCTTTTCGGCCCTTCTCCCGAGGAACCCTCTACGGGCAACTCCGCCCAGAGACCCAAGTCCTCCCTTTTCGCTGATGAACCCGTCGCTGGCTCCTCGCTTTTCGCGGACGATGACGGCGACGACAGCTCCTCTTCGCGATGGAACATCCAGAATAATACTGCCAAGAGGTACGCTCGGCGCGATATCGCTCGGACTTTGCTCCCTGCCACCGATGTTCCCGAGAGCTATGTGGATGCGTATGATTCCCTTCTGAATAGCGGGGAAAGGGTTGGATCGGGCGTTGGCTTGACCTCAATCCGCGAAATACTGTCAAGCAGTCAATTGAGTGCCTCGGATCAAGGTAAGATCTTCAACCTTGTCGTATCGAGCGACCGTGAAAGTTCCAACGAGCTGGGGCGCGGCGAGTTCAATGTGCTCTTGGCGCTGGTCGGCCTCGCGCAGGAAGGAGAAGACCTGTCATTCGACGCAGTGGATGACCGTCGCAAAAGTAAACAAGAATTCTGCCCCCCGGACTCCTCCGAATCGTTTGCTGACACAGTCACCCTATAGAGTTGCCCCAGCCGAAAAGCACCTATCTGGAAAAGCTGCAAACACCCCACGATCCCGCTTCCAAGCGACCAAACACACCTCCGGCCCAATCTACGGTCCCACAAGAACCAAACTCAACCCGGTCTACGCGATCTACACGGTCGAGGCCAGAGACCTTGGGTGGCTTGGAGTCAGATCCATGGGGCAGTCCGGAATTACACAGGGGTCATAATCACGAGCCAGCAGAGGCTGATCCACGTATATTGAATGGCTATGGGAGTATGCGATCCACGACCAATGCCTGGTCCAACAGAATGGCTGAAGAAACAAACCATGGCGACGTACGTCAGCCGGAGCATCCCAACGGTCAACCCGATTTGGCACCGCCCAGCACCTCGGGATCGGGATGGGGGAACAGCTTCGAAAGATCCCCTGGCGACGATGCTGGCTTCGGTGGTGTCGACCGCTCGGGACTGGGCAACTTTGGGCCCCCAGCGGAAGATTCCAGCACCGCCGCGCCACCACGTCGGTCCTTGGGTCTTGGCCGGGTCACGAACCCACGTCTGGAGGAGGCTGTCACGGTAACCCTCCTGCCGGAGAAGGAGGGCATCTTTATGTTCCAGCATCGAAATTACGAGGTCAAATCGGCCCGAAGAGGCAGCACTGTGATTCGCAGATACAGCGATTTTGTATGGCTGCTGGACTGCTTGCAAAAACGCTTTCCATTCCGGCAATTACCTCTTCTTCCACCCAAGCGTGTATCAGGTACGTCGACACTGGATCAAGCGGAGCAAACTGCTAGCTCACCTCTTATGAAGTCAATGGCACTCACCTTTCAGCGGATTCCAATTCTTTTCTTGAAAAGCGTCGCCGAGGACTCGTGCGGTTCACCAATGCCCTCGTTCGTCACCCCGTTCTTGGCCAGGAGCAACTCGTGATCATGTTCTTAACCGTCCCCACGGTGAGTATCCAATGCCTCATATAGGAACATGAAATTAATTGCTTTTCGGGATCAGGAACTCTCGGTGTGGCGCAAACAGGCCACGATATCGGTTCAGGATGAGTTTTTCGGCCGTGCTCTCCCACCCGATCTGGAAGACTCATTACCCGCCACTCTCACAGACACCTTTGATACCGTTCGAAGCGGTGTCAGACGGTCCGCTGAGATTTATATTAACCTGTGCACGTTGCTCGAGCGACTCTCCAAGCGCAACGAAGGCCTGGCTGCCGATCACCTGCGGTTTTCGCTCGCCCTACAGTCTTTGACTGAGGCCACCAAGGACACATACTCCGTCGATACCAACGACATTCCCTCCCTTAATGAAGGCATTACGTCCACTGCTCGACACCTGTCGACCAGTCAGAGTTTGCTGGAAGATGAAGCACGAGCATGGTCGGAAGGCGTTCTGGAGGACTTGAAGCGCCAGCGTGACTGTCTCGTGAGTGTGCGCGAGATGTTCGATCGACGGGACCGGTACGCGCGCAACAACATTCCGCAGCTGGAGCGGCGCATCGAGACCAACGAGCGGAAACTCCAAGATCTGCGCACGCGGCCTCCGGGTACTGCGAAACCGGGGGAGATCGAGAAGGTGGAGGACTCTATTTTCAAGGTAGCACGCCACCGCCGTTTACAACAAGCAGCGATTTTTATGTGACTAACTCTGGCCTGCCATACAGGATAAAGAATCGATCGTTGAACAGCATGCTCGGGGGGTATTTATCAAGGAGTGCATTCGGGACGAGCTTGTGCATTTCCAGCAGAGTCAGTACCACATTAGCCGACTGCATCAGGACTGGAGCCAAGAACGCGTGAAATACTCCGAGCTACAGGCCGACAACTGGCGTCGTCTGAGCGATGCTGTGGAGGGGATGCCGATGGGCGAGTAGTTGAATTTAGATGCGCTGCTGGGAGTCGATCGTACATACCCCCATCCGACTGGATTTCTTGTTTTCTCCTACGCGCGTAATGTGCGGCGGGACTGTTGAGGAAATTTGCTTTTCTTTTTCTGTTCTGTTTCTTCCTCCCCGCAAATCTGTCATGATGTTTCCACGATGTTGCGTCTGCCATTTTTCCATTGTATTCCCGCCTTGGATGTTCGAATTCGCCCAAGACCCTGTTGCCTTCGCCTTTGCCTTCTATGCTACGGAGTACCTACACTGATAGGCGTAGGGCGACCCAAGGATACGGTTTCTATGGGCCGAGTTTGTTGATATAGACATAACGTAGTGCACAGATCAACAGAATCTAGGCTTTTCTTTTTCTTTTCTTCTCTTCATTCCTATAGAATTTAGCCTAGATAGAATACGGATATTCGTCATCGCACTGTATCGTAGCACCATAACGGAATACGGAATATATCTCTTCTTTAAGGGTCAAGTGATTACAAGGAATCGAATCATCTTATATCGGGACTTTCTCCTACTTAACAAGATTTCAATCCAGCATGAGTTTACAGCGTCAAAAACCAAACACAGGCTCAAGCCCAGCTATGGAATCAGGCAACGCAGCAATATCTCCTGACGAGCCTGAAAAAGAGCCTGAAATGGAGGTCATCCGCGTCACTTCATATCATCGATGTGACTTCGATCTAGCGGTTGCCAGAACAAATCCCTGTCACCACGACCAGATACGCCGCTCGCTGCTTCAAACAATCAATGTTACTTCCTCAACACTTGGAAATCTTCATATCTTGCCACTGGAGATTGTCTACGAGATACAGTCCCTACTTGATATCCAGTCTTTGCTCAGTTTTCGTCAAGTCAACCGCCGTGCCCAACAAATCGTCAGAACAAGCCCTGGCTACGAAGTGGCAATTACCTATGCTCTTGAGGCTCTCTGCGTTATACAAAGAACCAACGTTGCGTCTTGGTTCACACTATCTGACTTGTTCAAAGTACTGTGTACGAGGGACTGCCATTTCTGCGGCTCCTTCGGTGGGTTTATTTTTCTTCCGTCGTTTATGAGGTGTTGCTTCTCTTGCATCCGTGAAGATTCTCTTTCCTCCATCTTACCATTATCTGTCATGAAAAAAGATGTCAAGTCGATTCCGGGTTGCATATACAGCTTGGTATATATATAAACGAAAAGTAAAGCCTCGATAAATGAAAAAATAAAACAGTAGACTACTAGGAATAACGAATAGACATAGAAGATAAAGTAATAGAAATAAGATTTTTTTTTCTGGTAGGATTTTATTAGATTTATTAGTTTTAATATAGCACGAAACCTTTTTTATATTGTCTGTTTTCTATCAAGTATAACGTACAGGATTTAAAGTCAGTTTTGATTCAGATAAAGAGCCTATATAGCCATTACGCACCTAGCAAGGCTCTACCAGGTTAACAAAATTTAATTGATTGATTGAATGAATACCAATACCAATACCAGGGTCGAGAATGCCAACAGAGAGAAAGAAACACGCAGAAAAAGTACAGACAGCAGAGCTCTCTAATCGTATTTCGCTGCAGCCAACAAATGCCAGGCGCAATCAATCCAGTACAAGAACCAGGGTGTAGTATGCACAGAGCCAGGGAAGAGAAAAAGAGAAAAAGAGAATACAGGAAGTGGAACAGAAAGAAACAAGGGGAAAAAAAAAGCAAAGCAAAGCATGTCCAAACTAGTCTTGATATACGGACATCAAAAAGGTTGATGCATGGATGGACTCAACGCACAAGATAACTTAAACAATTCGTTCTATGATCAACGGCCCGTTTCGCCTCCCCAGGAGACGGTGGGACGGTGGCGACGCGAGCCAGATCCAGAGCCTGAGCCCGAACCAGAGCCGGACGGTGAGGATTGCTCAGCGGCTGGAGGGTTGGGCTGGTCGGCTGGGGTGATTTCGTCGGCGAACTGCACCTTGCCGGGCACCTGGCGCGGCTCACCGTTGTCCTCGCTGTCGGAGTCTTCAATGGCGGCATCATCATCATCGTCGTCGCCATCACCATCGTCTGAATCCGAGTCATCGTCCTTGCCCAGAGCAGCCAGACGACGACGCCGCTCGGCGGGGGTCTCGCCGGTGTCATCGTCGGCCTGGCGTGGCGGGGCAGTAAGACCTGCAGCTTGTCGGAGACGCGAGGGCGGGATCCGTTCCGTGCCATCGTCGTCGGAGTCACGGCGGGCGCGGTCACGGGTGCGAGGAGGAGCAGGGCTGAGGTTGCTGCGGCGTTCCTGGGCAGAGGTGCCACGCGTGAACTTGGCCAGCGATGCAGCCACGTTGGGGCGGTCGTCGCGACGGTCACCACGGCGGTCATGCGAGATTTCCTCTTCGCTTGCTTCGCTGTCTGTGACGGACTCGGACTCGAGTTCTTCGGCGTGGTTCTCGGGGATGGCGGCGCCCGAGGCTGCAGGGTCAGAGGCGCGGCGGTCACTCTTTTCTTCCTTCTTGGCTTCTTTCTGCGCGACTTGCTTAATGGGAGCCGGGGCGTCGGTTTCCTGGACCAGGTCACGGCGGGCCTTGGCGTCCATGCCCTTGATCTGCTGGAAGAATTCGTGCTTGTTCATACGTCGGCCCTTGTGGCCAATGCCTTGAGCGCTGACGTCCGGGTTCTGTGCGACGGTAAACCGCAGACCGTCATCCGCGGCCCACTCTTCCTTGGCCCTGGGCGTTGGCTTCTTCTTCTGTCCGGCCCCAGCTGCTTGCGACGTTTCGCCTTCCTCTTCCATGCCGAACCACGTGCCCATGCGGGTTAAACCACGACGCACAGGTGCCTTCGAAGGCCCGGCCTCATCTTCGGTTTTGTCGCCAGCAGGAATAGTGTACTTCTTGAGCACCTCACCATCTTCATCCTCAACAATAATGGTGTTGCCAAACTGGTACGCATGGGCGGAACGGGCCTTTTGCTTCGGCGTAGGCTTTGGCTTCTCCTCCGCCTCCGTCCCCACCTCTTCGGCCTCGGATTTCTCCGTCTCCTTCTCCTGTGCTCGGTCCTTTCCAAGCCCAGTCCATTGGGCCCACTTTCGGAGAGCCTTCTGGTACGGGTGGCCAGTCTTCTCGCCTACAGCATCTTGGATCTTTTCTCCTTCGGTCTTGTCGTGGGGCTGGTTCCGAGACTTGGACAGTTCGCCTGATCGGTCCTGCTGCAGGCGCTTCTGCTGTTCTTCGATGTGCCGCTGTTGCTCTTCTGGGGACAGGTGGCTGGTGTTCTCGGTCTTGAGCACATTGCCCTCCTCATCCTCAATGACCATGTTATGCCCTTCCTGGTAAACCTCCAGCTGAGGCTCACGGCCATAGCGATCGCGCTCAGTAGTCGGCGGGGAGCTTCCACGTTCAACATGGTCTCGCTCCTCCAGCTCAGACGTCGACTCAGTCTTTTCTTCGTCCCGACGTCGTGGCGCAATAGCAGACTGGCTGATTGGACCTCCAGCAGCTGCATCGCGCTTGCGGCGCCTTCTGCGCAAAGGCTTCCGGCCTGGTGCCGGGGGAGTTGGCGTCTCGCTATCTTCTTCGCGAACCCGTCGGAGGAAGTTTCCGGGCATTCCAATGGGCGGCAGCGTTCCAGGAGGATATTCGGGCAGCTTTTCTTCAGATGACTCTTCAAGTTCATCCGTCTTACGGAAGGACATGGATCCCTTGGCGATGGACTGCACACGCGGCAGACGGTTCATCCAAGAAGGACCCTCCTCGTTGGCGGTGGTGTAGGACAGCGTGATGGTCATGGTGTTGATGCGCTTGCCCAGGGTAAAAACGGCGATGGATGAACCGTGAACCAGAATCGATGATATAACCATAAACGTCGTGATGGGCCAGATAAGTTTTATGATGTAGTAGTTATGGCCCCCCGGATGAGGGAGATCGCTCTCAGCTGAAGGTTGTGTGTTGTCGTTTTCGAGCTCAGCGCGGGCGAGAATCGCAGCGAAGATGGCACCGACACCGATCGGACCAAAGTGGCCGGCGAAGAGAGCTTCACGCCAGGTTTTGACGTCTGGTATGATTGGTTTTAGGAGTAACATGATAGGTATGCGACGGAAGAAGATCACCAATAGTGCAATGACCACCAGTCTCCAGGGAACCAAACCCAGGTCGGGGGCGTTGAAGTCTTCCCAGGGAATGATGGACCCAAAGTAGACGAAGTAGGCCAAGTTGAGAAGCAGGTCAATGACGTTGGACACATGTGCTTCTTCGGTTTTCTCTGTGAACCAACCGTCGTTACTGAATCCGACACCGCATGAGAAGCCGATCAGTAGATCGTCCATACCCAACAGACTGCCGGCTCCCGCACAGAAAACGGCCAGGACGAAGTAGAAGACCAGGAAACTCTCTCGATCGATCAGGCCCTTGCGCTCGGCAAATTTGATAGCATGGCGGCCAGCGTACCCGATGATGAAACCGAAAATAGCGCCGAACACGCACTCATAAAGAATGGTGATGCAGAACCAGTTCAGCCACACGTCTCCGACATTAGGTCTGAAATGCAAAATGTAAAACGACAGGTAGATGAACGGGAAGGCCATGCCGTCGTTACAGCCGGACTCGGCGGACAAGACATCACGCAAGTGCTTGGGGACTCGCTTAGCGAACTTGCCCTTACCGACGACGGACGAAGCCAGAACGGGGTCAGTGGCGGTGACACACGCGGCGCACACCAGACTCTCCAGCCAGTTCAGCGGTGGCACCATCCACCAGATAAATAGACTCGTGATCAGCCAGCCCCAGGTCATGACCGGGATCAGCAGCAGGGCCACGGACTTCCAGTGGCGTTCCATATACGCCTTGGGCAGCTCGACGCCGACGGCGAAACATTGCACGACCAGGACGATGCGCGAGCACTCGAGCGTGATCTTGTCGATATTCCCCCATTCGTGGGGATTGAATAAGTTGGCCGCATGGGGCCCGAAGATGATGCCACAGAGGGTGGCTACAGTGGCCTCGCCGATGTACAGCTTCTCCTTGACGAACAGCGAGCACAGCATGAACAGGCCCGTGAAGCCACCAAGAATCATATACGCCAGATGCGGCTTGTCGATGTCCAGATGATCCCACGCCATGATAGTGTGTTTTCCCCCGAGTACTTCAAACAAGTTGGTTTTGTGATACCTCCGTCAAACCAGGTATTCGCCCCCCCGCTTCCGGTCCGCAACAATCGATTACCAGTTGGATATCCGCCTCGAACGTGATCGGTCCGCGTCGCTCTTCATGCCTTGGAAGGAAAACCAGTCGACTAGAGTCAGGGACGAATGCCGAGCCCGGTAGGGCGAGATTTGAGTTTGCGACAAGGGACGGGGCAGCCCTCGGAGGCTCCGGTGATGCAGGTGGGAGGAACGGTGTGGGCACCAATTACGAGAGGGAGGGTCGGGGAGGAGCGGAGAGGAGAGCGAGAAAAAGTCTAGTGGCCCAGTTCACAAAGGACGGAGGCCGAGGTTCCCATGCACGCAAGGGAGAAGAAGGAGAAGAGGGAAAAAGACGAGAGAGAAAAAGAAAAGAAAAGAAAAAAAGAATCAGCCGAGGGAAGTCAAGACCACGCGAAGCAACAGTCCCCCTCCAAGACTCTTGGCCGATGGGAAACGAGCGAGTGAACGCGCTGGTGAGATTTGCCCAGAATCGAAGTCGTCCTGGACCCGGCGGGATTCGTCAGCCGAAACTTCGTCGCCCCACGTCGAAAGCGGAGCGAGTCTTGGCTGGAAGAGTCAGGGACACGGTGCCATAGAGATTCAAAGTCACGAGGGTACTGACGGAGATCCAACACAGCGCAGACTACTTGGCGAAAAAACGGGGGAACGGGATGGTGAAGAGAGAAAAAAACAAGAGATGATGTATGTAACAATACGGTGACCGCCCCGGCCAAGATCCGCTCCTCCCAGCCCTGTGAGGCGCCAAGGTCAATCACGAATCCGCGTGCTGGGCATTGGACCGATGCCACTGCCGGGGATCCACTGGAGATTGACTGAGTGGAGCTGGCTTTGTCTGGTACGATATGCATACAATTACCAACGTATTTGTTCCTGTATTTTGGTTGGAACTTCCATGAAGTATAACTCCGTCGGAGTAATAAGGGGTGACGGTGAAAAGACCACGATTATGTGTGGCTTTTGGAGGGGAAATCGTGGTCATTTCACCCAGCGCCTCGGACACCACGGCCGGAGCCAATTTAGGCTTAGGGTGATTTCCATAATATATGAACATGCACAGGGATGTTCAATGCGTGAATCAAAGGGCAAGTATATAAACAAGCCTGGTATGACCATTGAAAGGTCATCCTCAAGCCTTCTTATTTTTCTCAAGAGATACTGTCGCTGCTCTACCAAAGTTTGATCGCCTAAAATGCCAAAGAAAAATTCGAGCCAAGCGTACCGAAATCGACTGGAACTTGTTCGTTCAACAACCAGATACGCAAGTCAACAGCGATCATGCCGATTCCACAATGCAGTATTTAAAGCACATAGAACGCAATTTTCAAAAGTGAGTCACTCTGTTTCTGCCCGTTTTTCCCAGATTACTTACAAATAATGCCAGTTTTGCACAAAACTTGGACCCCCCCCTGATGCTCAACAATGGCTCAAGGATATCACTTTCATGGCAATCGAAGGATTTCTTTGATAGTATCTCGAGCACCACGAAATGGAATACCAGTCCGCTTTTCTTGTTTTTACGAGGTATTTCAGAATGTATTTGTGTCAAGAGATGCACCGCGAATTTTCTTACGATCTTCGTCGAAAAATGACCATGGTATGTGCCATCTTAAATATGCTCAACGACAAATACTTACTATTGAAGCTCGTATGCACCACACTTACCGACGAGTACGAGCTCGATCTTGGGGGTAAGACACAGCCGTCAGTCAACATTGATGATCTCTTGTATTCTACCTATCACCTTCTTGTTATGTGTGACATTGCATTTCCTACCTTTCGCTGCCAGGGCCAACTAAGCACGTTGCGGAAAATGATAACATCCACATCGGCTCGACCTGGAAGACTGATCGAGTCTTTAGGATATATGAGGGGAAGGATATTGAATTGTATATAGTGAAGCACCCCCGATAATCCAAAATGCCAGGTTCTCCTCATGAGAGTCACGCATAGGCTTAACAAGTGCAAGAGGAACAAAGGCGTAACCGTAAGAAGCAGAATCCACGTGAGATATCATCGTTCTAACCAAAGCAGGACTGCTTTCACCTACACAGAACGGAACGATAACCTGGGTCTGTATGTTATCCAGGATATTATCGAGTACGCCTTTCTCGATAATGCATTTGCCAGCGAGCGAATTAAATATCCGCGAGACATTTAGAACCTTACAGTGGTCCCGGGACACCAGCTTAGTACCCTAATTCACTTTAAAGAAGCTGTCAAAGAAATCCCAATCGTTAGAAGAGTTGTGAAGAATGAAAATGGTTCTGGATTACCGATCCACGACGCGCACTAAGTTATGGTACGACGCTAGAATACGAAAAGTCTACAAGTGTTTCAGCTGGATCCAAACAGAAGGGAACTCTATATAGATATAGGAAAGGGGCTGCTACGAATTTACGTACGAACAGACCCATCTCAACTTTTCTCTAGGCTATTATACACTAACATTACCGCTGCAGGACATCTAGATAAATATTCAAGGAACGTTATTATAGGATATCAGCGGAGCGGTATATTCGCCTACTATGTCTCTGTTAGAGATAACACTCAATCTGCCTTTATAGAGACCCCTGCTAGAGATGCCTTACTCAAGCTTGCTTGCAACTCGAGCCTAACACGGGATGCGTCCGCACCTTAGCACCCCATAGAGCTACAAAGGAAGTTCCTTGAAAACTATAAGGAGCTTGATCAATTGAAATGAGAGATGAGAGTGTCAAGCACTTCGAAAGGACCTAAGTGCTGAATTTCATCAACTTAATAAAGCAATATGTGCTGATGCTGGAATAGGGAAACCCTGTGAAGTTCGATCCAGACACGTTATATATACAGCCGGAAAGGAAAGAGCTCGCAGAACTTGAATTCAAGAACAGAGATGTATACAATATTGATTATGCAGAGTTGATTGAAGACCGGATCCGGTCATTAGAGCTACGACTACGACTTCACGGACTTTATGTACCGAAGCCATTGCGAAAACGGGTTAAATTTAAGTCCATGCCGGCTATCAAGTCTGAGCAACAACCATTCCCAATGAAGAGCGTCACCGGTCTTGAATGTCCAGTGTGCTTAGGGGCCACCGATATACATCTAAACTATCATATAGCGGTTTTCGTGTACATTCACAACATTGTTGTTTCCCACGACGGGTCAAAGTCTTCCCGGTAGATTTACAGGACACGGTTAAAGCGATAGACTAAAGGAACCGATGCCGTCTTGTAACCATCAGTGGTCTTAGTCTTGGCCCCGGACGGAGTACTATATGCCAATTTGTGTTGTTATTGTGAACGCTGCAGGGTGGACCGCGATCTTTCCTCATTTCATTCGACGTTGTGGTTTAGAAGGAATATACTGGATTGACTGTTGCCGGTTGAAATTCTGTTTCAAGGAAATCAATCTTTTCCTTTTGCTTCAAAGCAAGATATCGACACGTGTCTCGTGTTTGTGGGTCAGCGGAAACTGAAATATCACAAAGGATCTACAAAATAGAATATTGATCCTTACCGACGAGCAGAAGTTTTCTTGGGCACAATTCAACTTTATTTTTAAGAATGCCTTTCAGATCTGGCTTTCCGTAGAACTTAAAAAACTACACCTTCCGCTTTCGTTTATAAAATCCCCATTGCCTTTATAGAATAGTCTATTAGAGGGCTTAAGTTAATAAAGCCTAACGGAGCACTTTATCTAGATTAGCAAAGACTCTATAATAAATATAGGGGGCTAAGTTTCACTAAACTCCGGTTTATCTAAGTCGAGTAATTAATTTATATAGTCACAAATCTATTTATCATAGGCTATTTATTAGTTAATCATAATAACTTAAAGCTATAGCATAGTATTACACCTTATTTGTCGACTTACTAAACTATCTAAACTCTTCTTAAGTGATAACCACGATCCTTTCGTATAATCAGCTCCTTTAGATAAGTAAGCTATGTGTTACGCGTACCTAACTGGTTACTGTGAGTTGGTTCTCAAAGGTGATACTTCTCTTGGTAACTACGAGCCTTAAGCCTATCCTTAATCGAACTGATGCCACGTTAGGCCTTACATAGATAGATCCTATTAAGTGCTTGCGAAGGTGTGCTAGTTGAGTATACGCCGAATAGGTTAGTACTAAAGTAGCTCCTCTACTCATAGGATAGGTTATTACGAAGGTAAACTATAAATAAGACTAAAAATAGTATCTAAGTAATAATATATAGATTAATTATAAAGAACTAGATATATATATAGTAGAGATAGCACTATATACCTAATTCCTCTATATTAGTAGATATCTTAGTAGATAATTTAGTAGATAGTGGGTATATAATATACTCTAGATATACTACTAAAACTAACTAGTTATATACCGAGTCTAGTTATATATAAGATTAACTAGTCGATTGATAAAGGCGGTATTTATTGTGATAGTTAATTAATAGCTGTTTCCGATGTTTTATTTCACGTAATTATTTGTTTGGTTAGCTCTTAGTATGTAGCTTATTGGTAGATTGAGTTCCCTTAACTAGTTAGTGACTATAGGGGTTATAATACTATCTCTCTCTCTTCTAGATCTTTATCCTTAAAATCTTTATAAACATTAGTCCCTTTCAGGTTATTATGATTTCTTTCTTTCTTAACTTTTCTATATTATATCTAAATATAAGGCTGACTTTGTTCTTGAAGGTGTTAACTATTGTTTTCCCCAAAATCCTAGTTTTAACCAGGCTTTTCCTGTATTGTTACACGAACGTGAAGGCCACTTTAGCTTTGGTTGATCTAGGAAAAACAATCAGAATTAGTAACTTAGTGGTTGCAGATGACGTGAGGTTAATTGTTCGGTCAGGCGTCTTAAAACAGTGTCAACAAAAGAGATATTCGGAATACGATAGTATTATTATTATTATTAAATCAAATTTGTTGTCCATATCGAGCCCTAAAGCTATCATAGGCCATATTCTATGAACTTGAGGCCAGGAGCTAGCTGCCTCTTGTCCCTATACGTTCCTAAGTATGTCCCCTCTTCTATGATCATTCTCATCCTTTGCCTCGCCCTAAATACCAAGCCGGATAGAAATATTACCATGTATAAAGTGTCTATAGAAAAACTTGAAAGGGAAATATATTTATACAATGTTTTATTTGTACGACGGCCTATCAATATTCCTCTATATAGCCATTCATTCCATGGCCATACATTGAATGGTCGCCTGACTCATACAGTTTGTGCAAGTAGTCTCGTAGCATCTCCCTTGCCCTCTGGCACTTGTCCAAGTCAAAGCCATTAATCCAGGCGATGCGATAGCCACCCAATGGCCTCATAATACTCTCAATGGGCTTTTCGGCGTCGTACCGCATGGTGATACTGCACACCCCACACCGCCGTCCCATCTCTCCCAGGCAGGCGTCGGTGACAATAGTGCTCAGTCGCGCATATTTCTCCTCGTCGAATAGAACCACGCTATATCCGATTTGCAGATCCCTGCATGCATCTAGCCATTCGCCGGTACAGTATAGAGAGACGAGGGAGGAAAGAAAGCTGTTGCCGTATAGATCGGGCCATTGAGGCGACAGGCGTAGATGGACCTCAATGATCTTATCATCGATGGTCTCCATATTCAGCATTCCTGTATAGGTGGCCAGATGCGTCTCGACAAAATTTGTGATCGCATACTGCAGTGATAGAGAACCCGGCATATTGATCTCCCAGTAATCCCAGGTCTGCTCCGGACCGGGCGCCCCCCGCGTGTGACTTAGCCAGACAGGCCGGCCCTGCACCACGGCGATATCTGTGCTGTAGTGCTCGCCCTGTAGATATGCTGACCACATGTGACCTGGTGTTACAGAGCGCCAGTAGTCCTGCGATGTAGCGATGCGGCGCGCATCAGCCCCCATACCGCCCAAATTATAGATAGGTTTGCTGAAGATGGGGTACAGATGTCTTGGTGGACAGGTGTTATGAGGACCGCAGGCAATGCTCCCTAGTTCAGCAATGGTCAGCTTGTTGTAGACCCAGCGAAACTCGGGGAACATGTCGTATGCCTGGCCGTCTGTCGTAGGAATGATGCATTCCGTCTGGGGCGTGGCTTCGAAGAGTCGTCGGCTGCGGGGGTGACAGAGAACGGGCATATTTGAGCAGAGTGATGTTTCCTGTGCTGGTTGGAAGACGACAATTATATGTCGCTCGGTATAAAAATCTGCTTATTTCAGTCAATACCACCATACCACCGTAACATTAAAAAGTGGTCTAGTAGCCGTCCCCTTAAGTCGGACCCACAGCTTTCAGCTGTTGGTCCTCCACACCGAAACATAAATTCTCACCGAAACGCAAATTTTTCTCTTTATTTATCTTCTTTATTATATACTTAGTATACTAAAATTCGACAAAAATATCGAAAATCGCTTTAATTAGGCCTACGAAGTAGCAAAACGCGATTAAAAAAAACCAAAAATCGCGTCGCTAGCGCGCGAATTCGACGTTCCCTATTATCGACTTCGCGCCAGAATTTATAATTGTCTACTAAAAACAGCCACTACTCCTACTAATAAAGCACTTAACGATTCGTAAGAAAAAGTAGTTATTTGCTAGATTCGATATCTTAATTCTTTATAAGTTTTGCCTATAATTAGTATAATTAAGGACTATATAAATCAGATTTTAAAATAGAACGCTACGGACGACGCGTCGCTACGCGTATTAAAAAACTAAGTATATCGTTTTATCGGACGCCTTCTACTAGACCTATAGCTAATAAAATAAAAACTAATTAAGAGAAGTTATCTATAAATAGAGGATAGAGGGTATTTAGTAGCTTAGTTCGATCGTCTAGAGCTATATATAGCTAAAATTAGGGTAAAAAATATCTATAACTTCGATAAAACTAGCTTCTAATTTAGTTAAAATAAAATATAAAAGATTATTATAGCTAACCTATAATAAATATAATAAAGTAATCCTTTAATAGAGAAAAGCGAATCTTTTATAGCTATTAAATATATCGATATTAATAACTTTACTCTACTATTATATCTCGTTTTTTATAACGAATATTATCTCGAATAATAATATATAACAATCTCGCTTCTAGATAATTATTATATTACTATAAACCTAAAAAGATATATAATTTATAAAATTATATATAATTGGCTTTAATAGTTTTAAATATATACTATTTATTACGCGAAAGGTTAAAAACAACTATTTTTATTAGATAATTACGGATCGTATTTAATATACGAATTTATCGAATTTTATTAATAATTCGATATTATTCCGATCTATTTTATCTCTTATACTATTTATTTCGCTTAGCCGCTCGATAGAATATCTTTTTAAATATTAAAATACTATTTTCGAAGTCGAAATAGTAATCTTTCGAGATAAGGTAACAGCGTAAATAAGAAAGTAGATTTTCTTTAAGAATTACCCTGAATCCGATAATAAGCTTTTACCCCTCGGACGATTCGAGATATTTTTAAGGATCGAGGTATTTACCTATTTAATCTTTAGAAAGTCTTCGATAGACTCCTTAAATTCGATTCGTTAATTATCGAAAGTTTATAGCCCTTTGATAATAAGAATTTAACTCCCTTATCTCCCTTTGGTTTAATAAACTCGCTTTTTTTATTAATTTATCGTATATAGCGAAATATTAATAAAATAAAAGATTAAATCGATAAGAGTCCGTAGCTAAATAATAACTATCGATATCGTTTTAATCGCCTATTTAAAATCTTTATTAAAGCTACTAAACTCGTTTTATATTCGTAGTCGGTTCTCGTTTAATATCTTCGTTAATTTTAACCCAAAAAAATACCTAAAAATCGTAGACGAATCCCTATATTAGGACCTCTCTTAGTAAAAGATACGAATCATCGAATTACGGACTATACGATAAAAAAGATATACTAGAATATTCGACGAGCGAGAAAATAGATAGCTTCGTAGCTGCCCTATATCTTATAACGAGATTAGAATAAGGAGTTATTAGTATTAGGAGAAAGCGAATTAATTACTAAAGACCCTCTATTATTTTTTTTTTTAATTCAATTAGCGAAATTATTGAATAATTAATAAATAAAGAGAAAAATTTGCGTTTCGGTGAGAATTTACGTTTCGGTATAGAGGACCAACAGCTGAAAGCTGTAGGTCCGACTCAAGGGGACAGCTACTTCCCAATATAAAGACATTGGGAGCAGTTAGTTAACGTAACTCACAAGCGAATGCCAAACCAATCAAAATCGCGTCGCAACCTCGCATTCACTCTCTTCAACTACCCTGTATGCCAGTACAACGCTCCCAAATTGCCAGAAAATCCACTAAGCAAGAGGGTAGGGTCTACCAGCTTTTGAAGATCCGCCGGCCGCAGCTGCATTCAGAACCCAGATCAGATAAGCTCGCTGCATTGCTAAGTGCGTTGTGGATAAGTGTGGTAACGTAATCCACAAGCGAGAAGATCACCCCAAAACATATAGTAAATGCGATAAAATACATAAATTAAAGGTAGTGCTGTTATTAGTTTTAATCCTAAATCAACCTACATTTATCTAATCTCTGCAGCATTTAATATTCTAAACGAGTCCTTGACATCTGAAGCTAGGTAGAGTCTAAATAAGCTAGGTCTTGACAATCTCCAGGGCAGCTTCGACCAAGTACAAACTTCCTGTGACCAAGATCTGTGCTCCTGTGCCAAATTTCATGGCCTTCTCGATCCCTTTTTTCACAGTAGGTGCCTTGTCAATGGTGTCTGGGGGCCAACGTTTCATCCAAAATTGGGCATATTCTTCCAACCATCCGCTCGGGGTAGTGAAATGATGATCATACTCAATCTTGTCGACAAAGATAACATGCTGGATACGACTCTGTAGAGAGGTCCCCAGCGTCTGTAGTATTTTCGACCAGTCACGCGTCCGCTTCGGTGAAAAGTGGGCAAAAACAAGAACTCGGATAGAGTTACTGCTTTATTGTTAAGATAGCTGGCTAGCAGCCGAGCGGGAAACATACCTAGCCACCCGTTCATACCAATTCGCGACTACCTCCATACTCGTTTCGTTATGTGCTCCGTCTAGATACCAAGTACACCCACTATAATCGATGATATCGAAGCGTCCAGGCCAGCGGCACTTCTCAATACCCGCCAAAACGTCCCGTTCGTCGAGTGAGTGATCACTTCGTTGGAGAAATTCATGAGCAATTTGCGTGGCCAGTGCGACATTTTCTCGTTGTTCAAGGGGAATACCCTCCATCTTAACGACTTCGGCGAACTGAAGTAACGCTCCTTTTTCTTTTGACCGGCGCTCAATCTCGTGCTCAGCGTCTGGATCCTGCGGAACCGAAAGTGCAAGAACTCCGGCCTTGAAAATCCCACTCTTATGCCATGCAATACTTTGAATGGTCCCTCCTAGATTATCGACATGGTCCATACCAATCTTTGTGATGGCAGTGATGGCAGGATGGCGAATGAAATTTGTCGCATCGAACTCGCCGCCGTGGTGAGCCTCGCAGATAACAACATCGACACCTTCTTTAATAAACGTGTGGAACGATACGATAGCCATCATCTGAAGAAACCCGGGGTTCTTGGTACTGGATGGAGACATGTCAGACTCGATAGATAAGCACCTGGACACCTCAATGACGTATTTTGTAAATAGGTCTTCTGGTAACGGGGTAGAATCGATTCGGATTCTATTCCTCGGCCATAGACTTGGCGAGGTGTAAAGTCCGACTTTTCGAGTAATTTCATTTCTTCTCGCATGCTCTTGTAGGAAGCAGTCCACATAGGCACATGTGCTGCCTTTGCCCTTCGTTCCGGCAACATGAATGACATTCAAACGATCAATATCGTCCGTCTGATTTCGATTAGTAGTTTCCATGTAACTCTATGTAATGCACGCAGACCTTATGCCCAAGCATTAGTAGCCAGTTTGTCATACCCTCGAGCGGTGGCACTCCTCTGAGGGTAGAAGCATTTGGTGCTCTTGGGACGCTCGACGACGGCGGCAACGACGGCGACGCCGCCGAATCGGAAGGGAATGGCCGCCGGCACTTTTGAAGCAGTCTTGTAGCTTCCTAATCCTGTTAGACTTGGCAAATTATTTGAGATAAATATGCTCACTTGGTAGGTCATTTTCAAAGTCTGGGTCTCCCTTGGATTGTTGACTGGTGGCGTGAAATCACCTGACGTGAATAGTACGTCCCGGCACGTTATCCAGGCGACTCCGCCTCTATTTACCTAACACTATGAGATTCTGTCTCCTCCAATAACTGGAAATAGATGACACAGGGGTCGTCTGTTAACATTCTTGGTGGCCCAAAATATACTTAGCTTCACATATGAAGAAAAAGACTGATATAAAATAGTCGGACCAATTAGCATGCTACTATTCTATTTGCTCTTTAGACACCCATCTTCCATGGAACGCTCGACTGTCGGATCATAACATAATATAATAAACCGCATTTCGACCTCTATCACAACGGAGTTCAACATTCTATCCAGTCGATCGGAACAAAGTGGGGAGGAAACTAGCAAAAGGTACTTATAATTTACCCCAAACAGTTGGAGAAGGCACTGGTTCTCAAGAAGAGCGGACGAACATTTAACTTTTCGATTTTCCAGATTTTGCGCCTTACCGATATCTACGAATTAGCCAGAGGCATCACTCGGGCTTCTTCTTCAGAGGCAGACTCTTTCCCTTGAAAGGTATCATAAACTATCGTAGGATTTTTAATATATGATATAGAAGCCCTTTAGGTAGTAGTAATAGGGTATACGAGTAGAAGGATATATAGTAGATATACGATTAAAGGGTACTGGTAGGTATATAACTAAAGATAGCCTATAGAAACTTGCCTCTATCTCTTTTACTATTTTCTTACGGTCTATTTTCGTTTTGAAATACTAATCCCTTAGCCCTAGCGTTGCCCCTAAAAGGTTTTCCCTACAAGAGATAAGGATTAGGGCGATATTTCTTCTATATAGAGAGTAAATATTAAAAACTATTCTATACATAAAGGAGTTACTCCGGTACTAATCTAATTAGCGTCTTTAACCGATTAAATATCTAATAGAATCCCCTATATAAAGGCTAGCAAAGCTTTAGTACGATTAAAGATAGGTTTAGTGCTTATAGTCTCCTCTCCTATAGTAGAGAGAAGTATTACTTTATAGATAGACTTATAGTACCTAGTTAGGTATATATAATACGATATTCTGTTTCTGAACAGTATCGACCGCAAGTAGAACTCTACCTTCTTGCTCAATGGTCCTTTTTGATTTTTAGAGCGAATTGGTGGTGATTTATCGAGCAATAGACCGGTTAGGTAGTGATGGATAGCTCTAGGCACATAATTTGAGCTCTTTCCCGCTTAGAGGACCGCAGAAAACGGTTTCTTTTGCGCTATATATGGATGGAGCTGAATGGAAATTAGGAAGCTTTGGAGGTTATCAGGTATATTTAAATAGTGGGTTGCGAAAAAGGCAAGTTTGAGTTCTTTAAGAACTTTCACTTCGGCTGTCTTGCCGTCGGTAATTCTTCTATATAACGACCCGAATGACCCCTTAGAAATTTAGATATTAGCTTCAGGAAAATGATATTGGTCAATGGTATAATATCTTTTCGAAAATATAAAATATCTTTGTCAATAACTCATGCCAGAAAATTACTATCGGACTTCGCCATATATATAATCGCCCGTACACATTAAATAGGCTCGACCACTAGCACATGGCAGGTCATATATCAGATTTTTGCCTAATCGATGTTGCCAAAGCAGTCCTTAATAGAAAGATACACATGAAACCAGATAGTTTTTCAACAAGACAATTTTAGTTGCGGAGCATAACAGCATACTCTTATACTAAGGGTTCCGTTGTTACATACTCCAACTCTCAAAGTTCGATAGTATAGATAGCTGTCTAATCAACTACGTCCGAGGTATCAAATAAAGGCACTTAAAAAAACCAGTGCAAAAACAGAGATAATTCCAATGGAGGAAAATCAGGAAAGAAAAGAAAAAATCACTCCATCGTACTTTAAGACCGCATAACCCCCCTCCCAAAAAACTCACTCACAACCCCAAACCCATCGCGCGAGCGCTGCAACTCTGCCCGGAACAGATCATGCTGATCGGCCGAATCGACCTGGCGCTGGCGGATTGCACGCAGGGTTGCGTTGGTGGGCGCGCACACGGGGCATTGGGCGTCGTCGTCGACGCGGTTGAGACACCGCTCGTGGAAGGAGTGGCGGCACAGGAAGTGCACGGTGGGTAGGTCGAGGGTGCCGCCGCAGGACTGGCAGCGGCGGGATTGGAAGACGACGGATTGCGAGGCGAGTTGGTCGAGTTCTTGTTGTTTAGTGGCGGTTTCGGATTTGTAGCTTGCGATGAGGCGGCGGTTCTGGGATGAATGAGCTTGTGTTGAAATACATAGAATATATGAATAGACATGGGAAATACAGAATATTCATATCAAAGAAGAGGGGGTACATACCGTGGTGATTTCTTTGCGTTCGCGGTCGATATTGTCGCTGAGATATTTCTTGACCCGCCCCATCGTCACAACCGCATTGTTGCTCAAGGCTTGAATCACCTGTAGCGGAGAGAGGAGCCCACCTTCATCGATACGGCGCAGGACCGCATCGAGTTCGTCTCCAGCTTCTTCGAGAATCTTGGGACTCGAGGCGAAGTACGTCAAGGCATCCACGTACAGCTGGGGCTCGTCAGGCCCATACCGACGCAGCGCTTTGAGGGCGCCCTGTGTATCCTTGGCAGATGTGAAAGACCGGAAAATATCCAGCCGTAAACCTTCTTGCTCTCGGACGAGAGTGGACCCTTCTCGGAAATTCGAAAGGTCGGAGAGAAGCAGGACATTGGATGTAGAGATTGGGATCTGTCTAGTCAGACACAGAACATGACAGATGATAAAAGGACACGAGAAGAGAAGAAACTCACATCTTTGCCTTCGATGAGCTTCTTGGCCTTTGTTTCCCACTCTTGTCGCTCGGTGGCATCCTTCTTATACTTCGCCGTGTCCAAGTACATTTCGAACAATGTCGTGAAAAGATCTACTTTGGCAACCTGCTGTAAATCGGGTTGCTGCACAAGGGTTTCCAAGAAACTAATAAACTCCTGTGGATTATCGACAAACGAAGAGAAGGCAGTTCGTGGGTTCGGAATCTCATACTCAGGCGGCGAGCTCGCACCCGGGTCCTCGCTTGTTTCCAGAGGTTCAGAATGCTGAACTTGGGGCCGTGTGCTCGCTCCAACAGCCATGTACCGCAGGGGAAGGAGAGCGGCGAGGTTTTGAACGGTGCTGGTTGGTTGCGTTTCAGGCTCTGCGGGGGTTTCCACAGTACACGGCTGGTACTGGCCTGTGTAGTAAGCCTTGAAGAGCTCGGTGGTTCGTTCGGGGCAATGGGCCAGAAGAACACGGGCATATTTCATTAGATTGTGGTATGTCTAGTTGCAGGTTAGCTGGAACTCGTTCGTCACGGAATTAGTTGACAGAGAACATACCACTTCAGGATCCAGGCGCCAGATGTATTCCACTGCCTCGGCATACTTCTTGGAGTCTTCGATGAGGATATCGACAACCATGTCATTCTCGCCGTGCTTCGTGGCCAAGTACGCCGCTTGCTCAAAATAGCCTCCCTGTCGACACATGGCGATGGCAGTCTCCAAGTCAAACTTCAGCTCGCCAGGAGCCTTGATAAAGGAGTCCAGCTTGCTCGTATCCTTGAGCTTCGCATAGCAGTTCAAAAGCAGCGTTGTGTGGTCCACCGTGGCACGGCCATGGTCATGCAGCTCTTCCAAATACTCGATCAAGTTGTGGATGCGCTGTGTATCCAGATACTGCAAAATCAAGTTAGCCCTGCAATGTAGAGACATCACAAGCTCTAGTAACCAAGCTCTACTAACCTTGCGGATGACCTGGGATGGCTCCGTGTTATCAATTGCCCGAAGGTACTGCTGCATGGCCGTGTCATAGTCGCCTCGCTGGTAGAGAAAGTCGCCGTACTTGCGATAAATCGCATTCTGCTGTAGGGGATCAATCCCAGTCTTTTGCGCGAGATTGATAGCTAAAATGTAGAGGTTGCGTTCATAAAGAATTTCCAGCTTCTGCTGAAGACTCTTCTCTCGGTAGCGAAAGATCTAAACCAAAGTCAGTAGGCATCATCCAAGACAACGCAATCACAGACCTTTCCATCCGTTGTGAGCAAGAACAGATCATCCCACTCCATGAAAATGTGTTTCATGGGTGATACGAGGGATTCGCTGTGTCCGATGAACTTCAAATCGGTATCAAGGAGAGTAAAAGTCGTCGTGCCGAGAATTTCATCCGCCGAGCCCACCCCGTACTTCCTCAGAGGATCCGTCTTCGATCCAGCTTTGGGCGGACAAACCAGCGCGACATAGTCGCGGAAGGCATTGATGGACGTCTTGGGGCTCTCGAACGCATAGCTGGGGCCACGGCCACGCGGACCATACGTGTAAACAGCATCCTCTCTAGCAATCAGAATATTTCCCGCCTCTTTATCGAGCGTCATGCACCCCAAGGCACAGCCCGTGTCCTCCAACACGCGCGTGGGTTGGCCCTGGCCCCTGCCAGAGATGACGAGTGTGAGTATGCGGCTGGTAGTCGCGATATAGAGGGTAGTGACTGCGCCCTGTTGTGTCTCCAGTCCGGTAATGGGCTCCTCCGACTCGAACACAATGCGCTGCCGGGCGCCGCGGTCATGAATAAAGTCGCCGCGGATGATAGTCACGGACCCGTTCGCAAAGCCGACAGCCACCTGAGAGAGATCGTCGACGGTCGCAAAAGCAGAGATCTGTAGTCGCCGTAAGCCTCCCACTCCCGTACACTCCCCTTTATGTATGCTCCGCATAATCTCCGTACCAGGGCATACGCACCGGAAACTGCCTCCTGGCATTCTGCACCGAAACAGTCGACAAACAGCGCGGCCCGCCACCCTTCTTCTCTGTATCCAGCGCCCAGACCTTCATAACGGGCTCATTGAGAAGATCCTCCGCCACAGTAACCAGCAACGAAGAGCCATCGATCTGTTTCATGTGAGTGATCGAGCCGGCATCGTGCGCTCGGAACGACCGCACGACGCGGAAGGCCGAGGATACAATGTGGACGAGACCATCGACAGTGCCGAGGAAGAGGTTCGCGGAGCCGGTGCAGATACTCGAGAGGTCACTCTGGATATATCGTATCGATTTGTGAGCTTACTTGCGCGCGCCAAACAAGGGGAATAAGAAGACAGGCATACACCGAAGACCGAGGCGCTCTCTTCCGGCAGCGCGACCGGCGAGAGGTCGATGAAATTGAACGCTTTCCACTGTACGCGCGTTAGTCACCTTGCGCATGCCAATCACTGTAGAGACTGCCTTACTGATGTCAGCGCCATTTGGGGGATCGTGGATGCAGGGAACGGCGTTGAGGTTGGAGCTCTCCCCGCTGCGCTCGGGCCACTCCGTCCTGACGTCGATCCACCCGACTTACTATGGAATTGTTCCATCCATGGCTGGTTCCTCGATCTAGAGATTGCAAATGCATCGTATATATTCTACCTTCATGTCTTTTTGTCACATGTATATTTCTCTCTATATGGCAGATCTATACGGTAGAATTTGTGAACGTCATGCATATTTATGCTATATCTCCATAGTCCGAGCTCTTGAAAGCACTGTACAGATCCCAGAGGGTGAAAAACAGCTCAAGAAATAATATGACATGAGAAGTTTCGACAAAGCATCCTCGCAGCATATTTCACATTTGACTAGAGCGTCGAGGATCCCTCATAAAATCAAAACTATGCTGCAGCCAGCTACCAGCATCAGCAATAGCCTGACTGAGGTTAAAGCTCTCAGCAGCTCCCTGCCCATCCTGCGCAGTCGGAGGTGTCGATCCGCTCAGGGAAAAAGGCAAGGCAGCAGTACCCTGCGTAGTAGAATGGTGGGTAGTTGGATAATCAGAGGCTCGGTCTCTTGGATGCGGGCTTGCTTCATCTTCTGCACTGGGCTGCGCAGTGTGGTAATCATTTTCAGGCGAATCGGAGGATAGGGAAGAAAGAGACGAGACTTCAGAATCATGCGCTGTTTTCTGCTTCTTTGGACTCGCAGTTTGTGGCGAGCCGGGTCTGCGAGCTGTGGGTTTCTTCTCGGTGCTGAAGGTGAAAGGGGTGGTGGATTCAATCATGTACTGCGTGCTCATAGGCTGCATTCCGCCCTTCTCAGACATGGTGGCGTCCGGCTGGCCTTCCGGCTCTGAGAGTGCGAGTCGGGAAAAGGGAGTGATCTTGACGGAATGGGCTGCACCATTAGGCGAACGAGAGGTGCGGCGATTCTGGCCAGGCGTTGTGCTGTGATTTGGTTCTGGGCTTTCTAAGTCCTCTTGAAACGACTTCTGGGCATGGTGAAGAGCTTCCTGGGTAGAAAGTTGTGTATCAGGATTGGTGTCCATGGTATGCTCTGTATCTGCTTTTGGCACAGCCGTCGAGTGCAACGATGTGATGCGATCAGACACTCCGAGCAGCGCAGGCACCTGCTGTGCTGAAGGCAAGTTCCCACATGTGTTCTGTTCCGTTGGAGCGGTTGGACATGTGCTCTCGGGATTGGAGGCACTTGTGTTGTCTGCAAACCGAAGATCCTTCGGTAAGTGCACATGGCTTCCACTATCCTTGGCGTTGGCATCAATGTGTCGTTCGTCAGATTGATCTTGAGCGTCTGGCATAACCACATCTACCTGCTCATCGTCTGCATTTTTGGCGGCTGGGGCTTCCTCTGCAATATCGTCTGCAGGGGAATTCGAATGAGCCTGTTGACTAGTCCCACGACTGCGCCGCCGCCGATACTCAAATCTCGGAAGCTGAGATGATGACGAGATGACCCGGAAAGAGGACCCATGGCCAGGTTCATGGTTGGGGGATATCCGTCGTGGAAATGGAGATATTCGGACATCTGTAGAGCTATGGTCCTGAATCTGCACAGCCACTCGACTTGATCGCGGTGACTTGTCAACCGGAGAACTTGTATCCGTCTTGTCATTCTCCTTCGCAGTAGTATTCTTCGGAGTTCGCACGCGCGATGGAGATAGTCGTGGCCCTGAGTCCACCGAGCGCGGTGTACTCCTCCGACGAGCTTCATTCTCCGTCTGTCGGGACAGAACCCTAGGGGTTGGTGAGCTGGGCGGATCGAACTTATTCAAGTTCATCCGTTTACGGTCCTTCTTCAGCCAATCCACCGGTCCACGCGGGGCAAAAGACCGGTCATCCGCCAATGAAGAAGGTTCTTTCGATCTCGCCGGTGACCGAGACGCCGCCAGATCCCGTTTATCGCGAGCTGTTGACCGAGCAGGTCGTTGCCGATCGAATTTAGACGACGACTCCCAAGAGTCTCGAGCAGAGACAACAGCAGCCGACGAGAACGAAGAAGACGCAGGAACCTCCGGAGCAGCACGCAAGTCACCCGACAAGCCCTCCCGGAACCTGGGGCGGCGCAAATCCGTCTCCTGTACCACAGGCTCCGCAGCAGCACGAGCATCACCAGCTCGGTTTCGAGCCGAGGCCGCTCCCACTCCCACTCCAGTTCTCTTCAACTTGCGAGTCTTCTTCCATGGATTCACCCAGCCAGCATCGAAGGGTCCGCGAAGAGACGCAGAGAGGATAAACAGTGGACGGCCCTGTAGATATGACTCGGCGAGCGACTCGATCCTCTGGCGTTTTGCAGCCCTGGCAGCATCGTCCAGCTCATCGTCGGACCCTAGCAGGGTGCCATCATCATCACAATCATCATTATTATCGAAATTGGTGGAGGCCCGGGGCGGACATGATTCGAGTGCAAGCGGGGAAACCGGCTGCGGGTAGGGCATCGGGGCCAACGGGGTTGTCGCGCAGGTCGGCCGCGCGGGGGTTGGCGCTGCTGCTGGAGCAGTCGGGCACTGCTAGGGGTTGCAGCTGTGGGAGGCGGCAGAAACACACTCTCGACGTTGTTCTTTCATCTCCTGGTGCCGCTGCTGGCTGTTCAGTGCGGCTGAAGGGCCGGGTTGGGCCGAGGTGAAGAAGCGCGGGTTCTGCCTGACGCGAGGAAAAGCACTTAACGCGATGCCCCAGCAACGGTGGGGAAGCCGATTAGATAATGGGCTTTCGTCCTGTTTCTGAGCAATTGTGGCAGTTTAAATATATAAATTTCTTGTCTGGTTTATTGCAAGAGAAAGTATTTGCTTTGGTTATTGGCATGGTGACTGGTTGATTGTGTGTGTCAAGGTGGAAGAAGTCTACATGGAGATCCGACCAGATCTATTGATCCACCATACTATCTATAGTCAGCTCACACCACAGATGACAAGATCGAGTAAATCATATTCACATGAAGTAAAACTCTGCATAATTAAACACTGCACGGGTAGGTAAAAGAAAGAAGAGCAAGAAAAAGCCACACAGGTTCAATCATCACAGCAGCAAAGAACCGACAGGTTCATCATCGTCGGTACCACATAGAGAGAAAAAAAAAAAAAAAAAAAAAAAAAAAAAGAACAAACCCAGAAGCATCAAACGCTAACACTATTGGGAGCGGTAAAATGACACATGACATGGCGTTCGTCTATGACACATATTTGACCAGGGTATCGAAGCGGAATGCCACCACGGCAAGGCGGGCGAGGCAAAAGAAGACGAGAGCGAGAGAGAATACACATGTCGACAGGAGAGGTAGCCTTGCACATAAGGCTAACACTCAAGGAAAAGGAAACCGTGATTAAGTGGTCATCATAGCGGAGTGCTCAGCACGCTCCTTCATTCGCATGGCCTGAGCTTCGAGACAGCGAGCCATCAGTTTCGTCACTATCACAGCGAGAATTAGTATCTTAAGCAACAGGGACTCAAAGTTAAGACAAGCTCACCTGGCCAGACAGCAGCTCGATCCAGGAGACTGGCTGTCGCAATCAATATTTTACACCCGTATCCTCCCTCAACCGCACTGGGCAGTCGTTGCATGACACTCAGCGCCGACATGGAGTTGCTGTTTTGTACCTGGCGCTGCATCTTGGCCTCAATACTCTCCAGGATTTCCTTGATCTTGTCCACCAGCTTGCAATCTTCATCTTCCAGCAGCATCACCCCGGGCACCTGAGTCAGATCGACGTCTTCTCGACCCAGAATACCCAGATAGGGCCCAACCCGTTCCTGGACAGTGGTGATCCATTCCGCCAAGACTTGGGCACAGTCGAAGACACACATTGCACACTGGATAGGCAGTTCCCGCAATGAGAACTCGGCAAAGGTGTTCCCAAGCCGATCCGACATCGAAATGGAATCGGCGGCATAGAACGCGGCTTTGCGAAGGTGCCTCTCATGTTTGGTCTGGCCAGACTTGTATATACTCGACAAGGTCTGCATAGGCTCGTCCTGAGTCGGAGTCTTCGAGATAGCCAGATCCGAGACACCTAAATCGGCGATCGAGTCCCGTCGGCCATCAAGGACATTGGGAAGAGACGGGTCCACGACATCATTGATAGCTGCATCGGCATGCTGGAACATCTCTGTACCCCGAGCCAGTTCATCCGCCATGCCGTTCCAATCCCGCTGCCAGAACGCTTCCTTGCAGCGACCAAGATTGACGAACAGTCGAACATACGCCAAATCCAAGAGGGGAATGCTGTCGGCAGACAATGGCCCCTGCTCCGAACGGATTCGGTCGTTCCAGACTATGAACCGGGTTGCTGGCCCAGGCTGCTTGCCATGCTCTTAAGGCCGGTTCGATAAGTGACTGCATTGCATCCGTTTCTTGTGTGGTCCATTGTCGGCCCATGTGTCGTTGGCGAGTTTCCCAGATGTAGTTGTGCAGAGAATAGATGAGAACGAGGCATCCGAAAGTACTAGGGCAGTTGTCCGTATTAGACAGATCGTCGGAAAAGAAGTTCGAAGTGTGGTTATGTTGCTCTCTTTGACTGGCGGTCAGGAGAGAGGTCAAAGCAGCTGAAAATGACACGGTCTTCTGTGAGGCTGTCTGGCCTCCCATCTGTTTCCACGCTTGGGGCGACTCGGCTGACCACAAGTCCTCTTCGCAAGGGAGATCAAGGCAAATCTCAGAGTTGGTGAGGGCTGGCGCATGGTTGTATGCCGACACAAGGAAGCTGGAGAGAATGAAGATGGCGTAGAGCGTGCGTTTCCGCTCCTCTACAGCCTTCCAGTTCAACCAGTCCCTTTTCTCCTTGGGTTGACTAAATGACGGGGACATCCAGTTGTCGCTGTGGGCGGGGGAATCGCCCCCATGAAGACCAGTGCTAAGGTGATCCTGCGGCAGGGTGTTGGGGCCCAGATGATGCGTTAATTCGGCTGCGCGCGCCAGGCTGACCAGGGCAGCGCAGTGTGTACTAGCAATATCCGCGGACGTCTTGTCACCGCAGGTATGTCCATAGATCACGTTCAATAGCATGGCCTGAACCAACCAGAGCGGAGTATTGTGAACCGAGTTATCCCGAGTGGAAGTGGAACGGCCGAGCGCAGCAGACATATCGGCCTTTCGCCGCTCTTCGAGATACAGCTGGATCATCTTCTTGGCAGCCTCGAAAAGATCCTTGGAAGCGGCAGGGTCATGTTCGTACAGGGCACCGATAGCCGCCATGGAAAGGATCAGGCAGCCTCCACCGCCTGCGACACCAGTCGAACTCAGATTCAAATGTCCGCTTGGCGTGCGCAGGTTACTAGTATACTCTGGCGCCTGGAAGTTGAGGGTGGGGATATGGAGGAAGGGGAAGTGAGGATGGAAGTAAGTGATGTAGGCCGAGATGTACCGCTGCATGTCCGAGGTGGTGGGAAGTTGACCGGTGCTGTGGAAGCCATTCGAGCGGGTGAAAAGCTCGCGACTGTTCGGGAGTCCATTTGCGGGCTGAGAATACTTGCGATGACTGAAGCCAGTGGGTTGCGACATGCTCGCTAATAGAGCCTGTCGTGTGGAGTCTGTAAAGGTATCCGTTGAGACTGGGGCATGTGGATTTCGAAGGGCACTATTCGGGAAAGGAACGTTGAGAGGATTAGGAGATTCTCCGCTTGTTGCCAACGAGGATGAAAACATACTCTGCGAATGTCCTCCCACGATGGGCTGGCCGACCGAAGTCATAGATGGAGGGGTGGCATACGTCTCAGCAAACGGATTCTGGGCCATCAAGGACTTGGGCGACACGGTTTCCGGAGGAATACCCAAGTCATTCAATGTGGTCGGAGAGAAATCAATGGCAAACTGGTTGGCGGGCGCTGCAGTCTGCGACGGGAACGGGTTATGCCAGCCATTAGAAATGGGAATACGATTGGGGCCATCTAGCATGGCCTCGCTAATCCCGCTCTGGCTCCCCGTGCTCATCGCCGACGGCGAGGACCCGTCAATCACCGAGTCATTCCCATTTCCCAGGGCAACCGCCGCATCAAAGCCATTCATCCAGTCAAAGTTCATCTCCTCGTCCATCATGGGATCTGTGGGAGGCGGCACGCCATGGGCATTGTGGCCAAAGGGAGAAGAGGGCGAGTCACCAAACCCCTGCGGGGAGCCCGCAAAGTGCAATTGCGCCGGGTTGATGGTGCTGCCATGGCCCATCAGCATACCATCAATGCCCATGTCGAAGCTCCCGTACACCGGAGCGGTCCGAAGACCGCCCGACATATCCACGGGGAGGCCAGAGGTTTCGATTTTAGCCAAACCATTCACCGGCGGGTGGCCAGAACTATACCCCCGGTAATCCACACTGGAGCCGATCGAGGATCCGAGACTGGGATGATACGCATGGCCTGATTGGGGTGCAGAGGACGGGTTACTGGGATTGGAAATGCCCAACGCCGCCCCATCAATATGACTGATGGTGTTCGCCCTCGGGCGCATCGAGGACGAGTTGTTGGCAATCGAGTTCTTGCGAACACGATTGGTGCCTGAGGCTGCCCCCGTGCTCTCTCGACGGCCATTGCGGGGCCGCGAAGACGGCGTCGAGGTCATATGCAGTTTCTGCTGATGTCTGAGCAACAAGTCCCGTCGGGCAAAGCATCGCGCACAGTCCGGGCATTCAAATGGCTTTTCCTTGGTGTGCGACCGCTCATGGCGCTTGAGATGCTCCAGTCGCGCGAAGGAGCGACCGCATGTCGTACAGACATGGGGTCTCGGCTTATCCGTTTTAGGGGGTGGGATATTACCCGCTTGACCATTGACCTCGGGCTGTTTCTTGGTGTCTTTCGGAGCTACCACCAGGCATTTGGTAAGGAGATGAGCGTACGGTTTGTTTTTGGATCGCAGGAACTCACCAGGCATGTTTGCGGGGATCTCGTTGATACTGGCAAGGTCCGCTATTTGAGGACTATAGTCTTGATCTTGATCGACCATACCACCTAACAGCATCCTAGTATTCGATTTGGTTCCTCACGGACCAGAGTGAGTGCACTGATCCCGGAGACTGAGATACCGACGAGGCGGGGAGCAAGAGGGAATGAGGACTGGTCAAACACCCCAAGCAGGCGATTGACGATCAAGAAGCGCGTGGGTGCACGGTGTCTTGCGAGATTTACACAATCAAATGCCGCTTCGACCACTACAAGGGTCGGATGACATCAAGTTAGCATGCTTCTTGTATGATGCGTAGAGACCGGCCAAGTCATTTAACCCCCCTCGACCCAAGGTAGCGAGCCAGGCTATCATGAACCGTGGCCAGGGCAAACGAGAACCCACCCAGGAAAGAAGTAAGTATAGAGCACAGCTCTCGAAGTCGCTATCTTTGAATGGTGTCGGATTGATCAAAGCGATTCAGATTACAGGAACTGAGGACCTGCGGCCGGTGTGGCGAAATGGTACCTGGTGTTGACGTCTTCTCGGAGGGCCGGACCATCAGCCAAAGACGTCGGAGGGCCGCACAGAGGACACAAACCCACTCACAGTGAAATTCTCGATGATCGTATATCTCACGCACGCAAGTGATCCATTGAAGGAAATGCCGCCTCACAATCGAGTCAGTCCGAGCATTCGGTGGATAAGCCGGAGATAACCGAGTGGAGTGAGATAGCGGGCAATTGTCGATAAGAAGATAGGGACAGCACGAGCCAGATAGTATATCACAGAAACACAACAGGAAGATGGAGAAACTAGAGAGGGAGAGGGAGAGAGAAGATAGGTGAGAGTAAGAAGGAGAGAGAGAGAAAGTTGAAGGTCGAAGAGTTCCCAAGTCCAATACTAACACTGGGGAAACGGGCAGAGGTACCTGGGTCAGGGTATCGACTTACATACGTGGTAGTAAGCCGTGGCAGTAGTGGCGGTTCGGATGGGTGTACTTGGAGATACGCAGATGCGCGCAGCGTGGGGGGAGCGAGAGCGCTGGGACTCAGGATGTATATCCCCTCGCAACGGCCACGCTCCACGCACGAGGGCCAACAGGCCCAGAGCCCAGAGAACCACGAAACAGTATTGATACGAGTGGATCCCACGGGCTGGAGTCTACCAATGACCTACTCACGATTACCTAGGGGGCTGCCGGATCTAGCATAGCGTAAATCTTATGGACACGCACGGGCTCACCGGATGCCCACCAGTTCCTGGCTCCGATGGCCCCATTGGCCGTGCTCCACGTAGTTGCTGACTTGGGATTAGCTGTGTAACGCCACCCGTATTCTGATAAGAATTACACCGTACCATACATCGATAGTGGGATCCTGTACCATCATGGTGCTTTAGGAATCCGTAGAAATCGAGAGAAGTACTGTATATCTAGAGGAAAGAAATACTGGAGTATCCCGAGATCGTCTACTGGCATTTCCCTGTGCCAAGGCGGCATCAGGACGGTGGCACTACTGCCGAATCCCTGTCGAGAGGTCAGCTTTGATTCAACAATACCAAGTGGGTCCCACCGGACGAGTCACGACGGTTGCTGGTCTCCCCGTGTAAGAATCATACGAGCCATGGGATATCATCGATACCTACAGGTAAAATAGTTCAACAGGAATAGACCGGACAGGGGCGGTTTCGGAGTTACCGTCAACTTGTCCGGGTATTCTTAGGCAAAGAGAGAAAACATTTGAAACGTCGTGAACCAGTCACCATCGCGATGATGTGACCAGGGACGCAAGATCCACCCGGGAGAGAGAAGGCTGGGGGCTGAGCTCATCTGGCGGCAGAATCCGACTAAGAAAAGCAAAGAAAAAGAAAAAGCAACGAGAGGGCCATGCGCGCCCATTTTTGTGGGGAAGGCTCCTTTCAAGGGTTCGTGTGGGGGATTGCCCCGGTACGTTTTTCCTCATCTCGTGCCGTCTACAGTTGCATTGCAATTGGATGAGGGATATCCTCCGGTTTTCTTCTTGTTGTTTTCTATGGCACATGGCACTTCGGGCCATGGTTACGATGTGGCAAGAGATTACCAGACAATGTGGTTGGATCCCAGTAAATGGTGGGATTTCTCTGGCCACTTCAGCCGTTCTCCAGATTTCCGGGTCTGCTTTTTTTGCTTTTCCCCAGGTTCTGCTAAACTTTCTAGAAATCGATCCGAGAGCTGTGTTTGGCTGTTGTCTTGATTGCGATCTCTCTATAGATATACTATGTTTGTACAAGAGAATTCTCTCTATGGTATGGTAGCTTATGATCTTATTGTCCTACGATCACTCTCTTCGTCTACTTCTATACTATTCAGATCTTGGTGAATCTTCCTACAGTAAGTGTATTTACTTGGATTACAGCCATCGCACGGACATCTCGTTTGCAGAATCCCCCAGACTGGCCCCTGCACACTAAAGCCACTAGAGCGACACTAACAGAGCTGCAGGTGACCCGAGATGAGTCAAGGACGGCCGAGCGACAAATGAAACAGCTCCGGCAAGCGACGCTCCGATGCGAGCTGCGGCTGGGATGATCGAGCTACGAAATGTAATAATAATAATTAATCATAAATAATATACCTAGGTGGAGAATAGAATTAATTTATACCCTTTCCGAGTTAATATGAAATGCAATCATGATAATCATCATATCCCAGCCACACTGCGCGATTTTAGCCCCAAGTCAGATGGAAATGATGGATATCTCCCTGACAGCTGCAGATACGGTTAACCGGCACCCAAACCCGTGTGACCTACTATTTACAATGATTTCAAAGTGGATTTCTCCCGATCCTTTCGCAGATGCAGGTCCAGGAGGGTCAATGGCAGTGGGCATGACAATTGAAAGATAGAATACTTACGATCATCATATCCCTTCCTATACCCTCCCAGGAAATACTATAGATGAACAGAATCCCTCTCCCGAATAATTATCGCGCGAAAACAGGTCGGAGTGCCGAGTTCAGTTAAATGCGTAACCGCGCTTCGCGGGATGATCGCGGACACCTTGCACCAGTGCGACCACCCTAGAGGAATTTGTACCCTACTATCCTGGGCTCGGAAGAAAATACAGAGAAAATAATAATAATAATAATAATAATAATAATAAAAAGGCAAGGCTAAAATATCCTGAAAATAACTGACATAATTCATCAACTAGAAATTCTCCGACTTCCCTCTCCCCCTGGTCTTGTCCTCGGGGGATCACCGAGTGGCTGGTGCGGGTTGTGCACGATGGGGTCTGCCGACGGGCGCGCCTTGGGTTCTAGAGTGTCCTAGGGGCTGCAGATCGGATTGTGGGCCGTGTTGATAGCAATATTATTATGTTAGCATGTCACTATGGCAGTAGAAGACAGTAGTACATAGCAGATAGTAAGAAGTATAGAAATCATATCAACGCACAAGGCGAGACAGGGGTTGACTGCTAGTGGCAGTCGAGCCGTTATTCTACAGGTCTTGCCCATGTCTCGGAAAGTGAATCATGTCAACACAAAATAATAATAAATCAAATGTATCTATGGAATATATCCCATCTCGATTACTGACTTGGGTCACAAGCACGCCACAACTCACCCTGAGGCTCCCCGTCTTCTTTTTTGCCTACGTCATGGAATGACCTCAGACTCAGAAGGATTTGGCCGAATCCTGTAGGGCACAAGCACGGATCAAGTCGATCTAAGGAGCCAGTCTCTTGTCATACCTGCTGTACCTACAATATGAGGCTTGCAGCGAAAGGATTGTGCAGTGGCGCTGTGCAGTGACAGCATCCGATCCGTAAAAATACCATATCGTCCGATGGGTGACCAAGTCGCCAGATATTACATGCACATTAATGTGAAACGCACTTGATCTTTGTCGCTCTCTCTCGAAACATCGAAGATTGGAACCGTCGAATCCACAAGTGGATCTATCTCCAACGCACCAAAACTGGGAAAATAAAACCGGGCAATTTGGAGTATCCATTGGACTATCATCACTGACGTTGGATGCTGGGTCCGATAGACAGAAAATACCACATTGCATGCAGATCGCCCGTGGAAGATGCATAGCGGTCTGCAAAGCAAATGCCGGAAGAATCAGCCCTCAACTGCGACTGGGCGCTCGAGCAACCGCTGCACTGACGATCCCAAAAATTAGTGGGATTTTCGACAGGAAAACAGAAACTGCCAATGGAAAGACAGACATGTTGCTCAGGCCCGGAGATGGACCTATGATTCGGTCCTGCATAACTACATCCATATATCTTTGGCTATCTCTTTGGCCGTGTCAGATCGGCAATCGAGTGATGGTGGTAATTACAGTCGACTCACATGAGCGCTAAATCCCAAGTGAAGAAGTTATATTTAGTTCGAGTTTATCCATACTCTTCCCACTTACACACCATTTAATTTCTTATATACTCCCCTTATCAATATGGCCCACCCTTATTTCCACCGCATACGTATATTACCGGTGACTTGATTCGAGGAATCGCGACATCTGCCGATAAGAGCACGTATACAAAAGCAAGGCTGATATTATTTCCGCGCAAATTCCACCGGAGAAAGGCCGACGCCGTCAAATACCGCGCTAGTTTGGTCTGACTAGAACTCTACTCGGTCGCAGTGCATTAGCTGTATTATCAACATTGTGATATGTCCAGTATTTCCCTCGGATATCCCCCCTACATAGTAGTGTCTTACCACTACCATTGTAAATAATGTAGAGGCTGGTTCAACTCAACGGGCTTCGAAGCAATGCATGTACCTTGCGCGTTGGATATGCATACTTCTTCAAAGAAAGAGGCAAACACCAACCATACATAGCTGATGCGACACAGGGACAGCAGTGTCTAACGCCCGTACCTTAATGCTCGTTTTTGAAATTGTGGCCAACAACCCATCCATGCATGTCATACCACAGAAGCCCTATCACTACACTCACTAGCCATAGCATGACATCTTGATCTACAAGGCACATACAGCACACTGAGCCATCGACCTCGCCACAATAAACAACCAAGCGGTCGATCTACGCAATCAGCCTATCAAGTAGAAATACAATTTACCAAGTACTATACATAGTACACATAGGATAGTACTGGAGGTACCCCAACAACTTTCAACCCCCTCCACCCACCACTCGCCTGCCACTCGTCCTGGATCATTGAACCGACTGGCGCCCAGCCCTGCGTACGTCGCACCCGACTCGGGCCCCCGGCCTGGCTGCAGCGCCAAGAGTAAAGACCGGCCCCATTCTAGCCCCCGTAACCCTGTCTTAAAGGATGTATGTATGTATAGAATGTACCTAGTATCTTTCTCGTGGCATTTGCTCTGGGGGTAGCATGTACTTATATGTACACCTGTTTCTACTGTATGTACCTTTATGTACTTTACTTACAACTCATCCTGGGGCCCATGCTCCTGAGCTGCTCCACACTTCTCTTCCCAAAAAATGTTTTGCATTGCAGATGCCCCTCCCCCTCCTTGGAGCTGCTTTGTTGTTTGGCCGAGGCTGATGGTCTTTGCACGAGAATAGCGGAATTAAAGGCGTGCTAATTCCGCGGTACTGTAAATAGTCCTGGAAGGTTCTCTATATACTGTTACTACTGGTTAGTCAGTTTGAAGTTCTTTCTCCCTAGTAACTATCGGTTCTGTCGTACGCTACAATATTCAACTATTTTCAAATTTATTGAGCAATTGATGTACCTAGTTCCAGTGTCTGATCTGGCATGGGTACAGCTAGTAGCTTAACAGTCAGCCCTTGACCTAGCTGAGTATCAACCACTAAGTTTCTAGTATTCTTCTTATAGAAGACGATGATGATGACAAACCAGAAAGATATAACTAGGAGCAAGAGAAGAGAGTAATGATACATGCATGGATACAATTCCCCTCGGCAGGTATGTGTCACCTCAAGAAGTCCAGACTATATCAATGTCAGCTGTGGATCTGTGTTTCTCTGGTAAGTTCTTGGACGCCTTATATACCCCATAGTCTCCAGCCATGTCCCTGCACAGGGCCCCTCGGGACCATAGCTGGTTCTATATTTATTGTCTAGGGCCACCAACCCTGCCAAAACTAAACTAGTGCAACGGGCAAGTCACAGGCCCTCGTGGCGTACAGGAAACATACATCAGCAATATAGAGGACTACTTTTGGATCCAACCCATCGCAAAATGAAAACCAAATTCGGTCAATATTTATGTGAAAAGGGTCTATCAACGGCCAAAAACGTAAACAGGAAATCTTTTTGTTTGATACCCCGGCCCGGCATCTCAACCATGACTACAACTCCGGACATGAAAAAGGATTCGAATGGTATATGAGCAGGGCATGGCACATGAAAACGTGAGTCGATCTGCTCATTAGACACTGATGGTCTTGAAGACACTGTAAAGCAAGAGAGGTTAGTATATCAACACAGGGATTATCGAAGGGTCTGGGTCCCTAAACAGGGGGCTCACCTAAATCCGTTGCCGCCGGTGGCCATTAGCGTGCCCGGCATCTGGGCCTGCCAATGCACTTCCTTGACAGACTCCATGTAATGCACGAAGAGCAGCTGAGGCGGAATCTCGGCCATGCCGGCCTGCCGGCTCTCCTCGTCGTCCAGCTCAACAGCCAGATCCCACAATGTGACGGTATTGTCTGCAGAGCCGACAGCCACCACACTGTCATCTGTCGGGTGCCATTCGATACTCGTGACGGGCTCCTTGTGGAAATCAAACGAGGCAACAGGCGACGCGCTAATCTGGGATGAGGGAGCCGCAGCATTCGGCTTCCAGTGTCGCAGGTCCCACACGGCCCACTTTCCATCGTCGGCGCCAGTCGCGAGGAGGTGGGAGGTCTGCTTAGACCAGCTCATGACGTTGACGTCCGTCTTGGAGACCGGCACGTCCACGGCGGGCTTGCGCGACTTGGATCGCACATCCCACACCTTGACGCTGCCGTCGCTGCTTGCCGAGGCGAACACATTTCGCTCGTTGGGGGACCATTGGAGCTCCTCCACCGACGAGGAATGTCCCGTGAACGGACGGTTGTCCGTCACCCAGCCGCCGCCTTCGGTGCGAGAGGTAACGTAGATCAATCCGTCATTATCACCAGTCAAGAGCTTGCCCAAAGGCTGCAGCGGAGACCAATCCAACGCATAGCCCTCGGCCTTGTGCATACGGAGAGTCGAGAGAGGTTTGGAGGCGGAGGGAGGGAGAACGGTGCCGGGCACGTCGAAGCTAGAAAGGTGGGAGGTAACATCGTGGATGAGAACTTGAGAATTTTCGAGCATGGTAGCGGTGAGGGTCTGCGGGGGCTTGTTGTAGTCTGCGGATTGTGTGGGAGTCTGATGGGAGCGAATGCGGTTCGTCGTCGAGCCCAGTGGGATGGACTTGTGCTCGAGGATTGGCTCGCCCATATCGTCATCCGAGTCCGACTCATTTTCTGATTCCTCTCCTTCCTTCTCCATCTTGCTAAGCCCGCTCATCTTGAGCACCATGAGCTCATTGTCTTTGGCCCTAGATCCCTCAGCCTGGGTGCCCGCAACGGCGTAGACCGTGGCGGGGTAAGTCTTGCGATTGTCGCCGAGAGAGTCGCGCACAATATCGAAGGACAAGCATGGCCACGGTGTGCTAAGGGTATGCAGCATATCATATGTGGAGGGATCTGGCGAGAGCGTCTCTCCCGGTGCCAATTTTGTCCGTCCAGGAATGAAGGTCTGCTTGTCAACATCCATGGCTTCGGCCTCTGCAGTCCAAAAATCAGCCGTTGTCACTTGGACCACTCGGATATACCAGACGCACCCCTTTCCTCTTCTTCACGCTCGGCATCTGGTCGGCCGTCGACTCCTGCCTCTAGAATTTCATCCTCGCTCTCGAATTCATCCTCGAATTCATCTTCAAACTCCCCCACCTCGTCGGGAGGGTCTTCTGCAATTGGGCGCTCGCCGGCCTTGAGCGCAGCAGACTGGTCGTCCGCAGCATCGGCGGCTCTCTTAGACATGATGTATGGAGAAAATTGTCGGAGACGTCCAAGAGAGGGAAAGAGGCGGCCGATAAGAAGTTTTCGGCCCAAAAAAATCGGCAGAGTGGGAGGATCCACTAAGCCTATCGGGGACTAGCGTAGATCCCGCCTTTTGCGATGTTGACGAGGGCTGAGAGTCACAACGCAAGCTCCCACTCTCTCGTTTGCTGCTCTGTTCTCGTGTTCTTCCCTGAAGATTACTTCTCTCATTCCCCTTTCTTCGCAGACTCTCTCAGCGATCAAATTTTCCGTTTGGGTGCCTGAAGTTGGTCCTAAACGAGGTTCGCTACAACCGTATCTCATCCCATGCAATCGCGCCAGGCTACGCTCTAAATCCGGGAAATTGGGAATTGGTGGGTCACCTCTGCACTGAGAGATTTTGAGATCATCGCAAATGCTGATGTGAAGGTTTTTTCTCGGACAGGCTACATTCAAGATACACCCATTTGCCTCGGCCTTGACCAACATGGATCCGCTGCAGCAGCCTGTGCCGGAGGCCCCTGCTGTGCCGGAGCCGCAACAGCCTGCTCCGGAAGACCAGACACCACAGGTGCAGGAAGTTGCGCCCGAACAACCTCCTGAGCCAACAGCCTCGGTCAGCGTCAACGTCGAAGAGCCCTCTGCGGAACCCACGACTGGCCGCGCGGGGCTCAACAATGGCTATAGCAGCGACTCCAAAGCTCACTACCACTCCCGTTCAACCGATTTCCATCATTCTGCTCCAGAGACTACAGCGCAGGACGATCAATCGACTCGTCTCACTTCATCCCCTTCGCTGAGCCAGCAGCCTCAACTCCTGTCCACGTCCCGACCTGGCTCGGGGCTCTCGAGTGGTCCAGAGCGACATGCCATGCCTCCGCCACAGCAGTCGGAAGTGAGCCAACGAGCGGCCTCTCAGGCGGCGAAGAATAGCGTGGTGATCAAGGTTGGCATGGTCGGAGATGCCCAGATTGGCAAGACCAGTTTGATGGTCAAATACGTCGAAGGGAGTTGGGACGAGGATTACATTCAAACTCTGGGTGCGTATGAACATTCTGCTCTTTTCGAGTCTTTCTGACTGGTATTATCCCCACAGGCGTCAACTTTATGGAAAAGACCATCTCGATTCGCAATACTGAGATTACCTTCTCAATCTGGGATCTTGGTGGCCAACGAGAGTTTGTCAACATGTTGCCACTTGTTTGCAATGACGCCGTCGCAATTCTGTTCATGTTCGACCTCACCCGCAAGAGCACCCTGAACTCGATCAAGGAGTGGTATCGCCAGGGACGGGGCTTCAACAAGACGGCCATTCCATTTCTTATCGGCACCAAATACGACCACTTTGTCAACTTCCCTCGTGAGGACCAAGAGGAAATCTCCATTCAGGTATTTAAATCCTTTTCTGCTCGAGGACTGGCAAACATTAACCGTAATGCAGGCCAAACGATTTGCCAAGGCAATGAAAGCCAGTCTGATCTTCAGTAGCACCAGCCACAGCATTAATGTGCAAAAGGTTTGTGGATTCTACCTAGGTGATTGATAGGGTTATTTATTGACTCCTCGCAGATCTTCAAGATTGTTTTGTCCAAAGCCTTTGACTTAAAGTGCACCATCCCCGAGATCGAGAACATTGGCGAGCCTCTCCTCCTCTACAAGTCCGCCTAAGGACATCTGCTCACCTGGTGTGACGATTATGTACATTGGGACGAAGTGATGCTGATGATGATCCTGGTTCCCACTATTTCGGGGATCCATCCCTTTCCTTTCTCACTCCTGATGTATTCGACGTTTCTTTTGTCCGAGTCCCCTTGAGTCTTGCTGGTCGTGCCTCCAGTCTCACAAATCTGAGATCTGGGGACTCTTGTTTCTATTCCTGGGGATTTTCCACATTCCACTTCTCCGTGGACGTACCTAGTTTCATTTTGTCACTTTGTTTTGTCTCCCTGGATAGGCTCCACTGGACGCTTCAAGGCGTTTGGGAGTCCAAATGGACGACAATCTGGAAATACAATGTCATTCTCGTGTGTGTTGTGGGTTTCGTAGACTGCGAAGAAAAATATAGATCGCGGCCCATGGTTCCCCGAGGCAAGATTTCGCCCCATTTCTAACTGACTCGGCCCCTCAAAGCCTCATCTACTCCGCCTTTGTTTCTATTCTCAGCCTTTCTTGTCTCTTTCTCTTGTTCTCTTCCTGTCCCTCCTTTTCTTACACCCGATGGCAGTTTTTGTTGCCTCGGGACCACCGGCATAGTTTCCAGTCGAGCCTCGTGTCGCCAAGCCACCAAATCTCCGGTGCTTGGATGCCAGTCCCTACAGCTGTTATCTTTCCCGCGCGTTTTCTGCTGATCCTCCACCCTTACTTCGCGAGGCGCCCATCATGACCGAGGAGCCGCAGCTGGGTTCGATCCAGCAGCGGATTGCCGCACTGAAGCAGTCCCAGGTGGCCCGCCCTGACGACGGCCCTGAACCATTCCTTCGCCCCGCCACCGAACGATCCAATTCGGCCAACAACCCTCCTTCATACAATGTCACCGGCTCAGTTTTGGACCGAGCATCGATCGGAAATGAGCCTGCCGACGATCGGCCGCGACGACCAGTTCCGCGCCCGCCGTCACATTCCTCTAGACCCGATGTGAAACCCAAGCCGAAAGTCCCGCCACCAGTGCCATCGCGCAAGTCAGAGGGCGAGCCCCCTCCTACTCCGGCGCGTCCTGCTGATCGCCCTGCGCTGCCGCCGCGGAGGCCTACAGATCCACCCCGGCGGCCGTCTCTCGAGTCGGTCACGTCCGATGCGTCATACTCAACGGCATCCACTACCGGGCGTGGGACATCAACAACCTCCGTGAACACCAACGGCAACAGTCGAGTGAAGGCGCCAGCATGGGGAACAGACGATTTGCCCCCACTGCCTCCCAGACGAACAGAGGAATCAAAGGCCCCGCAACTGCCTTCACGGCCCAAGTCCAGGGCCAGCATTGGGAGTCTGTCCTCGAAACTGTCTTTGACATCCAGAGGACCCTCTCCCTCTCCTCCCAGCTTGCCCACTCGTCGAGATCGCTCCCCGGCTCCTCCTCAGCTGCCACCGCGCACAACGTCTGGAACGGAGATGAACTCAAATGGGGCAACAGAGAACTCTAGTCCTAACCTGCCGCCTAGGAAACTGCCCCCTCCTCCATCAGCCACCAAAATAAACGATGCCCGACAGCTAGGTTTTGGGAACAAGAATCCAAGGCCCCCACCAAGGTCTAATAGTACCCCAGCCCAAGAGTCGGCCCCGAGTGGAGTGCCGCCGCCAATCCCGCATGGTTCCCGTCCAGATCTCTCCAAACTCCAAGCAACCAAGCCACGGTTTCATGGATCGATGCCATCTGCGACCCCACCTGCAAATATGTCAAGTACGGAATGCTTGATATGTCGAGACTTCTCCGGACCGGACAACCATGCTGCTCGGTACCCGCGCGCATCGCTTCCGACACAGGACATGGGCTGGTTAGCGAACGAGCTGACCGCGCCTTTCCCATCGTTGACGGACAAGGCACGAGCGATCTTCACGTGGCTACATCATAATATCTTCTACGATGTGGATTCCTTTTTCAATAACTGCGTCCAGCCGTCGACGCCCGCCAGCACGCTGGCCACAGGAATGGCGGTTTGCGAAGGATACGCAGGGCTATTTGCCGCGCTCGCCACCCATGGCGGGTTGGAAGTGATCGTGATAACCGGTCATGGGAAAGGGTTTGGCCACCAGCAGCTTGCCCGGGGGTCCCCACTACCGCCGTTTAATGGCAACCACGCTTGGAACGCTGTCCGGATCGACGGAGGGCGGTGGAAGTTGATCGATGCATGCTGGGGAGCCGGAGTCGTGCAGGGCAAAGGCCATCCCTACCACCAGCGCTTCGAGCCGGCCATGTTCTACATCTCGAACGACGAGTTCGGCCTGAAGCACTATCCCTCTGACAAAAACCACTTCTTCCGCGAGGATGGCCGCGCGGGTCTGAGCTGGGAAGAATACGTCCTCACCGACCCGGAGCGGCCCACCGGTGTCGAGCCTCTGATAGTCTACGGCGATGCCAAAGAGCGCAGTATCGGTCACCGCAGCTTCCAGCCCGCCGGCCGCCACATCTCCCTATCCACCACCCCGAGCCCCATCCGCTTCCAGTTCGGGTTGATCTGCGAGCACTGGACGCTTGCCCACCACAGCCGCACGATCCCTGGCCTGTTCCTGCTGATGATCCATGGTGTCGATGGTCGTAAAGATGATAGGCTCCCCTTCAACCACGTACAGGGCTCGGGCCCCGCAGGTGGCGGCGAGTTCTGGTATGTTGATGTCCCAGACGTCCGCATGCTCGGCGCCCCCGGCCAGAAGCTGCAGCTGGCGGTGTTGACCAGTTTCGGGGACCGCAAGGATGCCCGCGGTGTGACGGCCCAGGAGTATAAGGCGCAAGTTGGCCGCGTCGGTATGGCCTGGGCGTATGTTGCCGAGTGGGATTTGGTCCAGTAGTGATTTGGTTTCGGCAGCTGGGTTGGTTTACTGCTTGCATGTTTGGTACTGCAAAGGGCCTCTCGGTATACAATCCAGCGCTTCTTTTCCGGGGAGTATATTTTTTTTTGTTCTGGTTTGAGGATGGACGGGGTGCGATATGATGATAATTATGACTATGATGATGCCTACTGCTGTGATATTTCCCTTCTACTTTTGCATAGTCAATCAATATTATGAAGGCGCTCATGCTGTAGGGTACTCCGGTAGATCATTCTAATGATATAATTAGTTCTAAAGAAATAGGACGCCAGGTCAAAGAACAACATGAAGCAGTAGAGTAATCTGCATCATTTCAAGAAACTCAATAAGGTAAACAACACCAGACCCAAGCAATTCCTGCATTCCACATAGCCACCGAGTAAAACATCCATTAAAGCTTTTGTAGCCGCTGGAACGAATGTTAGTATTTTGCAACAGTAATGTTTGAAGACGCCTTTACCTTTCCAAATTTGAAATCCTCTCCTATACCAAAGAGTCAGAAACATTCAACAACTCCAAACTCCACACAAAGGGTATATACATACGTTCAGCCAGAACAACCCGAGACAGTTCCCTAGGACCATCTTCTCCCTCGGAGAGTCCATTGTTTGATTCGCCTTCTTTGGCGACTCGCCACTTCCACAGTGAAGTAAATTGATCCGGTACGCGCTCGAGTTGGTTTTTGACGTGCTAGAGATTATGTATGAGCGGCGGCAAAAAAAGATAAAAAGAGATGATGAATTTGATGGTGAACGTACTCGACCAAGGATTGGGAGGAACTTGAAGCCATGGCCACTATTTTGAGTATTAGCCAGATTCCGAGAGGCAGGGCATTAAAAAAGAAGAAAAAAGGAAAGAAAGACTCACGATCCTCCGGTGCATATGAAGAGAGAGTCAGAGTAATCAGGGACGTAGTCAATCACGAACTGCGACAATTAGTCCTTGACTCTGCCGAGTGGTAATCTGTCAATTTGTTGCTTACATTGTTGTCGATGCTGTCGGTGTACCAGCATAGCTATACATTGATCAGCATCTCGTATATAGTTCCCATGCGAGATGCATATCTTACCCGGCTGTCTGTGAATCCAAACTCGGCCAGTTCGGGGAATGCCTCGTAAATAACTCTCTTCATGCGTTGGAGCCCGTAGAGCGGCACGGTGTCAATGCTGTCTTGGCTATACTTTGTTCGAGGTGTCGATATACGCCTGAAATGAGTTAGAGTTCAGGTTCTTGAAAAACAGGCTTCTTTAGAGATACTTACAAGTTCTGTTCACGGGGATGCGCTCTGAAGTTGGTGAACTAAACAGAATCAAACGTAAGCATGACCGGAATGCAAGCAAATGCCAACACGATAAGGATGGTTCATCTTTACCTTGCGACCCCGATACCCGAATTTGAGTCTTCCTTCCTTGGTTATGGGAAATCCCCCGCCCTGATAATAGCTAGGAGGATGTGAGTGATTGATCGATGGATAGCAACCGTAAATGTCGAGACGATACGTACTCGTCACCCTCGCCCCTGCGGTATGACCACACGGGGTAGTTATCCGGGTGGAACTTCTCCCACAGATCCTGTCTGTGCCGCGGGATATCAATGAACATGACCGTCCCGGCGGTGGCCTCCACAGTACGATGGGCTTCGGGGACAATCGAAGCAGACCAACTCCCGGCTACATGTCTTGGTTAGGATATGTTGCCTAATCAATCACACTAGAATGCGTCTTACCAGCAACAATCACCAGATCAGCGAAATGGCTGAGACCATCTGCAGTCTTGATGCCTTTGGCTTTCTTCTCGAGACCGTTCTTTTCCATAATCAAGTGGTCGAGTTTGCCTTGCGGCTCTCCTAGGACAAATTTCACGCCGGCATTCTCGCACAAAAAGCGCGCATAGACACAGGCCTGGATGGTTTCTTGTTAGAAAACACAATACTTGGAGAGGAATTAAACCCATACCTTGTCTGCGATAGTAATCCCAGCATTGATATCAATGAATCCGTTGATATTTCCTTGATTAATGCCGTCGACAATGTGAAGCTTCTCAAGCCACTTAGGGCTAATCTTGCGCAAACGCTCCTCGTCGGTCAAATTTCCCTAAAACAATTATGTTAGTTGATTATTATTATTAGGTATACATGTATACATATTTTCAAGGTGAAATACCCTGACAAATTGCATCTTCCGATTCTCAGGAGCGGTATCCTGCATCGTCTGCAGACTCTTTTCATAGAAGTCTCGCAGCTTGCCTCCCTCAGCCAGGAAATAGCTGCCACAGTGATAGAGGAGTTTGTCATCTGGGGTTAGACCAGCAGGCAGGTCTGCAGATGGACTTTGGGCAATGGCCTCATTCCATGCGAGCCATGTATCCCTGGCCTCAATGGCCAGTGCTTGGTATCTAGAGATGATCACAAATTAATACAATTAGTCAATTATTCTTATAGATGACTTATAGATGACTTACTCATGTTCCTCTCCATAGGCCATGCGAAAGACCTTGTTGATATCAGCCGATGCACCATCGCAGCCCTGGGATGGATTGTAGTGATTCTTGTCGAAGGCGCATCGGTCATAGATGGTGATATTCTTGTATCCGCTACGGGCAAGCCAGAGCGCGGTACTCAGTCCAAACACACCCGCCCCGACAATAATGATGTTCGAATCGGTGGAGATCATGTTGCTCGATCTATATATGTGCAATGAACTGAATCCAGATTTCTTCGGGAGACTAGAGGATATGGCATGAGTTTAGTTTAAATGAACGGCAACTCAGGATCTCTATCGTTCTCCAGCTATCTCTGATGGGTCTTTGATTGGGGGCCTCGGGACTTCCCGATTCCAATCTCTCTCGCCCCAGCTTTTGGGGGACGGAATTGCCGCGGGGTGGGAATTCCTCGCGAAGTGATAGAATTAGGCCAGCAATGGAAGTAACTGGTAAGTGGAGAGCCCTGACTTACCTCGTTACTGGAGAAATAACCCAATTCAACTGTGATAATGCTAGTTCGTATACCAAGACAGCATCCTCATAGTTCATATTCGAGATCTGCACAATCGCAAGCAAGTGGGGCGCGATAAGCAAATTTTCCAGCTATCGCCAACGGGGCCTGTCCAACATGGCCTCACCCGCGATCGAATTTTCTTCCTCTTTTGCTTCTCGCTCACTCACCATTCTCGCGATTACACTAATACCTTCTTTACTAACACACATCTTGGATTGAACTCATCATGGGTAATGTAAGAGCAACCCAGATCAAATTGCTCTACAGCAAAAACTGTCACTTGTGCTCTCTGTTCCAGGGAGCCGGCTGACGCGCAGGTGGAGCTAATCGATCATATTCAACAGGGAGCCAAAGCCTCGATGAAGCGCGACCGCAACCAAAAGGACGCGAAGGTTGCCAAGTCGCAAACGAAATCCGTACGTCAAATATTTTTGGACCTCTGCTTGTGTTGGGGGTCTTGATCGCTCACATGCCCGGTGTTTAGAATGAGAAAGCGATGAATATCCAGTGTCAAGTCTGCAAACAGACTTTTCTTCAGACGACCAAGGCACCAGCGTGCGTGACATCTACTCTGCGTGACTTGATCTTGGATTGGGCTCTGCGTGCTAATATTTTGGCTATGTATAGTCTCCTCGAACACGCCTCCAACAAGCACAAGAAGGGGAGTGCCGAGTGCTTTCCTGGTGTGAGCGCATGAGAGACAAGAGCTCGGCGGGACTGAGAAAAGAAAATATTCGGTGTTATGCGACCAGCATGGGATCAGGAGTTTGTGAATGATGAAGATACCTCTGCGATGAGTTTAGAAAAGAGCATATTCGATACAGCGGATGTGATTCATCGATCGAGTTTTTCCTTTCTTTCAAAAGACCAATACTTGTAAAACAGTAGTTGTGTATAGGCCAGAAAGACAAGCGATCCTGACCAATCTGACAAGAGACCTCACAGATCGGGTGTTACTTATCAGGTGATTAGGCGTGGTACAAATAACCATGAGCCAAGTATGGATATCTCAGTAGATTGGCTGAGATCAGCAGCAGCTCAGCCATGACCTCAGACGTCACCATAATCCCTCAGTGGACAATTATCGGTCAACACTTTCGAAAGCTAGGTATAGGTCTGTGCATGCCGGGAGGATGATGCACTTGACTAGTCGACCAGCCTCGCCACACGATTGGTGAGAATCAGAAAAGACAAACCCATGGTAAATGATCAACGTAGTGTCAAGAATCAACCCCCTCTCCCCACCTCCCTACGCTCTGGGGAATCGAGATGCCGGTGTACGCATTGGGAGGTTTCCCCAGGTCTCCGCATTTGTCTCCGAAGACGAGCGGGGATAGGGAGCCTCGAGCGGATAAGCCGAGTACACATCCCCCAATAATAATCGACATTGCAGCGTACTGTACATACATATTAGTGCACAGCTGCCACTACCAAAGACCAAAAAAAACGACCCACAACGCGTCCAAAACGACCAGTCAGAGCGTGTATTCTGAAACACAAAATGAGCAGGGAAAAAGGACCAAGAGCAGGGCCCAAGGAACAAGTACGCACGGCGAACCCCGTACCACATAACCCGCGTAGCCTGGAATCAGCCGAGTCTCCCACCCCCAAGGGGATCCACTCGTTTTTTCCCAAGCTGAACCAGTCACAGTCCGTCAATGCCGTAAGATGCCGTGTCAACCCGTGCCGCGCTGGCTAAGTATGGCCGGCCTCGGGGCCCCGGGGCCGACCAAGTGGGAACCGGGTAAATGCTGGAGATGAAAACCAAGGAAATTTCAAGACTTCAGAAAGGTTAGAAATTACAGGCCTCGCTCTGTGGATATAGGATTGAATCAGGAGGTGAACGTGACCGTGGTTGTTGCGAGTCGAGTTGACTAATCGCAACGCAAGGAGAGACTGCGCGTGGATACTTTAATTGGGCTAAGAATAATTCGGCATGGACGGTGCCGGGAACAGCGAGAGACAGAAAAAAAAAAAAAAAACAGAGAGACTTTCCCCCCGCCGGGGTTTTAGCGGACAGTCAATTTTCTGGTCTCCACCCCTTTTCTTGTGACTGGCACACTAACAATGCACCCTACAAAGGCAACTGGTCGGCCCATGATCATGTCCAGAAAAAAGATCTCTCCAGAAAAACACACATGAATATTCTAGATTTTTTCAATCCATCAAACTAAGCTTTTATGCCGTATTCACGGTTGAAAGACAAAACCCCTGCCGAGCCAGCCACAGCCGTGATCCCGATCGCAGTCAAGCCGAGTCGGCCGGGTTCAGCTGCGTCGCACAGCACGGGCCTCGTGGCCGATTCCCCCGGATCCCTCCATGCACCCCGGGGGGTCGGCCAATCACAGTGCCGGTGTGGGCCGAGATCGGCCAATGACCGGCCATAGACGCGGCCGGGGTTGCAACCGGGGAGCCTTGGGGTAGTAGACCTGCCGAACGCGAAAGTAACACCATCTTACTCTCTCTCTCTCTCTCACACATGGCGGGTGAATAATGTCCATGCTTGGGTTTTAGCCCCTTTGTTTCTGTTTCCGAGGTTTCTTTTGTTAAAATAATTAATTTCTTTTTTTGATTGCTCCAAGTAAAATATTATTCTTTTTTAAAGAAGGTGCTCTTATTTAACCACCGCTTGCCCCGTTTTCCCTTTTTCTTTTCTTTTTTTTTCTCCGTGCCCTTTCTTGCCTATCATTTCCCTACCTTTGATTATCTGGGATTGCGCATCTCAGAGAATCCCACTCCCCTCACCATGGTTGTCGTGGGCAACATCTATGTGATCGCGGCCGTCGCCGTCATTGGCGGCGGTCTCTTCGGTTTCGATATCTCGTCCATGTCGGCGATCCTCGAAACCCCAGCCTACAAGTGTTATTTCAACCACGGGCCCAAGGGTCCCCCGTTCAACAATGATGACGACTGCAGTGGTCTGAGCTCGTTGTCGCAGGGTGGTGTGACCGCCGCCATGCCTGGTGGCTCGTGGCTGGGAGCTCTCATCTCTGGTTTTATCTCGGATCGTCTGGGTCGCAAGTATTCCATTATGATTGGCTGTATTATCTGGTAAGAGGAAATTGCTTTGCAGATTTGCTTCGAGTTCAATGCTGATTGTTGGTTCGTGGGTAGGGTTATCGGCTCCGCTATTATTTGCGCGTCGCAGAACATGGGCATGCTGATTGCTGGTCGTGTGATCAACGGTCTCGCTGTCGGTATTGAGTCTGCACAGGTCCCCGTGTATATCTCCGAGATCTCCCCGCCCTCCAAGCGTGGTCGTCTTGTTGGCTCCCAACAGTGGGCCATTACCTGGGGAATCCTGATCATGTACTAGTAAGTGGTGTCTCGACGGATCGTTCAACTCTTTCTCCTGGTGAGTGAAAAGCTTACTTCTGATAGTATCTCCTTTGGATGCTCGTACATCGGCGGCAAGACGTCCAAGGATTATAGCGAATCCGTTTTCCGAATCCCCTGGGGTGTCCAGATGGTTCCCGCGGTTCTTCTCTTCCTGGGTATGATCTTCTTGCCGGAATCTCCCCGTTGGCTGGCCCGCAAGGATCGCTGGGAAGAGTGCCAGTCGGTGCTGGCTCTGGTCCACGGCAAGGGCGACCCCAGCAGTCCGTTTGTGATTGCCGAGATGCAGGAGATTCGTGAGATGTGCGAATTCGAGCGCCAGAACAAGGATGTCTCGTACATGGAGCTGTTCAGGCCGGGCATGATCAACCGGACTGTGATTGGTATTTTCACTCAGATCTGGTCCCAGCTGACTGGCATGAACGTCATGAGTATGTTTCCCCTATTTCCATAAAGGACGCCATGAACCCCTTGAGACTGACTCTGCATGTTTCAGTGTACTACATCACCTATGTCTTCTCCATGGCTGGCTATGAAGGGGACGCGACCCTGTTGGCTTCGTCGATCCAGTACATCATCAACGTGGTCATGACCGTGCCCGCCCTGATCTGGGTGGACCGCTGGGGTCGCCGACCCACGCTCCTGATCGGTGCCACGTTCATGATGATCTGGATGTACGCCAACGCCGGTATCATGGCCTCATACGGCGAGGTCGTAGAGGGCGGTATCAAGGGCGTGGAAGAGGAGTCGATGCGGTTGACCGGTGCGCCGGCCAAGGGCTTGATCGCCTGCACGTATCTCTTCGTCGCCTCATACGCGCCGTCCTGGGGCCCTGTGTCGTGGGTGTACCCGCCGGAGCTGTACCCGCTGCGTGTGCGCGGCAAGGCCGTGGCGCTGGCCACCTCGTCGAACTGGGCGTTCAACACTGCACTGGGGCTGTTCGTGCCGCCGGCCTTTGCCAACATCCGCTGGCAAACCTACATCATCTTCGGTGTTTTCCTGACCGCCATGTGGCTGCATGTGTTCTTCATGTTCCCTGAGACTGCGGGCAAGTCCCTTGAGGAAATCGAGCAAATCTTCGAAGACCCCAACGGCATCCCGTACATCGGGACCCCGGCCTGGAAGACTTTCCATGACACCAAGCGCACGGTGGCCGCCGAAGCCGGTGATGTCGAGGTCCTGGGTGAGAGACTGGGTGCTGAGAAGCGTGCTACCTCGCACGCCGAGGTTGCCGAGGACTAAACATAATCTGGCTGTGTTTGTTAATGGGGTGATGAGAAGGCGTTATTTTTTTTTTGAAGGGATTACATGCGAGTGCTAAATTGGTTGCACTCGAGACGATGTCATGTAAATGAATCCGAGATACTCTTGAACATACTGGAGTTGTCAGTTCTGATCCTTAATCCATGGATCCTTTGGGTATCAGTAGTAGGAACCGATCAGAAATTTTTGTACTTTTACCTCCTCCAGTTCCACCGATCCTCTTTTCAGCTGCTTGGTGATCCAATTCGGAATGTCGTGACTCGCTAGTCACTTGACTCGTTGGAAATGCAACGGACCTGTTTTCAAGCCTGGCAGGACAGCTTCGGATTGCGCTACACTCTAACCACATCAGACAGACACGAATACCAACCGAGGCATCTACCACAACACGCCAAGAATTTCCGACGCCCAAATGATGGGCGCGCGCAAGTCTTGGGATGAGAGTGGCTCTCGGAGTGGAGGGTGGAGTTAGGGGAACTCGGAAGCCCCTGGGACCGAGAAAAAAAAGCCAAGAACGTGTCTTCGCGAACAATTGACGTCCCATCTTACGTTGAATCTTCGCTTCTCATCTTCTCATCTTCTCATCTTCTCATCTTCCTTTCTTCCTTTCTTCCTTTCCTTTATCTTCTTTCCTGCCTCTTCCGCTTCGATCCTTCCTCGGGCCCCTCTCCACCCGCTAGCTCCGAGTTAACCGGACCGATCGGGTCGCATTGTCAAGCGCGGCGCCGATCAATTCGATTCCTCTTGTTGGCAAACCTCATCCATCGTCATGGTTCGTTCACGGGGCAGCTCGAACAGTCTGGGGGTGGACATTCGCGGCGACACCAGCGCGCCTGCGATGTCCACGATGAACGAGGTCAGCCCGATTGAGCCGACCACGCCGGATCTGGGCGAGGTACGTGTCAACCGAATTGATTAACAACACTGACTGTCGTGTGCTGACTTGTTTTCCCGGTGATTTAGCAATTTGAGATGCGCACACCAGAAAAGTCGACGGCCAAGTCTCCCACCAAGCGGCGTCGCAATCGCTCCCTCCTGCATCGCTTCGCCGATACCTGTCTGAAATACACTTGGCTGCTGCCGCTCCTCATCCTGACCTTCCTGCTTTTCTTGTACGCTATCAACCCGACCACGTCCAACCCGATGCATAGCGCCATCTTCCTCTCCTACCCCCAGCCGCCGAAGACGCCCGGCGGCCCGGTCATGTTCGGCAAGGGCAAGAAGGACATTGCGTTTGTGTCGTTCTACACGGTGGTCTTGTCGTTCACGCGCGAGTTCATCATGCAGCAAATCATCCGCCCATTCGCCGTCTTCTGCGGCATTCGTGGCAAGGGCAAGACGGCGCGCTTCATGGAGCAGGTATACACGGCCATCTACTTTGCCATCTTCGGTCCGTTCGGTCTGTACGTGATGAGCCGCTCGAATATCTGGTACTTCAACACCATCGCTATGTTTGATGGTTTCCCGCATCGAGAGCACGAGGCGCTGTTCAAGGCCTACTACCTGCTCCAGGCCAGCTACTGGTCGCAGCAGGCGATTGTGCTGATGCTGCAGTTGGAGAAACCGAGAAAGGACTTTAAGGAGCTGGTCGGTCACCACATTATCACGTTGGCGCTCATTGCGCTGAGCTACCGTTTCCACTTCACGTACATGGGTCTTGCGGTTTACATCACCCATGACATCTCGGACTTTTTCCTGGCGGTATGTTTGCAATTTGACTGGGCCGGCCAAATATGTGAGACTGTGTGCTAATATTTTCGATTAGACTTCGAAAACGCTCAACTATCTGGACTCAATCATCACAGCGCCCTATTTCGGGATGTTCGTCGGTATATGGATTTACCTGCGCCACGTGTTGAATCTCAAGATCCTCTGGGCTGTCCTGACCGAATTCCGCACCGTGGGGCCCTTCGAGCTAAACTGGGAGACCCAGCAGTACAAGTGCTGGATCAGCCAGTACATCACGTTTTCGCTGCTGGCTAGTCTCCAGGCCGTCAACCTGTTCTGGCTCTTCCTGATCCTGCGCATCCTGTCCAACTATATCTTCAACAGCGTCGCCAAGGACGAGCGCAGTGATGACGAGGACGAGGAAGAGGAACTGGGGCAGGATGCTGCCAAGGCTACACTCGCCACTGGTGCCGAGCGCGCTGGCAAGGAGAACCAGGCGCCTCAAATGCTGGTCAATGGCAAGCCTGTGGCCGATCAGCGCGGTCCCCGAACCCGCAGCAAGAAGGCCTAATCAAGACCTCCTTCAACCCCCTAGCAAGGAGTCAATTGGCTACTCTTGTAGGGCTATTTCCTCTTGCCCTCTTTTTCCGTTTTGCGTTTCTGTCTTGTCCGTTTTGGGCTCTTTTCTCTGGTGTCCCTGGTTTCATATAGTGGGGCGATATAAGGCCGCCCCCCACTGTTCATAATTATGCATCTTCTGAGAGTGACTGGATGGTCCAAGAAGGGGTGTTTGGCTGTTTCCAAGTCAGTTTGAGACCACGGAGGTTCCTCTCTTTTCTTTTTCATGGAATGTTCGGTGCATTGCGTGTGTATGGACGGTTGGGTTCTTGCACAGTCTCATTCTTCCCTCCGTGTTTATTACCTGTTCTTTTCATTCTCCTATTCTTTTCTGTTCGGACTAATGAGACTCAAGTCGATAGATGAGTGATGCGTGTCCTTCGGAAGCTCTCGACGTGGGTTTCCTGGCCATTGGAAATGAAAATCATATTTTCCCTCTACAGATGGCGTTGTGTTGCAATGAGTTGCTATACCTATCGTCAACCTCGAGCGGAGATTCTAATGCATAGGCTTGGAAGAGAAAATAGTGGACGCTGAGCCAGTGTTGAATATTCATGTCATGATCCTACATACAAAACACCGGCCCATTCACTGGTTCTAGAGATGTTGTTCGTTCGAAGAGGGTCATCACTTGCAAGACCTTGAATATATATGGTGCGATGGACTCTCCAGGGTCGTCTTAGTTGGAGCTTTCTGAGGATGATTCCTGCTTGGACTCCTGTTTAGGTTGCTCCTCTTGCTTGGGCTCATCTTTTTTCGGCTCCTCCTGCTTGGCCTCCTGCTTAGGCTCGTCCTGCTTGGGCTCGTCATTGGGCTTCTCCTGCCGAGGCTCCTTCGCTTCTTCCGTCTCCTGCTTCTCCTCAGTACCTAGTGTCGCCTTGTCTTCTTCCTTGGGTTCCTGCTCAGACGACTCCGGAGCAGCCTCCTGCCCCTCTACCTTGGGACTCTCCTTCGCATGTTCTTCGTCATGGTCAGCTTCGTGAGCATCATGATGAGACGTCTTCGAGGGACCACTCTGAGCGAGGTAGAAGATGACTGGGCCGCCCAGACCAATCGAGCCCAACAGCCTACACAAGACAGAACCAGAGTCAGCAAGATCTGATGGGAATTAAATCAACTAAACGGATTGAACATATCACAAACCATGGCAAATCGCTGGTACTGTGGTCCTCGTAGCCCTTGCCACTGGAGTAGAACCGACGGCCGAGCAATTGAGTAGATTGGCGAGCAGCTGGCAAGGCCCGCACGGACTGGGCTGCTGAGGCAGCGCGGAAGACGGCACGGCGCGCAAAGACCATTGCGAATGGATTGGGAGGTATAGGGAATATGGGAAGTGTGATAGGTTGAGTGGAGAAAAAAGGAAGAAAGAAATGAAGAAAAAGACGGGCCAAATAGACTAGGAAGCAAGTTTAGGAATTTTCCACAGCAACAATCCAGCCCTCCCACCCGAATTACCCTCGCAACTCGTCTTCCTCGGGCCACCCTCGCACGACATCGGAAGACCCGTTCTCAGCGGTCCCCGAGCTTGGTCTGTGCGCCGTTGCACCGGTGATGTCATGTAGATGCCAAGGCAGGTAGCTGGTATCTGCGGGAGTGTGAGAACAAGGCGGCTTGGACTGGTAGCTGGTACTAGTAGAGGACATAAAGCTTTCATTGGACCTTGAAAACTTGGTTTTTTGAAGAACTTCCAACAACTGCGCCCAGCTATGATGGACAGCTCCTAATCTTGGGACGTGGAGACAGGTACTGACCTCTGCCTACAGTAATTGGTCTGTAATTTATGCAATGCAAGGCATAATTCTAAGTGTTTCTTCTAAACACTTCCAAAGCTCACAGCTCTATTAACCACTTGTGAATGTATACTTGTCGAGTATGGTGAATCAGATAAATGGCTTGTTGCCTCAGGCTGCAACAGCTGGACAGACACCTTAGGCGGCGACACCCCACATCCAAAGGCATTCGGAGACACTCCACTACTCTCTTCCCCTCGTGGCATCCCCATTGAGCTTGTTCGTCAGTTGATCAATATCAAAAAAGCGCATCTTCAGATAGTACCAGACTCGTGGTCACGCTCTCCAAGCCATGGCAGACCGGCAGGTGACCCAGCAGAACATATTAGCTCTGCTGGGCAAGCTCGACGATCCTGATGCCGATTTGAGATACATGTCCCTCAATGATCTCTTTGGGATCTTGACCAGCCCGGGCTCTGCTTTCCTCGCCCAGGAGCAGCGCACGGCTACAAAGCTGGCTGAAGGCCTGCTCAAGGCGCTAGACGATCAGCACGGCGATGTGCAAAACCAAGCCCTCAAATGGTCCGTAACTGCAAGCCGCTCTTGGCGATACTGGCCCTAACTCCCCATGATTTCACAGTCTTGGTCCGCTGTCTGTCCGACTCTCCTTCGAATCGCTCACGCCGCTGCTCGGGAAGTTGACCGACTTGACTGCCTCTCAAACGATCGACACCTCCGTCCCCAACACTGCCCTTCGCGTCATCGTCGATACCCTTCCTCATCCACAGTCCGGCCAGCCGGCACAACAAAATGCGATCACTGCATACTCGGCCGTGTCAAAGGTTCTGATTCCTCGGTTGACGGGCCCGACCCCGTCGGCGTCTGGGCGGCGGGGCTCGGTGGTGCGGGGGATGCTGGAGAAGGATCCATCTAAAGGTTTCAGCAGTGACGCCATTGACGTGCTCATCAAGGTTGTCACCTGCTTTGGGCCACTGCTACAGGAATCTGAACTGGCCGCCTTGCAGGGGCCTGTCATGGGCATCATCCACAACGACACAGCTGGAACCGTCGTCACCAAGCGCGCCCTGACCGCCATCTCGGCGCTGGTGCTGCATTTCTCAGAGCACCAACTCAACTCCTTTGTCGCCAGCCTGACCGAAACCCTCTCCTCTCCCAATATCTCTACCGTTCACCGTCGCCACCTGATCGCTGCCATCGGCGCCATTGCGCGGAGTGCTCCGGCCAAGTTTGGCCCGCATTTGAACACCCTCACGCCTTTTGTATTTGCTGCTGTCGGGGAGGATGGTGTTGCGCAGGCAAATTGAGAGGGAAATCCTAGGAGGACCAGCTTCCACTTTACGTAGTAGCCGACATTAAACTCCACTGCCCGGGCAATAAATGCGACGGCTTGAGTGCGGCCGACTATGTATGACCTAACGACATCCTTTCGGTCATAAAGGACTTGCATGAACATTGCCATGAATTGCTTTGCCCACAGCCTACATCGAGTTGGACTTAACTTCTAGTTCCAGGATGAGGAATGCCCAATATGACCCAATGGACTTCACGATACCCACGTTGATTCTTCTCGCCTGTCTACCATCAGTCTCATGTATCGCTGACGCAGCAGTCGGCTTTCTTGAAAATCAAACACATCTGTGTTCCCTGTTACTGCAAACCTGCGCCTGCCCCAGTAGCTGTAGATAGCTACGTCAATGCCAACTGCCTCGAGGTTTCCTTCTGCTCGCTGCTCCCAAACTCGACACATCAGGGTCAAATGGCTCTGATTGTTTTGTGTTGCTTCTTCCTCTCCTACATCCGCAACTCATCTGCAGTTTTATCACCTCCAGATAGTCCGGTTATCATCCATATTATCTCCCATTTACTGTTCGTCTCCGAGCTTTCAAGATGCGTTTCCGTCCCATCTTGATGCTTTCCAGCATCTTTTTGGCAAAGCTAGCGGTAGCAACGCCTTGCGAGACGAGCTCCATTCATACGGTGCCACTCAACCAAACCTCATCGGTGGCCGAGGATCTCGAGGCGGCGGAGATTGAGTCTCGCGCTACTCCTCCGAACCTCGATTACCGATGCGGAGTCAAGTACGGCAAATGCCCTAGTGGCACTTGTTGCTCCAGCTCAGGTATGTGTCAGGATATTGGGCTCGTGGACATAAGTCTGATCCAAACCGTGCGTGACAGGATTCTGTGGCACGAGCAAGGCGCACTGCCGTTCTCCCGACTGCAAAATCGATTACGGCCACTGCGATGCGCACAAATCGCCCAAGGGCCCACCCACCAAGGACGTCGGCCGGCCTCACATGGGCCAGGTACCCTATGGCCCGCAGGAGGTCCGCTCGTGCGCTGTACCCGGAACTGTTGCTTTGACGTTCGATGACGGTCCTACCCGCTACACTGGTGATCTTCTTGATTTGCTCGATCGGTACGATGCGAAGGCAACATTCTTCATCACTGGTATCAATAACGGCAAGGGGCAGATCGACGACTTCGACTTGCCATGGGCGTCTTTGATCGAGCGCATGCAGCTCAGCGGCCATCAGATTGCCAGCCACACCTGGTCGCACGAGGACCTCAGCAAGGTGACGCCTCTGCAACGCCAAGATCAGATAGAAAAGAACGAGGCTGCGCTACGCAATATCCTGGGCAGTTTTCCAACTTACATGCGCCCGCCGTACTCGAGCTGTACCCGAGACTCGGCGTGTGGCACCGACCTCGGTCGATTGGGCTATCACATCATTTTGTATGATATCGATACAGACGACTACAAGAATGATGACCCGAATCTCATCCAGCGCTCCAAGGATATCTTCGATCAATCTCTATCCACGGGCAGCCCAACCTCCCGGTCTTGGTTGGTGATCGCTCACGATGCCCATGAACAAACTGTCCATAACCTCACAGAGCACATGCTGAAGACAATGAAGAGGACTGGCTATCGCCCGGTCACTGTCGGCGAATGCCTTCGAGATCCTCGTGATTTGTGGTCCCGCCCTGACGACCGAATGCCTTCGCGCAAGAAGAAAGGGCCCAAGAGTTCTGGCGATCCTAAGCTTGTTTCCATCGATGGCACCTGCGGCAAGCACTATACTTGCCTGGGCTCTCGCTTTGGACTATGTTGTGGCAGCGTAAACCTCTGTGGAAACACCACTCAGCATTGTGGGGTTGGTTGTCAATCAGATGCTGGGTATTGTTCCGTGGAAGTTCCTCCTAACGGGGACGCATGGGATCCCAAAATCCAGAGCAAGGGCCACAAGTCGGACGCGGATTCAATTCTTTACACTGTGGGAACTGCGGCAGTGACCTCGTTGTTTCTGGCGCTGATTGTCGCAATGTGGATGTAAAGATGATCGAGTATATCTCGGGATGAACAGTCGGGTTGAAATTGGTTAGGAGTTTGGTCGAACTGTCGTGTTTGGGGGTTATAGTTACACGCCGTGCCACCACTTGGTCACACTCTTTTGATACGCCTTTGGACAGGGCATGAGGTTCATCAATAGGCTTAGATAGCCAAATCATAGCAGTATAATCCGTCTTGATCTGATTTCTGACACGATGGTCCCGATAATAAGCTTAAACTGTGCATCGAAAAGCAAAGGACGAGTTGAATGGCTTTGACGCTCAGCATAGCTGAAACAAAATCCGTGAACGTGAACAACTTTGATCATCTTCAGAGCCCCATCAAGACTACTCTCGACCACATAAAGATGAAGTCCCAAATAGACATACATCAAACGAAGATACGAAAAATAACTAATACCAGTGCGGATCCGTATCAGAAAAAGAAGAAAAAACACACACACACATTCGCCAGCACAGACAACGCGAGAAGGGGGTATAATAATAGAAAAACAAACACAGGCAACAGAAGAAGAAAAGGAGAGGACTCTTGGGATAGGTTGGTTAATTATTTCCGCACAATCTTCAGCAGCGGCGCAATCCTCGCCTTGCGACTCAGGCCCACGCGGTACGGCACTTTGCCCGTTGACGCGATGGGACTGTGTTTCCCTGGTCCCTTGCGCGAGTCTTTGTCAGGGATTAACCCATTCCCTGTGTTCTGGGGTGTGCTGGGGCCTGGTTCTTGCGATTTTGAGGGTGTTTGTGGGAGATCGGTGGGGCTTTCATTTATGGGTTCTGCGGCGGCGACAGACTCGGGTTTTGCGGATGGTGGGTTTTGAGGCATGGGTATTTCTTTAGGCTGATCGTCTTTGGGCTCGGATATATGGGTTGGATTCCCCTCCACGACCACGGAAACTTGAGCCCCATTGAGAGCTCCCGGGGCAGTTTCTGGTGGTTGCTCTGTTTCGGGTCCAGGTGTTGAGTCTGCGGTGGCTTGGTCGGTGGTTTTCTTTCGCTTTCGGCCACGCTTCTTAGGGGCGGGTGCTTGGTCGGCTTGTTGGAGTTTTCCGTTCTCCCTGGTATTTGCAATGAAAGATGATGTAGCGGCTGCATCGCCAGTCTCGGAGTTGGCATTGTTGGCAGCATCCACGTGAAGTGGCCTGGATTCCACCCAGATCACATCATCTTCGATATCTGGGTCAAGGGATTTTGTGGCAGCGGCCGACGTTGTCTTGCCTCTTTTCACCTTCTTTTTCTTTGGTTCTGCAGGGACTGGTTTGGCATCGACTGCAGGGGGTAATGGAGTCTCAGTGTTTTGATTCGAGCCCTCATCGATAGGCTGAGAATTGATACTTGGGGCGCTCCCATTCACGCCACTTGTGGGCACACCATTGCTTGGTGGTTTCACTTGATCGCCGTTCGTAGGCAGTGACTCGGCATTTTTGGGAGGTCGCCCTGGCCGTCGTTTCTCAGTCGCACTCTGGTCGAACTCGTGGTCTCGGGAGTTTGCGAGTTCATCATCCTCGTCGTTCTCTGGCAATGACTGCTTCTTGGGGCGGCCGCGCTTCTTTTTTGCGGTGGAAATATCCACAGGCGCAGCTGGCAATGAGAGTTCGTCGTGCGCGCTTGTCTGAGACTGCCACGGAGAAATCAGACCGAGTGCGGCGTGATCGCTCTTTGCTCTGCCCATCCGTGGCGAATTAACAGAAGACATTGGCTCTGTGTCATTTGGCGAGTAGGGACCCATCTGGAGAGACTTGGATCGGTGAGTGGCTTTCTGCGATCCATTTGATAGTGTAGGTTCGTTCAGTCCCTTGAAGATGGAATGCTCGGTAGCCGGAATTGAAGTGCCATTCAACACAGTCGGCAAGAGCTCCGCATAATTTGAAGTAGCAGGCGCAGTGGGGTCGTAGGCTGTGCTGTCGGTGGGAGGCATGCCCGAATTGGTCCCATATGGAATACCATTGGCAGGGCCGAGAAAGGAGGAGTCCCATTTTCCATTCCGCTCAAATGGGATGGCATATACGCCGAGACTGTAGGGATTGAAGCCGGGTACGTCGACTCTGTCCAGTGAGGAGTTTCGGTGGAAGGTAATTGCTGGCCGGCACTGGACGTATCGTCGTCCAGCAGCCGTTTCTGCGCAAGACCGATTTCCATCATCATGGCACCTAAAGCATTCCCAAATCAGTGCCATGCTCCCTTCCACTATATCATCCAAAGCTGGGCCGCGTCCATATGCGGTAACCATAATATGACCAGACTTACCAATCGATCCACCCCCACCATCGCTAGTCGAAGGAATCCATCGCTCTTCTCGTCGCTGCTGCGACAATGAAATTGATGTTTGCGCCATTTCCTGGGACTGCAGGAAGTCATCGAAATTCACATTGATTTGCGGGCCTGCATTGCTGCTCGGACGGTGCTCATCAATCGCCGCGTGGTTTTCGAGCTCGGCGGATGCATGATCGATCTGCTGCCATTGGGGGTCGTATTTCTGGGGTGCGTCGATCGAGGTCGGGGCACTCTCCTCCACGAGGGGATCCTCCTCGTCGGAGTCTTGGATGACTCGATCCAAACTCATCTGGGGCGTGGATGGTGGGAAGAGAAGCGGCTTATCGCGACGCGTTCATGACACGACGCCACGTGACGATAAGCCCTACATATAGATCGAGGACTTTCGTCGTTACTTTGGGACAGACAGAGATCGGTGGTTTTAGATCTGAATCATGGAATAGCTTACAATTTTTGTATTGGAAGTTTATAAGTACAACGTTGGCTGGCCGGTTAAGTTGGTTGTCGTTCTTCACCTATGTCGAACTTGAACCATATATTTCTTACACCCACGGACATTTTTGAGTGCAAGTTTCTTGATTAATTCTCTTCGTGATGCAGCTTGCCATACTATAAACTCGATTATTCGGATAAGAATAAAATACAAATAACCCAAAGTTTCCGTCCATCAGCTACTTTTGTCCCAGCTCACCCACTGCCAGGTGAATCTCATAGTCCCTGAACTTCCGGCTCGGAACCTTCCTCTCAAACAAAATATCCAGCTCTTCGAAAGTCCGATCTTTGGTCTCAGGAAGACAAAAGAAGCAATACAAGGCACACAAAAAGCTAAGCCCCGCAAACAAAAACCCCAACTTCCCTCTCCAGCCCCCTTCATCCTCATTCATAGCATAGGGAATAGCCACCGAGAAGATAATTGAAAATATATGGCACGTCACCGTTGCCAACGCAATGGTAAGACCCCGGAGTTTGGCTGACGATACCTCAGCCAGAAGGACAAAGCAAAACGGCCCAATAGTCAGATCGTATGCGAAGTTGCACACCAGCATCAAGGCGCACTGTGCCCAGACCGGGGCCGAAGTGTGCCGTGGAGCTAGATCCAAGACGCCGATGATGAACAGCAGCACGGCCAGAACCATACAGCTCCATAGATAAGCAGTGCGACACCCGATATAGGACAGCAGTGGCCACGCCATACACGTCCCCACGAATCCAATGGATGTCAGTCCAAGATTCATGGAGAACGCATTCGACGAGTCCAGGCCCGCCATCTCAAAGAAGTATACCGCGTAGTTGATAAAGAAGATATTCCCGGTGAACGCTTGCATGTCATATGCCATGACGCAAATGACGAGGCGCCGGAAGTTGGGGCCTCGAAAACAGTCCAGGTAGCGGGGGCGCTCACCTTGGAAATTCTCTTCGAGCCGCAGAGTCTCCTTGATATGAGCCAGTTTTAAACTGACGTCAACTCCCGGGGTAGCTAGACGACCCAGTGACCTTTCGGCGGCTTCGTGGCGTTTCTTTTTGCAAAGCCAGTAGGGTGGGTCTGGACAGAAGAAGATCAAGCTGAGCATCACGGCTGGAAGAGCCCACTGGGTTGCAATGAGGATTTTACATGACCAGGTACTGTTCATGCCATTTGCACCTTTCAGGATAGCGGACGCGATGAACTGGCCAATGACAAAGGCGATGTTCGTCATGGACGCGGCAAATCCGCGTAAAGCTAGTGGGCTCACTTCTCCAACATATGCAGAGGCGCATATAGGGTAAAATGCAATGATGCATCCGTTGATTAGCTCTCCGACAAAGAGTTGAGCCGGAGTATGGCTGAAGAACTGGATAAAGATGAATGCAATAGAGCAGCTCGAACATATGACCATCATCAGCCGCGGACCGAATCGGTCGTATGCAAACCCTGAAAGGAGGGCGCCGACTATGGCACCCAGTAGGTTGGCGTAGTTGAACGTGGACAACCAATGGGCTGCGATGATGTGTTTGCCCTGGTACTCGTAACCGAAGGTTTTCTTGAATGGTTCCAGGCCAACGAGACTGCCGACAATGCCTCCGTCCTAAAAGTATATCAGCGGAACACTTTTAACCTATCAGTTGGGAGAAGTGTACCAGGCCTTTGAGGATTGTCGCCTATACTCACAAGGGTTAGCATATACTGCAAACAATACTAGACAAAATGCTCCAGTCCCACCAGGTTGATAAACATAGCCCATACAACAGCTGGCCAATGCAGCTTGACAGCCTCCCAGAACCCGAGCGAATGTTCATATTCGCTGAACTGGGCTGATTTTTCGGCCTCCTGGGCGCATGGGGCAGGCACTGACACTACAACAGTAGTGTCCTTGGTAGAATGGCCCATTGCAGACTATATATGTGGCGGACAAAAACGAAAAGATAGGAGGCATATATGAAACTATTGAAGGGACTGGTGTTCCCCCTCCCACTATTTATGTTTTATAGAGATAGGAGAATAAATCAGATGTAATCTCCACAAATGAACAAGCGCCGTCCCCGGAATATCGCCCTCAAGATACAAAGCAAATCCAACGATAAGTTCAGCTCAGTCAACTCTATCGTGTTGATCAGCCATCGCAGAGCTGGTAGTCTTTGTTGGGTTGGCCGCCAATCGGAGCCACGCCGAAGTATCTCCACTACCCAAACAGGCAACTTTAACAGTCGGGATAGTCCAACGTGGTGGATCGCTTTCGCCTCGTGAGGGGTCAGATATGCGCCCTCGTGTCGTGCGAAGTCCATCCAATGGAACACGGACGAACGTCGTATGCCCAGATGAACGTTGCATCCCGGTTGGAGCCTTGCGCAGAGCACTGATAGACTCGGGGTGCACCACTGGAGACTATAAAGCACGCGCAGGGCACGGAGTCGAAAGAATCAATGCATCCACTATAACCAGGACCAAAGCCATCCAAGCTCTTTCACTGATAAACACAATATGGCAGCGCCCAGTCCTCAAGTCACCCTCGTCGAGCTGATGACAGACGAGCTCACAACCCAAAAGATCGGCTCGCACAACCTCCAAAAAGCGATCGAGGCTCTCCACCGCGACGGACTCGTCATCCTCCAGAACGCCGTCGACCCCAAACACTTGGACAAGCTGAACGAACGCATGGTCCCCGAAGCGCAGCGACTCTACGCGCGAGCCGAGACACACCGGAACTTCGGCGCGCAGACAGGCAACATTCAGCAAGAGCCCGTGTGTTCACCAGACTACATCTTTGAAGACGTGATTGCGAACCCGTTCGCCACCTCCGTGATCGAAGGCATGGTCGGCCCGCACCCAACGATGCGCTTCTACAGCGCCAACACGGCATTCGAGGCGACGGGGCGACAGCCCGTGCATATCGATATCGACTTCAACATGCCGCGCATGCCGTTTGCGTACTGCGTCAATATCAACCTCGTTGATACGTCGCCGGCAAACGGCGCCACGGAGGTCTGGCTCGGGAGCCATGTTGACACGGATCAGTCGGTGCTGGATCGCAGTATGCCGCACAAGCAGGTTAAAGAGTCGTTATTGCAGAGTCGTCGGTTGGTTAGTCCTGGTATTCAGCCTGGTTTGCCGAAAGGATCGTTCATTATTCGCGACTTTCGGTTGTGGCATGCCGGTATGCCGAACCGGACTGATGATCCGAGGGTCATGCTGGTTTCGATTCAGTTTGCCAATTGGTATCGCAGTGACCAGAAGCTTCTGCTTCCGAAGAGTCTGGAAGGGAAGGTTAATTGGGGTAGGTTGGTGCCCTGTGTTGAATGGGTTGAGGACGGCTATGATTATTTGAAGGGTGCCCATGACCATGACTTTTCTTTGAAGCCGTAGTTCGCTATGCTCGAGTGTATAGAAATGAAAATGTTACTTAAAAAAAGGAAAAACAATACAAACTAGTTCATTATGAATATATCCTATGCTAGATTAACCTCCCTCCCATGCCCCTTCAAAATAACCTGAATACAATCCACCCGCGACATCCCATCCAGGCCCGAAGCCTCATGTTCCGCATCCTTCATCCGCCACACATCCTCGATATCGCGCTTGAGATCTGTAAAGCGGGAAACCTGCGCGACGAAAAAGTCTCATCGAGACGATTCCGGATGAAGTCTCTCTGCGCGGGAAGAATTGACTCACAGCCCGCAGTAAACAGCGGCCACACATGGGCAGACACCAGAGGAGAGTCAGTGGGGATCTGCGAGAGGAATTCCACACAGTGCTGGACATGGTCCAGAGTTGTGGGGTGCGGAGCGCCGATGTTCTGCCAGACGCGGTAGAGATATACGAAGGCTGCGTGGCGGTATGCATGTGCGGTGTATTCGATGTGGCTTAGCTTATCAGAATGGTGGTTCTCCGTTGGTGATCCCATGTCTAGAAGGGATCTTTCAATTGCAGCTGCAGGTGAATTAATAGCATGGTTTTTCTTCCCTGATAGATTGTTGCTCGTTGTGAAGTCTGGAATCTGGCTGATGCGCGCCACGAGATGGAGATCCGGTGGAGAGATGCTGCGTCTTCGATAGCAGAGGTGCCGGGCGTATACTCCATGAGTGGCTTTGCACCACGCGATATCGACGTGAGGATGTCGTGGTAGGCAAATAGACTCAAGAGAAACCGTCTAGTAGATGACATGCTGCGCTGTGCTTGCGCTGCACCTCGCGTGATAATAGCCTTGGCTCCCAGTAGATGATTGACAGCAGAAGACATTCCCTCGGCCTCTGCGAAGAGGCGCGAGTAAATCAGCATCATCAGGACAACGGCGAGAGTAATTTCTGAATACCCGTGGATGGGATCCTGGATGAGCCATTGCAACTGATTAATTCCATCCTGCTGGTGTCGATAGGCGGTTACTTCAAGGGAGGCATCGGCAGTCAGCAGTGCCAAATGGCGTGCAGACATCGACAAGACAATTGACTGCAGTGCCCCAGACTCAAAAACTGCAGTGCCAAGATGAACCTGGAGAGGATTGGCTTCTCCATGCCAAGCGGACGCAGTCAGGAAACCAGAAAGACAGCCGGCCCAATGGTGAAGTAGTCGACGCTGGCAGGGGGGAGGTCGGAGTAAAGACCGAGAAATCCCGGGGTGGAACTGGTACCCTGTGGAATGTATGCAGCTCTATTCCTCGGCGTGATGACTGGAGATATTGAAGCGGTGCGAGGGAGGTCCTCTGTGCCCCCAGAGGACGAAGGAGACGATGATATAGAAGAGCCTTGTTTGTGGGGAGACGGAGGTTGAACCTGTCGCCAACGGCACCGAATACCGTAACCTTGACAGCTAATATTCAGTCTAGTGCAGCGCCCGCAGGACGGCGTTTGCTCGTCGCATTTATAGCCTGCATCTCTGCAGGTCCAGCATCCGGTTCTTGTTCGAGATCGAGGCATTGCATGGGGGTGGGAAGTTATTTGTGGGGCAAGGTCGAGACTTGGTTTCGTTCATGGCCAGTGAATCCGCTAGACAGGGCCAGGGATATGGCCGGCTTATCGGAGATCGCTTTGTTGCCGTCGCCCCCGCAGATTGTCTTGGGGCTTGGACAGGTCATGTGATTGGGATGTTCATAGCAGCTGGCCTCGAGTCAACAGATCGGATCTCAGGATGGTGATTTACCGCGAGAGATCAAGAAGGTTGAATGTTAGAGGGGGACAATTTTCAGTAGTCAATCGACCAGCGCCGAAAAGGTGGAGAAAGTTAGTACTATGCTATTCACACTGGATCCCATGTGGAACTCAACAAAAAAATATCTAAGAAAGAATAAAGGCTGATGCACACAATGCGGTATATAAGACGAGAGTGTCAGTCAAAGGAAAGAAGAGAACGCCAAAGTCATCCATGAATCCATCCTTCCGAGGGCGAAATCCGAGCCTCCGCGACCACACAGAACACCGATAAAGCCGATAAAAGTGAGGGGCGGATCCACAGATGAAGCCATATGCAAACAAGCAGAAAATAAAGGAAATAGTCACAAGTCACCGGGTATCTCAAGCCATAGACACAAATGCATGGAACCAAAGACTCCCTGCGCGCCGGGGGGAGCTGTCAATCACAATCACAGAACACCGCCTGGTAAATTGATCTGCGCTTGTCGACCTCCATCAAACCCGGCGCTATTGGGTGCAGAGCCACCAGCACCTGGGGGATAGGTAGCAGGATCCATATGGATCTTCCGCAGCATAAACATCGGCTTGCGCCCTTCCCTCTCAAGTTGCTTGAAGAGGATCAGAGGCTTCTCTTCCATGGCCAGACATCGCTCTTGATCCCCATACACAATATAGAGAGCGTAGCCTTTCCAGTCTGAGTTGATGTTGTATTTCTTCAGCGCAGCGGGAAGGACTTTGTAGCACGGGTCATCCCAAGAGACGCGGAATGACTTGAAAATTTCCACGCTCGATGGTTCGCCAGGGCCCCGCGATTCAATTCGTGATGCCGAAGAAGGGGTCTCAGTGCGGGCTGTTGGCGGTGGACCGGTGGTTAGCCGTTCTGATCGAGATTGAGCGATGGGTGTCTCTTCGCCGTGATCATATGTGTTACGGCTGGGATTGTTTGAGCTTGGCTGCGAGTAGGATCGTGGGTTGAGTGTCTGATGTTGGGGATGAAGTGTACTCGGCGAGGTTGGTGAGGGGATTCCTGGCGAATGCCGTAGCCCCCCGTTCATTGAAGCTGTAAGATGGGATGAAGCGGCGGTTGACGGATCCAAGGTTGAAGTATCGTGGTAACTGCGTCCTTCCTGAATCGAAGGCGGGATATGGGTTGGCGAAGTATTCTTGGGAGTCAAGCCTCCGTAAGTGCGCTTTGAGAAAGCGCGGGCGAGCTTTGAAGTTGTGGAATTGTCGACAAGGGTGAGTTGAGATGGCGAGGTGAGGGTCTGACTGTCGTGGTGATGCGTGTCTAAGGGTTGTCCTAACGAGGAAGGGGGAGGCAGTGGTTGCGATCGATCTTTTGCGATCTTGATGACGGGCAATATTTCCTCCCGCAACCGCCGATAATCGTCGGCAAGCCGGCGCATCTCTGTCTCGACTGATACAATTTTTTCGTCGCGGACCCGAATTGATTGGATCAAGCGAGCCAGGTCATCTTGAGTTGCGTTTTCATTCATGCTTTGGTCCGCCGCTGCAGGAAAAGGTCAGGTCGAGAACAAACAAAGGAAACCCTGGGGATCATACAGAGAGGGATATAATGGTCGACATCGAAGGGCACATTCTGTTTGGTTTTAATTTCATATACACTCTTCAGAATCGTCAACCGATGGCCGACACTGTTGATTCCCATTTCTTTCAGTTCATCGTGCTTGAGCGCAATCAGCGCTTCGCCAACAATCGCATTTTCTGAGAAATCGTGGGTCAGTATCCGGTAACTGCTGTGTTTTCCGCCATCCAACAAGTCTGCTCACCTCGAAACGTGCCACAGTATTGAAGTAACCCAAGGGACGTCATAAACTCCACACATTCGTCGATTGTCCATTCCGAGATAATTGATCGTGGAGAGCGAGGGCCATCACCATAGCCAAATTTGGTCGGCGTGTGTTCTGATGATGGAATATCGGTGTCTGTGGGAGAAGCTTCGGAGTCCGTGGGAAGATGCGGCGACATGACAACGCTCCGTTCATATTCATCGTCCGCGTCAGAGTCGGCGTGGTAGGAGGTTGGGAAGGACATGGTGACGGTATATTTTCGGGTAGTTCGTTAGATGAAGGACCAAGTGGACAGGCGCCACCGCCAGAGCGGAGGAACTATAACCAGCAAAGCGGATAAAGAATATGGTCGGTGGTGGGATGAACGGTCTCAGTCATGCGCAGGCCGGATAAGCGGATCGACCCAGGGGAGACTCGGGCGTTCCAAACAAGCATGGACCAGAGAAGGATATTGGAGCGTAACGGTTTGGCTGTATAGGCTAGACAGGCTGGACGAGTCGTGCGCGAAACGCAAATCTCACCAATACTGAAGGTTGATGGCGATGGGTATCGGGACGTCAGTGTATGTTGACTCGGCGCCGGAGATCTGAGACAGGCGAAGAGATTCGACAGGCCAGGTAGTATGTCATCAGGTGTTGTGGCTGTCGTAGTTGCTGGGGGGTGAAGCGAGACTGGCGCGAGCAATGTTTTCCCAGTGAACAGACGAAGTCCGACGCGGGGATCGAGAGGGACGTCTGGGCGCAGAGTTGCCACGTGACCTGGACATGGACAATCTTCGATTTTTATTGTTTCAAAAAAAAAAAAAAAAAAAAAATAACAATTGAATAGATTGATCAATAGACTGATCAATAGACTGATCAATGCCGATTGTTTACATACTACTTACGAGGTTTCCAACGTTCTCTAATACGCCAATCCTCGACGTCTTTCTATTATTGGAGCATTCAGCGCCAAAGGATTGTCGGGCAACCTAGACAGGTAGCCGGGGAGGATTGACTATTGATAGAATCATTGCTACTATTGCTTCAATAAAGGCTTCTTAATACGAGACTACTGCTCTAATTGAAATGTGCTCGACTCCCAGCCACATCGTAGTGTCCATAGATCGGATTGACCGCATAGGGAATGCTCCACACCGATTGGCCCGGTCAATCTGACCTCGAAGTCCTCGTCATTCAAGCTTCCGATTGACAGTGTGTCAATGGTGCAATTGTGATTGTGGTGGGTTCTTCTTGTGCCATGGGTGCTTCTATTTAGATTGTTGGCTTCCTGTCTCCTCCGACCCTGTTCTCTCCTTTCCCACTTCGTCATTCGCGATATCCACTTTTCTCTTTGCGCCTCCCGACACCCAGCAACTCCCCGCATAGTCGGCTGTCTCTGGGTTCACTCAAGGGGCAGGTCCCCTTTTTCCCATCTGGTATCGACGGCTGCTGTTCCCTCTGCCCGGCATTAAGCTGGCGCATGCACCAACTTGCGCAAGCTTCGATTGCGCCACGGGTACGAACAGACCAGTGTGCTCGACCTCGGCGCGACCTGCGCATTCGTGATTGACACCAAAACCCTCTTCGCCCTCATCTCCGCCGATATTCTACTCCGCCAATTCTCTCCACCATGCCCTCCTCCGCTAATACCTCTGCGACCCCGGACGCCCTCGAATCCGACCTCCTCACCAAGCTCGCCGCCACATCAGCCCTTGAAGATCTCCAAGACACTCTTCTGGGCTCCTTACACCGAGCAGGATGGACTGACCGAATTACGAGCCTTGCGACTGAGCTCCTCCGCTCAGGCCGCTGCGAAACCTTTGACGATGTGATGGATGCGGTCGTCGCTTCGGCGGAGGGCAGGACCCACCCGGCGCTGGGCGCGAAGACCCCCGCAGACCAGAATGGCAACACAACTCAGAATGGATCGAAGGAGGGAGCAGTAAATGGGACAAAAAAGGACGGCAAGGGCGGGAATTCCCACAGTGATCATTACGACCCACTGAAGTACATCGAGGAGGTTGACGTGCGCATTCCGGACACAGTTGTGGATGAGGGCGTGCGCGGCCTCAAGGATATCTTGCGGGAAGTGGTTGACTTGGAGGGAGAGGGGGGCGTGAACGGGGACAAGAAGTGACTATACCCGGAATGAGAAGGACGAGCGTCGACAGAGGAGGTGTGATATCCACATGCACAGCGGTGCATTTGTCTCTTTGATTTTGGTTTGATGCCTGGAGTATTTACTTGGTTTCGGGACCGGCTGCGGCATGGGACCTTGCATGAACCCATCTATGATTCCTGGGGATGCATGTCTGGTCGAGGCGCTTTCGCATCAATGAATAGACAATTGCATTGCGCAGGGAACGTTGTTTCCCCGTATGACCTCTTGATATTACCTTTCTTAGGTCTGTACTTCAAGGATATTAGCTGGAGCTAAGCATATGGCGTCTCTAAATCTTATGAATCCATAGCCTTGTTCATATCCTATAGAATGCATGCATTTTTCTCTGTCGGCTTCCTGCAATGGGACCACAGTAACTAGGACGGTTGGAACCCATTGACGGATGATGTTGAAGTATCAAAACTGCGATCAAGAATCCAGTCTTGGTGGTGGAGTATCGTCTTCATCGTCATTGAAGGGCCAATTTTGCCAACATATGTCACGCTCCTGATCCGAGAGAGCAGAGCTACAGGATTCTTCTGCAGATCTCTCCCGTTCTTCCTGAGAGAAAGACACCGGACAAGGAAATGGAGAGATTCGACTCCAGACTATGCTGCTCGTGATGCCGACAAGTGCGGCGCGTAGGTTGATGACATCCGCGTCCCAGGGATATCCCGTTTGCTGGATCAAATATTTTCGCATACTCAGGAAAGGGGTCCGTAGAGCTTTCAGATGCTGTTCATTATGAATCCCAGTCGCTGCTGTGTAATAGAGATTCATCTCCTCGAGGCGCTGTTTGATTATTACCTGTGCTTTTTCCCCATCGCTCAGGTCATTAAAATTATCCGGGAGAGCAGGGATATCCAGACTCTGAACACGCGATGAGCCATGTTTCCAGAACACCGGATACCCTGTCTGCGTGAATAACGGGAAACGATAGTATCTTGCCAATCAATAATACAAGCAATCTCACTCGAGCCCGGAACAAAAAGGATATTGGCTAAGCTGAGGTCTGGATGCCATAGTACCGGAAGACTGAGACCGTTTTCGTCCGGAATCAACATCGGTGCTAGTTCTAGAAGCCTTTCAAGGAGCCGAAATGTGCTCGCTAGGCAAGATATCGTGTTGTGTTGGAAGAAGGAATGTCCGTCTCGGCCGAGGCTGGGCGTGAGTCAAGAGGAAGTGGATTTCTTGACGAGCCAAGGCCGTTAAACAGTCGGACGCATTGGACCCTAGGATATTCAGGTTAATCTTATGTCGTAAAACCTATCATGGGGTGGGCCTACAAGGACCACGATCAATATTCATTTGACTTCGTTCGCCATGCCAGAACAACCGCTTAGCAACAGGTCCTATGCAGTAACCTTGAACTTTAAGGGGGATATACGGATCTCCCTGGATGTAATGACTGTGATAAAGACTCCCAAACCCAGGAAATTGAAAAGAGAAAAGCTTCTTCTCCTCCTGGGCTAGTTATGTCATAACGTGCTTCACTTCATCGGTTGTAAGGGAAAGCCATCTCGAGGCAAGACTTTCGCCTTGTACCCGTTCCATGATGATGTATTCCGCACCGACAGAGTTATTCGATGAAGTTGAATAAGCCAAGATACGGGGAACGGGGAGTCCGAAGACATTGCGCAGAAAATTGATCGTAGCTACTTCCCTGGCAGTCGTATAATGAGGCGAACCAGCAATCGGGATTGGAATGCGGGCGATATCCTCACGGCCATCGTCTGTCGCTAGAAGGAAGATCTTGTTAAAGCCACCTTCAGCAAGCTTCGTGATCAGAAGGCACCGATCTCTACCAACTGCGTTGGCTGCCACGCGTTGTAGTGCTACAGGGTCAAATTTGACATATCTTGGTCGCAATTGCTCTGTCTCATTATATCTGGCAAAGTCTTCAGAATGGAGCTGTTTGGATTGCAGATGAAAATCTACACCCATCTCCTGGTGGTGTTTTGAAAAGAGGCATCGTGGGCATGAGAGCAATAGGTTCTGCGTCTCGGGGAAATGATCACGGTAGATATTGTCCCAATATTCAAATTATTTGTTAAAATAGATCTCTTTAGGTCTGGGGGATGCTTGGAAATATGTCGGAACATGGTGCTGTGAGGAGATAGAGATGGAGAACAAGGGGGACGTTGGATGCTTCATCTTTTCAGTACTGGTCTCGTGGGCTTTAATTATATATTCCGAGTATGACTTGAATAGAACAAAGAGTAGGAAGAGAAAGAGAAAAGATATCAACATCTGCTCCACTATATCACGAAAACTTGGTCAAATGATAGGCCTTAGTGATTTCCTTCCGCCACCGCTCCATCTTAACGATCTCCCCATTCCACGGCACGAGGGTCTCAGGCACCTGGCTAGTCTTCTGCTCGTTCCATTTGGGAATATAGAAATAGCCGTGGCTCTCGTGGCAGACGTGATTGACAATCCTCCGGTCCTTGACAGCCTCCTTCCTTGCACTAGGTCGTCAGGACGACATTGATGCAGTCCATGCACCACCATATATCCCCCGGAACGGACCATCGGTGGCCACAATGGCAGGAGCAGTCCATGGAAAGGACGCCATCAGGAGCCTCCACCTTCATCATCGCAAGAGCAGTGGCAGCATTGATTTCATCCTCGAATAGAATGACAGCATAGAGAATCTTCTTGTAGGCAAGGATGTCGTTCGTCGAGTCACCATCTGATAACAACTCCATGGCCATTCTCAATGTATTGTGTGCCGCACTCCGGGCCGCCTGCAGGTTACCGTAATTGTGGTAGTATCGGGCAGCAAAGGGACTCAGTGGGAGGCGCATCTGGTTCTCGGGTACTTGTTCAGGAACGACTTCAGACAGTCTATGCAGCCATCTCTTGGCCTCATCTTCCTGCTTGCCCTCTTTGGCCCATTTTGCCTTGCCCAGATAGATTGTTCCCAATCTATACCCGACGAGGAAGAAGGCCGCAGCCGGATCTCGTCTTGCATATAGGATATCTCCAGCGGCAGCTTCCAGCAAGGGCTTTGTGGATGTCTCGGTCAAGATCCAGGGTACTGATCTCGCTGAGAGTCTTATCCATCATGTAGTAGTTTCCTCCGGTCTGTGCATAAAGCCTGGTCTGAATGGTCTTCCGAAGGTCTTGGACTTGATCGTCTTCGGTGTCGGAGAAAACATCCATCTTATCCATCCGCGTGTCGATGTACTTGCGGATATCTTTAATATTCCGGTTCATAGACATGGTAGAACACTTCAGGCCACGCTGCTTGAGCTTCTTGGTGGTGCCCTCTGTTGCAGTGAACAGCACGCGAACTGATCCTTTGCCGGCAGACGAGGCATTTTTCAAGAAATTGAATACTCCGTTATACACATTGTCTTCACTATCACCAATTTTGTTTAAGACAATATAGAACTTTATATCGATGGCATTTAGCCGCTTGAGGTTGTCGAGAAGCAGCTGGGTTAAAAATTCTTTGGGCTCGATGCTGGGGATATGTTCACACGCTATGGCAGCCGTTTGCATGTACGACGCATCGCTCTGGGCAAATTGCCAGATGATGGACTTGCCAAGCCCTTCAATCCCTGAGTTGGCCTTTTTTTTATCGAGGAAGTAGAAAGCAACCAGGTGTCTGGAGTTGATTGCTTCGCCGAAGCCATATACTCGTAAATGAGCGATAGCAGAAGAAGCCAAATAACTCTTTCCCGAAGCCTCTCCACCGACAACTCCTAGAACAGGCACATCTGAGTGTTTCTTTGCCCATTCAATAAATGGCTCTCTCGTGGGAGCTATTGGCCAGTCCCTTCCACATTGTGGTGGCGGAAGTTTTGATAAGTTGACCCTAAGTTGTAATAGGACCATCACCATCCCGTCTGGGCTTGTGTCAAAGTCTAGGACGCGTAGAAGACGTTTACTGTCCCTTTAATCCTTGTTTTCTTCTGTTCTCTCTGCTCGTTGCTCTGCCAAAACGCCAACGATGTTTCGGGGGTTGTCCAGCGTCTCCGAGGTTAACGTACATATCGGTACCACGCTCCAACTCTTCGTCCCTAGTGAGTTGATTCATTATTTCTAACGAACTTGAAAACTCATTCTGCGCAAGAAAGGCGATCTTTGTCATGGTCTTGATTTTGAAAAGAGGGGAACTGCGCAACTTCGAAGCTTTCTCGCATATCGACGAAGTGGCGCAGAACTTTGCAGGCCACCATGCTCAACTCGCGACTCATCTTGCCTTGGGCATATTTGTCCAAACGACCTAAAAATGTCGCATATTCTTTGAATATCTCATTGAGCGTTTCGAAGATGCTTGCGTAGCCTTTGTATGCGTTGATCACAAAGTTGAGGGCGTTGTAGCATTGGCCGGCTGGGGCGAACACCCCATAGGTTTGTTTACAGCCCGTCGATCGGCAGTTCGTGTCCAATGTCAATCTGTTGCCGATGTACTGGGTCGTGTTCCGATAGTGGATCGGCACGCTAGATTGTCAGAGCACAACCCAGGGAGAGAGATTTCCCCAAGCAAAACACAGTGGGGAATAAAGAAGAGAAAAAAAGGTTAAAACTAAGCTAGCATTTGTATCTTCAGCCGCCGAGGTTAAGCTTAAAGTCTTTTAGGTTTCGCGATCCCTGGGCCTGACGAGCACTTCACGCCAGACCTGCCCCACTGTTCTTGTCTCTAGCGAGTGGGCATACCCACATCTGGCAACCAGACAATCGTTTATCCCTGTCAAACAGAACTTCTTCACACGCTACTCCACTGGAAGTATCTCAAAACTTCCATAATCCCCCCCCCCCCCCCCAAGGCATCCAGCATGCGCTCATTCCAGGCCTTGGGAACAACAAGATCCCCATTCACCACCTCGGTGTGGCTGACCAGATTGCGCGCCTCGTCGACAGAGTCTTCCAGGGTGATTTCCTTGTTATTGTACTTGTTTGAAAGCTGGTACTCAGCGACAATCTTGCTGGCCACTTGATCGGTCAGTCCGTCAATCCAGGCTTTTGCTAAAGTAGCTTCCAGATAAGCCGGCAATCCAGACTGGAGAGCACGGGCTTCATCCACATAGGCGTAATATGGGCAGCTCCCTCTCGTAGGCCGCCGTGGAGCGAAAGTAACTTGCCCCGTTTCTGCTTTGCTGCATCTAGACCGCTGGCCTCCCCCATGAACTCGCAATATTCAATATAGAAATCCACTCTCTCCCGGGATTTCCTGAGAACATGGGTGGTAGAATATTCATTGCGGGAAATTGGGCCCTGCCAGGGGGTTGACTTGATAATGGAGGTTGATGATGAAGGTTGAGGATGAAGGTTGAAGATAAGTTGAGGATAGCGAGGAGAATGCAGGTGGCAAAGGCGTTGCGTAGCGACCTAGGCTTCCCTTCCTTTGTCTTGACGGGTCAAAATTACAAAGGGCCAAGCTTAAGATCTTTCTCTTGATCCTTGTGATCTGTTTATGAAAAACGATAGGCAAATAGATGTATAGATAGTTCAAACCGCTTACTCATTTGCTCTATACAACAGAGTTCATCCAGACGCTCTTAATCCGACTTGATCTCAAAAGGCCCAGGCGATGGGTTTGCCAACGCCCAGGAAACACCATCACTTATGACCTCATCCCATTTTTTGCTCGCCGACAGCTTGTCTCCGTAACGCCTAAAGCCATGAGGGACACCCCGGAAGAGATTGACGTTAGTGGCGACGCTGGTGAATCAACCGGTATTAGCCAAGTCCTGAGCAGTGTAAGATGCATCAAACTCACCCGTTCTCGCTGAGCAACTTCCCGAAGAACAATCCCTCATCCCTCAATGGATCATTCCCAGCAATCCCAAAAGTCGTGGGCGGAAGCCTCTTGACCTCCTCGGCCGTGGCGTTCCCAGGGTTCAACCTGCGATCACCATCTGCATCCTTGATACCGTACACACCCAGCAGATGATAAAAATAGTTGAGGCGACTAATAGGCAAAATAGGGGCCTCAGCACACTGCACCAAACTCGAGATCTCCGGGCTACGAAGCAGATCCTGGCGTGGCGCATAGTAATCCAACATGACCAACCCAGGGATCATCAGCACTAGGCCCCGGATCTTCGGACACGCTGCAAGTCGCTGATCCTCGCCACGGAGCTGGGCGAGTGCCAGTGAGGCAGTCATCCATGATCCGGCGGAATTGCCGCCCACGACGACCTGGTCGCTCAGCCCGCCGATTTCTTTGATGTGCTTGTGCAGCCACACGAAGGCGTCTTCAGTGTCGTTCCAGGAGGTTGGGTACTGGTGCTCGGGGCTGTGTCGGTAGTTCACGTTGAACACCACGACGGGCGTGCCCTTCTGCGCGCGTGCGACTACTATCCGCGAGCAGATTGCATCCTCCGAGGCCAGTGTACCGAAAAGAAAGCCTCCGCCGTGGAAATAGATGAAGACTGGTAGCCCTTCAGATAAGGGAACACCAGCAGGGCGGTAAGTGCGTGCTTCAACGGTTGCACCATCGCGAGTTGGGACGGTGAAGTCGTGAATTTGGACTTGGGAGGTGAGACCTGTTTTGGGGAGGGAACGAGTTAGGGCTGAGATAAACACAAAGTGATGCTCCACATCCCCACAAAGAAGAAGCTTTCAACCGCTTATTTTGACAACTCACCTTGCTCAATCATGTCCTGTGCCGCAGACTCCTCACGGTCCTTGTTCACAAGATCCTTCATCTGCTGCACCGAGAGGTCCTTCGGCGGCTGAGGGAGAGTTGGCTCCAAGGCGAGCCAGTCTGGGCTTGGGCCCGTGTATTCAGAGAAGTCGGCCATAGTTATTCAAGAGAGGAGCGATGAGGACACAAAGAATGTCTCCGATGTGTACTGTACAACAACGATCTCTGCCCCACCACGTTATGCCTCGGTTCGGTTACAACGCATTCGGTTCCCCGCATGAAGATCCATACGAAACGGGAAATCCGGTGCTGGGTGAAAGCTGGCAACATATTGCTGATATAACTGGGCATATTCACAATTAACCAGATAACCGGCCATTTCAGTACAGACTCAATCTCGAATGGACCCAGGCATTCCTTCAGAACCTCCCTCCTGCTCTCTCAAGGGCAAGACTGCCATCGTGACGGGAGCAGGCTGTCTGGGTGATGGAATCGGCAACGGGCGAGCAATTTCAATTTTGCTTGCTGACGATGGCTGCGATGTACTCTGTGTCAACCTCAATATCGAGTGGGCGAAGAAGACCGTCGAGATGATAGCATCTAAACCCGGACGCGGAGAAGCCCTGCCGTTCTGCGCGGATGTTGCGTCAATGGAATGTTGCAAGGCAGTATTACACTACGCAATGGAACAGTTTGGTGGCTTGGACATCTTGGTGAACAATGTCGGGGTCGCAGGCGCGTCAGGGACTGCCGTGGATGTGGATATGGCAGAATGGGCGAAAGTATGGAAATCAATGTCGCCAGCATGGTTCAGATGAGCAAGTATGCAATCCCAGCAATGATACAGAATAATGGCGAGGTCCGAGGGAGCATTGTCAATATTGGCAGCGTTGCTGGGCTGAAGGGGGGACGCCGCATTTGCTATATCCGACGGCCAAGGGCGCGGTGGTCAACTTGACACACGCGATGGCAGCCCATCATGCCTCGGAGGGAATTCGAGTCAACTGTGTGTGTCCGGGAGTGAGTCCATTGATCACCCTATTAATGGACCCCGGCACTGATTTCTGTGTAGATGCTCTATACCCCGATGATGTATGGAAACGGCATGAGCGAGGAAGCTCGTGAGGCGCGCCGTAAGCGGAGTTTGCTAGGCACTGAAGGAAATGGTTGGGATTGTGCTGGTGCCGTGGTGTTTCTGGCGGGTCCTCATGCGCGGTGGATGACTGGAGTGATTCTTCCGGTCGATGCAGGGACGACAGCCGCAGTGGGGATTGGAATGTCGAAGAGCGCCAGCGTCAATGGATAAGCAGTGCATAGGTGCTGGGGAAATTTTATAAACATTGGTTTTATACACCTCAGACCCAAGTATTGTAGGTGCTTATAGAATGAGCATGAGCCGTGCGCCTTTCACCCTACAACACCCCTGTAGGTGCAAAAGGAGTTATTCTGACAGACGCGACATATAGTGATCAACACTGCTCGTCGCTATCCAGCAAATGCCATGGTGAAAAGAATTTGCTTCAGCCTCTTGAAAAGGCAGTCGCTTTTGCGGAATCCAATCACTCGGCTTTCTCTTCATCCTACAGCCCCCCTTCATTTCACCAAGGCTCAGCCAGCGCAGCATATCGAACCTTGCTCAGCCCTGGGAACCGCCAACCTTTCCCAGTACCGGCTGGGAAAACATTGAGTTCTCATTGAAGAAGAATTAATTCCCACTTACAATCCGACCAAGTTCTATCTGGTCCACATTGGTGAAGTATTCAACAACCGATACCAAGTAGTGGGCAAGTTAGGGTACGGGTCCAACGCGACTGTATGGCTATGTCGGGACTTGCTGCGAGGATACCTATCCTCCATATTCAATCTACATCGCTCCAAGTAACCGACAGAAAAAGGGGGCAGCAATATGTCGCGTTGAAAGTGTACACAGGTTCGGCATCAATAAACAAGGAGCTTGAGGTATGCACTCATTTCAGCACCGTACAGTCTGACCACGCAGTCCAGTCATGCCTGCGGCCACTTGGAGATCACTTTGAGATCAAAGACCCAGGTGAACACAATATCTACACTTGCCTGGTGCATCGACCTCTCGGAATTAGCCTCGACGAGCTCATCCCACTACTCCCTGATAAAGTCATGAATAGCGAGATAGTGAGAATGACAATCCGAAACATACTTGCTGCCCTAGACTTTCTCCACACTGAGGCAGGACTTGTTCACACCAGTTGGTCTTCATAAACGGCTCCAAGAGTATCCATTAAATGTCTTATTCTCTCATGCTCCAGATTTTCAACCAAACAACATGCTTCTCGGCATTAAAGACCCCTCTATTTTTTCGCAGTTCGAGGATGCCGAGTTCCAGGAGCCCATTCCACGGAAGACACTCCCGGACCGCACTATCTATAATCTATATCTCACGCCCATTGCCTATCTCGTACGGAACGCCCGTGCTGTGTGATTTCGGCGAAGCGAGACTGGGCACCGCTCACCACACGGGTGATGTCATGCCAGACATCAATCGCGCACCGGAGGTTATCCTGGATATGACATGGGATTACAAGGTTGATATCTGGAAACATCGGGGTGGTGGTAAGATGAAGCCCGATTTAATAGCCACGATGATTGAATTCACTGGGAACACTGACAAGAGACCAGATCTGGGATCTGTTTGAACATAGCCATCTGTTCCGAGCTCGGACCCCCGATGGTCAACTGGATGATTCATATCATCTAGCAGAGATGAAAGCAATCTTGGGAGATCCGCCGCCTGAGTTTCTTGCGAGTGAAAAAAAGTCCCCGGTTCTGGGATAAAGACGGTGTGTGCTCTACCGGACATGGATTGTATAGATCCAGCTGACAATCTTTTGAGCAGCCAAGTGGAGAGACATGGCTCCTGTGCCAGACCACAGTCTCGAGGCTCTTGAAAAGAGGCTTGATGGGGAGGAAAAGGGGGTTTCACGTCTTCTCCGAAGAATGCTGTGCGGGCTACCAGAGGAACGAGCTACAGCGAAGGAACTGCTCTTTGACCCTTGGGTAATGCAGGGCCTATTCAAGTCGAAACCAGAGCAGCAATGATGACACCAGAGAAGTCACCTCAAAGATGTGAACAAGCTCATAATTAATTCTGGCTCGGCTGTGTCGAATCCCTCGTTTTACTATTTCAGGTTATAGAAATATGATCGCCTACAGCACATATAGCATCACAAGGAGGGGGGGAAGTCAATGTTTACACACGGTATATCATATTGAAGGGATTCCGAAGCACTCCAGAAAAGACAAACGAAAACCAGCCCAGATGATTATCACGTCGAGGGTATTGGAACATGCAAATCGCCATGGCAAATCCCGCTGAAGAACAATTGGAAGATCCCGTCTCGAATGGGCCAAACGCCGAAGGTGATACATTCCCTCGAGAACCTAAGATCCGCTGAGAACAAACGCCGTCAAATGCCGGAAAAAGTGTCATGGCATTTCATTATACATCGCCATCAGTGTCGGTTGTCACCATTGGCTGTTTATCCTTGCCTTTTGTCCGCGTCAAGGCGTCGATGGTGACCTGAACTTCCTTTGTTGCGGCCGCTTCGAGATCGGCGCGTGACGCGGGATCCAGTAACTCGACATCCGCGACGCGATCGTAGAGCATGCGGGAGATGGTTCGATTAATGTCAGTGTACTGGTCCTTGGAAAGGGTTTTCTTTTTATAGTGAGGCTTCAGAGCGGCGCCGACCATCTTCTGGATATCAGACTTGACCGCCAGAGAAGGGCCAGTGCGTTGAGGCGATGTGTCTGGTGACCGGGAGTGCGATGCGTGTACTGCACGTCCAGGGATACGCCAGCGAGGGCGGCCACTATCACGCCGAGTCATCGAGTCCTCAGTGGTGCCGTTAGGGGTTGTTGGATTCCCAGAAGAGGACACCTCGGGGGAGAAGGGGGGCGACGAAAGTTCCGCGGGAGAGTTGAGGTTGATGGGTGAGATGGGTCGACTGCGGGCGAAAGGGGGCGGTGTGGTTGACGATAGACGAGGAGAGGAATGGTTAGAAGAGGCGGGAGAGATAGAGGGAGAGGATGGCCAAGGAGTCGCATGGTCGGTAGGGGCGCCAGACGCCGGGCCCGAAGGCCCATAAGAATTTGTCCGGCTTGGAGTTGAAGCCTCTTCGACTTCTTTAAGAAGCGATGACAAAAAGCTCGGTTCACCGGTAGGAGCCTCGCCGTTGAGTCTCGCGTTGGCGCTGGCGGCACGGGAGGATTCCCCATTCTGCTGAGCAAGTGCAGCGAGTTCCTGAGGGCGTCTCGTACGAGGGCGTTTGAGTTTGCGCTCTGGCTCAGTGGGCTCGGGAGATGGGGACATAGTAGGTTCCTTCCGTTTCCTGGCGGCGTTGGGGTTGTTTTCGATCTCTCGGGCCCTCTCAAAGGCATTCCAGGCGCGCATTTCTTCAAGAGACTCGGGCTCTGGAGTCGGTTCCCTGGGAACTCGCGGCCGCGATGGTCGAGCGGGTTCAATGTCGAACAGAGATGCGGTGTCCCGGAACCGGTTGTTACCACCCTGTCTCTCAGCAACCTCAAATCGGCGTTGCCAAGCTCGGAATTCGCGCTGGTTGGCCTCTTCCCGACGGCGTTGCTGTATGACACGCTGAGCTGATCGATCATCATCGAATGGAAAGTCCAAATCAAGATTCAAATGGTCCCAGACAGACTGCCAGACGCGGGCCCAGTGAAGGGAATTCATCTGGTTGCGGTTTTGCATTCGGCGCTGTTGAGCCCGAGTGCGACGGCTCCGTCGCTCGGCGGTACGGGATGGACGGGCTGGTACCTCCGGAGCGGGACCGAGAGAACGATGTGATTCACATTGGGGGCAGTACCAAGATCCCGAGGGGATCTCATCCAACCCCAAGCAATATAGATGAGAGGGAGCATCGCAGCCATCACAAAGAAGTACATCCTCATTATCCGCTTCGCCACAGATTGTGCATGGTTGGAAATCGGCGAGGTCATCTTCCACGTATTCGATGATCATCGAAGGATCAACGTCAGCGACTTGGGTCCGGTCTTGTACAGCGTATGACGAGGTCACCAAGCCTGGATCAAACATCGATGTAAATCAGCAAACAGGTCCAAATGAAATGCTATAAGACAGATCTCTCGTCAGAAACAAGGAGGCGATAACTTACCACCAGGTCGGTCACTCAGCTCGACCATGTTGAAGCTGCGGCGACATATTGGACAGCTGTTTGCCCGTTCAACCCAGGGCTTCAAGCAGTTATTATGCAAAATGTGACCACAAGGAAGCAACTGGGCGATCTGACCAGGATCCTCCTCGTCGAGCCCATGCTTAGTCGAACCATTGGGAATGGCATCATTACCGATATCAGGTCTTGGCACAGGCTCGACGAGAGGATCACTGGCGCTTTCGCCAAGGTCTCCTAAGCAGACAATACAGGTGTCGGACATGGACAGAGGAGGAGATGCCAGGAGTGAAGGGCGGCATGAAGAGCGACTCGAGAAGTGTATGGGGGAAGAGAAGGTGTGGGGAGGGAAGCCGGGCCTTTTGAAGGTGGGCCGGATTTCCGGTCTAACGCAAAACAGGCGACAACGTGACTGAGGCAAATCACCCCTGCGCGTCACCGGGATTGGTCATTTTGTCGTGGATGTTCTTTCTATATAAATGGAAATAGAGAGATATCTATGTTCTATGTGATATAGATAAGCCGGGTTGGTGTGGTTGTCGAGGTTATGCGTGGTTTGGTCTGAAGTTGGCCTATCCCGACCGTACATCAAAAGACTACAAGGTCCTAGTATAACCATCTATCCATCTATATACCTTAACTAAAATCATTGCCTCTGCGAACTCACCTTCTCTTCTATGGAATCGCAGGGGCTCTTATCCGCAGAATTTTCATCTTAAATACTTGTACCTGGTTCTGCCTATCTCATCGCAGCCGATCCACCTGTATGAGGCAAATCTGCGAGGAAAAACGCTCCAATCCAAGTTCGATCTGAAAGATCAGTAGAATAGCAAAGAACATTCAGGTCACAGCTCTCTGTAACCTCGAACTACGGCTACTGGTCTGCGCCCACCCCCCCCCCCCCCCCCTCAGTGCCCATCCATGGACGAACTATCGTCGGCGATAAGAAAACAACTAGAAGACAAGAGATTCTGGACGATCTGAACTCGGCGGTTGATTTGTGTCTATCTTGTCGGACAGGACCGACGATGCCGCTCGCGCGATTCACATCGATCTACGCGATATTCGTGACGCGCGTTCGTGCTAATTCCACAGATCCCGAATTTTTCATTTTTTGTATCCAGACGTAACCGTAGAAGGAAAAGGAAATCCCATCAACTCGTTTAAACCTCAGCGATTTCACGGAGACGGCGGATGGTGGAGCGGGTGGCAGCGGCGGCCGGGGTCCTGCGAGGCACACATGCCACGGTCAGCAGGTGTTCAAGATATGGCAACGACCCAGTCAGGGTCATGTCCCGTTTCCTTTTCGTCTTCTTCTCGATTTCTTTTCGACCAGGAAGAGTGCGACTTACGAGACGGTGTAAGCACCACCGGCGACGGTCTTGTGGCAACCCTTGCACTCCCAAATCCCAACAGCCTTGCGCTTGACGGTGTTCTTGCCGCAGAAGGTGCAGACGTAGCGGGCGTGCTGGGTGATTTCCATCTTCTTCACCTGCTTACGCAGGGAGGCACCGTATCTGTGAGGGAATTTAAGTCAATATCGAGCGCTTCAGTGGGTTGAGTCGCGATTCGATTTGCGTTCGGAAAAAAAACGCCGTCGTGCGAGAGGGATTTTCGAGTAATTATCGAGGACGGGCGGAGAGCATACCTGGTACCATATTTACCGGTGATACCGACCTCTGTGGGAAATCGTCAACAGTGTCCAGGGGATATTTAAAAAATTGCTGTGATAGACAGCAACCATCAGGGGCATGATAGGAACATACTCTTGGTGCGCTTGGTCATCTTGGCTGAGGGTTGAGGATGAAGATGAATACAAAGCAGAAGACTGAAAACCAGGCTTTGAAGAGACGGTTGTGGAGTGGGCTCGCTTAGGGCTCGACAACTTGGTGTGATCACCTGATGTGCCTGACGTCACCTGACCCTCTCGCACTAATTTGGATGTCACGTGCGGTACGTGACCAACGTCGTCACTATGCAAATGATACAAACATAGTTGTTTCTTGATTGATGCCTGCCAAGTGAGGCATCGAATTTGTGGCACCTCTATCTCAGAACACAAATCTGGAAATGGGTCATAGACGGATAATATCAATTCTAAAAGTGACCATGCCATTCATGTGGAATTTTGTACACGTATGTCGAGTGACTGCCTGAATTTAGTCCCTGACGTAACCGTCACTCGGGGCATCCATCTATCCGGTCATGTGATTCTATCCGAATCAAGCTGCATTACGAGCCGCGGCTCCGGGCGAGAGCTAAACACTATAAAATCCCTGTGCGACCGGTGTTGGTGATCAGTCATAGTCGCAGAAGTCGAAAATACCTCTTGCCACTAATTGATACCATCCCCTCGATCTAAGAGCACGCATCCTTCAACACACTCTCCCTGAGGAGCTTGTGATCTACCGAGAGCTATCCTGTCCCGCAAAACTACAGCACCTCGCAACTACCGAAATGGCTGCCATTCGCCCATACGACCTGGTTCTCCTGGGTCCCACCGGCTACACCGGTCGATTCTGTGCGGATCATATCGTCCAGAATCATCCTACCGATTTGAAATGGGCTATCGCTGGCCGTTCGGCGTCCAAGATGGAGCTCATCGCTCAGGAGCTCAAGACTCTTAACCCGGACCGCGTCCAGCCAGGTGCGTAGCTTCATCATGCTGTGTCTGTTGTTATTCATTGGGCCTGCTCACTCATTTCGCGTCTTCAATAGATGTCCTCGTGGTTCAGCTCAACCTTACAGAACTGAACGAGCTAGCTCAGAAGACGAAGCTGGTCATCAACTGTGTCGGCCCTTATCACCTCTACTCGACTCCAGTGGTGGAGGCATGTGCCGCCAATGGAACTCATTATGTTGACGCGTGAGTCTTTCATTGCTCTTGGTGATGTGCGATTCAAAATCTGACCGATCTCCCTAGGACTGGCGAAACGCCGTGGATCAGGTACATTATCGACAAATACCACGAGTCGGCCAAGGCCAATGGTGCCATTGTGTGTGTCCCTTGAGCTCTCGCTGTTTTTGAAATGAAAAGTGAAGGCCATCCCAATGCTAACTGCAGGCAGATCATTCCCTCGGTTGGGGTAGAGAGTGCCCCGGCCGATATCCTGGCATGGTCTCTTGTCAAGCGAGTTCGAGAGGATCTCTCGTCCCAAACTAGGTCAATCAACAGCACTATAAAGGAAATGAAGTATGGCATGTCCTTAAACGATCTTTAAGCGTTTCTAACCTTTCTGGGCAGATCCTCTGGTGCTAGTGGCGGCACCCTGAACACGATTCTGAGCATCTTCGACTGGCGTCCCATGTCCGAGATGCCCGATTCGTTTGGCCCGTACTCGCTGACAGCATCTGCGCCACCCAAGGATATTCCCGGTGAAACTATCCTGCAGAAGCTATTCGGTGTGCGCTCGATCCGCGACCTGGGCTCCGTGACCACGTCTCCGAACGGAATGGCCGACGTTGCCCTTGTGCACCGCAGCAGCAGTCTTATGCCCGAGCTTTACGGCCAGCGGTTCGTCTTCCACCAGTTCCTGTCCGTGCGTAACGCCTTCATCGGCGTCGCCATCCATGTGGGTTTCCTGCTCGGGATGTCGCTGCTGATGATCCCGCCCGTGCGCTGGCTCCTGCGCAAGTTTGTCTATTCTCCGGGAAATGGACCCAGCCGAGAGGACTCGCTGAATGACCGCCTTGAATACCATGCCGTCGCAACTGCAGACCAGTCCTCCACGGCCCCGCAGCGCATGTTCGGCAAGCTGTCCTATGAGGGAGGCATGTACCTCTTCACCGGATTGCTGCTGGCCGAGGCTGCCATGGTAATTCTCAAGGAAGAGGAGAAAGTCAGAAAGGTCTCGCGGGGCGGGATCGTCACTTCGGCTACTCTGGGCCAGGACTTTGTCGATCGCCTGGAGAAGGTCGGCTGCCATATTGAAACCAAGGTCTTCCATTATTAAGAGCGGTATCTTGCCGTCGTTTGAATTGCATGGAAATGGGTGGTTATTTTTCGGCACGGCTTCCAAAATTCGTTTTCTCGTTTCTGGTGATGACATTTTCTACTGATGATAACACTCTTGATGATCTTACGACTACCAAGATTTTTCCGTCATAATTTAATTCCATATGAGTTTCTGTCCAGTTAATTGCGAATATTTGATTCGTGGTATTTCAAAACAACCTAATCGTCTCGACTAGAGCTTGCCTGCTCTTCCCTCGGCGAAAGCGGCTTCGTTCAACCATGCTGCAAGAATGCCGTTCACCTCCTCGGGCTTCTCCCACAACGCCCAGTGCGAGGTATTGACCTGCTTCAACGTCAGATTAGGAATGTGCTTCGCCATTGACTTTCCCAGATGCGCCGGCAGTGCCTGATCTCTCAATGCCTGTATGAATAGTACTGGGATAGTGATCTGGCGGTCGAGGATGGCAAGTTCCTCTTCATGGTTGATCTTGCGAGTTCGGTACCAATTGACTATCGAGATAATGAGCCAACCATTCAAACAATACCAAGAGACAGCATAAAATCAAAAACTTACGCGGTCCATGAATCCCGTGTCTGGCGAATTCACTCGAGTAATAATCCAGTTCCTGATTCGCCGTCAGTTCATATAATCCAGGGTTTTACCAAGCCATGCCGATCTATATGGCCATAATAAACACAACAGAGAGGAGGAAAGAGCTTACCTCCTCGCTCAGCAACCGCGACGGTTTGATCAGCGGCAACCTATCCAACAACGCGCCTTTCTCGGCTTCGAACCCGACCTCACCCTGCTCAGTGCGTCCCCCATACATCGCACAAAGGAACTGCTTAATCTCGGCCCTGGAGCGAATCACTTTCTCGAGATTGCCACTCCCGAACTGGAGCTGGTACGCAAATGTCGGGGTGACGGTTCGTACAAGCTCCTCGAGCGGGATATGTTTCGCCACGGGGCGACCGAAGGGCACGCAGACGGTGAAGAGGTGGCTGACGAGATCCGGGTGCCAGAGGGCGACCCGATAGGCTAGTGCGGCGCCCCTGTGGAAGAATGATATATCAGCAAGACGGTATTATATGAGACCCTGATATTGGTCCTGCTTACCAGTCATGTCCGCCGAGCACAATCTTGGATTCGCCTAGGTGCGAGGCCAGGGCTTGGATGTCGTCTGCGCAGCGTTTGTGAGAGTAGTGGATTGCGTCTTCGGGGGCATCCTGGCCGTTTCATTAATTCAGTACGTTTGTTGCCGTATATTAATAGAGATATGGATCTCTGAGATGTTTAACGGGATGCTCACCGTTCGTCCATAGCCGAGACAATCCGGAGCCACCACTCTCAATCCCATGTCAACCAGCATGGGGATTTGATACCGCCATCCCATAGAAATATCCGGGAATCCATGGATCTGAAATCACCCATGGTCAGTCCTGGAATGCTTTGGATTCCAATGAGCTTTTGCAGGACATACCAGGAATACAGTCGCCCTATAGTTGCCTGATTGAGGTTGGCTGAAAAGGTAGGCTGCACGAGAGTGATAGTCTGAGCTTGAACGTCTCAGCCAAGGTCTGAGGAAACTAACCGTAGTTGTTGCCGTTGAGGGTCGCAGATCTGTACTCGATGCGCGAGTCACCCGAAACCCGGATTTTCTCGGCCGGCATTTTTGATATCCACTTCGATGGGTATGAAGCGAGTTGTGGATGGGCTGATTATTGATGTCAGCATGCTGCTGGGAGCTTACACGCATAGAGGCGTAGAATATATATTACTGAGCCATACCTCAACAGCGACAAGCACAGCACCCCAAGTGATGATAGAAGCTAATAGTAAATCACTTTAAAGAACTGAATGTGTTTCCGACGTTCGCTGTGCAGAACATCAGCTCCCTCAGCCGAGCCCCTCTTGGGGGGTTGCTCGACCTCGGCTCGTTGCAAGCTCCACCTTGCGCTACTCCCGCCACACCCTTCGGAGCATCTGTTGATCGCATTGTATAGAATAGCCTGCCAATGCTATTTGCACAAAATAATGAAGCCGGGATAGCATCCAGAAATTGACAGGTGGGATCAATATCTGAGGTGGACATGCCCTTTTGCTACTAAGTTTAATGATTTCAATGCCATCTGGATGGATATCCCAGTAAACCTATAAAACAAGGCAATTAATCATGATGGGGTCATTCTCATTTCAAAGCCGGTCTGAATAGACTGGAAACCCGAGATCCACTCGAGCATCTAACATCGCCCATCCCCACGCGCGTCCCGCCTCTCCCCAAAACAGCCCAAACGGATCGTCCCCAGCAATATATCGTCCGCTGCGAAGATTCTGTGCAATCTCCGAAGCGGTGGCATACGCCATAAAGTGTTCTCTCTGGACCCAATCACCCAGAGCCAGCATATTCCCCACGATCCCATGGCAGAGGTTGGGCTCTTTGCGCAGCAGTCCTTTCTCCCATATCTCTTTACGACCGCGCTCGATTGCCACATCAATGCGTTGCTGAAGAGACTCCCGCACGGTAGGCCGGATATACGGCAAGGACAGTATGAAGCCCGGGGATCCATGACAGAACTGGACAAGGTCCCCTGGCCGCATGCGTGGACCCATCTTTGACGGCCAGTGCCCGTCATCTGTCTGCAGATCGAGCTGCTCCGCCAGGATATTCTCAATTTGAGGGTGACGGCCCAGACTGGGACGACAGGAGACGATCTGAGTCAGGATGCCGATGACTCCGTGGGCAGCGCCCGTGTAGGCCTTGCCCCGGAAGTTCCAGGGAATAGCCCTGAGAAGTGCCTCGATTAACGGGTCTATACAGGCCTGCATGCGCTCTCTTGCATCCGATCTCCACATCTGCACGAGGTGGAGCAGGGCCAGGGCTCCTGCCCGTCCATAGAGGTAGTCGTTGTCGGCATCTGGGCAAGTATAGCTCTGCAGGATGACATGCTCCAGACAACCGAGAGAGTCATCATCGTGAAATGCGGCGGCTCGGACTGCGTGGAATGAAAGGTACTCGTTCATCACTCCCCACCCTGTGAGACCGGCTGGCGTGGTGAGCTGGTTGGAGCCGCAGTCGAGGTACGCTTCACACCATCCTTTCGCGGATCGATTCGAGATTCGAAGATTAGGATGGGTGCGGGAGAGCCGCAGGAATAGATAGGCGATGGAGGTTGGCCCGGAGAAGATGCCCTTCGGATTTTTGGGCCAAGGGTTTGTGGGAGGGCATTGCTGGATGAGTTTCATCAATGAGGTGATGAGCTCTGCCCGGGTGTCAGGCACCGGGCGTCTGGAAGCAGTATTGCGAATATACCGCATGTTGGACATGATTGCTGGGCTTTGGGGGTGTTGGAAGTACTTTGTAGACTCGGACTGGATGCTACGTCATAGGCGAGTGAAGTCTTGAGCATCCAGGCTGTGATATCACTCTGCCTTGCCCTATGCCTAATACGGGGTCAGAGAAATATGGTCAAGGGCTGTAGCTATTCATAAATATTACACCAAGGTAGACTCGAGAGCTCCATATAAATGTCAGAGTCGTCGATCTAGTAGAATGCAAATACCATTTCTCATTATGTCTCAGCGACCCTAGATAAGTTCAGAGATATCATAAACTCAGATCCAGCAGAGTATATCGCCGCTAGTAAATCACAGTATCTTCATTGTCCTCGACGACCTCACCACCATCATCGTCCGCTGCACGATGGGCATCGGCTTGGTCATGGATGTCAGTGTCGTGCCCATTAGTAGGCACCACCTCTGCAGGAACTTGATCAGAACCTTGTGTCTGATGATCGTTAATACCCGCCTCCGTAGCCTCTTGGGTCTCCCGTGACTGCGACTCAGACTGTGGTGCTGGTTCTTGCTCGGAAACTGCTTTAGGCTGTGGCTGGGACTCCGGTGCTGCTGCTGGCTTTTGATCCTCTGCTTGCTGTTGTGTTTCTGGTTTTGATTTTGGTTCTTGTTGCTCAAAGGTCTCGGGCGGGTACCGGGCCTCGAAGTCGGCAACTTCCTGCGCAACTATGGCTTCGGCGTCCTCAATTTGCTCTCGTATCACCGCCTCGTCGCCAGGCCGTAGCTGCCACGGTTTATAATACTAGATAATCTCAAGATTAGTGGCTGACCGCATCCAAAGCAACTGAGGCGAGAAGAAACGAGACAACGTACCAGGACCGGTTCTGTGCGCGTTTTCAGAGAATGCGCCATGGCGACCAGGTTCGCATGCCGAGTCTGCATCTGTATGGATATGTCAGACATCCTTTCCGTGGTTTTTTCCCCACCCCATACAAATGCGATTGACCTACCGCCTCCCGCTCATACAACGGCTTTTCCTTCCTCCGGATCTCATCGCGTTGCTCCCTCCGCCGCTTCTTCAGCTCATCGTACTCCTCTGCCTGAGATTTCAACTTTTCTTGCTGTTTCTTTTCAATATTGGCGCGCCGCCTCTGTGCCGCAGAGTTCGAGCTCTGCGAGAGTGTTCCGAGCAACCCCCCGAACAACCGTTGTCCGCGCTTCCGCTCCTCCTCTCGCCCGCCTTGTCGCGCTCTACGTTCGGCAGGACGTTCTGGCGCAGGCGCAGGAGGCGATTGCCGTAAATGCTGGCCATGCGCGGGGGCATCGTCCTGGCCGCTGAGTCGGCGCCGCTTGGGGTCGTGCTCGCTCGTGGAAGACTTTCTTCGCTTCGTGCTGAATTCGGGGGACCGGCGCAGATTGTCTTGGTCTGGAACTGCGACTGCGGAGGCAAGTGTCCTATCGAGAAAAAGTCAGTCTCCGTTTAAGAAGGACCTTCAAATCAAGCCTGATTGAGGTGACAGAAAAAAAAAATTCCGTACCCGTCAGACATGGCGGCGTGCAGGTCCTGCTGTGTTGGTCCTGGAGAGACAAGACACGAGTATCATAAAAGTAATCAAGATAAAGAGAGCTTTTTGAAGACCTGCAGCACTGCGACTCGAGGACAATGGTCGCAAGCAAACAGCGCAGTTGAGCTCGGGACTGTTTCTGGGGTGCGCACGGACCATGCGGACTTCGGTTCTTCCTTCGCCTCTCTTCGCCAACTCTTCTCTTTCGCTTTTCCCCAAATCCAACGAGCACAGTCACTCTCTCTACCTCTCAAGCTTGATTCGTTTTTTTTTTCGATCAATCTCTCAACACATTCTCATTATGTCTCGCCATCACCCCGATCTCGTCATGTGCCGCAAGCAGCCCGGCATCTCCATCGGCCGGTTGTGTGACAAATGCGACGGCAAATGCCCCGTGTGCGATTCCTATGTGCGCCCGACGACGCTAGTCCGGATCTGCGATGAGTGCTCGTTTGGCAACTACCAAAATAAATGTGTCGTCTGCGGTGGCGAGGGCATCAGCGACGCGTTCTACTGTTTCGAATGCACGCGCCTCGAAAAGGACCGTGACGGGTGTCCGAAGATCATCAACCTGGGAAGCTCACGGACAGATTTATTCTACCAAAAGAAAAGTTTTCGAAATCAATGATCATGGCTTTCAGGCCCCTCTGTGGCTGTTTGGCTTCCAACTCGGTCGAAGGGGCCAACCGTGACTCTGGTGGTTTGACAGCGTGCAGCCTGACAACAATATACGGCATTACGGATTTCACCAGATTGGAGAGCATGGAGCGATTCCTCATTTTGGCGGACTATCTAGGACCATTACAGATTGGTGCGGGGGTGTTGTGATCACCGGCCGGGGCGTCTTGGTCGCGCGAATCCCCGGGAAGGGCCTTGGTCTTGTGGCGGGTGGACTTCCTCGTGCAACCTTTCCCCGGTGATTTCATCCGGGCCCGACGCTTCGATCTGTTTTTCGCCGTGTCAGCATATTACATTTACCCAACAAACGAGGGTCCTTATACCTTCTTCGAGATCTTCAGTCCTTCTTGTTCGCCAACCGTGATGGCATTTCTCCGCGAGCTGGCGTGCAGCATGCGTTCCTTGATCGACGAACCCGAAGGACAAGTATAGACGAATACGACGACGTCTGAGCTGGGGTAATGATAGAACGAATACCGCGGCGAAGACGGGGAGATGTGTGTGGCGACGGCGGCTGCATCGACCCCGGATTGGGAGTCGACCAACTTAATGGTCTCCGTGGGGATATCAATTGTCTGCATCGAGCAAGTGTCAGTTTCAAATCACACACCCGATCCTTCGAGGACCATCTCTCCGCGTAATGTAGAAAAGCATGGGGCTTTCTCACCAACTGCACCAGACCTCCCTCCTGTATTTCCTTGAGAGCCGTCTTGGCAGCATCGTCAACGGGCATGGACACCTTCATTCCCGACCCGGAGCCCGGCCCAAGGCCACGAGTAAATGTGCCCCCAATGCCAATGTCTCGACTGGGCGTCCCATTCCGAGCCTCGGCCTCAGCCCGCCGCACAGCCTCGAGCTCGCGCTCCTTATCCCCCATGAGCTCCTCCCGGCTAACGCCACCGGTACTCCCCCATCGCGCTCCCGCCAGGCGTCCTGACCAACGACCTCATCCTCTTCCGTAGCAAACGCCGTAGAAGCGAACTTCTCCGCGCCCAGCTCGCGGACCAGCGTTGCGCGGGTTGACGCAAACAGCGTCTTTGAACGCACCGGTGCGTTGGACGGGATATAGGTGAGAGCGACCAACGAGGACGACGCAGACGTCGGGCGGCGGAGCAAGAGGTAGATTGGGGTCTTGGGCTGCAGCGTCGAGGAAAGCTGCGGGAGGGACGAGAAGAAGGCGTCGCTGGGCGAGGAGCTGCTGGAGAAGGAGATCGAATCGAGCGGGGTCAGGCTTTCTGAAGAGATGGTTACCGGCAAGCAGAAGGCCGAGGAGTCGGAGCTGAAGCGGTTGAATGCATCGTGCAGCTCCGAGGAGACTGGGTTGGGATGAATGAGCTGGGAACGACGAATGGCCAATGGCTCCGGGGGGGGAAGAAAAGCGGTATTAGATCTCGCATACTACATACCTGAGATTCCCGACTGCATGATGAGCGCACTCTCCAGGGAGTTCGTGGGCAGTTGACGTGGTGGTTCACGGAGAGATGGAGGGGAGCGGTGAAATGAGGGGTGGATGGCGTGGCAGGATTCGGCCTCTTCACCACCGTTCTCCTCCTCGAATATCTTTTACCCGTTGATTCTTCTATACTAATCTCCTTGGGGTCTTACAATGGCTGACACTGACAAGATTCGATGCATTGTCACTCCGACCGATGTCATGGATCCGGACATGATCGCGGCGGTTGAAGCCTATCTCAAGGATATAACCCAGCAGCCCGCTATCTATTCCTACGTTTCACGCCCACAGAACATATTCAAATGGTGGGTCGTCCACCTCACCAGCTCTCAAATCGAGGAAGTGCAGAATCACAAAGACATTGCGTACGCAGCGCCATCGATGCCAATGATGCCCAACTAGAAAGGTCCATTTCTGCCCAGGCAGTTGTCATCTGGTATACACAGGAACACAAACACTCAGGATATACGTATGTACAAACACCGTTCTGACCAGCCTGCCTCTGAACGGCTCAGTCCCGTTTCTCGAAGACGCGGGGTGTCCTCGCCTCGCCGGGAAAAGGAGAAAAGAAACGAGAGGAAACGCAACGCCCATCATGCACAGAATGGTATCACATACTTTCCACCAACTAACACGACTCGGCTCACTCCTCATACTTGCCACCGACAAAGGCCCAGTTTGACTGCTCCAGCTTGCCTTTGAGGAACTCGTACACGGTGAAGGTGACAGCCTGGCCGGGGGCGACCCGCATCACACGCGGCGTGATGCCCTTGTAGAAGGCGCTGGCTCCTTCTGCCTTGAACATGTCCTTGGCGATCACCATGATGCGAGTGATGGCAGATTGGCCGGGCTCCCCACGGGTCTTCTGGAGGCGGGTCTTGATGGTGTCGATAGGGGCGTTGGAGAAGGGGCCGACAGCACCGGAAATCAATCCGATCACGGTGGTCTGGTACGAGGGCAGCTGCGAGTTGCTGTACTCGGGCTGGTAGCGCTGGAGAGCGGCCTTGAGCTCGCTGTATGCAGTGAAGTTGGCCGCTTGGTTGGTTCCTTGCCGCAGCGCTGTCAAAGAAACACCCCGGTACAGCGCGCTGAACCCTTCCTCTCGAATGACGGTGAAGAGCGCGTGTGGTGCACTGCGGTATTTGGGTGTGTCCAGTGGGTCTGCCAGACTATGATGCTGTGCTTGCAGACGGATCTTGACGACTTCCATTGGGTTGACCACGGCCACGGCTTCGGTCACACCGGCCGCGAGACCAGCTATCAGATGGTATGAGTATGAGTTTGCAAAAGCAAATAATATCCAGTGTCGAACTTACCCAGAAAGGTGGATTTGCTTGTGACATGGCCGGTCTCCTTGTCCGCCAGCATCCCCTTATACGACTCGTACGATGTGAACCGGATCGCCATCTTTGGGATAATGCCTCCCAGGACGGCGCCTAACCCCTTGTACAAACCCATGGCAGTTTCCTTACGTACAATCTCCGCACCGGTTGTCACGAACCCACGGGGCTTTGCCTATCATGACCAAAGCATGTTAGCGATGCCATTGGGGTCGAAGGTCTTGGTAGAAACTCACCCCGGGGGCCCTGGCTCTCCGAGAAAGCTGCATCCGCACCTTGATTGTATCTGATGGCTGTCAGAGTTTGGTTGTTCCTTTTGCGACTCGCTTCCCGTGCCAGGATTTATTGCATACCTAGAGGATGACACACGAGGGCCTCCATCATACCGGCACCGCCACCCGCTATGCGCAAAAGTCAGCAACTATGGATAAGTTCCAAGAATTGGAGTCTACCCTACCGATCAGGTTTACCGCGGGCGACGCCCTCTTGCCATTGTTTCCTTGTGCAGATTTGGCGGCCATGGTTTCTCAATCACGCAGTGAGTGGATGTATTTTTTCGCGCTGGCGCCTGATCATCCAGCGAAGAAATGTCCACAATGAAATCTCCCGAGTTTTTATTCTCCGGACCTGAAAACGAAAAAGGGAAAAAGGTAATGGATCGCGCAAGCGTATCCCGATTGTCCGGACCGAAATGCGGAGCGAGACGGAAGTATACAATCCCGGAGACAGATGGATGTCGACAATGGGCTGCGACAGGACAGGGCAATGCAAAGTGCAGAATTGCAGCAGAGTTGTTTGTCTTTTTTTTCTCTGTTTCTGTTCCTTCTATTTTTTTTTTTCACACACGCCGATGAATCACTCGAGTGGCGTTCCCAAACCTTGCGGGGGGAGCTTATGACGGAGCAGCGGAGCTGGACGAGCGGAAGTGTGTATAGATCTGGTTACCGACAGACCCCGACACCGAGAAGATATGGCAAAATAGAACAAAAAAGAATGTTCAAATATGACTGACACAGTGCTACAATATCTACCGAGGGCCATTGCGTCTTATAAGACCCAGCGACAAGGCAAGCCGACCAGAGAGACGCTGACCTCACCGTTCCCGAGGCCCTTCGGGAAGAAGGGCGGATGACTCTCCCCCAATTCCTGACGAGTTTCCCCCGGATCTGCCCCGGATGAAAACCTTCACATGCGAGAGTATTCAGCGCGCTGATTTGTCGTCATCGCTGCTTGTGATCAAAGCTCTTGTCTTGTATTCTTAGTCATGTGCTTCAATTTGACTCTCTACACTATGTAGTGAGTAGGGTAGATTGTAGATATTGTTCTTTTATTTTAAACCACACGCCCACAACTGGAAATCTTCTGCCGCGGGGAGCTGAATTACTCCGACAAGTCCAGCAAACCTTCCATCGGACCGCAAACGGCTCAACATTCAGCACTTTTCCTTCCGCGTCTCGAGGCCACATCCCCGGGAGAACCCGGACCAGCCGCTGAGCTCTCAGCCGAGGTTCAGTTGGCAACAGTGCGACAGAGCCTAGGTCATTCGATCATTGGATATTTCAGAGTCAGACACTTTCTTTTTTTGACACCCGATGTTTACACTAATGTTTTTATGGGCATTGTCTTCGCTGTGTATACTTCGTTGACGGGCATGTTGCCGGTAGAACGTTTTGCCTATTTTAAAATCATTCATTGCAATCTTAATCAACAATTTACTATTGTTTGGCGCTAGTTGTTTGTTTTTATTATTGTATCAATCCTATTATTCTTGAACATGACCGTTAGTAACAGCTTTGTGCTGTCAATTTCATGTCCTTCACATGCTCCGATTGATAAACGTCGGGTTCCCGATTTCGGTGCTTGAGTTAATTCACGGGGCCGATCATAACAAGACCAGATTCGAGATTATCTGATCGTACAGGACCAGCTTCATACTTGATGGTGTGTTTGGCTGCTTAGTGCGATTCCTTTGACGCGATGGCTCGGATCAAATCCGATCGCGACAGCGCAGATTCCTCAACAGACTTTCGACATTCAACGACACATCTTATTTCTGAAAAAAGGCACGGGAATGTGTACATCCATGCATCCAGTATAAATGAAGCCGACTAGAATATAAAACGATTAAAAAATAATAAAGTCATGGAGGAATTCCCCTCAGACGCAGAGCCCCGATCTCGGCGCCGATGGCAACAACTCTCCACGCGCATCCTCAAACTGATCCTGCACCAATGGCTCCTAATCGGAATTGGGGTCGCCTGCGTGCTGGCATATTTCTTCCCGGACGTCGCCAAGCACGGCGGCACAATCCGCTCCGAGTACAGCGTGCTGTACGGGGCGATCGCAGTGATCTTTCTGATCTCGGGACTGAGCATCCCGCGGCAAAAGCTATTCACACAGTTCCTGAACTGGCGCCTGCACCTGGTAGTGCAGATCATCTCGTTCCTATTCATCCCCGCCCTCGTGTTGGCTGTCGTGCACGCCATCCTGGCCGGTGACCCTGGTGCTCGCATCGATCGCGCTGTGCTCGCGGGTTATATTCTGACTGCGTGCATCCCGACAACTATCGCTTCGAATGTGGTTATGACCCGTGCTGCCGGTGGTGATGATGCCGCCGCCCTGGTCGAGGTGCTGCTGGCTAATGTCTTGGGCCCCTTTGTCACTGCTGCTTGGACGGTGGCGCTGCTCCCCAAGATGCGTGAGTTCGATCCCTGGCGCTATGGGGGTGGTAGTCTCGGCAGTATGTATAAGGATGTCTTTCAGCAGCTCGGGCTGAGTGTGCTGCTGCCGCTTTTTGTTGGGCAGTTGGTGCGCTGGACTTGGCCGGACCGTACGACTTGGGTATTGCAGAAGACCCGGCTGCCGAAGCTGGCTACAGTGTGTATGCTGCTGCTGATATGGTGAGTTGTGCTTCATGTTTCGTCAGTTTCCATGGAAGTAAAGATAAACACTTGTTGGCCCTCATTTCTAGTTTCTTGTATACTTCTAACACTTTCAATAGGACCACTTTCTCTTCATGCTTCGCAACAGGAGCCCTCCAAGCTCTATCAACTCAAAGCGTAATATTCGTCGTATTATTCAATATCACCTTATACATCGCCCTCACGCTAGTATGTTTCATCAGCTCCCGTCCACCACTCATCCTAGCATCCCGCCCCTGGAGCGAACCAATATTCAAGCGCCTCTCGCCCGAAGAAACCATCGCCGTGTGTTTCTGTGGCCCCGCAAAGAGCACCGCCCTCGGCATCCCACTGCTGTATGCAATGTGGCAGCCCGTGGACCTCTTTACCAAGGCCAAGACCTCGGTGCCGGTGCTGCTGTATACCACCGAGCAGATCTGCGTGGCGCATTTCTTTGTGCAGCTGTTTCGGAGGTGGCATGGGCGCTTGGTGGAGAAGAAGAATCGCCATTTGGATAACATTAATCGGCGCGAAGATGCTGAGGGTGGAATGGTGGAGGTTCCGCAGTGTCGTGGTGTTGGGGTTGGGAATCAGCATATGAATGGTCATGATTGATACCCTTTGGATGAATTTATGGATGTATGTACTTTGAGTTTGTTATGGAAGCGTGTACATGATTGGCACTATAAATTCTTTTTATTATCCATAGGTAGGACTATGTCCAGAGAGAGATACTGGTAGTCCAAGCATCACACGCCTACCCATAATCAGACTTAACATATACAAAGCATTTCCACACTATCCCATCTTGCCGGTTCACTATTTCCCATCCCAGAACCGCAGAAAAGCATCCTTCTTGTTCCGCGGCGGTGGCCGCCCCTGGTTACAGTCCTTCCCAGTCAAGGATCGACCATCGTTGCCAACATCAGTAACAGCATTCTGCGACTTGCCCAAGAAGTAATTGTTCTGGAAAAATGCCGCAATAAGCGGGACAAATCCCAGACCCAGCACCACAGCAAGACAGTAGTACAGGGTGCGGCGATACGCCAGAATATCGCCCACGCGCATCGGGTCATCAAAAGCATAGAGCTTGCGAATGGACGTCGGCTGACCAAACAAGCTGATCACGTCCTTCTCGGTAGCCGTCGAAGGTCGAAGGAAGATGCTGGCGTGGCGCAGCTGCTTAGGCACCTGGGTAGACCAAATAACCACGACAATGGCCGAGCCGATGGCGCTACCGATCCTGGAGCACAGCGCGAGCATGGCGATGACGAGGGCGACGCGCGTGCCCACCACGGACATTGACCCGTCGAAGCCGACCAGGATCATGGCCGCTGTGCTTTGCGTGGCTTTGTTAACGTCCAGCATGATTCCCGTACTTATTAGCTTGATCATTAGCCCGGCGATCTGGATATGCAGAGGGCTAGGTTGAGCGTGTTGCCGTAGTATACCCAGTCCTGGTAGCTCCAGGGCTTGGCGACGTAGACGAAGGAGCTCCAGTAAAGAGAACGAATTTGGCCGTCGATTGGTGAGAGAAAGAGCTCCAGTGTTAGTTCATATCATCAAGTGGTTCCCGTGCATCTCAAGGATCTTACGCAGGTAGATGCTGTCAATGATGATTGACATGATAAGAGCCTTGTTAAACACCAGACGCCGAGGTGCGCTGGGCACTCGCGCCCATTTCATCTCGTAGATCACATACGCGATCAGGAGCAAACCACCGACAATCTTCCCTGCAAACCAGGTATTGGTAATAAACGGAGTCGACAGCAGAGAGCTCGCAAAGCCACGCCATTCGAGCGGCGTCAGATCCTTGACGATAATATCGTTGGTCAGATCAAGTCCGGAGCTACCGATAGCCACAAAGACCTCCCCAATGACATAGGCAGAGATGGTCTTGCAGGTCGCGGCGACAATGTAGCCGATCACGTAGAAGAACAGGGTCAAGAGGTACGTGTAGGGGCGGGAGGTGATGTCGGAGATTTTGGCGATGAATGGCTTGCTCACGGCGTCGATGATGCTCGTCACAATGGCCAGGGTTGAGAGCACGACGCTGTGCTGCTTGAAGTGCGATGAGGCGTCTACCGAGTAGTAGGAGGTCGTGGACGAGTCGAGTGAGAACGCCCACGCGCACACCAGCACCGACGCGGTGACCAGCCACAGCGTCGTGCGGTTGGACTTGGCCTCGCGGTAGACGGCTTCCATGAGCGGATCTGACCTGGCGACATGCTGGGGGCCCTTATAGCTTGGCTAAACAACTGTGCTAGATCAGGGAGTGCAAAGAACAGTGAATGGGAAACCTGCGATCTAATCTAATCAATCTCGGATCAATCCAGCTCGACGGCGCTCGGGACAAGGCAGCCCCTATATACATTGGATTGTCGGCCTATATGAAAGCGAATGTACACTGGTAGCCTACGGGAAGCATATATGCTGTACAAGCTTCATTATGTGAATAGGAAATAATAGGGTGCAGAATGTAGTCATAGGAATACTGTCGAAGATGCCAGCCAACACATGCCAGTTATAATTTGACCACCGATTATGCCTCTGAATACCCATAAAGGGAGAAGAAAAGAGAGAGAGAGAGAGAGCACGCACTGACAATGCCAAGTTCTGTTCTCCCCACCGGTAATAGTGTTTCCCCGAACTGACGTCAATAATAACCCCCCCACTTAACTCCTGTGGTCTCTCTCTCCCTTCACACACTCAGTCCTCATATTTGTCTCGTGATTTCCCTCAACCTACTTCCAAAATGCCTAACTCTACGGCCTTCTTTGATGTCGAGTACAACGGTAGGTCTTTCTTTACTCTCGTTCTTCTTTAGTCGGGGGAAATGTAAAAGCGAGGACCCTAGGTTCTGCGACCGAGGACCTTTTTATCCCTCACTTCTCAGCAAAATTTCAATCTTTTGCCAGAATCTGTCTTAGACATATTGCCTATCTCTATTCATCCAATGTGCCTCAATTTTGGTCTATAATCTCTTACTGATGATGTTCTGTTACTCAATATAGGGGTGACCAAGCGTATCAACTTCAATCTCTTCGACGACCAAGTCCCCAAAACTGCCCGCAACTTTCGTGAGCTCTGCACCGGTGTAAATGGCTTTGGCTATGCAGGCTCTACCTTCCACCGTGTGATTCCCCAATTCATGCTCCAGGGTGGTGATTTCACCCGCCACAATGTGAGTCTTAGCGGGGCCATTGGCTCTCAGTTTCGTTAGGACTAAATCGCCAATCAAGGCTAACAATTCAATGTGTACAACAGGGCACTGGTGGTAAATCCATCTACGGTGAAAAATTCGATGATGAGAACTTCACCCTCAAGCACGACAAGCCTGGTCTCCTCTCTATGGCGAACGCTGGCCCCAATACGTGAGTCTACACTCTACCTGGTTGCCATTCTCCCCAATTGCTGACGACATAAAATGTAAAGCAACGGCTCTCAGTTCTTTATCACCACCGTTGTGACCTCGTGGCTCAATGGCAAGCACGTCGTTTTCGGTGAGGTTGCCGACGCTGACTCCTTCAACGTTGTCAAGGAAATCGAGGCTCTCGGCTCGAGCAGCGGCAAGCCCAAGTCCCCGATAAAGATCGTTGGAGCTGGTGGTCAATAAACTATGATTGACGATAGTGGCTTCCTTTGCAGGTGTTTTAGTTGTTTCATGCAGATTCGGCTCTTTTGTTGAATTCGCGTACCGCCAGATCTCAGCCGAAACCCTCGGAAAAACTCGAGCCAAAGTTCTCGCAATCTTTTTCTCTTCCTAGCATCACATACATGAATGTGTATCTTTCTGTGGTTTTAGCTGTCATCCACGAGCGTGGGGAAGTGGATCCAGTGCAAATGACGTAGAGAGCCTATGGCTTGATAATCAATGCGATAAGCTTCACTGTGGAAAAGACATATAAACCGACCATCGATCCTTTTTTTTTTTAACACTTCTCCTGCAAATATTTTAAAGGTGCCAAACCCTGCCCAGCTACTATTCTACACGATGTCACTCCACGGACAAACCGTGCTCCTGGTAAGCATTCCAACACCATGCCCTCGAACATCCAAACCCTAACCCATGATATTTTGCAGACCGGGGCATCAATGGGGATCGGTGAATCCATTGCGCGTGCTCTGGCCAAATCCGATGCAAATCTAATTCTGGTCTCTCGCTCCGAGGTGGGTAGCCTGCAAAACGGGACTACTTAAGGCACAAACCCTAACCCGGGGATCACCAGGATAAACTGGCCAAGCTCACAACCGAGCTGTCTGCGCAACATCCCCAAATCAAAGTCATCTATCGCGCTGTCGATGTGGGAAACTATGAAGCAGTGGATGCCGCCGTGGAGACATCCGTCCGTGAGCTAGGCAGCATCGACATCCTCATCAACAACGTACGTACCTCCAAAGACCTATGCTGTTTACACCACCCCGCCACCCCCCCTGGAGGATATCATCCCCTTTTCCATTCCCATTTCCAATAATCACTCAAATATCCTAACTTCATTCAAGGCAGGTCTGGCCCTCGGCGCCCCCAGCCCCTTCGCCGACCTCAAAATCACCGACATCCAAACCATGATCTCCACCAACGTCAACGGCCCCATGTTCGTCACGCACTCAGTACTTAACCGGGGCATGCTTGCCCGCAAAACAGGGACCATCCTCAACATCACCTCGGTGACGGGTCTCGAGGTGCCGCCGTTCTCCGGCGAGGCCGTCTACCACTCCAACAAGGCGGCGCAAGAAGCCTTCACCAACGCGCTGCGCAACGAGCTGGTCGGTACCCAGATCAAGGTGCTGGCGCTGCGGCCGGGGTGTGTTGCGACGAATTTCCATTCGCTGCGTGTGGGCCATGATAAGCAGCTTTATGACTCGTTTTTCGAGGGGTATCCGTATGTCTTATCCGCGTCTTCTTACTTGAAAGTTGGGGCCTGGTGAGATGGCGTAGCTTGAAAAGCTGGCTAATTTCGTTATCTGGTTGTATGTTTAGGCCGCTTGTTGCGGATGATATTGCTGAGGCGGCTATCTATATGCTGAACCAGCCTCCTCAGGTGTCTATCAAGGCGCTGGATGTTGTGCCGTCAGGTAGGATGTCCTGTCTCTAGCCTGGTTTGATAAACGTTATACTGATTACACGCCAGCTCAACGGTCACTGAATGTCTTCGATCGCAACTGGACCGAACGCACTGAGAATTAAAACTTTGGTCTGTTAGACGATCATGCTTACTCCGTGCTCATCAGGCACACAGGTTAAAAAGTTGATTAGAATAAGCAACTCGCAGTCATCAAAATCTGGAAATTCTGGTATGTATGTCCTGGAATTCATGGATAGACAAACAAATCACACTGGAAAGGAAGAGTGTATGTGACATCGACTCCCAAAGAAAAAACAAGGGGCTGCGAACATTGAACAATAAATGTACATGATGACCCTGCAACGAAGAAGACAACCCGTGGCTATATCTCAGATATAGCTGACCTTAACTCCCATTCCCACCGTACCTTTAACCTTCTGCCAAGCAGACCCAGTAACCCTTCGGACGCGCTCGCGCACATCCTGTCGGCTCATCGCCATGAGGATGCCGAGGACGAAAAGCAAAGTGCGGACTATTGACACAGGGTTGCTAGACACGCTCTGGATGATGTGCTGGAACAAATTGCGAATTGCTGTAGCCACGGCTCTTGTTTGACGGCCCCGGGGATCGCTCTTGTCCTGCTTCTTGACATTCTTCGAGCCGGAAGCCGAGAGGGCAGTTCGTGACGTGGGCTTCCCATTCGGCGACTTCTCGCCCGGTTTGGCTCCTTTGCCTTTAGAGCTGTGCGGGCGCCCTTTCTCGATCCCATAGTCGACTTCACTGGGATTGCGCTTGTGTCCGTTCGGTTGCGATCGCGTGGCTGCCGCGGCTTCCTCGGCTCTGCGACGTTCATCGTCTCGTTGCCGCTCCAGTTCTGCGTCCTTGGCCCGCTGGAGTTCTGCCGCGCGCAGCTCTCCCCTCTCTTTCTCTTCCTTGAGCCCATCTAGCGTTTGAAGGAATAGCTCCTTGCGCTCCTCGTCAAGGACTTCACTCAGGTTAATAAACTCGTGCGCATACTCCCATTCTTCATTCCGGGGGAGCACATGCAGAGTAAAGAGCTCAATAATCCTTACTCTCGCTGTCAGGTCTTTGGGGGTATCGGTTCCACTGGTCGTGGGCATATGGCGCGGGGGAGACCCAGTCGACGCATCACGGAGGCGGTCTGCAAGATCGAGATTGGGCTGCCCGTAGGAGGAGAGGTAGGTCTCAAGTCGCTGCTGGTTCAGCGTCTGCGATGAAGAGTGGTTGAGAAGTAAAGTAGCTCTGTCGCAGGGTTATTAGCTGTCATTGACTGTAATGAACAAGAAAAGGGAAAAAAGACGAGAAACGAACAAGTTATAGACAACCTCGGCATCGACCGAGCCTTCGCGGCCTTGGTATCCAACCTTGACCACGGTCTCCCAAATCCCGCCTTCTCGGACCTGCGTTGCGATCGCCTTCCATTCTTTCTGGCCGAATTGTTTTTTCCCTTCTTCGGCACCGATGTCGACTATTGCGCTCAGGAGCGTGATGTAGAGGTTCCACACCTTGATTCTCCACGTGCTGGGGGCGGTGGCGATCGGCGCGACCGCCGAGGCATTGTCACCATTGGTGTATTGTGTGTCGTGTGAGGAAGGGAGGGCAATGATCGGTTGGAGGGTGGTGAGAGCTTCAGGTAGACGTCGGGTAAGGTAAAGTTGTGAAGCCTTCTTGTATGTCTTGGAGCAGACCTTTGTGGGGGAAGCCGAGGACGGGGAGGAGAGGAGCTGGGAGTGGGACGGAGATCCGTCCACCATTGTGAAGGTTGAGAATCCCGAAGGTCAGGTCAATCGAAGGCAGAAATCAGTGCAAGGCACAAAGGGGAAATGAAATAAAATCAAGAGGAAAAAACAGCCTGAGAAGAGATGTGGAAGTGAAAGAGCTCCGAGAGGTCGGGGCTGCCGGCTGCCGTTTTCCCTCGGCTCAATCTGGCCTAGGTCACGGGACTTATAGATCGTTCTACTTCATTTACTTCAGGGGCCATGGCGATGATAATAGCTAGTATTAGAATGCTATTATAAGTGAACAAATAGGAATTACCTCTCTGACTCTTACTTAAACTGTCTAGGCAGATTCCGGATTCTTCTCTACTACTCATCCAACCCAATCTTACTCTTCAAACTCAACGTGCTACTCCTTCAATCCGTTTGTCAAAGCCTGCATTTTTTTTTGTTTCCACCTGAAAGGGAAGATGGATATCACTGCATTGTCCTTCCCAGAATACCTTCCTGGTATTCTGAATGAGTTGTCCTCTTGCTATTTCGTGGCCCTTGACCTGGAGCTCTCGGGGATCTTCCTGCCCCCTACGGGACAGGGTTCCAAGACCCAGAGTCTGCGTGAACGTTACGCAGAAACAAAGACTGCAGCTGAGAAGTACCAGGTTCTGCAGGTTGGGCTGACCATCTGCCACGAGGATGTGCAGAACGGTGTGTTAATATATTAGGGTAACATCTTCAGTTGACAAGACTGACGGCAGACAGGAACATATACCCTCAAGCCATACAACATCAACCTGACACCCAACACCGACAAAGGACTGGGCATCACCCGGGACTGGACTCTCATGAGCCAGTGTATGTACTTTCTAGGCAAATTGCTTGATTGGTCATTCCATTAATCTTTATGTAGGCGTGGAGTTCTTGCTGTCTCATCAGTTCAGCCTGGACCAGGTGTGCAAGTTCGGCGTGCCCTATCTCTCTCGGGATGAGGAGGCCGACGCAATTGCAAAGGCTGTGGATAGCTACAAGCCTAACGCGCCGCCATCGAAGCCCCTGGGCATCAAAGAAACGGACCACGAATCCCTCGAGTTCATCCAAGGCGTACGGAAGTCCATTGACAAATGGCTGGCTCAGGGCAAAGTAAGCATCTTATATCTCAACTTACCACGGAATTAAGTAGCTGACTTGGCCAGGAGTGTGTCGATTTCCTCAATATCCCACCACCCATCCGCTTCCAGGTTGGTGACCCGCTGCCAACAGCCCTGAACAACATGCAAAAGTGGCTCATCCACCAGGTGGTTCGGGCGGAATACCCAACTCTCATTTCGAGGAGCAAGCCGAGATTTGTGCAGATTGAGCAGGGAGACCCGGAGTGGCAACGGAGAATCCAAGAGGAAAAGCTGAAGCAGAAGTGGGTCCTGATCCAGAAGAACATCGGGTTTCGGTGGGTTGCAGAAGCCCTGGTGGGAGGAGATCTCACGGGCCTGGAGTCGGGTATGTTCACGCCTCTCATGCCGCAATTGATCAACCCGACGGTCACGATGCAAGAATTCTCGGATGGCGTCAAAGAACGCCTCAAGGCGAACCCGCCGGTTTTAGTGGGCCACAACATGTTCACCGACCTGGTCTACTTCTGCAGATGCTTTCTGGGTCCGCTGCCAGACACGGTCGAAGAATTCCAGGTCATGGTGCGCCGTTTTTTCCCGGTCGTAATCGACACCAAATATCTCGCCACTCATGACTGTGGCTCCATCAATCCCGCTTCGTCCTTGGAAAATCTCACCCAAGACTTGTCGAATCTCCCTAGTCCTCATATCGGTGCGTCAGAGATCTGTGGTTATTGCAGTATACTCAGCTAACCGTTGCATAGCGATCCATCCTCGGCATTGCAGGTATAGCTTGCGCCAGGTTTGCCACGAGGCAGGGTATGACAGCATGCTCACTGCCACTGCTTTCATCAAGCTTGCTGCTAAGCTTAAGCGAGAGAGCAAGGGGACAGGAAAGACTTCGGTATTGATACCGACTGGACCGAAGAGCATGACATCTAAGGCCACACGATACCCCCAGGGACGTGGAGATGCTCAGAAGAAAGCTCAATTCAGCAATTTCTTCGACGCTTTGTCTGGACTGCCAGGGGAAGTTCCAAGCGTTGGCTTTGGGGGATTCTCCGCCGAGACAGCAGTGCAAGCCCCCAGTGGCACGATTCCATCTCCCAGAGGCGAGTTTTGGGACGTCTACAGGAACCGACTGCGCATGTTCGGGACCAATGAAAGGGTCCTGACACTCGGGGAAGAGCGGGATGAGGCTAGATGCCAGGGCGGGCAAGAGGGTAGACATCCATAGCGAAGAGACCTGGGAGAACAAGTGGGAGGAGATCACTCTTTTCATTTTTCATTTGTACATAACTGGACACAATCCGGCTGAGATGTTCGCGGCGTCTATCTAACAGTACGCCTTGACAATGAAGAAGGTACCGCTAGCGAAAAAAGACCGCAAGCTCACTCTGAGCACCACTTAATGATCGACTGGTCGTGGAGTAGCGGAACGCAGTGACGATAAGGAAACGGGTGCTTGGGAGAAGAGAAGAAGAAAATTGTGAGGCGTCGAGGGGCTTTTAAAGGGTGCCCGCTAAGCCCCTTTGGGTATCGAGACAACGTGACCTGGGAACTTTTCTCGACCAGAAACACGCGGACTTGTCACCCCATTTTTTTTGCCCACTGTTGGAGATGGCTACAGGTTCCAATGGCGCCAGGCGCATAGTGTCGCTCTTGCGTATGTTTTGTCGAGTATGATTGAATCCAGGTGCGAGGCTAACTCCGTGTGCAGGGCCATCATTAGTCGACTCCGGAGTGTGCAGAAGCTGTCAGCAAACCCTTGGCCGCCGCAACTATGCATCGGCTGCGACCGAGGCAAGCCCTTCGGAGGCTTCGTCAACGGCCGCTCCCCCCGTCTTGAAACCCGTCTACACAATCAATGCCGGGATGGTGCTCTCGCGCGCACCCCTCGTCACCCGCGACCTGGAACCCTTCGAGAAGGCCTACCACTTCTATCAAAAGCGACTAAACGAGCGCCTGACCCTTCCATTTACCAAATACTTTTATTTCAAGCGGGGCACGCCGGCCGACGCGGACTGGAAGAACAAGATTCGGGAGCGCCGGACCCCGGCGCGCGACATCGGCCATTACGACCCGTACGGCCCCGAGGCATGGAACGACGAGCTCCTGGTCGGATCTCGGGAGTCCGACCCCGAATATCAGGCCGAGATGCTGGTGCAGGATGCCGAGTCTACCGCCAACAACACGTCGCAAGACACCAGCAAACGGGAGGAGATCCCGCGACCGTTCCCGCGGGTGACGGAGGCAGACAAGAAGGGTGACCACCACAGCCTGAACCGGCTGCTGCCCAGGACTTTGTATCTTCTGGTGCAGTCGAACGAGGGGTACTGGAAGTTTCCCAGCTCGCCGGTGGAGAAAGACGAGAGCCTTCGTGGGGTGAGTTTTTTTTTTTTTTTTTCCCTGATAGATATGACTATCAATTCTGCTCAAACTAACCTTGCTTCCTGCTAGGCCGCTGAACGCACCCTTGTCCAGTCCGCCGGTATCAACATGAACACCTGGACCGTCGGCTATCACCCCGTTGGACACCACGTTTATGACTTCCGACACCCCCGGCCCGGCCAGGCCACCGGCACTACGCTTCACGGCGAAAAGACCTTTTTCATGAAGGGCCGTATCATGACCGGACAGGCTAATCTGTCGGCCAACATGCAGAACCTCAAGGACTTCAAGTGGCTGGCCAAGGAAGAAATCCCGCAATATGTGCTGCCGCAGTACTTCAGCAATGTCAAGAACATGCTGTCCGACCGGTAAGCACTGGCGGAGATTAGTGTAGAAGGCTTTTTGTCTTTGAGAAGGAATCCTGCGATGCCCGAGGAGAGGTGAGAGGTGAAAGGGAACGACTCGAGCTTGTTCCAGCGTTCTTGGCGATGCGTTGCATATACTTTTATCGCGTCTGCCATGTATAACTAGGTCTTTTCTTTTTGTACTGCCAACCCAAGTTTCTTTTCTTTCATTGCACATCGAAGAACCCACGTTCATGCAACTCCAAACACCGCGCCATGTAAACAAAGCCACCGAAGCAAGCCTCCAAGTCCAATAGATTCACTATTTCATACTGGTTTTCTGTCCTTGGACAATGGGCTGGTCCTTGGATGACTTGGCCACCAGACTCTTCCCGCACATAGGACAAGCTGGCATGGAATCAGCAACAGTCAGACAACCATATCCATAGATCAGGTAGCCCGAATGAATATAAAAGGATATCGACACAAATAAGAGAAACAAAAACATACCATTCCTCTGATACGCACACCGTTGACAAAACTTCTTCCCCTGCTCCGTCTTGGTCCTGCACGACTCGCACGACGAGGCATACGCCGCGTACGGGTTCTTGGCTTTGGAGCTGAGGAGTTTGTTCTGTGGGTAGCATATTAGCGTTAAAAAAAAAAAATAACAAGATGGATATCCTCGCTATATCAATAACATACCTTACTAACTCCCGTCGTCCCCAGCGTCGCCTTCCCCTTAGCCTTGGAATCCGCCGCAGCGCCACCCAGCGTCGTCGACGGCGAGCCGTAGTACATGTCGGTTTTGCGCTTGACGCCGGGGGTGGCCAGCTCGGTGGATTTGAGCTTTTTCTGGCATTTGGAGCAGACCATTTTCAACAAACAAACAAAAGTAGAAGAGAAAAACGCACTGTGCAAGCTCAATGAAGCAGAGGTGTGTAAGAGGTTGCGGGTGTTGACGTTGGAGCAATGATGTTATCGGCCACCGCCTGGAAAGTGCCAAGACACACTGTTGATATACAGTGGGAGTACATAATACTGGTGATTTCTGTGTCTGTATCAAATATTGAATATAGGAGATGATGTTAGAATTGACATGTTACTTTCTTGGAAAAGTCGAGTTGCTGAATTATGTGCACTTGCATCAATGGTAGAATCAAGGAATTAGATCTGTAGCCCTACATGAGCAACTTACTCTCATAAGTCGTTGCTCTCGCATCTTTCAATTGGGGGTATCAGATAATAATCCAGTGCGCTAAACAATAGACAGGGAGAAATATCACGCTGGCAAGTAAAGACAAGAATGGTATCGAGAGAGAACTTGGCTTCTCAAAGACAGTTTAAAAAAGACACAATCACATCAGGCTCACGGTAAATATCATAACAATCGTTCGAATAACATATAACAAACCAAGGGGGTTAAAACAGAGCCATAACCATGCAAACTAACCGGCACCAACATGAAGCGTAGATCCACGCCAGGACTCCTCCCACAGCGAGACGAGGCATTAATCTCCAATAGCTAATTTCTCTTCAAGTTCTCATTGAGGGCCTGCTGGAGAGGGTTGCTGCTGGGGAGGATAGGCTTGTTGTTGCTGAGGATAAGCTTGCTGCTGCGGCACAGGATAAGTCGGCTGTTGCTGCGGATACGCCTGCTGCCCCTGCGGCGCATATGTAGTTTGCGCATGCGGTTGCTGATACGGCTGGTAGGGCGCGGACCCATACGGGAACTGCTGGAACTGAGCCGCCGGTGCTACCGGCTGAGGCTGCTGCAGTGGCTTATCAAGCTCATCGCCCAGCTTGCGCCAGTTCGAGCAGCAGAAAAGAACAGCGACAAACATGGCGACGTTGAAGAAGAACTCGACCACGGACCTGGCGGTCGTGGTGTAGCGCGGCATGAGGTGGCGCGTATCCAGAATGTAGCGGATGGCGATGACGATGTACATGAGGTTCAGGGCGAACCAGAAGATGCAGCCGACGATAAAGGCCAAGACGGGCATCTGTATTATAAGAATGAGTCAGCGGGTTGTTGCAACAAGACAGAACAGAGCAGAACAGAAAATCAATCTGCAATATTCGACATTCCATAATTTGCTTACCTTGGACTGGAATCGATGACTGCCCGCTTTGACAATCACAAAGATGGACCAGGCCAGTATCTCCAACGAGAACAGCCAGAAGATGATGAAGCGTGCAGCATCCAGCCTGGTATAGTGGTATACCAGACCAATGCTGTAGCCGTCCTGGACATCCCGCACTCGGAACGCGACATACAGCCCCCATTCGGCAATTGAGAGAAGGACAGTTAGACCCAGAAGAGCCCAGTGGACGATGTTCACCGCAGCATAAGGCCGACCCGAGTCCGTAAGACGCTCCAGGAAGCGATGGACAAGGCTCCAGAACACATAGAAGGTGAGACAGAATGAAACCATAGAGAAAAACATGTCGAGGAACGAGACGATGACATGGTACTGTTTCACGTGTGCATCGGCGAAGTAGAAGATCGGATAGATGAGGTTCATGATTTCGGTCCTATCGTAGGCTGTTAGCTTTGTCGTCTCCGCATCCTGGATACTCTTTCGGTGCTTACAGAAGCGAAAAGAAAAGCGCGAGAAGGAGTCCCTTCCGCGGTACTCGGTTGCTGCGCAGTAGACACGCCCAGACAAGAAAGACGAGGAACGCGATCAAGCTGAGCACATAGAACACAAACTCGGCGATGAGGAGCGACTTTTGTGAGGCCCATGCGTATCTCAGAGAAAAATAGACCTCGTCATCCCAGGGCGAGTCCGAGTCATAGCCGCCAAAGGAAAAGCTAGATCCTCCTCGTCGAGGCGCCATGGTCGGCCACTGAATATCAAAGTAGGGCTAGCGAGAATGGTCGAGTAGGTTCTTTGGCTGGCACACAATCCAGTCAGAAAAGCAAAAGTTTTTTTCCCCAACTCCATTGCTGCTGTCTGAGATTTTAAACAAACCCCCTCCGGAAACGAGGAAATGAGGCTTGTTCAGAATACGAGGCCAAGCCCTAAGGATAGCAACTAGGAATCACTGCCATTCGCCGGGGTGGGGCAGACTTGGGTATGAACAGCCTCCAAGTGCGAGCTTAGTGTGTTGATGGACTTTTAGCTCGGATTTGGACCCTGTTGTGACCCTGTTTTGACTGTGCTTCACCCCGATCGATCTACACCCATCGTTCTTCCTTGGGGCGTTGTGGATGATTTTCAGTCATGTTCAGGGGAGGTTTTCTTTCTTCTTCCCCAAGCAATAAAGGCAGCGCGTAACCAACCCTAAAAGGAGTTTTTGTCCGCTGGAGAAGTAGGGAGAGTAGGGATTGTGAGACTAGCTCTGCGTGGCGATCTTGGCCAGCGCATCGCAAGTAAGCGAGGTGCTCAGACCGCGTCTATAATAAGAAAGCGTAAGAAATAAGAAATAAGAGATCCAGATCGCGTGTGGGGAGATCTGAAAAAGAAGAACTGTGCCACGGCATCCCCGAGACGGTAAAAAAGACAGCAAAAAATCCATACTTTCTGCTTCATTCAGCATGAACTCTTCACCTGTTCACCGACTCTGAATTGCCCCGTTAAGCCTCGTGCAGAGCAAATCCTGTGGCTGAGCCGCGCCACTGATAAGAGCTGCCACAAGCCGAACAGGTCGTGTTGTCGACCTCGACGATCTTGGGTGGATTCATTCAGAGGGCACTAGAGCATCGTGCCGTGTGGGCTTCGCTGGATCTATCAGCCACAACACCTCGGTATCGGAGAAAAAGAAAGAAAACAAAAGAAGAGAATCCTCCAAAGACGCATTGCATGGGCTGCCTGCTCATGGCGTCGCACGGGGTAGATTGCAGCAGAATCAAATCCCCCGATTCGAAGCATCCTTCAGCTCTGATGTTGTCCGGTTGAGCTTTGAGTGTTGCCTTCTTTTGCCTTTTTCCCCCTTCTATCCACAGCTCTCTCCTAATCCAACGTGATGGATCTCCCTCGATGCATGATGACCCGCCACTTGCAAACTGGCCCGCAGTCGAATGTGTCGAAGCGAAGCACGTCCTCTCTGGAGGCGACTCCAAAGGAATCAAGAGCCCCAATGACTGAGCTTCTCTCAGCTTCTGTCGAGTCTGCCAGCTCGGGTGAATGACCCCAGGGCTCTGGTTCGACGACAGGGTCACCCAGCGGGCCTTGCGCCAGATAGCTCATCCCCTGGAACGATTCAGGGGGGCAACAATCGCATCCATGAGATATAAATAGGTGCTGTCGATGCGAATTTGATTCTCCTTTATGAGACCTTTCTTTTTTTTGGTTATTCCTGAGGGATCAACAAAGCCTTGGATTAATTGTGAGCGAACATCGAACATCTTCAGTGTGTCCGGCACATCCCGCATTCGGCGCATCCGCTTAACCCGCTCGACAACTACATCATAACGTTCGTTACCTTCGGAGGTCCTGTGTTCCTGTTGCAACATTCATGATTTCTTGAAGTTCCTCGAAGGTGTTCTTATCTCCCGAATCCAATGCTGTGATCCTCGGGTCTCGACCGATCTGCCGTGATCTACAGAGATCCTTCCATTGCAGCCATACGAGTGATCCAAGACCACGCCTCACTTTGACAAGAGGGATTGGTCTCTATTTTTAGTTCGGGATATAGGGGATATAGGAAAAGATACGAAAAAAAAAAAAAAAAAAAAAAAAAAAAAAAACAGAGACTGCACAGAAAGAAATGCCGCCCGATGGCTCATCATTCACGGTCCTCAATCTCCCGCCGACCTTCACCCTGCCACGATGCATGGAATATTTCACTCTGACCGCGGGCCCGAATACTGATCTCTGGCGCAAGCCACCCAACGGTGACACGTCCACCGCGCCCATCGTCTTCACCTCCCTCCGGACGCCCTTTGTGATCGCCGAAGTAACCGTCAGCGCAGACTGGGAGATGGAATGGGACCAAGGCGGACTAGTGATCTTTGCTGGCGCCGCACCACAGTCCTTTTCTTCTTCTGAGACGTCGACGCCGACGCCGACGCTGCGACGAGCAGGCTCGGCGACATCCGCCTCGCCCTGCAAGTGGGTCAAAGCCGGCATAGAGTTCTCGTCGGGAACCGTCAACGCATCCTCGGTGAGCGCAACAGCCGACGGCGCCGACTGGTGTCTATCGCCATTGGTGCCAACGCAGCCGCAGCCGCAGCTCTCCGGGGGTAGTGGCGGCCCGCCGATCCAGTCGCTGCGGATTAAGTTCGAGCGCATCGGGCATGCGCTCTGGATCTGGTACCAGGCACCATCTGCTTCACCGTATGCGCGCTCGCCGGGCGCGGTGGGCAGTACGTGGAAGAAGCTGCGCGAGGTGACGTGGTTCTTCTATGGCGTTGAGAATAAGTTTGTGCATGTTGGGGTTTACGCCAGTCGGCCAACGAATATCGAGCGCGGGGCTACGATGTGGGATGCTATGCATGGGCTGACGCTTGATCCTTCGTCTGCTACGGGGCCGGCTGATGGGTTGGTGGTGGAGTTTGAAGATTTGGAGATTTTCTAGTTTTCCTTCTTTTTTTTTTTTATTTGTCCCCCTCCTTCTCTTTGCTTTTGTCACTTTCTTGGACTTGGTATAAATTGCCTCTGTTTCTCTGTTTCTGTGTACATCCACTTTCTGTTCTCCCCTTTGATATCCATTCCCGGCGTTGACGAGCGAGTACTCTGGCATGTATGGAGTCGAACAGGTTGGTTTAATGGATACAATGTTATTCGAGCTGAACATGTCCATATACTGACCACCTGGACATCCCCAGGCTCGGTGTCAACCAGCCCAACCAGCTGAGTCAGCCCGAGGTCCCCCGAGCTGCGAATTCTGCATGCGGACAGGGGAAGCTACGCAGCGAACCCTCCAACGGTTGTAGTCGAATTTGAGGAGGGGGATCGATAGAATCGGGGGTGGAGGTTCTTCCAGTGAAGCATTGGCTGTCAATGGGTGGTTGTTGTTGCCCGGTGTCCCGGGCAAAGGCTCGTCTTGTCTGGGAGGCAGATTGGATCACATCCGGGGCAACGATCAAAACAAGCAAAGCAAGTTCAGCTGTCTGTGGATTAGTGGATAAGAGCTCTAGAATCCAGCTGGTCTAGTGAGCTACAGCTCTGATGGACAGCCCAGGTAGCTAGCTCTAGCTCGGTTTGACTGTATTCCTGTCCCCCCATGGGGAAGAAGCAGAGTTTTCTAGGGATACAATTGATCGGGTTTACAGAATACGACCAGTCTCAACACACAGAGTTTTGGTTTGGCTCTTTGGAAAGTTGGGGGATGGTGTGGCCATCTAAGACTCTATATGTACAGAAATGGTAGGAGAGACAAACAAAGAAAAGAGGTGTGTTTGTGTGTAGGAGATGGAGGGAGAAGACGCTTGAAAGTAGTACATGGTAATACATCACGACCCAAAGATCCTCCCCGGCAAAAAACCGCGTGGGTTTTTATATCAGGCAGCCGATAATAATAACACGCTCGTCTCGCTTAGACGTACTTGCACATCATGGCAACCATGAGGTCGAACAGACCCATGGCCTCGACGAAAGCGAAACCCAGAATGGCGTAGGAGAAGAGCTGGCCACGGAGGGCAGGGTTGCGGGACACACTGACGAGCAGAGCAGCGAAGACGAGACCGATACCGATACCGGCACCACCGAGACCGATGGCGGCCGAACCCATACCCAGGTTCTTGGAGACCTCGACCATGGCGGTGGCGACCTCAGACGAGTACTGGCGGCGGGCGGCGTGCTGGAAGGCCTGACGGGCGTTGGCCTGGAAGAGGGTGGGCGACTGGACGCGCTTGGGGGCAGCGAAGGTGGTGACGGGGGCCTTCTTCTGCGAGGTGAAGGTGCGCTTGGCGGCAGCGTTCAGCTGGAAACGGCCGGCCGGGCGAGCGACCTTGGAGGTCTGGGCCATGGCGGTAGCCAGGCGAGAAGCGAAGACACGCGAGGTGGCCATTGTGATTGTTTTTTTGGGAGGGGAGGTTTAGATGGGAGGGGGGAGGTAGAAAAAGAGAGGAGAGTGAAGGAGGAACTTTTCAAGGAGAAAAAGCTGGGAAACTACGGAAGAAGGCCCTACGCTGGCATAAATACTCCACGGCCAAATTTTCGCCCGGCCGCCTCCTAATCAATGCTAGTGCGTCAAAAAAAAGCCCTACTTTGTGCGAGACCCCGGGAGTATTTCACTTTTGGTTATAAGGAATGCTGCGTATGGGGTTTTTTTTCCATTTTTTACAAGTAATTCCATGACTGCTCGGGTTTCATCGGGGGGAATGGATCCACCCGGTCAAGTTATATATACTTATCCCCTGCGTGGCGTGCGTGAGAAGCGTCCCATTCTATACTTCGATTGATATAGGAAGAATACCCTGGCCCTCCCTCACATTAATCTGAGTTGTGATAATAAAAACAAGGGCAAGGAGAGAGAAGCTACTCTCTATTGTTTCATTACTATTATTATGATTTTCTTCTTATTGTATGTATTTTTCTCCCTTCCCTGCAGTGGATCTTAAAGCATGTTCCCACCCGGTGGATCGGGTGGATTGATCCACAGACTCTTCTCCAATTATAATCCTGGTACGCCCTCCTAATCCCAAGTTTTGTTTCTGGATTAATTCCCGGTGTTGCCCAAACCGGGCCGAGTCGGATTCCAGGTCCACCAACTACAGAGTTACTGGGCAACAGGGACGAGTCGGCTGAAAGGGGAGTCCACCCAGTGGATAGGACTAACCTCGGAAACACACCTCACCGAATGGTCTAATTGGGAATACGTTATTTTGGACCCAGTCGGAATCGGGTCCCGGGACTCATCTTCGCCGTGTTTCTGTATATGCTTGCTGCGAGAGAACCGCAGGAACATGCAGGAGTAGCATGTTTATATAGACCGCATAGCAAAGAGATCCCAAAAGGAAAAGAAAAAAAAAAGGGGTGAGCCTTTTCTTTTGCTTTTCTTTTTCTCTCCTTTGTTTTCCCAAGAAAAGGGCTATTGTGTCCTCGCTTCCCTCGGCCCACTCTGGGATTCCCGACCCGCCAGAACCCGATCCCTCGCAATCCCACCGGGTCGCCCCATGAAACCACGAATCCGCTCAAAAAGTGGCTGACGAGCTGTAGCGCAGTTTGTTATGACCAAGAAGTTCCCCGGGAACCAGAGGTGTTTATATACCCGCACCACCACTTCCAAAATTTGCAGCATTCCACCGTAGATATTCTTTTTTTTTAACAGGGATGATCACAGCGGCTCTGCTCATTCCTCCGATGGGCAAATCATCTGCGACTCGGCTGATCACAGCCAACGAGCTTGGCAGACCCACACAAGCTCAATTCAGGGTTGCGCCTGAGAGCCCGTTATGCGAGATAACCCCTGCGTGAACCGTGATCGGCCGATGTTGCATGTTGGCCATTCGGTGGTTTACTGGACTCGACAAGAGATTCTGATGGCTATGGCTTGGGCACTGTAAGATGCAGTGTTTTCTGAAGCTGTCCAGCTGATTTCAACTGTCTTGATGGTTGCCATCCACAGGGGGCGGTGGATCAGAAGAAAAAAAAAAAAGAAAAAGGGGGAGACAGTCTCGGGTGTTTTAGGGTACTTGTAATCTTACATACCGTACAGTACAGGTGGACTTTGCGACTCATCGAGTCATCATCGACCTTGCGCCGTGAGGTCATGCGAAAGGCCAGCTGGCCATACCCATGAGACAAATCCAGTGCCCGGTTGGCCCAGAATGACAGATGTATATGAATAGGGGAAGCATTAAAGAGCTGCTATCCATGTCCACATACTCACGTATACATACTCATGCCTATCCAAAAGACACACATCACGACACTCAGCACCACATCGCTCCCTCCGAATGCGGACCCCTGGCAGAGAGTCGGTGACTGGAATCCACTCGATGGGGCATGCCGTGGACCCGGATTATACAGTAACGAGGCCCCAGTACATACAGGCGATGTATCGACTACGGTGTATCGGTACTTGGGGTTGAGATCTGTACAGCTGGTGAATCGACAGCTGGATTGGTGACCAGACCGCTTCAAGCAGTACTGTAAACACTGTTATCTGTAGAAGCCTATGAGGACAATTGGTCTTTGGGGCGAGCTTTTCTCCTTAGGATCATGTCGATTACTGCTATGGAGGGTAGCCGCGATATGCGCCGGACATGTTGCCACCCAGACATAATTGGTAGGCAGAGAGATGGATATGTTCTTGCAACGGCATCCCTCGTTATGGCCTTATTTGCTGCGGGAGTGTTCAGTGTCTAGCCCCCAGTCCACCAGCTTCTATCCTAATCTCACATCACTCGGGCATGGTTAGTCCTCGAAATCTAGAGTGTAGCTTTCCCCAGGTCTTTCGACAGAGAGATCCACTTTGTGCAAAACCCAACGGGCAGAGCTTGCTGTCTTTGTGGCTCGGGGTGTGTTGGTTTTTCGTCTGAACCGATATACACATACAAATGTGGAGTGAAACAAAACCACAATAACAGGGTTAAATGACCTAGAAACTATTATTCTTTCGATTTGTGACAAACCCGTATAGGCAAGCTCAATCTATACTTCGGCTTTATTCGTGCCGTCTTTCTTTTCCAGCGGCAGTGCCAGGGACTGCTCCACCTCTGGTTATGGTCCAAGTTTCGTCTGTGGCAGGTTGACGGTAAGAATTTCATAAACAAACAATGTCTACCAGAGGTTTCAAGCCTGTATGTTATGTGTTGTCATGTCCAGTGTGAGAGGCTGCTCAGGTAGTTTCGAAGGACTGTTCCAAAATTGCGGCAGATGGTGGTTGAGTGAGGCTCAATTTCTTTAGTAGTTCGTTCTTGGGGGTTTCCAGGCAAAGAAATGCTAGAATTCGAGGCACTATTTCGTGAATGATTCATAACTCGGCAATGTTGTCACTGCCAAGAATCACCATGATCGACGTTCTTCAAAGGCATAACGTAGATTGTTTTTTCACTGCTCTACCTTTACCACCGATCCAATTCGTTCTCACGCTGTGAATTGAAGTCTAATATTTCTAGTCCTCACGAATCCCGCCCCTTCTGAGCAGTGAAAATATAGTTAATGTGCTTAGCCGTTCATTCATCCCATGTCGAAGCAAATAATGATTCATTCCTAAATATCTTGGCATCAGCCCCTAAGCATCTAATGTGTTTAGCAACATCTTGATCTATATCCCTTGTCTGCCTATTTTTCTGCAGCGTTCTGACTCGGCTGGTGAAAGTGACTTGATTCCTCTTGCTACTAATTCTGGCTTTGGTGATCCCAAGACTAAGTTGTGTGGGAAGGTGACCTATGGTGGTGTTTTGCACGACAGGTTTGGACTGCCAGTATGTAATGATTCGCGCGGGCAGTTTGTTCAGAATCTTCTGGATGGGCTACGGTTAGATGTCAAGGCTGCGTTCGAGCTTAATGCTCAGTGAGGATAGGAATGACACCGTTGAGGTGTATAATCAAAGCTCGATTGACTATATCGCAGAAATAATCTCCAATGCCTCTCAGTCTATCCCAGGCACCACTCATGTGTTGTACTTGTACTTCTCCTCTCGTTCCTGCAACAGTCAGAATATCTTCTTCCCCCAGTTTACCCAAGGGACACTCACCCAATACTTGTTAAATCCCACACCCTCACAGACCTCATCATATGACAAGATCATCGGCGGCGCTCCCACAGTCATACTCTTCTTCAGCCCATCCAACGCCTCCCGAATACTCTTCAGATGAGCCGCAACCAACGTCCAGGGATACGCGACGGCACTGTACCCGAGCTCGGCGAGATCCTTGGCCGACAAGTTCTCCGTCTTCCCGCCCTCAATGATATTGGCAAAGACCGGGATGCCGACCTCCTCTGCGCACCGCTTCATGGCGTCGCGGTCAGGCAGCGCCTCAACAAAGATGGCATCCACGCCAATGCGCTTGAACTCTTGGGCGCGGGCCATAGCTTCCTCCCAGCCAAGGATCAGGGAGTCGGTCCGCGCGAGGATGAAGATGTCTCGTCCTTCGTTGCGGGCATCGCATGCTGCCTGGATGCGGGCGAAGGCTTCCTCGCGCGAGACCACGCCTTTTCCTTTGGTGTGACCGCAGCCTGTACGCGCATAAACACGGAGTTTTGCAATTAGCCTTATTACTTTTAACTTCTGACAAGGAAAAGTCACATCTTACGTTTCGGCCACTGCTGATCCTCGATCATAACGCCCGCTGCCCCAGCAGCAGCAAAGCTCTCCACAGTCCGTTTCACATTCATCGGACTCCCATACCCCGTATCGCCGTCCGCCATGATGGGCACCGAAACCTGCCGGAACGTCTCCTGGATCTTATCGCACATCTCTGCCATCGCAATGTACCCAGTGTCTGGCAGACCGTACGAACTGGACACAGCGTACCCGGCCAGGAAGACCATCGGAAAACCGGCCTCTTCGACAAGTCGTGACGAGAGACCGTCATACGTGCAGGCATGAGCGAGGATCTTGGCGGGATCCTTGTGTGCTTCCAGCATCAGCGTGCGGAGACGCGATGCCTGCAATGAGGGGATTCGCCCGCGAACATCCTGGAGCCAGAGATTGACGTTTGTGAGGTTTCCATCTTGCGACTCTGTGCTTGAACTCGCGACAGAAGCAAAGTGGAAAGGGTATGGAACTGAGCTTGTTGACATTTTCACAAAACCAGGTCTGTAAAGTAAAGTGTCTGAACTGAACTGGCTGAAGGTGAGCAAGACCAATTCCTGGGATTTTCAGCGTTTCTTAAAGTGCGTCGCATGCGACATCGGCATCCATCTGCACGTTTCATCACAGTCGCCCACGTATGTCCGTCCGCGGTGGATGGGCGGAAACTGCCAGTTATCCGTTGATCGACGCATTTCCCCACACCTCCCCCCTCTTGGCCCGAATCCATACAGGATCGGCTGCATATGGAAGAATCAGACGAATGGGTTCTTGTCATAAAATCAATGGCAACGATAATCCCGCAGAATACCCGGGGTTTTGCGGGGAATCCCTGCATCCGCAGTATCCACCCCGGCACTGTTAACCCCATGGGGTACCGGAGGTTGTGTTGGTCGGCTGTTCATGGGTCTTCCATTGAATGGCTGCTTGGATTACAAAGTGGTCTTTGCTGAGAAATGGCTTATATTTCAATGAGTTAATCTCCTCTCAGAGATATCCCTTGAAAGATTTGTTTCGACCTTGCCCTAACAAACAATATAACTAGTGCTTCGAATACTCAGTGCTTTTGAACACAACAAGCCATGACAAGCATCAAGGACGAACATCAACCAGTCTGCCAACATGTGGAGGGGGTTGATCCTGAGAAACACCAGCTCCAAGTCGTGGTTCCTGCAACCCGACAAGCTTCAATTCGCCGAAAAGTTTTCCAATGACTTATCCAGTGGTATTATCCAAGCATTCTGACTATTTCTAGTTTGACCGTCGTGTCCTACCTATTGTATGTATTCTCTACATTCTATCATATCTCGACAGAGGTAGGTCAATGTCTTGGGATACCTTTTGTACCCGCAGGCTCATCAACACAGGCAACATCGGCAATGCCAAAACCGCTGGTCTTGACCATGATCTCCACCTCGATGACTACCAGTGGTCTTGGGTCTTGTACTCATTCTACATTTGCTACATCGTCTTCGAGTGGACCACTGTCATGTGGAAGATCCTCCCCGCCCACTTGTACATTGCTTCTCTTTGTATCTGGTAGGTGTAACATCGTACCTCACTTCTGATATCACATCCCAAATAACCGAGCATTTTTACTACAGCTGGGGAGCAGCCGCAATGTGTAGCGGTGCCGTCCGAAACTTCGCCGAGCTGATTGTGTGTCGATCTTTGTTGGGCGGGTTCGAGTCTGTCTTTGGTTGCGGCGCACCCTATTTCCTCTCTCTGTTCTATCAACGACAAGAGCTGGGGTTCCGTATCTCTGTCCTGATGGGCATGTCTCCGGTTGCCAACTGCTTTGCTTCCGCTCTTGCCTATGGCGTTACCCACATCAAAGGATCTCTCGAGCCATGGAGGTATCTGTTCATCATCGGTGAGTATCTCGCATAATTCTTTCCTTTTCCCTTTCCTTCACCGGTATGAATATACTGACCAAATCCAGAGGGCGCACCCACTGTAATCTTCTCAGTGGTTGTCTTTTTCTTCCTCCCCGACTCCCCAGGCACAGCATGGTTCCTCAATGAATCCGAGCAAACAGAAGCCGTGGAGCGTCTCCAGACAGTCGACAGAACAGCCAAGAACCGACTACAATGGGATCAGGTTCTCAGCGGGCTATCCGACTACAAGAACTACGTCCACATGACCACCCATTTCTGCTGCAACTACTCCTTCTCCGGCCTCTCCAACTTCCTCCCTTCCATCCTGGAGGCAATGGGCTACACCTCGATCAACGCCCAGGGTCTAGCAGCACCACCCTACTTCGCCTCGTTTCTGTGCTGCATGGCGGCTGCCGTCATGTCAGACAAGTGGGGCAACCGCGGCTTTGTACTAACATTCTTCGCACTCATGGGCGCGATCGGATACCTGATCCTTACATGCGTGCAGGACGAAGCCAAGACGGCGGCGCGGTATGCCGGCGTGTGGCTTGCGACGTGCGGCGTCTTTCCGGCGCTGGCGCTGAACGTGACCTGGTTGTTGAATAACCAGGGAGGCGAAAGTAAAAAGGGCGCGGGCATGGCCATTCTTGCGATCTTTGGGCAGTGCTCTAGCTTGATCAGTAGCTCCGTGTTTCCGGATACTGATGCTCCACTGTACACCAAGGGTTGTGCTATTGGATGTGCTCTGACGGGGTTGGTTGCGGTGCTGGCCATGGGGTTGCATATTAGTTTGTCGATGGAGAATCACAGACGGGATCGTTGCTATGGTACTGTGAGTAAGGACCACATTGTTGATGTGACTGAGGGAGGGGATCGGCATCCCAATTTCCGGTATCTTACTTGATGTGGATGACCAGAGGTAGTCTAGCTGCGTATAGCATGGATTCTTTTAATATACATCTAACCTGTTAGTACGTTTCTTCTAGTATTAACAGTACTCCTGATGGAGTATGTCGACCGAGGTATAGATGGTCAACTGGAGGCGCGGCTATTTCGCTCTTCCCGCTCCCCGCAGCTCTCCCGCTTGCACTGCGCCGAGTCCAAGTACCACCAGCTCAATGGAAAGACGAGCAAAAAGACCCCCGAGAGGCAGAGCAGCTCTGGAATATGAGTACCAAAGAGCCTACAAGGCATGTACGCCCTGCGCCCGGCGGAAGGTGAAGTGCGAGCCGGGCGACAGTGGAAAATGTCTGAGATGCAACAAAAAGAGGATCGATTGCACCTTCAACCAAAGGAGACCTTGGTCCAGAGCCCAAAAAGGTAAGCAATTGGCTGGGGATATCGACACGGTGAAAATGACTTATCTATTTCAGATGCACCAGAGATAAGCGAGGAGCAAAGACCAGTGGCAGATGGAATGAACAGACAGAAAACAGCCCATGAGGAACGTGGGTTACGTTCAGCAATTGATGCAGATGAGTCTCAAGGAGAGCATTTACCTCAGACCGAGTCTCACCAAGATGGCCTATCCACGTCGGTCCTGCAGAAAGTGATCTCGAACAACAAGGATGCCATGAACATCCTCTTCGAGGCCGCCCTCCAAGAAGAATCCAATGAGGCTGGCCGCCAGGAGGAGAGACCGAATCCGCGCGATATCTCTTCTGCTCCGTCCACAATCCGAGAAGTCACCGAACCGGACGTGCTGCGGATCTGGAATGCCTGTCGCTTTGTGAAAATGGGATGGTTCTCTGCCCACGAGGCGATGGTCCTGGTCGACCTGTAAGTGGTCATGCGCTCTTGAGAGAGCTTCATCTTTTCGGGACTAACTGGATTAGCTTTTTCGCCAATATGAATCCCCTTTCTCCCATTCTAACAGACTTCTTCGCCTCCCACACCAGCCAATTCTTTCTTGTCACCCAAGAACCAATGCTCTGCTGCACCATCCTGATGATCTCCTCGCGATATCACACGCTTCCCGGAGCTGGAGGGTGCTCCCGCGCATTTTTTATTCATAACAGGCTGTGGCAGCATTGTCAGCACCTCCTATTGAGACTCATGCTTGGCCAGGAAAAGATATCCAAGGCAAAGACTCGAAACATTGGGAGTATCGAAGCTCTACTGTTGATGGCTGAATGGCATCCACGGGCCCTGCAGTTTCCTCCGGACACAGATGGCTGGGATTCAGACTTTATCTTGACGAACCCAGATGGCCGGGATCCGCCATCGCGGACAGAGGAGATGCCGGTCTCGGATCGGTGGAGAGAGGATGTGGTCGAGCCCACGAAGCGATTCGAACGCATGTCCTGGATGGCTCTCAACTCCGCTTTGGCCCTCGCACACGAACTGGGCGTGTTTGATCTCGGTCTCTGGCTGGAAAAACAGGATGATTCGATGGGAGCCGATGCTGAAATGTATGTGGAGCATTTGGAAAGGCGGCGTGAACGAATCCCAAGCCTGCTATTCGTGTTCATTAATGCGTTGTCCTCGCGCATCGGATGCACGTCACCAATGCCTTCGCATGCTAGTCTTGTCTTCCAAGAATTGATAGGGTCATCGCAGTCCGACAACAGCAAGGAATGGTTGCGATTTATGGCTGCATGGATCGAGTTAACGAAGCTGACTACCGCGGTCACGGATAGCTTTAAGTCATTGATCAATTTCGGTTGGCCCTCTGGCATGGCAGATACTGCGTTAGAGATTTTGGAGGGAAGGCAGATCTCACTTGCTAATTGGCGGCAACGAAACCTCCGCAGTACAAGTGAGTATCTCGATCTCCCCCAGCGTTGAATTGGATACTCTGGTATTTTTTAACACATAGCAGGACCCGGATCGACGTTCTCAGATATCCTGTTTATTGAATACCAGAATCTCCGCATTTTGATCAATTCTATAGGAATGCAGCGGATTGTCCAGCGGGTCTTGGTAGAGTTCCCATTTATGAGGGCCTCGACCATCGACTCAACTTTTCTAGAAGAGGCGCGAAAGCTGAACATGACGGGGCGAGAGTATGGCTTTATCGAAGAGGTGATCGATGGCTGCTGCCAAACACTTGAGAAAGCCACTGCTCTCGCCGACACAGGAATCTTGCACTACTCGCCCATGCGATTGTTGTTCCGCACAATCAGCGCCTCAATCTTCCTTCTGAAAGCCCTTGCCCTCGGCGTGCGCAATGGGAAACTACAAGAAGCCCTACAGATCCTCGACCGAGCTATTGCCGCGTTGCAGGATACTGACCAGCACGACGACGTCCACCTGAAAACGCGCTATGCAGACCTGTTAAAGACACAAGTATCTCGTCTGCAGAGGAGTCTCGCGTCTTCGTTCTCTGTAACCTCTGGTCTCAACGAAATGCCTTCGTCTACTTTCTTTCCTGTCTCTAACTACGGCGAGGGTGTCAGTGATTTCACGAGTTCTAATATGAATGATTGGATCGCTTTGCCCTTGGATCCGTCCATGGCCCCGTTCAATTCTTCGGATGGGATTGTCGAGGCCCGGCTCGATGGAATTGGGTTAGACCTTGATTTCCTCTGGCAGTTGCCTCCGTGATGATTGATAGTTTTCAACGCGTTCCATGGGTTGACATAGAACAAAATTTCAGTTGATGGGACCGGCGGCTATCCCACAACGATCCATGGATGATGCCGGGGGGGAGAGTATGATGTTGATATTATCATTGCATTGCGGTTATTATAATCTTCAAACGCCATCCCTTGGCACTTTTTAATATTATTTCTCCTTTCACTACATGCTGTTAATCGAATATGGCGCCCACAACTCGAAGTTCCACGATTGGTAGACGTTCCACATTACGAAGTTGTCCGCACTGGAAAGGCTTCACAATGAAAAGTCCCCAACCACGCAAAAAAGGAGGTACGTGCATACATCCATCCCACAGCTATTGCATTTTCTCAGTAAAAAACTAAATTTATTCGGACGATCAGACCGCCAGAGTCCCACGAGAACATCGAGCAGAGCACAGCGCCAGCACCGTCCTCGATCCGATCAATCGATTTCCCCGTGACCTGTAGAAGTTAGGGCTTTCCTAGATGGACGTAAGGTGATTGAGGTTCGGAATTGGCTGTTTTACGAAAGGCGGGCCGGCACCATTCCACCATAGCTGCCTATTTTGCAGACATTGTTTTTAAGGGCTGGAATCTATACCGACTTGTTGGTTCCCGAGATTATTAGGTTAGGGGTCCTCGTTCTGATACCAAAAGCATTGGTCTCGTTTTGGCTTGCCGTGAAGAAACCGCGCCCATGCATTTCGACAGAAAGGGCTGGTGAATATGGCTATACTTTCCTCTTTTCTTGGGATACTAGGAGTAAATGAGAGACAAAATTCAAATAAATTTGCTGTTGACTGTATTCTCGGAGCTATAGCATGTCTGTTGTAGAAGCTTAAGTAACTTTAATAAGTCAGGGGAAGTAAGGCCCCAGAGGGACAGCACCTAATGAAAATTTATTTCTCTCGACCTTTCTCTGCTAAATAACCAAACACGAAGGAAGCGCCTTTGTTTTTTTTTTTTTTTTTTTTTTTTTTTTTTTCAGAATATTTCACATCCCCCCCCCCCCCCCCCACCTTTAAAACCACGATCCTAAGGCGTGAGCCCCAAGACATTAAGTTCCTATAAGGGAAAAAAAGAAATAGAGTGGGCCTAGATCAATCCAGTTTAATTTCGTCAATTTAAATCAAAGGCTTCTCTGAGCTTCCAGAATAAATCAACCCGCGTGGTGTTGCGCAGGTTCAAGTCCACAGCCATGTGGATAGACACTCGCCGTCTCTTGCTTGGATTCCTGGGCATTACAACAACCCTCGTCTCAGCAAGCCTCACAAGCTGCACGTGGTGAATATATCCTGGGGTAAGTTGTTTTCGGAACACACCTTTTCCCAGCACAATGCTGAGCCAGAGAGATAGGCCGGCCCAAGACCAGGGCAGAAAGAGATATGTTTCTCGACCACTCCAAAGACTCGAGACACTCGCCGCCATCCTTGTTACCTCTGCCGGAAATGATGGATCAAGGGAGGGGGACTTGAGCTCCAAGCCCCCCACATATTTTGGAACCGATGACAACGTACTAATTACCGTTGGCGGCGTGGAAACTGACGGTGACCTGTGGCCGCTCACAACTCCGAAAAAACCTGGCAAACCCGGGTCCATGACCACCTATGCTCTGGCCAAAGGATTTTGGCTCTATAGCAGCAGCGGATCACGGGTGTTTAGCAAGTCAGGAACAAGCTACGGGACCCCGGACGTTGTGAGCACCCACCTCTTCAGAGCATCTTGCCCCGGGTATCATTGATGAATTTGAACTAATATCCCTCCAGTCAGGACTCACAGCCTACTTTGGACGCCATCTATCCACAAGAGGCAGTTTGTGCGAGGTCATGTCTTTGTACAAATGAAGATATTCCTCGTGGACCGTGAGGTATCACCTCAGCGAGTCCGCAGAATCACCCAATCTCAATATCCCGGCTATCCTATCTTGAACAGGCTGCCTGTTGCCTACAACCTGGCTCGAGGGCGCTTTGACTGTGAGTTTGATCTAATCAAGCCCTTATCAGATATTTCCAATTTGGACATTCAAACTGAGTCTCTTTTCCAGGTGTTGCTGCTCAAAAGCGTGGGGAACCTAACCGCGACCAATGTGCTGTTCTTATGCCATCCACGTACGCTGAGCCATTCTAATTCCATAATTTCACGGTGTAAGAAATTCAGACTGACAAATCTCGGGGGTCTTGATCCAGAAGACTGTGACCAGTAGACAAAAGCCTCGGGTTGCATTTATTCTATTTAGCGACACTCCAAATTGGGCGAGGAAAACACCCCTTCTATCCTGTCCTGATTATGAGACCATGAAATAATATCGGTATGGGATTAGAATATCAATATAGAACAATATGCCAAGATATATGCTTTTTCTTTTATTTTCTTTTAAGTAAGCCCATCGCCCATCTATAGATTGGACCCACTGATATTGACACCTAACAGATATGGCTACAAACCTACACATACTACTGGATCAGGCAATCATTGCCCCATACATCATGGATATCTCTGAAAGCCTGCAACTTTTCTTTTCTTTTTTTTTAATCTTTGACAGAGTATCTTAATATACCTATCTAGTTTTTTTTTTTTTTTTTTTTTTTTTTTCTACACTATGAGAGGGACATCCATGGAATGGCTCCTGCTGATTTGCTTTGTTTCTTGGATGGCGTGAGCAGCCAAGCAACTCAGATGAACAAAGCCCCTCAAGAAACCAGGTCTTGGACATTTAACAGAGCTACAAGCCAAGGTGATGTGCAGCGCATGCCTCGGCATCTTTGCTGGGAGATGGAAAAAAAAAAAAAAAAAAAAATTATATAAATGAAAAACAGTGTGTCATGCCATGCCCTGACCCAGACAATGTCGTTCCATGGATCTATAAGGGAATATAGGACCTTCGGCGCTTCCATAATAGCAAGATATTGATATTGCAACCCCTTTGCTTTTATTGCAACCTCTCTAGAAGATCGAATTCCAATTCCAACTCCTGTAACATCACCGCAAGAACTGCAATAAGGATGCATGCTGTACAGAGAGTCGAATCGGTGTGGAGAAAAATGGAGAAAAATGTAGGGAGGACGAGGGGTGATTGGGCGGTTGTTATCAATGCGTTTGGCACTTTTTTCCCCTTAGCGCATCCGCCTTTTTTTTTTTCTTTCTTCTTCCCGCAAGCTCTTCGATGCGATTTTATGTCCTTCTCATGAAAGCCAAGTCAACCCCTGTGTCACCCAGATGAGGAGAGCATCCCGATGTACAGGTTGTACAGACTAATACACCCCCCTTATTATGATTATGATTATGATTATTTTTCTCGAGGGAATCTCTTAGGTTGCAAAGGACGGCGGCAACAGCTTCACCGCATGTTGGACATCAGTGGGGATCGACCGGATAGTGACCCAACCGCAGTTGTTATTGGGCGTCAAGCGTGGTGGATTGACACCATTGAAGCATAGCATGAGTTGGTCACTGTGACAACCTCCCCCGCCCCAGTTTTTTCTTTTCTTTTTTTTTTTCTGCTTTTGAGTTGTACATGGCAGACAGGCCGAGTTGGGCATCTGATCTTTTGTTTTTGGGTGATTTTCTTTTGTTTTCTTGAGTTATTATTATTTCTTGGGTTGCTGGCGGTTTGTTTTAGCTCTCCTCCTCCCCCTCCGCTTTGTACTTTTTTCTTTTCTTTCTTTCTTCCACCTCTCCCGATAATCTATCTCTCTCCCCATCCCATCGAACTGCTCTGTGAGCTTGTATTATTTCTGTTTGGGTGCAGCAAGCTGTACCTTGATAATTCTCCTGCGTTAGTCTGCTTTGCTGGTCAAATTGCAAATACCCTACTTGATCTTGATCGCTTGACTTTCTCCCCCACCGATCTTTCTCTCACGACTGTTACGATTTGACGACCTGCAACGATCATGGCGACGGCAGCTGCAATTCCTAATGGTAGGTCTCTATGCTACTACAATCGATGCCTTTCAAGCACTAACACTACAGCTTCAGTTCCTGATGGGGTGCTGCCCAAGGACCCCGCGGCGGTGGAATCAGGCCATGCGGCGACCAGTCCGATTGCGGCCGATGAGAAGCCAACCGCAGAGGGGAAGCCTGTGACCAACGGACATGCCGCTGTAGTGGAGCCTACGTCCAGCGAGCCTGAAAATGAAAAGTCTTCGGCGGTGGAGCCGGCTACGACCGAGAAGGCCGACGTTGACGAGAAGACGCCTGCGGTGACTGAACCTTCAGAACAAAAAGAGGTCGAGGCCAAGGTGGATGATGACAGCAAGGCTGATCAATCGACCAAACCGAGTCATGTCGAGCAACCGGCTACCGCTGCAACCTCTGACAAGGAGCCTGTGTCGGAAGACAAGCCTGATGACACTCCCGCGGTTGAACAGACATCAGAAGCTGCGCAGGCTCAGAGTACCTCAGCAGCGAACGACCAGCCTGATGCGGCTGTGAAGAGTCCTGAAACCACCACCGACGAGAAGGTTGCGGAGGCTGCCTCGGAAACCAAGGCCACTACAAAAGAGACTCCAGTTGTCGAGGAGACCAAACCTGAAACTGTCGCCGAGACTCAGTCCACAGAGCCAGTGACTGAGTCAAAACCGGTCGAATCTCCCAAGGAAGATGCCGAGGAAAAGACGCCTCTTGCGGAAGAAACCACCACGCCGGAGCCTGTGGCTGAGCCGACTGCCGAAGAATCGAAGCCCGTCGAAGAGGCCGCTGAGGTCGAAAAGCCATCGACCGAGGAGCCTGCGGGTGCGGAGAAGCCCGTGACTGAATCGACTACCGAGGAATCGAAGCCTGTCGAGGATGCCCCCGAGGCCGAAAAGGAATCCACCGAGGAGCCAGCTCAGGAGTCCACCACAGAGGCGTCAGCCGAGATTAGCTCGAAGTTTGTCGAAGAGCCTACTGCAGAGGAATCTACCAAGGAGCCCGTGGCTGAGGAAATCGCCACTGAGACTACCGAGGAGAAGGCTGAGCCTACGAAAGAGGCGGTGGCAGAGGAGCCCACCAAGGAACCAGTCACTGAGGAGCATGCTGCTGAGTCTACCGAAGAGCCTGTCCAAGAACCTACCACCGAGGTGTCAAATGAAGCCAGCTCGAAGGCTGTTGAGGAGCCTGCTGCAGAGGAATCTGCTAAGGAATCAGTGCCTGAAGAGCCGGTTGCTGAAACCACCGAGGAAAAGACAGAGCCTACAAAGGAAGTAGTGGAAGAAGCGCCTGCCCAAGAGCCTACTACGGAGGCATTCAAAGAGGCTGTCGCCGAGTCCGCCGAGGGGTCTACCCCGGAGGAAGCAGTCGAGACCAGCAAGGATCTCACCGAGGAGCCCGCTGCGGAAGACTCGACCCAAGAACCGACAGCTGTTGAGGCATCCAAGCCAGAGGAAACGACTCCCGAGGCTACACCAAAGTCCGTCCCCGAAGAGAAGGTTTCGGAAGACCCAGCCAAGGAGTCTCCTGCTGAGCAATCAACCACCGAGGAAGTGACCACCCAGCCTGCAGATGAGCCTACGGTTGAAGAACCCGCGGAAAAACAGGCCGCCGAAACTTCCAAGGATGCCGTCGAGGAACCCTCCCAAGAGTCTGTCGCTGAAACGCCCGCCGAAGCACCTGCACCTGTGGTCACCGAAAAACCTGCCGTCGAGGAGACACCTGCCGTCGAGGAACCCTCCAAAGAGACCGTTGGTGAAGAACCCGTGGATGAAGTTGCAGCTGAAGAGGCGACCCCCGAAACTGCGGAGGAGAAACCCGCTGTTGAAATGTCCGCCGCTGAAGAAGCCAAACCTGAAGCCACCGAGGAGAAGCCTGCCGTCGAGGAATCCTCTCAGGAGACTGTCGGTGAAGATTCTACCCAAGCGCCAGCCGCAGAGGTAGCTCCCACTGAAGAGCCAACACCTGAAACCGTCGAGGAGAAGCCAGCAGCTGAGGAGGCTACGTCTGAAGAGGTGACTCCAAAAACCACCGAGGAGAAGCCTGCCGTTGAGGAGCCTACAGTTGATGAGGCTCATACCGTGGAGGACGGCGCCCAGGAGTCCGCTAAGGCCGAGACTGCCTCAGAGGTTGTCGTCGAGGCGCCTACCGAGGAATCTAGTGGTGAAGAGTCTGCTGAAAATGGAATTCCCAAAAATTCTACCACTGAGTCCCCTGCTCAGCCCGAGGCTTCTGAAGTTGCAGCTTCTGAGGCCATTGTCCCAAGCACCGAAAACAGCGCGCCGGCTGTCCCTGAACCCACGGAACAGCCAGTTGCCGAAGAGGCTGTACCTACTGAGCTCGCTAAGGATGTCGTCCCTGATGCGTCCTCGGAAACAGCCAAGGCCGAAGAGGCGACTGAGCCAGCTCAAGCGTCTTCCTCACAGAACCCCACCGAAGCTTCGACTACAGAAAATTCTGTTCCCGCAGCCACTGAGCCCTCTGCTGACGCCTCTGCTGTGAGTGAGACACCTGCCACGGAGCCAAACAAGGAGGTCAATGCTGAGGAGACCGACGAGACTTCCACCGAGAAGCCCGCCGTGACCGAGGAGCCTTCTAAAGAGCCGGCAACGGAGGTGCCCACGGAAGAGAAGCAACCCGAGGTTCAACCGGTAGCTGAAGAGCCTGCTGCAGACCAGTCAGTCCCATCTGCTGAAGAACCGGCTACTCAAGAGCCTGATTATCCGGCCGCAGACGAAAAGACTGAGCAGGCTGCCGTGACTGAATCCACTTCCGAGGACCCTGCTGCTGCTGAAACCGCCCCCGTCTTGGACGAGAGCAAGGCTATTAAAGAGCCTACTTCTGAGACTCCGTCCGTAGAGCAGCTTGTTGAGACGGCGCCGGCTGTTGAAGAGTCTATCGTTGAAGCATCAGCTCCTGAAAAGACTGAAGATAGTAGCGCGCCTGCTACGAGCGACTCTTTTCAGGAGAAGCAAGTTTCTGAAGAGCCAGTCACTGAAGAACAGACGAACGGGGCTAGCAAAATCGAGGAGCCAGTCAACACCGAGGATTCCAAGAAGGAAGTGCAAGACGAAGCTGCTGCAGAGGACTCTGTTCCGCAAGAACAGGTAGCAGAGACTTCCATTAAGGATGAGCCAACGAATGAGCAGTCAGCGGATACAGCTGAAGTGTCCGCTCCTGAAGCGACAAACAACGAAGCTCTTTCAGAGCAACCTGCGGTTCAGGAATCCACCACCGAAATCCCCGCTCCCGAGGTTGTATCTGCAGCTGAAGATACTGGCCCTCAAGAGGCCAAGTCTAAGCCTGAGGCTGAGGCACCGGCTGTGACGAATACTGTTGGCGACAAGCTCGCCGAGGATGACTCCAAGGGCCCAGAAGTCGCCACCCCAGAGGTTCCTGATCAAACAAAATCCATTGAGCCTTCTCAGGATGCCGTGGGTCTGACGACTGCAGAGTCTTCGACCACGAAGGTAGACTCTGAAGAGCCTTCTGTGACCCCTGCTGTCGAAGAGAATGCCCCTGCCGAGGAGAAGGCTACAACTAAAGAGTCACCAAAGGATGTCGCGGAACAGGACCTCAGGAATGAAACTACTGACGCTGAAGCTGCGCCTGTTCCCGAGTCATCCGTCAATCTAGAAGAACCCGTGACTGCACCTCAGGCGGATCAGGCCGATAAAGCAGACGAGGTTCCTGCCGTGGCCCCCGCATCTGAAGTTGAGTCTGAGAGCAAAACTGAGGAGGTTTCCGAACAGCCTACGGCAGCTGCTGCAGACGAGTCTGCCTCAGCCGCTCCCCAAGAGGAAACTTCTGCTCCGGAGGGTGCCGACAACGCTTCTCAGCAGGAGGCTCATGACACTTCCAAAGACAGCGGGTTGACTCCGGAGGTTCTCGGTTCAGCCGGGGCTGCGGTTGGTGCCGCAGCTGTAGGCGCCGGTGTCGCTGCCGTGTTGAAAAAGGGGTCTGAAAGCACTCCCGAGTCCAGCAAAGAAGACGAGGGCGCCAAGGCCGCCGACACCAACAGGGAGCCGGTTTCCGAGACCAAGGACGAGACCAAGACTGCGGTCACAGAATCGCAGCCTGAAGACTGTAAGCCGTTGCTGCCTTATCTTTCGCATCAAGCATCCGTCCCGTCCTTCGAAGCTGATTCGGTTCTTGCAGCCCTTGCGGGCGATCGTGAAGCCCTGCTCCACAAGCTCAACCAGCCGTCGACGGATCAATTGGTTGCGGCTACGAGCGAGCAACTCAACGACAAGAAGGCTCAAAATGAACCCCAGAGCCAACCCACCGCGGAGTCCAGCCAAACTCCTGCCGAAACACCTGCTGAGGCGTCTACTGCCAAACCCGCCACAGACAATCTCGCCGTCAACACAGAGGAGGACGCTCGTCCTCCGAGCCAGAACCGGTCAGTGGCTGCTGTTTCTCTGAATAATGCATCGGACAGCTGGCTCAAGGCGATCTTGCGCACCATCTTTGTGAACTTTTTTGGTGCCATATTTGCTCCTTTCCGCCGCCGCGGAAAGGACTCCAAATAAGAGAGATCGCCTTCCTTGAGCCTGATCATTTCCTTTACGGTGCCACTCATGGAAACACCTGGAGTTCGTGGCTAGTATAGATGAGTGCGGTTGTCAATCGCAGTACTAACATTGATTCCTCAGGACATTGTTCTGTATTGCGATTGTTGCTGTTCCTCTGCTTGCGCTTCTTTGGCGCGCTTATGCCCATTGATTTCACTCTCAGCGACGCACTTGGTCGCTCGAGGGTATACAATCCAACAAAAAACACCAAACAAAAAGTTGACAGAATGTTCTATGCACGCATGATTCCCCTGTATTTGATATCTGCGTTGGTTTTACGATTTCCTTTTTTTTTCTCTGATTTTTGTGATATTGTTTTGATGATTTTCTTTTGTCGTCTTTCTGTGATGTGGACGAGACCAAGATCTCTCGATGGAGCTGATAGAGCATCTTCGACGAGTCTTGCTCTCGCCAGTCTGTATGTAATGACGCCTCTGACCAAGTTAATGAACGAACGATTGATGTTAATTACTTTATCTTGATGATTGGGAGTAAGAGATCTCGAGGGGTTCTGTTGTTCTCATGTCGAGGTGAGTCTGGCGAACGCCGTCTGAGAGCAACACCTAAACTGCTAGCAACCCAAATCGACACCCTCCATGCTTTTGCTCTTTTTTCTTCGACTCTTCTGTTTTCTCTCTCATCCTCCATGATCATCATTTATTTTTTCTCCCCCCTTTCCTTCTTTGCACTCTTTTACCACAGTCCCTACTCCTCATCATCAACTCTACTCCCATCGTCTTCGCCAGACTCTCTCTCAAGCTCACTGCGTTCTCTCAAATGGAGAGCAAGCATCATTCCCAAATCATCGAAAGTAGACCTCGCAGTCAAGACAACCCCCATTCTCACGACCATCAGCCTCTAAACACTTCTCGTTCTGAAGGGAGATCTCCAAGCACCAGCTACTTCGATCCATTCGTGACCAGTGCAGAACCCAACGTACACGTACACACAGGTAATGCATTTGCACATTTGAAACCCAAAGAAACAGAGGAAGATCTGCCGCCTGGACCAAAGTCTGGTAAGAACTGCAGCCTAGATACTCTTATCCCCGAGCCTCCTCCGCTATATTCTCAAGGTATCCATGGATCTAATCTACCGTGGCTAACATCTTCAACCCATACTACAGGAAGTACCGATCCATCAAGCACCCCCTCTACCCCTCAGCGTCCAGTTATCACCCGCAAGACCTCCGGCCTCGACTACAAAGTGCATCTCGCATTGCCCATGCCCAAACCCGCTTTCGAGGCTGAGCCGCCTCCCGCCGAGGAGATGCCCACGCCCACTAAACCCCATTACCTGAAGAAGCGGGCCGTGACAGACCCAGTCGTCCTTGATGAGCTCGTAAGCTCCGAAAAGACGCCGGGCCATGACACTGGCGAAAATAAGAAAAGGTCCAAACTGGAACTCATCAAATCAAAGCTGAGCTTCAAGGATCTACGCAAGGAATGTGCCAAAGACGAGGCCGCTTCTCGTGCGCCTGCTTTGCCAGCACCTGAGAATGTCAAAACTCGCTTCCGTCGTCCTCTCATAGGCACTGCCATCCCTTCTTTTTCATCCACTCACCCGAATCTCAAGGCTCAGATAAAACCCGTGGAGACTGGCCGGCCTTCACTGACAACCACTGTGTCCTCTAACGCGGCAGCGTCTGCCGTGACGGTTACGCCGAGTAGAATCCCCCTGCCTCCATCGGGGTCGTTTTCTCATGCACAGGGGACTATTGCTCCGGCCAGGGCTCCAAGCACTCGACGAAGCAACCCTCCCACGACCTCGGAGCCACCGTTTACGGATGAATCCCCAGTGAAGACTATTGACAAGTCCCGCGCAGCTTCGGACTCCTCAAGGGCCGCTTCAACTCTGAAGGTTCAGCCCGAGATCGTGGTCACGCGGCCCAGTGTTGACAGTGCAGCTGCTCAACAACGCCATCACTCTCCGGACGATCCCTGGATCATAGAACCTCTCAACTCTCAGGACTCTCCACAGAATTGCACTGGGATCACTGGGATCACTGGGGAGTTTGGACCAGGCCAACTCGACCATAATTCTCCAACCTCGGCACAACATCCTACCCGCACGTCTTATCCTGAGGCACGAAGCCCGCCTTTGAATGCATATATTGAAAATGATGCACAGATAACCTCCTCGGCTGACTTCGTGCCCTCATTTCAGGAGCGGCTTAAGAAGGCGAATATGCCCCTGGACCAGTCCATCCCGCCGCCGGCAATCCAGAATCTCAGCACCGCAACGCACGTCGAAGACATCGTCGATATGGTACAGGCAATCCAGAAGCGATCTGACAGAGGGTTCAACATCATCACAAGCAAGCTTGACGAACTCTCCAACTGGATCGGCAACCAGCTCAAAAGCCAGATCGACGGCATTTCAGACATATCCCGAGTTAATTCTGAGCTCTTCACCAAACAGTGCCAGATCTCGCGCGAGCTAGCCAAATTCCAGCTGGATGTCCGGCTGGAGATTGGGGTGATGGAGCGACGGTTCAGTGCCTTCGAAGGGAGGATTCTGGACGAGGTGCAAGCCGAGGTTCGGGCTCTGGCGAAGGCGTATGAGGAGCTCAACCGGAAGAGCGACTCGTTAATTGCCAAACATTCGAATGGAGATAACCAGCGGTTCATTGCACATCAGCGCCAGAAGAATGCGGAAATCGAGGCTGAAATCGCCATGTTGAGGGTCCAGCAGCAGAAACGCAAGAGTGAGTCAAGCACGACTAGCACCGAGCCTATGCCGAAGCAGGCCATTGCTGCCCTGGCCCCCCTGCCTCCGACTCCGGCGTCGAATCACCGGAATCGAATTACCATCTCGGAAATGAGACAAGGTGGTATGTTGCCCAGGAGTATGTCCGTGTCGAAGAAAAGTCTTAACAATGCCAAAGCCGCCATTCGTAGTGTGCCGGAGCCGAAGGAAAAACCCCTGGACAAAGCTGCAGGCAGCGAGGATGGAAAACGGTGGCATGTATTCGGCTTCCGACGTCGTCGCGATGCCAGCGACAGCTCGACCGGCAGCGGCAAGTTCCTGTGGACATCTCGCCGTGCGAAGGAAGACACTACTACCGTCCACGATGATACCACCAGCTCACGCTCATCCACGCCGCCGATTCCTCCTATCCCGCGAAACATCTCTCGCCTAGTGGATGATCTGAACCGAAGCAGCACAGTCACTTCGTCCAACATCCACCCAGCCTTCCGACACATGCAACAACCACAACAGCCATCTGCCATCCCCAAGAAGGAGAATATCAATCCCCCGCAGGAGGTCACTCTTACTTCTGGGCTGACTATCGAGATTATTCCAGAGGCCAGTCCCGAACTTGTATCTCTGTCAGCTCACACCCGCTCTACGGTATCGGCTCTTGGCGATGAGTACAAAACCTCGGCTGAGGCCGGAGGTCTCTCCCCTTCTGCGAGCGAGCATTCAACTCTTCAAGAAAATCACCCTTTGGTCCCAGTCACGCTCCATCCTTCGAACGATGATTTGCCGCGGATGCCACTCCTCGCCGATCCCGACTGGGACACGCCGGACTGGGATAAGGTGTCGTTTTATGGATGCAAGTCCAACGGAGAGTCACAAGAATAGAGATTCGGATCCGCGTCCCCCCCCCCCCCCCCCCCACCCCTTATTTTCACTTTTGTGATGTTGTTTCTTGCATGTTTGGGTACATCCCGTTTGACGTTTTTCCGCTGCATGGTCGCTATCCTGGCCGTCGAGAAGTGTCTTCTGTTAGGACTTTGGTGATGTAAGAAGTGGCATTGACCATGGAGTGGACTGAAAACACGGAATTGCTTGGAGGTTTCTCCTAGCTCTACATGATTTCGATGGCCGTGTTTTCATGGTAGGAGAATGACTAGATTGTGTCGAGGTGTGAGAGAGATGGGAGGGATTCAGTGGATGGGAGCCGGTGCTTTTCAACAGCACCAAAAAAAGATGTACGAATTATGACTTTTGACGGATTATGAAAATGCATTTTACCATGTAAGAAGAACGAACAGAATACAAAAATGACCATCGAATGCATGAGGTATATTCCAACCCAGTATTTACTTAGACGTAGCGATCATCTTTTCAACATCGAGCGCGGCATCGCGCACCTGCGGACAGTAATGCTGGCGCAGCAGTTCTCCTTCCCACACCGACCCCGCGAAAACATTGGTTGAGTCGACCTCTGTCGCAAAGGGATTGAACACACCGTCGCCCTTGCGCTCCTCCGAATGCCACAGCGGCGAGATGCGGCGGCCGTGGTGCTTGGAGACCTGGCTCATCAGAGACAGGGTCGCCAGGGCGGACTTCTCGGGCAGCTGGAGCGAGGTCGTCATGAGCCGTTTGGCGAAGCTAGCGAGGCGAATGGGCGGCGGGATGCCGTGTGCGCGGGACAGCAGGGCGGACTGGAGGCAGCGGAGGAGCAGGACCATCGGGGTCTGGAAGTTCACTTTATTGCGAGACTGGGATGAGGTGTTGCCATCTGCGCCGGAGTTGGGGTCTGGGAGGCGCAGTGCGGTGTTGGGGTTGAACTCGACATCCGGATTCATGGAGAGGGAGTAGAGGGATCGGTACAGGTGCTTGATGAAGAAGCCGAGGTCGAGGTGGAGAGTGGATGCTGCTTTGCTGGCGTCTTGGCCTTGGAGCAGCGCAAAGGCTGTGATGGTGCAGAGGAGGGTCTGACGCCGGGCATCGCGCGCGGCCTTTTCAGTGGAAGCAGGTTCGGCGCTGTCATTGTCCTCACCCTCTTCATTCTGGTCCAGCTCTACACGTTCCGCATGCGCGATCAGATCTTTCAAAGCCTCGAGGAGGTCGCCGAAGAAATCCTGGTTAATCAAGTGGGCGTATTTCGCCAAACCCTCCAACACTGGGCCCATGAGAGTTGGGCTGCGCAGTTTCAAGATTCGGAAGTAGGTAGCAAAGACAAGCTTCAGGGTTTCGGCCTGGTTTTTCTCTCTCTCCTCGTGCGAGACCAGCGCATCCGCGTGTTTCATGTCCTTCTCCACGACCTTGCGCTCCTTTTCCACCTTGCGCTCCCGCTTGGTGCGGAACTCGCGCTTTTGTTTTTGCTTCTTGCCGCGAAAGTTGTCCTCTTCTGGCTCGCGATCCACTCGGTCTCGTGAGGCTTTCATAGAAAATTCACCCAAAAGACGTAGATGTAGGAACGTATCTAGAACACTCTCCTGGATGTGGAAATCCCGGGCCTTCATCATCTTGGCCAGCAGACGGACCGCCTCAAGGGAGACAACCCCATCGGAATCCTTGGCGAAGATATCTTCCAGCGTCTCGCGGCATTTGACGAAATCAGGATCCATCTGTCTCCGTGCCAGGCGATTCACCATGATCTTCAGCAGTTCGCCGCGGAAGTTGAAGTGCGGCACAGCCAGGAGCATGGTGCAAGCGCAACTGATAGCAATGCTCCTGAGCCCGGCATCCGTCTCTGCACTTTCTCTCTTCGCTGGTTTTGCCAGTGTTCCCAGCTTCTGCACATAGTTTCGATAGCCGGACAAAAGGGACTGCTCGAAATTCCGAAGCTTGCGCACGTCCTTGGAAATCTTGGCCGACATGTCCTCCTCACTGAGAGGGCGGATCCGATAGCCCGGAATGACATCCTTGTAGATTGCCGCCTGCGACGCCAGGGCCAGCTTTTTGACCGTGACGGGCGAGTGCGGGTTCTCTACCATCTCGGCCATGGTCTTGAACAGCGACATGTGGTCTTCCGGGTCCTCATTGATCAAAGTCGCAATGCGCGCGAGTTCCTCCTTGGCCTGCAGAACCTGCACCTTCACTGGAATCTTGGGCTTTTCTTCTTCTGATTCTTCGTCTTCATCGGCATCGTCGTCGCCCGAGGCGTCCTCCATCTCGTCATCGTCGGTGCCCAGAAAGCTGTCGGATTCCTCAACCGGGTCTTCATTTTCCAGATTTTGAATGAATCCTTCTGATGTCTTGATAGGCAATCGTGTGCGCTCGTTGTCCTTCTTGTTGGCCTTGCGCGGCCGGCGCTCATACTCCTGCTCGACATCCCATTCATTGTCGCGGTCAAAGGAATCCTTGGTTCGTGATGCAGCGCCCTCATCCGGAGGGCTCAGACGCCTCCGTTTGACAGTCGGTCCACGTGCCATAATAAATGGGTATTTTTTGTTTCTGGCGAGGTGGTATGGGGGTTGCCGATCAAAGTGAAGACTCAAGCCCAAGGCGGTCTGAACTTTTTTTCCCGCCAAGCCAATTTCTGCCGCTCCGAGATTTTGTCCGCTGCTTTTTTTACGCTGCTTGCGATTCAACTTCCATTTTTTTCTCCAATTTATACGAGGCATGAGCCGATAAGCAGCTGTCTCAAATTCCTTGATTGACCGTGCAACAAGCATATCGGCCTCATACACCCATCATGCGTCAACTTACCGAGGAAGAGACAAAACAACTCTTCTCCAAGCTCGCCAATTACTGCGGATCGGCAATCAACAATTTGATCGCCCCTCCGTCTGATGAGGGCGTAGCAGCCGACCGCTATGTTTTCCGTCTGCACGGCAACCGTGTGTACTATCTGCCCCTCAAGCTGGCGAACCTGGCCACCTCGGTCCCACGCCACAACTTGATGTGCATGGGAACGATGATGGGGAAATTCACCAAGAATACGGGCAAATTCCGCCTGAACCTTACGGCACTGGATATTATCGCGCCGCAGGCCAGGTACAAGGTGTGGATCAAGCCGAATGGCGAGTAAGTGTTGCTTATCCACCAAGAGGAAGGACGAAGTCTATGCTAACTGCGACCAGAATGCCATTCCTCTATGGAGGCCACGTTCTCAAGGCGCACGTCGCAAGATTCTCGGAAGATAGCGGGGAGCATCAGGGCATACTGGTGCTCAACATGGCAGACCAGCCGTTGGTAAGAAGCACATGTCTATGTCTATATGATTGGACTCTTGGCTTACAATTTGGGTTTCTTTTTCTTCTGCAGGGCTTTGGAATTACGGCGAGGTCAACGGCTGAGTCTCGGAAGCTTAATCCCACGGATATTGTTGTGTTTGCCCAGGCGGATGCTGGAATGTATCTCAGAGAGGTAGGTTGATTCTTGCGGGGTTGTTGGAAAAATAGATTGCTAACTTCTTGCAGGAAGATTCGCTCTTTACGACTTGAGGGGAGGCCATTGGTGGCATGCTGCATACTCAATGCAGGGAGTTCTGGAGTTTATTGCCCAAAAGTTTTGTATCTTGCGGTCCTTGGCCGGCGTGTCTTGAGGTTATTTGATACCAAGTGGTGGCACTTGACTTGCATGTTGAGCCATAGATCACGTCTATATGATCTAGAATACCAGACAATGTACTCGTCAGATTTTTTTTCCTTGTTCATCTGTCTATTATTCATTTGTTTTCCGTATTTTGATCTACAAAACCATCGCATTATGTATATGTTTCTGCCTGAGGCATAAAGATGAGTCAGGCGGTCAATATCGGGACTCTCACGGCCTCCGCCTGGCAGCGGAGAATCTCGAATCCCAAAACCTGCTCAGACTTAATCACCTCAATTCTCTTGTTTTTCCTTCGCACTCCGTCCTCCTTCCTCACCTCCCCTTGCAACCCGAACATCTACCCCGCAATCCCTGGCAGTGGGAGCTACATTGCCGAATACCCCACTATGCCACCTTACTCGTCGGCCCAGAAGCACTCAATCGCCCAGTTCCTGGGCCTCACCGAAGCCAAGGATGTGCTAGCTGCCAAGGTATGTCTTTTCTCTTATGATTTCTCTCTCCCCTTCCAGTTTTATGTATTTCTATCTGTTTCTCGGCCCGGGAGCGGCCAAGATTGTTCGTGGTCAAGTCACGTGGCCTCCATGCCCTGCCGAAGTATATCAACTGACAATCCTGAATGTAGTTTCTGCGCGCATCGGGATGGGATGTGGAGGAAGCGGTCAACCTGTAAGTGTTTCTTCCTATTCCCCCCCTTTCCTTCTTTGTGTTTCCACTGGGGGAATCTGTCTCCTCAGACACCGGGATGTGCATCTGTGACAAGTCCTTTGTGTGATAGCTGGCGTAATGGTTTATACCTTTCCCCAATGCTTAGGAAATGGCTTTGAACCAAGTGCTGTGTGATTGCTCTTTGATATATCGAGTGCTGCCAGCAAAGATGAGAAGTCACCAGTTGCTGAAGCTAGGACTGACATCATCTCTTCTACACAGGTACTTCGCAAGCCCCCATGGCAGCTCGTCAGGCAACGCGGCCTCGATCAATAAGATCTTTGATAAATACCGTGGTGAGTTGATTACGTTCCTGATCCCTGTTTCCGCTTTCTAGTCCGAGGGAACATACGCCGATGAATAAGCACATTACTAACTGGTATACCACAGACGACCCCGTCGAGAACCCCAATGGCATCGGCATCGAGCGCGCAATCCAGTACCTGGGCGACATCCAGGTGCAGCTTGACGAAGTGACCTGTCTCGCCATCGCCGAGCTGCTCAAGTGCCCATCGATGGGCGAGTTCACGCGCGAGGGATTCGTGAACGGATGGCGAGTTTCCAAGTATGTTACAGGTCCACACCTTTTATACGAATAAATTTGTGTCTCTGCAGGGGGACTGACAAAAAAAACCCTTCAGCTGCGATACCCTCCCCCAAATGGCCGAACACGCCCAACTCCTCCGCGTCAGCATCCCCAGCGACCCGGCCATCTTCCGCCGCGTCTACCGCTACGCCTTCCCGCTGTCGCGCATGCAGGGCCAACGCAACCTGCAGTTCGAGATCGCCGCCGAGCAGTGGCACCTGTTCTTCACCCCAGACCGCGGCGGCGTGCAGTGGAACACGGTGACGACCCCGTGGCTGGACTGGTGGATTGAGTTCCTGGAGAGCCGCGGCAAGAAGCCCGTCAACAAGGACCTCTGGGAGCAGGCTGAGGTGTTCATGCGCAAGACTCTCGAGGACGAGGACTTCTCGTGGTGGAGTGCTGATGGGGCCTGGCCTGGTACGCTGGATGACTTTGTTGCGTGGGTGCAGAAGAAGCGAGGGAAGCCCTGGGAGATGGAGGTTGAGTGATGTGGAATTTTCTTCTTCTTCTCCTTCATCTTCTCCCTCTTCTTCTTCGTCCTCGTTCGCCTCATCAGCATCCGTTTTCTTCTTTCTGCTTTTTTTTCTCTCGTTCGGTGTTGGCTGTTGCATTTTCGTTCCATCCCACGGCCTGCTTGTTTCTTTTTTTTTCTTTCTCTGGCCCTCGTCTTGACGAATGACGATGATATGGATCCAAGGTTTTCTTAGCTAGTTACACTACGCCACCTACTTGAACACATCAAGTAGTCGATGTGCCACTACATATTCCATCTCCATTTCCCATACGTATCTGGGTTAAGGAAAACTGCATTTCTTCAGTTCTTATCTATCCAACAATATCGGACATCAATGTTGCGGCATCGACACCGTTAGAATACCAAGCATATGTACCTATTTCCAAGGTCGAATCACAAATATAAAGCCATTCATCGTAAGATTGAGGTGGGTGGGGGAGAAAACATCAGGGGGAGGGAAATATCGGTGGCATGCCAAGATGCCACGAGAATGTGTACATGGGTTAAGATCGAACACCGGAAGGAAAATCAGACATAGGAAATGGAAAAAGAAAAGTGACCACAGCCGAACTCGACGCGACAACCCGTCCTCAGTTTATCGCATCCAGACGCGTGGTCTGGGTTCGCCTTCGAAGCGAATGCGGTCAATCGTTGGCTCGGTCCGTTTAAGGGTAGTCGCGCTTCTCGTAGTCGCGGCGCTGGTCGTAGCGCTGCAGAAATTTGTTAGTGATTTCGGAAATATTCCAGAATATTTATCTCGACATACCTTGCGCAGGGCCTCGAGGCGCTTCTTCTTGGTGTGAGTGTTGACGTAAGTGCCGATAAAGAACCCGACGATGTTGAAGAACGGCACCCAGGTGTGCTCGGGCAGGAACTTCTGGGCAAATGCCAGCGCCAGCGGCGAGGTGATCCAGCTAACCTTCATGACGGGCATGAACCCGGCGCGAACGGTGGCGCGAACCTGGTGGATCGTGCGCGCGCCGGCAATGACCGCCATCGAGGTCAGGTAGACGGAGTTCTGGATCGGGGAGACCTGCAAGAAGGAAGGTTTTAGAACACCGGTTCAGAGCAACGGAGAGGAACAAAAAAAACACGTACGATCAGGTTGCTGACGAGGATCTGCAGGATCTTCGCCTTCAGACTCGTCCGGCCGGCAAAGATCTTCTGGAGAATGCCGATGAGAACGTGGCCCAGGGGCGCGCTGATGAACATGCCGTACAGCGACATCTTGGGGATGCGCGAGCTGAAGTAGTGGCCGTGCTTGCCGACGTCGTGCGCGATCCACGACGCCAGCAGTTCTTGCACACCCGAGAGTACACCCGAGGTGAGCATCTTGGTGCGCAGCGGGTTCTTCTGCAGCTGGCGGAGGTAGGCCTGTGTCGATCCATTCCTCGGGTCAGCCGCCGTTCTGTCCGGGGGAGAGAGAAGGGGAAAAGAGGGGAGGAGAGGACTAGAACATACCGCCAGGTACCCCGTCTGCGTCTTTCCACCGGTCAATCGCTCGCCGACGCGATGCGCCAGATCCTCCGACTTGCCGCCCGTGACCGCGCGAACGGTCTCCTCCTGGAACTTGACAGACATGTTGGGCGAGAATGGAGCCGAGGGCAAGGGAATGGGTTCAGGTCAACGCGACTATGAGACAATCAATAACCGAGTGGAAATTGCGATGGGGTTAAAAAAAATGGATCGCGTCGGGGGAGGGAGAGACGGGTTTGGGGGGAGAGCAGGGGGGTTGTTTGTTTATGAGGTTTGGGCCGGAGGGGGCTGGGAGCAACGCTGACTGACAACCGAGGCAGCTCCAAAGAACTAGCCCAACGTACCTGGGGTGGCACAGTGCGCTTCACGGGGTAATTCAGAAGTGTTCAATGGGAAGAGAAGATGAAGAGTGTTATATAAGAATTTCAGGCTCTCTCGAGGTTGTCAGGCAGATCCCCGGCGACATCCATTGGCGGAGACCATCGGAACCCCCCGACAACCCCGGCCTCGGCCACTTGGGTTGTCTTGGGGACTTTTGGTGCTCTTTTTATATGTGAATTGATATGAGGTTTCAGGGGAATGAAGTATAGGAAACGTCATTGATTGATCTAGTAGAATACCTGGATTTTATACTGTATGTTGCCCTGTTGCCCTGTTGGATCCCGGCTGTACCTCGGTAAAGCCCGGGATGGGACAAATGATCTGTAGAAACAAACAGCTTGATATTGGATGTGAGAAAAAGTCTGAGCATGTAGGGTTATCCACTATAGCTAGAAGAGTGAGTCTGCTAAGTGAAATTCATGCAGCCCTACTTCCAACGCTAATATGAACATCCACGGGCCGACTGTCTGAAACCTGTACATGATCAAGGAAATTAGCAGAAATTAGCATAGAAACAAGGCATTTTAACATCAATCATGAGGCCATAAAGCCTATACCCCCAGATAATCCACCATGGATGAGTAGCAATAGCAGAGAGACCAGACAACCCACCACAGCCTGCATGAAGCCGTGCCATGGTCAATCACATATAGCATGAGCTCGTTGAAGATAATCTGTGCAGGAAAATAAATCAACTCGTAGCGACAAGTCAACCGGTCAGGCATCGTCCCAAAGGACCCCTCGCTGAGTCGTCGCGCAACGTTGCGTTGCGATCTTTTTCCCACGCCCGCATCCATCGTCTCACCAACCATCATCCTAACCATCCTTCCCATCTGCTCCACATCACAAATTCTTTGTCAATCGCTTCAGATCATCTCTTTTGTACCTCACGCTACCCACCGGAGATGTCTTCGGCCAACCCGGAGGGCGTTGGGGGGATCCAACCCGAGTCCTCGCCTCCGGGGCAGAGGAGCCGGCGTCCATTACGAACGACCCCAGAGATGAAAAGACCCCATCTGATCACTCTGATTCATCAATGCTAACTGCACCAGAGTATCCCAGTGGTACTCATGAAGCCTCGAATCAAAACTTCGGGGAGTCAAGCAATGAGGCTGTCCAGTATGGCAGCCTTCAGGAGACTATCCCGCATGACCTCAATACCCATGAAGAAAACCCCCAATCTCATCGCATGCGAAGACATTCCCTGTTGGAAAGTCGTTCCACGGGCACCAGAAGCGAAGGTGGAGACGAACAGCAGCCCCAGCACGACACCAGCTTTGAGGTGGCAGATGAGCAGCGCGGACTCGAAGCCCTCAACTGTGACTCGACAAACACCGCCTTTAGTGTGAGATTGATCTCCAGAGCCTCATCATCAAGTCAGGACGATGAAGACTTTGATAGTCTGTATGATGTGAGCGTTGACGGAAACGATGGAGAGATTGGGGAAACAGGGTCTGGCCGGCCGATTACCATCGAGCTCCTTCTGGGTCACTCCCAATCTTCTTCAAGCAGCAGCGAAGTGGAAGCACCGCGCGAAGAGAATATCCTCACCGCAGAGGAGGCGGCCGAGCTGGAACATACCGACAGTGAGAGCGATGTTGAAGATCATGCCAGCAGTGACAGAGAAGACGAACAGGAAACGCTGGAGGCACTCAGTGATATGCTGAGGCACCATCCGGCCAACATCGCGCCGTTCATGAGTCTTCAAGAGCCTCCACGAACCAACATCCCGGTTCTCCCCAGACCTATTCGTCCGACACTCGCCCCGAGTCCCCTCCGACGGGTATCGACCCCTGACTCAGACAATTCCAGCAGCAACTCGATGTCTTCTGAAGCGAACAGCGATGCAGAAAGCAGTCCGGGCGAACCAAACGCACCATCCGGTACCCCAGCCAATGAACGGGAATACAACATGAGAGAATCCCAGTCATTAAATCTTGAATACCTGGACGAGGAGCTCATGATGTTGAGCGCGAGACGCAACCAACCGCCGCCTAGTTCTGTTTTTGACCTTCGGCCACGCGTACTTCCCGTCCAGATAGAAGACAGCGCGCCTTTGAATCCACATATCGTCAGAGAGCTGCGCTACCGAGGTCGACCAGGTCTGTCATGCCAGCATGACACCATTCTGCGATACTATGCCGACAAGGAACTCTTGCAATGCCCCGACTGTAAAGGGCGATACCGCTATCTCTATGTTTGCACGGCAGACACCGAAGATTTCTCTGTGCAAGAGGGTCAGGGGAGTGGAGAGCCCCGGGGAAGCATCGACATCCTCAGTCCGTGGATCATCGAGGCCATCAAGCAGGGACATTACACCTCGGAGCAGGTCGACATCATGATCCAGCAGAAGCTCGATGTCCTGCGGGCTGCAAAGAGGGATCGCAACCAGTTTGTCAGTCCGACGCCAAGTCCAAGCCCGTCTGGTGAAGAAGGGCCCAGATTCATCGAGGAGTGGATCGAGGATGTGTCCGATGCACGGCCAACTGAAAGGGACACTGCGGAGCGAAAGCGACAAGCCGAAGAACACTATCGCAAGATGGTGAATCGCTCGAATGCCTTCATCGAGCAGAATTCGCCATGCAAGATGCGAGTGTGCGCCGTTTGCCTTCCAAGACTTGCCGAGTGCGCATGGGAGAGCATCGATGACATCGTTGAGAAGCCGTACAAGGCCCCTCCGCACATCCCCGAATATATCAATCGGCCGATCATCAACGCCGCCGTGGTCCTCAACATGGACTGGACCAAGAAGCTCTCGTTTCAATCGTGGTATGGGCAGGTCCAAAGACGGAATCCCCAGATTGACCTATTCCTGGTCCTGGAACTGGCCGTCGGAATGCGCCTGTCCGAGCTGCAAGGCATGCAGCTCATCACATGGGTCATCAATCGGCGGATGTCAGGACTTCGCTTCTTCGAATTCCTCCGGTGGATGTGGTCTGCGTGCCTCTCCCGGTCCCAGGCCTTGCATTTCCTCGGGATGATCGGCAATTCCCGACTCCTCCGCCAACAGACCCGGACGTTGGCCTCGTCTCGGCCTCGCAGAGAGGCCCGAGCCACCGAAAGGGGGGCAGAGACGCCGCTCTCTGCCTACCCGATTTGGGAAGAGGAGGAGAACGAGCTGGGCGAGTTGACCGAGACTCCCGGCTTCGCCTACGATGATCGAGAGCCGATGGGGCGGCGGATCGATCATCACTGCCAAACGGTCTTGTTCAGCGCGATGAGAGCTGGACAAGATCTGGATGAGGTGGTCATCCGTGGGCGGGTTGAGGGTCGGGCCACCCCTCGTTTCCCGCCGGGGCTCCCCATCAACGAGCCTCAGGGCTCCCTCGAGGCCGATGACTCGGACGACTTGTATACCTAGTCGTCCGAGAGGGGAAAGTCAGGCGGGGGTGAGGCGGGCGCAAAGCATGGCTGAGGGCCATGTGAAGGGATGATCGCGGCGGAGGTGAGCGGCGTGTGGAGAGCGTGTGGAGATTTGTTGCCCGCGAGGCACCTGGGGGAAGATTAGCGGGAGGGCAGGAGAGGAAGCCCTCGACAATTGAAATATGGAAATGAGCACATCTAGGGGGGGGGATGAAAAACAATTATTATTGTTGTTATTGAAGTTTGAGAGACTGCTAGGTACATGCAGGCAGTATGGGTCTGCCAGCACCGAGGGAAGTACCCCAGTCCCCTCCACCGTAGGGAACTTTAAGCAGCTCCGAGCCTCGGCATCTCCCGCAAGTCAAATGCGCGCGATTCCGTCAATCGCCGGATCTTCTTTCTTTCCTTTCGTTTAGTTTTCTCTTTTCTTTCATCGTTCATGCAGAGAAGCCGGTCTTTCTCATGCTCCCTTTTCCACTATGGCCGACCCTGAACACCCTTCAGATCAGGCCCCCGACCATAAGCAGCATGTGGAGCACGGCAAGTCGGCGCAGCAGCAACTGATGGCGGCCTTAACAGCGACCGACGTGACCATCCGGCGTATCGATCGGTAAGGGGCACAATCCTTTTGTAATTGAGTGTTTCATGAATATGACGATTTCCATATACTGGAGACATGGAGCCTATCTTCCAGTCATACTACAAAGTCATATACTATAATTACAACGATAACTCGCGAAATCCAACACTTCACTAACCGAGCCCCGCAGACTCCTTTCCACGGCAAGCGGGCAAGAAAGGGCCTTAGCGACAATCAACTACGTGACCTCGATTCTGCACCACGTCAGTGCGTCAGCCCCATGGATCGCCGTCCAAATACGTTTAGGCATTCTGGCACGCGTCCGGGGCCGCCACCTAGGACCCCCAAGGGTCAAGTCCCCCACATCAGCAGCAGCAACGTCGAGATGGGCCGCGCTGTCATCGCTGGCCTCGGAAACCCGGTACAATCTACGGCTGTTCGGGCTGCTCCAGTTGTGGATCTGGGGGTCCGAAACGCTGAAATCGCCCCCGGCCGACCCCGTCCTGCGCGCTCTGGCCGTGCTGCAGGTTATCTCTAATGTCATCTACCAGCTGCTCGAGAACGTGGCCTATCTCGCCTCTAAGGGCGTGGTGTCGAAGCGCTTCGTCGAGAAATACGGCGGCATCGATAAATGGTATATCTGGAGTACCCGCGGTTGGTTCGGCCATATCTTCTTTCAGTTCTTTGTGCTCTGGCGCCAGCATGTGCTGCGTCGGGAGCGCGTGGCTGAGGCGCGTGCTGCTGCGGGCCGCGTCGAGTCTAAGACTACTACCAAGGCGGAGGATAGCGAGGAGCTGCGGCTTGAGATCCGCGCGTGGCGCAAGAGTCTGGTTAACAACACTGTCTGGGCGCCGTTGTGTTTCCATTGGTGTCTGGAGAAGGGAATTGGCATTCCGGCATATATGACGGGATTGATTAGTTTTCTCGCGGGTGCTTGGAGTTTGCATGATATGTGGGCTGCGACGGCCAATCCATAGATCTTGGGGTTCAGGTTGTTTCGGGGTATTCTAGATCTGCCATGTTTGGACTATATATACCATCTCGCTTCTTGCATCCATACGGGTTCTATACCAACAAAAGGAAGTAAAAACGCTCAGAACAGTCATAATATGGTAGTGCGTTGTACATGAATAATATCTAAATCTCGTATATAAATATATATATCTATTTCTCAGCCAAATTCGACAAGCTCTGGCGTTTCTTGGAGTCCAGCTCCGCCTTGCTATATAAAGCACACCCGAGTATCACGAGAAGGATACCTGTTCCATTCTGGAAGTCGATCAAGAAATCCCCGAGGAAGAAGATTCCCAGCGCAAGGGTGAGGGTCTGCTTGACATTTCCGCAAACCGAGATGGAGAGGGCGCCGGCAACCTTGTTGGTCTGGAAGGAAGAGATGTTGAGCAGGAAGGAGAGGAGACCGTTGAAGAACAGGAAGAGAGCGATCTCGGTGGTGTACGAGCCTGTCCACTGGAGGGTGGGGGTCGTACGGCTGGCCATGGCCTGCTTGAAGGTGGCGACCTCGCCCGAGAAGGCGCCGATGATGAAGGATTGCAGCGCGGCGTAGGGGGACATGCGGAAGAGGAGCTCCATCATGGGCAGGGCGAGGCTTTGGGTCATGAGACGGTTGGTCACGATGGTCTGGATTTGTGGTTAGCCCCGCCCTTTTTTTTTCTTTTTCCACTGGAATCTATATACGGATTGTGAAGTATATAGATATAACATACCTTGATCACAGCCAGAACAACCCCCGCGATCGAAACAATCAAGCCGATTGCCGAGTACTGGTACTCGCCCATGGTGGTCATGGCGGCCCCGACAATAATCGGGAGCAAGGAAACGTACGTCGCGAGGGAGTAAGAGCGCGAGTACCAGACACGATAGAGGAGAACGGTGAACACCGGTGCGGTGTTACGGATGATCTGGAAGAACGCCAGACTGACCAGAGACAGCGAGACGTTGGACATCCAAATGTTGACGGTAAAGAGCATGGAAAACGCCAACAGAGACCAGTGGTCGCGCTGCGACAAGGTCGATAGTTTGAAGTAGCCCAGTTTCAGCAAGACCAGCGTGCCAACGGAGGCGAAGGCGCTGTGCATGCCAGTCAGAAACCAGGGGCAGTTAAACTAAATCAAAAAGAAAAAAGAATCGAATTAATCACGCGTCCGACGGTTGGGAGTCGTAGAAAACGAGGGCTTTTACCTTTTGTAGAACCAGTTTATTGTATATCGTCAGCAGCATGCCGAACAACAGGTACGCGCTCAGCCAAACGAATTTCTCGGTGGTCGAGGTGCGGTACTCGAGCTCGACGCTTGAACGGGTCTTCTTAGAATGATTGGCCTCCAGATCTTCGGAAGAAGAACGCGAAAGGAGAGGCGCCTCCTTGTCGTCCCATGTTGAAGCCATGATCGAGTATATTCAGTCGCACACTCCAATCTAATATCACACGCTGGACAGTCAGAGAGGGAAGGAATAAAACGATGGATCCTGGGGGCTTTGGACTGGTTTAATATTACAATAATTAAAATAATTCCCATGATTCAGTCTAATAATAAAGAGAGAGATGTGTTGGAAGGGGGCCAAAAAACCAAAGTCTAAAAGGGGGCTAAAAAAAACACATGGACTAGTAACAATCCTTATCATACATGTACTTGAGAGAGAATACTTAGAGAATACCTACTTCATACCTACATAATCGAGTATTGTCTTCGCCATCCTCCGAAATAGCCCCCATCCTGAATAGGCCCACGAGTCTCACGAGTCTCACGAGGCTCGCAAGGCTCGCCAGGCTGTGTGTATGGCGAGTCAGCATAACATTCATGGATGTTCAATGGTGGATAATACGATTACCAGTGCACTGGCAACCTCACGAGTCTTCACTTTCTCATGCTTCTCAGTGGAGCCCGGCAATAGCGCAAATTTCAGCTTCGCATTCCGATGTAGCCGTTTCCCATCATCTTATTAGCACCACCGAGCTGATTTCCTCCTACAGTAATCCCATGTTTCTAGTTCGATGTGCATATATTTATAGTACATCCGCATATTTACAGGATGGACCGTGAATGTACAATATGTAAAGTCGCCCGTGTAGATCTTGGCCCCAACAGACGTGTTCTAAAAGTAGACCGCTCCATTTAACAAAGTCTGCACCCGAGAGCGATGAGGGGGAGGATCTTGGTCGATCAGTAATATTTTCCAGCACTTGGACGGTGGCCGCCAGGCCTATTTTTAAATTTTAGATAAATTAGGGAATTATACTCCAAAACCCTTGCGCGAAACTTGGCGCTTACTGGACTTCTTTACATTTCTTCACTAGAGCTGACAGTTAGGCCCCCCTATGTACAGTTGATCCACTTCATATACTCCGGTTCATTGGTGGTTTTATTACGACGAATGTATGCCCGAAAGTCTTTTGGCCGACCACATCCCTCGCCCTGATGTCGGAATACTCCTGCTGAATACACCAAGGTCTCCAGATCTATATCAAAATCCAGTCTTCAAATGAACAATTCCAGGTTGACTCATCTGAGCTATGAACAGCAAGCAAGCCAGCCCAATTACCATGCCGACCCGGGTTCCTCGTCAATCCTGTACAATGACACCTCTCCCACCACTGAGCTAGTATAGCCCTTGCGACGCTCCATGAAAACACCCTGATACATCGCTCCCACGGACTCAGAAGCCTTCAAGGCTGACCGAGACCGAGATTCCGATATGTATCGATAAAAAGGCGCTTGGAGAAACTCATCTACATTCCACGCAGCCGATTTCAGAGGGACCAATCCCTCCATGGAGCCGGTCCAGGCGAATGTCCCAGCATCGACTTTCCGAAGACTATGCACGCGATCGTGGCGGCCCCGTTGGCAAATGTCCACTTGGACGCTCGCCAGGCACATCAACCCAGATTCCAGCTCATAAATTGCGTTTCGCTGGTGCTCATCCAAATCGAAAATGAGCATGCCCTCTACGACAGCAGTGGGGTCGGATGAACGGGCAATGACAGGCGTGCTTGACTCGGTGAATCGATGGAGCTGATATCCAAACAGCGTGGCCTGGGTCATGGCCTGGTCGATCCGATAGCCTTGGTCGGCATCAAGGTAGTACTTGAGTACGGTGGGCAGCATCAAAATCCCATACACAAAACGTGGGGAACTGCCGGGCTGCTTCAGAAACAGTGTCACTTCTTCATCCGAAAAGGTGTTGCTTAGGGCTAATGCAAAATCCCTGGGGTACCACGGCTTCAGCTCCATCGCCATCAACCAATCTCCCCCACGGTCCCACGGCAAATTCCCAACTTCGAGAGGGAGAGGGCGCGCAGAAGTTCAAGTGCATAGAATTGCTCGTTGTTGCTCTGGCGCGATGGGTTGAGGTATTGATGGATGTCCAGGAGCATGAAGTGGAAAATCTTCAATGCTCAATTGGCTTGAGGTTTTCTGAGCCTCTAGACTGCCATGACGCTGATATTTATCAACGACTGGTTCCCCGTTGCCTGGGATGATGGCAATGGTGGGAGCAAAAAACTAGACCAATAGTAGCCAGATGGCACCGCCAAAGAGAGTACAGCGTGAATGAAAGCCTGAGTCACAGATTTGACAAGATAAAAAGCCTTTCTTTGCATTTTGCATCTTGCCAATGTATGCCTCTCAAGGGAAAATCCGAAATGGTCTCCTGTAATGTCTCCCCATGGTCCATGTCTGAGAGGACCAGGGACAGGACGGCTCCCAATCCATGGGCATGAAAGAACAACCTGGGCTGATCCATGCAAGACCTGGGGCAGTTGCCGGCAATTACCCACAGGGAACCTGCCCAGGCAGTAGTATATTTTTGTTGTGACTTTCGTAGACAACAAGAAACTGGGGACCACGGGAGCTCTGGCCTCAGGCACCCGCATCGACCGACTTCCATCGGATTCGCTGTGGCGGACTGTGGCGCTGACATAATCGCCGAGCTTAAGTCATCACTATCGTCACTCGTACCTGGAAAGCTCATCGTCTCTCTCTTCTCCCTCTCCGTTTGCTTCCATCCCCCCTTCTCTTTACCGTCAGACCCCCTCTTCGATCTGCCGGTGCTCTAATCTTTCTCCTATCGTATTTTCTCTCTCGCCTTCAGGCTACGCGTCTCTGCTGGTCCAGCCCCGGTTGTGGACACTTCATATTCATCCTCTCAAGCTTGGTTTCCATCAACGTCAATTCAAAATGTCGTCGGAGCCAGATCATACTCACGACAAGAAGAGGGTCAACCTTCAGTATGTTTTTTTACCCAGTTTAGTGTTCATCTCGTTTAGCTGGCTAACGTCGATATCCAGGGACGCCTCGGGTGCCGAGAAGAAGGATGTAAGGCGGGATTGATGGACAGCTGAGCAAACTCTGGTGCTAACAAAACCCGCAGGAGCTCGACACCTCAACCGCTATTCTCAAGAAGAAGAAGAAGCCCAACTCGTTGATGTATGTGGGCGATGATGAACCCCATCCGCCGGCATGATACTGACAACTCATCAATTAGTGTGACGGATGCCGTCAACGATGACAACTCGGTGATCGCTCTTTCAAACAACACCATGGAGACTCTCCAACTCTTTCGTGGTGACACAGTCCTGGTGAAGGGTAAGAAGCGGAAGGACACGGTGCTGATTGTCTTGGCGGATGACGATCTGGACGATGGGAGTGCCCGCATCAACCGAGTGGTGCGCCACAACCTTCGCGTCAAGCACGGAGATGTCATCACCGTGCACCCTTGCCCTGATATCAAATACGTGAGTTGGATCCCTCGTATATTCCTTCAAGACCATTGCTGATCCTGCTCTCTATGAAACAGGCCAAGCGCATTGCCGTCCTTCCTATTGCCGACACCATCGAGGGCCTGACCGGCTCGCTTTTCGATGTCTACCTTGCTCCCTACTTCCGCGAGGCCTACCGGCCAGTCAGACAGGGCGACCTGTTCACAGTACGAGGTGGTATGAGACAAGTGGAATTCAAGGTCGTGGAAGTGGATCCCCCCGAGTACGGCATCGTCGCCCAGGACACCATCATTCACTGTGAGGGCGAGCCGATTCAACGGGAGGATGAAGAAGGTAACCTGAACGAGGTTGGCTACGATGATATTGGTGGATGCCGAAAGCAGATGGCTCAGATCCGTGAACTGGTCGAGCTGCCTCTCCGCCATCCCCAGCTCTTCAAGTCCATTGGTATTAAGCCGCCCCGTGGTATCCTCATGTACGGCCCCCGGGTACTGGTAAGACTCTGATGGCCCGTGCCGTCGCCAACGAGACCGGTGCCTTCTTCTTCCTCATCAACGGTCCCGAGATCATGTCGAAGATGGCTGGTGAATCGGAGTCGAACTTGCGCAAGGCGTTCGAGGAGGCCGAAAAGAACTCTCCGGCCATCATCTTCATTGATGAGATCGACTCGATTGCTCCCAAGCGTGAGAAGACCAATGGTGAGGTTGAGCGCCGGGTTGTCTCCCAGCTTCTCACCCTCATGGACGGCATGAAGGCCCGATCCAACGTTGTGGTCATGGCCGCCACCAACCGCCCCAACTCCATCGACCCTGCTCTTCGCCGTTTCGGCCGTTTCGACCGTGAGGTTGACATCGGTATTCCCGACCCCACCGGCCGTCTGGAGATCATGCAGATCCACACCAAGAACATGAAGCTTGGTGAGGATGTCGACCTGGAGACGATCGCCGCCGAGACCCACGGTTACGTCGGTTCCGATCTCGCATCCCTGTGCTCCGAGGCCGCTATGCAGCAAATCCGTGAGAAGATGGATCTCATTGATCTTGATGAGGACACAATTGAGGCGGAGGTGCTCGACTCCCTTGGTGTCACTATGGAGAACTTCCGCTATGCTCTGGGTGTCTCCAACCCGTCTGCCCTCCGCGAGGTGGCCGTAGTCGAAGTCCCCAACGTCCGCTGGGACGACATTGGTGGTCTGGAGGAGGTCAAGCACGAGCTCATCGAGAGCGTCCAGTACCCTGTGGACCACCCCGAAAAGTTCCAGAAGTTCGGTCTCTCGCCTTCACGTGGTGTGCTGTTCTATGGTCCCCCGGGTACCGGTAAGACCATGCTGGCCAAGGCCGTCGCCAACGAGTGTGCCGCCAACTTCATCTCGGTCAAGGGTCCTGAGCTGCTGAGCATGTGGTTCGGTGAGTCTGAGAGCAACATCCGTGACATCTTCGACAAGGCCCGTGCCGCTGCTCCTTGTGTCGTCTTCCTTGACGAGTTGGACTCCATCGCCAAGTCTCGTGGTGGCTCCGTGGGTGATGCCGGCGGTGCCTCCGACCGTGTTGTTAACCAGCTCCTGACCGGTAAGTTTCAATTTGTAGATACTGCCTGAGACCATTACTAACTAGTCAACAGAGATGGATGGTATGACCTCGAAGAAGAACGTCTTTGTCATTGGTGCTACCAACCGTCCGGAGCAGCTGGATGCTGCTCTGGTCCGTCCCGGCCGTCTTGACACGTTGGTTTACGTTCCCCTGCCCGACCAGGCTTCCCGAGAGGGCATTCTCAAGGCGCAGCTCCGCAAGACCCCCGTTGCGACCGACGTCGATATGGCCTTCATTGCCAGCAAGACCCACGGTTTCTCCGGTGCCGATCTCGGCTTCGTGACGCAGCGTGCCGTGAAGCTGGCGATCAAGGAGGCTATCACCGCCGACATCGAGCGCCAGAAACAGCGCGAGGCTGCCGGCGAGGATGTGAAGATGGAGGACGAGGAGGATCTGGAGGAGGAAGACCCCGTGCCGGAGCTCACCCGCGCTCACTTCGAGGAGGCCATGAAGTCGGCCCGCCGCTCCGTCAGCGATGTCGAAATCCGTCGATACGAAGCCTTCGCCCAGAGTCTAAAGAACTCTGGCGGCAGCAGCTTCTTCCGCTTCCCCTCTTCCGGGGAGGTCCAGGAAAACGACACGTTCGGCGAAGCCGGCAATGACGACAGCCTCTACGATTAAATGGTTTCGCTCCGGGTGATGACTTGTGTTTTCTAGTTTTCTAGTTTTTTTTCTTATTTCTGGCGATTCAATCTCTCTCACCCGGCTTTCCCATGCTGGGGATTGTCATGGATAGATCTTTTTCACAGGGGTGGGAACTCGCTATGAGAGCCGGGATGTGATTTCCCTTGGTTCTCGTCTGGTTTGCCCACATACAATGTGCCATAATAGCCGATACAGGTGGAGAAATCTCTACGTTTACCATGATTCTGTTCTAATTTTGGAGCGTATGTTATCATTGGATATTGCAAGTGCCAGCCTAGCGAAGTCTTACCACGTCACGGTATAGAGTGAGGTGACGGCGCCATATAGAAATGCTCGCAAAAGCACATCTATCTTCCATCTTATCTTCAGTCTCATTTTGCTCTCTAGACCCCGTCGCTGATATGGTTATCTAGTTCGCTGAGAGATAGATTCACACAAATGAAGTCGAAAATTATTCATTAATCTTTATAATCTATAACAGACGCAATGCAACAGAAAAACCAAGGTATAAAACAGCCGTAACTCCAGGTTGTGCGATCAACGCGAATCAACATTCATCATCAAGGCATAGATGAGCAAAAGCAACATCTCAGCAAGTTTGAACAGCCAGTTCCGAAACTATCAACTAGAACTTCGGAGTGAACTTGCTCATGGCACGGATCCTAGCACCATAGAAGTAGAATAGAATAGGAATGGGGATCATGGCGATAGTGATGAAGCCCAGCACACTGGAAGCCCAGTTCACGCCGAGGTTGTGATACATCTGGGTAGCGAAAAGCGGAAAAGCGCCACCGAGAACAGAGCGGAAGAGAGTGTTGGCGGCGATGGCCGAGTTGGCGAACATCATGTAGACGTCGATGATGTAGTTCAGCCCCTGCATGAAGATGACCAGGATGCCCATGCCGATGGGAACGCCGGCGATGACCTGCGGCACCCAGGAGATGTGCGGGCTGGAGGTCCAGCCGAACCAGAAAAGGCCGATGGGGAGCAGCACGGACGCGACCATCATGGGGATGAGACGCTCTTCGGGGACGACGTGGCCGTGCTTGGCGAGTTTGCGGGCGAAGCGGGTCTTGGTGGTGTAGACGATTAGGGCCACGCCCAGCAGCACGCCAATGAAGATGCCAATGAAGGGGAGTCCGGCGACGCCAAGGTTGGTCCAGCCGCGCTCTTCGCTGAAGGAGATTGGGTACGCCTCGAAGAACAGGTAGAGAATCCCGTAGATTAGCGCCAGATACACTGTGACGCAGAACAGGATCGGCTCCTGGAACAGCATCTGGATGGGGCGTAGCAGGTACTTGTGCATGATCTCGCTCATCGTCGGCTGGTGTTCGTCCAGGAATGAGTGCAGAGCCCAGTTGCGGGTCTCGCGACGCAGGCGCGCTGCGCGCTTCTGCAGCAGGACGGGGCTGTAGGTCTCGGGGACAATGTATAGGGCGATCAATCCAAAGAAGGATGATGCGATCATCGTGATCCATGCCGTCCAGCGCCAGCCCAGATGCGAGTCAGTGATGAATCCACCACTGTGATCAGAGTTAGCTACCTCGAACCGAGACAAGAAGATAAGATTTTCGGAGAACATACACAATCGGACCAAGGACCGGGCCTTGGAAAGTGGCCGAGCTGAACATGGCAATGGCCACCGCGCGGTCAACCGGATCCCAGAGGTCTGCCATGGCGCCGCCTACGACAGCCAGTGGCGAGCAACCGAAGACGCCGATCAGGAACCGGCTGACCATGATAGTCTGCAGGTTCTGGGCCACAGCCACAGGGATCTGGAAGATAATGAAAACGGCATAGCCGAAGAACAGCGGCAACCGACGCCCGTAGAGCTCACTTAACGGCGCCCAGAACATGGGACCCAGAGCAAAGCCGAAGATGACCAGACTCGTCCCGAGGATCATGACTTCGGTCGACACGCCAAACTCCTCCGAAGTCACCATCGTTGCGGTCGAGAAGACACTGGATGCGAAAGTGATCCACACCGTCATCAGAGACATGCTCACTGTGATGGCCCATTTCCGCGACTTCGGGAAATTCTGAGGATTCTCTGGGTCGTCGGGTCCGTCCCATTCCACGAGGTTAGGGTCTTTCTCGGTGGACTTTTCCGGTGGTGAGCCGCGGCCGCTCTCGACATCTGTGTCTTCGGCAGGCAGCCCCTTGGCGAGGACACCGTTGGTGTCTGCCTCTGGCTCAGCGTTGGTGTTGTGGTGATCCATACTTAGGCGAGGCGTGGTGGCAGTCGAATCAAATGGGTTGGCGCTCATGGCTAGTGTGCAAGTATGGAGAAGAGATCGACTGCTCATGACAATTTTGAATATTTTCTAGAACTCGAGCATGAGCCATAGTTAAGTATGCTCAAGTATAAGGAAGCAGCACTCGGGGCTTACCAAAAGCATTATCTCCGACCCCATCAAGGGACGCATGTTGACAAATGCCATGTGGGACCTCGAGCTGCTCGGCACTCCCATCAAGCTATCTCCGTGTGCTTGACGCCCTAAACCCCGATGCGTTATTGAGATGAAAAATCAAGAAACGGTGCTTTCCGTGGTTTTTTCCCGCATGAGTCAGTTTCATGTTGGACTTGGTTTAGCGCCCACGAGGACTGATGAGCAGAAACCACGAGGCAACACTGCAAGTTCACGGGTAGTTTTTTTTTTTTTTTTTTTTTTTTTTTTTTGCATGAAATCACTCTGATATCTGGCGGGGAGGACCATGGGCACACTCAAAATCTGTTTACACGATTTGCCTGGACCATTGCGTGTGTCGCCACAAGTACCGGAAAATAAAAAAAAATTAAGAACGGCCAAGCTGCTGGATCATTACTCGGAGGCCGTTGAGCGTCGGAGTCGGTCTCAGCGCGACCCCGAAGACGCGAGTGGATCCACTTCGGTAGATGCCGGCCGTTTCTCTTCCGATTGAAGTAGGGTAAGTAGCTCTGGGGTGGAGGGTTTTTGATTTGATGTCGGATTTTCTTAAAGAGTATAGCTGTCGGAGAAGTTAATCATAGTCTCTTGGTGTGTGCTGGCCATGAGCCATGGTCGTTTCACGTCAGATGTCAATCAGGGTCCATGGATAGATCATCTAGCCCCTAAACAGGACTATAGCTGGGGCGAATCCTGTTTGAATTGAGCTGCTCTGCTTTGTTGCAGCGAGCACATGTCCAGTGCTAGCCACAGCAAATGCATGAAGCTGCCAGCAAATCCCCTAGACATGGCTGTTAGGTCCTGGGAACCTGGGTCGCCTAAAGTGGTGGCCATCTGCCCCGAGGGTCATTGGATAACGCCTGGGTAAGATGCATCGAATATGGCAAAGGACTCTTAGCGATAGTTCCACTTGGACACAAGCCAGATGAACGATGGATGAAAAAGGAGAGAGGGCTCTGTAGTGACTTACCCCCCCAAATAGGGCAGACGCGGTCCCGTGAAACGCGTCGGGCGGTCAACCTCCACCTCAACCTGGCACCGCGTTGCTCTCTCCAACTCCCTTCCATGTGAGACTTCCTCAACCACATCATGCCTTCGCGTTCTCGCCAGGGTCCTACGGAGGTGGAGGAGGAATCCGGGCTTCGCAGCCTCTCTTTCAATCAACCACTCTCGTGGCGCGTGGGGCGTGCCGCTATCCCCATCGCCGAGTTACTGGACCGCCTCCAGACCCTCGCGCAGGAACTCCGCAAGCTCGAACAGGAGGAAGTCGACCAGGAATCGCTGCGGAAGGTTTCACAAGAGCTTGCCAGTGGGCAGCTCCTCGCGCACAAAGACAGGGGAGTTCGGGCCTGGGCCACGTGCTGCATCGTCGATGTCTTGCGACTTTGCGCGCCGGAAGCGCCCTTTACGAGAAACCAGCTTAAGGTGCGCGACTATGCAAACATGGTCCCAGATCGTGTCTTGATGCGACCGGGAGGGGGACGCGCGCTGACACTTCAAAACTCACGTAGGACATCTTCACTTGTATCGTGACATCCATCATCCCCGCGCTCGCCGATCCATCCAATGCCTACAATGCGCAGCACATTTACGTCCTGGGTTCCCTCGCCGAGGTGAAGAGTGTGGTTCTCATCGTCGACCTCGATCATGCGGAGTCGCTCATTGTCGCGCTCTTCACGAGCTGCTTCGACATTGTTTCGGGGTCCTCCAAGGCCTCGACGGGTGAGGAGGTGGCCAAAGGGGTCGAGTTTGACATGACTCGGGTACTTGTCACGGTGGTGGATGAGATCGTCATCTTAACCCCCGAGGTCGTGGATATCATTGTGGCGCAATTCTTACGGGTAGACCCGCGAATGCTGGACAACCCTAGCAAGAAAGGGAAACGGCCAGACGCCCCGCTCGATGCCAAGCAGGATACTCTTTTGCTCAAAGACTATCCGCCAGCCTACAACATGGCCAAGGCAATTTGTCAGGCATGCCCCGAGCGAATGACGAGCCACATCGGACAGTACTTCAATAATGTTATCATCGACGCGTCCGTAGTTGCCGGTCCAACACACGGGTCCAAGCATGGGTCCCGGAAACCCAATCTCGACGACTCGGATGAGGAAGGAGAGGATATCAAGGAGTTAAGCAAAGCGCACCGTCTCATTCGTGAGCTCTGGCGCGCCTGCCCGGAGGTTTTACAAAACGTGATCCCACAAATCGAAGCGGAGCTGTCTGCGGAATCGATCGCATTGCGTCTGTTGGCTACTCAGACCATTGGAGATCTTGCCGCGGGGATTGGTGTGGCTGGTGCTCCTCCAACGCCTCCAATGGATCCTGCGGCATACCCACCGGTGGCATTGGTGGACTATGCACAGCTGATTCCCCAGCCGAATGTCCTCTTGACACCCGTTTCCCCGAAACCTTTTTCTCAAGTTCATGCCTCAGCCTATGAGGCCTTTCTGAGCCGACGCCTCGACAAAACACCATCAGTCCGTGCTGCCTGGGTCACTGTCGTGGGACGCATCCTCTTGACTTCGGCAGGGGGGTCCGGTTTGAGTGAAAGCGAAGAACAGGGGCTCGTCCGAAGTCTTGCCTTGATGCTCCGTGATGCGGATGAGAAGGTTCGCGTCGCTGCAGTGGATACAGTGGGTCAGTTCGGCTTGAACCACATTGTCCACAAGCTGGGTGTGGATGGCGGCTGCTCGTCGCCGGATTCAGTATTTGCCATTCTCGCCGAGCGAGTGAAGGATCGCAAGCCCCCGGTTCGCGAACACGCTATGAAGATCCTGGCTCGAATGTGGGCGGTGGCCGCTGGAGATATCGAGCAAAATACCGAACCCGTGGTGTCGCTTCTGAAAGACGCTCCGTCTAAAATCTTCGATGCCTTCTATACCAACGACCAAGAGATTCACGTTTTGATTGACCGCGTATTGTTTGAAACCCTCCTCCCGCTCAACTATCCTCCAATCAAGTCGAAACTATCGCGAGGAGGCTCGAATCAGTCACAGAAGCAAAAAGATAGTCAGCCTTCGGAAGCCGACCAGGAGACAGATATCGACAAGATCCGCGTGCGTCGGGTACTCACTCTGCTCAGGGGATTGGACGAAAAAGCTCGACGAGTCTTTTTCGTCATGCTCGCCCGCCAATTATCTATGAGGATGGCTGTTACCATGTACTTGGAGGCCTGTGAGAGCTACAATGTAAGTGTCTTGGCGATCTTATTCAGCTTCATAATTTGATACTAACTCAGGATTCTAGGGTGGTGTAATTGACAAAGGCGAGCAACAGGCCAAGGCACAACTGTCGAAGATTGTTGACTCGCTGTCCAAGACTTTCCCGGATGCTTCCCGCGCCTCAGCCGATCTATGGAAGTTCGCCAAAGTACATGATCGACGCAGCTATCAACTGGTCCGGTTTGCTATGGCTGCTGTCAGTGATTATCGCACTGTGATCAAGGCCATCAAGGAACTTCAGCGGCGCGTACAAAGTGCAAACAACTCGCCCTTGCTAGAGACACTGACCCCTCTTCTGTACCGCTGCGGATCCCTCATCTTTAACCGGAGTCATATTCCAGCTATCATGAGCCTCTCCCGAACAGACGAGAACGGGCTCGCGAATGCAGCCCAGGAAATGCTCAAGCAGATCTCATCCCAAAACCCCGAAGTCCTGGAGGCACAAGTCCAAGAGATGTGCAAGGATCTCGAAGCGCAAGCTCCCAAGGCTTCATCGGCTGGCGACGCTGGCACGGAAGAGATCCTGAAGGCTTGTGCTGGGTTTGCCAAAAAGCTGCCAGCAAAGCTTCCGAAGGAACGCAAGTTTTTCCAAGCTCTCACCAACTATGCCCTCTACAGCTCCTCGCCACATGCGGCCAAGCATGCTGTCTCCATCCTCATGGCCACTGCCGATCGAAAAGAGATGTATGCTAAGGATCTGGTGCAAAAGTGTGTCAAGAAGTGGACATACGGATCCGATCGGTTCCTTACTCGTCTAGCTGCCTTGTCGCAGCTAAGTCTCCTCGCGCCAAGGGAGGCTGACGAAGAAAGCGACACAATTATTTCAATCGCTATCAATCAGATTCTTCTGGTCAACCGCGCTTCTCAGACAGATGCCGGTTATAGCTGGTCTGACTCGGTGGATGATGAGACTCACGCTAAGGAATGGGCGCTCAAGATCATAGTCAACCGGCTTCGTGCCACGGACGGCGCGGATGACGAAGCAGACTTCCGCGCTCATGCAGAGCCCGTCTACCGCACATTAAATAAACTAGTCACCGGCGAAGGCGAGCTGTCCAAGAAGAAGGATACGCCAGCTGGCCAGAAGTCGCGGCTACGCCTCCTTGCTGGCAAGTCCCTGGTCAAACTGTGCGCGTCTAGCAGCCTCTGCGACCAGCTTTTGACCCCAGCGGATTTCAACTCAATCGCACTGATGGCGCAAGACCCGCTGCTATTAGTTCGAGGTGGGTTCATCAACCACCTGAAGAAGAAACTCGTGCAAAAATCGCGGCTCGGTCACCGATGGTACATAATACCTTGCCTGCTTGCCTTCGAGCCCAGTGTTAGCCTGAAGGAGAGCACACTCACCTGGCTACGGTCTCGCGCAGCATTTTTCTCTCAACAAGCCCAAGCAAGTGGGAAGCGGACTGACCAAACGATAGTCATGGAATTGCTTTTCTCGCGACTGCTGTCTCTGCTTGCGTATCACCCTGATTACCCGCCCGAGGACTTGGATGAGTCGACCAAGCTCGGTGACCTGAGCGATTTCTCGCGATACATCCTCTTCTATCTCTCCGCAGTAGCTAACGAACAAAATCTGTCACTGATCTTCCATGTCGCCCAGCGCGTCAAACAATTCCGTGACGGTATCACCAAATCTGACGAAATCTCCACTCGTCTCCACACACTGTCCGATCTCGCCCAGGCCACCATCCGTCGTTTTGCCGACATCTATTCTCAGCAACACAAGTTCGGCGGGGGTTCTGGCGGGACTAACATCCTGCAAACGTACCCAGGGAAGATGGGCGTGCCCAGCTCCCTGTTTGCTTCTATGAGCGGCCACCGTGAGGCGCAAGATGTCGCCGACAAGAACTTCCTCCCCGACGAGATGGACGACCTACTGGATCGCGTTGTGCGTACTGCTATGAAGCCCAAGAACAGCTCCTCTCATGGCGGGCATGGTGGTCCGGTGAAAAAACGTAAACCCGAGTCTTTGGATGCCAATGGCAACGCATCCGCGACCAAGAAGATCCGCAGAGACAAGGGCAAGGCTGTTCGTCCACCACGCAAATCTTTGTCAGTCGGTGCGTCGGCCAAGGCCCCCAGACGCAAGCGCAAGAACGAGGACGAGTGGTCCTCTGATGGCGGCGCAGCGGAACAACCTTCATCTGCCCGCCGGCGCAGCAGCAGAGGCGTCAGCAAGAAGGATGTCAGCTATGCAGACCACGACAGCGACGAGGATGATCAGGAGATGGAAGAGTGGGACCAGGCCCCCCCAGCGAATGGCCATGACGATGCTGCGGAAGAGGACAGCGACGATGAAGAAATGCAGGATGATGAGGGTGATGAGAAAGCCGGCGAGGCCGACGAGCCCCAAGAAAATGACGAGAACGATGAGCCCGAAGCCGCCAGCGAGAAGGAGGCCACACCTCCTGCTCCCCCCTCGAAGCGAGGTGTCCGAACCAGCGAGACCAAAGCCAGCCGTGCTAAAAAGCCGACGACCACGACTTTGCCGACGCGTCGCTCGTCGCGGCGAGGATAAAAGATGGTATTGATTTTCTCTCAGTCTTTTCGGCCTTTGATTTACTCGAGTCCTGAACCACATTCGCGTTGATGTTTTATTTATTGTCTTGTTTTTTTCTTCTCTTTTCTTCTGGTGTCTTTCTTTCTTTCTTTCTTTTTCACCTTGTATGCCCATTCGTACTCTGATCATCTGCCAATTCCCATTCATATCTCCGTCTTGTGTGTTTGTTGCCATGACAGTTCGAGATGTATACCCCAGTTGTACTGCACTCCAATATTATCCTTATGTAAATGAAGAGTGATTTGTCATGTATCTCATACTTGTTTATCTTACTTGTCTATCCTAACTCAGATTCCTCCACTTTTGATCTTAATCTCTAGCCTTGAACCTTGGTTAGAGTCAAGGTGATGGTAGAAGCATGAGGCAGCGCATAAGAAACCTATGAATAACATATTTACTCTCTGGTCTACCATCCCACACGACTTATTACACACACAAGGAAAAAAGAGAAACGGAAAAAAAAAAGAGCAGTAAAAGAAGCAGCAATGAAGACGCATCAAGCCGAAACCAACACCCGCTACCCCTCGGGAGGACCCAGGGTAGCTGCCACGCAGATCGAAGCCCCTATACAACGCCCGCCTGGAAATGGACCAAACAAAAAAAGTCTTGGGATTGGATGAAGATCGCATGGATCAATGATGTAGCAACAGGAAAAAAAGAATACAGTCCATTCGAAGGAAAGGGGAACATCACACACACTCGAGACGCCGTGGTCATCGCTTCATCAAGGAAATTTCTGACTATGGCTGGGGGGTCGCGCCTAGGGCAGGGCTGGCGCTGGCAGGAGTCCCGCCGCCTGGACTGGCACTTGCACTGCCCGTTTCGGAGTGCACAACGCCTCCGGTCTTCTGGAGACGTTCTTCCACGCGCTCCTTGTGCTGTCGGTTGCGGAGGTGAACTTCGAAGTTGTCGACCGTCATACCGGGCCCCGGGGTGTACAATTTCCCGGGACAATCGTGGCAGCGGATGCGGGGGAGGTATTGGTATTTGATCTTCTGGCCCGACTGAAGGTTATTGGGATTGGCCACGGGAGCCAAAGTTTCCATATCCACAGCCGAGTAACGCATCACTCCTTCAAACGAATCATTGGGATGAGATTGCTTAAGTCGGTTGAGGCCGGCCGCAAGCCAGTTGGGTGGTGGGGGCTGAATGGGCAGCGGTCAGACATGGGACCAAGAATCAGGTTAAAATCGTCTACTCACTCCAGAGACCCCGGGTTGGGGAGGGTTTGGCGCATCAACTGCTCCGGTCTGTTGTGGTCGCACAGGTGGGTGGATGCGAGATTGCTTGTCGGAAGGAGGCGCCATGGCTCGCGCGGATGCGGTGGGTTGCGGGGAGGAAAAAATTCGCTTTCCATTCCTCAGGTCGACCAACTTGTCTCGGGAGATCTTAAGCCTCACAATCAACTTCTCAGGCTCCTCCACACTCTCCTCGCGGTATTGCTGTCTTCGGGCCGAGACCCGCGGCTCAGATACCACCGGTTCGGGGGTCGCCGATTGTCCTAGACTGGCACGCAGGGCGGCATGAGCTGCGGTCGCCGCACCTCTCATGCCCCGTGTGCGTGCAGTGCCTTGGGCAAGATTCGGTCCAATGGCTGGTGACCCTACAGAGGAATCATCGCTATCAAAGTCGTCCGAATCATCATCTCGTGTTCCAGCCATGCCGCGGCGACGACCAGAGCCAGAGCGCTTTATCACATTGCTCTCTTCCATGGACGGTGCCGAGTTGGGGATGACCGATGAGACAATCATGGTTCGAATAGTGCGTTGGCGATCCTTCAAATCGGGGAGGGCGGGGCCACCACGACGATTAATGGATCGCTTCTGTCGACGTTGTTCTCGTGATATTGAAATTTCGGTTCGCTCGAGATCGGCCTCATTCAACTCGTAGAGATATGGCGTGTGTTCCTTAGCCGATTGGTATGGGCGGAAAGCCGAAGCAACTGGAGTGGGGAGGAAAGAAGTGTTGAGATCAGGATCCTCGATGGGACGACCGTCGAATGAATGAGCGACGATGTAAAGTGACTTGGTGAAAAGCTGAGACTGCTCGCGAATGGAATGGGCGATCGCGGTGGTGAACTCGCCAGAGAGGGACAGCTCTTCCGTCATGCGCAGAGCGAACTCCTCCGGCGAGTTTCGTGGATCGTTGATATCCCACTCGAACTGGTCAATCAGGGTGTGCTGGCCAATGGTGATGTTCAACTTGACCAAGATGCGCATCTCATCGTTTTTGTATGCGCTATACGGGAGGTGGGGGTCGAGAGGTTCCTCGTTAATAAAGATTTGCGGGTAATAATCCATCAGCTGTTCCTGAATGCTCTGCGAAATCATGCGCATCAGTGGACCGGCTGTCTCCAGTGCGAGGCCCAGATCCTCCACCAGTTTCTCGGCAAACAGGTCCGGCGACACCACACGGTCGTGCAGATTCCAGGTGAAAGTATCACGGATTTTGACCTTCTCCCAGTCGATATCAAGCCGAATAGGTACCAAGTCTTCGTTTTGTTCGCTTTGAACTTTCATATCACGACGTGAAATGCGTAATTCCCGTGTCTTCCGGTTTCCCGGCCGTCGTCGATGGGATGGGTACAACAGCTGTGAGTGTTGATTACGCAGATCCGTGCGCAGATTTCCGAAGCCTTCATAGCCCACTCCATACAAGGCCCCCGGGTTCATCTGGTTCTCCCGGCGCAATGCCAGGTAGAAATCTCGCTCTGTCCGCTTCTGCTGCTGCCATTCCTGGGTCGGGTTATGCCACGCGGCTGCGGCCGAATGCTGAAACTCGCGGTCGACGTACTGTTCTAGCAAAATCTTGTCCAAGGGTGCCTCACGAACGCGTACAGGCATAGCAGTGGAGGGGTCGGCGGACGCGATCACGGATCCATTGCGTGATCGCTTCTTGCTAGAGGCGGAACCGTTTGTGCCGTTCGACTGGGGGGTGCCATTGGAGTCATCCGATGATCCTGATGCCTCTAGCATGGCTTTCGCGTTCTGCTTTCCTTCTGCAATCGCATCTGGTGTTGGGCCATTGACCGCTTGGTCTATCCCTGAGTCGAAGTCTCCACCTTGATCCCCCGGGTCGAACGCGCCCGAGTTATTCTGAACCCCTAATTGAGGGTCACCGGGAGATTGCTCGGACTGCAACGAGCCACTCTCCAATTCGGGAGACGGCATGGCCGACATGGAATTGAAACAAAATAAACGCCCGCTATTACTCGCACGACAATCGACGATGGGGGTAATACTGGACGCGACAGGGATATTTCACGGGTAGTTTATGGCAGCATCATGGAGCGAAACCTAAAACACGGTGACATTGTTAGTGAATACTCATAAAACGACAGACAGTCAACTCGATGAGTCGCGCAATTGCGTGGCTGCAGTCCTCTAGCGCGATGCCGATGGATAGGCGTGTCGCGACCGACGGTCGCATGTCCCGGGTACGCCACGAAGGGTCGCACGTTGTGAGCGCGCAACGGAGTAAAATGGAAATAGACAAGATAATAAGAAAGAAACAAGACAACTATTGCAAACATAGGGGTGCGAGGGGTAGATATATCAACATACCAGAGCCGAGAAGGGAACGAAGGTCTGAATGGGAGGCCAGTTCCAGCGCAGAATCCGGAGCCAACGGTGGGAGTGTGTTGACTCCCCAAGAGCAATGAAACCTTAGAATCACTCTGAATATCCCCTTGGGTATTCCGACCGGAATGGGGGTCCGATGGTGTGGCGCGGAGAGATGGGGGAGAGTGAAGGCAGAGAGGGCCGGGAGAGAAAGAGGTTGAGCAGGTGTCCGCACCCGTCAGGAGGCAAAAGCAGGCAAGCACCAAGCCCTCCATCCACGACAACAACAAGAGGGAGGGTATGTCACGATCGATTTTACGGGCTACTGAATGAACTTCTGAGGCTATCCCCTGTCACAACTTTCATCCGAGCTACTGCGACGCCAGGTTGATCCATTTGCCCAGATGCTTCCAGGTCATGTGACTATGTCTGCCTTGGGGATATGGCGGGATTTTTGTCACTTGTCCTTTTCATGCCGAGGTTGGCTCGGCAATAATCAATTTCGGATCTGAGTCAAACGATTTGCTTTATTGTGATACTGGGGTTATCTTTATGCGGTGGATAAAACCTTGATTCCATGGAGATCAAGAAATGGTTGCTACTGTAATTTATATATAGTTGTCGGGACGTATATCCATCGTGCCCGGACTATGGATCTCGCCAAAAGAGAAAAAGAAAAAGAAAAAAAACATTTCTGTCCCGCAAGCTTCCTTTCTTTAAGATGAGAGTGTCAAATCGACAACCACTGCACAATGATCCGAATTGTGTACTCCGTCGTCGAATCGATTTTCCAACACAGCATAGCCATCTACTTTCCATGCCATGGTTCCCTCACTCAAGAGAATGTAGTCAATACGGGAGGGTGGATTGTCTTCGTACCCAAACCCTGTGAAGGTATTATAGTGGCCATATCGGCGCGAGGAATCCACTAGTTTGTAGGGATCCCGCAAGCCGCCCGGTGCGGTCAGCTCGGAATATGCTTCTTGGTTCTCGGCGCTATTCAGATCACCAGCCAAGAAGGTACCCGAAATACGGCTTCCAAAGTCGCCCTCAGAGTATTCTCGAATTTTAGCGCGGAGGATCCGCGCTCCCTCAAACCGAGCATGCGAGCCATCGTTGTCGAGGTGGGTGTTCATGGCGAGCACAGTATAACCACTGGCCCGGTGGGTAAACATCCCGATGGTCACAATACGGATTGAGGTCGCATCCCAGCCCTTGGAGGGTTTCTCGGGGGTTTCAGATATCCACACGGTCTCCCAATGCTGTAAGTCCCAGGCTGATGGTCGGTAGAAGATGGGAGAATACTCGCCCGCTTCGTGGCCATCATCCCGGCCCACGCCGATGTACGCCCAGTCCAGTACTTCGGGGCTTGTGTCTGGGTTCAGCCCCGCAAGAATATCCACAAGCTGATTGTGAAATACCTCCTGCAGACACAGAAATGTATCCTCACAGCGACGAGTGTGGTACTCGAACTCGTTCAGCAGTAGTTGCTTGCGCTCGGCCCAGGGTCGTTCCCCCTTCCAGGGAGCAGACGTGACATGTCGGACGTTATGACTCAACACTCGAATGGGAAGTTCACCAGGAAGCTTCATCGTGTTATGTCACCGCTACAGCGGGTGATGTTTCCTGAGAGGGGGGGAAATGTGCAAGGTAGAATGGCTTCAAGTCGGGGGAGAAAGTACGCGAAACGCTTACCCCCGAAGCCAAGGCCATTCCCAGCCCCTCTAAAGACCCCCTCATGAGGCATTGAAGGATTTCCCCCATGGCATCTGCGGGGTTTTGCTGGTCTTACACCTCTCAACAAGCGTGCACCGACGATGACGTCTTTGCGGCCGTAACCCTAGCCGGTTGTCGCCTGAGTGATCAGGCATTCATCCACCCCACCACCGGTCGCTCGTTCGCTGCACACGACGTGCTCTCGATTCATTCCTCTACAGCTCCCCGCGGATTCAGGATCCGACAACTGTTGCCAAAACCACCTGCATAAATCTCGTCCTCGTGCTACCGCGAGGCCAATTTACTTCACAATGGCGGAGAACCAACCGACCGAGCCCGGTATGTAGCCTCCACTCGAGGTAGAAAGCTCTGACGTTTGTGTGGGCATCGGCCATGAGCTTTGTGCTCAAGAACGCCAACGCGAAATCTTCCCGTCGGACTAGATAACTAACAGCTGTGTTTTATAGACTACACGCTCAACAACCCGGACACCTTGACTAAGTACAAGACCGCCGCGCAGATTTCTCACAAAGTCCTCGAGGCTGTTGCCGGTAGGCCGTGACCTTCCACTCGATTTTCTCGTGCGATCTAACGTTTCTATATAGCTCTGTGTTTGGAGGGAGAGAAGATCGTCGAGATCTGCCAGAAGGGTGACAAGCTCCTCGACGAGGAAATCGCCAAGGTCTACAAGGGCAAGAAGATCACCAAGGGTTGGTTTACCCTCGATATAGCTGGTCAAAAGATGGAGACTAATTTTTGAAGGCATCTCTCACCCGACGACCATCTCCCCCAGCTCCTATGTGACTCCCTACACCCCCTTGGTGTCGGATGCCGCCGAGGCCGAGACTACCTTGAAGGCCGGCGAGATCATCAAAATCCAGCTTGGTGCCCAGATTGATGGCTTCGGAACCATCGTCTGTGACATGCTTGTAATTTCCAAGAAGGATGCTCCCAAGGAACCTGTCACGGGCCGCGAGGCCGACCTGATTGTTGCGACTCACTACGCCAACGAGCTTCTGTTGAGACTCATGACCCCCCCGGGCTTGTTGGCCCAAGGCAGCGACGAAGAGAAGCAGAAGGCTGCCAAGCAAAAGGCCCCGACTCAGGCCCACATCTCTGCTCTGCTGGAGAAGGTTGCCAAGGCCTACGACTGCAATGTTGTCGAGAACACCACCAGCTGGCTGTTTGACCGCAACGAGATCGAGGGCGAGAAGAAGATCATCCTGGCCCCCGGCAACGGTGTGCGAGGCGATGGTGTCCCCGAGGTCGGCGAGGTCTGGGGTGTGGAGGTTGGTCTCAGTCTGGGATCTGGCAAGGTCAAGACCCTCGACCACCGCGCAACTCTGCACCGCCGTACCACTACCACCTACATTCTAAAGCGCCCCAGCTCCCGACAGACTTTGTCCGAGATCGTCAAGAAGTTCGGCACCTTTCCCTTCAGCTTGCGCCAGCTCGACGACGAGAAGGCCGCCAAGGTCGGAGTGGTTGAGTGTGTGCGCGGCGGTGTTCTGCGACAGTACGAGCCTGCCGGCGATGCTGATAACGCCCCGGTCTCCCGTCTGCTGACGACGATTGGTAAGAATACCCAAGTGCGATGAAACCCCATCGGAAAAGAAGAAACTAACCGGACCCACAGCCATCACCAAGAACGGTATCACCAAGCTGGCTGCTGCGAATGCCCCTGATCTCTCTCAGTTCAAGACCGACAAGAAGATCGAGGATGAGGAGATCCTGAAGATCCTGGAACAGCCCTTGGCCCGCTCGACCGGCAACAAGAAGAACAAGAACAAGAAGAAGAAGGCCACTGGCGGCGAAGAGTAAGATGCGTTGACCAGACCGCCACTGTCCTTTTATGTGCGATCCATTCCGATCTAGTGTTGGAATCCCCATCAATCTTGAATCAAAACAGATATCCAATGGGCTTCTTTGCAGCTTACCAAAAAAAAAATCTATCCGAAAAAAGAGAAAGGGATGATGTTGTTACTCCGAGAAAGGCTGATGAAACCATTCGCCAAAGATTCCGGTATATAGTTCACCAACTAATTATGCCCGCGAGAGCTGTTCCATTGTTAAGCCATGTGTTCAATGGAGATGTTGTCAGCCCGTACTCTAGTGTAGATGTATTGGATATCTCTATAGAAGACTTCTTTTCATGGTAATCCATGGGCTACCTTCTGTCCACACGGGATTGCTCATGAGACAGGAGTTCTCTTGAAGCCACTGTGAATCAAAGCTAGTGTTCTTAATTATCTTACCCAGTATTTCTTTCAATTGGGGACGATAACCCCGAGGCTGTTTCATCCTATCAGACGTGGCTTCAAAACAAATAGGATTGTTGCCGGTTTCTATCTTGATCCTGGTGTTTCAGCAAAGGTAACATGAATAGCATAGGATGCTCCTCAGCTGGCTGTATACACCACAATGGCTCCCCCATATCCTTCTAAGTCATTGACTTGCTATATCTCATAGATATCCCGAACTTGGGAGTTTGTCACCGAGAATCTCGTCAGACTCCCCGGCCAGAGACTCCAAGTCTGTCTCCTGTAGATTCGACAATGCATGGAATTTCAATAGAGAAATGGTAGGGTGATCAATGCACCCATCGTCTTTAGCTGGTCTTCCTCAATTGCCAAACGCGCAGGCTTCCACGAGATGTGTCAGGCAGAGCCTGTTTCTCTCACTTCATCACAATTGCCTGAATCGGCCTATTGACCCAGCCCCTCAAGGCAGATGCCTCAGTATCTATTATCTTCCTCTCACTTTTTCCCTCTCTCTTCTCCTCTTCCCCCTCACCCTCGCCCTTCTCACACTCTCCCATCCAGTCCCCGCTGGATGCCCTGCTTCTTTTCGTTTTCTTTTACATTTTCATTTGAAGTAAGTCAAGATCGAGTCAGTTCTGCCCATTTGAGAGCTCTCCCCAGAGAGTCAAGTCCTGAGGCAACTCAGGTTTGGGAGTCAACACAACGGAGTTGTGGCTGTCTCTGAGAGGGATTGACCACTCAACTTGACTGAAGTGAATTCACTGACATTCGAGTAGAATTCTTTTTTGTCTCTTTTTTTTTTTTTTTAAAAAAAAAAAAAAAAAAGAAATCCTTTTTCCAGCCCCGTCGCGGGGTCCGATCACTCGTAAGTGACTCTCACAGTTAGGGCATTGCAGGCGGCACTAACCCTAGGCAGGGCCCTTCCGCCTACCACGATGGGCTACTTCACCCGGTCGCGCGGCCGGTTGGACACTCCGCCCAAGGAGCAGCCAAAGCCGCGCAAACTTCAGAAGAACCCGCGCCGCGTCCAGAAGCCGGCGACCGAGCCTGTGCCTGACCTGCAAAATGATTGCGTGAGGTCCGGCCCTCTGGAGAACGCGTTGCCTCCATCGTCGCCGCGACTTACCAGCGCCGACTCTGCTGGGACCGACACCAATCCCCAGCGCGCCGCAGCGGAGACCATGAAGCCGATCGGCCAGTACCCGTCGCCCGCCGAGTACAAGACCGCCGGCCTGACCCCGCCAACCAAAAATTCCTTGCTGAAGGCGAAGGGGTCTCTGCGAGCTGAGGGAGCGGTGCCCAACCCTGCCTCCGACACGATCATCACCCCCGTCGCGGACGAAGCGATCGTACCCGATGTCCCGCGCACCGAAGACGACGATGTGGTGATGAGCGGAGCGGAGGCAGAGTCGGCCGCAGACGTTGCCCAAGAAGCCGTGGCTGGAGAGGTGGGCGTGGAAGATGTCCTTGACACCAATGTCACGACCCCCGCGTCCTATGCAGTCGACAACCCGACTACACACTCCTCGACTTCCCCCTCCCTCGAGGTTCCGGCGCATGAAGCCGTTCCTCAACTCTCCGTCACCGACAACCAGGGAGACGCGCCTGACGCCGAAACCCCAGTCCTCGAAACCCAGTCGACCGTAATCGGTGCTGTTGTAGATACTGCAGCTTCTGAGAGCGAGTCCGCTACGCCTCCGGATTTCGCAGCTGTGCTGGATTCTCTTCCTCTCCCCATGTCCGACACATACGATGTTCCTAAGCTGAAGCAGGTCTTGAAAATTGCCGTCAATCACTCTCTCCAAAAAGGGCACGCCGATGCCGCCCTGAGCATCGTTTACTTTTGGTCTGATGTCTCGAATGATGATTTCAAGCTGTCGTTGATTGAGAACCTTTCCCGCGACGTCCTTGATCACAATCTTGAGCTCGCCCTGAGGGTCATCTTGCGCGACTCGATGAATGATGCTGTCAAGTGGTACGAGACTTACACTGCGGAACGGGAACAATCCACCCTTCACCATGACTCTGGTAGCGAGTCGAGTCTTTCATCTGCCAAATCGGTTGACCCGGAACCGATTGGCCAGACGGGCTTTAAGACCACAGAAATCTACCGCGACACTTCCGGTCCGCGAGTCGAAGAGGCATTCAGAAATGGTAAATCCAATACCGCGCCTTTGAAGAGACCCAAGAAGCGATGCCCGGTCAATGAACATGCATACAAGCGCCGACGCGATTGGGAGACAGATCCTGACCTAGAAGAGTCGTTGCGCGTCAAACGCCAGAACCTGACCGAGCAGGCTGCTTATATGCTCCCTCAAAGCGTTGAGCATAGTGCAGTCCGTGAAGATGAAGAAGGACAGCGAGTGAAATGTCGTCTCATTCTGTCTGTGAAGAAGAATGGGCACAAGACTCGCGATACCGCTCCTAAAACTGCAGACCCAACCTCTGCTGGCCCTGGAAACAACCCTCCTTCCCGTGGACGTCGGCTTAATAGCACTCGTGCGAAGTCAAAACGCACCAGCCAGCGGGTACAGAGTCCGGTTCGGTCGCTTTCTGTCGACACCACTCTCTCGAGCATCTCTACCTTATCCAACTCGGCTTACTCGGAGAAGTCCAACAAGTGGGCCGCCGAGCATGAACCACGGCGTATGCCGAATTCAATGTACGTGTTTCGTGGGTGCGACCGTCTCCATGTCTATTCAAACTAACACTCTCGCAGTGAGCCACCTGAGAACAGCGACAACTGCTATGAATGCGGCTCCGGCGGCGAGCTTCTCTGCTGCGATACTTGCCCCAATGCCTTCCACTTCAAGTGTTTAAACCCCCCTATGGACCCGAAGAATCCGCCGCAGGGCGAGTGGTACTGTCCCAGGTGCACAGTCCGAAACCCCTTTACCACGTTGATCGCGCACACCCACCACAAAAAGAAGACTCAGTTCAGCCTGCCCCAGGGCATCAAAGAACACTTCCTCGGAGTCGGCGAGGGAGTCGTGCACGACACCGCATATCCGCGCGATCAAAAGAATCAGCAATACTACAAGCCGGTCCCCCACCTGCCGCGGCTGACTAAGCCACCCAAGACCCCTGGCCCTACTCCCGAATACACCAACGCCTCCCTTCTGCGCGAATATGACGCCAACAAGAACTTGATCTGGTGCTTCAAATGTGGAAAAACTTCGGGCGGTACTCATCCCATCATCACTTGTGACTATTGTCCCTGCCGCTTTCATCTTGACTGTCTGAATCCGCCCCGCGCCAACCCCCCAAACCCTTCTGTCGGGTGGATGTGCCCGAATCATGTAACTCCTGATGATATGATTGCGACCAAGGAAGTTGACGGCCAGACGCGTGTGCGCCGTGTGCGCCGAACCAAGAACATGCAGTCGATTGATATCGACGTTCGTCTCCCTGAGACCTCTGACCAGACCATGTTCGATGACGACTGGCGGGAGAAAAGGGCCCATCTCCCTGCTGGCGACATCACCATGGACTTTATCAGTTCTGTCAAGGAGAAGCGCGAGAATCGCACCCGCAGCTTTTTCAAGAATGTCGAAAAGCAATGCCTGAAGATGGCCAAGCAGATGACCTTGGACTTTTTCGCTCGCACCGGTAACTCTGGTATCACGAGTTCGAACGGATGTCCCGTCGAACTGGTGCAGAATATCTCTTCTGGTTTGCAGAATGTACAGAGTGGCACATGGTCCACTGATCAATTCGATGCCGCCGCTTGTCTTCTCAACCTTTCTCAGACCGCAGTGCCCCCCAATGCATTCGCCGAGGGTGGCTGGTCGCAAACCGATTCCTCCGGCTCCAAACCTGACGAGGCCATTGGCTTGGATTCGTCGCAAACTGCATCCGCCTCTCCCGAGGCCGGCGAAGAATCCGCCGCCGCCTCTTTCCCAGCCAAAGAAGCTGGCTCACGCCCTGATGAGGGAATCGCCTTGGAATCATCGCAGCATGCTTCCACCTCACCTCCTCACCCAACCATCGAACCCACCCAGGCGCCCTCTCCGGTCTTTGAATTTGAGGATTCGCAATCTGAGTACTCCGACTCCGACATCCTCCCCAAAGCCCCGGTCTACGAAACCGCTGTTGATCGTGAGCGGAAGAAACGCGCTCGTACCGAGTCAGAGGCACTCGCGACCGAGGAAGAACCCTCGCGCAAGCGCCGACACACCTAATCTTGCCTTCATCTGATTCAAATATCTTTTTTTTCCTTTTCCTCATTACCCTCTTCCTCGCCTGTTTCTCTTTCTCTTCATTCGAGATGTCCTTTTCTTCTCTTCATTTCGGCTTGTTTTTCTATCTATTTTTTTTCTGTTTCCAAAAGAAAGACCCATGGCCCCAGTTTTTGTGCTTTTTTTTTGTGCTTTCTAATTTTTTCTTTTCTTTTTTTGCGAAATTGTCATGTGTGCATGGGACGGCGCGTTGAAAATTCGAAGAACCAGTGTACGATAGCATGGGCCGATGGATTCAATTTTTTTTCTCTTCCAATTCTTCCATTTCGAAGAGAAATCCCCGTAACAGCAGTTGAATTCGTACTCTACATGACAACCCGAAAACCACAGACCCCGACAAACACTCGCCTATACAGGTAGACCAACCCAAAAAGAAAAGAAAAAAAAGATTAACGACATTGAGGAACGGTATATCATGCATCCCCCCCACCCGGTTGGCTGGCGTGCAAGGTAAAGAGAAACATAAAAAAGAAAAGAAAAAAGCTAATGAGAATCTTAAAATAGCAGCACGGCATAGCTAATGCTTAAAGGAATTTCTTGGGCATGTTGGCGCGACGGCGCTTGTAGATAACGTAGGACACGGCGAGCACCACTTGGAAGGCGATCACCATGAAGAGAAAGAAGCCCATGCGCGGAGTCGAGGCGGTAATAACTATTCGCAGTTAGTAAACTGGCTCGTCGAATAGAGAGAGAGAGAGAGAGAGAGAGAGAGAGAGAGAGAGAGAGAGAGAGAGAGAGAGTGTGTGTGTGTGTGTATGTGACACTGGGTTACAGGGCGAGGAACTTACCACTCAACAGGTGGCCCTGGAGATTCTCGCTCAGACTGAGATGCGAGGACCGCAGGGTCTCGTGGAGCTGGTTGAAGCGATTGCTGTAGTCCTTGCCCTCCAGATCGCGCTGGACGGCCTGCAGCAGCTGTTCGATGCGCTGCAGGCGAGCATCGAGGGCGGCGACCTGGTCCTTGGTCGCTGCACGGGAGAGGAGCTCTGAGTGGCGGGACTCGGCGTTGGAGGCTTGCATGCGCAGGTCTTGGAGGATGTTGCTGGTGGCCTTGTTGGTGAGCTGCAGGCGGCCGCTGAGGTCGACGAACTGCGCTGCGATGCCGGCATCCGTCACGGGGTTACTTCTCTGGACTGGTGGCGGGTTGTGGTCAACAATCGGGTGCTGCTCCTGGGTGCTACCGGCGTACGAGGGGGGTGGTCTTGCCGGAGGCGGAGTTCAGGACGAATTTGAAGATCTCGAACGAGTCCGCGTGTTCTGGGGTGGCCGCGGTGAGGCCGAAGCTGTTTCCGACGGGCAGGGCGATCTATGTGGGTGGTTAGCGAACACTATGCATGCAGTAGTATGGAGGGAAGCTGCTGACTTTGGTGGTCGAAAAGCAGATCATGTCGTCGACAGAAACCTCGAAGACCGAGTTGGTATATTTCAAGTTAATGATCGACGGACGGCCCAGGTTGCGGTACGAATAGTCGCAGTGTCCGAAAGCCAGGCTGTCGACATTGCGATGGCTCTTGTAGTCCGTTGTTCCATCGTTCAGGAAACCTCGAATGCTTCCACCTCTCCCGCCGTGCGCGTCGATGACAAGAGCGAAACCGTCAAACTGGCCCACGGTGTATATACTGGAAGTGCCGATTGGAGAATGACCGTCCTTGGTGTACCATAATTGAAGGATGCCACCTCCTCGTTCGGGACCGCTTGCTCGGAACTCGAACTCGGCCGTCCATTCGGATTGGGAGACGCTATCCTCGATTTAGTGTCTACTGCCGGACATGATCGAGCAAATTGTAACAACTTACGGGGTGTTGGACCAGGCATATCCGCGCGTGTTACCCGGGATAGGGGGCGTTAAAATGACCTTGTTTGACAACTGGATGAAGGGTTAGCCCTGTCTCAATCCATGTTCACATAAATCACTCACAACCACAGGGTCATGGCCCTCCCCTCCAACTGACCACCCAGGGATCGAGTCTTCGCTTGGTGATATCCTGGTAAAAAGATCAGATGCCGGAACCCGACTTGGGTGTATGAGACAGCGGTCGCGACATACGGATAACTCTGACCAAAACTAGAGCTTTCAATGATCTGCGCAGTAGCCCCTGCGGCCAATAAGGCAAGCGAAGCTAGAGCCTTCATGGTGTGCTGATTGAAGCTCTCAACAATACCCAAGACACTCGAATCAATGCAATTAGACTTTGAAAGCCTAGCGAATATCCCTCAATATCAATTATTCTGCACCACGGTCCTTCCGAGAGCGAGGAGCGCCACAATGATCACAAGGTCTTCGACGGAGATCACAGATACTGGAGACGACGCGAGTAGTGATCCACCCAACCACGACAGCGATCACGCAGAGTCGAGCTTCCTTGGCAATGGCAGCGGCGGACGGGGAAACGTCAAAGAAGTGATGCAGCTGGACACTATTAAGAATAGTATGGCGGACTCCAACATCCGTAAGGTCCATGTGGGAAAAAGGGGCGTTTTCTGCAGCTATTGATGCGCTGGCCTCTGATCTCCGCAGAACCTCACGTGACCTATGCGGAGGTCGCGAATCGACCAGCGCGCTCTTGCGTCTTGCGACTTGTAGCCTCTTCGATTCGGTGTCCCATCATGCGCAGAAGCTCCAATGGCTGAACTTTATCCTTCATTGGCACAATGTGCCATCGTTGCAGCCGCCTTGAAGGTGCTGCTCTTCCCCGCATAGTAAGTTCACCCCTCGAATGGATTTATGGTCTGCATCTTTTACTGAACTGGCTGTGTTTTCTGCAGCAAATCAACTGATTTTGAGGTCCACCGCAACTGGCTCGCCATTACAAATTCCCTCCCTGTTCAAGAATGGTACTACGAGGTAGCTTCGCCTAGCTATACGATTGCAGATTGTGGGTGTTAACCTTTGACCTGGCTAGAAAACCTCAGAATGGACTCTCGACTACCCACCATTTTTCGCGGCATTCGAATGGATACTGTCGCAAGCTGCATCTTATGCTGACCCAGCTATGTTGGTTGTGAAGAACATTGGCTATGATTCATGGCAGACAATCTACTTTCAGAGAACGACGGTCATTTTGACTGAACTAGTTCTTGTCTATGCGCTGAGCCGGTGGGTTCTTATTCTCGAGTCTTGGGAAAACAGTTCTGACCACTGATGAATGTAGATTTGTCCGACCCGTTCCTCTCCCGAACAAGCAGGCGGCGCATGTGGCCAGTCTCTCGATCCTGCTCTCCCCCGGTCTCTTCATCATCGACCACATTCACTTCCAGTACAACGGGGCAATGTATGGCATTTTGATTCTTTCAATTGTCCTGGCCCGCAAGCAGTCGACTCTCCTCTACAGTGGTATTTTATTCGCCGTCCTGCTTTGTATGAAGCATATCTATCTCTACCTATCACTCGCGTACTTCGTCTATCTGCTTCGTGCCTATTGCCTCGACCCTAAGTCGGTTCTGCGACCACGTTTTGGGAATACCATCAAGCTTGGAGTTAGTGTGCTGAGTGTCTTCGCGATTGCATTCGGTCCCTTCGCCCAGTGGGGTCAATTGCTACAACTCAAGGACCGACTTTTCCCGTTCTCGAGAGGCTTGTGTCACGCGTACTGGGCACCCAATGTCTGGGCGATGTACTCGTTTACGGACCGGGTTTTGATTCCATGTGAGTGTCACATTGTATTTTTCTTGCTGGTCAAATGCACTTGTCTGACATTATTCGCAGTTGCGCCGCGGTTGGGACTTTCGGTGAACCAAGACGCACTTAACAGTGTCACCCGGGGCCTTGTGGGAGACACTTCTTTTGCCATTCTCCCCGAAGTCACCAAGGAGCAGACGTTCCTGTTGACATTTATATTCCAGTTGGTACGTTGCTTTCGCCGGGGATTTTATTGATCTGCGCTTACGTCCATCTAGATTCCCCTAGTCAAGCTTTGGTTTCGACCTGACTGGGACACCTTTGTCGGAGCAATTACCCTCTGCGGCTACGCATCGTTCCTGTTTGGGTGGCACGTCCACGAAAAGGCCGTCCTGCTGATCATCATTCCGTTCAGCCTGATTGCCCTTAAGGATCGCCGCTTCTTCAGTGCATTCCGACCATTGGCTGTGGCAGGCCATGTGTCATTGTTTCCGCTACTCTTCACGGCGGCCGAGTTTCCACTGAAAACGGTCTACACGGTTCTGTGGCTGGTGTTGTTTTTGTTCGTATTTGACCGAGTAGCGCCTGTTCCAGAACGACCACGTATCTTCGTCTTCGACCGCTTCTCCCTACTTTACCTCACCATCTCAATCCCCCTGATTGTTTATTGCTCGCTGGTGCACCAGGTGATCTTTGGGTTCGACCGGTTGCAATTTTTGCCCCTGATGTTCATGAGCAGCTATTCTGCCCTGGGAGTGCTTGGAAGCTGGGTGGGGTTCATGGTTGTCTACTTCACAGCATAGGTTTATTTTGTTGATATTGAGAGAGAGAGAGAAAAAGCCCAATGGTTGTCTATCTTCGATCAAATCATTCATCCATGGATAACTAGGCTTTTCCGATGATGTAGGTTTGCACTGTTTGCATCCCACGTGGGCCGGACCCGCCGATCCCGCAGTCTATTTATACACTAGTCCCAAACAGGCTAGGCCATCTTATGCAAGACGCGGGCGGATTCCCAACGTGGATGGCCCTACGGGAAACCCCTCTTACAGTACTTTTCTCATCTAACACTCATTCTATAGCACATTTTGGCCAGCTGGTTCTCTGTGGATATTTTTGTGGCTGATCCTCTATTTTCTTCTATCTTAGCATACAGTACCTTGGACCCTGGCGTCTTCGATATATCTATAGATGGCACCCCGATTCGACACTTGGCCACAGCATGACTATGTGAAACTAATGTTGGTGTACAATGATCGCATATGGCCTATTAAGCAATTTCAATTGTTTTTTCCTCTTTCTATTTCATTGAATGCAATTTGTCTGTTGATTTATATCCCGATATCATTCAGGCCGTAGATATAATAGACCAGGTCACACAGACAAAAGCTTATTTTTGCAGGAAACATATACTACCTCCTAGAACTGAAGTAACGACGAGGGGAGTAGCTCTTTTCTATTGCTGGAAAAAGAGCGAATATTGGGACAACGCTGTTCACGAGAGCCTGGGGTGATGATGACAGAAAATAGTTATTAGATATAGACCGGATGAAAGCATATACACTACACCTCGGAAGCTAATGGGCATAAAAATAGTATGTTGATAGGTTTCTGCGTGTCCAGCCATATATATTAGGCTCAATCACCAAGTTATGTGACTCTTCCGCCCGTAGTACGACTCTCTCTATATGTAATTTTTCGATCGGCCACTCAAAACTTTGTTGAAAAATGGAATCCATAAGAAAAATAAAACCAACATAGCTGGCTAGACATCTACATCTATCTAAGAAAGGTGTGTAGGCAACGAGCGGGGACGAGCTGACAAGGCAGATAGATCCAAACATGTGATTGGAACTACTTTCGAAAAAAATGATATCACCCATAGAAAATGATATACTCAAGAAAGAGGGAAATACTAAGAGGAACAAGGGAAGTTATTCTCTACTCACAAACACCAAGGTTGACCCAGTTGCTATCGTCTTAAGTTTACCTTGCTTGGGCTGTAATGTAGTACCGGGAAATAAGTCTAGCACATAGGATCTGCCCAAATATCTAATAGTTGTATGAAGCATTTAGGAAATCTGCCTAGACATGCTCATGGCTTTATAGTTAGAAATCCCACCAGCAGTCCTTCCGACCCGTCCAGAAGCTTTGTGTCCGGGATCAAAGAAAAATGGTAAAATACAGATATTTCATCCCAGCCCTATCAATCAATAATAGAATAGTACATAGTGCTTTCATGTTGATTGCCCCATTCTGTCTTTGTGCTGATCCCACTATTTCCCAAGACGTGTTTTGGAGATCTAAATTGATAATTGCTAAAAATCACGAGAATTGACCGGAAAATTGCGCTTCTCATCCCATCAATGGATTCTCCTCATTGAGACGAGTCGAACGAGTGCAAATACCAACGGCGTTGGCGTGGGGGTGAAAAGGGGCGGCACGAGAGAACGCGACGATGGGGAAAAGAGAGGCCGTCGAGGGCCCCCGAGGCAACCTGCGTTTTTGTGTTCTGCTCCTCCGCTCCGCCAATCACACCGCGACGCCCGTCTATGATCTACCGCTTCCTCCTCTTTCGCTCCCTTTTTCTTTTTCTTTTTCACCCTACGCGATCCGCGCTCCAATCGCCATTTCATCCCCCATCCTATTAAAAGTTCCTCCAACTCCTTGAGAGCTACTGTTCAGCACGCGTTCTCTCCGGTAAGCATCTCAAAATCTCCGAGATCACTCGCGCGAGCCGTGTCTGGTGTCATGATCCTCGCGAATTCTACGCCCCAGCTCACCAGCGTTCGAGCGATTCTGAAATTACTCTGGGGGTTCCTCAGCCTTCCCATCACTTCTGATCCGACGCGGACTTGTTCTGGACAATACACCCACCAATACAGCATCAACTGCTAACTCAGCTCGCTTGCGCTTTAGTCTATCTATGTTCGATTCCCTTCACGGTCGTCTCTGGTAGACTGACGCGTGCTCCGCTTGACTATTAGAGGACAATGGTATGCGACACTGGTGCTGGGAAGGAACTGGCCTTGGAGGTCCCCGGGAGTGGAGAGAGGTCAAACTGGTGGGGAGACACATGCTGATCCCGTCAAACCAGGTGTTATTCAAACGAAAACCCGTGCAGTACCTTCCACGGCCCGTCATTGAAGATGAAAGCTCTGAGGTACGCTTATTCATATTCCTGACCAGGAATCACCTGCTGACACGTCTGTCCTAGGTTTGGGTCATCTCCGAGACCAACGAGGTCTTCACGAGCTACGAACCCTACCTTCACCGGATGGATTTTTACAAGCAGCGGCGATTTATATGCGAGATCACAGGGCATTCGGGATTGAACTTCTTCGAAGCCCTTCGGAGCGAGGTACGTGGTTACCAGGGTATTTAAGGTTTTGAAGAAACGGGCGAATGCTCACTGTTGGCCAGACGGAAGAATCGCGCGAGGTGAACAATTCTTTCCCGGATGCGTTGAGGGAGCCCATACTCCGTCGGATTCAGTTTTCTACTGTCTCAAGAGTTGATAATCTGGGTATGTGGTTCAAATTGTTGGGTGGCCGGCTAGAACTGACATTCTTTTCCGTCACAGTGGATGAAATCTATGAAGTGAGAAGCTCCCTGTTCCCACTGACCCTCATCCAACATGTTCTAACAAAACCAGGAATTCAAGCAAGACTTTTATCCGGGAGAGCCTGTCCTGATTCTGCTGGAAGACAGCACCCGGCTTCACGGTACCATCCGGGACAAAGCAAATTTCGCCGAGCAGCTGTATGCCGATGGAACCATCAAAACGCCAGCCTACGCGCGATATCTAGTGAAGATCCTGGACCGCCCCAATGAAGAAGCTTTGCTGGACCAAGAGCATATCACGCGCGATCGAAAGTCATTTACGAAATTGATGCTGCGAGGCTTCATTAAAAACAATGTCACTCGGGAATCGTGGACCGGCGCGCCCTGGTTGGTGAAGCCGTCTGTTGCCGAGGAATACAAGATCTCCACTGAGGTGCCCAAACATCTGCAGTATGGTGCCAAAGTGGCAGAGAAGAAGGCGATGAAGAAAGCAGACCAAGATGGATTCTTCGGTTTTTTCGCCTCCCAGCAGCTGCCTGAACTGAAACCTGCTGTCAAGGGCCAGAAAGCAAAGATGTCCGTGCAGGACATGGCAAAGTCGAGGGAGGCACAGTATCAAGAGTATCAGCGATCCTTGAACGGGAACCCCTCTTTTCTCCTCGCTTCCAACCCTCTGCGTCCCTCCAAGCCTCCACAGGTAGGCGACAAGAAGATGCCGTTTGCCCCGGATGCCGTGATCAAAGACGAATCACGACCGTCGTCACCGCCACCGATCAAGTATCCCATCGAAGATCTAGATCTGGTACCTATCCGCGAGAAGAAACAACGGCCGACGCTAAAATTTTTGATGGTGGACGAGTCAGACGACGATGGAACTGAAGATTTGCTACCCGATGACCTGGAGCCCGAATCGGTGGGCTTGCTTTTGGAAACCTGGGATACTCTGAATGTCTACTGTGAGGTGTTTCAGCTGGATTCCTTCACCTTTGATGATTTTCTTCAGGCCATGCGCTTTTCCTCCGAAGAAATTGACTGCGAGCTGTTTGTAGAGGCACATTGCGCAATCTTGAAAAAGCTTGTAAACTCGGAGGATGAAGGTGGTGCTGTTCAGATTTCACTTCCGGACTTCCCCGTGGACGAATCCGACGAGTCCGAGGAAGAAGAGGATGAGGAGGAAGAGAGGGAGGAAGAGGAAGAAGATGCAGAGTCCAGGCCAGAGCGAATGACCACCCGTGGAAGTTTGGCTAAACAGGAAGCGGATACCTTGAAAGCACAGGTGGATGATGACTCGATTGAGGTGAAGATTCATCGGGCCGCCGAGATGTTTGGCAAATACGGGTGGATTGATCGTCTGCGCCGGCGCGATTTCCGCAACGGGGGTTGGGAATTGGTCATGATCGGCCTGCTGCACCAGCTGTCTGTTCGCCCTCGCGCCGAAAAGATCTGTAACGATATCCTCAAGCACCTCGCACCGCTCGACGCGGAGCCTACACAGGAAACCGCACGAGAGCAATACCGGACTCTCGATATCAACCTGCGCGCCAAGGGACTTCAGATGATCTGCATGCTGAGCTTGGAGACCAAAGCGATCCGGAATTACATGGAGGAATGCAGCAATCAGATGACCGAGTTTCGCAAGGAAAAAATTGAACACCAAAAAGCTCGCAAAGCAGCGTAAGTGTGCGCATTCTGACAAGGATGCTTACAGACACTAACCTTGCATACCAGACTTGTTGAACTTCGTCAGCTCCACCAGGAACGTAAGGCTGTTCAACCAGAACCGGAGAAATCCCCCTCCCCTGTGCCCGAGCTGGAGGAGGGCCTGGAGGATTCCAAGATGACTGGCATTGAGGGAGACTCTGAAATGCCTGTCGATTCGGACGAGGAGGACGATCGCCGACCACGTGCCCTTCGTGGAGGAGTGGACCGCGCTCTCGAAAGAAAGCGGAAGCAAGAGGAGGAACGAGAGCGCAAGGAGCAGTTGGCGAAACAGCCGAAGGGATCCAAACAGTACCAGCGGGTACTGAAGAAGATCGATGACCAGAAGGCCAAGATCGAGAAACTCAAGGAGCAAATCGAGACGGTAGAAAACGACCTCCGCGAGGCCGACTGTCCTCGTACGCGGTGCCTAGGCTTGGATCGCTTCTGCAACCGATACTGGTGGTTTGAGCGCAACGCAATGCCCTACGAAGGCATGCCAAACAGCTCGACGGCGGAAGCCCACTATGCCAACGGCCGCCTGTGGGTTCAGGGCCCTGATGATATGGAGCGCGCAGGCTTCATTGAAGTGACCGACGAACAGCGCAAGCAGTACCAGCGCCACTTCCAAACCACTCCGGCGGAGCGCAAGAAGCATGAGGAAGGACCTACGCATGTGTCCAGTGCGCGCGAATGGGGCTACTACGATGATCCCGACGCGGTCGAGCAGCTGATCGATTGGCTGGACTCGCGCGGCAACCGTGAGTTCAAGTTGTTGAAGGAGCTTCATCTCCAGCAAGACCTCATTTCCAAATATATGAACAACCGTCATGCATACTTGACGGAGAGGGCAGAGAGGGCCGAGTCCGAGGATATTGTGCCGGCCAAGCGCGTGACGACCCGCAAGAGGACCTACGTGGATATGAATGAACATCGACTCCGCTGCCTGCGTTGGAAGAACACGACGGCCTTGTCGGAGATCGGCCACCTTCATGTTGACCCGGACCGCCCGGCCAAACGCACAAAACGGGCTGCCGACGACACCAGGGAGACCAAGGCGACTCGAGGCAAGCCATTGACTCGTCAAGGCTCGCGCAAGGGTTGATGCGGCATTACTTACCGCTTACGCGACCACGATATGTTTCTGATTTTTTTTTTGGTGCACTTTCTCTCCGTGCGGGTGGTTCTGGGGTATTTTTATTTTGCCTGTACACATTCCGAGCTGCATGGAGGGGAGTTGGCTAGGAGTAGTTTTTGCATAGAGAATTCCATAGAGCGATTACCATTCGGCTTCTCGGCACTGGGACTCCTGTCCCGGTATCGGTACCGTAATCCGCCGGCTACATGCGGCAGGCGGTTGGTATCGGCATGTCAGCCGTACGACCGAGTCGCCTGCAAACCGACGTCAGTGATGGGACATGATTTCTTTTCTACATTCCTCTTCCCACACTGCTTTTAGCATTTGCTTGCGGTGTTGATTTTTGCGAGGGGACTGTCTATTTTACCTCAGAGATTCCTACAAGTGCAACATTCCCCTGGTGCAGCGCCCCGATGAGCCTCCGGTAACCCGAAACTTTTGTTCCTCGATTATCGCCGAGTGATCACGAGGGAAGACCGTGGCCCGGGTAAACCCTCTTTCTCGCCCCCCCTTGTGAGAGTCTGCGGCCGCTTGGTCTGCCATTGCTTTTCCCTCTCTCATGTCGACTGGGTTTCCGGACCATGCGCATCCAGATCCTGTCGTCCTCGCCCAGTCTCGCCACTTGTCTCACAACATAGCGAAGTCTTCTTCGCAGTCTAATTTTCAGATGAGCGAGATCGCACACCCCAGATCGTCGCCTGGGCCTATTGTAGGCGAGACGAAAGGCACGGTATCCTCAAATCCCTCTGCGGGAGAGGAGCGCACAAGCGGGGCCAACAAACCAGTCCAGAAGCGGAGCGTGGATTATGTGTTACGGAGCGGGTTAGCAGGAGGGTTAGCGGGGTGTGCGGTGAGTTGTGCGCCGAGGTCAAGAAGATGATCGTGTCTATGCGTGTATACTAACGGGAGCGTTGGGAGGACCTTCCAGGCCAAAACCGTGGTGGCACCGCTCGACCGCGTTAAAATCCTCTTTCAAGCGTCGAATCCGCAATTTGCCAAATACACTGGCAGCTGGAATGGGCTCGCGTCTGCCATTCGTGACATCAACCGCCATGAAGGCGCCTCGGGTCTGTTCAAGGGCCACTCGGCCACCCTCCTCCGTATCTTCCCCTACGCCGCCATCAAGTTCCTTGCCTACGAGCAGATCCGCGCTGTGGTGATTCCATCCCTCGACAAGGAAACACCGGTCCGCCGCCTGATCTCGGGGAGTCTGGCGGGCATTACGTCGGTGTTCTTTACGTACCCGCTGGAACTGCTTCGGGTGCGGCTAGCCTTTGAAACGAAACGGTCATCGCGCTCGTCCTTGAGGGATATCTGCCGCCAGATCTACCACGAGCATGTGGTGCCTCCATCCTCGACTGCATCTTCCCCCGCTGCTACCACCACCACAACCACAGCCACAGCCGGCGCCCAGTCCTCAGGCTCCGTCGCCACCGCCGTCAACCAGGTCGTACCACGCTCCGGCATTGCCAACTTCTACCGCGGCTTCGGCCCCACACTCCTCGGCATGCTCCCATACGCCGGTGTGTCCTTCCTCACCCATGACACGGTGGGCGACTGGCTCCGCCGCCCCGCCGTAGCACAATACACCACGATCCCCGGATCCGAAGCCAAGCCGGGCAAAAAGGGCTCGCGACGGCCACAGCTTACCGCCGCGGCGGAGTTATTCTCCGGCGCGATGGCCGGCCTCATCTCGCAGACCTCGTCCTATCCGCTGGAAATCATCCGGCGGCGGATGCAGGTCAGCGGTGCGGTGGGTAGTGGCAGCCGCCTCGGGATTATACAGACAGGCCGCAAGATTTGGCTTGAGAAGGGCTTCCGCGGGTTCTGGGTTGGGTTGACTATCGGGTATATCAAGGTCGTGCCTATGGCTGCGGCCAGTTTCTTTGTTTATGAGCGATTGAAGTGGTCCTTGGGGATTTAGATTTTTTTTTTGTGTTTCTTTGCTTGTTCCGCTGCATATAGTTCTTTATCATGTCCCAGAATCCTGATTCCCACTGGCGTTGGATACGATTGGGTTGGGCGAGGTTCTGCATTAGAGGAGCCCGGCATGGCTCATTGGAGATACACCTGCCGCATATATTTCCTTGGAGAGTCCTGAAGTCTTACTAGCTCCATGTCTATTGAAATAGAAAATAGAACAGTTAAATTTAGAAAACCTCAAAATTATATAGCAATTCGTATATATATCCGATTGTATGAAAGTCATGTGCACGGACCACTCGCATCGCAAAAAAAAAGTTGCCCGCCGAGCACCGACTTTGCCTTGCAACAACCTCAATATCCAACATGACGACCCGCAAACATAATGAATTCCTTGATGTCGCATCCAGCGACGAAGCCAGCGATCGCGGCTACGACTCCGATGCCAATGTGGCGGAGAGCAGAGGCCACGCCGTGAAGCGGCGGCGAACGGCGGACGCGCAGGGCTTTTTCGGGCTGGGGTCTGACGACGAAGACGACGAGAAACAAGAGGAAGAAGAGGAAGAGAAGTCTCGAGCAGACAGGAAGGGGAAGGGACGGAAGCGTTCAGCGAAGAAGACCAGCCCGAGCAATGAGTCTGAAGACGACGACAAAGAAGAGAATGAAGACGACCAAGCAGAAGGCACAGAAGAAAAAACCCCCACAGATCACAACACAACAGTTACGGCGTCCACAACACAACCCACCTCCCTCAAGGACAAGAAAGCTCTCAAACCCCAGGGAAATAAAAAGCTGAGCAAGCCGGCCAAGAAGAACAAGACGGGGGTGGTCTACCTCTCATCGCTACCACCATACCTGAAACCGTCAGCGCTGAAATCGATGCTGGAGGCGCGCAACTTCGGCCCGATCACGAAAGTGTTCCTAGCGCCCTTCGTCCCGCCAGCTGGAGCGAAACGTCGCGGCAACAAGCGCAAGAGCTACACAGACGGGTGGATTGAGTTCGCCTCGAAGAGCACGGCGAGGCTCTGCGCCGAGACGCTGAATGCGTCGATCGTCGGCGGCAGGAAGGGCTCCTATTATCACGACGATGTCTGGAACATGAAATACCTGCGCGGGTTCAAGTGGGCGGATCTCATGGAGCAGATCCAGCGCGAGCGGTCGGAGCGCGAGGGCAGACAGCGCATGGAGGATGCGCGCGCTCGCAGGGGGGAGAAGGTTTTCCTGGCTGGTGTTGAGGCTGGGCGTGTTGTCGATGGGATGGCGAGGAAGAATGAAGAGAAGGCGAAGCGGAAGTTGGACGAGGCTGGCGAGGACGAGGATGCTTTGGAGAGGAAGCCTGCAGCTGTGCGACGCCGGTTTACGCAGAATGATGTCGTTGGCAAAGAGAAGAATGATCAGGCTATTGGGGACGATGCGAAGAGGGTGTTGGGCAAGATCTTTTGATGGGCTGGAAAAACAGAGTCTTGATGTACAGCTAGATATCCATTTCTCTTATTTTCGAAGCTCTTTGCATCCACATTGCATGCTATACACCTATTCCAGTATCTATTTCAAAACTTTTGTTTTATGGCGTCGAGGGACCCATTAGAAACCACAGAGAGAGAAAACAAAACAAGAAAAAAACGCCTGCCATGATCGTCAAAGGATATCAGTTGCAAAAGAAAAACACTCATTTCTCATCCATGTTCAGCTCATCAAAGTCATCAAGCAGCTCGTCCATGTTGATCTTCGGTACCTCATCATCACCACTGTCACTATCCTCATCCATCTCATCATCTTGTTCAGGCTTACGGCGAGCCTTGTACAGGTCCAAAGTATGCCGCAGGTCCTGATCCTCCTCGACATCACGCAAAAACATCTCAAAGTCAGCCTCGAGACGCTCCTGCTCCTGTTCCTGGCGACGGGTCTGCTGCCCACCAGAACCGGCCAGAGCCTCCTCCTCGTGCTCTGCAGCCATGCGCTTGAGTCGCCAGGCGCGGTTCTTGGGCTTCTTCTTGCGAGCGTAGTGTTTCTTGACGAGGACGACGTCCGGGATTGTCGACCCGTACTGGTTGCTTGCTTCGATGGCTTCGTAGTTGTCATCGTTAAACACGGTGCCGGTCAGATGGTAGCCGAGGACGGAGTCACCGACGTGCAAGATGCCACCGAGGTGAGTACGTGTGAAATAGGTGATGTCGTTGGAGCCCAGATCGGCGGCCCGCGCGACGGTAGCTTCGGCGAGATGAAATCGACCGTTGGACTGGCCGACGGGCTCGATGTCCATGATAATGAACTCCTTCAGCTCGGTGACATCGGCCAAGTTCTTGAACGGCGAGCGCCAATAGGTGCCGGTGGGAACTTCAGCGGTTTGAAGAGTTTGGGGGTCGATGAGATTGACGGCAGTGCCGACGCGGTGGCAGAGGGTCAAGGGCGAGATGTTGCCTAATTGGCGGGCCAATTTGATGGGAAGCGCAACCAGATCATCTTTGCAGATGGGGAGAATCTCTGTCGCAAATGTAAACTTATAAGACTTGTCACTTGTGTGAACGTCCATAGAGATCAATTCTTGCGACTTCTTGGTCTTGCAGGGGACGACCGAGGACAAGAAATCCACCATCTTCTCGGCGTGGTTCCGCTGCGAGAAGTAGAAATCCAGGCCGTCCTTTGCCTCCTTGATATTGACTGTGTCTCTGTGTGCACCGTTCTTCAAGATCAACTGTTCCAGGTACAGGAACGTCCGCTTGTGCGGCACCTTCTGCCGAACTTGAACTATAGCCCGGAACGTGTGGTGGGTAAAGCTCTTCATACAGTCAGGACACTGTTGTGAGGCAACCACGTACTCCACCTCGAATGTCTGCTGAATAATTGTGCCTTGAAAAGCCTCCTGCTGGATTGTGATTTTGACCTTGATACGGCGAGAGTGGGGTTCGGTCCAGATGAAACTGGCGTCGATAATTCGGACTTTTGAGAGACCCCGAAGACGGCGCAAACAGATGGCCAGAAGCTCCTTCGACTCGGGTGACGCGACAAGCCAGCTGTTGGGTGGTTGCAGCCATCGCTCGCAGTCTCTGCAGGTGTGGAGGGTGGCCTCGCGCTGGATGCCTTGGGAAACATCAACTGTGAGCTTCACGCAATCCTGACACAATGCCCCGGCTGCAGTGGTTCCATCTATAGGAGCACCACAGTTGCAACAGAGGATCCTGTTCAGAGGTTAGCGTCTGCTCAACCGGAAATAAAAAAAAAGAAAAGAAAAAAAACTCGAAGTATATCGATCTTCGAGCGATAAGGACTCACGTTGCAGTGGGTTGCGCCTGCTGCTGCCCCGACATGGGGACAGGAGCATCCAAATCCATCGACATTGTTTGAAGAAAATCTCAAAGATGACGAGACAAGACGAGTAGTCTTGAAGATCGAGTGGGATCATCCGCAACGCTTTTGCCCCTCCGACAGTCTTTTTGCTGAGTCAGTGTTTGTTTTGTTTGCATTGATATAGCTCCGTTTGTCGCGTCAAGTCAGTAGACTCTGTCATTGCCCTCATCTCATTCGCATCGCCATGAGCAGGGCCCTATTCCGAGGGGCTGCGTGCCAATCCTGTCGCCATGAAATACTTCGGTCATTCCTCATCGTCTCCGGTGTTCCCCTTCCCCGATTCACCGCCCCTCTCCCTCGTCCCATCCACCCCAGAGCATTCTCCGCTGTAGGTCCTCTGCGTTCCGATGGTCCCCCGACTCCGAACCAGCCGGGGATAGATTTGCCTCCAGTGGAAGAAAACTCTCAACCTCCGGAACCAAATGCAGCTGTCGCATCACGACATGTTCCCTGGTATCTCCAGGAGAAGCCCCCTATCGCCGAGGACCGTCCGGTGGCTGGCGATCATATTCCACCCGTTCCCGAGAACTCGCCGGAGATACTTCCGACCATCCTCGAGTATAGCTACAAAGACCTTGGTCTAGATGGTTTGAAAATCTTTGACTTGCGTGGCCTTGAAACGCCCGCGGCTCTTGGAAGCAGTGTCATCATGGTTGTCGGGACCGCGCGCAGTGTGAAGCATTTGAACGTTTCTGCTGATCGCCTTTGCCGGTGGCTTCGGAGCCAATACAAGCTATCTCCGCACGCTGATGGGTTGCTGGGTCGCAACGAACTAAAGATCAAACTACGTCGCAAGGCCAAGCGCGCCCGCGCTGCTAGCCAGGCGGGTGGTATGGTGGACGAAAAGGATGATGGGATCACTACAGGCTGGATCTGTGTGAACGCGGGTGTGGTAGATCAAGACTCTCCTAAGGCTCAGCTGAGCGATGCTGGATTCGAAGGGTTTGGTGATCTTGAACTAGGCACCAGTGTGGTGGTCCAAATGTTCACGGAGGAAAAGAGGGCGGATGTCGACCTGGAGGGTCTCTGGCAGGCTTCGCTGGACCGAGCTGAGAAAAGAAGGCTTGAAGAAAGTACCGACGCTGCTCCGGCGGCAGATCCTCGGGCCGCCAGTCCGTCTTCCTATAGCGGGATCGGCACACTCAATGGACAGAAGAGAAGCTTCCATACTACCCGCCGGCTCGCAACGCCCGATGTTGCCCAACCGAATCTATCATCCGCTTTTCCTGACATGGCGAACCCGTTGCCGACGAGTCTGCACAATGCAGACGCTCCTGGGTCTGGACTGACTCCGGCTTCTCTGCTTCGGATTCTGGCTGAACTCCCCAATGCAAGTGCTCGGAGCGAACTTGGAAGCGGCCCAGATGATCGCAAATCAACCCTTTTTCTGCGGCTCTTTTATGCCAATAGAGCATCTTCCTTTTCTCCACAGGAGAGAGCCGTTTTTCGATTGAGGCTGCTCTCAATTGCCGTGTCTCGGCAGCACCCAGCGTACAGCAAGGACAATTTGTTCAGCACTTTCTCGGACTTTCTTCGCGATAGCCATGAGCTCCCGGACGAGCTCGGATTTGAGGTAGTCTCTGCTCTGCTAGCCCCGCGGGCAGTAGACCTTCTTGCTCATGAGCCTACATTGTATCTCCCTGAAGCTGACCGAGAGCTGGCTTTGCTCGTTTTGGATCGACTGAGTCTTCGCGGGGTTCCGGTTCTCAACATGAAGGTGTTCCAGACGCTCTTCCGAGTCGTCGATCTTCCCAGTACAGCACCTACACCATCCTCAAACTCGGAATCGTCCGGTTCTGAACCTAATACACAAATGATGCCTACCTCTCGCCGCACTGAGTCTCAACAGCAAATCTTGTCACGACTATCCAAGATCGTCGCTGCTGCTGAAATGCCTTTTGATGCCGACGAGGCACGAAAGCTCATGGGCACGCTGTTCCAATATGAAGACTACGATGGGTTCTGGCGACTGTGGCGCCAGATGCCTCTGAAGGGTGTCAATCGCATGCAGGCTGATTACCTGCAGCTGTTCCAGCTACATGCGGAGCTGGGTGATGAGCGAAAGGTCCGAGAGTGTCTTTCGATGTGGGTGCCTATGATGGCTCGGGAGTCTCCTCCAGTTGTGCTGCAGGGTCCACTCGTAACGGCGATTATGCACTGTCTTCTAGTGGCTGATCCGGCCATCACTGAGCACGCAGCTGAGGGCGCCACGCCGTATTTTGCGCAGCTGTGGACCGACTGCCAGCAGGCGCTTGCCCGGGGGAGCTGAGGGCGAATGTATCATAAAAGCTTGTCGCATATATCATGTAATCTTATAAAGCATTATTTTACTGCGTACTATCAGTTATGATATACGACGTTCCACGTAAGAATATTCATGGTGTTCTTCACGTTGGTAGTGCTGGGAGTAGCATTGGGGCAGTCTCGGGTCAGTTGAACCTCGGCTGATGTCAATCTCTGGTTCCGGCGACAACTCCCCCATCGCTCGACCACCTCCAACTCATCCATCTCACTGAGAGGATGACTGCTCCTGAAGATGGAGTACCTCCCGAGTCTTCAACAGGAGTTTGATGAGCTCAAGCCATCGCTTTTCGGTGAGTTACGCCGCCCGATCCCCACGGGGAGTGCAAAGACCCGCACTCGGGGACTAACGCGACCCCTTCGTGTCTGATGCAGAATGGCTAACACAGAATCACGTTCAATGATCAGAACTACTGGCTGAGCAGCAATTGTCTGACTTGCTTCCCCCTCTCTGCGCTACCTGCTGGCGGTCGCGACACATCGCCACCCGCGGTACCTCCTCCGCATCCTGAACTCCTACGACGAAGTCTACGCCCTGATTTCTCTTGTCGTCGAACGCTACTATCTCCGCACATTTGGCGGATCCTTCACTGAAAATTTCTACTCACTAAAGCGTGAGCGCGTCCTCCGCACCAAGAATGGCGAGATTCCGCGCGCCCAGGTCGGCGCTGCCGGCCCCGTTCGCGACGCCCTCAAGCTGCACTCCACGGATGTGTGGAAGAACCTTTTAGTGATGGTCGGTATTCCGTACCTCAAACGCAAGCTTGACGAAGGCTATGACATCCACGCCGCACCGCAGGCGTCCCTGGTAATAGGCGGCGGGCCACAGTACAACCCCAGTGACGACCTGCCGGCTCGTCCGTCGCTGCGACAACGACTGTTTTTTTACTACAAATGGTTCCTGCGCCGTGTCTATCCGTCCGTCAATGCGGCGTACTATTTCTCGATTTTGGCTTTTAACCTCGCATATCTCTTTGACAACACTAAATACTCTTCCCCGTTCCTCTGGCTGATCGGCTCGCGCATCCGCCGCCTCGGAACCGCAGACCATCGTGCCATCGCCGCAGTTCTGGAGCCCAAGCCCCGGCCCGGGGGTGCTCGGTCCCAACGCCCAGGTTCAGGCCTGATGGGTCTGCTGAGCCCCCAAAACCTCTATCCACAGATGCTGACGTCGCTGCGCTACTTCCTGCCCGCGTCGATCTTCGCGCTCAAGTTCCTGGAGTGGTGGCACGCCAGCGACTTCTCGCGCCAGCTTGCCCGCAAAGCCACCGAAGTCCTCGACCTCCCGGCACCCGTTGTCGCGGGTCTCACCCCGCCGGCCGAACGGCGCAAGTCTCAGCCGGATGAGAAGCAGAAGAAGCCAGCCGCAGACTCAGAAAAGAAGACGGGCGATCTTAAATCTGCCCTCAAACAGCCCCGTCGTCTCCAACCACCCGTCTCTGCCACCTCCTATCTCCCTATCTTCACAGTCCCCTTGCCCCCTGCCGATGTTTCCAGCGCCAACACTTGCCCCGTGTGTCTGAACACGCTCGTAAACCCGACGGCTTGCCAGACGGGCTATGTGTTCTGCTATGTCTGCATCTTCCACTGGCTGAACGGTGAGCACCAGCGTCAGCAGGATTTCATGAACGGGGACGGCGCCGGGGCCCCGTGGGAAGAGGAGATTACGGGAGATGATGAAGATATGAAGGGCCCTGAGGAGTATGACGCTAACGCGAAGGCACCCCGCAAGCGAGCGGGTAAGTGGGAGAGTGGGAAAGGCCGCTGCCCCGTCACAGGGAGGAGAGTGCTTGGGGGGACGGAAGGGTTGCGGCGGGTGTTGATATAATCGGATTCTGTGGTTTTTGAATATCCCTCGGTGTATGTGTCTTGTGGCAATTCAGTTACCTCCTTAAGGAGGTTTACATACTCGGGCCTACCAAAGTCCAAATTGAGACTTGGATGAATTATGCATATGAATGATAGAAGAACGACTGTGAAAAAGATGTAGATACAGTGCAAACAGGCATTCATGCCAAGAGAACGGCATACAGTAGGCATTGCTCCAAAGGAAAGAGAGAGAGAGTGTGTGTGTGTGTGAGTGTGTGTGTGTCCAAAGTTGCATACAGGAAAGGCACATCACTCGATCCGATACGGCTTCGCATTCTTTCCAAAAATCAAATGAGGTCTCTCGGCGGCAACTTTGAGGATGGTTTGCGAGAACACTGAATTGGCCCACGAGAACCACGGGCGCGTGAAGTCCTTAATATTGGTGACATTGATGGACTCGTGCACGAGACCGAACAGGCTAGAGTTACGGACGAGATTGATTGACTCGAGGATCTCGGCGTCGTCGTCTGAGGTGAGGGCTTGCATGAGCAGGGACATGGGCCAGGCATTTTCGAGGCCGACTATAGATATAAAAGTCAACCACTTTGAACAGGGATAAGGAATTCAAGAAAAGGGAAAGGACAGAAACTCACTGTGTGGACCGCCAATGCCATGGAACGCTGGACCTTCGAGATAGTACGGGTTCCCCGACTTTTCGGTGATCATCTTGCGCGTGTTTTGATAGACCTTGTCGGAGCGGTCGAGAAAGCCGAGGTAAGGCAGAGAGAGCAGCGAGGGGATATTGGCATCGTCCATGAGGATGCGTGAACCATAGCCGTCAACCTCGAAGGCATAGACGTCGCCGTATTTGGCATGCTGGACGATCCCGTGGTCGCGGACGGCCTTGGCGAGTCTGCGGCCGCGACGCTGCAGATCCGAAACCAGGTCATCATGGCCGCCGGCAGTCTTAATAACCTTCGCGGTCTTCTGCAGCTGCACGGCCATCATGGCATTGGGCGGGATGAAGAAGCCCAGGATGGTGGCATCGTCGCTAGGCCGGAAGGCGCTGCGGATCAGGCCCGTACCGCTGTTCAGCGGGTTGCCGACGCCCTCGAGAGCGAGGGTCTCGGTGCTAATCTTGGTCTGCCGCTGGAAGGTGTACTGGTTGCGCACGAACTGGTTCTTGGTGTTGAAGGTGGGCTGGGACTGCGCGTCAATGACCCGCAGCACCGTCTTCAGGGCCTTGAACCAGCGTTCTGTGAGGAAATCGGTCGACTTGGTGTTTTCGTGGAACTCGGTGCCTAGCATCAGGAAATGGGCTAACGAGTCGAGCTCGTACTTGCATTCGAAAACGAACGACGGGTCGTAGGTCGGATGCACCGTGTCCTTCTGGCTGCTAGTCGCGGGCTTGATGCCGCTGGCCGACGGCGGCTGGAATGCATTGCAGTATGGCGATTGAATCACGAACTCGGCCTGGGTGTTGATTGCGCCGAGTATGAGGGAGTATAGCCGCTTGTCCTGGGCCGCGAGAGGTTGGTAGCCCGTTAGCTGGTTAGTCGAGTCGCGCAGCCACTCTGCATTGATATCGCCGGTCACAATGAAGGTCTGCGGGCCAGTCCACTGCGCACTATCCTGCTTGGAGCCCCGGCGGGTGGAAGCCTTGCTGGACCCGTTTTGGTGCCAGCGGATGGTGGTATCCAGCGTATTGGGAAAAGCATTGCGGAAGAGCTGCGCCAGATCCTTGTCGACTAGACGCGACGTGATGTCCTTAATGACCTTCTCAACAGCAGGCGAGGAAAATGTTCGGCATGCTTCATCGGGTCTCTGGAAGGGAAGCTTCAACGGACCGCCGCTGTAAGGACCACTGAAAGAAGTGTTGGATTCAACCTAGTAAACATGAGGGAACAAGACACTCACTGTGGTGTCGCCGAATATGAAACGTAGTCGGGACATGCGCGTCGCAAGATAGCTGGGTCATCGCGGGCAGGAAGGGCAGTGGCCTGGAGACCCAGCGCAATCGCAAGGATGACCGAGGAAATCATGGCGGGGGTTAAGAGGAGGAAACGAGAATATGCAACATGCGGTAAATAAAGCTCTCGTCTCCCCCAGGAATGCCGATCTCAGCACATTCCCCGGGATTTATGCGGGTGGCATGGTTGCACCGACTCCACTGCGGAGATTCTACTGTGTGAGGGCAAAAGTCGAAGTTGTATAGTTCTGACTAGCATAGGCCCAACTTCCACAAAATGCTTCACTATTTCACTTTTTCCCAAAGAATGACATGATATTCCCTTGTCCTGCTTTGTTTCCTTTGCCCTTGGGCGCACTCACAGCTGGCTTCTTCTTGGGCACCGGCTCATCTTCGGAGAATGATTCCCACGACGCCTCCTCCTTGGTCACTAATGGTTATAAAGGAACCCTGATTAGTAGACATTTCTCACTAGACATGGAGTGTAACGTACCAAGATAACCCTCTTCGTCCTTGACCGTTCGCTTCTTCATGACTTGCCGCTTGCCTCTCCGCCGGCCTCCCTGCACCGTCGATTCTTCCTTGAGCTCGGCAGGTTTGGGTGGCGGCGGCTGCTCCACGGGTGTGGGTTCTCGCGGCGGCTCTTCTTCAGCATCAGGCATTTCTTCATCTGTGTGGGGATTAGTGGTTTGAAGCATAAGAACAACAGGTCTGATGGAGCATACCATCGGCATCGTCATCTTCCATCATCTTTTTCAACTTGTCTTCCCGCTCCTTCTTGCTCTCGCGGTTTGAAGACGCGGCCTTGTCGCCTGTGTCTGGGAAGAGCTCCTCGGGCTCCTCCTCAGAGGCGTCATCCAGGACCACTGCAAGCTGTGAGTGAATGTATCCAGATCGATCGGAGGCTAACTGACCATCTTCTGCACCGCTTGGTTGCGCCTGCCACCGGTGTTAGTATTGCAAATAAGTAGAAACAAGAATAACCACATCTGAACTAACCGATTCCGGGGCCGTTGACGTCTTTTGCTTGGGCTTAGCCTTGGCAAACGAATTGAAGAGGTTGCTCTTTTCGAGCTTGGCTGGCGCCGGTTTCGCTGCGGGTTTGGAGGATGACTGGGAATCGGTAGTCGCCGAAGACTGTTGTGGCTTTGGTTCCTCTTGTTTCTTGGTTTCCGTTTTCACTGGTGCATCCCTCTGGAGTGGTCGTTTGGCTGGTACCGTCGACTGTGACGAGGGCTTGGGTGCAGTAGGAGCCGGGGCCGGAGCCGGAAGTGGACGTGTCCCCGTTCTCCGCTGTGATAGACATAAATTAGAATCTTGCAGAGACAATAGCGAGAACATGAGCAGCGCACCTTGACATTTCGGTTCTGGATCATCCCCCACTGCTTTCCATGTTCCAGCGGATCCTCGTGCGCATGGGCACTTGAAACCTCCCGACTCACATCCGTGAGCACATTCAAGTCCTGGAGCGCAGTCGCTTGGAGACTATAGACATGGATAGTCGATATCGACTGGAATGTTGCTTTTGCATCTGCTCCATCCACCCCGGGGTCAGCGGGCCATAGCGGTGAGAACCAAGGTAAACAATACCTTCGAGATCCTCCTCGCGCGCGAGCACGATAGACGCGATGTGCACCGAGTCAGATGCCGCATCCTGGTTCGGCATCGAGCTGGGTAGATAGGAACTGCTCTGCATGATCTCATCGTCGTCGTCGGTAGGGCCATTGATGGGAGCAGGCTCGGGTGGTTTCTGGATCCCCGAAATAACGTAGGTGGCGTGAACGCTCTGAGGCTTCTTTGCGTTTTCATTATGGTGGAATTCGAAGAGCATCCTGTGATATCAGCATCCACTGTTTTCTTTCATCCTGAGCGTAGAACGTACTGCTTGGCTCGACTGGCGTGGACCTTGAGCGCGCAGCTCAACGAGCGATAGGTGACCTGATTGCAAGATGAGCCACGAGTCCATAACATTCAATAGAAACAGCGTACCGTGCGCCGGTCATTGAGCACCTGCTCTGCCAGGAATAGCTTGCCATCCATGGTTGCTGCGAAGCGCAAGTTGCTCCGACGCGTGCCAAACCACTTAACGCGTATCAGTCAGCGGGTCTTGGCGCTGTCTCTTGCTTTTCCCGTCTTCCTTCACTTTCTGATCTTCTCTGCTGTTGAGGTCAATTCAATCGATTGTCTTTCTCTTTTCACCGCGAACTCTGACCTGCTTCGCATGTGCGGGGCCTTACTTCTGCCCCCGATGCAGCAGTCATTCGATCTCTCCGACTCCACCGACTGGCACGAGACGCCTCTGTCTCTCCTCGGGCCGCTCGAGACGTCACTGCGCTGTCAAGTCTGCAAAGACTTTTACGACAATCCGGTTATTACCTCGTGCAGTCATACGTTTTGCTCGTTATGTATCCGCCGCTGTCTCAGCACCGAGGGCAAATGCCCCGCCTGTCGAAGCTCTGACCAAGAGCTCAAGCTGCGCCGCAATTGGGCCGTTCAGGAGCTGGTGGACAATTTTACGACGGCACGCCCGATTGTACTAGATCTTGCACGGAAGGAGGCTGCGCGTCTTACGCGTGGAAATGATCAGGTAGAGGGACCAGCGCCGAAGAAACGCAAGGCCGGTCGAGTGGAGCAAGAAGAGACACCGGTGCCAGAAACCAGCCCGCAAAGGGTACGTACTCGATCTCAGAGGACAAAAGCAAACCCGCGGGAGGAGGTCATTGAGGACAGCCAAGATGAGGATGACATAACAGGTATGTGGTGTTTTACCATGGATCAAGTTGCCGGGGACGAGTCTAATGTTCTTGCAGAGGACGGTCTAGTGGCATGTCCAATTTGTCTCCGGAGGATGAAGGATGAAGCAGTGTTTCAGCATCTCGATACCTGTACAGGAGAGCCGGCTCCACCAAAAGCTGCATCCTTCGGGTAGGTTGAGCCCGTTTTACGAGCCCAGGATATCAATTCTGATCTATCGCGGCCACAGATCCCTACAGCCGCAACCCCGCCACCTTCCAAAATCCACCGGAAACCCCCCAGAGAGAATCCCCGCCATGAACTATTCAATATTGAAAGAAACGACCCTGCGGAAAAAGCTTCGAGAGCTTGGCATCCCAGAATGGGGGCCACGAGTCCTTCTTCAGCGGCGTCATACGGAGTGGATGAATTTGTGGAATGCGAATTGCGACTCGAAATTCCCCAAATCCAAACGAGACCTGTTGCATGAACTGGATGTCTGGGAGCGCACACAAGGGGGTAATGTGGCTGCACCGTCACCGTTTGTGTCGACGGGGACAGTGATGCGCAAGGACTTCAATGCCGCCGAGTGGTCTGCAAATCACGATGATGATTTCAAACGTCTGATTGCAAATGCGCGTAAAAGAAACGATGCCATAGTTAGATCGACTATCCCTGGAGCATCGGCTGCTTCGTCTGGATCCGAGGACCCTTCCTTGGAACAGCCCGACGCGACATCAAATGCAACGAGGACCGTACCAGAGATGCAGGAAGTACCAGCCGAAGTGCTTCCGGTGAACGGGAGCATCGATTCCCGCCATACTTCCAACCCGTCTGGATGAGTCAAGGGACTAAACGCCTTGCTTAGTCCGTGAATCGTTCGCAAGTTACCTACCCACCAAAGGTGACTTTATTTCGCTGACATGGGGTCCTCCACTGACATGTTCGAGAGCTTGCCGATGCTTTCAGCGAGGTCCGAGTCCACATCTTTCCCCGCTTGTGCCTGGCGAGCAGCTTGGTCGGAGGCCTGCTTGAGGCTGTCCAGCTCGGCGAGCCTCTTCTCCGTTTCTGCCGCTTGTTCCTCCTCCTTTGCCTCCCGGTCGGTCTTCTCCAATGCTTCGAGCTCGTCATCAATCTCTCCCTCGTCAATGACCGGGCCCGCCTCATCCATGATATTTCCGACCTCGTCGACCTTGGTCATTTCCTCGCGCAGTTCCTCAACCACGTCCTCGACTCTCTCCGCGCCGCCGATCTGAGCACGTAGGCCACGAAGAACACCTGTGCTTGCCTCCATGACCTGGACCATCTCGATCTGGCCTGCAGCCTGCTCGATCTTCATATAAACCTCTTCGAGTTGCGTGAGAGTGTCCAGTCTCTGCTTCAGATTATGTTCTGCCAGCTTCTTGGATCGAACAGCTGACAGCGCCGAGACACGGTTCTTGTTTGCGAGTGCCGTCTTCGCCGATGTGGTTAGTTCGGCAATCTTCGTCTCCAGGGTCGTGGCTTGCTTTGAAACCGTCGATAGGAGCGTCTTGATCGAGGCGATGGTTTTGTCCTGCTGCGTGATTTCCGCAGCTTCATTTGAGGACTTAAACTTAATGGTCTGGTAGTTCCTTTTGGTCAATATCTGCACATCTAACGATCGACATGCCCGTGCATGGTCCCTCTGCATACCTTGCCATCATACGCAATAGACCCGCTGTCGCGGGATAAATAGAGCAATAAAACATCGAAATCGGCATCTGAGAGTTCCGTCACGTCGTGTAGTATAGTTGCGAAGTCCTCAACGAAACTCTCTTTGGAGTATATAAGATCCATCTTCGACGAGTTGTGACCCGTCGCCTTCTTAACGACCAGATCGGCTGCCTCCTGTTGCAATGCGCGCAAGTGGTCAGAACTCGAGTATCCAGACGAAAAGTGTCCCTGTTCCCTTGCTCGAAACGAGATCCATACCTGCAGATTCCCCACCAAGACCAATTCCTGTATTTGCAATCTGGGCGCAGACTCGCCGGCCTCCGATCCCACCACGAAGCCCTTTAATTGTCGAATGCCCCAGCTCATCACATTCCACGGACTCAGCGCCCCGGGATCAATGACCCTCCACTGACTCTTCTGCAAACTGCCCGCGCTGCTCTTGTAGACCGGCAACGGAACCATCGAGCGTTTGCGCATTGCCTCATCCTGCGCATTATCACCGAAAGCCAATCGTCAGCAAAGATGAACCCTTGGACAATAAAAGAGAAAAAGTTGCCAGAAAAGAGACGGAGAAAAACGAAGCATACAAAAACAGTTCCCAGCGCCACCGGCCTCCCCCACTCCGGCAGTTCCAGATCCCGCAGCAGCGACTCGTCCGTCCGCAGGATAAGGTGGTCGGTCTTCTTTCGTTTCGGGAGGGATTCCTTCTTGTAGGAAGAGCCGGAGCCGGAGCGCACACGCACACCGCGCGAAGAAGTATATCCGCGCTTGGCGGCACGGTTCAGTGCTTGTTCCCAGGCGGCGACGTTGACGGCGTAGCCGTCGGGGTTTGTTTTCTTCTGGAGAGTGAAGTCGGAGTAGAGAGATGGGAGGCGGTTTCTAGGGTATTCCAGGATCATCGGTCAGTTCTGATTATTCTCTTTTCCGGGTTTTCTTCTTCTTTGGCCTTATTTTCCTGTTTCTCTTTCATTCCAAGATGCGAGGGCTGCGTGGACTGTACCGGCGAAATGCATCCTCGTGGTTGAGGATGTAGTCGAGGAGGTTGCTCATATTGCGCGGTTCTATTCTATGAATTCAGCGCCAAATAGCTTCTCCGGCAGTTCAGCTTGACTGGTTCGGCGAGAGACGTGCGATGTTGCGACTGTGGAGGAATTGGGGTTTCTGGATCGGCGCACACGAGGTGTCAACACCAGCTTTATCGATAAGCACACGTGACCTATATCTATATTTACAAGAGCGTGCGATTATGCTACCAGCTTTGAAACGAATTCCTAGCAGAATGTGGTGTACAGGGAGGTAAAATCCTTGCCCATAGCCGATTTATGTGCAGCCAATATAGACATAATTGTGACGAAGTGAATTCTATTGTATATGCTATGGTGGGAAATTAAGACCGTCGCGTCTACGCTCGTTCAAAGTCATCATTCGGAGGCTGTTCAAGGTCCCGGGGCCCTTGCGTCATGTTCAGCACCCCCGCGTCCAGCTGCGCCGGAAGCCCGATCAGAGAGCGGCGATGATTGCGCTTGTCGAGTTTCTCGCTGGTTTCCTCGGTCCCCAACGGATCAGCAGCGGCCGGCTCATCGCGGGTGTTGAGTCCTCTGGCCTCCAAGTACTCGACTTTCACGGTATGGCGCAGATTATCAACAAAGGTTTGCATCTCGGGCATTGGGAACACGCCGTCATTCGCCAAGACGGGGGCATACATACGCTCGGCCTCTTCCAAACAGGCTGAAGCCAAGGTCGGCTTGCCGACTTTAAGCCACTGGTCGGCAGCCAGAAGGCTCCACATCCCAGCTTTCCTATGACGAGAGCCCCATCTGGCACCGCCCGCCGGGGTTTTGGTGGCGTAGCATGCAGCGATCCTTTCCATGAAGAGAATCTGCGCTACAGATCCGGCCAGCCCAAAGTCCATGACCCGCATGGCCCATCTGGCTGCACTCTCGGTGGCGGAGCCGCCTCGCGACTTGAGAAGTTCAACAGCCAGAGATAGACAGCGGAGCGCATGGGTGCCGTCCGAGCACCGTGTGAGATAGGAGTAACAAGCTGTTTCGAACATCTGATCAATGCTGTCGAGCTTGATCTTGGCGGACATGGCCATCGGGTTTAACAGCATGCTTAGAGCGCACATCTCGTGGGCCCCAGCATGGTATTTCCATGCCTTGTCATTGCCAAAGTCTGAACGAATGATTTCATACGTGGAAGCAGACAGTTTCCAATCACGAAGCATGAAGGCGAAGTCAGCCAGTTTCCGCAAGATCGCTTCTGGAGCCTCGGGCCGGTAAAATTGATGAGTGGAATCATAATTTCCGCCCCCGCCGGATGATCCTGTAATGCCCGAGCGCGAACTGGACCCGAACCCAGCCCATCGCCGCGACATCGACATAAATCGGCCGCTGATACCCCGACGCCGCGATGCAACTTGATCATTCCAGACGGCCACTCGGTTCTCCATGAAGGGGATTACGGACTGTGCAACCAACTCCCGGACAAAGATCCTGATCGCTGTCGCATCGGATTCAAAGACATACGGCGTGCCGTCCGTGCCAAGATCCACTAAGGTCTCTGCAGAAGTATTAGCATTTATTTGAGCAACTGTGATCAGAGGACTTGCCTGCTTTCCCTACTCCCGATAACCGCTCCGAGGGCGACAGCCATTCGCACTGAGGCACTTGCACGCTATCATCATCCGTCACCACACACTGACTGCTTCGAAGTCGTAGGAGGTGACAATGCAAGCCAAAATGGCGTTTCATTTGATCGTAGAGCTTGCTCGACTCGGTGATATCATCCCGCTCTTCGTCATGAACCAACACGTAATATCGGAGATACTCCTGATTGACCCAGTCGGGTAGTCGTCGGTCACCCGAGCTACTATCCGCATAGAGCTGGCGGAGCGTCTCCAATGGTGCTGGATTGCGCGAGCTGATGGCGATTACACTGGCCACCGGGTGGCGGAAAGTCTCGTGGGGTGCCTCGGGCATCGTAGACAAGAGCTGTCGCAGGAACAGTTTCGACAATGAAGTCGTCGCAGGCAATCCTAAAATATCTCTTGGGCGTCCTGCTCCCCCAAGGGAGCTATCTGCAGAGTCCAACTGCTTCTCCAGTACCTCCTCCATCTGCGCCGAGGGCGAGTCCCGACCAGCGGGAGTCCGGCCGAACCCCTTTAGATCCACGAAGTGCACTCCATAGTCTTCCCAAGCATGACTGGACCCAATGCTGTCCCGAATGACCACTTTCCCAGAAATCGTCTCCCCAAACGGCCGAATCAACTCCCAGAAGCCGCCTTGGAACCCCTTATTCTTTACCAATTCATCGGTATCCTCGGAGGCATAGATGGCAATGGTGGGAGAGAAAGACCGGATGATCAATGTCCTGACATCCTCCGAGCTATCGAAACGCACGTCGAAAGGCGACCCGAGTGATGAACGTGCTAGTTGTGGGGTGGCGGAGGACCTCACGGAGTGGGAATGCGGCGATGCTGACCGGATTGGCAAATCGGCGGTGGCCCCCAGAGACGGGGTAGGCGATGATGCCACCTGGGACTCGGCCAGGTCAGCATCTAGAGAAGTGGATTCGTGCTCGTCCGCGTATCGGGTCTTGGATGCGCCTCGCGCGACGCCGGGGGACAAGGACGGCGGAGGTCTGACCGGAGCAGCATCTCCGGGCGAGGTCATGGACACCGACTGCGTTTTGCGAATCTGGAGCTAGTGGTGGAGATTGACAGGCCCCATCGACCGAGATATCAAGGCCACGGAGGAAGTTAGGAGTGGGCTATAGGGCTTGGGAGGGCAGGATCGGAGACGGTGTTGTTTGGGGGGAAAGCCAAGTCGATCGGTTCGGCTGCGATAAGCACTCGGAGGGGACGCAGAGCACACGCAAAGCAGACGCGCAATGGATGCCTGGGTGGAGTTGGACTGGGTTTCGGGCAGCAACCACAGGGAATGAAATTCGAAAGAGAATCAAGATCTACATTGACAGCAAAGATATTCGAGAAATGCAAGAGAATCCGCCATTGTCGCGCGTTGACAATGATGCAACGCACGTGAGAAATCCTAGCTTTATCGAGCTCTGAGTTACTTCTATGACTCTCCCTTCCGCCCGTGTCTCTTTTTCTCTTGAGTTTCTTTTTTCTTTATATGGCCCTCTTCGATGCTAAGGTGGCGCTCCTTGGGGTCCTTACTTGAGGCCTGTTACTCAAATCCTGCTCCACTTGCCCCTCTAGCGAGAAGACCAGCGCACCAGAGATTCCCGCGCATTCAACCCAAGCTCACGCTCCGGGCTGGCTCAACCTCCTGTCCTTCGATGCGCGATATTGAGTCGGACACACCTTATCCCGGACGAGTCAGAAAGAGGCGACGCATATCCACCCCGCAGGAAAGCTCCAACAAAGCGATGCATCCCGTCCCCACCATCTCACTCACTCCGATTGAGAGAACCCTACGAACTCTCCTCCTCGACGTCGCACAATACATCCGAGAACAAGAAATTGTCGAGGGGGGCAGCGATGTGGTGAGCCATCCGGAAACCGTGCTGCGGTTCACAGGCGGCTGGGTCAGAGACAAGCTGCTCGGAGTGGACAGTCATGACATCGACGTGGGGATCAGCAGCATGACGGGATACCAGTTCGGGATGGCTTTGAAGCAGTACTTGGATAGCCCGCAGAACTTGGCCAAGTACAAAAAGGGCCTTCCCAATGGCGAAATGAACGACGCCATTGTCAGCCTGCACAAGATCGAGGCCAACCCGGAGAAGTCAAAGCACTTGGAAACCGTGACGACCAGGATCTTTGGTCTCGATATTGACCTGGTGAATCTGCGAAAGGAGACATATTCGGAGGACAGCCGAAATCCACAGATGGAGTTTGGTACAGCAGTCGAAGATGCCATGCGACGTGATGCGACCATTAATGCACTTTTCTACAATCTCAATGATTCGCGATTGGAGGACCTGACGGAACACGGTTTGGATGATATGAAAAATAAACTCATCCGAACACCCCTGGAGCCATACCAAACCTTCAAAGATGATCCGCTACGCGTACTTCGATTAATCCGGTTCGCCAGCCGGCTAGGGTACCAAATTGATCCAGAGACTATGGCGGCAATGCAGAATGCAGATATCAGTGAGGCCTTGAAGCTCAAGATCAGCAAGGAACGTGTTGGGACTGAGCTGGAAAAGATGCTGCGAGGTTTGTTCCTTTCCCTTCTGTTGAATTTTATTGGCATCTAATCTGATATGCTCCAGGTCCTGACCCTCATGGCGCTTTGCGATTTATTGACCAACTTGGACTGTACTCTACAATCTTGGCAAACCATCAGGACGAAGTCACTGCGGATACATCGACCTGGTCCCTTGCCTACAATGCGCTGGCGAAGTTACTTCGTCCCTACGCTGCAGGCAGCCCAGAGATCCAGGGTGCGGTCGAATGTATTTGCCAAAACTTGGTGCTCGATGAGTCTAGCACCTACAGCGCATGGGTGGTTGCCACATTCGCGCCTTGGTTGTCCGTCTCGGCACGCACTCCCAAGGGACCTAAAGCCAAACCTTTGCCTCAACGAGCAGTCGAGGTTGCCCGCGACAGCCTTCGCTCTGATAACAAGACGCTAAGCATCCTCCGGGATGCGGCCTCGAACTACCAGGACATCATCGAGGTGAAGACCTCGTTGGTGAACAACACGATGCAAGGCACTTCGGCCGAAAACCGACAACATATTGGACTGCATATGCGGACGTGGAACAAAGACTGGCGAATCTGCGTGCTCTTGGCGATGCTGCAAGAGATCATGAAGGGACATGGCTTTAGTCAAGGTAAGTCTCATGCACTGCTTATTCGCGATCGTTGAATTGTCGGTTCTAATCTCAAAATCTTATAGTGGCCCTTGAGTATCAGCAGTTCCTAGAATACATCGTAGAAAATGGACTCGAGGACGTATGCGACCTGCGACCCATTGTAAACGGCGACGAAATCATGAAGGCGTTGGACACCAAAAAGGGTCCTTGGATGAGCAAGGCAGTTAGCATGGTTGTTGAATGGCAGCTGCTTCACCCGGAGATCGCAGACAAAGCGCAGGCGTTGGAGGCGATTTCGAGTCGGCGAGCAGAGTTGGGGTTGTGACGATCCCACAATCAAAAATCACCTTGAACCATGGCGTGTTACGCGTAGCGACCACATAATTTGAATTCACAACCTACACTACCTTCATAGCATATTGGCATTCCGCAATACATCCCAGTATCTCATGGACAAGCTGCGCACCGAAGCCCGCGAGGCACTGCACCGCCGGCCTTTGGAACCCCCGCCTACTCTGCTCGCCGCCTTTGATGCCACCGAGGACAGCCTGACTCCATTGTGGCAGGATATCGCATCGCATGAGAGCAATTCCCATTTGGGCGTAAGAATTGAAAATATCATCACAGAAATAGATTCTACCAGATGGCTTACGAGAAACCTTAGGCCTGTGAGAATCTCGCGATTGCGATCAACTATATTGAATTCTGGGACCCCCTGTTACCAAACGATGAAGGCCCCAAACAGCTGGCCGCCGATGAAATCGAAGCCGTGATTCATCTGTCTGCATGGGCTAGTCGCCTCGCCCTGCCCTCGTCCGAGTTTGCCATCAGTTTTGATGAAACGGCCGAAATCTCTGACAGTAGGGTTTACTCTCGCCCGCCGCACATGAAAAATGATCCTGTGCTTACAGTCACTACAGAAGACCGGAAAGCCCAGGATGAGGGTCGGCTGAGAGTGCAGCTGGCTATTACAGTTCTCATCCTGCTCCACAAGAAGCATGGTGGTCGTCCGGATCGCAGTGTATTCAATTCGCCCGATCTCATCGTGGCAATGGCCAGTTTCACCTCTGAACACGATCCCTGGACCAACGAGGAAAGCAGAGTAGAGGCGTCAATGCTGCGGGATGCGACGATCCTATTCCCAACTGGAGACCCTAGGTTCTGGTCCCTCATTGAGCGCGTCCTCAAAGAGAAGATCCGGCCCCTCTTCACGAGGACGAGGAATCCTGCAATCACCAGCGAGGGCCGCAAGAACTTCCACCCGGTGCCGTTGACTCGGTTTTATGGAAGCTCTCTGGATGCAGAGGCGAGTCCCTGGAAAACAACCGACGTCTACGCGCCGACGGTGTTGGCCTGGATCATTTCACAGTATCGTGTATGACATTCCCAAACCCCACAAACCTACGACCCGTGCACTGACATCAGAGAGTATCAGCCCGCCGACAAAGCATATCTGGAAGCTCATTTCCCGCTTCTTGTACCAGCAATCCTGGCCCTGATCGACGACAGCAGCATCGCAATCAAAACCCGCGGCTGCACTCTGCTCACGCAGCTGCTCCAACCCATCCGAAAAAGCGGCTCAGACATTCTGCGACGGACCAACCTCGTCTCAGTATTCGAAGACGCCCTCACACCATGTCTCCTCTCCCTGCCAACCATCACCCCGGAAGAGAGCTCCCTCAAGCTACTGGGAGCCGCCTATCCAGCGCTATTGTCTCTCTTCCAAACAGCCTACCACGCCCCGCCCTTCAAACAAGCCGACAAAGAAAAGAACCTGGAAACCTACCTCGCAAGCCTAACCAAGGTCCTCCGCTCAAACCTCATCTCGTCGTTCCACCACGTCAGCTCCTCAACCCCAGCTGCTATCTCCACTTCGGCGTCCTTCCCGCACCCGCGCCTCTCAACCTTCTTGGTCGAGTGGATCGCGACTTTTGTCCATGAGCTGGGCATCCACTCTACAAAATACCTCCAAGATCTCATCCCCGTGCTTTACACCACGCTTTCGAACCCCTTCGCCAACGCCCACCCGCCGCTTCTCCTCACGGCGGCGACCACCACAAGAACCGTGGTCCTGAACGCGCACCCGCGGGTTTGGCGCTGGCGCGGCGAGATCTTCGGCGGGCTGAGCGCAAGCTGGCTCCATGCCATCGAAGAAGAAAAGGAAAAGGAAAAGAATAAGCAGGATAAAGAGACCTTGGCAAATTTAAAGCGTGAGCTTCAGGGCACGGCTGCTATCTTGAAATACGCGTTGCTGAGCCCTGTTCCTGTTGAGGGTGAAGTAGATGCGGATCGTCTGCAGGTCAAGGAGGGTTTGCAGCAGGAGTTGCAGAAATTGGTCGATGCGGATCCGGCCCTGAAGGACCTTTTTGGTGCTGAGGTTCAAGCTGGGAAAGGGGTTACCTTTGCTAACCCGTGATTAAGATACTGTGATCTATGGCTTAGAATGAATGAAAGCACGGAAGGGTTTACTTGGTATGGTGATTTATGCAATGGCATTGGAATCATGACATAGATGCACTCGGGGTATCATTCTGGCAAGAATCTAACGCTAAAATACTTCCAAAAATGTGGAAATGAAAATGAAAAAGAGCTCGCGGCATCACACATCGACCCGCTGCTTGAAAAGACTCTTGCCTCGTAGCCACTGGCGATACCGTTTATATCTCTTCTTTTCATAGTCCTCACCGACAACAGTGAGCCCTTCCTCCGAGACATTCAGAAACTCGGCATAATCAGCCATGTTCTCTTCGGCATTAGTTTCGAGAGTCGACTCCTCGACATTGCACTTATTCGCATACTCGAGCAGATCGAGGTTGGGACCGTGCGCACGGAGCGAGGCAGCAGTCATTTCATCCTCGGACGTGACGACCAGAGGAACCTTGAGCGGGTGGTTGATGTAGCGCTCATACTCCTCGGCCTCGGTAGCGGTGACGGATGGATTGAGGGAGTCCGTGACCAGTTGGCCGAGGGTCCATTGGGCGATTTGAGCTTTGCTGGGGGTGGAGGAGGTGCTGGGCGGGTGGATGGGCGGAACGCGAGAGGCTTGGGACAATTCAAACGCCGGCTCTTTGATGATTCCCATAGAGGGTGCTCGCTTCTCCGACGAGGGAAGCTGGTGGGCCCATATGTGGGCGGATTCGGGGAGTGCCTGCGTAGGCCCCGAGTAACGACGACGGTTGTCGGAGGGTTCTTGAATTTTGACGCTGCGCTGCGGTGGACGATCGCGCTGCACCTGGTCGGCGGGGATGCGAGGTACGAACGGGCTGAGGTCGGGTGCTTCTTGGCTTGGCCGGAATGGAGGCAAGTAGCGGAGAGTTGAGTTCATTTTGTAGGAAAAGATCTTGGAGAGAGTGGATAAAGCAAGCGGTCGGTAGTATTCCAGCCAGTAGTCGTCGAAGCGCGGCAGCGGTTCTTTGGGACGAGAAGGCAGGGGGGGCATCTCTCTTTCTTTCAAGTGTTCTGGCGTGTACCAGGAGATGTAGTTGGGTCGCTTTTGCTCCAAGTAGGATCGGGGATCGGCATGGTGTAGGTAATAGTCGGTGGAGAGGTCCCATAGCATTGGGGAACCCTGTGAGAAGATGTAGTTGCCAAGGAACAGATTGTATGCCTCCTGGCGCTGGGCATCCAGAAACGAGTTATTGTAGTACCGCTTGAAGCTCTCCACCATATCGCGCGAGTGACTGCTCCACTGGTTGATCTTGCGATAGGTGGCCATGGTGTTGACCAGATGGGATCCGCCGTACTGAATGGCAATGGTATCTCCATGATCATGCCACATGTTCGTGAAGAGATTGACCGCATCCGTGTCATACTCAACTGTGGTTTCATCGATGACACCAAGCGCATGAAGCTGGTAGCCCAAGGCTCGCTTGCCAATGACGAACTGCGCCGCATTTGTGCGGTCGAGACAATCGATGCAGTTGGTCCTCGCGACGCCGTTCTGGAGCCGCAGGCCCGATTCAGCATCAAATTCGTTCTTGAAAAACCCGGTCTTGGGCATTATATCGCCTGCAATCCCCTCCAGTGTCTCAATGACATTCTGGTCTCGGCTTTTCGCCGCACGGCTCATATCCCAGGCTTTGTAGATAAGCTTCTTGTCCGGTGGAAGAAACTGGTTCAAGTAGTTCACTGCGTTGGTGAATTCCTTAAGCAGTTTCGACTCTCTTGGCGTTCGCTCTCGGGACTTGACCAGATTCAGGACATATATGGGAGCGCCGTATCTCTCAAACAAATTGTCAAAATGAAGTGCAGCTGCCGAGTAGAACGGATCCACTAGATTCAGCTCAATATCCGGCTTCGGCGACACCCCTGTGTTCTCCTGCGTCCAGTACAACGGTATGCTCCCCCGGTGTTGGACATAGGAGGTGTAATGAGGATTGGCATGGAGGATTGGACCGGCGGAGTGAAATGATGTCGTTGTTTGCTCCGAGACAATCTGTTCGGTTTCCACATCGTTAGCCACATGTCCCAAATCGTTCGCACCGCGCTTGAGAAATCGTGCGCCTGCAAAAAACCGGGATCGGCGAGCAATAATGGCGATGTAGACTAATCGCCCATATACGCTCATTTTCGACTGGTCCACATAGCCATGGATGATGGGAAGACACCACTCGTAAGGATTCTTGAGGGTGGCCGCCGCAGGACTGAGGAGGTGATGGTTCCAGATGAACATGGTGTTGTGGTCCTGTGTCAGGCGCTGGGGGAGTCCATCCTGGTGAGCTTCGCGTTCCCAGCAGATATTATCTTGAAGCGAGCGAGTGAGGTCGTAGGAGTGGCTGAAGTAAAAAGACCGGGTGAGGTCAAGATTGTTCAAAATGGCAATATATCTGGCTTCTTCTGGGTGTTTGTCTGTTTTGAGCCGTGAAGAATCCGATGTTGTCAATGAGATCAGCTCCGTGTCGTCAATCTTATACACATTGTGGCCACCGAGCATGGCCACCTGGCTCCTTTGGTGACCAAGAGCATATAATATGCCCCCGTAAAGCGGATGAAACCGAGCAAGGCCCACGCGCTACACTTTTGGTTCAGGCCACCGGAGCTCTTGTTGCCGTCGTCAATGGCGTCGAGCAACTGAACCATCTCCCGCTTGGTATAGACCATGTCATCCTCGATGATGCTCAGCTCGCCCGACTCGGACGTCCGGTCAATTTTCAAAATCCGGAAGCGCGTCTCAGCGAGGTTGATCCCGACCATATAAAACCGAGTGGCAGTCTCGTAGAGTGTGAATTTGTGCATGCGATTGATAGCCTCGTCTTCTCCGCTGTCCACCCCCGACCGGTGCTTCTGCGCCGACGTGGGTGACGACTCCCGCTCAAATGAAGTCGCGACCCGTGGCTCCTCGTCCTCCCCATCACCTTCCTCATCCCCGATCTGAGCTCCAGATGGTGGGTTATAGGACAAGGGAGGAAACTCCGACGCGATCGACGGGTCACTGGCCAGTCCATTATCATTCGGGGTTTCCAGCTGCGATGGCGTTCCGGATCTTGCTGGGTGGTTTGATAAGGATGCATTCGACGGTTCTGGGTTTGCGCCCGTGTCTGACGTCGAATTGGTCGGTTCAGCCTGGGGGATAGAGAGGTGCTCGAACACCGGATCGTGAGACACTGGCCCGGCGAGGGGCACATCATCAAAGCTTTCCATTGCTGTAGGAACAGCAAGCCGATGACAATGTGGTGAATTTATAGCCACATCGCCCCCGAGAGAGGAGAGGATGCGCTGGATGTTTTGTCGGGGAGCTCCCCACATGACGTCGGCCGCTTGGGCCACTTTTCGCGTTGATCTGCTGTCTCGCATTTGGCTGTTCCACACTTCTATTTCCGCTATGGCTGCGCTAATGAAGATATCATTTAGATCTATCTTTTAAATTCCTCATTGATACCTTCTATACCTTCGACTGTCTCGTTTCAAGCGCCTTTCGCCGAGTCCGAAGAGCTTTGGTCTCCTCCTGGAGCGCCAGCCCCATCATGATCTCCTCGCTGCCGCCCCCAACCACATGAACCCGGGCGTCACGGCTGATCTGCTCAATTCTTGCCCCTTTCCCAGCCTTGTTATACCCAGCACCTCCAAGAATCTGCTGCGCTTCACGGACGCTCTTCTCCAGCGCCCTCGTGGACATGACCTTGAGCAAAGCGGTCATGCCACCGATCTTGACATCGTCCACGGGTCGGTCCTTCGTGAGCTCGAGGATATTAACGAGCTGTTCCATGAACGCGTAAGCCGGCTCGATCATCAGCCCAAACTTGAAGATCTTGGCTTGGATGGCTTGCTTCTGGATTAGAGGGGAGCCGAATGTCTCGCGCTGAATGGCGTAGTTGAAGGCGTCTTCGGCGCACACGCGGGCCAGCCGCAACGATGCGCATGCGAGTGCGAGCCGTTCGGGGTTGAAGTCTTGAGCCAGCCATCAGTGGTCGCTTGTCTACGAATTTCTCTTCATTGGATGCACTTACTCGACATGATCAGCAAGAAGCCCTTGTTTTCTTCGCCGATCAGGTTTTCGGCGGGGACGCGCACATCGTCTAGTTCGATGAAGGTAGATCCTGGGGTAGTGTTAGCAGGGGCTTGTCACTATACAGATCTCTATCAAGGGAACCATACCGCTGGCGTTCACGCCAGAATTAAACATGCGCCTGCGAGTGACCCCAGCAGCAGCCAACGGAATGACAAGCAAGCTAATCCCCGACTTGCCCGGACCACCAGTCCGGACAGCAGCAGTGCAATAATCAGCCCAGAGGCCATTGGTAATCCACTTCTTTGCCCCATTAACAATGTAATGATCACCGTCTCGTTTGGCCGTAGTCGAGATATTAGCGACATCCGAGCCAGCTATAAGAAGCGAAAAGCAAAGCATCAACACAGTCCTCCGAACAACATCTTCAAATCCAAAACCACCGAGATATATGAATATACTAACCATCAGGCTCCGTAACCCCCAAACAAAACCGAATCTCCCCACGCGCAACACGCGGTAACCACCGACGCCGCTGCTCAGGCGAACCGAACCTCGCAATGGGCGGACACCCGATGCCATTCCCACCCCCAAGACCCCAAGTCACGCCCACGAAACCCACGCGCGTAAGCTCGTCCGACACGATCAGCGAGCACCAGGTGTCCCATTTCTCGCGCGGCACATTGCCCGGCAGCAACAGGCCGGCCGAGTCCTCTTCCGTCGTGAGCGGGTGCACGATGCCGAAGCCCAGCTCGCAGTACCGGCGGCGCACCGGCTCGGGGACTTGGCCTGCTGCTTCCCATTCCTGGGCGTGGGGGGCGATCGAGGTCTCGACGTAGTTGCGTACATGGGCGCGAAGTGCATAATGCAGGTCGGTGTAGTAGGGGTTGCGGAGGTCGAGTTGGGGGAGGAGAGGCTCGCTGTATGGAGCGGTGGGGGCGCGGAGTGCGCGGGCCATGGTGGTTGGGTGCTATGAGAAAAAGAATGGCTTGGAGATGACTTGAGTAAATTCAAAATACGTTTTTTCATCCTTTGTATTTCTACAAGCATTTTTGCGGGGGAAGACGGCAGCTCGGCTGCCTGTGACAAGCTCAGCTCCACCAGACCGAGGCCCGAGTGTCGATCAAGATGCACTTCATTAGTTATGCGGAGGGGGGTATATGTACATTGTATCGTCTTTCATGTCTTTTCTTTTTCTTGTTTTTGTTCTTTCTTTCTTTTCTTCCTGAGTCTTCAATTCATCAGGCATCTCTAGCCTTGCGGTTTGTCGAGTCTCTTGACAGCTTTATAGATCTTGCGCAGATGCTCCCTGACATCCCCACAGCTCCATCGCTGCCGTGATGGCGGCGCCAGCATGCCCCTGATGCACGCCATGAGGGACTCGGCGACCGACTCTCCATCCTGTAGCACCCGGCAGCCAAGGTCAACCTTGTCGGGGAAATCCGTGGGAAAAGATGTGCACTGCGAACGGCCCTGGCTACTAGATCCACGGGTCAGATCATTCAGAACCAGCTGTCGCTCCATCTTCGTGTTCAAGCGGTAGACGATCTCGAACAAAATGACTCCAAGTGCGTAGACATCGAGTTTTTCGTCGATCTTGTACGTATCGAAATAGCTGGACCGCGAGCTTGTTTCGTCCATAGACCCTTGTCCGTTGGCCGGGGGCCGGTAGAACTCGGTTCCCACAACCCGCTGGATGTTGGGACCTTCTCGGTACGGCGTCACAGCCCCCTCAGAGGCAGCTTCGTTCAAATGCGAGATGTCGGCCACCAGTCCGAAATCGCCTATGCGAGGACGGCAGAATTGAACTGGGGAGTTGCCACCAGAATCACAAGAACTGCAGGTATCCGCTGTGCTATCCTCCGGTGTGCACAAGAAAATGTTGGCGGGCTTCAAATCCCGGTGGACAATTCCCTTGGAGTGGAGGTACTCGACGCCCGAGACAATGTCCAGCATCAGTTTCAGTGAGGGCATTATATGGAAACAATGGCGTCTGGGAGGTGAGTTACCATCGCCACATTTGGCTGCTGCCTGGAGGTTTAGGTATGAGCTGAGCGAGATGGGGTGCAGCGACATTTGAATGTGAAGAACCACGGCGGGTGGTAGGTGGCTTGATTGATAGGGGCGGTGCACCTGCAGCTTGGACTGATCCTGACTCAGACCATCGGTAAAAATGTCGTCGGTTCCTCCGAATGTGGACGTTTGTCCATACGAGGAATGGTCGAAGTTGCGAGGAATAGATTCAATGTCCTCGTCGTCATCATCCAGTTCCCTTCCAAAACTCTTTCTAGACTGGCGAGAAGATGTGGTCGCATGGCTGTTCCAGCGCTGTATCGGATCAGAAAAGCCGTTCTCTCCATTTGTTGAAGCTGAGTGGGTGCCAACGGCTGAGTTCTCTGAATGCTCAAAGATAATGTCCATACTTGGTTCCTGCGTGGGATCTTGACTCGGCAAGTCGATTTGTGTGGCTTCGTGCCGCGGGGGCTCTGGATGCTGCTGGGGAGACATGTGGTTTGACAGATGCGCCTGCTCCACCCATGCCCCATAGTATCGAACGATATTGGTGTGTTCGAGGCGGGCAAGCGTTCGAATTTCTTTCATGATGGTTTCCAGCTGATTTTGGCCTCCATATTGCAATTGATCGAGACGTCTTTTGCTGAGGGGGATCTTCTTGACGGCATAGTCCTGTCCGTCAATATGGTTCTTGACGTGATACACCTCGCCAAATGACCCACGCCCGAGAACCTTCAGTTCACTAAACTCAACGGAATAGCGAGACAATTGGTTGTAGGGTGGAGCAGCAGGCGCATTGAATAGAGGAACGCCCACCGGCGAACTACCGAAGAGTGGTCTCGAGGGGACTGGCAAATTCCTGGCGCCGCCGGAGATATCGCCCAGAATATCAATCTCTCCAGTGGACGGGAGTTGTTTCCTGAACATCGCATTTTCGCCCTGGGCACGCCAGAACCGGGTGGTGCTTTCTTCCACATGACTCGTCTCAGGTCTGTTTCGTGATGGTTTTCGCACCAATGCAAGTTCCTTGCCGGCATGAATAGAAGGAGACTGCTTCTGGGTCTCGTTCAAGTTCATCTCTTCAAGAGCTGAAACCCCGAGCAAGTCAAGGTGATCGCGGTAGTTCTGTCTGGTTCCTCCCAGCTCGTCCTTGTCAATGCCGCCTGCGAGGATGCCATGCGTCGAAAGAAACTTTGATTTGTGTTTGTATAGCTTCTTGCCAAGGTATTGTACCTCGGGACTGTGCCGGGTGAATGCGCGGCTTGAGCCTTTCTGGGCATTAAGAATGTCTGCGGCTCGACTCTGACAGTAGAATTCCAACAGGGCGTGCGTCATTACATTTGCATGACGATCCGCATTGACACCGAGTGCGTCTTGCGATAGCGCTGAGATATCATCGACTGAGTTTGTGCCCGTGTCATCTGTAGCATCGAGTCTTTGTGGGACGTTCCCGGTGGTCTTGCCCCTCTTGGGACTTTGAGATTCGGTCTTCAAGTCATTTCGGGGAGGTGATAATCCCTGCTCATGGTCCTCACTTTCCTCTGAGATGGAATCAGAATCTGATGATGAGATCTCTGCAGCTGACCGAAACATGGACATCTTGGTGGGCGATATTCCAATCAAGGTAGTAGAAGCAAGCAATGAGATCTAGATCAGAACCCCGCCGGTGCCATGGAAGATAAAAGTAAACCACTCGCAGAGTGAAGGTTCCAGCAAGGAGAACTTGAAGTCAAAGCAAGAGCATCTGGGCACCGATGATGGAGGGGTGGGCTTGTACTTGATGCAGTAGAGACACGTCGCAATATTCAAAATGATACACACCACAACATGACCAGATCCCAAGAACCAGCTGCAATCTCAAGATGCCACGGTGGGCTTGTTAGGTCAAATGCAGCAAGCAGTAAACATGACCCAAGTCCTAGAAGGGCGATGATTGACTTGGGGTTTCTATCGGATTCCACAATGTCGCAGGGCGTATCAGGTGGGCAGTGCACGACCAGGACGCAAGGCAACAAGATCTGGTCAGATCTTTGATTCAACGTGGTGTGATGGCAGCCTGGTAAGTTCAACCAAAGATGAAATCACAGGCTGCTCAAATATAATCCAGAGTCATGGACTGTGTCTTGTGCCAAGCCGAAGGGAGGCGAAAAGAGTCATCGTTTTCTGCCGACCGCCTTCACGCTGTCAACATCTCGAGATATATCCAAGGCCCAGGAGAATATGTAAATTCTTACCTTGCTGGTGGAATATCGTAGATTAAACAACTTTGTGGTTTGATGTTGATCCCCTTGTCCTTGATGTCTTGTAGCTTACACGTAGTCCTTGTTTCACTGACTCGCCCATCGCCCATTGTGAAGTTTATTCTAGTAATTCACAATGTTATGACAGGGCTGGCAATGTACCCTGGTCATTCTTGTCTCTGCTTCTAATTTCTCTGGTCTCCTTTGAATTATGTGTTGGAGAGTGGCAGTAACAGGATAGATTTGGAAGTGACTTGAGTGTAGAGGGAGAAGAGGTATAAGAGAAAGCAAGAATATGGAATGTAAGCACTGGAAAAACAAGCAAATGCACTGGACCGAGACATGAACAATGGCTCAGTTTCTTTCAAAAGGAAACCAAGAGGAGAAAGAGAAAGAGAGAAAGAAAGGAGAGAGGGAGTTAGTCGAGAAACAGCCATATATACATATGTTCTTGAAATTCAAGACCTCTAAGCTTAGAGCAGAGAGAAAATGATAATAATTACTCTCAGTAAATTAGATTGACCCAGGACAAGAAGAAATAGACAATCTTTACTTGTATTTGCCTGACTATTTCTCAATGGAAGAGACTATATCAAGAACTACTTACTATGCCTCCACATCATATACCTTCTTTCCAGCGAACCATGTCTGGGCAACTCGACTGTGAAGCAATGTCTCCGGGGTCCAATCCGTCTCCAGAACCACGAAATGAGCCTTATACCCTGGCTTCAAACTCCCTGTCCACTGATCAGTACGGCAAGAGTATGCCGCTCCTCGAGTAGCCGCAGTAACAGCGGAGGCAAGCGACAACGCATATTCCTTATTGACAGTATCGGTCATCTCGGGGATTCTCGCAGATCGGCGGGTTGTTGCGTTGTATATATTTGGGAGGGGAAGATGCTTCGCAGTAGGTGAATCAGTGCCAAAAGCTAGTGGTGCGCCTCCCTCGAGGAATTCCTTGTATGCGAAAGCGCGCTGGCAGCGGTGGGATCCAATGAGACGGGGCCACGCCGTGAACCCAGCCGGGTCGGAATGAACGGGCTGGACCGAGGCCGTGATGCCTAGTGCTCCAAGGCGTCGTGCATCTTCGATGGTGGTTAGCTCGAGATGTTCGATTCGATGTCTCCGTGCCGGGCTTGCAACGGCCGCGAGGACATCGATTGCTTGCGTGACAGTTCGATCGCCGATCGCATGGATCGCACACTGTAAGCCGGCCGCATCAGCCCGCTGCACAACGGCCATCATGGGATCTCTCGGCCAGATTGGGTCTGCATTCGACTGGATATGCGAGTAAGGCTGATGCAGAGCGGCCGTACATCCATCCACAATCCCGTCTCCGATCAATTTAACCCCTGCGATATAGAGGTTCGGCGATGTGGTAGCGTTGAATGTAGAGTGTAATTCAATAGCGCGATCCACATGATCGAATATTGCCTTCTGATCATCAGAATAAGGGATCAACCAATGGGCTGCAATGTGCACTGGTGGCTGTCGGCGGCGATAGAACTGTTGCAATACATCCCACGTATTTTCATCCATGGCCATGTCCACCATTCCTGTGTATCCGACAGCACTGTAGGCGCTGACTGCTTCGTCCAATGCCGCGAACTTTTCATCTGGTGAAGTAGTATTTGCAATAAATGGCCAGACATAGTCAAAATGGGCAGCCTCAGCCAGCAGCCCGGACGGACGGCCCGCTTCATCTCGATGGATCGTGCCACCAGGAGGATCAGAAAGCGAATTAGCCTTCAGCTCCTCCAGAGCAGCGGTGTTACACCATGTGGAGTGCAAATTGGAGGCTTCAATGAAAATCGGCCGCGGGTCCAAGTCATCGATCATGCTCGCAAGGGCAACACCTTCGGTTGAAACATGCGTCCACCCTTTGCAGAGAATGCGCGGGGCTTTGGGATGGGCTTCGGAGTATTCTTTGATTGCCCGTCGAATTTCATTGAGCGAGTTGCACTGCTTGAGTTCCAGTTTGCGCAGCGAGAGTCCAAAGTGCAGGATGTGCATATGTGCATCGATAAAGCCGGGCACAACCACTCGATTATCCAGGTCGATGACCACTGCGGCATTGGCCTTTGCGCGGACAATCGGCTCATCGAGAGCTGAGCCAATATACAGGATTTGGTCACCTTGAATGATCATCGAGTCGAAGAACCGAGCTTGGCTATCTCCGACATTGGCGTTTGTAAAAATGCGGCCACCCGTGAAGATGGTTGCCATAGTGGATTGTGTCGATGGGGCAGATTTTCTTGTGAGTTACAGAGGAATAAAATTATGAAGCCGGCAGGCCAAACAAATAAGTAATTGACCGGCCCGGTAGCATGGCCCCGCTTTGCTTGACAGTTGACTGTTCAGCTTTAGCAGACTGGCCCTCAGCATATATTTCGAACTACATACAGACAGGGACTTTCTCGATGATACCGAAACAACATTGGACTGGGAGAGCCGAGCAGTAGCTAGTTTCAAAAGAGTTTCTTGGTTTTTTCATGGGCGGAAAAAAAAAAAAAAAAAAAAAAAATTGGAGATATGAAAATAAGTTCGTTCTTCCCCGGAAGGCCCAACAAAAAAAAATGGTAAGACTGGGATTCGAACCCAGGCCCTCGTACGAGGATCAGAAGGGGTACTAATGTTGAAACATTAGCAAGGGTGATATTGGAGAAGATCCAAATTCCTTGAGTCTGACGCCTTGGACCAACTCGGCCATCTTACCCACTTTATGAAAGGTTGTCAAAAATTTGTTTTATGAGGTAATAATTCCCACCTGATGTTCAATCTCGAGTTTTTGAAGCCAGAAAAACAAGGTGAAATTTTAATGCCCACAGTAATTAAAATATCAAAGATAATGAGAGATGTTGATTTTCTATTGGGGTGGCGTTTCAAAATTTTGTCTTTGGTACGGGGAATGATTTAAGGGTTTGATTTGTGTTGCGTGTTTGGCCTGTTTGGCATTGGAAATGTACTCGATGGGCTATTTTAACCCTCCCTTATGATGTCAAAAAAAGCGGTTGTTCTCTCGGCATATTGGTGGGATGGCCGAGTGGTTAAGGCGGCGGAGTTCGTGCTCCCTTCTATCTTCCCCTAGTCGACACCACGCTAACCCCTCCCCAGCTTAAGGACTCCCGGAGTAATTTCTGGGCATTTGCCTGATTTCCGCTGATTGAAAAATCGCGCGAGTTCGATCCTCGCTTCCACCAGCATCTTTTTTTTTATTTCTTTTCGTTCGCCTCCCAATGTTTGCTTCCCTGTATTTGTTCAAGTAATAGAATTGATCCACTCAGTCTGGTTTGCTTGCATAGTGATCGCCCATATAAAAAGAAAGGGAAATTCCCAACTCTGGTCTACATACAGTAAATGACAAAATTATTTGACTCAGATGGAAGAGCCTCATCGCTTTAATAGTCTCGAAGCTGTTGAGCAACTCAGTTTCTGTCATGGGGGATGAAACGGCTTATCCTACACTCTACAAGACGGACAAGGTGGAGGAAGGGAAAAAAGCTGGAGAGTGAATGTATGCCATATCAATACCATGCAATCCCACATACTCCAATTCCGCACTCCCAATGCGATCCCTCCCAATCATTAGTTCATATGTCAATAAAAAAATCATTGCTCAAACACGAGCTTCCGGTAGCACCTTGATTTCTCCAATAGCCTTTCCATAATACCAGCGGCACAGGTTATCCAGGACCCCTGCGTTATGCTCCCTCAGATCGTAGAGCTTGGTACTTCGCACAACGAGATTGCTGCTGTCGAAAATATGCTCGAGCATGCCAGGGACCCATTGCGGAAAACAAGAGGACCTTCAGAATTAGATTGCACGAGTTAGTCGTTGTTTGGCAGTGCCTTCGCTGCAGGCTAGGACAACTGACGGGTGCCACTAGGTGGGGACGAATAGACTTAGCATGAAGTCGGGCCTTATGAGCTTTATAGTTGCCTTGAAGTCGCCTCGGAGCAGACGATCATCGCCGACGACAAGGTTCTCCATTAGACACTTGACATGCGGCAGTGGAGGGCTCGGGCCTCCGGCGGGACGAGGCCATGATTCGGGATTGGTCAAAGGCAGGGCGATGCCCGAAGCTTTCCAGTAGAATCCCGTTTAGAAGAGATCCAGTTGATACTGCCCCAGCTATCTAGGTGTAAGAAAAACGAATTATCCGGCGCAAGGTGAAGGAAACAGAAAACAAGATACATACGATAGACTGTAACTCCCAGGGGGCTCCATAGGCCAATAGTGGTCTATGTACCACTCAATGAAAGAATGCACACATCGTACATTTCGATAATTCTCCAAGGCTGGATTATACGCCCTGTTTGGGCGCTCAGAGTCCGTCAAATCCTCAAGTCCCCCTTCGTACCGACCAAAAAAGGATGGTTTGCAGTTGGATTTCTCATCCAAGGACAAGGGTTGTCGCAGAATTCTTGCCTTCTCGCACACGTCGGATTCGGCATTATCGATGATCTCCATGGTGGCTTGCAGCACGCGACGGTAGCTATTGCGTACCTCGATTTGCCTCAACTCTGCTTCCGAGGTCGACATAGTGATTGGCGTGAAATGTTTAGGGGGAGAGAGAAAAGCACCCGAAGTGATCACAGAGAGAAGGCAGTTGTGATAGAGCAAGGTTGCCAAGCAACAAGGGGCCAACCAGCGCGCTCTTGTCGACAAGTGCATCGGACATGAGAGACGTGGGCAAGATTTTGCTTGCAATTGCTTTGAGGGCAGAAGAAGCATGCAAGGGTCGGAGATCTGGGAGATAGCTTATGATTTCATGCTTGTTATCAGCTTGGAGACCTCAAGTTTTCATTCCCTAGTCATTTTTACCTCAAATTCTCATCCCTCCGTTCATCAGAGTGCTGTCCATGGCCTCCATGTAGGGCTTGATGGCCACACACCCTCGATCATCGACAGTTGCCTAATCCAACTCCTATCCAACCCTTTGGCCAGTGAAGAACTAATATTCACACTATTTTAGTGGAACAAGAATTTTGAACCATGAAATCCATTATATAGCCACTTTGGGACATAATTGTGCGCGCCCAAGTCCCGAAACTATTGGGTGGGCACGTGACACTTCACGCGTAAAGAGCGTCACGTCACGTCCGAGGCGCGAGGGCGCGACTTCTAGTTGCCTTTAACGCCGTCCGACTTCATTATTCTCCCCCCTACTTTACAGTGCTTCACATTTCATTTGGCTTCTTCGACTTCAGCCCACGCACCTGCCTTGGGTTCATGAGTCGCCATGCCGGAAGCTATCCCGCCTCAGAAGCGGGTGTTGAGCGACGCGACCAACAACCCCCGCAACACCATGCCTCCCAGCGCGTTGAAGAAGCGAAAGCTCGACAATGATCCCTCAGCGCAGCCCATGCCATTCTCACAAAATAGCCAGCGAAAGATGTTCGGCTCGAGCCAACCACAAAAGAGCCAATTCGAGGAAGAGGTCTTGGAGAAGTTGACGCAGGATATCGGGGATCTGAAAGAGAACAACTCGGAAAAGGATCAGCAATGGGAGCGTCCGCCTCTTGGCGAATTTGACGCGACCAAAGAAAATATTTGTTTTCAACAGATCGACGCCGAGGAAGGGACACTGCGGAGTGCGCCAGCAGTCCGTCTGTTTGGTGTCACTGAGGTAATCTTCAACCTTCGCCGTGAATTTGACCGAGCTTGTGACTAATGACTACATTAGGCAGGTCAATCGGCTTTACTTCACGTCACCGGGTTTCAACACTACCTCTACATCGCTGCCCCGGTCAACTTCACCAAGGAAGATTGCGAGCCTTATCGGGCCTTCCTCGAGACCAAGCTTGGCCAGAATTCTCCCATCATTCAGTCGGTCCAGATCACCATGCGCGAAAATATCTATGGATTCCAAGGGAACCAAAAAAGTTGGTACCTCAAGATTACCGTGACGGAGCCGAAATGGTTCAGCCGACTGCGGAGTGCGCTGGAAACAGGCAGTGGAAGCATGAACTATAAAGGCCTGTGGAGCAACTCGGATGCAGGAATCCTCACCTTTGACAACATCCAATACCTGTTGCGATTTATGATTGATACGGGGTTGTCTGGCATGGCATGGGTTGAAGCCAAGGCGGACAAATATCGTCTGTTGGCACCGCATGAAAAACACTCGACCTGCCAAATCGAAGCCTGTGTTGACTACCGCGATATGGTGGCCCACCCGCCTAACGGAGAGTGGGCAAAAATGGCTCCACTACGCGTCTTGTCCTTTGATATCGAATGTGCAGGTCGAAAGGGCATCTTTCCTGAACCTCACATGGACCCTGTGATCCAAATTGCCAACGTCGTTACTCGATACGGAGAGGCAAAACCGTTTGTCCGCAACGTCTTCTGTCTTGATACATGCAGTTTAATCGTCAACACGCAAATCTTGGAGTTTGAAAAGGAGGAGAGGATGCTCATGGCGTGGCGTGATTTTCTGGAGAAGGTGGATCCCGATGTGATCATTGGTTACAACATTGCGAACTTCGACTTTCCCTACCTGCTGGATCGCGCCAAGCACCTTAAATGTACCCAGTTTCCGTACTGGACCAGACTCAAAGGGTGCAAGACAGAGGCCAAAGAGGCCAACTTTTCCAGCAAGCAGATGGGAAATCGAGAGACGAAAGCGACTAACACCGACGGACGAATCCAACTTGACCTTCTTCAGTTGGTTCAGCGAGACCACCAGCTGAGAAGTTACACTCTCAATTCCGTGTCCTATGAATTTTTGGGAGAGCAAAAGGAAGATGTGCACCATACGATGATCACCGAACTTTTTAACGGGACTCCTGACTCCCGGCGGCGACTGGCAGTCTACTGCTTGAAAGACGCCTACTTGCCACAGAGATTGATGGACAAGTTGATGTGTCTGGTAAACTATACTGAGATGGCAAGGGTCACAGGAGTGCCCTTCAACTTTCTTCTCTCTCGAGGTCAACAAGTCAAGTTCATCAGTCAACTGTTCCGAAAGGCTTTGGAGGAACAGCTTGTGATCCCCAATGCCAAATCACAGGACGAGCAGGATTACGAGGGTGCTACTGTCATTGAACCTGTACGTGGATATTACGGCGTGCCCATCGCGACCCTCGATTTCGCCTCGCTGTATCCCTCCATCATTCAAGCGCACAACCTATGCTACACCACTCTACTTAACAAGGCCAGCGTCGAGAAGCTGGGTCTCAAAAAGGACGAGGACTACATTGTGACGCCCAACGGAGACATGTTCTGCACCACCAAGGTCCGCAAAGGTCTTCTGTCTCAGATTCTAGAAGAATTGTTGGGTGCGAGAAAGCGCGCGAAAAAAGAGCTGGGCGTGGAGACGGATCCGTTCAAGAAAGCCGTGCTCAACGGTCGTCAGCTTGCTCTGAAGGTCAGCGCAAACAGTGTCTACGGTCTGACCGGTGCCACGGTTGGCAAGCTGCCCTGTCTTCCCATCGCCAGTAGCACTACGAGTTATGGTCGTCAGATGATCGAAAAAACCAAGCAGGAAGTGGAAGCCCGCTATACAATCGCCAATGGTTATTCGCACGATGCCCAGGTTATCTATGGTGATACCGACTCGGTCATGGTCAAATTCGGAGTTACTGAACTGGAGGAGGCGATGAAGCTTGGCCAAGAGGCTTCGGAATACGTTTCGTCGAAATTCATCAAGCCTATCAAGCTCGAGTTCGAGAAGGTGTATTTCCCCTATCTTCTCATCAACAAGAAGCGATACGCCGGTCTATACTGGACCAACCCCAAGAAGCACGATAAAATGGACACCAAGGGTATTGAAACCGTGCGGCGTGATAATTGCCTGTTGGTTCAAAACGTCATCGAGACCGTGTTGAATAAGATCTTGATCGACAGAGACCTCGATGGCGCCCAAAAGTATGTGAATTTCCCCTTTGGCTTGATATTCCCCTCCGGTACTAACATGGCCATGCAGCTACGTCAAAGCTACCATCTCGGATCTCCTCCAGAACAAGGTCGATATGTCGAAGCTGGTGATCACTAAAGCGTTGTCCAAGAAGGACTACGCCGCCAAGCAAGCGCACGTCGAGCTGGCCGAGCGCATGACCAAGCGCGATGCGGGTTCCGCACCCACCCTTGGTGACCGTGTGGCCTATGTTATGATCAAGGGCGCCAGTAATTCAAAAAACTACGAGCGGTCAGAGGACCCTATCTATGTCTTGGAAAACAATATCCCCATCGACACCAAGTACTATTTGGACAACCAACTCGCCAACCCCTTGGGCCGAATCTTCGAGCCCATTTTGGGCGAGAAAAAGGCCAGCCAACTGCTTACGGGAGAGCACACGCGGTCCATTTCTGTTGCCGCGCCCACACTGGGTGGTCTGATGAAGTTTGCCAAGCGGACTCAGACCTGTATGGGCTGCAAGAAGCCGCTCTCGGGCAAAGAGGAGATGGCCGGCGCCGTCTGCGAGAACTGTCGTCCCCGGCTCGGCGAACTGTACACCAAGACTCTGACCAAGGCGTCTGACCTGGAGGTGCGCTTTGGACGTCTGTGGACCCAGTGCCAACGGTGCCAAGGCAGTCTGCACTGCGAGGTGATCTGCTCGTCTCGGGACTGCCCGATCTTCTACATGCGGATGAAAGCAAAGAAGGACGTGGAAGATTCCCAGAAGGAGCTTGCCCGGTTTGACTTCGATTCAGGGGCATGGTAATGAGCTTTGTACGATGTGTGTTTCTTTGGAATTTTCTGGGTTTCGTGTATGAGACAGTCTTGCGGGAATCAAAGGCTGAGTACGGGTGTTCAGGAGGACAATAAGGCATTGTCAATGGGATTGATGAAAGAATCAAGAGCATTTTCCGGCTCCTTAGATCGTACAAAATATAAGAGGAACTCGTCCTCCAGTTTTCAGAACCCGTAGAATGTATCCACCTTGTATACTTCTTATAATTTGGAGCTCGCCCACACCCGCATCGGCCGCAATTCTTGGCGCGGAGCAGCTCCATCTTCTCCGCCGATCCCTGCACGATCTGCGCTCCGAATAATCCCAAGATGCTACCCCCCGCCGACGGTCCCTCGATAATGAATCAACCGATAGAGAGTGCAGACGGCAGGGGTCATGGCACGAATCCCACGCCTATCCAATGGTCAGAGGTATGTCGCCTGCATCGTTTCTTGTGCTGGTGAGCTGGTGTGCGGAGAAAAAAAAACAATGGTCCTAGCAAGGGTCCTCGGACTGAGCGATGGCTAACCATTGGAATCGGTCACGTTCAGATCTTCTCCCGACACGAGAGTGTCCTCGCCTCGCACCTCGAACTGCTGGACTCGGTGAAAGGGCATATTGCGCCGGACGGAGATGCATTCCGGACGGTGTCGACGATGGCAAGGAAGACGGTGCAGGCAATGGGTCAGTTGAAGGTTGTACGGAAACACATGGTGCGTACTCTGTCCATACACTCTGCTTTTTGTAGTAAACTTGTTTGAAGAGGAAACCGCGACTGACCTGTGCTCTGTCCAGGCAAACCGTAAGTTGCACCCACGAGACCTCCCTCTGACAGAGAGAACCCGAAAAAAAGCGACCAACCTTGGAAGATACATGGACCTAATGGCATTGCTAGACCATGTATCTCGTTCTGCTGCTACCTCGAGCTCGTCCGGCATGAACGCTCACCCGACCCCGACTCCCCAATCCACCGACTCAGAAGCCACTATCCGGCGCAAGCGCTCCAGAGCCGATCGACAGCACGCAGAAATCACTCAGCCTGAAAATGCAACCCAACCACAGTCGCACCCCGACTCCACGGATAAGCCGCGAGCCCCGAAACGCAAGCGCCCGGCCGCTGCTGCTACTGCTGCCTCGGCGCCCGGTGAGGACGCGGCGCGCAACATGACGCCGTCGTCGTTTGAGACAGAAGACATTTCAGAGGAAGTGCGGCGACGGCTACGCATTAAAGAAGAGCGGCGCCGGAAGGAGGGCGGGGGCACCAAATCGGAGAAGCGAAAACGGGATAGTTTGGCATCGAACGAAAGTGCCTCACCGGGCTCGACGAAGCCGAAGAAAAAACGAGTACGCAGGGACAGTGATCGCAAGCGCGATGGCGATCTGGCGGGAATCGAGGCAGATGGGAGAAAGAAACGACGGAAGTCGCAAAATGGGAGCTGATTTTGGGGCCAGACAGCTGCCCGGTTTCATTTTACACTGCGCTATGAATTATAAGTGTTCTATTTTAATACTGTGAGACGCCTCCCCAAGCTGTGTTTTCTGGCTGAGCATCTAAGTACTTAGAAAGTGGTTTTGGAGTCCCTCGAGTCACGATCCCATACAAAACCAACAAAGAATACACCCACCTCACAATGACATTATCTGCCTTCCACACCCCATATTCAGGCCGATCCCAATCGGGCGGCGGCACCATCACTGCAGACGAACCCTGGTCTGTTGGGCCCATCCATGGATCAAAAAGGGCATCCATGAATGGTCTCGGGGGCCTCTTCTGGCTTAGAAGTCGACTTTGTTGCGATATCTTTGTGGTCTTTGTCGAGCCGCTTTGTGTTCAACAATAGCCCATGTCTTTGATCTGACGCGCTGCAGAGCGCCATGATATTCATATAGGGCTAGCTAGCCCCCGAAGCGCCTTCCATACTTTGCCATACTTTTGGACCTGTTCGAATACCGTGGATATTGACTACTCGAGCCGTGGCATTTCTTGCTCCCTCCGACGCCCGATTTAGTGCATTTCCTATCTAGGAGCGGCCCTTCAGAACTATAAAAGCACGTCGCTGGCGCCCACCTCTCTTCCCTCCTTCACCTCTCCTCCTCCCTTCATCACCAAGGGGGATCCCATCCATCTCATCTTGGGGGGTCACGATCATCTTTTCTCAGCAAGTCCTCATCACTCCTGCGTTCCCATCAGAAGAAACCATCCCAGCACTCGTCCCTTGGGGGCCTCACCCAAGCGTGCCAGGATACCTAGGTCCCCTTCAGGTGGTCGGACTTGTAGGGGGTCATCGAATTCTCGAGATAGCTCATTCGGGTGTTTGGTATCTTTTTGTCTGAACAAAAAATCGGAAAAAACCGACAATATTCTTAGCTTCTTCAAAGATATATCAAGCTCTTGGTGGGAGTCGACGGAAGGAGGTGGGATCCTCTGAAGTGGAAATCCGATTCCTGTGAGTGTGGGCAACTAGAGACCCTCTTGGGCGACGCTTTCTCGGGGGACGAAGGGTTGGGTCCATCATCATCTTTTTGTCCGTAACCAAGCAAAGATGTCCCACGGTCATCCAGGGGCGTCTTTCGGCGGGCAGCCCGTATCCTCCCGCATGGGCAACGGTCTCGCGTTCAGTCAACCGGCCGGGTTTCTTCGATCTCAACCCACTCACGGCCCGGGACCGATGAACAACGGAGCTGGGGGCTTTGCTCGCCACAATCGATACCACCGAAACAATCAGAACAGCCAGTACGACAATCGAAACGACAACCGAAATCGCAAGAACAACAAATCGAATCAGAACGGCGTCCTTAGCGGTATCCGGACGGGAACGGTGGTAAGTATCAATTTCCTTTCCTTGGTTATTTGAGAGATTCATAGTTCTGACCATGTCATAGGCGCACGCTCGCAAGGGGAATCAAGTAAGTCGACATAAATCTGTCGCAATGAAAGGCTTCAACCGGGCTGACATGCGAGCTCAGGGCCTCGGCTTCAGCAACCGGCGAGACAACGATCAAAGTCACCTGCAGGTGCCTCGCTGGAAGCAAAATCAAGCCCAAAATCAAAATCCACGGAACCCGCAACAGCAACAAGATCCACAGGGGAACCATCAAGCCCCGAATCAAGGCCGCAAACGTCGTGGAGGGCGCAACCGCCGGAACCGCAAGAACGTAAGTATCATTGCCCTCGTGGATGACCTTGGTGTTGACCATATCTGCCAGTCACCACAAACCTCGGGGTTCAACCACCAACAAGCAATCAACCCATTTGACCCGACTCAACTTGAAAATTCAAACGTGGACGAACTTCCAAAGAACGATATCGACATGCTCGACGCACCAGCATTCATCGAACCTGTAAGCGAGACTCCCCTTTCCATCTTGTGTGATTCATTTCATCTGAAGACCAGCTTTACTAACCCTCTGATACAGGATCCAGACGTGGATATGCCAGACGCTTGGCCAGCCGAGGCACGTCCACTTGTCGTCAATCTCACACTATACATCGGAGAAGAGAAGAAGGAGCTTTGTTTCAATGACATGAGAGCAGAGATTGAGAGAGCATTGACCTGTATGTAACATCGCCCGTCCTGGCCAAGGTTTTTACCTCGCGTGCCACCAATCGTTCCACGGCCGCAGGATGTTTCCCTTGGCTCCGTGGCAACCACATCTTCCCATCAAAAAAGACCACGGCTCGAATGAGGGGAAAGTGGTTTTCTTTTTGAGACTGTTATTTATTCATGTACCATGACTGTGTTTATTTGAGGACCAGTATGATATGATATGATATGATTGGGGTGGACTTGTACTTTTTTTGTGTTAGGGATGCTTGATTTGTACATTTGGTGCATGTATGTCGTCGTCTTCATCTCGGCTTATGGGTCCTTGCGAAGCCATGGTCGCGAGGGAAACCCTGGGCATCGTGGTACCGGGCCACGATCCACAACTGTGGGGAGATTGTTGGCACCAGATTGATTGATGTTTGTATGTCTAGGTGTTTTGATTTTGAATGGAACATATTTCTATTTTGATTCAAGGCTGCGTTTCAACCGAGACAGTGTCACTCGTTATTTTTTTTCCCCCTGTAGATAAACTATGGAACTGAGCAATGGCCCACTTCCAATCTTATGCTTCCTTCTCTGGCATACCCAAACCACATTCTTTGAGAAATCTTAACCCCTCTCTCATCCAACTTGGGATACTTGTGCAGTGCAAAGAAATCCAACCAAAAATTGCGAGCATCAGTATGATCTGGTAGATATTTGCGTAACAGCTCTTTCTATTCCTTGTCCTCCTGCCCTAGACTAATCCCTATGCAAATAAACTCCCACTAAGCCGGGAAATAACCCCAGGATTCCTAGTCCAGAATTCCGGTCAAATTACCATTCTCAATCATAATATTGATGTTAGTATGGTCACCGTAAGTAAACGTATCGGGAGCCGCAGTTAGCATCCGCTGGCGCAGTTTAGAGTGAATTTATCCTAGAACTTTGGTTAAGGCCAACGACATCTCAGCCTATAGCTCACCGTCGGACAAAAAGTGGTCTATACCTAATACTATAGCTATTCGGAAATAGAAATACAGAGTATATTAGTTGTCCCCTAATACTTTCTATCCGGTCTAAGTAAAGCTCGCGAAGCTGTAGTATATACTCAGCGGTCTGTTTGGCGATATATTCTTTATCTTCCTATAGTATAATTGACTAAAATTCACTTAATAGTTACCCTCGAAGTCGCTTAGCAAGAAGGAAGTATACTCCGTTATCTTCCTACTATTCCTCAACGAGTTTAGGTATAGGTATCGAAGTTCTTAATACCAGAAACTAGATATTAAAGTTTTCGAAGTTGGGTAGTTCGATAGACCGCTCTTTCAGAACCAGGTTTGAGCCCAAAGCCCACACCCCTCGATTGCTGACCCCGTAGAACAGCTTAATATGACTCTTGTAACGACACCCGTCTTGACGTGCTGGTGACCAGCTACAGGCTGAATAGGTATTTTGGGTGATCATCTGGGAAACGAAGTATATGACTTTGAAAGAACCTTAGGGACGGCATACAGGTTGGAGTTTTCGCAGTTCTTATATAGAAAGGTCAGCCGTACCTGTAAGTGCTCCACAATTTGCAATATAAAGCAGTGTGGAGTGTGGATCGACTACAGGCAGGACACAAATATACACATTTCTGATTTTTTTATATCCACAACAGAGTGGTGGTAAAATGGCATTATAATGTAATGATTCTACGTATTGCCCGCCCCTCCTGGCTTGCAATCTGATGTAGCATACTCAGCCATACCTTGTGTACTTTGCGTATTCTCGTCCCTGCCATCGGCCTCGATTCTGCATCTTTTAGCTAGGCGGCTTACTAGCGCCTTTGATCCGGTGGATAAGCTCCTATCCTAGTTGCAGATCTGCAACTAAAGTCTAGATATATATATAGGCTTACAGCTAATCTCCTTGAGCTATATTTAGTGAGAGGGCGAATACATTATAATATACTATTATTGTTCTGTTTTGTCCTATCCTCGTATTACTTTTTTCTAGCTGTCGGTGTCTGTACGCCTCTCGCTAGGGGAGCAAAACGCAAAGTGGCAGATCGAGTCAGAGAGGTTGGGGGTCGGCGCGAGTGCACTTAGGTCTGTCTCCGCGACATATGGGTCTGGTTTCCCATAAATGATCAGCGTGACGTGCTGGGAAAGATGGGTCACTGAAGGTTGTTAAAGACCTAGATATTAGGCCCCTGTCGACGACATAGATCTACTAATTAAACTATATATATATATATATATATTTTCTGTAGGTATTTACTATATGAATCAAGAAGATCATTATAATATAACAAATTATATATAAAGGAGATCCGAGGAGTGCTCAAAATAAATACTATAGGAATTCTATAGAAATCAATCAACGAAGTTAAGAATTCGTTCGTCCTTTATGTATTTTACTGCTTTCCCACATTAATCAAGAATCTATAGAGAAACTAAATAGGATAAATCACAAGGCATAGCTAGGTTGTGTTCATCTTAAATTTATCTTAGAAGACCATCGGTTATTCAGTCATGCTCAACTTGTTATCTACTTAAGCTTCATGGGCTATGTGTCTTGACATCCTATCCAGAATAGGAAATCTTAAACGGGGCGGCTGGCCTAATGGTAAGGCGCTTGATTTCGGCTCAAGAGACTGCAGGTTCGATCCCTGCGTCGCTCAATTCTTTTTTTATCTTTGTTTTCTTAAAAAAGTATTTGACTTCCTCTATCTATTTATTACCAGAGAGAGAAAGTGTTCTTCTCCCTAGCACATAGCTGATAAAAAGCATCACTTCAAATATATTGTCAGGATCAATATTTGTTGTACCTTAAACAGTTTATGATAACACACCTTATTTACACATGCTATTTATTCAAAATGAGCAGTTGCTAGATAGTCTAATACTATAGAGAATCTATAGTATTTCTTTCACCCTTTAGGGATTGACATGTCCCTCAAAAGCCATACTTCTCTTTCAACTCATCGACCAGCTTAATGTACTGCTCTTGGGCCTCCTCAGCAGTGAGTCCCTCCTCGACACGCTTCTTCCATTCCGCGTACTTGTATTTGCCCTATAATGACGAACCATGAATATATGAGCGATCTGAATTGTCTCAAGAGAGGGGTAAGGGTAGGTAGGGGGAGGGGGTAATTTACCGCAAAGTCAAAGGCACCGGGCTGTTTGGCCGCGCTGAAATCTTCGCCGGTACCAACCTTGTAGAGACCGTAGAGCTATGAATTCATCAATGTCAGTGACATGTGTCAAGGGAAACAGATTTTTGATCATATATTTGACGGGTTGCAGGCAGATAGATAATAACGTACTTGGAGCATTTCCTGATCGCTGGGCTTGGCCTTCAGATTCTTCACGTCGGCAGCGGCTTGCTCGAAGGTAGACATGATGGAATTGATGGCGGTTTTTGAGGGAGATGAGTTGAGATTCGACGTGAGTGCTCGGGGTAGTAGATGGTTAGAAGATGAGGGAAGAAAACAAGAGGCGAGGTCACGTCAGATGATTATGGCCTCACGGGAATAGGCGGGGCTAGGGTTGAGGGGCAGCCAGGTGGGTCATTCGGCTCGTGATATAGATCTAGCTCGCTTGTGTAAATTAGGTGATATAATTCATTCAATTAGTCTGGGGGTTACTAGCTAAGTAAATAGAAGGCTATGTATTAATATTCTGGAATATATTCAAGCAAATATAATCCTTTCTTATTATTTACAAGGAGCGAAACTACAGTAAAGGGGCGATTCGCTTTAAAGCAATCCTCGCTTATAAAAGAGACCTATATCCTACTTGAATAGATTCCAGAATATTAATACATAGCCTTCTATTTACTTAGCTAGTAACCCCTCTCCCGTTCCTAGTGCCTCGTGTTCTATATCCCTATTCCCTGGCTCTTTTTTCTCCATCAGTATTATATAAGTGTCTCCAATTCCCATATCCCAAATAATTTTCGAGCCCTCTATTTCACTTTTAATATGTTGCAACAGTAATAATAGTAAAATTGAGAGGTATCCGAGTTAAAATAAAAGGATACGTGAGAAATTATAAGATAATAGACGGGACTGTTGCTATGTAGACTAAGACCAAAGTTCCCATAAGTTCCACCCTCTACCAGGCCGCAGTATCCTTACCTTAAAGAAAGAATAAGGTAAAATAGATAAGGCTAGACGCATATAAAAATATAACGCCTACGCTAGAGAAGATCACCGATAGGGAATCAATAATCTCGCGAGGAGTTAGTAGGAAGTAGAAGAGAAGGAACTGAAGTATAAAGAGAGAAAAATAAAACAGCCTAAACACTTTAGTAATAGCTATAACCATACAGCTCCAGAGATCCTAGGTTCCAATAATAGCCATAGCAGCTAAGTAGTTAATATATTACAAATTTTTAGGCTATAGAAAGCACTAATATCGATAATATAGTTCAACAGATCGGTCAGCAGTAGGGCGAGATTACGTTCTACCGAACTTATTATAGCCTCCTTAAACAACTACAGGATATTATTGTACAAGCTATCCGAGATTTGCTTCGTCTTTAGTTCTAACGACCTTTTATAATACAATGGTTTCGATTTTACCACGCAGATTACTGATTATTTATGAAAGTCTATTCAAGACGATGAATAACCCTGCCTTGTTATTTCTTCTCTTTCCATTTAATCTCCTGGCCCGTATTTGGATCTGCGATGGTTTCTTGGCGATGGAATCTTGTGTGGTTGCATGCATTTGCTGTATTTTCATGATTCCCTCTCTGTTGATGGGATATAGGTTATGGGTGATTGGTATGTTCTCTTTCTACATGGTGACTTGAATTCTTGAGCACTAAGTAACTTGTTGATTATTGGCAGTTGATCACGTAGTCGTTATTGTTTGAATTGGCCCTCAAGTAGCTCTAAACTCCAAAGCATCACGCCCCCCTATTATCCTTCGGGGCGATCCTTGTCTTTGCTTCTAATTAAAAGCAAATAAAAGTACAGACTGACTGGCCCCTTTCCCACAGCGAGGGTCCGTAGTAAATGGCAATCTCTGAAAGCCCCCCCCTGGGGTTATAATAAGATTGTCTAGTTGCTGCCACTCTTTGAATATGGCACTTACGTACTCTAGGGCCTCCATTCCTTTGAGTTTCCAAATCTTTTGGTCCTGTTCTTCCGCCTGCTTATCGCTGGCTGATCGCGATCACCTTCACCCTTTTTATCGTTCTTGTTTATGCTCTACCGCCTGATCAAATCCTAAATAAACGCGACGACAATCTTGGACTTAAGACTCAGTACAAAGCTCCCGAAGTTCTAGCTGGTATCTCGCGCCGAAAAATCGAAAAAGGCGGAATTTCCCCTCCCTATAAATATTACTATAACCCGTCCGCCGGAGAGGGCTCCATAATTTAGCTAATAGGTACGGGCTTTGACACCAAGACGCCCGAGTATAAATCATGGAACTCTAAGCCGAGATAGATTATCGTTGAGAAAGATCTTCCAAATGATGCAACCACGGAAAAGGACGACCCTCAGGGCTATAGGACTTATATTGGATCACTGTTGTCTAGTCCGAAATATGGTGTCTCGAAGAGGTCATTTATTGTGATTGTCAAGACACTGTTGTTAGCCACGGATGCTATCACCCTTCGTTATATCGACAATTTCATTGCGACCCTTTAGGCTGTTGCCGACGATCTGGAATCGGTTCCTAAGGATAGGCTAGATCTAAAGGGGGCATTATTCGTTAATTTCTCTAGTGGTTTCACTACCGAGGCGGAGAAAATAATCTCGGATCAGAAGATAAAGTCGATCAAAGAAGCGTTTAAAGCGATCGATAGACTAGCTATGATCTATACCACGACCAGAAACCAACGACCAAAAAAAAAGCGCCGTGGATCTTTTTCCAAAGAAACAGAGTTCCTCGAAAGATGGCGAGATGAGCTTCCGTATACAAAATTAGGGATCTTGCCAAGTCTTTGTATCTGCGTTGGATAGTGCAACGCATACAAGCAGCGACTCGATCTCCCACCCACAACCCCTGTTGCCCCGAAGATCGATGTATCGTGTATCAAGCGCAGTTGTGAGAACAGTTTCAACGGTCTGGGCGAGGATATGATCATGAACTGGCTAGATCCTCGAATTTCAACACTGGTGTTTCAACGGCACTCTCTGCTATAGAGAGAAGACAGATCGGTCGGGGGACATAGCAGAGACCAATATATATATATATATATATATATATATATACAGTATTTGTAGCCATTTTTGCATGAAATAGTAGAGGCTTTCCAAGATTATTGTTACAAGTATTATTCAGAAAGAGACCGGCCACCAGGGCAAGTTCAATCCTCCTCCTCAGACTCATCCTTGCGACCCCACGTCCATACATCCCAGATATGCTCTTTAATCAGATCGCCATATCCCTTGCCCTCATCGAGAGCCTTCTGCTCTTCGCGCAACCGACGTTCTTTCCACCCCTCCTCCTCCCCACCCATCCAGACCCGGTTCGCGAGCCCTTTTTCTTGTTGCTGCCGTGCCTTGAGCTTCTCTACCCCGTCACTGACAGACCCGCCGTCGCGGATCTGCGCATCGCGAGCCGCACGTAGTCGGGCCTGGATCTCTTCGGCGCGATCACTGGGCAGATCCCGGAATGCGGCCGGGGTGGAGGTCAGCCGCGTCTCTAGGCGGTCGACAATGCTGCGCCCCGTGCGCTCGCGGGTTATGTGGTTCGCAGACACGCAGAATGCGCCGGTTAGGAGTACGGTGAAGTGGTCAAGTTTGCGGGGTGGGATGGCGATCAATACGGGTGAGGCGACGAGGAAGGTGAGCGCGGCATAGTTTTTGAAGCGCTCGTAGTCGGCCTCCCGTTTAGAATGGGTGTTTGTGGGAGGTTCGGGAGCGGCCATGATGAAATTGCCAATCGGCGAGTCGCGGGATGAAACACGCCTCCCAAGTCTTTCGATCGGTGAATCCACCGAAGCCGCGAAAATTCACGGGTGGCGCGGAGGGCCAAGAGCGCAGCTGAGTCAGCCAGACGATTGAGTAGCACGTGATCTCTTGTAGACAGTCGCTGCGATTCTTTTTCTGATCTCCCCGGCTGATGATCAACCTACCTTGATTGGTGGCTTACTTCATTCCCATTACTTGTTATGGCTTGCAAAGTTGTTTATTTTCGATGTTCAGCCACAGGCGTATGGCCGACTGCGCCTCTGCGCTAAAAATATCGCGAATGACGAAGCTTGACCGAAGCTTAGCCAGGGCTGAGTGGAGCCCGTCTCCGAGTGCCAATTTCCCTGGTCCTGAAGTTCCCCCGGTGGATTCTCGACGGATTGTCCCCGAAGTCATGGTTTACTTAGGCAGACACGAAAAAACCCGCCAGGGGTTCCTTGTGTGGAACCCACACTCGTTGCAGTCAAATCTCACCCAGTCTTTTCACCACGGTTGTGATCAAGATCGGCACCGAAGTACGGTGGTTCGGGATCGTGTGTACTACAACAATGTTTCTTGAGGGAGCCATGGCTAGCTTTGGGTGGGATCTTACTCTTACCAGAGACACTTTTTACTGCAGACCCTCCGGTATCTACCCACGGGGTAGGGAATAGACAGGGAGGTCTTCCACCAGACGCGTGGGCAACGTGGCAGGGCTTAGGGCATCGAGTGGAGTATGCGGACGCGAATCACTACTCGCTTTCCCTGTCCCACCTCCACCTGCGCAGTCGTGCACTTACGAATGGTGGCCGTGACGACGCCAGCACTTCTCCGGGTGAACCGAGAAGTGGGCCTCGTTATTTTCTAGAGACTGAATATGGACCGAGATCAGGGGTTTTCCGGGATAATACAACTAGGCAAAAAGGAATAATATTATGCGACGGTTATCGCGTAGTATAAGAAAAGGCCCGCTCGCATCTGCCTGCCTCCCCCTCTTTCTTTCTTTCTTACTGACCATCATCCTCCCCCATTCACTCGCTCTCCCAACCCTCGTTCTCTCGCAATAATTGTCCATTCTCTCTCTCACCCCCAGCCAAAATGTTCGGCAACGGCATCTTCTCTTGGTTCTCCTCCAAGCAGGAGTCTACCGCTCCCGAGGCTACCTGGGACGCCACCACGGCCAACATGCAAAACCAGCAGCCCACCAGCCCGGCAGCCCCCTCCACCGACCGCGTCGAGACTGAGCAGCCGGTACGTGATCTTCGCGCATGATATTAAAAGACAACTGACTGAGATGTCTTGCGTCTGTCCAGAACTCCCAAGAGAACATGAAGTTGCGCGGCGGTGGTGCCGGCGACGTCTGCTGCGGCCTGTAAGAAGAAGTCCTTCTCAAGTTGGATAGCGTCTGCGCTTGTGAATAATCCCCTGACAATGCATTAGTTGCGCCGGTCTTCTTTGCTTCGAGTGCTGCGAGGAGTGCTGCTAAACACTTTCACTCGCCGACACCCATGTCCTCGACGCCCTGATTTGATCGTGACGTATCGGCGCTGTCAAGCGACTGGCGAAAGCTGCATTCTACGCCCCCTCGATGCACTAATCAAGCATGTCCTGGGTCATTATGGATCAGGAGAGGGTGTGGTCTTGTTCTGATGTTATATGCCCTATGGTTGCCCGCACGTCTATGTCCTTCTCAGTCTGCCTCTCACAGTAAGAGAGTCAACGTCCCGTTTTATCAATACCCTTTGAGCAATTTAATTCATTTCTGATAACCTCCCCAAATCACCTATGAGCAATATGTTCCCCCTTTTCACCAAGTAGGCAGGCCAAGACTCCACTCGGATCTTCAATACTGAGCAGAGAAAGGAGCATGTCTATTTACGCAGCTAGAATCTCGGAAACATATTGACATCCGCGCTGATCATCATGAATTTCGACATACCAACCACAGAGCCACCGTATTTTGGCCACGCAACCACTCCATATCCAACATCGCAATTTAGAAAAAGTCAAGCTAGTCTTCTCCCCAGCTCACTCAAAACTCGAGCAGAGGTTGCTCCTGGCTCGGCCGCTTGCCCGGATCCTTCCAAACAGCATCCCGGTCCAGAGTTTCAAGATCACGCGCCACCAACCGTGCTGTCCCGTCTTCACGGTAATCATCGACTTGGATCAGGCCACCGGTCGATCTCTCGATGTAGTCGTTGAAGTCGTCATAGAGGCGGATCGCGTACTTGGAGCGGGACGAGGACTCCATGTGTGCGACGAGGGCAGATGTGGATCTGAAGGCTTTGTGACAGCGGGGACATCCTGATTTCGAAGATTAGTTCAGTTGCCTAGAGAAGCTGAGGGGGTGGGGGGGGGGGGGGCTGATATTATGGATTATAAAAGTAGTTATGATGGTAGTAGGACAGACAGGGACCAGTTCACTTACATATTCGGCACTTCGGTCATATTGACTGTGATGTGCCGATGGAACTCATCGAAGACGAGTAGGTCGTCTATATAAAGAGGGAGGCTGGGAAGATTTAGGGATGAGGTATCACGGTTACTGCTTGCGCTAGAAGAGACAACCGGTGCGGTAGACGGCCCTGAAGTAGATCCGGTGGTAGGGGTGGTGTCAACTCTTCCTGGGAAACGAACTCGGCTGCACAGTTCCCAACGCCACAGGCAATCCTGGAGGGTGAGGTAGACTCAGCCATCGTGGAAGAATCGAGGTACAGTCTATGGTGGTGGGTAACAATGGATAATGGCAAAGATGATGGAGATGTAGGGGAAGAATAAGGGAGAGATGCTAGGTAGATATCAAAGGATGAGGAAGTCAATATTGAATTTGATGGAGTTTGCCTGGGAAAAATACAAAATGCGTCAATTTGAGATGGCCTTCTCCATCTCCATCAACTATCGATATTCAAAATCGAGAAAAGGGCAACCTAGAAGGCAGTCAGAATCAACACTTCAATATCCAACAATGGTAACAGGAAAAAAAAATAAATAAAAATAAAGCCTCACCATTTCCCTCGAAGCGTAATGACAGCCCAGGGATGGCCATCCGCATCAACTTCCTTCTCTACCTTCGTCGAGAAAGAGATCGCGCTCATAATCCCATCCCCAAACTTTTCATTCAGAACTGCCTTGTACGCATACCCATAGTTCTGCACGATCTCATACAGCCGGTAGATGAGAGGCTCTCGAGGCGGCATCTCCACCGAGCGACCGCGATCAGGAAACCCACTGAGCTGCTCCTCCAAATGCGGCTTGGGGATATCAAGCAGGCCTGCGAGTTTTTGGATATCTTCGGTCGAGGCTTTGGCCTGGCCATAGAAGATCGCCGCTGCGGCGACCTCGTTGCGACCAATATGCTGAGCGATCTGCTCAAAGCTTAGCTTCTTTGCCGCCTTCGCGCCGAAGAGCGTTGCGGAGGCCGCGGGGAGATATGGATGCTGGGTTGCCTGGTTATGAGAAGTTAGTGTGGAACATCAACCCCGACTGGCAAGTTGATGTGTGCATACATCCAGAGTCGCAAGAGACATGATGGCTGAACAATGAGAAACCAAATTCGAAAATGAATCAAACAGTATCCGTGAAAAAAAGGGCAATAACGGCCGTTTTATCTTCAACCCCAGCGACGTCATCGTGAGATAAGTGTGGGGAATCTATGCGAGATAACAATATTCCTTGGCAAGCGCCGATAGCGCTACACTGTACGACCGAGATGCATCCTAGACTGGTGGAAAGGACCTGGCAGATTCCATAACGACAGATTGATCCCACGGGAACACGGGCGGCATCGCAAGGAGCCCTTCCATGGTCTCGGTATAATCGAACGGTTGGAGCCCAAGATCATCCAGCATGGGCATCTGGCGCCCATCAGCATCCATGCTAAGCAATGTGACAGGGTCAATCATGCCAGAAGTTCTAAGATCTACATCTGGAGAATGGTAATGAACCGCTGAATCAAAGCTTCTGTTCTAGCATACTTGTCGGTGGAGATAGCACCGGATGCATAGGCTCTGTAGAGAAAAACAGAAGAATGGATTTCGTATCTGTAGAGGTCAGCATAAGCTCAGCCACAGAACCAGAGGCACGAGGTGAAATACAGGTAGAAGCGATTCGATATCAGACCCGACGAAGCAGTGGCACCATGCTCGTCTCGTGAGGTGAGAATACCACTTTCAGTATCCAACTGATGCTTGTCTTCTGGCTGCCCTGCAGCATGTGCCAGGATCAGCAACGCATCCGATGGGTTCTGTCGGTTATCGTGAACTGTATCATCATTGAGCTGGGTCGATTCCGGAGACATTTGCTCAATAGTTGGAATAGACAGGGTTGCATCACGGCGAGAAGCTGTCGTAGACCCTTTCTGAATTGGTGACTGAGCCCCTCCAGCCAGCGACTTTCTTGGTCGCCGAAAATTAAGGAAAGTCCCCGCCACGACGCGAATCCGCAAGCACACAGTCGGCACCTTCACGCGCACACTTTGCGCATGGCGGCTTACTTGGATCTCCGATACTCTGTCTAAATTCAAATAGTGAGCGAGCAGTCACAGATAGAGACAGAGGCTTGGAGGGGAATCAAGTAAGCAGCTTTATTGCAATGGTATTGGGCAGGTAAAGACCCGGAACTAATCGATATACCATGTATCCTCCCACTGACAAGCACAATTTTAGGGTCTTGCGCTTTTTTGTGTCGGATTCTATATCCAACTCGCCTGGCGGAGATCGAGCCTGGATGGGATTGTAAGGACGAGGCCCAAGTCGAACACATTGATGATGTGAATAATCCCAAAAGAGCAAGTAGCATTGATATTCATAGATGACTTCATTATTTGCGATGGCAAGAAATCCCACGGTCAACAAACGGCCGGTGCAAGTCGATGGTCTCGGGCGGTTGCCATGTTCCAGAGGACCTTGGGACCGCCCGGGACACGGACCGAGTTGGCCTTGTCCTCTACATATCTCTTGATCCTCCTCACGTATTCTTCACCTGATATACCGCGTTCGTTGAACGGTAGGTCCGGGTCGTGAGTGGAAATTAGGATGGCGATGTGAGCGGCCACGAGAGGTGCCGCTAGACAGAAACAAAGGCCAATGTAAGCTAGGGTCGCTTCATCATCTTTCCCAAGTACAAGCAAACTCACAGTATGACGTCCCAGTATCATATTTAAGTCGGCCATTTTTGTCCAGACACGTTATGTCAGTCCCCATTGCGCTGATGCTGAGCAAAGGGCCACGCTGGGATGTGTGATAAAAATCCCCGGACCATTCCACATTTCCTACATTAATCACAGGCAGGACTCGTGCAAGGGTCGGGGGCATTGTGTCGATATTCTGTCGCTGCGAACTGCCTCTTCTGGCGGAGTTCCCAGCAGCTAGAACGATGGGAACGCCTTGACCGAACAACTCGTCGGCAAGACGGCGAACTTCTTGGACATCTGGTCTTGGGTTGTCCGGATATAATGGATACCTCGAGGCCATGGTAATCAATACGATCGCTCGTCCATGGAGCTGATTCTCGATAATCGCGCCAAGTGCTTCGTCCATGCCTTCGGCCAGGGTCTCCTGCGACAAGTAACCTATTTTCACCGGCACCACAGACACCTCTTTGGCCGCTCCGTACGTGGTCCCAGCCGCTTTCGTAATAACGCAAGTACTGTGCGACTCACTCCATGGATAGCTTTCATCGCCCCACGGCGATTCACCGGTCACGCGAGAAAATGAGGCTTGAATTCCCTCCATGATCCGAGTTTCTGGCAGCTCCTGTAAGCACATCAGTCATCTCTGCCTGCTAGGAAGAAAAAAAAAAAAAGGAAAGAGAGATATCCTAACATTATTAACCCTCTGGCGATAAGGGTTATTTCGGGAGAACAGACGTGCACTCGTACATCCCTTTATCACCCTATCCGTCAGCCATGACCAGAGTTCCTTCAGCATTGGGACTCTGGAACGAGATTGACCATTTCAATATGAAAGATAACAGCGCCCGCACCTGCCGCCCTTTCGAAGACATAGTCGGGCCATCTCTCGGGCCGGCTACTGACTCCTGGGATGCTTATCTGCCGCAGCTCTTTGACAGCGTTGAGCTGCTTTACAAAATCGGGCGTATAGTCTCGCTTCATGAGTGGCGATTCGTTCAGGGTTTGGTTGAAATAGGAGTCCTCATCAGCTGGCTCGGGTTCATCAGAGTAGGCGAGCTCCAGTGGCATCGACTCATCCGCAGATTTCACGCCCTTGTGGTTTTTGATCTTCTTGATCTCATCGCGACTGCACTCGACAACCCACCACAGGAACTGCTTGCGGCGCTTATTTGTGTACGAGTAGATCTTCTGTTTGTTGATGGTCTTTTTAATAAAGACCTCAATGATTTTTCGCCCGGTGCTGTCCACTCCATTCTTCGGTGAGACGATATAGCGAGTGGTTGCGGTCGCTCGATGTTCCAGGTTGATGGCTGTTGCTGCGACATCGTGAAACAGTCCCAGGAGTACCCCTAACAGGACCAGTCTGAATAGGACCGTCACCCACGGTGAAGCAAGTTGCATCGAGACGGAGTCGGCAAGGCAAAGCGACCCGGAAAAGAAGAGTCTCCACTCAGGTCTGTTCTCATCCTTTACCTTTATAGCAGAACTGGGCCTGTGTACGTATGGGACCGGGTAGTGGCGGTATTGGCACCAAGGAGCGCTAAAGCCATCTTTGAGTCAGTGTATGAAAGTTTGTCTTTTTCTTTTTCCCCCCCCGGGGGCAGTGGACTTTGGATGTGACGGTGGCCAACGCCTCGAATCTGGTGCGTTCAGAGATACTGTAAATGGAGCTCCACGCGTGTATTGTTCGCCCCGTTGGATTTAGGGTGCGGTCCTCAGGGGACCAACTAAATCCCGTCATTCCCCTTGTGATTGGATTTCGGTGTATGATCAATGCCGCCTGGTTGATCCTCCGGTAATCCTGTGCTGGGGCCCGAGCAGCGCTGTATACTTCATCTCCATTCTATTACTTACATTTACACAGACCCTTTGTATGTAGGTCTGCGAGCCTGAGTCAGGGGCGGTGATAAAACTATACAAGGACAAACATCAACAAACCCTATCTGCTCTTCTGTGATCATTCGGCCCCCAAGTCCTTACCCCTGCGTTTTTTTTTTTTTTTAACTCGGCCCGCCTTCCATCCAGAATCGCCCCCGGAGTCTCGCCCGGGGCCTTCTTATTTGTTGGTACATATCAGTTCCAAAGCTTCCGCCCCACTACACACAAAGGAAGTAACGAAGTAACGTACCCAACGACGAAATGGTGGATATGGTACCAAAGTGAAAAAGTATTGTTCGTCCAGGCAACATAATTGGAGGTGGTTTTGTGCACCAAAGGTGTTTGGGCTGATAAAAAGAATATATCGTTTCTAGATGAGAAGCAAATCGAGTTCACAAGTATATATTGAACATAGATATGGGTAAGGAAGGGAAACTAGGATGTTGTAAATGGGTCTATCGTTCGTGTTTAAACGAAACGGCAGATAAAAACAGAAAATCCCTCCCCCCCGGAAGTGATCGCAATACTCATTCTCCCGTCTTTACTTCATATAGTAGTTGTCTGCTTGGAACCGTCGAGAACGCTTGGACCGCGCCGTACCGTCCCTTAGTGCGAATTATAACAGGCGGATAAGCACTTTACTTGTTTTTTTTTATAGCTTACAGTCCTACCCTTGGCAGGTCTGATGTGTTGAAGAGCTCGGGGTCTGCTTGCTATGTATCACGAGAATCTGTTGAGACCCCCCCCCACTCGACTGAAACGTCTCGAGGTGTTTTTATGGTGGATCTTAGCAGTTATTCCAACAGTTTGCTGTCGATCAGGAAAAAGGAGCATAGCATCCAATTCAAGCATTACAATAGGAAAGATACTGCCATAAATATCTCAATCATTTCATGCGATACCTATAGTCCCAGCACCCACACGGACAATTATTTTTCGCCCACAGAGGGTCTGGTTTATCATCAATCGAGAACCCTATCTCTCGATTTTTGAATGCATCGGCGTACAATTCCATGTTCTTCTCCCGTTTCTTGCTAAGCGAGAAATCAGGGCTGTAAATGACATCATCTTCGTCTTCGTCTTCTTCATCTTCTTCCATATACTGTTCATCCTCCAGGGAATCAGGGGAGGTATGACAAGCCACAGTATTAAGAACTGGAAGTTGTCCGTGGGCCACCTTGACCAGAATAGCCGCCAACGGGAAAGTCCCAAATTCGTCACGCAATACAAGCCGTCGTAGACTAGGAGGGAGAACTGCCCCAACCTCTCCACTTCGTTTGTGATAGTCGCCCGTTAGCTCATTCGTGCTGAGAGTGAGTTCTCTCAAGACAGAGAATCCACGCAGATCCACGCCCGGGCCCGAAGTGTAGTACAAATCTACGTCGAGAAATTCCAAAGAATCCGCGTGTGTCCGTAATGCATCCATGTAATCCTGTCGATTTGCGGTGTGTTCGTGGCCATATTCTGAGAATTGTATTTCGCCTTTCATGGTAAATCTTCTCAAGGCATGCGGGAGGGAAAGAATTTGGCGAAGCCCTTCAGGGTTTACGTCGCAATTCAGTAGGACGAGTTCCTTCAAATTTGTAGATCGAGTTAGAAGCGGAGAAGGGCACCTGTTGTTCCCGACTTGCTCGAAGCAGATGTTTGTGATAGAAAGGCTTTCCAGCCCAGAGTGGTGAAATATAGGCTCCATGGTGGAGAAAGTATATCCCTTCTCAGGGATGAAGTCAAAACCTATATTGCCTGTATATGATGTTATCAAGCCGAGACCTAAAAACAAATCGAACCACAAGATCTCAGGGGGTGCATACATGTTTTGAGATTAGGGAGGACCTGTGGTTTTGCTGGTACCCCTAATTGCCAGGACAGAGTCGCATTCTGCCATTTGTTTATCACCCTTTGGAGGTCGCAGGGCAGCGCTCGGCGACGATCGGCGGCATTTTGAAACCAATCACTTCTCATAGCCAAGGATTGGAGGTTGAATAGCTGAGCAATGACATGTTCAAGGTCTTCGGGACAGGGAAATGGCGGCTTGTTAGTGTCGTCGTAGCCATAGTTGCCATGATTGTGAATTTGGAGTTCGCGAACATGAGGAATCAGAGCTGGGTGGTTGGCGATGGTTTTTGCGAATCTCTCTCCAGCGACTGAATTGAAAAGCCAGACCGTGTGATAAATCATGGGAGTCACCATATCGTGTAGTCGATGACAAACCGTGGCCACCATGACAAAATCACGTAGTGTGTGATCATCTCGAAGATAAATCAATGTAGATTCGATGACCTCGTCGGGGAGATCCAGGAAACCCGTGCGAAATAGCGAGCTCATGGTAGATGAGGAAAGGAATTGTGTTGGATTCGCCCGTTTTCATACATCGAACGATCCACCATCCTCAAATCGGAGTATTCCACGGCGATATGCTGCAGACGTTGACGCTAATAATATCTTGCATATGACGCAACTCTCGGTACTTCTACCCACTTCCACCCATATAACACACAGACAAGCCACAAAATGACAGCGAGCAAAGCGAGAAAAATCAATCTCAGGTAAGCACTGGTCTTGATTAGGCAAAACTGGAGCCATTCGCACAGCCACACGTCTCCATTGCGCATTGCGGGGCGGGGCCATAGCCTCATAAGACACACCCCGCTCTTCAGGCATCCTGGTTCCCCCCCCCCCCAGCTTTAAATTCTCTCTTCTGCTCTTTTTATCCCCATAGCATTCAAAGTCTTTGCCATGTCACAGCAACATGATGATCACCTGGCCTATGGCCGCTACTACCAGGGCTCGGATCGCGGGGCTGCAGACAGCGCGAGAGGACTTGTCGGTGATACCTTCAAGAAGCTACGAAACACCTACAAGGCCCATGGCTCTTCGCACGCATCAAACCAGACTTACAACCAGGGGGCTCATCAGGAGGTAAGATGCATCGAGCTTCTCGCCGATGATTTACTCACGAACCATGGACACAGGCCTACCCGAACCAGAACCAGAATCAGCCCCCATATGGATATAGCAACACTGGCGATGCGGCGACCCAGCCCCAGTACCACAATCAACCACCCAAGGAAGACAGGATTCAAGGATTCCTAGGGAAACTGCAGGGGACTGTCACTGAGCTTGGCACTGACGTCGCTCAGCGCCTCGGGACCGCCATTGACCCGCAGGCCTATGCTGAATATGGCCCTGGAAAGCCCGGTACCGAGAACCGATTTGGGAGCTTTGCACCCCCGCGAGAGCAAAACGACGTAAAGTGGTATGTGGACGGCTGCAGTTACTTCTGGGCCGTATCGCGGGCTTTGGAAAATGCACGCGAGTCCATCTGGATTCTGGACTGTAAGGTACCCTGGGTTTCCAAGACTGCACCCGACATGCGACGCTGACATAACTGGAATATTTACAGGGTGGCTCTCTCCGGAGCTGTACCTGCGAAGGCCCCCAGCGAAGAATGAACAGTATCGATTGGACCGTATGCTTCAGGCCGCGGCTCAGCGCGGCGTGCGGGTCAATATCATTGTCTACAAGGAGGTGACCCAGGCGCTGACTTGTACGTATCCGGATATCAATTGGTCAGGTAATCAAACTAATGAGCTCCCTGTAGTGTCTTCTTCCCACACTAAGCATCATTTGGAAGATATGCATCCCAATATTGCGGTGTTCCGTCACCCCGACCATTTGCCTGACCGACAGGAGCTGACATCTTCGATCACATCCTCACTGCACAACCTATCGCTTGACTCTGCCAGTCTCTCCAAGATGTCCAAAGATACCCTCAAGGGGCTGTATGGAATGAACGACGATGTCATCCTCTACTGGGCCCATCATGAGAAACTTTGCTTGGTCGATGGCCGGACTGCCTTTATGGGCGGCCTGGACATGTGTTTCGGTCGCTGGGACACTCACCAGCACGCCATCGCTGATGCGCATCCGTCGGACTTGAATGAGACTGTATTCCCCGGCCAGGATTACAACAACTCCCGAGTCCTGGATTTCCAGGATGTTGTACATTGGGAGAAGAACCAGCTGGATCGCAGAACCATGTCTCGAATGGGTTGGTCTGATATATCCATGAGCCTGCACGGAGCCGTCGTCGAGGATCTGCGCCGCCATTTCGTCGAACGGTGGAACTTCATCTATGACTCGAAATACAAGGTTCGCGCTGATTCGAGGTACTCGAGGCTGGTCCTCTATGGCCGGCCCACCTCCGCGAGCGGCCAGCAATATTCGCAGCAACCCAACCCGTACCCGTCGGGTCAGTCGAGCCCGCATCACCAGCAGACACCGGCCACGCATCAGCCGGACGGCGCTGCGCCGACTTATCCCCCGCCCCCAGGCCAGGGGCAGCAACAGTCTTCGCAGCAGTCGTCTGCGGCATCGAACCAGCCTTATCAACCCGGTGGTACTTCTACTCACCCCCCACCACCGGGCCAGTCAGCCCCTAGCCAGCAGCAGTCTTCTCAACAACCTTCATACCAGCCATCCCCATCTGGCAATTCGAGTGACTCCCCGAGCCAGGGCTCGTCGCAGTATACCTACACGGGAAACTCCTTCCCGCCGCCTCCACCCGGGCCTCCTCCTCTGAACACGGCGACAAAACCTTCGTATCAAAGCCAGCAGCACATCCAGACACCGTATTTCCCTCCTCCACCGACCCAAGAGCTTGAAGGGTCTACTATAAACCAGAACCAGAGCCAGGTTCAGGTCCCTTACTTCCCTCCTCCCCCGGGCCAGGAATCTGCTGTATCGTCCAACCAGAGCCAGGCACAAAGCCAGACGCCTTATTACCCGCCCCCGCCAGGCCAGGAGCCATCTCATTCTAACACTCGCGGTATTGGTGATTACCAGAACCAAGGCGATCGCGAAAGGGCGTCCTTGGCACCGCGTCGCATCCGAGAAGATCTGACCCAGTATGGAAACTCTCTTCGTGGCCAGCTGGCTGGCCAGATCCATCAATACCAGGATCGTCTGACGACATATGGCCGCCCATCGTCTCAAGTGCGAGGCAACATGTCCTGTCAGATTGTTCGCAGCTGTGCAAAATGGAGTAACGGCAGTCCGCTCGAACATTCGATTGCCGATGCATATGCTGCAGTTATTCGAAACAGCGAGCACTTCGTGTATATCGAAAACCAGTTTTTCATCACTGCGACGGGCGATGCACAGCACCCAGTCAAGAACAAGATCGGCGCCGCTATTTTAGAGCGGATCCTGCGTGCTGCTCGCGCAGGCCAGAAGTACAAGATCGTTGTGCTGATTCCCTCCGTGCCCTGCTTTGCTGGTGACTTGCGAGACGATGAGACTCTCGGGACACGTGCAATCATGGAGTTCCAGTACAACTCCATCAACCGGGGAGGCCACAGTATTATGGAATTGATTGCCAAGGAGGGCTTCAACCCTATGGAATACATCCGCTTCTACAATCTCCGTAATTATGACCGCATCAACGCTGGAGACGTGATGGCTGCGGCTGAACACCAGAGCGGTGTCAACTATGAGGATGCTCGCCAGCAATATGATGCGAACACTACGGGTCCTGGTGGCTATGCCCCAAGTGCAACACGGAGTGCTTTCGATACGACTGCACCGTTCCAGCAATATCAGCAAGCTGCGCACCAAGTGCATGGCAGCAAGCCCACTTCTTCTGGTCGTTGGGATAGTGTCAGCGAATGCTACATGCTGGGTGGCCAGGATATCCGCAATGTTCCATGGGATGGACATCCTGACGCTGAGATTGATGCGTTTGTGAGCGAGGAGCTCTACGTTCACTCGAAGGTTTGTCCTATCGGAAATTTGAAACAAAAGATGATGTTGTGCTAACTGTAGCAGGTGATGATTGCGGATGACCGCGTGGTGATCTGCGGATCTGCGAACCTGAATGACCGATCTCAGCTGGGTGACCACGACTCCGAGATTGCAGTCGTCATTGAAGACTTCACCCCGGTGCCGTCCAGCATGAACGGCCAGCCCTGGACAGCTAGCCGGTTTGCGACATCTCTTCGCCGGGAGCTGTTCCGGAAGCACCTGGGACTCCTGCCACCGCAGGACTACCGACAGCCCAACGCGAACTTTGAGCCAGTAGGTATCCCCAACAACGTGGATATGGACTGCCCAGAGAGCAAGGTCGTCGCCGACCCGCTTTCCGATACTCTTCAGAGTCTGTGGAACTCGCGAGCGAAGACGAACACAGAGGTGTTCCGGAAGGTGTTCCACGCGGTTCCCGATGACAGCGTGCGCAACTGGGCATCGTACAAGGAGTTCTATGAGTACTATTTCCACGCCGAGAAGGACGCCGAGGGCAAGGAAGGACTGGGCCGGCCGGCGCGATTCAACTGGGGGCATGTTGTGCGTGACGACTTTGCGCCTGGTGCTGAGGGGGCAAAGCAGGTCAAAGAACTGCTCAGCCAGGTCAAGGGGACTCTGGTGGAGATGCCTCTGATGTTCTTGATTGAAGAGGATGTGGCCAAAGAGGGGCTGACGCTGAACGATCTCACGGAGCCGATCTACACCTGATGGGGAGAATGTATATGCTTGATTGTTTTCATTTGCTATGTCTTTGTATTTTTGATCTAACTTGATGAAGCCGAATGAGATCCACTCAATTCCAAACCTGTCGAATACGCCTTCCAGTAACGCTTCTTACCACAGTTTGCCATCCAGTATAAGACCTGACTTTTCTTCTTTAACTTCTTGACTCTTTCTAAGTTCTCTCTGTTCGGCACTCTTCCATCATAATCAGTACTACCCGAAGTATACAGAGGATCAGAGTGGATGCATGGATCATCCTTGGTGGATGCAGTGTTTATCAAATGGCTGATCAAGGGCGTGGTGTGGTTCTTACTAAAATAAGGCCCATTTTTGCGGTGTGATTTTTCTTCTTTCTTTGCTATACCGATATTGCTTCATTGGTAGATGACCAGCAAAGCGAACCGCTCGGAAGACTAGACCAGGAGAAAACAACAAGAAACTATGAACCAATGCCTATACCAACCCTACTGTAAGCAGATAGATAGCATGTAAGGAAAAGAGCGGGGAGAGAGGTTGGCGTGGATCTCTTTGTTGGATTGGGCCCCCCTGCCAGACCCACCATTGTTCTTAATATTGTTCTTGATATGGTTTCTTCCATCGACAACCCCATCAACCAACAGATAGTCAGATACGCTGTTCCAGCTGAGTATTTATCCAGGATTTTCTTTGACGCTGAAACGCCACGCAAGGGAATATTCCCCAGAACAATCCAAGAACAATATCATGTTACATGCTCAGCACGTTTTTGGAGGGCTTTGGGTGGCGATGCCTCGACCATGAACATGCTGTTTGATCAAAGCCATTTGGGTGAATCAGGCGCATTGGGATCCCCGCGCTTATCTCCATTGACAGCCTGGAGAACAATATCAAGCGACGCCACCGTGCAGCAAGAACAATATCAAGATCAATGCGCCCATTGCATGGCAGCCACCCAGACCCTCAATTCCACAATTTCTCCGGAAAGAATGCATTCGGGCTCCATTGATCATGTCCTATTCTCTCCAAAGGGCTTTACCTACTCTCCTCTGGTCGAGCATAAATAGAGCCCATCTTCCCACCGAAATCTCTTTCTCTCTTCATCCGCAATCGTCTCAATCTTTCTAATCCACTTCAATCGTTTTTTTCAACCTCTTTTTCGCTTTCTTAAAGCAATCCAATCCGTCGCAATGGCCCCCTCTTCGATCCAGACTCCCTCCCCCATCGTCAAGGGTATGTTCTAACCATGCATTCACTTCTTTTCTCTCTTGTTTTATCGCTTTCCATATTGCATATACTGTTCTATTCGAGTTAAGGCTAACATCTGCCCTTCCCATAGCTGCTCCAGGTGGTGGCTGCGTTGTCATGTAAACTCCATACATGACCGCTTGACAAACCCCGGCAATTATTCAACAACCCATCCACCCACCTGCGATATGCCTTGACCTGGCTCGTTGGTCGAGATCGCAGCCGACAATGAATCCGCTTTTTATCATTTCGTCTACTTTTTAATTTCGTGTCTTCGCCGCGGGCTTTTTTCAGAGAGAGCAAAGAAGAACCCCTTACCAGTCTACAACCCAACAAAAAAAAAGCGGCAACTTCTTCGAAACATGACCAACACTTTCCGACTTTTGTTTTTTTGTGCTTTCGATATCGTGGAGAGTGGTTCTCTATTCTACTTGAGGTCCTCTGGGGTGTAGATGGTATATGGGGTCTCTCTTGGGACTACTATACCATTTGCGCTTGAAGGATGTCCCGGCAGAGAGAGTTCTTTTTTCTTCCTTGATACATGCAAATGTTTCATTTGCGGTGGTCCAGTTCATTCCTTTTCGGTGGAGGAACACGGTCTTGTCTGCTTCTCTCCTTGGTATACAGGAGTGACAGAGCGAGCCCCGTTTTCTTTTCTGAACTTTTCGTGGAAGACCCGGGTGAGACAGGATACTGAAGAGAGAGGCAGTTCCTGCATTGCTTTTATCTGCCCTTCGGGGGAATTGTCGACAAAACTTTCAAAAATAGTGTGGTATGGGCTTGGGAATGGTTTTTTCTTTCTCTCTCTCTTTGATGTGGCGCACATTTGCGGGTTCGTTCATGATGGTGGATGGGTTGGAGGATTGGGGCTTTTTACACCTGATGTTTTTTATGGCTAGAGTTGGTCATGGCAGTTGATAGGAACGCAGTGATTTGCCTCGAACTTTTCTTTTCTTTTTTTTTTTCTTCGTAGCTTCGATGTTTCTATTTGGCTGATATCTGACTGGACAAGTCTATAGATGACTACTATATCAATATAGCATCCAATGGGAACGGGATGGTTGCTGGACGTTATAAACATTGATTCATGCATATCTACTGCTATCATGAAAATCACAATCTTGATACCCTAGTTCCAAACCTCGGTCTCCTTGCGAATCTCCACTGCCTTGGCCTCGTCTGCCTCGGAATACTCACCTAAATCCGCCTCGTCGGTACCGAAAGTATCGCTGATCACATCCTCGATCTGGTCCAGGGTAAGACCAAGAAGCCCCACAGACCGTGCAATACCGACATGGCACATTTCTTCGCCGACGGCAGCTTGGATGAGCCCATCACCACCGTTAGATGTGAGATCTGCCTCGAAGCTACGGAAGAGAGCACGAAGGGGGTCCACGACATGGCTTCGGAAGTATTTGACAGTCTTCTCGAGTTGGAGGCGGTCTCGGAGCGAAGGTGATGAGAGGAGTAGGTAATATAGACTCAACGCCGAGTGAAGAGCCGGGCCCTGGGATTGAGTGAGGCCGGACCAGCGGCCGACCAGGTCTGATGCTGCTCCAGCCACGGCGATAGGTCGGAAGAGGAGATGAAAAAGAGCCCAGAAGTGAAGGGGCTCGAGAAAGATATCCGAAGATGCAGGAGCGCTGCGTATCATCTCCTCTTTCAGCCAGGAGATCGCACTGTCCCGAGCCGGGTGTAGACGATCATCCGCCAAGATCTTGCCAATCAGCTTGAACCGTGTGTTCGGGGATGGATGGCTGTGCACGATGGCGGCGGGAATCTGGCGGACGATGCCATGGCTTTGGCGAGAGGTGCATGCGGTCAGGGTGACAATGAAATCCTTGAACTCAGACTCACTGGACGGCGTCGCAATGGGCTGCTGAGTAGTGTGAACTGTCAATGCCAGTAGCGAGTCGAGAAGCGCCTGTGGCTGTCCGAATGCTACTTCATTCAGATTTTGGCAACCACCGACAAAGTGGGAGAAGATCTGGGCCAAGTCTGGATATACAGGGAGTGGCGGCATGGGGTGCCTGGAAGTGAAAAACGTGGTCCCGGCGGCTCGAGCCGCGAGAAGCAAGAGCGAACCATGACGTTCAAGGGGGATCTCGTCGGCCGAAACTGGAGGTTCGTCAAAGTCAAGTGGAGGAGGCTGGCTTGCTGGGGCTTGAGAGATAATTGATAAAAGCTGGTTGCTCTCTATCCCAACGTCCCTCGACAAGGCCTTGATCAATCAATAAAAGTGGTTAATACCTGACTTTAAATTCGAACTTGTGTTGGAATTGACTTACGGCAATCTTTCCCATGATAAAGTCGCGCTCCTTGAGCTCTTTATTGGCGCCATACGCCTCCGTCTGCGACTGATCGGGCACACGCAGATCAGGATGCAATTGTTCCTGCATGCGAATGGCCCATGCCATCCCCGGGTCCATGGGACTCGAGAAGCTTAAGAGGTACGACTTGAGCAATTCCAAAAGGCCAAACTGGATAAACTTCCGGAGCAGGAGTGTCTCGTTGTCGGCAGATGGGGACGGAGACGAAACCTCGGCCTCGGGGTCCGGCGCAGACGCAGCGGCAACCCGCAGGACGCTGGACTCACTGGCGGTGCGGGGTGGCGGCGCGGGCCGTTTTGTCGGAGCCACCTCACGAAAGAACTCGAGAAAGGCCAGGGTGGTTTCGTTAGTCGGCATTGCTGTGTAGGCTTCCAGGGCTGCTTGGAGGGAGGTCGCCACAAAACGACTCGGCGACTTGGTCTGGATCCGGGTATGGAGGACCGATAGCATCCCAAGAAGACAATTGAATTGGAGGACATGGAGGGGCGGTGCCTTCGCCGCGGCGGCCTCGTCCTCATCATCCTCCTCGTCGGGCTGCAGCTGCATCAGGGCTTCGGATACCCGCAAGATGACCTCGCGGGGATTGCCCAAGCGAGCAACATCCTGGAGACATTCTGTGGACTCGGGCAGCAGAGGCAAGAGCAGCTTGACGAGGTCCCATCCAATGTTGACAGTCAGCTTCTCATCCTGCAGGAGGGTGTGTAGCAACGGCAGGCGCTCGGAGGTCAGTTGATATTCGAGCAAGGTCAGATAGGTAAGATAATCTGTGGCCGGTGGCAGGGCCTGCACAAGAGGGTCTTGGTCCATGGTGACTTGGGGATGGACAATTGGCAGGTTGAGGGGTTTGGGGCGGGGAGGGCAGGCGTGACATCACCGCGGCGATCTCGGGCGGGTTCATAGATCGACGGCAATCCCCTTGCCAATGTTGATATCTTCAGAGATTATAAACACAGCTCCATCTAGAGATCTTATAACCTGTGGTCTTCTTCAGGGTCTAGAAGAGAAATTAGATCAAATAACAACAATAGTAATAGAGATAATAAAAATATCAAAAATATAATCAACACTCTAGTACTATAGAGAACATCATAGAGAATATAATAGCAATCGCGTATATGCTAATTCCTATTTTCAGCATTAGAAAAACAAGAATTTCATCACGAAGAGAATCACCAGTTCGGGCAGGGCCGAAATATGCTCCACAGGTTTGCCAGGGCTGCAGGGCCGATGAATAATCCCAAGGGCTTCCCAGTCTCCGATCTAAAAACCTCGTGCCTTGTATTGGGCCTTTCTTTTTTTTTTTTTTTTTTTTTTTTTTTTTCTTCCATTTATTCCTTGCTTCCCTTCTTCCCTTCTTCCCTGCTTGCCCTTCCTCGCTTTTCCCCTTCTCTCATAATCGCGATCTTCACCCCTCTACACCCTCTTTATAAACACGTCGATCACAATCCATACCAAGCGGCCTAAGCGCATCCGTCCACATCCGGAAATTCTCCAGGGACATTTCAACCTGGGCCAAAAGTTGTCACCCTGGGGAAGTTCCCCCCTGAGATCCCTCTCCCAGGTTCACCACTTCCTGATCACTGTGCACTTGCCAGTTGTGATCAGGGAGATCGTCACTCCACAATGACGGCCGAGATGCAATCCTTCTATACTCCGTCTACCTCCACTCACATCTCCCACGCCCCCACAGCCGTAGACGAACTCATCAACAAATACTCGTCGACTATGGCCAGCACATCGACGTCGCGCAGCCAACGCCGTAATCCATTCCAACGCTTCTTCGATCGGGTCCGACTCGAATACTACCGCTACGAGGTCACCTTTGGGTTATACGTGATGACTCCCAGTGAGAAGCTCGTGGCCAACGCCTTTGTGATTGTCGTCCTGTCACTTCTCTTCTGGGCGCTGCTGCTCTACTTCCCACCCTTGCTCTACCAGAAAATCAGCCGCCTCGTCTGGCTGTTGACCGGCCACAGTGGCCAGGAAGTAGGCACAGTTCTCGGCATTCTCGATAAACACGGCAATCCACTCCCTGCATTGGTGGCCGAAAATGCTTTGACCCCTTGAAGCCTTGTATAGTCCCCAGAATGGTTTCTTCTTTTCATTCTCCTCTTTCCTGATTCTCTCATGGGGGTCCGATGCGTTGAGTCCTTTGCGCATGAAGGACCATCCTCACCTCCGGAGACTCTTTTCTCGCGCTCGGTCTTGTTGCGAGTTAGAACACCTCAACCCGCTCGAGATTCGTCATCACTCGCTTTTGGTCTCGCTCACCCATTCTCAATTTTGGATGTGCACTTCGGCGTTGGGAGGGAACCTATACACTCGTTCTATTGCGACCCAGTCTCTCTGGAAGAACCTTGTAATGACGCGCACTGCGCCCCCCCCTGGCGGTCGACGATATGAATACGAGCACCACGAAAAGACACTTGATCCTCACATGCGGACTCGGTGCATTTGACCCGGTGGAGATTCCTGGGGGTTTCTGTTTTGCTGGGTCCGGTCTGGTTCGGAGGCCTGGGCTCGCAAGATGTACATGCTCGTGGATTCTATTGTTATCCAGCATAATAATCAATGTCAAATTTCCACCCAAGCCTGCCTGCATGACGTGGCCCAAGTGTCTGTCATTCTATACATCGGGCATCCGGGATTATCGCCAGGCGTTGGGCGTACAACAGCGATCATCTGAATACCCTCAAGTAGAGAGCGCTTTCATAATGAGTTTCCCTGATTTTGCGGTCATTGTATTCGAAATGAGTATTTGTGTAGTACTCAGAAAGACTCTGAGAAACATCAAAAAGTAATAAGAGAAAGCGAGACGAACGAGGCGCCAAGTGGAACAGACGCGCAACAGAAGAGCCCGCGCCATGACGATCCAAAAATAGCGGGTAATGTGACTGCCTTGTTCTTTCATCTTTCATCTTTCATCCACTCTGATTTCTTGCGCTTTTTTGACTCTTCCTCTCGGCATTTGTTTTTCTTTCCTTCTTATTCTTCTTTTGTCGGGATTATCTAGTGTCAACATCTCTGCAAAGCTCCGAGCCTCACTTGACTTTCCCCCGTGTTTACCGCACCCCATCTTGAACCTCGGCCACCATGGCCACCAACGATTACTACCATCACAATACCCCCCAACCGCCGAGCTATGATCAGGCGACGCCGGGGAGAATGGACCAACCACTGCCACCAGTGCCTGGATATGGCTATTCCAGTTACCCGTCTAACCACGATGACCCGTCCGCCCCTTACCACTCTCGCCATAGCCAGCAGTCCTTCGCCTCTGACACGGGCGCATACCAAACGACCGGGCGCGTAGGGGACAATGACCCATACGCAGAGAATATTCCCCTCAAGGCGCAGACACAAGGCCATAACCCGGACTGGATGTATCAGCAAACGCAGTATCCGCCATCTCCAGGGGCCGCCGAGGATCGCCGCCAGCGTGCACCCCGAGCGAAGAAGGGCTTTTTCCGCAAGAAGCCTGCCTGGGTGACCTATACCTTGACGGTCATACAAATTGTGGTGTTCATCGTGGAACTGGTGAAAAGTGGTACGTTTTTTTTCTTGCACGCAGAGATTGTTCGAATCGTCTCAGCAAACTAACCTTTTCTCGCTCTTCAGCCCAGTTAACGGGGTCGGCAATCGAAACAAAACCCCAGTTCAACCCCATGATCGGCCCTTCGCCGATGGTCCAGATCTCTATGGGATCGCGATATGCTCCCTGCATGAAGAACATCGAGGGGGCTCAGGATGCCCAGAAACCCACCGTCTGGCCCTGTCCCAATGCCACTACGAATATTTTTGAGTGTTCGCTATCAGAGCTATGCAGTTTTGGCGGCGTGCCCAATCCTCACCCCGGAGGATCCTTGAAAGATAACCCCGCGCCCAACCAGTGGTACCGGTTCATCATCCCCATGTTTTTGCATGGTGGGTTTATTCACATCGGTTTCAATTTGCTGGTGCAGATGACCATGGGTGCGGATATGGAGCGGACTGTTGGCTTTTGGCGGTATACCTTGACGTACCTGGCCAGCGGCATTTTCGGGTTTGTGCTCGGAGGAAACTATGCGGCGCAGCTCCAGCCAAGTAACGGCTGCTCCGGTGCGATCTTCGGCATTTTTGCTCTCTACCTGCTGGATCTCCTGTACGATTGGCCCCAGCGCGAGTCCCCGGTCGTGGAACTGGTGGTTATGGTGCTGGGTGTCGGCATTTCCTTTGTACTGGGTCTCCTGCCGGGACTGGACAACTTCTCGCATATTGGCGGGTTTGTCATGGGCTTGGCTATCGGCCTGTCTGTTATGCGGTCCCCCAACGCCTTGCGTGAGCGAATTGGCCTCGCGCGCCAGCCGTACGTGGCAATGAGCGGTGGAGCTGGTCAGGCCGGCCCTGAGCAGAAGACGACCTCTTTCAAGAACTTTTTGAAAGGGAAGGGAGGCCTTGCATCCTCGGATGGCAGTCGCAGTGGTTCGAAGAGCCCGTTTAACTTCTTCAAGGGCCGGAAGCCGCTCTGGTGGGCTTGGTGGCTTGTCCGCGCAGGAGCGCTCGTTGCGGTGACTGTTGGATTCATTGTGTTGATTGTCGACTTCTACAAATACCCCAAGTCCAACTGCTCCTGGTGCTACCGGCTGAGTTGCCTGGTAAGTTCTTCTGGCCCCGCCAATGCTAGGTATATGCTGACTGAATCTCAAATTAGCCGGTTCGCGAATGGTGTGATGAGCAAAAGGTGCAGACGGTCCAGTAGATACGATTTCTTTTCTCTTTTTGTGATGTTCATACCCCTTGGCGTTGAGCAAGTTTACAAGCCATTTGCATCGTAAATACCTCGCTTGGGTTTCTGCCCCATGAATGCATGTGTCGATTGATCTAGATATAACACATTGATTTCCTGGAACTCCAATATTCGAGACCAAAACCTGCTTATCTAGTCCGACAGTGGTCTACGATCTAGTCAGGCATCTATAGATCGGACTTTGCAACATTCACAAATAAACCACATCCAAGAACCGCTGCTCTTCAAAAGAGTCGGCATATGTAGTTTTCCTTAGCTCCTGTATACTGTAGCAACAGAATATAGTGAGAAACTAGAATAAACAGACTATGCCTCAGGTGTCGAAAAATTGCATTGCGTTTGGCTGTGGCGGAGCGGAGGCGGAGCAGCGTAAGTTACGGTATGTGACTTGCGCAAGCTCTTAGATCGTGACTTCGCTCTTGTCAACCATGAGGGCCTACTCCTGACTCTCATGTACCTCTCTCCACTCGTGTCTTCCATCTGCCATGGCCACTTTGGCCTCCTCTCCCCCAACGTCGCCTTCGTGGCCGAAAAGGCGCTCTCGGGCCTGGGCGCTTCGCTGTGAGCGCTACTGCTGCGCCGCTGCCAGCTGCTTCCCCCTCGCTTTCGTCTATGGCCTCACCACCTGGGCGGTGTATGTCGAAGCCAGCATTGGATTCAAGCCATCTCGGAGTGCATGGATCGGTATGCCGAAAAATATACCCTATCCCCCCCGCCCCCCTCGATTGCGTGCGATGAACCTTTCTCGACTCGGATTGACTGACCTCGGATGGGGATTGCAGGTTTCCCCAGTTCGGCCCTGGGTCTTCTCTTCTATGGCCTTCTAAATGCGTCGTATAGCGTCGCCGTGTTCACTGACCCCGGGTCACCGTTGACCACCCGTCGGGGCAACAACCACCACGAGTACAGCGCGCTGCCCGTCACCGAACACCCCGAGTTTACATCCTACACGGTCAGCTCTACAGGGGGCTCGCGGTATTGCAAAAAGTGCCAGTGTCCCAAACCCGACCGTGCGCACCACTGCTCGACCTGCAAGCGATGCGTCCTGAAGATGGACCACCACTGCCCCTGGCTGGCAACCTGCGTCGGGCTGTACAACTACAAGGCGTTTTTGCTATTTTTGATCTACACCTCACTGTTTTGCTGGGTCTGCTTCGCCGCCTCCTCGGTCTGGGTCTGGACCGAGGTGTTCAATGATACGGGGTACATGGAGACGGTTTTGCCAGTGAATGTGGTGCTGCTGTCGGTCCTGTCGGGTATTATTGGGCTGGTGCTGACCGGGTTCACGGCCTGGCATATCAGCTTAGCGGCGCGCGGCACCACCACTATTGAATGTCTTGAGAAGACCCGCTATGTGTCGCCGCTGCGCAAGGCCCTGGACCGGCAGCATTTCGAGTCGGGCCCGCCCAACCACGACTATGCATCAGATCCCAACGAAAGCTTCAGTCATCGGCTACAGGGCTACGGAAATCAGATTATCGACGCCCATGCCAACGCCATCCCGGGCGTAACCCGTGCCGAGGAGGGCGAAGAACGACTCTCGCCTGCACCCTATACGCCAGCGCCCTACCCACCTGGGTCTCTTCCCCCCGCATCTAATCCTCCGGGAGTCGAAAACCATCTCACACCCGCACAACAAGCCCTGTCACGGTCCTACGCCGATATGGAGCGGCAACGCGAACGAGAGCGATACCAGGAGTACCTCAACGAACAGGACAGCGAGAAAATGCCAAGCGCATTCGATCTGGGGTGGCGACGCAACCTACTCCATTTGTTTGGTGACCGCGCTCTCCTTTGGGCCCTCCCCGTCCGTACGACCACCGGCGACGGCTGGCGCTGGGAACCCAGCCAGCGTTTCCTGGAGGCGCGCGACCGCGCGCGGGCCCGCCGCGAGCAAGACACCAGCGCCGAGCAAGAGTACTACCGCGATTTGTACCAGCGCAACGCCGACACCAACCGGAGCTGGGCGGGCAGCGCGGGCGCCGGTCCGCCTGCCTGGGTGCCAGCTCGTAGTCGCACGCCTGAGCGGCCCCCGACTAGTGTGTCGATGCAGACTCTTGCGCCTGCGTCGCCCCGCCCGCGACCAGGTGACAGCGACTATGAAGATTATGGCGATGGGAACGGGCTGCTAGATCCAGAGGCTGCACGCCCGAGACGGGAGACGGATGAGTGGCGCGACTGGGACTAAGGGCTTGCATTGCATCATCGGTGTTTTGGGCGTGGGTATATTCTTTGTATGTGTATGAGGCGGATGGAGAATACCTAGCTAGCTAGATACCTAGCAAAGGAAGACGTACAGATTCCTGAGGATCTTGTTCTATTTTTGAGCCATAATAAAGGCCGTAGCGGCCACGCGTCCAGTTGATGCGGTCTTTATCAATGGCTCCACTTGGCCTCTCCAACTTTCCCCTCACTCAACCAGCCACAAACCGACAACAGGCAAAGACAGAAGCAGCAAGGAAAAGGACGAACAAAAATAAGAAGCAGAAGAGAGAAGAGAGAAAAGCCAGAAAAATGACCTCCCCCTCAACCCGCCGCCTCCTCAAAGAATCCACAGACCTCCACAAAAACCCAAGCCCATACTTCACAGCCGCGCCCATCTCCGACAGCAACCTGCACGACTGGCACTTCACCCTGGCGGGGCCGCCCGCCCCCTCTCCCTACCGCGGTGGGCTATACCACGGCCGCATCACGTTCCCGGGGACCTACCCGCTGCGGCCGCCGTCATTCCGGTTCCTGACGCCGTCGGGCCGGTTCGAGGTCAACCGCGAGATCTGTCTGAGCATCTCGGGCCACCACGAGGAGACGTGGCAGCCGGCGTGGGGGGTGCGCACGGCGTTGCTGGCGATCCGGTCGGAGATTATGGGGTCCGAGGCGAAGGGGCAGGTTGGTGGGATGGAGGGGAGTGATGCGGTTCGCGTGGAGTATGCGCGCTTGTCAAGGGGTTGGGCTTGTCGCGAGTGTCGCGTTGAGAATCAGGTTGCTATGCGGGAGTGGTGGGCTGTTTGTCGTGAAAAGGGGGTTGAGGTGGATGAGGCGGAGGATGGTGTGGAGCTCTTTGCTGGTCCTGGTCCTGGTCCTGGTGGTGGTGGAGGTGCAGATGATGCGAAGAAACCAGAGGAGGAACAGAGTGTCCCAGGGAATCAGCAGGATGAAAGAAAGGACGCTGAGACTACGGAGAAGACACACTCTTCTGCGACGGATGCTTCCTCGAAAGACCAGGTCGAGGTCCAGGACCAGCCAGCTCCCTCTGCGGTACCTGCTCCAGCTACGCCAGCCCCGACACCCACTACAGCACCTGCTACAGCGTCCGCTCCATCGGTATCAACCTCTCAAAGTACTCGTCCTCCCTCGCAAGCGCCGTCCGACGGCGTCTGGCTGGACCGCGCCATCATCGGCGTCTTTATTGCTCTGGTGTTGCTGGTGCTACGGCGCGTGGTCAACGTCGACGACCTGTGATTATCTCTTGTTTTACAACATCTTGTCTATCTGCAGCCGGGTTTGGCGTTTCATTTTGTATGGCGTCTGGGAGCTACGGGGCTTATTTGGATATCTACTTTTACTTGATACCTCGCACACATCTCACATCTTACATATCTCATATTGGACGGGGTGAAGAAGATAATAAATGCATTCTGAGTCCATCACCCAGAAACTATCAATACAAGGGCTGCATCAACAGAGAAATACTACATGGATGTTACGGTAGAACCATCCACCACCATTCCAACAGAACCCACCCAGCCTGCTCGCCGCTCCCGTAGCAGCAGCGCACGACGCCCACCTCGGCCAGCCACTCCAGCAGTAGCAAGGTCTCCCACGCGCCCATGGTAGGCTTGATCATGCCCGAGACAATCTCGGCACTGGCGCCCTGCCGCATGGCCAGACACCCCAAGACAGAGCCCACAATCATCTCCCAGAGCCGCGGCACCAAGGCACCATGGATGTCGAACCACAGCGGGATCTTGGGCGGGAAGCCCGCAACCTGCGGCAGCGGAGGCAATGGTCGGGTTACAGTGGCAGCGCGATCGGCCACCGGATTGCCGTACACATAGCTGGCATGGGGACGGACTTCGATGGCGAAATGCAGCCGGGTTTTATCGATCTGGCGCGTCAGGTAGCCGCCCTCGGTGAGACCGAATCGGTCACGCGGGGGGTCGCACGGCCGCATGGTGATACGCCCTGTGGTTGCGAGGTTGACCAGGGCGAGAATGTGGCCGTCATCGGCGTGATATTGCACGGAAAAGACGCCGGTGCGCTGTAGCTGGGGGTCGAGGATGGTGGTTTTGAAATGCGCTGCGCACCGCAGCTGCGTGCTGTCGATGGTACGTTTCCGTGTCAAGATTTGGAGGAAGTGATCCGTGATATCGTAATTGCGGCCGGGGGCAATACGGCCGCGATTGCCCATGCCGATCACACGCTCGGTCAGCAATGACTGCGTGGCGCTGGTGATGAGCGACTCGCCGAACCGCTCCAGCGTCTGCTTGGCTTCTGCCGGTCGATAGGTTTCTTCCGGGGCCACAATGTTGGCACGTACCCACGTCTTGGTGACATCCAACCGCGCAAGCTCTGTCTTTCGACGACTAGGAACGCTGGGCTTTTCGTCCACGAGGACGGCAAATGGAACCTCGGCCATATGTCTGCGTTTCTGGTTGACGGTAGTGCCCGGATTGATCTGCCACAGATCATCATTCATGGACTCTTCCCGTAGCTCAAAGACGCTGTCAAACTGCTCCCGGGTAGCTGGCAGATCTGGGAGTTTCTCGGACACAGAAGCATCCAGTTCGGTGTTGGCCCATTCGACCACGCCGGGCCAGTCATAGCTGACCAAGTTCCCATAGTCAATCGGGGGAACCTCGTCTTTGGCATAGGCATCAATGAATCGCTCCTGGAAATCCCGCAGCATCTTCATGATTTGCAGGCGGGATTTACTCAGGACATGCCGCGCCCGGTCGTCAATGAGCTTCGGATCGTGATCTGGGAAAGCCAGAGCCACAAGACCCCAGTCAATCACTCTGCCCTCCGTGCCTCCTGCAAGAACTCGAACCGCAACTATAGCAAGCATGAGCTTGCGCGCCATATCTTCGGGCAATGGACGCGTATGTCGCTGTCGACGTGCTAGTCGCCGGGCTGCTGGCGAGATTCCTTTATCGACAATGGGGGCACCATCCACCTTCGCCAAGCGACGCTCTTGAATCGGCTGTTTCACAGTTTGCCGCAGTGGTGCTGGGGCGAGGAAAGCTGCCCTTTTGCGAGTTGCCATGGGAGACCGCGGTGGTAACGCAGCCGGGGCCAGCTCATCGTTCTCAAACCGAATATCACCTTGGATGGGCTCTGTGTGGAATTCACCATGGAAGGTTTGGTTAACAAACGGCAAGCCTTTAAGGTTCGCCTGAAAGAAATCTTGATGTTCAACTTCCCATCCAAGGATTTCGTCAACCGCCGAAAAGAAACTCTGATCGGAGGTAGCCTTAGTCCTTCCGGGAGGCGGTGCAAGGTGAATCAGCTGGGCTAGCTGGTTGGCAATTTCTACCACGTTGGCTGCCGGCATTTCTGCAACCTGTCTTGGCTTGCGAACTGTTGCAGATCTGTAGTCAGTGGAAAACGTTCCAGTACTCGCATGGTATTTTTGCTCCGGGTTCATCAACATGGCATATGCCCGAATGCTGGACATGGTCTTGACAAGTCGCTTGATTCCACCCGACTCCCGAGGCTTGTAAGGCCCGCGCTTTCTGCCGGGTTCCCCGACGGCGTGCGGCCGAGATATCGATGTCTGAGCATTTGCCGAAGAATCTTGCATCGGTCGTCGCTGGATCTTCATGAGCCGCTTGGGTCCGTACCCTGGCCCAGCACCTTCATGAGCTCCTGCTTCCTGCTCCATGTTTTTAACCAGCCGTTTGTGGATCCTTCGCCTCGTCCTCTCCTCCTCGGCTAGAATAGCAGCAGGCTTCCGTTGCAACTTGACGACGGCGCCAGGCTCGACTGGCAGCGCGAATTTGTGGATGTAAGGTCGAGCTCCACTTCTCGAAAGTTCTGGATCCATTGGGACATGAGGCGAGAAGAAAGGCCGTGGGTCACGAGGGTCACTGGCCAAGGTTTTGTCTTGCATCTCTTTGACCAGAGGATCATCCGGGGACATATCGGGCTTCGTCAAAACAGTCTTCGTCACCATCACGCCTTTGCTGTCTTTACCGCTGAATGTCAGCTGTCGCAATCGACCGGTATCCACCAGGCTCTTGACCGTGGATTTGATCGTCCGCATGTCTGGCTTTTCTTTGTAATTCATCTTGAGCCATGCAGTCGTGAAAGGATTCCAAAGAGCAGATCCTGTCGGATAGGCTCCACCAGCCTTTTCCACAATCTCCATGACGATCTTCCTTCGAAGCACGCCAATGGAGCCTCCTTTCTCGACTAGCAGCTTTGGGGTTTCTGACTGCTGCCCATCCACAGTTTTCGGTGTTTCACGAGCGACAAAGGATGTAAGCTGTACGGACGACTCTCTAGCGACTGGTGTTCTCGGCACAGGCGAGGAATCTCGGATTTCGGTTTGTTCTGAAGACCCAAGACGCCGTCGCTTAGATGGAGTTGCCTGGTTTTCTTCGCCTTCCAGCCGGTGAACAGCAGAACTTTTAGGCATTCTTTTGGGCACAGTTGCGATATTCACATCTTCCGGTCTTCCTAGCACCGTCTGTTCTGGCGGTGTCTCCTCGGTGGGTGCCAAAACCGATGGGTCATTGTCTTTTCGAGAATTATGAAGGCGACGTTGTTTCGAAGGCCTTCCACTCGGTGTTTCTGACCGATTGGTTCTCGAGAAAGAGGTAAGTAATTCTGGAGAATCCTGAGCAGCCTGGTTTCGTTTGGCTCTACTCGGTTTTTTGGTTGTAACTTGAGTCTCTTCGATGGTTCCATGAGGAAGGCGTTCCTCGAGACTGATGGCTGATGGTGTAGCATCATGAGCAGTACTATCCGGTGCACGGGAAGTTGGAGTGGCCCCCTTTGCCATACCCGCTGGTTCATTGTCGGATTCATCCGTGTCCTTCACGAACCAAGGGAGTGATGTTAATTTGGGCGACCTGAAAACCGCAATCCGGCTCTGCCTCGGACGACCCTGTCTTTTCCCTACGGGTCTTCTTCGCCCTCGGGGAGTGACATAGACACCAGGTGTCGGGCGGTCCATTAGCAACACGTTGTATTCTGTCCATGTTTCGTCTAGACCGAGCGCCTCAAGCTTCTCCTTCTTAGACAGACCCTTCAGGCTATCGTACTTGTTGTTGGCTCTCCTAGTAAGTGGTAATACTGGAACAGACTCTTCCACGACGTTATCATTGCCATCCACGTCCGGAGTCTTTTGGGACTTCTCCAATCGCAACCGGCTTGATCGGTTAACAGATCCCTTAGGACGTCCCTTGTGGCGAAAAGAGGCTTGGAATCGTTGTACACCCCCAGGCGGAAGCTTCCCCGGGCCAGATTGAATCACTGTGGCCATATGTTAGAGAACGGACGGCCTCAATTTTGCCAGAATCTTCGTGTTACAAATGGAAATGATCAAACATACCGTAAGCACCGTTCTCAAGTTGGTTCACCAAGGGGTCGCTAGTGGAAAGCACATAGTCTGCCGGCTTCCGGGCCATGATGCCTTCAAGAAGAGTAGCATTTCCACCTTTCAGGATTTTTGGGAAGTGAGCTGTCTGTGGAAATCCATATTCATCGAGTTGGGCAATTGCGTCCACGGGTGGAATCGTGAAATCATTCGCCTTTTTCTTTTTGCCGGAAAATTCAACAGCCTCCCAAGATGCCTCGCCAGCTTCAACTAGCTTCGCAAAATCATTCGCCGTGTAGTGAACATAATAAATCACCGTCCTCTCGATTGCTGTATCCCGGACGATAGCCAGGTGGCGAAGATGCGGGGGCTGGGATACCTGCCAGCAGTCGACCAAGCGATGCAAGAGACTCTCTGTGGGCCGGCGAAAGAAACTTCCGAAGCAAATTCGGTTGATGTTCTGCATTATTAGTGGGTATCCTCTTATGGTGAACAGAGAAAACTCACATGGTTGGTGATTCCTGCAGTTCCCGTTCTCTGCACAATATCGAAGATCTGATTGTTGAGAGTGCGATCAGGGGTCCAAGACGGTATGATTCGAGCAACATCCTCAACCTGTTCATCTTTCTGTAGATCGATGGCGTCCTCGTCTACACCAGATGGTTCTCCCTTCCCCGCAACATCCAGCTCCATGTCTTCGTCGAGCTCAGCACGATCGTCTGCTCCGTACTTGTCCAAGATGTCTCCATTGTATTCATGAAACAGCTCCAGGTCTTTGGTGGTTGGATCTCGGAGAAGCATCACGCAAGGATGAAGTTTTTCATACTGGGACTTGGCCCGCACACGCTTCAATACCCCGATGCGCTCGAACTTGCGAAGAGCACGCGACAAGATCCTCCACCGCCATGCGTCATCGAAGCCCAGAATCCTTTTGAGATCATTGCGAGTGATGAGGCGAAACTCTTGGAGAATCTCGAACAGTCTTTTGACAAACGCTTCAAGATCCATTGCCTGAGCCGCTTCTTGGGATTTTTGTTCGGTCGGTTTGCCGGTAGTCGGACGCACGAACCGCCGAAGGGTGCACAGACTGGTCCGTGCCGCCTTGACTTGAATCGCACGTTTCTCGATGTACCCCTTCTGCTGCAGGTAATCGGTCCGTCTGGGGACAGATCGCTTGTCTTGGCCGCTGAGCTTCACGAGGTCCGTTTGCGCAATGCCATTTGATTTGTGCGAGGCGATGATAGACAACAACACAAACTCAAGTGGCACCACTTTGGTATCATCCGGCTCGTGGCCAGTGACTGCATACCACGTTCGTTCCTTGGAAACGAAAACCCGAACTTGGGAGGCAGATGTTGCAAGGGAGTCGTTGTTTTGGCTGTGATCTTCGGACGGCTCTGTCTTGAGGACAATACCACCAGCTTCGCTAGACTGGGGTTCAAGCTGGATCACCTCTTCCAGGCTGAGATGATTCCACTCCTTGTTCTTGCCCACTGATACTTCAGGGTTTCTCGCCAACCAGGACCAGACCTTTGCTTTGAAGCGGTCGTCAACAGCCTGATGTCGTTGGGCATCCTCAGAGGCTTTGTGGTAAAACCCTCCGATGGCCTTGAGTACATCAGTCGGTGTCGCGCCTAGAAGTTGGTTAGTTCTCCTGTGCTCGATGACCAAAAGAAACAATGACGAAGGATGTGGCGTCAAGGGTGTAGATCAACAGGGTGGATCCTGCCACGCCACTAATGCAAAATGCAGTGCTGAAGTAACGAATCATCACCAGAAAATCCCAACTTTTCTTCGACTGGCATGCAGGCATTCGTGCTGGGTGAAATACATGGCGGTGGATATACATGGACAACAGAAAAGTGGGTCTTGGTGTCAGAGACTATACACACCTTGGTTCCCACAGAGCGCAACCTCGTCCAGCAGGAAATCAATCAGCTCCTGCAAGCTTGGTGCCATGGCTAGATCATAGCTTCAGACAATTAAAAAGGGGGTTGCCCGGGGGTTGATGGTGAAGGTGGGAAATGATTGAGAGAAAGAATTTTCAGAAGCGAAAACTGAGGTTCGAACTCGCGTCACCCAAATTCTTGGGTCATTTGTCATGTGATATATGATATTTGGTGCCTATTTTATCAGGCCTCTGTATGCTTCCTACCTAGGTAAGAGAGACAAGTAAACAGTAACCTATGCAATCTTCCTTGGTGTTCTTGACCACCCAAAAGATTACAGGGCCTTTCAAGCGGTATAAAATTATCGTATGACTCCTATATGGCTATTTTTCTTGTGCGGCGATGTCGTTACTCACATAGTGTGTAGGGAAAATGTCTATAACCTTTTACATACTTTGTGAGGTGATTAGGGGTTTTCCTTTTTATTGTGTAGGTAGTCTGGAAAATCTTGAATAAGATTCAAAAAGACTCAGTCTTAAATTCAAAATTTTTCGTTCCATGATGACGTATCTAGAAGTATCAAATAGGTGGAGAGTGTAAAAAAGACAATCGATATCAGACAAAAACTTTTGCAGCTTGGCTATGCAGAGTAAATAGATGGCTATGGTCATTCCCCATGGATACCAGAGATCAGGCTGAAGGAATAGGCGCAAGGTTGAAAACTAAAATTGCAAGGCCCAGGAATAGGAACACAGGTAGGAACACACTACGGGTGTCTGCTACTGTGTATCCATCTATGGATGGATCTAAAAATATGTGAATGGGTCTGCGTCCGCTCACTTTCCTATATTGATCTTAGGTGTATCCTATAGATTCGAGTCCATTCCTTGGTTTACAGCCAGGGCGGTCCCAAAATTTCCTGGCTGTGTGCCCTACGCTATGTATTCTGCCAAATAGCCACTTTGAATTGATTAGAAGAAATTTTTCCGTCTTGAGATGGTAGTCTAATACTAGACCGGGACGAATTGCGACTACTTCAATAGAACGCTAGGATTACCCCCCAAACACCACTCCTGTCTGGGCTAACCTTCGACATGCAAAACTTGAACCCGAGATTTCTTCTTTTTTGGGGATACACTTCCTCTTAATTTCCTTTATCCACTCCTTGCCGGTATCCCAAGAAATTGGCATTCCTCCCATTGGAAGTTTACCGTCCGAGTCAGCTCATACAATTGTCCCACGAGCCCCCCCCCCCAAAACTTCCCAGCCTTCTTCAATGACTGGCCAATCTTCCAAGATTTCCTGGCAAGACGACCAAGACTAATCGGGTTCCCAATTCCCGATGATTCCTTTCCTGTGGGAACCCGAGTTACAACGCCCCGAGGTACACATTCGGCATACACATATTCACAATGCGGTACTCGATTAGGGTATGTGGCGCTACAGCGTCTTTTGGGAAGGGGAGCCGATGGATCAGTCTGGGCAGGTATGATCCGGTACTTGGATAATCCAAAGCATGCTCATTTCCGGCCTCAGAGGGAACAGGTAGCCATCAAGCGATCCAAGGGGGCGGATGGTGTTGAAACTGCGTTTCTAGCACGGGAGATCCGGAGCCCGCATGTCATCCAAATTCGGGAGTATTTCTTTTTGCCAGACTCCAGAGGCTCTGGGGAATCGTTCCAAGTGATGCCTCAAGTGAGAGCAGAGCTACAAAAATTATTGGACATGGGGTACAGGTTCAACCTCAATACGGCGTATTGGGAGATCTTGAGAGGACTCCGAGACATTCATGCTGCGGGTATAGTTCATCGTGATTTGAAACCTGGGAATGTGATGGTCACCAATGACGGGCATATGCAAATCATCGATTTTGATCGGGCCATCAAGGTTGGGCGTATTAATCAAGTCACCTATACGGGCACGCCTGGCTATGTCGCTCCCAGTAAGATTCTTGCTCCGTCATTGATTCCCCTCTGGCCTTGTGTTAACGGCATACGTGACTCGTCAGAGCCCATCAGGTTACTTCCTCAATATGATGATTGGAAAGCAGAGGTCTTTTCTGCGGGGATGACATATCTGGCGATGGCGGAACCAGAGCGCATGAACCGAGACTCTTATCTCCAGAAACTGTGGAAAGTCCTGATTCAGGTGCGACAGACGAGATCGGGGGAATTCTTGATCGACGAGGAGCAGACGAATTCAGGACGACTCCTGGTAGACTTGGACCGACACACTGTCTACCAGATTCTGACCAAGGCGTTGGGAGACCGATGGAATCCCCCAATGCGGCAACTTCTTTCCCAAGTTCTCTGCGGAGAGGATCAGCGTTTGACACTAGAGTTCTATCGACAATTCTGTCGGTACTCTGGTTTGGCGGTCTAAAATGGGGGTGCATTCGGCATATGGAATTGACCTGAGACTCCATAGAGACCAGAGCGAGGAGAAGAAGAAACCAAGGGATTTCAAGTGGTGGTTACGATGCGGAGGTAATCCCTTCAAAACTGGGATACTCTCATAAGTGTCAGATAGGACATTCTGCCCTCGATGGTCAATTAGAAAGAATCAATGAAAGCAGCATGGTCAACCAACTTGGTGTTTTATGAACGTTCATAAAATTGGCGGCGCATGTAGCATAAGGTTCACCTTGACCGGAGCGATCGGCGAGATTGTTTGGATGGGATCAGCGTCCGAGTCGGGTTTCCAGGTCTCTGAGCCCGAAGTCCGGTTTTGCAGCTGGATCTGCAGCTTGATCAGAACCATATTGGATCCGTATTATCTCGGGGCATGATCATCCGGATGAGCCGGGATCTGGCCAAAATCGAACAAATCGAGCAATCCATGGAATGCCCTGAAGGACTGTTCGCTGAGAAAATGTGTAAAACGTCCAAATGGCCAAAGACAATGGCTGTGTTCATGACATCACGGGCGCCTTACGTCAGGTACTTCGCACCGCACCTTACTGAGTATGGCAACGGATGTACCCGGGCTCCGTCGTTTCCGGTCAAGTTTTCTTTTTCTTAGAATCGACTCCTTGTTTTTTGGGTCTTTTCTTCTTCTTTTCTAATTTTCCCCCGTTGATTCTGATTATTCAGAATCATCTTTTCATCCTCATCATGTCCTAATTCCTCGCCTGTATATCCTACGAAGCAACCACGCACGATTCCTCAAAAAAAAAAAAAAAAAAAAAACCACCCTCCCTCCCGTCAGTCGTGGTCCGTCCACCATTGCCACGCTGATGGAAGACGGTGCCGTGATTGCGCCCCCCGAGCCTCCTCCGCTCCCTTACTCGTTACACACGCGGAAGAAGGCGATCGCCTTTTTCTGGATCCTCTTCGTCGTCGATACCTTGGGTCAACCCATAGCTCTGTACTGGGCGCTATGGTACGCCACGGATCTCTCACACAATTTGGGTACGTTTGCTAGGGATAAGTTGCAGGAGAACTATCGCTGATCGGGCATCTGTCCAGTGTTTTCGATTGTCACCGCGACCTTGGGAGGAATCTCGGTGTTTGAATATTTTTACCGACTCTACAATCTCTTCCGCAAGAACTCGCGTGCCCGGCCCTTAAATGCTCGGAAATCATGGGTAGGACATGCCTGTGATATGATACGATGGAGGTATTTGCTGATGATATCCTTCAGCTGGATTTCTTCCAAATCAATTTCACCATTGTCTGGCTGATTCTGGCCGCCGAGCTTATCGCGTAAGTTGGAGACTACCTCGGATACCTGAGACACTGAGGGGCATATGCTAATCGGAGTGCAGGGGAACGGTTCCTAAAGAACCACATGGTTAGAATCGATGCATGCTCTTGTCTCTTCGCCACTCTTGCTGACATTCTTCACCTAGTGCGTCTCGTTGCCATGGTTCTCCCCACCGTCATGTTCTATTTCGGCGCCGTTTACCTCTCCCTCGATATCTTCCGGATGCTAGGCTACAAGGCCCCGTTCCGAATCTCGTCTACCCCAAAGGGGTCCGTCATGCCGACCGCACTGTACGCGTTAATCGAGGATGTGGTGGCCGTGGATGGAGGCGGAGGTCAAATGTACCGATACGCGCTCCGGACACGCTATCTGTCCAGCCCCTACTTCCGGCGGATGCTCTTCGAAATGAACTGCTTCTGGAGTGGGGGCTCGATTGTCTGCGCAGCCGCCATTACCGCTATCATCTTCACGGTCTCGCAACCGGTCGCCTATACTGTGAGTCGAGGACATGGAATACTGTCCACAATAATCTACAATCACACTGACATCACTTGTACAGCTGGGCTGGTCCCTTCCCTTCGCCTGGGCCGGTATCTGGGCCTTAATCACCATTCCGTGGGTTCAAAGTGACCTGCGCCGCGAGAAGAAAGCGTGGGCAGAGAACCGCGGACAGGGCGGCATCCCCTGGACCGACGACATCACCGCGCCCACCGCACGCACCCGTTTCGCATCTGTTCAGGAACACCTGCCTAATCTCTTGCCTTGGGTGCGCGAGAAACAGAGCGCACCATCTACACCTTCAGCGGACGGTGCTGCAGACGGTGCTTCGGCTGCGGATGGCGCTCCGGCTCCTGACGGTACTGCGGCTCCTGACGGCCAGACGACCCATTAAATACTTGTAATGATATGAATTTGATGAACATGTCCCATTTGGATGGCCACTACGAGGATGTATTTTTGCATGTTTTGGGCAATTTGATTCCTGGCTTTTGATCTAGTCTTGGGTTTGTTTGGCGCTTTTGATTTTGGTCCTCGTTGAGCAGGCTCTCTGTCCACTGTATATAGATACCCTCTATTTGATGTCTAGTTGTGTGCGTATCTGTTTAGAGTATTCTCGATGTCGACAGCCAACACTTGATCCCGGCGCTCATGTGTGACTATCCTGCAAGAACCCGACAAAGCCATAGACTCGCCATACGCCATTGCTCCGCTAGGGTGGATGTGCGACCATTTACTACATCTCGCTACTGTGAACTAGCCTGGCAAGCCACACAGACAGTAGCTCTATCTTTGAGAGATGATCTCGACTTTTCTGCACCCCAGATCTATTCTTGGCTAGGAGACTAACATTGCACCTTTGTGAGATGCCAGGTACCTACTTGTATGAGCAGGGTAAACACCCCGAGTCCTACAATTACTTAACAGAAACAACCGTGAGACCTGACAAGAAGTCTGTGGACTCGAGTGCAGTAGGACAGAGAGCAGAACAGAGCGAACCCATACAACCCGGCAACAACCATATCAATGCCTTGTCTTAACTCCACTCATTATATGAACACACACCAACAATAATATTGACAAAAAAAACAAAATGCCCTCCCATAACCCCAAAGTCTTCCCCCTCTTCCTCTTCCTCCTCATAACCCTCCTCCTCACATTCCCAACCGTAGTCCCCTCAGTCTTAATCCGCAACTACGAGCGGCGCAACTGCCAAGGCCGCTTCGAGCAATGCACCGACGCCAACGAGAACACCTGCTGCGACCGCAGCGCCGGCAACCCGAACCAGCGACCCAGCTTCGAGTCCAGCGAGTTCCGGCGGCTGCCGTCGTCGGGGCTCGGACTCGCATGCAATGCGCGCGGCCGCGAGAATTGTGGGCTGGTGACGGATGTTTCGTGGGGGGAGTATGCGTGTGCGGCACGGGGGAGTGATCTTCCCGGGGCATTTTGGTTTTCTTGTCGGGGGTGTCCGTTTAGGGGAGGCGGGAATGGAGGGAATGGAGGAGGTAATGGGGGAGGTAACGGCGGAGGTAACGGAGGAGGAGGCAATGGAGGACCTCGTGAACAGGCAATGGAGCTGGCTCGCCAGCAGATGAAGGACTACCCGCCTGTCCCAGTGAAGCCGGATCTCGTGGGCATTGACGGGCATTTGTTCCCCGTGAACTATGCCACGCCCGAGGAGATCACCGAGGCCGTTTATAAGGCTTACGATGCTGGGCTGGGGTTCGAGGATCTTCCGCAGCATGTACTGGCCCATGAAATGGTCAATGAGGATCCGATGGAGTGAACAGGCAGTAGGTGAGATGACAGTGATGTTGACATGTCCGCGGGTGGTATTGTGGCACTGTGACTTTTTTGTTCCGTTCTGTTCTTCTATGGTGGGCACAAATTGTCAAATTGACTTATGGCAATCCGAAATCCAGCTTCAGTCTTGCATTGTTCTCAAATCAGCTATTGCTTGACACTCTCAAGAGACCATGGCAAATGCCCAAAGAAATCAGGTGTTTGCTTTTGGTTGAAGAAAAGGATGCCCTGCCAGTTCGCTTGCCTTTTTCCTCATATCTGGATGCCAGACAAGCATTCCCTTGACGAGATCCAGAAACGATTCCCTCTCCTCTCCCTCAAGAAAAGAAACCGTATCGTCTAGTTTCCGGTCAGGAATCACGTCTTCATTGAGAAAGCGACCTAATATGTTTCGTGAGTCTGAGAATAATCCATCCGAGATAAGAAGCACATAGTAATAATACCATTATTGTCAAAGAACGGCCCACAGAAGTACTCCTCCGCGGTCTCGCATACTCTGCCGTCCTCTCGTCTGACGGGTTCCGGCCACACGTACGCTCGCATATATTGATACCTTTGCATAATCTCCGGAGGGGGAGGACCAAATAAGGCTATCATTTCGGCGATATGTAGTTTGGCATCGTAGCGACCTTGTTGATCATGGATATGCTGAAATAGCTCTTTGCCTTCGATCATATCCCACAACTGGTCTAGTATTAGTTGGATGCAACAACTTTGAAGAGATAACAGGACACACCAGAACACCAAAATTCCAAATGTCCGTAGGCATTTGCCATCCATTCCCCAGTATCACCTCTGGCGCTCGATAGTGGTCTGGCTGGATGGGCCACACGCCCCAGTCGTCGTTTTCCTCGAGTCTGGTTGCCACGCCAAAGTCAACAAGCTGCGGTATACTTCTCAGGCTTTTAAGTGGTCCGAAGTCATTGCGAGACTGATACACCGGTCGTCCCGTCGAATCAATCTTGAAAGCCATCGGGTTTTCAAGCTGAAAATCCATGAAATCAGCAAGCACGGTTGGGTCCTCGAATGAAACCATGATGTTTTCAAGCTTTAGATCTAAGTAGCCACCTAGACTTAGTATCACCAGCGAAGAGTAAGGCCGAAGATGAACTCACCCGTATGAACTACCCTGCATTCTTCGTGAAGATAATCAAGCCCCATAAGAAGAGCACGAATGTATGTTTTAATAAGGGGTAGTGGCATCTTGCTATCATCAAAGCGTCGTTGATACATCGACAATGGCTCTCTCATAGGCGGATACACAAGACAAGAATGAGAACCTTCTGGGCCTTTAACTTCGAAAGAGTCCAGGAATGTTCGGATAAGTGAGCGACCGCGATGTGATGGGTCTGCCGTGGAAATATGCTCTTCAATCACGCGCTCATGGCCAGCGGAAGTCGCGTTTTTATTAGCGACTTTCAGCGCCACAACGCTCTCTTGCTCTTCAATACGCCTATATTTTTGTTAGACAGAGAGAACTTTGAATTGAACAGAAATTATTGAAGGCCACCTTTGCAAATCACGAGCGAGCCATACCGTGCAAGACACACCCCAGCCAACCTTGACTATGTTTTCGTAACGATCGGCGAGTATCTCCCCAGGCTTTGCTGGGTAGAAGTACTTGGAATCGTATACGGGCGAGGTCTCTTCATCCACGAGTATACCAGGCGGTAAAGGTGGTCCGGGGGAAGGCATGGGAAAAAGGTTTCTTGCGAAGAAGGGCAGAAAAACGAGGAATAGACGTTCTTAGAGCGTTCATTGCAAAGTTACTCCCCATGAGCTGACGGGAGAGTGTGATATCAACAGTTGTCGAAGGAAGAAAGGAGATCAAGAAGTCCGAGCAGTGAGGGATGATATAGCGTCAAGATAATCGATTAATAATCTCTGAGCTAGTAGGGGGCTCCTCTCCTCAGCAGCTTTCTTAGACTGCTTCGTCATTCGAATGAAGTTCTTTCGAATGGCCGATGATATCGACGCCGTGGTCGGTGGGAGATTCCGGCCAGGTGTCGGACGACCCCTTTTTCGATTCTTTTTCGCCATGGCGGTCACCACAACGAGAAATTTAGATGTAAACGGATATCAATCGACTCGGTGAGAGGTAAAGAGTAACTTTTTTGAACACTCCAAAATCCGCAGCATGCTATGACTACTTGAGATCAGCGGGTGAAGTGTTGCCCTTCTCACGTAGATCTGGTCGTACTTCAGCCGATTAGCATGCCCGGCCTTGATGTAGGTAAGCCCAACTCAAGACAAAATCCATATATAGTATGATTGGAATCGATGATATTAATCCAGGGGAACGGAAAATCCACCTATCGCCTCTATGCATGTATCCTCAAAAAGTCCCGAAAAAAAGATATTCTCCAATCACCCACACATGCACACACACACATACACATCCCCCGAAGACACAAAAGAACCATGAATCAACGCCTATATACGGCCTACTGCAAGTAGAGGGTATCCAAGAGAAGACACGAGGGGCCTGGAGAGAGAAGAATGGGGTCGGTGGTTTTTAATGCAAGGATAAGGGGTGGGTAACAAAGAAAAGTGACAACCAAAAAGTACAAGAAAAGAAGAATATAAACAGGAATATTATGTAGGGGAGTCGAGAACGAAGGGAATAGAAAGGTGGGTTGAGAAATGGGTGAAGAACGGAAGTAGGGCAGTCATCACTTGCGGGACATCAGCTTGCGGCCGAGGCTGCGGATGGTCTTTTTATGACTATAGAAAGAATTAGTCTTAATCATGTGTAAAGAAAGAAAGCTGTGCAGTTCGTACCTTTCATCCTGTTCAGTCCCGTTGGATTCGACGGTTGTCATGGTGTGGCCCGAGGTCATGGGTCTACCGGGAGCATTCACAAACCGGCGTGATTGCTAAAGAATGGGTCAGCATGCTAACCTGAAGTGAAGGGGCAAAGGAATACGAACCTCCCAACGAGAGTCCACATCCACTTCACTAGCGGATCGAGTGTCAGCTAAGGAAACCTCTTCTCGCGCCATGGTCTCCTCATCTCTTGCCTCCTGCGCCGATGCCTCACGCGTCTCCGAGCTCAGAGACATCGATCGAGCCAAAGGCGAAGCAGTCGATTGCATAGACTTGCGCGACGGTGACCCCGAGTACTCGCTTGTGGAGTCGAAGCTCGCCAGGCTCTGGGCTTGGCTTCGCTCCGGGTTCATGACGCTACTGGCAGTCGGCAGCAGCTGAGACGAGGACGCAAGCTCGCGGAAACGCTTTTGTTGCTGTTTGTTGGGCCGGTGGTGCGAGAACTTGTTGCCCAATATGGCGGGTGCGTGCGAAATCAAAGCCTTGATCACGTCCTTCTTCAAACGCAGGGCGAGATCTAGGTTGGACCAAGTCTTGTTGCCGTACTCGAGCACTGGAAGACGGAAGACGAAATCATGTAGATCCTCGAAATTGTGTTCCCCTTTGCCCTTGTAACTCATGCAGAGAACCACGTCATGCACTTTAACGCGCGCCAGCGTCATGTAGTTGGAAGCTCGTGAAATCATCTGGGACAGGTCGTCGGTGGGCTCTTTGGACTTGCTGTTTCTATTGCCTCCCTTGCCCAGGCCGAACTTCTTGTTCTTCTCTTCAGCAGTGCTGTGGCTGGACAAGGATCGTTCAGTTGGATGCTTCGCCAACATGCGGATGCTGTCAACGGATCTCTTCTTGGTGAGGCCGCCAGTGCTGGAAGGGCGGCCAGTCTGCCGAGAGGTTACCGAGACTCCTAGCCGGCCGTTCTGTGTGTGAATTGGCGTCATCGCCAGGCCCTTAAGATGACCCGAACGTTGGCGAGACTTGCTCTCGTCAGAGAGCGACAGAGTGGGTTGGAGTCTCAGTTCGATGGAGCCAGGGCCTTGGGGCATGGCTTGCAAATCGTCCATTGACACGTCGTCCTCCTCAGTGCTTGTGGATCGGGTCAGTGGTGCACTTGTCGAATCCTCCTCATCTTCGTCATCTTCGGCATCAAGTGGTTTCATATTCTTGATCATGAAAGGCGAGAAACCACCATTCTCGAATGCACTCGAACCGACATTGGGGAAGATGTATTCAAAAACCTTTTGACCCAGCTCACGCTCCAGCTGTACCTTCAGCGGGAACAGGGACACCTCGAAATTATCAACCACGGGGATTCCGGCGACGGCCTCTAGCATGTGCCACTTCACTCGAAGCATAAAATCGTCCAGATCACGCGCCTGGTCGAGATACGGCGCGATAATTTGGGGGTAAATCGCGTCGGGAAGTAGGTTCAACCCATACAGCCGTTCCACAGCCACCAGGTTGTTATTTGACCCATCGGTGTTGTCGGTTCGTTCATACTGAGCATTCCGGAGCTGGAACTCGACCAACGGCGCCGAGGGCTCCTTCATCAAGTGCCACACAACCTCACTTGCAGAGATGCTCCAGCGCAGGACACCATTGTTCACCTTGGACGTGCTCGGTTCCATGCGGCGCTGGGAAGTGGTGATTGCCTTCATCATGAAGAACAATTCATCTTCGCATTGCGACAGATCGCGCTCGAGAGCCAACCGATCTTCCCAGCCCTGTTTGTCCAAGAATTTGGCATTGATCTGGAAATACTCTTTGATCTCCTCGAGTTGACGGATGCGCGCCTGTAGTTTGAACACCATTTCAGGGGCACCGCGAAGATCGCTGAAGTCGGAGGTGAGCATGATCTTTTCCAGGCGCTCATTCCGAACCTTCTCGAGGGGTTCACTGTAGAGCATCAAGTCCAAAATGATGATATACATGGAATAGTACTCTGCAGAGTCGCAGATCGCGCGGAAATGAGGGAAGTCGACACTGATCTGATCCATCCGAGTCTCACGGCCTCCAGGATGCGGTCCCGTTTGGCCCTTGGCCACCTCTTCGTTGTATTTGAGGCGAAGGTTGTTGTACTTGTCGTAGCGCAGGCTGGCGGAGGTCTTCTGCACAATTCGAGAGAACCCAAACGGATTAAGCTCAAAGTCGAACATCGCCTCGAGGGTCAACCACGGCGGCCATGCAGATCCCGGTGAGTTGCCGTACTTGTTCCCGGCGTAGAATTGCAAGTTGGCCATGAGGTTTTTCTGCGTTGCCACGAAAAACTGGGCGCCATCCATCTCCAGCGAGAAACGTCGCTGCACCAGACCACTGACATCGTCCGTGACGCGTTCCTTGTCCATGATCGACACAGCTTTGAGCTCCATTCCCTTGGCAGCAACGAGCAAGACTGCCTTCCGGTTCTTTTCGCTGAGAAGCTGGATCTGGGGAGCGATGAGCCGCAGGTGGTAGCTGTTTTGTGGCGTGAATTCCGGCGCAATACTCTCGCTGGAGTCATCGTCCGACTTGGGAGATGATTGGTTGTTCGAGTCCGATGGTTCCTGTTCCTCGACGTTCACATAACGCTTGGCATCGCTCAGTAGCTGTTCAATGCGATCCTCGACATTCTCATCCTCGTTTTCACTGCGAGACCAGGTCTTGGACATCTTCGGGTTTCGTCGCTTGTTCTTGTTTTGTTCCTCTACAATATCGAGGATGAATTTGACAGCGCGGCGAGACATGTAGTATACAAACCCACGTCGCTGGCTCACTTGGTGGCTGTATCGTAGAATGATGTTCCGGAGGGAATTGTTCCACTTCAGTTGCACGTTGTGAATCATGAAGCGATTGTTGAAGTCACTCGAAAACTCATCGTTGGGCGACGAGTAGAGACCTTCCATACCGGAAGCCCGGCCATCAGCTGGGGATTCCGTGCCCCGTCCTGTGCGAGAAGAAGCTTCACTGGGGGCGGCGCTGTTCCCCAAATTGTTTCTGTTTGGTGTCCGCTCATCGCGTGTGAGATGCTTCTCCAGGCGTTGCAGGGTCGAAGTCAAGAATCTCCGGCGTCTTGCGAGCGATTCTGCCTGCCTGATATAGATTTCATGCTGGTCCTTCAGGCTAGTATCATTATCCACGTCCTTCATCAACTTGAGTTGCTGCTCCCCAATTGTGCGGTCGTAATTGCGGATCTGCGCTTCAACAGTAGCAAGACGATCCTTGACCAACTCAATCTGAACTCGGCGGGGATCATTGGTTTCCGACATGACACATTCATGAGTCGGTTCATCTCCAAAGGTACTATACCCTGTCTCCTCCGGTCCTATGTCACCGTGGTCTGTTTGACGGAAGTAAGTGAACCGTGGTGTGAAAGCAAGCGGTAGAATCTGGGTGCGAGGATTCGACTCCTGGGGAAGAATCCAATCAGGTTCCACAAAATCGTCCATGTCGATCCAGTCCATGTTTTGATCGGGAATTGTGAATCGAGACAAATCAACAGATGGCACGGGCTGCTGGAAGGAGGATATGATATCATCTTTGTTCTGCTCAACAGCCTCGGCTGTGGTCCCTTCAATACTGGCTGATACGGCTCGGAAGTCAGCTGACTGCAAATCAATCTGGGCTTGATTGATGCGCATCGCGCTCGTCTTGTTTTGCTTTGAGCGGCCTTGAGCCTTGGTCTTGATCTGTTCACGTCGCTGATGAATGTCAAGCTTCAAAGAGTCAAGGCGAACCTTGAGTCCGGTAGCAGTGACGACACTTTCGGCGTAGTCTTCGCGGTCCTTGTGTTTATAGATGTGCGCTACAAACAAAGGTGCGAGGAGAAGCTTGTATTTGACAGTAGCCAAGTGACGGTTGAACTTCTTGCTCGTCTTGGTGAGTCCTGGCCAGAGCGGTCCCTGGCGAACAGGAAGAGACATGACGCCGGAAAAGAGGGCCCACCAGTTGAAGAAATGGGTGAAAAAGCGCGGAGTCAAGTGAACCGTGTTGTAGCTTGTAGATAGCTGGACGTCGTCAACGGACCAGTTTCTGCTCTGGGGCGCGATGACCGCCACGGACAAGTGAATATGGTCACTCCGGAAGCCACGATACGCATCATAGTTCTAAGGCCTCGATCAGCTACACTCTTTATGATCCGTCGAGCATCAAAACTTACCGAGCGTTGTGCCGGGTCGACAAACTTGGGGTTCTTGAGAACGACGTCGTAATGCGGTCTGAATGAGAACGACCGCATATCGTTGTGGACGTCACGCTCGAAAACCAACCCGGCAGCCCATTTCACGTCTCCGGATAGCTTCATGACAACTTTTTTGAAGTGAGCCGAGTTCTTCTGCTCACTGGTTGCTGAGCTGTTTTCGAGCTCTTCCGAGGTTGCCTCGGTTGCCCATCGAGCTTCAGCACTGTAGTCTGGGATGGCCAACACATATTCGCCACTCGTCACACTCATGAACTCCATGGGGTCGTCACTGGTGTGAATTTCCCATTTGACGTCTCTCCGCCAACACATGACAAAACCGCTTCCGAAGCCTGTGACCACGTATGGATCTCGAGATCCCTTGAGGCGTAAATGGACATCGCCATCCTCCTTCCAGAGCACTCTAATCCGGGAGTGGAAACTCAGTCGAATCTTATCCCAGAAACCAACCCGGTCCGAGGGATCAATTTCAGGCTTAGTAAAGCCCTCGATGATCTTCATCATATCTTGAATGACGGGTTGATACGAGACTCCCCATGAGATGCTCGTTGGTAAACTGGTGTTTATCTCAAAGACAGGATCGGAATATGTCTTGACGGGAGTCACAGACCGCCAGACCTTGACCTTGAACGGGTCACTCCAAGATCCGTCTGGTAACTCTGTCGAAGGCACAAGCTCCACCTCCACTTGCCTCGCGGATTCATGATTGCGGAATTCTTCAGCAATCACGAAGTTTGTTCGCAATGACCAACTGGGCATTCTTGGAGATTGTCCGGGGCGCAAAGCTGGAATATGGAGAAGATCGAGAGGATAGTCTCGTAGATTGACGCGCGCTTCACCCATTTCCAAATTGAAGCTCATTGGAACCAGCAAGCCATACTTCATCGACATGGGCATCCCTTTCCCAATCCGATTGAGGTATTTGGGGAATTCGTCGATTGGGAAAGAAGGTTTGTCGATGACTAGGTTGACATCACTGATGAAAGCTGACATGAGACCTGGTCGGTTTGGTATGGCAAGAATTGTCTCTGTCTCCTTGACATCGTCAGGGGGTTCATCTGCTCCAGAGAAAAGATTTCTGACTTCTTTGATAGACGTGCCCTGAAATTTGAGCGCCGCGTCAATCTTCTCTTTCCACACCTGGGCATTATGTTGTTGAAGCCGATTCCATGCGGCATCCACAGAGATCTTGTACTCCGAAGAGAGGCAAGTAGATCCCTCGGCATCGTAACGGAATTTCCGGCCTCTGTCCCGGGGCTGATCCTCTTTCCTTGGCCGCGCATCGGCACTCCTGCTTCTCCTCGTATCCTGGCTGGTTCTCTCACTGCGCAAGGTGCGGTGGCTTGACTTGGCTCGCAGCCGCGATGAGGCGCGCCGTTGGTCCGATTCCCTAATCTTGTGAGCCTTCAGGTAAAAGGCTTCTTCGCGGGCCAAACGCTGGCTCTGTTCGATTAAGCCAGTGCGGTAGATGAGGCCCAGCTTCCATTCAAACGCATCGTCTTCCAGTTCAAAGAGCAAGGCTTTGCTGCGCAAGGATATCCTTGGAACTTTCTTTGGCTCCTCGGGCTCTCTCTCAGATACAAATTCTCGGCACCGGTTCTTGAATCGGTGGTGAAGCTGCTTGAAGGCCTTGGATGTGTTGATCAAGTTATCGAAGATGCGGTGCATCACCATATGGTGAGGAACGCCCAACCGAATGAAATCCGCCCACAGGTCAATGGACCTTTCTTCGGTCAAGATCGAGCCCTGCTTCAATCTCATTTTGCGGAAATCAAGCCTGACATTGTTCATGCTCCCGATTCTCGCCCAGATGCCCTTGAGTTTAGGTGCCTCTGCGTGTAAACGGACGAGATTGGCTTTGATATGAGGCGTTGAAAGGCGTTGAGAACTGCCCCCTAGCCCGTAAATCTGAACCATCATCGAAGGATCAGACGGCAGATTGGCCTTCAACTGGACGATTGTTGCTTTCACGTCAAAGGTAACCAGCTCTTTTTTGGTAGATGACGGAGATGCTGGAGGCGGGGGCAGTGATATACTCCCAGGGCCCTTTGATTTCCCTTGGGCGGAATCTGTGTGTTTTTGTGGTAGAGGTGTGAGAACATCCTGGATCACAGAGGTCGCAACCCCGAGACAATAGAACCGGTAAATAGAGTATTGAAGGTAAATGCCTTTGAACATGGATGTTACGTGCAAGATTGGCCCAAGGCGATCGCTTTGCGTGCTTAGTGCGATTTCGAACCGTGGGAGGGAGAAGAACGGGTCGGGTTCCAGATAATCCTCAGATTCAATGACGAAGCCGTCAAACCCGCGGACGTGGAATGCCAATCGCCTGCCATCCGTGGCACCGCGTCGGGTATGCTTTGGGGGCGATGTTGGGGTAAACCGGAATGGCGATTCATCCCCGATGGTGGAGTGGCTTGAGGTGCGTCGCCTGGCAATGCTACCGACAACGGGCTCTGTTTTCTGGGCTTTGTATTCTGCTGTCCACGTTTGTAGCTGTAAAGAAACACCGCGGGAGATCTCGGAGACAGTATTATCGACACCAGCGATCTCCAGGCTAAACCCTGTGGCTTCGAAGTGGAACTGAAGTAGCCATGGCGGGACTCGTCTCAATGGAGTCGTCTTTTGTTCAGTGACCGGCACTGCCATTCTTTTCTGTGGCTGCATATGTGTGCGGAATTGCTCCAAAACTTCACGAATACCACGATTGACTTCGCCGTTGATCATATGTACGGAGCAGTCATTCAAACTTCCCGAAGCAATGACGCAGACCTCTGGGCTTGCATTCAAGTGGGCCTTGAGTTCCAGGTTCTCGGTTGTCAACAAGTTATGTTTGTTTCCGGTTGGGGTCTGGTAATAGAACTTGTGGGATGCAACTCTGTAGACGGACGAGAGGGAATAGTGAGCACCGCCCTCGGAAGAGTGCGAAGATTCGATATCAAGCGAAATAGACGAGATGGAAGAAATGAGGAGATTGTAGTCATCGGAAGTACCAGATTCCTTCTCAATGGGCAGAACAAATCGGATCACAGGCTCGTGAACTGACAGCTTGATGCTCGCCTTTGGAAGTAACCGCGAAATAAGCTGATGATTGCTTCGCTTCTTGCCCCGGGTAGTCGACGCCCGGGCCTGTGCCAGTTTCAAAAGCCGCGAGACGTGTTGAGGCTGCAAGTCAAGGGAGGGCGAAGTGACGACAAAATTCGCAAAGAGAACATTCGTGTTCCGCTCTTCAGGGTTCTCGTCATCAAAGGCGCTCACGGTCTTCGATGGCAGCGTGGTCTTTATCGTTGTTGTGGCCATCGGGATGTACAGAATGTTGTCTGTTTCACCCGAGTCGTCGTCCAGGCTAGCCGAAAGAGATATCGCAGCAAGTAACGCCTGGTGAGCGACATCGTCCCGTTGAAAATACATGCGATGCTCGGGGCTCGTTTGGTCCATCCGATGGAGATCAATTCCAAGCTCATGCGAGACCACATTCAGGTACACGGGGTTCTGGCCTGCAGACAAAGACTGAAGACCGCGCGAGAGGCGGAAGAAGCTCAGTGCAACCTGGATCTCCTGAATACCACGAAGCAGAGAGCTTGCGAACTCCTTGGAATCCGCCACAGTCTGTACAATTGCGTCGTCTCGGCTGCCCGGCTTGTCTAATTCCTCCACAAAGTCCGCAAACGAGATTTCCTCGTCCGGGTCGTTGTGCGCAGGTTCCTTCGGCGGGTGCTGGGAGGATCTGATGCGTTGCAAAAGCGTTCGGAGATCGTCGTATGGGATGTACATCCGTCCAATCTTGAGGGCTACCGATGCATCTCGAAGGCCTTCGAGATCCTTGTAGAGAAGTCCGTGGAGGTTCACGCCCACATTGTCCAAGATCTCGGCCGGCTCCCGGCCGTCGACAGCCAGCAAGACGTTCTGAATATTCATAATCCATTCCGCCGGGCGCTGCTCTCGAGACATATCCTTCTTGCGACGAAATAGCTTGCCCCGTTCCACCATTTTCCTTCGCGTGTCCACTGACAGGGAGAGCGACCCCACCTGAATCTGACCAGCATCGAGAAAATGGACGGTGGTGTTCACAGCCGTGACGTCGACGAGAGCCAGCCAATTGATCTGCCGATGCAGTCGCTTCAGGCGCTCCTTGACCCGCGTCAAGGTTCTCCATGTCTTGCTTCGTCGGTGGAACGAGTCGGGGGTGGTGTTATCTTCGGCAGGGCTTCCAGGGCGCGGCGATTCCAAGGGGTCCCGAACGGTCTCTCCTTTCCCTTTACCCAAGGTCCACGAGTCCACCGTCACCTTCAATTCCGTCAAGCGAATACTGATCCATGTTGGCTGCGCGAACGACGGGGGGTGTAATGAGAATCCGAAACCGCGGATTTCGATCTGCAGCCCTTCTCTCGGAGCATACGCGATTCGTCGCAGCGAAAAGTATCCGATACGTTGGATGGAGATACCGGTCGCAATGCGAACAATAGCGAAAATAAAGAAGGACGAGAGGTAGAGGAGGAGGAAGCCGACAAGGATCGAAGTCGGATTGAAAAGGGTCATCGCGATTCGCGATCAGCAAGGGCTGATCTGTCCAGGGAGACAAGAAGGATCAGCCAGCACATGGAGGGTACCGCCGTCGTGTTCAATTGCGTCCACTGTTGGTTAGAATCCTCGAACCTGATTACTGCCTGGAGGGGGGTAGATTTCCATCCAGGACAGGGGACCATCAAACGCTTAGTAGCAATAAGATGGGCACCGCACACCAGAAGTCCAAGAAAGAAGGCGCGGATAGATCATGCTTATCATGGTTTCAGTATAGCAGATGTGGTTGAAGACCGAAGACCGCAGACCGAAGACTGAAGACTGAAGACTGAAGATATGGGGAAAGACAGATGTCGGAGACACCGGGACTCTAACCAAAACCGGTTGTCTCGGCACCGTCGAATTTCTGGGCTTTTCTGATCTTCTGTGAGGCTGATAATTAACTTAAAATTACTATAATCACTATAATCATTGTTATTATTACAATGATATTATGCTTCTTATAATACTCGCACTCTTTCTAGAACATCTCTCATGGTTGGACGCTGATCACTTCACCGTCAAAACAACGCGAATGCTTGGTTCAGGCCTGCGCTCCTCCAATGATTTCACCGTGCAGAAACACCCGTGGGGGCACCAGGTTTTATGGTTCACGATCGACATTCTTTTTTTTTACTCCATGGCTCGGCAGGGATTGTAACTGACTGGGATTCGTCACCTGGTATCATACAAAAAAAAAAAAAAATTAACAAAATTCAACAGTCAGAACAACAATATACAGAGTCTTCACACATCAAAATGCAAAAACATAGCGAAAGATGCAACCCTGGGAGCCCAAGTTAACACGTAGAGGAATCGAGTAATAGGCCATGCACCTGCTGTCTGTGCGCTGCATTCGAGGCCACCCCATTGCCCAAAGAGTCGGTCGACAGTGTTACGCAAGATGCACGGCTTAAGGCCATCGGGTCATTGAGAGGGAGACACAGGTGGCGGTCGAGACTTCTCCAGATCTTCGATCTTCTCGTCAAGGAGAGCAATCTCGGCCTCGATACTGAGTAGTTTTTCACTCAAGATACCCCGATAGTCTTCATCAGACAAGTGCCGAAGAGGGATCCATTTCGAATCTGCCATGCGCTGTGCCAGCGGTTTCGATGGGTTCTGAGCATTTTCCATCTGCCAGGTGTCGATCCGGTTAAAGATACTCTGGCCACAGTAGCCAAGCAGTGAGAAAATAATGGTGCCAGGCACCAATCGACCTCCTGGAAATTCATTAGACATGAAATTCGTTCTTTTGATCCTTGAGGGACAAGAGACTGTACCCATGAGCCGTGTTACGGCTCCGCCGGAAATGCCCCCAGAGAGAGCGCTCACATACACTCGCTCATTGGGAGAGACTTGGTCCTGGAAATGAAGCTTGATGATGTTGCTTCGAATCACTGGGTGCACATGCACAATCAGCCATGGGGTCATAGAACCACAAGGTGTGCTCAGCACCTACACCAAAAAGCCGAGCCACATATAGACCAGTGGATGCCACAGGACAGGGAGTGTACTACTGGATTGGGTGATCGGATTACTCCAGCAGCGCCCCCATATACTAGTCCTGCCACGCCTGGATCGAAGATCAGCTAACGTTCCATTTGATATTGGGATTCACGGTATAATCAAACTAACCACTCAGGGCTCCTACTTTAGCCGCCGGCAACAGACTGTTGGAGTTCACACTGGCATTGTCGATGCTTGGACCACTCATCGTGCGAATGGTCTGGAAGACACACGAGTCTCCTGCTTCGCTCGATTGGATAAGCACAGAAAGCCGTTGTCACGTGGGTTTGTGCTTATGTAAGCAGACTGGCTTTCCCAATTAGGCCGGTGACGATCTTTCTACAGTTCCAAGGTTGAGCAAAGCGATGAATCATCTTTTTAGTTTAGTCGGTCAATTTAACAGCAAGTCAAAAATAGAGAGGATACACATCATAGATAGAGGGGGTTGGTCTCAGATCGAGATTATGGTGGAGAACATGCGATGTATATATATCCCCACTTGGCATTGCTGACACGAACAGAGGCCTCGCAGACAGGCTGTGATCGAGTAGTCAAAACCTACCTTAATTAACTTGAGTTCCAATCCTAAAATCCAGGAGACTACACAGCCCACAGAAGAGCCGCAAGGGATCTTCAGAAGATTTCTTTGATTCTATGCCATGGCTGTTTGCCAGTGCACATAGTAGTGCTTGCAAACAAAGGAAGCATGTATTGGAGAGAATCGACAGGATCAGAGTCGAGATACCGTGAAATTACATTATTTTAAAGATATCCATTAGTGTTATAATTAATATTTTCTTTCTATTGAATATAATCTTTAATCTCTCTATAATCCTCTAGAGTATCTAGAGTATCCGTTGATATCCCTCGGCAGCCCCAAGTATAGAGTGGGCTGTGATTGGACTAGCGGCCACTAAAAATTATCACGGATTAACTAACCCTCTCGACCCGACTTCCCCTCTGCCACTTTTCCACGGAGTTTTATCTGCACGCCTGCACTGACCCTCCCAACTGTTGACTCCCTCAAAACCTCGCTTGATTCATTCCTGGACGTCTGTGAAGGCGCTCTCCAATTTTCCCTCTTTTTTCTTCCCTCTAACCCTACTGTGTGAAGCGCGCACAAGTCCGGCGCGTTTCCCATTCTCCCACCCACCGCAATCATGGGTGAGTCCAGATCCTTTCCTTGTCCCTCTTGCTGAGTGCTAGTTGGAGCCAAATGTCTTTTGCATCGGTCGCATTCAAAGCTGACACTACTGATTCCTCAGCGCCCGCAAAATCCAAGGCCCAGAAGATGTCCATTGGGACCTTCTTGGCTGATGAGAGTGAGCACCTCGGGACTTCACAGAATATGGCTGTGGATGCTAATCAACCACAGGTCTCGGCTCTTGGGCTGATGAGATGGAGGATATGCCTCTTCCAGGTAAGCTCTGGCTATCACCCCACTATTGGATGGTTGACCGATAACTGATCTTATATGCAGCTGGTATGTACTAGTGCGCCCCTTGAACCATTTCCATTTTCTCTGTTCCTTGAGTGGATTGCTGACAGTTAGGGTAGCGCCCCCCTCGACTTCTGGGTTCGGCGATCGTCGTCCCGCTGGTGGCATGGGTTTCGGCGGTGGCAGCAGTTATGGTATGGCGCTCTCTCACAACTCCTGGGCCATCCAGAGAAAGCACTGACAGAGAATGTTTAGAACGTGGTGGATATGCCGTCCGGGAGCCACTTGCTCTCCCCACCCAGCCTCCGTTCACTGCCCACGTCGGAAACCTTTCCTTCGAAGCGACCGAAGATGATATCGCTGATCTCTTCGCCGGGTGCGGCGTGACGAATGTCCGTATCGTGGAGGACAAGTTGACAAAGAGCCCCAAGGGATTCGGATATGTGGAATTTGAGACGGTCGATGGATTGCAGAAGGCTTTGGACTTGTCCGGCTCGACCCTTCAAGGACGATCGATCCGAACCAGCGTTGCGGAGCCTCGTAAGTTCCCACCCTAACCCCACTAGTTGATGGGACATTTGGAACTAATAGGGTACTCAGCCAAGGAATCGCGTCCCGACATGAGGGAGCTGGACTGGACTCGCCGTGGTCCTCTTCCGGAGCTCCCCCAGCGACGTGTGCCCGACCGTGCGAGCTTTGGGCGTAACATGGACGCCGCTTCAGATGCCGGTAGCGAGCGCGGTGGTAGCCGCCGCGGCTTTGAATCGGATGGAAAACCCCGCGATTTCGGCAACTGGGAACGCAAGGGGCCCCTCTCTCCTCCGAGTGGCCCGGTCCGGGAAGGCGGCAGGCCCCGCAGCAATGATGGACCTGGCTCTGGCTTCCGCAGAAACTCCCCGGCGTGGGGTGAGGGACGCTCGCAGGATGGATCGCGCCCCCCGCGCCCCGAGCGCACGCCTACCGCGGCCGAGATGGACAACCAATGGCGATCAAAAATGCAGCCGGCCAAGGAACCCAGCAACCCTCCGTCCCCCGTCGCTCCCGCCGCCGCTCCCGCTACCCGCCCCAAGTTGAACCTGCAGAAGCGAACCGTCCCGGATGCCGTATCCAGCCCCGCTTCGGCAACCAGCGGCGACTCGAAGGCTAGCCCCTTTGGCGCAGCCCGACCCATCGATACTGCGACTCGCGAGCGTCAGGTGGAAGAGAGGCGCCAGCTTGCGATCCGCCAGAAGAAGGAGGCTGATGAGAAGACCAAGGCTGAGAAGCCCGAGAAGCCCGAGAAGGCTGACAAAGCTGACAAGGCCGAGAAACCCAAGCACACCAAGGAGGAGAAGACAGTTCCAGTGGATTCCAGTGGCAAGGATGCCGTTGACACCCCCCAGGGTGGAAAGAATTTCGAGATCCTCCGGCGGGCCGGTGAGGAAGAGGGCGGTATGGCAGCCGACCACGAAGCAGAGGAGACCACAGCTCCTGGTGCTTCTGAGGCACCAAAGGAACCTGTTGCCAACGGAAACTGGAGAGCCCAGCCTACTGAGGCCGGTGATGATGAGGGATGGAGCACAGTCAGTGCCAAGCAGCGCACCGGCCGTCGTGGGCAGACCGGTCGTGGATTCGCCTAAATCATTGATACCTTGCAACCACCTCGTTCACCCGAACTTTGGCCTCCGGTCTGTGGAGACCGCACATGAATTTTTCATCGGTATGTCTTGATCAAACCACATGTCTTTGAAACCCGAGTTTTCATCCGTGGTCTCCCGGTCTCCCGATTGCTGTGGTCAAAATATGCCATCTGTTCCACCCCATGCCAGGTGCAGAGGACGGGAGTTGGACTGGGTTGAGCTTCCATTTCTCATTTTCTCATTTCCCCTACTTTTCTACCATTGGTTTCATGATCTTTCCCCTCTTCTTTTGAGTTGGATGTGTGATACACATCTAGTCCTTGCTATGATGATCTGTCCGAAAAGTTTTCTTCCAACTTTTTCTTTTTCTTTTCTTTTCTCCTCTCTATTGCGTGTTATCGTTGTTCGCTATCTAGCTCCTATTCCCATGCGTGAGACTCCAATGATTTGCCCATGACTATTACAGCCGATGCGAAATGAAGAGTACCCGTTTCTTTTGTTCACTTTCTGATCGATCTCCTGTGTTTCGGATTGACGGTTGTCTTGATACCTTTTGCAGTCCGGTCCATGTGTGGCCCCTGTGAATCCAGTTTACACGACTCCATGAGAGATGAGACCCAGTCACCCATGAATCCTTACTCCACACCATTTCCCCTGCTGTGGTTTCTTGAGTTTCGATTAGATTTCTGCATGAAATGCAAAGTCATGGACCCTCCCTCTCTTTCTCTTCATTTTGGCCAGGTGTTCTGTCTGCGCAATGAATGGTCGAGTTCAATATCCTGCGTTGTTAGTATAGAGTTTTAATGCAGTCTTCATTGACCTCCTGCTAGTATTATTTGCAGCTCTCGTGGAGGGCCTCACTCTTTAATGTCAATGCCTATCCTCTTCATCTCCTTGGATGGCACAACCAAAGCCGCGATTGTATGACATTTTGTCTCTGATATATGAAAAATTGCAGCCTGACCCAGCATAATTGGGACTATTTGACTGAAAGTGCCTATCGAGTCTAGTAGAGATACACCCAAATATTCGACGGGCAAAGAAGCAGGCAGCTTTACAGCTACCCCAAATCCTATAACGAGGTCAAAATGGAGAGATATTGATATCAGAAGAAAACAAATTGGCTACTAAGGACCCTCCTCTATTCTTTTTTATTCAATTAGCGAAATAGTTGAATAATTGATAAATAAAGAGAGAAATTTTCGTACCGGTGTAGAGGACCAACAGTTGGATGTAGAGGACCAACAGCTGGGTGTAGAAGACCAACAGCTGCAAATGCGCTGTGGGTCCGACTTCAGGGGACGGCTAGTGCGCAGCTCCCTTATGGGTTACGTTATACCTACTACCTTCGTATTATAGTTATCGGGCACACAGGGCACCCAGCTAATATTCTCCCGACTGTTGGACCCCTCTTGGCATTTTTTGGGCCCCCCCCTGGCTGTAACCCGGGGCAGACATACGGGTAGAAGGATTCAGGTATTCGGTTAAAGGAAAAGGGGGACCAGTGGTGGCTAAAAATAATTACTTAATATTCTAAGGGGCAGGGGTAGAGATTTTAAGTTAGAAGAATATATATATATATATAAAAAATCCGCGAAGGTAAATCAAATCCCTATTGTACGCTTCGATACACTGTGACGGTCTCACAATGAAGCTTATTTGGCTGCTTCTGCTCTTCATTAACATCATTTCATATACTAGCCTCGCTTCTGCCTATAGGGTGACACCCAGTTGCCAGCACGTCAAATCGCTTGTTAGAGCTGCAAGGGCCTCTGTCCAGAGTACAGTCAGGGATTTGGTTTTGTTAGCTAACGAATGCAAACAAATACACGAGAAATCACTCCATAATGCCGACATGTCGGCTACCGAAAAGTGGAAAATCTTCTACTTCTTGCGGGCTTTCAAAGTTATATTTGGAACGCAGGATATCGTTGATTTCGATAATTTCGATATCTTTCATCAAGAAGACTACCAATATCTTTTAAAAAACCTTTGGCCTCACTTCTATGGTATGGTTCTTTTAATATCTCTATCTATAAATCGTTGACTTCTAACCCTTTCAGAAACCTTCTATAAGGACCTAGAAAACTTCAGACACTGGGCTGAGCATATTCAATGTGGAGAGGCGTCTTTCAGTGACCTCAGGGCTATCAGGACCTCGACTAGCTTTCGTTATACTGTATTCGACAAATTTGTCCAGCAAACCACCGCTCAAAGCCGGACCAAGCCATGCGATTCATCGGGCTCATTTCTATCGACGATTGAAAGATTCAAGCCACCGACATCCCAAGGAACTTCCTACGCCTTCCTACTCTGTGACCCAGCAATATCCACTCCACAGAACAAATGGCTATCCAGCATTCTTCAGGAAAGGAGGGAGATCGACGTCAATATTGTGCTCAGAACTCCCGCCGCGAGCCTCTTGATAGCAGCCCTCCAGAAGGGTCCAAGTAAGGGTATCTCTCATACTCTACCTTCCTTTCACTCACATTTTGTCAGCTATGCCACCTCAAGGGGTCACAGAATACAGTAAAAGGAAGGCCACAACTGTTGCGGAACTAAGACTACTGGGTATCAATAGACATGAAGAGGCCTGTTCGAACCCAGCAACCTTGGCATGGTTTGCTTTAGGTTGGTCCCAAACTACGCATATCTTGTAGGAGGCAAGCTAACTCTGTTTAGTGGGTTCATTTATCCGACATGGCTATCATATCAAAGGCGCACCTTCGCAAAATCCCAATGTTGACAAAGAAGATAACATCAATTCTCATGATCAATTCAATTATAAGTGGCTAAATGGGTGGACAAACTACTTTTACATGCCACCTGGCACAGTTCAAACAAATGATTGCAACAATGAAGTAAGTGGAGCCGATGTTCTCATTAATGCCTGCATGGGAAAAAAAAAAAAAAAAAAAAAAAAAAAAAAAAAACTAATGACCGGGCATCTAGTGGGGACCCAACTACGAAAACCAATGATTTCTTGTCCAAGGAGGAAAGGAGGACATGCGGAATATGGAGATATCAGGTCCAATAAAAGTGAGAGAGAGAGAGAGAATGGGGAAGAGGGCATGCCCTCTACATGGCCAGGGCCGCGATTTACAAACCTCCGACAGTTGCCATCAATGGCAGTCTTTTCTTGAAGTGAATAAGAATTCTTGGAATGTGGATGGGCTTCTGCCAGGAATATATTGATCTCACAATCTCCTTCTCAGTCAACCCAAGTGGGTATTTGCGAACTTCATACAGATAGTATAATCGAGGTCAGAGAATACTTGATCATGAAAGGAAAGGCATATCATTGCAAAAAGAGAAAGTGGCCCTATGGCTTAGCACCAAGAAGAAGTTAAAAGATATCTCAAGAGGTAGTAAGAACGAGGACGAAGATTTGCTAGGCAGGTATCCCCCATATTTAATAATGCCTTGAGGTGGAAAGGTGTCAATTTCACAGGTCCTCGGATTCTAGTTGTAAACAAAACGGCCCATCTCAAGTTTGTATAGGAGCCCTTCCGAAGTACACGCCAGGGGAAATCTCCCCCCCCTTTCTAGTAAAATATGCCATTTGTTTCCTCACTCATGGGAGCCCTTGCCGAACCACCCTTGAGCAAAGTGGCAGGATTAGTACTGGCACGCCTGGCGCGCCATGGAAAGACCAGCCCTGGAGGAATGGGGGCCAAGGGTAGGGGACGTTTCAATGTGATTGATGATTGATGTTTGGGATTGACATCTGCAAAATATTCACCGACTAAAAGTATGTTAAACATACTAGGATATTCAAACTCCGATATAATATAGTACATTAAGGGAGTAGAGTTTACTAGGGAGAGATTCCATGATGTAGATGTGCCTGACCAAAGGGGCATGCCAAAAAAAATAAAGTGGCGCATGGGCAAGACACACCAGCCTTTTTTCTCACGAAGGCTGGAGAGGAGATGATTTCGGTGTTTCATCATATTTCCTCCATTTCCTCCATCGCATCTGGATTCTTGTTTAGTTAGAATTCCTCATTCTTTGTCCTTTTGTGTCTGTAATTTTTGTGTCTGTATCCCCCCCCCCCCCCCTCCCGACAAGCTACGAGAAATCCCGGGGTAAACCTTGGAATCCCCCATATGGTGCCATGTCGGCTACGCTCACCACCACGCTTGTTGGAATGCCTTCTGCCATGAGTGTTGCGGTCCCTGAGAAGCATCTTCCATCTGAGGGAAATTGGAATGGCCATGAGATCCCCCCGGACCACCCCGATCACCCCGAAACCCAGCGCAGGATCCAGGAGTTGGAGGGGCAGGTGCAGGAGTTGACACAGCGCGCGTCGGTGACTGGTAAGAACTGCCCTCTCTGATTGGAACCATCCCATTGTCAAGACATCATTTCCTCAGATCGAGGTTTTGATTCGTCTGAAAGGAGGGGGAAAAAGTGCTGGCCCTACGCCTTCAAGGGTCATGCAAGACAATAATCCAACCTTGGAACGGGGAACACTCCATCGCTGACCTGCTTTGTTCCCTCGGACACAGCTGGAAAACTCCACGACTACGAAGAAGAAGTGCGGCGACTGCGCTCGTCACAACCCGCCGACGATACTCCGCGCAGCAGCTCGTCGCAAGCAGATCGCTCACAATCGCCCACCCACCAGCCACCGACATCCCCCGACCGACTGCCCCAGTCCTCGCATCCAACCTACCCGAGCCGTCTGGCGACGCTGACCTCGCTGCTTCCGTATCGTCGGGGGAGTCCTGCGCCAGCCAACGTGCCCCTCCCGTCCACTCCGACCGCGTCCACCCCGACCATGTCCACCCACCCCCTTGCGCAACAAGGCTCTCCAGCCAGCAGCGATCACACCTCGGAGCTGCAGGATGCCCTCACTCGCGAGCAGGGTCTGCGCAAGGCAGCCGAGAAGCAGCTGTCGCAAGCGAACACGGAACTGGAAGAGTTGACAGTGCAGCTGTTCAGCCAGGCGAACGAGATGGTCGCGCAGGAGCGCAAGGCGCGCGCCAAGCTGGAGGAGCGAGTTGCGGTGCTTGAGCGTCGCGATATCGAGAAGCGGTCTCGTCTCGAACGATTGGAGAGGTCGATGGCTCGCGTGGAAAGATTGCGGGCGTTTGTCAATCGTTGACACTGCTCCTACTCTGTTCCTTTTTTTTTTTTTTCCATTTCTCTGTTACGACTGGCATGATGGGAATCTTGACGACGAAAACGAGGGTGTCTGGAAGGGATTGGATTTCTGGCTTTTGGTGCATGGATGGGTTTCTATGGGTTATATCCTGGCGTTGGATGGGTTTTGTTTCTGAGTATTTGTACGGTCATGCCTGAGATTGGACTGTCTCTAAATTAAGTATCCCAATGAATTAATCGCAATGACGTGATCCATGGGATCTTGCTGATCGTCCACGGTTGTATGTGGAAACCCGCGGCCAAGAGCCGTCAGGACCTTCCCCGATCCCAGGGTTCCCCACCGGGACATAAGAAGATGTTGGAGCAGCTGTAGACCTTCATCTCTCTTTCTTGAGTCTCAATATTCACCATGGCAATTGGAGTTGCAATCGTGGGGAGCGGTAAAGATCCCTAACACCCAGCATTGAAGCCTTGATGTTCTCCACTGACGCCCTCTTTCATCATCACAAGGTCATTTCGCCAAAGAGCAGCATCTGGTAAAGTGTCAATGACCCGCTTACATTCGAGCCCAGCTCATGTCCCGATATAGCCCGCCGTCCAAGCCGCAGCAGACCTGCGCCTTGGAGCGATTTACTCGCGATCTTTGAAATCAGCCCAGGCGCTCGCTGGCAGCACGTCTGACGTCGATCTGTATTCCGATGACTCCGGGGCCGGCAAGTCCTACGCCGATCTACTGGCCCGTTCAGACATCGGCGCTGTGATCATTGGGTACGTTGAACTGAACAGAAAAACGACATAAAGACTAATACTGCGGACTACAGCCTCCCCATCCTGGTCCAGCCAGAGTTTATCAGGAAAGCGCTCCAGGCCGGCAAGCATGTCTTGTCTGAGAAGCCCATCGCCAAGGATGTCCCCACGGCCCAGGACCTTCTCCAGTGGTACCGGGCCAATATTAATCCCCGGAAGACTTTCTGGGCCGTGGGCGAGAACTACCGGTACCTGACGAAGCTGCTTTTTGCTGCGGAGCAGGTGCGCCAGATGGGCCCGGTGCGCCATTTCCGGGTCAATGTCCACAGCCTGATCAAAGGCGACAATAAATACTACTGTGCGTAGTCTGATGAACTAGCAAATCCCTCTAGATCTGAGCCATTCACTGATGACGAACTTGAACAAAAAAAAGTGACACCTTGGCGCAAGAGTCCCGAGTACCAGGGCGGATTCCTCCTGGACGGAGGCGTGCATATGGTTGCAGGGCTGCGTTTGATTCTGGGCCGCGACGAGCCCATCACCACCGTGTCGGCGCTGTCACAGCAGCAGCAGGCGTATCTGCCGCCGGTGGACACGGTGGACGCGGTCGTGAAGACTGGCTCCGGTGCTACGGGCGTTGTCTCCCTCTCGTGGGGGTCGCCGTTCAGCGACAATGTTTTCGAGTTTGCCTGTGAAAAAGGGGTGGTAAAAATGCATTTTGACGGGTTGACCATCAATGGAAAAGATCATCCCATCGAGTTTGATGGGAAAGGCGTCGTCCCAGAGGTGGCTGAGTTCGCGAGGGCCATTGTCAACGGTCGCCCGGTTGAGTCACGACAATCTCCCGAAGAGGCGTTGGCTGACCTTGAGGTTTTGGAGCAGATGTTGCAGAGTGGGAAGCGTGATGGGGAGAAGAGGCAGTTACATTTGCAGACGGAACTCCTAGCCTAGCCTATAACCTCAACAATATTCAACATCGCGCATCCTTGTCCCTGCGATAGTTGTATAGTTGCAGATTGCCCAAAACGGAAGTCTTGGCAGGGCATCGAGCCCTATGCTGATATAAGCGCTTCGCTTAGGTCGAAAGCGCACTAGTGTGGGTCGCCCACGCTCAGCCGGTAGACTCAGGGAAGTTTTCGAGATTGACCTCCGACACCAACTCTCGATCGCCCGGCGTGACCCTGCAATACCGACAAGGTGAGTGTTTTTATTGATATTTGATCGTGGAATTCTTGTCACTGACCTTTCCTTTTTCAAGATGGTCGCCGCAAAGAAGCACGTCCCTATCGTCAAGAAGCGTATGTTCCCGATCGCGTACCCCGTCTACGACCCTTGTCAAGGCCTGGATATCATCGCCCTCCGACTTTTGAATGCCAGAAGGATGCACGAGGAGGAAGAGGGAAAAGGAGAAAAAAAAAAAGAGATTCTATAAGACCGCAGGGGTGCTTTGGCAAGGAATAACGCATTCTGGTCGGAGGGCAAGATCATCCACGGCCTTGAAAAAAAAAACCATCGACACAATTTACAGCCGACTTGAGAATGGGAGAGGCTGACATTGTCTGCGATAGGTACCAACCGCTTCAACCGCCACCAGTCCGACCGCTTCAAGTGTGTGCCGTCGGCATGGCGCAAGCCTAAGGGTATTGACAATGCCGTCCGCCGGCGCTTCAAGGGCCAGGCTGCCATGCCCTCGGTATGATCTACCTCCTACTGACACGGATGTATTTGTTGCGGTACTAATTTCGGTGATTAGATCGGCTACGGCAGCAACAAGAAGACCCGCCACATGATGCCCTCGGGCCACAAGGCCTTCCTCGTCCAGAACCCCAAGGATGTCGAGCTCCTCCTCATGCACAACCGCACCTACGCTGCCGAGTATGTCGATGCCTGGATCTGCCTACTCAGTTTAACCTTTTTTTTCCATAATTATCGAGTTGAGTGCTAACCACGTCCAGGATCGGCCACGCCGTCTCGTCCCGCAAGCGTGTCGACATCCTCGCCAAGGCCAAGGCCCTCGGCGTCAAGGTTACCAACCCCAAGGGCCGTGTCACCACCGAGGCCTAAATGGATTGAACCAAAAGTTCTGTTTCCGGATTTCGGTGGGCGGTTCGCAGGAGCACGAATGGGTCGGGGTGTTTGTATGGGAATACTATCTCTCTGGCGATAACGAATTCCAAGGATATATGGCAATGCCATGTACGGCTCGGACTTGGTCACAGTGCCGGGCTGATCAGAGCGAGAGAAACTCTGAAATGACAACAAAAATTGGAAAATCCTCTGTGCCAGTAGTATATTTCGAGGTATCTGTAGAGCAACGAGTCACTGACTTCGCTCAAGGTTTAAGAGGTGTAGTGAAGAGTAAAAAATAGATTTGATAGGCTACTTGCCGAACTTCTGTTGTCTTCACGAGGCTTGACATCTATTGGGTATATCCAACGATATACCTATGATTACTAACTACCTTTTCACCACCTTTTTTCTCCGTGTTCTCTAGAATGCTCCTCTGCCTTGAGCAAGAAGGTGGCAGCTACATATCCTGACAATATAACTCCGTACATCTCCCAGGTTGTCCCACTATACAACCTGCCACTTTTGAACCCGAGATATTCATGGTCGAGACACACCGACTGGACCAAGCTTGTTAGTCCCCTTGATGATCATAGACACATCCGTTTCAGATTGACCCACTTTTCCTGTGGCCCCTCGTGGGTGTGTATACGTACTCCCCTCAAGCCACCTGCGACACACTCTGCCCGTGTCCTTCTTGCCAGAACCGGCCCTCCGATGGTACACTGGGACACAGTCGCAATTGGGAGTTTTGTGTAGCTCACCAGATCATCGCCTGCTTTTCAATAGTAGTTATTTTTTTTTTCTCGAGTTTCAGTTGGGAACACCTCAACCCGGTCAAGAAATAGTATGGTTCCGCTCAGCGCTAAGCACCTTCGATGACCACACGTCCCCACCCACCCGTGTGCGGCTGGTTTTAAAGTCCTTTTCTTCTCCTGAACACGTTGACTTCCAAGCTCAACTCCATCTGGACATGGAGGGCCATTGCTTTACTGTTGGGTTGTTTTAATTATATATTTTCTTCTTGGTCTATTCTCTCTCTCTCTCTCACTCTCTCTCTTCATCATGTCCGGTATCCCAGCCCGTTATGGTCGCTGGGGCCCTATCCTGGCACCGTTCATCGTGATTGCCCTGATTTTGCATTTCCTCAGCGGCAACTTTGGGTCCAATTCACCAAAGCACCCCGTTCCAACGGGGACTCAGGCCACAGCAGCAGCAGCTACTCCGTCGGCCGAGAACCAGACCGCACCCGCAACCGAGACAACACCGGCATGCCCACAGCTCAAGGGCATGGATGATGTGCTGGTGGTGCTCAAGACGGGAATCACAGAATCGCAGGAAAAGGTACCGGTGCACCTGCGGACGACACTGCGGTGTATCCCGCACAAGGTGGTGGTGTCCGATTTCGAGGAGGACATCGGCGGGCTACGCACGCTGGACGTCTTCCACAACATGTCCGAGTCGATCAAGCAGAACAATGAAGACTTTGCCCTGTACCTGCGCGCACGGGACGGCGGGCGCGACGCATTGCTGGCGCAGGACCACACCAAGGTAGCCAACAGTGCTTCGGGCATGTCGGACAACCCGGGCTGGAAACTGGACAAGTGGAAGTTCCTGCCGATGATCCACACGGTGCGGCACGCTCGCCCAGATGCGCGCTGGTATGTGTTCATCGAGGCCGACACGTACCCCATCTGGCCGAACCTGCTGGGCTGGCTGTCGCATTGGAACCCGGAGGACAAGCTCTATCTGGGGAACCAGATGCAGATCGGTGACATCACTTTTGCCCATGGCGGGTCTGGCTTTGTGTTGTCGAATCCCGCGCTGAACGCCGTGGCCGACATGCATGCCAAAAATCTTAAGGAGTGGGATCAAATCACCGAGGAGCAATGGGCGGGCGACTGTGTGCTCGGCATGGCGCTCACCAAAGTCGGCATTGACCTGACCTGGTCCTCGCCCCATGTTACCACCCAGTCAGTGTGGGAGCAGGATGCTTTTGGCGACGCCTGGTGCCACCCACCGTTTACCTTCCACCACATGACGCCGGCCGACGTGGACCGGATGTGGGAGTTTGAGCAGCAGTGGTTCTCGAATGTGAGGAATTTTTTTTTCTTCCCGCCATCTTTTATTTGGTCATTACTTTGATTGCTGACCATCATCTTCTACATTAGGAAAAGCACAAACACCTTTTATACCGCGATATCTTCCGTCACCTCGTGCGGCCCACCCTGGCCGATTATCTGAACAATTGGGACAACAAGGCCGACCGAGGCGACGACCAAGACGAATACGAGGGCCCCGAGACGCCCGCATCCTTGGTCGAGTGTGCCGACTACTGCGCCGGCGACACAAACTGCATGCAATACCGCCTCGACGGGAACGGCCGCTGCACGACTTCACCGATTATCCTGCGCGGCACTCCCGAGCCTGGCATGAAATCCGGGAACATGATGTGGCGGGTTGACGCGGCAATAGAAAATGCAGCCAAGTGCAAGAAGGCACACTGGGTGAGACCATGAGGCGATGGCATGACCCTTGATCGTTGGTATTGTTCGTTTTGCTTTTTAGCTTTCTGCTTCGGCTCTATATACATATACAGGCAGGATTGGTCCTATTCGGATGGCGCATTGGGTGTTGCTATTGGGTTTTGCGCGACTGTACAGTGGATGTCTATCTATATATTGCTAGCCAGCGATTGGAAGAGCGTACATATTCTGGGGTTTGTGGGTTGTGGATATTGATTCTAGCAGAAAGAAGTCCCACCATAAAGAAAAGGGGCAGGAATGATAATATCAGTTCAGACTAGAGGCGGGTATATCCTCTATAAAAGGCGGATTTGTATGCAATGCAATAGTCTGATCCTGCGGGCAAATCTCTTGAACATATCTGCCGATATTATACACGCAAGTCGCAACGGGCTCGCATATGCTTTGTTAGCAGGAATCTCCAGCCAGAGCCAGCGCCAGCGCCTTGGGAGCGCGGGGCATTCTCCGGGCAAGATAATAGAATGTCGATCATGGACGAGCTGCCCGATTCATGAACTTACTCCTCTAGGTTTAGTACATCCACGGATGGTATCTGGTATATCTGCCAACTCCAAAAACTCAAATTTGCCCCCCGGTAATCAGTGCCATCGCTATTAGTTGATTAGTCGGAAATGCTTCCAAGGGTTTATTTTATTGTATGGATTTGCTTGTGTGGTTCATGTTAGTGCCGTGGGGGATTTCCGGCTTACCCTATATTGGCTGGGCAGAGACAATCCAACAGCGGAGGTATTTAGTTACTTATTTGGAAGGATCTGATTTACATAGGACATAGCATAGGTCTATATGTAAGTAGACACGAGAACAGATCTGCAGGGTCCTGTTTCGATAATTCCTGTATCTCCTGTCCAGACTTTTAGGGTTGTATATATATAGAGATTTCTATATTGTGTTTAGAGTCTCCGAACATGATTAGCCAGTGGTGCCTAGGTACATAGTCTTGGTTAAATGATGAATGATTAATGACAAAGAAGATCGTACTCAGGTATTGTTATGGATTTTGACTAGTGAACTATGCTGAAAAAGGCTGGATGGTGAGATTTATATTAGTGAGATTAATATGCCAAGGCTATATCAATGTTCTATTGTCATCAATTGGTCTAGTAACTTTTCTAGCCAGAATTTGTGGGTCACCAACACCGATTCTGCGAACTACATACAGGTCAGTGTTGAGCGTAGGAACAGTTCGTTACATACGCGGTAATGATCAAGATTATTATATCGCGTAGGAATGCAGGTCAAGCGGGGCCCATGTTTGGGAGGGCTGACCCAAGCAGAAAAACCCCTGCAACCTTGCGAAAGCCCGCCACCCTCCGGGGGGCCGTCGCCCATGTAGATCTCCGGGCGACTCTCCTAACACAGTATAACACAGTAGCGGAGGGCCGATCTGTCTTCATTCGTGTCATGTTCATGGTCTGGGGCTCCACATCCCACATCGGCAAACTGCTAGTGGCGATTCAGATGCTGCCAAAAGGACGATCGCCTCGCCCCATTGGCAGGGAGCGCCGACAAACAGACAAAACAGCGCGAAAAGCTGCATAAGGGCTGACTCTGGATAGTGCCCGAGAATAAAACCCAATCAGAGGGAGCAACGTTGAATGGAATGGCGTGATAAGTATCAATATATGGGTATTTATGTGGGAATCCTCAGACACCAAAAAAAAAAAAAAGGAACAGGATGCAGGATCGGGCGGCGATCAACTTTGAAAATAAAATAGATGACCACTATTGTACAGGAACCCCCCAAAAAAAGAATGAAGGAATAAATGAAAACTTAATTTGGCTTGCCAGTGGGCGGTATCGGTTGCAGTTCAACCTTGACATCCTCGCGCACCTGAATGTGATGCGAGGAACTCAGCGGGTCGTGAGTCGCCGATCTCGACACGTTCGCGCCCGAGCTCTCGAGCTCGCTGTATTGCGTGGATCGCATCCACGGCCGGCTGTGGGACTTGGGGAGGTTGGTGCCCCCGCTAGAGAGCCCCAGGGCCCGCGCAATTTTCTTGCTGAAGAGCGATGCGAACACGACTCGCATCGTGGGCAGACATGTGCAGAGGATGCCGATAGAGATCTCGATGATGGACCACAAGATCGCTCGTGAGTATACCCACATCACGTCGTATTCTCCCAGGACCAGCATCGAGGTCATTAGTCGGGTAAAGGCTGCGGCGCAGTCACTGTGTAGAAGAACGGGGTACGTTAGTATAGTCGACTTGATATCAGTCAAGGGCCGAGAAAGCATACAATAGACCCAGCAAGAAAATCAGCGATAGTGCGATCTTCTGTCCGACCCGGAGCTGCACATCCCAGATCATGGGGATTGGCAGTAGCCAGACGGCAATATCCGTCACGATATTAACAATCGCGTACCCGATGCCGAATTTCTTAAAGTCGAGGCATTTGCCGCCGCCCGTCCAGAATGAGTGGATAGGAACGCAGTCGAAGATCGCGAGGAACACCGAGACGATCAGCCATACCGCGATCAGTGCACCGAGGCCGTAAATTATGCGCAGGAACTTGGGTGACGTGAAGATACGTCTGTAGAGAAACAGCAGGGACAGCTTGATGGTCGGCGGGCCGAGGATGTAGAAGAGCTGGAAGAAGTAGAGGAGTTTCTGGAAGGCGGCGACGTTGGCTTCTCCTACCGCGTCGCGGTGCTTGCCGAGTCCAACTTTGGCACCTATACATAAGTTAAAAAAAAAAAAAAAAAAAGGAAAGGTCAGATATGTGTCTGCTGGTAGGTTATTCAACAAGATACTGATAACTCACATCTGGTGAAAATCCCGTAAAGCGCCCAATCCCACGCCTGTTCACAATTAGCCCTAAACTCCGCTCGAAAGGGAAGAAAAGCATCAACATACGAGAGCCACACAGATGGCCCAGTCATCCAGACCAAATGGCAGTTTCTTCAGCAGTCTTGCAGCCACTCGGCCAACAACGCCAAGCGTAGCAATGGCAATGAAGAGGCTGTTCACGCCCCAGAGCATCGGCCTCTGGTCATCATTGATGGAGCCCATTGTCGCCAGGCATTCACAGACTCAACCAGCAAAGATGATCACCGTCCAAAAGGCTTGCTCCCCGCGACTGGGCCCCAAAATACTTTATATCGTATCCCACCTGCCCCCACCCCCCTTGGTACAGAGTGGGTCCTGAGCTGACTCTGGTATGAACATGGTGAGAATCCTTCGAGCGATCAGCGGGCGGGCATGGTAGCGCAAACTTTCTGAGGACGAGCTGTGGGCCCTCTCTACATGCACTATCGGTGGGGACTGTAAGAAACGGAACAATTGCAACCGTCCAATGCCACCGTATACACACTGTACCGCGTATCCGGGACCTTGACATTCTCTCTCAGCCTTGCCAGCTCCTGATCCCCGTCAGCTGGCTACATACAGATAAGCATAACACATACACAAAAAAACGCAGGCACACAATGACGGTTCATCAAGAGAATCGGCCTTGGCAGGAGATTGCTCAGGAAGTCCAGGCGGCGCGCGATGAGTCCATTGCCCAAGTCGAGCCCCAACCTTCACTGCCAGAGTCCCTCCCGAGTCGGGTGATTGAGGTCCCTCGACAATGTCTCTCCCCCGCCGAGGTGGCCATCACCGAGCGCTCTGCAGAGGCCCTGGTGGAATCGCTCGCAGCGGGCAAGCTGACTGCAACCGCCGTCACCAAGGCGTTCCTGCGGCGCGCCGTAATTGCGCAGAAGCTAGTGAGCCGCTATCCTTTTGCCCCAGACCTCTTTTCGAGACTCATATCACTGATTCTCAATCGTATGTTAGACGAATTGTATATATGAACTGCTTCCGGCCCGAGCACTTGCCCGCGCCCAGGAACTGGACGACTATTTTGCTACCCACGGGAAGCCTTTAGGCCCCCTTCATGGGTTGCCGATCAGTACCAAGGCCCATGTCGGCATTGCCGGACGAGACAGCAGCTCGGGGTTCGTTGGCTGGGTGGGCAGAAAGAATGCCGACGATGCGAGCGCCGTTAAGATCTTGCTAAATGCGGGTGCGGTGATGTATGCCCGAACTACTGAACCGCAAGGGCTGGTAGGTGACCCGGTGATGCACAGCATGGAGTATGGTTGGAGTGGCTAACCCATATTCGGTGGGCACAGATGGCCATTGAGACATGCAATAACATTATGGGGGTCACGGTCAACCCGCATAATACGGCGCTTTCTTCTGGAGGGTCTTCCGGAGGCGAGTCGGCGTTACAGGCCCTGCATGGTAGTCCGCTGGGTATTGCATCTGATATAGGTATGTTCTCTCCCCCTTTTCTCTTTCTTTTGCCATTTCCTTGAAATATCATATATTAACCTTGAACAGGAGGCAGTATCCGCGTACCAGCAGCAAACTGCGGCCTCTACGGCCTGAAACCAACAACAGGACGACTCCCACTCCTCGGACTCTCAGCATACGTCCTGGGCTGTGAAACCATCCTCCCCACAATCGGACCCCTCTCACCAACCCCCGGAGCCCTAAACCTCTTCATGAAAACCATCCTAGAATCGCAACCCTGGCTCAACGATCCATCCCTGCACCCGATCCCATGGCGCGACCAAGAAACGCACATCCACAAAAACGGCAAGAACCTCACCGTTGGCGTGATGTGGACCGACGGCGTGGTAACCCCGGCGCCGGCGGTAACGCGGGCACTGCGCGAGGTTGTCGAGCGTCTAAAGATCGTGCCGGGGGTGGAGGTTATTGAGTGGGAGCCGTTTCAGCAGAAAGAGGCATTGGAGATTCTTGTGAGTATAATATATGTACCAACAAGGATGGCATAATATGGGTTTGAGCTGGGTTGCTAACTATCAATTCTATAGACAAAGCTCTATAACCCCGATGGCGGCGAGGCATTTGCCCGCAACCTCGCCCTTTCTGGGGAGCCCTATATGTCCTTGACAGAATGGTCGGCACGGGATACGCCGGGGATCGAGAATCTCAGTCACCAGGGCGTGTGGGACTGGACGATGAAGCGGGAGATCTTCCGCTACACATATCTACAAGGTGAGTAAACCACGGATCCCCTCCTAGGAGAACCTCAAGTCCTACCCCTTTTATATATGATGTATGATGTATGAAACTAACACAAAAAAGAATGGAACTCCAAAGCACCAATCATGGACGTAATCCTCGCTCCCTCCAGCCCAACCCCAGCACCGCAGCTCCACACCTCTCGCTACTGGGGGTATACCTCGCTGTGGAATCTGTTAGATTACCCGGCGATGGTATTCCCCGTCACTAAGATCGATGCTGAGCGCGACGCGAGGGACGCGGCATATGAGCCCCGGAACGACTTTGATCGCTGGGCACATGAGCATTATGATGCGGACAAGCAGCGGGATGCGCCCGTTACGTTGCAGCTTGTGGCGAAGAGGTTGGAGGAGGAGAAGCTGTTGCAGGCGTTCAAGGAGATTAAGGAGAAGGTTGGGTTGCCGTTTGTGGATTGTTTGGCTTGATGGTCTTTATTTATGAAGGAATGAAGGATTGGAGAGTATGTTGGAGGTTGTAAATAGGGTTACCACATGCATGATTATATGAGTGTCCGAGTGTCCGAGATGTCTATAAGTGTATAGATATGCCGTATGCTATCAATCAACTATGCAAATCACAAACCACGTCTATTTCAACTTTTGCCAGTCATATCCCAGGTCAACGAAATGGTATCGTGAAGGCGAACGGACAGTCCAAGATGCTGTGCTGTAAGAAATCCAATCGACAAGAGAAAGAATAGGGGAAGTCAGGTAATGTCACATCAACTTGTCGCAGTCGTCTCGGCACGTTCCTGAGCAGGAGCTTCATTCAGATTCGGGGCCGCCTCCGAGACGTTGAGCACACCGACGCCCGCCAAGAGTACCGGACTGACCACACCAGGTGCGTCCTTGGTCTCTCGGGGTAGGTCCTCTGGGTCATCATTGAGAGTGGGAATGACCCCATAGCCAACAATCACCTCCTTGCCCTCAGGCGCAGAGACCCAATCCGGCACTTCACTAGGCCCATCCACGCCGGGCGGCGGCAGACCCCACCTCGGCATTTTACTACGGTAGAGCCAGCCGCCGTCGAGATCAGCATAGGCGACAGCATGCAGGAAGATGCCGAGTTCGTGGACGCCCGGGTCCGAGTACAGCTCGGTGCCACAGACGTCGCAGCATTCGCCGGACAGCCGCTCGCCCTTGCGTTTCCTATAGTGTTCGGCGGCAGCCTGCTGCTCGTGCGCCATGATCTGCTCGACGACGAGCGGGTCGGTGTCCGGCGGCACGTTGGGCGCGGCGGTGAAGTGGGTGCGGTACTCGGTGCTATCGGCGACCTCGGTTTTGCCCATGTGCGACAGTCGTTCGATGATCTCGGCGTCGCGGTCGGCGCTGGCTTCGTGCTGGCCTAGCCCCGGCCCGAATACGCGCCGGTTCGAATAGATCGGGTCGTTGGTGATCGGATAGCCCAAGAATTGGAGGTGGACGCGGATCTGGTGCGTGCGCCCCGTGAGCGGCAGACAGTGGACAATGCTGTAGCCCTCGGATTCATTGGCAAGTGCCGGTGGCGGCGTGGCTGCGCGCGGACCGTCTCCGGGCTGTTCATGATTCTCTGTGGGTGTAGACTCGGGAGTCGACTCCGCCGGCGCAGGATAGTAGGCCAGCCGACGGAATTTCGTCGTGGCCTCTTTGCCGGTAGCGCGCACGCGGTTCAGGCCCAGCTTCGGACTGACCGACATAATAGGCTGGTCACACACCATAACGCCGTCGGGGAATTTTCCTTTGACGCGCGCAATATACTCTTTTTGCACGGTGCGCGCTTTCAGCTGCTGGGCGATCTTCTCGGCAGCCTTGGGGTCCTTTCCGATGAACATGATCCCTGACGTCAAGCGATCGAGCCGGTTGCACGGCCGTGGCACAAACTGATGGCCGCGCTCGGCGCGCAGGATTTCCACCACCGAGTTGTAGTGGTATCGGCCCGCGCTGTGGACAGGGACGCCCGGCGGCTTGTCGATGACCATCAGACCGTCATCCTCGTGAATGACCCCAATAGGCAGGCTGGTTACAGGGGGCTCGTGGCGATGGAGAGTGTGGGAGACAACGTGGCCGTTTCTGAGGACTTGTGTCGGGCCTGCTGGTTTGCCGTTCACCGAGACATGGCCGGTGCGAAGGGCATTCCTCTGATGGATGTCAGCTCTTTCATCTTGTGGCATATCTTTCCAATCCTAATTTCACGCACGTAATACTCTGCGGGCCGGTCCCGGAATTCAGAGACGAAGATATCCTCCAGCTGGCGATTCCGCCAGCGCTCCTTGCAGTGTGTGTTGTAGGTGTAGTGGTAGGGACTGACACGGCGCAGACCGCCTTCGAGGTAGTACGGCGCGGGCCAGGGATCACAGGGCGTGATCACCACATCGGGGGCTTTTTCAACGGGGTCGGGCGGTGGCACTTTGATGGGCTCGATGTTGGCGAGGGCCATGGGGGGCGGCGGGATCCTGCCTCGCCGCAGCAGGTAGGATGTGATGCGAGCGGAGGGAGCCAGGAGCGAAGATGACAGCGAACACGGGAGATGTTGGCCAAGTCGCAAGGATCTAAAACAGAACGTGCAAAACAAAACGAACGATTGTCGTCGAGGGGATTTTTGGGCGGGAAAAAAAAGAAAAAAAAGAAGCAATCTTATCAGGCACTTTTTGGTGGGGACGATTGCCGCCCCCCACGTCCAGAGGACTCGTCTGAGCGCGCCAATTCCTGATGATTCAACCTGAGAGAGACATATTCTTCTGCAAAGATTCTCAAATTGATCTCTTGTCTTCCATCCTTGTAATTCATATGCCCTGGGTGAAGGCTTACCTAATCACATTCAGACCTCGGCCCAGCAGCACCGAGGAAGCGCGGAGACGATGATTTCCATTAGTCTTGCGGGGGCACCCTGGTGCTTGAAACAATAACCTCGCTTCTCGATCCTCTCTGTCTTCATCGTGCTAGCGACATGGCGCCCTCCGAGTACGAGGCGAAAAAGCGGCGCACGCGCAGCGACTACGGCTATCACCAAGTCCACCAGACAAGATGGTGCGCCCTTGACCCAAGAAACCAAACCACCAGAACTCGCGCAGCATGGAAAAGCTAAGATAAACACCCAGGTTCGACAATGACATGTACGCGCACCTCAACAACACCGTGTACACAGCCTTGTTCGACACCATCGCCAACACGTACCTGATCAAGGAATGCGGCATGGATCCCTTCAGCGTCAACAACCCCACCGAGAAAGCCAACAATGGACCCCAGGACCAGTCTGCGGCTGGGGCAGACCAGATTGGGCTCATCGTCTCCACACATGTCGACTTCTTTGCGTCTGTCAGGTTCCCGGACACCCTGGAAGTGGGTCTGCGCGTGGTGAAGCTGGGATCGTCCAGCGTGACGTGGGAAATTGGCGTGTTTCGGCAGGGTGAGGAGGCTGTCAAGATGGTTGGGAATTATACGCATGTTTTTGTGTTGCGGGAGACGATGCGCGTTGGGAAAGGGGGTATGGAGGATCGCGTGCGGCGGGGGTTGGAGAAGTTGCTTGTTGGGCCGGATTCGAAGCTCTGATGTACGGATTCGCGGCATTGAAACCCCTTTTCTAGAGCCCCTTGTGCATGCCTTGACAATGATTACTCGTGTCGATCATAGCTGCTCCGAGGCAAGATGCACATTGCAAGAATTAAACTCGTATGGAATGTAAACCGCTTCAAAGAGAGAAGACGCATCTAATCTAATCTATGAGATCCAGAAAGAAAATCGCTGGAAAAACACCGTGAGAAACCGAGAAACATAGCCCCATAAGCTCATACCCATCGCAACAAAAACCGAAAATGAGACACTTTTCAGAAAGGAAACATGGCTTTAACGCTTCTCACGAAACTCCAGCGCTGAACAAGAAGAGTAGATAGTTGAAACCATCATTAAAAATTAGGTAGGACTGTTTGTGGAAAACAGCCATTGGGTTGTGGGTTGAAATAGAGCCAATGCGAGTTTTTTCAACCCAATTTTCCCGCAACAAGACTGCTGCATCGGGACACATCGGCGCTGGTGGGCGGCGAGGCACCACGGTGCATGGTGTGGCCATCTTCGTCAAGCCACCACTTGGGGTAGGGGCCCGGGATAAAGCGATCCTGGGCATCCCAGCCAGCAACCCAGTGGACACCATCGTCGAGGAGGAAAAAGCGCAGCCGCTCAGGGCGACCACCTTTGTGCAGCGGGGCCGAGAACCAGCGGCAGCGTCCTTCGAGCTCAGACTCGAACATGTAGCGGTGGAGAATGCGGCAGTAGACCAGAGCAGCGGGGGCCTTATCCTTTTCATTCTCATGGCCGTCCGGATGAATCAGGTGCCAGCCATGGCCCGGGAAGAACTTGTAGGTTCCCGGGACAGGGCTGTCCCAGTGCTGCTCACAGCTGATAGAGCCATGGATGCGCTCGCCTCGGTTGAACCAGTATGTCGGGCAAAAGACGGCGCGCAGGCAGAGAAAAGGGTTGGGTGCCATGGTTGAGGGGATGGCGTAATTGGGTAACTGACGTGCAATGCGACACGTAGGGCTGGCGATTCTTCCAAGGAATCACAAAGACACAAAAAAGATACACAAAGGACACAAGACGCTGAAATGCAGGATATCCAGAGGATAAGAACCACGGTTATAAGGGGAGGTTCATGGTGACAAATAATCAATCGGCCGTAATCGAGATTGAGGTTGAGGAATGGGGCGTGGTCTAAGTCTATAGCGACTCGGTGAAGACCCCCCTAGAAGGAAAAAAAAGTGACCGTTTCTCTTCACACAAAGAATGTGAGACGGCGAGTACCCTTGGCACGGGGGCCAGACCAGCGACAGGGACTGGTTGAGAATGTAGACAAGTGGCTTCTGTTATCGTTGCGGTGTGTACCCGGTTTGCGAGAAAGACGGGAGATGAGATGATAAGCTTGCAGCTTGCGAACAGCCGGAGCTAGCAGTTAGAGCTCAAGGCTTCCACTTCGGGGGAAGAGCAATTGGGCTCGGGTTGGGCCGCACAGCACGCGAGAGGACCGGGGTTATGGCTCACGAGCTCGTGCAAGAGATGGAGCTTCTGACTGGAGGAAAGGCATGGTGTGAGTGTAGGGATCAGACCGGGTTATAGGGGTGTGGAAGGTAGAAATAAGGCAGTGTGTGCAGGTGCGGGAATTAAAAAAAAAAAAACTCGAAGCGATGGTGACCCTGAAACGTCCAAGTTTTTTTGCCCGCGGGACCAGCCGAGACTTGGCACGCTAAAATCACAGGATTTTCTCCCGTCTTGTTTTCTTCTCTTTTAAGGATCAGCTCACCGTAGCCGCTTGAGTGTGAGATCGGCCTTCTTTTGGCCCCTTGAAGTCTGGAGCTCTTGGCCTGGCTGTGCAAATTTTCATGGTTTCAGCCCTATTGTGCAGCGATATACATGTACAGCCACAAGGTGGAACTGATTGACAGGGAACCTTGGAACACATCAAATAATAAAAAGAAAAGAAAAGAAAAGAATAGCCTTGGCAACTGAGTACTATAAGAAATTTTCGTTATATTATTAGCATGGCAAATCGAAGGATTCAACGAGCCGCATATTTCTCCGAACTTTTGCAGTACTTCCAGCTGAAGTTGGGCATTCATATGGTAGAAGTTGAGCTATTTTCTTTTTCTTTTCTTATTTTACTCATATCGTCGTGGTCTGTGCAGAAGCTGCCTTCCTGTGGGATTTGTGTACTTGTGTCGTGCACTCGGCGAGCCTGAGGAATTCTCAAGGATTTCCTCTTGTTTTTGTTATGAAGGTCATAGAATGGCCATATAATTTATTTATGGCTTCCTCTTATTTTCATTTTTATTTATTCGTTGTTTTGCCTTCCCTTCCCTTTCTTGTAATACAGTATCCAGAGCCAGTGCTAGTGCTAGAGATAAGCGAATTCCTTCATGCGACATTTTACTGCAAAGCATTGACCAGCCCACTGCTTGATTTTGCAGTTTCGTCATGAAGAACGAGCTCCATGCATCTATCAGAACGTGGTGCCTTATACATGAGGACAGAATCCTACGATCGCAGGCCTTAATTATAAGTCCAGTGTATTTGATGGGCTTTCTCGTATGGCGTATCGAACCATCCATTCCCTTATTCCCCTAGCATCCCCTCAATGTCTTACCAAAAATCCTGCCTCGCCTTAATCTCCGAGATATTCTCACAGATCCTGCACTGACCAACTATGCAAGGGGTTTTATGATATGTGCCATGCACGGTGATAAGACAACCAGAGCATTCCAGATACTGATAACAGTCAATTTTAAAGGGTTAGAGAAGAATATTAACTTCTACGCTTTACAGAGTGAGCCTATTCCCAGTTGGAGGTTTTCATAGTGTCGGCCCAAGTGGGTAGCGGAGTAATCGCATCCGGATCGACTCCGCACCCCCACTTCCCCAGACACCTGTGGACACTATACATGGCTTTCCCCCTGATGCTCTCTGTACTCGACAAGATGGATGCCATGTCTCCAACAAATCAACTGGAACCTACGTTATCAATGAACCCTCAGAAATCAAAGAAGAAACGCATCCGGAACTGGACCGAGCAAGACCGGGCTGTCCATCGGGAGTTTGAGAAATCGCGTCGCGAGGCCTTCAGTGAGCGGTTGACGGTAGGTCATGAAGCAGCTCCTAGCTATCAGCTTTTGACTCACTAATAGTCTCTAGGAGTTAACGAGGCTACTGCCTACGCTCAAGGTCGAACAGCGTCCCTCGAAGCACATCATTGTCGACGCAAGCATCTCTTATCACCGAGCCCAAGAAGACAGGCATCGTCAAGCTACTCATGCACTCCAGGCCCTGGTGGCTGAGCGAGATGATCTTCTTCGGGAGGTGAACGGCCTTCGGGCCCTGTGCCAGCCTGGCATTTCCACCCCGCGCCAAGCAAGACCCATAGACCCTGGGGTCCTCGAGATGCTGGCAGACAGCCAGGAAATGTCTACCAGTCTGTCTGGGGATTCTGGCAACCATGACTCCATGGAAGATTACTCGAATATTTCTTCTCAAGAAGCTCATACCTCCTTGGAGGTCAGTCACTCGGCAAGGGCTCCGACCGCCACGCTGCCGCAAGGATCTCCGACACACATGGTGTCTAGCGCTACAGCTATTTCGAATGAGATACCCCATCCACCTGCTCTTTCTGCTGCCACGGAAGCCCATCCGATACCATTGCCAGTCCATAATTTGGTCGAGAGTGATTTCGTCGGCTGGGGACATCCCATCCCGTTCGACTCCAACCTGATCAATGACACTCTTCCGTGGACTCAGCCCCCTGATATCTCCACTGCTACACCCCCAAAGGATACGGGAGTGGGGTATGATACCAATGTGTCGCATCTTGTCGACGATGCCGCGCTCTTCTGGCATCAACATCCCGGTATTTTGAACACACCTCCAAGAGAAGACGGATTGCATTTTGACTCGAACTCAAATATTCCTGATCCTTCTTCTATCCTTTGGGGTCATCAACCCGGTATCCTGAGTACCACCTTGTCGTCAAATAATCATCAGATCGCCGCTCACGAAACCATCCAACAACCCGCCAATTCATTTGTTTCCAATTCAGAGAATTCATCATTATCAACGAGAGTTGTTCACAATGATCGTGCAATAGACCCATCTGCATCGCTGTGCTAGGCTGCGAATATACCCTCTGATTGATCACACATTCTTCATGGCTTCCTCAATCTTGGCCTGGCTTCTCTTCTCTGCCGCCACGAACAACGCGAGTGCCTCACGAAGCCGCTTCTTTGTGGTGGGATCCTCCTCATTGGCCTTATCCAGCTCAGCTCCTCCATTTGCCAGATAGTCAATACCTGTGCTGGCCAGTTTTCCATCCCAGTCAGGCCCTGCCAGCGGGTCGATGTGCGCGAGTTTCTGAAGACGAGTCGGCGTGGGTTCCGCGTCCCGGTACGGATGGCTGGGCTTGAGCACGCCCTCTCCGGGCTGTTTGGCGCTGTCGTAGGGGAGCTTGGAGAGCTCAGTGAGCACCTGGTGCGAGATCGTTGCCGAGTGGCACCCCAGCTCACCGGCCGCCATCGCCTCTTCCGGGGAAATGAAACTAGGCAGTGTTGTCAGCTACTCCGCTGCGACGTGACCCTCGGGTTGATTTACCTCGCATTCTTGAGCAAGGGCTGTTCTTTACCGGTCTCCTTGTATAGCCGCTTGTAGGTTTCGAGGATCTGGACCAAACGCGGGGACATGGTATGGTGCAGGGCTGGGTCATCGGACTTGGGCCACAAGTCAAGCTCATCGTGGGCGCGGACCTCTTTTCAGACTTCTGATGTCAGTGTTCTGATTCCAGTATATCTTTGCAAGGGAGCTCCCACCGTTGTAGTAGGGACTGATATACAGACAGCCTGCCTGGCTCGCAGCAATCGCCTGATGCACGCTGAACAGCGCAGTCCCAAGCGTCCGAATACCCTCATCCAGCAAAGTGGGACACGCGCTCAGCGCAGGACCCGTACTGGGGATCTTGATGCAGAACCGGTCCTTGGAGACGCCCACATTTTCAAACTCGCGGGCGTACGCACGAGCATGTTCCAGGGTTTTTTCGGTGTTATAGGCGTTTGATGGAAGAGTCTGGAGAAGGACTCGGCCCTGGATATTGTCGATGTTTGCCTTGGACATCAAGACAGCCTGCAAGTGTATATTTAGCCTTTGAGCTTTTCATTCAATAAGATATAAGCGGCTCATTTTCAGAGTCCACGCACCATGCGTGTGTAGATAGCCAACCAGCCCTGGTCTTTGTATTCCTTGACCACGCTCTTGAAGAGCTCTTCGTTGTCGGGGTGGCACATCTGCTCGTGTACCCAGCCCTGGTTGCTGGTCATGTCGTGCGGCACAATGGGGAGGCTGAGGGTGAATGCCGGGTCCATCCAGTCGACGTCGATGTTTACTATTAGTATTAGTATTTATAAGCCTTTTCAGAGGTTCTTTTTCGAATTTGGGTAGAAAGAAAAGAGAAAAAAAGGGGGTGGCAAGTCACTTACACTGCTCAGACAGCTTGTGAAGCCATGTCTGCGTACCCAGGCTGCCCATTATGAAGAGACGAGTGAGTGTGCAGTGAAAAGAAGTCAACCAGATATAATAATACCAAAGGTAATGGGAATAAAATAGATAATAGATATCTGTAGAGATAAACAGCAAGCTAGGCTATATATATACCCTTTTCTATAGTCCATCTCCGCACCGGTACACTAGAGGGGGTTCTCGTTCTCGATGCAACACACAGGGCACCAGGTGATCAGCCCGGAGCACTTTTTCTGGTACGCGAATCAAAATAATTAGATCTCCTCTGGGATGTAATACACACACAGGGCATGCTGTGTAAGCGATTCAGTAGTGGGGGTCCTTGGGGAATGAGGTATACTAAAGGTTCTGGCGGGTGGGGTAGGAGATGGGTCGCACGCAGGGCAGATCTTGGGTGTACAAACCACGGGTATATAGCAAAATAGCAAAATACCAGAACTGACACACGCAGGACAGGGTCTGGCTATTGTGTGAATTGGGGGGCTATGATTTAATAATATAAGAAGATGTGAAGTGGGTCGCAGAAAATCTGGGAGGATTCGATTTTGCTTACCCCCTACGTGACCCCAAGAGCTATCTATATATTTGATACAGAATAAAACCTCTTAAATAGGATACAATGTAGTTAATAAGCCATTTCAATCTAATGCTTATTCTCTACAATATATATTCAAAGTCTCCTGAGCGAAGTGAAGGTTAGCGGCTTGTGATACATATGGGGAAGTCAAATGTAGTCATGGATTGTTACAATTAGGGCTGAAATAGAAGAAGGAAATTAAGGTCGACAGTCTTATTTTGTAGATTGCACCATTGTTTTGACATTTTCTCCCACACAAATAGCTCATAGATGTTAGAAATTAATGCTAACTATAATATTGAGCTAGCTAATGAGGAAATCCTCGAATCCTGAGTTGTAGCTCTTATCCCGAAACTCTATACAGTTCCGGTGCTCAAAGGGTGTATGTAGACTACGACATCATGACAGGAGCTTCACTATTTCCTGCCATACTAAACCAATTTAGAGCAACATCGATGTGAGAATATAGCATAGTTCTATCGTGCCTCTGACCTTCAGATTTGAACTCGCCCTCTACAGCTATGATCATCGTGGCCATCAGTCATTTCAACCAACTCCTAAACAGACTCGAAATATGAATATCCATGTAAGGCGGTTTGCCAGACTCACTTCTATCATTCATGAACCCCAGCCAAAGTTTCAGGTCTTGCTCACTATACCTCCAACCCTCCTAGAATCTATTTGCTCAGCCCTCTCAACTCCAGAACAGGTTTCCTTCGCACTAACCTGCAAACACATCTACACTTACTTCAACGATGTCTTGAAGGCCCGTGGGACACAACTCTTTCATACTGTGCCACGCAAAACACCTCTATCGCTATGTCCCGAGGTCATTCTCAATCAACGATTAAGAAAAGAAATACTTCACCGACTTGAGAATAGCCATTCGAAGTGTTGCTATAGTTGCCGGAAACTACACCCACACTCAAAATGGCACATCGCACACTATACCGGACCACTTCCTCGCGGTTCACGCTTATTTCAAAGGAAACTACTATCTTATGGTAGTAATATGCGGCGTTGTCCTTACATGCGGTATGCTGGGGAGATCGATATCTGCCCTTTTTTTTTCAGCATTTCTTTCCAGGATCTTCGGCACTTTGTCAAATCGAGAAAAGACAAGCCACCACATTGCCGAGAGAATCATGAGCATTCGTCTATGTCCTACAATCTGAGACTAAGCAACATCGACAAGGACTTCCGACATGATTGTGTCGTCGCTCAGCATTCTCTCGCCAAAGTCCAAGTCACAACGACCCTTTGCGTTGACTAGCATCCCCAGCGTCTAAAAAGAGACCTGTCTTTTTTTTTGCTGAATGATTGGTCTTTGTTCCTATGACTGGTATTTTCAGCAAGGGGCTTTCATCTATAATTCATTTAAACCTGCTTCGGTCTGGTCCAATATGCGAACTTTCTATGATTATCTACTTTTCAACCTTGGGGTATTAAAAAACACCACCTGCACCGTCATGTCATCCCGAACACGCCGGGAGTGTGGAGCGCTAAAAGCAAGCCGGCCTGCCACCAGCTCGTGATGATCTCCACCAAGGGAGTTGCGCACGAGATGCACAGCGGCATTCTCATCTTGAACTGTTGACCTCGACTCGACAAACCTCCAACTGACCCCCTTCCAAAATTGACCAAAGTCAAACGGTTCATATGCCGGCTTGACAGTTGAGGCTGGTCTGGTCTCTGCCGACTCGGATTCTATCCATTTTCCAACGAGATTCACAGCCTGCTGGCTGGTCAGCATATCCCACATGCCATCCGTGGCCATAATCAAGAACGAAGGCCTGCCGGGATTGATCTTGGTGCTGGTGACAACCGGCTCGGCCGTCAGATAAGGCGGGGTTCGGACAGGGTATCTCGGCGTGAGCAGCGATGGACCAGAGAACCGCTTCTTGATTTCCTGTTGGAAGTCCAAGGGCCATTTCCATGGCCCGTCGCCGAAGGCCCGGGATACCATCATTCCAAGTACGCGCCCACCCTTGACCATCTCAGGTTCGCCAGGGTGTTCCGCCTGCAACCGGAGAATCTCTTCTTTGTTGCTGCCAGTCTGGTCGACTGACAGGGGGATGGCTTCCCATTTTCCATCTGGAGTTTGTTGTCCCAGGACTGCTCTCGAGTCACCGGTGCATGCCACATGCACTGTGCTCGTGCCGGGATCGTATAGCGAGAGCAGGGCACAAGAGCCTGCATACACAGGAAGAAATGCCTTCACTTTCTCATGAAATGGCTTATTGCCTTGAGCAGCATCCAAAGCGGTCTTGAAAATCGAGTCGTCAAGATTCACGAACCCTTGCATGATCGCACGCTGGACCAATTCCTCGGATACCGAGTCTTTCTTGGGAGATGACTCGATCAGACCCAAGCTGCGCCTTACAAAAGGCAGGAGTTGTCGTTTGAGCAAATCTGCCGTCTGCCAGCCGGAATGCCCATCAAACACGGCCCAAGCCATCCAATGTTGGCCGTCATTGAAAGGCGATGGGAGTTTGCCGTGAGTGAACTGGTCTTCGCAGGGGTTATTGGATGCCAACCGAGTACCGTCATATCGATTGACGCCGGGGATATTGCTGACTGGGAAAGAATATGCCTCTTGCGAGATGAGCTCGGTGACTCGCTCTTGCGACAGACCAGGCTCTATGCCCGGGTGATCGACGGGCGGTTCCTCCAGAGATGGTACATCGTCGCGGGCCGATATCAGCCACCACAGACCCGGTGCACTGATCGCACCCGCAGTCGCAATGGATCTCATTCGATTTGAGGATGGGCTTTTGGTTGAATATGACTTCTGGGCCCGTATCCGTGGGGTTGATATGGACACGCGGCCCAGGCGCGGTCGAGCCATTCGAAATGGCAGCATTTTCTCTGCGGCACAACTGGAAAGAGTGAAGCCGAAACAGAAGGGTTCTTCGCCTTTTCACCAAAATTCTAGACGCGCGTGCATGGCATCTTAGACAGGGGCAAAGGGGCTGGGAATAGGAATTAGTCATCACAATAAACCACCGCCTTGCAGCGCTGGAGGTCATCTCAGGTGGTTATTGATTGTTGCTTTGGAATTAAGTGTATTGGACATCTTCGAAGGGCAGTTGATGGGTTGTGTTCGTCTTAACTGAGATTCGGCGGTTGTCGAATGGTCCACGGACCACACATCGAAGAGCCTTAAGCGCCTCTGGCTTTTTAAGCCAATAAGAACAACAATGAACAATCTCGGATCTCACAACAAAAAATAGTGGTGGAACATAGATACAGACAGGGTAGAATCAGATCATCAAGAAGCCGTGGCAGCTTACAGAGAATACAAGCGTATATCCAGGTAAAGGGCTTTCTGGGACTGCAAACTGCTCCACAAAATGCGATCTGGAGGTGATAGAAAATAGGGTTTGCTGTATACTAACCATGTGGCATCTTTTTGTTTTCAATGACATCTATCAAATTTATTTTGCACATTTTAACTCCAATGTCATCTGACACGCCAATAATCCTTCCAACTCCAAGCAGTGTCAAGAGTGTACCAGGACATGCCGCTTAGCCGCGTTGTACCGGGGCATTCCCGCACATACCACGAGATCCGATAGGTGGACCAGTCACACGCAGGGCAAGATCTTTGAGCAAGAACCACGACACACGCAGGGCAAAGGAGGGGCTGCCCGTTGGATTAGCTCGGCGCTAGCGTACCCCGGATTCTCGCCCCACGATCCCACGACTATATAATTCCCTTTTACCCGGCTGGGGAGATGTCATCAAATATACGGTGTCAAGCTATCACTGTCTTACTGTGTGACCATGTCGAAGCTCAGTGTGGACGACGGCAAGCCCAGCGCCGTGTTTATCGAGGATGCTGAGGCTCAGACGCAGAACTATAGCCAGAACGTCAATGCAAGGTGGGATTGGCTTATTGAGTAAAAAGTGGCTTTTCCTGATGTTTGCTTATCTACAGAATCTACAATCCCCTCGCAGGCATCTCCAAAGATGATCTTTATGACCGCGTTCTTCGGTTCTGCGACGAGTATGGATTCGTCGACCATGTCGATACTTTCCAAAAGGGTGCCCTTGCTGCACAGCAGCAGAAAGATTTTGAGGCTCTTCCCGAGTTGACTGAAGGAGATAAATATCACTTGCGAAGAGAATCTACCCGTATAGGCCCGATCCACTCGTACTTTTTGTTTCTTTGTGGACGATCTCTGACACATTCTGCAGATAAATGGCACCTGCCCAAAGACCTCTATTTCAGTATCGCCTTGTGTTCTCTCGGCTCTGCTATCCAAGGATGGGATAATACAGGCGCCAATGGAGCGAACCTCAGTTTCCCGCAGGAATTCGGCATCGAAGATAATACGTGGTTGATTGGGGTGATCAATTCAGGGTATGTGAAAGCATTGGTACCATAGGACCCTCTCTAATGACGGAGCTTCTAGACCTACACTTTTTGGGCTCCTTAGGTGAGCAAATGCACAGAACCCCGAGTTTCTTTTTAACATCTAACGCACTGCAAGTGCTTGGGCCGCGGACCCTTTGAACAACTGGCTTGGGCGTCGAGGCACCATTTTCTTGACTGGACTATTGTCAGCAACTTGACCCCTCCTTGACAGTAGAATCCCAAGCTAATATGCTTGTAGCTGCGTCTTCCCTGTTCTTGCACAGGCTTTCACTCAGAACTGGTGGGGATTGATGATCTGTCGACTCTTCATGGGACTCGGTATGGATAGCCACTTTATAACAACGCCGGGGCTAACGTCGTGTGCTTACAGGAATGGGCGTCAAGATTTCCACCATTCCAGTCTTCAGTGCAGAAATCAGCCCGGCTTCAATTCGCGGTGGTCTCGTCACAAGTTTCCAGCTGTGGGTGGCATTCGGAATCTTCGTGTACGTCCATAACATTTGACCTCTGAGGAGACGTGGTTACTGATAGCAGAACCTAGTGGTTTTTGTTCCAATTTAATTTTCTTTCGAATTGGAAAATTGGCCTGGCGCTTCCAGTTAGCGGCAGCCTTTGTTCCTGCGATCCCCGTGTTGATTTGCGTCTGGTTCTGTCCTGGTACGAAACGCCCTGGCATCTTCATAGGAAACACGGCTAATAACCACAAGAATCGCCTAGGTGGCTCATGAAGAAAGGACGCTACCAGGAGGCATTCAGATCATTTTGTCGACTGCGTAACACTGAGCTCATTGCAGCCAGAGACCTGGTAAATTCATCTACTCCTTACGATTCCCCTAGAGGCAACGAATCTGACAAATACCACCAGTACTACGCCCATTGCCAGGTCATGACTGAGCGCGATGCCTTCTCAGGCAAATCACTTCCTTCCCGAGTCTGGGAGCTGTTCGCAGTCCCGCGGCTCCGTCGCGCAATGCTCTCCAGTGCGATCATCGTCACAGCCCAGCAGTTCTCGGGTATCAATGTCATGTCGTTCTACTCCTCGACCATCTTCTCTCAGGCCGGATACTCGCCACGCGACTGTCTACTCGCCTCGCTTGGGTTCGGACTGACCATGTTCATCTTTGCTCTGCCGGCTGTCTGGACGATGGACACGTTTGGGCGACGCAACCTGCTACTCTTTACCTTCCCCAATATGGCCTGGTGTCTGCTCACGGCGGGGTGTTGCTTTTTGATCCCGACGGAGTCTAGTGCCCGGGTGCCGCTGATTGCTTTTTTTATTTATCTGTTCACGGCCTTGTATGGACCTGGTATGTATATCCCATGATGCTTTTTTTTTCTCGTTTCTGTTTAACAGGAACTAACTCTTGATTGTTAGGAATTGGGCCCATCCCCTCCATATACTTCAGCGAGGCATTCCCGTTGTCACATCGCGAGCTCGGGGCGGCTTTCACTATTTGCATCAACAATGCCATCGGCAGCGCCTTGAGTCTGACCTTTCCGTCACTCTTGGCTAAAGTCACTCCGACGGGAGGTAAGTATTTTTTTGGGGGGGGGGGATAATTAGTGAAGAAGTAAGAGTCGTAGTTGACAAAATTGGCACAGCATTCGGGTTCTACGCCGGCCTAAACGTCCTCGCCTTCCTCACGATTTTCCTAGTTGTCCCAGAAACGATGTAAGTTCCAAAACAATCCATGTATTTGAGCAATGTCACCTCACACACATCGAATAGGCAACGCACCCTCGAAGAACTTGACTATACCTTTGGCGTGCCCGTGCATCGACATGCTCGCTACCAAGTGGGCACCTGGCTGCCCTGGTTTGTGCGGCGATATTTCTTCTTCCAGCGCTCTGCGAAGTTGGAGCCCTTGTATCGGTTGGAGGGGCTCTGAGAGAATTGGTAGATATTTGAATGGTCTGATTCGAATTCTTCTTGTTTTATTTGTCCCAAACCTTCAGATCAGATATGGTATGAATTGCATACGATGTTTGGAACTTGTGAGCGGTTTTCTCAATGTTTTGCTGTCTTCAAACCGACACGTCTTTTTGCCCTTATATTCGATGGTTTCTAGATTTCCCACTATAGTTATAAGATAGGATAATTCTCAAGGATTTCGATTAGTCTTTGTTCAATTGTCTTCCAGGGCCGATCTTCGAGTCTATGGTCAATCTGTCGGATCGCACCGACTCTGCTTGGCATGTTCTTGCGCTTGCCGTATCCCAAGATGTTTATGTTTGGCGACGAGAATAGTGGACTGTCGTATCTGGGTCGCTTGGCGGGTGACGGGGTCGAGTTGGCGGAGATTGTTGCTAGTGGGCATTTTCCTATGGATTCTAATCCTATCGAGATGTTTCGTCGCAATGCGCGGTTTTTGGATACTATCTCTTTGGGAGAGGGTGGCTCGAAATAGAATAGAATAATAGATCTAGAAATTAAATATAGACAACCCTAATGCGGTTATAGATGCTCCTTTGCAAGATAAACACTTTCTTATGTGCTTCCTCTGATATAAACATAGAATGATCACAATTGATAGTTATTAAGATTTACGTATTTAAGACGCTTCCCAGTATTTGCATCAATATCTTCATGTACCTGCACTCCTGACGGTATTACTCCCGGCCAGGAAATTCCATACCGATCATTCCTCCAAGAGCTCCGGTTATACAAATGCTCCTTCATCCGCTTCTCCATCAACTTCTTCGGCAACTTGCTCCGCTGCGTCCCCCGCTTTACTAGGTCAAATGCGACAGAAAATCGCATCCAGCCAGGGCTCCAGGTACTCGCGACGCGACTCCCATGCCGAGTCATCCACATCCATCTCCGACTTCGCTGGCATCGCCCCGGGTTCGCTGGACCGTTGCCGTGAGATCTTTTAACCAGGGACAATGCTTGCCGATCTGAAGAACCTCATGCTCGGATAATTATTGCCAGATATGGCTCGAGAGATCCGGCGCAGGCATCTTTGCTCTCAGCTTGGCTCCTGGACTCCAGGCGTCCTCCAGCTTATGGTCCCCCTCGAGGTCTTGCTCATTCCTAACAGGCAGGACGTAAGGCGGCTCGCACAAGTCTCTGTACACAGCGCCCCACCGATCTTCGCGATCGTCGAACCGAAGATCCCGCATCGTGGGCGGCTGCCACTCATAGCGGTCGACCAACCTACCGGGGTGGTGGACTTTATGGAGCAGTTCTTTGTCAATCACCAGCCAGCGGACATGGCCGAAACTGTTTGCGCGCTTGAGTTTCTTGGTGAGCTTCTTCACGGCTGGAGCCAAGTCCTCTGCTCTCTCGGCGTTAATAATCTTGATGGCGTGGAAGAAGACTGACTTGGCCGCTGGGAGACAGCAGGCACAACAAGTCTTGTTGGCGCAGGCGAGGCTGATAAAACTCGGAGGGTGCACCTCGGCGTGTTGAGCTGCGATCAGCTCAACGATCTCGCCGGGGAGGCGCGCGAGGGCCATAGGAGTTGCTAACCAGAAGAGCTGGGTGTTGGTAGAGAACTACTACTAGTGCCTGCACTAAATTCTCTGAGTCACCATTGACTCGTGTTTTCGGTTCTAATTTAGCGTGTACGGTTGTCTTGTCAAGCCCATCATGATCATGAATTCTAAAATCATTGTTGATTAACTACAGGACCATCAATGGTTGTGCCGGGGCTCCTCCCATCGCTGCGCAACACGCTGGTACTTGACCGCACTACGCAGCACCATTCCCTCATTCAGCTGGTCCGTCTGGCGACGGAAGATCTCTTGCCACGGCGTTTGGTTCTCAGGGCCCGAGTAGCCACCACGAGCCTGTAGATCAGCTCGGCGGCGCTCGAGTTCTGCGGCATCAATCAGAATATCGACGCGGCGCTGGTTCAAGTCAACACGCAGACGATCACCATCACGGAGAATGGCGAGATTGCCCCCAGCCGCAGCTTCAGGGCTTGCATTCAAAATGGACGGAGAGCCCGACGTCCCGGATTGCCGCCCGTCGCCAATACAGGGCAGTGAGGTGATGCCTTGGCGCAGCAGACGCGCTGGCGGGTGCATGTTGACCACCTCCGCAGCACCTGGGTAGCCAAGAGGGCCTGCGCCGCGCATCACCAAGATACTAGTATCGTCGATTGGCGTGGCCGGGTCATCGAGTCGGTCGTGATAGTCCTCGGGCCCGTCGAAGACCACAACCGCACTCTCAAAAGCATTCAGATCCGCCGGGTTCTCCAGGAACTTCTTCCGGAATGTCGGGGAGATCACGCATGTCTTCATGATTGCCGAGTTAAATAAGCTTCCTTGAAGATGCAGGAACCCGGCGTCCGCCATCAGCGGATCGGCATAGGCACGGATTATACGCCGGTTCCACGACAGCTGGCCCCGCACGTTCTCCTCCACGGTGCGTCCATTGCAGGTTAATGCGTCTGGCCGTAACTTCCCCGCCTCAAGCAACTCGGCCATGATAGAAGGGAGTCCGCCAGCACGGTAGTACTCCTCGCCTAGGAACTCGCCGGCGGGTTGCATGTTGAGGAGCAGAGGAATATGGAACCCGAGTTCGTCCCAGTCATTCAGCGAAAGATCCACGCCGATGTGTTTGGCCATGGCATTAATATGGATAGGAGCATTTGTGCTGCCACCGATAGCCGTGTTCGTGACAATAACATTCTCGAACGCCGCGCGCGTCATGATATCGCTTGGTTTTCGGTCTGCATGAACCATTTCGACAATGCGCTCGCCGGTCTCATAGGCGCATTGGGTGCGTTCCCGGTATGGCGCCGGGATAGCTGCCGAGCCAGGGAGCGCCATCCCCAAGGCTTCTGCCAGAGCGTTCATTGTCGATGCCGTACCCATTGTGTTGCAATGGCCTACAGACGGCGCTCTGCATGAAGATAGAAGTGTTAGCCTACTTCTTTTCACTTCCAATAGAGGCGCGGACCTACCCTCGAGACACATAGTCGATAAATTCCTCGCGATTGATCTCGCCCGCCGCATACATTTCTCGTCCTTTCCAAACGACCATTCCTGACCCGGCCAGGTCATTCTTCACGTATCCATTGAGCATCGGGCCAACATTGAGGCATATTGCAGGAATATTCTGTTGCGCGTCTGCCGTTAGCTCCGACCGAGAGAACGTATAGAGAACAGGCTATACGTACCACTGTGGCAGCCGCCATCAATGCCGCCGGGGTCGTCTTATCGCATCCCGTCAAGAGCACAACTCCATCCAACGGATAGGCATGAAGAATCTCCACCAGCCCCAAATACGCCAGGTTGCGATCCAGACACGCCGTCGGCCGGCGCGAGCTCTCTTGAATCGGATGTGTGGGGAACTCGAAAGCAATGCCACCCGCACTCCGGATACCCTCGCGCACGCGTTTCGCCAGCTCCAGATGATGCCGGTTGCACGGCGCAATGTCTGAGCCGGACTGCGCGATGCCGATCACCGGTTTGCCGGACATCAGCTCCTCCCGTGTCATACCATAATTAAGATATCGCTCGATATACAGCGCCGTCATACCGGGATTACTATCGCTGTTGAACCATCGTGCCGATCGCAGCTTGCGACCTCCTCGCGGCAACACCGAGCCATCGTGCAGCGTGGCGAGGGTCTTCTCCAACTCGTGCGTGCGCTTGCGCAGGGCCAGGAGCTCGGATTCGCAGTCTTCGATGTTGATCGGGGCTCGGTTGTCGTCGCAGGAACAACCTTCGCAGGAGGCTTGCGGGTTACACGGCATAATGGGGTGGGGGAGCAATTTGCAGCTTGGGGATTTTTGGAGATCTGGTGGCAAGGTAGAATGCGACAGCAGCACAACCCTTACCAGACCGAACCAAGAGCCAGGATGGGATTAAGGAAGAGAGACAGAGGCAGTGTCAGAGTCATTGTAAAAGAAAAAGAATCCAATGCGATCAGCGAGCCATGGGTTAATAGAAGAACCCGGCACACGGAGACCGAGCCGCGGAGCAACCCCACGGAGTTGCTCCGACATCCCACTCGACCCTCGGGGGACGTGGGGGACTCTGTCCACTTTCTTACTTAGGGCAGTCTGACACTGACACTGTTCTGCTCTGCTCTGCATCCTTCAGCCTCGAGTCTCCTCTTTTCTCCAGAAATGCCGCAACCCCCACGCCATCCCATCCACTCCCCACGGAGACCCACTCCAAGCCAAAAGATCCATTGCCATGTCTGGGTCTATTGTACTGTTCACCGAAGGAGAGATTTATCAACAAGCCACAAAATAAGACAGAAAGAAGCAAAAGGAAATGCAAACACCCAAACTCCATCAATGCCAAGGGTTTATTGAGCCGCGCACTGCGCCGGTTCCTCGTCGTCATCTTCGTCCATCCAGGCCGATCCGCCATGGCCATCATGAGCACCAAAGTCCTCCAATTTAGCCTTGGGGTCGTAGTCGACCTCGTCCACGGTGTCTGACACAATGGGCGTGTCCGGCTTCGGGAGCAGCTCCTTGAGTTTCTCCAGCATCGCCGGGGTGGGCTTCCAGTTCGCGTCGGGGAATTTGACATTGACCACCAAATACAAGTCCCCGCGATTGTCGCTGCGCTTGATGGGCATTCCCTCGCCAGGAATCTTGAGCACTTGTCCCGGAGAAAGAATTCCGCCGGGGGTCTGGGGGTGCTTGAGCTCGATGCCTCTGCCATCAAGGTGCTTGATCACGACGCGCGAGAACCCGCTCAAGGATTCGGCCAGCGTGATATCGATAGTCGCGCTCAAATCCGAGCCGGCCCGGGTGAATACCGGGTGTTCCTCCTCGACCACCTTAAAAACAATATCGCCAGGCTCTTGGTCGGGGACTTGGTCCGCCTCGCCCTCCAACACGATCTTCTCTCCCTCCCTGCGAACGAGGTCAGTTAGGCTAATATGATAGTCTGGGCAATGGAACAACATACCGTGCGCCTCGGGGGATCCAAATCTCCAGGATCTTCTTCTCCTCCGTCGTCTTCTTCCCCTTGCACTTCTTACATTTATCCTTGGGGCTGAAGAAAGAGCCCTGCCCGTTGCACACGGTACAGGGAGCTGTGGACTGAGTAAGAAACTGGCCCATCCGGGTCAAGACCTCTTTGTATCCCTGGCCGTCGCAAGTCGAGCATTTCTTGGCCGTCGCCTTCTCCTTGCCGCCCTTGCCCTTGCACAGGCCGCAGATGATGTTCTTCGTGCTGGCAAACTTGACCGTCTTGCCCTTATACAGGTCCTCGAGGCTAACTTCATAGTCTTGCTCCTCGTTGGCGCTTCTCCGCGGTCGGTTCGGACGGGGTCCAGCTCCTCCTGGCATGCCGCCCATGCCACCCATACCAAACATCTGCGCTAGCAGGTCGTCGAGGTCGGGTGCAGCGCCCATCCCGGGTTCGCCGGAGCCGTTGAATGCAGACATGCCATGGGTGTCGTAGATTTCTCGCTTTTCTTCATCGTAGAGGATATCATATGCCTCCTGCACAGACTTGAACTTGATCTCGGCCTCTTCGCGCTCGGATTCGGGGACTTTGTCAGGATGGCTTGCGAGCGCAGCCTATCGAAGACTACTGTCAGTACTCTGTGGGCCAAGATAATTTGATCGAAGATTCCCGACTTGCCTTCCGGTATGCCTTCCGAACCTCATCCTTGCTCGCGCCGCGATGGATCTCTAGGACCTCTGATATAACAAACAGACATTGTCAGTCTTCTTGCTTCATTTTTTTTTTTTTTTGGGGTAAAAGAAAAACCCTCGTACCGTAGAGGTCAACCTCAGCTTGCGCCACTGCAGAGTCCGTCAGTAAGAGAAACGACACCGAGCCACGGGCGCCGCTCTGGACACATACTGAGTTCGACTGATGATCAAAAATATGCAAATCCTAAGCGCTTAGAGAGAAAGAGCAAAAAGTATCACTCTGAAAAGAAGCGGTCCAGAGATGGGGAGGTGAAGAAGAGAGTGGTGGATGCAGCGTTGCCAAATCGAATTTTTGTCGGAAGCTTCGCGGAGCCGCTCCGCAAAGTCAACACTTTAACTCACCTCACCTCTCTTGCCCCAACGAGAGCCTCGAACATTTACACAATGAGGAGTCCTCCCCGGCTGTTTTCTCGGCGCTCTTGGATCTGCATCCAATGCAGGACCTGCTCGTCTTCTTCCGCGGCCACTGCGGGCGCGCAGCTCCGCAAATCTAAGAACAATCTGCCCGACGCTCCGGCGCGCACGCGTTTTGCGCCCTCGCCCACCGGATATCTTCATCTGGGATCGCTCCGAACTGCGCTTTTAACTATCTCCTGGCCAAACGCACCGGTGGCCAATTCCTGCTGCGCATTGAAGACACCGACCAGGTTCGTGCACGACACTGGGACTGGGTGGACGACCAACTGATGGACGCAGAAACGGACAATCCCTGGTGCTGAGCAACGGCTCTATGATGATTTGAAATGGGCCAGATTACAGTGGGATGAAGGTGAAACCAAGCTACAGTCTAGCACGAGGGATCCGAAGGAGTCTGACTTTCAACGCTGCCAGGTCCCGTCATTGGTGGCCCGTACGGACCTTACAGACAAGTAAGACGCTGCGCTGTTGCTGCATTTTGTACACTACTGACTTTTCATTTTTCGCTCAGTCCGAACGGACAGCTTTGTACCGCACCCATGCCAATGACTTGATCGCCAACGGCCACGCCTACCGATGTTTCTGTTCTGCAGACCGACTCGATTCGCTCGCCCGGCACCGCAGCCAAGCAGGCCTGTCCCCAGGGTACGATCGACAATGTGCAGACATCTCCGTCGAGGAATCGGAAGACCGCGCAGCCAAGGGAGAAGCGCATGTGGTCCGGCTGAAGATAGAGGGGTACCCGATGTTTAATGATCTGGTCTATGGCAAGACAGGACAGAATCGGCCCAGTACCAGCAAGCTGGACTTCATCGACCGCGTCTACGACGATCCGATTTTGCTCAAATCCGATGGTCATCCGACGTACCACTTGGCCAACGTCGTTGACGATCATTGCATGAAGGTTACCCATGTCATCCGGGGAACGGTAGGCTCTTCCTCTCTTAGAGGTTTTTGGGGGAGCAGCAGCTCACATCTACTAGGAATGGATGCCATCCACCCCAATGCATATGGCGCTATACAATGCCTTCGACTGGAAGCCCCCGCGATTTGGGCATGTCCCTCTACTCGTCGACAAGACCGGGCAGAAGCTCAGCAAGCGAAATGCCGACATTGACCTCTCGTCCTTCAAGGACCAGCAGGGGATCTTCGCAGCGACGCTGGTGAACTTTGCCGCGCTTCTGGGATGGTCTCATTCACAGAAATCCGACGTCTTCGGTCTGAAGGAGCTGGAACAAATTGTAAGCTCTTTTGGAGTCGAGCAAATGCGCATTTGTTCCTAGCTAACATTCTCCTCAGTTCAATCTGAAGATCACCCGAGGCAACACCGTCGTCGCCTTCGAAAAGCTTTGGTTTCTGCAAAAAGCACATGCTCAACGCTTCGCAGCAAGCGGTGGTCCTGAATTCGATGAGATGGTGAACAGAGTCTGCTCGACAGTAGAAGAAACCCATTCTCTCGAGAAGCTGTAAGTTGCCGCCAATTTCCAGTGGAAAAAGGGACCAGAAAAGAACACACTTCTAACCCCAACAGGTCCCCGATCCTGGAAGACCGAACTCTCCCGCAATACATCGCGCCGCTCCTCCGCGCCGACGCCAAATCCTACACAGATACAACCAACTTCGTCCAGCGCAACTCCACCTTCTTCACGACCCGCCTGAACAGAAACCCCTACACGCCCGCTTCCTCCCCTTCTCCCCCACCCTCATCATCCTCTGACTCCATTACTTCCTCTCCTCCCCAAATCCCCATCCAAGCCCTCCACACCGCCGCCGCCGCCCTCACCCTCGTCCCCCCAACCCACTGGACAATCGAAACCCACCGCACAAACATCAGCTCCTACGACGGCAGCGACGCCGTTTCCGTTTCCTCTGCCCCGGAAAGCACTAGTAGTGGCGAGGGTACTGGTTCTACTGCGACACTGCCTGCAGCAGACAAAATCTTCAAAAAGGAACTATACCACTACCTGCGCTGGGCACTATCGGCTTCGGCGCCTGGGCCGGGGATCCCCGAGACCATGGCGATTCTCGGGCGGCGGGAGACGGTGCGGAGAGTGCAGGAGGCGAAGAGCTTGACGGAGGCGTTGATTCCCTCTGCTGGGAGGAGGGTTCCTAAATCTTCTTCTGGTGGTGCTCAGGATGCGGATGAGGATCGGAGTTGGATGGGGTCGCTTGCGCCGGAGCGGTAGAGGGTCGCTTTTGTAATATCTAGTTGTTGTTTGGGATGCCCCTGTGGTAAATAGCTATGCTGTCACTGCTGTGGTGGCTTGTACTTTTAGTAAAATACAAAAATGAGCAGAAGTATAGATGAAACTTCCAAATCTAGCTGTCTGAGCAGCTACATCAATCAAGAACGCTCTACGAGTCTACCACTTTATAACCAGAATCATTCAAATAGTTCTTGAATCGAAGAATAAAATTATCAAAAATACACAAATACTGACTGTGCCACGCTGAAATCCAACAGACAAGATAAACCAAACAGAATCAAGATGAAACAAAGTCCGTATCCCGCGAAGAGGAGCCAGACCAGAGAGAAAAAAAGAACAATTCATAAGCACCAAGCCAAGGAAATCCCATGGAAAGGGAAGAAAGTAACAGAGAAGCAAAGAAGATAACACCATGCCAAAATAAACAGCAAAGAAAAGATTAAACCCGTCCGAGATTGAAAGGGAGCGGTCTGTCTGCAGGAGGAAACGTAAAGGACAGGAACCCTCCAGGAGCTGAGGACTTGACACAGTCAAGGGGCAGCGTTGGACTTGAAAACATCGACAGAGGAAGAAGAGGGCATGAACAAGGTTGGCATGACGAACTCGAAATTTTGAACACGAAAGAAGATCAAAGCCGGCCACTCGGTAGTCTTCGCATGCAGGGAAGACATCTGTTCGTAAGGAATCGGATAAAGCCCAGTCGTAAGGGGATGTTGAGAGACCATCATGAGCCATGAGCCGTGCAGAGTCCAGTCGTAGGATCGTAAATTACCAACCGATTGCGTAAACACAGCTGAAGATCCGAAGCGCCGGAGAAAAGGGGTGAAAAAAAGGGTCCAGAAAAGTGAAATGTAGTAAACGCCGGGTACATTAAGACAGATGGAATGGACTGGTGTTGAGACCATTAATAGGATTCAAAATCCTCGGTCCACTCGGTATCACTGCCGGCGACGCGGAGCACTTGCCCGGGATGAGGGCCGTCCGGGCTCACGCTGCGAATGCCTTTGGGCTTCTTGCCTGAGATATCTAGGCCATCTTCTGGCGCAAACCGCTTGCCATGGGCCGCACGCAGCTTGGCATAGTAAACGTCGCTAGCGTCAAATTCTGACTCCGACCCATCGTCAAAGGTCTCCCAATTCTCAGACCCAGAAGTAGCGGTATTGACTGTGGATGAGTTCGATGTCTGGCGAAGAGGGGGCGGGGGAGGTGCATGCTGGAGGTAGGGGTTGGCACGCGGGTAGCCTTGCATGGAAGAGTTCAGGGACAAGGAGGACATCGAAGAATGGGAGGAGTGGGAGAATGGCACTGATCTTTGGGAGTTGGAGAGAACGGAGGAGCTCATGAACGATCGCTGTCGGTCATCGTAGGGATCTTCGGGGCTGACTGGGCGTACAAAGGCGCTGGACATGGCGCTGTTGCAGCGAGGGGGCTCCATTTGATAGCTGTTGCGTTCCTCCCTCGATTCAACGGTCAGCGCACGCATACGAGGCGCCGGAGCGCGGGGAGGCGGCATCTTGCCACCGATAGTACTGGAAGAGTAGGAGCCAGGGCCAGTCCGACGATCGGGCGAGTTGCTCCCATGGGGCATGTTCGACAGGGGAGCACGGGCGGGAAGCTTGGTTGGTGAATTGGCCCCAGACCGTGAGCCTGAGTAGCCGATGGTGTTATGCTTCACCGGTCCGCTCCCAGTTGGCGTCTTAGTGGCTGAACGGGGGGGTCCTCGCATGGAGCTTCCGGGGCGAGATCCAGGCTGTCCTCTGACAGTGCCGGTTTTGGTAGCGGAAGGCGGCCCAGATGGGGTCTTAGAGCGCGGCGGAGGCTTGGCAACCGCCGGTGTCAATGTGTCGAGGTATCGGTCCCCGTGGACGAGGAATGGTCGGCCATACTCATCCTCCCAATGCTCCAGCTCCTTTCGCAGGTCCGCCTCAAGCTTGGGCAGTTCCTTCGCAATGCGCTTTCTCAGCTTCTCTTCCCTCAGCAGCTTCCCGGGATCGCGCTTCTCGCCCTTGTTGCCACGGGCCATCAGGCGGGATGCATCCTGGCTAGAGGTTGAGAGGGCATTGCGGTCCGCCAGAAGACCACGGTGTCTTTCAATCAACTCCAGAGTGGGAGCGCGCTGCTCCTTGAGTGTCTCCAATCGAGAGATCTCGGCCTCATGGGCCTCGAGCAAAGCATCACTGCACACATCCGAGAAGGCAGGTGTGAAGTCCAGCATCTCTTCTTCGGAGAAGAAGAGACTATCCCAGAGCTCCTGCAGCCTGCAACGAGCATCCTCCACGAAGAGATGCAAGTTCTGCCTCTTCAGCTCGTTAAGGCGGGCCAGCTCCTCCTCCAATTCGTTGATGGTACGCAGACCACAACCGCGGTTAGCTGCAAGGAAGGCCTTACGATCAGACTCTTCAACACCAAACCGCTCCCAGAGACTCTCGACGGCAGCTCGAAGATCTTTGATCTTGCGCTCACGGCCCTTCTTTTCATCAATCAACTTGTCGCGCTTGCCTGTCAGATTGGCAAGGTCCGTCTCATGCAAACCGAGCTGTTCGGGTGATTCGCGGTAAAACTTAACGATGGTCGAGTCTGTTTGCACTTGCGGCGTTCCAAGCTCAGCCCACATCTTGATAATCTCTTCGCAAGTGGTCTGGACGTAGGAAGCACGTCGATGGTACTCTTCGTAAACTCTGGTGAACTCGGCATCCAGGGCCGTGACATAGGTGGGCGAAAGATCAAAGCTTGGCGGGATTGACGCGCCCGGTGCGGTGGGTGGCAGCTCAATAGATAGGAATGAGGCCTCAAGGTGGGATGAATAGGATTCAAGGGCGTCAACAAGTTCTGTCAAGGGTTAGCAGACATGCACTCGTAATAGTTATTCAGCATAAACTCACTCTTAACCTGCTCGAAACGCTCGCGATGAAGCTTGCTCATTGCGTCACTCTTTTCGCGCAAGAACGTGATACACCGGTTGAGCGGATAAGTGACGCAAAGCTCATCGCGATTCAACTCATATTGGCCATTGGCCCTCTCATCGCCCAAGGATGCCTCCATCTGCTGGATGGTCATGATGAGGCGTTCTGCTTCTTGGGTCATTTGCTCCTTCTCACTGTAGGGGGGATCTTTGTTAGCCACAATTGTCGCCAACAAGGGTCTCAAAGTAAAAGTAAACTCACTCATCCACGAGCTTGAGATGGTTGCTTAGGGTCTCTGAGAGAGCGCTGAAGAGCTGTAGAACTGGATTAGCTTCAACCCATTCGACCATAATGTCTGCAGACAAAGCTTACCTCTGCCTCGCGCGAGTCCCGCTCATGGCCAGGAATCCCGATCTCGTCGAAGATGCCATGGAGCTGGGCGACGATGTTATTGACCTGGGTGGTCAAGTAGCTTGTGTCGACAGCCATTGGAGGCAAAAACCTCTTTTCGAGGACAAGCAATGGATTCGAGTCAAGGAATGTAATTGAATCCGACGACAGAGCGTCTGGCAGTCGAAGCTGCGACAGCGACGCCAAATGCCGGAATCAAAACGAAGAAGAAAAAAAAGGCCCTTCCCAGCACGCGGTATGGGGAAACGAAGGTGGATTGCCAAAAGCCTCAATGAGGAGACATCGAATGTAGTAGAGGGAGTGTTGATGAGGGGAGAGGAGGAGAAGAAGGGCTGGATCGGGGATGATAACATGCGACTCCAGCAGGCGCGATGTTTTGGCGCCGATCGTCTCCTGGGGCAACCACTGACTCAGCCATCTTCACCGCCCTATATTCTGCCGGGTGCCCTCCTCCCCCACCGCCTTTCTCCACCGTCTCCGCCATGAACTACACTTCTGCCCAGATTGCTCGCAGCGACAGTGTGGTCAGTCTTGTCTATCGTGGGAGCTCAGAAAATCACTTGGTCATTGAATTTGCTCAATCTCGCATCACCTGAATTCAGAATGCAGGCTGCTCAGCAGTCCTGGGGTTAGTCTCTCCATTTTCATACGTGGCAGGCAGCTCTAGATGGGAAACTGACAGCAGCACCCTCACAGAGCTCGAGAACGCGATAAGCATCTTCGATCCGCAACGCGATAGCCTCTACCAATATGACGAACACATGCAAAAAGTCTTCAATGACGCACGACCGTGGGCGTCGAACCCGCACTATTTCAAATCAGTACGGATCTCCGCGACAGCGCTGCTAAAAATGGTGATGCACGCGCGGTCGGGTGGTTCAATGGAAGTCATGGGCCTAATGCAAGGCTACATCATGCCGGAGACATTCGTGGTGACAGACGCATTCCGACTGCCAGTCGAGGGCACAGAGACACGGGTCAACGCCCAGGACGAGGCCAACGAGTACATGGTGTCATACCTGCAGTCGTGCCGGGATGCGGGCCGACAGGAAAACGCCGTCGGATGGTACCACAGCCACCCGGGGTACGGGTGCTGGTTGAGCGGGATCGACGTGGCGACGCAGCAGACGCAGCAGATGACGGGCCCGTTCGTGGCGGTGGTCATCGACCCGGAACGCACCATCTCGGCGGGCCGAGTGGAGATCGGCGCATTCCGCACCTTCCCGCTCGACTATACCCCGCCCAAGGAGGGCCACGAGGACGACGAGTACCAGACCATTCCGCTTGGCAAGGCTGAGGATTTCGGCGCCCACGCTAACCAATACTATTCCCTTGACGTCTCGCACTTCAAAAGTACCCTCGACACCGACCTCCTCTCGCGCCTCTGGAACAAGTACTGGGTTGCGACTCTCAGCCAGAGCCCGTTGTTCACCTCGCGCGACTATGGCAGCAAGCAGATGATGGATCTCAGTGAAAAGGTGCGCAAGGCTACGCGCGGCCTTGACAATTACGGCCCCCGCGGCGGCGGAACTACCTCCAAGGACCAGCAGCTGGATAAGGTCGTCCGCGGCGGAGAACGCATCGTGTCCGAGGAAGTCAAGGGCCTCCTGGCCTCGGAGGTGAAGATGAAGCTCTTTCAAGGCATCGGTGACCAGTCCTCGTCCGCAACATAAACTCGTTCAGAAGCGGGGCTGTGTTTGGTTTCTCAGAGATCGACACGAGTGGGCCTCTGCTTTTCTTTTGTTTCTGCAATTCGGTGTCTTTGGCGCTCCCGGCGGATCATTTTCCCATGTTTCTTCCGACGTTATCTTGCTCCATCTTTCTCCCTTCCATCTGCCCGGTTTTGCTATCTCTGGGCAAGTCTTACGTTGATGCATCATGACCATAGAACGTCTCCAGCTGTTGCAGGGAATCAATCTATGCAACTTTAACATTTCCCTCTGGCCTCAGTGGGTCGTAATTTCAAGTAGTCCTCGAGTGAAACCCCCGTGTTGGGACCATAGCTCAACACCAAAGTCAGACGCTGTAGATAGGATGATAGAATGATATAAAATAGAAAATAGAATCGGCTTCTATTGTTCCGGGCTATATAATCCCAGATATGAAACAAGTAGTGGAACACAGTAGATACAATGAAGCGAGCAAGACGCACGCCAAAGAACCGAATCCATCTGACATCAAACGTGAGTCCCAAGTCGTGACGTGTCATGATTCAAAAAGACGGCATCCAGGACATTAACCTTCAAAATGGATCGTCTCACCCAAACGATAACGAAAAGGTATCTGAAATAAAAAAAACGAGAAAATCAAAAATCAAAACCAAAAAGCAAGGGTGAACGAAACGGCCAGAAATGTAGGGCCAGTATGTGTGATAGGGGGGGTACATGGGATGAAGAGTGTCGGTGTAGTCTCGAGAGAAAAGTCGGGAAAAAAAGGGAGAAAGATATAAAAAGTAACAACCAAACACCAACGGAGAAAGAAACAGAAAAAAAAAAAGGTATATAGAGACCAACAACCGAGGATATCGCCAGTGCAGGAGCCGAATGCGAGAAAATAGGACGCCGTGGCGGCCGCATGAGCGGTCAAGATCGTGGTATGATTCGGAGAATCGACCCACATGAGCACTGCAGTGGTGGGGATCGTGAAACATCACGGAGTAGATGAGCGACAAATGCGGCTGTCCGATGCACTAAGGATGTCTTGGACACGGTCATGAGGTCCTTTCCCGAAAAGGAGGGGATCAACAGTGAGACAATGACGGTGACCATGTGGCGGAATCGAGCGAATCGCCCCTAAACTTGGGCGGATCCAGGGAGCTCCACTCCAGTTTACAGGAAACCGGACTCAGAAAGCAATCTACGAGGTTCAACGTCAAAAACGGTTAGTCTCAAGAACCAAATTCCCGAGCAAACGCCAATTGGCAGGTAAAACACAAGATAGATCATCGCAGAAGCGCGACGGAGCTTGCAGACAGCAGAGAGGTCTTTTCTTTGCTTGCAGCTTCAGCATACCTTGCAATCTTCTCATCCTCGCGCTCTCTAGGCTCGATCTCCAGACTCCGGTCGTACATGTCGTGCACGTCACCCGCCGCTTGTAGATTACTGAGGATATAATCCTGAAGCTCGGGCACAGGTTGAAGCAGATACGGCACATTTTGGTACTGCTGAATGTCTCGAATAACTTCTGCTGTCTTTGCCCGCTTGCTGAAGTTGATCAACTCCGACGGCGTCAGGGAAGGAATTCCATCTTCAATGAAAGTCAAGTCCGTGAGATAGACACCTAAAATACTATGTTAGTCGCAGGCCAGGAAAGGAGAAGCAAAGAAAGGCCAGGAAGCCTCGCTGCTTTGTATTTCGTACCGAAAAACGGAATGCAGGGCGGGTTGGCCAGGTGCAAGGTTTCCCGGTATTCGCCAAAGTTCTTCGTGCTAGCCATGAGCCGGCGCATCTGCTCCAGGATTGCAGACGTGCGCCCACTGACCTGACCCCATGTCCGACCAAGCCGGTGGATAGGGGCAGTTCCAAGGGCCGAAATGATGGATGTCAGGGTAGAGTAGTTGTTGAGAGCGCGACATTTCTACCGCATCAAGTCAGCAATGAATCGTTGGAAATATTCTGCGCAAAGAAAAGGTGAAACTTACATCAGCCACGTTCACAAAATGCTTGATGACAACCACACGTTTCTTGACATCACCCTGGGTCAAGATCATTTCCGCGACCCAGTTGGTCAGTTGATTTGAGTGCAGGATCAGAGACTTGACATTGGAAGCCGGCTCGGGCTCGTCAGGGCCGACTTTCTTCTGCCATGTCTTGTTCAAACACTCGGTGGCCCGGATCTTGGAGTACAGGCGCGACTCGATGATAGTCAACTGCCGCGCAAACTCCGTAGGGTCAATGTCGAGGAACTTGAGCTTCTTCATGTTCTTTGGGATAATTGGGGGCGGCGCAGCGTTGCTCTGGGTCGGAACGAGGCGCTTGACGGTCGTGTCTTGTCCTCGAAGGCGCTGTTCAATCACAGCAAGTAATGTCGGGGACCCCGGGGTTTTGGTGGTGGCAATGGAGTCCTTGGTAAACGCATGGACCCGTCGGAGAAGGTCCATATTAACCTCGTCGTTGTTCTCCATCCAAAAGTGGTCAAACCAGCTCTTGAGGATATTGACAACCCGGAATCTGATCGGCTTTTGTTTGCGGTCGATCCACATTTGCATGTCATCTTGGTTCAGACCAAAGGGAGGCTGGATGTTGAACCGTTGAACCAGCATCTCAAACAGCTCTGACGCAGTGGTAAAAGAGCGATAGGTGAGGAGGAAGGTGTTATTAAAGGATGCATCGAGCTTATCGTGACGCGTCAGGTTCTCAACCAAACCAGACAGCGTTCCGCATTTGAAGACTGGCACATCGCCCTTGGTGTCGTAAAAGGTTTCTGCTTCATGGTCCATCTTCAAGAACCACGGGGTCTCCTCGGGTTCTCGAACTGGTTCCCGGATCGGTTCCCGAGTAATGGCCGTAGGCGGTGCCTGACCAAAGAACCTCTGGGCCTTGTCCATGTTTCGCCGGACCTTTTCGTTATCATTCTCCATGGCGTAGGAGGATGGGATACCAATAGACTCCGTGGCAGTCTTGGCTTGGGATTCGGCGCGACTATGAGTGCCCTTGTTGAGTGATTCATCTTCCTCTTCCAGTCGACTGTCGCTTCGGAGAACGGACGCAGGCTCAACAGGAATCTGTTCAAGAAGCAATGAGAGTGAGAAGCCGATCTGCGATACGTAGTTTTCCAGCTGTCTGGCGATGCTCCGCACAGCATTCAGCCGGTCGTCGAGTGAATCGCCGCGGAGCTCGGCCCACTCATCAGCAAGAGGAGCCGAGACCGCCTGGCAGCTCAAGACGAAATCACCAATACTATCATAGACCCGTTGCTTTTGAAGACTGAAATCAACCATTTGAGGATTCTGGTAGCAGGTTCCCAGCGGCGCAAGGTTGATCGACTCAACGGCGGAAACCCACGGGCGGAACTGCTCGACAACCTTGATTGCTGCAACTGAGATTGCATCCGCAATAGCTTCATGTTCTGATACTGTGACGATCTTGGTGTTCAAAACCAAGCGTTCCTCCAGCCGACGGATGCTGCCCACAAGAGACCTCCTGAGAATATCAATCTGGTCCAAAAGGGTGGCTTCCAAAGAGATCGAAGGCTCCACTCGCGAGTCACCACCTTCAGGGACAAGGAATGACCTTGGGCCTGATGCATCCAAGGAGACACCGTTGTTTTGCCAGCTGCCACCAGAGGAGCTGCCAGCAACAAAGCCAGGTACAATGCGGCGAATGTTCTCCCCGCGCTGTTGCCGAGCCACATCAACATAGCCATATACTCCCTGCATGACACCATCGGCCTCTTGCAAGCACTTATTCACCGAGTCGGATCCAGGCCAATCCGCAGCCGCAATATGTGAAGAAAGCACCAGCTTGGAGAATTTGGACATCATATCCCGGAAGTACGGGTAGAGCGCCTTGTTGGTAGAGATAATCGAAGGGTTGCCCGAATGATTATCGGTCGTGTCCGACCCGGCAGCCAAGAGCATACGCAGATGATCCGAAATGTCCTCAGCCTTTCTCACATATTCTGATCGCTCGCCGCTGAGAAGTGTTTGGCGGTAAGCCTCAACCGCATACTGCATATTATCCAAGAGCAGTGGCCAAGTGATGGGTGGTGCGAACCCGTCATCCACAAAGTGTTCCGGAGCATTAGAGGAGATAGAGGGTCTAGAGAAGCTTTCGGCGATAGAGGTATTGCCGCTTGTTGTTCCCGTGCTGCTAAAGGTCAGCTGGGGACTCTTGCTCGGTTGTTGCGACTGTTTGAGGTCTTTCGGGCCCGGAGGATACAACGAGTCCATCGATGTGGCTGGAGATACCCCATCCATAAAGGACTGGCGGCGGCGGGAGATCGAGTCGTGCGAAGCCAGCATCAAAGACTCGCCTTCCGCCTCCGATGCCGAGCCGTCATAATCGTCCTCGTCGCGTTCGAACCCGCGCGCCATCAGCTCGGGAGGCGGCCGCGTCTGGTCGGGAACGAAGAAGTTGGTCCGGTCCCGAGGACCATTCTCGTTGGCTACTGTCGGGTTTTCGAACGGCAGTTCCATGGTGGAGTACCCCGTGAGGGTGTTAAAATAGAAAAGACGACCATCTGGTGTCGCCTGGGGAATCCAGAACGCCGCCTCTTCGTGTTCTTTGGCCCCGGGGATGCCCTCGATCGGCAGGACTGGCGGCGAATGGCGGGGATTGCCCTCGGAGTCCAGCTCCTCGTCGTATTCATGCCCATCTCCATACTCATCTTCGAGGCCCGAGTCGGCGCTGAGGTCGGTGTCCTGGTGGGCGTGGATCAGGTGCTCGCCATAATCGTCGGCTTCCTCGATGATGGAGCAATAGTTGCTCGGGAACCAACCCCGAATATTGTCAATCACACCATCCCACCACCCGGTTTCCAACTGGTTGAGGACCTGAATAATGTCGCCGCGGCGAAAACTCAGGCTGGTGTGGTCGTCTGCATCGTAGTCGTACATGGCCCGCACGAACAAGGCGGGCGGCTCCGGGCTGACCGCATACCCGGAGGCCATTTTCGAGGGGGGATTACTCGGGCGGTCGAAATGGTGGGAGACGCTGGACCCCCGGCCGCGATGGAGGGCTGTGGGGGTGGCCTGCTCGTCGGTGTACTCGAAAGCGGTCGCAAAAGTGCCGGACTTGGTGGTCAGCGCAGATGTATCGACGGCGAGGTCAGCCGCGCGAAGTTCGTACATGGGGGGTCGAGGATCGACCAGAGTCCTGGGGAGGGCGGTTGGGAGGAGTGGATTGTTGGGCTTAGTATCCGCCGTGGTTCATGGCTGAATTTGACGGTTGGAGGAGGGGGTAAAGTGGGTAAAAGGGCAACCCACTTTCCGGGGAGCCTGAAGCAAGATTGCACAGAGGATTAAGGCATACAAGGGAAATAGAGTAATGATAGGGCGATATAGAGCAAGAATAGAATAAAATCGAAGAAATAGAAATATAAAAGGGAAATGAAGTGGGAGTTGGGATAAGGCGAGGTTACTTGCAAGGGGAGGTAACGGGGAGAGGGTAACGGAGGTATTTTACGCCTGACACCTTCCGACTGGGGGGCTACCCAGCATACTTACTGCACAGTAGAGGTACTTTAGCTATCTCATGCCTATACCTCAGTAACCCAGGTACTATTCAGTCTGACAGGTATATCCTCTTCTAGATCCATCACGGCCCCGATGCATCTACCGAGTTTGACTAGGAAATGATAATAATTCTCTCATCATTATCATTATCATTATAACAAATCCTCTTCAACGCCCCCAAATCCAAATGGCCCCTCAATCAGTCAGCTCTCTGACAGATTACTGAGACGGGAAATCCGCGCCCGGTTACCGTCACATCGTACCGAACCAGTACTTAATGAAGTGGCCATGGGATATCTGCCATAGATAGGTCTAGTAAGAAGAATATAATAATATGCTACTATAATAATATAATACTATAATACTATAATACTACAATAATGCACAGCAAGGGATGCAATATCTCTGCAGCTCGGACATTCCAGCCTGGTACTCGGGACAATATCCAACCCAACCAGAATGTTTCCCCTGTAACATCTCGTTTTCCTGTGTTCATCTGGTTCGAATATCAGTTAATATTCACTATGGTTCTAGAGAGGCTTACATAGGTCCATGGAAACCCTCGGCATCTTCAAATCGACATGTGCTGACCCTACTCCCCGGTCAGTGGCTGCAATGAAGCAGCCCAGTCCGACGCACCGGGGAGTAAAAACCGCGGCTGACATGGATAGTCATGAAGCACAGGCATTCTCGACAACCTCGTCCGATCTGTGGGAGGGGGATCCGAGAACAGGCCGCGTGGACCAGGAGCCCGGACTCGTGCTTGGGATGGCAGACCTCGACATCCATCCGCACACATTGACATTATGATCTCCTGGGGTAGGGTTTGAAATATGCCTTTGCCATGAGAAATGGATTGTGGGGTGGTACGACTGCGTTGCCCATCAATCAATCCCCCATCTGAGCTCTATCTATCAGTGCCATCGAGCATCAATGATCAACCACACAAGAACTACATACATACTATAATTCCTGGCCCATAGTCCATGGTACCGTATGATCCGGTATGCCATGTCTGAATCGTGATCCATGACCCTCCAGGATTTCGTCCCAAAATCGACTCTGCCAAGGAGCAATCCCGTTACACTAGACATGGATTCTCCTATGATGGGGACTATGTTACGCGAGAATCCCATTATTGGGACCTACACAACACCTCTATACATAACAACTTGCAGGGGTAATAGCCTCCGAGGATTCGATCAGACCTTGGTTTCCCCCTAACCCCAACTCGTGGGCTATAGATTGGGCCATGGGTTCCAAGTGCGAGCACACCATCAACGGACCGTTTTCCCTCGTGGGAGGGGCCGTTGATCGGCATACATTATTGGGGGGGGTTTGAGGGGTGGCGAAGCAGAGAATGGTGGAATTCAGGGAGAGGAGACGTGAGAAGGTGGTTCTCCATGTCCCAAACTTAGGACTAGTATAGTGATGGACATTGACTCCAATATGTCGGCAATAAGAGAACATCAGTGCCGTGTATCCGGGTTTATTTGTGACTCGGGGAATTTCATGCGACTGATATTCGGATTTAATATATTGGCATATTGGTTAAGCTATTATTATGATCATAGTTTTGGGTCTATGTGTTGAAACCCTCTTATGAGGTGCTAGATACAGAGCCTGGGGAGTTAGTGATGAATTATATATTCTTTCTTTAAGAATGTAAATGAAAATAAGAAACAAGAAAGGGAGAAAGAAAATATATATCTCGATCGATATATACCGCAGGGAATACAACATAAATTGGACCTCAAGTATGGAGTTAAGGGTCAAAAATATATAGATGCGATATATAGATTTTTTACTACATGCCTTAGAAAGTACCACTGTCCATCCGTATACTTCGGCTCCAGTTCATAGGCGTTACTAGTCAAAAGAGAGCATATCGATAGGAAATACCTTTCCAGATGTGACGTCCAATATATAGACAGAATGGTGATGTTGAACATGAATTGGCTGCCCTAAGGTCACCAACTAACCATTAAACAAGCAACCACGCATATAGTTTTAGACTGGCTGGATCTATCACATCAACTAAGAATATCCAAATGGTGTATCTCTAGTCTCTCCAGCACCTACAATTCGATCAAAGGCCAAACATACAATCTTCTACCAAGCCAGCAACTCGACCAGTTGTTGACTATAGTATTGCTATAGAATGAACACAACTCAGTATACTCCTTTCCTCGACCCACGGCATGAGCTCATCAGACAAACCCACCTCAATTTGCCACCCCTTGTTCCTTGCAGACCAAACATTACATACAATCAAAACCAACCCATCTGAAGTATCAAAGCGCACCCAGCCAGCCGGATATCCCGCGGAAACGAATCCTGCCGTCCGACGGAGCGGTCACCCAATTGGAACGCTGATACAGAAGCCCTAGTGAGATCCAGCGTCCTGGGTCTTGGATGATCCCCCTTTTTCTCTTTTTCTCTTTTGTCGGATTCATTGCATTGCGAGGATTCCTCCTCACACTTACTGCTGTATGTATCGTCAATCTACACTCCCTCGCCTCGCCCCCCTGTACTTCCTTCCCTCCCCACTTTCCCGCCCTCATGCCAGTAGTTTCGTTGGACTATGGAAGTTTAGACCCGGTTTTGGCCCTCGAACGACGGGCGTCAGAACGTTGAACCTTAGCAATTGGCTATGTTGTTACTTCCGGGTTCTCCGTCTTTTATTACTTTTTTTTTCCAACTTGGTAATTTGCGAGTCCCACACACTCTTTCCCCCTTTCCTTCGAGAAAATTCGGCGGATTCACTTCCGCGTGGGGCGGATCGAAGAACTGCCGTTTTGGATTGGGGGGTCCAATAAATCTGAATCGTCCCCCTGCAGCTGGTCCTAGATTCATTATACATGATAATATGATTTGAGATTCAATAGATTAAAACAGAGTTAATGAGATAGGGGCTGTTACCACCGACACGGTGCGTGGGATTCCAACTAGTAGAGTGTTTTAGAATCAGGATCAGGATTGCGGTGTTGTTTCGTGATAATCAAAAGATTGACAATCTAAAGACAAGAAGATCTGGACGGGAACGAACCATGGACCAGAAGGGTTTCCCCCGGACCCCTTCGATCTGTGACCGGTTTCCATGGTTCCAATTCTTCAATGATGCCATGTTGGATATCTACATCAATATCCTTTTGTGGTGCCTGTGTCTGACATTTACCAATGGTCGTGCCCAGTAGTAGTACAATGTCGCCGAGAGCCCCCAGCCTCAGCTCTTCGGGACGGCACAGCTACACAAATTATTGATCCAGACTCTTTCTCTGGATAGCCGGATTATACATTGAGTAATCCAATCCACTGCGGAACCCCCATGTAGTCATAACGGAGCCCTGAGTGGAGCCCGTACGTCTATCGGAGGTTCCTGCGTTCCAAGATGCTGGGAAGGTGGAATTTAAGAAGTTGGGGGGGGGGGGGGGGGGGTTCAAGGCCCATCGCTTAGCGAATGTGTACGATAGCGCGCACAATGGGGCCCCCTTTTTTTTTTCTTTCTTTTTTTTGAACCCTCAAATGCCCATTTTTCCACGCATCAACTGGTGTGGGGATGAGCAAATTCCTTAGTTTGCTTTTAGGGCTTGGTGAGTGAAGCGGTGAAGAAGTAGATCTCCCAAGGTTCTCGCTATAACATCACAAGCGAAGATCTCACCGACATCTTTGGCACCAAAGACGAAAAGATTCCAGACCGTCCTGGCGTCGAAGTCCACGGACTTGGGCTTTGGGCTAGGGAGTTATCGGGACGATAGGGCCAAGGCCCGGCTGCCGGTGCCCACTAGCCCAGTAGTTTCAGGGGCCGGGGGAAGAAATAGAAAAAGAAAACAGAAGGGAAAAAAAAGAGAGGTTCCTGGAATTCCTGGGCCTGGTGGAGTCACTAGAAAACCGCTGAGAGGTCTGATTCGTAATGGGTCCGATTTGATATTCTCCCTTTTCTCCTTCGTAGATCCATTATTGGACCGGGATAAAGTGGATATTGGAAGAAAAAAAAAAAAAAAAAAAAGGTAAAATTGGAATGAGACCGGATGATTTTTACGCCCCATCGAAGGGATTGGGAATGGGATCGTCAACCTTGCTCGAGATATTGCGGCAAGGGAAGCCATCACTGGCGGTCAAGTCACCGCTCTCTTGTAGGAATCCTCTGGTTGAGAACGTTGAGACTGGGCCGGTCCGCTGCATCGGCAAGTGGATCGAGCCTCATCCATGGATGCTATCGCGTCACGAAGATAGCTGCCCGACTCACCGCGAACTGGTCAGAGAGACTAGAGAGACTGTTCATTGCTTTCATCTCAAGACCAGCTGGATCAACGTCAAGTGTCTACTATTGTAACCCCAAACCTGATTCAAGCAGTGCGAATCAAGGGGGAAGAGTAATCTCATCAATGCGACTCATGTGCGAGGGCGAAGTCGATTGTTCGATGGCCATGGCCATGGGGTCTTCAACCCTGTGCCGTCTTGGGAGAACCTCCACTGAGTCGCCAGACGCGTTTCCCAAGTAACCGCGTTGGGTGCGCGTCGAGGATCCTCTCGGTTTTTTTTTTTTCCATGCCCCACGGAGGGGGGACCCGGGAATTTGCGATTTAAAATGATGTATTTTTTGTGTGGCTTTGCGGTGTATGTGAGGGACACCTCAGCGGGACGGGAGAGACTAACTCAAGCGGTTTGCCGTCAAGTTCATCAGTGGGCCCGAGGTGTGTGTGTACTGTATAGTGATGTATTGGGGGATTTGAGGCTTGGTTATATTTAGAGTCGAGTCGCTTTGTGCATGCAGATCATCCCAGGATATTCGTCTGTCCTTTTCTTTTTCTTTTTCTTTTCTTTTTTTTCGTTGGGATAATACCAAAGATGAGGCCGAATCGATGGTACACATCTCATTTGTACAGGTGGTCAGCCCGAGTGGCACAGTCAAACCGCCACACGGGCGACGCAGGTTTCCAGCTGTGATGTGTCAACGGGGCTGAGAGGATGGAAACTCAGTAGACTTGACTGGCAGAGAGAGTGTGTGGCTCACATTCATGCAAATTCGATGCAACACTTGGATAGCCGAAAATGCCTCCCTGTTTCATTCCCAAACCACCCGAAATGACCGAGAACTGTGCCACGATCCCCGAAGAAAGCGAATCTATCGATCGTGCAGATCTCCGGAGGGGTGGAGGGGTAGAGATGTAGAGGAGATCCATGGAAGTCAATATGAATGATGAAGACGAAGATGAAATATGAAATGCCTAGTATCGAGTCAGCCATACCGTCTCTACCATCTCGACAAGCACACCTCGACCAGTGTATCGGGGGAAGCCTCACGGATCGCCTCACATGCCGCCCTTTGTTTACTGAGCGAGGGGTGTCCACTCCGAACCCACCCTTCCCTCGCAGTAGACAGGGCTATTCCCAAGACACGCCGATCGTGTCAGACTCGATCAATCTGCAGATTTGGGCAAACTTGTCAACTTGTCAGCCAGTAAACCTGTAAACTGGAAGAGTCACTCCGAAATAACCAACCATGTGGGCTGTGCGATGCAGATGAATCTTACGAGTCGATGTATGGTAAAAGGGGGGGCACATTAGTGTCGGGACGTGGCAAGAGGAAGAGCAAGTGCGTGGCCGTGTGGAGGGGGCTGGGAAGTTCCCCCTCCAGTCCCGCTTTCGCCCCTCCGCGGCCTCACGCGTAGTAAGCGATGCTTGGGCCCACGTCCTCTCCCCCTCCCTTCGATGCCCCGAAATCCAAATTCCTCTTTCTCTTATTCTCCTCATCTTTCCCCTCTCCCTCTTCTCTTCTTCCCCCTCTCTTCCTCTCTCTTCCTAATCAGCGGTGCTTAACCACCCGCCCCCTTTCCTTTCAAGCGTGATTCTTTCTTTTTTCTGACGTGTGGCTGGAACACCCACTTCAACCCTCTATTTCCCCCCTCCTCAGAACACCACCCCCCCCCCCCGCGACCTTGGTTTTTTTCCCTCTTACCCCCCACTCAAGGAATGATCAGACATCCCAACGAACTTCTGTCGTCGACACGCCTTCAGAACCGGTGCGAGCTCACTCAGGGGACAATACCGCCATTTTCATCGCATCTCTGAGCCGAAGCCTTCCCCTTCGAACATGGCTCCATCAGCTCCCGGAACAGCCAGCAACTCGCCGGCCAAGAAGACCTCCGCCCCCGAAAAGAAATACAAGTGCCAGTTTTGCAATCGCGCTTTTAGCCGAAGCGAACACCGCAGTCGACATGAGCGGTCCCGTAAGTGTGGGAAATGAAATTTGGATGAGGGAACTTCCCGGCTGACTTCGATTCCAGATACCAAAGAGCGACCTTTCAAGTGCTTGAAATGCCGCAGTACCTTTGTTCGCCGAGATCTTCTCCTGCGCCATGACAGGACCGTTCACGCCAAGGATGGCGGCATCCCCCTGGTTGCAGAGGGACGCAGACGTGGTGGAGGGGTCCAAAAGTCCTCATCAGGCCCGTCCAAGCCGTCGATCACGATTGATCCGACGACGCTGGAGCAGATGGAGGCAAGCAGCGATGGTATGGTCGACCTTGAAACTGCAGCCATGTTGATGACAGATTTCCAACATAAGGCTGCAGCAGCGGCGACCGGTCAAGTCTCCGAGCGCTCCGAATCGCTCTCGCCCGGCCACGGCTCGTTCGAGCCGTATCTGTCGGGCAATGCCACCCTGCCTCAAATGCCCTGGGATACGCTCGCCTCTCCCGCGGAAACTGGCTCCACCATGCCGACGCTCGTCGACCGCCATGGCCCCGTCGGTGATGTTTTGCTGTCCAACTCTCTGCCCATGTCTGGAAACTCCACCCCCAACGCGCTGTCCCCCTACCCTTCCATGACGGGTCCGGTAAGCCCGGTCAACTACCGTCGCTCTCCAGGCCCCAGCCAGGCATTGACCCTTCCCAAAGCCCCTCAGATCTCTGATGACATGGAACGCAATCTGGTGGTGGAGCGGGTCCAGAGCGCCGACGCTCTGGGTGCCCTCCCAGAGACCTTCCAGCTGCCGGCTACTGCCGCGCTGAACCGGTATTTGTCCACGTACTTTAATCTCTACCACCCTCACTTGCCTTTCCTTCACCAAGAGTCTTTCCAGCCTGCTTCGGTTTCGGCGCCCCTCTTGCTGGCGGTGCTCTCGATCGGTGCTCTGTATACCTTTGAGCGCGAGCATGCTTTCATGCTTCACGTTGGATCTAAGGTTCTGGTCAACCAGTTCCTGCAGCACAAGGAGAACTTTGACTCGCGCAAGTGCCCCTTGTCCTTGATGCAGAGCACTCTGTTGAACATGGTGTTCGAGAGCTGGAGTGGAGACCCCAAAGGACTCGAGTGGACTTGTTCGATCAAGAGTCTACTGGCCAACATGGTTGCTGGCAACCGCTACCAGTTGAAGGTGCGCACTGAGGCTCGCCAGGGCATTAAGCCTTCTCGCGAGGAGTGGATCGAGGATGAATCGTGTCGCCGCACATACTTTGCCGTGTACATCTTCTTTGGCATGTTGACGCTCACGTTCAACCACACTCCTGCCATGAGCTTTGACGAGTTCGACAACCTGGAGCTTCCCTCGTCGGAATCCCTGTGGAACCTCGATGCTGCCGACGATGACACTTGGCGTCGCAGTGCTGCTTCGAGCACCCTCACCGTTCGTGAGGCCCACGACTTCTTGTTCCAGGGCGAGCAGACCCGCTACAGCGCCTTCGCGACCCGTGTCCTCATCAATGCTCTGTTCCTGCAGGTGTGGAACCACAAGCGCAGCTTCGAGGCTCTCCAGGACGTGGTCACTGAATACAAGTTGCGTCTGGCCCTGGAGACCTGGGAGAGCTCTCTCTGGAGGTGTGCGAGCCCGAGACCATTGTGGTCCCACTCAGCACTCCCCAGAAAGGTCACCCGTTGATCTTCAACTCGATGGCGGTGTACCGCAACACCCGTGCCCGCCTCGAAGTGGATCTCAAGTCAATCCAGGAAGCGATGCGCTACCACTCTTCGTATGAGGTGGCTGCTGCCATGACCGTTGCGCGTGAGAAGGTCAAGCGCTCGCAGGAAATGAACAAGGTGGTGCAGCAATGCTTCGAGTGCATTGAGATTGCCGCCATCCAAGGCATCAACTGGGTGGCCAAGACTTCTGCTACCAACTGGAGTGTTGAGCATCCCCTTTGCGGCCTGGACCTGATGGTCATCCTCAGTCTCTGGCTCTACCGCCTGGAACATGACGACGAGCCAGCGACTGAGGCTGAACTGGCCATCTACAACAAGGTGCGGAACCTGTTTGATGACGACGCCATCGATGCATTTGGAAAACTTAGCTCCACCGTGGCCCGTGTATGGGGTAACATCCTGGACGGCGTGGTTGTTTGGGGGTAAGTTTTGATTCTCTCTGACTGTTGATGATCTAATGCTGACGGCTTTTCTAGAATCACCAAGTTGATGGGCGAGTCGTTCAAGCTGCACTCGCAGGCCCTGGTCGGCTACGAAGACTCCTTGCGAGTGGCCAAGGACCAGCCGATCCATGCGGTGCCCACCAAGACTCTTGCCAGCGTGGGCACTGCCTACTAATTTCTTTTCTTTTCTTTGTTTTTCTGTCTTCCACTTCACACTCTCCTTGAATCTCTTTGCATGCTTTGATGTTTTGCCTTTCGGGTTCTTACGCTCATTTGTGGACGCTCTCATTGGGACACTGGGGAATCAGGAGTGGCCATGCCAGTGGGCCGGCAGGTGTTTCTGGCTTCTGGGAATACCTCGCCGCATGCCTCTCGGTGATTCCTGACTCTTTTATTTTTTTGAGCTTTGACTTTTTGCTTTTGCATTTCTCCTGCTTTCTCTTACACCAGGGAGTCCGGTGTGGTGTTTATGCTTTTCCTCTTCCGACACCCGGCTGGTCCTGTGTGTTCTCTCGCACTCTGTGGAGTTTTCTCGTTTCGCTTTAGCCCCTAATCGTGCCCCTAGTCCATCTGGCTTTTGTGCTCTTGATACCTTTTGGCTTCTTATTTGATGCGTTCTGTTCTGTTTTGTTCCATTGATTTCTTGTCTATTTTTCTGACTGCGTTCGAGTTGATTTTGTCTGCTTCTAGGCTGCGGCCGCTGTATTTGATGTTAATTGCCTGATCCCCGTCTGCTTGTCTCCGCTCAGCATTTGGTTCTTGCACATGTTTTATGCCGTTTCCATGTACTATACGTAATGAATACATTTGGCGGGGGATATCTTGATATGCAGTAGTTGTAGTAGCTGTAGTAGCTGTAGTAGCTGTATGTAGTTGAGGATGAGGTATGCAAAACCAGAATGTAGTAGTCAAACCCTCGAAATGAATCAAATCTACTTGCCAATCGCCACAAACAACCGATCCCCAATATCCCCGACCCCCGGCACAATCATCCCCTTCTCATTACACCCGCCATCCACCGCCCCCGTCCATACCTCAACCCCACCATCCCAGCACCCCGCCGCACGCCGCACGCCCTCCTCCGACGCCAGCACGCTGAGCATGATCACGCGCTGGACCCCCCACTCACGCAGCAGCTGGATCGCCGCCTCGGCCGTGGCCCCCGTCGCGATCACCGGGTCCAGCAGCACGGCCAGCGTTGCGGCTGCCGTGTTGGCTGTTGGGTCGAGTGAGGCCGGCGAGGCGGGCGAGAGCTCCGATCGGTGGAAGGGGAGGTTGTTGTAGTATTCGACGGGTTGGAGGGTGACGCGTTCGCGGAAGAGGCCGAGGTGGTAGATTGGGACTGCGGTTGGGAGGAGGTCGTTGAGGGCTGTATTGGTGGGAGTTAGTTAGTATTTGACTAGAGTTATCCATGTAGATAGCGCCAGGCGAAGTAAATCATCAAGTATATCACCCACCATCAACCATCCCCAGCCCCGAACGCAGAATCGGCACGAGTGCCAGATCCGCCGGGTTGATGCCCTGCGTGGTGTATTCGACTCCAAGGGGCGTGCGGTCCTGAATATGAGTGATTCTCGTTAGAACACTCACTGCCATACTCTTTCATTTCTGCTCCTACGCACCGTCCCCGTCGGCGCCAGCTTCAGTGACTTGGCAAAGGCCTCCACGCCCAGGATGGAGGCGATCTCCTGGACCAGCGACCTGGTCTCGCGCGGGGTCGTGGTATGCGAGCGCAGCTGCGATAGCTTGGCCTGGAGGCAGGGGTGGGTAGAGATGTGGACGTTGGAAGGGAGCGACATGGTGGATAGTGGATAGTGGATAGTGGGTTTTAAGAGGGGGTGTGTAGAAGAAGAAGAAGATTATGAAGGCGACAGGTTGCTCAGGAGAGGTGCTCTACTTAAGGTACCCAGGTAGCATTGCAGGACTATCTGCGCTACCGGGGCTATCTGCAAGTACTGAGTACTTTGCTTTTGAGTATCAGCACTGCCTATCTCCAGGTCATCAGTACCTCCACAGCAATCCCCCGTTATCTCAGCTCTTATCGGGCATAAGCAGTTGGCGGTGGGTCCCTGAACAGTCACGATTCACCTCGCTCCACACTCTTAGGATTCCATGTCTATACAAGGTAAGTAAGATAATATGATATTCGATTCGTTCTATATTAATATGTCATCAGTTTCGGGAGCTTTATGCCGGTTCACACCGCATTCACATGATTCCTCGAAGATATCAGTTCACCCACGCACGCCTCTTCTTTAGAGACTTTAGGGACGGGGGTGATGAGGATTGTACCTTGCCTATTGATAGATTGATAGTGTTCAAAACCAATGCTAATATGTATATTCAAAATACATTCATACCTTACGGGTAGAACAGCTGTTCCTGTTATCATGTTCGCTGGATATTGCCCAGGGACTTCATGGATGTCTTGGCATTTTACTCTTCCGCAACGTTTTCATTGCCCTTTTCTCCATCTTTCATTGCTCACTCCCCCCCCCCCCCCCCCCTCCAGCAATGCCCCATGCCTCGCGTATTCAGGAATCCTCCTCGGCCCAGGAGAAATCCGCCGAGCCACCTCTGACTGAGACCACTGCGCCGCAACCCGTCTCTCCGGTCTCGTCGCAGCGCCAATCATGGCAGCTGCCCAGACAGCTGCCCACGCACCCGACTGAGCGCCCGCCGGCTCCCGCGCGCCCGGAACCGACGCTCTCAAAACATGCGACGCATCTGTACACGGTGTCGTACCTGATCTTCTTCTCGCTGATGGGCACACTCGCGCGGCTGGGCCTGCAGGCTCTCACATTCTACACGGGCGCGCCCGTGGTGACGGGGGTGCTGTGGGCGAATGTAGCCGGTAGTCTTGTGATGGGGTTCCTGGGGGAGGACCAGAACCTCTTCCGCGAAGAATGGGGGGACGCGCCCGCGACGGACTCCAACACGGCAGCAGCAGCAGCAGAAGCAGAGCGTGCCAAGAACCACAAGGCCGTTAAAAAGACCATCCCGCTGTACATCGGCCTGACGACCGGGTTCTGCGGCTGCTGCACCTCGTTCTCGTCGTTTATGCGCGACGTGTTCCTCGCCCTGGCTAATGCGCTGCCGGACCCGTCGCTGGCCCCGGGAACGGGGATTGCCTCGCGCAACGGCGGGTACAGCTTCATGGCCCTGGTGGCTGTGATCCTGCTGACCGTGTCGCTAAGCCTGTCGGCACTGATCTTCGGCGCGCACCTCGCCCTTGCACTTGGCCGTGTCACCCCGGTGGTCCCCTTTTCATTCACCCGCCGCGTGCTGGACCGCGGCATGGTCGTGCTGGCCTGGGGTTGCTGGCTCGGTGCCGTGTTTCTAGCCATCTGGCCGCCGGACCGGCACACAGGGCCCGACACCTGGCGCGGGCGCGCGGTGTTCGCGCTGGTGTTCGCGCCGCCGGGCTGTCTGTTACGTTATTATCTGTCGCTGTTTCTCAACGGCCGTCTGCCGGCTTTCCCGCTGGGGACCTTTACTGTCAATATCATTGGCACTATTGTCGAGGGGTTCTGTTATGACCTGCAGCATGTGCGCGGGCTCGGCGCCGCGGTCCCTGCTGCGTTGACTGGCTGCCAGGTGCTGCAGGGCGTTATGGATGGGTTCTGTGGGAGCACTACTACCGTCAGCACTTGGGTGGTTGAGCTGAATGGGCTGTCGCGGCGGCGCCATGCGTATCTCTATGGCACTGTGAGTGTTGCTGTGGCGCTGGGGTTTTTGGTCGTGATTATGGGCTCGCTGCTGTGGACGCGCGGGTTTGCCAGTCCGGTGTGTGGATAGATTGAACGAGATATGATGTATCATAAATAGAATACCCTAATACAGAACAAACCATACCTTGCACCTCGACCAGGGTACACTAGGAGATCTCTCATCTGAACTAGACTAATCCCCAGAAAGTAAGAAAGAAAGAAAAAAAGAATCACAAAAGATCCCTCTGCCCCAACCTCTGATACGCCTTCCCCCCAATAACAGGCCCTTGGCCCTGAGCCAGAGTCTGAACCGGACTCGAACTAACACTACCACCAGCAACAGGACTAGGGCCAGCACTCTCCACCAACTGCACCTGACTCCGACTCCGACTGCGACTCCAATCCAACATCTGCATCTGCATCTGCATCGCCGCGCCCTCATGAACAGGCAGCTCGACGTGATCGTCGGGGATCCCGAACCGATCCAGCATTTTCTCATGGACGTGCACGTCTGCATATCGGCCGGCTGTCACGGTGGCTGTTGTGCCGAGCAGCTGGAGCTGGTCTGTGGTGCCGAAGGGGGCGCTGCGGTTGTGGAAGGCTTTGCGGCGGGCGAGGTCTTGGGCTTGGGCGCGGTGTTGGGCTGCTGTATTTATTGTTAGTTTTTCTTCTTCTTCTTCTTCTTCTTCTTCTTTGTCTCTTTATCCAAAAGAGAGTGGGAGTGGGGTTTGGGGTGGTCGATATGTATTGTATGAGATAGATATGGTTCATTAGGGCTGTGAGATGAAAAGAGAATGGATGTATAGATACACCTTGACATATCCATGGTATGGCAAGGTATATCCATACACTAAAAGGAAATCAACATACCGCGCCAGAAAAGCGTATACACAGCCATGGTGGCCAGGCAGATCCCAATAAACCCGAACATGATCCCCAGCTCGTGGCCGAGCGAGGGCATGGGCGTGTAGGGCGGGTAATTCTCAGGCATGTTGATCTATTTGTTGTTCAGCTCGACTCAGGACTCAGTCCTGATCTTCTCGGCTCAGTTTCTTCTTCTCTTTCTGTTGGAAAAGCTGGATCTGGGGTTGTAGATTTCAATGGCGATCATCTGAGATCCGCGTGGAGTCGAGTGTGGAGAGAGAGAGAGGGGGCAATCTGACAGGGGGCCACTAGGGCTTGGCTGGTTTGCGGGATTTTGGCTGTAGAAGGCTGGTCTTGGGACTGAAGAACTTGGAGATGATCAAGAGACTATGAAGGATCAGAGAATAAAATCGGAAAGTAGTGGTAAAAGAGAATCGAGAGAACAGAAATGTCTGTTCACACCCATCTGAAGGTTGATCAAAACAAAGAACCTCATCCTCGAAACAAAGAAAGTATACTTCGGCGAGGAATAACCTACGAGAAAGTGCTCAATAGCAATGCACACAGAGAAGATAGATCATCGTAATTCTAATCGCTATATACACAGCGCAACCCCAGGTATCATGTACAACATGCAGCTCTATACGGGGAATGCCAGAAAAAGAAAGGAATATCACCCAGAAAAAAAAAAAAAAAAAAAAAAAAGACCCACTCGCCATGGGAACAACAGAGCCCGCTGAAAAAGAAGATAACAAAAATAAAAATAAAAACAGAGAATGGAAAACGCCGAGTCAAATGTTCATGGCGTGCACTCCCTCCATCACGAGTCGTGTCACAAGTCCAAGATCCAGCACCAGCCGGACACACAAGACCAACATAACAATGCATATATATATATACTCCTGATAACACTCAATGGTACAATCACCCCAGCATCACCGCCGCCAGCGCCGTGCAGGTCAACCCAATGGCCATCCCGATCCACGGCGTCTGGCCAAGTGTGCCTTCACTGCGTGCCTGGAGCACCTGCCGCGCGCCGCGCGCGCCTGGCGTCTCGTCGACGGGATTTGACTCCGCGGCTTCAGGTATGGGCAGGGAATCCCGCGGTGCCAGGGCCGGTATTGACTCGGCCGGGGAAATATGCGCGAGATCGGCGGTGCGGTCGAGGGCGGGTTGGGAATCCGCCAGGGCGGCGGCTGGCGCGAGGATGACGAGCCAGGTGGCGGGCTTCATGGTGGGTGGCGAGGGAAGAGAAGAGAAGAAGAGGAAGAAAAGGCCCAATAGAATGACAGTCCTCTGATAAAGAGATAAAGAGGAGGGGCCCTGGAGGGGAGGGGGAAAGAATGCGACTCGGAGACAAGCAACGCCAAGGTCGGAGATGCGATGAAACAAGATGCGCGAGTCGGCGAGTTGGCGAGGCAACAGGGGCCCTTCCCCCGAGCAAAAGCACACAGGGATATCTCTGGTTCTTTTTTTCCAACACGCACAGTCCGTGGGGAAATTCAGATCGAGGGATCTCTGGAGGTTTCGGGAGTTTCGAGAATCGCAGCGAGGAATGGGGGGGGTCCGTTTTTCAGGAGGTTGCCAGTAGTGATCGACGCATGCGGAAATAGGGGGGTGCCAAGTCGACGTCCCAGTCCAAACGACTGCAACTCTTTTTTTTTTTTTTTGAGAGAGAGAGAGAAAAGACTGAGAGAGAAGTCGTAATGGACAACGGACTCGACTGGCACGTAGAAGTAAGAAGAGGGAACAGTGTTGAAACCCTGAAACCCTCCCGTGGTGATTGGACGGGGCGTTGGGGGCCGGCGCGAGTTATTTATATCGCATGCACTGCGACTCATGACACTATTGATACTATTGTAAATAGTATGACTCGCATACTAGCATAATAACATGAATCTGACCTGTTCAACTCAGGCGCTGTGATGTGATTCTCCGAGCGTATAGATCATCACTGTTCCAATCAAATCATGACCGACTGCGACCTCGCTGATAGGAACAAGTGTAGCAGACCGTCGGCCGACACAGGTCATTAAGCGCATGAAGCCTGCGACCCTTGACCTCCAGCTCTCCGCAATAAAAACATTTAATAGGCAGCCCCGCCTGGCGATTCTTATTCTTATTCTTATTCGCATTTTCATTCTTATTCGCGTCTTTCCCCTTCTTATGTAGCTCTGCTGTCGTATAGGTTGGCGATGAACCAGGTTTAGATCATATCATGTTGGAATCGTTCTTGTGTCTTGATAACAATGAGAGTAAAATACAGAGCTCGGTTAGGGTTATCAGATAAAGAGAGTGCAGCCCATGCCACTGAAAAGAAGCTGAATAAATAGAGAGACGGATGCCTCATCCTATCAGAACCCCTGTTCATACCAGATTTCTTCAGCTATTTCTCTCAACTTTTCGTTATCGAACTGGATGTCGGTTTCCCCGGGAATAGTCGGTGGCCGTAGGAATAATTTCTCAAACTCGATCGTAAGCGGCTCGTTGGGAGGCTGCACATGGATATGTTTGTTTTCGCCTTTTTTGACGGTCAAAACTTGGTTGCGTTTCTTCCGCCCACAATCTTCATCGATTTCCCATTTCTCGAACACAATAGAAGGCGTGCTACGATCGATCTTTAAGGTAATCACGGTCTTCACATCTCCTTTCGACTGGTGGAGCCAGAACCGAACATCCTTGACTAACTTCGACGGTGACTCCGAAAATCCGACCTCAAGCACAAGACATGGCCATTCGTCGGTTCGGCCTTTAGGGCGTCTTTTCGGTAGAAATTGGTGGTCTGGCCGTTTTGCGCCATTCTCGCCAACGCGGGTAGTGGATTCGATGTATCGAATCGACTTATGAAGTCCGAGGGGTGTGAGGGCATCGCGTAATTGATGATCGAAAGCTGTTTTGGCAGCTTCGTGTGGAGAAGAGGCTGGCATGATAGCGAGGAGGAGTTGTTGAGTCTTATCATAGGAGCTCCAAGAACGTTGGATGGTTTTATCGTCCGAGTTGAGGAAGTCACGATTAAATGCCTGAGGATCAACCCCAGTAAATAGTATCCACTCACTAATATCCAAATCCTCTTGCTGACGATAGAATTCCATCTCTCGAGTCGCTAGAAACTGCCTGATTCCGTTATACTGATATCTTCTAATAGGGGGTCCTAGATCGCTTAGAAACCCCCTACTAGTTGTATCAGGCTCGGGGTCTGTATTGGAAGACATTCTAGTCAAGGATAAACAGAAATCAGATACGTAACTCTTCGAAAGGTGCCTAAGAATATAAAGAAATTACCAAGTTGTTTCTAAGTCTCTGAGCCTTTGACAAGATGACATCAACCCGCGTAATAGTGAACGTAATCCACAAGTGAGCCGATCACCCGAAAACACATAGTAAATAAGATTTGGCAGCTCCGGTATGTCTTCCACCTAAGAAGTGGTAGGCGCGGCACAAGGCTTTCCAGGGATTTTCGTTCCGGCACGGTATTGTTGGGCGCAATTGCGTATGCGGCTGGAGTGGTCCCTGCCAAAGACGTGTAAGGGGTGGGCTGCATCTTTGGCCCAGGAAATGCAGCGACATTGTTTGAGGCGCGTCGAGACACCTGCAGCGCGTAGACACTTGATCAAGTCTACGATGTCGCATGGAGTAAAAATGCATGGGAAATATTATTTTTGGACTCGTTAAGCTCGGCTGATCCTGGAGCCTCCCTGCTGGATTCGTGTCTGTCGAGAAGAGTTGGGCAGGTGGTTTGGCAGAGTTCCAAGCCGAGAGAATATCAATACCAGATCACGTGATCCATATACTGCCGACTGACATCATATCCATTCTCATAACGGCAGCTGTAAAAACATCCAAAAATACTGCCAATGGACTTCTAAATAGCTCTTGGCAGAGGGAACGCATTTTTAAAGTCATCAAACTTTGTCATTGCGACTCCACGGACCCAACTCGTAAGTCTTAAGAGTAAGTCACATGCCTAGGGCTAATGTCTCGGGCTTATGTTCGGAGTAGATACAAAGACCTCAGGGTTCAGAGCATCTCATCCCAATTGGGCGTGACTGTAAACTTTCCACACAGCTGGCCCATCGAGTATGCGCAGTTCTCCGAGTTCTGGCCCACTTCGGCGCCGGCATCATCCGCTCCAGACTGGACGATCAGCGCCTCCTGCACAAAATCCACCGAGGCCGCGCGATCCAGCTCGAAGCTAATCCCGCCCCAGTCCATTGTCATGCGGCCTGACCTATGCACGTTCAGCTTGCCCACCCGGCCAGCAGGCAGCGTCCAGTCTGTGGCGGCGGTGACCATTGTAGACGGCGCTGCGGGCGCTGCAGGCGCTGCAGGCGCCGTTTCCACAATTTCCACATCGTCGCCTTCGCGCTTGATCGCAGGCTCGGCGGGGGCGGATGCAGGTTCTGCTGGTGGTTGGTTGTCGGCCGCGCCGGGGAGTGTGAGGTTGGGGGTCATCGGAGGGAATTGCATGAGGAATAGCTGGCCGAGCAGCCCCGGGGGGTCGTTTTCTTGTTAGCATCGTCCGCGGCATCCTCGCCCTCAGCTGTGTCGGTGGTGGTTTCCGGTGCGGTGGTAGTTTGCGCCTCGGCGGGCGTCTCGGTTTCGATTTCGGTTTCTGGCTCCGTGACCGGCTTCTCGGGCTCTGCAGCCTTCTCGGTAAGGAAGAGATGCTTGATCTGTTCCAAGTCTTCCATGTGTCGGTCATATTCGTCGATTTCTTCATTGGTGCGGAGGAGCTCCCGAGGATCTCGCGGCGCAAGTTCCGGTTCTAATTCTTGCACTTGAGCGCCTTCTTCGGCAGTCTGCTTGGCAGTGCTCAGCTTCCGGCGCACTCGGACCTTTTGCGTCGGCAGTAGACCATCATCTTCCACGTGGGAAAGAGTTTCGGTCATGGCTTCATCCTCGTCTGCGGGCTCTTCCTTTACGCGCGGCTCATCGGGCACCTGAGGATGAGGCGCCTGACCCTTTTCCTCGGCAGTTTTAGCCTCCTCTGCCTTCTGACGGAGCGCAGCCGATCGATTCGAGCTCGATTCCATGTTGACGCTGATGACTCGCTCTTCATGTGGGTGTCGCTCCACGCGGACCGGGCGTAGTCCTTTCTCCCGGCGCTCTCGGATAGGCATCTTGCCTTTGGTATCCCGTTTCCCGTCATTGAACTCGTCATCGCTATCCACAAAATTGATCTGGTCGATGCTGAACCGCGCTTCGGCAAATTCGTCGTTGACAAACCCATTCGCGCCCTGGGGGTAGCCCCCGCTAATGGCAGTTCGGTTCATGCCGCGCCCAGGCGCCGATGACCCCATCGCTCCACCCCGACCTCTGCGACCAGCCCCAGCTCCCAATGGCCCGCCAACACCCATACCCATAGGGCCCCCGCGGCCGCGGAACCCGCCCCGACCACGACTGAGCGCGGGACCGCCACGGCCTCGCTGGATAGCAGCCGCTTCCTTCAGACGCTCATTATGCCGTTCCTGCTCCAGCTTCTCGATCGCGTCTCGCTCTTCCTTGCTGCGCCGCCCGACCGCCCGCGGTTTGTACTTGAGGGTGGGTTTCGCTGGCTCGCCGCTCAGCGTTGAGGGCGGTCGACCGCTGGGCGTAATGCTTCCGGACCCTGGGCGCCTTTTTAAAGACTGGAGGCGTTGTACGGACGGCCGACCTGCGGGGCCAGGTGTGCCGGTTCCTTGTGATTCGGGTGCATTTTGTGTGGGCCCCGCGCCTGCAGGAGTCGTCGACGTCGATTCGGGTGCTCCGGGGCGTCGAGCTGGTGCTCGACGAGGGGCAGCTTTGGGAGGCATGGTGGATTGCTGCTCAGGCAAGGTGCCTGCCTGTGTCCTGCCAATCAATAAAAAAAAAGTTGGAGAAGCAGTAGACCTAGTCCAGGCTGCGCATTGGCTGGTCGGCGGGCACAGAAGGGGTTTAAACTCCCAGGAAGAGTTACCTCTACCAAGCCCCAGTGAGAATAATTGAATCAGACAGCGTAGGAAGAAGGTAGACAACTCGAAGCAAAAAGCCGAGCTTTGCCTTTGCGACACAAAAATGCGGCGGGGCCCTTGGGCCGCACTAGACCCCCTTTGGCAATCACGTGGAATATTTATGCCTTGAGAACCAGGTGTCAATATCGAAGACAAGATGAAGATTTGTACCCATCCATGGATAAGGAGCATTGGGTCTGCAAGTATTATAAGAGACAGAACACTCATTGATTTCCAGAATACCAATATGACAGAAACACAGACATCATCACATCTTATACACCCGTGCAGACCTGCTGGACCACAACCCCGTCGAGGTATACTTTACTTCCACGACTTACTATCGGTACACCATTTCCTCATAACCACCGAAAAACCCCACGGAAGAAAAATCAAACAGAAAGACCAGTAGCATTGAGACTGAATGAGCGAGTGAAAAATGACAGGAAAGACATGCTAGCAGAAATACGACGACGCCGACAAGACACAGAACAGATCAACCGCTTGACTTTGTATAATCGAGACGGGAAAGGGAATGTGGTGAGAGAAGGACAAAGTACGACCGTATAATGAGTGGCGGATCTTCTGACCATTGAAAGGGGGAGGGAAAGGAGGGATCGAGAGGGCCGACGAAGTTGGCCCATGGAGGGGGTCAGATGGAGAGAATCAAGGTCAAGGAGAGGATGGAATATGCAGAAAAAGATGGCCGAATGCCCCCCCTGGGAAAGGAGAAGGGGGCAGAAACCAAAGCCAGAAGCTGGACTAGCGCTTCCGCTTCTTGTTTTTGTCTGCTATAGTCGATGCGACAGGAGGCGTGGTCGGCATAGGCGGGAAGTCGAGGGTTTCCAGCGGATCATCACCGTTCTTCTTGACCGGCACGCCCATATGGCGCCCATAACGGCCCTTGCGGCCATTCCCCTCATCCTCACTCACACATCCTTCGATGCCGATACCGGCATCCTTGCAACGCCCGCAGGGGCGCTGGCGATCACATCCCTTCTTGCTCTTGCGGCATCGCTGGCAGCGGGGCTTGGTTGACAGGTCCTCCTCGTCTGCACCAAGCTGGTGCTGGAAATTGACCGACGACCCCGACACTTTCCGAGCAGAGCTCGGGCTGAGTGGAGGGATAGGCGCCGTCGTCTTGTCGGACGGCTTGCGCGATGCAGCTGGAACGCCCTTGTGCTTGTTGGGCTTCGCAAGCGCAGGCTTTTGGGTGCGTACCTTGGTCGAGGCGGGACGGCTCTTCGGCTTCTTCGGCTTGGGAGCAAACTCCCTGTAGAGGATGTCTTCCTCAGCTTCACTCTTGACACCATCATCCATACCGTCCGAACTATGTTCACTACTGTCAGCGCTCGGCAGAATGTCATCCAGGCGCTTGTGGTGGCGCTTGACGGTTCCCGGCGGAAGCATCGGACTCGAGTCCAGCCGTTGACGACGGGCCGGCAAATCATCTTCATCTTCACTGAAGTCTTCCCCGTCACTGGTAGCACCAGTCGAGGAGGCAGCATCGGCAGCGCCGCTGAAGGCATCGTCCAGCGTCGACGCCGATGTGCGACCATGGGAGAAATTTGAGGCATCACCCAAACGGATCAGTTGCATTGCCACGTCTTCATCAGAGATGCAGCTGGCAATGGTAGGGTCCGGCGTGGGTAGGACACCGGGACCACTCACCCGTGCCGCCGCATTGCTGAAGGGCCCCGAGGGCTCCCGCAGGCGATGCCCATGATCCGGGACCATGGGTGTGGCATAAATTGCATTACGCCCTGATTGAATCCCATAATCGCTGTGACCATAGCTTTGTGGCGACGGAAGCGGCTGCTGGTAATTGTATGGGCGTTGCGTGGGGCGCGCAAAAGGCGAGCCAGCGCCTTCCTGTCCGACCGATCGACGTTGGGGGGAAATGGAGGAGGTCGAGGTAGTGATAGGGACTTGGGGAGGGGCGAAGAGTGGCAGCTCCTATAGCAACAATGTATCAGAAGGGGGAACAAAAAAAAAAAAAGCATGGCGGAGTGAAAAACTCACAGAGCTGTCAAACTTGGGCCGTTTGCGACGGCCGTCTTGCAGGATATTTTCCATGCTGATCTCCGAGCTGGCGAACTGTTCGCCCCGAGACCTCCGAGTATAAGTACTATCGCTGTCGCTATAGTCGGGTTCATCGTCATTGAACCCCCCATGGGCACTCGAGGCTCGGTTTTTGTGACCGGAGCGAGAGCCCTGCTTGGGCTGAGACGTACTGCGCAGACTCCGAACTGATGGCGAAGTACTGCGCTTTCTCGCAAGTCGCGAGGCCGGCTGCTCCAACGCCGGCGCCATGCCATCAACCATCTGGAATGGTTCACCCAGACTGGGCCGCTTGCGAGACTCGACCGGGAAGCCGCCATAGAAGTGATCTCCATACGGCTGGATGGGGATGACTCGCACATAGACAGTCATGTTATTTTTCAGGTTCTCGTACCTTGCGATGAGGGTTGTCCCATGTTCATCCTCGAAGCTCACCCCACTGGCAGTGCCGTCGTAGATGCCATAAAAATTCTTGACCGTAGTCACAATCGAGTCCGTGGCATCGTGCGGGTAGATCTGAACGCGCATTGGGATGCGAGCTCGGACTTTGGAGTTTTCGTCGAGCAGCAACTCAAAAGCGACGTTCTTGGGTACGGGGCCGTTGAGAGACTGGTCTCGGGCTGGCGAGACATCCGCCAGACCCGGTTGCTCTCCCGGGACAGAGAGCCCTTCATGCTGGACCACTTGCATGATGGGAGGGTCCAGAATGGGAGGGAATACTCTGCTGCTGTACCGATGACTGCATCAACCCACTGCTTGTGTGCGGTAGAGGACGGGAACGGGATCCATAGCCGGGCAGAGGAAGGGCAGGAGAGGGGAGAATCCATCAAACCTACCACAAGTATAGGACTCGAAAGGGTCAGGTTGGTGGATGGGGTCCCCGATGTTGGGATTGTCGACGTAGGGCCGTCGATTGGGGGGGGGGGGAGGGGAATCTGCAGTCGCAAGAGCCGACGAGCGACTGCGAAGGACAACAGGCGGGTAACCTGGGAAGATCAAGCACAGCCAATGTTAGCGCAATGGACCTTGAAGGGGTTTATATCCACCATTCAGATGATGTTCAACGGTTGAGGGTGATGGATGGACGTTTCGCTAACCGAGTCCGGCCGACCTTGGGACAGTGTGGTTTGGGGGTGGCAGAGAAGCCAGAAGACTCGGATGAGGATGGAGAGTCACTGGGACGAACCTAATACAAATAAAACCAACTCTTCCAGTGTCGCACGTATCCGGATGATCCAAGACGAGTTCCAGGAAGGATGGTGGTCGAAGTGGGCGAGGGGATTGTTGGGATTCTACGAAGCGCTGAGGCTATGTCAGCGGTGGAATCCCAGCCGAGACGAACGGAGGAAAGCGGAAATTCAGTGAGGAAGAGATCGAAAATACATACCCGATCCTCGAAGAAGAGGGCGACCAGGTTTTCAGGGGAAGTGGATGAGTAGGATGGAAGGAAGAAGGTTGAGGTGGGTGCGTACGATGGTTTCACCTAAAGCGAGCGAAAACGGTCTGCGCTGGGTCGGTGACATGGCGATTTGCGCTTTTGCCCATCGCAGCCACCTCACCATTTTCTTGACGGCTACAGAATTTGCGAATGATTTACTTGCTGGAATTCAAGCTCTCTAGAACATAGAATTTAGAAGAAATCCCTTCTTGTCCCATGCGACATGGTCCCAACGGGATGTTCGCAATGCGCCGGCTGTCGCAACCCGGATCCCGTTGCGCCGAGTATGTCGGACTTCTCCCCACCCAACAGATGGGGAAATTTTTCTTAGAAGTAGAGATCTTGCAGCTCGGATATTTTTGGTTTGAATGATCTGACTTGGTGTGGCTCTTTGGGTTGTGTGGTTGTTCGCCTCCGAAGCTCGGCGCACACAGCATGTACCTCGTGCGCTCGATCGACGAGGGACCTAAATGTGACCAAGAACCAGACAAAAGAATTCAAAACAATCAAATCAGATAGAACAATCATGAGAAGCGCCAATTACAGATTCATTGTTCAATTACGCGACCAGCATGCTTCTTATGGCTGGGATAAAAGCCCATCGCAACGGCGTGTTGGCGTCGATCCAGGCAATTTCCAGCAACCACCTTTGTCGCATTGCTGATTGACCATGCCAGAAACAAAGAACCAAATACTGCGACACGGATAGTGCTGAAAAATGAAGTATTGCAAGTGCGGAGTTGCCTCTAGCGATGTCACCTCTTCCAGACCCCCGCTGATGAACCTCAGCAACCACACGGGGGACAGTGGCTTTTTTTTTCTCGACCAGCCAAATGCCCCCCATAGAGAGAGAGAGAGAGAGAGACTGGGGCACTCATTGATATCGCAGTGTGTCTCTCGCATGATCTGCACCGACTGGGTTTACCCCTCCTCGGAGCTACGTAACAAGTGGGAAAAAAAAAAGGGCCTTTCCAGGGCATTCCTGAATTCTTCCCCGAAACCTTGCAGGCAACTAGCAAGTCTCCAGAGATCCTCGCAAGGTCCTCGAATGAGCTTTGCGACTCAGCACGTTGCGCATATTTCCAGGGGAGAAGAAAAGGTAATCGGGAGGGTCCGACATTGGGCGCAACCGGAAGGGGTTTTGATATGCGACTTTGGCCAGGAACTACGGAGGGAATAGCCCAGAATTTCCCGCGCTAAAAGGGAGAAACGTGGGCTATGAATGTCCAGAACACACCGAAACTTGGGAAGAATCCAGGAGTCACTTCGGGGGGCGAAGATGGTGCGAAAGATGGGAAAAGACCCCGCACTCTTTGCAATCTCGGCCTTGGGAGAAACCCCCAAAAAGGAGAGGGAAAATTCTCCCAAGAGGCTTCAGAACAGTCCACGGGTTGGATGGGTCTCTCGGCTGATCAGACAAAGCTGCCAAACAGGAACCACTCGATCCCGAGCGGTCTGGATCACGTGGGTTGGCGTTGCGGGCGCGTTGCGGGCGCGTGGAGAACCGAGTTCAGTAGAAAAGGGCCATTGAACCCCTGGGGGGGCTGCTGGGGAGGTGAAGATGGACACTGGAAAATGAATTATATTGAATATGGTCTCTCCTCAAATTTGAAGCCCATTTTTCGGCGGGATAGAGGTTCTGGAGTATCAAATGGTGGTGGAAGGCCGACGAAGGAGACGTGACCGATAACGGAATTACGTCATGGGAAGTGCAAAATGCCAGACCACACAAGCCAAACAGCCCACACCGCCTAACCCTAACTCATTTGAGGTGATACACCAGGCTCTAAGGCACCATACTACTTGGTCCGTGCACTCGGAGGAACATAATCCCGAAGAATTTAGGTATCTGCGACCATGTTTACATTCTCTCGTCTTCATCTCTGACTTTCACAAAACCATTTCGCCAAAAGACCGAGCAGGACTGTGGCTCCAGCTGGATCCCTGCTTGTATACATTTCAATTCTGTTATATCCTTGTCCTTTTTTTTTCTGTCGATAACGGCTCATCACCTCAGCGGGTCCGTTGTTTATTTTGCCTGGTCTGGCCAATCACCCGGGGACCCACCCAGCCCTTCCGTCCTCAACGAGCAAAACGTAAACAACGCCTCCATCCTCGCTACCTCAACTGTGCCCATCCCATCTTCACGGCTGAACCCAAAATGGATGCGAAGGTACGTCTTGCTGTGCACTGGTGACGGGATTTTCGTTTGACTCGTCACCTCTTGGTTGTCAGGGGTCGGAAGACGTGTTAAGAGGGTGTGCCTCCATAGCCTGCACCTTTTGTTTTTCTGGCCATTGCACGACCAACCATGATACCATGGTTTTGATGAGTACAACAGCTAACTGAAGAGTTTAGCCACAGCGTATTCGTGTCCGGGGGGACGAAAATGTGCCGCCCTCCCTTCCGGCCAACAAGGCCATTCATCACCGTAACAAGTCGACCCCGGCGTTGAGCCTGGCCCACAATGGAGCCAACAATGGCGGGAGACAGGCCTTTGGGGATAAAAGTAACCACAAGGATGCCATTCAAGTCAGTCGCGATGACTGTGTACTGCTGAGCAAGTCCAACCAGCTGGAGAGCAAGCCCGGCTTGTCGCAGCCGGCGCAGCGGCCCATGTCCATGTCTGGCCTGAAGGGTCTGCTCAGTAATGTGACTATCAAGCCAAACCCTGCTGGCAAGGCTCAGCCCCAGAAGAACAAGCGCAGCAATGAGGTCTACAAAGACCTGCCGCCTGTCGCAGAGAAGGAACCATCCGAGGAAGTCAAGCCGACCGAGACTAGTGGCCCTGCCACCGCCCCGATAGAAGAAGATACCGCCTTGAAGGAGGAAGCTATCGTGTTGAAGGAGGCGCCCGAGCAGGAGGAATCGATTGCCCCGACTGCATCTGTCGTCGATGCCTACACCAGCAATACCACCTCCCACGCTGCGAGGTTTCCCCTCTCTCCTCCTCCTGAACCTGTGCCACCTCCGCAACCCGCTCACGACGAGGGTCACGAGGATTCAGAGGGTGAAGACGAGTACGAGATGTCTCAACCCACGCATATCGAGAAGAACGGCCGCATCATGACGGTCCTTTACCCGCGGATGACGGTTCTCACCAAGCGAGAGCTGTTCCAGGCCCGAAAGCTTGTCAACGTTGTCCGCACCAGGGAGGACGTCGAGGAGGAGCTCTGGGATACCAGTCTGGTGTCCGAATACACCAATGAGATCTTCCTTCACTTGCGGAACACTGAGGTATGTGTGATATGGATTGTAGTGGAACCATCAGACTAATTCCAGGACTCCAGATCAAACTGCTGCCCGTGTACAACTACATGGCCAAGCAGACCGAAATTGAGTGGCCGATGCGCTCGCTCCTGATGGACTGGCTGGTGCAGGTGCACTATGACTTCGCGCTGTTGCCTGAGACCCTGTATCTGACTGTCAACTACATTGACCGTTTCCTCTCCCACAAAATCGTCTCGATGGGCAAGCTGCAGCTGGTGGGGGCCACTGCGCTCTTCATCGCGGCCAAGTACGAGGAAGTCACGGCTCCCTCTGCTGCTGATATCTTGATGATGGTTGACAGCGGCTACACTGTGGATGAACTCCTCAAGGCGGAATGGTTCATGCTGAACATTCTGAAATTTGACCTGGGATGGCCCGGTCCCATGAGCTTCCTGCGTCGCATCAGCAAGGCGGACGACTATGACTTGGAGACTCGTACTATGGCCAAGTACTTCCTGGAGGTGGCCATCATGGATGAGCGCTTTATCTGCACCCCTCCGAGCTTTCTGGCTGCCTCGGCTCACTGCCTGGCCCGGCTGATGCTTTTCAAGGGTCCCTGGGTATGTTGAATCTTTTGTTTCGGTTGACCCCCCGACATGGCTAACAGAAACACAGACTCCGGAACATGCCTTGTACAGTGGCTATCTCTATGCCCAGTTGATGCCTGTCATTCGCGCCCTGCTGGACTGCTGCCAGGACCCGAACACTCACCATGGGGTGGTCTATGCGAAGTACTGTGAGCCTCGCTTCGACTGCGTCGCCCACTTTGTGGAGGACAAGCTCGACACCGGCTTCTATCTTCCTCCACAGACTGAACTGTCGGACCCTGCTCGCCTGGACCGGTTGGCCAACTATTAAGGCCTTTGCCCTGACAGCTGGGCTTTATCAACTCATTTCAGGTACATTTTCCACCTCTTTTCTCGGTTTCATACGTTGCGTTCAGAGAACATGGCTTTCGTTTCGGAGTGAACAGGAGAATGGGATACCTCGGGTGCATGGCGTTTTCGATTTCGACCTTTTTGATTTCATTTTCTTCAACCCCTTTCACTTGACGACGGGACGACTTGACGCCATCAATTCCGGACTCGGGGGAGTTTGCTATCGGAAGGCGTTGTGCAGCGGACTGCATCTCAGCGTCACTTAATCTTCTTTTTCTTTTCTTTTCGTCTCTTTTTCTCTTGCCCTTCATGATACATACCTTTTCCCATTAACGATTTCTCCCCAATTTGCTGGCACTGTCCCACGGGACTGCTTTGCCTTGATGACGATCCTTCCAAGGCTGCTTTTTTTCATGACACATCCTTCATTTTTCTTTCCTTGTCTTTTTTCTTTCATCAATTCCCTTGATTCTTCTGTTCCCTTCCCAATATGCAGTTCCTGTCCTTTTTTCTATTTGCTCTTTTCTTTCCAAGGTGTTTCCTATGCATTTAATGCCGGGTGGTTATTGCTACAGCTATTGCTATGCGATCATCACAGATGGAAATAGCCTTATCGATGTCAGATTATGCTTCAGATGCTTCGGACAGATAGTAATGAGATGATCTGTCTCAGCAACTGCCGTTGCCTGGTGGATGGATGTAGTGGTGTAGTGGTGGAATCTTGGAAGGGTGGGATTGAGCTTAATCGGCCACCGAGGTGGTTCCTACGGCTAGGAAGGATCCTCATGCTTTAGCATGCCTGTCAAGCTGGTAAACCCCAAGGTATGTCTATATGCCTACGTGACCTCGACTCAATGTAGTCTTTGCCAGAGAACACTGACGCTGGAGAGAGAGAGAAGGCTCTATACCAATTCTATTCACCAAGACCTCTCTATGTTCAATATTGCTCAATATACCCAGCTACATAAGCCATCACTGATCCAGCCCATTGAACTCGATCAGCCGCTTCACCGCTTCAATCACTCTATCTCCCGTGCTGGAGCTATCAGCCCCCAGCGAGGGATTGTCAAAGCGGGCTGCGAGGGCCTCGTCCAGCATCGTCCGCAGCCGCGAGACCAGCACGCCGATGCGGGCCCAGCCGCGGAGTCGGAGCCAGCCGTCTACGACAAGGCCGCGGCCGACGGTGTCGAGGTTGATGGAGCCGCAGAAAAGGAGGAGGGAGTATGCGTTGAATGCTGTAATGGAATTAATATACATATGCACACAAATATAGAGAGGGAGGTGGTGAAAGTGAAAAGGATGGGAAGCATACGGGTAAGATCACGGATAAACACCTTACTGGTGGCCATCTTGGTGAAGTAGCTCAGATACGCCGCGGCGCTGGGATACCCCTGAGCAGAGAAGAGGATGGAGCTAGGATGGATGAAGACGCGGCCGTTCTCCTGGTTGAAGTACTTGATAGTGCGGGCATCGGGATCGACCTCGACGGTGCCGGTGACGGAGCTGGCGAATTTCTTGTCCGGGAAGGATATCTGCGCGACCTGGGGCTGGAAGGCACCGGCAATGAGGGCGCGAAGGAGATTGCGGTTGGCGGCGTTGCGGTTCCACACGTTGGCAGGGGCGTCGGAGTAGTCGACTGGGAGGACGCCGGCGTCCTTGAGCGAGGTGACGAACTGCGCGCGGTTGGATGAGATGTCGCGCAGCGTCTGGTGGGAGAGGAAGTTGGCACCGCACCAGGATTGCGTCTGCCAGTTGCCCTGGGCGCGGGCTCGTTCGGACCATGCCTGGTAGGCGGCGAGGTCGGTGAGGAGGTCGCCGTCGCCGGGCCGGGAGAAACTGGCTTTGGCGGCGTCGGCTTCGTCGCGTTTCTCGCGCGGAGAGACAAACGGACTCTTGACCGTGAGGATGGCCGCGAGTGTTAGGCAGGACTCCATGCAGCCGAAGATCGATCCATAGATCATCAGCTTTGCGCATCGCAGATCCGCCGGGATCATGGATAGATACCGACCCAGCGCAGTTAGCCGGTCATGGTCCAGGGCTCCCACACGGTGTAGGAAGTTCAATGCGCCTTCGACAGCTATGCTTTCGGGAGGCGTGATTGTGTTTGCTAAGAACGTGGCAACGTCGTCCATGCCCTTCATAGATTTCACAGACAGACACAATTGTTCCAGAGGAACACGGCGAATCTCAGGGTCTGGCCGTTGCGCCATGTTAGATTCGGCCTTGCGGGTGTACAGCTTGTAGCAGGTACCTGCACGGACTCGTCCTGCACGTCCACGTCGCTGCTTGCAGGCGGCCTGTGATGCCCACACCTCTTGGAGGCGGACCATGTTATCCTTGGGGTCGTAGCTAGTTTCCCTTGACTCGGCCGGTGTCGATGACGGCAACGACATCCTCGATGGTGATCGAGGTCTCTGCGACGTTGGTGGCGGCAATGACTTTGCGTTTTCCCTTGGGTGGACTCTGGAACACACGGCGCTGCTCAGCCGGAAGCAGAGACGCATGCAGGGGCAGGGGATGTGTACTGGGGATTCTCTTCACCGCAGTCAGACACCGCTCGATCTCTAATGTACCGGGCAAGAAGATTAGGATTCCTCCTGGCTGGTTCCCTAGTTGAGCGTCGATGTATCGGACGGTGGATGCAATCAACTCGTAGTTGATTCCCATGCCAACACTCCGCAGAGCTTTACCGAGAGATTCCTCACCACGTGTGGCATCTGGATCATCTTCGAAGCTGTCGCATAACTCTGGAGCAAAGCCGGTGTCCCGGACAACATCGTCCAAGTAATAATCTTTGACCGGGAATGTGCGTCCGGGGATGTTAATCAGACCAACCGACTTCTTGCCCCCAAAGTAATCCATGAAGATGCCTGCATCAAGTGTGGCACTCATGAGAATGACCTTGAGGTCTTTGCGATGACGCAGGACATCTCTCAAAAGCGCTAGAAGGAAGTCGGTGTCTAGGCTGCGCTCGTGGACCTCGTCCACCACAACGTGCGACACATCTGCAAGAGAGCTTGCGACATTACCATCAGCATCACCACCGGACTGAATCCGGCGCAGTAAAACACCGGTGGTCACAAATGTGATCTTCGTCGCGCCCTGCTTGAGCTTTGACTCGCCTCGGATCACGTATCCAACTTCATTACCGACGGATGAGCATCGTTCGTCGCTCACTCGATCGGCAAGACCCAAGGCCGAGATCCTACGAGGCTGCGTACAAATGATGTTGGCAGCACCTCCCAGTCCACGCTTGATCATATCGTCCAGCACGAACTGTACTGACTGTGTACTCTTTCCGCTACCGGTTTCACCAGAGATAATAGTGACTTGGTGCGAGTTGACGGCCTGGATAATGGCATCCTGGGTGTTCCATGCAGGCAGAGATTGTCGTTTCCGAGACATCTCCATTTGTGCTGCGCTCGCTTGCTTGGCCTCCCAAGCTTCTTGGATGGCCAGACTCTGTGGGGAATTGGCTTTCCAGTCAATACCTCGCCGTTGCTTGCGTGTCGGACGCACATGAATCTCATGCGTAGGGCCAACTGGCAATGCTGTCACGGTAGAGATCTCTCGAAGCTTTCCCGGGTTCTCCATGATTTCAGGCATGCCCATCTCCAGCCAATCCAGGATGTTGAAAATCATTGGCTCGCCAGAGAAGTTTTCCTCGGCATACTTGATTGCTCGGCGGATTGCACTGAGCCGTATGTAAGCCGGGATGCCCTTGGCCTGGATTGAGATGACCGGCGGCGTCGTGGGATAGTGAGTGGACGGTTGTTGGAAGCGAAATGAAGTGTTCTCTGGGAGATTCAAGGCCTCGCTTTTGATCTCGCAGACCTTCTCTGAGACACGAACGTAGCGTTCTCCAAATATAGCCTCCAGTGCAGACTGTTCTTCGGTCCATGCCTCTGCATCCTCATCAGGAATCGAGGTGGGTGCGTATTCTGACCCGTGGGCCAAAGTGTCTTGCAAAAGCTCCGCCGCCGCGAGTTCATTACCGCCCTTGCTATCCAACACTTGAGAGCACAGATCAGCCGGATAGCCCACGGAGGCAAGTCGCTTGATCTTGTCTTCCCGAGCGAGGTCGCCCGCAGCAAGACTGACACCGGCTGAATATCCTTCGGGCAGACTCCACCGGGGAAGGTCGTCTTCAGGGACATAAACCAGAAGCCATTCCAGCACTTCTTCACGGTCTTTGCATTCTGCCGCAGCCTCTTCCACATGGCTGCGCCGGAAGCCGAGACCAGTGAACTCCTCGCCGATGGCTTTCCTTTCGTTTTCCGGAATGCTAACTCCGTACGGGTTCCAAATAGTATGCTTGCGTAACAGACCCTCGATTTCTCGGCGGATCCGATGTCCCATATCCACCTTGGGTGCTTGCGACCAGATTCGCCGTCCCTTGGTGTCACCACTGCCCAAACCCAAATCCACGTTGGTGGCCTTTTCCTTCGCTCGGGTCTTTTCACGATCCGCCCTCTTCTTTTCAAAATCGGCTGCCGCACTCTCCCGTTCTTGTTTGGCTAGGAACGGGTCCGCCTCGTACATGAAGGCCTTGCCTTCGCGTATATCGGCTGCCTTGATATCCGTAAAGTCCTCCTTCCATAGCTTCTTGTATGCCGGTGGGAGCATCATGTGGAGGTTGCGCATATTGCAGACCCGAAACAGAGCATATGCGGCCGCGAAATGGCGGGCCTCGAGGGCCGTGGTTTGCGCCGCCAGATGCTTATGGGACGGTGGCAGCTTCATCGGTGGGAGAACGACCAGCTCCTTGGTCTTTGAATCTACTCGCTTCAGCGTCACGGTGGATACGAACCCATCGATGGTTTTAATCTGCCATCGTCGCGATTCAGATTTGATATTAGCGGCCTGGATGATTCTGTAGGATTGAGAGAGCAAACAGGGTCGCAAGACCACAGTCGAGGGTTATGATTTACCATGCTGTACTCCGGCTTCTCCCACTTTTGCTTTTGACAATGCTCCGAAAGCATGTTGACGGGCAATTTCCCCGTCCATGACGCACCACCAATCACCTCCTTCACGGACGGCTTCTTGGGCTCTTCTGGTGCTTGCTTTTGGGCTTCGCCCGATCGCTCCGCAGCGGCCTTGGCCTGCTTTGTGCCAGGCTTAGGGCCTCCACGGGCATCATTCTTCTTCTTGGGGCCCATGTTTTGGTCCGCAGACTCCGATGGGAGAAAAAGTCGATAGCTGCGGATGAGAGGCGGTCCCGCACTAAACCCGTTCGGGGACTGCGGGGAGGATCTCTTTTGTATGGAGACCGCCCATCTCTTCTTTCTTTCTTCACCTACGGGTGGCCTGCCTTCCGATGTGATTCGATGACTCCTTTGCAGAAATGCTACAACTGATTGACCTACTGTGACCCTGAGTCCAGATCTATTGCCCATCATGTCGGGGGTGGACCAAGAACGCAAAGGCGAAGCTGAGGACTTGCCTCCCAGGAAAGACATGGCCACATCAGAGAAGAGAAACGCGTGTAATACATCTCGGTCTTGATGCAGCGTGATATCCAAGACAACAATTGACATCTAGTTGTTATTCCATACAGTCACCGAGCTTCTCTCATCCAAGCCCAAGCAGCCGAAGCACGCGACCGATGGCCCATCCAACCGCGCACCCAAGAACAAAGCTTCCTTCGGAGCTCGAGATGGATTGGGGGCTTACCTCACAAAACCAGAGTCATACCCATCAAATGTGGTAGTTTCTCACAACAAGGACTTTGTGGTGATCCACGACATGTTCCCGAAATCGACACTGCACCTACTCCTTCTCCCGCGCGACGCAACCAAGACCCGTCTGCACCCGTTCGAGGCCTTTGAAGACGCAGAATTCCTTGACAAAGTGCGCTCTGAAACTCGCAAGCTGCGCACCCTGGCGGCGGGGGAACTGCGACGCAAATACGGCAAGGATTCCGCGCAGGAGCAGGCGAGACTGGCGGCGATGGATGCAGACCCGCCGCCGAATGCGCTACCACCGGGAAGGGATTGGGAGCGCGAAGTGATGTGTGGAGTGCATGCGGTGCCGTCGATGAACCATTTGCATGTCCACGTCGTCTCGGTGGATCGGTATAGTGAGCGCATGAAACACCGGAAGCACTACAATAGCTTTGCGACGCCGTTCTTCGTGCCCATCGATGACTTTCCGTTGGCGCCGGATGACGCACGGCGACAGCCGACACGCGAGGGCTACCTACGTCGGGACTTTATTTGTTGGCGCTGTGGGAAGGACTTCGGAAACCGGTTTGTTGATCTCAAAAAACATCTGGAGCACGAGTTTGAAGAATGGAAGAAACTGTAGGCTACTGGTCCGTTCATAAAAAGATATTTGCAGGTCACGGCTGCGATAGCCTTGGCTGCGATTGTGTATTAAACTCCTACAGGCCCCCAATTTGACTTCAGAGAAGCGACTAGGTGATACTGGGCCTGGGTTTCGTAAAAATACACATGCTCCGGCGACAGAAAGGCGAAGCGGTTGGGAGTACATTCTCAGGAGGCGTCCATCTTCCACCTCCTGAGTACCCGGTCGACATTCCAGAAACAATTGCCATCCACATCCTCCTCTCGTTTGAATAAATGTCTATCACACGGACATTTACGCACGGGCCTTGGTTCGGCCAGCGCCCTTGACCTTCCGGGCCTCCGGGCGGTTGATGTGGTGGGAAGGAATCCAATCGGCGTTGTAGGTGGTAGCGGAGGTGACAGCGGGGCTGCTAGTAGTCTCGTCCTCGGGCTGGGACTCGCGCTTAGCGCTAGGGGTCTTTTTCTCGCCGGTCTTGCCAGTCTTGCGCTTCTGAGGGAAATACGGCGCGACCCAGACCGAGTAGAAGAAGTAGACCACGCCAACGAAGGAGGCCAAGAGGATGAAGTACAGGAAGATACTGTAGGTAGATTCCCCAGGTTAGTTTCTTGGTACTTCAGTCGTCACAGAAAGAATGGGACCATCTTACATCTGCGGGTCGAAGATGCTGGTGTCCGGCTCCACGACGCTCACAGTGCCATTGAAGGCCTGAACGGTGAAGAAACGGTTCTCCTTGTCCGAAAGAATGGCGGCGATGCTGAGACGGAGATCCTGCGGGTGCATCTCGGTCTCGAAGCTGTATTCCAAGGACTCCTTCTGGCCCGCGGCAATTTCGACGGCGTAGCGCGAGGCCGTCAGGTTGCGAACCACCTTGCTCTCCTCCTCCTCAGGAGTCCACAGGCTACCTCCAATGAAGTTCACAGTGACTGGGTTGGGCTCGTCATTGCTGATTTCAATCAGAGCTGGGGTCGGACGGCCGTTGACAAGTTTCACGCCGAAGATCTCGGACTCCAGGAAAGACGCCTTCGCCGTGACAGCCAGATTGGGGGCCTCCGCTTCCGAGGCCTTCTCAGCATCCTGCAGATCACAAACAGAGTTTAGTCAGTTAATTGAGCGCGTCCAGGTCGACTAGGGCAAAGTGCAGAAAAATAAAATACAATAGGAAGGGATACTCACGGCGGCAAAGCCGGTGCCAGCGAAGGCCTGGAGGGAGATGAGAGCCAGGGAGAGGAAACCAAAGCGAGTCATCGTGACTAGAGCACCAAGACACAAGAGAAGGATGAAGGTAGAAAACAGACTCGAAAGGGAGGGAAATTGGCTCCACGTATGCTAGAATGGCAGTTCGGGGAATGTATGCTGACTCAGGTAGAACATTCGAGCATCACGTGAAATTCTACAAACGATGGGCATCTATAAGATGGCCTTTCTAGACCTTAATTCGATGTAGGGGAACCTGGGGAGAACAAAATTGAAGTTGAGATCTGACATATATTTCAGGCTTTTTCTTTGATTACTACTTAGTGGCCAAATTATCACTATCAGTCTCTCAAACCACTCCTAACTGGTATAAGACAACTTTGACACGTCTAGGGTAATCATTTAGGCCACTGAGACAAAATTGAGGGTAAATTCAAGGACTAAAACAGAGATCTACACTTTCAGCTCATTTGACTTTTGATGGTCATATAAAGAACATGATAGATGTAATCTACTCTAGCCTTTCATTAATATCTTAAAGAACTATAGCGTGGTTAGCGAATGTAATAAGCACGGTCACCTTAGAAATAAGCTATTATTGCTGCTGATTTCAATCAAAGGAGTGTTGAAGGACATCCTGACAGCTAGGGTTCCTGAGTACTACCTGAATTAGCTAGTCTTATATACTTCGTGATATCTACTAGTTATAGCAGGACCTGAAAGACATTCCACATTAAATGAGTAAGATCAAGTCAGGTTAATTTGTGAAATATTGAGATAATCATGGACACACCATCAATGCATAAGGAATATATTTTCAAGTCAAGAAGACCAGAACTATGGGGATCCAGAGAGACACCTGGAAAGCTTGGCAGTGAATATGGCTGACTCATCCATCACCTGGGGAGCCACCTTTTTTTTGGCAGTGTTTTAGATCGGCTTTTTTTTTTTTAGTGACTTGCAGGTGAAGAAAGGCTGAAGTTCTTATATCAATTAAGTCAGGACCCTCAGCGCTAAACAGCGACCACTTAGGGGCCCAACCGCTGGGCGCCGATCACTTGCACACGCGCCTTCTTGAATGGAATTTCCCTTTCTCGCTCAACCGGATTTCCTCTTTTTTTCACTTGGATCTTCCCCATTCTTCCTTTTGTCAACCTCCTTCCTCCCAATCCATTTTCTCTACTCTTATATCTTTTTACCAAAATGACATCTCCCGCTTTTCTAGAGCGTTATCGCCAGATAGGCGCTCTCGACCAGCAGAAAAATGAACTCATCGAGGTACTGTCCTATTCCTCCCTTTACAGGAACCACACTAACGCGAAATGTCTTTGCTAGGAACTCCTGCAACGTGTGACCGACCTCGAAAATTCTTTCCAGCGTGAAAAACTTGATCATGAGCGAGAGACTCGCTTCAATCGTGATATTCAGCTGCATGAAATGGAGTTGATGGATCAGATATCGCGAATCAAGACTATTATGGTGAGCATCAGAGCGCGCACCATTCCAGGATGTGCGCTGACTCCTCGGTTGTCCTCTAGGACCGAGAGCCGTTTGTTGTCCTGCTTCTGGACGGAGAGGGAATAATGTTCAAGGACGAATTCTTGCAGCTGGGAGAACAAGGCGGCCGAAATGCTGCCAAGCAGCTCTGGACATCCCTGCAGGCCTATGTGACTGGAAACTTTCCCAGCATCCACACGCCGAAGATAATGACAAAGATATACCTTAATGTGAAAGGATTTGGCGACACTTGCGCCCGGAGTGGAATTTTCGCGGAGCCTTCCACTATCCAAGACTTCATTCGCGGCTTCAATGAAAGCATGTCGTTCTTTGAGATTGTGGATGTGGGAACTGGCAAGAATAAGGCACACGATAAAATTCGAGGTACGTGATGCACTCCCCTCTGGTTATAGAAGAAGAATGTCGTTGACGCTCGGTGCTCTCTTTTAGAGTCCTTCAAACTCTACCTTTACAATTGCCATTGTCACCAGATCTTCCTGGGTTGCCCCTCCAATAACGAATATGCTCGGTTCTTGGAAGAAACGCTGGTGGATGGGGATTTCAGCGGCCGCATTTCCTTGGTGGAAGGTCTTCCATTCGAAAAGGAGCTGGACGCGGCAAAATCTACATATCGCAGCACCAAGTTCCCGGATGTTTTCCGCTCAACCAAGGTTTCACCGGCCTGGGCTGTTCCATGGAAGAGCTCAATCCCTTCTCGGACGTTACTCACGCCGTCACCAACTCAGCAGTTCCAGCAAAATCCTGCCCCCCTGTCACGAACCTCCAGCGCTAGTGCTTCAGGCCTGGGTGTTCCCTTGTCGACGACAACAGCCAATAAGGTTTCTGATCCTCCCGACTTCCAGGTTGTTCGTTCTAAGCCATTGGGTACAACTGCCCCTAAGACCGTGGAACGCAACAAATACGGCCAGCGCGTTGATCGTCTCGACTTCAAGAGTATTCCTCGCGATGATCTGAACCGGTTGAAGAAGCTTAAGCTTTGCAATTATTACTTTCTGCTCGGGGAGTGCCCCAACGAAGAGAATTGCTATCATGACCACGACCGCAAATTGACCCGACAGGAACTTCACATCCTGTCCGCCATTGCTCGCATGACCCCTTGCCGCTTTGGATTGGACTGCGATGATCCTGAGTGTATCTATGGTCACCGTTGCCCCCAGAGTGAGCCCGGAAAGAAGACCTGCTTCCGAGGAGACAGCTGTCGTTTCGAACCTGTGGCGCACGGTATCGACACAAATATCGTCAAGGTCACGAAGATCTAATTGGGGCGGGCCTCCCTTCTTAAGAGAAATCAGTTATGCCTTGCAGTGAATTTGAATCGTTTTCTTCGGACTAAAGGGTTTCTGGGGGGGATTGCGTTCTGGATTCGGCGTGCAGGGGCATGCATGGGTCTGTTTTCTACAATCTCAGGTGGGCTTGAGCGCATTGCGTCTTTGCAATTTGATTCCTTCTCAACTGATCATTACGAAGCATATCTATTGCTTGCTCTTACCATGGTTTGTGCTGGAGTTGTTCAGGATTGGGGTTCATCGGGGAAGTTCAGAACACTCACGGCATTCTCAAAGGGTGAATCGGGAGTTTTGCGTGGGCGGTGCATGGTGGGCTTGGTCATTTGAATCCTCTTGCTATTGTCTTTTTCCCGAAGCGCTTTTATTCTTTTTTATTAAGGAATCGATGGCTCTTTTCGAGGCCTGGGTCGGGACGTTCAAATATCAACCCCAGACTGGGGGTTCAGCAAACCATGCGTGTCGAACTAAATTTTTGTATTAGTATTAGTATTTTTGAGACAATAACTAGGTAGCCAAACTAAGCCTTTATTTTTACAGGGTATCTAGAATCCACAATGCGCCTCTCCATGCTTCAGTTCGTGATTCATGCGTGTATCGTCGTCCCAAACATGGCAAACCGCCTCTCCCATCCCAAACAGTCGGGCTGACTACAGGGATCCTCGTCCACGTCCATGACATCGGGGTCCTGCGGATGCGTACATGGCACCCCGTATTCCTTGATGCAGCAGGTGAATGGCTGCGAGGAAAGTGGCGATGCCTTGCTTTGGTCGTTGGAAGAACCAATGGCTTTCTTGCGTTCCTCTAGGTTCCCCCAGAGCAGGAATAGCCGTTCCCGCAGTTCTTCCAGTCGGCTCGAATAGCGGCGGAGGCTATTTCAAGTAGACCACGGTTAGCTGCAGTTCGAAGGGACCATGGCGTTGGGGCAAAAAAAAAGGACAAAAGACTCACTCGGTGGGATCCAGTTGAAGGAGGTGCTCGCCTTCAGCCCCCGACACAAACAGCTTCATTTGTTCCCGGGGCTGTTGTTTGGAAGCCATGGGCTCGATTCCCTCTACGAGAAGGCAGAAGCGCCATTCCCATACGGTGTGGCGCTGGTCAGAACCTGATTCCTCATCGTCTCCGTTGACAAGGATGGAGTCGTTGGGGACTTGAACGGCGAAATCCCTCAGATCTGGGGGGAAGAAGTCGACCACGCGGACTATGGGTCGGTAGCAGACATTTTGGAATGGAAGTTGGTAGGTGACACCCCCCGGGAGAGTATTGACATGGGTTTCTCCCGATAGGATACGCTCGATCGAGCGGGCGGGCACGAGGTAACTACGTGCTTGGACTGTTGTGATCAAGTTAGAGACCGTGGTTTTCTTTTCTTTTTTTTTCCAATGTCGATAGGACGCATAGATACTCACTGTTGGGGTTGGCTTTCGTTCGCGGCGCCACTGACAGCGGTGGTTGGCCCTCTTCTGTTCGGGTTTCTTTTGGCTTTTCTTGTCCCTTCTTTTTGCGTCGTTCGGCCTTTTTTGAGTCGGCGTTAGGTTTGCCATGGATTCTCCAGTATTCTTTCCGACGATCGAACAACTCTCGTGCACGATCATCGTAGTCACTCGCAACAATGCGGACATGAATCTTCTCGGGAAACCGCCGGTCCTCGTGAACTCCTGCCTCTAGGCTGCCGGAGTTGCCTGGTTTGATACGGGCAAAGGTAAAAAGGACGAGGTCATTTGGCTTGACCTTTTCTCGCGCAAACCCAGCGTGCGGCTCCCAAAGAGTCACTGGCATCGTGAATTGGCCCCAAGGACCCGGCCAATCTTTTTTTGTTCGGGACAGATAGTTGTACTCGTCACCCACGGAACCCCCGGTGTCTCCCTCGTCACCTTGTTTCTTGTAATCGACAAGTGAGGTATTCTTGGTGTAGTCAGTGATATACATTACACACTTCTCACTGTCAAAGGTGTTTATCTTGACCACCTGCCCGAGTAATTGGCACAGAAGGTACTCCTTGACATCCCGAATGAGGGTCAAGGGCAGACCCCCAGATTTCGGGGGTGCTGCCGAGGCTTGGACAACCTGGGCACGAGGCCTGGGAGCAGAGGCATGCCGTGTTGGGGGTGGCTGCACAAGTTGCTCGTTGGTAGACACACGATCCAGCAGAGCCATCGCCCCCTGTTTCTCCAATGGGGTCATCCGAAAAGGATCGGGCCCCGTGGTAATGGACGGGAGGGAGCTTGGATCTGGATCTGGCCGAAAGACCGCCCAGGGAACTTTGCTATACTGAGATGCCACGCCTGTTGGCCGACCTTGGTAGATGCTAACCTGTGAACAGTCAGTATTAGCTACATACTCCTGTGGATTGTATCAGGGGGACCAACCCGGATGTTTCGTAGTAGAACTACATCATTGACATGCACAGTAGGGAGAAAATTCTCATTGTCGTTGAAGTACTTGATCTTGAGACCACCATGCCAGCTCGGTGCATCGAATTCAGAGTCTTTGATGGTGAAGGTGACACACGACGATGACCCTTTAGTCCGATAGACCTCCAGGGTGTCTACCACCACACCAACAACGTTGAGAATGCCTTTGGTGGAGCAGGCAGACTGGATATCCACCAGATTCATGGCGGCCATAGTTGATCTGTTGCAGAGTGACCACTGCAGCAGATCTTAAAGCGGTGGTTTGCTCATAAACAAAACGGGTTGAAGACTTGTTTTGTAATGTCTATCCACCTTCCTCATCAGAGGAAGCAGAAGCACGCAGTTGCTTCTCCTGAGACAACAGAGACAAAGAGAAAAGACGAGTCCCGGGGAATTTCCTGACGGAAACCACCTCAGCAACGAGGCGCGCAAGTAAATAATGGGGGTCACATGATTTCCCCTCTCCCACAATCTTTCTTCCTCTCCCCCCACATCTCCCTCTCTTCCTCTTCCCATCTTCAGCGCGCCTCCCCCATCTCAGTGCCATCCTTGATTTCCGTGGCGCGCTATTTTCTCCCTTTGGTGTTTTCATAATCAAAACATATTCACCATGGCGGAACGCTATATCCCCGAGCACCGTCGGACCCAGTTCAAGGCCAGGAACCAGTTCCGCCCCGATGAACTCCGCCGCCGTCGTGAAGAACAGCAAGTTGAGATTCGAAAGCAGAAGCGAGAGGAGAACCTGGCCAAGAGACGTGGTATTCAGACCCGGGATGGTGGAATCGGTGTTGGCGGTGGCATGGCCGCCGCGACTGAGAGTGATGACGAGGCCAGTGCAATTGAAAGTGAGGTACGTTTGACTATTGTGAAGACAGTTACTTTTGCTGGGGAATCTGGTTACAAGTTCAATTCCTTATGACCCTGTGCTGCCACTTGGCCTCCCTTGGGGGTCATTCGGCTTGCCTTTGTTTTCCTTGATCGCATCAACATGGAATTTTTCACCGCCCTGTTGCCATGGCCCCCGGGCCCCTCCAACAACGGAACCACTTGACCCCACTATAGATCAAACCGCAAAACAACCAATAGCTAACAAAATGGATTTTATAGCTCAATGTCGAACTCCCCTTGATGGTGAAGGGTGTTTTCTCCGACCAGGTTGAGGAGCAAATTCAGGCCACCACAAAGTTCAGAAAACTCTTGTCCAAGGAGCGCAATCCTCCGATCGAGCGCGTCATTGAGACCGGTGTTGTCAACCGTTTTGTTGAATTCCTTCGCTCCCCCCACACCCTGGTGCAGTTTGAGTCGGCTTGGGCTTTGACCAACATTGCCTCCGGTTCCGCCCAGCAGACCCAGGTCGTCATCGAGGCCGGTGCTGTCCCTATCTTCGTTGAGCTTCTGAGCAGCCATGAGCCCGATGTCCGAGAACAGGCCGTGTGGGCACTTGGAAACATTGCTGGTGACAGCCCTCATTGCCGTGACTTCGTGCTGGGTGCTGGTGCTCTGCGCCCGCTGCTGAACCTCATCAACGATGGCCGGAAGCTGAGCATGCTTCGAAATGCCACCTGGACCCTTAGCAACTTCTGCCGTGGCAAGACCCCGCAACCGGACTGGAACACGGTATGTGTCGATTTCTTATTCTGGATGATAGTGTTGCTGACTCGATGTAGATTGCCCCGGCCCTGCCTGTCCTTGCCAAGCTCATTTACATGCTGGACGACGAGGTCTTGATCGATGCTTGCTGGGCTATCTCATACCTGTCTGATGGCGCCAACGACAAGATCCAGGCTGTCATCGAAGCCGGTATTCCCCGCCGTCTGGTGGAACTCCTCATGCACGCCTCTACCTCCGTCCAGACTCCCGCTCTCCGTTCCGTCGGCAACATTGTCACTGGCGATGACGTTCAAACCCAGGTTATCATCAACTGCGGATCCCTCCCTGCCCTGCTGTCTCTTCTGAGCTCTACCAAGGATGGCATTCGGAAGGAAGCTTGCTGGACCATCTCCAACGTCACTGCTGGCAACTCGAGTCAAATCCAGGCCGTTATTGACGCCGGCATCGTTGCCCCGCTGATCAACTTGCTGGCTAACGGGGACTTCAAGACTCGGAAAGAGGCCTGCTGGGCCATTTCCAACGCGACCTCGGGCGGTCTGCAGAAGCCCGAGCAGATCCGCTACCTCGTTACACAAGGTTGCATCAAGCCCCTCTGTGATTTGCTTGCCTGCCCGGACAACAAGATCATCCAGGTGGCTCTGGATGGTCTGGAGAACATCTTGAAGGTCGGCGAGCTGGACAAGGAGTCCGGCCAGCCTGGCGAGACCCGTGTCAACCGTTTCGCTCTGTTCATCGAAGAGGCTGGTGGCATGGAGAAGATTCATGACTGCCAGAACAACGCCAACGAGGAGATCTATATGAAGGCCTACAACATCATCGAGAAGTACTTCTCGGACGAGGACGAGGCCGGTGGTGACATCGATGAGCTGGCACCCCAGCAGACCCAGACTGGCTTCGCTCTCGGTACCGGCCAACAGCAGCCCGGCGGGTTCAACTTCGCCAACGGCGGTGATTCTATGGATATGTAAAGGCACCTTGGGATTTTCCATGTTGAAGCCTTTTTTTTTTTTTTGAGCCAAGTTGAAGCTGTGTTGAGTCTGCAGGAACTCTCTGGCAACAGCCATTCGAGCCACTGCCACCGTTTCTCACATCTTAGTTTTCTTTCTTCCTTTCTCCCTCCGCTTTCTTCTCGAGCTGCTTTTCCCTCTGGTGCTGAGCTTACGCACGAGCTTGAGTCTGTTGTCCCCCTCATCCCCATTCGGCCTCGGCTAATGTCACGATGCTCCTTCCCCCCCCCTCCCATCCCCCTTTTTATCTGTTCTGATTTCACGATAAACAAGATTCACCGTCATGTATCCCCCTCCCCCCCGTGTTTAGCATCCTCATACACAGGCGTATTTTGCAGGATCGGTTTTCGTTTTCGTTTTCGTTTTCTTTTCGTTTATGTTAATGCCCCAAACCCCTTCCCAGTCACTGGTGTTTCTGGTGCGGAATTAGGCATCCCACACCAACTCTTTCTTCCTTCCCTGGCTCCAGGATGTCCCAGTCGATGGCTTTCCCCCTTATACCATTGCGCCTAATGGTAATCCAATCTGGGGTTGCCTCGACCCTTTAGTCAACGCAGCGTCTCTGGAAATAATTGTGGTACTCTTTCGTGGTACCCCTTGCAGTTAGCCAGGCAAAATGCCATGTCCTACTCAGCCGAACATTTTCTATCATAGATCGTAGTCATTTCCGGGTATCGTAGAGGTCTACACCTTATGATTTACGGTAGATGTCCGTTGTTGAGAGTAGGATTAATTGTGACGACCCTCAAGCAACTAAGAAATTGGGCAAGAAGATTTGTGTGGGCATCAACCATGAGATGAAATCGTGCTCTTGTCTCGGCAATCAGTTGTTCACAAGGATACATCCGCAGTTCCCTCCCACGCACTCCTTATGTGTAGAGCCAAGTGACCGCGGCGCTTTATAGCAGTGCACGTAAAACTGGCGTATCTATAACTTTCTCAACTCCATGATGTGGGGATCGCTGTTAAAACCCACTTGCACCATCGCATCTTCTCCCAGAAACGAGCCCTTGGTTGCTAGGAGGAGCTGGACGCTTTCTACACAATCAGCCGCGCCGGCCCACTCGAAAGCTTGTCTGCTTTTCTCGAATCCTGCTTTCAGCAATGATGCCAGTCCGGAGGGCCATGAAGTGTACATGCTGATATACTGCTGCATGGCAACACCGTTTCGGATATGGGAATTGAGAAGCCGTTTATCCCTGGCTATCAGAAGATCCGAGGGCTTCTGGGGCATATATGTCTAGAGGGTTTCTCCAACATGAGTGTCGCCCGCCCATCTTGAGGAAGGGAAAACTCCACATTAGGCCAAGCAAAGTGAGGAACAAGGGAGCGCCAAACGAGATGAAGCGGGATCACCGTCTCAAAAGCAGATGATGTGATGTAGCCACCCTCACCCAAAAGTACCGAGGCGATGTCCATGTGATCCGAAGGCTCTGATCTATTTAGAGGCTCCTTAGTGAAATCAACCGTGTTCACAAGACCGAGCAGAGTCTTTCGGCGGAAGCTTTCGCGGCTATTTTGGACACTGCCCTAATGTCGATCTATCCTCCGATAGAACATCCTGTAGTGCCTCGAGGAGGCCAGTCAGGCCTTTGATTTGTATCTGCTATAGTATGTCGCCAGTCCGTGACAGACTGTCAGGCAGAGGGCTATGATATCAACTGCATTCGACATAATGAGAGGTCCTGGATCATGAACGGCTGGAGCTGGGTGATTAAATTTTGAGTAATGGCGAAAGGGGGATGTGTGTTCAACCCTCGTCTTTAAGTCAATATGCCGTGGGGCTCAGCCGACTTGGATCCCTGCAAAGGAGATGGGTGACTTGGCAGTCCACAGCCACATCTTTGACGAACTAAGTTGGCTCACTCTGTAGTGTACGTGTCCAGGATCCCAAATCGATGGCCTGTAGAAAGAAATGTCTTGAGTGGAATACATACAGCAATACGACAGGGGAATAAATTTGAAACAAATGGTTAGAGACAAAGGCAGATGGAACAAGAAAAAGATGAATAAAGTCAGAAGAAGCAAGATTCATACCATGCATGGGACAAGGAAAGATCCCATATCCGACCCGACAGGGCAAAGAAAAATAAAGAAAGATACAAGGAAAGTAAAGCTATTATGGCAAGGGAGAAAAAGATCAACGCAGAGAAAGTGATTTTTGAAGCACAGGTCGTTTCCATAGGACACACAACTTGGAAGGCCCGGCGAGCCCACTAATCGCCCATCACCTCGTCCTCGTCGTTATCAGCGTCGATATCATTTTCAACGAGCTCGCGAGCGCGCAGATCCTCGTCATCATCTTCTTCCACAGGGTCGGCTTGCTCGGCTTCCTCTTCATTATCATCGACGTGCTCGGCCGACTTGAAATCCTTGTTGGCTGCGGCTGCGGGCGCCGCAGCCTTGGCAGCTTGCTTACCCTTGCTTCGCGGGGTGCTGCGAGGCTTGCGCTCTTCCAGGTATGACAGAACCTCACGGTAATTCTGGCCCAGGCCAGTCTTGTTGCGCAGCAGTCGCTTCTTGAGAGCGCCCCGCTTCGACCCGGAAGCGTCGACGATGCGGCCGATGATGGCGAGGACGAGTTTGCCGGTCAGCTCGCAGAGACGCTGTTCGGCCATAATGCTGCTCCGGAGGCGCTCGTTGATCACCGTCTCGTCTTCCGAGTCTTGCTCTTCGTCCTCATCCTCGGGCTCGTCGTCGGATGCTGGGGCGTCATCGTCAGCGGGCTCGAGGTCTCGACCGGACTTCTTGGCAAACATGCGTTCGGCAACGCTGTGAATCTTGGTAATAAGGGCTTGGGTGTCGGGTGCAATTTCATGAACGAGACTCTGAGCCTGGAACACAACATCTTCATCGTTACCGACGCCCTGCCCGACATTCCGTAGCGTGCTAAACAGGGTCTGTAGGTCGAGGAATGAGGTGGTAGCCGCAAATCGCAGGTCATCCAATCCAGAGCGCTGATCCATGATGCTGGTCAGCGCCGCCGCGAAAGTTTCGCGACTTTTCGTGAGCGCCTCGAAATACAACGTGTTGAAAGAAGCTTTCCCGTCATTCAGAGCCGTGGCCAAAGCCTGCACCTTCCACATGAAATAAAAGAGCAACGTCAGGATACTGTTTGTGACCAGCTCCGTTTCTGTCCTGGCAACATCTTCGTCATCATCTTCCTTCCGTAGACCGCGCTCGACAAGTCGAATGAGTGTGTTGAAGGGAGCTTCCGGGTGATCCTTTTTGGACTTCGAACGCGATGTGGGTACCGTCTCCAGGATAACGGTGCAGTCCATGATACCGGCAAGATTCGAAATGCGCATCACAGTGTTGTTCAGGTCTGTAAGGTTTGGGTCCGATATTGGACCACCTTCTTGCACATCCTTTTTACGAGACAAGGTGCCAAGCGCCTCCACCATGTCATCCCATAGCTCCTGAACCCTGCCTTCCAGCGCCTCCCGCATCTCATCAGAACTCTTCGCATGCAAGAAAGCCATACTGGCTTCAGCCAGGACGTCCTGGTTTGAGTGGGTCAGGAATTGCTTGTTGATGTCATTCAACAAGGAAGAATAAGCCGTGGCATCTTTCTGAAGATCTTGGATTGTGTCAAGGTCCACAAAATGCTCCAGCCGCAAAACAGCAGAGGCGGTCTCGGGTGCAGACCCAAATTTGTTGAGAAGCCGTGGAATGATTTGTGCAAGACCATGAGAAATCTCTTCTTGAAGTTCGGGAATTTTGGCAGTCAGTGCCTTGATCTTGCGGCCTCGCTTGTCGATGTCAGACTTTGCAACGTCCAGGACCCGAAGTTTGACTGCGGCGCAGAGAACTTCTAGAAGAATGGATTCCTGGCCCTCCTGCATTTTGTACAGGTTCCGCACGACCCCCGTCGTGTCATCTTCAGAGGGATTGTCTGCGATCTGGGAATGGTCGTAAAGAAGATAGCCCGCCAGTGATTGCCACAGGGATAGCTCCTCCATGTGAGGGTAGATAGCCTCAGTTGCCAAAACGAATCGCGAATCTACTGGCACGCCCGACAGCATGTCGCGAGGTACCGAGGTTCGCTCCGGCGGCTGTTGCCCGATTTCTTGCTCGTCATACACCTGGAAGATATCTGCAAGGCATTTGAGTTTGATCCAGGAGCGCTTGGGCGACTCAAAATCATCCTCGTCATCGTCAGCAAACATTTCGTTGACCTCCTCGCCCACTTCCTCTGTGATAGAGTCAAATGCATCCTGGACATTCGCAACAAAAAAGCGGCCTGCCGTTGTTCGAATCCGAGGGTCCATGTCAAATACTAGTCGGCCGACAGCGTCGATGTCACCAGGCTCGAGTAATCCCGCCTCACGGAAGAGATTCAGCAGTTCGACGGCTGCTACACGCACGGAGATATCGGCATCCTGAACAGCGATCTCCACAATCCGCTGGCGGAAGCGATCAGTGAAAGAATGGAGACCGGCGATGTTGTCTCTATTCTCATAGAGTGGCAACAACTGCGTCAAGACAACCAGCCGGGTGGACGCAACGGCATCCGCGAGGGTCCATCCGAGATACCGTAGGTATTGTCCCTCGAAAAATATCTCTCGATATGTGCGAATCCATCTGCCCAGGGCCTCCATACACTGGGCACGGATCTTTCCATCCACATCGCGGTAGCGATGGACAAAAACCGTGTCGAACCCATCCTGCAGGAACCCATCGAGTTGCTCCACCCTTTGTTCGGCGTCTGAAATGGCCGTTTGAATTGCCTCCACACGGCCTTTGTTGACGGTCTTTTTCTTCTTTTCGCTTTCGAGTTGCTTGCGCGAGGTTGTCAGGGTGGTCGTGACCTCTCGCGCAATATCACACAAGGTGTTCATAATCGCCAGAGATATGATAGTCGCTGTATGGCGAAACGGTCGACACTTCGATGTTGACATGGACGAGACCCAGATCTGGATATTTTCAAGCAGAGCATCATCTGTGTACAAGATCGACGAATGATGAAACGTTTTAATCAGCGCGGTGAAATATTCCTCAAGAACAGCTTGAAACACCCTAAACTTTTTCTCTCGAGAGATGAGAGGGTATTCGGTGATGCCTTGTGCATGATACAGTTCTTGTAAATCATTGACTCGCTGAAAAGCGTTGTCCACATCTTGCACCTCTTCGTCGCTGATCTCCAGGTCGGTCCCGGTGCATCGAAGAATGAAATTGACCAATTCTTGCATGGCATTCCCATTATTCCGCTGGTATCGAGTGAGCCACTGCGCCGCGGCTGCGTCAGCATTGTTGCTTTTTCCAAAAACCTCCGCTAGATCAACGTTAGCAATGAGAATCGTTGGTAGAGATTGCGCAATCGCCCACTTACCGAACATGCCGCGTTCACCAGCGGCCAAACTAGGTCGGACTTTGGGTTTCCGGGGCCGTGAACTTGGGAGTCGACCAGTCGTAGCAGGTCGAAAGGCGAGCTGTCTTCCGACCCCGTGACCCGCAAACTTGGGTTTCTTGGCCGCGTGTGATGCTTTTCCTTTTGGTTTGGATGGTTTCTTTGGGCCAGCCTTGCGTGCCGCGCGCCGCTTCTCTCGCAACTCTTCCTCGTCTGCATCATCGTCGCCGGCATCATCGCTCTCTGACTCCGACGCGTCTTCATCCTCGACTTCTTCGCCATTGTCGCGCTCGTGGCCACGTTTGCGTTTTCCGCTCAGGGTAGAGCCCTTCGTGGAGTGTGTGCTTTGAGAAAATGTGTCGGGTCGTCGCGTTGTTCGGCCCGATTTGCGTCTATCTTCGGTGGGGGTTGAGGACGGGTCCACGGGACTGGACAAACGGTCGTCGATGTCCATGGTGGGCTAGGATTGTGTGGTAATACTCTGGTAGCTGTAGCTGTGAGGATAGCAAGGCTGATCGATCGGATCAATGGCCCAACACAGTGACGTGAATTGGTGACCTGTATTTCGAATCGAGGACGCGCTTCGTGCAACGCGCGGTGCGCAACCGCAGCAAACGCGCTCTAGCAGGTCAACTCAATAGAGTCTTGGAGGGGTAGTTGAGGTAGCTGGGAGAAGACGATCCTGAAAGAATAGGGATAAGGTCAATGGAGAGAAGCCATGGGATCAACCAGAGAGAGTCGATGAGAGCGAAAGTGGGGAAAAGAAGCGTGTCGCGTCGACTCCTGCTTGGTGCCTGAGGACACAAGTTGGTGCCTTTCATGCCTCAATTACTAGGCATAAAGTTAAGGTAATGTTACTGAAACAATACCGTAACTTTACCCAATGACATAATTTCACCTTACGTAACCGTGAAAGGATCCGCGGCGCCAAGACTCCGGCGGGCAGCGTCTATGCGAGTGCGGAGATACGGTTTGTCATAGAAAAGGTCCTGTCCTTTCATTTCTGCAGATGTCCAGTTACTAGCTGCCTGGGATCCATGGGAGCCAAGGGATGCCCCGGATCATCTGGACTATTTTTCGCTGGCTCCATTAATGGGTCTGGCGTGATTCCCCATCAGGTGAGTGCCCGCACCAACCTTGCCTAATGAATGCCATCATCGCTAATTATATGCCAGTCTCGCCCCGAAAACTCCGGGGTTAAACCTCATCTTCTTGAGCATGTGGTAGCCTGGTTGTACAGCCACCAGACCTGACTGTGACCTCGAGCTACATGCCTTCTTGGCTCATTCTTCGCCTCTTCGCCACTCGATGATATAAACCCTGGGCCGTTTCTTCCCTTTGACTGCCCATTCCAGTCTTCATTCTACACCATCGCCCATCATGCGACAACCATCCATGCCGATTCGATCGCCCTTCGAGTCGTCCATCGCGAAGCCGGGCCAGGGCACCGTTGTCCTCTCCCTCCTCCCTCCCGCCAATCCCACCCTCACGACCCTCACCTACAAATACCCATTGAAGTTGGTCCCACGGGCACCGGGCTTTGTTCCCAGCCCTGAGCCATCTGCACTTTCAGATTCATGTCCCTCGCGACCCATCCACCTCTACCTCCTCACGTATGGCGGTGGGCTCCTACCAGGAGATCATATCGAGGTGTCGATCACACTCGATGCCAAAACTAGAATGGTGGTAACCACACCGCAAGGGAGCACGAAAATCTTCAAGACCGACCCCAACAACAGTGACAATAGCCCCAACGTCATCAAGGGCCATCGAAAACAAATGCCCGTCAACGAACACCTCTCTGATATGAGCAAGCAGACCCTGGATGTGCGAATCGGCCGACAGGCAGCCCTTTGCTACCTGCCAGATCCGTCAGTCCCTTTCCAGCATAGTCGCTACTCTCAGGTACAAACCTTCACCGTCGACGCCACCGCCAAAGGTGACGAGCGCAGCAGCCTCTGTGTACTCGATTGGGTGACCCAGGGCCGCACCTCCCGTGGTGAAGACTGGAACTTTCGGTTCTGGCGGGGTCGCAACGAAGTCTGGGCCACCGACGAGAAGACAGGCAAGAGCCGGCTCCTGCTGCGAGATTCGGTGATTCTGGACGATGAAACCGAGGACAGCGAGGATGATGATCTGGATGAGGACCACCGTGGGACTGACAGCCACTCTGGCCGTGTCGACACCCCGCCGCCACAGGCCGGCCTGGCGCCCATGAACGTCCTCCAAGAACGTACTCGACCGCATGGCGTAGTGGGAACACTGATCTTATCCGGACCGGTATTTGACAGCCTCGGCTCTTTCCTGATCAACCAATTTGCTTCCCAGCCACGCATTGGTAGTCGAAATTGGTCGGCAGCAACACCGTCCTCGGTACCGGAGCCGTCCCTTAGCACTAAGGGCAATGTTACCTGGACCGCGGCGCGTGTGCGAGCCGGCTTCGTTCTGGTTAAGTTCGGTGCCAAGGACTTTGAGACAGCTAAGCACTGGCTGGGTGGCCTGCTCCGCGAAGAGGGGAGTGTGATACGAGAATTTGGCGAAGAAGCGCTCTTCTGCCTATGACGCTCTTGCATTTATGCTGTTAGGGTTTCCTCAGCTGGCCGAGGGTTTGACACCCAGAACAGTAGAATTGGACCTGAATGATACCCCCAGAACTATATTTGGTTATGTTTTGAAATCTGTCATCTATTTTGCATAACTTCCTACATATCTATCATCGCCACATGTGATTTTTAACTATCTTGAAGCATCCAAATTCATTCGAGGCAATCAATCTTAACCCCCCAGGGCAACAAAATGGAGTTCCTGGCGTCAACTGCCATCTGGTAGCATCCGATGGTATAGAGGAATCCCACGGACTGGGGATATTTGCACTAGCAGCAATATCAATTCATTCGCATTAGATCTATCCTCAAATATGTGTTCGGCTTTCGCAGTCACCAAGCCAGTCCGTAATCTATCAGAATAGCAAAGGTATTTATCTCAAAAGCCCAAAAAAAAAGAAAACGAAAGAGACATTCCAGCCTCAAGACGCCCATTCCAGCTAGTAAGAGCCGCTATAAAGCAAAGATTTGACAATTGGAAAAGAAGAACCAAGATCACGTCAAATCCACCAGTCAAAGATCCTCGTCTTCCAGTCGCCCTTAGTTGCCCCGACGAGATCATCAACGTTCAGAATATCTACACCTTCCTGCGCCAGCACCCTCCAGATATGGTTGCGCAGGCCCCGAGGCCAGCCAGGCAGCGACCAGTACCGCACTTTCAAACCATGGCGATGGGCGACACGGACCTGGGCGCGGATGAGATCAATCTGGCGTTGGGTGAAATGGAACGGCCAGGGAAAACCAATAGCTTTCTTGAATGACACGGACGCATAAAAGCTGTTGGTGACGTTGAAGGTGTCCGCCGTGATGGTGACCGGCATACCAGACAACCCTTGGCCAAGGCCATTAGATCGCTTTGTGCGGGAGAAATGCAACTCGGAGTGTCCGGAGCCAGGGTTTTGAGTGTAGGACTCCTCGTCGACGAGCTTATCGAGCGGGGCATCGAAGAAAATATCTCGGTAGGAGGAGTTGGCCGTGACGAGATCGAATGGTGTGTTTCCGGTGCCAACCACGGTGACGGGGCCAGGGACAATATCCCGGCCATTGAAATGGGTCAGATAGCCGCGGTCTCGCAGCGGAGCCAGCTGTTGGATGACGGCTGGCCAGGTCGCGGCGCCATCGGTCTTGAAATCGACCAGGAGGATGAGGGACTGGCCAGGGTCGGCGTCGAAGACACCGCGCGGAGGACGAGCGATAGTGAGCTGGAATTTTGTGATGGGGTTCTGGCGCTCGAGTATGACTACCAGCGGGTCAACGTACATGGACCGCAGAGTGCGCTGCGGCGTCAGAGATGACGCGGTGTGGCCGACGTAGAGCTCGTCGTCGAAGAGCCAGACGTCGGCCTCGACGCCAATGCAGCCGGCTTGCAGCGCCGAGTACAGTGGCACCGGCCGCCAGTAGTCATTGTGCGAGTGGCAGCCCACAGGGACGATGTCGCGCGAGATATCGGTGGGCCAATGCAAGTCGTCCTGGGTGTCTGCGTGGTCGCCGTGTATCCAGTGCTGGGCAGCGCGGTCGTATTCGTCCGGGAAAAAGGAAAGTACAATACCACAGGCAATAGCAAAAAGTTGGATGATGCCTCTTTATTTTTCGGGGGGGATATAAATGGTCCCATCGGTCAGCGACACTTGTTCTCGCAACAAATCGCGGGATAACGTCATTTCATACTCACAGCATGATCAAGAACCCCAACAGCGCACGCACCGGCCAGCGCGATAATCGGGACAGAGTTCGACGTGCTCTTCTTCTGCGCGGTAATGAGTCTTCTTCTAGCAACGGCAGGACATCGTCTTCCCTTGACGTTGTAGACGGAATTAGACTCGCCAACACCCGACGCCATCGACTATGCGGCCCCACTCCGCGGGGAAGAACTGTAAAGCGCACGTCGAGTTTGTTCGCATCTCGGCCTGTGTCCGGCGAGTCCACGTAGCCGTCAAAGGGGAAGTCGAGGACACAGGGAGATACGCCAGAGGGTGAGCCCTGGTGAAGGGACCGAAAGGAAATACCCATGGTGTGCGGGAGGAGAAGAGATGGCGAGATCAGAGGGGAAAGAGAAGGAGAGTGAGATTTCCCTCTGGTCTCCGAAACCCTATGAGACATCTAAGTATGATGTGAAGGGATCGGTGGTGATTGGATCGCAATCCGCGGCTCCGGTGGAACTCAAGTTTGGATGGGCGTCGTCATCCATACTACATTTATACTACATCCATGCTGCAACACTACACACATCGCGAGGTCATACAATAGATCAATTGAGACATAGGATATGACGCTTTCTATATACATGCAATGAGAACCCAAACACCGAGGTGCCCACACGGCACCCGCTTTTTTGGCTTTCATGAAGCTTTTGTCCTATTTCAGTAATTTTTAGTACACTCACTCCTCCTGTAGAGACTTGACGTAGGCCGCAGCCCGCGCTTTGATCTCTTCCACCATCTTCTCATCCTCGGTCTCTGCGGCAAGCTTTTCCTCAAACGTAAGCCACTTCTTGAAGAGGAACCGGGCCTGCTTGGGCTTGACCTTCTTGCTTGCATCCACGCTAATGCCCTTCTTGCTGCTCTGCAAGCCGAGTACTCGCTCGAACAGACGGCGGACCTGTTCCGCATCCCCAGCTTTGATTTCCAAGTCCAGTAGCACGTTCCACAGGTCAATGCGCTTGGGGAACGAGGACAGAAGACCCTCAAACACGGTACGACCACGTTCCACATCGCCGTTGGCGGAGCGGAATTCCAGCTGCGCGAACTTGGAGGTCGTCTCAACGTGAGTGTGCGCTGGGAGCGATTGCAGGGCGCGCGGAAGCAGTGCCCGGCCACGCTCGGGGGCGGCCTTGGCGTCGAAGAGGAAGCTGGCGTAGTTGAGGAAGAACTTGGGCGACTGCGAAGAAATCTTCTTCTTGAGCGCGGTTTGGAAGAGGTCATCCGCTTTCTGCAAAGAAAAACAGTTAGCAATCCATAGATATTTTTTTACCACGCGGGAAAGGGGGTTTCTACATACCTCGTTCTTCCCGGACTGTATGTATATACTGATCATCCGCTCGTAGATCTCTTGCGGTTCATTGTACTGACACGCCCGCTTAAAGACCTCTTCGACGCTGTCGTCGTTGCCGTACGTGTTCTCCAAGTTCAGCAACGCTACCCAGATGTTCAATTTCTCGGCGTCTTGTCCCATGGTGATGGTGCGCAGCGCGCGCTCGGCAATGGCGCGTGCCTTCTCGACTTCACCCAGTTCCAGCTGGAAGGCCATGTACTGCAGCCACAGGAGAGACGTGTCCGGCTCACCCAAGAGAAGACGCTCGTAATCGGCAACGGACTGCGGGCCGTTCGCATCCAGCTCGCCGGTCCGGTCGACCTGGATCTCAGGCTTGCGGTTCTTTTTCTTCTTTTTCGAGGCCTCGTCATTGTCACTGTCGGAACGAGCAGCCTCGTCTTCGTCGTCTCGGACATTACCACTCCAGTCGAAGCCAGTCGCACCAAGACCCCCGTTTTCGTGGGCTGAGTGCCTTTCATGGGCACATCCTCATCACTCTCCGAATCGTCCTCGTCGCTATCGTCTTCCACATCAACGCCGCCCATAGACAGGTCGTCGTCGTCCTCATCGTCATCGTCTTCGCTATCGTTCTCTCCCAGCTCGACACCGCCAAGGCCATCGACACTCATTTCATCCTCATCCTCGCTGTCATCCTCTTCCTCTCCGTCTTGGAAGTGGGAGGCCTTCAGCGAAAACGAGATCTTTCCTTGTTGTTGGTCGATCTTGATCACCTTGGCCTTCACGACGTCACCCTCATCGTACAAGGTCCGAGCATCTTCAACGCGCTTCTCTGCCATCTCACTTCGGTGACAGAGACCGCTGATGTTCGCAGATCCATCGACAACAATGAAAGCCCCAAAATCCTCCACCTTGCGGATTTTGCCAGTAACAACCTGACCAGTCTTGAGATCCTTGAGAGTGATCGGGGCCTTGTAATTGGGGTCCAGAATAGACTCTTTCAAGCTCATCTGCAACTTGCCCTGCTCCGGATCCACCATTGTGACCTTGCCCTTGACGAGCTGGTCCACCTGGAAGGAGTCCTTCCATTCTTTAAGATAGGAATCGGAAAGAGCAGAGACTCGGACATAGGCGGTGACATCGTGGCCAACTGCCACAAAGAGACCAGAGTCGGCAACCCGCTTGACAAATCCCCGGATGACATCGTTGGCCTTGATCTCCTTGAGCGAAGAGATTTCACGGTCCTGCACTGGAAGCGATGAACTCAAGACCTTGGAGGGGCGCAGCGACAGGTAAATCTTCTTGTTAGCCTTGTCAACGGCAACCACACAAGCCCGAAGAACCTCGTTCTTGTGATAAACGGTAGGGTTGGCTTTCGAATAGTCATCGGCCAGATCAATCAGATTGACTGCGCCGACGAGCGTTTCGCTTAGCTGCATGATGACCTGTCTCTCGGTGACCTTGGTGACTCGCCCGGGCACGATCATGCCAGTAGAGACGTCCCCAAACGAGAGCTTGTCGTATCCCTGCTTGGCTGAGAGATCCAGGTGACCCTTGCCAGCGTCCACCGCGGTGACCTGGACCTTCAAAGCAGACCCGATGGGGAAATTCTTGTCCACATCGGTCAGAAGGGACAAGTCGTCCGAGGCATCCATAAAGCGCAGTCTGCCACGGACATTGGGGGACAGGTTAATCCAGAGGCAGTCATCGGCGACGTTGTTGACAAAGCCCATCCACGACGATCCCACCTTGACTTGTTCCATATTAAGTGGCTCAGGGTTGACTGCCTTAAGGAAGTTCGGTTTAAGAGTGAGCTCGAACACAGGGTATTTACCAGTGCGGTGGCTGATGGGTAAGAACTTGTGGCTGCGAGCATCATGAACGCCGAGAATCCTGGCAGAAAGCTCTTGCTTCGCACGAAAGAAGCGCAAAGGCTGTTTCCGATCCTTGAGGTCTTCCCACTTGTCGTAGATCTCAGACACGTCGATGCGACCCTGGATATTGTCCGCCAATTGGACGTTAACCTGGGTAGCCTTAATAGAAGCGACCTTGCACTTGACGATCCGGCCAAAGGTAAAGTCGGACATCAATTTGATGCTTTCATCAACAGGGTTCGCAACGAGATCGTCGGTCGGCGTTGGCGCTTCCTTTTTCTTGGGGCCCGCATGCGTGGCCTCTGCTGGCTTCATGCTCAAGATGAACCGCTGGAGATCAGCGTCCACTGAGTGGACAGTCACCGAGACCGTCTGGGCTTTCGCCATACCAAACTGAGGTTGTTCAAGATTGGCATCTTCGATAAGACGCTTGGGAACCAGTCCGGTGAGAGTACCGAGGAACTCGACAAATAACCCATCGGGGGTAATGTTGCGAATGAAACCTGTGACCGTGGAGCCCTCTTGAAGATCGTCGAACTTGCTAGGAATGACTCCTTGCTTCGCAGCCTTCTTGAGACTGGCCCTGCTGGAAACCCGGATGAGGCGATGGGCGCGTTGGATGTCAAGAATCAGGAGATCATTCAATTTCTGGCCCACGCGAATCTTGGAAAGGGTTGAGCTCTGTTTAGAGGGAGACCCATCAATCGTGTGTTGGGCGTCAAGACGTGCCACGAGTCCCGACTCGTCCAGTTTCAATAGCACATCATCGTTCGACTTCTCGAAAACAGTTCCGGTAACAAGCTGACCGGGGCGGAGATCTTCAAAAGCCTTGCGGTATTTCTCGGTGAACGTAGATGGGTCTTTACAAGACACGGCCAGTCTCCCAAGCAATGCATCCACGCTCAAAGCATGAACGTTGACAACCTGGCCTTGTCGGAAATGCTGGGCCGGATCTTTGATATAGGCCTCGCTCATCTCAGACACGGGAAGGAAACCGCGGACAGGGCCGTAGAACTGGACAACGGCACCATGTCCTTGGAGGTTGACGATGGTACCAGGTGACTGCGATCCAGGCACAATTTCCTTGTAATCCTTCCAAGTGGCAGACTCGCTGTTTAGAAAGCTCTTTTTCAAAGTCAATCGGATCTGGCGCTTCTCGAGATTCACCGACAAAATCCGGGCCGAGATCTTCATGCCCTCCCGGAACTTCTTCTCGGGGAACTGGAGCTGGGTGTCCGCAAAGTGCATGGATGGGACAAGACCGGTAATCCCATCTGCCAGACTGACGATCAATCCATCTACTCCCTGAGGGCCGATCAAGATTTTCTCGATCTTTCCTTTCACTATCGCTCCCACCGTGACGTCCTCGAGGCGAAGGAAAGGTTGCTCAATGACAGATTTCTCAAGCGATAGGAGATAGAGATTATCGAGCATGTTGTACCCAACAACTCTGGCTTCGTGTGTGGACCCAACCTTGAATGGCCCAGAATCATCCGAGATAGACTCGACGTTGCCATCTGAGAGTCTCGAAATATGGACGAAGCCAACATGGCTAGAATCCCCAACCTGCACATACACGCCCAAACCGGGTTCAACCTTTACCACCTTGGCTTCAGGAAGGATAGCAGAAATAGCGGGTGCCTCGGTAGACGACCCCGGGCCATGGACATCGGAAGAGAGCTTAAGCACGTGGCCCAGCAATGAAAACCCAACCTTGAACGTGTCGGCCGCTGGGAAAGTTGAGACAATGCGGGCTTTGATCTTTGCGCCGATTTTGAATTTCCTTTCCAAATCGTCCTTGCCAGTACTCGCTCCGGATTGGACTAGATCCACTGTGGCATCGAGCATTCCCATGATTTTTCCAATCATGCCGTGGGACGTCACTTCGGTCAAAAGAATCTCAGCAGCAGCACCGGGGAGGAAAGCGTTGATCGTAGGCGCCGAGCTGAGGTAGTGTGATTTCTTGATCGAAGCCGATGATTGAAGGTTGGCAGACAACTTGACAACATTACCGCTGGGATTCTGGCCCGAGACCATACACAGGAAAACGGCCCCTTCTTTGATGCTGGAATAATCCACCAGAGGGTCAATTTCCTTGGAAGACATAAAGCCCTTCAGCTCTGAGCCTTCGATCCCGAGGTCCATGACCAAACCGTGATCCTCCACGCTGACAACGGACGCCTGGACAGCAGAATCAACCACAAGGTCCGATTTCGAGAGACCTGTGTTGGCCTGTCGAGGATCGACCGTCAACTCAATCCGCTTTTTGCTTCGGCTGCTTGCGTCAGCCGGGTTGCTACCGGTAGACACCACGAATGCCCGCAGGTATTGGCCCAGGTAGAAGTAATCCTTCAGTTCAAAAGATTCTTCATCGGAGCTATTTTCATCGTCGTCGCTATCTTCTTCCTCGTTCAACATTTTCTCGAGCTTATTGTCGAGAACTTTTGAGACGGCCGTCAGCGGGACATAGCCGGTGAGGTTGTTTGGCAAGGAAAGGGCGATATCATGGGCATTGATGCTAGACACCTGGCCGAGTATCATGGACCCGGGAACAATGCGCTGCGAGTTGTCAGCGCGGGTACGAAGCAAATTTCTTTCTCGTCGCTCTTACCTTGAAACTAAGACCCTCGATGCGAACACCCTGCTTCTTGGAAGATTTCTCTTCTGTAGAGCTCTTGCCCTTGGACTTCTTCTTCCGCGGCTTCTTAGTCGTGGTGGTCGTCTCCGCGTCCTCCATTTCAACATCGTCATTTTCCTCTTCGTCGTCGAGGTCCCGAGAGGGTTTTTTGGGTCCCTTCTGCTCAAAGAGAACATCCTTGGTCGCCTGGATTTGAATTTGCTTGCGCTCCAATGCCGTGAGAACACCAGCGCCGCCACGAGGAAAGGAGGGTTCATCATCGCGCAAAACAGAGAGCTCCGAAGCTTTCGGAGCGGCCGATGCGGTATCCTTTTGCTTCTTCTGGTCCTTCTTGCGTTCTTCCGCTCCGACCTTGGCGCGCTTCTGGGGCTGGCGAGCAGCCGTTTCTTCGGGGGCATTCCCCTTGCGCTTTATCGGCGCCATTGTTGTGTAGGCAAACCCGACTTTTGCACGGTTGGAGTTGCTAATTTGATGATCCCAAAAAAAATTTCCATTAAGATTGGCAGAAAATCTGCCCGGGTAGGCGGTGGGCCGATGAATCAGCAATTCCGATTTTCAGCCTTTTATTCCAAGGTTAAGTTTCCAAGGCATCCATGGATATCGCCAAGGCTACTTGGGTATAGCTCTTGGTATTCTCCATCGTGGATATCGCGAAGATTCATGTTTCTGTAGTACAATTCTTCTCGAGGAGCAAGATGACAATGTTCTTTGCAAGATATAGAAACCCTACACGAGCGTAAGGTAGACCTCGACCATGTTCATGAAGGCCAGCCATATCTCTAGGAAATTTAGAAACTGATTAGAGCTTCTATAGGAGTGCTCTAATATTACCAGCAAAATCTATTAAAGCGTATAAAATCCCTGAAGTAGCCCGTGAAGCATCAAATTCTTCTGAGGCAGGGTCTTAGGGCAAGATAGATGCCTGAGGTGTTGAAAGATACACGTCGCGCGACACACGCGATTTTCCCGCGCCCAACCCTTCTCATCTTGCCCCTTTCGTCTGGGTCTATTTCCTCAATCCTCGATGTCTCCCCCATAGCCTCGCCTCGTCTGCTTTAGCACACAATGGATCATGGCTCGGGTCTCCCGGAAGTCCCACGCTCAGAGCCCATCTTCCCTCTCTCATCTGAGCCTCCATCCTCCCCACCCTCGGTCTCGTCCGATGCTGGTGAGAGACGGAAGCTCAAGAAACCACCGACCGTCACCCCACGCTCTTTCAGACGATTTTTCACCCCTCGATCTTTGCTAAACAGTGGGAACCCTGCCAGCAGCGTCAGGACCAGTCGCCAGGCCTTGAGGGCGCTGACCTCGCCGGCTGTAAATCGTCTTGGACCCGCATTCACGAGAACCTCCAAAGCCGGCAGTGCACGAAGCCCCCATGATGGATTACCAGAAGACTTTATTCGCACACCTAGCAGGAAAAGAAAACATTCTTTTTCCTCAACGGCGTCTCCGCTACAGTCATCGCCGTTGAAAAAAGTTCGTGTCCGGTCTCCAGACGAGGAAAGTGAGCAGGGAGGTACAACCCGCGACATCGACGGGGTATTGGGCGAGCATAATGGACTTCTATTGCCGACGAGGCCCACAAAGCATTCGCCTCCTGTTGCGCCTGTTAGTCGATCCCGAGCATTGCAAACATCTGGGTCGTTGTTCACGCGAACCGTGTTGGGTTCACGAGCGGACCGGGTCACTATACGATCCAATTCTGGGACTGGTTGGTATCTACTTGATCTATTTGATCACATGGTTCTCACATTGTTATAGGCTGGGAAGACCTCACTTCGAATTTTTACTCGCGCCCGGAAGATCGTCACTCATGTTCTAGTTACGCTTCCAACGGCCAACTAGCTCTTCCGTTCTGCAATGCTTCATGTAACAGTAAGTGGTCTATGGATCGACGCTTGCTTGCTCCAATAGCCTGGTGCTAACGAATGTGAAGCCAATTCGCTAGTTGCGGTGGGCGATGAAGAGGGCGGTATTCGGTTGCTGGATTCGTCCAAGGTCGACGAGCGTGGATTCTCTGCCGCATACCTTGGATTTCGTCCTCATATGAACTCGATCATGGATGTCGAATTTTCGCCAGATGATATGTTCCTGGCTACGGCTTCTGGTGACCAAACATCTCTGGTCATCGACATGACCACGCAACGTCCTATTCATTGTTTGTCGAACCACGTCTCGTCCGTCAAGCGCGTTCAATTTCAGCCGGGTGCCAACAACAAGGTCCTTGCCACATGCAGTCGGGACGGGAATGTCAACATCTGGGATCTCCGCTGCAAAGGCTTTGAGCGGCCTGCCTTGCAGGTTCGGTGCTCCCTGGAATCGGAAGCCGAGAATTCCGCGACGCCTGCCACCCCCAGGATGACCTATCCTCATGTCCTCAACACGATTCTCGGCGCTCATGCCTACACAACTCCCCAAAAACCGGCCCTGGACAAAAACGAACCACCTCCCCTCGGCCGCTCTGATATCACCGTAACGTCCCTTGCTTTCCTTCCCCCTGGTCGCGAAAACCTATTCGTCACGGCATCGGAAGCCAGCGCAAGCGTTAGGCTCTGGGACTTACGCACGGCACATAATAGTCGCCGCGGCCGACCTGTCCTTCCCGTGTCGACCACTCGAGAGCCAGACAGCCACATCAAGTATCGGCGGTTTGGCTTGACATCCATGGCATTCGGGGGTGATGGTGCGCGGCTGTACAGTCTTTGCCGAGATGGTACCGTGTATGCCCATTCGACTTCCCACCTGGTCCTTGGCCATGCACCTGAACTTTCCCTCAACAACCAGCGCCCGCGGCGAACTGGAGGATCGGACAAAGATGGCCTCGGACCCCTGTATGGGTTCCGCCATCCACGCCTTCAGGTTTCTTCGTTCTATGTCAAGCTGGCCCTGCGCAAAGCAGCTGATGACCGTCCGGAGATGCTCGCCGTCGGCAGCAGTGACCACAGCCCTATCCTCTTCCCTACAGACGAACAATTCCTACAGAGTTCGGCGCAAAAACACCCCGAGAACACACCCAGCCGGACCTCGCTCTTTACGACTCGTTCGGGACTCCGCCGGACCAACTCTGGCGTAGGCCTCTCCGGCCGCTTGGAGGATACCATCCCCATCTACCAATCGGGCACCCCTCTTGTTGAGGGCCACCAGAAAGAGGTTACAGGTGTCTCGTGGACGGTCGATGGCGAACTTGTGACTGTCAGCGACGACTACAGGGCTCGATGCTGGCGGGAAGGGCCTGAGGCTCGTTACCTCCGAAAGGGTGGTGAAGCCGAAGGTCGACGCTGGCAGTGTGGCTGGGCTGCTACGAAAGACTCCTACGACGATGAAGATGAATGATTTGAGGTCTGCTGTTCTCTTGCTCTGCATTTCCGAGGTGTTTGTTTCTTTCTATTTGCTGTTTCTCTTTCACTTTGCTGGCATTTTCCATGGCGCTTATGAGGTCGTCTTCGTTTATTTCTCTTTTCCGTCAGCGTAGCATACTCGTCTGCATTTTTCCGGGGTTCTGTTGGGTTACCGTTCGATCTAACCAAGCGCGATTGTGACTTGAATTGCCGTGCAATAGTCTTCTTAGAGTGTCTTTCTCATTCCCAGTAATCTTGCTTGTAGAATTATTTTTTTTAAATACTCAGATTGACCATGTCAATCGAGAAGGGCCTTGGAATCAAGCCCCGACGTGGTCGAGTAGTTTCAGAAACGATAAGATAGCGAGCCAAGCCGAGACGAGAAGAAAAAAAAGCTGCGCCGGGCACCTTCACTCCTCCACATCCTAAACCCCCACGATGCCTCACAAACACAAGAGACGTCACAATGATGACTCGTAAGTCTTGGAGATAATATGGTGTTCCATCAAGGCACAATATTCTAACCGCGCCAACTTTGCTATCCCAGAAATTACAATCTACCGCCCTCGTTGATCGCCAAGCCGCTCCCAGTCCGCGACCAGGAGGGCAAATCCAAGTCTGGCAAGAAACAAGCAGCCGGCGACAACAAGAAAATTCCCAACCAAACAGCGACCAGCCGGCGCAAGAATGCCATCGAGGACGACACCCCGAGAGCGTTCCGGCGGCTGATGCAATTCCAAACCACGGGGAAGCGAGCACCATCGGGACTGGAGACAGAGGACAAGAGCCGGGAAAACAAGAAGCGCAAGCGCGACACCGCAGCCACCAAAAACGAGTCCAGCAACAAACCAACCCGCGCAGACTCGCAGCAGACCCCGGCCAACGGCACCAAGGCGACGAAGCAGGCGATGCCGACCATCCTGCCGGGCGAAAAGCTGTCGGAATTTGCGGCGCGCGTTGACCGCACTCTCCCGCTGTCCGAAATGACCAAGTCTACGAAGCCTGGACTGGGCAAGCTCCGCGAGGGTCGGCAGACGAGGCATGAGAAGCATCTGCGGCGACTGCAGCGCGGCTGGCGCGAGGATGATGTGAAGATCCGGGAGCGAGAACAGGAGGAGCGCGAGGAGCGCGAGGCCGAGATGGAGAATCAACTGGACCTGTGGAAGGAGTGGGAGGCCGAGGCCGGGGCTGGGAAAGCCAAGAAGAAGGCCGCAGGTGCAAAGAATAAGAAGAATAAGAAGAATAAGAAGGGGAATAGTGCGGGCGGCTCGGACGATGGCGAGGTGCCTGACAGCGGTGATGATGATCCTGACCCTTGGGCGAAGCTGAAAAAGCGGGAGCGTGCGAAGCAGACGAATCCGTTTGATGTTGCGCAGGCACCGCCGCAGCTGAAAAAGCCGCGGGAGATCTTTAAGGTGCGAGGCGGCGCTAAGGTTGATGTTGCCAATGTTCCGGCTGCGGTGGGCAGTCTGCGTCGACGAGAAGAGCTGGCCGGGGAGAGAAGGAACATCGTCGAGGAATATCGGCGGCTGATGGCCGAAAAACGGCAGTGAGAGATGTCTTTATATTGTCGCATGTGTAGATAGATTTCATCCATGGATATCTCCACTACGTGGGATTTGGTCTTAAAGTCATATGCAGTCCGAGTGCGTTCATCTATGTAACATCAAATTACTGCCTTTTCTTTTTTTTTTTAACGAGGTGGGATAGTCAAAGCACAAGCCCTAGTGGCCGTGGCCGTCATCCTCCTGTCTCTCGGGGTCCAGCTTGATCATCGTGTCGATGCGCATGATAGCTATGCAAGCCTCGACCGAACTCTTGAGCTGCTTGATCTTGCTCATGCTGGGCTCCAGAACACCGGCCTTCAAGGTGTCGTGCACTCGTCCCTTCATCAGGTCCAGACCGTAGTTGCCATACGTCTTCTTCTTGGCGATGGCCTTTTCTTCCTCATTGGCATCGCCTTCCTGAACCCGCTGGGACAGGGCGTGGCGAACACGGAGCTGCGCAACGAGCTCGGATGAATCCTTGGCTGCGTTAACCGCCAGCGTCTTAGGAATGACGAGCAGAGACTGTGCGAATTCACCAATAGCAAGTTGCTCCCGGGAGCCCTGGAGATTTATATGTCAGAGGGATGGGAAATGAGCAAGAGAAGAAAGGGAAAAAGATACTCACCACCGTGACTGCAAACTCCTCCAAGTAAATGTGAAGGGCAGTTTCAACGGCTCCACCACCAGGAACGATGCTGCCGCTCTCGAGAGTGCGCTTGACTGCGCAAAGCGAGTCGTGAACAGAGCGCTCCATCTCATCCAAACTGAATTCGTTGGGGCCGCGTAGAATGATCGAGGCCGAGGTGTGAACCTTGGTTCCCTTGACAAGGATGCACTCGTCATCTGAGATCCGTTCTTGCACAACTTCCTCTGCCTGGCCCAGGTTTGATGCTTCGAACTTCTCGTCGCCATTAAGGTCCGACAGGGTACTGACAAGGGTGGCACCGGTGGCCTTGGCGATACGTCGCAGGTCTTCCTTCTTGCAACGACGAACCGCCATTGCTCCCCTCTCAACAAACAGCTTGAGGACCATGTCGTCAATGCCCTTGGTCGTCAGGACGACATTGGCACCGGATTTTAGGATCATCTCAACCCGCTCCAAGACAATGCCCGACTCCCGCTCACGGATCTTCTCGAGCTGGTCGGGATCGTCCACCGTGATCTGGACACCAAGCTTCATCCGCTCCTTCTGCAGGTTCATGTCCAGACAGGCGATCTTGGCATCAGTCACACGAGTCTTCATGGCCTGGGAGGCAACGGTGCAGTTCAGAGCGTAGCCGTTGACGAGCACGGACTCGGTACCACTCTTTCCATGGGCCTTCAGGAGATTGACGGCCTTGACTGGGTATTTGACCTCGTTCCTCTGATTTGTCGACTTCACCAGCAGCATCGCATCCACGCACAGCTTCGCAAAGAACTCGGAATCGGCCCCAATAATCTTGCTCGACATGGAGGTTTTCGCGATGTTAACCAAGCTGTCCTTCCCCAGGTTCTCCACCTTCGTAGTCACATTTTCGTTCATATATTTGACGGCCTCACGCAGGGCCAGTCGGTACCCGGTGATGATCGTGGTAGGGTGTATCCGGTTTTTCATTAGCTCGTTCGCCCGTCGCAGTAGCTCCGCAGCGATAAGGACAACGGAAGTCGTGCCATCTCCGACCTAGGGAAAATCAGCATGGAAATTGACTGCTTGTGGTATGAACCACCCCGCACCTCCTTATCCTGCTGCTGAGCCAAGTCGACGAGGATCTTGCCCGCAGGGTGCTCGATGTCCAGCAGAGACAGAATGGTCGCGCCATCGTTCGTAACCGTCACATCCTGAGAAAAGAACCCCATTGTTAGACACCGTAGCAATCCTTAGCGGGGTTCCATTGTCCATACCCCTATGTCATCCACCATCATCTTGTCCAGCCCCGAGGGTCCGAAGGAGCTTTTGATGACATTTGCAATCGCCTGCGTCGCCAAAACTGCTAGTTATCAGCTACCAAAGCCAATGAAAGCTCCCAGAGACCTTTTTTTTCCGACATACCATTTTGCTCTCGGACATCCGCACCAGTGATTTTCTGCCCACCCAAGACTGTGTGCGAGATTGGTCAGTTTCGCTGCATCGAAGCTCGGGAAGGTCAGGCTCACAAAGGGTGTCCGCATTCCGCGGAGCCTCAAAGATGCCAGCCATGGCAAATACAAGAGAAAACAAAGAAAAGGGGGGGTTCTCGAGGGCGATGGTAGAGCTTGGGCGCTTGGGGGTGGAGTGGCCGCTAAATCTGCCGCACCAAGGCGGTGGATACTAAATTTTGGCGGCATCCCACTTGCGAGGGGAACAGTCACCTTGTCTTTGTGTGTTTTTCATTCCCTCTGTGCTGCCTTTGGCTTTCTTGAGTTCTCTCGAGTTACACGCTCGTTTCAGCAACATGGCTAGCCAGAACCCCAGCGACGAAGCTGCCTCGGGCGCTGCCCCTCAGACTCTGCCTGATCGCACTCAGAACCCCGCTGATAACCAGCAGGGCGAGTCGAAGAATGCCGCCAAAAAGGCCGCCAAGCTGGCCAAGATGGCTGCCGACAAGGCCGACAAGGCTGCCAACAAGGGAGTTGGCAAGCAGGAAGCCAAAAAAGCCCCCAAGAAGAAGGTGGATGGCGCTGCTTTGATCGGCATTGACGTCTCCAAGGAGAAGGATTTCCCTGGCTGGTATCAGCAGGTTCTCACCAAGGGAGACATGCTCGACTACTACGACCTCTCTGGCTGTTTCATTCTCAAGGTATGTTATTGGAAGTCTGCTTCAACACGTGCAAGTTCATGGCCTAATGTACTTGTAGCCCGCTTCGTTCTTCATTTGGGAGGAAATCCAGCAATGGTTCAACACACGGATCAAGAAGATGGGTGTGAAGAACTGCTCTTTTCCGCTGTTTGTCTCCGAAGATGTCTTAAAGCGAGAGAAGGACCACATTGAGGGCTTTGCGGCCGAAGTCGCTTGGGTCACGCATGCGTAGGACTTCCTATCTCCCGTCGCGATTGTGCGATACTGACTCAGATCCTCACTAGTGGCTCGACCCCTCTGGAAAAGAAGATTGCCATTCGCCCTACTTCGGAAACGGTGATGTACCCTTACTACGCCAAGTGGATTCGCAGCCACCGCGACCTGCCCCTGCGTCTGAACCAGTGGAACTCTGTTGTGCGATGGGAGTTCAAGCACCCTCAGCCGTTCCTGAGAACTCGTGAATTCCTGTGGCAGGAAGGCCACACGGCACACTTGACTGAGGGTGCCGCTCGGGAGGAGGTATTGGCAATCCTTGACTATTACCGTCAGATCTACGAGGATCTTCTGGCTGTCCCGGTCATCAAGGGCCAGAAGACCGAGAAGGAAAAGTTTGCTGGTGGTCTCTACACCACCACCGTTGAAGGCTACATCCCCGCCACGGGCCGTGGTATTCAGGGTGGTACCTCGCACGGTCTGGGCCAGAACTTCAGCAAGATGTTCAACATTACCGTCGAGGATCCCTCCGCCAAGCCCGATGAGAGGAAGCCCCCGCTCCACGTGTGGCAGAACTCGTGGGGTCTGTCGACCCGCACGCTGGGTGTTATGGTCATGATCCACAGTGACAACAAGGGCCTGGTCCTGCCTCCTCGCGTCGCGGAGACCCAAACCGTGGTTATCCCCGTCGGCATCACGGCCAAGACCTCCGATGAGGAGCGCGAGAAGCTGAACGCCGAAGTGGATGGCCTCGTGGCGGTTCTCACCGCGGCTGGAATCCGTACTGAGAGCGACAAACGCCTCTACTCTCCTGGCTGGAAGTTCAACGAGTGGGAGCTGCGCGGTGTGCCTCTGCGCATTGAATTCGGCCCCGGCGAGTCGGCCGGTCACTTCGTCACCACCGCCCGCCGCGACATCCCGGGCAAGGATGGTAAGGGCTCGATCCCTATCCACGAGCTGTCGACCGGCGTCCCCGCTCTCTTGGAAACCATCCAGGCCGATCTATTCAAGCGTGCCGAGCAGGAATACACGAACCACCGCAAGCTCCTCACCAACTGGGACGACTTCGTGCCCGCGCTCAATGAGAAGAACATCTGTGTCATTCCCCACTGCTTGACCGAGGAGTGCGAGGATCAGATCAAGGACCTGAGCGCCCGCAAGGCCGAGGAGGACTCAGGTGAGCCCCAGGACGCCAAGGCCCCCAGCATGGGTGCGAAGTCGCTGTGCATTCCCTTCGACCAGCCCGAAGGTCTCGAGCCGGGCGTCACCAAATGCACCAACCCCCACTGCAACCGCCTGGCGGAGAAGTGGTGCATGTTTGGCCGTAAGTTTCTTTTCTTTTCACTTCTTCTGACTCCGGGCATATTTACTAACAACATAATCTGCAGGCTCTTATTAAGCTATTTCTCTCATATGGAGACAGCTATTTTCCTCGCATAGGACTTTCAAAGATTTCGGTTAGACTCCTCTTTTCCGTCAGAAATGAAAGCATCGTCTACATGGTATTTATTGGTTTGTCTTTTCGTCCATGAATTTCTTATGGCTTTACAAAAATACAACCAAAAAAACAAGAAAGGGAACATCCCATCCAAGATACCTGATCTTTGTCTATCTGTCATTGTGGAGTTGAGAACCAAGAGGGGAGTGCCGGGACAGGAAAAGCCAAAACGAGACTATGAGAAGAATGAATGACGTCTTTTATTTTTGTATTTGTCTCATTCCTAGGGAATCAATAGCAAGGTGCAAGGACAGAAGGTGGGGGGCCGCAGGCTGGGATATTAGCAACAGGTTCTTTTTCATGTATATGTTTCCACCCCATTTTCGAAAGATACGTCGTAACATGGCTCAAGCCCTAACAACCGAGAAAGTCCAAATGCAAGTCTGAGTATACAACAAAACAAGCCTAGCATGAGCTCTATATCCATACCCAAGATTCAAGACCCAAAACAAACAGAAAAGGGAGGATTATCATCTCAAGGAATTCCCATATATGTTTTTGTTTTCTGCCCTATCAAGGAGTATAGACAAGAACATGGAAAGAGGACACAACAGAGATATATGCACAAAAAGTCGCTTTAAAAGCTTGATAATACACAACTCAGAATGATCACGAAAGACCACGAAAGCTCAAAATCAGGTAGCAATAATCACAGATCACGACAGAACTCCATCCTGGAAAATGCAAAAAAAAAAAAAAAAATCCAATAAAGACAGGGTAGAACACATGGAATGGAGTTGCCAAAGGAAAAGAAACACGGGATATTCACACAGATATCGAAACAGATAGATAGGTAAATGGAAAGATTGTGAGTGAGTGGTAGAGATGGTAGAGAGGGACTCGGGTTAAAAGAGTATACAGGATCAAAAGGAAAGATTGAGAGTTAGAGAGAGAGGATAGACCGACGGTTCAAGCGAAGACGGGATTCAGAGTTCAGAGCAAGAAAAAGAGCGGCTCGAGTGGAAAAGGAAAAAAAAAAATGGACGGAAAACTGGAAAAACTCAGAATGGCTGAAAAGAAATCAGACAGCTTTTTTGGTGTGTCATGAAAGCATCGTTATCATCCGGAGGTGAAGAAGAAGTCCCCCACCTCCGCAAGGTTGGTTGGGCGCTAGACCAGCAAATTTGTATTGCTATACTGCCTCAATAGGTCTCGACAGAGCGGGATCCACGAAGCTGCATCCGGGCGCGAGACAGCGGAGACAAGCTCTCCTGGTAAGCAGCAGAAGCAGAAGACAATTGCGGGGAGTTGGAACGGCGCGAACGCTGGGACCAACCCATGAGCTTGTGGGCGTCGGTGGTCTTGGTGGTGTCGATGACATATCGGACGTTGTTTTCGTCGACGCCCTCGATCTGGACGCGCGGCGGCGGGGCGCCGACGCTGGGGAGGTGGATGATGTCGTCGTCGCTGTCTTCCACCGAGACGCTGCTGTGGCCGTCCTTTGATGGGGTCGAGTGCGCCTGCAGGCAGTAGACTGCACCGGGGGTGCTGGTCAGGTTGTCTGGGGTGGCACGGGCGGCGGTTGCAGAGATGGTGGCGGCCGATTCGGATCGGCCTCGTTTACGGGACATCAGCGGGGTCTTGGACGGGGTCGAGGATTTGTCGTTGCCGGCGCGGAACAGCACATCCATGTAGGTCAGTGGCTGGCTGGTGCCTGCGCGAGGCACGACCGGTTCCTGTTGCGGCTGCTGGATGTCGGCCAGGAGGCCCGGAGAGGGAGGCGGGGCGTCCGTGTGGCGCCGACGGGCTGGAGTGCTGGACACGCGGCGGAAGATGCGGTCGTAGCCCTTGGACGGGACACTGGTAGAGATACTGCGTCGAGATTCGGAGTTGCGCTTGTGCTTCATGAACGAGCCTTTGCTGATGATACGCGGTGGTGGCTTTTCTTTGGCAGACGCACTCCGGTTCAGCTCCGGGTTGACCGGTTCGGGGCCATTATCGAACACAACCTGGTTAGGCGACGGCGTGAACGGAGGACCAGCATCCGGCACGGGGACCCGGCGGAATGCCTCGTGCGAGTTGATCTCGCGGACGATGGCGTCCTGCAGCGTCTCGTAGGTAGGGTGAGGACTGACGGCCCGTGTGGACCTGTACGCTTTGTTGAACAGGTCCATCATCTCCGAGGCCTTGAACCGGGGGGAGGATGAAGCAGAGCCCGACGGCAGGGGACTGTGCATGACCTCTGCAATACTGGGAGTCCGCTTAATTTCGTAGTTGGAGGGGGTCGGGGGTTGGATCGCACGATGCGAAATCTTTTGCTTTGGCCGGCCTTGCGCAGCCAATTGCGTGTTGATGGAGAGGTCTCGGACATTCTTTTTCGAGCCCGAGCCGGATGAAGAAGGTGGAGAGCGCGATTTCGGGCCCAAAGACGAAGTTCGAGCCGTTGTAACAGGGGCACGCAGTATCGTGGGACCCTCGGCACTCCCGCCGCTATCACCTATTGGCATGGGCAATGTAGGACTATCCGGTAAAGGCGTATTGCTCCAGCAGTCACCTTGCTTATGAGCTGGAGGCACACCAAGGCGCTGGACCGGGCTCGAAGGCGCCTCTTCCTGTGGGGTAGAGTCCTCTTCCGCATACAAACTGGGTGCAGATTGCTGAGGTCGAAGACGGCTATTTCGTGAGTGGGACCGCGAGGAAGCCGAGGCATCGTCTGGTGAAGACGACCGTTTCCGCAGATCCTCTTCAGACGACCAGGTGGATTTGCCAGGACTGGGCTTCCGGCGTTCACGTCTTTGGCCGTCAGGACTGAACGTTCGAACCATCCCAGGGGCTGCCGGAGACGACCGACAGCTGAGACGGGACCACGAGCGCGATGCGCCTCCATACTTGGCAATATTTCTGTCCGCGACATCTTCCTGGTACAATGCGGAGAGGATGCGGGAGCTCTTGTGCCCTTTCCGGTGCTGGATTCTCATGAAGCGCGTCATATTCCGTTCCGCCACATCTTCATTGTAGGGACTAACGGGCGGCGACATAGTATCCTGGCTGGTCGATTGATACCGGTCCGACGAGTAGAACGCATCGAGGAGATCGATATGTCGGCCATTGTGGGGTTTGGGGGCAAACTGATTCGATACAAAAGGGAGCTGGGACTGAGAAGACGGCGGCCGGGCCTCGAGACGATCATGTAGATCCTCGAATTGTTTCTCGATCTGCTCGAAATGATGGGCGACATCCAAGGACTGCGAAGGGTTGAAACCGGGCGACGGGACACCGGGTGACGGCAAGCCGGGGGATGGCAGGCCCGCATGGAGGTGCGTCCGAGTCGACTCGACTTCTATTGCCAGGCCACTGGACGGCCGCGAGGCGCTCTTGTCCGTCTGGAAAAGTTTCTTCAAAGCAACCATGTTGAAAATATTGGAAATGTTGGAAATGCTTCCACCGGATATCACCAGAGACGAATCGAAAGAAGGGAACCACGAAAGGGAAAAAAAGAAATTCCAAGTGAAAAAAAAAACGAGAGGCAATGACGTTGGAGAATCTCAAGGTATAGTAAATGAAAGCGACACCATCGGCCGTGGAAGAAGGACACAATTGACCGTCATGGCAGCATTGTAGACGAGATGGGGACACGGTTCAAGTGTCAAACGGGGGGAAGAAGAGAAAAAAAGGCGAGAACCGGTCAGAAATGAAGAAACTAAGAACACTAGGAAATTCAAAGAAATGATTCCCGAGGTGCAGATCCCTCTGGATCAGGGGGGCCCATCTCATGAACTTGGACTCGTGGATGGGGCGAACGCTAACAAATTAAGACTCGATCGCTAGGGTTCTGACGGGCAACGGGCTTTGTGGCCTATTGAATGACTGCACTATACATTCTATATTCTCCATTCTCTATTTTACAGTCAAGTCACTATCACATCCCCTCCGCACGTTGTGACCTGCCGGGGACATATCCAGCTAGCAGGACCTTGTCTCCGGAGTCAACGTCCAGGCTGCATCATAGGTTATTATAGGCCAAGAGCTTTTCTTTGTTTTTTTCCTGGTCCACTTGACAGGAATCGGTCTGACAGGCATCATCCCCATCCCCAAGACATACTGCCCAGACTGGGTCATTCATCTATAATCCATGGATAGTATAAACTACATGTAGCTGGTATAGTTCGAACAACCAAATGAACTCCTTGGAACCATTCGCACACTTAGGACCATAAGAATCGAAAAGAATAATTGATTCTAGAGGGATTCCAAATGGCAAGCCAAGTGGGTTTGTGGAGTTCCCAATTTCCGCGGGCCTCGTCATTGGCGTGACGAGGTGATGGGGAAGCGAACTGGCCTTCCCGGCTGGACGGTTGAGGGATTCATGGCTTTTTTTTGCTGGACAAGGCAAGGAGAATGCAGAAATAAAGGAAATAATTATAATTAAAATGAACTGGTCTCCAATTTTCAGATCCTACAATTTTAGTGAAATTATTTAGGGGGAATCTCACAAAATAATTTGGAAGCTCTCTCATTGCCCAAATGAGCGTCTCCGAGAAACTCAGGGGTTTTGTTTCCCAGTTTTTCTTTCCCCAATCGAAACACTAGTTGAAATTCAAATGATCCGCTCTGCACCGTTTGACCATGGAACGGTCAACGGTGGAAAGTGTCCACCGTGCCCGATGTTGTACAAGGGTATACAGGAGTATATTTTGTATTTACAGCGATGGAGAGAGAAAACCACAATATGCACGTCTCGGTAGGGCTATAAAACTGTGCGACCTCGTTTCCGATCCCATCTCGCTCCATTCCGATCGATCGACTGCGATTGCGATTTCGATTTGGGAATCGATCGACTGACGCTAGTGTTAGGACTTTTGACTCTGTGAATCCCCAACTTCTCAAATGTTCCCCCGAGCATATATAAACACACATGTCCTGAGCTTTGATCAATGTGGACTATGGACCTACAAAAACAATGACCTTGATGATAATAAGAGTACCAATAATACTACTATTAATAAGTCCATCGATTGCTCCTTGACTCGCTTAAATTACTCGCTACGATCGCAATTTCCGAGTTATCTGGTTATCTCCATCTTCTGCAAGACCGTTATAGTAGCTGCCACTATTTATGGATGCCACGAGGAAATATGCAAGACATCAAGTCCTGCAATTATTTGTACCCACTAACCAAAATTATTCTAATTGCACCAGTAATCAGGCGAAAAGCCGCATATCATTGTATGTCATTGCATAGCTAAAGAACTCGCTAATAGCTAAGAACCGCAGCATAAGGGCCGAATCACAACCGCATCTTCCAAGCCCAATGGGTGTGCTGCATATGACAATCGAGAAACTCATGAACCCCTCCCATCTAATAAATGCGCCAGTCTTAAAGTGACTGAGCATCTCTGTGATCATTGCCACATCTTAGACGGTGGTGTTCTCCTCAGCCTCAGCCTTGACCTTGGCAGGGGAAGCCTCGGCCTCAGCCTCAGCCTCAGCCTCAGCCTGTCGCTTCTCCTCAAACTTCTCCCCAGCCCTGGCAGTGGCTTCAACAGCGGCCACCTTCTCCATGTGGTCACGCAGACGAGCAAAGCGCATGCGGGCAGCCGACAGTTTGATGCCGTAGTGGTCGGCGACTGCTTCGAAGTCAATTTGCTAAAGAAAAGAAAGAAAGAAAGAAAAAAAGTCAAACATCAGCATATGTCCTAATGGGGTTGCACTTCACCAGGGTAGCAGTAGAGAAATGAAAGAAAGCACGATTCTAAGGGAGGGGGAAATAGGACGAAAGCATAAACATGTTCCTTGTCCACTCAGGCTGGATGTTGTTCTACACGTGATCCAGACAACCCTCATCGACAATGAGACTCACCGTGCCAGGTTTAGCACCCGCCGAGCCGGCCTTGATGTAGACCATGCAGTTCCAGAGGAAAATCAGGTTGCGTTCATTCCACTCATGGGAACTCTTGGTAGGCGAGTCCTTGACCTCAGCCTTGGCCTTGGTAGGAGTTCGAGGAGGCATTGTTGATGGTTGGAAACTAGTCAGAAGAAATCAAGATATCAGTAGCTGACGGGCAGAGTGGAGGAGAGATGATTGACCAGTGAGCACAGTGATTGAAATGAGATGGTAAATGGTGATGTGTGAAGTGGAAAAGTGATGAACAAAAGACGGTCAGAGAAAGGGATGGTACAGGGGAAAGAAAGGAAGAGAGTTTTGGCGGGTCTGCAACTCAAGATAAATAGGTGCTGGCTGCATACGTTACGCGCATAACCAAGGCCACGCAAACAAGTGTTTATGAAGTCTATGATATGATCAAAACGGACGAGTCGTGTCGTAGTCCACCAACGTAGCCTGGCCGACGGAGATGGGTTTGGAAACTCCATATTCACACAATCTTGGGTATTCCATGACCAAAGAATAGGCAGGACATTGGCTGAAACAGGCTGATAGCACCATTCAAGAACAAGGAAAACTGTGTGGTCGAATGCCCTGGTGAATAGAAAAAAAAATCATAGAATTTCATGATACTTAGGGTACGTACGGCACGTGATTTTGATATTGGACTCGAAATGGGCAGAACCCCGAGAACTGTGTAGGTTGACCACCTGCCCACTGACTTCGTTCCTTCAATATGAGAATAGAATTTCAGGCTGAACCAACAGTCCGGGCAATTGATTCCCTCACAGCCTGGCCCAGAACAGTGTGGGCTCCACGAGCAGCATCCACGGCCCCGTCAATCAATGCCTCGTGACCCGGGCGCTTGTCGTCGTCTTCCAGTGCGGCCTTGGAGCTATCACCCTTCAGCCAGAGCTCTGTGATCTCATCACGGGCAGGCATGTAGGCAACAACACACGCCGAGACAATCGATCGATGCTCGGCAGGATCCGTGTCGAGCACAAGGCGCGGCGGCCCCGAAGAACCAGTCATGTCCTCCGAGACCAGAGCCGCAACACCGCCAGAGACCAAGTCCAGGCAGTCAATGTGGGCATCCGCGAGAGCAGCAGATGCAGCAGTGATACAGCCAGCCAAGACGTTCATCATGCCCCATGAGGCGTCATGCGAATCAGGCGCATCGCCCCACCAGCGGTCGTCTTCCGCCTCGATAATAGTGAGCGTGATATCCAGGCCACTCTTGGGCCAGCGTTCGGCGATGATGGCGCCGCGCAAGGCGGTCTCGAGGTGAACGCCCAGATCGCGCTCGCTGGCGTCGCGGATGTGGCCCTTGCGCCTGCGGGCTGCGAACGGCGCATACTTGACATGGGTGGTGAGGACAAGGTTGGGCGAGAATGTGGCCGACCGCGGGAGGGGCTTGGGGCCATGCACGGTGCAGGCCAGCTTCAGAGCGGACGAGGGCGGGATCAGAGATTTGGGGTTGGCGCGGGCAGCCGCGAGAGAGGCCGAAGGTTCGAATTCAAGGTACGAGGAGCCTGATGCAGATGGGATCAGACCTGTCTTGAGGACTAGTCGAGCAAAGTTAGTTTGGTACTCATTGTCATCACGTTCTTCGAAGATCCATACAGATTTTCCTTAGATCTGTCGGCTGGCGCTGGCGCTGAGCTCGGTCGGCAGCCCCGGTCGCGGATTGTAGCAGAGAGGCATAGACAGCCGGCCTCGTGCCGCCAGGCGGCCCATTGATGCGTCTTCTGTCAGTCATTACACATGACTTTGAAGAAGTGAAGGTTCGAGCCAGAAACGGAAATCCTGTCTCGATGATGTTTGCACTGTTTGTCTCCACTTTGCATTTTCCCGACTTTTCTCGCGTTCTTTTCTTTCTCTTTCTTCTTCTTCCTTTAACCACCCGGGCAGCTTTGATGATGGAGCTTTCGAATCTTCAGGCCTATCATTAAATCGATTACTTCCCTTCCTAGGCATACATCCGCCTAGGTAGGGCTTCTTGATTAACTTGTGAGTCCTCCCACCCTCGTTCCACTCCCCGTCTACATGAGGAAAGCAAACCAAAAATTTCTGTTCCGGCGACAATCCATGAGCCATTGAACAACATGCACTACCATCTGAATGACACTCCCCTTATTATTATCAATTCCCATACTTGAATTCTTCGGAGACTGACAGTAGTTTAAGATAGGTTGTGGACTGCTGGTCACTGTACTTGCTGGCGACCGTCCCACCAACACGACACAACCAAGGTATGGTGGCAGTCTTTTCTTTCCTGTCTTCACTCTCTATGATGAGAAACATTTTTTTCAGTTCTGCTTCTGCAAAAACCTTGAAGAAAACCAAATACCATTACCAAAACTCCTGATCTTGCTCAAGTCATGCTATTGTCGTTCGCTGTCTCAAGTCAGAACACCCAATACTGACAATTCCAAGATTCCACAGGTATCAAAAAATGTAGCTCTGGGTCATTTCTTCCCATCATTTTTCCACTCTCGGCTTGAAGCAAAAAGGTACGGACCAATCTCAAATTTTCTTTCACTACACCACTCCCACCCTCCAAGATGATGACAACAAGTCAATCCATTCAACGATCTCTTCGCGAGAACCGCCCCTCGAGTACGCACTCGTGACCGTACAGCGGCATGCCATGAACACAGGTGGCGATCCATTGTTCTTCTCTTGGACTCCCTCATACTGGACCTATTGTATCCATCTGGACGCGAAAGGGAGGAAGGTTGTGGAGCACCCAAGTGGAAGACGGTGGGCTCACATCGTCGCCTGGTCCACGTTCTACATGTTTTGTCTGTCTTGACCGCGGTCTCGGGTGTTATGCTTGACTTGTGTTGGTTTCCCTGTACTGGGCTGCTCGTCCGTCTTGGGTGACAGTTCAGTGCGGGGGGCCAGCAGGGGATGGGATGAGTTACCCGGCTTGGCTGATTATTCTTTTCTGGACTTTTTAATTTTCTTCTGGTTTCGTCCTGAGAAAGAGAGTCCTGTGCCCCTATCTTATGCATGATTCTTCAATGCCTTGGCTTGTGCTGATTGTAGTTGATAGGTTTGCATCAGTATCCAATTAGTCTCTTATGCTTCTATTAAAATCCATCAAGTATTTCTCTCAAGGCTGCTGTTCCTAGTTTGTAGTCTATATTCGCCTACTCTACAAAGAAAAAGGAATTACCATGAGCAAGGTAGAAGATTGTCCCCAAAGCTATGTACGATAAGTGTAAGAAAAAAAAAAGAAAACATAGCAACACCTCCCATTATCAAGGGAAATGCCCCCGAGTCCTCGCAAGACACGCTCGATAAAAGAAACCGACTTCTCCCAACCGAAATCTAAACAGAACTCTTTCAACGCGGGAATCTTCCTGTAGCAAGCAACACCGGCTCCAATTCTTTCCCTTCATGTTGGACTTTTTCCCCCTTCTTTTCTTTTGGACTTGGGGGATTTTTTTTTTTTTTTTTTTTTTGTTTTCGGTCATTTCAAGACACCAAGACAGAAAAAGAAAAACAAGAAACCAGCTTAATGCCGATTGATGGGCGCCGGATCCTCTAAACCTCGTCGTGTTCGTTGGAACTCAGATCCACCGTGTCGTTAATTTGCATGGAGACATTATCCATCGTGAGACGAGCTCATTCCTTCCCCTCGGTGGGTGTTGTTGTCCCATTGGAGCGTGACATACTATAGGGGGCCTGGATCATGACACGCAGTTAGCTCGGCATGGTCTCTCGTTCAGAGGTAGTAGACCAGCGGGTGATACATACAAGAACCTTTTTGGCGTTGCATATTCTCCAGGCGAGATTCAAGACGGTACCATCCGCCTTGACCACCTCGGGTGCCAGTTCAATGCCGAACCTAATGCCGGAACAATCAGCAAGGAGCAACAAACGCAAAGCTGCCAAAGATCATGATACTCACATCTGATGGACGGCGAAGACAACTCTTTTGGCAAACTTGCCATCTCGCTCAACCAGACCGCCGAATTGCTCGTCGACGGTTTCTGGGGCAATCTCCGGGTCGCGGTCGAAACAATTGCGGACGACGGGCAACAGGGCACTCTCGACAGCGGTCTGGATAATGCCGGTGCTGTCGGCAACGGTGTCGTCCTCGTCAAAGCGACGGATACGGATCTCGAAAGGCCGCGAGATAGCCATGACATTGTGCATGCCGTTGTGGTGGTAGCGCAGCTCGAAGACGCCTTGGGTCCAAAAGAGCTTGTCACCGGCAAAGACAATCTCGCCCGACGCGAACTCGCGGTTGTCATTGTCCTTGCGCTCGGACGAAGGAATGACGACGTCGCTGGTCACAATGCCCTTCTCGCAAGTCAGGTTGTCATATAAGCCTTCGTTGGTGGCGACCCAGCGGCCCTGCGATGAGACACGAGTAACCTCACGCGACGTGTTGTCGGTGACGCGATACAGCCCGATCCAGTCTTTCTTGTTGTGGTTGAGCGGCGCAGTCCACTTGACCTTGATCGGTGCGCCGTATTCAAATGTCAGGTTCTTGAGGTCGCCTCGTCGGTCTAGGGGCATGCGCGCATTGGCGCCCTCGCGGCCTTTGCCCTGGTCGCTCTCCTCGAAGGACTGCGCGGTGATTCCCTCCACGGACAGAGAATAGTCCCGGAGATCAAACCCAGCCAGGTCTGCGTCAATTCGAGAGATAGTGATACGTGCAGGGTACTTCTGGAAGAGCGCTGTGGTATCCTTGACAAACGTGTTAACCCCGGCGGCGAGCTTCGGGCGAGCACTGTCAAGAATGTCCTCGATGAATTCAAAGGACTCATCGAACATCTTGTCAACACTGCCATGCAATTGCTTGAGAGACGGCGGCAGCGATCGCTTCAGGCTCTTGACAAGACCCGCATCCTGTCGGAGGCTACGGCCATACAGCTTTTGCATGTGCGGACGCTCCACAAACTGGATGAAAGCCAGGCTCAGGATGTGGCTCAGTAGAGCCAGGAAAGTGATAGCTCCACTACTCGTAATAAGAACCGCACCCCAGACACCGGCCAACCCCAGAACACGCTCGGGGTTGTTTAGGAAGCGGTAGATGCCGTTGTAGGTTAGCTTGGGGGATTCATCGAAGAAAAAGTCACCGTAAAACCAGCCAAATTCACCAAGGGACTCATAGATGCTGACCGACGTCCAGAGCTGCAGACTAATCAGACCCGCCCCCAGAACATGCCGGAACAACACCAGGCCATAGCCCCAGTCAACTGGGAACGTGTACATCTTCCACACGGCGGCGATGAAGCTGGCGTAGCACATGATCATACTGAGGTGGTAAGTTCCTTTCCACTGGCTCCAGGCCTCCTGCGGAGTCTCGCCAAACTTGACGAAGTGTCTAGTCCAGGACTTGGTGCTGGACTGGTTGTTGAGGTGGTACCCAATGCCTACAGAGTACCAAACCCTCCACACCGCGGAATTGACCACAAAGAGGAACTGGTACCAGGGAGTAGAGGGTGTCAAGGCTGCGATGGCAAATACGAGCATCTGGACGAGCATGATCGACGAATCCGTGGTTCTATACAGATCCAGGTTGTGCAGGCCCAGGAGGTTGTGAACTGAAGGCGGCGGCTTGGCCGAGTACAAATCGGGTGCATTGGGTGGCTGGTCTTCAGACGGAGTTGGCGCATTTGGAGAGTCTGGCTCGGTGGCCAAGTTCGCAACGGAATCCACGCACATCGAACGCTTGCGGGGCGGGGGCGGGTTGTAGGTCTTGTCGATGTGGGGGTTCTCGACGAGCACGAGGAAGGCGAATTGAGCTGCATGGGCAATGATAGAGATAAAGAGCACCTTATAGCTGGCGGCCATCAGGGAGATGCCGTAGTAACCCGCATAGCCGACCGAGTACATGGGGTGCGGGGCCATCTCGAACACGCCATCAAAGGTCAATTCCTGGTCGATGAGATAGAAGAAGTCTCCCCAGTACCAGGCATAGTCCTTGACTACTCGGTGGGCGTCTAGTTTGACCCAGAGATTGAACAGCACTAACACGATGCCAGCCGTCCACCGCAAACCGGTCATGAGCACGCTCTCGTCGACCGGGCGGTGGCCGCAGGCGATCGCGAAGAGACAGTAGGAGGTGAAGTCACACATCAGGATCAAGTCCACCAGACGCCTAAAGATAAGCCAGGTGTTGTATTCAATTGGTGCCTTGTCGAACGAGTAATCGTGTGGGATCTTGGTCTCCAGCTCGCGCTTGATCAGATTATACAGACTGGGATGGGGATTGTCGCCAGTGGCCGGGTTGACAAAGATCTTGGTCTTCTCCGCCAATCGAATCAGCGTCTTGTGGTGAGACTGGTTGTGTAGTAGCCACCCAATTCCTCCATTGTAGCCCGTGCGCCAGAAGAGGTAAATGACGGCAAAGACCGGGACCTTGGCACCCGCGGGCAGTGCCCAGAGAAGCAGCACGTGGATGGCCAGGAGAGCCAGCACTATCAGGTCAGACAGGTTTTTGGGTTCGGACGGCGAGAGGAGCTGGGAGACCATATCATGGGTCTGGGGCACAGTGAAGACTATTGAGCGCATGGGACTTGGTTAGCGGAGGACTTCATGGGACTTGACAGAACTCGGCCAAAACAAAACACGATTCCATTTAATCCTCAACCCCCAGTAAACAAGCAAATAGAGAGGGCATACCGGTTCCATCGGGTGTGCGCCCGAAGGTCTTCATCTCCTTGCCCTTGTCCCAGACCTCTGCCTCGCCAGTGGCTGTTAGCGCATCACGACCAGTTGTTGAATCTGGACGCGTGACATTTCTCTCTCGAAGCCCATCAGTGGACTGATGGGCCCCTGTTGAAAGGCCTTGATCCATGATGGGGTGGGAAAGGGTTGAAGTTGAAGAATGACGACGGAAGCATGTGACGTTAGTCCGGAATCCGCTTCCGCTTGTTAGCGATGTTAAGTGATGCCTTCTGCAGTTTGTATACAAGGGCGAAAATACTACAAAGAACTCGAGCGAAATTGCCCACGGACTTCTGGGTTTTATACGAGAGTGTCTCTGGAGTGGAACCCTCAGACCAGTGCGGGCCCCGAATGGAGCAGAAGAGCACCGAAGACCTGATCGACCACGCTAAGCTGATGTTTCTCGCCAACTCGCGCGAACCCCTAAGATGAATTGACGAGAGGAAATTGCCATGGCCGATCAATTGTCTCCCTTCTGTCCTGCTCAGTCATCCTCTGGAGTCTCCAATCGCCCACCGCAGATGGCCATGGCCAGCGGCAAAGGCGGGTGCCCACTCGTGCACACACTCGAGGTCCACTCCCCGCTGTCTACATGAATGTACCACGGGGATCGCGCACCCAAGTGGGCAGCAGGATTGCATGACTGCGTGTCCATTGGCGAGTGAATGGACCAGGCCAAGTGGAGCAAGTTGACATCATTTCCCAAATGGACCCACGAAGGAAAACCGGCGAGTCGATCAACCGACAGGCACCGTGTCAGTGCACTCGAGATTGTCGAGACTGATAATGGATACGCCTAATGGGAATTGTTAGTTGCATATGCGAGGGTGCACTGCCCTCCGTTAGAGACTGGCATCCTGCAGCTCCCCCGCTCTTGTCTCACTATCGTGATGATGCAGAAATCAAGAGTTGGATGGCGAAGGTGCTAACAGAGCAGGGACCAGACAGTTGGGAATATTCGGAACTGAAGCAATGCCGAATACGGTCTCAGGAAGGTGAGTCTGTACTTTGCGCGTGAAATCAACAAAAGCACCAAGGCATCTATTATGTAGACACTCGGGTTTCCCACGTGACAATGATTGATCTGAACGAGTGGCAGGAATAGCCATAGCCATTTGCAATCAAATAATATCCATTCTCAATTTACTTCATTCCCATCATGAATTCTATGATCCCTCATTTATTGTTGACTCCGACATCGCGCCAATCGCCACTGGCCTGTTAGTCAGCCGGCTTATCAAGCATCTCCACGCCACTGGAATCTTTCCCCTCGTTTGCATTTTCATTTTGTGCGGTCTGAACCATATCGTTGAATTGTATTCAATCATGGCACCGTATGTGGAGGAACCGCCTGAGGCGTCTCTCAACGCGCCGTCCAAGATGGCGCCCAATCTTGTGGCCCCCGAGCCAGGTAAGGATGCAGACAGCGAGAAAGAAAGACGAGTGCATGGGCTCATATCCCACCAGAGCACTGCCCAGGTCCTGAATCCGAAAAGGCTGGCCAAGGCGATGCCTGCGCCGGTTGCCCCAATCAGCAAATCTGCGCCTCTACACCCAAGGGCCCCGATCCCGACATCCCAATCATCACCGAGCGGCTGTCGCAAATCCGACACAAGATCCTCGTGCTGTCCGGAAAAGGAGGAGTGGGCAAGTCGACATTCACAAGCCTCCTGGCACATGCGTTCGCAGCCAACCCAGACTCGACTGTCGGCATCATGGACACAGATATCTGCGGGCCGTCCATCCCAAAGATGATGGGGGTCGAGTCGGAGACCATCCACGTGAGCAACGCTGGCTGGAGCCCCGTGTGGGTGACAGACAACCTGGGCGCGATGAGCGTGCAGTTCATGCTGCCCAACCGGGATGACGCAGTGATCTGGCGCGGGCCCAAAAAGAACGGGCTGATCAAGCAGTTCCTCAAAGACGTCGACTGGGGCGAGCTGGACTATTTGATCGTGGACACGCCGCCCGGCACCTCGGATGAACACCTGTCGGTCAACTCGCTCCTGAAAGAATCCGGCGTCGACGGCGCCGTGGTGGTCACCACCCCGCAGGAGGTGTCGCTGCTGGACGTCCGCAAGGAGGTCGACTTTTGTCGCAAGGCTGGTATCCGTGTACTGGGCCTGGTCGAGAATATGTCGGGCTTTGTCTGCCCCAACTGCACGCATGAGTCGCAAATTTTCCGCGCCAGTACCGGCGGCGGTCGCCGTCTGGCTAAGAAGATGGGTATTGCATTCCTGGGGGCTGTTCCGCTGGACCCGCGAGTCGGCATGGCGTGCGATTTCGGCGAGAGTTTCGTGGAGAGCTTCCCCGACAGTCCTGCGTCCAAGGCCATCAAGCGCGTCGTGCGTTCTGTAGGTGAGGCTGTCGGTGAGAACGCCGACGACGTTCTCCCCGAGGACATGGTCGAGTGAATGTGGTTCGAGACTCCAGTGCTTTTCTACAGCGTGGCATGCGGGTATTGGCGTTTGGGCATATAGAACTTGATTTGATACCAGGATTGAATGGCTTACGATATGCATGAAGACTGATTATCTTTCCTCCCTCGTATGCAAGTAGCTAGTTGACCTGTCCCTCTCCACTTCATTCAAAGACCGGATGAAGCTGCCGCCTCCGTGGTGTTTGTTGTCTGTATCAACACCCGGCGATACAGTGACATTCCATAAGTTTCGACAACACCCCCGCCCCGTATATATACACCGCCTATACCACCTACGAAATATATCTACCCCTGAATTAATATTATTATTCTTCTACTATGGCACCTCGATCGAAATTGATGCCTACGCTTCGCGAGCGTATATACGAGCTATCTCAAGCTGCCGGCTGGGGATATAGGCGTCTTCAAAAGCGATACCCTTGGGTCTCTCTCTCTCTGGTATTCGATATACAATCCAGAAAGACCGCGAGCGAATAAATAGGGTTACGAAACCTCGATTTGGCCGGTTAACGAAGTTGAATGAAGCCGATAGAGAGCAAATTCTCAATACTATTCATGGCGATCCTAAGGCTACAGGTGAGAATTTACCAAGGTTTCGCATAAGGTTATTTTTATATATTTATATGTATATATTTTTTATTGATATCTCTTTATTTCTAGGTTAAATACAACTCTATTCGACGGCTTTTAAATACTGAGAATCTCCGACAATAGCGATACAGCTAGCGTCCTTATTTAAAAGAGGAATATACTATAAAACGACTCTAATAGGCCTATCGATACCGCCACTTTCAGCCAGCCGATTAGGCTCGTATATATTGGTCTGATAAATATACCGTCGAGCGTGGGATTGGTGCTCAAAGAGAATAGACCTTTACTCGGCCAAAAGATTAGCCAAAAGAAGGACAATGTCAAGGGTTTACAGTGACACAGCAAAAGTTTCGACCCCTAAAAATTGACCCACTTCTTGACTCCACATAGATCTTGATAGACAGCGCGCTTCCTTCCTTGTGACGACTATCATTCAACATTGAAGATCTCCCAGCTACCCTTGGAATTTGCTGTCCACGCAGGGCTATTTAAATCCACCTTTTCATTTGGCAGATCATTCACGTCCTTGGAGCAAATGGTCCTAAGATCCAAATCTCCACCCTCTTGATTGAGAAGTGCCGGCGGAATTAGAATCTCATGTTGGCCGTCTTCGTTGTAAGGAAGGCGTATCACTGTCTCGGGATCTTCACAATGGTCCTCGATATAGGCCGTGATTCTTTTCGACCACATCTCCATTCTTTCTTTCTTCCCGCTCGTAGTATTCAGTCTCCAAGGGGGTATTCTTATTTTGGCAGCTTTGGTCACTGGCTCGATTTTGCCTTTAATAAAGCAATGCCTTGGGAAAGTGTCAGCTCTTGCGACTTGGAAGTAACCTTTGTAGAAAAGGCTCTGTTTATGACCAAGTAGGTAGATACTTACCAGTTACGGTCAGTCTGCTTTTTCCATATCCACCCAGAAGGCGTCAGGGCCAAGTATACACCTTTCCCCCATGTTGAAAAGGTCTGCTCAATTTCCTTGCTCGTCTCCCAAGTAAGAACATTACCGGCGTTCTTGTAGCTCTCGACTTGATCCTGGATAAATTAGACGGCGAAGATATAAGGCATCGTATTTTTACTCACAGGATGGGTGTGTCGGTAACCAACGGCCATAGTATCTTTCGCTAGCAATGGCAAGCCGAAATTGAGCAAGAGAAGTAGCCATATGAGCGTAAATTTGGTATAGCTGACAACCGCCATTTCGACCGGGGAAAAAGATAGATAAAGGCTCGTGGAAGTGTTTGACAGATTCTTTCTAGCAAGAAAAAGGTCGAAGAAAGGGCAGCAATTTAAATTTCTATTTAAGGGTCTGTGGAAGATACGAAAGTCATCCCCTTTTGATGAAAGGGATTTTTTTTTCATCTTTCCATCGTGGTTCAGTGGAGAAGTGAGCCATCCTAGCCCCAATTGTGCCCAGGTTCGAATCTAGAAACTTGATGGATGATAAAATGACATGAAGAAACGCTCTGTAAGCCACTGTGAATAACTGTAAAGATCTCTTATTCTATATGAAGCCTATCTTATATACTTCTGTACAAATAAAAAGGGACGATTTGACGGCTCATTTCTCAGAAGATTTCTGCGATCACAGAAACGTTAGAGCCGCATGAAATCCTTTCGATCCTCCGATTGCCCTCGAGATGCTATCTTCATCTTCTAAGTCTAAATACTTGCTGTGGTTCTTTAAATGATCAGCTCAGGGCTAACTAAAGGAATGAGGAGCGGCGCTAGCACAGTCCTATAATATTTCCTATCTAGGAAGTAGTTTTGCCAAGCATATTACATGCTTTCTCCCACCTATCTCCATTTTAATTATAGCATAGGGAATGTGAGGATATTTCTGCACTATAACTATCTTGCCCAAAATAGAAAGTGATTAGCATATCTATCTAATAAACTTTTCTACTCTGTAAGGTTCAAGACCTCCCGCGCCTAACTTTTCCGCCCTAAAATCCCCTTTTGATCATCCTAAATATTTATAGAGACTTTATTTCTAGCGAGTAAGCATAGAGTCTATAGTGAATCGGCTATTTAAAAAGAGGCAGTATTTAAGCTGGAAAGATTAATTAACAGATAGTAGTAGATGTGCCTTTCAGCGACCTAGCTTTTTGCTAAAATCGATTAGTACCTAAAAGGAGATAGCATCATACTTAGAGGCGTGCTTAGTTCTGCTTAGTGAGCAAAAAGCGGCGAGCTCTAGGCACTAACACAGAAGAGAAACACTGAGCAGTGGCAGAGGAAATCCGGTACGTAGGCAATTCAGCGATCTTACATAAAAAAAATATGTATGATAGCTTCAACGATTGCTCGGCCAGGGAACAATGGGGAGTCATGCAGCAGAAGTACAATAACAGCATTCCGAGACACAACTCCTCGTCATCTGATGGATCTAACACAGAATGAACAAAGATAAATAAAAATAAACAACCCAAAGTAAATCACAATCTGAGATTCATGGGATATATGAAACCTATGAGCAAATCTGTGGTCGCAACCAACGATTCCTGTGGTGTTGGCTTGGGTTTCAACCACCGCCACCAATATCAACAACATTGCAATAATCAACCGAGCTATATTCCCAAACCCTAGGGAGAAATCCTTGAACTTCTATCAGTTACCCCCTATTAGGAGCTATATTCTATATTCTGCATAATTTCGGACGGCCCGCCAGTCCAACCCAGCCATTGGCCGCATACCCGCCGAGCATTGTTTCAGAACCGCCCAACGGCCTGCAGCTCACCTGTCAGACCTTCGCGCCCAGATGTTCCACCAAGCTCAGACGCCGCGCGGTCACAGACAAATAAACCGCCAGGAGTCAATTTCTGCTGGTCTCAGGTTATGCGCCGGCCGGTCCAGTTCAAAGGTTTTGCTCTTAATGAGCGGCTGTGATAGGTGGATATACAATCCATAGGTGATATTTTAGAAACAACTACTTAGCTCGGTGTGGGATATTATAGCTGCCGCTTTTACGAGCGCGTTCAGAGTCAAGCTCGATACTCTAAGCTGCGTAATTTTTAATTAAGGCTAGGCTCCCTAGGTTGCTCTTTATTCTCTACTCATAGATTACTCAGATTTATGACAGGCACCTAATAAGCCCTTGGTTTATGTTCAGGCTATTCTTAAGATCTCGAGCCTATAGTACTAGAATGTGAAGTATTCGATACAATGGACGCTTCACTGATCCAAATATTACGATGGTTTATTGTTATGCCACATGATATCCAGTTCTGTCCTTATCTTCATCCCATTCAAGGCATTTATTATTTTGTCAAGAACCATAGAAGTGTGGTTGGTATAAAAGCTACATGATCATAGGAATGCATAAGAATATAAAAGACCCAAAAACGAGTATTCCCCAATCCATCACTTTAACAGTGACAGCTATCATCGGCGGTCCCATAGTTGAAGATAGCACCCTTGGGGATTTGGTTTGCCCCGTTGTCACACACCGACTGATAATTTTCTTGAGTGCATGAGACCGATTCATGTGTTTGGGAGTTCTCCAACCAAGCCCAACCTCCACGACCTTGTGTGTCCTGATCATACCCGCACGGACCCCAGCACCGACCGTTGTCACAGCCGAATTGGTCCTTGTATGGGCAGTCGGCTCGCTTGTTGAGTCCGAGGTCATTCTTGGCTTCAGGGGCGGCCGCGCTGAAGACCATGGTGGCTTGCGCCACCATAAGGAGGGCTCCGAGAGTGAATTTCATCTTTGTGTGATCTTTAGGGTGCGTTAGTACATATCACAACACAAGAAGAATAGGTATTGTTTTCTCTTACTTGTATGGTAGGTCTGGGGTTCATGTAGTAAGAAGAAAAAGAGAGATTCAGTCGAGATAGATCTTCTTTGATGAAGGTCCGAGTCTTTAAATACTCAGCCCTGCGGGAATAGTTTGGGGCCAAAACTTATACGCGAAATACGCGATATTAGGGGCTGTGTCCTGAAGCGCTTGGGCCTAGTAAGCGTAAATGTGAATTGCTTATGACAACCTGGAGGGCGTGCCCGAAAGTTGGTTCATCTGTCACTTTATCCCCGCAAAAAAGGCTTGCCGAAAGCCAGTTTTATAGAGCCAGGTTCTCCCTGCTGACTGCGATGTTGAGTGTTATTTTGCTCGAGGATCAAATAATCCAAGGATCAACAAACAGTTCTCATTCTAGTAAACGCCCCGACACCAAACCAAATAAGCAGCAGCAATAATAATACTCCATACAGGTCGAAATACAACATAGGCAGGATAAGGGAGAGATAAAATAAGCTAAGACAGCATGTGCCCTATAGTCACTCTATACTGTTCGAGGTCAACCTTCTCTCGAATATAGGGATCAACAGAGTTTGCTTAGTGTCGGACTCAGCCCCAATTCAGCCCCGGCCTGCACAGACCTATGCATTTTAGGGGTCTTGAATGGTGTTTATGCCTCAGGCAACACATCACCTCGCGTTTACTTTAAAAGACCCTGGTACCTTGAAACAGGACAATAAGGGGAATATAGAGAATAGGTAGCACATAAATAGAACTAGTGTGGTGCATTTTATTGAGGTTACTTTAGGCCAGGGCGCTTAGACGCGTGCCCAGTCTTACTAGCAAACAAAAAGCGGCAAGAGAGAAGCCCTAAACCGGAGGAAATCTGCTACATCTTACGTAGTAAAGACACTACGTATGCCCCTCCTCTGGCGTTTTGCATGAATGATGGCGCCTACGTTGCTACCTGCTTTGTCTTTCTTTTATAGACTGAGACCCCGGGATTGGTTTCTGATTGTAGATCAAGCTCTCATTCATTTATTTTCTTTTCCCTTCTTGCATATTGTTGATTGTCTCTTCTCTTCTCCTCTCTCTCTCTCTCTTTCTTTCTTTCTCAACCACCGCTCGAGTCGGGACTGGATCCTGCAGACGCATTTTTCTTGTGATACTCATTTATCTTATTTATGTCCACCGGCAGACCAGAGTGAATGCATTGCAACAAGCTCGCTCTCAGCCTCTGGTTTCTCTTCTCTTCTCTTCTCTTCTCGTTCTCTATACATACATTGGATTCTCAGGGCCGGTCCCTCCTCCACTCATTGAACAGCAAGGTCTTTCCTTCTTTCGGCACAAGAGAACAAGAAAATAAGCTGAAAACCTGAGGGGAAAGACCGAAAAGATGCATCTTCTTCTATCCTTTCTCCTCCTCTTTTCCCTGAGCTACACTGTCCTGTCTATACCCACAATCTCTCGGCCCCGACGAGAAGGCCGGTCCTTCCGGGTCGAGCAAGTCAAACGCAGCGACTATGTGGCCCACGGACCCGCAGCTCTGCGCAACGCATACCGCAAATACGGCATTGCGCTGACCGACTTCAACGGGGTCGATCTGGAGGATTTCGAGCCGCTTGAGGTGAAACATTCTAGCGCCGTGGCGGGTGATCAAGACACGGCGCCGGGGTCAGATCAGACCGGTGCTGTGAGTGCGACCTCCGTGCAGAGCGATGTGGAATTCGTGTCGCCGGTGGTGGTTGGCGGACAGAATGTGTCGCTGATATTTGATACTGGGTCTGCGGATATGTAAGTGTGATAACCAAGATTCCATCAATATCAAAAACATCAATGGATAATACTGACTCGACAGGTGGGTGATGAACACGAAACTCCCGGAATCCCTCCTACATGGCCACACAGCCTTCGACCCCAAGAAATCCCGCACATTCCACGACGTCGAAGGCGGCGAGTTCAACATCTCGTACGGCGACTCATCGTACGCCTACGGCGGCGTTGGCAAAGACACCGTCTCAATCGGAGGCGCCACAGTCGCCGAGCAGACCTTCGGCCTACCCACCAGCGTCTCGGAATCCTTCACCGAAGACACCGCCTCGAACGGGCTGGTAGGACTGGGCTTCTCCTCGATCAACACCATGCAGCCCGGCCCGCAGAAGACCTTCTTCGACAACGTCGCCGCCAGCCTCGACGAGCCCGTGCTGACCGCGCGGCTGCGCAGCGACGGTGTCGGCGAGTACGAGTTCGGGAGGGTTGATCAGAGAAAGTACTCCGGCTCGCTGGTTAACATCTCTGTCGATGCCTCCAATGGCTTCTGGCAGTTTGATGCGGGCCAGTTTGCGGTGGGCGATGGGCCGCTGCGCAAGGTTACGGGGCGCTCGATTGCTATTGCTGATACGGGCACGTCGCTTATGCTGGCGAGCTCGGATCTTGTTCAGGCGTACTATCGGGAGGTTGGTGGTGCTTTGTATGCCGGCAGTGTCGGCGGCTATATCTATCCGTGCAAAACGGATCTGCCCAACTTGTCTGTGGCGCTGGGGAATAAGTTCAAGGCGACTATCCCCGGGTCGTTTATCCATTTTGCAGAGGTGGGCAAGAATAAGACGACTGGTGAACAGTGTGAGTCCTGTCCCCGAGCCTTGGATGTTTTAATCTTAGGATTGTGTATACCACAGCTTAATTCTAAGGCTGATGAACTGACCATCTTGCCGTATAGTGTGCTTTGGGGGCGTCCAGTCGAACGAAGGTAGCGATATGCAGATCTTTGGCGATGTGTTCCTCAAGTCCTTGTTCGTGGTGTTTGATCAACGAGGACCGTCGCTTGGATTTGCATCTCCGACATAGACCTTGACCAGGTGCTGTGAACTATGTAGAAAGACATCATACAATTTCTATGAGATGAAATACATTAATGTGGCACTGTCGATGAAATGTGAGACTTGTATTTTTTTCAGCTATTTCTCTTCATCTTCTCGTGGGTATGCGTTCATTGCGTTTTATTTTTGGGTGAATATTTGAATCCAAAGACCTTGGGACCATCCATCTTTTACCGCACCGCGGCATTCTTCAGGGTCTTGACGGTACAGACAACCCCGGACGCAGTAGCCAGCTTGCCAATAGCCGGCTTGCCCTCCTGGCCCTGCACAGACGGGACAGCGCTGCTGTCAAAAGCAACCTCGAGGTTCTCGGTCGTAGTGAAACCAGGCTGGAAAGTCTCCCAGACCTTCTTCTTGGGGTTCAGCACCTTCTCGGGCTCGCCCTCATTCCAGCCTTGGAAGCCCACGCGCTCACCGGCCGGGGCGTCTGCCGGAGGGCTGACGAGCTCGACGGGACCGGCGTGCGAGTCCTCACCTTCGGCGACACGCGGGGACGCAGCCAGAACCATGGCGCAGGACTTGATGCCACGCATGGTGACCGGCTTCAAGTTGCAGACAGCAACGATCTTGCGGCCCTGCATCTCCTCCAGGGGCACCAGCCCATTCAGGCCGGAGCACACAGTGCGCACCGTCTTTCCAGTCTCCTCATCCAGAGACGTGTTGTCGGTGTCCGGGGCATCGCCGCAATCGATAGTCGAAACGTAGAGCGAGTCGGCGTTGGGGTGGTTGACAGCGCGCAGAATGTGACCCACACGCAGGTCGATCAGTGACGGGGCCAAGGGAGCAGCAGGCGCCGGTGGGGGCTTGGGCTGCTTCTCTTTTTTCTCCTTCTTTTCCTTCTTGTTGGGCTTGGGAGGAGCCCCAGCGGCGTCGGAAGGCTGTCCCTTCTCAGGCTTGCCCTGACCGACGACAAGGGGCTTGCCCTCAGCACCGGCATCCGGGTTCTGAGCGCTGGCCTTTTCGCGCTTCTTGCGCTCCTTCTCCTCCTTGGGGTCGATGGGCTTGGGCACGAACCGCACGTCATTCACGTCGATAGGAATCTTCTCCTCCTCGGGGATCTGCAGCGAGAACAGGCGCGAGTTCTGCACAAAGTCGATATGCCGCACGATGTGGTGGTATCCCTTCTCACCGGTGCGCTCCTCGGGTGACCACTTTTCCACAAGGGGAGCCAGAAGGGCGTATACGGCAATATCGGCGACCGACGGCTTCGCACCGAGCAGGGTCGTCCCCGTAGCCAGGTGAGTGTTGAGCTGAGCGAGAATGCTCTCGACTACGGATTTTTCATCCTTGGCCAGAGCAGCCTTCAAGCCCGAACTAGTGTGCAGCCATTGCTTGATGTCGGCCTCCTCAGTCTCGACAAAGGTGACCTGCGGGAAGATCTTGGGCGATGCGTGGAGGTAGTCGGGCTCGGTGGCATCGGGAGAGATGGCGGCAGGGTATGAGCGGTAGAGGAGGGAGAGGAGAGAGGTCTCGGGGGCTGCTGCCGTCGCCATGGTGAATGCGCGTGGAGAGGGAAAATGAAGTGGGAGAAAAGAAATTCGAGGAGGGGCAGTCGGTGTCAGCGATTGGACCCGCGGGGCGATGGTTCGGGCCCGCAATCGGGTCGCAGCCCTGAAGAGCGCCACCGTGAAGGAGATCCCTGAACGGGATCAGCAATTAATCAATGGATCTTTGGCAACTGATCGCGTGAATTCCTTTACACTCGTGTTTTTTCCTGGGATTTTGTCGTGGCTGACTCAGCGGGTGCAGCCTCCATCTCGAAGTATACTTCCTACTGTCTACCATCGACTGGATACGAGTACATCAGTTGAATGTCTGGGTCTGAAGTCCTCAATCATTTTGAAACTGAAGGAACCACGACCATGTGCCAAATTAAATCATACAAAACCCCCAAATCTCCTTCCATGCCGTCTGTTTCCCCCAAGCGCTCCAGTGGCTCACCAGAAATTGTCGGTCGGCTCAGCACGGTGGTTCATAGGGCAAGCAGGTATTTTGAAATCAGCACCAGCAGCTAATAGCAACCCAACCAAATCTTCGTTATGGTCGGCTTTGGCCTGCATAATGGGCGTTAGGCCCGAGGCAGTTCCTAGGTTGGGCCGAATGCCCTTGTGGCTCAACAGCAGCTCGACCATGAGGGTCATATTGCGGCGCACGGCAAAAAAGAGTGGCATATTTTCATCACCACCTGCATTGGGATCCACGCGTGGTTCTTTCAACAGCATTCGAGACACGGCATGGTTGCCTGCCTCGATGGAGTGATAGAGTGGAGTCCTGCCCTCCCCGTCTTCTTGATTGACATTAATCTCAGGCCTCTGCATGAATTTCTTCATGGAAGAAATTGGGAAGCGCATAGGAGTCCGGGCACCATAAGCCAGCGGAGTGCAACCAAGGAGATCTTGCGGGTCGGGGTCAATGCCTGGGGTCTCCATAAGAAGCTCAATACTCGTCCAACACATCTTCCATGCAGCTGCATGGAGGGCTGTCTGGTGTCGACTGTTTTTGCCATTGGGGTTGGCGCCCGCCTTGAGCAACAATTTCATCAGTTCATGGCTGGAAAGCACGCATGCCAAGTACAGCACGGACATTTGGCGCATTCGAGTATTCGGGTCGGCTCCGAATGCAAGCAACAGCTGCACAATCTGGTACTGGGACTGATGGCCGAGCTGGGTAGTCTTATCGAGAAACTCCCCTCTCCATACTCGATGAAAATCCCCGATCCTTGCCAGGTCTCTCAGAGCCACCTTGTTTCGCCCGCAGACGGCACGCCAGAGAACAGACCATTCTCCCCTGTATTTCACGTTTGGATTGGCTCCAGCATGAAGAGCCTTGCATACTGTGCCTGGCATTTCGCGCCTCACGCCCCACCGGAGAACAGAATCTTTGTGTCTGCGGTAGAGGGTGTCGGTCAAGGAAAATTCGAAGTAACGACTGACTTGAGTGAGTGCGTTCAGATCCTTTGTAGACAGACCACTCGTGATTTGGAGCAGTATCTCAAGGGGAATAGTCAGAAGAGATTGTAACTGCTCCTTCCAAGTGAGATATTCCTGGGTCTGTCTGAGTTGCTCTGTGTTTTGCCGCAACAGTTTAGCTGCCTGCTTCAAACCATTCTCTGACCGAGAGAATTGTCGTGGGAAGTATGGGGTCTGGTCGGGGAGGTAGTTCGAGGTGATGAACTTGATCAGATGTCTTTCGTCACCAGAGAGAATCGAACGCCGTCTTATTTTAAGTTGAAGGTAGATGTCGAGGGAATGGGCCAGCTGGACGGCACGCTGGTCCAAGACTGGAAGAGTTGAGGACGAGGTGACATCCGCCATTTTGATGGAAAGCTTCAATCTGGAGGATGGTCAAAAGAGATGAAAAGAATCGATGTGCTGATGAAGCAGGATGAGAAAGAGAGGAACGGGGATGGGAGAGGTTATTGAGAAAGTGTGGGCACTTCTTGTTGCTTGCCTTGGACTCTGGAAGGTGAAGCTTTACTTCACGCCATCAGGACTCAAGGGCTGCGCTGCCTCGGCGTTGTCTTTTACTCTGACTATTTACTCGGTAGAACAATCTGAGATCAAACCTGGTATTCAACCAGTCCATTTGAGATAAGTATATTTCCAAGTGAAGTACGTCCTCTGGGTCAAGGAAAATGCAAACTCAAGGACTTGCTAGCAGAGAACTGGAAAGACGTCTTTGACATGTCTCCGAGCATCCTCAGAAGGGTCAGCGAGTAATAGTTTCGAAGTTAGAAAAATTCACCAAAATAGAAATAAACACCTCAAATTAGTGTCGGGGAAGTGGGCGTTACATATGCCAGGGATTGCAGAGACCAGCTGAAAATGAAAAAAAAGAGTATCGCGGCTCATCTACGCATAAATCCACCACTGGATGTTCTCCAGATCCAGTCTCCACGCTGCACTGTGATTGGACGAACTGAAATGCGCTAAAATGAGTCACGATGAGTCCTGCTCGTCCACCAATCAGCATCTTTCTCTTGTGGATCTCAGCGGGGGCTGAGCCTGCTGAGGTAATCGTTGTCCGGGGTTCATATTCCGCGGGTCTGCCTGATTTTGTTTCCTTCCTCAGGACACCACACTCCTCGGCTGTGACCGAGTTGAATCCCCCAGTCGCCATTGACTGCACTTGATACCTGAAAAAAAACTAGAAATAAGAGCGTCACGGGTCTGCAAAGGCCCGTCTAAACGATCCAGTCATGCCCGCCTGCAGTTGCTCCGCCGCCGCAGCGCCCATCCAGACCAGAGGATTCTACATCCAAACCACTCAACTCGAGTCATCCTCCAAGCCACCTTAGCTTGGAAGATCCATGGTCCAATTTCTCTCACTACGACCCTCATTTCTTTGCGTCCTTGGCGCCGCCGTTGGCATGTATTTCCCCGGCGGTGCCTCTCTCCCAATCCTTCGATACCCCTCTGCCCGCGCCAGACCTCTGGCCGGCGCCAGATTTGTCCTTGGCCGATGCCGACTGGCATTTCCTTTCTATGCAATCTTCGCCGTATGTCGCCGCCTTTGACGGGGCTGATGTCCCCGCCGTGGATCCGGCATATGGCACCACCCCTGCGTTCCATTCTCTTTCGGATTCAGGATCAATCGAGCACCAAAATGTTCCTTTTTCGTCTGTGGTCCCCAGCTCGACGAACTCTCAAGGTAAGCAGAACCGTTTTCTTGCAGAACAACTTCAATGTTAACCCAAATGATTAAGACGGCCGCTCCCATGCATCTCCAGCCTCTCAGATTCCACCGTCGACCTCGGTCTCTTTCCCTAGCCCTCCTACCTCGCAGGGCGATGAGGCTTTGGGCCGTATGGAGCCTTCACGGGTGGAAAAGCGCCGGCTCAACACGCTCGCGGCACGCAGGTGCCGTCAGAGGCGCGTGGACCGGATGCAGAAGCTGGAGGATGAGTTGGAGGAAATCCGTCGGGAGCGCGACGAGCTGAGGCTCCGAGTCTCGAAGTTGGAGGGTGAGACGGATGCTCTGAAGGGCCTTCTCTCTCAAAAGAAGTGAAGCTCTTTAAGTAGGATTCGAAACTCGATTAGGTCTCGTTACTGAATTCGATTAAGTATTGGAACATTGGTTTTCCTTGTAGCCGCGTACAACTTTCGTAGTCTTGCTGGGGCAGTTCACTACGTAGATCTATGTAAAAGCTCTCCACTATGGACAAACCTGCGAGTTTTCACCCGTACTCAAATGACAGCAAATCTGTGAAGCATCCCATGAACGATGCGGGTTAATTCCGCCATATCTGCATGGCTTCTGCAATGACTCAGGGACGGTGTTACCCCGTGCCGAGAGAACCAGGACCCCCTCTTCTCGGTCCGAAATCTAATAGATTCTGTCGGTCCGACAACCCAGGCGTGGTTTCTTTGCGCGCAGAGATACTATAGTCTCTTATATTTGGTGACGACACACCCGCTTAGCTGCACACCAAACCGAGATTGACAACATGCGCGCTGTTCGATTCCATGGACGGGAGGATCTCCGTCTAGATGAGATCGAAGAACCAGAATGCGAGAGTGGTCAAGTCAAAGTATGTAAATATGCTACCATTCACACTTTATAACCAAGCCAAGCAATCTTTGAGAATCCTTGCCTCGGTTCTTACAGCCACTGATCATGACTCACTGCAGATACGACCGGCCTTTGTCGGGATATGCGGCAGTGGTATGAGCCCAAGATCCCGAGACTTCCTCTTCATTCCTCTCATGTACTGGCAGATCTCCACGAGTATCTCGCCGGCCCGATGGTCGTGCCCGTCAGCCCGCACCCGATCACCGGAGAGAAGCTCCCAACCACTCTAGGCCATGAATTCAGCGGAACCATCGAAGAGATCGGCAGGGACGTAACCGATCTGAAAGTCGGCGATCGGGTCGCCGTCAAGCCGAATCTGTACGACGGCATCTGTCCAAGTTGCTCGATGGGACGGGTGAACTGCTGTGATAGTCTGGGGTTTATCGGGTACAGCAGTGAGTGATGCGTTATCATGATAAAACAATGCTGCCCCCTCGATCAAAGCGTATGGGCTTGTGCATATTGACAGTAAGCAGGTCAGACCGGCGGACTATCCGACCATATGGTTATGGACCAGAAACACGCGATTCCACTGCCGGACTCGATTCCCCTAGACATCGGCGGTAGGGCCATTGATTCAGCAAGCTGTCCCCAGAGTAGTGATGACACCGGTTATTAACCCAAGTTTGCAGCACTGGTGGAACCTCTTAGCGTCGCATGGCACGCCGTCAGCCGCAGTTCGCTTCAAAACAACGACACTGCTTTAGTCGTCGGAGCCGGCCCTATCGGTCTCGCCATCGTCTTAGTGCTGAAATCCCGAGGAGTCAGGAACATCATTGTGGTGGAGGTTTCCGAGAAACGAAGACTCTTTGCCCGCACCTTCGGAGCCACCGAGATCCTGAACCCCAGTGAAGTAGACGTCGTGGCACAATTACATGCCTTGACCAGGGATGCACGCGGTGTATCTATGGCATTTGAATGCTCCGGGGTGCAGGCAGGGCTGGATACTGCGATATCGGGCACCCGCGTGCGCGGGACAACGGTCATCGTGTCGATTTGGGACAAGAAACCGGCTATCGATGCCTTGGCTCTGGTGCTGTATGAGAAGCATGTCACTGGGGCTGTGGTTTATGATGATGGGGACTTTGAGGCGGTGATTGAGGCTATTGCTTCGGGTATGTCTGCTTCCCCCTCTGAGTAGTTTCTGGCTACTGGGTTAGGACTCTCGCTGATGTTCTGTTCTGGTTGGTATTCCAGGAAAAATCCAGCCGCGACCTATGATTACCAGCAAAATTGCAATGGAAGACGTGGTGGAGAAGGGGTTCCGGGCCCTGATCCATGAAAAAGATCAGCATGTCAAGATCTTGGTTGATGTTTCTGCATGAACCAGGGCTTCCACTTTGGGGTTTCTTTCGGTTGCTTTGTTGACTTAGTCGGTTTCCTACTAAGTTTATTTGAGCGCATAATGATTTATGAGCAAGTCGTAAGAGTAGTATTTCAAGGTCATAAGGTGGCCCCACAGGTTTAGTCCTGGTGTCACTTCATTTGGAGTCTGAGTATTGGATGTCATAGGGCATTCTCAAACAAATGACCCGATGTAAGATCAGCTATTTTTACACCTGCGGATTACTAGAGTCAGCCTGGGTATTTTCTCACTCTATACGTATTTTAAAGATGCTATAGTCTCAGTAATTGCCAGATATCGACCAACCCCTTGATACTCGGTATACTCATCGGCGAGCACAATGAGGCCCAAGTCCAGAAATAGTTGTAATGTGGTCCGTGCCAGCCCCAACAATGCCATCTTTTTCTTTTCTTTTCATTTCCCTTGTTCTGGGACTTGTATGATTTTCATAGCATTTATGTATGATGACGAAGATCTCCAGACAGAGCAGAATGACAGCTCATCAAGGTGACAGGGTAAACCCTAAACCAAGGGCGTGGGTTGACGTGGGTTGATGTGTCTGACTCGGTCAAGAATTATTAGCTTGCTACCGATCGATCGACATGCGAGAGAGAAAGAGACTTGTACGATTGACGTCCCACCGAGAATCTCGCCCACCATTGAAATTCAGCAGCGTACACTTTTTCCCCCTTGACAGGACGATCCCTGCGAGCATTTCCCGTCCGCGGTCCCATGGAATGAGATGTATCTCGCCAGGCAAAGTGCCACGCATTCAGGCCGTAACTCTATCACAGCGTCGGGTCTGTTTTTCTCACACTAACGAAAGCACGTCTGTGTTCGCATCTGATTGATCCACTCGGTTTTCTGGAATGACAGGCCCCTTCAGCCGTGAGCTGAGACATGCTGGAACTGACACCGCTCATACCTGATCCATGGCAGGATTTTACTTATGAGGGTCCATTGGTCCCCGTGTGGCTGTAGCTGGGGGGTGGTTGGAATTATTGCTTTTTTTTTTTTTTGACACGGCGTCTGTATATACTCGCTCTTTGGCGGATTTCTTCTTTTAACGCTTAATACCTTTGTCTTTTGCCTTCTTTATTTCCCTCCCTATTACTATATCTGGGATTGAATATACCCAGCAATGCGATCCTGAGAATTTCCCACTCTCTGCGAGGGAAATCCTGCCTCTCTCGACACATACATACACACACACACACACACACAGCAACGCACGGGAAATGGGAACCCCACTGAATGGGACGGTGATTATCACAGGAGGAAACGGGTCCCTGGGCTCAGAAATAGCCGTGGCCATTGCGAAAAAGCAACCGTTTGCCCATCTGCTGCTGACAGCACGAAATGTCCGGGCCGAGGAGGTGCGCAACGTAACGAATCGGATCCGCCTCATCGGGCCCCGATCGGTCGAAGTCCTCACCCTCGACCTGACCGAGTCGAGATCCGTGCTGGGCTTTGCGAAAGATACCGTGGACCGCGTGCGCAACAGGGAGATTCCGCCGGTGGTCAACCTGATCCATTCGGCCGCCATTTCATCTTATGTCGTGGACGAGCCCACGCCCGATGGCTACGACCCGGTATATCAAACCAACTGCATTGGTCCGTTCTTGTTGACCCTGGGTCTGCTTGAGGCCTTCCGGGCCGGGGATGGCACCCCGAATGGAGGCGCAAAGGTGATCAATATCGGGTGCGCGGCTGCATCCTATGGGCGATTGGATTATTTTGATGACGATAACAACATTACCCGATCACCGGGGACACCTTTGAGTGTCAAAGAGGCACAGGTCCGCTATGCGAGTAGCAAACTATTAGCCAGTGCTGCGCTGTATGCGCTGCGAAGAAGCTTGGTGTGGGTGAGTTCTTCTTTTCTCCTTTCTCCTTTCTTTTCTTTTTTCTTTTGGTCCGCATCTCGATTGAAATGCAATCAATCAACCTGCCTTCCCTAGTATATCAAGGCCAAGGAGGTCGGCAGATATCCGAAGATCACCACGCTGACCATCTAATTTTAGACGGGTAACATCTCGCTTGACATCTTCACGTTGGATCCCGGGGGAATGACCGGCGGCAGGCACATGCGCACCGGGGCCCCCCTGTCGGTCAGAGTCGCACATCACACACGGTCGAGTCTTCGGCCATTTCTGCGCATGATGTCCCGAAGCTCAATGAACCGGGCCAGTGTTCCGGCCAAGGCGATCGCCAAGGTCGCATTCCAGAGTGATTTGGTGGAGAACTGGCGCAGAGAGCGGTACTATATCCTCGACAGCGAGTACGAGGCCGCATCTGTTCTGCCCATTCTGCGGGATGGCTCACTGATGGGGGCTTTGCTGGTGCAGTTGATGAAACAGGTAGACGTGGGATCCAAGATTCATAGTGATGGCTCGCCGAGGAGGACGCGCGCAAGCATGTACTAAAACAACCCTTGTAATTGCACTTCTTGAAAGTGAAAGTGAGAAATATCTTCGTGTCTGTAAAAATCAATCGCCACGGCCAATAGTCTCGTAGAGTCGTGCGTGTAGGCGAGAGTGTAGGTGTGGTTCAAATTGCTGAGCGGATGCCCGGGTTGGGAGGCAAAACACACAGAGTCTGGAACTCTCTCCCTTGACGTCTTTGCTTCTCTCCTTTATTTGTCTCGCGTGCTTTCCTGTCTCTTTGCTTTTTTTTCAATTCGTATGGTTTGACATTCCTTCATTGCTGCGCGCCACGTTCATCCATCGCCTTCATAGACTCGCCTTGAAAGTAGTGTGTTGATCCGGGGTTGCCGCGAGGCCTCCAGTGCGCCCTCCGATCCTTGTCCCCAACCCAATGCTGTGATCGGCCCAGACATGAATAGGCACGCCTTTCCTAAAGGCTACTCGGCCTATCGGGGACACAGTACTTTATCAATTTCGCCCAGCCTGTGAGTTTGAGGATGTTTCGTCAGGGATGGTGACTATTTTGCTTGGCAGGTCATGAAGAAAACTGGAGATTAACCCGAAGTGCTTGTTATGCCCAGGTTTCAGCCTCGCGTCCAGCCAGCCTTTCGACGTCGGCGGCAGCTCCTCCAACGACTATTCCTTCTCGCCGGAGTTTTGTTACTGCTCGTGATCTTGATTTTTCCCTCATGGCGCGCCGCAATCCTTCCCACCCTGTCCCTCGGTCTCCTTTCCTCCTCGGAGGACCTACAACTCCAGACGGTGCGGTACTATGATCTGTCGCAAGTGCAGGGGTCGGAGAAGGGATGGGAGCGTGGCGAGCGAGTACTCATGCTGACGCCGCTGCGTGATGCCTCTTCGCACCTCCACATGTTCTTCTCGCATCTTCGCAACTTGACCTACCCGCACAACCTCATCGACCTTGCGTTTCTGGTATCGGATTCACGCGATGACACTCTTGGCATGCTGTCGCGCATGCTCGAAGAGATCCAGAACGACGCGGACCCGAAAATGACCTTCGGAGAGATCTCGGTGATCCAGAAAGACTTTGGGCAGAAGGTGCAACAGGACGTGGAGAGCCGGCATGGATTCGAAGCACAAGCTAATCGGCGGAAGCTGATGGCTCAGGCCAGGAATTGGCTGCTGAGCGCAACACTGCGTCCGACCCACAGCTGGGTGTACTGGAGAGATGCGGACGTGGAAACCGCGCCATTTACGATCATTGAGGACCTAATGCGGCACGACAAGGATGTGACTGTCCCGAGTGAGTGTCGACTGGCGTCTTTTTTAACGATTGATCTATGCTGACCGAACGTTTAGATGTATGGCGACCGCTCCCGGACTGGCTCGGTGGAGAGCAGCCATATGATTTGAATTCGTGGCAGGAATCCGAAACCGCACTGGCTCTGGCAGACACTCTGGATGAAGATGCTGTGATCGTGGAAGGGTACGCCGAGTATGCAACGTGGCGCCCTCACCTTGCCTACCTGCGGGATCCCTACGGCGATCCAGATATGGAAATGGAGCTGGACGGAATCGGAGGGGTCAGCATCCTGGCCAAGGCTCGCGTTTTCCGCGCTGGCGTGCATTTCCCGGCGTTCAGTTTCGAGAAACATGCCGAGACCGAGGGGTTTGGAAAGGTAAGAAAGACCGGCATGTTCTTGTTGTTGATAACGGGCTAATTGTCCTCTAGATGGCCAAACGGATGAAATTCTCGGTCATTGGACTGCCACATTACACGATATGGCATCTCTACGAGCCTAGCGTCGACGACCTGCGCCACATGGAGGAGATGGAGATGGAGCGACAAGCTCTCCAACGAGAAGAAAAGGAGCGCGCCCAACAAAAAGAAAACGGCCAATCCAAGCCTCGGAATGCGGACCATGTGAAGGACGAATCTACCAAAAGCTCCGAAGACGGCCCGGCTGCTCAGCCTGCGAAAGATGCTGGCAAGGGAGCCTCCAATGGCAAGGACAATTAATAAAACCCATGGCCCCAAGTGATTCAAAGGAATGCAGGGCACTGTTTCAGAAACATCCAGCTGGCTGGATCTATTTTCTCTTCTGCATACAGGCGCTGGTCAGTTAAGCCATAGCCGTTCTACCGCATCCTAGTCCGGCAAAGCCTTGCAGTATGGGAGGGGCATCTCTATCGAGACTGTCTCTCTTCGAAGTCATACAGCTGACTTGATTTTCCTTTTTTTTCTCTTCCGTTATTTTGTGTATATTTTCCTTGTTATCTTTGGGTGTTTTCTCTTTTCCAGGATTCTCATGGTGTATTACAACATAGCATACAAGAAGGTGTGGTCGGGGAGCAAGTAATTCGGCTCTGAAAGAATTTAGATTGTGTTTCCTGCATGGATATCATTGTGCTCCTGCTACTGCATGTTCATTATTGTTTTTCTCTTAGGGTAGTCCACGTTGTCCACGGGTACTTGGAGAGTCGCTTAAGCGGTGGTCTGTGCCGAGTCGCGTCCCACGTCCGATCATCTCCCGCGCCTCAATCCACTTGGAATATTCCATGACCACCGTGGGAGACAAGAGCTAGTAGCCATGTCGACCCAAGAAGCGCAGAGCATTCTCCTCACGCATAGCCATCCACAGCAAAGCTTCCGGCTGCTGGAGCTGTCTCCAGAGCTAGAGCAGCTACTGTCTTCCAAGGATGCACCCGCGTAAGTTGACCGTGTCTAGCATGACACGTCTGGACTGAACCCTACAAAAACTGCGCATTTGCAATTCATTGCCTATATGCTGTTCCAATATTCAGAGAGCAGTTCCCGCATTTGTTCGTCGGTTCCACTAACACCACCAGCTTCGAGCTCAAATCCCCCTCGGCCGCTCTCGCCCAAGCCGTAGCCGACCCCAGCGCCCCGGAATACGTCAACCTCTGCACCCAGACGCAGACCTACCGCATTCTCCAGGTGCAGTCCTCGAACTCGATCCACATGCTGCAGCCAAGTCTCGGCCACATCTCCAGGGCCGACATCAAGGTCGTCGAAGAAGAGGCCGGCGAGACCGGCGCGCTGAATCTCCCCGACAAGGCCATGACGACGATTGCAAAATGCGCATCGACGCTGGGGCTGCATACCCCGTCGGGAGGGTTCTCGGCTATCCCGTTCTTAGAGAAGAGTCTGCGGCTGTATGATCGGCGCAGCGACGACGACGATGCTGACGATGGGGATGTTGCTATGGGCGATACTTCTTGCGGGGGTCAGATGGGGTTATTGGAGGTGCAGAGGTTGAGGGAGGGGGTTTGTGCTGATATCCCTGTGTCTACGGCACAGTGTGAAGATGGTTGGACGGAGCTCTGTGCGTTTGTGCACAGGGAGCAGGACGAGGTCGCATGCTGTCGGCCCTCGGCACGGACTCGCTTGAATGTGTGGAAGCGTATGGTCGAGGGCGCGATCCTGCAGGGTATCGATCTGGAGAAACAGTTTCTGGTTGGCGATCTGTGGAAGTCTGTTCTGGATGACGATGATACTTCGGCGCTCCCGTTTCCTCGGAATTTACTTGAGGCTGTGGTTAGGAGACTTTGTGCGTTGGATCAGCGGCCGCCGCTGGCAGATGAGATGAAATGTGAGTTGAAAGCAATGGAGTACACTGCAGGCCTAGATACAAACTCTGGGTTGCTTGAGCTAACGGCTCTATTTGCTTTATTAGGGGCAAGTTTTGACAAACTCGACTGCACACGATGGGTGGGCGAGACGTACTTGGCGGCTACAGCTCCTACACCGTCGTCCGCCATTGGACGAAATGAATTTCTTCGCGCGTGGAAGGACTGCCTGCCCGAGTCGTGGAGGGGAGAGGCCGCTCTATCCAAGCTAACAGTGAGTCGACGCTCTCCCTGCCCTTGTTCTCTGGTCAATTGCTAATTCGGTTACAGGATGGTGCATACAAGAGCCCTGATCCCACAGCAATACACTTTGTTGAAGCCTCGCAGCGACAACAGACAAGCAAAGCCGCATCCGCTGGATCTACTACGGCTAGCAATGCCAAGGTTACCAGGAATTGGCACGAGTTGCTCAAAAGCCGGCGCTGAGCGCAAGATTGCTGTGCTGTTGATGGAGTGATCCATTCTATGATGCCGGGCATATCTAGGAACATCGTCACGTCTGCCGCCAAGCCGCCTTGATCGCCACTTGCTTATATAGTGGGATAAATCGGAGAAGCAAACCCGGGAAACAAAAGAGAAGAAAGAGTGAAAACAAAAGTTTCGACAAGGGTTCGGTGGTCAGCACCAGGTATACTTCTCATTCAAAAGCCACTCCACATCCTTGCCCAGTCCTTGTTCGGCGCCTGTCCACCGCAAACTGGAAATGCTGCTCTTCTCTCGGTGCACGACCTGGGCTACGGGATCCAGCAAAGCCACTGCCTTTTGCAGCAGAGGACTTGGGTTCCAGAACTCGACCTTGCTCATGTTCCAGTCGCGCGCCTGCAGCTGGGCTCGCCGCAGAATTGCCGCCATGGCGTGGATGGTGGTCTGCTCTTGTTCTGGCGACGTGGGATCATCGTACACCCATCGCAGAATGTAGAGCACATTGTCTTCGGGGGTCTCGCCAAAATTCCGGGTCCACGCGCAGTATACACGGGCCTTATCGTTCCCGGCACCCTTGATCACAGGCGGATCGCGTTGCGAAAACAGCTTCTGGGCATAAAACTCCTCGCGGGCCCAGTGCCACACATAATGGTCGAAGTCGGGCAAGATGGCGATTTTGGCTCCGGGCGACTGTTGCGAGGCCACGCGCATCCGCTCGCGCAGCTTTGTGAGAACCTGGTCATTGCACAGGCGGCTCTGAACATCTTCGGCAAACAGATCCCTCGCCTCCGAGTCGCATGCTACACCATCTGGCTCTCCATCTTTGAAATTGGGCAGCAAAGACATGTGCGAAGACAAGAACGGCCGCCACCCGAATTGAGCATAAAACGACCTCCCGATATCCGAGAAGAGAACAGAGAAAAGTGAGCGACCCCGACTCTCCTTCTCCATCTGCCACGTATCGAGCTTGCAACTCAGCTCCTCGAGCATGCGCTTCGCATACCCTTTCCCGCGAAACTCCGGCCGGCAGTACACACTGCCCACGCCGTGCGTGCCGACATCCTCGACCTTCCCGTCATACGCCAGCAGCGCTTTCTTGCGGTACGACTCACAGGAGCTGTAGATGGTGCGCTCGCCCTCGGGCTCGGTCCGGTCGACTAGGATCCAGCAGGTGAGCCCGTCGCGGGTGAGGCGCTGCTGGAAGAGGTGGTTCTCGCGCGCAATGTATGTTTCAACGTCCAGTGGTCCCTTCCATGCGATGCTGTTCAGCTTGATTGAGGCGATGCGCTCGGCGGGCGTCGCGGGCACCAGGACTAGGCCTGGCGAGTCCCCTGCTGGGAGGGCGGTAATGTCTGCGGCGATCATAGCTATGCTTGTATTGGAGATGATAGATGCGTTGTAGAATTGGTCGTGTTTTCCTTCCGTTTTTCCCCAGGACAATTAGGACCACAAGTAGTTGAAAGCCAGTGGGTTCCTCTCCACAATTCACAGCGGACTCGAGTCCGCAGGCCCACGACTTATATAGAGTGTATCCACAGTCGATCGAACACGGGAAGGGAATGAGTCACAGTCCCCGCAATGAACTAGAAAAAAATAGAAAGAGAGAAGAGAGAAGAGAGAACAGAGAACAGAAAATCCGGGGTCAAAAGAACATCCAAGAGTGGACCACGGCACCGAAAGAAGGCTTCCTTCCCTAGCTATTTATCTACGGGACGGGGATCCGCCATGATCTAATTGTCCCGACTCTTTCTCTGTTTGTCACACGAGCCTTTCCGACGCTATCCTGTAGCCCTTTTTCACCTATCTTCCTTTCTCGCCTTTTCTCTCTCCGCACTCTCTTTTTCTCTCTCCTTGCATTCCGCCCCGCCATCCGGGCCGGAGAGGTGGGGTGAGAGAGAAAGAGGGGTGCGTAGGCTATCCGTGTTTCTCTTTGTCACCGGCCCGCGGACAAGCGAGGACAAGCGCCGAAGGGGGTTGCATTTGACGTCAGGTCTTGGCTGACTTATGACCTAGATTTTGGAGGGTATAGGGTGACATATTTTATTTTTTATTTTTTGGGGAGTTCATAGGGTATGTTTCTTTGGATATATAAGTATGTATATAAAAAGAGAGATACATGGAAGATTATTCTCATGTCGAAGATCGGAAATAGGGTGGAATATAGTATAGTCTTGTGTCAGCCTATCTAGACCGGGATGTATTACTGTGATAGTAAGACCGGCTAATCGCTGCTACGATTAATATTAGTACTTTTTATTGTACTGGGGAAACAGATCGCGTTTGAAGCAGACATTGAAGATAGAAAAGCTAGAAGCTAGAACAGGGGGAGGGGGTGAATCATGACTATACAAAGCAAAGGACTGAACTAGTGAACTAGGGATTGCACTCTAGGCTGGGTTCATTCGAATATACAACCCTACTTGAGTATGTCCTTGGACGCTGACATTTTCTGGGACTTGACTACGGATTTTGAATCAGATTAGATCTGACAGTGCTGAACTTTAAGATAGGCTGTGGATCTATAGCAATGGTCTTAAAAGGGTAGAGATGTATAGTATTTGGTCAAGTAGTTTAGATATTTGCGAGTATGATTCTATATACTCTGCTTGTCAAAATACCAATCTATACTTTCTAAAAACTTGCTATATTAGTAGGGTGGGGGAGGTGGATAAGAAGGATGAGAAGGATGAAGAGAATAAGACAAAGTAACTAACTAATTGATCGCAATGGGATTATTCAGCACAGTAGAAGTATAAAGTAAATGTTCTCAATATTTAACACGAGAAAATAACCGCAAGAATATACTCGTGTGGTATATATGGCCGAGAATATCATATAGCCCTGGAGGGCATGTCTCGCTGACCGTAATAGACTCTGTCAAAAGCAGACATTCATATATGACAGTTTTATGCCTCTCTGTCTTCCACAGGTTGATTCCCCTACTGGTCGATTACCACTGGCCATTACAGCACGATTTACACATTACACGTTTCAACCCGGGAAGCCTGTTTTCCATCAGCTCGGGGCGCCGAGCATTAATCATGGGACGCAGAAAGGTCAATAAACAAGAAAATGCGAGGAAAAAGAAAGACAGAACGAAAGGACAGCAAACAACACCACAGAGACCAGACAACAGAAACCCACCGCACAATGCAAGGTCATTACGGGGTCCTTCAACACGCCAGTCGAGAAGTTCCTCCCAAGTCCAAAAAGACGAGAATAGGAAAATCAAGACAAAGGAGAAGGGCAGAAAAAGAAAAGAAAAAGAATGAAAGAAACACAGGCACGAATGAAAAATGGAAATGAAATGAGAGAACGAGACGACATTTGGGAACTAGTTGCTAGATAGTTGAATTTGGCTAGAAAAAAAGAAGAGAGATCATGTAGTCCGGGAGAGCAACAAAGGAGACGAGAATGAAATACAGAAAAAGGGGGGAAAGAGATGGTATGAAAATAAGAGGCCGGACCGCAGCAAAAGGATCAGCGAGGAGAGAGGCAAAAACGGGATCAGCACAAGATGCAAAAGAGGAAGGGAGGAAAGAAGGGGAAAAGAGACAAGGAGCGTCGTGAAGGAGAAGCGTGGGGGAAGGTAAAAAAAGGAAAGATATGAACCTGATCTATGTAAGTAAAAAAATGCCATGCGAGTCCCAAAAATCGTCCGCTCCCCGTTTTATATAGTTGCGCCACTTCTTGCGGACGGCAGTTTCCTTAATTCCCTCGTCCATCATGTATGTTCGATCATTGGTCACGCTAAATCAAAAGATGAGACAGAAATGGGTGTGGACAAAAAAAAAAAAAAAGAAAAAGGAGAAAAGAGGTGGAAAAGGAAAGGGATCAAAGATGAAAAAAAGGAAACCAACAAATCCCCGGCTGAAACAAATAAACAGGGACACATTCAAGTTCAGGGTGGCTGTTCTGAGTCCACCGGTTCGTTAAATTTCTGCCGTGCCTCTTCCACCCACAACTCCAACCGCAGCTCCCCGGCTTCCACACGTCGTACCGGTACCGTCTTGGCACGACCATTCGATACCCGGGGGGCGGCTGCTGCGGCTCACCATTGCGCAATTTTGACACGGAGAAGGGTGCGGTGCAGGATCGTAGGTGCACCTTGCCCGGCTCGGCCACGATCCAGGTCTGTTCTTCTTTGGTGGTGCCTGCGGGTGGCAGGGCATCCTCGCGTACTTCGATGCACACGGTGAAGCTAAACTCGTCATCCCGTGGCAAGGGGGTTAGGCGGGCACAGGCAGAGGCCAGACGCGCCAGGCAGGCCCGGAATTGGGCCTCAAGGTCGACCGAGGTTGGCGCGGGGCCCCGGTCTGAGACGGGGGCACCTGGCACAGATGAATCTTCATCTCGGTCTTCAAATGTAGTATTCACCTCTCCCGCGGGAGCACGAGGGAAGCCCGACAGATCAAAGGCATATCGCTCCAGAGGCTGATTTGTGCGAAGGGATGAGATGATGATACTGACTGCGGTGATTGTGCCTTTTAAGATCTCTGTCCCGACCGCGATCGATGCATCGTTAATGTAGTCGCACACCTTGGGGTGACGGGATTGTCGGACGGGATAGTTATACGCCCGGACGGGAAGGAAAGTTGCGCGGGGGTAGACGGAGCGCAGAAAGAGTATTTGGTGGACGGACACGGTAAGGAAGCTGGTGAATGAAGCCGCCAGCGCCGACTGGTTGGTGGGCAGCGATCTGGTAGCAGGCACCGGAGCGGAAAAAGTGGTCATGGTGGTGGTACTACTGCTCTCACTGGCAATCGGCATTGCCGTCGACCGATCTAGCGTCGTTTCCACGGGAAGGGTGATTTTGACGGAGTCTCGAAGAATCTGAATGATGTTCCACCCTGAAGCTAATCATCGCTCTGCCTTTCTAAACCATCGGTCAACGCTGAGTGTCTTTTTGCTTTTTTTGGGGGGTGGTGGTGATGTTTTTTTTTTTTAGGTTGTTCGGTTCAAGTTTTTTCCCGATTTCCGGTCAACAACACGGGTCGGAATGAGAAGTGAGGGAAGGGGCTGAGATGGCGAAAATAAGTAGCACCAAGGCAGAGCTTCTTAAAAGAAACCATCCAGCAAATTTAGAGTGGAATGGGCAACCGATGGGTAGGTGATGGGGGAGAGAGGGAGGGGAGGAGGGGGGTTGCAGGAGATCCGAGACGTACGCTTGGGTGGACAAAACGCAAAAGAAGCAAACCTCAAAGCATGAGGGATGGACGAAGTCGAATAAATGAAATCCCGATCCAGATGAAAAAGAGTGATCACTGGATATAAATATCTTTATCTTTTTCTTTTTTTGGTTGTTCAAGATTTGGGGGATTTTTTCCCCAGGTATTTTTTAGGGTGGGAAGACACGAAGAGGGGAAGCGAAGGGAAGGAGGGGCGAGAGACGGAAACCCTTTTGACGGGGGGGCGTCGGTCGGGAAAAGGCAGAAATGGGTCGAGGACAAGGCGAAGATGTCCAGTCGAAGAGTGGACGGTAAGATGGCGATGAATCGATGGAAGATTCACGATGTACCTGAGTCCCTCGCTCGAGGGGAAAAGCAGGAGAAGGCGGACTAAGGTAAGTTGGTAAAAGGTCACGGTAGCCGTCACGTGGTTGCGTCATGGGTTGGGATGCCCTGCAGAACCATGTATATGTGAGATCTTTCTATTTTTCTCTATTCTCTCTTCTCTATTCTCTATTCTCTCTTCTATTTAATAATATTCTCTATTGGTATTAATAGATCTCTATATATAAAAAATACTTTTATCCTCTTTGTTTTTGACAACTCGATATCTCTTCCCGGTGGTATACTCTAAGGGAAAAATCGAAAATATAAATACTCATCAAGAAAAAAAAAGCACTAAAAAAATTACAAAGTTTCCAGGGTACATCCATGGCCACCGCACAGTGTTGCGCCCTTCACTTTTTTTTTCTTCCCCACCGAATTAGTGAGGTGGGATAGACGGCGATCATCGCAGCCAAGCGAAAGTGTACTAACCCACACTATAGCAGAACTACCGGAGGAAAAAGGAATAAAAAGGGGAAAAGAAAAAAAGAAAAAAAAAAAAAAAGAACACCCATGGAAGCACAGTGCCGAACCAGCGGGAAAGAGCCGAGCAGAATTGATATTAATTGATCTTATTCGACCCTGGTACCCTGTTGGGCTGTGGATATTGCAATTCCATAAGGGAATCCCAACTTATCCTTCCTAATATCAATGTTATTTTGAATCTTCTCTGTATTATATACTCTAACATCTTAACATCTATGATCTACGGATCTATGGATCTAAGTTATAATCATTAGTTACTATACGATAGCCAAAATACCCGGAGTATTGTATCAGTGGGGTATCGGGTACCACAACCGTATGTCTTTACCGATGATCTTCCAAGTCTGACGGCAGTGGCGGCAGGACGAGGATGAGATTCTCCCGGGGAGAAATGAGCTTCTGCTCCGATTGAGTTGGCGTTGCAGGGAATTGTTATTTCCCTGACAACTGCACTTGACACACAATCCCTGGGCGATATTTGACGTGCCGATTATCAATCCTTTTCCATCTGTTTCTACTTCAACGCCACCTCCAATGATCTTCACCTGATCCTTTCGATGATCAGTAGAAAGAGAGGGTCATTCTGACGTTCTGAAATCCTCAGGACCCACGATCCTCCCCCGGCTATATTCGCCGGGCTCTGTGGGAATGCGTGAGATTCAATCCCGTCTATTTGTGTTACGTTCTCTCCGCGGCATTTGTCTCAACGCACTGTTCTCTGTAGATGACACCGAGTCGATCTGGTGGAACTTGATCCTTCCGAACAATCACGGCCCAATGAATATTACCTGGGACTCAATCCAGTGTAGCTCTGACCGGCTAAGGATCCCTCCACACAGACACTGACACATACAGGCCATAACGTGTCAGATTACCTGTGTCCCGACGGAGGGAATCCAGCTGACCAGGGACTTGGATCTCCCTTGACTCCTATAGTTAGATCTGTCATACCGAACAAGACCGTAAGATGAGGCTCATTGCACCCGAGTTTCAAAATAAACTATCACGATCCCCGGACGCGATTGGATAAGGCGAAAAGGTGGGATTGTAGTCTAAATCATCAGTCCCGAGTTTTGAATCCCGGTCTGACTGCAGACTGCCGAGAGATGCCATCAGCAAGGAGCCGTCGATATAAAAATTCGTCATTTCTGGGGTCCTGGGTCCTGAATTGCCCTCCCTACGCAGGAAATAGATTTGAGTGCATACCGCTAGTCTCCCTCACAGATGCACTCACTTGGCGCCGATCAAGCTGATCAGCCTGGTTGCGCCCTTGAAAGAATAAGATACCTGAGGCAGACATGAACCGGCAACTCCTCGAAGAGATCTGAGTAGTGTTATTGTGTCCAGGAAGGGTGTATTGCAAGGAATACAAGCACCAAGAAGAGTCTTGAAGGGAAAAAGAAAAATAAACACGGCGGTGGGGACGTAAATTGAATTGACCGCCTTAGCCCCTCCTCTCCACGCGCGACTCTCCTTATCTGCCGCGTCTCAACTTTGGCCGCGAGCCACTTGCTCCTTTGGTTTATTCTTAATCAATTCCCTTTTCTCCTGTGATCAATTGATCAATTGATTCCTCCATTCATCATGGAGCAAGAGCTCCTGTCGCTCTTGGCAGACACCCAGTCGCCCCGCGCCGATACTAGAAAAGCCGCGGAGCTTCAACTAGGACAGCTCTATTCCAACGAGTCCTTCCCTGTCTCCCTCACAGCCATTGCCTCCCATGAATCTGTACCCGTGAATCTCCGCCAGTCCGCCCTGTCAGTGCTGCGTACTTTTATCGGTGCCGCCTGGTCCCCCATTCTCGATGATTTCAAGGGCCAAATCCTCGTCGCCGACGCGAACAAGGCACACATCCGTTGCGCATTGCTTGAACTCGCAACCACCGCCGAGACCCCCGAGCGCAAGGTGAAAGCCTCGGCTAGTTACGCTGTGAGCAAAGTCGCCAGTGCTGACTTTCCCGATGACTGGCCCGAGCTGCTCCCCTCACTCCTACACATCATCAATGATGCTGGCAGCAGTGATGGCGCATTGCACGGCGCGCTCAAGGTTCTTTTGGACCTCGTTGATACCGGATTCAGCGAGGAGCAGTTCTTCAACATCGCTCGTGACCTCGTCTCGTCCCTCTTCACTGTGGCCACGTCCGAGACCCGACGACCGATCCTGCGGGCTTTGGCCGTCACCGTCTTCCGATCCTGTTTTGATACACTGGAAATGGTTCTGGAAGAACACAAGGTTGCCATCAAGCAATTCATGGATGAGGTGCTGAGTGGATGGTCGCCGTTCTTTGACGCGACCTTGAAGGCGCCTCTGCCCCAAACCCCCGGCGAGGAAGAAGCAAATAAGGAAGGCGAGATTGCATCACAGTGGCGTGGAATCATTGGCTTGAAAATCCAAATTGTCAAGGTACGGCCCAAGTCATCCTTCTATGAGATCTTTACTCACGCAATCTTGTCGCCGATAGACCCTGATGAAAATTCGCATGGTATTCCCCGCCCTTCTCACAGCCCAGAGCCCGCTCTTCTTTTCGACTGTTTGGGCAGAGCTTACCAACGCGTTGCCCATTTATCAAAACTTCTACATTGAGGATGAGAGGCAGGGTCGCTTGGAAGATACGGACGGACTGCCATACTCTCTTGATTTCTTGGTTCTCGAGGAGTTGGATCTCATCCAAACACTGATCAAGGCACCTCCCGTGAAAGCGGAGTTGCAGCAGCAACTTCAAAATGCCGGCGCGGCTGCAAGCTCATCCAGCTGGCTCCCGGAGATCATGAAGCTCGCCAGTTCTTACGCGCAAATCACCACAGAAGAGGAGGGCCTGTGGGAGATGGACGTGAATCTCTTCTTATCAGAGGAGACCTCGGTCACGGCCAATTACACCCCTCGGGCATGCAGCGGGGATCTGGTCACCAAAACCGGCGAGTGGTTGAAGAACACTGCAGTTGAAGGGCTGCTGGCTTACATGAACACCCTTTTCGCTGATTCTTCCTCTTCGTACGTCATGAATATCTGCCCAGTGGTTGCCAATAACCTCAACTAATGATCTAATTTACATAGATGGAAACTTCGCGAGGGGGCTCTGTACGTTCTGAGCACATTGCTTCGAGACTTGGGCGAAGTGTCTCAGCAGATCTCTCCCGAGCTCGCCAGTCACTTCAACCAATTCGTGCATTTTGCGACCCAGCAGGAACAGGAGCTCTTGCGCGCACGAGGCTACCTCGTGGCTGGGGCTTTGGCTCAGGTGGCGGGTGATGACTTCCAGCAAACGACATCTTCTTACTTGGAAGCTACTCTGAAGGCCATTGCCGAGGATCCTGCCGAGGTGGTCAAGGTGGCCTGTATTCGGGTTTTGCAGGACCTGGTTCCTTCTTTACCAACTTCTGTGTCCCGTCCCTTCCAGGTGCCCGTCATCTCAGCCATTTCAGAATTCGTCTCTGCGCATGACCTGCGCGAACAGTCTGATTGTGATGATCTTAAGGTCACATTGGCGGAAACACTTCGAGACACTATCATGGCGGAGCCGACAGTGGTTCTCTCGTCCATTGCTATCGACGTGCTCTTCAGTATCGCTAGCAGCGGAGCCGAGAACTTCCAGCTAACCATGACCGTCACTGAGGCCTTTGAGGACATCGTGGAGCAGATCTCTGATGGTAGCCCTGACGCGTACATGCGGCTTTGTGAGAAAGTACTGCCCTCGCTGATGGGCGCAATGGACGTGGGCAACCTCACTCAAGAGAACGCTTTGACCAACTTTGCTGCTGATCTTCTCCGAGCTCTGGCCGAGCGAAGTTCCGAGCCGATGCCTGCCGGGTTTGTTGAGACGGTGATGCCCAAGGTAAACCGGCTACTGCTCAACTCGACCGAGGCTGAGCTGATCCGACCCGCAACGGAAGCTGTGCGTCACATGCTCTCGCATGACTTTGCCCAGTTTGCGGCGTGGCGGGATCCGCAGTCCGGGAAAGAGGCGCTCGAGGTCGTGCTGGTAATCATCGACCGTCTGCTGGGGCCGGCCGTGGATGACAATGCTGCGACCGAAGTCGGGCAGCTGGCGGCAGAGTTGGTGGAGCGGGCCGGCTCAGAGCGCCTGGGACCTTACCTGCCGCAGCTTCTGCAGGCAGTGGCTCAGCGGTTGGCGACGGCACAACAAGCCCAATTCATCCAGAGCCTCATCTTGGTCTTTGCACGGCTCACGCTGATTAGCGCGCGCGAAGTCGTCGACTTCTTAGCTCAAGTGAACCTGGGTGGACAAAGCGGACTCACGGTGGTGCTGAGCAAGTGGCTGGAGAACTCGGTCAACTTTGCGGGCTACGACGAGATCAAGCAGAACATCTTCGCGCTGGCTAGGCTGTACGAGTTGGCCGACCCCCGGCTGGCCGAGGTGCCAGTCAAAGGCGACCTCATCATCCAGGACACGGGTCGCATCAAGACACGGTCGCAAGCACGCTCTAATCCGGACCGCTACACGACGGTGCCGGCGCCCCTGAAGATCGTCAAGGTGCTCGTCGAGGAACTGGCTGCGGCTTCGGGCAGCAAGGAGATCGACGCGGCCACGGCGGCGGCCCTGGACGATGCCGGTAGCGACGATGGCGATGACGACTGGGAGGATGTGCCGGGCCAGACGCTGGATTTGGGCCTTGGCGTCACCAAACAGGCGCTGATGAGCTTCGGCGAGGGCGGGTCTGAGGGTGTGTTTGGAGTGCGGCGACGGGATGACGGAACCCAGGCCTTCCTTGCCGACTTCTTCCGCCAGGTGTCCACACGGCCGGGATTCGAGGAGCTGTTTGCCGCGCTGACTGCAGACGAGCAGGCCAAGCTCCAGAGCTTGGGGTGAGGCGCGAGTGGGACAAGCTAGGCTTGTTGCTATGAGTATCCCAACAATATGAGAGACTACCCTAAAATGAGCATCTCTTTTTGAGTGAATTTTCTTGCAAGCCACATTATGGACTGGTTCAGTATATCCCGTCCATCCTTTAGGCCACAAAAATCCTAGAAAGGAACCACAGATCCTCCGTCTTGATATGTATATTTGCCTGCATTATTCTGGATTAGTCCACGGAACAAGAAATCAAATAAAATAATTTATAGTGTGGGTTTGTTTACTTTATAATAACAATCACAAGAAAAATAAATAAATAAACAGGTAATAGGAGGAAAACTGCTTCTTCCGTGAATCAGGTTAAAGATCCGAGGATCCAAGTTCCAATACGCTCTGAGTAATCCAACCTTCGCCCGTGTGGTCTAGTGGTATGATTCTCGCTTGTGAGTTCACCCGTGAATCTGTTACACTGTAATAATACCAATACTAACCTTCTGTCAGTGGGTACAACTAATATCTAAATTGCGAGAGGCCCCGCGTTCGAATCGCGGCACGGGCCTTGACCCTTCTTTTTTTATTTTTATTTTTTTTTATCATTTCTATTCTATTTCTATTCTGATGTATTGGGGCAATCGACTATATCCGTGGATTCACAGATTCGGATCCCGCTAGCCTGGGCAGGTTGTTTAGAGAGGAATAAAGTGCATAGTTGCGGCAATTCGAAGTATTGCTTGTTTTGTGGCGGGGCCGATGAGGTCGCAGTATCACGCTCACCACACTTGCTTTAACATCGACAGAAAGCCAACCGAAGCTTGAGACAAACCGCTGCCTCACCCTCGTCGCCACAAGCAAGAATTCACCCCTCATTCAATTCTCTACCTGGTAATTGCGCTATTGATGCATCTACAATCCAATCTCCAAATACCAGTGTAACTGACAGTGCTTCGCCCTTTCTAGCATGCATATCTGGCAATGTCTGCTTCATTGGAGAAGCCAAGCTCTCTGGCTACTCGTCTTCGGGCGATTAGGTTTTGCGGTCATGGAAAAGGTTTCTATGCTTCTGCTTCACACAGCTGCTAGCTCCGATTCACCGAAATCCTCGGCGTCCTGTGTGATTGAGTTCAACACACCTGCCATTCAAAATCTCAAGAAGCAACAGCGTTCCTCCCAAAAAAATGATCCGCCGTGTCCTCGAAGAACTGGTGACACTGATTCGGTATCACAACCCCGATATTCCGGGAACGGCATACATCATCAATCCTCGTGAAGAATACCTCGGATCTCTTGATATCGATGACGCTCTCCCGAGAAACACAGTACTCTTGAACAACCCAGAGGACCTTGTTCGATACCTCGGCTCTCAACTTCCACCTCGATAGGCGATACTGGGGAATCTTTTGCCAAATCGGATTTCCTTCATAATCACCGCTTTGCGAAGGAACCAGAAGGGAACAGCGGTCTCGAGATGTCAGAGATCAGCACAGCAGCAAGTACTGAGATAGAGGAGAAGTTTATTCCGCCTTTTTATGTGGAGTATAGCGTGATGAAAAGGGTATTCGCGGTTGCGTGGAACTAACCCAGGGGAAAAGTCCACCACTTCTTGGAGTTCATAGCGGGGCAGAAATGCATTACGCTATTTTATTTGGAATGGGGTCTTTGACGACACTATAAAGAAAGCGAATACAGTAATCCATAGGTACTTTGTTCACGACATGAAGTTGTAGTGGTCATTTACCAGCGCGTATCAATGTCTGACTGGTAGCATCTATAGATACTAACAATGATTGGCAATCTAAAATAATGCACTTCGAACAGAATAAGAGTTATGTTAGTAGTAACTGGTGTTCGGGGGGAGCCCCTCCTTTTGGTCCTGCTCCTAATTGCGATACCAGGACCAAGCATGAGCGGGGATGAGACAAAAGATAAACCCACCAGTTTTCTTCCAAAGCTTCGAAGAATCTCCATCTCAGTTGAGCAGCACTGAAGATCTTGAAATCCCGTCTGGCTGTCCAACAGTTCCTTGGAGGAAAAGTAGTTGCGCCATCAAAGTCAATCAAAACCACTCTTTCTGGGTTCCCAGGTACAATAAGGATATTGCGAGAATATATGTCATTGTGAAGAACCAATGCATCGTGGACACGGGCTAATGCATCAATAGCTACGGAGAAACGCTCTGGCGAATAGTTGACGCAGTTGAGCAGCTCGGGATCGACCAAATATTCTAGAAAAATGCCGCTAGGATAAAATTTGTCTTGAGGACACTCTTCAGCCATGGCTGGTGATGTGATGGATCGAGTCGGTCAATAGAACCATAGTATTTTGGGACCAGGCCGCTGTCACATACCCCGAACCTATCAAGATTCCTGTAGGCGGTGGTTTCGTTTCGAAAGCGGTTCATATTGCAGCCATCCTCGGTGTAGCCCGGGTCGCCATTGTCATGAAACTAATCTATTGGCCGTTTCCCTGATGACGGGTCAAGTTACCCTATCTGTTTGCTTACCACTTTAAAGCATAGCGGTCGATTGCGATCTCGATCTCAAAGATTGACGATGCCTCTGAGCGCCGGACTTCTCTTTGAAAGAGTATAGAAGCTGGATCTGGGTTGAGAAATGGCGTCGTCGTAGTTCTGTAGCTCGAAGAGAAAATATTTAGGAACGGAGCGTTACTAGAGTTGCGGGATTCAAATCAACACATCGGACTCTCAGGTCGGGTCAATTATTCTGCGATTCCAAATCAAAGGGGATAGTTTATTAAAAGCCTTCAATTCAAAAGGTGGAGGTGGATTTAATTTCTTTCGTTAAAACCCTGGTTTATCTTCAGCATTAATATGCAACATATCACCTGTAATGCCTCAATAGGAACAGTCACAAATTTTTAAAACAGAGCGTTGGTTCAACGATAACGTATGCTTTATATGGGGGTTCCCCCTTCCTTGGACATTTTCCTCCTATCATAATATAGCAATTTTTAAGCTCTCGATTAACTAGTCCCTTTCTTCGCCATATAAAATATAGGCCCAGGTATCTACTAGAAGGTAGATATGTAGAATTTCCATTATTAAACGTAGATCTTATCTATTAAATTAATAAACATCTCATCTATAGGTATTTGCCGCTTAACTAGAAGTCGACAATCGTATTCATACATATATACTTTAGCCACGTCATTTAACATACTGAAGCGCTTGACTAACCAGTCTTACACGATGGAATTAGGCTGGCGCTTATTCAACCCTTCTGTCTAAATTCCCTATACGCAGATAGGCTGTGCTCAATACGCTGGAGCTCTTTATAGACAAACAAAAGCGTTGTACTAATACCTGGCGACTTACACTTAACCGCCCTCCTGTCTCCTTGCTACCCAACTTCGTTCCCTGTTGCTATTTTTGGTGCGGTAGATATGAGAGGTGCTCTTATACAAACGATTGTACCAGCACCTGGCGGCTTGCACTCAACCACCATCCTGCGTCCTTGTTACCAAATTTACCGAAGTTCCCTGTTTCTATTTTCGGCGTGGTGGATTGTTGTCTACATCACTCGGTTGCCGCATCCATTACCCTAAGGTTAGCAATTGCCCCGGGCCAGTTGTGGGGGTGCTGGAATTTGTGGGGCCGCTTATGCTGTACCCCTGATCCGTACCTTTTGGCCCCTTTTAGCTCATGGATATCAGCCTCTAGCAACTAACCTACCCTATAAGGCTTAGGTTATCCGTTGGGGTAGGGGCTTTTTGCAGCAGATATGCAAAAGTCGCTACTTGACCTAGCCCAAGAGCGTAAAGATTTGCTAGTCGAGATCGCGTCCTAGAACAATTTCGTTTCTTAAGCTAGTGATTAGCCCTGGGGGCTATACACTGTCACTTGAAATTTCGCGGATATATAAAGGACCTTATAGTTCCCCTTGATTGAATTGTCCATTTTCATTATCTCTCCTTATTCCACTTCCAGTCTCTTCGTTTGAACCAATCTCACAATGCGTGGCCTTACTCTCTTCCTTGCTCTAATTCCCTCGCTAGCAGTGGCCGACTGGACAATCACTTGGTACAGCGACGAGGGCTGCAAGAATGGTATTGGTCATATTGCACAGAAGGATGGCACTAAGGACGGTGGATCATTCGACTCCGGAGTCGGGTCCTTTATTGCTGAATGGGACGACGGAGCCGATATCTTCGTGGTCTCAGCGGATGGTGGGCAAGCCGGTGGTCTTCCAAGCCATGACATGTCTGGAAAATGCAAGAAAAAGGGTGACATTTCAGGATGGGGATTTGAACCCAAATAGAGGTAAGCCTGTTTCTCACCCAACACACCCGAAGGCAAGGCCGTGTCTTATTTTATTTTGTTTTCCCTTATAGCTGTCTTATTTGACCTGAGGCGTCCTGTGATACAGCTGTCCCCGATCTGATGAATTTCCGGGCTGGTCTATACTGCAAGGACCCAAGCAGGACTGGGGGCCAAACTACTGCCGCTTGCACCGTTTATCTGTTGGATAGTATTTGGTTCTTTCCTCTTACTTTCTATGACTTCGGGTTTGAGGGATCCATTAAGGGAACGTTTTTGCCATGACTGGTAATACGTCTTTTGGCAATCGTATGGTCTTATGATGGAAAGCCTTGATGTCATATAATCTTGTTGTCTTGAAGAATTTGAAGTCTGCAATCTAACTTCCCTTCTCCAAGACCCAGTTGGCATATGTAAAGCTCGTTGTAACAAGTATTCAATGAAATCTTCTATTAAGCGTCTAGCAATGGGTGCTTAACCCGAGTATCGGGTTTTAGTATCTCAATAACCGGGTTATAACGAGGGGGCCGAAAATGCCAAGAGGGGTCGGCCTCCTTCAGCTGGCTTAGTCTATTAATAACGAAAGGAATCCTGAGGTCGGCTCGGAGAGTGCCAACTATCCGGATCGAGGCCAAATTCCAGTTGGATTTGAAGCTCATCCCAACCGCCAATCACAGAATGAAGGGAGCTGCTTACAATCTCTATTCATGATTACGCAGCTCCGTACATTTCGGCCGCACTAGCTTCCACAGGAAGAATATCAGGGGCCGTTAAATGCCAGATACATCAGTCGCTATTTAATCTTCCGGTCGCGTCGATCTTCCCAGACTTCAACGGATTCAAGATGGGACTGGGCCTACAATTCATATCGGCGCTCAAGCTGACGCTAGGCTTGTATATCGTTTACAAGCTGTTCGGCTTCGTCCGGTTTTATATCTATGCGCGACGGGCCGGGTTCCCCGTTTACACATCGCCATGGCTCTCCAAGAGTATTCCGTTCTTGGTTCTGGCCCCAGTTCTACAGCCACTTTTAAAGCACATCTTCCCTGAATGGGTGTACGACCGTTTCGACATTCTCGTCCATGGGTGGGAATTCCGTGGCGGGCAAAGGTATCATCATCGGCTGGGCGATGTGTTCATCTCTCGATGGTGGCAAAGGGGTTTATCGTGGCATCTCTGGTCCCAGCAAGGGTTCTCAGGCTACCTATAATGCCGCGCGCACTGCAGATGCTGGGATATCAATTGCAGAAAATCCCCGAGTACACCCATTCGGTGCTCGAAGAGGAGAGAAAAGTCATGGAGAGCGGGTCCGGCGCTCGCAACAATTTCCTAAGCTTGTTGCTGCGCCTGTCGGATGAAGAGAAACGTCGCCAGAGTGGTTTCTCGCTGTCGGACGAAGAGCTCAGCGGCAATCTCTTCGTCTTTACAACCGCGGGCTTTGAAACGGTTTCCAACACAATGGGGTATGCGGTCACAATGCTTGCTGCACATCCGGAATATCAAGCCTGGATTCGTGAAGAGTTGCAAGATCTCGACATGGACTCAACGACATGGGCTTATGATGATGTGTTCCCAAAATGCAAGAGAACCTTAGCTGTCATGGTAATTACTCCTCATTGCCCACAAGGCAGCTTGTGTGTGAAGGTTAACTTAAACAAACCATGAACTATAGTTAGAAACATTACGTCTTTTCTCACCAGTCCATCACATCATGCGGTCTACTCGCGAGCCGCAACAACTACTTAGTGACCGAGGAACCCATCTTCTCCTCCCTCCTATGGACCTTTTCGTGGGCGTGACAATTATTCACAAGGACCCCCGATACTGGGGTCCGGATCCCGAGGTTTTCCGGCCATCTCGATGGATTGATGCCACGGGCCAAATAATCACCCCGGCCACGGGGACCTTTAGGCCATGGTCCGGCGGCCCGAGGGTTTTGCCCTGGCCTCAAGATGTCCGAGGTGAAGTTTGTCGCTACCATAGCCACTCTATTCCGGTCTGCAAAGTGTGAACCTATTCCCACTGCAGGTCTGCATCGACGAGAGGATTTGCAGCAGCGGCTGAAGGATTTGGCGCAGAGCTCGGTAAGTAAATTGGCTCTGCAATTGCGAGATTCCACGGAAGTGCAAATTCAATGGGTTCAAGATTGATGGGAGGCGTTCTGAGTGCTGAACAGCAGTGCATTTGACTAGATTCTATACGTGACACTTCCCTTAATTATACAAAAATGTCATATAGTACAAAATCGGATTTTTAAAACTAACATTATAACCCCCCCAGAACCAGTCAGCATCCAGAGCATCCTTTCTCTCTCTCTCAACGAAATCACACTCTGTATACCGGTCACACAACACCCAAACTCCGGCCCTCAGCTCCGCAGAAGACACGTGTCCGCGATTCAAACGGATATCCTAACTATCACTCGGGCTCGTGGTGACTCTGGGGATTAAATTGTCCTCACAGAAGAAGACCTGATCCAATATGGGAGACTGCACTGGATTCCAGGAAATGGTTATCTGGTGGTGGCGCATTCTACTCCCGCTCCTCTTTTCCTCTATTTCATTACTTTCTTCTTGCTGATGTCTTACTATGAAGTGTTTACTATGACTTGAGCTGTATATTCTAAATATGCTTAGTCGAAAATTAACTTTTCTAATCTCTTTTTTGATCCTTTTTTGATCTCTTTCTTCTCTTTCTTCTTATCTTGTTTACAACCCCTATTTCCTTTCTATCTTTCCTTGATTATCTCTATCATTTTTAAGGGGATGGGTAGCTTAGAGAAGGAGAGGAGAGGGCTGTATCTAGCGAGTATTTACTTTTCTAAAAGAACCCTATCTTGTTTTCTATCGCTGCAAGTCATACAGCTTTCTGGTATAAACGCCCCATGTCCTTAGAATCTCATATTATAAACAAAAATCAAGAAAGTACAGATCGCATTTCGCCGTGAAACGTCATCACAGACGATCGTCGCTCGCCAAGGATAAGCCAAGATAGAGGCTGACGCCCATTCAGCCCTCTTTTTCTTTTCTTTTTCTTATCATCTTTTGTTGTCCCTCATTACCCCTCGAGACTGTTTTCCTTCCCCGTCCCTCTATACATCGACCGTTTCATCATGTCCCTCCGCGCGGGCTCCCCCGCTGTGCTGGTGTGCCTGGTGTTGTTGTTGCTCCCCCAGGTTCACGCCTTTGGTGCGGGTAGTATGTTCAGCGGACTCTTTTGCTTCCCGAATCCCCGCTGATCAGCCCTAGACATCGCCTCGATTTCTGCGATCGAGGGCAAGAACTGGCGCCACGGCGACATCGAAGATGTGCTCAGGACGCTCGCCTTTATCTCCGGCCACAAATGGACCTCGACGATGATCAAGCGGGTCTACTTTGGGAATTGGCTGCGCGACTAGTGAGTCTGCATGGTGGAATACTAAAACAACCCCCAAAAAACTGACTGTGTGTCAGCTCCCAGGCTATGGATGTCGGCACCCTGAAGAATCTCCAGGCTGACACCATCCGTATCCTGGTGTGGGTCCTCTCGTTCCTGAGCTTCGGTTACGCGACGGCCGAATTCGAAGTCACTTTGGACCGGCTGGGTGTCTATCGCCCCGAAGAACATATTGAGTATGTCCCTGAAAAGGCAATCCGCAGATCTCCAGTATACTGACTCGTCTTCTACGTAGCAACCCCAAGGATTACGCCGACAACGAAGATGCGCGCCAGTATGATAAGCGACTCCGCCCGCCTGTGCGCACTGTCGAGTTGGAAATCGACCCGGACACCGGCATGAAGAACTACATTGCCAACGAGCGGGGCGACTGGGACACCAGTGCCGCCTATGTCAAATACAGTCTGGGTCGTAGCATCCACTATGGGCGTTTGTACACGAGTGGGGGACATGGACAGCGGAAAGGCAACGAGGAGGACCTGTGCGAAGCGCTGCGATGCCTGGGCCAGGGACTGCACACGCTGGAGGATTTCGCGGCGCACACCAATTACTGTGAACTGGTTCTGCGCGAGATGGGGTTCATGAATGTCTTCCCGCACACCGGCACGGCGACCCAGTGCAATATCCGCGGGCACCACGTCTTCCCGCTGGTGACGGGCACCTTTGGAATGGTCGATTTCTTCCACTCCGTTCTGGGAGAGGCCACCGATCACTTCACCCAGTCCGAGGTCAACGAAATGGATGTCGCACTTGGGGACGCCCAGATGAGTTCCCAGTCAAACAACTCCCTCAACGCGCTCACGGGTCTCCTGGGCAAGGTCCCCGGGACTAAGGAGCTGGTGTCGGAGGCGGAAAGTCTGAAGCGCTCGTCCGAGGCGCAAGAGACGAGCAACCGCAGCCGGGGCTCACACACCGGCTACGTTCAAGCCGGCGGTTCTCGCGGTATCGACGACCACGAAGGAACCCGCGCCTCTGGACCCAACCAGTCTTCTGGTGGTCTTGGCACTGGCCTGCAAGGCATGCCCGACTTCAACCCGCAGGAGACAGTAGCCAAGATCTACCCGATCCTGGCCTTCCGCGACAAAGTGGTGCGGAAGCTGAACTCGATCATCGAGAAGATCCCCGGGCTGGAAGCCGTGATGGAGAAGATCTCCGAGACGCTCACGGTGTTCATCATGTCGCTTCTGGCGCCTTTTATCCGACCGCTTATCAACGCAGCGTCCAAGTCGCTGCAGACCGGGTCGTCCGGTGTGATCGACGCCTCGGGCAAGCACCAGTACGAGCCGTGGACCGACCCGACCTGCACCGACCCCACGCATTCGCTGCTCTCCAAGGACCACTTTGCCAACATTCTCAACGAGCCCGCGGGCCAGGTTGCCTCCGCCATCGTGCGCTATGCCGCGCCCCGTGTTCTGTACGCCTGGCAGCACCCCAATGTCCCCGAGCACGAGGTGCTGGAGGATTGCATGCGCATCTTCCACCACCCTGCCCTGCGCGATATGCGCAACGAGGCTCACCGCACCATGTTTGAGGCTGTTGAGTCCTGGGTGCACGCCCGCTCCGACCGCGGCGCCGCCTTGAACGACATCCTCAGCGCTGAAGGCGTCAGGTCTGGCCGGAACACCGGTGGTGTCCCCCACTCGCATGGCGGTGGCCACGGCGGATTCCCCGCTATGGGTGGTGGCGCCCATGGTGCTGCGCACGGCCAGGGCCATGGTCACGGTAATGCGGGCCATCAGTCTTTCTTCCCCTCGTCGCAGCAGCACCAACAACCGTCGCACCAGGGCTCGTTGGGTCTTCCTTGGGATAAGCTTTCTAGCCTGCCAATCCCGGGCATGTCGAACCTGAATAAGCTGGAGAGCACTATCTCCAACTTCATTCCAGGTGGGCTGTCGCATGGGCTGTCGAGAAGTGTAGAGGGCGAGCCTGGAAGCAGTGGCACTCACCAGCAAGAGGATTACAACGCATCGTCTTATTCTCATCCATCAGGCGAGCACCAGCACCAGCAGCACCAGCAGTACCGACAATACCAACAGCCCTCGCAGTACTACCCTAACCAGCACCAAGGACATGGACATGGTGGGCATGGATACTGAAGAACGATTTTGCCCATGTCCACTGCATGTAAATGTTTATGAGGTCACGAAGTTGCTTAGAAAACCAAGAAGATTAACTAGAGAGGTAGTGTCAATACCGAGAATCGAGTTGTTTAGTCCATGCATCTGCTAGACATGAATGTTATGATTTCGCGGGGCATACCTCCGCTTGGGACTCCACCAGTCGGTACCCCGATGCCTCCGACGCCATTGTGAACGTCGCATTGGATCTACAGTAGCATCGTCCTGAGGTGAATGTCACCATTGACAGAATGTGTCAACAGTGGCATTGCGCGTGGTATCAGTTGGGATGATCTCATGTCATCGCCTGAGAACCCCGCAGTGTCATCTCCAGATTTTGAATTCCCGATTCTTGACACTCACACATACTCTCTTTCTTTCCCCCACTCTTTTTATCCTCTTCTCTTAATCTACTTTTCTCTTTTCATCTACATAACATAGACCATCCAAGCGTGTGCCACGAAGTATACCACCATGTCCACAACCCCCCACCTCGACGCCCTCCAACGCGACGGCTTCGTCGTCGTGCGCAACCTCCTCACACCAGCCGAGGTAGAACACTACCGCGGCATCGCCACAGCCGCCACGACCCGCACGCGCGCCGGCGACTGGCCGCATTTCCGCACCGTGCCCAAGCAATTCCCGCCATGGCCGTCGACGCCGCCGCCGGCGTCCGAGGGCGGCATCTGGGGTGTGCAGCACCTACTCCACCCACGCATGCCGGGTCGGGAGGCATTTGCGCGGTGTTATTTCTCGGGGTCGATTTTGAATGTTGCCGAGGAGCTGATGGGGGTGAACAGCAACAACAGCAAAGGCAATCAAAATGATGAACCGCTAGTCATGGAACTATTCAATCTACTCGTCGCCCCCGAATCAAAAGACTTTGAGCTCCGTTGGCACCGCGACGACGTCCCCGAGACCGCCACGCCCACCGAGGAGCTGCTGCAGCTGGCGGCTAAGTCGCCAGGCGGACGCCAGTCGCACGCGCAATACAATCTGGCACTGTGTCCCGATGCCTCGCTAGTCGTTGTGCCCGGGTCCCACCGGCGCGCACGCACCGAGACAGAGCGCAACGCTGGACCCTATGAGCCCTCACTACCCAACCAACTAGTCGTGGAGCTGCAGCCCGGCGACGCGGTGTTCTACGATAGCAATATCCTGCACCGAGGCGTGTACAAGGCCAAGCCTGCTGGCGGCGAGGAGTCGCGGCTGACGCTGCATGGGAGTCTGGGGCTGAAGACGGCTGATCAGGAGGGGGTCAGTGATGCTGATGCCGAGGCGAAGAAGAAGGTGCGCGCTACGGCGGTTCTGCAGCATGGTGTTGGTGCTTGGGTGTATCGTGAGGACGCTGCTTTTGGGATTGGGGAGCGGGCTGAGAAGATGAGGGCTAATTTGGTGGCTATGGGGACTGGTGAAGGTGTGGGGTTTTCGTTGCAGGGGTGAGGGCGTTACCATTGAGATTTACTTAGGAGGTAGATACTGCCTTGGTGTGTTTCGATGTACAAATGAATTGATGTATGACATGCATGTATCTGCATACCATACTCTCCACCTACTTTCATATTCTCGACCAGTCTGCCGCGATGCAAATCATTGCCACGGTGGAAAAGACACAAGAGTACACCAGGACTATCATCGGACCATTCATAGATGTGTAGAAATATCTACGAGTACACTAATATACTAAGTAGAGACCAAGTGATTCCGGTGGACTCATCCAAAACAATGGCAAAAGTCGCAAAATCAATCCTCACTCACCGCACAATCTCCATCACATTCGCACTGCCGTCTTCTTCCCCTCGTCTTGTCTTTCGTTTCAATTTCAATTTCTTCAATTCTTCTTTCCTTCTCGAAGGCTTCTCTCTCCATGGTTGTCTTGCATTTCTCCGAGATGCGAGCCCGCATATTATTCGCATGCACATAATCCCTTAGACTCGGTGGATACCCCTGGCTCTATCCCAAGCAACCCCACAAAAAACCTGGTCTGTGCGGGCCCAACGGCCAGCCAGCCCGCAAGAAAGAGAGCAGAGGGAGATCAGCGAGCAGCGAGGCACACACACAGACAGAGAAGAGGGTGGGGAGAACCCCCCTTCTTCAGACCAGCGCCTTACTCCAATTCGCCCCGTGCACGCGCTCCTGGAATGTCCCCTACCGACAGCAGAACCAAAGTCCGCCCGCAGCAGTCGTGTCTCAAGTGCCGGGAGCGCAAGGTGAAAGTGGGTGACTCGTGCACTCCAACAATCCAACACACACATACCCCACCACACACGCAACTTAAAACACTGACTCTCATTTCTTTTGTTCTATTTTAGTGCGATCGCTCAATTCCCTGCCACGCTTGTATTGCCCGCGGCATCGAGTCCGAATGCACCTATCTCACCACCGCCGAGGACCGCGCGCACATCAGCCAGGCTGAGATCATTGAGCAGCTGCGCCGCGAGGTCCGGCAGCTGCGGGGTCGATTGGACCAGAGTGCGCGGGCGCCTATCCAGAACCACAGCCAGAAGCAGAATCAGAGCCAAAGTCAAAGCCAAAGTCACAATCAGGACCAGCGACCTTTTGCGCCCACAGATCAGGGATATGGATACGGGTACGGCGCAAATACTCATGCCGGCGCGGCTCTGCCCGACGCCACGGAACACACCTGGCGCGGGTCATCGCCGTCGTCCTCGACCACGACCATGACGAACTCCATGACCGTGACTAGCCCCGATAGCACTGGCAGCGAGGGCGGCGGGCCCGCTGTGTCTGCGCAGAATACATACCCCTTTCCGACGACGGTGACGACGACAACAGCGCCGTACGGACCGCAGGTGGCAGAGATGGATGCGCTAGGGTCCGCGCCCGAGTCGTTCCATATGCTGGACGACCCGACAATATCGGCCTGCTTTTCAGGAGAAGGCAACATGACGGTCTTTTCCGGCGGGGAGGTGTCCGGGTTGACTACTATGACCACCGGAGGTCTGACGCTGCAGCCACACAGCGTTGCTGTGCAGGCGCCTCTATACGGGGCCGACAGCCCGGACTATGGGACTAACACGCTCCACTCCTACATGGGCAGCCAAGGCGACTACGCCGCGCGCTACGGGCAGACGACAGCGCTGCCGCGAACAAACGAAGAGGAACAAGTTCATGCATACCACCCTAGCGGGCCATGGGGCCAGGACGCATATGCGCCTGGGCTGCCGCCATCGCAGCATTCTCCTTCTCCCTATTCATCTTCCAGCATTCCCCTCCACTCCCACCCTAATACCGTTGCACTCATTTCTCAATCTCCCGCCGTCGCTGGCGGCCATCTCACCCCGGCGAGCATCCGCGCCTCGCTTTCCAGCCCCGCCCACGCCCCGTCGACCTCCTGGAAGGGGCAGGGCAAACAGGCGCTGTTGGAGACTCTACTTGGCACCATTGGCAGCTGTGACGAGCAGCAGGTCGCCCAGGTGGTTCAGGTCGTGCGCGCCAGCCCAACACCCGAAGCCGCCGTGTCGGGAGTATGTCAGGTTTTGGGAATCGGGGGCGTAGGGTGATTCCCGCTGGTCGGGTTGTCCTTTTCGTGTACCAACCATTTGGAAGGGGCGTGCCGGAGTGGTTTTTGTTCATATCTAGTTGACTTTGATCCCCCCCCCCCCCCCCCCCTCGGGTTCCCTTGATTCTCGTCCCGCCAATGGGGCTTTGAAAAAAGGGGGGAAAGAGGGACAGAGAGAGCGGGACTATCTGCATCTGCAGAAAGATCGTCTTCGCGATCCGAGCGGAGACCAGCACACACACACACACAGCTGAGACCAGATCGCCACATCTCCCAGTGCGCGTCCATGACGCCAATTTTGTCCATAGAAAGAAAAGAAAACAAAAGAAATGTCTAGTAAATAAGCACCTTTATACACAGCCAACTCCTGGAAATGGGGGAAAGATGGAGAGTTTCGTCAAGTCGTAATCGTCGTCAAAGAAAAAAATGAAGGGAGGAGGGGCAAGAAATTGGTGGAAGTGTATTCACCATGGTCGGAATATGTGAGGTGTAGTTTTTTTTGGTGGAATCCCCCTCATGGAGTCTCGGACTCGGTGCTGTCATCGACAGGCCGCTGCCCATAGACATAATGGAAATGCACGTAGAGGTGAAACGAGCTACTGACGAGCTCGGCGCGCACCTTGTCCATGTATTCCTGGGCATCCTGATACGAGAAGCCGAGCACGCGCGTGAAGAGGGCTAATGTGTAGGGCTCGACGACCTCGAGGATAGTGACCTTGCCGACGCGACCGATCTCCTTGAGCCGGCGGTTTTTGGCCCAGCCGCCCACGGGACACTGGAAATCACGTCAGTGAGGGTGCCATTGTAAGGTAGGGGGCGAGATGAGGGCAAGACGAGGATGAGGGAGAATGAGGAGGGGGGGAGGACACCCACCTTATAGATATCATCAGCGATATTCACAAACCCCTCGGCCTGCATCCACTGCGACAGCGACGGCGCCACATTCACAGGCTTGCCGAACTGCTTGCTCGCCTGGTTCAGGCGGTCCTGCCAGTCCATGATAATGCCGGCCTGCTGGTGGGTGCCGTCATCCGAGAGCACCCAGATCTCAAACTCCTGAGCCTCGAACCAGCCGCCAGGCGTGAGATGGTTATAGACCTGCTTCAGGAGACGGGGCCAGTCGCCAATGCCGCCGCCGAGACTGCGCGCATGGATATAGTCAAAGGCCTCGCCCGGCGAGAAGGCCCAGTCGCTCTCGGCGTCGTCGATAAAGAAACGGCAGTTGGGCGGCGCCCAGTTGGGCTGGATCGGGCTGAGGTCCGTGCCGATGATCTCGGCGTGCGGGTAATCCTCGGCCATTTCCAGGGCCCAGATGCCTGTCCCCGTGCCGATGTCGAGGACGCGGCGGGGCGGGCCGTCGCGCGTGATCGGGGCCCGGAAGAGATTGCCTCCTGTAAGGAGCTTGAAGAGGTGGTGCATGAGCGCTAGGCGGTCTTGTTCTTCTTCGTCGTTGGGGAATGGATATTGCCCGTGCCGGTAGGCGTGGTACCGGCGGCCATTTTCATAGCTGTAGTCTCGTACGGAGGATGCAAATGATAGATTTGACCCGACGAGGGATTGTGTGTCGAAGAGCGAATCATCGTCGCTGGTCTAGGAAAATGTGAGACATTGGATTTCTATCCGTGGCGTACACCGCCCGTGGGAGGGGGTGACTGTGAAAGGGGGGAACTTCAACAGTTCTCTAGATTCACTAAAAAAAAAAAGTAAGGAAAAGAAGCAGGCTTACATCGACTTGAATGCGTTCGTATGGATATGGCTGCGACATGCTCGAGAGAAAGGAGAGTAGAGAGAAAGAGAGTGAGAGGAGGGGGGAAAAGGAGGAAAGAGGGAAGAGAGAAGTAGAAGTAGAAGTAGAAAAAAAAAATAGATTCTGCAGAAGAGAGGGGATGAAAAGAAGAAAAAAAGAAGAGGGGATGAAGCTATCAACGGAAACCCGAGAGAGAGGATGCCGGGAATCCAAGCGACCCAAACACACGGGATGGACGTGTCGAAAAACAGGACCCGGTCGGCTGGTTGACTCCACACGGGGCGATGATTCATGCCAGACCGCTGGGGCATTGCTGCATGAGTAGTGTGTATTGTATTGTACGACTGTCAGATATTATTATTCACTTACATTTATTTACTTTCTTATACATGGCTAGTTAGGGCTACCCGAGGGTGTGGTCCTTCTTTACCGTATTTCCATACAGGCTAATTAAACTAAATATACTCAACGATACTAAATGTACTAGTACTATATGACAACTCGCACGGGCTGCCTCCGTTTCTCATCCCGCAGCCCCCCGACCGTCGATGGATTCACCAGCAAACACTTGGCCTCCACCAAAGGATTAAAAAATGCCCCTAGAAATTCCCTCATAGTCGAAACAAGATTCCACAGGCCCCCTCGGGCAAGAACGGTCCGCTCATACGTGGCTCGAAGCCCATCAAACATAAGCCATTCCCTTCCGTCCCTGCGCCTTCATGCACATGTCCAAAAACACGGAGCCGGGGCCGAACTCGCCATACTGTTCGAAGCAGATGCACACAGCCCAAGTGCAGCAAATCAAGATGGGCGCGCGGTGGACCATGCGCGATGAACACGTCAATCCCGTCTGGCACCGACCCAGTTCAGACATCTTGGCTGCGAGGATACTGGAAGACCCAGTTCCCGTGGTGTGCGGAATAGGGACTGCCGTAGATCCTGAGTTGCCGACCATTCGTGCAGACAACGGTTGTTTCCTTGTTCTCTAGATAGGTGATGGCCCCCCAGTCAAGCTTTACTCGCTCGGCCACTGCCTGCTTCGTAGAGTCATCAAGTAGTGAATCGTGGTTCCCAGCGACAGCGATCTTGATAGGGTGAGGCTGGGCGTTTAACCAGGCAAGCGTCGCCTGGAGTTCCCGGAACGAACCCGACTGGGTGAGATCGCCCGCATGGATCAGGATATCTCTATCTGGAAGCTTGGGCTGACTGATATGACTGTCGGAGATACAAACAATCGAAACAGGATTGGTGAGTGGCTTGGCTGGGATGGCCTGGTGCCAGGCGTAAAGCTTCCGGGCAAGGAAAACGTTTGCGCCAGAAATTGTTTCCAGAGTCCGGGCTGAGGCCAATGAAGGAGTTCGTCCAGACCGGAGCGGCTCGGGCCGAACAGGGACATGAGGTGATTGGGGGTCTCGAATAAGTGAAATAAGAATAAGGTTTTTTGGGGGGGGGGGGGGTGTCTGTATTTTCGAATTACTTTGAGGCTGTAAACAGAATCGTGAGGGAGAATAGAGATGATGGATTCAGACTATGACAGGGAGCAGCGATCTAGCTATAGTCACATAATAACCCCCGAACACGCGCCAAAGTGGCGTTTCAAGTATATTTAGAATGTATATCCTACATTACTTCATGTTTTGGTTTACTAGTATATGGATTATCTGTGGGTAGGTAGCTAAGGTCAGTATGGATTCCAGCAAATGCCAAAAAAAAAATAGAATAGAATTCCCAAAACATCTATTACTTCCACTGGCATCACCATCGCTACACAAATAATAAAATGAGGTTCCTCGGCGATGATATTCTTCGCCCAAAACCTGGCGCTCCTGCTCTCTTCGTCTGGGTCGTCTCCGTTCCTGCCAGGGATCACCAGCCTTTGCTCCAGATTCGGGACATCGGCCACCCAGCTTGGTTCCTCCTCCAGCACAACGGGCCGGGATCTCAATTCGGCCTCGGCTTCATCTCTAGCAATAATAGCCGGTCATCCACGAGGCAAACCACGTTCGATCAGTCGATTAAACGCCGCGACCAGATAGTATGGCAGAACAGCAATAATGTGTTTGATACATGTTATATAATTCCGTACCTGGGCTATGCGAGAAAGCTTTGGTATATTAAAGCCTTCTAGCCAACGAACATCATTTATAGCGCATGAAGCTTATATTTCATCAAGAGTTTCGGCTAGAGTAAGGGCCTAATGATACCTCCAGCTTTTTTTTCAGTTTGATTAACAGATAGTTCTATGAATTATTTCTTATGAGTTCCTAGTACATACGACCACAGGGTGTGGAGAACAGGGCTTCCCGTCCGCTCAGCCGTACTTAAACCACACGCCGGCCAGTTAGTAGTTGGGTGGGTGACCACCAGCGAATCCTGGCTGTTGTATGTTCTTTTTTCCTTCTTCTTTGTTTTCCATCTGTCTTTTTGTTTAACCTTGTCGCTTCATTTAACTTTCATCCAGCCGCCTTACCCCGCTTGATCCGGCGGTGATCATAGTCAAGAGTACTATCGTTTAGAGTTGCATCACCTTCTAGGCTATTAGTATAGCTCTTAAACCATACACCATTGCCAAGACAAAATCGTCGCCGGGCTTCGGGTATTTTGCAGAGTTCGTACATAATATCTCGTACATGATTTTCAACAGCAAGTCTTTTATATATCTTAAGGTCCTACTTACTACTTAGCGGACGCTCTAATAAATCAGCGATACCTTTAAGGCGCGTTGCTCTCGAAAATAATCTAGGAGAATAGTTGTTTATTACTTAGAGATAGCTATAAACTAAATTATATATATCTTGCTATGTACTATATAATCTATCTATAGAAAAAGATAAATAGGGTAGTATTTCTCTTAAAGGTAGAGATCTTCCCTATTATAGAACGAGACGGAGTTCTTATATACAAAAGATATAAGAGTAAATTATAGTAGATTCGGCGGTATTCTAACAAAGAAGCCTTTCAAGTAAACTACCTAGGTCTATCTGTATCTATACCTACTTTAAAACCGGGGTGTTAGGGATTCTCTTAGAACCCTGGTTTTAAGGGAGGTGTCGAAGGCTTTATTAAGGGTTAATTTATATCTTATATCCTTATATCTAGGTCTATCTATATGTTACGGGATCTTCGTACGAAGTCCTATATAATAAAGAAGCTCGACCTAAAGGCCTCGCTAGTAGAAACTAACTGCCCTCCTAGCGAAACCCTAACCCTTATATATCCCTTTTTCTTTATATCTCTTAACGAAACCTTCTTGTATCTAGGATACACTATATTGATACAATTTGGTCCAATCCCTTAATACATAGGACTTCGTATGAAGGTCCCATAACAATAGCTTCGATAGCTAGTAAAACCCTACTCTCCTATTTAATAGAATTTCGGGCTTTTTAAGAGCGAATTAGAGGTATAGTAGGTGGTTGAAATTGATAGGTTCGCGAAGATTGCGCGATTTTCGTGTGGTACGCGACGCGCTTGTGGATTGCGTTATACATGAGTGCTAAGAGAGAAACCGAACCGGCCGGACTCTAATTACACCTATGGGATAGGCAATTTGCGATCGTATAGGGAGGGAGGATCTCTACAGCCATGCATACTCAACGTCCCTCTAGAGTTTCAAGATACGTCATTTTGTGGTATATTATTATGCACAGTGACACAGCAAAAGTTTCGACACCCTCGCCCCACACCTCTATTATTATATAATATTCTGCCAGTAGAAAAATAAAAAATCAATCAAAATAAAGTACGAATTTTATTCACATAATGTATACTAACCCTAACTCTCGATTCGCGGAATGTATTAATTCTTATCGAGGTCCCATTATCTATAGAGAATATAATGAAAATTCGGGGTAAATATAAGATATTTGATAGATGTATAAGGTAAGCGGTGTGGCGGTGTAGAAGTGGGTCAATTATGGGATATCCCCGCTTAAATAACTCCCAACTCTTGGGGGCCAAGGGAGGATTGGCTCATCATTCTCCCGCGTCCCTCGCCTTCAGCTTTTCCTCATATCATCAGATGCAATTCTCTTCATTTAAATGAACGTCACGAAGGTTCTCCCTGAAACTCATTTTTCAGGTATGCGTCGCAAAAGAATCTCCACGAGCTGCGCGAACTGTCGCGCCGTGAAACGGCGGGTAAGTTCTCTTTGTTTCTGTATTTGCTCTCTGCTTTCATATCACTGAAGCTGATCTCGAATACTTCCTACCTTTGTATAGTGCGATAAGCAGCATCCCTATTGCGGGCAATGTGTTCGTTTAGGCCAAGACTGTCCTGGATACCGTGATGAATGGGACCTCATTTTTCGGGACGAAACCAACCACACAATAAGGCGGGCCAACAATAAAAACCCTGTCGTGGAACAGGCCAGCCACAGCCCCCGGCGACTAGCATTTCCGCAGACTTCGAAATTTCTCCGGGACGTCACCCCCGGGTCGATGATGAGCAGTCAAATCTTTGCTTCATATCTCGAACAGTACTTCCCACGCACATTCGCGCCCTCTGCGTTTGATCTTGATTCGTCATATTCCATCATCTCGGGCATCTATATGCTACCTCAGAAGACGTTGATGCTCGAAAAGGCTTTATCCGCACTTGCATGCTCTTTCCTTGGCAAGGTCCATCGTGATCACACACTCTTGCGATATGGCCTTCGGGTTTATAACCAGGCAATCCAAGATATGTCAAAAGCACTTGGACGGAAGACTTTGAGCAATGACATTGTTTATACGTGTGCGCTCTTTGAGAAGATCGAGGTCAGGCGTATTTCCTCTCCACTGCATGCAAAAGCTCACAGAAAGCTAGATCCACTATTGTCCCGACTCGCTTATCCAATGGTATGGGCATATAGACGGTCTAAATGCAATCATACAACACTACTATCCTAAGGAGGCCGGCTCTCCTATCATGGATGCAATCTATAATCACCAAAAGCTCCAATTGGTAAGAAAATACTTCTCTCAGTTTCGCTTTTACCATGCCGATGAACTGACTATGAATATAGTTACTCTCACGATATCAGCATCTATCCAAGCCAATAGTGACATGGCTAAGAGAACCTGGCCAAGGCTTACTATATGATTTAATCCAGATTATTACGGATACGTCATGTATTGCTGCTATGGCCGATAGTGCTGACGTTCCTGATCCCCAGACCTCTCAATCCCTGCTGGATGATTGCTTGGCACTTGAGAAGCGGCACCTAGACTTTTATAACAAACTTCAGTTTGCCAGTGGATACTCTCCTCATGATGACCCTCCTCAATTTGGCCGTGGTGAAATAAAATCAGGAATACCGCCCACATGCACTTTGTTCGGTGCTGCCTACAAACTCTCCTCGCCTGGTCAAGCCAACTTCTATATTCTTCTGTGGTGCTCCTTCTCTTGCCTTTATCCACTATTTCACCGATTGCAAGTTCTCGCCCATGCCGACACGCCTGCCTGTTTACAAGACCCAGCAGAAGGCCGTTCCTCCCTAGACATGGCACTTCACCTTGCCGCATTCCATATCGGCAAAGCAATGAGATGCCTTCCATACTGCACTCAAGAGGGCATGAATTCATCGGGTATGTTCTACGCTATCTACGCCGCAAACCAGGCCTCACGAGCATTCAGTCATACGAGGGACTGGGAACGGTTTCTTTGGGCCCAAAGGGCTACGCATTATTGTGTGCTTTCGGGCTTCGATCTTGCTGCTCGGTTGCGTGAGGTATGGTGGAATTATTGGTTCGAGCCCAGCAGCCACAACTTCTACCGAGTTCCATATCACCGAGGGATTTTGGAGCCAAGGCCTCTGTCCCACGACCCTCTCTATCGAGAAGAGGTGGAAAGCAAGGTGGAAGCCAAGGGGTTTGACACGGCCTCCACATAAATTACAGAGATATCTTGAAATTCAATATAAATACTCAACAATCAATTTGCTGAATGAGATGAAGTAAACTTAGCCTTGGCTCCTTTTCCTGTTCTTGCATTTACCCTCTAATATATATGTAAAGTAGTTGTTCCCAACTTTATTATTCTATGTATCTTGGCCGTAGGAAATAGTATTTCAGTATATAAGTGCTCCCGTAGTTAGACATATCTTCACCCATGATATCCACGGTTGTCTGCCATACACCACCAAGGCAGGTGCCCCGTCTAACTGGGCCATACCACTTTATCGATCGATTAGCCATACCATTGCTGCGATGGCGGGGATGGAAGTTCAAATCTCTACCGAGACTCGCGCGGCATTAAAGGCGGACCTCACCTTACGGTGCGTGCTTCGGGCCAAGTTTCGTCATGATAGGTCCCGCCGCTCTGCAGATGTCATCCCCTGGGCACAGTCGCGTGTTGTGAGACTCAGCAGCGCCGTCATCCAAGAAGTTGGGCAGCAAACGGCCGGTTTTAGCGTACAGATTAACATGAATCAAATGCTTGGATCACCAAAACATTGTGTATACCTGCTACGATCTCTTACTCGACGAGTGCGATCAACGACTTACAACCGAGATTTCCGAAAGCTTTCACTTGAAACGGCCAATCCATCTGATCACTCAGAAGGGGAGCGGTTATATTATGCGAAGGGACAAGCGGGCAGACGCAAGGGTGGCTGAACAGTACTTGGACATGAGCAGCATCGACAAAGGTCCACGGGCCTTCTTTTCTGATTTAAAGCACCCGCCTTTTTATGATAAGAATGGGCGACGCATGGAGAACTGGGAGGAGGTGATGGCTGACTCGCCGGAAGGGAGTGAGCCAGAAGAAGAGGACAAATCAGACAACAACATTAAGGGCAGCGAACAGGATAAGCTGGCAAAAGATAGTGATTTGAAATAAGAGCAGATTATCAAGAGGAGGCAAGTGATAACATGAGGCTATGCACACGACAATTAGCCACACGGCTCTTCATTAGAATGCAGGCGTCGAGATAAAATCAAAGCTCGACATAATGCATTTAGGAATAGCATATATGTAAATAGGGGCATGGCATTGCCTTACGACATTGACCTGCTGTCCTTTAGATTCCGACTTCTTAGCAAACGCGTCACAAACTTATCGATCGGTTTGGAGTACTACCCGTCTAATATGGGTATGAGTTGGCTGAAATAAGGAGAGAAAGAACTTACATAGTACTCTATTTGACGGTTTTCTAACACAATTCCGTGTTCTTTCCTACGCCGAAGTACCGATAAACCTGCTTCTTGGCTGGTTCTACATAGCCTTAGACCAATATAGCATCAGTCTTACCCAATACTATCGAGCATATCTGCCCACGGGTGGAATACGAACAATTCGAAGAGACCGATTAGGATGATCTGTCAATATTAGACCTCATCCGAAACGACGTGACTAAGTTGCGCGCACATTGGATACCCGAGATTGAGGCGGGTCTGTTTGCGAGAGTGGAGGCTATTTCGGGAAGCTCCATTAGCAACTCAAGCTCGAAAGGAAACACAAGCTATTTGCACGCGGGAAGGGAATATGCCGCCTAAAGGCCAACTGAATAAGACGGCGAGCCGCCCTCGACCAAATCGTCTGTGCTAGATGACTAACACCATGGAATGGCTGTTATATGTTTCTATTCTTTCTTGTCACCTTCCCTTTTCCAGAAAATTCAGCTCGCTTCCATGCGCAGCTCGCTTAATGGCTTGTGTTGGGGGCTGTTGGTGTGTTGTTGGTGCGTGTTGGTGCGCTGTTGGTCGGAGGCGGGGACCGAACTGTCAGGGCCAAAAACTAAAGTAAAGGTGTAGATCACTCAGTATAAAAAGGGTCTTCTGCTCTCTCGACCCGATAGTCCACAGGCTTTTTCTATCAATTTCCATCACAGTTCAAAATGGTCAAGGTCAATTTCGCATCCCTTTCCTTGTTTATTTCCCTGGCCGCTGCTAGCGGTTGGATGGATACCTGCAAAAATGAGGACCTCTCGCCCGAAGGAGCCGTCACTGCTTCATGCAGCAAGGGAAAAGATGCTGGATGGAACGATGGTGCCAGCATTGACCTGACAAAGAACTGCTTCAAGTGGGATCCTGCATCTGGAAAATCCACCATCTACCATGGGTGAGTATATATTTACCTCCTTATGGACATGGCATTCGCTTTGTTATTTCCCAGAGCTAATCCACCTGGAAAATAGTGGCGATGGGCTGAAAGGTTGTCGCAAATTTGAAATCATCCAAGTTCCACAGGCAACACCGATCCTCCAGGCAGAATGTGATATTCCCTCCAACGTGCAAAACTCCAATCAGACCACAGGCTCGGTTCGAATTGAGTGGAGTAAGTCCGCAGTCGCGATGGCTGACACCAACATCAGCTTCCCAATTCAGAATGAGCTCTTTTTTGCTAATAATGAACAGATAATGATCTTCTCAGCAATCAAGGTGGTAACCTGGGCTGCTAAGCTGTTAAGCATCAAGTAGGTGGTCATATGGCTCCCGAAGCCTTAAAACAAGACTACAGACTGGCGCGAATTATTTATGCTTGTTATGTGCTATGGTTCTGAATATACTTATCTTGGGAGCCCAAGTAAGGGATTGACATAGGACATGGTCGAATACGTGAGATGTGGTCATTTTGTGGCTCCTGTGCTAAGCTTTGCATGTTCGATCAAAGTTAGACATAGTATCCAACCGAGCCATGCATATGGTTCTACGTCAAAAACTTGCATTTAGGATCCCACTTTTCTATCCCACTTTTCTATAGATCTTGCTTGGATTCATATCTGGTAGCACTTGCTATATTTATGATCAAGTCTGTCATGAACTGATCGTTTCAATTGTGTCGGTAAGTTGCTTCTCATGGGACCGGTCATGTCAGTCTTTTCTTCAGTAGCCGGGCCATAGTCTTTGCAGCTGTGGAGAATATACCCCTCTCTAAAGACATGAGTCTTGATACAGATTTAATAACTATTGCGGATTTGAATAATATCAAAAAGGAAAATGAGCCACTAAAATGATTTCTCGAAATAAAAGCCAGGTTGATATTGACTTTATGGGGGTAATTGAAAAAAAAAAAAAAATAAAATAAAATAAAATAACAACAACAACAGTAGGTTAAGGCTTCTGGCGGAATGACCTCAACTGTGAAAGGATGAGGCCATTCTACAAGAACAACATCAATCGAAGAATTGAAATTCAAAGGTAGTCTTTAAGCGACAGAATGATAAGAATTACACAAACAGCCAATTCTCGCTACTACCAAAGTTGTTGATGTCATCGCGGTTCACTCTCCGAAGAGGTATCACCCCAGCACATTATCTATTATTGGTAAATTGGGTCAACTCATCTGAAGCCATTTTCCTCAGCTTCAATGAATCAACTGCACTCTTTTCCCTCTCCAATCTTGCAAACCTGGTTAAAAGTCAGGATTAGCTTCCAAAAAAAATTCCATCAATTTACCCATGAACTTACTTTATAGTGTGTAAAGGGGCTGAAGAACGTCTGGTCTTTCAAAGCCTTGCAGCCATCGGGAGACTTGAGCTGCCACGCACCCTTGCTACAATCATCATCCGTAAAATAGGTGAAGATATAATCCCCCGCGTTTTCGAACTTCATTCTTTTGGACTGGGGGTCCTGGATTTCAGTGCATCCCCACCCAGTAGTGCCCGTTTTGGTATCACCAAACTTGGTACCATCTGAACAATCGGTGGAGTAGTACTCGCTCAGAGAGAATTCTGAGGCTGAAACAGCGACGGAAAGAAGGGCAAGAGAAGCAAGAAGGCGCATGTTGATAATAGATGGATCAATCTCTCTTAGATAGAAATGGTAGGAGGGAAAAGTTTTGGTAGCTGAAAATGGCGAGATCATCCAGAAAGGATGTAGGGGATTTTTATATTTGTTATTGCAAGACATGCGGTCTAAGCGTGGCCGGCCCCCTGCTAGTCCCCCTCACTACTCAAAAACTAGACATAGAAATATAGTACCGAGGACTCGCTTGTAGAAGAGACGATCTCGTCTCTAAACGGTAAGGTATGGTAGGAAAAGAAGAACTTTATGGGGCCATGAGGCCTGAGAGGCGGGGTTGGGCGAGTAGATGTGATTCCAAGGCAGTTGGGGCCATCATGAACCTGGGGCTTTATGGGTATGGGGCCGCTACGAACTTTCTAAATATGGTGCCAAGGTATGGTTGGGGCTATTGGGATTGTAAAGGCATGGATGGGTCTGATGGCCGGAGAGCTATGTATTTTGGGCCTTGAAATATTGGTTCTGGTTGGTGAAGCACTATATCGGCAATCTCTCTAAGCACCGCCGGGCTAGCTCAATCGGTAGAGCGTGAGACTCTTAATCTCAAGGCTGCGGGTTCGACCCCCGCGTTCGGCTTCTTTTTCTTCTTTTTTTGCATATTTGCACCCCCTTCTTCCTTGCCTGCCTCTTATCTCTATGGTTTTCTGACCTGGAGGGGGGGGGTGAAATGTGATTGAAATAAAGTTTTTGCTTGACTATATATAACTTGCATTGCAGTTGTGCCTTTCTGCCTGAATTCTCAACCGGACTGCTGCATCTGGTCGAAACCAAGAACCAAAATTAGATCGAACGGTTTACTTCGAAACACGCGGTCATCCTAATGAGAAAATTGAATATTACATTGCTATATGCACAAGTCATCTTTAACGTATACAAGCCACCCACTAGACAGGACATCATGAACTACACCCAAATCAAACCAGCCCTCACTACTACTCCCTTTGCACCCCGTGGAACAAATGCAGCGCTCAAAAACACATATCCATAATAACCTTGGAAGCCTCTCACATCTCACAGTTTGGTCCCCTCACGCCCGCTATCACTGGGCCGCCTCGGTCGAAGTGGTCCCAGCGATGGACCAGCTGTATTGCTCGTCCCAGGAGCCGACGAAGACGTGAGCTGAGACCGAGCGCCTTCGTTGCCCGCAGTACTCGCCGTGTTGGTGCGAAACCCAGCGCGTGTCCCGTGATGAAGCCGAGGGTTCATCAGCCACTGCACCTGCATGCGGACACTATTGACTGCAGCATTTGTGTGGGCCATATCTTCCTTGATGCGGAGGCTCTCGTTCATGATGGCCATACTGGCACGGGCGTCGAGATCTGTGATGGCATGCGAGAGCTGGCCAACTTCGTCACGGAGAGACTCGTGCAGGGAAAGCAGATACGTCGTGGCATTAGACGAGACGCTCGACGAGCGATCTGCAAATTCTTCCGGGGAGTCTTCTGTGCGGGCTTGTTCGGAATCGATAGCCGCTCTTCCACTAGTCCGGTCCGTTACACCTACGCGCGCGGACTCGACCAGGGTGGAGCGGATATTGGCGAGACCGTCCTCAAAAATCTCATTCCGTTGTTGAAGGTGGCGTATTGTCAATTCGAGGGAATCGAGTCGGGTATTCTGTGCCTTGAAGTATGGGCTCATGGCGATCAGAGGGCAGTGTTGTTCATGAGTCGCGATCTCAGCTCGTCGAACCTTGATGGAGCATCCATACTTTGACGCTGCGCAAGGACTAACTACCTCTGGACATGTTTCAGTATGTTTTTTCAAATCCCTGTGAAGGACCACCGTTTCGCAGTCAACGCAAGTGGCTTCAAGACTGGGACAAAGTTCCCGATCATGCTCCTAATATGCCACCGAGTCAGCATCTGCATTCACTCCGCCAAGCAGAGTATACAGCAAGGGATGCAAACCTCATAGTCCTGCTCCATTATATCCTCCTCGCAATGGGAGCACTGGCGCAGCCCGTGCATGCATCTTTCATCCGGATGAAGATCCTTTTTGCGGGTTGTCTTGTTGCATGAACCGTCTGGACAAGGTACCAGCCGGTATCCACAGTATTTATCCACATGGGATTGGACATGGCCGCGAGGTACGATCTCTTGACATCCCTGTACCGTAAACGGACAGCGCACTTGGATATCGTCGCACATATTGATCAGTAGGCGTGGAACACTCGTCGACACGTCGCTGGTAGGGTTTCGGCAAGAGGGACACGGAAACTCGTCCGAATCAGCTAAGCGGGAGGTCGTGATGGCGGAACTTAGGCATTCTTGACAGAAGACATGGTCACACTGGAGACGCATAGGCTGTACGAAGGGGCAGTGGCATATCGGACACATGAGGTGGAAATCGTATTCGGAGACGCAATCAAGGGCGCGCAGGTCGACCAGCGCCTCGGGATCGCAGTCGGCCTCCAAGGCCAGGAATTGTTTGAGGTTCATGGCGCGGCGTATTTGAGACCTTGATCAGTCCCAGACGAGGAAATACAATGGCCTTCGCCTTTTGTTTCCAATATTGCTCCTTGTACAGCGCGCGGGATCAGCGTGCGGTTGCGAACGGATAATGGCCGAACTAAATACCGAGGTCGACCGGAACGTAGCCAGGACCCATGAGGTTGAAACCGGGTTGGAAAACAATCACTCGACTGAGAATACCCAGGCGCATCAGGTTCAAACCAAGATATTCTGGAATGTTTGAGCAGACAAGGAAGCAAAAAGAAGAAGAAAAAAAGGTGGGATATGAAGACTGCGGGGGGTGAAGGAGGCGAAGGCGGAAGGCGGCAGATCACTCGTTCTCGGAGCTGCCTCACTGCTGACATCCATCTTCCTCCATCGCAATCCCAATCTTGAAGCGACTCGACTTAGTCTGGCTGTCTGGAGGTCTTTCTCCGCACTGACCGTCCATATTTCAGCCTTTTACTCTTATATTTTCCCGCAACCCCCGAAACTCGCCTTTGTCTGACCCTTTCACGATGACCAACCCATCCCAGCTCTTTCTTGTCGCCGACCACATCAAACTCTCTCTGCTGGAGCGCCAGCGAGCCATTTCACTCGATCTTGAACCCAATGCGCAGGATGGGGAGATCTCGCGCTCTCTCGAGTCCCTCCAGGAGGGCATCCAGGGCTTGGAAGCCGAACAGGCCCGGCTGGCCGATTCCCACGACAGCGCCGGTGCCGCCGCGCTGAAAGACCAACTTGCGCCACTACAAGCCCAATTCCGAGACCTTTCATCTCAATTCTACGGCACGGAGAATGCTCCCTCGCCCGCCAACCCGCCTCCCGTCTCATCGCCCGACCTCAAACAACCAGTCCCCCAACACCCCCCATCCAAATCCGTACGATTCATGGACAACTCGGCCGCAGCAGCCGCAGTACAAGAAGAGATTGACGAGGAAGAGGATCGCAACCGGCAAAACCTCTTCCGACCGTACCGGGACGAGCCCTCACCGCCGGGGGTCGACCATTCCAACAGGGACAACCAGCAGATATTCGACCACCACTCGCAGGTGATGCGCGATCAGGACGACCAGCTGGATCGGCTCGGGGAGTCGATCGGGCGGCAGCACCAGCTGAGTATCCAGATCGGAGACGAGCTGGATGGCCATGTTGCATTGCTGGATGGAATGGATGGCGACGTGGAGCGTCACCAGACGCGGCTGGATGGCGCCAAACGGCGGCTGGATCGAATCCGGCGCCGGGCTGGCGAGAATTGGAGCATCATGACGATTATTGGGCTCATCATCATCCTGGTCATTCTCATTGTGATCTTGAAGTGATCTTTTTTGGTTGCTTTGGGGATTTGACGTTTTATGGCGAGCGGGCGTTTTTGGAGCTGATGCGATGCAATAGGGTTTTTGTTGCCAATGCTTTTTTGGGGTGTTGTTGGCGCAATGAGTTCTTCTCAAGATCCTCCCAGTCGAGGGAAACATCCCTACATATACGAGAATATCCTTGAATTCCTTTCATCTCAACTACAAGAGCTGATGCAGTAGTATCCCAGTGTGGATTGTAATACCTTTGAATTTATGGTGAGAATTCAATTACGTCCATGCTCATACAATCTCAATCTCGATGGAATATCAAGAACCAGACCCTACTAACGCCATTCCCCGAAAACCTCGAGAACCGGAGTATTCAACTATTGCGTCTTGTTCACCGGCCCCTTGCGATTCGGCAGATGTTTCGTGCGGTCCTGCAGCGCCTCAAAGGTAGCGTCGTCGGACTCGATCTCGCCGCGATCCGCCTTGACCTGTGTGAGCTGTTAGCTTTATCATCGTATCACAAGATAGACAAGGGGAAATATGAAGAAAAGAAGAGAGAGAGAGAGAGAGAGAGAGAGACATACATCAGCCTCACTGTTACTCGCCAACTCAGCCTTCCACTTCGCCTTGCCCTCCTTCGAGTTCTTCACCTGGTCTTCTTTCTGGGCTTCGTAGAAGTTGGGGAGATCGTCGCGGTCTGCAAATACAAGAAGATTGCGTTAGCCCCCACATATTACACATAACAAAAGACATCTATAGTTCTTGGTGTATAGAAAGATAATAGATCAAGGTACTGACTTTTGTCTGTTTCTTTCAGACTGGAACGCACAGCCGAGGTGTGGAATGTGGCTGACGAGGAGGCGAAGAAGGAGGGGCTCGAGGTGGTGGATTGGAGGGTTCGGCGTGAGGCCGAGCGAAGAGGGGGGAGGAAGGACATAATGTTGATGTGGTTAACTTGAAGATAGGGTAGGAGATGGTGATAAAGAAAAGAGAGGGGGGGAGAGGATGTGGTAGATGGCAGGTTGAGAGATAGCAATAAATATACTGCAGTAGTAAGATAAAATATTATGGAATCCAACCCAGAAGAATGATGCAGCTTCTTTTGCTTAAAAGTCCAACAGAGTACCAAACACACTCCACAGCCTCTCCAATTGCCTGCTTTCTATTTGATTCCCACACAGAATGCGTCTTTGTGAGTGGCTTTCCTCGACTCTCGGCCGTGACGTCAGCGATACTTAACCCTTGTCCAGCGGGAAAGCATAGAAACCCCTCGCCTCTATTGAAGTATAAGAGGGTATTAGGTGTACTCATGAGAATCTATTTTACTTAATCACATCATTGTTAGATTATTCTCTGTGGGTTTCTGTATATGGGTCACTTCCCGGATATAAGCCGATCGACAGTGGCAGTCGCAGTCTGCAGAACATGACATCACGAGACTTCCAAGGCCTATACTCGCCGTTTCAACTACGTGGTACTCATGCTGTGCTACTTGCAAGAATACACCGAACCACAACGAAATCAAGTCAAGTCAATTTGTCCAATATCTCTGTGCATGGGGGAAAAAAAACCACCAAAGATGTGGACAAAAAGAGATGCGATGGAACATGGGCAATGAGTGCCAAATAGAATTAACATCATATAGCACAAGTCACAAAACTCTCCGGGAGTTTCCCAAGAAGACACAAAAGAGAAACCAAAAGATCGTCGAAGTATGCAAAATGAATGGAAGGGAAAAACAAAAGCCGATTTAATAAAGAGCAGATGGTCTTTATAACTCGCAATCCACGAGAGACCCCCAGGATATCGATTTCAAACAGAAACAACTCCGCATCCCATGGTTTCGCTCGCAACCAAACCCAACCAGCCACACCTGTGGCAAGGAAGCAATGAGTATCGCGTGTCACCAACCTCCAACCGATATACAGGAACCAAAAAAGCCAATAGAAATAAAATCAAGAAGAAAGGAAACCAAAACATAGACGAGAAGGTGCAAAACAAACAAAAAAAAAAACCCAAAAACAGCCCAGAAGATATTCAACAGTGCCCAGGCAATGCAGACGTATATCGTTTCCGCCTCTAGATCCTTGCCAAAAAAAAAAACAAACCCCAAGACAAAAACACAAGCTGATAAGGAAATCGTGGACAAAGAAATGTCTCTGGCAAAAGTCACTCGTAAGCGACTCCCAAAAAAGGAATCAACTCCAAACCATGGGCATGCGCATCAAGTAGCAAGTCACCACACGTTCTATACATCATCGGTGGCCCAACCGAAAAGAGAAACAAGGCCGAAGGAAATATTTAGTCCCTCCCGGAGAGACATAAACAAGTATCGTAGGAGAAAAGAGGATGCAAGGAATCGAATCGCAGGCGCCGTCGCTCGCAACAAGCTAGAAGCATCGCAAAGGATCTAGATGAAAGGCGAAGGGTGGTCGTAATCGGCGAAACAAGAGGTATGTACAATAGCCGGTTTTGATGTTCTTTTCGGATTTTTTGGTGATTTTTTTCCGGGTCTTGGTCAGGTTCCCGGTATGGTCGTGTCAAATGCAAATAGCCATATCAGACAAGAATGCAAGGAGAAAAAAATATTATAACCTGCGATTAAAGGACCCCGATGATGCAGAAAGACACAGGTGACGGACGTGCAGAGAACATGCCGTTAGGGCGGAGACGGGAGGGTACTCCGGGCGACGTTGACAGACTTTTCAAGGCTCTCACCATCGACGCTGCGCAGCCTGCATCATCGCTGGGGAGATCGATGTGGGCGGGCTCGACAAGGTCATTCCGGTGTTGGGGTTGACGATCGGAATGACTTTGCGGGTCCGGTTTCCAGGCTGCTGGAAGCTAACCTGATTAGGATTACCCACACCAGCGTGGATGTAAGAGTTGGTCGAGGCAGGAGAGAGGGAGATGGACGGTGTAACCTGTTGCACCGGCTGGATTTGGTGCTGCAGAGGCGAGGTGTCAGGCGAGCCGCTGGACAGAGAAGACCGGTCGGAAGAAGCGGAGTGAATTGAGTGAAGCTGCAAAGCTTGTTAACAAGCTGTTCCCGACAAATTGTTGTGTTTTCACCGACGATCCTCAAGGGATGGTTGGTAAGGGGGGGCATGCTTGAGGATCAAAACATACATCATCCTCGGTCAGGAGACCAGGGCAGAACTCGAGGTCGTCGTCCAAATCGAACGAGCGTCCAGCCTCGAATCTCGCCCGGAAAGCCGTAACGGCCGGAGCTTCTGCCAGTTCCCGCATGCTCTTGACTCCTCGGAATTGCCGCTGGGCAGTCTGAGCAGCCATTTTCGGGGCTCGGCGCGAGCGACCGTGGTGATTTGTTTGCATGTGGGCACCGTGTTGATGGGGGTGTTGCTGGTGCTGTTGCTGATTGTAGAAGAAGGCGGACATGATGGAAGTTCGTGGTGTAATATGAACCAGCACCCTGAACCGAAAGAAATTGAAATATAAAGGAGATCCGAAAGTGAGAGAATATAAGATTGACAAGGAAAATGAGATGGAGTCGACAGTTGGGGAGACAAAGAGAATACAAGAGAAGAAGTTGGGATGGAAGATCGAAGTGTGTGGGAGAGAAGGGAAAAGAGGCGAGGGAAAAAAAGAGGGGTGTTTTGGGGCTGAGACGGCTGGTATGGTCACGTATGGTTACAGTGCCCTTGCCAGTGACTGTTCTGCCCCAACAAGATCTGTCAGTACCGGGTACCGCGCTAGTGAGAGCTGTTCACCAATGAGAGGTAGTTGGAGTTACCATGGTGGCAATGTGGATTCTATTCAACCAATTATATTTGCATGTATCCTCGTCGACCCACGGTTGAATGCCACTAGCCTGTTGAATAAGAAAACGTGACGTCGTCGACCACTCACTCTAACCCACCTAGGAAATAGAGTGACGATACCCCCCTACCGTCGAGAGTTGTGAGTGGCTACCCGCAGCCGCCAGCATCAACCCTCGTGTACGTGGACGTCAGGTATTGTGGCCTGATTACGCGGGTCCTCGACCCATGAAGTATCGTGATGACGATGCATACCTTTCAGAGTGTAGGGCTCGACAATGATGATTGTTACATGCTCCATTTTTCTCTTGCTCCCCTCGGCTCTTTTTTTGCTTTCGAAAGTGAGGCATGGGAATCCTTCTCATGGGAATCCTTCTCACTCTTGGAAGTCTCGTGCTGAGGGGGGCTGGGAAAGATTTTCTCGACTTTTTGAGGTTTGCTGCAGATGCAGGAGACTAGCTTCCATGGCTTTTCGTTTTCCCTACATTCTTGTGCCCCTATAGGGTGTCCGACCGGAAGTGATCAACACTCCAGTGCAAAGACCAGAGAAAATCTCGAGACACCCCATGATCCGAGCATTGGGGGCGTCCGTGCTGATTGGTGAGAGTGCTGAGATCTTAGTTTATCAGTTCATCAGTACGCAATTCGGATTAGGGGAACAAGGGGGCTTCCCACGCCCCGTGAGTCATTGGAGACCATCTCCAAACGGCTCCACCTTCGTGAGGTAGGTCTGGGATCTAATTCCGGCTTGGGTACCTGACCAAACCCGAGAAACATGCCCTGGGCGCTTGCTGGAACAATCTCTCCAGGTGGTACCCGACTCCTGGTGACAAACTGTCCGACACCCCCTCCCCCCCCATGAATAGAAACCGGGGGGGTTCCTCTGCGCACCAAAAATGAGTCCACCCCTTTTGCCCCTTGGCTTTGGCCTCACCGCTCCTCGGGGCCTGTTCGCCTTCCCCAGGCTTTCGCAAGAGACAAGTCACAACTGTGTCGACGTTGCTCGAAGCTTGAATCATGCAGCAGACACATCAGTCTTCCGAAGTCGGCATGGCATTTGCAGGAGATCTGACTGCATGGCCCCCCAGACACAAGCAAGGGACTTATCACACCCTCCGCCCTGGGCGGATCTGCAACCTGCCATGTTGCTCCAAGCGCCATGCCTTTTTGAGGCTGTCGCACAGACTATGCTCACTCCGACTCGGAAGTTTGTCTCAGGTGTTGGCTGGGATTGAAATGGTGATCACGGAGTGATTGAGTTAGTAGTTGAACATGGACAGATGCTGAACCAATGGTATGTTGACTCGATTGTTGTAGAGCTGTTTATTAGCCGTTCTATATTTTCAGCCACTGGTATATGCAATCTCCTGGGTATGGTCTCTGCTCGATACCTCGATAGAATAAACACACAAGAAAAAGTCTAGACGTATACTTGGTAGTCAATACTGGGATACAAAGTAATTAATTATTTTCAACAAAGCCAGTCTATCAGTTGCCCCAGACTAACCCAGAATCTTGTATATATACAGTAGAGCCCCAGTCGCATATAAGTAAACTCATCCGCGCACTGCCGCTTGCAACAAATCTACCGTATGCTGCCACACTCGCTCATCCATGCCCTGGTCCCGATACTCGCGCAGAATACTCCTTGTAGGCCGTGAATCACCACTCCAATTCAACAGATAAGCCCCGCTCCCCTTTTGACCGTCAATCCCAGTACTGACGTCCGAGGGATCAACCGGAACTCCCTGAGTCGAAACCCCATTCCGAGCCGGATACCGCGCAGAGCTCAGATGAAAGAGATGCCGCTCGCCACTTTCTTTCAAATTAACCGAGAAGGGCCACATCAAGGGCCACATGCCGTAGTTATATAGAGCCGCCACGGGCGGCGGGAAACTGTTGCTGTAGATATTGGTGCCCACCAGCCCCGGATACCCGTGGATGAAGCTGATTGCCGGGTGTTTCTGCGAGAGATGGTCCATGCTGAGCGAGGTCATGGTGATCGAGTGCTTGTAGGCATTGAGTAAAGAGAAGTTGTGTTGGAGAGACAGGTCGTCTGGGTTGATGGAGAATTCGAAGCCGCCGCCGTAGATGCTGACCACGCGACTTGGGCCGGTGGATTCGAGCAATGGGAGCAGGTTTTGAATGAATCGCATGCGCGAATAGTAGCGGAGTGCGAAGAGGGTATCAATGCCCTCGACCGTGTCTATATACTGGGGGTTAGTATACAGTTGCAGCAGTTGCAAGTAAAAGTGGATTGTTTACTTACCGTTGCGGCCGCCCAGCGAGATTCCACCTGGGGTCATAAAGAGGAAGTTGAGATGCTTCTCTTGATTCATGATTTGCTTGCATGCCCGGTCCACATTTCCAATTAGCGAGACATCGGCCTCGACGAAATGGAAGCGGCCCTGGGGGTTCAACTGTTGCAACTCTTCCAGGAACGGGGTGGCTCGGATCTGGTTGCGACCGACGATGTACACCGTGGGATTCGCGGCATGTCGTGCCAGCTGTCGTAATGTACTCTGGCCAATGCCACTGGTTCCTCCGACGAAGAGAGCGGTGATGTTGGGGATGGCTCGCAAGGCCTGGTTTGAAGCCTGGACAGTTCGAAGCGACACCATGGTGTGATTTGCGAAATAATGTTGAAAATGATCTTGATGAATTTGTTGATATTCGATCTGTACCTGCTTCCATTCGACTTTATATACAAATGCCATCGGTTGTATTGTTCATCGCTATTCCGACCGGCATGTTGCAATCGGGTAAGGATCGTCCGGACCGAACGGACAACCAGCGAACCGAGTGGGCTTGGCATCCGGACGGGAGCCTCAGGTGTTTATCCCGACACATCACATCGACTATATTGCCGTCCGAACATTAGATCGTCTTCCACCGGGATCTCGGAATATATATAGTGTTGTGGAATTGAGTCATACTACGTGAAGCCCGGGACGTCATGCATAACAATGCAATGCCATTTGATGCACTAATGCTGTAATTGTAATGCTCTAATGGACACCCAAACTCCAGATCGAACGCCTTTCTTGCATTCAACATATCCCATATGCTCAACCCTAAAAAACGAAAATCATTTGTCGAGATTCTTGCTCCTAACCATCCGTCCCAGGAGCTCTTTACAGTGCTTCTCACTGTATTGCTCCCACACCTCATATAACGAGACCAGCTCTTGAGTACACTCGATGACGGCTCTGATATCGACCTCGCTCTCTGCGAGCCAAGTGATAAGTTTCTGGATCCTGGGGGGAGGGCCTGATCCGGCTTTGTCCGTCAACGCTGCTAGCATATTCATGCCACCCCCTCTCTCATAGCGCCAACCAAGGATGCCTGCGCGGAGCCTGCGAAGTTGCCTGGATGGGATGGCTTAAAAACCACCGCGACGAGAATCGCCATGATTGCAATGACGTGTGGCGGATGGAGCAGCGGCAGATCCGTGAGATAGTGGTCATTAATCACTGACCAGGCCAAAGCCACCTCATCCGAGCTGAGTGAGAGCTCAGACTGAAGTTCCGACAAAGTCCGATACGGATGGTGCACGATGAGTTGCGAGTTCATTTCCGAAATCAATGCAAACTCACATTCGCCGAGCTTGGCGACATCCGGGGTGATGAATTCTGTGGTTAGTTAGCTTACGGCCTGTCTGTCAAAATCGCCAGACGGTCGCGGGGTTTGTTACCTGGCCATAGTCCGCGTGCTTCACCGACCACAAACCGGATGTGTTGTGGACACTCTTCTATCTTGCAGGCCAGATAGAAGGCGGTGGTCAAGACAAGATATGGATTTGTCTGTCGAATCTCGTTCTTGGTGTAGAATCTTTTCAAATACACCTGGGCTGTGGCAATGGCCTGTTGCCGGGTGGACATTCGCTTGCCAAGCTTGATGAGCTCTGTTGAGTGAGCATGTTTAGCCGCCCGCATCGAACTAGACCGAGGTACTTTGGAAACATTCCCAAAGTGGGGAGACCTACGCTGGTTGAAGTAAATGTTCAGTAGACGCTGATCCGGCAGCAGGAACTGTGAATGTGCCAACTTGTCACCGTTCTGTAGTTTGGCACGAGCATCGGCCAGCGTCTCTCTAGAGAACAGCCAGTGTTGACGCTGAGTCGATGCCCAGTAGTTGGCCGCCATGCCAGATTGGGGGTTGGGAGCACGACTTTAGGAAACCAACTACGGAAGTCTGGAGATCCAAGACATTCCAGATTCCGATTCACAAGACCCTGCAAGCTATAAGCCTGCAATTCGGTATAGTCGTGCAGTGAAGGCGGAGAAGAAGAAGGCGATGCCTGACCAGGTGACTTGGCGTCCCAAATAGGTATAGTAGGGTTTGGCCCTGGTCCCGTGCCGCGGTGATGGCGTCAAGCGCCAAAGCAAATGATCGGGCTTCGATTAATCATTCAATCCATCCATTTCATGGACCTCGACTCCCCCACGCTTGGTCCCCGACCCTCTTGTGCTCACTTCACTCTTGATTCCCAACATCTAAGTCAGTGCTATTTGCGAAAGTTGTTCCGAAACGCCTACGACCGAAGGGAGGAAAAAATAATGACGGGTGCCCGGTAACAACCTTCCCGAACATGGCACCCGGCGAGTCGACAGATGAGCGTGACGAGAGAGTTGCAAAACTCTGGGGGTCGCTGGACACGCGCAGGGAAGGCCATATCGATTTAAACGGATTACGAAAGGGGCTGAAGAAGATCGATCATCGTGAGTCTGACCGGGTCCCGTGCCGCCTATGCACCCGACTGACCTCGGGTGATCAGCTCTCAAAAATGCAGATGATATGCTCCTCAGTATTCTGCGAGAAGTCGACACCAATGGCGACGGTCGCATCGATTATGACGGTAAGATCACGAGCGTGGGTGCCCCCGCCGGAGGATCCTGGGTTCCTAACTCTCCTCCAGAGTTCCGAGCATTCGTCAACCATACCGAAGGTGGACTATGGCAGATGTTCCAGCGCATCGATCGCAACCACAACGGAGAAATCGACAAGGCCGAGTTGCGCAGCGCCTTTGCAAGCTCGGGGGTGACGGTCTCGAGTGCCAAGCTGGACCAATTCTTTGCCGAGGTCGACAAAAACAACGATGGAGTCATCTCCTATACCGAATGGAGGTACGGCCCCCTGTTCATTCAAGTCAAGTGAAAATGGCTAGACTGACGCGCGCTTAATTTCCCCAGGGATTTCCTTCTCTTCCTCCCGCTGCATTCCCCGTCGGACCTACACGCGGTCTTGTCATACTACACGGCCACGGGCAATCTAAACCCGGAAGGAGATGTCCACATCAATGATCTGCAGGGTTTAGGTACAGACCACTCGTTTCTTAACCGTTATCTCCTGGTCATCCACAATCTGTTGTACAATCTCCTGTCACTCCACGCCCTGGCCTTTCTCTTCCCATCAGCCCACGCGCAAACCAGCCAAACTTCAAAGTTGGGAACCGCTTTCGGGAATGAATTTGTCTCGTTTGACGGTGACTTTGAGTTGGAGTGGTTGCCAATCCCCAGGACCGTCGCCATGTGGATGTCCCTCCGATATTATGAACGGAAGTTGACCGAAAATACCCCTCAACTAGGCTACTTCATTGCTGGTGGGATTGCGGGTGTTGTGTCCAGGACGGCCACTGCCCCCCTCGATCGTCTCAAAGTCTATCTCATTGCCCAAACCGGTGTCAAGACCACGGCGGTCCGTGCCGCGAAGGAGGGAGCCCCGTTGGCCGCCGCAGGGAGTGCATCCAGAACGCTGGTTGATGCCCTTAAAGAACTCTGGCAAGCTGGAGGGATGCGAAGCTTGTTTGCAGGTTGGTTTCACCCATAGCCTTCGACTCCAACATCTCAATCTGACCAAACCTATAGGGAACGGGTTAAACGTGTTGAAGGTTATGCCGGAGTCTGCAATCAAGTTTGGGGCTTACGAGGTTTGTTACCTGAAATCTGGGGTTCAACCTTGAGAAATATAGGAAGCTGACGTGGGCAGTCTGCAAAACGTGCATTCGCCCGACTTGAGGGGCATAACGACCCCAAACGACTTCTTCCTACCTCGCAGTTCCTGTCCGGCGGTATTGGTGGCATGGTAGCCCAGTAGGTTTTGCGTCATTACGAAGAGAGGCGTGGATCTATAGCTAACCAACACAGATGCTTCGTTTATCCCCTCGACACCCTCAAGTTGTAAGTTCATGGCCCGGGAATTCTGTGGTGTCACATAGCTGATTATCTTTAGTCGCATGCAGTGTGAAACCGTGGAAGGCGGTCCGAAAGGCAACCAGCTCATTGCAGCAACGGCGAAAAAAGTGTGGAACAAGAACGGCTTGTTCGGCTTCTTTCGCGGACTTCCTCTGGGCCTGATGGGGATGTTCCCCTATGCCGCCATCGACCTGACGACCTTTGAATACCTGAAGCGGGCGCTCCTGGCTCGACAAGCTCGCCTCAACCACTGCCATGAAGACGACGTGCCCCTGAACAATTGCACCACGGGAGCAATCGGTGCTCTCAGTGGAGGGCTGAGTGCCTCGGTTGTCTACCCCCTCAACGTCCTTCGAACTCGGCTACAGGCCCAAGGCACAGTCCTGCACCCGTCAACATACTCCAGCATTGGGGATGTTGCGCGTAAAACTCTTCAAACCGAAGGACCTCGTGGCTTTTACAAAGGAATTACTCCCAATCTCCTCAAAGTGGCACCAGCTGTGTCCATCAGTTATGTGGTCTACGAGAACGCAAAGCGATTCCTCGGCCTCAGATGATTGTCCATCTCGGCTCAACACTCCACCTCGATCCCTCAGTCCCTCGACACTTCTGGCTGGCCACCAGCCCACACAGTCAAAAGCATTCTGACTTTTGCCAACCTTCCTTCGCATTCACTACGCCGCTGCCCACTCATCTTTGATTCACCTCTTCCCCCCCTTTTTTTCTTTCTTTAGAAGCTTTTCCACCACGATACCCGCAAAAAGCCGTCATCATGACCAGCACAGCCCTTGATCTGGGGCCATGTATCTGCGCATTTTCTTTCTTTCTTCTTTTCTTTCAGCTATTTTTTTTTGCATTTGCTCTTTCTTGGAATCTGGCCTTGCGGCCTTGGTTCCTGGCTTTTGTTTTCTTCGCGTGCATGGCTCGTATGCGAGCCAACTGTATCTTGAACAAACATTGCGACAAGAGACAAACGGGGCAACCCACCACATCAGCATGGCGAGGCGTCGAGGATGCAATACCAAGGGAATCTTTTTTTTTTTTTTTTTCATACTGGAAAATACATTACATTTTCTTGTTACTGGAGCTATGCTTCCAATGTTTTTAGACATATTGGCCATCTTTCCAAGGCCCTCTTAGTGCCAGTGTACCAACACATAAAGACATTAGATCCTGACAATGTTTTTAAACCGAGAGAAGAAAACATTAGGTTCCTAGACATGAAAGTAGAGAGCTTTATTTAGCTAACACTGTTCAACCACCAACCCAGTTCGAGCCCTAACTTGCCCTCCTGGTCATACATCACCAGATGGCCTGCCCCATCAATCAAGACTACATCCCGAGCATTCAACGCTTCCTTTAACCTCTGTGCCGTCTCCACAGGAATCCACCTATCCTCTTGCCCCCAGATTATCCTTACAGGCATCTTCTCCCCAACCTCCGAATATCTCCCCTCAACCTCCTCCGTGCTCCGACTATTAGCCTGCACCATCTGCCTCACAAAGCTCCGTCTCCCCTCCTCACTCGAAACCCACGGCCTCTTCAACATCGCCATCGTCTCCATCCCCAGCTCGCGAAAAGCCGCATCTCGAATATACGACTCGACCACGCCCTCAAAGACAGGCCCCGTCAACGCAGCAAAGACGCCCTCATTCTCCGCAATCAGTCTAAACAGAGGTTGACCGAAAGGCCCCAACGCAACGACATTAATCAGACACAGACTCGCAAACTTGCAGCCATGCACCAAATGAGCCCGTAGACTCATCAGGCCGCCATGGTCGTGTGCGATGACATGGGCAGCCTTGGTGGTGTTGTTCTGCTGCTGCGGCCAAGTCTGTGCCCAGGATTTGTAGAGCGCTGCGAATACCTCTGACTGCTGCGCCAGATCTGCGTCCAGGGCGACTGCCTTGCTGATTGTGTATTCTTTGTCTGGTAGCGGCTGGCCGAGCGGGCTCTCGCCGAACCCGGGGTTGTCAAAGAGGTAGACGTGGAAGTATCTGGCGAGGGATTGTGCGTAGACCTGCCACACGCGTGAGGACCACGGTGTGCCGTGCACAAATACCAGCGGTGGGGAGGTGGCATCTCCGAGAGAGGTCCAGCGGATCTGGTAGCTATGGGTGTTGGTGGAGTAGTGGAAGGTTTGAGTGAGGTTGATAGGTGAGGGATCCATGTTGCTTGCTGGATTTGATAATTGGGGGGATTTGTACAATTGCTTTGGAGGCTGGAGCAGTGTATAGTTCTAATGTTCTTTTCGAGGTGCCTTTTTTTCTTCCTTTTTATATCATGGAGGGTTGGTGTAGTATTATTAATGCCATGGTCGCCTGCAGTCAAATGAATCAGATATTGCTGTCAAAGTGGCCAATCACTCAATACACGAAAGTGGGTTGCCCGCTCAGACCCTCCACCCATGGCTTCAACATCGATTCAATGGCCAACACACAATCTCCTGTTAGTATAAGCATGGCGTGTCTGAGCAAAGGCAAGTTCTACGATTCAAAGACAATGGCGGATTAGACAAAACAACAGTGGGTCCTCAGTCCTCCAGTCAGTGGACCAAGGAGAGCGAGCCCGGTGGATCTCTATAGGTGTCGAGATTCTAGTGTTGGAGAGGGCCAACTTCCAAGAGTTTCAACGGCAAGGCTGTTGTGGGGTCTATGTGAGGTCAGTAAGTTAGCCCCCTTTTTTTTTGTAGGGTCCACCAGTCGCACACTCTCTTCATTTAATCGCACACCTTACCCCTTAACTTCTATGTTAGGAAAGTATTGAGAGAGAGGATTTGAGTATACGATGACAAGGAGGAGTATGCGACTAGTGGAAGTCTTTTTATACATCAATCATGAACTCGAACACATCCTCCTCGCAAGTGCCCGACTGTTTTGCCCCTTCGGTCCACTCGGCCCCCTCGTCCCCATAAGCAGCTGGGACTTTTTTTTTGTTTTATTTTCTTCCCATGGCCATAACCTCTTTCCCTCGTCCATCTCCTCCCGGGGGGACACTGCACTGTGGATTGGCAACAAAAGATGTTGCCTTACATCCCCATTCTTTTCTTGTTCTTGCTGTTCAGCACGCGGAATGTGGTTGTCGGGAGCCCCGTGGCCTCGCCAGCCCCAAGTGCCTCCGCCGAACAGCCAGTTTATATGATTTTTTTTAAAGAGGAGGCAACCCAACAGGAAAAAACGGACTATGCCACCAAGCTTGAAAATAAAGTATCAGAAGATTATATGGAAGCGATCATGGAGGATGATGATGACATTTATGCTATTGCAGCTGTCCTGACCGAGAAAGAAATCCCCGAGTGGAAAACGAGTATTGTAGGTCAATCTCTCCCTCCCTCTCTCTCTCTTTTTTCTCTCTCAATCAATCTGGAGGATGCATATCTTAACCTCACTCATAGGTAGAGAAAATCGAATCAGCCAACGCCCAGCCTGACGAAGGCCTCCTGAACGACAAGTCCCAGATCGAGGCGCGAGACATGTACTATGACAGAATGAACACCATCGACCCACGCATAGATTATGAGGACATGCTGTTTCTCTCCCAGCCAAAGGGGTTGGCTATGGATGAGTTAACTGATTTTACTTACGACGACACGGCCGGGGCCGGTGTCACGGTTTATATCTTTGATTCGGGGATCAACCTAGAGCACGAAGAATTCACCACCTCGCCCCCCGGCATCCGCAGAGGCAAGATTTCCGTGCTCAAAACCAAGCGAAGCAAATTCGGGAAACTTCTCGACAATCCTATGCACGACGAACATAGAGACGACCATGGGACTTGCGTGACGGACCGAGTCGTCGGCACCCTGTATGGCAGCGCGAAAAGCGCCAACGTCAAGATGGTTCCATGGGCCTGGAATCGGGGAAGACGCTGGCTTTGGGGCGTTGAACGGGAAGTGTTGGCCATGGTCCTGAAGGGCCTGCGAACCATCATCAACGACATCAAGGAGGAACGCAAGAAACCGGAAAACAAAGACGGGTTTTTCCCGGTCCTCAATCTGAGTTTCAATTACCACGTTGATAAGGAAAAGAACCAAAAGACCTTGCAAGCCTGGCATGACATGATCCAGGAATTGATCGACCTGGACGTCACGATTTTGGCAAGTGCCGGCAACAACGGGACAATGTCCCCCAGGGTCAACGACTATCCGGCCCTTTTCGCCGAGAGCTTTCCCAGCATGATTGTCGTTGGGGCTGTGAGCACGAGGGGAATCCCGCCTCACTTTACTCAGGGGATAGATGATCCTCTGGTGAAAGCCTTTGCGCCTGGGACGTATGGTCCCGGGCGATGGATGCGATGCGCGGCTGGGCAGGGGAAAAATAGCTGGCAGGACACAGCAGGAACCAGCCTTTCGGCTTGAACTGTCTCTGGGTTGGCAGCCTACAAGATTTCCATCGACCCAGATATCCGTGTCCCAGGAAAGGTGGCACAGGAGGTGGCAAACTGGATATGGAGGGAAGCTCATCCCCGGTATCATGGCGGTCCGCCTGGGGTATACAACGGAGCGATTCCGATTATATGCTAAACCGAAAATAAAGTCGAAGAATCATTATGTCTACTAATCATATCATTAACTATATAGTCACCACTATTCTATCTACAAGGACTAGCTTGTGAGAAAATCCCGTTCGGAAAGTTAATTTGACCCCTACATCGTATATACCGTATATCCTTGGCTATCTCAAGGGTAGGATCAACCATAACACCCGAATCAGCGGGGAGTTTCACACCTCCCCAGCTTCGGCTTGCCCTGATGAGCATATATCCATAGATGACTGATGCTTCTCTGATAAGCCGACAATTTTGCGTGGACCTTTATTAGGAGCACTAACGTAAAACATTAGGATGGAGAATTGGAAAGGCGATGTGCAAATTCGACAAGGATACTCATATCACCAAGCCGAATCAAGCGCGCGCGAGTCTCGGTCCACCCAAATATGCACGCCCACGGAAGTAGTTTATCGCCTCTTTGTGATTGGGAGTAAAAGAGAGGAGAGAATAGAGAGGCAAATGCAGACCTCTCCAGAATGGAAGGCCATCTCCGACTGCTCCTATACATGTGACGGACCGGCCGTGGATCTCAGCACCCAGCTATGTATGCGCGTTCCACTTTCCAAGAACCGTGGTCCAGCTCGGCCGATCATTTCAGAACCCCGAAGCTCCCCTCCCAATGAGCATGACGAGTAGGGGAGTAGCGGGTGCGGGATATCCATAAATGGAGGAATAGGGTTTGGGCCGGGGGATTCCCGCTTGAGTTTTGCAGCAGCCACGGAACTTGAGCTATTTTAATGTGATATGTGACCGGTGTAATGCACGAGAGGTCTCAGCCCCCCAATCGCCAAGGGAGCTTTGGACCTCGCCGGACCGAACCGCAGCGCTGTATCAAGGCATGATTTTCAGGCCGTGCGAAATTGCCGCAGATCTTTCCATGTGCTGCAGCATTCAGGGTTGCATACCTCTTTTTTGTTTTTTCTTTTATAGACCCCGAGTTGATGTTCCCCCTGAATAAAAAACCGAGTGATGCAATAACTCGATCCAAGTCCCAACTAGCAACTGCTACAAAGACATCAAGATCCCGGAACCAAACTTGGTAGGGCAGAAGGATTGTGTCAGTGAGATTCAGTGTGATCGCCCCACTCAATAGTGGCATTGCAGCAAAAAGTGGCATTGCAGCCAAAATAAAAAAGAAAACAAGAAAAAAAGAAAACAAAATTTGCCTGGGCCTGTTCCTGCGACTTGCCGTTGATGATCGGGTCGATACGCCCGATCGTTGGCCTCTGTGCGTCCGATCGGAAGGATCTCGTGGCCCCTCAGGCCGATTCGCTGACTCTCCGCAACAGAAGCTTTCTGTGCACGCTAACCTTGTTTTTTTTTTCTTTTCTGTTCGTACTGTTGTTGAGTGTCACTCAATCACTCCAGTCTGCAGAGTGGGAGTGTGATGGCCTGGGGAATTCTCGTGATCCATTCCAACCACGATTCTCTCCCCAAAAATGAGCCTGACTGAAAACCGAGCGAGAGACACGTGTGGGACAATCCCTCCGAAGATGACCGGAGAATATCCCTGCAAGAAAAGGAAGCGGATCCCGGATCGAGTGGAATCAGAGTGGAGAAGAAGCAGCAAGTCTCGAGTTAGCAAAATCGATAGTCTTTGACAATCCGTGATCGCCAAGAGATTCATTCACCCATGGCCCCCTGTCAATGCCGTCAATTCGACTTCTTCACAGTGGAGCTTCTCGCAGAATCTCAGGGTTCTCTGGAATCAAGGCTTTCCCTCAAGACTGGTCTGGTCGACCCCACAGCCCGATGGCACTATATAGCAACTATCTATTCCCTCCTTCCGATCTGCAGGGGAAAAGAAAGAAAAGGAAAAAAAAAAGGCCCGCAACCTCCTCTCACTATTGTTCCGGCAGCTCACTTAAAGTTGTCCGTGGCCCCGGTACTCGGGTCGCCAGTGTGGGCGTCTTTTGTTCATTCCTTCACTCACGGACCCTTGACTGCGCTATCCAACTTGATCAACTTTCCTTCCACTCTGTCTTGTCTTGTCTGCTCTTTACGCTCTTTTTTTTTCTTCTTCCAAAGCCACCATGGGATCCGAACTTGGAGTCCACGCCGACTCTAAGCCGGGGATCATGATCAACTCGGTCACCATTTGGTGGGCGTGTTGGACATGTATCTGGACGGCCGTCGTCGCGCTGGGCATCGCCTATCTCATCGCTCACCGCACCTCGCCGACTCTCCGGATTCGAGGTCTCGGTCTGTCGCTATCAGCCATTGTGTTTCTTCACATCTACTGGGCGTCCGTCCAACTTGGCCTGATGTATGGCCCTCTCTTCCCAGGAGACTGCGAGTACTGGCTCATGGGCACCTGGTTGCCCTGCGGTCTTGCTATTTTCCACGCTTCCAACAGTCGCTTCCTTCACGTTGCCAAACAACAAAAGAAATATGCCTGGTCGAGCCCTCGTCTTCTCGCCTCCCCGCCTGACCAGGAGCAGAAAACCGGCCTGATCGGTCGCTTTCGCCGTCTCAGCTATACCAGCAAGATTCTCATCGTCGTTGGCGTCTCGGTCCTCTTCCAGGTACGATAATCACTCTCCTTACCTCCTTCAGTCTGTCTCTTTGTATGGCCCATCTGATTCATGATTTGTAGCTCTTCCTTACTGTCCTCATGTGGGTTATTTCCCGCAAGTGGCACAGCTCATGGGGTATCCCTGGGACGGAAGTGCATGGCACCCCAATGGAGCAGAAGATGGAGATGGGCCGAGGCTGGGAGTGGTGGCCCGGTGTGTTGATGCAGGTTGTCTGGTCTTGGATTATTGCCCCGATCGTTCTTTGGAGGTCGCGCAACATCCGCGATACCCAAGGCTGGCGAGTCCAGACCATTGGCTGTGCAATTTCCAGGTGAGCATAAGGATTGAACAAGAAAAGGAAACAAACCCATGCTAACATCTCATGCAGCCTTCACGCTACGCCCATGTGGCTCATCGCTACTTACGTCCCTGCTATGGAGCCTCTCACTCGCTACTGGCTTCCTCCGCAGTGGTAAGTTTCCCCGATTAAATCGTGTAAGAGGGTCTCTGACGTTTTCAGGATCTGTCTTTCCATCGTTTTCATAGAAATTTTCACTATCTTTGTTCCCTGCTGGGAGGTGATGCGTCACCAGGCTCTCCGACAAGAAACCCTCGACTCGATCGCGCAGTGGGAATTGAAGACCAAGGGCGCCGGTGGCTCGGAATCCAAGTCCCTGGCCTCCGGCTCGACGATGGTGGAGTCCCTTATCTCCGGATTCAAGTCATTGAAGGGATCCGTCAAGACCACCGGCTCGAACGAAGGCATCCTGACCCTGGGCGCGCTGGAGACCGTCCTGGAGCGCAACCCGGCGCCTCTGCAAGAGTTCTCAGCGCTGAGCGACTTCTCCGGCGAGAACATCGCCTTTCTGACCAGCGTCGCCGAATGGAAGAACTCTCTCCCCAAGGCGGTTTGGGACAACACGGCCGCCAAGGACAGCAACGTCAAGGAGCTGATCCGCGAGCGGTTCAACCGCGCGCTGCACATCTACGCCGAGTTCATCAGCCCCAGCCACGCCGAATTCCCCATCAACATCTCCTCGCAAGACCTGCGCAAGCTCGAGGTTATCTTCGACCGCCCCGCGCTTCTCCTGTACGGCGAGGCCAAGCACGACGTCAACCCCATCTCTCCTTTCGACACCCCGCGCGGTTTCCCCTTCGAGCCTCCCTCGCCTACTTCCTCAGAGAACTCCGAGAAGGCTATCCACAACATCAAGGACCGCGTCCAATACTGGGGCGAGGTGCCTGAGGAGTTCGATGCGAGTGTCTTCGATGACGCTGAGGCTAGCATCAAGTACCTTGTTCTCACCAACACATGGCCCAAGTTCATCCGGAGCAGCAGAGTCTCCATTGACTCGTCTGCTACCATTGAGGTCGGCAAGGAAATTGTCTAGCTGGGTCATGAGTGGCAACGCGCGCGTGTGAGAGGTTAACGGTTTTGTCTTCAGAAGAGACCCCCTTCTTTATCTTTATTTATTTTTTTTTCAACTCCATCACATCTTGGAGGACTTGTATATATTACTTTTTTGGGGGAAAATGTGTGCTGGATGTAATTACTATACCCATATACGATGTGTCATATAATGATAATCAATAAAATCGAGCTGATGTCTGCATATACAAGCCCCCCTACCTATCTAAGAGAAAGGATTTCCTTGCACCCATGTGATGGGATTCAAGAATAATGGCAAGGAAACGCGTCGGGCTGACGTGGATATTGCTTTCCCATAGATCGGCACGATCCAGGACGTGTGAGTAAGCCCAGGGCGAAGAGGAGTCGGAGTTGATTCCGGACGTGGTTTAGCTTGGGGCGAAAGTGTTACCCAGTAGGGTCTTGGCGAGGGTATTCAGTTGCTCGGAGATTCTCTTTGCAAATGCATACGCACAAGCGAGATTGACTCGTGGCTAGAATAAAGAAAGCCGCATTTTTGAGACCTCTTCTACTACTAGGGCTATTAGCTTTTTAGGGCTATGCTCGAAATCAAGCCATTATATCTGGTCGAGCCATTATATCTGGTCGGGCTAAGGATATACATAGCCACCGGCTCGGAATATCTATTGCTTGGCCTTGTTTTCACATCTTGCTTTCAACAAACAGCCTTGTGATTATTTCGAAAATCACCCCTGCATATCTCTGTGTTGCTCTTTACGGTAGCGATAAACAGCCCAGGTTGCCCAATATAATCTGTTTCGAGTTTCCGGGGTATCGAGTCATTTCAGGCGATTCTGCCTCGGACACCTCAAAATCATAGCCATGCGTTTTTATTTCTTTTATTATTCCCCTAGTAAGTAAGAGGTTTTCTTTCGCGAATATTCCCCCGAGTCAGACATGGTTACGCATTGCTAGCAAGCACAGTGCTTATTTCTTGCTGTGTGGTTTCTAAAAACACGGAGTATTGTAATGAAAGTCGAATAATTTCGAATGATCTACCACCAATTCTCAGGGACCCTCGGCTACCCGGTGCTAGTGTAGTCTCATTCTACTATCATGCTAGTATAAGTGACTTCAAAGTGATAGCACTCGAGGGAAAGATGGGGGAGCATCTGTTAGGGAGAATGAGTCTTGGACCAAGGAACTCTGATTCTGTCTATCTACCTGAATGTCGGACTATTAGCAGAATTCCTAAAACTTACTCTTAGCAAGAAGTTCCTGTAAAGTCCACCGATCATCTTCTTTGCATAGGACATGCTCGAACCAGTCGATGACATCCTTGATATCATCATCTTTCCGAATTTCCTCTGGAAAAAGCTTCCCTGGTATATCCTCATTCTTCGAATATGCAAGCATCAAATAAACCCAATACCAAATAGGGTCGCTCTGAGATTTAACAGGTGTTCGGAGAACTCTTTTAGAATAAACCTTCATCTCCGTGGTCACCTTGCCCGCATATTCACCAATCATGAGGTAAAACACAAGCATCCCAATTGTCCAGACCACTGCGCGATCAATAGTCCAGTTGACGTGGGTGTTTTCGTTGAGCAGATATGCGATCATTTCTAATGACTAGTATTAGTCCTGCGAGAATATTCTGCAACGGGTATCAATATCTTACCAGGAGGCATATACCCCTCTGTTCCAATAGCTCCCTTATGTCTCTTAAGATCACCCGCAACCGCCATATCCCAGTCAATAACCTTCCAGTTTCCCTTGGAGCTCTTCCTGGAATCATCAACCATGATATTATCGAGTTTCAGATCCAGGTTGTAGATATTATGCTCCGCAGCGTCCTCCGCTGCTCCAATCACTGTATTAATCACAAGCGATTTATCAATTGGATCGTTCGAGCGATTCATCTTTTCGGCGTCCTTATCCAATTTTTCGAGTGCCACCATTGACTTGTATGTGTCTGATTTGCCCGGCGTGCGGATCACTCGTTTCGCAAAAGCGAAGATAGCGACAATATTTTGGCTCTTGAGGGCGCCGATTCTTTCAGCGATTGAATAGCCTGATGGGCCATCTGACACTTTGATAGCTGATACTTTCCGAAGATCGCAATCGCTTTTGGGTCTTTCCTGTAAGATAGTGCCTTGAAACTCCGTTTCGTATGCGACAACTGTTCCCTTTGTAGATAGATGAGCCAAGTTAGTATAGCAAACCTGTAGATATTACTTGCTGCCATACTTTTGTAACCTTTCCCTGCCCCCCTTAGCCAAGCGTCTTCCCATTGAGGTTCATTTCGCCAGTCCAATAAGCTTCCTTTGGCTTCAACTTTTTCTGGTCAAACCCAGGCCCTGTGGCCTTGATCTTCCAGAGCTTGGGCTTGCTAAGCACTGCCCAATATTCCCCCTAGCTGCGTCCCGCTTATCAAGGGTGCTTTCGCCGGTCGTGGAATTGGACATGCCAAGTCTGTAGGTTTTGTTAAACGCGACGAAATCCTTGACATGACTTTTGTTAAAAGGGAAAAATGGCTTTGAAGGGAATTGCAACTTCGAAGACCTCTTAAAGTTGGGGACAATTGATGCGGCATATGAAAATGGCGTAGCAAGACACATTAGCCCTACAAGAAGGGCGCAAAGTTGGGCAGCTGGCTGCATCTTGATCGTAGAGGCCGGGGAAGGAATAGGGAAGGATTTCAACTTTGCGATAGGGTCCAGGGGAGATAAGAGCATCTTATTCTAATTCTCAAAAGCATTTGCTATTTTTAATTCTTATGTCTTAAGAAACATGTAATCATCCAAGGAGTGGTAATGTATCGAAACGAAGACCTCTCCGCTCTTTATTGTTGGAAGGTAGCCCTATACGTTTGTTTCCCATCAAGAGTCTCCTCCAATCAATACAACCAAACGAAAGATACATAGAAGTATTGAGCTTACTAATTTCTCATATATACATATGTAAAGCCCCCTGGGGCGGGTTATAGCCAGGGGGGAGGGGGGGGGTGATACGCCTAAAACACAAAGGAATTGGGGGCGGAGGCGAAGGAATCCATGATGTCTGTTGTCCACTCAAGTCGCCTGACGCCTGTTTGGTGTCGGTGCTCTACAATCGCCATACACTTAAATTGAAACATGTATATACCAGTGGGCACGGCGCCCCCCGGACCCCCAGCCTTAGCTGGTTGGTAAGACGCCGAAGAGATGCGGAGCGTAGCTTCAGTATAGGCGCAATTTCTATATGATTATCGAGAGGCTCTTAGTTTGTTGCGTCGCGTAGCTTCGGCGTAAACGTAATTTTTAGACCCCGCCTACGGCTAGTATTTTAAGCGTAAGGTTTAATATAATATAATAAAGATCTATTTTCTATTACATATATATATTTTTTCTATATAATATTATATATATATATATACACTAGGGGGCGGCCCCCCCTAGGACCCCCGTCTAATTTTTGAATAGACGATCAGTAGAGGGATAGTCACGTTTCTTATCACATAAATTATCACGTGAACAGCATTCGAGATTTTAACTATACCAAAAACTGGTTTATGTAGGGTTCAAGACTACAAAAGTCACTGATAATGATTCGATTTAACCAATCATAGCGCCAGAATCCGGGTGTAAGTCACATGGCATACATTGAGCCTACCTTGGGTTAAAGAGAAAAGGTCACGTGAGCCGAGGATGGTTATTTAGAGTGCTCCGCTATGCTCCGCAATCAAGATGAGTCCTTGTTTGTGACTCTTGTAGTTATAACAATCCTCACATAGTAGTTTAGTTTCTTAAATTCTCTGCACTGACCACTAATTCGCGGCGACAACACATTTCTGCTAATTCCCCAAATTTCCTTGAAAAGAAAGAGGGGGGGGGGATCATTTAGAAATCATTTAGAAATCATTTAGCCGCCTTCACAACCCTAACCTCCTCATCCTTGGGCAGAATATCCGGCAGCGGCCCAAGAGGAGTGATAGCAAACTGATTAATCTGTTTATGGCTCTTGGTGTAATGGAACTTGATGTGTTCAAAGTTGGTGGTGTCATGGAAAGCAGGCACATCCCAGTACAGACGACGGACCCAGCGATGGATGGCGGGGAACCCGGACCGGATATCGCGGAGGTTGCACTTAAAATGCTGCACATAGACAGGGTCGAAGCGGATGATGGTCGTGAACAGCCGGATATCGGCCTCGGTGATGGCATCTCCGAAATAGAACGCTGACGACTGACTGAGGTGTGACTCGATCTTGTCCAGCGAGGCGAACAGCGTCTTCACGGCGCGCTCGTAGGCTTCTTGGGTGGTTGCGAACCCGGATTTGTAGACGCCGTTGTTGACGTCGTTGTAGATCCAGTCGTTAGCGGCGTCTATGTTTTTTTGGAGGGCTGGTGGGAAGAGATCAAGTTTTTGGAATTGCTCAGGGAGAAGGTCGTCGAACTCGTGGTAAAGCATGCGGATGATCTCGGCGCTCTGTGGGGACAAAGAAAATTAGACTGAGCTTGGATCTTGTATGTCAACTTCTTTTCATGCTTCTGCTGTCATACCTCGTTGCTGACAATCAGCTTGTTCTTCTTGTCATACAAAACCGGGACTGTAAACCGGCCCTTGTACTCCGGATCATTGGAAAAGTAGATTTCGCGGAGATGCGTGTACTCGGGATGCAAAGGATCAGGGACAGTGTTCTCCCCCGGCAGATTCTCATCAGGCGTCGGGAACCGCCAGCCTAAAACCTCGTTAAACCTCATACATTCATACCACTGAGATAAAAATACTCACCTTTCTCTCCGAGGTGCCAATGCACTGACGAGAAGGAAATGATATCCTCAAGACCCTTCAGCTTCCGGGTGATCAAAGTCCGGTGGGCTACAAGTGAAACGGGATTAGCACGAGCCGGAATATTGAGAACAGAGAAATCGAGAAAACAAAACAGATCAATAGAATAGCTATTATACATACCCCAAGGGCAAGCATAGGACACATAGAGATGGTACCGGCCCTTCTCCGGAGGAAACTGGGCGCCGGGCTCTCTGGAGATCCAGTTCCTGAACGCTGACTGCTGGCGCTTGAACTCGCCAGACTTATCATTGGGGTTCACCCAGTCAGTGATCTTGCTTGTATTGCCTGTCTGCTGAATTGTTAGCCAACTCGTCGAGAGAGAGAGAAACAGCCGAGCCGATGTCACCACCTACTGTCATGTTTCGTGATTTGAGTGATACGACGAAGATACAGCTTCGGGAAGCAGCGAAAAATCTTGATGGAGCTTTGGGACAAATATTGCAGATTACTGTAGGCCGTAGCAGAGCAAATAACATCGAGGCAGAGCTCGTCAGCTTATATGCTGAGCAGCTCGAAGACCAGAGCTTTTGGCGGGGATGACGTTTAGATGTTGACTCAGCTGCTTATTGATCGATCTCTCAGCCATGACAAAGCGGTTCTACCTCGGCAGCAAAGTAACTAGTTAATCATGAATCATTAATCTAAAGAATTACAGATCAATGAATCCATGTAAGTGTAAAGCGAAAGGGCTGAAATTCTAGGGATCCTTGACACTGGCAATCACCAATGCATAGCCCCAAGGTATGTATGTCTACCTATGTTTACTTCGATAGCTTGACCATCACGTACGGAACCTCCACATCCTCCTCCGTTTGGTCCTCAGCAGTCACCTCAAAGATGATATTCTTTTGGTGCTCAGGGACTGGCTTCTTGCTGACGTGCTCGACGAGCTTGCTCATCCTGCAGGATTGACGTTAGCCTGTTTCCACCGGGAATAATTAGTAGACGGGAAAAAAAAGAACTTACGGCAGAGGAAGACGGTCCTTGACCTTCGACGGAGGGTAGAAGCTTGCGTACAACAAGCTAACCCCTGAGCTGACCATCGTAATATCCAAGCCTTTCTCCGCAAAGTAGTCCAGGAACTCCTGGAGGGGAATGTCGTCGACCTCAAACCGGTCCCAGAGTCGATCAATAGTGACCTCGCCTTGCTTGCCTTGGTAATTGCCCTTGGGGCTTTGGATCGGCTCACTGAACCCAAAGAAAGGAAGCGCAAGGTTGATAAAGCCGTTCTTGTATTGCTCGATGTCGTCCTTCCCATCGACGACCTTGAACAGCTCCAGAGCGACCAGACCAGTGACCAGAGCGGTGGCAGTGGCAATGGCCGGGATGATCTTGCCAGCAATAAACTTGGTCTTGTGTCGATCAGCTTGAGGGATCTCGTAGTTGTCAGCGCGGAGGTTGCTGGCCGCCGTGATGAAGTCGATGTGATAGTTGGTGTCATCATCCTTCTCAAACTCCACGGGCTGCAAGCGGAAGCCAGCGAGAGACTTGGGCGAGGGAAGAGCCTCGACAAGTCGTTGAATCTCTTCGTTATCGTTGAGCGCAGCTCCGGAAGTTTGGGCGTTGGGGTCAGGCTCATTGTCGTCGGCTTGAATCTTGACGCTGGAGCTCGGTGTGAACTCGGGAATGATCATGTCATCCACAACCTTGCGGTAGTAGCCCTTGTCGATGCCGGGGTTTTTAATACCGTAGTTAAAGGCGTGGAGGTTGGCGGCAGCGATGACAAACCCGAGATGAGTCGGGTTGATGCTATCAAACTTCAACGGCGTTGGGGCACGCTTTGGTCCAGACCAGAATGGCTGTCCCGAGGACGTCTTCGAGTCACGAGGGAAGTTATAGAGCAGTTGCTGGATGGCATTATTGTACTGTGCCTCGAATTGCTGGCGACCCCATACGATGCAGTCGTCAAATGTCAGGGGCTTGTCAGTGACCAAGAAATCCCGCAGGTGTTCCAAGGTCTGCTTCTCATTGCCCGCTTGCTTGAGCGTCTGATCGATGTAGTCAGGCTGAGAGAGATATAGATTGACTGCCTCCGGTGGGCCAACGAAGTAGGTCTGGAATACGTCTCTTGCCCAGGCAATGGTGTGCTCGATGCGGTTGGGGAAACTCTTCAAAGTACACATAGGGAACGACTTTTCCGGGGGGTCTTGAGAGCTGGAGTAGGACTCGGTGACGAAGGGAAGGACAACCTGGGTGTTGCCCTTGGTTCCGAGAGTGCCACTCTCTAGGAGCGATTTGCGGAAGAAGACGCAGCGGCGGTCCACATACGTCCGCGCATCGACGTTATCCAGCGCGTTAGTAACCCCGTCCAGGCCGTTCCAGAACTCCTCATTAAAGATATGCTCAGTGTCGGGCCCGACTCGGTCACGCAGAGTCACGATCTTGTCGTTAAGCTCAGGGTTCATAGCCTGGACAGCGGCAGAGGCACATTCACTCTTGAGTCTGCCCACATCCTTGGTGCGGAAGAGGAATTGACGGTTCAGGTTGCTCTTTTCAATCTGGTCCATATCCGTGACGTAGATCTTTCCCTTAGGACCTGTGCCGAGACCCATCATAGCCCAGTTCTTAAGAGTCTCGCATCCGATCGCGCCAGCACCGACCAGGAATTGACGAACATTGGCGAGCTTGTCCTGGTACTCTTTACCGAACACGGCAATCTGTCCATCGTAACGGGTACCAAGAGGCTTGCAGGATTCTTCGGATCGTGTGACCGAAGTAGGCAGAGACTCCAGCGAATCAAAGTACATCCACTGGTGCACAGGGTTGAACTTTCCGGAAACCGCCTTCAAGACTTCCTGGGCAGCAATGCCTCCGAAGAAGGACGCCAGCGGATTCAAGTCACCCCGGGCCTGGTAGCTCAGCTCCTTGATAACCTTCTCATCCAGTTCCGTCTTCTCCTCTCCTGCCGTAGCAAGATCAGTGGCAATCTTCAGAACTTCTTGCGCATCGCTGTCGTTGTGTGGGCGAGGCAGCTGGCGACCATGAGCCTCGGCAAACTTGTGGAGAGCCTGGACACCAATGTGCAATTGCTGGGGGCGGTCGAACTTGGCAAAATCGGAAATCAGCAGCTCTGGCTTCTTCAGCTGCTCCCCCAGCGGCTGAAAGTCAATAAACTTGGGCATCTTGACTTGCGAGAAGATCCCACCGCCCTGGTAGGTGCCCAGGCCAGAAACATCTCCAATGGTGAAAGTGTAGGGACCCTTGACCGTAACTTTGCGGGGAGCGCTGTTGTTCAAACCGTCCATACCCTTGATTTCGGTGAAGGTGACAAAGTCTCCATCATCCAGTCCGTGGCGGGTCTCATCGAGCGCTGACACCAAGCCCTCCTCGTTGATATGGGCGACAATCCCGCTGACCGGCTCCTCGCCCGTGGGATCCCCGACCGTGAAGTTCTTGCCGAAGTCGTTGAAAATGTAACCAAAGAGACCAAACGTATCCGCAATCGTAACATAGATTCCATTCTTGTGGCAAAAGTCGGCTATGGCCAGCTGCTCCTTCAACGGCGTCAGCGTCAAGACTACCGCCTGGTAGCGCTTGAGCTGCTCTAGATCATCCGCAAGGTTCCTGCCCTCATGGATTGTCACCGGAACGTAGGAGTTCAACTCGGCCACTCTCGGGGCGGTGACCTCGGCGCGTGGCTTTCCGACATCTTGTGGCTGGAGAAAGAACTGGGAGGAGAGGTCCGAAATAGCGACGGGGGCCGGATCATGCAGCGTGAGGGACTTGACACCGGCGAGGGCAATGTTCTTGGCTAAAGTGGCGATTAATTAGCTGCCGGCCGCCCGCGAGTTCCATGCCCGCTACACTTACCAATTTCCACACCCAGGCCTTTGAGGCCCACCACCAGCACGCTGGACGAGCCCATGCGCTTCATAGCCTCATGACCGAGCACGTATCTCAAGACAGTCAGCACATACCACCAGATGAAAAGCAAGGGAAAAAAAGATGTCGGGCTCACAATTGTCGGCTGTACAAAGATTCGTCGATCTCCCCATGCTTGATCATCTCCACAGTCTCCTGTGGGTTATCCACCTGCATCTTGACGTCCTGATGGTGAATAAGGTCAGTGGCAATCCCAAGTTCCCCCCAGTCGAGGCAAGTCGTACCGTCATGATCTTCTTTTCTGGCCGAGCTGCGGTGCCGTCTTCAGAAGCTCTGCGCTTTCCCGGCTTAGCCGTGTCCCGAACAGTAAGATTTGGAGGAATGGTGAAAATCAGAGGGTGAAAGCCTTGCCAACCAGCAAGACTTTCGACAGTGATAGGACAAGTACAGCCAGCGTACCAGGTACCTAGCTCGGGCAACAGCAGGAGCGACCCGAAAGCCAAATGCAGAAAGCGCGACTGTACAGCACGAGAGAGCGGGAGGAAGAGCTGTAGGGATAGAGAGAAGGCAAGAGATAGAATTGATGCGACAGACAAGGGAGAAGAAGAGTTGCGAAGAGGAACCTTCCAAAGGTAGGAATCCCGCATCGACGTAAGAGATGACTAATGGCCCTGAGCCCCGCGGTGGATCCCGTTGAGCAGACTCACATCACACAGATCTGCTCTATGGTGAGTTGTGTGTTTTGATTTGCCGCACAACATTGAAGATAATGCTATATCAAACTCGGCTATGGATTATTATCATATGGTTGGATTTTTGGATTTGATTGTATTTACCAAGTACCCTGGCGGTACCAGGGTGGCTACATGCTATATATCTACTCCTACTATATAGCTCTTTACCTCCGATCAAGCGACACCTAAAACCATCATACAAGTCTTCTATTTTCTCAAAAGTGTTTTCAAGAAATACCTCTTCAATATTGCCAAGACAGAAAAGCATTCAACTATGATACCCTCCATCTTTGCATGTGCTTTGGGTATGAATACTCGGGCAGGGACACCTGCTTGGCAATTCTTACCGAGACAGAGGGGTACCATACCGGGGTACCATACCCGAGTACAGGTAACGTTTAAATAAACCCCAGTTAAGTCATGCCTGGACTCCAGGGTCTAGGGAGCCATATCATCTCCATCTACATGATTGTAGACCAAACCAAGAGCATCCATAAGATCGTAATTCAATGGCATATTCTCTCATCTGAACAAATTTCCAACCTTAACAGGCTGTCACTCCCTTGAATCATAGCACAGGTTCAACCCAGGGTATCAGAAAACCTTTTTCCTCAAGGACTCAACTGACTGAAACAGTTTAACAGTTGTGGTCGTAGCCCTTGCGAGCCCAGACCTTGTCACCTTCGATCTGCCCACCAGCCCAAGTCACGCCCTCCTTGGTGTTGTGGCAACCACATCCGCAGTTGGGGCACAGCCCACCATCGTGGTTCATACCACACCAAGCCTCCTTATCGCAATCCGAGTCCTTAGTGCACGTGTGCCAAGCACCAAATGTGGGCGTGCTATACATCCCTCCTCCTGAAGTTTCTGACGTCCAGCACCATTGACCCATAAGGCCCTCACTCTTGTCTTCGGGTTCACCACATCGCTTCCAGCAGTATCCGTTGGTACAGCCAACACTCTTTTCACTGTCTGCCAGACATTCTCCTCGGATGGGGTTGTCAGCAGCAAGGCATTTTTCGCCTGCGGCAACGGTAGAGATGAGAGTGGCAAAGAGGGCAAAGATGGTGAGCTTCATATTGGAATTCCTACGGTAAAAGAGCCAGGTTAGTATTGATATAACTGGAATAGTCTTTTTTTTTCAATATGTGGAGGGCACTCACAGCTCAAATAGATAGTTCGCACGTAGTACTTGGAGAGTTCTTGTGTTTGTGGATTCTTGATGATGATATTGGAAAGATATCTACATCTCGAGAGGCGTAGCCACCCCTTTTTATACCCCTCGCTCAGGACTCAACTCACTTCCTCTTAAGCCTTGTCTCCCCCCCCCCGGACATTGCCTTCTCGGTCTTTTTGGCTCCACACTTCAGCCCGCACCCCGACCCAGCCCTGCTTTCCGATGGGGAACCGGCTCACGGGTGTAACCACAAAATCGAAAAGTGGGGGTATAACCGAATCACAAAAATAGCTCGTCGGCGATAGTTTTGAATCATAGCCGTCCCAAGCCTGTTGACGTATATTGAAGCGTAGGTCCAACACTACCGAGGGCGTCTCCTGGGTTCTGGATCTGTTGTGATTGGGCTCGCTCTGCTAATGGCACAAATGAATTTCCCTCCTTAGACAGTAGTACCAGGAATCTACGACAATATTGAAATCATGCTCTATTCTGAGAACAGGGTGATGTCCACTGTGTTTCACTTTTGACATCATACTAGCTGGAGATATCAATCCGGCCCCCCAATACCCAACAAAGTTTGGGACACGGGACAGCAATATGGGGAAGATCTACTATACAAGTACAACATGGTGGCCCACATTTGGGGTCCTACTTTATTCATGTATATTGTAACATTGGGGAGAAGATCCACACTATCCCACACTATATTAGGTTAATATCAGCCCCAGGATCTTAGTGAGCGACGATCTCTCTCCCTTGATTGGTTGAGGGATTAACCCAGTATCGTCATATCCGTAGGATACAGTCAGACGAGACGTTGGCGGGTTTCAAACAGTGGATATGGTGGATATGTGAAAAGAGAAGGTAGAGTTGTTTATCCGTGTGACTGGTATGGTAGACAAAGATGCTGATTCTCGAGTATACAAGCTACAAGCTCCTGCTTATCCCATAGTCTATGATTGTTCGTAACCCGTACAAAAGGTGCATGGTTGTTCAATCAACAACTTCAGTGTCGCCTCGGTTTTTGGGCGATTTGCGGCCCCCATGTGGGGGGGCAATGCTTAGTGGGGTACGGTGCCTCTCTAAATTTAAACCTTCTTAGCCTCCAGGGACCCTTAGCCTGGAGTAAACGGACCCTGGAAATGTCGACGAAGGTCCATATTAACCAGGATCACACGATGAATGGCCCCCACCTAGTGTCGTGCAGGTAAGACTTCAGGTCGGGTTGACTACTGGGTATACGGCATATGATGAGCCTAGTCGGGAAAGTGATGATCAACCTTGGCGGTTGCCTTTCTGAAATGCTGAAATGGATCAACAGGGTCGCGTCGGTACGAATCTTTTCTTGACAACCGAGTTGCCTTACCTAGGAATGCTCGGAATACTCCGCATGCCGAGGTTTACACGCGACCCTCATGTTCAAGTGACTGATGGTGGCCCGCTGGATGTTGATTAAAAAGAAAAGAGAAATTAAATATGCGGTTTACAGTCGCACGGCTCTCCATATGCTCGCTCTTGGCCTCACCAGCATGCATCCACGAAAGGTCTTCGTCTCTTGCATCTCCACGGAATGTCCGCGGCCAATTCAACCAAGGGACTGCTCGATTTTTTTCAGAATATGAGTCCCTTCAATGCGCGAAGGGCACGTTGAGACCCAGGACATAAACAGCAAATGAAGCAAGGGAATCCCCAGATGGAGTTATGCGGTGGCTGCACGCCATGGCCGCACCATACGAGACGGTTGGGATGAGTTGGGTCCCGGACGGCTGTGAACATTTCTTAACCATTTCCCCCCCAACGGTGAATATCTCTTCTCATCGAGCTTGTCGTTTCACCCGCGACTCACACGTCTTTCTCAGTCGGAAACCAAGGCTATTCCAACTGAGTGAACCAACCTAACCATGGCTCCATGATCCATGATCCATGATCCAGCCAAACCGCCATGGAATTGCCAAGTAATCAATGATATGATCATCACGTACTGTAGTGACAAACTCTTTTATTTGGTATCTGGCCGGATCATCACTGTCAATAGTCTATATCGCGAGATCGAGCATCTGTTATTAAGTGGCAGCAATCCGCTCTCGAAGCTGAGCCTCGAGGCGTGGGACAAACCAGAGCCAGAATTGGCGGAGAGAAATTCAAATTTTGATGCAGTACCTGAATTGTAAAGCCTGGAAGAGATGCCGTGGCTGTGATTATTACGAGGTTTGGGTCGTGCCGACCTCGCCGATGGAGACGCAGAAGAACTATCAAAAAGCTCGATGCAAGAGGTCTCGTTCAAACCGAGCAATCTGGGTGGAGATAACTAGTGGGGTGGGTTTCATGATTAGGGCCTATAAATATCTCATACGGAGTACATTGCCCTGAATTCAATTGATTCCTATGAGACATCGACTCTCGATGGTTTCTAAAAAAAGAAAATAGCCGCATATATTGACCGGCCCACCATCAGCTTCACTGGATCGCGGTGATTGTGTTAGAAAAATATGAACAATCCACTCCTCCAGGGGATAGTTTTAATATAGTAGACGTAGTGGACATTGGATGAATTTAGAAATCGGTGCATCGGTGGGAATCGGCGATTGAGGGCCGAGTCCGACCATGGGGACGACTATTGAGCATCGTCCAAGGTTGATTTTTACCCCCTTCTTATTTCCTTCCTATGACTATGTCTCTGTAATTCTTTCAAATTGATTGCATCGAGCTTTTACTTGAATATCATTCCATATCATTTCAAAATAAGATCATTCATCCAAAGTCCTTCCAAGATTGTTGACGCCAAATTAAACATGCCGGGAAATTTGGAAGCAATAAAGACCCGAGGCTCTAATGGTGATAACACCGGGGATACTGTGTCTTTCACTACCTAAATAGGCATCAACATGCCATTTGGGGCCGAGTTAGGGTTGGTGATGTTGTCGACGTGTAGATAAAGTCGGCACTCCGCCTTCGACGCGCCGCAAGATCGTGTCTCCCCAACATCCACCACCCCACACCTCACATGTGTCGCTTCGAATTTCTGGGGCGAGGTTTACTCTACCGGCAGCGTCAGAACACTTCTGTGGATGGTGACCGACAGTCCAGGTTTGTCAAGTGCAAAGAAGAAGAAAAAAGAAAAGCGCGTCACGCGGGGCAGTTCACTAAATGACTTCACTTTTCTCAGAGACCTCCCAGAATGCTCCACGAGATCCTCCTCTCTCTGTCCGGCCAGCCATCCCCACTCTTCCGTCCCGAAAAGGAGCAAGATGCCCGTGTTCAAGATGACTTTGCCCTTCTCTCACCTCCGGAAAAAGCCCTCCTCGCCAACGTTGCCCATCTGAGCCAGCTCCACGCGCAGCTCCGAACCCATTCCTCGGAAATCTCCTCTGGTCATCGATCGGTGGTTTGTCGTGCAGTTACCACGGCGATTGTGGCATACCATCTGGATCAATTCCAGCAAAAGATTATAGATGTCGAGGCGGCGATCCTCGCCGAGGACAGTGGCTATGTCGGAGGCTACGGCATTGTCCCTTTGTCGATTATTGTTGGTGAATTTACCCCGTGGGTACGGCGCATGGAGTGGCTCTGGGATCTGGTTCAATTTATCCAGCCCGAGCTCAAGCGTGCCGGTCGTTCCCATGGCTGTACGGGGGCAGCTCTGATCGATCATCTGCGGGCGGAGTGCCAAACTGGATATCTTGATATTAAAGAGATGGCAGAACATTTGGTCACAGCAGCAGAAACGGCATGGATGAAACAGCTGTCGATGTGGCTTCTCTATGGGAATCTCCCCATGTATGGCAAGCTTGATTTTTTCATCCAGGAGGACCGAGATAGCGAGGACGACAATACGCAATTCACCCTCCATACCGATTTGCTTCCCAAATTTGTGACGGCGCAGACAGCCAGTTCGATTCTCTTCGTGGGGAAATCCCTCAACCACATCCGGGCCAAGCGAAAACTCACGGCCGGCGTCTCTATGGCTCCGGTGTCCTTGTATGAAGAACACATGGGTCAACTGGCTGGCTTGACCTCGCCAATCTCATCATTGAAATTTTCCACTGCAGTTGACTCGATTCGCATTTCATTGTCGCAGTCGACACTATCGAAACTACTGCCGCTGCCCAAGATCCTGGAGACCCTGACATTGCTTCATGATTTTCTTCTATTGGGGCGAGGTGAATTTGCCATTGCGCTGGTATCGCATGCCGATTCCTGGGTCGAAGAAAGCCGACGGCGTGGGTCGGTATCCCGAAACAATGTGTCTGGCAGACTCGATAGCATGGCCATTAAAGAAGGGGATGTCATGACGGCATTGGCCCAAGCATGGTCAGAGCTCTTTTCGCTACAGAAGGAGGAAGACCCGGGAGATGAGGAGCTGGAGCTTGCTCGCGATCTCCTTCGCCTGACGATCAGCCACCCCAAGGGCGGGCGTGCGATGACTCCGTCCCAGGGATCGAGTTCCGTGGCTGAGATATCGCGAGTTTTGTTCGACGATCTCCTGTTCCCTACACCTACAAACCTGACTGCGCAGGTTCGCGCACCCCTCGACCTCTTTCTCTCCAGCTCCGACATCGCCATCTACTCCAAGATCCACTCCTATCTGCTGGGGATTCGGCGGGCCCAGATCCGCCTTGGGGATCTCTGGAAGCGGACTTCGCTACGGAGGAACCACCCTACCCCATGGGGACCTCCGCGAAGCAACTCCGCTTTTGGCCAAAACAAGCTGCAGGCCGGCCGAGAGCGAGACAATGTCCGCATTCAGCAGATGCGACCGATCTGGGCCACCGGCAGTGCCTGTTTATTTGTGCTCTCCGAGATTGGCAGTTTCTTCCAAGGAGAGGTAGTCAACGAGTCCTGGCAACATCTCCGCGAGTGGATTGAAGGAGACACTTCATCCACAGCCTCATCGTCCGAATCTCGGCCTGGGACTGCGACCTCATCCAAGCCATCCCGCACCCCAGGGGCGAAGTCGCCCGACCAGAGATCTGCGCAGCAGACATTCCCCCCTGGCGCGCCGTCCATGGCACGGCATGACCCCGAGGCCCTCACTGTGGCGCATCGCCGCTACCTGGCGTCGCTGGTCCAGTCACTGTTCCTGACCGACGTACCCTTCACCAGCACCCTCCGAGCTCAGCTGGCGAACATCGACCGGTTCGTTGCTCTCACGATCCGACTGGAGTCCATCCAACGGAACATGGACTTGGAGACGGACGAGGGAGTCGTGGATGCCTTGGTCGACTACGCCCAGGAAGAGCGAGAAGTGTGGCATGAGCTGCGGGCGACCCGCGATGCGATGGAGACCGGGATTCGGGATCTTGTGGGCAGCCTGCGCGACATGGACGACCATCGGTCGGGGGAAGGCCGACCGGTGGACTTCGCCACGAACGGCGCAATGGGGCCGAGTGCCCGGGGTGGCCTGGGGTTCAACCACTACGAGCCGCGCCAGGCTGCGGGTGTGGACCGACTGCTTATGAAACTGGACTTTTGGCAACCTCCGCAATAAGCGGGAGAAGATTTCCGGGGCAAGTCCATGTGATATGGTTTGGGAGAGATCGACATGGAAATTTTTTTTTCTTTTTTTTTTTTTGGTTTATTGCTTCCCCTTGCACGAATTTCCAGCGGGTTCGGCGTTCCGAGAAAAGGCGAGAGAACTGGGGATTCGACTGGAGTCTGGACAGTTGCATTGGATACTTGCTATTCTTAATTTTTCTTTCGGGAGCCTCGGCCGAATCAATTTGTACTTTGCTGTACTTTGCTGTACTTTGCTACACTCTCTCCTCGCTCAGCTGGTAAGCTGTAAGCTGTGTTGGCTGCAGGCTGCAAGCTGCAAGAGATAAACAAATCATTTTTTTAAAAAAAAAAAATGGTCATGTGTGCTTATTGAGGGGGATCGCCAGGCAAAGAATGCGCATCCCCTGTAATCCTCCTTGCACAAGCTGCACCAGAATCCCCCTCTTTTATTAACAGAAATCCCTTATCTCCTTCTTACTTCCCCACATGGGGACCATTGAACTGAACACCTGACCCTCACGCCATTCCTCCAGGGCTTCCAGGGCGTTCGAGATCGGCTTTGGATCCTTCGACAATCCCTGCGCCGAGAGGATCCATGTTGCGCCAATTGGCCCACGGGCTCAATCTGAGTAGCCTTGGAGGCTAGAAAGATTTTTATTTTTATTTTTATTTTTATTTTAAAAAAAATCTAACAGCCAGGGTGTGCATCTTCTGCCCGTAGCTCCCAGAGAAACGTGCCGGGAAAGGAAAGTTGAGTGGCGTTGGCATAAACTTATTTTTTTATGCTTAAAGATGCTTAAACTACTATTCTACCGAGTATTATTGTTCACCATTGGAATAAACCAATTGACTACAAATAAATAATTCACCCATTAGAACGAGAAAAAAGAATAGAGAATAGAGAATAGAGAATAGAGAATAGAGAGGCCCCCCATATCACGGAAGCCAAGTCCCGCATTTTGAGGACACGCAACGGCCAACAAAGTCGGTGTGCCCCCCAGGATTGCCTAATTCGGACATCCCGAGTATGGCAGGGCTTATGGACAGATTCTTCCGGCTCATGTGCCCACTTCTTCCCCTAAGAATAGAAATAAAAATAAAATTCTCGTCTTGACTGAGTGCACGGGGTCCGGGGTGTGGGTACTGGGAAAAGAGGGCCCCTCCCGGGGTTTTCTCTCTTTTTCTCACTCTCCCCAGGGATTACCGAGAAGGGGGGCCGGGGGTAAAAGGGCAAGTCAACTGACCTTATATGGTTCCCACATCCCGATTCCTTCAGATTTTTTTTTGTGGAGCCGGAATGATCAAAGAGGAAAAGCCAGATCTGATTTTTCTTTTTGTCTTTTTTTTTTTGTGGACAATGTCCCATTGGGGAAATCCCCATGGATGCCGAGTTCGTGATTGGAGAAAGAGGGATGGCATTCCGGGGACTCGGCATTAAAGTGTTTAGAGTTAATTGCATGGAATTGAATTGAATTTTGCTTCCAATATCCCATTGCCCTGATCCCCCATAGATGGGAATATCTCAATCGCAAGCAATGCCCTCTAAGCGCGGAGAGCGACATATCGAAGATCGGGGATCGGCCGGGTGGAGTTAAGGGGATCCGCCATGCATACCTCAGAGTGGACCCATTCCATCGAAGCCATCGAAGCTCGAACCGTCTTCGGTTTCACGATGCTTCACGGCCCCTTCCCCCCAACCTCTCTCTCTCCGTGTGAGGTGGCAACCACAGCCAACCATGGCAACCGTGGATTGCTCCGCCTTTGAGTCATGGTGAAAGCAGCGGGTGAAAAAAATATCCACCGGGTCACGCGGTCTTCTTTTTTCTTTTTGCTTTCCCTTTCCGTACCCTCCCAGGCTTCCCAGGCTCTGCAGGATCGTGAAGGTCCGCTTTTTTCAATTTCGAATTTTTCTTTTCCCTCGTTTATGTTTTCGGGTCGCTCACCAAGGAAGTACCGTTCCTGTCCCGTCGACCATATAAACCGGGTCCCCGCGGGGGAGATGGAAGAAGACATCGTGAATTCTTTTTTTGCGTGATACCCTTTGCTTATATTCCTCCGTCTCTGTCTTTTGCAACCTTGAACCTCTCCCCTCACTCTCCCTCTCCCTCTTTTATACCATAATCATGTCTTTCACTCGCGTCTTGACTCCCGCCCGCTCACGGCTCGCTGGCGCTGCCGTGACGGCTCCCCGGGTCATCTCTACCTCGGGCCGCCTCTTCTCGACCACCAAGGCCGCATTCAACCCGCAAGATATCCCCAATGTCCACACCCCCGACTCCATCCAGAACAAGCTGTCCCGAAAGGAAGTGCGCAGTACCAGCCGCGTCCGCGATTTTGACATGGAGGGCCGCGTGTTTGCCATCACGGGTGGCGGCCGTGGTCTGGGACTGTCGATGGCCGAAGCGCTGATCGAGTCTGGTGCCTCGGGTACGCTCCAGCAAGATTTCTTCCTTTTTCACTGAATATATCCCTAATTTCCATTTTCTAGTGTACTGTCTCGACCGCCTCGAGTCGCCGCCGCTGGACTTCGTCGCGGCCCGGGAGAAGGCGATGAATGAGTACGGTGGCTTGCTGGAGTACGTGCGCATTGACGTGCGCAACAGCACCGAAGTGAACAACACGTTCGCCGCGATCGCCGGCAAGCACGAGCGCCTGGACGGGCTGGTCGCCGCGGCCGGCATCAACCACCTGCAGAGCGCACTGGAGCACTCGCAGCAGGCGCTGGACGACGTGATGACCATCAACTACAACGGCGTGTTCAACTCGGCCACCGCCGCCGCCCGCCAAATGTTCAACTACCAGAACAAGGGCTCGATCCTGCTCGTCGCCAGCATGAGCGGCCTCATCGCCAACAAGGGCATGACCTCGCCCGTCTACAACTCGTCCAAGGCTGCCGTCATCCAGCTGGCTCGCTCGCTCGCTATGGAGTGGGGCCGCCACGGCATCCGTGTCAACTCCCTCTGCCCCGGCCACATCATCACCCCCATGGTCGATGGCGTCTTCCAGCAGAACCCCGCTGCCCGCGCTACCTGGGAGGCCGAGAACATGCTCGGCCGTCTGGCTATGCCTGAGGAGTTCCGTGGTACTGCCCTCTTCACCCTCTCCGATGCTTCCAGCTTCATGACTGGTAGCACCCTGCTTGTCGACGGTGGCCACACTGCCTGGTAAGCGTGTGCCATTCAGACCACAAACAAGTACTTTGCATTTCTTTTTTTCTTTTTTTCCAAAAGGCGCAACGAAGGAAATGATTCATTCATACACCGAAAAAAATTATCTGGTTGTTTTTGTTTGAACATCGGGGTAAAACGTTCGCTCTGGGATCCGACTACTGCATCATCCCACGCAGGGGCTACTTCCCCCTGGACCATGCCTGCCGGTTTATGGCTTTGGGAGGTGCGATGTCTGGGCTACTGTGTGGCCTCATCACTGATCCAAAGCTATATTTTCTGTCGGGTTCCCGCCGTGTTCATACCTTCTTTGTATAGACCATTACGAGATCCATAGTGACCCCATTCTAATTTTATAGACTCATCTACTACATTATCCTGATCCATACCTAGCTCAACCCCATCTACTGTAGTGATAACTCTAATTTTAACCTTAGATCTCTGCGCCGAGACAACCAGGATTAGCCAGAACAAAAATACCGACCAGAATCATCATAGTTCCATTCCCATAATGTGTATGAAGCAGCATGACATCCATACATAGCATAGATAAGTACTAGATCCCACCAGATTCATCTCAAATGATATACACAAGCCTCTGATCCCCCGTATGATCCTCCAGATCATCCCGCCGCCCACCACCAATAAGCACATCGCGCTCCCCGCCCTGAGAACCGCCAGGCCGACCTTGAATATCCGGTTTCGAATCCAGCAGGACAGCACGATTCAGCCGCTGCAAAAGCACGCGCAGAATCAACGCCAGCAGCGCCACAAGCACCATAAAGAACGCGCACACCGCCATGCCGCGCACATACCACGGCCCGTCAGACTCCGGATAGAGTCTGGTGCCGAGCAGCGGGCCACACTGGCCAATGAGATTGAGGATGGCGATGCTGGCGCCCTTGCCCTCCTTTTCGATGCGGTTGTCCATCGACCAGGTGATGATCAGCGTGATCGCCGAGAAGAAGCCCGCTGTCGCGGGGTACACGCAGATGTACCGGATGGACGTGTGCAGTGCTGGGGAGAGGTGGGTGTGGAAATGGCCTGTTGCTGCGATGGCGAGGTATGCCGTTGCGGAGAGGAGTGCGTGTGCGATGAGGTAGGGGCTGCGGCTGCGTCTGCGGTCTGAGACGTAGGCTGTAGCTAGCACGACGATGAAGGCTACTAGGTAGGGTGGTGCTGAGAGGGCTTGGGCTTGTAGAGAGGTGTAGCCCATGCTGTTTGGTTGAATATTTTAGTATCCAGTTATGATCCAATGCATTCATATAGAAGATTCGGAGGTGGCGGCACCTACTCTTTGATGATGGTGGGCAGAAACACCGGCATCGAACTGAAGGCGACATTGCAGCTGAAGAACATGAACTGCACCACAACAACACCCATTAGAACTTGGTACTAGCCTCCAAAAACACATGAGAAATACTCACAGCTGCCATATACGCCTTTGGGTCCGCCGCCGTCTTCAAGATTTCCCGCCAATTAAACTGCCCCCCAGATGACTGCTGGTACTCTGCCTTGTTCTCGCCCAGTCGCAACTGAGCCACCGTTCTCTGCCGACGAATCAGAAACCGAGCCTGGCCCGGCGAGTCGGGGATCAAATTCCAGGCAAAAACCGCCATGATCACACTCGGGAATCCCTCGACCAGAAACAGTGTGCGCCACGGCGAGATCGGGCCATTGTTGCTGAGCTTGACAATCACCCAGGCCAGACTGCTCGCAAAGGATGTTGCTAGCGGGGCAGCCGAAATGAACAGTCCGTTGCGGAAGGCAAGCTCATGTCGGCGGTAGAATAGCGACAGATAGAACGGGATGCCAGGGCCGAATGCCGCCTCGGTGATACCCAGCAGAGCCCGGAGGATAGCGAGCCCCCAGAACGAGGTCGCTATGCATTGGAAAGATGCGACGAGACCCCATCCGCAGACACAAAGCGATATGTAGATATGCGGAGGGACTAGGCGGTACATGAGCGTCATCCATTCGAACAGAATATACGTGATGTAGAATGCGGTGAGCAGCCATTCATATTGCGAAGACGAGAGCCGGAGCTCATCCTGGAGTCCTGCAATACGGGCATTTCCAATATCTAGATTTTCATTCAAGAATTAGCATAGGGACATAGGGCCAAAAGGGGAACTGCCAATTGTTGCTCACTCGATCGATCCAGAAAAGCCAGCAGATACAGCAGAGCCAGAAACGGCACAAGTGTCCGGTCAAACCGCCTCACCACGTCCTTTTCCTCCTCGGGGGAGTATTTCGGCGCCGCCCCACCCCGCGGCATCTTGCTTTCGAGCTCTTCCCCGGTATCATACCCGTCGTCATCCTCAATGTCCGAGACAGGCCCGGCCACTGGGGTATTGTCGAAATTCGTCTGCAGTCGCAGCGGGCCCAATGGAGCCTTGATAGGCCGGGGTGCTGGAGACTCCTCGTCGGAGGGATTGGAGACCGGGGTGTATCGCGGATTCGACGAGGTACCCGAGCTGGAGGAAGCGTTCCCCGCAGGCGGAGGCAGATGCAGACTGGTCATTTTCAGGAACGGTCCACACGGGTCGGCTTTATAGGAGCGGCTGAGAGGGCAAATTCTCGATCTGGGCGGTGATTGCCCGCCCTCTGTGCGTTCGAATATAAAGAGAGGAAAGAGATGTCTTGGACTCTTCACGAGAACAGCGCAGCTGACCCTCGGCGATCATTTGCGTTCCGTCCTGAAGGTGGATGAGATAAGCCTCATCGCGGCCTCGGGAAGTGGATCTCGGGACCCGTGCTGGACTACCAGGGAACTCGAGTACGCCTATACACTTTTATTTTTAAGTTGTTTTGTTTTGGTTTTTTTCTCTTTCTTTCTTTCTTTCTTTCTTTACTTTTCTCTATGCCCCCACTATACCACTAATATTGGTGTGGGATTTTTAAGTATTAGAAATCAACTACACCTTTTATCCAAGAGTGATTATTCCGTTAGGCTAACCCATAGCATGTAAAATTGATAGAATCCACTGAACTATTTATGTTCCACCGAGTCATGTTACCGTTGTCATTACAACCCAAAAAATTTGCTGTTTACAACCTGACCAAACTCAGGTTTCACGACTTGGTGGACCCTATGCCGACTCTATACCCAAATATAGATCAGCCCTAACACTTGATCATGAGCCAACTTGGAGCTTTGTAAAAATTGATAGCTATAATAAATATTAAAAGATAGTTTAATTCTAAGATAATATGTATAGCACTATATGATAGTTATGATCTCTAAGCCTGGTAGCCACCTTATATACTATGGTGACCTTAATCCTAGGTAAGAGATATGATATATACTAGAGTAAATATTTTATAGAGATGATAAGTAAGTATTTATCGAAAGAGCCTTTTTTTTTAATTCACTATAGAGAAGTAAGACTTAATTAATTGCTACATATCTTGAATATCTTTTAGATATATTATTCTTATTCTTATTTTATAGTACTAAGTAGTAAGGAATATCACTCTAGATAGAAACTAGATCTTATATATCGTGGATGACAGTAGACCTTCCAATAGAAAGGCCGTGGTTTATGAACCCTATTCTCTCATCTCAACGCGTGACTACCAAGCCTGTGATGAGTGCGTGAACTCTTACTTAGTAGACAAAATTATTACCCAAAGAGACTACAAGGTAAGCAGAGAACAGAACGGCGGGACCAGGCGGGCCTTTGAGAAATTTCCCTACTCTTAACACATACAAAGCCTTGTATTGGACATGTTATTCCCCTCCCCTTATTCATGCGCTGCTTCCTCAGAGACCTACCTACCCAGGGGAACAACATGTCCACTACATACAAACAATCAAGTGCTCCTTACCGGAAGGACACACAAGAAAGAACAAAGAAGGGAAAAGAAAGAGAAAAACAAAAAGAAAACAAAAAGAAAAGGCTCAAGGCCGCCAGCGGTCAATGTACCGAGGATGGCGCCGTCTCTTGCGGTCCGAGGGCGGCACGGAACCCGACACATCTCCGGGGGACGGGGGTCGAAGCTGCGCTTACGGCCACCGGTGAGCCGGATGAAATGAGAGCGGCTCAGCGGCGCCAGCTCTTCCAGCTCGGCGATCAGCGGGTGACCACTCAGCCCGCTGATCCGCAGGTGGCGGAGGAGGTTTTCCGCAGTATCGCGGAGGAACCGGACAGCGTTCGACTTTCGGTCGTGGCGACCCTCGGCGTCGTGCTTGTAGTACTCAGCCTTTGCGCGCTGGTACACTCCCACGAGGTTGTTCACCCCGGCCACCTTCTTCTCTTCCTCCCCCTGCTGCTGCTGCGGCAGCGGCGCCACGACAGAGGCCGTCTCCTCCGAGACCGCGCTGTGTAGGGGCGCGGAGTCGGCGCCCGCGGTCGATGCGGGGGCGAGGTTCAGGATCGTGTCGATGGTCCGCGTGGTGGCGTAGCCTATATTAGTATTATCGTTAGCTTGTTAGGGTTTCTTGTTGAACATATTGCTTTTGCAGTGAATTTTATGTTTCACGAACCGGAATCCATCAGTCCCTGGCCTGCAAGGTGCGCATTGATCAGAGCCTTGTTGTGCTCATTCGGACCATGGGGCTTGACATGGACGTAGTGGATGAGGTAGAACTCCATCAGACCGAAGTTCTGGCTCGAGGCGCCCTGGCTTAACAGGGTGATCAGGGTTCGGTCAAAGATGGTGGCTTCTCCACGATCGAAGAGCAGAGTGCGCTGGCGGAGGTGCGTGACCTGGCGTTCGATGGCATGAATGAGGGCTGCGACTTTGAGCGGGTCATTGATGATATCGAGCAGGATTGCACTAGGCTGTTGGATGCCAGTGAAGCTAGCCAACATGACCTTTTCCTTGGCGACCAGTCGCGCGAGGATCGATTCTCTGGTTTCTGGGGCTGACATCTTCAGGACTTTGGATCAGTTAGTCTTAGATTTGACGATGATGCATGTTTGAAACATCGATCAGAGGACTTGCCTGAGTAGCTCTGGTAGGAATATCGATGATGATAATGAATGAACGAACTGTCAAGGGACGACGGGTGATGATCAGGATAGAAAGAAAGGATGGGTAGGGGAAGGAGAGAGGGAGGACGATGGGAAGAAGTGAAGGACGATAAGTAGGCGACCGAGTGAATAGACAATCAGAGCAATGGCGCCTGAATCTTTAGAAGAGACTCCATGACGCCTAAAGTCACGCACCAGCAACCATACTGGTCCAGGAGAACTATGAACTTGTAGAGAAGAGAAGCCTAGATATCGAAGGTAGTTATATTCAAACCTATGTTGCCTTAGCTATAGACAATGGTAGAGGAATAGTGGCGCCTAGAAGAAGCATTGGTGGGTAAGAAATAAGCCATTCGAATAGAAATAACAAAGCGACAAAATCACGGGGGAGCATAGGAGGGGGGGATATCAATGCATAGCAACAGCGACAGCGCGACCACAAGCCGACCATCACCGTCATGAACAAACCGGGACATCTTCCTTGGAGAAACAGTTTAATTCCTCTCTTTCCAAAGCTTTTTGACCTCGTCGATGAGCACCAAGGGCTTGCTGCCCTCCCCATCCTTGGCACAGTCTGTCCATTCCCCGCCGTCACGGACACACCAGACAGTCTCATCCAAGCGAACCGTACAGCTGATCTTCACACCCAGTTTCTCGCCACGCAGGGCATTCTCCCGGAGGAGGGCAAGTCCACTCAGAGGTGGTTTCTCTCCTCCATTAGGGTCATCGTCCTGCTGGCTGGCACATCGATTCAGTGCATCGAAGTCTATTCCGTGTTCCAAGGCGCACTGGCGTACATATTCACGCTCGGGGATTTGGGGGAAGTCATTGATCAAGCAGTTGGCAAATCCCAGTGATCGGATAACGGGAGTCCGAGGGTATTGCGAGGGCAGAAGCGAGTCATCAGCCGTGGGAGGAAATGGGAGATTCGCGGCACAGAGAATGAGCATATCGCCGACACACTCGGCCGGGCCATGCTTGCACTCGATTTCATGGGATTTTTTGGAGACACTGGAAGACATAACGGTATTTAGCCAGGCCCATTATGAAGAGAATATACTGGCCAATGCATCAAGGCATGTTCATTAGGGCGCTTACCTAGCGATAAAGGATAGTTGGAAGTCCACCATGTCGCTGATCTGCTCCATGGCCGGCAGAACCAGCTCCTGCAAACATTCTTGTGCATCCGGGCATTTGCTCATGAGATGGGCTTCCAGAGGAACCCTCGTTTGTGCCAGCTTTGCCGGGGCACTAGGAACCGCCGAAATCTTTGTTTCTGGGGTATTCTTACTCCCGATGGGATCCGACTCGCCAGGGACATGGATCTTGCTCATGGTATCTGGGCCCTCACTATTATACCCATCATAAGGGACACATTTGGGTGAGTAGCATTTGGTTTCGGCCGGCTTGAGGACCAGGTAGCAGCCGACCAAGAAGCATATGGCTATCAAGCTGCGGCGCAGGAGGGTGGTTCTGCTGGGCCGCACTCGGCCCTGTGAAGACCCCAATGTTGGCACATGGCCTGGCTCTGCCTCCTTTGAGTGGAGTGGTAGTTTTTCCATGGTTGATGCTGAGAGTCAATGTGGATGTTGATGCGATAAGCTTCCCCGGCCCCAGGGCCCCCTGGTGGAGTGTTACATAAGATCTGGTGGCCTTTCAAACCAGGCAGCCCACCGTTGAGTATCTATGAATGAACCTAGTAGATATTTGTATCAAAGCAATAGGGATGGGTGGATCTTGTATATAAATGCTACATCTGCATTCCTAAATACTTCCAAGGTCAATCTCACTTGACTGACTTAGTATATCTGGAGAACCCGTCTCCGACGTCGGAGGCCTCTTGGGAGTATGAGTCAAAGCTTAGGCTGATTTTTTGTTTATTTCAATGCCATGTCAAATGGTGATCAGCAGTCACTACTTCACTAGTTTCTCTGCAATATCGCCTCGAATCATCCGAGTGTTCCGGGGAGCAAGCACCCTATTCCGCAGTAGGCACACTCATCCTACAAGATCGGGTGAGAATAGAGGCTCTCTAGAAAGAACGCTCGAGACCAAGCGCCCGTCGCAAATGAATAATGGCGCAAGACACAATGCAAAGTCTACCTAAGTACCTGAGTATACTCCAAGTCTCGGGCGAATCCCATCCTTCATGATACTTGGCACGTCCCAATGTTCTTGGCCCCACTTGTGCCTTGCTGGTTGACAGGTGAATGAGAAATCTCGAGGTCGTGCGTTACCAAAGGTGATGCTCATCTTGTGGTCACTGCCAAGGAGCCAATCTGAACGAAAACTCAGGGCTGCTGTAGCCGAGCTTTCAGCCGTGAAATCCACGCAAGGAATTCTATTCGGCGCCAGATGCCCAGGTAGGGTTACATAGTTCCCGTTAAGAGTGAAACGCGATCGCATCTTATTATCTTTCCGTATACGAGAGAGAGACACGAGAACACGAGACACCTAAGACACCTCTCTAGAGAAAAGTCCGACCAATATTATCAATACCCCAAAATCTCGTCGAGTCCCGAGGCGAATACCGTGTCAGGGCCATCACTTGGGAACAGCGTCACATCGCCTGGTGTTCGGTCGCATCTCCCAGACCTGACACAATCAGAGCCCGTTGAATCATCCACTTTTTTTTTCTCTCTTTTTTCTCTTTCTTTTCTTTTTACACTACTTTATTCTTCTGAGATTGAGAATCCTTCTTCTTTCTTCCTCCACTAAGTTCTTGTGAGAACTTTTCTGTTCGCCCGGTGCCCTGTGGAGCGAATCCCTTGATATTCTCGCCCGGAGACCCATGAAGAGGGTCCACCGTCTCTCAAAATTGACTTTCTAAGTGCCTGGGTTGGGCATAGGGCAAGTGTTCTGCAAAAGACGCAAGTATACCTCATTTCTTAGAACTGTGCCTAAGGCACCCCAGCTATCAGGGATATTTTTGGTAGGGGTTTCCCTGGCTGAGAATAAGAAAAAATAAAAGAAAGAAAAAAACATATCCAAATTCCAGGGTACGTCAAACACTTGAAGATGTTCACTGGCATGAGAGTGTTTCGGTTCCCCGCGCCCTGCAGACCGCGTCACCGAAATGCTCACCTGCCGACCCTTAATTGCAACCTCACTAACTGCGATCAGCAACTTAGCTCCCTGCACCTTCAAATAGCTTCGGGAGCTCCACAAAAAAAAACTATTAAGGCCGATGCTCTGATCTTTGACTGCTTCCTCGAAACATTCCAGGGAGAGGCTCGACGTCACCATTGAGAACGGAGCGGGTGTTGTGACAGGGACCTTTTCTCTCCTCTCTTACCAAAAAGCCGTCGATTGCAACATCTCCAGAGATCTCTCCTCTACGACTAGAGAGCTCTGAATTTGTGGCCTGGATCTAATTTGCAACACCTTCACAATGACCTCAATCAATTCAATACCATCAGAGAAAGATGACGATGCGCATGATCCAATGCACGAAGAGTTGATCGAGGATCTGGAGCAGGAGGATATCAGCTCCGAGCTGGACGCGTCGCAACAGGAAGCCCTGGCCCACCAGCAGCGACTCGATGACTTCTTGACACCGCTGGCCCTGGATGAGGCGATTCTGTACAAATTGGCGCGTCGCTTTTCCACCACATACCGCCAGCTCGCCTTGACCTCGGATCAACAGTTTCTGCCCACCCCTGTCACACAGCTCCCCACGGGCCAGGAGACAGGTCGCTATCTTGCCATTGATGTGGGAGGCAGCAATCTACGAGTGGCTTTTATTGAGTTGCTGGGTGAAGTCGACTCGGATGTGCGCTCGGCTGATGCGTCGGAGCGATCGCGAGACACCATCCGCAAGGCTCAGCGCCAGCGCGTAAAGCGCACTTTGGAACGAGCATGGCCCATTCAGGAGCATTTGAAAATGGACAAGGCGGAGGACTTGTTCGGCTGGATCGGTGACTGTATTGCTGAGGTGGTGGCGGAGAGTCTGTCATCCGATGCAACCAAGAAAGACATACCCCCGAGCTAGACATGGGGATCACATTCAGTTTCCCCATTATGTGCGTGGTTTTTTTTTTCTCCCCCCTGGTTTTATTTACTCTCTTAGGGTGATTCCCTGGCTGACTTGATTCTAGGCAAGAATCCTTGGCAGAGGCCACGTTGATGCCCATGGGCAAAGGATTTGCCATCACATCCAATCTCGATCTCCGCAATATCCTCCTCCATGGATATGAGAAACATACGAGGCGGCCGGACGATGAAGATGAGCCTTCCTCCAAGCGGCGGAAACTCTTTGCTTTGCCTAAGCTGAAGATCCAAGCTATTACAAACGACACCGTGGCGACGCTGGCTTCACTCGCTTATGCGGTCAAGTCCTTGCCCAACAGCCGAGTGGCCATGGGGATCATTGTGGGCACAGGATGTAACGCCACCATTCCAATGAAGCTGAGCGCACTGCACGAGTCCAAGGCCAAGAGTGTGAATGCCATGGAGCCGGGGGCCGTGGAGACGGTCGTCAACACGGAATGGACCATATCCGGGGCATCGCCACCCCTCGGGGAGCTCAAAGTCACGACCAAATGGGACGCCGAGCTCGATCGGGCCTGCGCACGCCCGGGATTCCAGCCGTTCGAATACATGACCGGCGGCCGATACATCGGGGAATTGATCCGGTTGATCCTCTTCGACTACCTCGTCACAGTCGCAGAACTGTCCAAACGCTCTCTACCGGCCAACCTCATCCAGGAATATGCCTTGACCACCACCTACATCTCCGACACGGTCGCCCGCGCCCGTTCCGACCAAGACCTCGCCCACGACCTGAACCAAACCCTGCCCCCGCCAGAGAGCAGCGACTGGCGCTGGGATGCCCGCACCGCCGCGGCATTCCGGAAGATCGCCCGCACCGTGCAGCGGCGCTCGGCCGGTCTGATTGCCGCCGCCGTGATCGGGCTTCTGGCCTGTGCGCGCGAGATCGAGCTCAAGGAAGACAGCAACACCAACAGTCCCGAGAACGCCGCCTCTCCCCAGAGCAACGGCGAGGTGGGCATCCCCGACACCGCCGCCGCATCGATCGCCGCAGCCAGCAGCCTCCAGCAACCCACCACCGCCTCCTCTACTACCACTACTACTGCTAGCGTTCATGGCCATATTGTTCCGGTCCTTGAACCCACCCCGGTGGACTGGCAGTCCGGTCCTGAGGAGCTGGTTGTCGCCTACACCGGTGGCATTATCCAGCATTACCCGCAGTTCAAGGATATGTGCCAGCTCTACATCGATCGTCTGATCATGCGGACTGGCCCACAGCGAGGTGGGAAGTCGGTGTTTTTGCGGGAAGCGTCTGACGGTGGTGTCATTGGGGCTGGGGTTTTGGCTGGCATGGTTGTTAGCAAATAATACCTTACTGGTGTGCTCCTTTTTATTTTCTTCTTCTTCTTCTTTTCCCTCGGGTTCCTCGGGGGTACATTTTACGGGAGGGTCTTGTGCTACGAGACACGGGGCTCTTATCAATGGTATATGGAATAATGCTTGATTTGTTATGCGGTATCTGTGTCCACATCAACATAGAAATGGATATGATGTGCTTTGTTCTCTGGCTGGGCAAAGCAGTGTGTTGTGGGAGGCGTTGAGGCAGTCAGCCTCGGTTTGTGGATGATTCTGAATCAATTCTTTGATGTTTTTGTCATTTGTGAATATCATCGACGTTTCCTTGTGTTGTCTTCTGATTTTGCCATATTATCTGACTACCAGTCATGACTTTTAACCACGGTCTCGCATGGCAGTAAGATACACAAGTCCCCATAGTCTTGCGACCCTGATGGCAGACTGGCAGACTTGGTCGGGGGGTAGATTGCAGGGTTATACCCACAAGCCCTGGATACCCAGGCCAAGAAACTCTCGAGAAAAACACCCAAGCTGCTTGCGCGGCCCGCCATTCGAGGCATCGTAATCGGGGAATGCTGGAGTCTCCGATGTGCGGAATGCTGGAGAATATGCATGCCGATTCTGTCGATCCGGGAGATGTCGCAATTTGCATCCCCAGATTTACACATACTGGGTGGACATGGGGCCAGATTTGTTCCTCTTCCATAGAAGCGGAGAGACTGGCGGTCATCTCAAAAGTAGATAAGTGCTAGGAAACCCCATGTTGTAGACCCCAGCATAGCCTGCCCAGGGCGCTGTGGTGGATTTATACGCCAGTCCTCACTGAGCTGGTCAATCTTTCGAGGTCGATGCTCTGAGCAGTAGGGAGGTCATCGAATGATACCCTTCGGGGCGCCGTGGATAATCCGAGTGAACATTGGTTCATATCAGGCGGAACATGTTGTTTCGAACGCCACGCTTCATGGCATTGGGTTTGCCATCTTCGTATTCAATTCCAGCTGCCCCTCCTTCGCCTGACATTTGTTCTAATCGTTCGCGGAGCTCGGCATCGGTTTGAGAGACGGATTTGCGTTGCGGGCTCGACAGTTTGGGGTGTTTTTCCATGGACTTATTGGATTCATGACTCTTTGATTCTTGACCAGGCTTATGCGCAACTGGTTCCGAGGCCCCTGCTCATCAATATTAGTATGGTCTTGATGGTGGCGCTGCACAAAAAAGGACGATTTACCTTGAGGCTCTGATGTAGTAGAAAAGGTCGATATAAGCGGAATAAAGGCTTGGGTACGTAATGGACAGCTCAATCCAATGCCTCTAGATACTCCGTTTGCTTGCTGTCTTAACATAATTTTCGACAACATCTTGCAAGGCAACACTCCCACTGATCGCAACTTGACGTATGTTGATAAGCCAAACCACGTGATGGACATAGTCCTCGTCACGTGCAGTTCCCCGCGGACCTCATCAGGCGGCAGTGAGGACTCATCTCAACTTTCTCTTCAGTATACCTCCCGTCCACACCCTCTCTTACACCCCATCGCCTCCTAGCCAAAATGGCTTCCTCGATAGCTTCACTGGCATATTATGAGCTCTACCGTGGTAGCAGGTATCAGCTCCAGGCCCAGCAAAGCAGGGTGCAAGCGGTGGGACTGACATGAATGACCTTTCTTTAGTCTTGGCCTTGCCTTGACCGATACACTCGATGATTTGATCAATGAGGGGCGCATTGAGCCCCAGCTGGCCATGAAGATCCTCTCGACCTTTGACCGTGTGGTCACTGAGGTCCTGGCAGACAAGGTCCGCGCTCGGCTCTCGTTCAAGGTAAATCACCCCAATCCCGGAACGAAACCATCCAAGAGGCACCTACACAAAACAAGCCTCGTGGCTCTCATTTCTGAACCAGACTGACACTTCTCTTTTTCTTTTCTGTCAGGGCCATCTGGATACCTACCGATTCTGCGACGAGGTCTGGACCTTCTTGATCAAAGATGTGACCTTCAAGCTCGACAACCAGACCACCGTGAGCGCCGACAAGGTCAAGATTGTCAGCTGCAACAGCAAGCGCCCTGGTGAGGCCTAGACAGCCCCCTCTTGCGCTTTAAAACCACTGGCGTTTCTTCTTTCTGGGTGGGTGATCTGCATAGGTTGTTCTACAGGTGTTTCTGCAGGATACGGCGTTCTAGGGAATTCTCGTCATCATTTATGAACATGGACACAGACAGACATTAGATACCCAACGACGTTGGATGAATTACTTGATGCTTACTCCATTGACGTAGTGCAATCAGGTGACTGGCCTTATCGGTGCCTGCCTATCGCATGAACAGGCTTCCACATCGCGTGGTAATTCAATTTGCCAACTCAGTTGCCCAAGTCTCTTTAAATGAAATTTCATGATGCCCAGGACCTTGCCCTGGCTCCTTGACCAGACTGGCGCGGGGCGCGTCAAGCAAGAGTCGGCCCCGCGCAAGCGCGTCAAAACGGAACCCATTCCGGATCGCGACTTGACCACCAAGAAACTCCCATCCTCACCCGAGAAACAAGATTTCTTCAGATCATGTACGTTATTTGAGACTTGGAAACATATACAATGATCAAGGCTAAGCCGCAGTTTCTCTTGTTCAGCTCAAACCCCACCGACGTCTCCGATCCGACGATGTCCGTCAGAAGAGTGCGACCCTGCGCCACCATCCAGAAACAAAAGGAAACCCCAGCTAATTAGCATAGCACAGATTCTTGATTGAAGGACTAGATCACGATGATGTCTGGGTCATGGTCGAAGACGAGTTCTACGCCGTCGCGCAAACCTTCACGCAGCATCTTCACTATGCGGAATATGTCCGGCGCAAGAAGGAAGCCAAGGCCCAGAGTGCCATGGGTATAGAAGAACCCGACAGGCCTACAGATGGCAGGACAGCAATGCCCAAGCAGCTCCAGCACAAGAAAAATGCCGAGGCGCTTGCGACGCGCCAGAAGGCTGGGCTGGATCTTCTACTCGAGGGACAGACGGATGAGAAAGATGATACCGAGGAAGACGATACATGGGCTGGAACACATCTCCACGACCTGATGACTAGCCCGAGAAAAACACGGTCGTTGGTCGGTGCGCGGGCCTTGAGGTCTTCTACTCGGGCTGCGGCTGGCTTTGGACAAGCCCCTGCCTCAAACTGCAGTCAAGTACCAGGAATCAGTAGAGTGGATTCAGTGGCATCTACAAGATCTAAACAGCCCGACGCTCAGGTTCTCGACTTGGATCAGGAGACTGCGTCGGAGGATGACGATCTCGAGTTACAATCTAGCACTGTTGCTGCGCCACGCACGAGGGAAATGGAATCCAATGCGTCGAGTGCTTCAAATACGCCAATTCCCTACAAGAAAGATCCCCGACAATCTACATCATCTCGTCTGGCATTAGCCAAGGAGAAAGAGAAGCCGGCTTCTGCACGCAACAGCCAGAAGCCATCCGACGGATTCAAGTCGAGAATGGAAATCTTATTCGATGAGCTTGATGAGCTGCCAGCGCCATCTGCGCAAGACACTTCTATCTCCGACAAAGAAAAAGAACTACCTTCCGTTGGGGGAATGCCCCAGGTGGAATCGGGCGAAGACAAATTGGAGCCCAGCAAATCCCGCTATACCGAAGTTCCGACATTTTTGGTGTGATAATCAGCTTTGAATTCCTCCGAACCTTTTTTTTTCTCCTTGTGGCGATCTGGATGTCTTCCAACTGTTTCCCGCTCCACCACAGCCGGTCAGCTGCTTTCCGCGCCCGACATGTCATGGCAAGTATCTGGGGTGGATTTGAACCATCGAGACGGGTTTAAACGGCCTGGGAGACGGGATGGCCCGATCCGGCGCTCACTCGTCGGATCTGACTTTGGATATTCTCCTTCATCGATGGCTGGCGAACGACTGTCTCGACTGTCGCTTCGTTCTTCTCCAGGGTCGCTCCCTGGCTGTTCTGGGACGTCAGCGTGCTGTGATTGGTTGGTCAGATTCGGCCGTTCAGGTGGTATTTGGCTGGGCGAGAGGACTGACTCGGCATCGGAGAAGCATGCAGGCAGCTCTTCCTTGCGGAAGTTGGTGGGGGGTCCCTGGAAGTGAAGATGGTTAGTTACGTTCCTCAACATGGGACTCGGCCATCCAGCTCCCAGCGTTCTCAACTCACAATTTCAAGCACCGGTTGCTTGGTGCGTGTGAATGGTGACTTGATGCACCGGAATATTTGACGAAAACACTCCATCGCGAGTGTCCGGGGGGTTTCTGAGCCGTGGGTCGGCAAGGAGATCGGTCTCGATTTGGGGGATAAGGGCCGAATGAATAAAGATGTGCGAACCGTGGAACAATGCAGCGGACGCGGACCGAGGGTATATCTGCAAAAGCGAAAACAATGAAGGCAATGGAAGACAACGCTCTGTCTGGCGAAACAAAAAAATGCTATACAATGAGGGATAAGATGCGAAACGAAGGACTGGAGACAACGCCCAAAACAGAAAAACAGCAAGAACGAAAAACACAAGTCAAAGGGAAGGAAGATCGCAAATGCTCGAAGGCATTGATGAATGGGAGAAAAGAGGAAACAACTTGAGCAACGAGGCCCTGGCGTTCCATATATACCCAGGTGCAATGCCCGCATGCAGTATGTACATCCATACTGACGGCTTGTCAAGGACGAGAGTGATCCACAGTCTCGCCCGTACAGGTGGAACTGGGCGACAGCCGAGTGCTCCTTTGGCATGGGAGAGGGCCACGATGACAGGCTCGGTACTTCCCCTTTGCCCAACCTTGGGTCGTGACACATTCCATACGGGTCACTCCCCTAGCTGGGATGTCCTTTGGTGACGACTTGGAGCACTTGGAGTCTTTATTTCTGTTTTTTCGTTTTCCTTCTTTGTCCACGTATTACACCCGGGATATGCAAGTGTTTCAACATGCATTGATTTGCCTTTCGTACTGCCACGATGCATGGAAAGCGCCTCGATTCATGATTCGCAAGCCTGCAGGGAACAAAAACAATACTAGGCGTTCCTCTCCCCGAAGCCCGTGCATATGCTGCCGTCGGCATTCGAGTATCAGTGGAGCAGAGTGGAGTAAACGAACAAAAGGGGTAAAAAGGGGAAAGGGAGTGGAAGGCCTCGTGCTTGTTGCTGTCCAAGGGCTCCATTCATTCATTCCTCTTTTCTCCCTGTATAGACGGGACCAACTATGTGGTTGCACCCCCCCCCCCCCCCCCCAAGAGATCGGCTGTCGGGCGAGTTTAAGGTTTGCAGCGTTTCCCCAGCTGCAGACATTTCGATCTTGTCTGTCGATCTTCGACGGAAAGAAACACGCACCGTTTGTTGGGGGTCGGATATCTGCGTATGGGGAGGCCCTGCAGGACCCGGGGAGAAAGGGCACCCTTGGTTTCGTTGGGCGCCTTCTTTGCTCTGATTCATTGATTCAAATATAACTCGAGTGGAGTGACAATTTTTCTGGCTATTTTTATTCCAATGCACACACCCTTTTCTGTGGGCCTCTTTGTCTCGGAAACTTGGGGGGGGGGGGGGTGTTGGCACGATTACTCGATTGGGCATGTAATCTTGTTCTTCTTCTTCCTTCTATTTTTGTTTTGTTTTGGTTTGGTTTTTTTTTACGAAAAGAGAATTCGCTTGAATGCGTAGTCGATCGCCCCATCGCCCTGTCGCTGTCGATCGATTATGGATTCGTCACTGACAGGATGATCCTGTGGGCTCATACTAGCTGGACAGGCCAGTCATGAATGAATTGCATCGTCAAGATTGCTGATCCCGATTCTGCTGCGCTGCCTTCTCGCTGAATCTGTTCTCACCAAAGCTGAATGAATGACTGACTCTTGACTCCCCTGCATCGAGGCTGAAGTGTCAGAAAAGAAAAAAACAGACAAAAACTCATGACATCCCTGTCTTTTTTTTACAAAGTAGTTCGCGTTTAACCCCCCTTGGGCCGGAATCGCAATCTACTTGTCTTTCTCTGTTTTCTCTCCTTTGTTCTGACGTCGGGGAGACTCGGAAAATCAAGTTAACTCTTTTTCTTTTCTGACAAATTCAACTTCCCCCAAACCTTGCGGGCTGTCGGTGAGATTGAGGAATGGTTCGCGTGTTTTTCTTTTCTCTTCTTTTTTCTGTTGCGGCGCCCTTGCGTCGGAGCTATGTCTCGCTCCCTCCTACAGTAAAACCCGACTTTTTAGGCGCTGGCGCAATTATTAACGCAGGTACGCATTCCAAGACTTGGAGCAAACATATAAAACATCGAAAAAGAAAGAAAGAAAGAAAAATATCCCATCATGTTCTTCTCTCCTTTCTTGCTGCGTTTAGCGCGGCGTTGGGGTTGTGGTGAGACATGCGCGCCGAGCCCTAACTCCCGAAGACAGGGATCGACCTGGCAGTAAACACTCGACAATGAAAAGAAGAAATAGTCATTGAAACGGCAGCATTTCATGATGAGGTAAAAGATGATTTGAAATCAAATTAAATTCTCTTACTCCAGTCTACGTGTAAACTCCTCGATTGTGTAACTCGACCTCAATGCTCGCCATGGAATCGGGCCCTGGCTAGTATGCAGTGGAATTTTCGTGCAATGCAAGGTCCCCCTCCCCATAAAAACGATGTATGTAAGATACTATGCGCACATGCCTCGGTTCCAAGCTGCCGGCTTGCCCAAGCGCTTGGTTTTTCTTGCCTACATTCCCGGGTCGTGATCTGGTGGAGTATCTACACTCACGCACGTACCAGGTTGCTTGATTCCGTTGTCCTTGCGCTGCTGGGTCCACTTCCGACATTGCTTGCAGCGGGTGATGCAGGATAAGAATTACATTACTGCATGTACTTACAGTAGGGAGGGAAGACGAGAACGTGTATTCAGTGCTGGTGCAGTCGATTTATCTTGGCTGCTTGGCCTGCCCTTCCTATTTGTTTCTTACATCTTATATGCTCAGTGAATTTGAGAGGACGGCCATGAGTCATCCGTTTTTCTGTTTCTTTTTTTGTTGCGCAATCTTTGGATTACTCCAGGGAGAAATCCGCTGTACTCATATTTCCTGACATCTACCAATCCCACGGTCCCACTTTCACTTTCACCCTGCAACGCCAGGGTAAAGCTGACCTCCAATTATATACTCTATTTCGGGTAATCCTTGATGTGGTGGCTCTTGAGCTTGACAAACTGCTCGAATCCGAATCGACTGAGAGTAACGCCACGGCCAGAGTTCTTCCAGCCTGTCCAGGCCAAGTCCTGTAGAGTGGTTAGCGGGAAAACACGTCCAACAAAATCCAACGTCGATGAATAGCAACATAACACTTACAGGACTGGGATAATCGGACCGGTTGATAAACACAGTCCCAGCCTCAACGCGCTCAACAAGCTTCTCAGCCGCGGCGACATCCTTGCTCCAGACGCTAGCAGTAAGACCGAACTCACTGTCATTCATCAGCCGCACCGCTTCGTCGTCGCCCGAAACCTTCATGACGGGGATAACGGGCCCGAAAGTCTCCTGCGTCATCACGAGCATGTCATGGTTGACATCCGTGAGCAGCGTCGGCTTGACATAGTTTCCATTGGGCGGGAAGTTCTCAAAAGTCTCGTTGGCGGGCGTTTCGTCCTTGGCGCCGTGCTTGACCGCGTCCTCGACGTGTGCCAGGATGGTCTCCCGCGCACGTTTGGAGATGACCGGCCCAATCTGCGTCTTGGAATCGGAGGGGTCACCGACACGGTACTTGCTCAACACATTCTTCACTTCGGCGATGAAGCCATCACAGATCTTCTCATGCACGTAGACCCGCTCGATCGCGCAGCAACTCTGCCCGCTGTTGAAGATCGCCCCGTCGATGACCTCTTCGGCCGCCCAAGCCAGATCCACGTCGTCTCGCACGTATGCCGGGTCCTTGCCACCGAGTTCTAGGCCCACGTTCACAATCCGGTCCGAGGCTGCCTTCTGCACAGCCAGACCACCAGCCACCGACCCTGTAAAGCAGATATGGTTAACAAGCGGCGACCGCACCAGGGTCTCCAGCAGCGTGAAAGACCCGCAGTGAAGGAACTGGATCACATCCTTAGGCAGGCCGGCCTCGGTAAACGCGGAGGCGACCTGTTCGACAATTGTAGGGGTTTGCGGCGAGGGCTTAAGGATCACGGCATTTCCAGCCAGAATCGCGGGGATCAGGCTGTTGACCAGGATAAGCCAGGGGTACTATATATCCGGAGACAAGAAGTTAGCTACAATACCCACAGCATCACCACCACCCACGTCAATAATGGCTCTTAAGACAATATCGCAACTCACGTTCCACGCAAAAATAATCAGCGCCACGCCCACAGGCTGCCGCTTGATATACCGCCTAAACCCCTTCTCTTCTTCCCCAGACACGATGCCCTCATCGCCCAGGACCGAGGTGCTGATGCGGTTCAAGTAGTGACTGCGCTTGATGGCCGTCATGACCTCGACGCCCGAGTAGCCAATGGGCCGGCCCATCTGCTCGGTGAGCTCGCGCGACAGCTCATCCTTCTTGCTCTCCAGGATCTCCAACGCCCGAGTCACGATCTTTTGTCGCTGTTCCAGGGTCGTGGACTGCGAGAATGACTTGAACGCAGCCTGGGCCGCCTCGGGGATGCGGCGCAGATCCTCCGATGACACCCCGGTGCGGGTGACAATCGGCGCGTTTGTCGCGGGGGATATGGTGGTGATGGTTTCCAGCGACATGATGAAAGGCTGAGAAGAAGAGTATTTGTCGGAGGAGAGAACAGGCAGTCGAATGTCGCGGAGAAGGAGGGGTAGTCACGTTACTGCTATCTTATCGATGAAGTCATTGTCTACGAACGAGGATATAATTCAATGGTGTTCAAGATAACCTTGGAAGGGTTGCAATGCTTGTTCTCTTCAGAGTGTTCCTGGCTACATTCCTCTACATATCCCTCACCAATCGCGCTCCCGCCCATGCATACAGGTAGTTGTGCTGGTACCAGTTGACACTACCAGACAGTCAGCCAACGACTCACAGCCCAATTCCAACAAGAACTTACAAACTAGTGCGTCCAGCAATCCGGGGCAAAGTTGCCCAGGAACCGCCGAGGATGATGTTGTGCTTTCCATCGAAGAAATCCGCTATTGAATAACCCTCCACGTTAGCGCGCTCATCTTCGACCATCCTCACAAGATTCAGACTCACAGGTGTATCCCGGGTAGATATCCATGGATTTGAATCCCTCGTGCGGCATAAGTGGCGTGCTGGTCCATTCCCAGACGCCTCCCAGTCCCCCCTGACCCGCAAGCCGGTCACCGTGGGGGGTCACTGGGGTGGGATGCCAGTGCTGGAACCCGACGTTGCAGCCGCCGAGGTCCCGAAACACTGGCGTGTTTTGGCTAGAATTATCTGATACAGGCTGGTGAACGGGAGAGCGCGGCTTTATGCCATTTGTCGTGGGCTCATTGACTCCATTGCTGGTACCGCAGTTAGTTATATTGATTTCCAAGTCAGATGCGGACAGCTGTACATACCCGTGGCCATTGGCAGCGTGACCTGACTCCTGATGGCAGACTTGGTCCACATACTGATAGATGCTCTGGACTTCTTCGAAGGTGGGAATCCTGCACTCCATCCACTTGGCGTAACTCGCTACTTCATCGTAAGAAGCAACCAGCGGCCAATCCTTGGCAAGCTTCAGAGGCACTGGCCCAAAAACAGTTCTGACGGTGAAGCTGTCCAGAAAATCATCAGCTGCAGAAGCACTTGAGCGGCCAACGCCATTTGATATCGAGCCTTTCAGGTTTGAGTGGATACACGTCCAAGAGGCTGGCCAGGTTTGAAGTTGAGAGGCCTGCACATATGTGGCATACTCGCCGTTAGTAATCGGACGAGCCTGGGCTTCAAAAGAATGCACCCAAACTGTTCTTTGGGGTTTCTCGTTGTCCCACCCGAAAGAATGCTTGGGCATCACAGTCTCGTCGGAGTCATCCAACCCAACAGCCAGTGTCTGTTTCGGGATGCGAAACCACTCATTGGGCTTCGCGTGGTTCTTTGCCTGTTGGGCCATCTGTGTGAAGTCTGGATGGGCAATGCCGACAGGAGGGAGGGCTTTGTCACTCTGAAGCAGCATATACAGAAAGGTCTCCAGGTGCATTGCTTCATGCTCAAAGCCGATCCAGAGGGCCTCATTAAGACATCGGTCATGAGATGCTGTGTTCTGCTGTAAGATCGACCGCGCTCGATTCCGGACTCTCTCTTGGTAGTCCAAGATTTCATCGAGAGGCGGCCACTCATCAGGGATCTCGCTGTGAGAGTGGCATTGTTCTGGATCTTCTACGTCGGGGTCGATGCCACGCTCGAAAATCTGCTGGTAGGATTTGGGCTTGGTGGGTTTCTCTCGCAATGCTCGGGTCAGGTGTATATCTAAACAGCGAACTAGTTAAAATAGGACTCTTTCTATGTGGTTTGGGATAACCTACCGAAAAACGTGGGGATGTGACCCAGGTAGAAAATCAACGCATTTCTGAGCTTGATTGGCTTCGACCAAAGCTCTTCACGAGGGATCATAGTTCTGGTGACTATGTCCCATGCAGCCCAGAGAGATTGGAAGTCTTCCAGGCTCGGAGTCGGCCGGGCCGCATATTGCGAAGGCTTCATAGGCACATGGAGAGCAGCAGGCGATAGCAGATGAACATCTGTATAGGATATTAGAAACGTAACATATCCAGCATCCAGCAAATTACTGCTTTAAACATGTGCTTTGTGGGAGCGGCCTGTTGTGAAGACCACTGGATTGAAAGTCCCAAAAAGAAGTAGAAATGGAGGGCAACTCACGATAATTATCTGCCGAATTCCCAAACTCAACTTGCGAGATTAATCCTGCACTGCGCCAGAGACCATCCCGCTCATCACGGCCATATTTGAAGGCTTCTTCGAAGACGAGCTTCTCGCCCTTTGGAATCTTGATGCCATTGATGGCCACATCGACTTTGGGCGAATACCATGCTTGATGCCGCCCCACGCTGGTATCATAGCCGGTCAGAATATCCCACTCGCCGGGTTTGAATGCCTCAAAGCCGAGAACTGCATTTGCGTGGGCCAAGCCATTCTCATAAAACTTGCGCGTAATGCCTTGAGAGTCATTGTAGGCACTGTATACTTTCTCTGGCGTCTTGCAGGCATCCAGTCCAATTAACATGAAATCGGATGGATGCAGGAGTTTTGCAAAACCACTGAGAAACTCCGTGGCCTCGGGACGATCAAAGTTGCCGATTGAAGAGCCCATGGACATGACGACCGTCGGTCGTGTTCGGTTCGCTGGAGTGTCGAGCCAATCGAGAGCATCGTCGTAGGTGCCATGCAAGCCATGGAATCCCACATGCGTGAAGCTCTCCGGGTTGATCTCGGAGAAGGTCCTTCGCAGTTCAACCAGGGATAGGTCCAGGGCGTAGTAGTCTACTTGTTTCTCGACCCGTTCGCACTCGCGGAGCAGAATCTCAATCTTACGCAGATTGCTAAGAAGCCGTGTCAGCACATTGCTCAAAGCCATTCTCGATCGCGCGTAGTTCCTGGGATCGTGGATTAAAAGTGTAAGGACAACAGACCCGCTGCCAAGTTCAACCAGTTGAGCGTTCTTTGGGATTCGCTCGACGATGCGCTGTGCGTGGGTTTTCAATGCATCGATCTCCGCGTTGGTCAGGTAATATTCATCCAAGTAGGTAATTTTCTCGAATAGCTTGAGTCCCTGGGCGTCATAGAGCAGGAGGGTGGGGAATGAACGCCTAGTCCCTGGAGGTGGTGCAAGATTCTTGTAGATATCGTCGACGAGCGAGAAATCCAAATTATCCTTACGGATGTCCACAATATCGACCGTGTCGACGTTTGTGAGCGCTGTGGGAGACATCTTGACTGCAGGAAGAAAGCACGCGGGTGTGTCAGATCGACGATCAAAATTGAGGGGGGTAAAAACAAAGCAAGGGAATATACCCAGAGTTGAAAGCTAACAAAGCCAAACACTTCCGGGGGACAGTGAGGAGTTTATAGAACAAGCCAAGCCGAGCCCCGAACTTCGTCGATGCTCGATGACGAATGATGCAAGCTCGGAAGGAGGTACCCAGTGAACCCAAAGAACCATTAGAATGCACGTAGAGGCTACACGAGTGATTGAAAAATCCAAAGAGAAGGGCCAATTTAACTTCAGCTCAGCATCCTACGCAGGGTTTATAATAACCGAGCTCGAATCTTCAGACCGGTTCCGTTCCTGGAATGTTTGCAATACCCCCCACAAGTCTAGACCTCCCCGATCCAGCCATACATGACACGCAGCCAGATTATCAGATGGGGCGGTTAACTCACCCGCGCCATGCCGACTGACGTCGAGTATCCCACTTGGGAGTTGGAGTCTGCCAGTCGTGAGGCTGTTGATGTGGGGAGCTCGGCTGGGTGAGGTCATAGCGCTGTTTGTGCAGTTTGGATTCTTTGCCTGGTTTGTGCCGTTTGCAGAATAGGGGCTGTTTGCATATTTTGTCGAGTCAAAGTGTTTGCCTTGTTTGCTCTGGCGTAAACATAGATCGACTCGGATCCACAGGGTGAAGGACATTACTTGAAACAACGAGAACCGGCCGTTGCTTAAAGACCTTTCAAAAACATTCCGACCAAGAATAACTCTTGTTTCAAAGAATCGGTGTCAACAAAACCATTATTTCTCTCTTTCAGCCCTGCCCTCGGCTATGCGGACAAAGCCTTTCAGAGACCTGGGAGGGCAGCGATAAATTTCCAGCCATCGATCATGGTTGCCTCGATCACCTCCGTTCTTCACTCACTTCTCTTGAAAAAAACATTTACCATGAGGTTCAGTATCTTCCGTCACTTACGAAGAAGCAAAAAGAACCAATCTTCTGATCCCCGCCCTGTTTTCTTCACGCTTGGCCAGCTTACAACCGAGAAAATGAAACTCCAACAGGATCTGTATGAGGCAGTTGACACTATAACATCACTTAGGGCACAGCTTGCAGAGTACGATTTTCTTCTGGCGCATTTTCAATCCCGGGAATCCGAACCTGCCTTTGCAGAACTGCAACTTGAGGAAACCCCATCTTCATCGCACAGCTCGCAAATCAGCCCCAAGACCAGCACCATTCCAACCTGGATTGACGATATCTGGCTGTGCTCGGGAAATGACTCACCTCTCAAAGACGCTGAGGACCAGTGGGAGGATGATTGTCCCGAATTTGCCCTGAGCATTGCTTCACACGCCATCTGCTCTGACCCATTCCTCTCGCCAGCCGAGGAGATGCGCTGTCGCGTGTTCGTGGCCGCGGTCCTTCATTCTCTAGGACGATACGAGGAATCCAACCAGCGCGTAGAAGTGCTTCTGCAAATGATCTCCCGCCACTACCTATTCGACGGTCCCCATTCCAAAGATATCACCGGCATTGCGCATTTCATCCAGGGACGAAACCTCATGGCCCTCAACCAGGTTCCTGAAGCATACTGGTCACTGTCGCGAGCGCTGAGCACGCCAGGCTACCACACCAAAGCCCGCGACTACCAAAAGAAAGCCATCGAGGAATTCACACGCAACGAGGCTGCGAATGGAAGTGCCTCGCCAACAGTATCCCTTCGTCCATTGCTGAGTTGGATAGACAGTGAGAGCTCGATTTGTTCTGACTCTGTGCACCAATTGGATGTTTTTTTGACTAGTGATGTCCACAAAAACTTCTCCCAGACCGATTGCGATACACAGGTGCCCGCTGCATCCGGCCTGGGTGCTCGAACCTTCGTCGACCAGCTGTTTTGTGTTCCTTCCACGCCGCCGATCAGGGAAACTAGACTGTTTTAGTATTTTCCTCGTCAGGGAGTTATTTCACCGGGGCACCTGTAATAGTATAGATCTTATAGATTTAGCATGTTGAGTTTGATAAATTGACTTGATTTGTTTTCCTGGCCTGTTTTATTTTGATTACAGAGAATCTGGCCCAGTTGAAGTTCTCTCCGTCTATACTTTCATCAGTATCGCTGTCCTGAGCACGTAACTCTATAGCCTCGGATGACAAATGGTTTTCAACAATGCCTAGGTGTGATGTGCATCTTACACTTCAAAGAGACAGAAGACAAAGCCACGGGAATCTGTTTGCTCAAAGAAACACATTATCAGAATGACGCACAAAGAAATAAAACGATAACTACAAATAAAACAAAGAGAACCTGAGAGTTTCAAGATATAAATGGATGAGACATAAACATAGAAATCGAATCATAGACAAAAGGACACCCCAATAACTGACTCTTTGACTCTTAGTCCTTCTTAGGTCTTTGTCACAGCCCAAGGAATCCGAGGACTGTCTTTGAGGGCAAATCCCTACAATAAGCTGGGCGAGTATTCCTTTGTAGGCATCTTCCGACAAACTCGACACATTGTGGTCGATAAATAGTAGCTCTGAATTTTCTCTCCTAGTTGAGATCCACATTCTCCTTTGTCATCCAAGATACAAGATATCCTGGTCGGGACCCATTCTCAAAGAATCTCCCATCCCCCCCCCCCCCCCCCTGGTTCTTGCTCAAAGAGCCAAAAATAACTTCACTCCCCATAATACACAATTCATGATGTGGTACACACGAAGCGAGGACTCCGAGTCTGAGTCCGGGTCAGCCACACCCACCCCATTCCACCAGAACCCCCAAGTCAAGCGCTGTTTGCAAGAGAAGCAAGAGCACAGGCGGGAAGTGCTATCAAGGGTCCTGTCTCTCCAAATACCCACCATACCTGACGACTTCATTAGGCGACTCGATCAAGTCCAGGTGTCCTGCGGCCTGGTGATGACCATGCTTTATCTGAAGGACAAGCAGACCGACGATGCCGAGGCAGAGGCCAAACAAGCACTCGCAACTGCCGAAAACCTTGAAGAGGAGAGACTTATTGCTCGGTGCTACTACTGGATGGGGCGAATCGAGTTTACCCGTGGAAACATGGCGACGGCTTATTCGCATTTTGGGGCGGCACAGCCCTGTATTTTGGATGACGATTATCGAGAAGGGAGAGACTTGGATTTTTACAAGACACTCTGCAGTCAAGGAGAAAGGAAGGTGTTTCAACCACCCATGGATCACAGTAATATACGAGCGACTACTCTGAGAAAACCGACCAAGAGCGCTATGTTTTCTATGACAATTGGATCCCGAAAACGAAAGCGCGATGGGAGAAATCGTGACATGGAATTTTGTTAATAAGCATCTTCAGTTCTTCCGAAATAGTGGGCGTTTCATTCCACTTCCACTGCCACTGTCTACAACTATGGTACACTTCTTATAAGAATTGCAATTGTCTAGTGCCAACCATGTAAGGCCAACGCTTAAAAGACAAAACAAATGAATGAATATCACTCCCAAGACTTGCTTCTCGGCTATATAGGAGAATAGCGCTATAGGCATTGTTATCAACAGTGTGCCTAAGGGCGTTTCGTAAAAACCAATTGGCACCCATCCTATCAAAAGAATTAGCACAAGTCAAAACAAAAAACAGAAAGCAATTTAATCCCTAATACATACCATTGGAAACAACGTCGCAAATACCCTAATCTCTTCCGACCTCGCTGTAGCATGATGCTTCCAATCAAGCTCCAACGCAGCTTTCCCGATCATACCTGCCATCGAGAGCGGCACATACCTTCGCGCGAGACAATCATGCGGTCCCGCACCAAAAACAAGCCAATTCTTGGTTTTGGACTCGGCATCTCCAGAAAGCCAACGATCAGGATCAAACACATCGGGGCTGGGGTACACATCCGGGTCATGGAGAGCGGGGTAGCAGGATGGAATGAGCATGGACCCTTTGGGAACAGTATAGTTGGGAGTAAGCGGGAAGCTCTTGGTGGCTAGGTAGGGGACAAAGATGACAGGGGGTCTGTGGCGGAGGAGCTCTTTGATGACGGCATTGGTGTAGGAGAGTGATTCCAGCATCGGCAGATCAAAAGGCTTGGTCCTATCGCCTCCCCGTGCAGCTAGGTTCTCTTCTCGCAATTTGTCGAGCACGTCGGGTCGCTGGGCGAGAACTTGGAATAACCAGGTTGTGGCGCTGCTGGAAGCGTCCTGCGATGCAAAGAGAAAAGTGAATAGCGTCTCGCCGATCTCTTCGCTCGTGAATTCGCGAATTAGATTTGTTGGCTTCTCTGCGTCTTTCTCGCCCGCAGTGACTCTCCCGCGATACCGCTCCGACTCCATCATATGGAGCACCCAGTGGTCCACGATGCATGTGGGTGTTGCGCCCGTCGCCATATTAGCCTTGCAAGCGGCTGCACATTTGGCGAACTCCACATGGATGGCATCTGCCGCCCGCTTCCCCAACCAGGGCTTGGTAAAGGGGATGTACATTGACAGGGGGATGTTGACCAACTCAAGGGCTGCAGTCGCAAAGTAGAAGTCGTCGGCGATTTTCTTCACCGCGTCTTGCGAGATGTAATCTCCAAAGAAGGTGCGGCACGACAGGGCACAGTTTATCTCACGAAAAAGAGGCATAAACTCAATTGGCCGCCCCTGGTTTGCCTTGCTGGCGACAACGAACTTGTCAAAGTAGTTGGCAAATACCTTTTCTTGGACTGGGAGGTAGGTAGCCATAGCTTTGTTGGTGAATAAAGGAGTCAATCCCCGACGGTACTCGGCGTGGGCTTTGCCCTGAAGAAAAACCCATGCTTTATGGCCTATGATGTCTTTTGCAATCGGCACGATGCATGGTTCAGCGTATGAGGGCGACTTGAACACTTTGTGGGCAAGGTCTCGGTCGGAGGCGAGAACGACGAATCTGCAATCAAAGGCGTGAACAGGGACGCATGTAAGGGCTTTTTGATTATAGCTGCAAGGATAACCATAGACAGATACATACTTGTGGAAGATGGATACACAACTGAGTGGCCCACTGGCCCACTGCGCAAGATACGACTCGAACTTTGGATGGATTGCTTGGAGGAAGGGGCCCATAAGCGGAATCTTCAACGGAGGTCCAGCAATGGAGCCCTTTCGTTTGATGTACATGACTAGAGACGGTGTCAGCAGAAGGAAGCATCCCATAGCCCAATATTCCTGGTTACCTTGGTCATAGAGCACCACACCAAGCAGAAAAGCTACAACGTATTGCCAGGTTGACCAGCCCGGAGCAAGTCCCAGCAGAGCGCCTTGAGGCTGAGAAGTGCTGGAATGCCATTTCTGTAGTAGCTCGGACTGAGCACTGGAGGTGTTGAAAATATCAGCCATGTTGGAGTGTTTGATGGTAGGCACGCTTCGAATTCTGGTAAGAAGATAGGGGTACTGTGCCTTATTATACGATGATCGGGTCAGTATTCTGGACAATTTAAATGAGGGCAACATCTCGACCCACTGCTACGCGCATTGAAGTGTGCGTCTATATAAACATGCCGACAATAGATCCATTGCGTCTCTGATTGGTCAAACCGCACAGTATACATGCTGCCCGATTGGGACTAGACTCCGGGGGGGCATCGGGGTCTAATCCCAATTGGGCGAAGGCAAATGAATATGTTTTGGAGCAAAAGTGTTGATATCGTGGGTGCTACTGGGGAATTAGATCATGTCGAGGCTCGGAATGTAGAGGATCGAAGCGCATTCTGATATTGTTGTATTTACTAAGCGACCACCTCAGTAGTTATACAGATATAGCCCTGCGAGGTATAGTAATTAGCCGGCTTGACTATGACCTGCGTTGGGGGCACATGAAAGCGGTGTGGGGCGCTCTACGAAACGCTCATCTTCCCCAAGTCGCGTAGTTCCACAAAACACACTTCAACCTCACTCGGCCTCTCTCTCCCATAATGCGCCAAACTCTTCGCCGGTCCTGCGCAGCATGTGCCAAATCTAAAGCCAGCTGCGACCTTCGGACTCCACGCTGCTCTCGCTGTGTCAAGCGCGAGGCTCAGTGCGTGTATGCAAACGAGCCCACGCCAGCGTCACCGGAAACTCTTGGACGAGAGGATGGCGGGTCTTTAACGACCCTCGATGGAGTCTCTTTGAGCGGCTACCAATTCGGGTCCTTGGACCCTTTCGATTCGTACCCGCGGACGAGACTTCCCCGGGAACACGTTCAACGTCTGATCTATAGCTGTACGTATCTCTTTATTCTCGGTGTTAACGATCAAGCGTAGCTTACATGTGAATATGCAGTCCTCCACAAAATTGCGTTCCAGTATTATCCCCTCGACCTCAATGCAACATCAAATCCATTCCTTATCTCTTGGTGGCCACTTGCTCTGGGTGACCCGGCACTATTTCATGTATCACTACAGACAGCTTGCCTTGATGAGGAGCTGTTGGCCCAGAGGGGCTTCCAAGCTTCTGAAATTCTCATGGCCGACTCAGTGGCTTTACTTCGACGCAAAGTCGGAGATGCGTCATTGGCTGTCCAAGATGGGACTATGAATTCTGTCATCACCTTGGCCGCGATTGAAGTAAGATACACTCCTGAGATTCTATCTATATTTCCAGGATGATCCAATCCATATACTAATATTTGTCGTTTAGTTTGGCAAAGGCAATATCAAAGTTAGTGAGATGCATGTTGGCGGAGTTAAAAAGCTGGTCGACATGAGAGGTGGCATCAATTCACTGAGACAGACCAGCCCACTTACCGCAAGAATGGTTGGATGGTATGTCACTCGCCTGAACACTGAATCATTACACTGCTGACCTATTCTAAAGGGTATCAATGCTCGTTATGGGCCATCCCCAATTCGAAACCCAGGACGACGTCGGCATTGGGGAGGGTATACCTCCCATTCCGGAATGGCAGCTGGACTCAGGCGTCCTTTATAATGATATATCCGAGCCCTGCATGATGGACGTCGATTATGAAGTCAAAAACGTCTTTATCCGTCTCCGCAACGTGTTCCAACGAGCACAACAAATACCCTTCCCAACCACACAACTTCATGACCTCACGTGTTTCGTCATCCACCGACTTTTGCTCTCTGCTTCGGACAAGACAAACCCTCTCACCGAGTGCATTCGCTACACAATTATACTTTACATGTTCACGATTCACGGCCCGACATATTACTCGCATGCGATTATACAAAATACGATTGTCACCCGGTTGATGAAGCATCTCATGCAACTTGATTCGACGCCTAGCATACACGAATCACTGGATGCCTGGTTTGTTGCAATTGGAATGGTGGCCTCTAGCGGCACGGCCCATTACTTGTGGTTTATGGAGATAGCACGGGGTATAGCTGAATCTCTGCAGCTGAGAGACAGTACCGATGCTCTCGTCCACATCAAGAGTGTTCTATGGCTGGACTCAGCTCATGGCGAAGATATCTTTCAGCCTCATTGGAATGCTATTCTTGATTATGCGGGTACATCTAAATCACTAGAGTACTCAGTGCATGTCTCATCAAGCAGCATTAGCACAGAAATTTCATGAGCTAGAATCATGTATACCAATCTATGTACCGAAATTAGTCACTTAAGTTCTCGAAAAAGTGGGTACGACGTCCTCTAGGCCGATGGGGCATTATTTGGCGGTCCTATCTCAACAATGGCCGAGGGGTGTAGTTGTTTATCACGTAGCCGTGCCCTCGAGTCGCCCTACACCTATCGGTGTAGGTGGTTCGCAGACTAACGATAGTTCGCATTCTAATAATAAAGTTTCTCTTTATCACAATCTTTCTCTATATACCTACTTTGCCCGAATCCTGCCAAGTTATCAGAAGTGGGATCCTTGAAGCCAAGGGCAAGGAAAGTAGGGTCAAGACCCACCGGGGGGTGACTATAAGGATGGGCGCCCCGTCCCATTTATGGCCCGGGGCTGTTGCCCGTTCCGCTGCTTTTTCTGAGTCAGCCTGCCAGAATCCTTCCTAGAAAAGAGGGAAGGATTTCTATCATTCATACTTAGATAATGATCATCCATGATATCACGTTGGATATAATGCCCAGAGCTTTAGGATTGTATTGAAAGACTTTCCTTTGATTCAATGGCTTCTTCATTCTTTCCTCATCTTCAATCTTCAATATCAAATCAAACTTAAAGTGAATGACCAAAAGCTGCCTACTTTGGCCCACCTTTGCAACAATTCCAATCATGGCCACCAAGCCTAGTTTTCTGACTTTGGTAGTAGTTAGTGATTCTGCTAGGTAAGCCCCCCCCCCCACCTTTTTTTTTTTTTTTTTTTTTTTTGTTTGAATGGCTGGCCACTAAAACTAAATCTTATACCTGCCCATTCAAGTATATCCCACACACCTTCTCGCATTTCCCACAATTGAATCCAGAGCGAACACTCCTCGAGGTTTTTCCCAGGCAGTAAGCAATGGAAACAGAAACCGAATAATTATGAACACTCGGAAAGGCCTCGACACTTTGCCTTTCGACGATCATACGTACGTGCACATGGACAAGGACCGTTGGCAATGTAATGAAGATTGGGACAAATCAGATTTCAGCAAGTGGCTCAGAACGCCTGAAGATCAAACCCCTATGCTTGATGTGGTTGTTTGAACCGACAGCCGGGTTCATCATAGCAGCGGGGTTAGTTATGATGTCTTCTATAGCCTGGAGGATGGGGTCATCGCGATCAGGTTGGATGATGACCCGAAACCCGATCAGGAGCGTTCGTGGCTCGGGAAAGCTCCCCAATTTGCCGCTGTGAGGGCATGGATAGATGTATCCCGTGGCGGCCGTTCTCCGAGAATTCTGAAAAGACTATACACCAACCCCGCTACTCTGACTGATATTTCTATTTGTCACTATATATGTCAAGCAAAGACTAGCGACGAAAAGGAAAAGTGGGTTGAGTTTTCGTCGAAAGGGAAGGATCAGATGTATGATGCTCTACTGGGACTGGATACTTCATATTTGGCCAAGGTTTTCTGGATTAAAAGCAATAGCGCCTTTTAAGTAAGGCTGCAGAAGATTGCTCTACTGGAGACTGCAAGGGGAAAACTCAAGCTACGGTTTGACTTCATGAGAGACTCGATAAGTTGAACAGGCATGGGTAAAGCATCCACAAGGAACGGGCGGTGACCACAATGGCTCCTAGGTAGTAGAAAAGAAGAGAGTATCAAATTCGATGGCTTATAATTCACAGCCGTCATTATGAGATTCGAGTAAAGAAGTGGTCTAGTAATTATAGATAGGCTTCTTATATATCTTTGTTAGGAGAGATGGAGATGCCTAAATATTATGTTAGTACCTCACTTATCCCTTTGCCCTATTATATAGATATTTTTATAGCCTCTTCTCTTATTATTATTAGATATCTGTCTCTTCTCTTCGGGTCGTACCCTAGTACCCGACTTCCCTTCCCTCTTTCGCCATTAATCTTCTATTAACCTAGCCCGATTCCTAGAAAAAAAAAGGTAACGTATTCATAATAAGTTGAGAAGGGGTAGCTCTCCTATCTGCGACCTCCACCCTGCGACCCTGCAACCCCAAATTTTTTTCTAAAAAAAAGTCTAGAAAGATTAAGGATAATGAGAGGTGAAATGCCAGGCACAGTAAGGGCAAAAGTTCTCAAAAAGGGGGTAGTACACATCCCTAAGTCGGTGATGTATTATTGCGCGTTCTTATCTCAACATTGGCCGGATGGTGTAGTTGGTTATCACGTGTCGTTAACACCGACAAGGTCCTGGGATCGAACCCCAGTCTGGTCATACTTTTTTACTCCTTATTTCCCTGCCTCGGTTGGTTAGTAAAGAACGACAGATTGATCCTACACTACGCGGCTAAAAGGGGCACACAGCTGAGCGAAGGTGGCTAAAAGTAAATCGAAGGTGGCCCACTTCCCACCTTCGATTTGCTTTTTAGTAATCCCCAGCCACCTTCGATTTGCTTTTATCCACCTTCGCTGAGCCTTATATAATAAAATTTAGCGTTTAGTGTAAAATAGAAATAATCCCTAAATCCCTGAATTTCCTTTCTTAGGCTTTAATCTACTAAAATAGCTAATATATAAATAGTAGAGGCGGTTTCCTAGTTCCTTTATAGACTTTTATAGGTTTACGGAGAAAAATATATATCTCGTATATATATTGTATATACTAACTATCTAAAGGCTCTATTTTTAATTAATAGTAACTCTAACTCTTTAGTCTACGAGGATTATTTAGAATCTAAATAATCTTTAGACTATAAAAGTATTTTGAATAAGGAAAATCTAATTTCTCTATTAACTAAATCTTCGATTAGACTAAATTAATAAGAGATATTACCTATTATTAATCTATTTTTATTATAGCTCACCCCTCTATAGATCCTATAGTATAGTTTTATTATTAGTATTAATAGATAAAGGTCTAATATTATTTATAAACTTTAGGAGTATCTAATAATCCCTAAGTATCCTATAATAAATAAAGAAGGAATTCTACACTTTATCTATTCTAGTAATCTATTTATTAGTATTAAACTATTAATATAAAATCTAGCTAATATCACGGAAGTTTTTATTACCCTAATATTAAATATATATTTCCTATATATTTTAAATAATATATACTAATATTATTAAGTTTAATTTTCTATTAAATATAAAGGTAGTAATACGTATCGAGCTTCGCTTTATTTCCTTTAGAAGCAAATAATAGATCAAGAAGCTAAGATATAGTATCGATCCTATATATATACTAGTATTCGGTATTACTCCTAAGCCTACCTAGACCTTCTTTAACTATTAGCTTGATACGATCGGGTTAATCTAAAGATTTTTAATAAGCTTCAGATAAAAGCAGCTCGCCCTCTTTAATAATCTATATATAAATAAATCGAGAATCGAATAAAGGAGTAAGTAACCCTTTATATATATTAAATATATCTTATACTTATATATTATATAGGTTTTACTAGGCCTATATCCATAACTAGAATATAGATAGTTTATATAAATATAAACCTAGGTATCTTATATATAAAGATTAACTCCTAACTATTTTCGAAAGGAATAGGGTAAGTTACTCTATCTAAAAATAGTTATTTTATAAATACTAATTATCTAGATACCCTTTCTTAGATACCTAAGTAGTTCCGATAGTTAAATATAGCACTCTACTAAGTAAATTTCTTACTTTTTCCGAGGAATAGATCTTAATTATTTAAGATTTCTATACCTAAAGCCTAGATTATAAGATCTAGAGCGTTATAGTTAATAAGATCAGAACTACTACTATATTATATATTATTAAAGTAAATATAGATACTATAGTACGTATTTCTATATTTTATATTTATAATATACTTATATCTACGCTAGACTTAATATATCTAAATAGCTATAGGATAGTAAAGATTAGAGAGTGCTTTGTTCGATTTAATCTTTATATCTCTTACTCTTAGGAGCGGTTTCCGTTTATACTTTTGACTACGTAAGGTTGTTATTTATATTTCCCCCTCTCTCTAACAAAATTACCTAAAGCTATTACTAAAGAGGTAATAGATATGATTTAAACTATAGAAGTGGCTACCCTAACTATATATATATATTAGGTAGACTATATACTATATATATATTAAATATATATTAATTATATAAATAGGGAGATTGATGTTTACGCTAGTATTTACTACTCTTATTAATAAATATAAATTATTAGCGTTATAGTATATCTATAGTAGCCTTTATATCGAGGATAGGGTTAGTGCTTTAATCTATAAGTAACGACTTCTTCTATATCCCAATAGTATAGCTCTTATAGATATAGTATACTATATAAATTTATGCTTCTTTTTACTTAATTTTATAGGTATTTAGCGTGAATATCTCTTTAATTAAGTAAGGTTAAATAACGAGCAGTAGATCCGTGACGTTTATTTCTTTAATTTATCTTATACGTAGTGGTTTATCTTATATTATATATCTAAATAAGTAAAGCTTTTTCTAGAAGTATAGTATATAGAAATAGATCTTGCGTTTAAGATAGTTTAAGGAACGACGAACGTATTTTTAATTTCTATATAAAATAAGAAGGTGCAACGTATATTTATTAGTTATACTTATAATATATTAAATATATATTAATAATTAAAAGGGATTAATATATACGCCTATATATTTATAAATATTAAAATATATAAAGTATATAGGATCTTATTTAAAAGGATCTTTAGGATGCTTAGGAATACTACTCGTGAGGAAGTCTAATAGGCTTATCTCCGTGGATCTAGAGATGATATTAAAGGGATTTATATAGTTATTATAGATATATATAAGAAACAAATATTAGGTTAGTAATATTTACTATATATATATAATATATCTTTTTAATAGGTAAAATTTATAGGGCTCGGAGACTACCTATAACGCAAAGATCCAAGATATTTATAACGCGAGTATTTATATTATATACTTATTTTCTGCCGAATTTATATAAAATATGCTTTTCGCAAAAAGTTCCTAGATTATAAGGCTATTAGTGTTATCGACCTTATTTAGA